TTCCAAATAGCCTGGTGGGAAATTGATAATGTTGTGATATGTCGTATCGTAACGGAATCAATTCCTAACCCCACGGAATTACCAGCTTTGATTGGAAATCAATCTGGAGGTCGCCTGTGTATATAAACCCTCAAGTTTTCTGTCCAGAAGGAACACAAGCAATCTTCCTTTGAATTACAACAGATAATAATGGGCGTCTGACGACTATAAAATGTCTGATCAAGAAATCCACTACCTTCACCCGCAGGCTAGCTGGGTACTGCGGGAGCAACCTGTTGGTCTGGGTAGATGGACCATACGGCAGAGAGATAGAGCTTAGTGATTATGACCAGGCTCTATTGGTGGCGACAGGGATTGGTATTGCAGCTCAGCTGTCATACCTGAGATTACTTGTTGAAAAGAGTCTACCAGGGCAACGACGGCGAGACATCTTTGTTGCATGGGAGATAGACAAAAACTGTGAGACGCCCATCAGACAAATGGGTCTCTGAGCTAACGACTGCCTCTAGCCGACTTGGAATATGCCTACGAATGGATGAATGAGCTCCTATCCAAGGATGAAGGGATCTATGTGAGCATATCTCCTTGAACAATGCATAATATAATTAACTTAAACATTGATCAGAATCTGCGATTTGGAATCTATGTACCCTCGCAAAATGAGGACGTTGAAAACGCGGAGCCAATGAATTGGGGAAGCCGACACGGCAGGGTATTCAAGATTTTCGGTCGTATTAACGCTGAGAAAGTCATTCCGGAAATCTTTTGGGAATCAAAGGGAAAATCATTGATAACTGGTATGTTGTGGACTGCCACGGTTAGCTGAAATCATACTGATCCAATATAGTATCTGCGCAACAAGAGATTAGAGCTGGGATTTCCAATGTAGTTGCATCACGTATGACTAGAGTGGTCGACATAATTGAGCTTCCACTCCAGCCATCGACCCCCAGACGAGACGGAGACCCGGCAAGGCCAGTGAATATTTAATAAGATGGACCTTGAGATAGTTGAGGAGGCAATGAATGTTTGAATTATTTCTAGACTGAAGCTCTACATATTCAATTCTAGTACATTAAAATAGTATAGTAAAACTCTTGTCAATCAGAGGATATTTTTACGGACTAGTGCTAGGCATGGCGAATAGGAAGAAATGATATGTTGGTTGATGAAGTGATCGACCACCCTGCTGACCTGTTGAAATGGTCTCGGAGCTAGTGTACTGCGTGTTACGACACAGTTCTTCTAGTATGATCCAATCTACCATGCAACACAATGGGCAGCGTGGGCGAATGCTGAATAGCCATGTCCAAGAGTGGGGTACAGTGCCGCCCGTTATTGCCTTCCATATCTGGAAACAGAGTGTTGCTCTTTCAACCCCTAATCACGTGGTCTGAGAACCTGATGTGGAATCGCGTAAATTACGAGTTATGAATATACATTGTAATAGTACCTGGTCTTGTAACCGGCTGTATCGATACAAATTCCTGAAAGCATGGATGACTAGCAGGTTTTATGCAAATTAAGCAAACCAGCGACCGTTCGCAATCTGTCAACCTCCCTCCTCCACTCTCAGTTGCTTCACTGCTGAGGGTTTGACGCTGCCTTTAGTGTCCATCTCTAGTCAAGTTGGTAGGCAAGGCTTGACAGCTTTGTTTCGTGATTATCATTGCTTATCGCCATGTGGCGGCTTCCGGTGTTCAGTGGGTATCAGGCATACCTGGCTAACCCCTTACGTAGTACAGCTCTAGCTTACCCCTCCTCTGGACATATTCGCCATGACCAATAGCTCTTTTGGTGACAATGCAGATCAACCTCGTATAATCGACCCATCGGAAGCAAATTGGCAGGATGCCCCCACTCCTGGTTTACCTCTTTTTGTGGAGAGTTCAAATCCGCGGTGGACCACCGCTTTGCAGAGAGAGACAACTGCAGGCCCGAAGTCTGACGGTCGATCGCTCTTGCAGTTTCTTGTGTGAGCCTTTCTACCGTAGCATGAAGCGCCTCTATCGGGTCAGGGTTTTTCATGGTCTCATGAGTGTCCGCACCTCCCATCCGATCTTTTCCCAATCGGCTCTGTTATATGCTTTTCTTGCCTTGACGGTGTGTTACGCCGTGTTCGGAAGTTCCAACCCAAGTGCTTTGCTGGATGTTCGGAATCATAGACAAGGCTGGCGAGAAAGCTGATCGAGGGAAGATGGTCAACGGAGTTCAACATTATCAGTGTGATATGTAATCTAGATTCATGCCGTCTGCCTAGTGGCTAGGGTCATTTAGATCCCCTTGTGCTAACATCCATAAATGAAACCCATCAAAGTATTTACCATGAACAGTAACGCGGAGCCACCCCGTACAGAGTCTTCTCTATAGCGCTAAGTATCCTTTATCTTCCGCCCCTCCTGGGATGAAGATAGTCGCGCCTTCCACTCCTCCACCAACCCCGCATAATCCCTCGGCCGATGCGGAACAAACAAATCTTCCCACCACGACTCCTTCCTCGCAGTCTTCAAGCCCAAATCCCCAAGCAAGAGATCCAAATACGGCATGACCTCAAAGACAAAGTCGGCAGTCCGCACCCCATGGCCCGCCGGGGAGCGCAGCGCACAGAACTCTGTGTGTAGTGCTGTCTCGCTAACTATTGACTCCTTGTCTTGATGATGATGGTGAAGCTCAGAGCCGTGGTTAAGGTAGACTAGCGCCCACAGGGCTTGCACTTCGGCAACAAAGGATGTGTTGAACGTGGTTACGGTCCCTAGGAAGGCGATGCTATGGTCGTCCCATAGTCCTGGTGGGACAATGAAGCGCGCGAGACGGAAGGGGTGCAGAACGGTTTCATTTTGACTCTCCACATCCTTCGTGTGGTAGGTCCTGCTCTCTGGGCCGGTGTGGAGCATGGGCAGATGCGTATATATGTCTTTGCGAGCCTGCCAAACGAACTCCTGATCAATTGGGTCCGCAGCCCACGGGAAGCCCATCTCTTGTTCGGTTCCATCTGGCAAGAACCGAATGCCTGGAGATACTTTCCAGCCTGTGCACAGGATAAGTGCCCTCGTGTCCAGCCTGTCGCCGCCGTTGGACAGAACGACCTTATAAGGCTCCAGCCGCTCAACATCGGCAATATGCACCTTCACCAGACCCCGCCGGATCAATCTAAAGAAATCACCCGGGAAATTGATAATACTCACCGCGGTCCCCATCCAGATAGGCTTAAACCAGGGTCTTAGCTTCGCCGTCTCCTCATGATCGCTGTATCGATTGACCCGAACCATATCCCACTCCAGGCAGGCCCAGAACAGACGCACAATAATACAGCCGAGCCATGTCCCATGTAAGAAGTTGCGTATCGGGTGGCTCACCCAGACACAGGGGCTGAACCAGCCCAAGGCACGCACGAGAGGGAGGCTTTCGAGGAGGAGGTTGAATGGCGAGAAAACAGCGGCCGGGCTCACCCACGCGGGCCCAGTCCCAGAGGCTCTAATGACCCAGTTGACGCGGTGTCCCTTTGATGCGCAGGCGTAGACGGTGTCCCACGCGGATTTGCTTCCGCCGAGTACCGTTATTGGTGTGTGGTCGTCACGGGCGCCTTCATGTTGGTCGCCTGTGTTGTCATTGCTGGGTTTAGCGAAGATGGTGTCTTGGTAAAGGGCAAATTCTTTTGCGTGGAACAATGGCGCGCCGAAAGATTGCTGGCCAGAGAATGTAGGAATACGCGGCTGCGAGGTAAGGCCCGTAGCGAGTATCAGTTTCCGCGCCCGTATAGTATTGCTCTTCTCGTGTCCTGGTTCTGCTGTTGTTGTGCATTTAATGACCCACTCTTTTCCCCCTCCATCATCTCCCTCGCAGTATTCCACGCTGTCAACCTTGCAATTCAACTTAATTTTGTCGAGGATTCCGAAGTGGGCAGCGTACGCTTTCAGATATTCGTGCATCGCTCTACCTGACATATGCTCACCGGGTTTAACTAAACCGGGAACGTTGTCCCTCATAGGAAAGTCACCATATTCGTATGATCCCAGTAGGTTATTCGTTCTGAGTTCCGCATATAAGCGTTCCTCTGCCCAAACACCCCCCACTGATGCGGCGGAATCCAGAACCACCAGATTGACACTGAGATCGAGCGCGAGTGCTGATTTGGCGGCCGCGAGACCGTGCCAGCCTGTCGCGATCAATTTTTAATTGTGGTTAGCTGCAGAAGCTCCTGATGAACATATGGGGTAAAAGAGTCTAAGGATATGAGAGGGGCGAATTTACCAGCGCCAATTATGGCCAGGTCAGCTATTTGCGTTTCAATTATCATTACTGGACCTAATCGCTTGGTTTTCGCTCCACTTTAACAGTCCTTAAATTGGCATTTGTTGAAGTGAGTACTTTGGTAGGTGCATAGGTAGGCGTCAGTTTGTTATTACAGAAGAGAGGCAGGGTGTCAGCCATCTCCACCGTCCCTATATATAAGTAGTACTCTGCTTAAGGCGCCCAGTCAGCAGCCACCACGGTGGGGTCTCACCGTGCCAATGTCTGGCCTAACAGTGACAGCGGCATCGAATATGACGCTAGCAGAACACGGACCGGACGCCAAGGCAGTTAGTGTGGTACTTTTACTTAATGCAAGTATCTGTCAACATACATATATGTGTGTGCGATACACCGCACTTAGCGTGTATACGGGAATGCATGCATAAGCCTCCGAACCAATCAGATAATATATTTGATTGACTGATTCGCAATCTACGATGGCGGCTTATGGGACGCGGCTATTTTTGGACATGTAACGGTACATGAGTATACTTGCATCAATGTTACTATACAAACCTGGAACAAAACATTAATTACGGAAATATCTATATAAGGCTTAGTGTGTCATGTGATTAGGATTTGAAATCGTTAATCTATGTTTTCAATATGGAATGCAATACTGGTCGCTACTGTATCCCCGTATAGTTCTCCTTTCTGGATTAACAGCCTTATCCAGTCTGATCATGTTTCCTTTTCTTAGGTGACTCTTTCCTTGGGTGCCAGCAATGAGTATCCATAAGGTGAAATATAAGCAGCTCTTTGTCATCGAAGTCAAGTAAACAGGCCGGATGAGTACATTTAAAACTGTTCAATTCTGTCAAGTGGCCTTGAATATGCGAATGCCATGCTGGTGGGCTTATGATAAATTGAAACATTCTTCTCGAAGAAGAAAGATCCTTGTTTCCCAAACAAAAGGGACAAAAGCCTGCTTTGATGGGAGCGTTGCGAAAGATCAAAGGATCACAGCGAAGCAGTGTTGTCGGCTTTTCAAGATGTTGAGAGCAGTGAGTCTCCCACTCGCCAGCATCTGTGAACCAGATATCACATTCAAAGCACATTTCTGTGAACTGCAGCTTATTGTGACAGCTATAATAAGCTTTGTGGCATCTATAGAGGTGAAGCCATTGTCGGTGTGACATATAACTATGCTATTAGCTTAATATTGACATTCTCTTCTATAGAGACTTACTCTTTCATTAGGACTCCACAAATACATTTACCGTTCTTGGGCTTGAGAGAGTTGCGATATGCAACTGTTGTATCCTCTAAGCATAGATGCTCAAGTGCTTGCAGAGCCTCTCGACCATGGCAGTCCCGTAGTGAGCACTTTCTCGGGAGCAGCTCAGCAAGAATATCTCTGTAAGGCATGACCCGACGACGATAGTGAAAAAGGGACTTTTTCGCAATGTTGTTGTGACTAAGGCCTTCTTTGTTTTGTGACTTCTGAATGAGATCCACTGCATCTTTGTAAAGACGTTGGATTTTGCTGTAAACCGACTTCTGGGCCTTCTGTATATTGTGCCTAGCGTGGGACTCTGTGGTAGCTTGCAGGCATTCACTGAGAGAATACATCTCTGCGCTTAAGCTTTTCACATCCTCTCTGTTCTGGAATTCGATTTGTGCCTTTGCGGGGACATACTGGCAAAGGTCGAATCTGTGATGGATCCCCATTCCACGTCGATTTTGGATGTGTTCTTCACGAGTTGCGATCCCAAGGAAGTTGGCGGGTCCATCGACCTCACTCACTGGATGGGCGTATGACCTTCCAAATGTCTCTCGTTTTGTCTGGCCGCCAAATTTCATTCTCGCCGTCTCACTGTGATTCTTGTCTGCTTGCATGAGCGCCCATCTGCGACAGGCCCGGACCGTAATATTTCGAGTGTATCCGCTGCGATGTCCTAGTCCAACAAGACTTTTGCCAAATGCGTCGGTACCGCGAGATCTGCCAGTACTTTTCGTAATGCGCAATTCGGTATACTGGCGAAAGATTGGGATATCAAGGACTTCGTTTCTGAACTTGATCACCTCTAAAACCTTGTTCTGGGTAGTTCCTTTTGTATAAGCCTCAGCCGCGTCTAGAATTGCACTGACAGAGGAATAGTTCTCTAGCGCATTATCTGCAACTGCCATAGGCAAGAAAAATGTCAAGAGGTTCAGAAATAGCGACGTGTCCTCTCTGTAAGTTTCATAAAAGGCATGGATAGGGATTTCCCATCCTGTCTTTCTCCAATACCCCTTGATGAACTCTCTTTGGTATGTGAGAACAAGCATCGGCTGTTGATCCACCATTTCGATAGTAAGCGTAAAATTCTGACTGTATCAGTGGAAATAGCCCAACCAGTATAGCAGTCAGGACTAACCTTGTAACACGCTGCCAATGTGCGGGCCTCAAGTGTCTCATCCGAACATTTTTCATTAGCTTGCCGGGCTAGGCCACGGCGTGTAGTTGACTCATGGACCTCCCCAGTTCTTGCAGACGTAAAGCAATAAAGTAAAATTGCAGCACTGAGTTGAACTCTCGTTCGATCTGGAGGATCTCCACGGTATTCATGGGAATCCTGACACCAAAGCTGTGTCATGAGAATCATCAGGTCATTCGGAGAAAACCCATTTTTGTCCATTTCTGCCGTGGATAAAAATGGTCGTAGGGATCCGATGATATACTATCAAGCAATTAGATAAGTTCTTTTCTCTTCTTGTCTCTAAATTGTTGGGCTCAAACCTCTCCAAGTGTAGTGGAATGCTCTGGGGAGAATGAAAAGCCCCTCATCTTCTGCATTCCAGCCTGGAAGTCTCGGCGGAGACTTTGCAATGCTTCTACGGTAGGCTTTTCTTCGATGCGACCGCGCGTATTCACAGCATACCATTTTAAGAACCCCTTGCTGTTTTGAATGTTTGGCGGACTCTTGGAGCATGGGTGTAACTCAACGAATCTAATTTATTAGCTAGCAACAAGGCTTACGACGTAAATTGTTGTTCTCACTTGTCAAAGAAAGCCAAAGCTCGCTGATAGCCATTTTCTGTCCGCGGTAAGACATGGCGACGTATTTCCTTATTGTCGATGCCGTCTAAATCGATTAGAGTAAAATCTCGATCGAGTGTCATTATCAGGAAATCAAATCATCAAGGGGGAAAAGCGATGTGAATAAAGAGTTGGGTGACGAGGAGCGAAAACCCCCCATTTTATGTGTCAAAAAGTGCTCGATGGGGGTCTCGTTAATTCTTGCCCTGGTGAAAAGGCGCGAATGTACCTTTTGGATGCCAGTTCCGGTGGTTCAGGTGAAGAGGTGAACGGACCCTGAACCCGGGCCAGATAGGGCGGCGAGCCGCCTAAGACAAAATCGTGGGCGCTAGGTGACCACCGACATACAAAGGCTGTTGTATGTTTTTGCTTTGTCTTTTTAGTCTCTTTTGTATCATTAGCTACTGAGACAACTACCCTAAAGCGCTAACATAGCCCCTCGAATAAACTTTCCCTCCTCCCCACCTTCCTCCACTCTTGCCTTTTTTTTTCATGGCCTGAACTGATCCTGATCAGAGCTGATCACGGAAAATAGATTCACCGTGACTATTACAACCGTTTGGTCTGGTGTTGGTTATCTCTTCTCCAAGGACGCAGTGAAGATTCTGACCAAAGAGGAAGCACAGGAACGAATGGCTCGCCCCCATTGATGTGTTCTCCCGTGGTCGAACGCGTGGGGAACTTCACCACTTGAAAGTGAATTAAAATAGCGTCCTTTTGTTCTGCCGGATGAACAACCACTGTGAAGAGCCTGAGTCTCTATTGTTGTCCCTACCGGGATCTCTGGTAGATATTGGTTCACTAGTGTTTAACCAACTATACCCGTGTATGAAGACTTTGCTGGCTGCCAAAAGAGCTCGAACTTAGAAAGTGATAGTTGCTCTTCTTCATGTATTCAATTTTGTAGTGGGGACCGCATTCGCCTTCTACTTTAGACAACACAAAGAAACTCCCCGTGAACACGGTTGGAAACAGTACCGGGGGTTCGAGCAGCTCTCAGTTCCAATACACCAGCAAAAGAGTAACCCCGGTCGCTAGTTTAACCACTATTTCGCACTCCCCTAACCCGACGCCAACCGCGTACCAGAAGAGCATGGTATCCGACTGCACCAAAATAACTTTTATATGGCTCGAGGTAAGATGTTCCCTAGGATCTCATACAAGAATTGACAGGAAAACTTACAAATGCTCTACAGAAAACGACTCATGCGTCGATATTGCCAAAAATTTTGATATCGCAGTTCAAAAGTTCTATTCTTGGAACCCTTCTCTGAACGGAGATTGCTCGGGCGTGTCAGTCCCTCTTAACCCGTTCTGGCTGACTTAATTTAACGCACTTACTAACACCAAGACTAGTCAAACCAGAGTGTATTACTGTGTGCAGCGCGGGACGACCACGTCCACTGCTCTCAGCACTACATCTACTACTCAGGGCACTGCGGTGGAACCTCCGGGTCCTACTCAGACTGGAATACCAGATACAAGTGGATGACGCCAAAGGATGGAAAATATTGTCAAGACATGGCGAACGAAGCAGGGATCTCCTTGGATTGCCTTTACGAAATGAACCCGGCCCTCAACACGAAGAAGGGTGAATGCCAAGGGCTCATAGCCGGAGACGCATACTGTATTGGAACGAGTTCGAACATGTGTAAGTAGCTATCTATGTTTTTCAAATGATATTGCGTCTCGCTGTACTACACTAGTGTAAGAATCCAGAAACATTCTGTGGGGGCGTACCAGCAGCATTTTAATAGACGAAAGTTTTATGATTTTATCAAGCAATTTCTATCTACACCTGTTCAGCTTAGTGAAACGTGTATTCAACTGCCAAAAAAGGCGGTTTGTTTTTTCTATTGGCTTCACATAAATACAATCAATCGGAGGCTCCCAGCCTCGCGTGTTTTGGTCGAACGGCGGTTGCAACTTCCCAAGTTGAGTCCTGTGAAAATATTTCCTCGTCTTCCATTGAAACAAACGAGCCATTGTGAGGATCCTTCTGCGCCGCCTTCCACAAGTCCTCCATAGAGATCTCATCGGCATGCCAACGCCGGGCGACGTAAAAATTATTTATAAGCTGCTGGAGACGAACGCGCAGGTATCCTTTGTACCCACTAGAGCTTTGGTTTTCGGTGTCTACCACATAGTCTGGGTCGACGGCCCATATCCAAAAATCATCTGCTAACCGGTTGTCCAGAACAGAGGCTGCAGCATTGCCATCTAGATATAGAAAAACATTCCGCAGAGTTCCCTCTGTGAGCCCCTCTGGCATAGAGTTAATAGTTCCCCACGACAACTCGTTCAGAAGATCCGCTATTCCCTTTTTTGGAGGGTACGATCGGAGATAGTTGAACTGCTTCCGTAATTCGCTTAAGATCACAGGAAAGCTTTCGTCATCCGTAGGCGCTTTAGAAGGCCAATCTAAAGGCTCAATAGAGTATCTCGCTTGGATTGTGACACCGGATGCTATCGCGCTAAAAGCCATATGCCTTGAATGCGACGACTTTCGATCATAAGATTCCCAACGATCGGGATTCTCGGCCTTCCATTGAGGGTTCTCAAATATCGCATAACCCCACGGCTTTTTGCCCTGATCTTCTTGCCATAGCTGACGTAGCCAGGGCTGCCCTTTTTGCAACATTATATCCAAGTCCTCTTGTTTGCGAGCTTCCGTTATTTCATCAACTCGTCGGACCTCTTCATCAGACGCATTTGCGATTGCCTTGGCTTCATACTGCTCATAGAGATGACTCTGGAAATTCTGCAGACGCTCCAAGGTTTCCGTGCGGTGTTTATAGGAGACACCTGCTAACGTATCTAGAGCATCCTCGAATGCCTCGTTTTCGTCGAAGGTAAGCTTTCCCCAGTAGCGCCTCTTCAACAAATTAATCTCAGAGGAAGTTAGATCTCTAGGTGACTCAGCAGCCTTCCTCAAGAAATCCTGCTTATTCAAGGTTGTTGGAGCTGTGGCAGCAATATTTGCGACTTGGGTTGCAAGGTCAGGAAAGTCGAGAAGCCGAGTGCGATCCTCTGCACTAAGAGCCGAGGGGTTGTTTTCAAATTCTTGAAAGATCGCGAGCAAGCCATCAGCATCATCCAAGTTCCGGAGAACGCGGACGAAAGCAGGAAATAAATGTTCCATGATCCGTGTAGCGGATTGGGAGAACTTTGGGTCTCAGGACAGCGGATGTGAATCAGTATTTATCCACTGGGTGGGGGCGGGTTCAGACTGCCGGTTTCGCTGGTGAGCGACACCACACTAAGGGTGACAGTAAAGGGCTAGTGGGGTGGGGATTCCGACACTAGAAGCAGCAAATGAACGTCAGGTACAACCCGGACGAGATTTCGCTTATGACGATGGGTGGTAATGTGAAGAACGTGGACCCATACGCGAATTCGATGATCGTTTTAAGGCACATGCAGGGCCCCACATGGTGTCTAATGTATATGTATAAATCACGTGATACATTCCTGTCACGTCGATCAGACCGGTACCGTTTCCACGTCCGATATTATGATCATGCTCTCCTGATGTTCATTGTACTATAGTATCTTTTCACAGTACAGAGTAATAAACAATTGTATTATCAACTTGGGTGTCTGCTTGCTTCCCTTGACATTTTTCATAATGTCTGGATAGGTCCTGGGAGCCTCATCCACCATGTGATCGCTTGCAGTGTTCCCAGGCACGAATAAAACCCACATAACTTGTCTGGGTTCTCCTGAACGCGAGGAAGTCATCTCTCTTCGTCCGTGCGTTACGTCTTGTATCTAGAGTCGACTATAGATTTCTTTGATATTGATTATTCATTTCGAAGACGATGTGCTCATCTACGGATACGTGAGGCCCTCACAAGGAGCAGCAAGGCTGACAGGTATGACCTACATGCTTCCGGAGTTACTTCAGTCGGTCATGGAACCCGTAACAGACTCCTGGGAACAGATTGAGGTCACAGGAGCAGTAGAGTTCCCGTCTACGATCCCAGAGGCGGTTTTACCAGTGTTGTGATATGTCGTATCGTAACGGAATCAATTCCTAACCTCACGGAATTACCAGCTTTGATTGGAAATCAATCTGGAGGTCGCATGTGTATATAAACCCTCAAGTTTTCTGTCCAGAAGAAATAAGCAATCTTCCTTTGAATTACAACACTCGCCACAGCAGAGCCGGGAAATTCTGGGTCGCGAGTAGGCGATACTTGATGACGAGATTGTGTTTATTTAGGCCTGTTGGTATCACCAGCTAGGTACTGTGTACACAGTTAAGTGGACAGTGTGTACGCTTCCAAAGCAAAAGTCAATTGATTCATGTAGATAGATGTTGATAGATGTTCCTTCTCAGTCTAGTTTGAAAACACCCCTAGATCCCTCACGCCGGCCTTCGGCGGTCACAATACCGGGGCCACAGCCCAGCGCAAGAATGCGTACACCAAGCAAGGGATGTTATCCATCGGTCGCTAGCAGTGGGTCACCGCTAGTTTGTTCTGACAGGAGGATATATCCCGACAAGGCCACTACTTGATATAGGGCCCAAAAGAAAGCTGTTTACAAATAGCTAACCTTGACCCAACACCTGAGCATGCTTTCATCATCTGCGATTGATAATCTTGCTGTGTTGTGAGATTGGGGGTATTCTAATTACTTGAAATCACGGGACCTGGGCGGTAACGGGCTACACCTTACCTTCTCCGTCACACACACCTTCTTCCTTTCCTTCTTCCTTCCTTAGTTAACCAGATAGCTACGAATACAACGTTCGGCAAGCTGCACTCTGATTAGCTCACTACATCCAAACACCAATGAACAAATGTAAGTTTTCAATGTCATCTTGAGCTCCAAATATAATTACACACCTGAGCTTCTTATGCGGCAGCCATGCGTTTGAATCGCTGAAATTGGTCCTTACTGAGAAGCAGGTACAGAAATTACCCTTCGAATGACGTCGACCTTGCTTGTCGGCTTTCCAAAAGCAGTACAAAGGGATCCTTTGTTTCATTTCCTTTGTTTGTTTGGGGTTAATATTTGCCAGAATATCGACCAGGAAGCCTTACAAAGACAATACTTTGCTCACACATTGCAGCTGCACATTAAATTGACTCGTTATCCATTTCCATTGCTGCTTACAGCGACACGAAAAATTGCCCTTCTGCTTCTGAAAACTGAAAGATGGCTCGCTGAGACCTGTCTTTTCAGGAGACTCTCACGGCCCCGGTGAGCTTGTTTCTTCTCGTGAGCCACGATACTGGTGGACACTGTTTTAGTTCGACCCCTTCGACCGCAGTCTTTCCGAGTACATGATCCTCGAGAAGATGCGAGACGATATCCAGAATAGAAGAAACGTTATATGTGTTGATTACGATCAATTTGGAGAAGCACCACTGAATGACATACGCGTTTGAGGTCATTACGATGTTAGACACTGACGAAGATATTCTGGACGAGGCTGAGATTGCTATTGACGACTGGCTTCTCAACTACGGTGAGAAAGGGACTCTGTACAAGCATAGCGATATCTTCAGATATCGTCTTCGGTTTCGAGTTGTGTGATAGCAAATCAAGACTTTGAGTTTATGGCTCTGGCTTCCGCCACAATTTATAGCATTCATCTGTTTGACTCAGTAATACTTCACTTTTGTTCCACAAGCGAGGGTCGAAACTGTCTTCATATGTAAGGACATCCGGGAGCTAGGCTGTAAGAGGCAAGGTATATTATCAATATCGATGCCGCGGTAGATTCAGGCTAAGTCATAATTGAAACTATTTCCGATATTTTACGAACTTACACGCAGTCAAATTTTTGGGAAATTTTGTTCGATTTTGGTAACTGCTGCTTTGAGAACATGATGCTACACTATAATAGAATTATCGCTCAATTAGACTATATTACGGAGTCAATGAGAAAGGAAGGAAATTAGAGTATATTTTCGAAGTATGAAAATGTCATGCTAACAAGTCCGCACGCAATATCCATCTCTGCCAAGTCGCAAGGAAAAGAATCTGCGGTATTCCGAGATGTAATAATCATGCGCCTTGTATGGTCGGTATCGCGAACCACAGAGCCAAAATAGCCATGCTTTCCGTCTTTCCTTATGCACTGACCGGGCAATCGGGCCCGCATGGTGGTTGATGGCGTTTGTACTGGTCAACCCGGTATACGGTACGAGACCATGGGTTGGCATTGGCAAGATTAGGAGGGATGCGTCGAATGGGCCGAGTGTGCGAGGGACACCTGGAACTTATATCCGGTGAGGGAAGAAGGGATCCGGATACTCCCACTTCGGTCCACGCCCAGGCCTATATCGATATGGCCAGCGCCGAGCAGGGCCGCAACACTGGGAGGAGTGCCGCCCGCAGAATAGCCCGCAGCATAAGGGTTCTCAACGACACCCTGGCCGCTGGTATAGGACGATGTTGAATTGCAGAAATTCTCGCATGTGGCCATGCCCACAATACACACCCTAGCATCCAGCGCCCGGGGCACAGTGCTTGCATCTGTTTTGGGCGTCCAATGGCTAAAGCATCGGTATCGAAGAATTGTCGTACACCTGCGACAGCAATATTTTCTTTGACGCATGATGTCCTGCCCTGTAGCAGGATGCGATGGCAAAGCGATAGGCCCACGCAATTCCCAGCCGCTGTTCACTTGGTCTGGAAGATGCAAATTGTGCTGCGGATATTTCTCGAAATCTGAGGCAGGCTAGCTTAGTCGTGTTGATTCATGAGCGTGGAGGCAGTCTTATGAATAGCGGCAAACAACTGCCAATAATCATGGGTGTCAGCTGGGTTGATCTGAATGCCAAGTGTCGAAACCAGTTTGCAGGTCGTCATCGCGAACAGGATTGTTCCTGTGGGCTGGAGTTAGAACCGTCACCCTTTCCCGCGACTTGGGGATGAGGGGGACACTTACGGAGACACGCTATGCAGAACAACGACAGACATCTTGAACCCTACTTCAATAAGGGGGAATTGACTAGGGTAATATCTTTGTGTAGAAATAGCAGATCAAGAAGCAAACAAAAAAAAACCCATCTATTAGCACCATAACATACCAGGTAGCTAAGGTCAAAGGGGAATTGTTGACAGCCTCTGAGACAGACAGATACAGGTTAGCGTCTTAAAAGAATAACAGTCACAAATCAAGAACACAAGTGACCCATCTGGGGCAATCATACGCACCAGGGAGCGAAAATTCAGAGGGAAAACTGTGGAAAGCCTCTGGAACGGATGGGCGTAGGTACGATTTCGTGCATTTGTGTTGCTGACACTAAGTCATAGCGGCCTTGCCGGGGACGTTTTTGACAATATAGGGAGGTTCATCAGGTCCGTCAAAGTCCAGCACGTCACCCATAAAGGGATCGGCACTTTCATAGATCTGATCCTCGTCAGCAAGGTCTTCAGCCTGATCATCGCAGACCGAGCGAACATCCCGGTTGAGCGTCTGCCGCACAATAGATGCAAACTGGTGGGGTGTCGGAGCCTCAGGAATTGGGCCCAGGAGTCTGAGCAGCTTTAACTTGTCGAGAGCTTCGATCAACTCGCGAGTGACGGGGACCCAGAAGCTCCGAGATCCACCGTTCTTCTTTGAGAGCTCGGCAAGTATCTCAGATCCCTCTTCCATGGTCCACAGGAAGCTGAGGGCTGAAGAATGGATGCGTGGGCAGCGACGGGGCCGTGTACCAGGGCGACGAGGGGAGTATTGATAATCAGGGTGCTTCCTAAGATGCTCCTCTTTTGCCATGAGGGCTTTTTCACGGTAAGCAGCCTTGACGTGATCAGACTCCTTCTTCCACTTCGTAGCGATAATACGCGCTAGAAAGAAAGAAAAAAAAATAGATCATGTTAGCCGGGCTCTATTAAATCAGGGGATGAGGGTGTGCAGGTGAGACGTACAGATCTGCGTGTTCGGAAGATTGGGATGGGCCGCCGTAGTCGTCCTGTGGTTGTCACGGCGATACAAGATGAACGAGTTCGGAGGCCGAGGAATCTTCTGCTTGACATTGTCATTGAACAAGTTCATCTCCTGTGCTGCCTCCGAAAGGTTCGTGGAGATGTGCCACTGCGCCCATGCATCCAATTGCACACCCGGACGTTGTCCACCGATCGACGGAATCAGACGAACAATGTCGTACTGCGCGTCGTAGGTGCTCCGAATAGGGCGGTCGATCAAAAGCCTACGGTGCCGGTTAGCATTATAATGACCCTAGAAACCGAAAGACAAAATTAGAGACATACTCGTATCGACTCCGGAGGAGCTCGACATTTGACCATCCGATAACATTTACCACGTTGATCGGCAGCATAATTTCACCCCGAGTGTTCTCTCGGTGGCGAAGGGAATTCTCCCAAACCGCTTCCGTGGCTCTCGCGCGGTGTAGTGCAGCCTCATCCGAGGTGCTGTCCAGAGTCGATGGGATATTTCCCTTGGAATTGAAGGGTAAGCTCGCTTCCTCGGGAGTGGGCGGCAGGTTCTTCATCTCTGGGGAAATTTGGGAGGGGACAGCCTCCATTCCAAGGAATGAATCGTGAAACAAAAATAAGATGTTCGAAAGCACGAAGGAAGCAAGAAGGAAACGAGTCGAGGAATTTGACGGATTAAATGATCCGACGGAGCGATGGCCAGGCCTGCGAGAAAGGGGGTATCCGAGACACTTGGAGGTCTGATCCCTTTGCTTTCACTCGCGGCCCGGAACTTGTTGGCGCGTGAGGTTTGAAAGATAGACACGTAAGGAGAAATTCGAAACCGGATAGGTTGACTCGATCGATGGTTGTATCTTTGGTGCGCTAACACGGGCGGAAACAGTGGGTAGCGGAGAATTTGGAGCTGGGTGGGGAGGGGGAAAGGAAGACAATAATTAAAAAGGATAGAGATATTTATGTTTCTAGACGGTTATTGGCGGTTGCACTTTCTTTGTTTGATAGCTACTGTTGTGTTTGCCACTAGGGTAATAGTGAATTGAGGAAGGAACAAAGAACGCACCTATCTTTCCTAGGTCGCTCCTTCCTAGTGAATACACTCGCCATATATCGTGGCCTGACGTACCTTAGGCACTAGGCTACGATAGCACCTAAATAGTGAATACACTCGCTATCATCGTGGCCTGAGGCACCTTAACACTAGGCTACGATAGCATCTGAGCAGTGAATAGTTACACTCGCTATCATCGTGGCCTGAGGCACTTTAAACACTAGGCTGCGATAGCGCCTAAGTAGTGAATACAATCAGTTCAAGAGTGACTGTTGTATATATAGCTTAGAAAATATTGACCCATGGGTAGGAGGTCCAACCCATTTCCCATCCCAGAGAACCATGGGAAATTGTGAGGGTCTCACGTATGTGTAGTGGATAGCGTCTCGAGATGGAACATCAGTATTAAGAACAGCTATAGTCGACTCTAGATACAAGACGTAGCGCGAGGAAGCAAAAGAAAGGAGCTTCCTCGCGTTCAATGGAACCCAGATAAGCTATGTGGGTCCGTCACTCCGTATATCCTCCGCTGATTGTATATGCTTCATGTATATCCGTGACAGAAATCTTAGTAAGACCCATCCCATAATAGGCGGGCCCGTTCAGAGCTTAGCAGAGCCTATGCGCAGTGGCAAATGGGTCCACGTCTTTTGACCTATGGGATGGCATGGGTCTTACTCAGATTTCCTATCGGTTTTCTGGGATGGGGAATAGGTTGGATCTCCTACTATAGGAAACCTATAGGAATTAGAAGTCACTAAAATACCTAGTCCACTATGATCATCACATACCCTTGACCCACTCCCTCTCTCTCTCTCTCTGCTGTTATGTTAGTCAGTATAAGGTGCTCTCCATTTACTAAGAATGTCTCCACTTGACTGAAGTATAGATTAGATATTATATGGAATCTCGCTAGTTTTCTATCATGCCGTAATCGAGCCAGGAGATGTAATATATAGCCCTACCTTCCTGATTCACACACCAGACGACCTCGTGATCATCTACTCTCCTTGTTTAACTGTCAGCCGGCTGCGTAGTTCAGATCTGCGAGGTAGATCTTGATTGATATCATGGTATCTACTACTAATCATTGAGCCTTGAGCGTATCTATATCTAGTCCTAGAATCTGTTAACTTCAGACAACCGGTTTGTTTTCATCGCAGTCAATTGTATATAAAGACCTTGTCAGTCCTATATTATCAACTATAACCCCTCAAAATGCCGTTTGCTTCCACCTCCTCTTCGCAAATATATAGCGGCTGTGGTCTGCTATTCTGCTTAGCTCGCGAATTCTGATTGATTCTATCGCCACTCATACATCGATTCCAAGTGTGGAGTTGGTCTGTTTAGATACTTGCTATCGTTTTCGGTCAAAAAAATGTTCTCTGTCCGCCCGTTTACTTTGAATAATTTGTACATTGTATCACACAATATTTGCAATACGAAATACTGTCCTATAGGGATTGTGTTGAATGGCCAAGGATGTACAACCCCATACGCTGCTACCTGACCCCCTGATACTTCGTGACAGGGTGATATCTGCACAGGAACTCCAACTTAACCACCAGAATCCCACCTTAAAAATCATTAGGGTACGTACTACTAGTGGTGTTGTGGGCGATCCCCAGATCCCCAGCTCCGCTGGGTGATGTACGCCCAAGAACCCGTGGAGCAATACGTGAGCAATCTCTCGTAGTCCTTTATCCTGTTCGCGATCGTAGTCAAAAGTTTTCGGTCTATATAGTCGCAGTAGAGAGTAGGGAATTTTTTTAGGACACGATTAGTTATTTATGAGGTAGCGTACACACTTAATAGCAGGTAGACATATGTGACTGAGTCTAACACTCAATAGGAATTTGCGCAGAGATGGTTCGTCCTCCAGCCAAGTACAGTACTAGCCGCGCTATAGCCACATGCTAGCAGATTAGTACTAGTAGTATAGTGAGTGACCACGCGAGTCCCTGCCGTTGTGAGTTTTTTGCATTTTGTTGTGAAATTTCTTTTCGTCTTAACCATTTCATCCGAACTTTTTTGAGATGAAAAGTAAAAGGTGGGGGGGAATGGCGCAATCATTTCTCCCGCATTTCTGTCTACTATTACAATGCCGTTTTTCTTAAGTGCTGACGCTTGTAGTGCTGGTGTTAGAAGATTATTTCCCCACGTTGACGCTATTCAAGATTTAAGCCGGGTCGGATCGTCTTAACTCAATTACCATCCGAACCCACGTGGTATGTACTCGCTGCCCTACAAGACGAGTCCATGCGGGTCTCTTTCCTTTTACCCCTAGGTCTTATCGAGGCCTTCGATCGGGTCCACTCCGAGACACATGAAAGGCACCTTAGCACGGCTCTATTCCTTATCGCCCCAACTCACAAAACGAGTGAAAATTCAACAACCAGGAATAGCTCAGTCTGATATAGTAAAAAAAACGATTACGAGCATGAGCCTGTGCTAAGAAGCGGTTAAGTGGGGACTGAACCATCGATGCCTAAATTTAGGGTTCTCGGGCTGTGGCAGGACCGCAAATCCCCAATTCACCTTTCCAAAAGCAGATTACGGAACGAGTACGACGGTAAAATTGCATATTGGCTTTGCCCGTATGCGTACCCCCTCAACAAGCCCCTGTTGGAGAATCAAAATGCCTTCCAAGCTTTTGAAAAGAAAATTCTTCGTTCTACCGCGTTCCCAGGCTCTGATTTTATTATAAAAAACCGCTCCCTTCTGTCTCAGTTTCATTCTTAACATTCATTCCATCTTGACTGTACTGCAACATCCGCACTGTTTGCAGGAACGACCTCCGATATTACACATCATACACTTGCAATGGCTTGGACATTCTACTACTACGCCCCGTCAAGCGCGGCGGCTGGCATCTTTACTGCTCTCTTTGGCCTGAGCAGTATATTCCACTTCTACCAACTCATCCGAACAAGGACATGGTTCATGATCCCATTTGTTATTGGAGGAATCCGTGAGTATACCCCCTTACCCATTGGAAACATCGCGGGCTCGAACTAATGTTTTCATTGCTAGTTGAAACTGTCGGATACATCGGTCGTCTCCTCTCGTCTACCGAATCGCCCGATTTCACAAAAGGTCCATACGTGATGCAAAGCGCCCTGATCCTAATTGCACCGGCTTTCCTGGCTGCTAGCATCTACATGACTCTCGGTCGGATCATTTTCATGGTTGACGCCGAGCAATGCTCAATGATCAAGCTGAAATGGTTGACAAAGATCTTCGTTGCGGGCGATGTCTTGTCTTTTCTCATGCAAGCCTCCGGTACGACTACCTCCCCCTGCACCTCGGACAGCCAGTCCAACCTTCAGAACATCGTACTAACCAGCCTCTAGGAGCCGGACTCATGGTCAAAAACACAAGCAACCCCTCCCAGGGCGAAAACATCATTATCGGCGGTCTCTTCGTACAAATCATCTTCTTCGGCTTCTTCGCGATCAGCGCCGTCGTCTTCCAAATCCGCCTTTCTCGGAAACCGACCACACGATCTATCGAGTTGAGCAGCATTTGGAACCGCCATATGATCGCCCTTTATGTCTCCAGCATCCTCATTCTCGTGCGGTCGGTCGTTCGTGTCGTCGAGTACATGCAGGGATATGATGGATATTTGATGAAGAATGAGGTTTTCATCTATGTCTTTGATGCTCTGCTGATGTTCGTCACGATGTTGACACTTCAGTATGCGCACCCCAGTGAGATCAACTGCTTGCTGGGTCGTGGGACCTGGTATTCTGAGAAGGGGTATAGGATGCGCAAGTTTGTTGCTGGGTCGGCGTTAGAGATCAGTCGGATTGAAGAGGCGTGAAGTGAGGGACTTTTGTCTCGACTTTTAGTTCCTTGTCCATAGCCGTTTTCCTTTGATTCACACATCACGTCTGTATGAATATTTCTTCTCCAGTATAAATTCCAGCCCCGATTCGAGGTATGCTAGGACGAGTCATGTAGAGACCTGCCCTAGAGCCCAATCTATATGCCGTTGCCAGTCTGGAGCCAAGGCCTGCGAAATCTGTGTCAGGACGATCTGCCCCCAAGACCCCACACACCAATTCTCTCGCGCTAAATGCAGGAACACGCAAAAATGGGCAAGCACGACCAAGGCCAGCGGGTTATTATTTCTCAAATCCTCGAGATATTCGGCCGGAGCTCTGATAGCCCAACCAGCAACCACCGTCAATGATGTCGGCTCGGCAAACGTGAATGGAGCGAGGTCTCGCAGGTGTGAAATCACTCTTTGGTAGGGTCGTTTCTGGTCGCCCGATGGTTGTCCGAGACACTCAACGACCAACTCATCGAGACGACTGAATGCGTCAAGGAACGAGTCTGGAATAGTCACGTCGGGCGGAGTAACATCAAACAGCGGTGCGAAATTACTCTGCGTCAGAAATTCCGCTTCGGCATTGACGACAATTCGCACACCGCGCGAAAGGGTAAAAATATCCGTCAAAGCCCCTAAGCTGGGCCCATCACCTGACTTTTCGAGATTGAGTGTACTAGCGAGGCTAAAAGCAACCGCCAGCCCGGCAAAGCTCATCATAGCCTTCGCGTTGGCTTGACTGATGTTAGACAACTGTTCCGAGAACATTGCTAGAGCAGTATTCTTGTGTGCGATCGCGGTATTCAACCACTCAGAGTGTACCCCATCATTTTTTAAGTGCGAAATATGAAGCGCAGAGAGGGCCAGAATTCCATGCATAAGGAAAGGGGCTTGCAGCGCTTCTTGCAGCACAGGCATTTCCCAGACCTTCCTCGTTTCCTCGTTGCGAGCAAATAGTCGATGGGTCTGATTAACCCACTGCATTACAAGCTCAATCTGCTGCATATTCAGTTCAGGCGAGCTGGAACTGCTCGTCGCGGAATCCAAATGGTCCCGGACATTCGAGACGTCGGAGCCGGAGCCAGTCGGCCGGTCTCGGTTTTGGTCCCGAGGTCTTCGAGATGATCGTTGCGAGTCATCTGCAAATGCGAATGGGCCAGCAGAGCTGTAGACACATGTACTGTGTCGCTGCTCGCAGTTCGCGCATGCTGGTCGCTTCTCGTCACACTGCGTTTGTGAGCTGATGTTTTGAAGGGGGAACTCGGTTCGTGCTGACTTTTACTCGTCTCCTTTTGCAGTTGAGACACCCGTGGCGGGATTTTCGGTGGGAGCGACGGAACGCCATGCTGGAAGGCGCAGAAATCTCCAATGGAAGAATTTGTCTACAGTTAAGGCGAGGTTGGGGCGACGGACGCGGTGATAAATACGATTACGGTGGACCCACTCAATCATGAAAAATCACGATTTCATTGGTGGTCCTCTTCATTCTGTGGATCCATGGATCCCCGTAGGTTGTGGAGATTACTGTACTTCATAGTATGGTCTCTGGCATCTTGAATAGAGACGCGCTTTACTGTAGTTACTCATCCCTTTCTCAGGGGGTGCTCTACATTATATATCTAGTACATAAGTACTGGCTGTAAAAATATTATTACCCTATCCCTATTAGGTAAACAATTGGAACCGAAGACCGGAATCTACGAGCTTACAAAAAGATTCGAAGATCAGACTATATATCGGTACTCATCTACTAATAATAAATTCTCAATTCAAATATCTGGGCCAAACAGACCCCTACTAGATAAAAATAAGATAAGAATATAGCAAGAGCAACCCACCTAAAGCGCCATATTGGCGCAAGTAAACGCAGGCGTAACACTGCCGGAGTAATCGGCAATGATAGCTTCAACAGCGGCATAGAGCCCCGGACCGAGAATAAACAGTCCACAAAGGAGAATGAAAACATTCACCAGGCTCATTACCGTCTTCCCGAAACCAGAGAACAACTTCCCCTTGTTGAGCTGCCAGTATGCAACGGCAAAGAAGATGAATCCGAAAAAGGAATCGAAAGCTGCACTCAGCAAAGAAAGGAAGTCGCCCATGCTTGGGATCACCTCTGAGAAGACGAAGGCCAGGAGCCAGATACCGACCATTACGATAACCCAGACGCCCCAACCCATGACCGTGTTGCTGTGCGCATGCTTCGAGTCTCCCATCGTCCGAGTGTAGATGAGCTTCGCCGTGACGTTGGCGTAAATAACGCCGATGATAAGCGTTGGGACGATCACGAATCCGAACGAAGCCTTCTTGTATGCGACGACACCCAGACTACCGAATGCGGGGGCGGTTGCGTATTGACCGAGGTAGCGGAAGCCGATGGCTGGAGGCACGGTGAAGAGGATGGCGGAGATTGCAGCGAGCACGGCGAGGGCCTTGGGGAAATCTTGAGGTCTTTCCATCTCCGCGATAAAGGTGGGGAAGAGGATTTGGGGAACCCAGAGGAAGGTGATGTTCAGCACTGCATTCATGCATGTCACCCATGTCGTACCTGGAAGAGGGAATGCGTATGTCTTCACGGGTCCTGCAGTCGGGTAGTTACCGCTGTATCCATAGAGGGGGGCCTTTTCGATGCCCGCGAACACTAGGAAGAGGAGGATAGCGGTTCCCATGCATGCCGCTGTGAGAAATTAGTAAAGGAACTTTAGGTGGTGATTTGATCTCCGGGAATATCACATACAAGAAAACATTGACATGGAACTGACGTGGTTCAGCGTGCGCGGCAGGGACATCGTGATACCCATAATGGTCGTGATCACGGAGAAGACAGCCGTGCACAGGCGGTGGTCTGAGAGTGTATTCAGCACCTTTGCACCGGTCAGAACGTGGAAGCCGATCAGAAGGATGTTATTCGCCAGAAGCATGAACGCCGAGAAGACATAGGCTGCACGGCTCTTTCCGAAAGCGTAGTAACCGAAATCACCTGTAGTCAACAATCGAGTCAGCCAGCATCCAGAAAAAAGAAAACGCAACTTGGAATGAGGAGTGACGCACAGATATCCTTGATCTGTGGGTACTTCATGATGAACTTGTGCATGGTGATGGAAGTAATCCAGAACAGAACACCGGAGAGGACCATGGTGATGATGCCGGGAACCCAGCCCAGGACCCTGTGTATTCAGTCTCGTCAGTCTGATTCGAATCAATTTCATCCCCTCACTTGGGAAGGGGCACTCACGAGAGAGACCACGACTGAGCCATGATGGCCAGACAAACCTGATCGCCCGCAAGCAGGATAGCCGTCTTCTGCCAGGACATCGTCCTCAGCTTGATGTCATGCTCATGATCTAGCCACACCGTCAGCTATCAAATCCGCAAAATTTCATCTGCGGGGGATCTCACCTTCAGCAACGAGTGCCGTAATCATCTCCAGCGAATCATCCTCACTATCAGTCGTCTGATACTCCGGTTGTTTCTTCTCTTGATACCCGACTTGCGCCATGGTGATAAAAAGCGGGGTCACGCCGTCGAAAAGCGAAGCAAAGGCTATCCAGTTTAGCCAGGAATGCTGCGAGAAGAAGAGAAGAAGAAAAACCCTACCTGCGCGAGTTAACGCTGCGAGCTTATCGTAGACTGTCTCCATCGGGACTAGCTTCGATGCTGACGCGGTGCTCTGTGGGAAATGGCGCCATCATAAGGTTGCGATCGTTATATTTCACGAGGGTCATTGTGGGCGATGGGCCACGGCTAGGCTTCTGTTTGTCCTGCGTATGCCTGAGAGACACTGTCGGTTGGACCGAGGGTGCCTGGTTTCTGGAGTCTGGGAGGGAGGGTAAGCTGGACCCGAAACGGCAGGTCCCTGGCAATTGCACCGAGGGCAACTCAATTCAGGTGACCGCAGGATTGCCGATACATTTAGCCTATAGTTGATTTGTACAACTAGCAAGTAGGAGGACGTTCTGCATGCTGCATACTCTACAAGATCAGGAATGAAGAATAAAAAGGTAGACATTGTTTCGGCAAGACCAGCAATTAATTAGTATACACCAGATCGAGAGTAAGGCTCAACTCAACCCAAGACGACGGAGCAACGGACAGTACGGTGTACAGTTCATAATAATAATAATAATAATAATACATATGGGCCAGCTGCTGGCGGGAGAAAAATCAGTGGAAATATCGTCAATCAGCTGAGAAGATGCAGCAGCAAGCAGCTCAGCGACCATGGGAAAGAGAATGTCAATGTGCAATTAAAAAGGGCGTCAGCAGCGGCCAGAAATGAAAGGATGTCTAGCAACGCCTGGATCATCAAAGATGCTCGGATGCGATAGGTATGTCGAAAAAGGGACAAGATGCGTCAGGGCGAAAGTCATTATGCACTAGGTTGCGGTGGGGTCATCATTCTCATGTCGAGGTGGAGGGACGCTTGGTGTCGGCATCTCCAACTTCGGCGTCATCCGCGTGAGATGAAGTAGATGACGGTTCATGGACGGCGCGTTCGGGCTGGGTTGGTTGCTCTGCGTGAGCAGAAGTAGACGAAGGCTCATGGACAACAGGTTCGAACTGTGTTGTTTGCTCCGCCGTTTCCTCGGTCTTCTGCTCGGTCCGCTCTGGTTCCTCTGGGGTGACTTCGACCTCCACATCGGCATTGGCTTCTTCGTAGACACTGATGTCAGAATCAACAGAGCCGCGCCGTTGCTGGGCCTCGTCCGCAGAGGCATCATCGTGGTGAGGATTCAGGGTGGGCAGCTCAGGCGTTTCGGGCCTAGGCGGGTCCGGTTCAGGGACAGAGAGCGTGGTTGTGGGAATCGGTGCCGTAGGTTGAGTCGTCTCATCAGCAATGCCATCCTTGCTATGCGGCCTCATGGTTACGTCCACCGGGACAGGAATATCCTGGTCCTCGAAATCCGATAAACCGCTCGCAACGATGCTCGGCATGCCGTTCTGCGCTCCATTCTCGGGATCGACGGGTTTCATGGCGAGGGGGATAATACCACCCGCAATTCGAGACCAGAACATGCGCTCGCGCAGCCGGACCGTCTCTTCCCACACTTCCTTCTCCTCGTCGGCATCACCGGCGCGAATGTGTCCGTCAAGGATAAGACGCAGATAGCCGGTAAACTCGCAGCACGAGCGGATTCGTTCCAAGCACTGGATACACAGCGAATATCGCTGAGCTGTTTCACTTTCGGACGTACGGAATCTATGCGTGCGTTCGTTGTGATCTCCGGGCCTGCGTTCACCACAGACAGAGCAAGGAAACTCGTACTTCTTGGTCGATAATGGCATCGGCTCCACGACAAGTGTACCCTCGCAGATCCCACTCAGAACAGTACGTCGAGTGAGCCAGGAGATCCCTGGAGACAGATCAAGTCGCAATGTAGGCTCAATGTCCTCCATAAGCACGCGCTTGTAGAAACGCGTATCCTTCAATGGGATATGCGAACCGGTTTGTGAAGACATGCTGCCATTAGGGGAGTGAGCCATGCCCTTGGTTGGTGATGAAGTGACGGAATTAGATCCGCCCGTCGCGAAGCTTGCCAAGCTCATCACATTCAAGCCTGCATATGACCCACTACCCGCGCGGCTGGGGGGCTTGGAGGTACGGGAGAGAACCAGTAAGTCCCGGAAATCATCGTATGCCGGCAAATCGGCACGGCAAACCATGCGGATCATTTCTGGGAAATTGCACGATGGTCCAGGGGTCAGTTCGTTCGGTTTAAAGGGGGTGGGGACGCAGTTCTCCATCTCAGGGTCTTGCTTGGCAAAGCCCTGCGTGTGTGGAGCTCCTGCTGGAGACGGAGGAGCTGTCGAAGCGTTGGTGCGGCTGTCCAGATCATCCTTGGAGAGGTGCATCCCTTGCATGACGGATTTGAGCTCCGCTAGCTGGTCCTGATGCGATGCGAGGAGAGACTCGGTGTCTTTGATCTGTGAGCGCAATTGCTCGTTCTTCTTCTCCACAGCCTCCCGCTCAATCTTCGCCGCAGCAACCATCTAAGACCAGTTAATAAAAAAGACCTCAACGACAAAGCACCGGAATAGTTGTGGTGGGTGCGATAGTGTACCTTGTTGGCTTCCTCGAAGAGATCGGCGGTTAGGGTCTCGAGCTCTTGCTCAATGGATTTCTTCCCCTTCTCGGCCACTGCACGTTGGGCTTTCTCCTCCGCGAGCGCCGCCTTCAATTGTAGGATTTCGCGGTCTGAATCGGCCTTTTTGATGTAGACCTTTTGATCGATGTCGCGGCGGTATTTTTCGTTTTGGAATTCCAGCGCGGTGATTTTGCCCTGGGCAACCTCCAATTCCTGGCGCGTGGCAACCAGGTTATCGTCCAATGTCGTTTGGTTGTTGATCGCCTGGATCAGTTTCACACTTAACGCGGCAACCTCATTGCTCAGGTCGGGGTGGTGAGAAGATGACGTCGATTCTGAGACCTCTGCGCTCGACGACAAACGTGGGTCCTGCAAGGTGTTGAAATTGTTTTCTTCGAACTTGGAAAGGGAGCGGTCGGAGTCGTGGGAAGTAACTTGGGTAAGATCGGTGGTCGACTTGGCTTTGGTAACGGTCTTGTCGGGGACTAACGCTCCCAAGGCTCGGTGCTCGGAAGACAGCGACCGCTTGTGAGAGTGTCGCGGAATCATGGTGGACGGCGGCATCAGGCTGTGGTGGTATGTTTGGAAGGCAATTAAACTGCCCGGCATGTTAGATAGTTGTCCGCGCTGTGCTGGTTTCTGCTTTCTTGCTCTGCTCCAGGACTCGGGACTTACTCGGCCATGATGAGTGACGTAGACGGCGCCAAAGGAATGTGAGGCGCGGATTGCGGGTTTTCCTCAACCACTGCCAGCAGTGAACCCCTGGTATCACCATTCACGGCCGAGGCGAAAGGGGTCACCGAAAGCCATCCACTATAAGCACAGGACTGGGCGTTTAACGGACCCCCGCTAGCGTTCGGACCGGAGACGAGTGAACCGGAAGGCCGGGGTTGGATGGGAATGACCGGTAGCCGGAGGGGGGGGCAATTGAAAGGACAGGCCAGAAGGATCGTATACAGCGAAGAATCAATGGACTCGGGTGGGAGACAGCCACCGGTAGAGTGCAGTCGAGAAGTTCCCCCGAGGGGGGTTGCAGGTAGGCGAAGCGCTGGTGCTTAGTCACGCTATCACACCGGAAGCAGGTGATCTGCCCGGCAGAACGTGGACAGTGACGAATCCAATCGCGCTGCACGGAGTTGGTTTGAGCGGATGAATCACCCGATCGATCGAGGCTATCGTGAGCTGTTCAGGTCCCGATGACACCTCAGATCTGTCAGGCATATATTCATATCCTCATCGGCTCGAAATTTTCGAAGTCTAATGGTTTGGCCACCGCGCCCCAACCGTGCAATGCGGAAAGTTCTGCCTGATCGAACTATGCCCGTCGTAGCCAAATAGTCGCGAACTAAGCCGGATCTCGCAAGCCGATCGACGCGCATTCGCGTATTTGGGACGATCTGACTTTTCTAGGGCCCGTGAAACTAGTGGCGATGTCGCTTCGGCTTTGCCTGTGTCTTAAGAGGCGCAGCAGTTGCCCCTTTGCCTCCGCGACCTGTAGCGCGTCGGCTTGGAGCGAAATTATCCGAAAATTTGGTTATGCGACGGCCAATCCAGTGCACCATATTCGATACTACACTACTAGTGTAGTACCTAAGTAGTTGGGTGATGGACCAGATGCCTAATTTTCAGACTGCCCAAGCGGAGATTTAATTTATTGCCGACCTTATAGTGGCAGTTGGGGCAAAACAATACTGATTGTACCACGTGTGACAGCGACTGCTGCTCAGCCATGCACACTCTAAGCGCCCAGTCCATTCCATGAGTGTCCACATCCCACAACACTTGACTACCTTTAGATTGGTAACGAATACCGATCATAACACTTGATACAAGTCTATGAGGTATTATCGAACACTATTGTAAAGGCGGACGTCAGGTTGAAAGTAAAGATGCAGTTTATTGCACCAGTCAATACAGAAAAAGACCCAAATATGTATCTCCATCTCAAACCTCCAAGGTAACCCAGAGCCCATCGGGTCATATATAGTTTACACAGATAAATGAGAGACAGCAATGAAGCAAAATAGAGACCCTAGTCCTAATGTTCAAGTGATTGAATTCCCATTTCTCACATGCGATCCTCTTTACTTCCGCGTGGCTTCCCCGCGTGGCAGCCTCAGGCGGAAGAAGTGGGGTCACTCAATAATCTTCGCCGTCTCCGAATCCAACCTCGCGACCAAACACCCCGGCCAATAAACCCTTTCTGACATCATGGCGGACGCAGAGCTGGAGGAGGTGGGATTCCAATGAACCTGCTTAACCCAGGGCCCATACTGACTGAACCAGATCAGGCGAGCTCGCCTCGCACAGCTGCAACAGCAGGGTGGTGGCCCACGCGGCGGCCCTAGCCAGGAAGGCGGCCAGGAAGAGCAGAGAAAGTGAGTTTTAACTACAGCAGGATGATAATTGAATCTTTTAACTGACAATACTTTTCCCAGGCAAGCTGAATGTGAGTAGCCACACCCCCACCTCCGCGCACGAGACCGCCCGCAACGGCCTTGAGCTTTTTGCGACTCCATACCCAATCTACGAGCTCCGAAGACGCTAACACGACATTTCCACCAGCCGACCGTCGCGCCGCAATCATCAGCCAGATCCTTGATCCCGCCGCCGCAGACCGACTCGGCCGCATCCGCATGGTCAAGGAGTCGCGCGCAACGGACATCGAAAACCGCCTCATCATGCTGGCCCAGACTGGTCAACTCCGACAGAAGGTTACCGAGGAGCAATTGAAGGAGCTCCTGAATGCTGTTGCAGAGAACCAGCGCAAGGAGGAGGAGGAGCAGAAGATTGTGATTACCCGACGCAAAGGCGGTTGGGATGATGACGATGATCTGCTTGATCTTTAAAAATGAATAAATGCCCCGTCTCGTTAGCATTGCGATTGGCTTATTAAAGCCGCTTCTTTAATGAGGGATCTTTTCGTTTACCTCCAAATTTTTGCTTGCTTTGGGATGTTTCGTTCAGTGCCCTCTATCTTGAAGGCTTCCTAGTAGAAGTTTTGCGACACATTTGCTTTCGCTCACAAAATAGTATTGACAGAAACCAGTATAGTACATATCTCCTATAGGAGGAAAGGATAAGAGCTAAGCCTTGTATCTCACAAGCATCAAAGCCCCTCAACCCATCATTTGCTGCTGCTTCTCCTTCTCTTTCTGCTCCTTCTGCTGCCTCCGAATCATCTTCCGAATCTCCCTAAGATCAGGTGGACGCTCAATATTCAATTCGGCCCGCAGCTCATCAACATCCTTCTCTAAAACCTCCTCCCAATAAACGTTAATCAACTCCTTACTCCCCAACCCACTCCTCACAGCCCAAGGCAAATGCAACGATAAAAACCGCTCCTTCTCCGCCGGCTTCATCCGCACAAACGCAAACAGACTCAGCCCCGTCATAGGCAAGAGCGTATTCAAGAACTCCAGCGCCTTCAATGCCAATTCGCCTTCAACGAAGATCGGCAGTCCCGTCACAGCATGGTAGAAGTCGTGGCACTCGCGGTACCGTTGCATGACGTAGGCGCACTCCTCGTCGTCGATGTATTGGACGTTATCTCTGGTGTCGGGAGAGACGCCTTCACGATCGAGCCATGCGGCGTAGGTGCGGCCGACGGAGTTCTCGGGGAGAGTGCGGAGATGGGCCATGCTGAGGGTTTGGGAGGTGATGCGGGGGCGATCGCGGAGGATGCGCCGGCCTGTTGGGTCGGAGAGCATGGCGTTGCGGAGCCGGTAAATGAAGTATGGGGTTGCGGTTGCTTCGCCGAGGGCTGCAATTAGGTCTAGGAGCTTTGTGTTAGCCTAGGTGATCTGATCTGGAAAAGCACCCAGATGGCGGAGGCCGGGCGCCTAGCCCCAACGTGGACAAGGGCATATGGACTGAAGATTCCGAGCAGAATGCATACCTGCTCTTCGGGGATTGACGAGAGAGCCCAACGCGGAGCCCACAGCGAGAGCGCCGCGCTCAATAGTCGTCAGTGGAACATGGCCGGGATAATTTGGCTTGGGGCGGTTGAGGACGGAGAATGGTCGTAGAGCACCAGAGGTGGAAGGAGAAGTAAGAGACCGAAGCCCCTGAGCTCCGCGCCTCCCGAGCAGCGACATGATGCCAGCAAGTCCCCGAGTTGCGGAGGTTGGAAGTTGCGTTGAATCGTACGACGGGAAGATCGCAGCCGCGCGCTGGCCACCGCCGGCGCGATAAGCATGTTATCGCCTGAATGCCCCCAGTTGCCGCACTGCAATTGTTGCAGATCCCGTGAGGAACCCTCTTTTTGGCCAGCATTAGTCTCGCTGGTCTCCGCAATTGAAGGTGCTGGCTGCTGCACTTCTCTCAACACTCTTGGATACACGGTGAGCCAGCGAGAATCCTGCTACTACTCCACAAACATACACTGACAGCCGCAGCCAGAGAAAATCACCAGCACTGGCCATGAGTTCAGACTGGAGCCCCGGCGAAGTCCATGAGACTTTCACTGAATGGGCCCTTGCCCAAGGCGTCATCGCCAATAAAGTCAGACCAGCGCGATTCCCAGGTCGAGGTCTGGGCATGATAGCCACCGAGAAAATCGAGGTATGAAGACCTAAAGTACCACACCCTCGAAAATATACCAACCAACCATGTCTAGGCGGGCGAATTCGTCGTCAAAATCCCAACAACATTAATTCTGACCAGGGAGAAAATCCCATCATCTTTTCGCTCTCAATTCCGTGAAGACACCAGAGTACAAGCCATCATGGCCGCATACCTAACCTGCGCCAGCGCCGAGGAACTAGCACCCTACGACCTCTGGCGCAAGACATGGCCGACTCGCCAGTGTTTCGAGGACAGCCTACCAATGCTGTGGCCTCGCTCACTAGGTGGCCTCACCTGGCCAGATACCGACCCGAACGACTCTCCATCAAAAATGAACTATCTCCCGCCTTGTATCTCGGGGACTTGGAACCAGGTGAAGCAAGGGCGTGCATTGAAGCAGTATGAAAGTGACCACCAGAATTTGGTCAAGCAGCAGGAAAAGCGAATCAGGACCGCGTGGGAGGATGTTAAAGCTGCTATCCCGGACATCGATTGGAAGGGGTTCTCATACCATTGGCTCATCTTGAATACTCGGAGTTTCTATTGGGTTGCGCCGGACCAGGAGGCTCCTGAGGATAGGAATGATGCGATGGCATTGCTGCCGTTTGCTGATTATTTCAATCATTCGGATATTGAGGTGCGTTTTCTCTTCCTTCCTTCGCTAGGGTGATGTTTCACTGTTGCAGTGTAAGTGACTTAACCTCTCTGACTGATGTTCTGTAGTGTGATGTCAAGTTTGACGAAAGTCAGTATACCCTCAGTGCCACCGAGAATTACGAATCGGGAGATGAGGTATACATGAATTATGGCAGCCACCCGAACGACTTCCTGCTAACCGAATGTAAGCACAAACGCCAAATACATATTCTTTCGACTTCCTCTAAACTCTTCCTTACTAGATGGTTTCTTCCTGGACAAACACGACTCAGATTGTATCTACCTCGACGATATTATCTTCCGCGATCTCGCCAGCCCAGAAAAGCAAGAAGAGCTTTGGCTAAACCAATACTACGGGTAAGACAGTTCAATGCTTATACATCGGCAAGAATTGCCAGACACATGCTCATTTGGCTAATGTACAATATAGTGATTACTCGGTAACCTCGGATGGGGTATGTTACAGAACCGAGGTGGCTGCCTGCCTAGTGTACATGGAAGAGGAGCAGTGGAGGAACCACGTTCTGGAGGGTTCAGAGGAGGGCTTCGACGAGAAGAAGACCAACATAATCATCCAGGGTTGGCTGAAGGCCTACCTCTCGGAGGCAGAGGTCACAGTGAGTGCACTGCACACAGCCATGAAGTCGGGTGCTGTGCCCGAAGCGCACCACGGAAAGGCAGAAGCCTTGATTCGACGATGGGCGCAGATTCACCGTGTCCTCGAGGGTGCATTGAGCGCGACCTCTTTGTCAGATTAATTCAATGACTTATGCACCAATTCGCATCGTAAAAATGGCATCAGGCGGAGGTGGTAGGGCAGGAAAGACTCCGCTCTAAACATATTCGTCCTCAATTCCCAATTCATCATTTTCCACTTCCTCGTGCTTGCCAGTCAAGTAGATTCCCTCGTCATCACCAGTATCAATCGGAATTTGAGCGTCTTCCGCTCGCCTGTTGATGGTCTTCTTGGAATGGACCAAATGCTTGATCATGTAGTTCATCGTACATGTGATGCCAACCTCTTGGCCACGGCGAACAATATAGCCATTGAAGAACTCCACTTCCGTTGATTTCCGAAGTCTCACGTCGTGAACCATCGGGCTGGTATTTCCTGAATTTCGATGAAGCGTCTGGGTAACTAGACGGAGGAGACGATTCGCCGAGAATCGATCGTCAATCCCGGGAACTCCTTGCAACTCCGGCAGAGCGGTTATTACGCTCGATATTTCGAAGAGAAGCAATCGCATGATGCGCGTGGAACTGTACGAGTGAAGCAATTCGCCATTCTTGCAATCGTTGATTGCAGTCAACGGGTCGATGACGCATCTGACGGCGAGTTTCTCAAGCTGTGACTGGAGCACGTCTGTGGTTGTACTGGCCGTGGCGACCAAGGGCGGGGTGAGGGTGAAAAGGCGGGTAAGGTATTTCATTGTCGGTGGCCAATTGGTGTCTTCTTCTGCGGGAATCTTGGAAATTGCCTGGGTGGCTGCAGGTGCAAGACTAATTGCTCCGGTCTGGAGAAACTTGACTGCATAGGCGTCTTTCTTGTCCATGCGGTGGCTGAGAACAGCTTGCATGTAGTGTGGATGCCATCCTCGGTCATTGTAGAGAAGTTCATTGACTCTTTCAACAACGCCCAAGCCGTTTTGAAGGAATAGGATTGTTGTATCTGGTGTGATGCGGTGGAACAAGGCGCGCAAACCGATAAAGGCGAATTGTGACTTGCAAGTGACAATCAAGCAGTCGATGGGTTCTCGAGTCAACTCGGGCTCAGCCATGTCCTCCTCGGCGATCTTGGTACCGTCCTCGTAATACTTTTGGCCATACAAAGGTGGCATCTGATACCACTTGCCACTCTTATTGTTAGGGCCAGTATTTACTTCGATGTCGAACCCCTTCTGAATATCATCCAAACCATCGTAGGTGATAGCGATGCGTTTTTTCCGTTGCATGAATGCTTCGTACATTCCCCAGTTATGCAGAAGTAGGCTGACTGGTGGCGGAGAGTCTCGTGTCCTAAGCGCGTGTGCAATGAATACGCCCATGTTTCCAGAACCGAGGATATGTACCCTGCCTGAGAATTTGGGCTTGGACTTTGTAGGCGTCTTCTTCCTCGACTCCTCCGATGGCGATGTTGATTGATATCTGGCCATGATATGAGCCAATCCTGGCCTCCTAGTCCGGCAGCTTATGTCGAACAGCCCGCTCCGCCATGGCGGGCTCGACCGAAGTGTTCGTAACACTTTGGCGGAGTTTTCGGGGGAGAGAAAAGTCCCCCGTAATATTGTGGACGAGAGTTTGGAGTGCGGTCGATCGGGACGGATCAGAGCTCGGAGAAGCCGGGAATCGAAAGAGTGTTCAAAATTCGTCCTCGGGGTCGAGAGCGACAGCTCAGCGCCCAAAAATTATTTATTGTCGAAGCGAATACTGTCGGATATGCGACGCGATGCGCTCGCGAATAATTGCGGCCGGTCTCCACCGCCCTCCGCGGCCGCCCCAGTTGGACCGGACCTAAATTTTTCGATCGCACTTTCACCACCTCACATCACCATGGACGTACCGGATCTGATGCCGCTGCTGGAGCAGCTTGATGATAATGTGGATGACCTTGAGGAGGTTCTTCAGCCCATTTTGGGTCAGTCTCTGGCAAAAGTTTCCAAGAATTTGCCTGTTATGGACAAGGCCAAGATCCACGTCTTGGCCACCTACACTCTTGAGTCTCTCATTTTCTGTGAGTCTAAACTACCCTATTCAATACGGAACATTTACTAACATCTCATCAGCATATCTCCGTCTCAAGGGTGTCGATGCGAAACAGCACCCTGTGTTCCGGGAATTGACGCGCGTGCGACAATACTTCGAGAAGATCAAAGAAATGGAGAAAGGACCTGAAGAGCGCCCCATGACTTTGGACAAAGCAGCCGCAGGACGATTTATCAAGGCTGGCCTTGTAAGCACCGACCCCGTAATGACTTACATGTTCTAACCCTGACTAATTCTTATTTAGGCTGGCAATGACAAGATCGATCTGGAGCGGGCCGAGAGGGAAGCCAAGGAGAGAGCTCGCGCCGAGGTGAAGGCCGCTATTCTGGCCAGGAAGGCAAAGGCCGCTGCGCAGGCTACTGCCGATACCTCCAGCGCCGCTCCCTCCTCTGCCCCAGACACCGCCAACTCCGACGATGACAGCGACGAAGAGATGCAAGATAAGGCTGAAGCTGGTAGTGAGAGCGGAAGCAAGGCCAGCACGCCCACTTCTAATAGCAAGAAGCTCAAGAAGCTCAAGAAGGAGACAGGAATCAGCGGCAGAAAGGCGGCGAATAGAGCAGCGAAGCAGGAACGACGACAGAAGAAGGAGGATGCTCGAAAGGCCCGAGGAGCCAAATAGACATCTCGGTCTATCTGTCTGTCGACTGCCCACCTTCAGAGTACCCGACCTTACTCCCCGGAAGGTATTCGCAAATGCCTTGCGGCGGTCTTAGCTATTGTCCTTTGTGCCGCCATACTTGATACTCCACGACCACGAGATACCCAGCCATTAAGCACTATCGGAGTTTTTACTTTACCATGGAATACAAAAGAAAATATGAAGTTTTATATCTATTCTGGCTATACTTTTTAAGCGAGCATGTACCTCTTGTTTGCTTCTACAACTCTTTCGATGGAAACTCTGGCTAGACGGGGCATGTGAGACTTAAGTCTTTGAGTATAAGCCATATCATAGAATGGAACATCAGCACCTCGCCCACTACATTAATGTACTCTCTAGGAAACAGAGCATAGTGGTCTCACGATATTGGAACGCACCCAATTCAGGCACATTCCTAATTCTGCCTTGGTGCCTGAGCCCCTGCAGTCCGCTACACGTGACGGATAACTGACCAACCATCGTGCGCACAATCGCATCGCCACTGACTCAGCCTCTAGCAGCTTCGATTTGATTTGCTCCACTCTCGGCTTTGAACTACTTCTCCGATATCTCTTTTCCCTTCTTTTCTCGCCCAACAAACACATACACATCATCAAGATGCCTCGTCAACAACGCCGTGCCGCTCCCACCCCTGCGCGCAGCGCTCCCTCGCGCCCTACCGCCGCTCCTCAGGCTGCTCGCCCGGCCGCTGCCCCCCAGCAGCAGCAGGCACCTCACTCGACTGCCGCTCACCAGCCCCAACAACAAGCTCCTCCCATGCAGGCTCCTCCCCAGCAGAGCGCTGGCCCCGGCCTTTTCGGCCAGATGGCTTCCACCGCTGCGTAAGTCGCCAAGTTCACAAAAAAGGCCCTCGGAAAACAAGCCGGGAAAAAGCCGGGGTTTCTCGCTTTTTACCCGTCGCAACACATGTTCAGTTATGCTAACATTCCACTCCAACAGTGGTGTCGCCGTGGGTTCCTCTATCGGCCATGCTATCGGTGGTCTGTTCAGCGGCGGCTCCAGCGCCCCTGCTGAGTCCCAGCAACAGGCTCCCGCCCAGTCCCAGCCCATGGACAACGGCCTGTACCAGAGCAGCGCCACCAACAGCTCCTGGGAGAACCCCGCCTGCGAGACTGATGTCCGCAACTTCCGTCAGTGCATGGATGAGAACCAGGGTAACATGAGCATTTGCGGATGGTACCTGGATCAGCTTGTACGTTTTTCTTTCTCTGCTCCCGAGGTTGAACAGAAACTAATTGTTTCATAGAAAGCCTGCCAGGCTGCTGCCAAGCCTTACTAAGGTGTTTATATTTGGCTAGGGGGTTGAAGTCTCGATAGAAGTTCATGGTTTCTTCCTCAGTTGAATGCATACTTTGACAATGCGACTCTGATATCGCGTTGATGTACTAATACCATCTCTGCTCTGAATCTACATTTACATATCGTACCCGGGGATTCGATCAATCATACCGAGCATCTTGCAAAAAGTACCACTTAGTACGTTTTGAGTGATTGTAGCTAGACAAATTCAATTCGCTTCTGTCATGATAGAATGATACAGTGTCCCGTAGGTTCCATGCGTTATGGTAGTTACATTTAGAATAACAAAGCGATGTTCCTCAGCGCTCAACTGTCCTTGCCATCTTGATCGCGTGGCTGAAAGTTCAACTGTCGATAGCAGTAAGTATCAACACCTCAACAAAAGTGTGTGGACAGATTCATACCTGATTCCCATTGTAGAATTGCTTATCCCTCTCGTCATTCCGCTGATCATGCAGCGTCCGAATGTTAGGACCCGAAGGCCGTAGTCGTGGAGGGTTCTGAGCAGGCGCAGGTCTAGATGGCTCACTTTCTGTCGGCTGTGCACTAGAGCCATATCCAATGAACGAGCCAACAAAGCCAGCCGCCGAACTTGCGACAGAAGTTGCCATATCATATACGGCTGAGATACCTCGTACGGGCAGACTAGACCCAGCGCTGTAGGCTGATGTGAATGATTGAACGGGCACCATAACCAAGGTTGCTGTGGAGCCAAGACCCAATTCCTCGAGTGTTTGCGACTCTTCCACAACGGAAAGGGTCCGACTCGGGAGTGGAGTTAGGATATGCTTCAGGTTGTAGGGTCTGTTATCTTCGGTCATGTGTTCGTCTAGCCAAGCGCGCACCTCATTGCGGATGGTTTGCTTGGGGGTGAATGTAGATCGAACGGAGCTTCCATCGAATAAACGGACCTGAAGACGATATTCCTTTGGAGGTCCTCGAGGAACAGGAGGCGGTTGCGGTTTTGATTCTTCTTTGGGTTGTTTGCTGGCTTTTGCGGTAGTCGGTTTAGCGGATGCCTTGGGCGTTTGTGCTTGTTGAGCTTTTTCCTCCTTGGGTTTGGGTTTCTTTGTCTTGAGCTCTTTCCGTGGTGAGGGCTCCACAGGCTGTCGGTTGATTGTAATACCACTTCCTGCACTTGGTCCTGTAGTATTGTTCGTAGCTGTAGATCGAGACGGCCCGGGGACACTTTGCGAAGCCTGCTGTGCTGGGGAAGGTGCAGGAGGTGGCGCAGGAGGTGAGCTCGAAGTCGTTACGCCATTGTTCCCAGCAGCACTAGCCGGAGGTTGCTGAGGCGCAGGAGGTGCATATTTGCCCTCCAAAGCTGTCTTCAACCGTTCCAAGAAGTCGGTCTTGGAAATGTCTGGCGCAATGAATTCCTGTAAAGTGCCATTCCTGAACGCTATCAGCTTCACGTTCAGGAGAATTCAGAAGACAGAGACTACATACTTGATAACGACAACCGTAGGAAATTTCGGGATCGGGCAGAAAGAAGTCAAGAACGCGGCTTCCTGACTCCCTGAACTGAGGCGCAATGAAACAGCTTTCTCTTGGAGCGCTTGTGTAATCTGTTCACGCAATTAGCTATCCAGTTGCGACAGCCAAGCAGAGTAAGATGAGGGCAACATACATCATGGTCCGCAAAGTACTCCTCTTCCCATGTCTTGCTGAGCTCGGCATCATCTGTACGTGGATTAGCCAGGTTGCCATCTCGCGATGCGGGGAGATAACTAACCTCGAACGAAACAAACAACCGCCTTCGCCTCTCTCACAGCGAGAGCGATGCCCTCCTGGAGTGTCTGTTGATAAAAGATAGTCATAATCGCATATCTCAGCGAAAAATTCCGTTCCGAATCTCGACTGAGCGTTCAGAAGGTCTCGGGGGTTGTACAAAGGGAACTGCGGAGAAACAGGCTCGGGGAAGCCGGCGCGCGACCGCCTACAGACGATCCGCTCCGAAATCATCCCAAATGTTCAAGCCGCTCGCTCTCTCTTCTCCGGCCAACAGTCGACCAAACTCGCGGTGCCACTTCACATATACCCCCAAGTCGCCATGAGGCAGTTCTTCTCAGCTTTGCGGAGAACTTCTCCCTCCGCCTGGGCATTGCCACCCCGAGTCCGCAATCCCAACTCGAATGTCGCACGACTAAAGGATTCGATCTGCTCTAGATGTCGCCTGCAGCAAAGGCGCCAATTTACGCAATCCCGGCAATTCACCGATAGTCTTTCGGTAGTGGATCATCCGGCCAAACTGGTTCGGGTGAATCAGAAGCATGGTCCCGGTCTGATCATTCTTGGTAGGTCCTGAATTCGCGATTCTCGCATCCATCCCACGCAGAAACACTCACTAACATGTACACCCTAGCTCTAATTCCAATTATCTCATTCGGACTGGGCTGCTGGCAGGTGCAGCGACTGGACTGGAAAACAAAGCTCATTGCGAAATTCGAGGACCGCCTCGTTCGACCCCCACTGCCACTTCCCCCGCGAGTTGACCCTGATGCTATTTCCGAGTTCGACTACCGCCGCGTTTACGCTACCGGAGTCTATGATCATGATAAGGAGATGCTGGTTGGTCCTCGTATGCGCGAAGGTGAGGACGGCTTCATTGTGGTTACGCCTCTCGTGCGTGGTGATGGCCAGAGTACTGTGCTCGTGAACCGGGGGTGGATTTCTAAGAAGCAGATGGCTCAAAAGGACCGGAAAGAAGGACTGCCAAAGGGCGAGATTACTGTGGAGGGGCTTCTACGTGAGCCTTGGAAGAAGAATACGTTTACGCCGGAAAATAAGCCTGCGGAAGGAAAGTTCTATTTCCCAGATATTGCGCAGATGGCAGAATTGGCTGGCAGTCAGCCGGTGTGGATTGAGGAGACTATGAGTAAGGATATCTGTGAATCGCTGCGATATGCGCCAGTGCTAATTTTCTCCTAGCGCCTGATCTGATCGAGTTCATGAACCGCGAGGCGAAGGGTATACCCATTGGTCGTGCGCCTGAGGTCAACCTGCGGAACAATCATGCTCAATACATCTTCACATGGTATGTCAAGTGCAATGCTCGCCTTGGAGACGGTACGTCTGTCACCATTTGCAGAACATGTTGCTAATGCCCTGCAGGTTCGGTCTGTCTTTTGCCACTTCTGTCATGATGTGGATGCTCGTGCGAAAGAAGCCAAACGAGGCTCTGCGCCGAGTTCGCCAGAACCGTAACTGGTGAATCGCTTCACTCTTCTCATTTACTCATGGGTTGTCTCTGGCGTCGGGGTCTTTATTCGGTTGTATTTTAGTGCTGGGTCGAGGCAATCACGGTGGCATAGCTAGACGCATATCTTGCTGCAGCTCTTTAGGCAAATGCTTTTGAGCCAACGAGAATATCGTCGTCGAATTGTTAACAAGTCGTTGTCTGCATGCATGAGTCAGCAAATGATTCAAAGGGGTGTATATAGATCTAAAAAACTGACCTCCTCATTAATGTTGCGACGTCGCTTTCATCAATGGTCTTCCGCCCCGCATGTTTCGAATATGCAGCCAGATCCTGACTGGCTTGTTCAAAAAACCACGATGAGGCTTGCTCAATTGCTTCGAGAGCAGCCTTGTTGATTTTCGTCTTCGATCCAGGCTTCGTGCGGGCAAAGCGGGTGGCCAACTTCTTGACGATTCCGGTGGGTAGATTGGGAATTGGAATTCCATGTCGGGAGATTTTCTTCTGCTTGCCTTTTGCAGGTGGTCCTTCGTCACGCAGGCCGCCTCCGACAATGCCCGGGCTTTCGCTCGGAGATGCGGCGGGTGGGAAATGAAGGCCGAAGCCAAAGCCACCGCCAGCGTCGTCATTGCCTCCTAATGAGGGCGATACGGGAGCTGGCTGGATATCTCCCGCGTCCAATTCAAAACCATCCGTATCACCCAGTGTATCTCCAATGTCGTCGTCGGCCGGCATCGCATTTGGAGATGGGAAGTTCATGTCGATGTGGAATCGGCCCAGGTCTGCCGTTTCTCCGCTGTTTGGTTATTAGCATTCAATGTACCATAGTCATTCAACTTGAGCCGTTTTGTTGAAACATACCCTCGATCAAAATCGCCTCCACTGACCATAGTATCGTCCGCAGCGTCCTCTTCACCCACGATGCCAGTCTGATCCCCATCTTCGTCATCACTTTCCAACTGGGTCTCTCCAAAAACATCACTAGGTCTGAAATTGCGACTCATGATCGACAATCGCTCTTGGTCTCGAATGCTGACATCTCGAGGATATTCAACAGAACGGTACGTGATATCGTCATCGTCGAATGGAAGGGACAGCCGTGGTGGAGTTCTAGCAGAACTTCCCTCATCACTACCCTCCACCTCCTGAAGAGGTAGGGTGAGCTCCGGCGGTTCAGTTTCCGACTCCTCATCCAGCTCCTCGATCTCATCTTTCGGCGTCGGTGGGGGCTTCATCTCTTCTTGCGGTGAAGATTGAATTGGTTGTGTTACCGGAGCCAAGGCTAATACCAACAGTCAGCTTCCTTACGTACGGAATTAATTTCATGCGGTTCATCTCGTACCTCTACCAAGGTTCCTCAAAATATCAAACGTCGTTTCGCGCTGGACTCTCCCACTCCGTCGCCGGTCGCGACCAGGCGTATTAGCGGCTCTTTGCTGACGAGCATGAAGGCCGTATGGCGTAGACGGCGCTATGGATTGGCGAGCACGAGGCGTGTATCGAGAAGCTGAACGCTGCCCAGACGGAGTCGTCGCGGTAACAAGACGGCGGGGTGTGAGGGGATATCGCGTATGACTCGGAAGGCGTTGGAGCTTTTTGTAGAGTTCAGAAAATCTATTCAAGTCGCGACGGATCAATTATTTTAACTCACCCCCGTTAATGTTGTGTCTCCAGACGGGGTAGCGGCGCCCGAATCGCGCAGCGACCTGCGGCCTCGCGGGTTGGGTGTAGACATCCCGGAGCCGAAAACAAGCGCTCGAGACGAGTGAAGTCCTTTTTAAACCTCTGCGATTGTCGTAAGGGATCGGGGTATTTAAGGAGGTGAACGTGGGGTAGGTAAATAGAGGCGGAAAGATTGAGGAGCTGCAATCCACTGTTATGCAACGGCCACATTTGACGCGCCCGGCCTTCCGTGAGGTATCGCAGCCACCTTACCAAATATGGGATAGCGCATGTTGTTATCGATAAGGATAGCTTAGTCATTCATGCGCGTTTTCGAAGCTTTTTCTTTTTTTTTAGATGTCGACGCTCAACTTGCTCTGTATAGCATTGCGCGGTCCTTTTCGACAGCTCACGACTACGAGGCAATAGCTACACATTTTAAAATGTCCGAGCCAGTTCCCAAGAAGGGGCTTGCCGACAAGCTCGAGAAGAAGCGCAAGAGACAAGCGGACGAATCAACCGAAGACAAGCCCGAAGCAGCCACCGCAGCTCCGGCAGCAGCGCAAGACGGTCCGAGCAAGAAGAAGCGCAAGAACAAGAAGAACAAGAAGAAGACCGAGGATGATGTGACGAACCAGGACCGCAAGGACGGGATCGACCAGTCTATCGGGAGGATGAATGGGTCTCTGCTGGCGGATTACTTTGCTCAGCGCGCAAAGAAGCTCGATAAGGAGCTTTCTGCCGTTGAGTTGAATGATATTTCGGTTCCTGGTATGTCTTTTTGCGGGGGATTCTTATGTTTCGATATTGCACAGGTTGCTGACATACTGCAGAGTCCGCGTTCCTCGATACTACCTCGTTCGAATCGACCCGGTCATTGGAACAGCTTCCTGCTTTTCTCAAGAAATTCAGTCCCAAGGGTGCCGACTTGTCCAAGTCTTCTCAGAAGGAGGGTACTCCCCATACACTAGTGATCTCTGCTGCCGCGCTCAGGGCTGCGGATGTCGTCAGGTGAGGAAGCCTTATATTTATTCCCATTGGAAGGAATGAGGCTGACGATCGGATTTTCAGAGCGCTTCGGTCCTTCCAGAACAAGGAGTCTATCGTTGGAAAATTGTTTGCGAAACACATCAAGTTGGAAGAGGCCAAGCAGTTCCTCCAACGCGCCAGGTATGCTCCCCCTACTATATCCGTGAATCGATCTCAATCTGACACTGTATTTAAGGACGGGGATTGGTGCTGGTACACCACAGAGACTGTCTGATTTGTTGGAGTCCGGTAAGTTTGAATGGATGTACATCTTCAAACGGCAGCATACTCATGCGATAACAGGAACCCTCAAAGTGGACGAACTGGAGCGCATTGTCATTGACGGATCCCACATTGACCAAAAGCAGCGTGGCATCTTCGATATGAAGGAGACACATCTGCCTCTCTTGAAGCTCCTGACTCGGCCAGAGCTTCGGGACCGGTACGGATCGAAGAAGAACAAGATCCAGATCTTGATGTTTTGATTTGACTTGACGGGCGTTGATTAAAATTCTCCTTGTAGTATCTTACGTCACAATATACATGTACCTTTTCCATAACCCTCCATGACACCCATCATTCCAAGGTAGAGTAAAACTGATGTACATTTAAGTTTCAAGCGGGGGCAGTCGCCGTTGCCAAATCGGGCAAGACCGCGATAATGATTGACCGCCTTTTCTGGGACGGCAAAATCTAAATTTCTCTCGTCTCCGCCCAGATTTTTCGATCGGACTTGCGACGCAACCAGTGCTTTCCTTCCCACTGTTTTGATTTTCGGAACTTGGAGATTTTTGGTTTTGGATTTCATTTTACTCCGACACATATATCCGACACCTCTCCCCCATAATATCTCACAATGGGTGACAAGCGCAAGCTCGCCGATGCTCCGGCCGACGCCGTCGTGCCTGAGGGCAAAAAGATGAAGAAGGAGAAGAAAGAAAAGAAGGACAAGAAGGAGAAGAAGGAAAAGAAGGTTGAGGAGGTTGCGCCTGTTGAGACTGAGGTGGAGGGCAAGGACGAGAAGAAGGAGCGCAAGGAGAAGGATCGGAAAGAAAAGAAAGAGCGCAAAGAAAAGAAGGCCAAGAAAGAGGGCAAGACCGAGGAGGTGACAGAAGAGGCCGACAAGATGGATGTTGACGGGGCCACCGAGAAGGAGGAGAAGAAGGAAAAGAAGGAGAAAAAGGACAAGAAGGACAAGAAAGAGAAGAAAGAGAAGAAGGAAAAGAAGGAAAAGAAGGAAAAGAAGGAAAAGAAGGAAAAGTCCAATGACGAGGAGCCCGCTGCTATCGAGGAGACCACCAATGGCTCAGCCGAAGGTGAAGCTCAAGGCGAGGGTGAGGAAGCTGGCAAGAACTCTCGCTTCATCTGCTTCGTCGGTCCGTGCAACAAAGCTCAACAATCAAGCAATCACATTAGCAGCTAACACAACTCAGGCAACCTGCCCTACTCCGCCAACCACGAATCCCTGTCCAAGCATTTCGAGAAGAACCCCCCGGCCTCAATTCGTGTCGCAACCAAGAAAGAAGCCCCCACCAAGTGCCGTGGGTTCGCCTTCATCGAATTCGATAACTACGACCGCATGAAAACCTGTCTGAAACTGTACCACCACTCCAACTTTGACGACGGAAAGTACCCGCCTCGCCGTATCAATGTCGAGCTGACGTGAGTGTTTAACCCGCCTAAAAGAAAAAAAAGATAATCCAATCTGACAATATCATACAGAGCCGGAGGCGGCGGCGGCAAGTCTGACCACCGAAGAGCCAAGATCGCAGCTAAAAACGAGAAGCTGAATGATGAGCGCCAGCGTCAAGCGAAGGAGATCAACAAGGACAAGAAGAAGCACGCTAAGCCCGCGAAGGCCGGTCCTACCGGTGCCAATGCCATGGATGCTGCTCCGGCTGCTCCTGCGGATGACGATGACAAGTACGCCGGAGTGCATCCCAGTCGGAGACCGCGTATGTGGTAAATGACGACGATCTTGGTGGAAAAGCTGGCGTTGTTTGCATTTTAGATTGTTTTGACGACCCGCATAGGACATAATGTTTGTTCTAGATGTACAGTTTTGTTTGTTGATTTGATAGCCTTTGCAAAAGAAGGCTGAACCAAGAACTCATTGATTACGAGGTCCCTCGATACACTAAGTACAATCAATCTTGTACATTACCCTAAGGTTTCCTACCCGTACCCCTATCGTACCAAGCATCCGTATCATAGACCGAAGAATGGTAATACACTATAGCTGATACTGTGCAAGTCTTCAAATCTAGATATGATGCTCAGAAGAAAAAAAAAAAAAAAAAAAAGCCCGTTGAAAAAGAGATAAGATGGCCATAAAAGACAAAACTGCAGACTTTATAGATCAAGGCCATGGAAAACAGGGAGGATATCGCAAGCAGGACATGGAGAGGTATTGGACTGATGTTCCCCGTATAGGAAAGCCTCCGGGCAAAGAAGAAGAGGCGAGGGGTCAAATTCGTACGGCGGATGAAAATCACCACCGGGAAGCAGAGCAAGGTAGAATAAAGCAGGAGAACCTCCAGAGCACCTCCAGATCACATCCCGCCGAATCAACAGAGGTGGATGTCAAGGGGATCCACGAGAGCCTTACCCAGGACGCCGTATTAACTATATATTATTCATTATAGCATACGAGGAGATAAGGAGATAGTCAGGATCCTACAGGATCTTGCATTTGTTCTTTCTCCCGGACTTTGCGGCCGGACGGGGGTTAAGGACAGCACTGCAGCTTGTTAGTACTTTGCCTTTTTCCCCCCATCTGTTTGAGGCATGGGCAGGGGGAGGGAACGCACCGAATAGCTTCGTCAAAGACGCTCTTCAGGTTCCGCTGCGTCAGGGCGGAACATTCCAGGTACTTATGGGCGCGGATTTCCTTGGCCACAGCTAGGGCCTGCTCGTAGGAGACGGGCTCCATCTTGCGGGATCGAAGGGCTTCGGTGGTTGCACGGTCGTCTCGAAGGTCCAGCTTAGTACCGACCAGGATGATGGGGACATTGGGGGCATGGTGCTCGATCTCCGGGAACCACTGGGGGAGTGTTTAGTATAAATATCCACAAGACACGATATTGGGTTGTATGAATCTAGGACGGCAAAGGACGAAGGGCGTAGGCACAGAAGCGGGGAAAGGAGCGGCGTACCTTGGCCTTGACGTTATCGAAGGAGGGTGGGCTGACGATCGAGAAACAGATCAGGAAAACGTCGGTTTGCGGGTAGGAGAGCGGCCTGAGGCGGTCGTAATCTTCTTGTCCGGCGGTATCCCACAGTCCCAGGCTAATCGGCCGGCCATCCACCATGACCGAGGCCGTGTAGTTGTCAAAGCTGCGAGACGCAATTAGTCTGGGATTCGAGGTTTCGTACGGCCGGGAGAGTCCAGTTGTGAGGGCGGAGCGTACACGGTCGGGATATACTCCCCGGGAAAGGCATTTGTTGTGTACGAGATGAGCAGACATGTCTAGAGCGAGTAGTCCCCGGTCAGTCTTTCCATTGCGGCTGGTGGATCGGACGATTGGATTGGAGTTGTAATACTGACTTTGCCCACTGCACCATCACCAGTCACCACGCACTGTTCGTCGGATTAGCCTCTGCTGCGCCTAGGGAAATATCTGCAGGCTCGGGGACTCTCTGTCCCGAGCCCATCTGTTAGGGAGAAATTACCTTGAGCGATTGAGTGGCCGGACCCGTCGCCATGGTTGTGCGAAGTTATGTACACCGAAACAAAAGGGGAGGGTGCGATAAGGGATGGTCCGAATGGCGATAACGAGGGGATTGCCCCGACAGCGATGGGCGAGAGAGCTTCAGGGGATGTGAGATGAGAGAGAAAGAGGGGGTGTTCGGTGGAGAAAGGGAAGATCGCGAAGAAAAGGAGGGGCCGAGCTCACCAGGAGGTTTGGACGGGGTGGAGAAGGGAGGACGAGATGCTGCGGCCCCACTGCTCTCGCTCAGCTACACTACACACCTACACCTACTCTACACCTCATTGAGGGTACGGGTGTTGGATACGCTGGATACTATCGAAGTGATTCCATCGCTGCTAATGGCTGCCATCAGGAAATACTGCACCAATCGCATGAACACTCCATCACGAGCTGCGCGCTCTCCCTGGCCCTGCGCCAATGGTCTCGTCTCCTATTTATATCTCACCATTTACAGCCGCGACACGCCTCGCGAATCGCCCAAGAACGCTCCCGCCCGCAGCTCCATTGGTTTCGCCGTCACCTGGCCCATCTTGGCGGCAAACTCTTTGAAATAGCCAGACTTGACGTGTGTCTGGACGGCCGCCTGGTTTTTATATCTGCATTGCACACAGGATTAGCTCGATTCTGGTGATGGTGAAGGTGATGGTGATGGTGATGGTGGCGGCTCCGGACATGCCGAGGCCCGCACTGGCCAAGAAAGGGAGGCGAATGGATGCTCTTCGCTTCCAGGGTTGAGAAGAGTCAAGGGCACGTGAGACATGGGGTAACTGACCTCTCGACAATGACAATCTCGTCTTTGCCCTGCACGCGGAAGGCGTAGTAGAGGAGGGTGTCGGGCTCGTTCTCTTGCACTTTCTTGGTGACTTCGGTGATGAGAGCCGTGACCTGGACAGAATCAGTGGTGGTTCCACTAGTGTACCAGAGGGTATGTACATAAATATATGCCTTATACATTATATGTACACCTCTGGACTGCTGAATGTCACTGCGATTGTCTGGGAGCTTACCTCGTCCACCTTATCCGGCTTGGGGTAGATGATCGCAGTCACATTAATCTCCGACATGGTGCGGGTAAGGTTGGGTGTATTATGAAGAAGTGGACAAATAGAGCAATTAGTATTTCCAGTGGTCGAGCCAAGTCCGGAGTGCTTAACTTAAGTAGGGCTCCTCCGCACTCTTGGGAACCCTCACAGCCGGCGACCTCGGGCCAGGGCAAGTGGGTCGTGATGATGCTATCAGATCGGCCTCCACCGGGCGCCTTCAACGCAGCTTGGGGTGCAGGGATATCTGCAGGCTAAGCTTGTCATGTCTTACTCGTTCTACAGTCTGCATTTGAACATTATGAAGGTTGCGTATAGGGTATATAGGCTTCTACTCTACCAAATAGTATATATGGAGAGCACGTGGTGCCTGCAAGGACGGAGACTTTACCAAATCTGTTCGTGTGCTGTCCATCTGAAGTACATATACGATGGAGATGATGCTATATTTTATTGGAGAAACATGTTCAATTTTTCTATGCACTTTTGCACCAAAAAAAGTTAGTCAATAAAGTAAACAACGGCACTATTGTATACAGAAGGTATGGGCCGCGCCGCAGAATCGGCGGATGTGGCTGATGCGTCCCATGTTCAACGGTGCCGATCGAACTGGGGCATGAGATGTACATCGATGCACTATATATATGTAGGCCACATTGCTGGACTGCGATGACAGCTGGCTATGCCAATAACAGGCTTCACGACGACGAAGTGGACTCGCCGTGTGGCTGACTGCTTGCGTCACCGGCCCCTGGCGCCACACTCTTCATACCTGATAATTGCCCGCTGCCTAACTATACTCCGACAGTACGAGAAACGACACTCTTCTGAAATCCATGACCCCAAGACCTGACACTCATTCGGCACACCTGCACTCCTACACCACACTGACCACGACCGTTGCGTGCAGGCTCCAGCATTCCCCAGTGGGCCCTGATCGTCTCCCCACCGCCAAGCAGTGACATCGATAATAATAGCTCCAGTGTGGCTTGTGATCTCCCCCTCGACAAGCAGCCCTTTCTTTCTCTCCTTCATCCTCACCATCCAACATGTCCGACACGGCTCTCCCCGAACCGACGACTCTGCCTGCGCACTCCGATGCGCCTCCCTCCAGCGCCGGTCGCGAGTCTGCGCCGGGCGACCACCAACCGCAAGCGGCCGTCTCCGATGAACTGAAAGCTCGCCTCGACAAAGTCGTGTATTCGGAGGTGAGTCGCAAGTCGCAAGGCGCACGTCACCAATGGCAGACATACAGCATCCGCCCACACTGAAGAATGGCATGATGCTAACAACGCCCTCGTCTATAGATCGGTATCGCCACTCTCCTGGCCCGTCTGAAGCAAAGCGTGGCTTCCGCCCGGGTATGTCGCTACCACTCCCTTAGCGAAGACGCAAAATACCAGAAAGCTTACAGTGGCTAACGGGCTATGCATACGAGCAGGACTTTTCGAGTTTCCTGAAGAAGCGAAGCTCCCTGGAGGAAGAACATGCTCAGGGGCTGCGCAAACTGTCCCGCGCTGTCAACGATGCCGCCCAGCGTACCGAGAACCGCCAGGGGACCTACAGCGCCAGTTACAAAGATATCCACCGTCTTCAAGAACGCATGGCCGATCACGGACTTCAATTCTCTGTGTCGCTCCAGCAGATGGCCGACGACCTGCAAGAACTTTCCGGTAACATCGAGCGAGGTCGCAAGCAGTGGAAACAGACCGGATTGGCCGCGGAAAAGAAGGTCGCCGATGCTGAATCCCAGGCCGAGAAGGCCAAGGCCAAATACGACTCATTGGCTGAGCAGTATGACCGAGTCCGCACTGGGGATAAGACAGGTGGCAAGTTTGGCCTGAAGGGACACAAGTCGGCTGCGCAGCATGAGGAGGATCTTTTGCGCAAGGTGCAGAATGCCGATAGTGATTACCAGTCCAAGGTGCAGACGGCGCAGATGGCACGCCAGGAATTGGTGGCCACCCACCGACCTCAGGCTGTGTATAACCTCCAGCAGCTCATTTCGGAGTGCGATTCGGGATTGACCTTGCAGCAGCAGAAGTTTGGTGTGTTGATCACAGCTCTATTTGATTACTTGATGACTTGCTAACGGCTTAAAGCCACCTTTAGCGAGAAGCTCCTGCTCGGCCAGGGTCTCTGCATCAGCCCGATGAAGACCGATGGCTCTGAATCACTTGCGCCCAAGAGTCTGGCGGAAGTTGTCCGCCAAGTGGATAACCAGAAGGATCTCCATGAATACATCTTGAGCCACGAAGGAAACCCAGGCGCAGTGGCTGGCGAAGAAGTCCAATATCAACGCCACCCGGTAAGTCCACGCCGGTACCTGCGCAGGTTTCGAGATAGCATTACTGACACATTGAAGACGCTCGGCGGCGGACCTTCCTCACAAAACAACACTGCGAACAAGCGCCAGTCGGCTCTGCCTCAAACTTTCTCCACAGCGAATATTTCTCCCGCAAGCCAACCACAGAGCAGCACCGATCGTTTCCAGACTCAGCCGCCTTCATATCCAAGTCAGCCAGAGACTGCCTCAGCACCGCCAGGAGGCCAACCGCCATATACAGGCCCTGGAGCACCACCTCAGGAGCCCGCATCACTGGTTCAGGCTCCAATGGCTGGCCCCCCTCCTATGGAGAAGGGATTCCAGTCTAATCTGCCTCCCCTCAAGCCGGTATTCGGAGTCTCGCTCGAGGACCTTTATGTCCGGGATGGAACGGCCGTGCCGTTCATTGTATATCAATGTTTCCAGGCCGTTGAACTATTCGGTCTGGATATGGAGGGCATCTACCGACTTTCCGGCAGTGCCAACCATATCAACCATATGAAGGCTGTCTTCGATAATGGTAAGCTCAATGCCTTCTGTCTATGATGTTGTTCCAGAAAGACGCTAACACGCCTTCAGACTCGTCACAAGTTGACTTCACGAACCCAGAAAACTTCTACCATGATGTCAACAGTGTCGCTGGGCTTGCGAAGCAGTTCTTCCGAGACCTTCCCGACCCATTGTTCACATCACAGTATTATAACCAGTTTGTCGATGCTGCCCGTAAGTCTCGCCAGCACTCTCCTACCATCATCACCAGATACTGACGAGAATTCAATAGGCATCGATGACGATATTCAGCGTCGTGACTCGCTGCACGCCCTAATCAACAGTCTCCCCGATGCGCACTACGCCACCCTCCGGGCCATTATTCTGGTAAGAAACCAACCTACTCTCCCATATTTTTCAAGCAACAAACTAACACCTCGCTGTAGCACCTGAACAAGGTCCAAGAACACTACACCCAGAACCGCATGAACGCAGGCAACCTGGCCATTTGCTTCGGGTGCGTCCAGCACATCCCCTCCAACCCAATCCTATGCCATAGTATAACTAACATTCAACAGACCGACCCTCATGGGCGCAAATTCCGGCGGCAACATCGCTGACGCGGGCTGGCAAGTTCGTGTCATCGAAACGATATTGAACAATACCTTCCAAATCTTCGACGATGACTGATTGGCTTCGCTTGAACGATCATATTTCCGTTGATGTTCTACCCCACGTTTACGATACTGCAATTGATCCACAAGTATCTTGAAGTTTTGATTAAAATGTTTACGGGCTCGCCCCGTTTGCTTTGATTACTACACTAATTTGGTGTTTACGTCTTCTTGTACATATACATCATATTGGCTTTAGCATTGCCTATTTATATCCGTCTCATCTCGCCTCAAGAGTCCATTATACCATTTTGTAGCACCTACGATGGAGTATGAATTGTCCGATAGGATATGGGCAAAACGATTTTATAGAAGATATTAATATATGGTAGGTCTCAAGCACATTGGAGGAAGTTGCCGCTGAAATGTACTGGCATTAAAAAAAAACGATTTAGGCGGCTATTGTACAAGGTAGATGCTCTATATAATCACTGGCTGTGTTGGGCGGTACATGATGAACAACGCGGGAGACAAACCAGATTCATGGCAGTCCTCAGGCCAAACGGTGACGTTAAGACAAAGGGAGAAAAAAAGATGACAGTGGACGAACCCATCACTTCATCATAGCCTGGATTCTCTCCATAGCCGACAATCCCGGTGCAAAGTACGGATCAGTGTAGATCTTGTGGATACTAGTCGGGCTCGTATTGCCCCAAACGCGCCATTCCGACTCCCGACCATTCCAAATGATATTCTGAATCACAACGTACTCGACCACATCCTGCTGCTTGGCAGTAGGCTCAGCCTCGGCCACTGCCTTCCCGCGGACTGGCGCGGTGTTGGTCTTGCTCATGGCTTGACGGGAGGTCAGGCGGAGAACGATCTGACGGACACCGGAGTGCGAGACTTCGGGGAGTTGGGTGGCGCGGTCTGAGAGGACGCGGACGCCGGTGAAGTATGTGCTGGGTCGGCGGATCCAGTTCTCGAGGGTCCAGGTGACTTTTTCGGTGGAGGGGCGGTTTTCGATTTGCTGAATGAGTTTTTTTGAGAGGCCGTCGCAGCAGAGCTTTCTGATGTTTTGGATGTCACCGCTGTTGGGTTGTTAGTGATCTGCTTTAAGGTGAAGGTGATTGTCGATTGGGTTGTGCTTACCGGGCGAAGGATGAGTACATGTCCTTGTATAGGTCGGTTGCGATTTTTCGGCGCGGTTTGAAGAGGAGCATTGGGTATTTGTTGTCTTTCTTGTTGTAGATGATCAGACTAGAGGTGAGTTAGTTGCTGTCTTCGTGATGCGGGCGAGTCTGCGACGACTCGTTGCCTTCCCACCACCAACCAACCATTGAGTGGCTCGGCGGCACGCAGAAAAACACGAGAGACAAAGGACAGCGCTTACCTCAAGAAATTCTGGAAAGCGCTCTTGATCCAGGTCCACTCCATCATGAGCCGATCCCGCGGTTCGTTGAAGATCGAAGGCATGTCCCTCCACAGCGGCCTGACGAAAGTCCCCGGTAACAATCCGATGTCATTTGGCAGCTGGCCCATCAACAGATCCTTTGAGCGAACTTTCATCGACGGCTGGGAGGAGGTTCTCGGAGAGAAGTTTTGCGACTTGTACGCCCATCGTTGCGACGCCTGCGAAAAGTACCGGCATTGAGGCGCGCCCGGAGTAGAGAGCTGAGCATTGAAAATGACTGGCCATGTAGTCGAAAGAGTCTTGCCTGCAGGCAAGCGAAGTGAGGACGCCATGGCGAGCACCGAGTGACTGAGCGGATTGTGTCGGGGAGGGTCGACGAGGAGAATAAAAACCGGAGTCACGTGTCGATCTCCGCGATTCCCAAGTATGGCAGAGCTCCGGCATGTCGCGGTCCTCACGGACACTCCCGACCCATCTTCTTCCTTTCTCCTGTTCAATCCTTGAATCGGTCAGTGGTGGCTCTGCACATATAGCCCCAGACAGTCCTTCCGAATCCTCGACCGGAGTTCTTCAAAACGTCCTTCTATTTTCGAAATTCTACCTCAGGGGACAGACACACCGAATCTTGTTCGACACGTTTCCGCGGTAGCCTGAGCTAAGACACCAAACGAGGCCAGCACAGCATCTTTTACCCTCGAGCGCGACGTTCTCGCGAAGCTACTACACCACATCTTGCGCGCCGGCCGCATATGCCGTGATTCCTCGTCAAGGCTGGCTCCTCGACGGAATGCATCTCCTCCGCCTTACACTCCCGCCGCTGAGTCGCCCGACGAGCCAGACCTAGATCTTGTCCGGACGACTACGCTCCCTGACCTCACCCGACCAACTGCCCAGTCTCCCGCAGCGCAGTTCACCAAAAAAGTGGCTTCCGCCGCGGACTCGAACGTTCCGCCCTCACCAACCTCCTCTACGCCCCATACCCCACTCAGCAGCGATGCTGGCCAGGCTGCTCCCTCACCGCTTCACCCACGGGTGGCTGTTATTCTGGGTGTAGACCGCAGGTGGTATATCCCGCTGCTGGTCTGCCGGGCGCTGAGCACAGTGCCCGCTGCGTGGTGGGGGTTGCGATGCGCGTTTACCTTTTTGGCGGAGCTGTTGCACATTCGGCCGGGGATGGGGCGTGAGGGGTGGGCGGCGGCGATTGTCGGGAGTGTAGGACAGGAGTGGGATGTTGAAAGGAGATTTCGGGTTACGGAGGTAGCTTTGGCTATTATGTGGGTATGTATTCGCTATTACCTGAGCAGGGACTTGATCTCTGCTTTTTGCTTTTGATGCAGTGCCAAACTAACCACCTTTGATGACAGTGCTGTGCATCCGCATATCTATCTTATTTCTTTGCTGATTGTATGATGTCTCGATGGTCTGTCTTCCTATATACACACTTTCGCCTCGATCCTTTCTGACAATTCTTCAGGCTTTTGAACTACACCCCTCCAGCTGTTGTTATCCGCCTTTTAACAACAAATGGATTGATTGCATACATAAGTTCTTGGGTCCTCTATCTTTCCGGTGCATCTTCTGATCCACGGCTTCTATTACCAGCCTGGATATCTATCACCACGGTATGTCACTGCCTCATCACATTTACACTACCATACCATACTAACTCTTAAATAGTCCCTCACATTTGTCTACCACGCAACCCAAAACCACGCAATGATAAAACGCGAAACGGCAGCGTCTTTACTAGTCGTCTCCGTAGCAAGTTTCCTCAGCATGTCTTCACTTCTACTTCAACTGCATTTAACCCGCGAAAACGAGCCCGAAGTCCCCGTCTTCGTGATCACGCGCAAACTTTGGGACTGGGCCGTTGCTATCTTTCTACGCATGCGCGTTGCTGATACCCGCGTTGCTGGAGAACTTTGAACAATTGCTTTCTCTTTCGGGATCTATCCCGGTCTTTTCTTCTACTTCTTTCTCGCATGCACCGATAGGAAGAGAAACACAACGGTTTTGGGTTGAGCAGGTTCCTGTGCAATGAAGGGCCTGAATTGTATATTTTCGGGATTGTCGTTTCATGGTAGACTAGTGGTGAATAGCCTAGCTTGACTACGAGTCTTTTTCTTCTGGGTTTACACACCGATCTTTGACAGATCTAATTCATTTCGTTCGACTTCCTAAAGCTTCTACACTGGCTTAAATCTGTAGCACCTGTGGGCTACTACAGCCTGCACAAGTCCTGGACCAGTCGAGTCTTGCACTTTGGGTGAAAACTATAGGTGTTTACGTAGGTCCATGTTCAATATCAATGGGCAATTCAATTCCATGTTTCCGATTGACAATAGCAAGGAGCGCAGACATGGAAAGAAGCAAGGCAGCGGGAAAAAATTAAGGAACGGTAAAAACCGATCAGACGAGCAGCAACGAGAGTTAACAAAAGCTCACCCTTCCTTGAGAAACCCAACCACCAGCTTCACAATGCAAGACGCAACGGGAAACCTGTGACAGGGCAGATCCCTCGGAAAGCACATAAAAGGAAATGAAAACAAGAAAGCACACGCAAAGTCATGAATGATAAAACGCATCGTCTGTCTATGCAGATATGGGTATCTACCAACGCCTCGTTCCGTCATGATCCCGTTCTGGACAAAGCAAAATGAAATGTCGACTATGAAAACGCTTTCCCGGTCGATCATGCTGGTTCTCGATCGCTGGGAACAGAGGTGAAACGAATCATATTCGACACATGGGCCAAGTCTAAACAATCCAGGCACAGAGCAATGGAAATGAGAAAGCAAGACATTTGACCGATTGGGCGGGCCGGCTGTGCACACGGCCGGCGGTTAGGGGATAACATTTGATAGCATGCTTCCTATCCCACCGCTCACGGGGTAACATAGACTGGGAAGAAGGGGACCGGAACAAGACATGGCGATGTGTTTAGAAACCATGGACCTGCGAGGGATTAGTATATATGTCGTGGTCTGGGCTGAAGTCGAAGCACATACCTTGATGGTCTTGGCATCCAGTTCAAGGCCTTCCTTCTTGTCGGTCAAGAACTCCTGGACATCCTTACGCTGATCTCCCTGAAGCTGAATCACCTCGCCCATCTCAGTGTCAGCGACGATGGTGCCATTGCAAGCTAGAGGGAAAAGGGCCGGTCAGTACGATGCTTTCACGATATGTATGTAATAGGGGGACGAGGTATAGACATACCGAACTTCTTCTTGATGACCTTCAAAATCTTCTTCTGGTCAAACTTCTTAGGCAGACCCTGAACAGTGGTCAGAGTCTTACGACCATTGCGCTCTGCAGGAAGTATAGATTAGCACGTGCCCGACACGGTAGATCAGCATGCCGCGATGAGGATGGGGGGAGGGGGAAAATCAACAACACAGAGAAAGGAAGACATACGCTGAATCCGTATATGGATGTAATTCTGAGACTGTTTAGTCTCGCCGGTGTCTTCGTCAGCTTCGGCGAAGGGGTCTGTTGAAGGTCGGTGTCAGCGGCAGTCCGGTACCGAATCTTTACCCCGCCACCGCGATCGACGAGGGGGGTGAGCCAAAGAATGTAACCTCGAGGCCAAAGAAAACCACATGGATGCGAGAGGTACTCTCTGATCCCACATGAAGTATTTCAAGCCCGTTCAGGGGTCATGTTGAGGCACGTTCGATATGCGGGCAGTGGAGGGGGCAGGTGGCGACACGACTCACCGAAGGTCTTGAGGTTTTCGATGGACATAAACTCGGCCTTTTTTCGTAAACGGCCCTTGAAAGCGGTTTTGGTAAAGTGAGCGGAGGGCGAGATTCAGTATCTCTTAAGGTTGAGGGATCGCAAGGGTGCGTGTGGAGAGGGGAGTTAGCTGGTCTGGTGTTTGAGGGAAAGAATCAGAGAGAAGAGCGGCAAAGCCTTTTGTGACGGTCACGTTGTGGGGGAGGCGGTGTGTGACTAAGCAATCCTTCTACGGTTCTTAGGTACAAAGAGTACAAAGCTACCAAGTACTGGTACTTCTTTTTTCCTTTTTTAATTTGTTTGCAATATCAAGTCATTGAGTGATGGATTTGATAAGTTTTTCGAATAATGACGCAGTCGAAGTGTAGCATGGTGCAATTACAAGACATGGATCATTCCAAATCATATTGGTACAGCATGAGTCAAATGTTCGCCGACTGGACAGTCTCAAGTGGCGATAGTTAACCCTCCGCGGCATTCTCAGCCGCCTGACATTATTGTACGGATGGCAGCAGTGTGTTGATTAGCCCCGTGGTTATCCGAGGTAATGGTATCATTGGAGGTTGAGAGCTTAGGCCGCGGGGACCGAAGTGGTGCCGCCCTTCACCTGTGGAGGCATAAAGATAGGGAAGTAGGTCTGTGGAAATCGTCAGAGGGACATCGAACAGGAAAGGATTCGGGAAACCGGGGCAGATTATCAGAGCGACGTACAACGACCAGCGCCATCACTAATCGGTCAAAAAGTGGTCAGTATGAGATCGCCTCAGGGTGTACAACAGGTAGATACGAACAAGACATGAAGACCGACATGTAAGCCGGAGTGGAAGCAGTCTTCTTCTGCTCGGGCGACTCAGCCAGCCAGGACTGGAGGGAAAAGACGAAGGAAACCCTGCAGGTGTGTCAGAGAAACTGGACCCAACGGAACTCTGGGAATATGATGCCTACCATCCAATCATACTAAAGAGCATGCCCTGTTAGTTGCGCGATACGATTTGACAGGATGCGCGCTCATCTCGACTCACCGGTTCCGTGTGAACATCTAAAGCCACCGTGTGTCAGCCAGCAGATTCGCTTTAGGCCCCAAACTCCGATCCCTTCAACTCAGGGGAAAGAACGACCTACCGCAGCCATTGGCATGGTGCTTGACATGGTGCCTGTTACCTTATCAGCATTGGGCTCTTTGGGCGCTAGCGTGTGACGGAGGGTGTTGCGTACTGGACATGTCGGCCTCATCGCCTTTCTTGGGCGGGTCGACATAGGGGATCGCTGGCGCCACGTCAGTATCTACCCGATGAGAAGGATACAGGTTGACTCACCGAGCTCCGCCCGACGCATATCCTTGGTTGACGCCATTTTGTTGTGCAGAGTTGGGGATAGGAGAAGGACTGGAAGTTGAGCAACTTGCGCCAAGCCATCCCGGGGGACTAGACCGGGGTTGGTGGCCTTAGGCAGTCAAGCGGCAAGCTTCTCAGGATTGACCCGGACATTCATACACAATCACTATTGTTGGACCACGTCAAGGCATGGCGAACGCGATATCTACCAGAGATACGAGGGCCCTACGGGACCTGATATCCCTTTACAAATGCTTACTGTTGGTCCAGTGCGGTGCCAGGCTGTTTCCTGCGAGGCACAACGGATCACCGCATACTTGCAGCCGACCCGCCTAAAACTGGGGACGATCTCAGTTCCGAAATGGTCGGTGAGATGTTGACAGAGATGAAACGCAGATCGATGGGATACTTGGATTGGTCGCACACGCACACTGAAGTACTGCCGACCTCCTTGCATCCTGCGGCGCACAGCATCCAACATGAAATCTCCAACAGACCCGGCAGCTCCGACGGCAATGGGCTTGGCCGTGGCCCTTTCCAATGACTGGGAGGAAGATTTCTATTGTTCCAATTGCCATTGTTGCCCGCCGTTTCACATTCGCATCGGTTGATTGCCAGAGTCTCCCTCCGATGGTACCACAATGACCCACCGAGTTCGGGCAAGTCCAGCCAAGCCAGCTGGACACGCCGTACGATTTCTACGATGCACCCATCCGACAGTGGGCCGATAGTGCGGAATGTGGGCGTGGACAGCCCTCGCAGGGCAACCCGTCACTTTGAGGCAGTGAAGCAAGATAAGCCGATCTTGGCGCAGGGCATATAGGCTAAGGCGACTCCGACCACCGTCCACCGTCCGCCGTCTGCTCGGGGGAATGAAATGGCTTGCTGCAGTTTGATCCGATCGCCTGCCCAGGCCCCCCCCGGGGACATCGGGGTTTAGTTCCGTGTGGGATAAGCTCTGTGCCTTGCTACCGCCTCTTTGAGAAGATCCAAGATGGGGGCCGAGTAAGGAAGGGAGATGCGACGCGACAGAAGATGTTCCACACGATAGCCGACGAAACAAAAGAAAGCAGCAGGCTATTCCGAGGTACGGAGGAAACCAAACAAAGAACCACAACTCCATTAGGGGGGCAACAACCAGGAAAAACCGGATAGGGGGCCGCCGGGGTTTGCCAATGTTTAGAAATGAGTACAGCCTCGGTCACGTCGATTAGCCATCCATACCACGGATCCCGCCACTGTCACTTCCGTGTCGGGTAAGGCCCAGTGTTCTCTCAACGAATGTTTAATAGTAGGGCGAACCTAACCGCACACTCGGGCATGGCTCGGACTAAAAGGGGGCAATGGGTCCGCCCTGGAAATTGAGGACTTACCCTGGCTCTCCGTCTCCGCCTGTATACTCCGGGCTCCGTAGATCCTTGTCCGTGTGTATACACATACAATACCTGCCATATGTAGTGCCGGAGAATCGATAGATACTCCGGGGAAACTAGTCGATGGCGTCGATTCCGTCTGCATGACACCGTCCATCGCAGCGATCTGATCATACAATCCGCCACGCCACGCTGTGTGGAGGAGTCTGATTCCGTCGATCCGGTGGAGCCCCGGAGAAGGACGGCTGAATGGATTTGGCCCGACTTACGTTATCCCCATCAACACCGCCGATAACGCCTGCACTTGCCATCTTCCGCAATATTTGCAGTTGGTGAAAACATCAAAGAAAAGCAAAGCTCCCACAGTCGGAGTCGGGCATTCGCATTGCTTGTTCCTCCCTCGCTCGCTCGGGCCTCTTCCAGCTGCGGCCGTCCCTTCATGCCATCGTCTATCACACCTCGTGAACACTGCATGTTGTGAGCGACATTGATCGACCCTCGCATTTACATCTTCAATCGCTACCCTCCGAGTCCCTTCCTGTTCCTGCTCCCTATATACCGGCTCATGCAATACCCCGGATGCTTCACAAAAACCCTTTCGGACAAGACACCATGAGCCTAAGATGATCCCCCATTCCTCTGCCGGCGGCCAATCATGGGGCCACCCGATGCGCTCGCTGAACGGTGGCCCTGGTCGAGTTGACCAGGTCTTTGCGCCTGCTCAGCCAGATCTTCCTGCCGAGTCCTCGCAACCGCAACCCCGCCAGCCGGTCGCCATCGACTTGACCGCTGCACCTGAATCGCAAGACCGAGAACCGCCGCCGAAACGACCGCGACTCGATGTGCCGGGTACGCCGAACCTGGGGGATACCGGGGCGGCTGCGAACACTGCCGAGTCCAAAGGGACCCCAGGAAGTGCGAGCACGCGACAGCTGCCATCGTGGCGTGGTCGACCACTGTGGTCATTCCAGGCCGTGATGGCGGAGCTCCCGGCCAGCGAGAATCGCGGCGGCGGCGGCGGCGACGGCGCGTCTCCCTCCAAACCAGCATCGCCCCCTCCGTTTCCCGCGCAACCTTTCAGTAATACTCGGCCAACTATTGCGCAAAACGCGGGTGCAAAGGCCCCTGAGGATACTCCCGACACCAAGGTTCAAACAACGCCGTATCGGATCGAGACTCCGGCGGCGGCACCTAAACTCAAAGGCGATAGTAAGTTATCATTTCAATTGTAAATGTCATCAGCAGGCAGCAAATGGATGGAAATGACCAACAAATTGTATTTGCAGAAGTTGCCGACTTCACGCCATGGACCGGAAACCACCCCGAAGATCTCTTGAACGAACAAACCGCGAAACAAGGGTATTATGATCGCACTCAAGTCTCCCAGAATGAGTCCAACACGGCGCGTCCGGCATTGTATGCACAGTTCAAACACCGTACTGGCTTGCAGATGCTCTCGTCTGTATTCTCGGCCGTACTGGAGAAGCGACAAAACCACAACACTGTTCATGCCCCGTCTACGTTCAAACCGCCGCCACGGGTCACGTTGACTGACAACAAACGAGAAGCCTGGCTGCGGGACCTCGCCAATGCGACCGTGCCATTGCGACGACTAAGCAGAACCATTCCACACGGTATTCGCGGGAAGGTGCTCCTCGATCAGTGCTTGGGCAAGTGGATTCCAGTGGCACGCGCGGTCTGGTTAGCGAAATGTGTCGGCGCCAACGAAATCCGCGCCTTCAAGCGCAAGGGAACAAGCGGCTCCCTGTCTGTCGGCTTGGAGGCGAAGTGGGTACGGGACTGGACCTCGAACGTTCAACAGTATGTCGAGGGTGTGTTCAGTGCGCCGAAGTCATCGGACTGGAAGGCCAAAATGACTTATGCTATCGGATTGACGGCACGGCTCTTCTTTGAGAACCTTCTGGATCATGACAGTTTTCTGGACTGGTTTCTTTCATCCTTTGAAGCCGCTTCCCTTGCCACGGTTCCGGTTTGGCTATTGATGCTTGGCATTTATTGGAACAGTGTCATGCGCTATCGACGCCGAGGACGACGATTGGCAGAAATTCTGCTTCAGAAGCTCAAACAGGTAATTTAGCTTGATCTTCCTCTTGTACCGGTTGATATTGACTCCAGTCTAAAGGCTACTGATCTCCACCGCGATACCCTCAAACCCCTCCTCGATCGATTGTCTCGTTTTATCAGCAAACTCGCGCGTGAACATACTTCATCTATGATTCTACCTGCATCCTGGGACATATACAAGTCGCAGGTTTCTTCATGTCTCAATTTGGAACAGAAGTATGATCGAATACTTTTCCAAAGCCTTGCGGAGCGCAATGCCAGAGTACGGCGGCCTCGCCAGTCGAAGGAGGCTGCTCGACGTTCTCCTCAACAACGAATAATTCGACTTCTTGACTCGATTCGTTCTGTCCAAGACGTCTCATCCGTCTCCTCTGCGTGTTTGGAGGCGGTGGCTGACAGAGCTGCCTTGGTCTCCAAGTTGTTGGAGTGGCTGGCCACACCCTTCCGTCATGGAATTTGTCGAGTTTATATCGGTGTTCGTCTTTTGCGAAAGTGGAAATCATTAGGTGTTGATGTTGATGATCATATACTGTCATTTCTTTCTTTTTCCCAAAGAGAGAGCCCCAAGACGATGAACATGGACAATATCTACCATACCATTTCCGAGCTGGTCAGGTCGCAGACTTTCTCGGTTGGTCGCTATCTTCAGTGGTTGATGGCAAAAGGAATTACAGGTCGTGTTTCGAGCGAAAAACAAATGGTAAGTGAAAAATGTTGGCACACTTTACTGTCAGTCCCAGAAATTGACCCCAACAACAGGTGCACGATTTGCCTAGCGATATCGGTTTGATAATTCAGCTTCCTGTCAGCCGATTGCCTGAGCATGTTAGCAACTTACGTGGCACTTTGTTGACGCGCATGGGGTTGTCTGTGTCGGAAGAGGCCGCGGTCACGGCAAGTATCAAGAAGCTCATCAGTCGCCGTCTTCCAGCTATATTTGATACGCCGGTGGATGACAAGGACTCGTTCGATGAACTGGCCGCAAATTCAAGCTGGGCTGTCAAGGCTGATGTAGGCCAATGGCTACGACGCGCGGTGGCCGAATATACGCGCAATGCCACTCACCCAAGCCTCCGCGCCTCTTTCTCATCCGACCCCATGGTTTCCTCAGTCTCCGCCCTTTCACCGAACGAATTTTACATAATCCGCGACATACTCGAGAAGTTCGGTGACATTTCTATGCTTGCCGATGTGTTGAGAATTGCCTCGAGTTCCGAAGACTGTACGGTCCTTGCATCCATCGCCGATACGACGAACTGCCACTTCGACTCTCTTTGCGCAATTGGTGCCACCGTCGACCTTTTCCGAAAGCTTGTGGATACATATGCCAATCTCAAACGGTTCGGTATCCCGAATCTCGACTTGATGTTCTCGTTAATTGAATTGGGTATGCGCGTTCCGAATGAGCTCAACACGGTTGCTATTCTTCGTCAAGACCTCTTCCGCATGGAGAACAGATCGGTTGTTGCCGCTTCTTCGCCCGTGTCCGATCACATCCCGGATTTCTTTGGGGATACAGATCCTCTGTTCCGTGAAAAGTTGGACCACTTGCTCTTGACTGGTAGTGTCATGGACGAAACAACACTCGACACGATCTTCAACACCTTGGCCAAGCATCTCGAATCCGGCGAACATGATGATAAGCTTTCTGCAAATGACACTTGCAGGTATCTGGCGCAGCTGCGATCCTTCCAACCGAAGCACTTTGACGGAATTTTGGCCCGCTGGGTTTGCGGTCATCTGCGAACTCCGGACCGGTGTACCCTGCTCCGTATCCTTCCTCCTCTTATCGGAGTTGGCTGTGTTACCATTCGTTCTTTCTTGTGTTTGGTGAAAAGAATTTCTTATTCTGCAAATGCGATTCCAAATGCAGCAAATCTTCCAACAGACCTTGTCAAGCTTCTTGTCGCTCGTACTGAAGATGACGGGTTTCTTGACTTGGTAAGTTAGAACTCTCTTTCTTGCGAAGCAGAAAACATTGCTAACAAATTACTTCGCCAGGTTTCATATCGGTTCCGTCTCGCACAACAAGAGTTCCTGACCAAAGACTCCGAGGAAGCTCTCCGGATTGTCTGTGGTGCTGCGGCATCCCTCGAAAAATCCGAGATTTCTGCCCAGGATGAAAAGCTGGAGACTTCGATGGTCATGCTATTGCGAGAGCTCCTTGTGCGAAACCCTGGATGTTCCAATCAGGCGTGCGTGCAAAAGCTCCTGAATCAACATCCCGCTGCTCTAAATATGCTTCGGATAGCACTCAACGCATTGTTGAATGTTAATTCAGGAAAGCCTTTGCCAGATATCTCCACAGTACCCCCTCACTCTTCGACAGATCACAACTCTGTGGTCTCAGAGGTTGAGAAGCTTGCTAGCATAACGGACGATTTTTCCCTTCCGTACTGTCAGTTGAAACTCCAGGTTCTTTTCAATGCCGACTCTGGGGACGACACCCGAAACAATTTTGTGGATGCCGTGTTCAAGACTGTTGTCGCAGATTCTCGCTCACAGAAGCCGCATTGGGTTGATCTTGTTACTCTGATGAACCCTGATGCAGTCCGTCAAATTCGTGAGCGTGCCGAAAAAGAATTTTTCGCTGTCCCTGTGCTTGATGAGCCGACGAAGGAGTCTTCGCCCTCTCTACGGAACATGGGAACCCTTGAGACCGCCAAGCTATACCTGACCATTGTGGAAGAGCTCGCCAACAGCATACCTGAATCCGGGAGCCCGGCTGTTGCCTCCGCTATTGTGGAGAAGATGGATACACTGCTCCAAAAGATTATTACTGCTCAGCCCAGTTCCAATATCTCAGGTGAAAAGCCATCCGGGGTTTCTCAAAGCCAAGCACGGTCTAATTTCGAGCGATCTCTCGCCTTTTGGTTCTCGGCGCTCTTGCGCATGGTTGTGCTCCACCGCGCCTCGTTCATGCAGCCGTTCCCCGCAGTCAAGTTCAACTCCCCCCAGGAGCAGTCACGACTGCTGATCTCCATCTTTTGTATTGCACTCTCTCGCCTTCCGGGTGACGTGCTGCGTCTCTTCCCTGGGGCTGACTACTTCCCTCGTCCCAACGCCTCCGAAGACTACCGACCTTGCCCGGGGATTCTGTTGCAGACTCATGCTCTGGACGTGGCAGCCTCATTGATTGACGTTTTCCCCGACGAGGTCCGCCACCAGTGTGCTCGTTTCCTCAAAGAAAAATGCCCACCCTTCGTACTTCTCCTAAACGATACTCGCTTCCTCTACCTCCTCGGTCCCATCTCCGACTCCTCCTCAACGGCTGCCCTCCAATCGACTTCAGCCCCTTCTCCCGCAGCCTCGGCATCCACACCTACTCCGTCCGCCAACACCACATCCACGCTAACCGGACCATCCGCCGGAATGGACGAGAGCACCAGCTGCGCTGCCAACCGGCTCCGTCTTGAGCACCGTGGCCGTATAGTCGGGCCGTACCCGATACGCTCTTGGGAGCTCTTGGAAGACGCTGCACCATTTGTCGGAGTAAACGACACTGCTGTGAACCTAGGCTATTTTGACGCGAGACGTGTCAGGGCCTAAAAAAGGTCCCGAGCAAACCAAGCATCTCCCTCCTCCAACCAATCAGTTCGAAACCCTTTCATCCTAGTACTCTATATCTTCACCTTATTCACCCTCATCCTCACCCATCATCACATTTCGGAGCATAAGCCTTTGCATTCGCTTTAGCATTGTTATTGTTGCATCTTTCTCGTTACAAGAAAGCAAGCGTTTCCATCATGGCCGACGCCCATCATGATAACGAAATCTTCCCAGTACCTGCTTCGTTATTGTTTTCTTCCGCTAGTGGTATGGTATTGGGTGGAAGGGGTCAGATTCACGGCTGCATTTTACATTTTTGTTTGTACATATCTTCTATGCTCCTCTATTCGGGTCCTGGCGTTGTGCGGGACAGTCATGCCAATTCCTTTCATTATTATTATGGTATTTCGGTTTGGTGGACTGTCATTGTATACCCTGGTCCTCAATTATGAAGAGCTTTATTTCTTTTATCTTTGTTTGATTAGTACGAGTTCCGCTTTGATTCAGGATGTTTGTTTAGAACCTGTGGTTTAAAGATGGTGCTCATCCTATATATTCTGACTCCGGCCTTTTTTTTTTTTTTTTTTTTTTTTTTTTTTCCCTCATATATTGGGCTGTCTCGGCCGGTCTCTATACTATATACTGATGCCACTCTGAACAATATCCGGCCGTCTACCCAGTCACCTCTATGTGATTCCAGAATCTACCTCTGACTCCCCTCTGGAGTCGAACAAATACCCGACAGCGCATATCGTATATATACTCTTCGCTTCCCTTTCAAGCTTCTCCATCCATCTCCTACATCGCTTGGCTTTCAACATGAGTCCTTGACACAACATACAGCACTCGTGTCCAGAACACTTTACGGAATGTCCGGTATCTGCTTATCGACAGAAAGCTGGGGACAAAAGGCTGAGGTTAACCCCTTCACGACCAACAATGCGCCCGCAGGCGAGTACGAGAAGGTGACCACCGGGAGTTATTTGCTCTAGTTGGTGCGCTTATCGTGTTCGTATTTTCGAGTCGGTCTTCCAGCTCTTGCTGTGCTCGGTGTTGGTCCCGTGTTCGTCGTCCTCTTCTACCTGAAAACCGGGAGTACCCTCAAAAACTACCTCATCAGGACCGTGATCATGGTCAGCTTTACGACGGAGAGGATGAAGAACATCCCGGGCAACACCCAGAAGGAGGATGGACAACTTAAAGATCACCACGATCGACGTCGACATCAAGAATCTCTGCGTGGAGGCGACTATGTATGGACATGTTCAGGAAGCTGCGCACAGTCGCGGATCCAGTGACGTACCCGAACGTGGCGAGATATATGTTAGTGCTAGCGAATGCGATTCCGATCAAGTGCATCTGCGTGGGCATCAGACTCTACGAGAACGGTATCCTCCCCTCATTCGCGGGCGCGATAGCCTACACGCCCAGGAAGTGAAAGACTTTTGAATCGATGCAAGGCTCTCTACGATGGCTCGGGCCCAGGGTGTCTGGGGATCCGAGGACACCGAGGCCATCTTTGGCCAGATCTCCTCCACTAACTTCGTCCGCGCCATTCCCCCTCTACTGAACTCCTCCCTACCTTTCGACCAACTCCGCACTGCCATCAACCGCATGTCGGGAAATGCCTTTAATTACACATGGCCTAGGTGTGTACATCCTCTACAACCCGGGCTACAGTGAGAACGCTAGTTCGGATCCTCAAAGACTTTACTAGACCCTGGAATTTAGACTGATATGGAGCCTCAAACCGAATTACATGTGATGTTGGTCAAAAAACTGGGTTCGATTATAATGGTCCCTTTGAGCAGAGTCAGTAACAAAGTTGATTTGAAAGGTTCATATCGACACAAAATGCTGTCAGTTACCAAGGCTGGGACTGGGGAGTCGTATACCCTCAATGCAACATCCACTACTCTACAGGCAGGACTAACTTTGCCTCCTCACTACCTTGCCCCTACTCCGTGCAGCCCAACAGGAGGAGCTGCTTACAATATCCAAGGACGCATTGAGAATCGAAGAGAGCTTCCCGACTGACGACCAGAGAGAAGAGAAACCTTGCCGCTGCCTACCAACTCCTAAATACCGATCGCCAGGCGGCGGTGACAAAGATGTAGTTGATCATGAATGGTGAGGTGCCAATGAACCGATACCCACTCTAGAAGCAGTCTTACAGGCAATGCTGGACAGGGGCAAGCCGCACCCTACATGATATCTTCTGACTCCATGTTCCTCTCTCTGTGCAACATGAACCGCTGGCTCGTGCAAAGCGCGCAGATGTGGAGACGCACTTCCAAGGTTTTCGATACCTATTTATTGATGAGAATTCGATGGTAGAACTACAGCAATTGTAGTGGATCAGTCAAGAGATCTTTACAGAATCAGTTGGGGAGCACTTTGCTGGCCTGAACATTGTTCTGATAGGCGACCTTCAGCTGAACTCGACTCATGGAGACTATATCGAGTGTTTAGTATCACGATCGAGCTCGACATGAGGTCCGCCAAGGTGGCACTGGTGAGGAGAGTCAGGCCTTCTGTGATGCACTTGACAACCTGCGGACTAGTGAGTTGACAATGGATAATTGGCAGTTGATCTCTACTCGGGTCATGGCAGTGCTTCCTGCGCCTGAGATTCAGGGCTTCCGAGAGGTACCTTGTCAGATAATGCTATCTAGTATTTTGTTAGCAACTTGGAAAGTCTTGCCACTGCCCTCAACTTCCGTGTAAACGTAACCAATCACGTGTAAGAGGTATCATCTCTGTGGGTTGATATATATAAAATTTTTTTTTACTCAGGATGAGACCCGAGAATAATCCTTTGCGAGAAGTGGTGAAGTCCGACTGTGAAAGGAATAGGGCGAAGTCGAAGTACGGATGGAATGCGTGGGGCAGCTGCAAGCAAGTGGATCGCGTGAGGCACCATTCCGTAGCTCCGTCATCCGAGCAACTTCAACCTTTCAACCTCCCAAAATGTTGCCAACCCGCAGCCTCGCGACCCAGTCTGGGTTCTTCAAGCGCAGCGCTGAAGAGCTCACTCGTCTCTCCAAGATTGGTACGGTGCCCCATTGCTTTTTGCGACACTGTCGCCACTCGCTGCCGCTAGCTGGGAGCTCCCTGCGCATAAACTGACTTGAGCTTCCCTCCCAGCCTGGAACACCGAAGGCATCCAAACGCCCACCAAGCCCTATGTGCTCCTCAATTTTGAGGACAAGCAGACCGCCGAAGAATGTAAGACCATGTCCGACCGTGCTGTGGCCGGCTTCAGCACGGCCAATCTGGACTACGAGCCCGGCGATCCCTCGACGAATGTTCCTCCACACGCGCGATTCCACGGAAACATTTCCACCAAGCTCCCTGATAACTTCCGTGTCGAGAGAACCGGTATGTTTCTGGCCATGCTTCCCTTTTCCTACAACTTTGGGGTCTAACCACAATCGCGCACTAGGATATGCTGCTTTCCGCAATAAAGACCGCGGCGTCTGGCTCTTCGGCCGTCTGACCTGGGACGTAGACCCATATGCATACCTCGCGCTCCGCGTGAAATCCGACGGAAGGCGCTACACTATCAACATACAGACGGACTCTATCGTCGATACCGATATCCACCAGCACCGGCTATACACCCGACACCACCGAGTCCGTTCCGCCAATCAAGAATTGTACCCACAAAGTATTCGAGATGCGCTCGCCGCAGAACACCAAGCCAAACAAGAAGCCACCGCGCAAAAAAAGGCCGAAAACCCCGAGGACGAGGAATGGTTCGAAGAATTCCCGGAACCTGAGCGCCCGTCGTTCGAAGAATTGTATCCGAAAGGTGTCCCCAATTCCCTTCGCGATGTAAATCCCGAAGAAATCAGAGGAATGTATCCAAATGGGATTCCAGATGCTCTCGGCGATGTCCCCACCGAAGGCACGGTTATCTCTACTTCCTCCTCCGTCACTACGTCCGGCGCAACTGGCTGGGAAACGGTTCTCCTGCCATTTAACTCGTTCGTTCGTACGAATCATGGATATGTGATGGAGCCACAGACCTCTATCATGAAGAACAGAGTTAAGAGTATTGGAATCGGTCTCACGGACCGTATTGATGGGCCATACAACTTATGCATTCACAAGATCTGGGCCACCAATGGTATGACTGAGGAGGATGCCGCTGAGGACCGACGCATCTGCGGCTCAGATGCGCTGCCTGTTGATGAGGGTGTTCAGACAGGCTGGGTGGAGTCCAAGAGGCATGAAAAGGAGGAGAGTAAGGAGGCTTCCCCGGCAAAAGAAAAGGGTCTGAAGGGGCTTCGTTCAGAATGGGATGACTGAGTCAACATCTGATACGATAACATAATTTCCTCGGTTCTTTTGGCGTCTATGTGTAAACTAATTTGAACATACTGGGTTCACACTTAGTCTTTCTAGACTGAAATGACAACGTATATGTAACAACTTTGATCATGATCAATTTTATTCTTCACGTCCTTGCATACACAAGTTCATTTATGAGTATATACTGGTAGAAAGCAACACCACTGTAACTGAGTTCAATTACTGACCACCGGTGAGCTTCTCCCAAGCCTCCTTATACTTCTCAGCAGTCTTCTGCTGAACCTCCTCCGTCATCCGCACACCCTCCTTACCCTTCAATCCCTCTGCAACAAGCCAGTCCCGCAAGAACTGCTTGTCGAAGCTCGACTGGCCCCGACCAACAGCGTATGTGTCCTTGGGCCAGAATCGCGAGGAGTCAGGTGTCAAGACTTCATCGGCCAGGACGACCTCGTTGGTCTCTGGGTCGACACCGAACTCGAACTTGGTGTCGGCGATGATAACGCCGCGCTCGAGCGCATACGCGTGCGCAACCTTGTACAATTGCACAGAGAGCTCGGCAACGGTTGAAGCGTGCTCTCCGAGAATGGCAGCAGCTGCAGTCTAGAATTAGTTTGAAATGAAATGTATAAATGAAGGCAAAAGGCTAATACATACCCTGGTCAGGGTGGATATTCTCGTCGTGCTCGCCCTGCTCAGCCTTGGTGCTGGGGGTGTAGATAGGACCATCGGGGAAAGCTTGGCTCTCCTGCAGCCCGGGTGCGACCTTGATTCCGTGGACGGTGCCGGACTTCTTGTACTCGTTCCAGGCTGAGCCGGTGATGTATCCGCGGACGATGGCCTCGATTGGGAGAATGCGCAGCTTGCGAACTTGCATACTCCGGTTTTGCAGGACGGGACGCAGTGACTCGGGGATCTGAGGAGGGAGGTCAAGGGTGAGGAAGTGTGTGCGCAGCGAGGGAATGGCTTCCTTCAGGGCGTTGAACCATGTGCGGGTGCAGAGGGTGAGGAGAACGCCTTTGTTCGGGACACCCTTCATAAGAATAATTGTTAGCTATCTATTTTCATGTTCAATTCAGGATTGCGAGGGAAAAAGTACATTCTCCATGATCACATCGTAGGCGGAGATGCGATCAGAGGCAACGAACAACAGCGTCTTGTCGTCGATCTCGTAAAGGTCGCGAACCTTACCCCGAGCAATCAGGGGCAGAGCGCCTTGCAATTCAGTTGTTGTGAGAGGCTCAGCCATTGTGGGATGTTCAATTGGCGCAATTGAGCGAGAAATCGAGTAACGTGAACTTTTGGAGGGGAAGAAGCGCGGAATGCGTCATGCGCCGATTTTTGGCGGGGCGATGGCGGCCTTGCTGCCTGAGGCGCTTATCCCGGCTTATCAGCGACGCGCTTCACGCAGCGGATTTGATCTCCTTCGCGGTTCTCCCTCAGATGGGCTGGTCGTGACAGTAACCATGACTCGCTATCTGACCCCCTGGCGGATCGCTCTGCTATGTCTCGTTCACATCTACACAGACGGGGTCGTCCCTAACTCGTCCGCCATCCATATTTTGCAGTTCATGACCGCTGGACTGTTCCCTTTAGATCCCACCGATAAGGAGTGGGACAAACATTACCTGCCCGGCATCAAAGGATTCGAGGAGCTACTTTCAAAGCATGAGTCATCCGTCCCTGGCCGCACGCTCTGGGATTTATTCCTCAAAGAAATCTGGCACATCAATTCGCTGGATGCGCTGGATACGTTTATGAGTGAAACCATGCCGTCCTTGTTGATGAAGACGCGTGAGCAACTGATCCAGGAACGAGACAGTGGTCTGGCACCGCCTCGGGATGAGGGTATCAAGCTGGCGAGGACTGCACCGATGGGCAAATTTGTCCGCAAGACTCAGATGGAATACACCCGGCTGCAGTTCTCTGACTCGGTGAATCTGTGGAATGAATTCGTCAAGTATCGTTTGCCGACGTACCACATGTGGGCACGCAAGAATGCGGCTGAACAGTCTCCCATTGATACCAACCTTGACGCATTTGGCCTGGATACCAACAGCGACCTTTCTCGGGTGGTGTATGGGCGTGTCGAGGAGGAAGAGGTCGAGGATGGCAAGATCAGCGTCAAGGACGCTGAGCGCCTAGTGGAATTCCAGGTGGAGGAACTTCAACGTAAGTTCTTGCTGCGACCGTTTAACGGCGCCAACGATCTAACATTTCCAGGACTGGGAGGAAGAGTTCCAGAGAGCATGCGGAATCAGCTGAGGAAGATCTTGACGGCCGAGTCATCTTCTCCCAATTTGGTGCACTACTTGGAGTAAATTTGGAGTGGATCCGTCATTCCCTCTGGGCACCGTTACTGACTCGAAATACAGATATCTCGACTCTTGGCGCGCGGGTGACTACACATCGGCCTTTGATTCTCTCCACCGCTACTTCGACTACACCATGCACAGCACTGTCGACCGAAGCGCCTACCAGTTTGCACTTCTCAACCTGGCGATCATCCAAGCTGACTTTGAATGCTATAAGGAGGCCATCTCTGCTGTACAGGAAGCCGTCGCGATTGCCCGTGAATCTCAGGACATGCCTTGTCTGAACTTCTGCATGAGCTGGCTGTATCATTTCGGGAAGGCTTTCCCCGAGCATATGCGAGAGGTGCGAAACAGTGGCATGCTGGGTAACGAAAAGGAAGGACTTGCGTTCCTCAAGGCCAAGGCGAAGGAGACCGACTCGTGGGCACTCTTGAGTACCACGATGGTAAGCGAAGCAAAGCTAGACATGCAGCAGGTGTGTTTATAACCCGTGTACACAATTTTCTTTTTCCCATCTAGGAAGTTACTGACATTTTTTTTTTTTTTTTTTTAGGGAGAGAGTCTTCCCTCTATCATCGAATCACTCGTGAAAGCCGCTCATGTCAACCTGACCAAAGGCCTAACCACTGCGATGGGCCCGCACATGCAGCTGCAGAGCACGCTGTACTCCCGAATTGGTATTTCCTCCCCAATGCAACCACCATGAGAGATTGAATCTAACTAATGCTCAAAAGGCGCTACTCACCTTGCCTGGCTGACTTCCGAGATGTTCTTGCATTGCTACGGGGACAAATGCACAAACGATGACTTTGTCAGGATGACGTTCAAAAACTCCCAAATTGTAAGCTTTTCAAACCGTTGCTGCTTATTGCACCAAAAGCTAAAAATTCATACAGCTCGCACAGAAAGGCAACTACAAGCAAGCCCTTGCGCGGATGAACAAGGTTGATCCAGAAAGGCTCCGATCCTTCAAGACCAACCATGAATGGTCCTACTACTCTGGCCTTATCCAGTTGCGCCGACAGATCTGCCGGTAAGTGTTCTGACCCTATCCTTCCAAGGCCGCATTAGCTAACAACTCTGCAGTGATGATAAGGAAGCAGTTGAGCACCTTACCTCGCAACTCCAAAGCGTGCAGCTAGTCGACTTCGACATGCGCATTCAACTCGCATTTCACACCATCGAAAACACCATCCGACAGGGTGACTACGGCCGCGCCTTGCGCATGGTCGAACAAGCTGCCCACTCCATGCAACCCGAAAACTTCGACGTCCACACACAAATCAAACTCCTCAACCTCAAAGCACGCATCCTCGAAAAATCCGGCCACGCCGAACGTGGCTTCTCCCTCGCTATGCGCGCAGCTCACATCGCCTACCGCGCTAAGGTCCTCCTCGACCTCTGGGAATCCATCTGCTCGCTCGCCGCGGTCCTCATCAACATGCGCGAATTCGAAGCCGCAATCGAACTCATCGAAAGCATCATGCCGCAGACCCTTGAAACGGAAGATAGTGCCTTGATTGCGCGCGCATACTCTCTCCTCGTCGATGGCAACATGGGAAAGGCGGGCGATTTGTGGACTACACATGGTCCCGAGAGTAAACATGCGCAGAAGGAGTACATCAACCGGGCCCTGGGTTACATTGACTCTGCGTATGAAGCTTACGAGGAGATTGAGGATCACTTGGGTCAGAGGGAGATGATGGCAAAGAAGGCTACTGTCATGCACCTGACTGGCGACCTGGTTCTTGCAAATGATTACGCGGCGAAGTATCTGGATCTCAGACGCCGTCGCGGAGCGGAGACTTGAGCTTAATCGGGCCGCTATGTACTATGTATCTTTACATCACCGGTAGTTAGGCGTTGATCACAGGAATGGGTTCTGATATCATGATTCGGCAATTAATTGCCATTTTGAATGACTTGCCAGAAAAGTAACCTTCACCTACCGAGTATTTTCAAGGACTCAAGTTTGATTGTTAAGTTTATTGCTGCATAAGTACCGGAGCCCTTTGCGTGAAATAGACTACTGTCAGCTACCTGGGTACCTGTCCGGTACCTTCTTCTGTCACCTAGTGACTAGTGTCCAGATTTCGCTCATGATTGCGCTGTGAAGTATCTGGATCTGAAGAGAATGCGGGAAAATGAGGCTTGAGTTCAGCATTATTCGTACTTTTACGTTAATATGAAGCAAATTTTAGAAAAGAGAATCGATATTAATATTTCGCTGGAGAAAAAACCCCAAGGCTATCCTGTCTCTGCCAAAAAGCAATCCATTGAATAAGTGCAAACCGGCAACAAAGTTCTTCAAAGTTTACGATCACCAATATATGCAGGGGTACTTGTATCAAAAACGATATCATGCTCACTGCTTTTCTGAGGGGGTCGACGCATAATTGCTTCAAAGCTCAGCGTCAGGGGTACGCCTGGCTCTCCACGACTCCAGCAGACCGCTTGTTGAGTACATTCCAGAGTTCCGCGCCCTCGATTCTGGACCTTAACCTCCGCCCAGACCTCAAAAATGGCATAGCATGCGGGATTAAATTTTGTGTAAACAAGAACCACCAACTTGGTCTCACCAGCCGAATCTTCATATCACCACCTGGCATCATGGCGGAGTATGTTTGAAAGATCAGAAAGGCCTACGATTAGGATCGAATAGCATGACGTTCTGCTCCTTGAACTAGTTTTAACCACCAGTCAGGGTCTTGCGAAGCAGAAGACCATACTAAATGTCCGCGCGTCTAGTGATAAAGTCTCCTGTCTCCATGTCTGGGTAATATTCCTGGCGCATGCCCAATTCTATACTGGAAAGCCCCTCGACTATGAAAGACTCGAAGCTATCAATGAAGGTCTAGTGCTCTTTTGGAATTACCTTCAATAGTATTTCCGTGACAGGTTCTCTAGGGACTGTTACCCGTATGTCGCAATGATAGCCACATTGATCTATGAGATTGACATGACAGGGAATATCCTTCACGTGAAGATATTGCGTGATATATGGGTAGGAAGTCCTGGGCTCGAGGTTCTTTGAGGTGCCAAATAGCTTTTGAGGCATCTTCGACGGAGGATGGGGTAAAGTCTTTTTCATTGCATGGTACAACGAGCTTTGAAACTCGTCTTGAGAGATCATAAATTCCAGGAGCATAAGTTTCCAGTGGTGAGCTTGTGGTAAATGACTCCGAGTGGCTGTATATACCTGACATTGTTGCACTTAGTGATCTGGGAACAGAAAGATGTCAGAGCTTGGTCGCATCTGTTGGATGGATTAGAAGAGACTATGACATACGGAAGAGGCTCAAGTGGTTCAAAGTCAGTGGAGCTGATGTTGAAAACTGGTGAAATGAAAATCGGAGTACATGTGAAGTATATAGAATCCATGAGAGCCATCGGTATGAGTAGTTCCACGGTGCTTATAATAGTCACTTGACGGCAGCTTTCATTAGATATTCTTTAATTAAATTATCATTTTAGAACTTGTAGCAACTATCATGTAAACTATTGCATAATGCCTTGGTAATGATTCACATTGTTTGATCTTCCAATTCATTCTCCAAGGCTTCATTTCTTTCTACGGTCGATTATGGCAGCCGAGACTCAGGTTCCAATTTCAGTAGGGCTTTATTCCTGAATTGTAGAGGCTCTGTACCTCAATTTGGCTACCCTATATACTATAACTGTGTGTAGTAGCAGTCATCAGGACAGTCACCTAATCTTATACAGCTAACCAAGCTTCAAAAGGTGTTATGGATATGAACCCTTCTGAAAAAATAGGAAAACGTGCTTGATAGCTAGTACCCTCTGTACTTGGCTTTTAACGCCAGCATGAATTAAGCAGTCTATGCTTACATCACCAGCTCCGGTTTCGAGCATTTGGTGGAATAAATGCAAGCATATCATTCGTAAGGCAAATGTCGCCGAGCGCAAATAAATTCCAAGGTCCTTGCATCAAGAACGATATGGTGCTCATTTTCGTTCTAAGGCGGTGGACCCGTGATCCTTTCATGATTCAATGTCAAAGATGATATTTTTTTGTTGTAAAGTCCCCAATAACTTGCTTTCTGGGTGCATTTCGGGTATTTGTGCCCGAAAGGGTTGATCACCTGCATCCAGACCTCAACAACTACCCGCCTCTTATGTCGGGATACATGAGTCAAAACAACCAAGTTCGTCTCTCTGTTTGTAGTGGGAAGCCACCATTGGCATCCTCGCAAAGCGGGTTGTCCTCGGCAAATCCAACCACGAGACTAGCGAGGGGAAATTACGGCGATGAGGGCCCTTTGGTCACAACGACCAGTCAAGCACTTTGCAAATGGTATCCGAGGTATAGATTGGGCTCGACCTCGAATTCTCAAAAGATCCTTTTCTCCTTGTGTGAGTTGACTCCCATATCTAAAAGCTCTTTGAAAATGATAACTTGAAGCTATCAATATTCACATCGTGGTGGACATTGGTATCATTTGAAAAGTAGTTCTCTCGCCTGCTTGTCCATCGCCACCCGCGCAGTTCGTAGAACGCCACTCTCGTAAATTTCTGAGAAATGGGCTAGGGTATTTTTGCACGTGGATTTATTGTGACCTGGTTTGCTTTTTGGATCTAACTGGTCCCCCGCAAGCCTTGGACTGTCTTGTTGAGATCTTTGAGGGAGGGCGAGATAAACTCGTATGCCCATGGCGGCACATCGAGGCGTGAAGCCAGCATCTGAGGTACGTGACTCGGTACAATGGGGGAGTGGAAGCAGCAGGAGAGGAATAATTTATAGTAAAGTCGCCGAATATACATTCCATTGTGAGAACGGACTGCGTGAAGGTGAGTATGGCACACTACCTATGTACGTAGTGTAGTGGGGAGACACCTTGCTCTCGTACCCAGGATGGATCATATAGCTAAATAGCTGGACTTAATAGCTACTAGTAGTTCTACAATATACCTTCTCATACCCGTAGACTTCTGACCTGCCCCCCTACGTTTGGGTTACTTGTCCATTCCCGTCACTACGCGTGTTTTATTGGTGATTACTCTCTAGATCGACCCGCACGTCGCTGGGCGTGCTGCCCCGGGCCGTCTAGCGCTATCCTCTTCAGTAGGTACCTTACTTTCGCAGTCCATGCCGAGGACGATCATGCACTGCGATACACAGGACTTGGTCGATTAAAACGGACTGCCTTATTATTTGGGGAAAAGGTCGAATATCTCCGACTGGGCTGCCAATGGTGTTTCTGTCGAGTTCGAGCTTCTCTGCCGATGAGAACTGATCATTCGCCCTTCCGACATCGACAACGTCAATCCGCCACCATCGAGTGATAGAGCCCTCCTGACACGCGGACTGCGGATTTTCGCCGGAGTATGAATGTTCAGAAACATCGGTATCATGACAAGCTTGCGGCAACCATCGGGCGTGCGAATTCCTTGAAAGCAAGGTCGTGAGGTCAGTCGGAGGACCCGCAGAGTGTGCTCTGCGACTACAGTGTTCAGGTTCTGAACACCCTTCTCCATCACTAAGCAAGCCTGTGATAACAACAAAAGTAAAATATACAGGCCATACCAACCAGTAAGAAATCGACAATCCCAATAATCATAGGAATTGACATGCAAACTTAACTAAAGGAAACAGAAGTTTCTTATTTCCTACTAGCCAAGAGTATGGAATGGACACAAGGGTCCCTACACCTGACTGATTGGTTGGATTACTGGGACAAGTTCGATTTACATATGGGCTAAACATTCTATCTTCCAGGATAAGATCTTCTTCCTATAGATTGAGGTTTAGAGTTAGATCCTCTGGATTGGTTGTCTTCGAGGAAAAGTTCTTCGGTATGAAGCATTGCTCGAGGTTTTGCCACTACGACTTGGTACGCCTCTGCAGATGAAAGCTGTACGGGTTAACTCCAGGATCGAACCGGGTCAACGAATTGTTCAATAGGAACAAAGGAAATATCAAGATCGATTGAATACGGCACAGCACCACTTCATTCTTAATAACACACCCCCCAGAGCCTCAGCAGGCTCTATGTTCCCGCGAAACATCAGCGCGATAGAATACATCAAGATGTGCAGTTAAGATATCTCCCATACGCGTCGAGTGATCGATCCACGGAGTTGATTGTATATTTTGGACGTCACGTTCAAGGGCGATTGGCTTAGGTAGCCTTGTCCTTGTTGTGGTAATTGACATCGGAGTTCCAGCTATAGACCTGTTAGTTGATTGTTTGCAAGCACTGGCATCACCATTTTGATCGATATGTTGGAGGGATGCAGGCAATTCTCCATGTAGAAGCACAGCTCCTCGTGGTGAATGCGTTGCGCCGTCGAGTATGAGAAACTCACAAGATGGTCTAAAGGATCAGTTAGTAAACACAGGTCATTCTGCCAAAGCGGTGCTCTCGGAGTAGAACGTACCTTGTCACCGTCACCCCATGGGAAGTTCTTGACGCGAATGTTCTGGTAGGGGTACTCGGTACGCTCCTCGAGAGGGGGCATGTGAGCCCAGTGCTCCCAGTGCTCCTCCCACAGGTTGTAGGCGTTGATACCGCCACCAATCAGGCAGGGAATGACAGCGCTGCAGCGAGTCTTCGTTAGCGATATTCGAGGTGGGAAAGATCTAGAACCGAATAGATCAAGCACTATGAAGTGAAGAATCGAGGCGGGACCGCGTACAAGATGGAGAGCTTGCGCCAGAGGCCTGCAGAGCCATTGAGTCAGTACAAGTCATGTAATCCAGCCGCAGGGTATAAGTGATCCATCTGCGGGGACGAAGAGAGCTATTCACGTACCGCTGGTGGAGGCTGCGTGGTGTTTGACATTAGCACGCTCACGGTTGAACTCGTTGTCGACGATCCACTCGGGTTTGGCCTCGGCGGAGTTGAAGCGGCGCTGAACGGTCTGACGGACCGGGGCCGAGCGCGTAGCACGCTGGGACAGACGGGCGGCGTTGCGGAGCATGGTGGGTTGGGGGGTGGAGGGGAGTTTGGCAGAGTCGGGGGTCGAGGAGATCGTACGTTGAAATCGAAGCCGCTTTAGTGGACTCCCGTGATCCCCCGGCTTATGTAACTCCACGTCACTCTACACATCACGTGACAAGCATGAATGTCATTTTTGACACGTGATGAGAACGGTGCTTGATATCACGTGATATTATTCTCCTGCGACCCAGGGCGAGCAAGGCTAGCTGCCTCCTGGACGTAAGCGCTGATTCTTTCCGTTTCACTCTCCGCATCGAGATCCGATCAGTTGAATCGTCTTTTTTTGTCACGTGGTGAATGCTGCCTCGTGGGGCGGAAGCTGCTGGAAATGGGGTTTCGCATCACCACCTGGAACGGTACGTTAATTGACCACTTGAATTGCGGCGATTGAGTTGCACCGCTTGGATCTGTGGCGAAATGCTAACTCTGTGTCAAGTCAATGGAATTCGGTATGCAAACCAGACTGGCAGTCCCCCGAGCCCGTGCTAATGGCCCACAGAAACCCATTCTCCTATGAGCCATGGAGAGGGACGAAGACTTTCGAGGTGAGACGTTTTGTTTATGGAAATCGCAGGCACTATTCTGAATCCTCTTCCAGTCTATGTTTGATATCCTCGAATCTGATATCGTGGTTTTTCAAGAAACCAAGATCCAACGAAAGGACCTGCGAGATGACATGGTCCTGGTACCCGGATGGGATTGTTACTTCAGTCTCCCTAAAACCAAAAAGGGCAAGTTCGCCTTCTTACAGCAATTTTAAATTCGTGGGCTAATACTATCATATCAAGGCTACTCCGGAGTCGTAATATACACGCGCAACGCGACGTGTGCTCCGATCCGCGCCGAGGAAGGCATCACGGGGGTTCTTTGTCCTCCAAACTCTTCAACCTCCTTCCGCGACCTGCCGGAAGAGCAGCAGATTGGCGGCTATCCAACACCTGAGCAGCTCTCACGGCCCAGTACCCTATCAAGCGATAGCTCGGGAGAAGAAAATGATGGTGAAAGCACACCAGCCGAACCTAGTGATGCCGCAACCCTCGACTCTGAAGGACGATGTGTCATTCTCGAGTTTCCCGCATTTGTACTCATCGGAACATACTGCCCTGCATACCGAGATGAAAGCCGTGATTCGTTTCGAATGGACTTTCTCAATGCGGTCGATGCCCGAGTCCGGAATCTCACCGCTATGGGCAAACGCGTGTTCCTGACTGGTGACATCAACATCTCCAAGTGTCCTATCGACTCTGCGCATGCTATTGAAGGTATTAGGAAATGCTCAACCACGGAGGATGAGTTTTTATCTAGTCCGCCCCGGAAACTTTTCAACGAGTTGCTCTCGGATGGAGTGGTGGTTGGAAAGCGTGGGGCCGGTCGCGAAAATCCGGTTCTCCATGATATTTGCAGGTCGTTCCACCCTTCTCGTGCAGGCATGTACACTTGCTGGGATACGCGACTAAACACTCGGCCTGGGAACTACGGCTCGAGGATTGACTACGTGCTCTGCAGTCTGGAAATGAAAGATTGGTTTTCTGACTCCAATATACAAGAAGGCCTGATGGTGTGTATGAACCTGAAGCTGCCTTATTTGCACCTCGCTAACCTGATGATCTGCAGGGCTCTGACCATTGCCCGGTTTACGCTCTCTTCAAGGACCGAGTGTCTCTTGGAGGGGAAGAAGTTCATATCCGTGACCTCGTGAACCCGCCGGGGTTATTCAGAAATGGCGAGCGACAACACGAGTATACCTCACGGCTCATCCTCACATCATCTGGACGGTTACTCCCCGAATTCGATGTCGATAGAAGGCGAAGCATCAAAGACATGTTCTCTCGGAACACCCCAAGTGCGCCAAAGGCGATACCTGTCCCCACTCCCCCCACAGCATCTACACCCAAAGAGGCTAGAGATTCTCCGCCTATATCTATAAACGAAAGCGCAGCAAAATCAACCCGCAAGCGATCCCAGCCACCCCCCATATCACCTGTCAAGCGTTCGAAATCCACCCTGTCCTCGTCCGCGGCCTCGTTATCAGGCCAAAAAACCCTCGCCGGCTTTTTCAAGCCGAAGCCTACCCCCAGTGGAACCGTATCTACATCAGCAACAGCCTCCGATTCTCGCCGGGATGTAATGCCTTCCACCGCAAGTGATGCGTCGCTCCAAGTCGACTCGGAGGCGAACCCCCAGCATCCCAACGGCGACCCATCCACTCAATATCCAACCAGCCAGTTGCACAGTCAGGTCGAGGACGATACCGTGATTGACCCGATCGTTAGTAAAGAAGATTGGACGAAGTTGTTCACCAAGAAACCGGCGCCGAAGTGTGACGGGCACCAAGAGCCATGTATCAGCTTGACCACAAAGAAACCAGGGATCAATCAAGGACGGGCGTTCTGGATCTGCCCCCGGCCACTTGGTCCCAGCGGCGAGAAAGAAAGGGGATCACAGTGGCGATGTCCGACATTTATCTGGTCCAGCGATTGGAATCCATTGTCCCAGCAGGAACCTTAATAGGGGCGTGGCTGGGGGAGCTTATTGTCCTACACACGCCCTCTTACAATGCACTTTGCCAGATTTTGCTGTCGCCCTCTAAGATGCCTTATCCTGTTTGACCGTAAAATAAATCCCTTGCTCCTTCGATCGGCATATTAACTTTGCGGATCGGCCGCGGCCCTCCTTGCTTCGGGTCATCAACCTTAAATGCTATTGTAGAACCGAAAAAAAGAAAAAAAGACACTGTAGGAAATTTTTTATTCGGTGCTGTCATGAGTAGCAATTCCCGTAGTGTAATCTCTATGGGAATTCGCCGGGGGCGTAGTCACGTAGTCCGGGATTTTGCGGTGCGGGGGACCCGCAAGTGCTGAGTGAATGCAGAATAGGGCTGGCCAACTCTATGGGCCCACCTGGGGTATACAACAGTCACTCATAAACAGGTTGTATTCACTACTTAGGTGCTATCGCAGTCTAGTGCTTGAGGTGCCTCAGGCCACGATAATAGCGAGAGTATTCACTAGGAAGGAGCGATCTAGGAAAGATAGGTGCGTTCTTTGTTCCTTCCTCAATTCACTAGTTCCTGTAGTGGCAACCACAACAACAGCAGCTATCGAACAAAAAAGGTGAAACAGCCAATGGTCGCCTGGAAACATAAATATCGCCATCCTTTTCGATTCTTCTCTTCCTTTTTCCCTCTACACTCGATCTCACCCCCTCCTCCGCTGCCCAAATTTTCCGTCCGTGTCAGCGCACCGAAGGAACAACCTATCAATCGAGTCAACCTGTCCGCTTCCAAATTTCTCCTTACGCGTCTATCGTTCAAGCCTCACGCGTCGACAAGGTCGGGGCTACGAGTGGAAGCAAAGGGACCAGCTATCCAAGCGTCTTGGATACGCCCTTTCTCGCAGGCCTGGCCATCACTTCGTCGGATCATTTGATCCCTCGAATTTCTCGTACCCTTCAAATTCTCCTGTCTCTTCATTAGCTCGGCATTTTCGACCACCCTGACCACCATGTCTGCTTATAACCGCCAAGGCACGAGCACGATGTATGGAACAGGTCCTCTAGGCCAGAGCACATGGCCGCCTGTTGTGCTCCGCCTATTTGATTATTTGACCACTGTTCCCGCAGATCGCGCCATGCGAGTTCTGGGATTGTGGCCAGATAACATTCCTCTAGAGGAATTTGCTCGTCTTATGGTCGCCGCAATCCCGTCGACGTGGTATACGAGCACGCACTGGGTGCCAGAAGGGCCCCGACTGGTTTACCAGAAGGGTCTTCTTGTGTGGGACGAAAATAAGCAAGAGAGGGAAATTCCAGAGATCATTACATTCCACCACTTTGAGGTGCCTGCGGATACCGCCGAAACTCCCGGATCTCGGCCACGAAAGCGCTCCATCAACAGCTTCATGGCATTCAGGAGTAAGTACTCTTCCACAATAATTCTTTCACAGGGGCCAACAGCCTTCAGGTTACCTTTCCCCAGCATTTCCGGGTGCCCGCCAAGCCGCAAAGTCCTTGGCTCTGGCCGAGATGTGGCCGGACGACCCGCTGAAGCCGCAATGGTCACTCATTGCACGGGCTTACACGGTGGTGCGTGACAACTTCATCTTGCGCGACACGTCTCTTTTTGTCTTCACTCAGCATGCGGCGAGAATCATCGGCATGCCTGAGTCCGATAGGTACCTCGAGACATGCGGTTTCAGCGCGAGACTCTACCAAGATGGGCGAATCCAAATATTTGAGTCGTTCGGTCCCCAACGTCCCTTGCGGATCCGTACAACCACGGTCCACGAAATCGTGGACAGTCTCTTGCGAGTCAGTGGCTACGGAATGGAACGACTTCCAAACTCGACCTGGCCGTACCGCGGTGGTTCTTGCCAAGGCCAAATGGCTGTTACCAAGACCAGCCTTGATTCTCATAAGGACCAGGAAGGCCAGAAGGACCAGAAGGACCAGAAGTTTGTTGACGATCCGCTGGCTTACTTGTTCGACGAGTTGCCATGGGACCTGACGATGTTTGATACAAACGATGTTATCGACAACAGCCTGGATCCGATGCGCCATCTCGTGACCTGGCCGGCCCAAGATCTCGAGGCACTCAAGGAGATGCGACTCCTCCACAAGGACGCCTCGTCCTTTTATCGCAAGGACGCGTCGGGCTTTTATCACAAGCTTCGTACGTCGGGGCAAAGCGCATCTTAGTAGTCGCGGGGCAGAATCTTACAGTACGCTGTTTCGGAGGCGTTCGAGTTTCCCCTCTGACCTTTCGCTTCCTGGTGCATATAGTAGCCACAGATGGGTCAATTGTGTTCGTGGGTTGAGACAATTATTCTTTTGAGATGCTACCTTGTATCTACCTGTCTCGGAGGCCGTCAACCATTCCCCTCTGACCTTGGCTACCTAGTACGTTATGGTGCCAACAGATGGATTGTTTCTGTTTGTTCCCGATCTACCAGTTCTGCCGAACATTACCCCAGCCCATTCCCCTTCGTATGTTTTTTGGCTTTTGATTGTTCTCCTATATCTATCTATGCTGGAGGTGGCCAACAGTTTCATCTCTGACATCGACTACCTGGTACACTAGTGTCGATAGATGGATTTTTTATGTCCTCCTTCCTGAGTTTGTGATGCTTTTCCCAATGTCCGTCTATCTATCCTGAGGTTTTCGGCAGTATTCTCTCTGGTCCATCTATCTAGTACGATATGGTAGTGATAGTTAGATTCAAGCCTGCTAAAAACAAATATCATAATGTTCGGCAGAAATTTGTTCTCTTCTCATAGATTCTCTACTAGGAAATATCCTCCCCTTTACTTCGTACCTCTTTCCCTACAACGGTGCAAAGAAATAAGTAAGCTTGTTGCTGTTTCAAAAGCCAGTCTTCCAGAAACACGGCCAGTATCTGCTGTTTAGTCCTTTGCACTTTGTCAATGGCCGCGGCAATGTGGTCGAAGTCAGCTTCAAGTAATTTAGGGCCTTCCCAAGCAGAGGCACTACTCTACGTCTACGTCGTGCTTGATGGTATCTTAGAAAGAAGGAAGAATTTGGTACATTCGCTAATCTCCAGTGACGAGGATTACTGACAGAAAGATGTGATATTTGTTAAGCAGGAACAGGGCGAATGAGGACGGGACAAGCAGTTCCTTGGAATGATACTCAAGATATACAATGCGGAGGGAGAAAGTAAAGACGACGCGGTGATATAAAGCAATTGATGAATTCGAGGAAAGCAGTTTACTCTTCCTGGTAGGAAATCTTGCGCATCTCGCCAAGGCGTTGGCGGGCGCGGGCGAGGTTGTTTTCCAGTTGTAGGATCTCGACCTGGAGGGGTGAAAATAGTTAGCAGATGACTCGGGGAATAGATACTTGATAGCAGAGACCCAATTGGCCAAGGAATGTGGGAATATGTGGGGAATGGGGAAATGCGTATGAACGTACCTGTTGCTCCATCTCGCGGACTTTGAACTCGTGCGAACTCAGCGCACCGTAATCCTCTGTCTCGTTTTCGCCACTGTGCTTCTCCTTGATGATGTCTTGCACCTGTCGCACCAACGCACGGCATGCAGCACCAACGGCCTTGCTGGCACCCTCCAGGCGGTCCTGGGACTTGCTCATGAAAGTAGCCTTGACACGACTAGCAGCCACAAGCTGGGCGGTACTGGCGGCGACGTCGTTGGAGGCGACGATGAGTTGCTCGGGGGAGTTACGCCCGGAGATGACACCGTCAGCGGTCTCGATCAAAGTGTTAGTGGAACCAGCCACAGCCTTGGCGGCAGAGATCAAGCCCTCGGTCCAGCGGTTGTTCTTCTTGTAGAAGGCTGTGGCGGAAGAGGTGCCTCGGCCCTCGCGGACGATCTCCTGCTGCGACACGGTGGCAGCCTTGATCAACTCGGCGATAGCAGTGGTCACTGCGATGGCAGCGGCAAGAATTGAATCATTAATCCGCAATTCATAGGTCGAGTAGCCATCGCGGGGCTTGTTCTTCAGCTTCGCCAGGCGCTGGGCGGCCGCGTCGATCGCGTCGGCGGCCTTGGTCAGCTCAGAATCAACAAGGTCTCCCAAGTCGCCGTTGGTGGTGATCTTGCTGCTCTTGGGGGTGAAAGATTCAACCAGCTTCGACAGGGTCTGCAGGTCGCGCTGCACCTCCAGGTTGTTGTTGATAACAACATCCGTCTTGTGCTCGGCCTCCATACCCTCGAGACGGAATGACTGCAGACCACGGAAGAAGCGCACAGTCGCCTGCGCAGACTTGCGAGCAGCACCGAACAGGTTGTCCGAGCTCTTATCGTCGTTAGCGAAGCGAGACAGACCCTTGGTGTTGCTGAGGGTATCGGCAATCGATCCCGAGAATACGGACACGGTGCGGATAATCTCGGCATGGGGGCTGTTGGGGCCATCGGCGATGAAGTTGTTGAAGGCAGTCGAGAACTCGGTGGCGGAAGCGGCGGCCTTTTCGATCTGAGACAGGACATAGGGAGGCGAGGCGTTCTGGTTACCGGCTTGCATGGACGAGTCCAGCTCATACATCGCGTCGTCCACGCGCTGCACACCAGCTTGCAGCACGGAGTCGATAATGTCGTTGATCTTGGCCACTGTTCCATGAAGGACAGTGTCGATCTGGCTATCAAGGGCGTGGTCGGCGTCACCTTGGTTCTGTACAGTTGTTCATTAGCAAAAACCTGCAATCGATGGCTTGCAATGAGCCACTTACCAGCTTCAGCTCCTCGAGTTCCATCAGAGCTTGCTCCATGCCAGACTTGTACACCTCGATCTCCTCGTCCTTCTCGCGAAGAGCCATGTCATGGTCTCCTGAGCGCTCTGAGTTGCGGCTGTTGATGTCCTCCAGGGCGCGGTTTTTAAGCTGGAGACAGTCAGTAAAAGGAATTACTTCATTGAGCACGCGGGTTGAATGCTTACGCGAAGAGCTTCCTCCAGGTCGGCCATTTCACGGTTATACTTGGACAGCATGGAAGATATCTCAGTGCCCTTGGAGCGCTCGGCATTTTCAGCACGGTCAATCGCCATGCGAAGCTCCCGCTTAACCTTCTCCAGCTCATCCTTATTCGTACCAGACACGCGGTCCTTGTCGTGCAAAGCACGGTCACGCTCCCGAATCATATCAGCCAGCTCGAGGTTCTTAGTCTTGAGCTCACGCTCCAGCTTCTCGCGGCGGTCAATCGCCTCTTGTGCGGAAGCCGCTTTGATCTTCAGGCTCTTGGTGGTCTGCAAGAGATCCAGGTGCTCCTGTCGCAACTGCGAGTAGAGCTTGGCCAGGGCCTCGTACTTGGCCCGCCAGGTGTTCACCTGTTCCTGCAAAGCGCGGATCTGCTCGTCCTTAGAGGAGTTCTGCAAGTTAATGTTCGAGTTCAGCTGATTCATCTGCTCCTCCAGGTCCTTGACACGGCGGTCGTACTGCTGCAGCATGAGCTGATCACGCTCATACTGAGCTCGAGCATTAAGGTTCTCTTGCTCCAACTCTGCCAGTCGACCCTGTGTTTGTGTTTGATACTGGTCACGAAGGAGCTGCTCCTGGGCCAGGCGTTGTTGCTCAGCTTGCAGGCGCTGCTGCTCTTCAAAGTCGAGCTGAGCCTGCTGCTGGGCAAGCATCTGCTGCCGTTGCTGTTCCTCCCACTGCTGTTGCAAACGGGCCTGCTCCGCCTCATATTCTTCTTGCTGGCGCTTGGCCTCGTTTGTCCAGAAATCACTGATGGGCTCGGGCTCAGCAGCGACCTTGGGTGGCGGAGAGGGCTGGGCCTCAACCTCCCTCGCGGGGCGTTTCGGCAAAGCTGGCCGCTCGTCGTCTTCGCCCAGCAGGTTTGGCGGGTCCTGCGGCAGTTTCGGGATGGTGATCAGACTGGTCAGATAACGAAGGTTCGAGCACTCGTAGTAGAATCGCACGAGACGATGGTGCTGGGCATCGTAACGGCCACGAAGGGGCTCAAGAGCTCCGTCATCGCCAGTTGCTGTAGCAAAGTCAGCATGTGAAACACCAGGCAGGCATTCAAGAGGAAACATACTTGTGTGCATTGCGCGCAGCATGCTAGTAATGAACTTGTAGATACCATAGCTCTCTTGCACAAGCGGCACCAGAGCGGAAATACGGCACTCGTTGTGGGTTCCGGACTGGAAGTGCGAGAAAATGAGCTTCTGGAAGGCATCAATCTGGTCCTGCAGGGTCATGAGGTCGGTAATTGTCTCGTAACTAAGAAAATCTGTCAGTACCTCATCCACAATCCAACGAAGCAAATCTCATGCGTACCCCTCATTCGGGTCATTTATCGTCTTCAAGCTAATGTACTCCTCATATTCGAACAATCCTGCATACCGTTAGTCCGTCATCCGGGTTCGAATCGGGGTATCTAGGAATAGCATGCCATTGAATTCCGGGTGATTGCGGTGGAAGGCCAGCTTCGACTCGAGGAAGAAGACGTATTCGCGAATAAGCGGAGCATATCCTATCCAACAATATCCATGTCAGCGTCTGGTCGAATGCGCAGGTGGTCGGTCGAGCGGATGCCGATTGCGCGCAAGTATCATACCTCGAACACCGTCACTTCCAACACCTCGCATCAAGCTATCGACCCAGTTGGCATGCTGCTGTGCCTCGCGCACGACAATTGGGTGGCCTTCCTGGAGGACCTTGTGAATCGTGATCAGGGCCTTGAACGTCTGGACCTCGTCGGCAAGAACGGGCTGCCTGTAATGGGCAATTATATGTCAGCTATGCATGCCCTTTTGTAATCCCGTCCAGTGCTCGAGTCACATACACTTTCATGCCAGCCCAAAAGGCCGCCGACGACTTGTGGTCCCACGTGTAGACGATGCAGCTTCGCACATGTTTCCCTGCAATGGCAAAAGCAGTTAGAGTCGATTATTCGATATAAAAGGCGCATGGTTTCTCTCGGAGCGGTACTAAAATCGCAATTCAGACGTACGTTTTGGAGCGGTTTCCTCTATTCATGCGGGATGAGCAGTTAGCCTCTGCGTCCTTGTCTAGCTTCCATGACATCCGGCAAACACTTACCAATGCTCGTGGCCTTGCGGATATTGATGGCCAGATCAGCCTCCGTGCTAGATGATCCCTATTAGCCGTCTGCCCAATTCAAGGGGACTGAATTGGGTTCCGCGTACCGACTCATCTTGACCGGATGCAATGCGGGACACGGGGCGCGGGTTCAGGGGGCAAAATGAAATCTTGCTTCGCAGCAGATCCCGAGTCCGGACAGCGCAGAGATGTCAGAGAGGGCGCTGACCGGAGAAGATGAAGTTGAAGCGTGAAGATGTCGCACGTGGAGTGCAATGACGTTGGGGGGAAAGCTGGCGCCTGTCAGTCTTGGCGACGCCTAAGCCCATCCCTTGTCGGCGGTGTACATCTCGCGCGTCTTAAGTCCGACTGCGCCACCTGCCATGCATTGCCTGTCGGGTGCTCAATCAGCCCGCCTATAGTGTATACACGATACAGTGGTAGCCTGGATTCGAATAGGAGATGTTCATTGAAAAATTAAATTGCCTAACTCCGTCGCGTGACAGCACACAAAAAAGGGTATCGTGGCTCTATACGTCAAAGACTCCGATGCGCCATACCTCCAGCCTGAGACAAACTTCGATCCTGCAGGTATGAAGCTAAGCAGAGTCGACACTCAGACAAACACATCTAAACGCCTCAAGAGATACACCAGCGATAATTCGGTTGAACAGCAGCAATGATGTTATCCTTTTTAGTACATATGCATGGAAAGGAAGGAGATAGTAAGATGATCGTGATCGAGGTAGTTACAGATGTCCAGCATCCGGTTTGGCCTCATCTTCCAATGACTGAGAAATGCTAGCAGTGTCTGTATCTGCTGGAGACATATCACTCTCGAGTAGGATAGCCTCCGCCGGGCCCTCTTCCGTGTCCATGTTTCCTCCGGCAGGGCTATTGGGGGTCGAGTCGGTGGGTGCTTGTACCACAAGCAATTCATCAGCGTTGCCACCAGCTCCGTCCGCCGCTGAGGGAACTGGCTTGCGGCGAGGTAATGGTGGAGATGGCACAAATCGTTTATTTTTGTCGGCGGTCTTCGGTCGCTCAGGAGGGGCTGGTGCTCCAACAGGCTTGCGCTTAGGGAGCGTTGCCGAATTCCTTTTCAGGGCATATTTATCCGGGCGCGGTAGAGGAGCCCCAGGTGGTGGATGAGGATGACCGCGCCCAATGGGCTCGTCGGGTGTGCCTGCTGGGTTTTGGGAGGATTCTTGGTTCTCGTTCGGCTCGCCTTTCCCAAAGACACTCCAGCTCCATTTCTTTGCGGCAGCAGTGGCCGAACCAATTGTCACATTGCCAGTCTTCTCATCTGCAGCGACCGAAGTCAGAGACCTGGTCAAGGTATCAATGGTGCTCCGTCGTCGAGACTTTTCACTGGCAATCGAGGTATTGATCGAAGTTGTGGAGCTTTCTCGCGAACTTCTGGCACTGGAGTAGGTGCTATTTTCGAGACGAGCCGAAGAAGGGCTTTGGATAACATGGTCACTAGAAAAGCTCGCACTATAGAGAGACTCGGCAATGGAGGGCTCACGGCTATGAACCGCGCTCTGGGCCGCGCCCTCGGGCATCGTGATGCCCGCAGTGGGTGGTGAGCTGCTCGGTGTCCTGTTCGGAGTAGTAGGTGGGGAACGGTTTGATATCTCAATCATTGCGCTAGTTGCACTGCTCTTCTCATCACCCGGGTTCCCAGACATGACTTTGTTGACCTTGGCATTATCTGCAGTCACGACGGGGTCTGCTGCCTGGGAAAAGGTCTGCGAACGCATCGCACGATGGAAGGTCTTGTTTTCCGGTCTGTTGATGCTCGTCGAAGACGCCGTTGATTTGTCGGACTGCGAAGGGAAGACGAATGATTTGGGTGCTTTGCGCGGTTTAATATCGGCCTTTGAGGACTTAGGAAGAACAGGCATGCTCATGGTTCGATCATCTTTCGATTTCAATACGTCGATAGAGTCCACGGGAGCACACTTTGGTGCCGGCGGAACTGGCTCGGACTCGTCAGGGATTTCAGCCGAAGGATTGTCGAAATCGGGCTCGTCTCGCTGCCAGATACCACCCCGGAAGGCCTGGCCGGCGCTTTCATGGAACGGGATGTCATCCCAGAACGGCAGTACAATACTCTCTGCCATCACCTCGCGGATCTTGCTTTCGATCGTGCGTAGTATAGGGCTGAACGTGATTTGTTTCGAGCTGACAATAGGTTGGATGTCCATGACCATTCTCGGCATGGTTTCGAAAGACATCCAAAACCGGTTGCTGGGCGGAGGCTTGAAGCGGACTAGCAGGTGGCCCTCGAGTTTCTTCAGAACCACTGCAAGCACAATGTCGACCTCTCTTGCTTTGAAACGCTGGCCCAGATCGATGCGCACCGTGGCTGAGATCTCTACCCGGAAGTTCCCTGCGTATTGAAGATCCATCTCGACACAAGTGTTGCCATCGACTGTCAGATCCTTCAATCGCGGGTTTGTTATGAATGGTGCTCCCTCACCCATGTCAATCCTTTGAAGTCCGATCTTGCTGATAAAGTTCGGTTTGTTGACGCGGGAAATCTTCTTGGTGATCTTGCTTCGTACGAATTCCTCCATCTCAGGTGTTCGATACAAAGCCAAGAAGAGGCGTCCAAAGAAAGCATTGATCCATCGTGTTTGAAGCTGCTCTTCGGATGAGTGGAGCCGTTGAACCAAAGACACGATATGCTTTACGTCAAAATCCTGCTGCTTGGGTGGTTTGTCCGCCGACTCCCAAATCTTGGACTGGTTCTGCAGCATGGCAAAATAGAAGTCCTCCTTCTCCGACAAATTCTCAGAAAACATGTAGAACGGTGGGGTCGGGCCACCGAGGTCGCCCAGCGAATCCAGTCGCCGTGACAGACAGATGGCGTTCCTCTTGAGCCACAACTCTCCCTCTGGGATCTCGCCCTCGCCGCCATGAATGGTCACATCGTGATGAGCAAGGGAGATGACATAACGCACTTCCACCTGGTTCAAGTCATCATAAAGCATCAGATGACCATGCCTATAAATGCGCAAGAGTTTGTTAGCACATTGATCGACCATTCAGCCTCATCAAGCAAGCAGAGCAACACATACCGAAGAACGATGTAAAAGACATTCCGCGCCCGCTTGATATTCTTGCTGTTTGCCTTTGCCGGCTCAATACTCGGTGTCTGTCTCCGATCAAACAAGCTCCGATACATCGTCTGATAGACGCTGGGGCTCTCAGCCGCAACGACCTCGCCCGCAGGCGTGGTTCTCTCGGGTGGCTTCCCATTGACACCGCCAGGTACATATTCCCGACAGACAGCAAAGTAACCAGCCGCGACATCGGAGTCATGGGTGCGGTGGAATTCCTCTGCCAGCTGATCCGTACCAGACTTCAAGCTATACTCATCGTCGCCGGGTCGACGGACCGCATCGGAACCTCGGTCGCATGGTGGTTGGGAGGTTGGAGCATCCGGAAGGGTCAGGTAGGCGAAGAGGAGGGTCAATGTGAGAATCAGAGGGAAGAAAGTGAGTCCCCCGAGCGCGTAGATGACGAGAAAGCTGCCGAGAGAGCCCATGGGGAACCAGTCGTCGATCAAAGCGGGAGGGCCGAAAGCTCCATAATTTGGGACCAGATTCTCGTCCGAAGAGCAGCGATGCTTGGGCAAGGTAAAAACGAGAGACCGGCTCCGACAGAAACGGCAAGTAAAAAGAACGAAGATACCGTGCAGAAGAGCTGAACAGGGGAGTTGCAGCTTCCACGGCGCACGACGGATGACGGAGTTGCTGGGTCCCGCCGGAGCTCGTGGGTGGGCCGCGTGGTATCTGTTTTGTCAGTGTATTACATCATTATGATACATCTTCATAGTGAACACTTGGCATTCTTAAGCGCTGGGGTATGTTACGTGTCGGTACTGTATTGTAATAATGATTTCATTACACGCTGGTTGAAATGGGAACCCCGCAGGATCCGACCAGCTGTCAGGAACGACCTGCCCTGCAGAACGTTTTGGCCGCCAGGACTGCTGAGAGGCTAGGTTTTAGAGAGAGGCTGGTCAAATACTCTTCTAAAAAATGCGATATTCGCTTTCAGAATGGCTTGATGTATTGCAGCCGATTTCTCTGGGCCAGGAACATGCAAAATATAGCTTTATCAGCTGCAGAAGTTACCGAGGTACAAAGCTACGATCCAGGACCAACCCCAAAATAACTTGACGGCCACGAGTACCTCTCGTATCCTTTCCGCTACCGATTTTCTAATAATCGAGTGGTATCTATTTTTCTGTCTGGACCTTCACCTATTTGATCGCTCCCCAGCCATCTGTTTTATACACAAGAAACCGAAGTATATCTCTAGAGAAAACGAAAGGCATTGGTGCTGCTCCAAACTGTATGTAGAATGGCCTAATGCTATGCCATGGTTTCAATCGTTCACTATACCAAATAGCAATTTTCAACAGCAGGATGGACACGGTATATTTCTACCTTATAATAGAAAGACATCATCAACTCAAACAATCCTTTGGAAGTATTATTGAGTCTGTAGGACTGACTCTTCAAGTCGGAGGGGGACGATGTAGCTCAGCTAGAACAACACGAGCATGCCGAGCAGTAATAATACCTATCTAGATAGACACCCATGGATGCTAGGTAAGGGGCGCCAACTACTAGAGATTTGGTTTGGCCCTTATTTGGTGGCCTTGTAAGACTATACTAATGACAGATCCGAAGCATTTGAGCCATTCGAAGGATCTGCATCCTCCTACCAAGCCCATTATTGCTTCCTACTTCCCAGGAAAACTCAGAGTGTGTCCATCAACAAACATCGGGACCACTTAAGGCAAATGAAGAAAGTGGATCTACAAAGGGCATTGAGGCCATGCCATTTCCCAGTATCAAACACCCACAGGCCATGACTTAATCCAACATCGCGTGAAATGAAATATGTATTGTACATTCAATCAAACAAAGAAGGGGAGAACAACAGATCTATCTCATACATCTATTGATATGATACAAAGCTCGTGAGACGGCCTACTTCCGGCGCTGCATGGTCTTCTCACACATCTCAAGCAGACCTGCCTTGGCTTCGCCCTCGGGGAAATCAGCGATGGCAGCAGCGGCCTTGTCAGCGTAGTCCTGGGCCAGCTGACGTGTCTGTTCAACACCGTTGCTACGGTGAACGAGTTCACGGGCCTGAAATACTACTGTCAGGATAAAAATACTAGGGTCAAAGCATAGCGGTTTGACTTACCTTCTGTACATCGCCCTCCTCACTGAACTTCCGGCCGACAAGAGGACCCAGCTCGGGGTTACTCTTCCATGCAAACAAGAGAGGAGCGGTGGCCAGACCTAGCTCCAGATCAGCGCCGACGGGCTTGCCCATCTCTGCCGCGGTGACGGTGTAATCCAGCATATCGTCTACAAGCTGGAATGCCAGTCCCAAGTTCCGGCCATAGGCATATGAAGCCTCGACAACCTCAGGGGCACACCGACCCAGCACAGCTGAAGAGCGGCAAGACTTACTGATCAGACTGGCGGTCTTCAGATAGGTCTTCTGCAGATAGTACTGCAGAATGTCGTCGTTATAGACCGGTTTCGCCTCATCCTGAGCCGTGTTCTTCAACTGCATGAACTCACCCTCCACAAGGTTGGCAATGACCGTGGCCATCAGCTCTGTAACCTCGGGATCGCGTAACCGGGCCAGAGCCACGGAGGCCCGGCCAAGCAGGAAATCACCAGCCAGCACGGCCATCTTGTTTCCGAACGCGGTATTTGCGGAGCTGCTCGCGCGGCGGGTCTCCGCGTTATCGATAACATCGTCGTGGAGGAGGGAGGCAGTGTGGATGAGCTCGGTGATCTCGGCCAACCGACGCTGCGAGGGAAGAATGTTCTCGTCCCCGGAGACATTGTACTGGTGGCTTTCGGTCGACTTGGAAACAAGCGGGTTGAAGTCGGGATTTGAGTCGTCGAGAATGGAAAAAGAGCTAAGAGGACTATCGACGGGTTTTTTGTTGGGAGATTGGTCGGCCGGAAGTTTGCGAGGGTCTATCGCCGTGGCCTGGGACATCAGAAGGACCAGCAATGGCCGCATATGCTTGCCTTCGCTACGCGTGTAGTACTTGGCAACATTATCGAGAGCCGGGTGTCCAGATCCCAGCAATTGACGAATGTTCTTGCTCATAAACTTCAACTCTTTGCCGACGATGCGCAACGGGTCGACCGAGACGCCGGGCGACGCCTTGGGCATGCCCTTGATCAAGGTTTGGGCCACGGAAATGGCGGCGCCAAATTGCGACGCATCGCGCCGTCTTGTGGGGTGGTATTTGCGCGATTGAAGGGTAGAAGGAGACGCGGACGAGAGGAGATCATCGCGGAGGCATCGCGAGCACACGGAGGCCGGGGAGGTGGTTGATCGCGTGAGCAGCAGCCCGGCGGCCGAGGCGGTTCGAGCTCGCATGGTCGATGCGAGGGGTTAAATTGGGTCCAGATGCGAATCTAGACCATGAAGGTCGGGTTAAAGCGAGGGTGATGGGTTGGGGTGTTTGGGGGAGGACCGGAATAATCCTGCGGGAAGATTTCAAGAGCTCTCGGGACAGCACGGGCCAAGCGAACGCCGGGGCACCGAAACGGCCGCATTAGAAAAGTCGGAGTCGGGATCCATCTAGACATTCTACGGAGACTTGGCAATATTCTCCTAATACTTGAAAATATTCCGAGAATACAAATCAGACGATCCGCGTGTAATTAATGTTCGCTGTCCTCGAAAGGGCCACATCGTATTCGGAACAAGCTGCTCGGAAGCAACCCGGCCTCTCTCTACTCAAACTAGAACACTAGAACAGGACACTACACCGACAGGCCCAGTGGAGAATAAATGGTTCGGGTTAAAGAGACATGAAAATTGCGCCGGTCAGCTTGGTCCTGCACATCCCTCCTTCTTACAAATCCAAAAGGAAACTTAATAAAGCGAAATTGCACACAATTAACACATGGGTTGAACAAGGCCGCTACGTATCGACCCGACGCATAGGGCCCAGGGCGAAAAGGAAGAAAGAAAAGCTGTATCCATTGCGGGAGAGAAATACCACCGTCTTAGATGGCATCGAAATCACCACCAGCGTCCTCATCGTCCATGTCTCCCTCCTGGATCTCCTTGGCGAGTTCGCGCTCGCGCTCGCGGGCCTCCTGAGCACTCTTCAGCTCCAGACGGTGCTGGTTCATCGGGAATCGCATAGCCTGTGACTGTATTAATAAATATTTGTATCAGCAGAAGCAGATGTACATACCTTGACACTCTCATCATGAAGAGCCAGACAGGCACGAATACGCTCGTGGAACGCCTCTCCGGGTTCCCGGGTAGCATAGATATCACCCACTTCCTTGCTCTTCATGTAGCCGTGTTCGTGGTCCAGGGTTGCCTCGATGACACCGTCCCGAATAGCCTTGGCCACAATGTACTCAGCACTCTCCTCGCTGTCCAGACCCAGACGCAGGCAAATATCCCGCAGGGAGATGCGAGAGTAGGACAAGGACATCATGCGAATACCGGTCTTGATGACATTCTGCCGCAAGCGAAGGATCAGAGTGTATGTGCCATCCTTGCGGAACGCCGCGCTGTGTGTGTTCACAATGTTGAGGAAACAATCCAGATCACCAGCACTGACTGCCTGCGCGAGCAGCAGATAAGGGTGCATGGACTTCTCTAGAGCCGGCTGGCGGAAAACTGCACGGTCCGGAATGTCACCCATCAGAAGCTCGACAACTACAAGCAGTTTGTGCGAGGATTGGTAGAATCCACGAGCACTGTGGCTAGTAGGAGACTTGCGAGTGGCACCGATCAAGTGGCTGTGAGCATCGGTGTACTGGAGCTGGATAGCACGAATACGACCGAGATAGTACAGGTACCGAGCAAGCTGGTTGTTCGAAGCCGCTGCAGGGAAAACATTGTGGGAAATCAAAAGATCCGCCTGCGTGATGTGAGAAGTCGACAGGTAGTTGCGGAGCAGCAAGGTCATGGCCGTAGCCTGAGTGTCGACATCCTTGCGGAGAACTGCTGTTCGGAGAGCGGCCAGCAGCGGCTGACGAATGGTCGTAACAGCAGCCATTGGAGATGGAGGAAGCGGAGCCATTTGCTCGTAGAACAAGGAATAGTAAAAGTACACGCGAGCCGCGAGGGAGTCCAGCGTACGGCGGTTCTGGGCGCGGAGGCGCTCAATCAGGTTTGTCGAGAATTGAGCACCCTTCTGAATCTGTCGCTGGTCGAAGAGGTAGATCTGCACCAGAATCGAAAGGTATGTGTCCACCTCGGGTAGGGTCTCCTTCGCAGCCGCCTTGTTCTTATCCGAGTCCACCTCCATCTTCAAGCTAGCCAGACTCTCAAACGCATCAGACTTGTCAAGGGCATCCAGCAAGAACGTCGCCATCTGGTTGGAGGCCGGGTAGGTGTCCACGATCACTTGAGCAAGAACTCCCGGTTCAAGCTGTTTCCGCATGGATGATATCGACCGCAGGACACGGAGGGTAAATCGGGGATCAAAGTGGGCGACGGCTCGCTCGAGTAGGGTGAAATTGGTCTTGATGTCTATATAGAAGGAAAGGTAATTGATACGCATCAGTAAACGGAGCTTGCGTGCTTGCAGCGCAGCAGCTTTAATCCAGAACGCACCTTGGATGGCCTTAGTGATTGGGTCGATTTCGGGCTCGGTGTTCGCAGCATCACCTTCGTCGGTGCCCTCCATCGTCACATCCTCCTCCTTGTTGCCAGACGATTTGGAACCCTTGGTTGGGGGCACTACAACAGTCATCTTCTCGTCACCATTCCGGTTCTTACTGGAGTTGAATGAGGATGTAGGCGCACCTGCCGTATCCTCCTCCATCTCCACGTCCTCGGAACCGTTCACGCCATTCTCGGTTGACTTGGACCCGTTGACATGCGACTTATCATCTTCTCCCATTCCGGCGTCCGATGCGCCCTTGGCGGCGCCTTTCTTTGCTGGGGCCGCTTTGGCCTTGTTGGCGGCGGCGCGAGTCGTAGGCGCGGCCTTGTCTTTCGCACTGGAGCTTTGGGAGTTGGAGCGAGCCTTTTCACCGTTAGCAGATGAAGAGGTGTCCGACTTGTTGTTAGATCGCAGAGAACGCCTCTCGGCCGGCATCTTTCTTTCCCAAGCTGTTCGGAGCTCAGCTGAGTAGCACGGAAGCTAAAGGAAGCAGGGGGAAGAGTAGGATGGGTAGAGCACGGGAGAGATTCAGAGACGAAAAAAACAGAAATGGCAAATCCCAGGGCGCAAGACTGCTTGAATCCACAGAGATGATGGGAAAATGGGGCAGCGAGGCAGATAGATGAAGTGGATGGGTGGATGTGATGTCAAGAGACGAGGACGGACGCAAGACGCCAGCAGCGTGCTTAGTCACAGGAGCTTACTGGAGACTGGGTTGGGCCGCGTGATGCCGGCACCGAAAGCCTGGACGAGAACAAGCAAGAGCGGAGATTGAGCTGAGGTAAAAGGCAAGGGGGTTCGCAGACGCCGCGAGATGTAGAATCTGTCCTGGTCTTCGTCGGTGGCTGCGTGGTGAAATCGGGGCAGGCGCCTTTGCAATTGCGGCCTGAGGCTGCAACCGCGGAGCTCTCAGCGGCCGCCGTTGCCCCAAAACAACACAACAGCTCGACCACGCCATGCCGCTTCTCGACTCCCACCTGGAGCAGATTGCGCTCTCTTCGAGTGCAATATCTGAACTACGGTTCGTCTGATACGACTAAAAGGTAGCAATTTCTCCTACTGACGTGTGAACGCTATAGCTTCCCTCCACCCCGCATCTTCACAAACGCGTTGCTCGGCTCTCATGACATTACGGCCTTGATCCGCGATACAGAGGCTCATGAGCGGGCACTATTCCAAGTCGACCCAGCTGTCAAAGCTCAAGGGTCGCAACGGCGCGCCACTCGACGTGGAACTACCTTCTCTAATGAGTCCGAGAACGAATCCATGGCGAGCCGGATCTACTCCGCGCGAAACAATCGCAACCAGTCTGCAGTGGCTCGAGTCCTAGGCACAGATATGATAAATGAGATTAAGCGGTCGGCGGGGACTTCTGCTCGTGGACGTGGCGAAGTCAACATTGAAGTTCTCTTGCGTGGAGCCGAGATTCTGTGCAATGTCTAGTATGTCTTCCATACACGTTATCTTTGCCAAAACTGACAATCTTTACAGCCCAGTTGCAGGTGCACAGGAAAAGATTGCCAGACTGCGCTATCGGCACGAAATAATTGCTGACTCCGTGGCCCAGCTCGAGGATCGTGTCGCTGCAAATACTGCCGAACTCGAGCAAATGCGGCAATCGTACGACGATGACGACTACAACTACTCCCATCCTGCTGTACCTCTGCAAGATGTTCCCGAAGTCACGGACGAGGATATTGAGCAGGAAATGGCCGAGATTGCGGATCTGGAGCGAAGGAAACGGGCATTGGAGGCTCGAGTCAGCGGTATGGATAGGGATCTTGGGGGGCTTATGGAATGAGTTAAAGACAAGCCGCCATCCCAGGGCTTGGAGCAAGCTTTGTCTTGAAGCACCGGCGGTCTCAAGGAGGCATATATCCTCTGTTTTATGAAGTTTGATGATGTCCATGAGCTTGAGGGTCACTAGGGCTCTCGGTCTACAGTTTATACCCCCTATGCATGAGGCTTTTTGTTCCAAATCGATTCTTCAAAGTTTCCAGAGCCTTTTGTCTAAAATGCAAATTTGAGGGAGTGTACTCGTACGTCCTCGTACTTGACACATCGTTTCAAACCGCCTAGGCCGGCCAGGTAGAGGATCCAAGTGAATATGATGGTATATTCAATTGCAAATTCTATCGAAAAGAAGCAACACAAGTATTCTAGCTGCGAAAAAAGGTTGTCTGGGTGCTCGACATCAGGTGTGGTATACATGCGGTCAAATGCCACAGCGAGCAAGTTCTGCCGCCGGACGCCGACTTCCATCCCACGGAGTGAATGCGCGGGTTCTCACGACCGCGACAGCGACCCCATCACCTCGCCCTTCAATTCCTTCTCATCATCACCATCCATCTTCACTCGTCCACCTTCTTTATCTCAACACCCATCTTGATACCCCAATTCACTGCCGCTCTCCGTCAAACTTTTCGTCTGCTCCGTTTCGTCTCGGTGCTGCCGCCATGGACGGCACCACCCAAGGCCAACCCGGCCAGGCGATGCAGCCGCCCCAAGCTCAGCAGCAGCATTCGAACCTGATCCGTACCGACCAGGTTCAGAAGCTTCCGCACCTGAACGACCAGCAAAAGGCCCAACACACCCAGCTAGTCCGCACCCTCTGGGAGGCGCTCAACACTCGTGATCCGACGACACAGGAATATCAGTCCGCACACGCCAAGCTTTCCCAGCTTTCGCAGACCCTCATGAAGGGCATGCGCATCTTCCAGCAGAACCGACAGCAGGCTCTGCAGCAGCACCAAGCTGCTCAGCAACAGGCCCAAGCTGGCAACCAGCACCTGAACACCGCTCAGGTCCAGCACGGCCAGCCTGTTCAGCGCCAACCTCTCAACCCGCAGAACCTGGGGCAACTCCTCCCCCAGATACAGGCCAAGGTTAGTTCGCTGAACTTCTACCTTCCGCCCAACGTCACCCAAGAGCAGGTGCAGACGTGGATTCCGGAGGCTCGCCTGCGATATGGCATCGCCCTGCAGAAGCAGGAAGTCGGTCGCGCCCGTATTACGGACCTGCGTGCCCAGTTCAACCAGCGTCAGACTGCTGGAAATATGTCCCAGGAGGAAATTACCGAATTCAAGAACCGCCAGTTGGCCGCCGAGAAGCTGTACCGCGAGGGCAGCGATTTCCTCAACAAATTTAAGGAACAACAAGAGACGTTCAAGATGCAGTCTCAGCAAACGCAGCCCATGAGCCAGGCTGCTCAGGGAGCTACGGCTCCCCAGACCCAGGCTGCAACTACCGCTCCTGCCGCCACTCAACCCGCGGCTCCTACCCAGACTGCCACCGGCAACGCGACAAACGCCATGCCTGGACAGGCTCCTACTCCTGCGGCGCACACGATTAATTCTGCCGTCAACGCCGCCCGCAACCAAGCCGGGCAGGCAATGTCACCTTCCACTTCTCAGCCTGGTCAGGCTCCACCTTCGGCAGGCGGTACTCCCGCACCTTCCAACGCGGCTCCTCCCGCACAGCGCCCTCAGCCGCCCTCCCAGCAGGGAACGCCTGGCGCTCAAATCACCTTCAGCCAAACTCCCAACCCGGATGGCTCTACCCCCACCCCTACCAACTCGCAACAAGGTATGAATCAGGGCCCGCCGCGCGCCCTCTCTCAAACCGCCGCCATGCAGCAAGCTGCGACCTACAACACCACGAACCCGAGCCAGCCTGCTCAACCGCCGCAGCCCATGAACCAAACTGCCAACAACCAGGCTACCCACCCCCAGGGCTATCTCGCCAACCGGAACACCGAGGCCAGTGCTCGCAACATCAACATGGTCATCCCCAAGAACCTGAATGTCTCGACTCCCGAGCCCGTCTCCATGCCTTCGTCTCGCCCTACTCTTTCCGGTGGTCCCAGCCACGGCGCCATGGGCATGATGGGCCAGCCAGCTGTCCAGAAGCACCCGGGTTACGTCCTTGAGGGCGAGGGACAGCACGTTCTTAGCAAGAGAATGCTTGATATTCTTGTTCGTCAAGTGACGGGCGGTGGTGAAGGTGAAATGCTCTCACCTGATGCTGAAGAAGTGAGTCCAGATGATCCCGCTTATCATGATTTTGAATTCGGTTATTACGTGCTTGAACTTCCTTGCCGTCCTGTGCCTGAAGTCCCCAAGCCTGATCCCGAGACATTGCGCCGCAAGCAGAACGCCCTTGTTAATGCTCGTTCCAGTTTGTACTCTCCATGGCCGACGATTTCGTGGATGATGTAATTACCCAAGCATGTCGTCTTGCTAAACTCCGCCCCTCATCCTCTCTTGAAATCCGTGACATTCAACTCGTTCTTGAGCGCAATTACAATATGCGCATTTCCGGCTTTGCTACCGATGATCTTCGCACTGTCAAGAAACCCCAGCCTACTCAAGGTTGGTTGCAGAAGATGTCTGCTGTTCAGGCTGCAAAGGTTACTCAGGGTCGTTCTGAGTAGTCTATCTGTTCATTCATTCCTTGATTGACTTGGCCCCTTTTTACTCACTTTAACCGCAGTTCTTTCCAATTCTTGCAAATTTTACTGCACGTTTGCATTACAATTTCTATGGGAATCTTTCGCGAATACCGGGGCGTTATCATCGTTATCACCTTCATATTCAAGTTTTCTTTAATTCTTTTCACTCGGTTCGGGTTTGATGCTTTGCTTCTTTCTACGCTCGGCTGGGTTTTGCGGTTTGCTCGGTGCATGGTGCTTATTTTCATTTCTAAGTCAAGCGAGCTTCAATCTGCAGCAGATTCTTGATCGGTGCTTGATCTGTCTGCGCCTCGTCCTGTACTTTTGATTTCAATGGTTATGGGTTCATGGATGGCGTTTGAGACTTTGTCTCATGGTTCTGGTTCTGGTTCTGGTTCTGGTTCTGGCTCTGGTTTATGGCTGGAGTTTTTTGAATACTGTGACAGTGTGAAATGAATTTCCCTATTCAATGTTCTTTTTTCTAAGATAGGGTAGGGTAAAGCGTAGGTATCCGTGACATGCAGCTCCACCTGATTCTCAGTGCCATGAGTAGACATGTAGTACTACATTCCAGCTGTTCCATCCACTCTCATTAATCCAGAATTATGATTCTACTGGACGACCGCACTCTACTCTACTAAAAGTGTAGATAAAATAAAAACCTCATCCGATTCTATGTATTCTATACCGGAAGGCCTAACAAGCACCCCAAACCCAAAACTCCTGCGGCGAAGGGTGAGAGGCAAGGTAAACAGAAACATCGCAATAAAACAAGTGGTATTGATTGATACAGGGTATGGCGAGCTCAAACAAATTCAACGCTAAGTACCTCAAGCGAGAACAAGGAAAACTGACAGAAGGAAATCATTTGATGAGAGTAGGAAATTGGAGTCTGGCTGGACTTCGAGCTTGTGGTTCTCCTCCTACAGTTATAAGGTGTAGGATGGAGGAAGGCAATGCAGAGAGTGTGTGGGTACTGGATGACCCTGACAAAAAAGGAAATTGACGAAGGAAATGGGTACGTTGACCCGAGTGATACCAAGTTTTTGGTTTTCCTTGAGGAAGAAGACTTGGTGGAGACTCGACAGGGGAGTCTGGGAAGAGAGGCTGGAGAGTCGGATCTACTACCCTTGCCACCCGTACCCAATAGTGTGGGGGTAAAATAGGGGAGTATAGAAGAACCGATTCTCTCCGTTGGATGGATGCTGAGAAGACGAGGCGCTCAACAACATGAAATATACACACGTCACTCGTGAACATCGGGTTTTGGCGGTATTGCAGGACGAGGCAAAGGCAAAGCAACAGCAACTCTGGAAGTTGCTTGTTAAGGACAGAGCGGAAAGCAGGACGCACAACACAATGCAACGCAGATGCAGGTAAGGAATAAGATACAAGACTTGGTCTAAGCAAAGGCGAAGAGGGGAGGGGATATCTCGCTGAACAAAAATCAAGATTAAGGGGGGGCGTAGTGTAGGAATGTCGACCAGCGGAGATCCACAGGCAGGTCGTTTTCTGATCATCTACTGCCGGCGTGGACTGGCAAGCAGTTGATCCGCACGGTCAAACCCCTTGCCTTTACCAGGTGACTCGTCACGAGGGACAGGCGGGAGGTCTTTTTCAGCGACCGGTGGTCCATTCCGGCTATGCTGGCTATGGCCACCGACACTGCTTGCCTCGCCTGCTTCATCCACAATTGGAAGAGTGGACGTTGGGCCTGGACCCGCTGCATCGGCAGGATCCCAGACCGTCGCCAGGGTGCGAGGATGCGTCACCGAGACATCCTTCGCCGCCTCCTTCTCCGCAGCGTGCATCTGTCGCTCGACGGACGAGGAGCGGGAATTCCTCTTTCCGCCCTCGCCGGATGGGCGCGTCGAGGCGCGGGATTCCCGTCTTCGCTCTGCTTCTTCTCGAGACATGGTGATTCCTTTCACGAAGCTAATGAATCGATCGCCATAGCCCTCTGGCGGGATGGGCGAGATCTGAGTTCTGTCGCTTGAGAGTCCCTTGAAGAAATTCTCGATCTTCTTCACCATTCCATAGTGGGTCAAACAGTCGATAATTCCAAGATAGTAGATCTCTTCGCCCGGTTGGCCGTTCTCATGCGTAGCGCGGAATCCTCCGTCATCCGCGTAAAAGACGTGATACTGGCGTTCGTCGAGGATTTCCTCTGGCATCTTGGCGGCTGCCTGGTCCAAGGGGACAGGGCGCTCACGCTTGATCAGCATGCGAAGTTCACGCGCCTTGCGTTCGTTTTCCAATTTTGAGGGCGTGCGCATGAGCATGTTCGGGTTCTTATCATTTTGATGGTCACCCCCTGGCTGGAAGACCTGCAACGTCTTGTCTCGTAGTTTTTCCTCGTTGCCCCGTTCAACATCGTGTATTCCGACCAGCAGAGAGTAGTCCATTATCTTGAGCTTTTTCAATAGCTCCACGTCCCGTTTTAGCTGTTCGACGAAGAAGTCTCGCTTCGCGGGGCCGCATTGCAAGTAACGATTCCGTCGAACCCAGTTCAGATCTTTCATGGTGGCTCGCGGGTTCCGCTCCAGGTCCGACTCTTGCAGGTCTCGGCCAATGGTCGAGCCCTTCAGGTCGAATGTTTGGTGGATATCGCGATGGGGCGGGAACAGGTTGTTCATCACGACAAAGTGGATCTTGCGACCATATGCCATCTTCACGCGGTGCAGGCCGTAGAATTGCGAAATTAGGGTGTTGGGGTTCTTCTCCACGTGTCGATAGTACTCGGGCAGAATCTTGCGGAGGAGCTTGTGCTCGGCATGGTGGATGGTCTTGATGATGTATTTGTAGTCACGCGAGAAGTAGAAGAAGCTACCACTCTTGCCGGGAGAGCCCAATTCAGATAGAATATACTTGCTGGTGAGAGACATCAGGTAATCGGCGGGATCGAGGCGGAACTTGGCGCGGAGATGACGGAAGACCCAAGGCGCGTAGTCTTTGAACTTGAAGTCGTACTTGGCTGAGGGGATCAATTCATTTCCGGTACTGTTACGGTTAGAGAGGCCATCAGAAAGTAAAGGGGGAAGTCGTACATATCGAAGGAGAACTTGTGTTTGGCTTCAAAGTCGGCCGGGGTCAATTCTCGGTCCATCTTCGCGTTGATTCGAGAAACCGTAAACCGAATTCCGGTCAACATGTTGTACGCTGTGACATAGTTGACGTGGTTCTGGTCGACCTTGGTGCCCACAATCACCCGCTCATCATCGTCGTCCTCGCGCCGCCGGCGCGACGCTCGCTTCTGTTTAATGGCTTCCGCCCAGCGCGCGGCATCCTCGTCCGTCTGGGCCTCATCTAGATTCCCATCTGACTGCGTTGTCTTCGTGGCGCGTCGAATCAGGCTGAAGGATGTGCGGCGCGGCCCCCGCTGGTGGGCGATAATCGACCGCTGCTGTACGCAGTATCTTCACCTTGATCGCGGCTGTTTCGTCGGACGCTGGGGGCTCGCGGCACCTGTAATGAGTGTCGATGTCGCATGCTCGACGGTTGCGATTCCTGGAGGGAGCTGGCGTCGTTCATGGAGGGCGCGGGCGGGGAGGAGTACCGGTGCTGGCCGGCTCTCGGGGCTAGTCGATCCGGGTCTGTGGAGTGACGACCTGCATCATCCGAATTGGGGACCTGTAGTGAGGAGTTGGATGGGCTGGCGGCTCGATCAGAGACGGAGCGTTCATCAACAGAGGGCCATGGATGATCACCATTGACCATGGGCTTCCCCTGGGCGGGACGGAGGTTGAAGGCGGTCGTGCCATTGAGTTGTTGGCTGGACACCGACGCAGCCGCGGAGCCCGCTCCAGGACCCGCGTCGGATGGTTTGCGGTCCAGCATGGCCGATGGACGGCCGGTGTCCCGGGATTCCCTGGCGGAGCCATTGCCGAGGGAGTGCATGCTGCCGTCCTTGGAGAGCGGCGGGTCGCGCGTATAGGAGCTGACGCTAGAACGGGGGCCATTCAGGGAGTATGCGCTGCCGTTCTTCAGATCGGGGAGCAATTGCCCATTCTGATTCGGAGGGTGAGCGTCGTGGGGAGCGTCGCCGTTGGGCCAGTTGGTCCAAAGGAAGGTGTTACCAACAGAGCTTTTCTCGTGCGACTTGCGAGGCGAATCGAAGGAACGGGGTTGAGTGGCGGTCGCGGTGGCTGTGGTGGTGGCCGTGGGGTAGTCGGAGAAGGAGGGCATGTCGATGGTGATGCTGCTCTTTCTCCCAGGCAAACGGGGTGACGTGAGCTCTGCGTGGACCGGCAACCCGAGGTGACGGCAATGGCCCTTATTGGCGGGGGTTCAGGGAGATTGGGAACCGGACCGCGTTCCAGCGGATGAAGACTGCCGTTCACGAGAGACGACGAGAAAGAGGATGGGGGTCCTGGGGGCAGGCAACTGGCGGTCGGCGACAGATCTCAGTGCGGCCAGCCAGGGCGTGGCAGGAGGCAGATGGGTTCAACGGAGGAACATGTTCGGGCCCGTCACGGGAGGAGGCAGGCAGAAATAAACCAAAGGCGACAATCTAGTAGCAACACTGGAGGGTTTGGCGTATAGGTTGTCGAGTTGTCGTTGAAATGGGGGTTGGTGTGGGGGGAGAAGAGGGTGGTTGTCGGGGAGAAAAGACAAACGGCCTAACTAAAGGGACGGACTTGCGTGTCGTAATACCTTTTCCTGGACTCCACTGCTCAGCTGTCAACTCCTCGCCAACACGGACTTGGCTAACAGTGCTAGTGGGACTGCAGCGACCACGATGATACGGGCAGAAATTTCAGGTTTGCAAAACTCTGCAGACATCGTGACCCCCGTCCTACACTACTGCTAGTGTTCTACTGTACCCTTAAGAGGGTATGTATACTACGGTATGCACAAATTGTGCCCAGCCTTGGACCCCTCCGAATGCAAGGAGGCCGCGGTGACGTCGCACTGCCTTCCTGCTGGACCATCACGTTTCAATCGCATTCCACAGCTTGAGTCTGATAGTTGCCAGAGTCCAAGCCATACGCTCTTATCGGGGACTCGGAAGCACATGCTAACCTTGGGGAGGGCGTGTAGCCACGGAATGTCCCTGACCCAAACATCGCATACTCCGCCTACCCTAGAGTACTCTACTTCCGACCACAGCCACTACTCTAATCTAAGGACCTTCATATCAAGGGGCACTGTAGCCACAGCTGATACTAACCCTTCAGTTATGTATCCCCGAGTCCAGACTTCGCAAAAGTCCCATCCAGATCCCGCATCTGCAGGCAAACAGCCCCCAACCTCGCCACCACCGCGGCGTACAAGTAAAAACGCGATCCGCCTCGACCAACACCTGCACTGCTGTGCATACGGTACATGCCGTAGTAGAACCTTGCAAACGACATTGTTTACTCGAAAGATCAACAAACGGCACGAGTCTCCAGTGTATGATTTCATCGTACGGGGGTGGAGCAGCTATTTTTGGAACGGGACTCTTCAGGGGCAGAGGCGCGGTTTTCTCTTTTGAGGGTACTCACCGAGAATACAATAGTAAATGAACCAAGAACTCGGTAGCGGCAGGTCTGGATAGTCGTTATAGGTTAATCTATGATCCTGGTTCGACTCTACTTACTTACCCTACGATAGGTTATAGTACGGGTTGGCAGTCGGGCCAGGTTGGTATTACTGCTGCCTTGCGAGGGAGGACATAGTAACCATCTTCAGTAGAACTTTGTGTAAACATAGGATTGTTTATGAGAATTTATCGCCTCGTGTTCCAAGTCTTTTTGAGTTTTTCGATGGCTGGCGCTTTGCTGTTATCCACGTCAATCTTCGGCCGGAAATTCCGGATGTACCGATCCCTCACCTCCACACCACTCCTTCTATGAAGCCACGCTGACACAATCAAGGCGTCCACACAGACCACAATATTTAACAAACTACGACACACTGCAAAGACTGATATAGAAAACTCTGAATACTGAAAAATTAATATTCCTATTACTACGCGATCTTACAACGAAATTACGCATGAAATCAGATCAGAACGATCAAAGAGATTCATTTCTCACCTTCAACGAAGGAACTCAAACCAAACAATTTCCCACAAGACCAACCGCGACGCCATCCTTCGACTGTGGTAATCAAAAGATAATAAAAAAAATAAAAAAAACGAAACCATCATACCAAGATATCCCAGAACACAATTGCAGAGAACAATCCCTCACAAAAAGAAAACCATCAGTCGCCAACCCTACCCGACCCCGGGGAAGCGGGTGGGAGGAAAAAGAAATTACAGAATAAAAAGGATGACCTCTCCCAAAAGAGCGCACGTAAAAACGGGAGGGCGTCGAAGAAAAGAGCGTATACTATTCGCCTTTATTTCTTGGTAGTGGCCCGCTTCTTCGCGGCGGCCTTGACTGGTGGCGCGGTGGTCTTGGTCACGCGGCCGGACTTGGTCTTGCCGATGACCTTGGGTTGCTCGACGACAGCGGGGGCCTTGGATAGAATGAGTAAATGAAGTCATGGTATGGGGTGACAACAGGCGGAGTGGTTGGTAATCCGCGCCAGCGAGGGTACATACAGCAGTGGTAGCCTTACGGGCCTTGCCAGAGTTGGCCTTGGGCTTCGCGGCAGTCTTCTTCGCGCCAGGCTTGGGACCAGGCTTGGCCTTGGTAGCGGTTTTGGCCGTGCTAGTCTTCTTGGTAGTGGTGGTGGTGGTGGCCTTAGCAGCGGTCTTGGGGCCGGGCTTAGCCTTCTGTTGCGATTGTCAGTTTTGCGCCAGCGATGAGTGATTCAGACAATAAACTGACCTTGGTGGCAGTAGCCTTCGCGGCCGGCTTAGCAGCAGGCTTAGCAGCGGGCTTCGCGGCAGGCTTCGCGGCCGCCTCCTTTTTGGCCAGCTTCACGGGACCGGAGGGACCTGCGACGGCGAGGTCAGTAACGCGGACTTATATTGGGCAGGTAGCGACGACGACATGGCCCGAGGCAAAGACACAATAACATTCAATGCTCGCGGCACAAGTACATAGTACCAAAAGGCCATCGCATGAAATTCCGAGGCGAAAAAGTCCAGGACAAAACTTACCCTTGGGTTGGGTGAACTCGCCCTTGTCAACACCGGCCTTGATGGCCTTATTGAACTGGGCATCAAAGGTAGCCTGCGAAGCGACGTTGATCTTGTTGTTCGCAGAAACGTATTTCTTGATAGCCTGACGGCTAAATCGTGGCAAAAAAAAACCTCTGTCAGCTGGTGGAACGAAGGAATGACGCGACCATGAGACGGGCTCATCTCCGGGCGCGACGAGAAGAACGGGACAAAAACATACCTGCTACCATTACGCTCCTTGAGCTAAAAGATAAAAAGATCAGTCAGTAATCGAAAGAAAAAAAAAATATACAGTCACACAGGCCCATGGACCGGGTTGGTGGTGGGCTATCAGGACTCGCGGGCGAACGTGTCACGGTCGGGCGCGCGACCCGAATCACAACACGGGCGGCGGCGGTGATCTACTCACGTTTACAATGGCATCCTTGATCATGTCTATATTGTTGGAATCAGCAGACATTCGCGACACGAGCGATGCGCCTTTCGCATTTACGCGATGCGTGGTGGGCGCAGGATCAGGGAAAACATACCGCGGTAGGAGGCGTGAGCAGCGGGAGCGGCCTTCTTGGAGGCGCCGGTTGCTTTCTTGGGAGGCATGATGAGGATGGAGAGGGGGTTGAGAGAGTTGTGGATGGGATGAAAGAGGAGAGGCTAAATAGTCGAGCTTGATATGGGTACCGGTGGATCGATGGGGGAGGTGAAGAGGGAGAGAGAAGCAGAAGCAACGGAAGGGGGAAAGACCGCGGGGCATCCGCGATTTATAGGCGGCCGGTGTTGACACAAGATCACCCCGGGCACTTCGCCTAGGTCTGAACAGCTGCGAATATTATTTCGGAGTCGCGGTCTCTTCCCATCTCTGTATTTCTGTTTGGTTTGAACTAATTTTTTTTTGGCCTTCATTATCTGTGTCCTGGCGCTGTTCTTCTTGCGCTGCTGCTCGTCTACTTCGTCCAGCGCGTTTCGCACTGAACCAGGAATGGTTGGCCGCGCGCATTCCCCGGATTGGGCAGACGCACACGTCTGTCGCATATGCATCTGCTGGCTCGGGCTGCTAAAAACGCTGTCTCTCATCTATCTCCAACCCTTCTCGTCATATTTCGAACAATATTCCCGCCGTGGCGCTGGTATATCTTGTAGAAATCGCGCGTGTCGTCGTATCGCGCTGAGGCTCGCAACGCACCGGGGTCATTGGACGGGAGGCCGATTCGGGCATGGACACATTCCAGAGAAACCCAGTGATCGGCCTCTCCATTATTGGGTTCTTTTCTCCCGTCTGCTCTCGGACGTGTGGCTGGGTTGGAATCCAGATCTCCCGCATGTTCAACATCGCAAACGGCGCACAACCCCTGCCTGTCCTGACCTGCCAAGAAAGGTAGCGAGGAAGCAAAGATTGACCTGGAATGTCCGCCGTTATTCTCGTCCCAGTTTCTCTGTTCTTGATATTCAGTGTATACACTCCGAGCAGAGTTGGTGTATAGATCTCCTTGCGTATCCGGGACCTGCAGACTGGCCCTGCAGTGGTCACGCGGTTCCCCCCACCCGGTTTTGCCATCGTCGGTCCACGGTACACGCCCGGCACTCGATGATGTCGTAGACTTGCACTCCTTAAAAGTAGTATAGGTGGGCGTTGCTCATTACTCGCTGCTCCGTTGGTGGAGGTTGCTGGTCGAGACGTGTAGACACATTAAGCCCTAACTGGAGCCCGTCGCGCTACAGCTCAATACGCGTCGCATCACATTGATTGTACCTACCACCATCACGTAGTTGACGATAAGAAAATAAATGAAATAATCGCACTGTCTCGATAGCATAATCACAAAGCGTTTCATTTCTTCTTTTTTCTTCATCCCTACAGGATATTCATCCGACATCGTGGTGGGTCAGGACCGGATATCCTTCCCTTCCCAAGATATATATCCCGCCTCAGTAGAGCAAACCCCCAGCATCTTCCGGAGCAGTACTTTCCAACCAGCTTGGAACCCCCTCCCCCCCAAACCAAACTACTTGTGAATCAAAACCAGCACAGCCAATCCCGATCGCGGATCTACTCAATGTAACGCTTCCCACGGCACGTCTAACTTCCCGGCTGTCCGAGGATCAGCCTGGCTGCGGTGGGTTCGTTGAGCACTGATACGCAGTTGATCCGTCTATGCCCACCCGTGCCTCAAAAAAGGCGTGAGTGCTAGGTAGGGTATTTCACAGCTACTAGTACACAACCCAGGAGATACAATATACACTAAAAAGCTATTCGACTGTTACCTCCCACCTGCGATAGCATTCATCCGAAATGTGAGGCAAGGCATCCCGGCCCAGCCGGCCCGGCGGCATTGGATCAACCTTGCGTAAACAAGACAGTTCTGATCTTACGCCACCTCGCCTTTTCCAAGTCCACCAAAGACCCAAAATACACTACAAGCACAGACAAGAATGGAACAAGCACCTAAAAATTAAGACGAGGACAACTCCGCCCTAGATCACTTGTCATCCATCGGGAGATCCCGATTCGATCCACCTCGCTTATTTCGGTCGATCTAAACAACTGACCCGGACTTTGACGGCTCTTCACAACCGCAAATATTTTTGAATACAATGAAAATAAATTTAAAGAGATAGAATATAGGTATTCGGATCCGTCTAGATACTCCTAGAAGAATTTCCGATGTCATGGAGTGCAGGATCACGAGTATACTTTCTGCATGGAAGTACCTCCTTCCATCTTGCATCCTCTGATCCTGCACCCAAGGAAGCGAGGCAGCATTCCTGAATAGCTTAGCCAGTACGACTGAGCTCCTCTTGTCCCTATACAAGTGATTCCGGAATCGTTTCATTACGCTGGTATGATATGCTAGACTCCGTGTCATGGGCCAACTGGCCGAGTAAGAAAGCAGCCCCCACCCGCACCTCAAAGAGCTTGAACCCGAGCATCCACCAAGAGAGAGAAAAAAAAAAAAAGGTTGGAAAAAGAAAACATCAGATAGATCCGTCACGCCAACGCCTGATTTTGTAAAGATCGTCCTGCAGCAGCAGCCTAAAGACGTGAGAGAGGCTGTCTGACCGAGACGAGTAGACCGCACTGGCTCTACTTACAGTAGGTGTCTAACCCGCCGCACGAGGCTTAGCCTTAGCATCCTTCTTCGCCTTGGCCTCATCTTTCTTCTTCTTCTTCTGCATCTGCAACTTCTCATCGTGCTTCCGCTTCAAACTAGCCTTCTCATCATCCGTCCTCGCGACAGGCTTAAAGAATCCCTCCAAGCGCGACTGCTGCGCACTCTTCAGGTTCTTCGTCAGACGCGCCGCGCCATTGCGCACGCGATCCTCGTTGAATCCCTTGTCCGTAACCAGGAACTCAATCAAGCCGTCTACGTTCGGCGCGTCCCATTTGAAATCGCATTCCGGGTGCTCGGCGTCGCGCACATCCGGCTTGGCAAAGAGCTCGCGCGCGTCTTCGTATGGCCAACTTTCTGGGATCACGAATTTCTCTTTTGGGTCATTCTTCATGAATTCTACCACCTTTTCCAGGGTTTTGTGTTCGCGGATTAGGTTAAGGGCGGTGTGAGGGCCGACTTTGGGGATTGGCTCGAGGTAGTCGCAGCCGAGGAGGATGCAAAGGTCGATGAACTATTTCACCCAGGTTAGAAAGCATATGACAAGGAGGGTGGTGAGCAGATCATACCTGATTGCGATCCATATTCAGACCCTCCAGCACCCGTTCCAGGTGAATCTCCTGGATAGGCTCCTTCCGCTGCTCGGAGAACGTCAAATGGCGCAACAAGATCGGAGCCTCAAAGCACAGCGTATCCATATCCTCCGAAGCAGCAGCATAGACCTTCCCAGCCCGCGCGAGAACAGCACACTGGGCCTCGGCCTCGGTAGGCGCATCGATGTAGGGAATGCCCATCAGCGACAAGAGCTTCTTGCACTCGGCATTATGTTCACGCGTGACGCGGACCGTCCGTCGGGAGAACTTCTCGACATCTTCGGCTGTACCGGTCTCCTTGGCCTCCTCGTGGGCCTCCGTTGCTTCGGCCTTGCGCGCGCCTCGCTTCGCCAGCTCGCCGGACTTCAGCTTCGGTGGGGCGCCATCGAAGACGTAGAGGGGTTTGATGCCGTTGTCGACCATTCGCAGGGTGCGGTAGAACATGCCCATTAGGTGGGAGGTTGTTTCGCCGCTCTCGCTCATTAGTTGTTGGCCTTCGGAGCGGACGGCGATGAGGAAACTGTAGATGCTCATGGAACTGTGTGACAGTATTAGTGGGAGTTCTTTGCCGCATCATCGCGAGGAAGTTGAACGTACGCATCCTGTAGTTGTCAAGAAGGGTTGTTAGCTATGAATGTCTGAAGGAGGGTGGGAAGAAATCATACAATTGCGACTTTGCGGCCAAAGTGATTCTTGATCTCGCCCGTCTTGATCGCATCGGGGGCGTTCTCGGAGATCACCTGGTACAGGTCTTGGAGATGTCAACAGGATACTAGGAATATCAGGGACAGTATACTCACGTTTAATACCCATCTTGGCGGCAGATCTTCAATATTGATCGTGGCAGATCTCGGTAATTGTAACGGGGCTGAAGAAAATAGGATTGCACGGCCGCCCTCACTGCACGCTCACCGCGGAGACTGCGACGCGCCGCGATGAACGCGCAGGGCATCATTTAAGCCAAATGGGGAATAGCGCGACAATTACCCACGTGAAGCCAGCACGTGACCGGCGCCGGTCCAGGCCCGAAGTGCCTCAGGCCGACAATCAATCGGTCGAGAACCGGAGGGCGTACTCGACCCCGCCTTTTTGGTTTCCCCCAGACCTTCGAGTTAACATGCTGCGCATGAGTCTGGAGACCTCAGCATGAAGCGGAATAGCATTCATTTCGAGGTCAATGGCGATGCCTCGTCCGCTTCTCCGCAAGGCGGCTTCACGCCCGAGGACCATTCGCGCCCGCCGCTGCATGTTCCGAAGATCTCGCGGAGGATACGTGCATGCACGGAATGTAAGCGACACAAGGTCCGGTGCGACATGAAGACAGGTGAGTCGAGTTGCTCGCGGTGTCGACGCATGGGGCTGGAGTGCATTGTCAACAAGAGCCTCCAGACGCTATTAGAGGATGAAGCGGAGTGAGTATATGCTTATCGCCCGTTATTTATTTTTTTGCTTTTTCCGGACATTGATTCAGGAGCTAATGCTCTCCTCTCAATAGGTGGAAGACCATGATCGAGCTCGCAATGACGGACCTGCTTAGGAAGGCGCAATTGCCGGAACTATCATATTACCAAGCGGGTGGAGGATCGACCGAGACACCGTCTAAGAAGCGCCTCCGGAAAGAGTCGACGGTTTCAGTCGATGATATCAGCTATGTGCTAGGAAATAAGAATACGTCGGCAGATACACCGGCTGGCGGCGTGGCGACAGGATCTAGCTCGTCAACCTATACATTTCCCCCACAGCAGCAGTCACAATACTCTATAGACCGTGAAGAGACAGCAGCCACCTCACTCGTGACCGCGCCGATGGGGAGCTTGTATGAGGTAACACAGCTGAGCGAGAACCGCGAGAGCTCGCCGACGCAACAATACTCGCCCGATCAGGCCCTGGTGACCGATTTCATTTCGCGCGGCGTGGTCGATCTGCAAGAAGCGGAGGAACTCTTCTACCACTTCGACCAGGTGCTCAATCGCTACCTGTGGGATGGCGCATTGCTACCGCATAAAGATCTCGCAACCGTGAGACGCTCGTCGTCCTTGATGTCTGCTGCGATTCTGGCCGTGACGGCCCTGCATTTGCCCACCAAGGAACGGACGTTCGATACCTGCTATACGGAGTTTGCGAAGCTAGCATCGGAATCCATGCTTGGACATCATCATTCCTTGGATGATGTGCGAGCCTTGTGTATCGGTGCTTTCTGGCTTGCGGATGTAAGCTGGAAGCTTTCTGGATATGCAGTGCGCATTGCCACAGAGCGCAATTTACATCAGTTTTATCGTAAAGCTGTGCAAGGGTCGCCGGAGCACAAGGAGCAGGCGAGGCTGTGGTATCTTCTATATGTAAGTCCTTTCTTCACTGTGTGACTGGCTTCAAGACTGACTGTCTGCAGACTCTTGAACATCATTTCTCAATCGCATACGGCCGACCTCCTATCATCCACGAAGACGCAGCAATTACACAACACAATACCTTTACACGGTCTCCATCCATTTCCCAAGGGGATCTGCGACTGCACAGTCAGGTAGACTTGTTTATCATCCTCACCCGAATTTATACTGCTTTTGGGCCGGATGTCGACCTTGAAGTAGCGGAGAGCGACTTTCCGAAGATCGACGAATTCGATGCGGATCTGGGCCATTGGAAGTCAGCATGGCTCCCTCGACTTGGTAACTTTATTCTCTGCCATACACTTTGCATACATACTGACTCGATTATTCAGTCGGGAGTCGTCACGTCGGCGCATACCCCTACAAAGCCGTGTACATGCACTACCACTTTTCCCGACTTCAATTAAACTCGGTAGCCCTCCGCACATATCATTCCTCGACATCGTCGCGAGAAATGTCACCCGAACGTAGAAAGCGAGCCAACATTGCCATCGAATCCGCCATCGCCACACTCCAAGTTGTCCTCGACGAGCGAGATATCCAGCGAGCCCTGGTCGGCGTTCCTCTATACCTGCACAGCATGATCACCTTCGCGGCCGTATTTCTACTAAAGATGGCCGCCAAGACCTGCTCAAACGGAACAAATCCGCAAACCAACTCGATCGCCTCGGCAGGCTTGCTCGTGGACATCGAGTACGTGCGCGTGCTGGTCGGCCGCATCGTCGAAATGATGGTATCATGCAGCCAGCGCGCCAGCGAGCGCCATCTCAGCCATCACATTGCGCGCGGACTGCGCAAGATGTTGACAGGCCTGGAGGAGTGGGAAAAGCGAAACGGCACCCAGCCTCCCATCGGCCCGACGCCACAGGAAACATCCTCGCTGTTCAAGCCGGTCATTATCCCCGGAGCTCAGATCCTGGGTGAGCGTGATACCATCCTCAACCACCCACCGCCGCTTCTGGGCGTGGCGCCTCTCTCCGCCGAGCGCAGCAACGGCTTCGAGCCCGTGATGGCACCGGGCAAGCCGGAGCCTGGGCTTTCGGAGGGTTCCATGGACCCCATGATGGCGGATCTGTGGGGGTTTGATGAGGAGTATTTCCCCACGGGGGTATTCGATTTCCTGCAAAGTCAGATGCCTGCGTGAGACAACGCTGGGTCTGCGTGTGTGAATAATCCCGGACCCTTGTCTCTTGTACATAATACTTTTTTTATGAGCCGGACGATTGTGATTTTCAACAAGCAGACGAATCTTAGTTTAAATGATAATACAGTACTGAAAATGATCTTGGTATAGGGGTAGAATATGATTATGTGGTAAAGACTGTTGATTACCCTGAGGAGCGGTCTTCATGGCGAGGATAAGCCGCCAAGCTATAAACACCCTAGGCTAAGCAATATCAGGGACATGCATAACAACTGCTGCCTCGAACAATGCGATCGTCCTCTATTGTTAATTTGTGTAGTTGATAAGTTGTACTGGCCGTAGTGATGAGTGGTGGTAGTGATGATTCCGAGTACATACGTCCCACAACCATGTCGGACATCATGATGCTCGTAGTATCCTCTATATGTACTAACCGTGTCGGGAACACGTAACCGCTTTCGCTATTACGTGTTCCAACCCCCAATGCAAATCCAGCCCCCAATGCAAATTTTTCTCTAGAATCTTGATCTCTACCAAGACCGCGCCTCTAAGTTTGCTGCTATTATCCAATTTCGTTGGGAGGTCGGACTAATGACCGACTACCTGGTCCACAAGTTCAAGCGCACACCACCGGACGGGCAGATCTGTATCATGTGGGACATAGACGAATGGCACTACTGACATTAAGCTATCGATGCCTCGACTCGTCCTCGCGAGCGCCAGATCCTAGAAGCCCTGGATCATTGTTCGGAGCCACCCGCGCGTGACGACCAAGGTCCAGAGTTCTATCGCCCCTCACACTACTTTGCCGCAGCCATTCTAAAGCCAAAGAAGACTTACGAGGAGACCATTCAGATCATTGCAGATGTACACTCGTTTATGCAGACAATGTCAGACTTCCAGCAGCACAGGGTCTGCGCTGAAGAAAGTACTCAGCGCAGAGGTCGGGAGTCTCTCAGGAGCATTGGACGCAATACTCGTAGGTCTCTACCGCCTCGCCAAAGCTTAGGTGCCAATTCCCGTTCTTTACGACAAACTGAATCAAATTACTAGAGACAAATACGAAGGTTTTGCTAACGAGAACCAGTGAGGTTCATTTGTATGTTTCAACGCAGCAGTTGCTGACCAGACAGGACCGAGATTATCCAAAGATTGTGTTATGCAATGGCTACTATAGTACATCGTATTCGATGGCCGTAGCGGATTAGTCTACTACTATGGTCCATACTACGATATTAGGATCGTTCGACCTTAATGAAGAACGAGGCAATTCATAAAGAGTACCGTGGGCATCGTAGCCGTTCCATTCCCTACACTACTTGCAATGCCTATAATCCAGGGAGAAGAAGATGGTCTATTAGTGTATGTGTTGAATCACGGATAAGTTCCGATTGGACTAAAGAAGCTATGTCAAGGTGACAACCACTAGCCGTTCCGACGATTGAGGAGTGCGTGATTGGTCTATAGAGAGTTGTTGAAACGGAGACAGTGGTTCAGATCGCTCAGGATAAACACCACCACCAGGTCGGACTTCCGTAAGAGAGGAACAGGTCAGACCCTCACGAGCAAGGAGATTGCCATTTGACTGGTCTGTCCAGTCGAGACGAAAATGGGGTAAGATTGACCCGGGAAACCGGTAGTCGTAGACTAGATGAAGATCCGACCGGACGCAAGGCAGTAGGGTAATATCATACGATGGCCTGGTAGAACGGATGGTCCTGGAGTGGGAGATCGAATGGCTACCAAAAGACTGAACAGGTGTTTCGCGGCGTACGCTGTGATGGGACTTGAGCCACAGGAGACCCAGATGCGAATGGACCGGACTGGACTGTAAGCTCAGTTTAGGGTGGCTTAAGTATACACTAGGCTAGACCGATGAGGATAAAATAGAAGATTGACTAGACAGAAGAGCCGACTCAACGTATTGCATGTAGATCAGGCATAGACTAGGCTAGACTTATACTGGTAGATAAAGCAGAAACATGATCAGTCTGCCAATCGGTATTTTAATGGTCATCTCCCCAGCCACCTATATTGTAAGTAGTATTACTTACACTAGTGAGTCTGCAAGGTAGCGAGCTGTAAGTTCCCAAAGTGCATAGAAACGCCGAATGACCCGAAACCATACACGAACAGCATGACCGAAAACCTCCGAAGAACCGGTCCTGCAACCGACGCGACCGCCAAAATTCGGGCGATCCGTCGAATGACATGACTAGAAAGCCTTGCGACCGCCGACCGCGCTCGGGCTTCACACTGGTTGAGCACGGTACACCAGGTGTAGCATTCTGCCGTGATGGAGTTCGGAGATTCCACTGCCCCAGAAATTGCCGAGGCTCTCCGGCCACTAGCGCATATTTGATAGAGCTTCCCCCGCAACAGCCCTGATATCATTCAAGACCACCTACTCTTTCGTCCCTAGCCAGTTGAATTGCTGTCGCTCTCTCGCATAAAATGATGAATCGCTCTCTCTTGCGCCTGGCTGCGCGCTCTGTCAAGGCTGGCCCTGGCGTATCTGCCATTGGTCGGCGTCATGCTTCCTCGGCTGTCTTTAACTGGGAAGATCCCCTCGCTGCCGCGGAGCTCTACACAGAAGAGGAGCTGGCTATCCAGGACACAGCGCGCCAGTACTGCCAAGAACAATTACAGCCACGAGTTCTCGGTTTGTTTCCCCCCTGCTTCATCGGATTATATCGACTAACCACTCGCCATTCTTCTAGAGGCCTACCGCAATGAGGACTATGATCGCAAAATCCTGTACGAAATGGGAGAACTCGGACTCCTGGGCGCATCGATCGAAGGATACGGCTGTGCCGGCGCCAGCACTGTTGCGTCCGGCCTGATCACTAAGGAGGTGGAGCGCGTGGACTCGGGATACCGATCAGGCATGTCGGTGCAGAGCTCATTGGCGATGACCGGCATCTACGAATTTGGTACCGAGGAACAGAAGCAGCGATTCCTACCGGGCCTCGCCAAGGGTCAACTCGCCGGCTGCTTTGGGCTGACGGAGCCGAATCACGGCTCCGACCCCGGCTCCATGGAAACCGTGGCCCGCGAGCACCCGACTCAGAAGGGCATGTATCTCCTGAGCGGAAGCAAGACTTGGATCACCAACTCGCCCATTTGCGACCTCGCCCTGGTGTGGGCGAAGCTCGAGTCGACGGGCAAGATTCGCGGGTTCGTTGTGGAGCGCTCGCGCTGCCCGCCTGGTACCTTTGAGACGCCCGCTATTAAGAATAAGAGTGCGCTTCGCGCCTCGATTACTGGCATGATCCAGATGGATGATTGTCCTGTGCCAGCGGAGAATATGTTCCCCGATGTCGAGGGTCTGAAGGGTCCTTTTACTTGTCTGAACAGTGCCCGTCTAGGTATTGCGTTCGGTAGCATGGGTGCCCTGGAAGACTGTCTGGCGCGTGCTCGCGAGTATAGTCTTGAGCGCAAGCAGTTCAAAGGGAACCCGCTCGCCAAGTACCAGCTGATCCAGAAGAAGCTGGCGGACGCGGCGACTGATGCGGCCTATGGAACTCTGGCTGCTGTGCAGGTGGCTCGTCTCAAGGATGCTGGCAAAGCTACCCCCGAGATGATCTCGATGATCAAGCGACAGAATTGTGACCGAGCACTGGCCAACTCACGAATGTACGTTTTCGTTTCAAGTCAGTATGATTAGCTGATACTAACCATGCCGACAGCCTCCAAGAAATCTTTGGCGGCAATGCTGCCAGCGACGAGTACCACATTGGGCGCCATGTGGCCAATCTGTTCGTGGTTCAGACCTACGAGGGACAAAGCGATATTCACGGTGAGTCACTTGTGCCCAATTTGACGCATATTACTTTTTCTATCTTTTGGGCAGAGATGCTGACTCGTTATAGCGTTGATTTTGGGCCGGGCCATTACCGGCAAGCAGGCCTTTGTCTAAAAACACTCGACTATACCATATCCTGTATTCATAACTGCATTCATAGATGCCCATACACCTTCATCCGGCCAGTATTTTGATTCTTCCAAGGAAGAAACCGGAGCGCGGCAGGCTGCCCCATCGGGACAAGGCGAACGCCTCACCCGCACGTGACATCATAGAGGGGCGTGAAAAGAGAGAAAAAATCAAAAAGCTACCACGATGCTCAATACATTGCGCAATGACGTGAATCAGATTCAAATTAAGCCGTTAGAGTAGTTAGATTACAGCAAAGTAGACGTCGAACCGATCTGAATCGAGAAGAATACCAGCCCTACGGGGTTCTTCAAAAATTACGCACAGCGGCAGGTGGCGCGTATTGCTGATTACTTACCAGTCACCCGCCGCCCACTTTCAAGTTCCCCCTCGTTCTGAAGTCTTCTTTCTCTTCTCTTTTCCACACAACGACGTAACCGTACGTGGAACGCCCCAGACTGGTACTTCATGGTCTCGATCTTTTGCTGACGCCTTCCAGTCTCTCACCTCCTCACATCTTTCTCCCGTCGTCATGGCTCTCAAGCGCATTAACAAGGAACTCACTGATCTGGGCCGGTAAGCATGCCCGCCTTCTCTGACTGGAGGCGCTGTGATGCTAATATCCAACTTTACCACAGGGACCCCCCCCCTCCTCGTGCTCCGCTGGTCCTGTCGGCGACGATCTGGTATGCCTCACCTTCTTCTCGATTTCGATCTCTGCAAATCCTCCTTCCCGTCGCCCGGTCGGTCGTCGCTCCGCGAAGAGCCTTATCGTGTGGCGGGGCTGAGGCACCCTCCCGCAGATCGTCACCTCAACTACGATAATCGGATGCCATGGTTGTGTTGCTAACAATTTTCTCTGTCCAGTTCCACTGGCAAGCTACGATCATGGGTCCTGTAAGTTCATCATCATTCTGTTCGAACCCCGCGCGACCGTGGGAAGAGTTCGCTGGCGGCCTCTTTGAGGACCCCCTCAGATCGACATGGTACCTGAATACTGACTTTCTCCCAGGGTGACTCGCCCTACTCCGGAGGCGTCTTCTTCCTTACCATCCACTTCCCTACCGACTACCCGTTCAAGCCTCCCAAGGTCAACTTCACCACCCGTATCTACCACCCGAACATCAACTCCAACGGAAGCATCTGCCTGGACATCCTGAGGGATCAATGGAGCCCAGCCCTCACCATCTCGAAGGGTATGTCGCAGCCCCACCATTCACAGGCACTGACCCCTCACCCGTGCAAACCCCTAACCACTTATATAGTCCTCCTTTCGATCTGCTCCATGCTTACAGACCCCAACCCGGATGACCCCCTGGTTCCCGAGATCGCCCACGTCTACAAGACGGATCGCCCGCGGTACGAGGCGACGGCCCGCGAGTGGACTCGCAAGTACGCCATCTAACCGATGGCATACCCAACCTTCTTCAACCGCGCGCGTGACCTGTCGGAGCTTCTTCTCCGCCTCTGCATCTTCTTTCACGTTTCTCCGTTAGACGCAACCTCGCGAAGCCTGGCGTACCATGGTCGTAGAAACAACTTTATGAGCTCGAAACCTTTTGCTGTCGTGCGCATTTGCTCCGTTTCTAAACATTTTTCTATGTCTTTTAGTTTCCGGGCAATGTCATACCCAATGATCATTATGAGCAATGCTTTTGTCCTCCGTCTACCCTCTATCATTGGAAGAAAAAGAAAATATTCTTCGAATTCAAGACAGATTTGGCCGGAGTACGCTTCAACTTTCCCTGTCTACTCGGTCCTGAGTGGATAGGATAGTACTGGGACAAGGCTTAGGTCGTTTCTGCTCGTGCAATGGTTCTTGATTATGGTATCAATAGGCGGATATGGGATGAATTTGATGGAGTAATGGGAAAAATGTTGGGATTGGGGATAGCTTGCAGGTTCATGGGTGGTTGGAGAGGGGTCTACGATTATATTCTTTTATATTCTATTATCGCAGATAGCACAATCCAGGCCGGCCCGTCTATGTGTTAAGTATTCCCATTTTTGTATGCTTAAGTATCATCTGAGTAGCGATGGTATTCCCATTATGGGCTTGAAGGCGGAATCAGATCTCAAGCGGCAACATATGACTACATTATGCTAGTATTATGCCAGTATCCAGTAGTCCTTTACCACGGTAAGCGAGGGGATGTATTCTCCTGACAGATGTGATGATGCATATGATAGATACTGACTTAAGACGGGTCGTTATTAGTGATTCAATTCGTGCTGTGGGACCAGAGCAGATCCTCAGGTCGGCTTGCTTGCAGGAAGACTAATTATGCTTTCGAGGCATCCTTCCCAACTTGTCTAGTTTCAAGGGGCGGGATCTTCGTTTATAGGATTACATAGTTGATTTAATAGATGAATTTTCAGGGGTCCACTTTGAGATCTTTAGGACGAAGCCGTGACACTTGAGGTGTGGTCGAGTGATCAGCCTAGAGCCTCAAATCTTTGTAGTTCCTCGGACTAGACGTAGAGTTGATTATATTTGATGAAAGTGTTTTTCGAAATTCGGAATGGTCATATTTCGCTTCATGGGTCAAGATAAATCTGGATTTATGGCTCTGTCACTGTTCGTCATGGACCATGAACACCTGTACAATCCAGACAGCAAACTCAAGGCTTGGCACAACTTATCACACACGACCATCGCATTGCTTTACAACCCTTAAGCACGATGTCCAACCCCAACAACGTCATATGATTCGTGAATAAGACGCCTCTCTCATGCCTGGCCTCGCGATGCCTGACTGCAAAATAGCACCCGAGTCAGCCCAAAACACACCCAATCAGCCCGCGGGATTCCCGGCCCGCGCCTCCGCCGCGACGAACAAAGCGAGATGAACCGCCGGACGAAATCCACCTTTCTCGCCAGTCACTCCAATTATGGCACGCGTCCCAAAGAGCCTCAAACTCAAGCCTAAGCCTCACAACAGGGTCCAGCTTCGCCCCGAAGATGCAACCTGAGTCCCCACTACCACAAGGCTCCGATCCTTAAACAGATTTGATGGACGCTAAGCGAGTCAGTAGTCCAAAAAATGCGCCTTCGCCCCCAAGCCTTCCGCTTCTCTAGCGGGCCCCCTTCAAACATTAAAGCGAGAACCCCGCTCTCCTGATCCCGCAAGCTCAACCCGCAAGTCACTCATTATGCTGGGAGGCAGTTTGAAGGCGGCTTTTGCCGCGGCGCTGTTGGCTGGTTCGGCAGCCGCCATTGACTTGGATATCAAAGATGAGCGTGAGTGGAGGGTCAATTTCGCGTCCGGGCAGGTTTACTCATTTGCTCAGAATCTATTAAGGATGCCGCCAAGACCATCGCGTCGAGCACCATGTCCTACTACGCGAACCGGGATAGCGCCGACATCCCCGGCGCTATCGTGACGAGCTGGTGGGAAGGTGGTTTGCTTTTCGACATCATGATCCAGTACTGGTCTCTGACCGGCGACGACTCGAATAATGACGCCGTCACAGAGGGAATGTACTGGCAGCGCGGTAGTGGCAACAACTACTTCCCATCCAACTACAGTTCCTACCTGGGCAACGACGATCAATTGACCTGGGGACTGGCCGCTATGACGGCCGCCGAGCTCGACTACCCGCAAAACTCGTCGATGCTGACGTGGGCGATGCTCGCCGAGAACGTCTGGAACGTGATTTTGAGTCGGTGGGACGAGGAGAATTGTTATGGTGGTCTGCGCTGGCAGATTTGGCCGTATCAGATTGGGTATACAATGAAGAATGCGTATACGAATGGTGCATTCTTTGAGTTGTCCGCGAGACTGGGTCGGTTCACGAAGAATCAGACCTATGTTGATTGGGCTGAGAAGATCTGGGAGTGGAGTGCGAAGTCGTCGTTGCTGGACGTGGATACATGGAAAATTTACGACTCGACAAACTGCAAGGACAATTGTGAGGCTGCTAGCCATATTCAGTGGTCGTACAATTATGGCACCTATATGACTGGTGCGGCCTACATGTATAACCAGGTGAGCAGTTCAGCGCCGAAGCAGAATAATGGGGGCTCCCAAGCTAACAACGACAAGACGGACGGCAAGGACAAGTGGAAAACCGCCCTCAACGGACTCTTCAACACTTCCCAGATTTTCTTCCCTGAAAAATACGGCGGCAAGATCATGTCCGAGGTCACCTGCGAGCCACAGGAGCTCTGCAACGACGAGATCCTCTTCAAGGGCCTCTTCGCGCAAGACCTCTCCCTCATCGCCCAAGTTGCGCCATACACCGAATCCAACATTATCCCCCTACTCCAGGGCTCTGCCGTTGCGGCTGCGAAGAGTTGCACGGGCGGAACGAACGACGATCTTTGCGGCATTAAGTGGTATAAGTCGGAGTATGATGGCCGCAGTGGATTCGAACAGCAGCTCAGCGCGACTAGTATTCTCATGACCAACATGATTGCGTTTGGCAAGCAGGCACCTGCAACTCAGGCGACGGCGAGTAAGCCTGCGTCGGGGACGTCGACTGGATCGCCTTCTTCGACCAGCAATACGCTGGTTATTAAGACCGATAATGCCGACAAGGATAATGGCGCTGGTGTGTTGTCCGGCGGACCTGTCGCGGTAGTTGTCGCGGTGATGGCGGGTATCCTGTACCTCATCTAAAATCTGTTATGTATACCACCACCCTGTGAACGTTTTTTTAGTTTTTATTCTTTGTTTCATCTGTACCAACAGAACGATTTAACTATAATACCCTGTCATCGGCCGAGATCGACTTTTTCATATTTGTCATGTTGACAGAAGATGAGACAAAGCAATGCCAAGCAGTGTCGAGTGTCCCTCATATGAACTAGGAAGTATTCAAAAGAGGATATAAATCCAGCCTTCAAATGCCGCAACTCAATTCACTGACCCACCCAAGTCCCCGGATATGTAACTCTGGAGACGACGCTAAATATGGAGAGCCCGAGAACGCACGATACTCGCAGAAACAGACCTCGGAGGCAGCTCGGAGGTCGGGCTGCAGCTCGTGCTTGGCTACTCCAACCTCTTCTCCACGCGTGGAATTACACTAGTGTAGGATTCCGGGGTGAGGGCGAAACCATCGGAAAGACATCACCCTACCTACAGTAGATACCTCGGTACCACTTGGACATTCAGAATAGGAAATTAGGGACGTTGATATACGGTCAACACATGTTGGTCATGCCCACGCAATCTCTTTTACCCCAAATACGCAATTCTGATAAGGCTTAGTCCCAAAAAAGCTTCCAGAAAGCGCCGATCGCGCGGTCCTGCAGCTCCGACATGCCCTATGCCATGGATCCGTTTTGACGGATAGCTCCCGAGTCTGGATATCTAGCGTGTGAATAATTCTAGTCAGGCACCAATCTGCCAGTACGGAGCAGAGCATGCGCAATTCGAACTCGAATTTGCGTGGACCTCGATAGCTGTTTCATCCCGGGGGTCCTTGGCCCACTCTAATCCGAACCGCGCTCGTACTGCGGTGAAGAAGCCTTGTAGGGCCGAGCGGTCCATTTTCCCCGAGCGCATTCCGTATGCCTGAATGTCAAGATTACCTTTCCGTCTTACCTACGTGAATTTGGTGACATGCGACCAGATAGCGCACACCGGGCATGGTTCCACTACTCCACCGTGACCCAGTTCCCGCAAGATAGGAGCAACCTCCTATTCGGAACATCTAGACCGTGTGGCGAGATCGTGACGGCGTACAGTGCACAGTAAGAGTAGCGTCGGGGTCAGACGGTATGATCTTTTCCCCAGTTTCTTGCAAACCCTCCAGACTCTAGAATATGGAGAAACCGATGCTAAAACAAATTTCTCCAGTCCGTTCCCCGGCCTGCAGGACACAATCCGGCCAACCTACCCCGAGATAGCCGTGGTCCCCGCGGGCCGGTGGATGTTATGATCTAGCACAGCAACCAATAGCCACGCGCGAAACGGGATAAGCTCTAGGGCGTAAGACAAGCCCTGATCGACACGTTGTTGCCATGTGCAGACTGGCAACGCTGAGTGGTCGAGGGGGCCGAGATTCGGTGCGCCGAACCAATCACGCGCACGGCTCGCTATCATCTCTCCGGCCCTGACGATCGACTACCCCAAAACTGTTACCTAACGCTATGATAGAAGCGGATGGTCGTGGCGGAGGGCGTGTGTCCCCCCGCGTTGTGGGGAGATGTCGGACAGGGCAGGTGAGATTCGAGAGCTTGTCGTCATGTTTCGGTCGGCTTTTTATAGCGGCTGTCCCTCGATTTTGTGTCTTTTGCTCGCTATTGATTTCACATACCTTTTCATACACGACCACCATGGCAGACCTTGATCCCGCCGAGTTGAAGGCGTATCATGATGATGACGCTCAGTTGGCCCAGATGGGTCACAAGTCTGAATTGAAACGAAATTTCTCTATGGTGTACGTTTTGGGCGGCCTTCGAGGTCTGACCACCAGGTTAATGATTGCTTGTCTAGATCAATGCTGGGTCTTGCATTCGCTATTCTTAATGTACGTCTCTGATTGGATTGACTGAAATTTACGCCACGAAGAAATAATCGCTGACAGAATGATGCGATAGTCATGGACTGCCTTGTCCGCTAGTTTATCCCTGAGTCTGCCCTCTGGTGGCCCGGCCAGTGTTGTCTGGGGTAAGCACGATCCAATTCTGATTTTACATGCGTCTGCTGACAAGGAACTCCAGGTCTGATTACTGCGGGTATTTGCAGTTTATGCATGGCAGCCTCGCTAGCCGAGTTCTTGTCCGCATATCCAACGTGAGTGACTTCTAACCGCTGACAAAAGTGCGGGACTTACGAAATCAGTGCTGGAGGTCAATATCACTGGGTTGCTGTCAGTATGTATACCCTCGAATCTATAGAATATGTGCGCACATTCTAACAACAGTCTTCAGTCTCTCCTCAAAAATGGATGCCCATTCTCTCTTGGATCACCGGCTGGGTGAACTGTGCTGGTTGGGTCGCCCTGGTGGCTACCGGTGGATTGCTGGGCAGTCAGCTGGTTCTGGGTGTGATTTCTCTGATGAATCCGGTAAGTCATTTATTACTCGCTGTTGATGACCTTAAGCTAACTCCGATCATAGAACTACGAGTCCGAGCGCTGGCACCAATTCCTCATCTATATCGCCTATAACATTGCTGGCTTCCTCATCAATGCCCTCACGAACAAGTTCTTGCCTTACTTTAACAAAGCTGCCTGTTAGTAGTCCTACATATGGCTTTTGATGGGTTTTACTGATCGTCTCAGTTATCTGGTCCCTGAGCGGCTTCACCATTATCTGCATCACCGTCCTTTCTTGCTCTTCGCCCGAATTCAACTCTGGAGAGTATGTGACTGGCTATACACCTGATTCGAAATGACTTTACTAAATCTATACAGTTTCGTATTCCGTGAATTCATCAACCAGACCGGATGGCCCGATGGTATTGCTTGGCTCCTGGGAGTATGTTGACCCACCGAGTTTTCGATGTTCTCTTCTAACAAATGTATAGTTGCTGCAAGGTGGTCTCGGTGTCACTGGATTTGTGAGTATCCCTCATACCTGGTCATGTCACAGTTTGTACTGACCCTGAAACAGGACGGTGTCGCCCACATGATTGAAGAAATCCCCAACCCTTCCGTGGAAGGCCCCAAGATCATGATTGCCTGTGTCGGAATCGGTACCGTTACTGGCTCCATCTTCCTGGTCGTCTTGTTGTTCGTGGCTGGAAACCTCGACATCATCATCGAGTCCTCTGCTGGTCCCCTTCTGGCAATCCTGAAGAACGCCACCCAGAACAATGCCGGTGCCGTCTGTCTCCTAATGTGAGTATTTTCAGACCACTAAGACTGTGAGTAAATACTGACCATTTTAGCTTCCCCCTGGTCTGCATGCTGTTTGCCACGACCGCCATCATGACCACTAGCAGCCGCATGTGCTACGCCTTTGCTCGGTATGCTTTTCCTAGTCTCCCAAGACGACCGAAATACTAACGTAAATTAGTGACGGAGGCTTGCCATTCTCCCGATTCTTCTCGAAGGTCCACCCAACGCTGAAAGTTCCCCTGAACTCCTTGTATCTCAACCTGGGTCTAGTCATCATCTTCGGCTTGATTTTCTTGGGTTCTTCTAGGTGAGCCCTCTCTAGTCCGTCAGCTATTTGTCACCAACTAACATGAAATAGCGCTTTCAACGCTATTATTTCGGCCTCCGTTGTCTGGCTGGACCTCGCATACGGGATCCCAATTGCCATCAACTGTATTCGTGGACGTAATACGCTTCCCGAGCGACCTTTCGTCCTCCCCGTTGCGCTCGGCTGGATTCTCAACATCGTACGCTTATCACACATTAACTCAAACCAAGACTTGGCTAACTCTTCCACTTAGATCTCCCTTGCTTATATCTCTCTGACTACCATCCTCTTCCTCTTCCCTCCCGAACTGCCCGCTACCGGCAGCAGCATGAGTACGTACCCACCACATCGCCAAACCAACCAACCCAAACTAATCATCACCAGACTACTGTGTCGCCGCCTTTGGTATCGTAGTTATCCTCTGCGCAGTGACCTGGTTTGCCGACGGGCGCAAGAACTATGTTGGCCCCCGGATCGAGGTGGAAGTGCTTGCCGGACAAGCTGGCGGCCAGCCTGAGCAACCAATCCCCGCCATCGAACACTACGGCGAGAAATAAGTAATGTACTTTAGCTTTAAATAGTGTTTTATTAGCAGAATACGATTACTCGCTTGCTCTTCTCCTACCGTACCTTACCTGGTTTTCTGATGTATACTTCACTGTGGCACGTGATGCCGACGGATTAGTTACGTCATGGCCATAACTGCCTGAGGCCGCCTTCCCAACAATAATCCACGGCGGATCCCAGACTCCGTTGAGAAAGCGATGGGCTAATCTCGACACAAGCAGCAGACAAACTTGGATATAAGACTCGCTCCGACGTAGAGTGCTTGCAGAACTTGCAGTGTTTGTCCGAGGCTGTGTAACTGCACGTCTTTAGTGGGAAACACCTCCATCTCCGGGTGACCTTAACTACGACTTCCCCACCGTGCGACCTCACCACACAGCAGAGCAGAGCAGAGCGCCGCGAAAATGTTCCAGTTTCCGCTTCCGTCGCTGAAGTCGTTCAAGCTCTTCTCGTGGGAGAAGCAGGCTATCGATATCCCGTCGGTCAAGACGCATGATCTTGAGAGCGCACAGGAGAAGTCCGCGAGGTCGTTGAAGCATCTGCTTAAGCTCAACCATGCGAATCATGCAATCCTCTATAACGAGCGGAAGTTCCATAATCATGCGCCCCATGTGAGTACCTCAAGAAATATTGTTTGTACAGGAGGCCGATTTGCTGACGGCGAGATAGCTTCTCAGCGCGGCGTTCTTGCAGGGCGCTGATGCGGATGATTTGACTCGGCTTTTTGAGAGTGAATCTAAGATCCTGGAGGCGTGGAAGGATTCTCCCGCTGAAGTCACGAATTACGATTGGAGGGATCATCTGGGGCGGCGAGAGTATGTTTCCAACCCCTGTTATGTTATAGAAGTGCTGTGCTGACTTGGATACCAGGTATGAAAAAGCCTTTGTGGACTTCTTCGAAGATGAGATGGTTCGGCTTGGGTATGACTGGAAGAAGGTCGTCGAGAAATACCTCTTCCAAGACAAAAAGCCCGTGTTCAACTCAATTATAGCCGACTGTATGTCCCGTCCCGCGGCTTGCTGACCTCCACGTACTGACCACAATTCAGTGGGCCACCCCTAATTCACCTCGCCTACGCCTACGAAATCGACAGCCGCGAAGTTGCAATGGAAGCACTGGGACTCGCATCAACCTGCTACAATAATATCCACAGCTACCTAGACGACCCAGTCCCTAATCACATCGAAGCATCCTGCCACTCAACATCACTCTTCGAAATTCTCGACAAAGTCCGCAGCGAAAAGGCACTAGACGGACTCTTCGTCACACCAGGAAACCACAACATTGAAAAGCTATTCAGCGAACGTGAAGCTGTCCTCCTGAACTACTGGAACGCATGGCAACTCGAAAATCCCATCGAGCAGTTCCGCGAGAGCCAAGAACTTGCCGCCGCGCTCCTCGTCGCGACACATGCGGACTCCGCCAAACAATACGATTTCTTCTTCGTGCACGTCATGACGACCAGCCACGCGGTTCGCGTCTTGCTGCCACTCATCCCGGCAAAGTTCCAGGTCCCGCTAGTCCGACAATGGTGGTTGGTGACGCTGGCTATCTTCATTGCGCAGCTGCGGCCTGAGATTCCATTAGACCGTTTTCGAAATTTCGATCTGAAGGAGAGAGATTGGAGTTGGACTGCTGAGCAGGCTGTTAAGGGGGAGTATGCCACCGAGGCGCATTATGTTAAGGCGCTTTGGTCTTTGCGGCAGATGGCGCTGACGTGGGGTGATCATGATAATTTCTATTTGAAAGCTGCTGTGAAGTTTGCAGAGGAATTTAGTGGATGGGGTGGATTTGTTTGATATTTCGTCGATTTCCTTGCATCTCGGTATTCAAAAAGTTCTATCTTGCATATAATTTTGCTCAGCAAACATGCTCGCTATCCCTTGTCATGAACGTAGATACCCGGCTACGCTCTTTCCCCATCGGATGGCACTCTTGTACTTAAACATGCCAGGCGCATTGCCCTTCTGAAGACCTTCGATAGCGTCTGCAAGGTCGGGTCCGGTGCCCTCTGCCTTGATATCTGCAAGAGGATAAAGGTATGTCTTGAAGCAGAAAAGCACGAATTTTGTCTGAGGAAGGCGGGTGAGAGATTGGTGCTCAATCCGCAGATTGGCCTGAAGAGTGAGCTTTCGTCGATCACAGTGAGTTCTGCAATGGTATCACATACCGTGGAATGATCAACATCTTCATCAGCAACAAAATCCTCGCCTTCCTTGATATGATTGCCAGCAACGTTGATGAGTTCCTCACCCGTTTGAATGTTCCACTGATCCCATCAGCAACTCTCTTGCCGCAAAATGGGAGATAAACAACATAAAGAGGACAACTCACATTCATCCTCTTAACGCTCTTTCCAACCGCCAACTTCCGAAAAAACCTCTCCATACTCGGCCCGATCTTCTCATAACCCGGTACAGGCCCATGAATACCCTTCAAGTCCAGTCCCAACTTTGCAGATGGATCAAAGCCCGTCGGGAAACAACACGCAAAAGCCAGGCAAATATGCGTGGTTTTCGTCTCTTTGAGGAGGAAGATATCCTCCTCGATCGTCTCGGCGAGAATCCGGAGACAGAGCTCTGGATCTTGGGGTGGGGATGTGGGGAACGATTTGCCGGTTACTTTATTGTGGAATGCTTTTTCGGTCAAGGTGAAGAGATCTGGGAAGCGGGAAGGTAGGAAGTGAGTTAATAGGAAAGAGTAGAGCTCGTAGACGGCGGATTCGCCGCCTTTTAGACAGCCGTGCACGGTTTTGTCGTATTTTGAGATGATGGTTCGGCGGGCTGTTACTCGGTCCAGATATTGGTTGTCTATTGTGATGAGGTCTGAGATGGGTTCTGATTTGATGGCTGTCATTTTTGTTAGAAGTTTCTTCTGTAGAGCGCGGCTTGAGTGCTGGATACCCATGGTGATGTTATAGATTGGTCTATATGGCCGTAGAAGTCGAGGCTTCTCTGCTCGCCAGTCGAAGTTGTGCCGTGGCTCAATAGCAGGGAGATGATTCTTAACCAGCCTTTGGTTTCGCTCAAGCCGTAGCTTTAGACAGTTTGTATTAGCTTTGACTGGATAGTCATTGTCAGGCGTGCATGAGGAAAGCTGTCATGCGCGTACATTTTTCCCGATAATGTATACGACAAATGTCAGAATTATCGGAATCAGGATAATAGACCCAGATGGTGCTACTATAGCGAGATCGAATGGAGTCGAATAAGAGCCCATGGTGCTTTTCCCAGCGCATTCGGTCAACTCCGAGTATCTTGGAAAAGGCCTGGAGCCGGGCAGGCAAGGAGCTATATAAAGACAACTACAACCATCATGTCAGCTTCAATACGCACCCGCCTAGAGCTCTTTTGATCTAACCAGTTATAGAGATCATAACCTAAATGATCTTGATCGTGCGGGGTCGTGTGCTGTAGTCGCGCTCCGAGACCGCCAGGCCTGATCCCGGTGGGCTCCACCAACCAACGAATGATGCGGCTTATCGCTCACATGATTTCCCAAATAAGAGATAAATTGCGCATCCAATGACACGGACGAGAAGAGTCAAATCAATAAGCCTTTCATTTCATTCGAAACATGAAAACAAGACGATGAAAATTGCGACCATTTGAAAAGCAGGACTATACGATGAGCTAAGCAGATACACATCACGTGCACCTCCGGCTTGGCGCCGGGGTCCACGCCGCAGTTTTCTGTTTCTTCGTGTCCGCGCCGACTACACGATCAACCCCACAGCAATCCAGGCCTCTCGCAAGTACATCGAGTCGCTTGCTACAGACCCTGGTATCCAAGGGCATTTATTAACCGTCCTCCCGCCTCCATGATCTGCCGAAGCTGCCGGACCAGTATGTTCTCGCGGCTCCCGCAAAAACAGGCCGCGACATGGACCGCATCATTATCCTCGCGACAATTGCCAATTGCCCGCAGCCAATTCCGCTCCTACAGTGACAACAACCCTCCCGTGGCTGCTCCTCCTTCCCCCTCCGCCCCCCGCCAGCCTGCCGCCGGTGACAGCACCACTCCCTCCGCCATCTCCTCCGCAACCCCCGGCATTTCGCAGCCGTTGAGCACCCCCGAGACCGTCCATGTGAACCCGGTCTCTACGCCCAAGCCGGCTCAACGTCCGCCGAGCAGCTGCCCGGCCGGCACAAAGATGAACGGTCTGAACTACTTCAAGAACAAGCCTGACGTGGTCGCCAAGGAAGACCACGAGTACCCGGACTGGCTCTGGGATCTGCTGGGTGATTCCAGCAAGCAGGCCAAGGAGAAGAAGGGTGGCATTGACCTGAGCAGTGAGTGCATTCCCGGCTTCCGAGTTAATAACAATACCAGTGCTAACAAACTCGTCAGCGCTGAACAAGAAGCAACGAAAGCGCTACGAAAAGAAGCTCGCCGCTCGCACCGAAAAACTCCCGCCCAAGATTCCCGCCCACCACCACTCCCACGACATCACACCTGCTCTGTACAACCGCGAAGCGCCGGCCGATACCCTGAACGAAGCCACCGACGGCCAGGACATGCGGATGGAGGTGACTAAGAGTGCGCGCGAGGCGCGCCGGAAGGCGATCAAGGAATCGAACTTCTTGCGCGGCCTGTAACAGCATTCGCAGCGATATCCTGGAGCGACTTGTTTTTTTACTACTTTATTTTATTGCTGGAGTATACCAGTATTGAAGAGCGGATCCTGGCATCCTAACCATGTATTATTATGTCGACTGATCCTTCTCGATTGTGCTATATATTCAATGAACGGATCTACATAATCATCATTCCCGCAGCTTCTCTAAGGGACAGCAATGCTCTCACACACTGCATTAATGCACAGTTTACTGCCCTGGAATCGGCCACTCCTTCTCTTCCCCCTGCCCTTCAAGCCACTGCTTACACCCCTCCCAAAGCGCCTTGAATTCTCCCTCTCCAATCCCCATAAACCTCTCAAAAATAGGCGGATCCATCCGCTCAAAGAAGGCAAGAATACAAGCAAACATCAAATCCGCATACCCAGGCTTCTCCCCCTCTAGAAATGGCCCCTTCTTCCCCTCCCTGCCCTTCAACATATCCACCAACGTCTGACACTCTGCCTCAACCCCCTTCCAAATCTCCTCCACAGCCTCGGGGTCGCTCGGCCGCACCTGATCAAGCGGCTTCCCAAATGCCACCGCTCGCGTCCGATTAAAGTACTCCTGCCCCCTTTCGTCAAGGTGCTGAGGGACGTTGGGGATGACGAGTTGTCGGATGCCTGTACCCATGCCTGCGGCTACCTTTGAGAGGGCCATGACGAGGGCGTAGCTTGCGTCGCCGGAGGGGAAGAGGGGTGGGTTTGGGAAGGTCTTGTCTAGGTGCAGGATTATGGGGAGGGAGTCCATCATGGCGTTGGATTTGTTGGTGGTTATGGAGGGGTGGATTATGGCGGGAAGGGTGTAGGGGGTTCCGGTGGCGTTGGGGGGTAGAGAGAGGGATTTGATTAGGGGGGCGATGTCTGGGTAGGAAATCCAGGATTGTGTGTAGGGTATGCCTTTGAAGTTAAGCACTGCGCGCACTTTGAGGGTGTTTGGGGACCAGGACTTGGAGGGGCCTGCTTGAGGTGTTAGTGGGTGAATAGGATGGAAGGAACGAATGATAGGACGGACCTGGGAGGGTGGAGGTGATGTCAAAGAAGTGAACTGGCTCGGAGGACATGGTTGTATGAGTTTATACAATGAGTATATGTGACTGCTGCTTTCCTGTAGGATATAGTGCTGAGGATTGGAAATGGGAACACAAGGCTCTTATATTGCGAGTGGGCGGCCTGATGATTTCAAAGCAACCGGTGAACTGACTCGAACGGCTGATAGGACCATCTCGGTTGATGCTAGCCCGATGGATTCCGGAGTCCGAGTCGTGTCTCATTAAGCTCGTCTAAGCAATGTGGCTCTTACCCCGCGGGCTCTTATTTGACGTGAAGCAGACCAGCCTTGCACTCGTTCAGCTGATTATGCCATCCGCTAGTGTTAGCCTGAGATAATCACAACGACTTCAGCTTTTGGAATTCATCGCATTAGTAAATTGTACATTGTATACTTCACATACACTATAGACAGCCCGCCAAGCGGCCCAGACGGAGCCACGTCGCAGTGGAGAGACGACCCGCACGTGTCCACTCCTTTTCTCAGGTGATTCTCGCAATCCAGCATCAACTTCGACAAGGAATCGCCGCTCAAGGAAAATACAGACATACACCTGGCTGGTGTTGACACCGTTACGACTATTTTCAAGTTAGGTAGGGTACACCCTCCCCTACTAGTATCAGCACCCCCACGGGCACACCGACACTCCCCCGCACTGGGACCTACCAACGGTAAACCCAAGCCACGACCAGCGACAATCAACAAAATCCAAATACCTGGCTTGACCATTTGGAAAGTCCGACATGGAAAAAGTCGACAACCTCGTCGAGCGAGCAAGATATCTATCGCTACACCCGCTCCAGGACTCCTACCCCATAGATGCATTCCACGCCGTCATGGATGCGCATCTAAAGCGGATCTACGAGACGATTGTTGCGAGTGATGCGTCGAGGGCTGAATTTCAGAAGACCGTTCAAGCAGACGCGGGATCTGGTACTGGTACCAACACTGGCACTGCAGGTATTGGAACTGGCGACCCCCTCGTCTCCGTCGATGCCTTCCGCGCATACATGAAAGACGGCGTCTCGAGGGCACTCGCGCCGGCCCCAGACCTCGACTGCTCGGCGCCAATCTCGGATTACTTTGTCTCGTCTAGCCATAATACGTACTTGACCGGGAATCAGCTCTCTAGTGATGCGGCTGCGAGTGCGTATACATCTGTTAGTACTCACAACAACTACACTGATTGTTAATTTCTGGAATGTATATTGACTCTACCCAGGTCCTACTACGCGGCTGTCGATCCGTGGAAATCGACGTCTGGGACGGGGAACCCCTCACCCCGCCCGATTCAAGCGACAATGAAGAGACAAGTAGCGAGAGCAGCGATTCCTCCGAGGACGAGGGTAAGAAGAAAGAGGGTTCGAAGAAAGGACTGAAAGCCAGACTGAAGCAGAAGATCAAATCCAAGGCCGAATCCGAGGAGAGACTCGCTCAGAAATTGCCCAAGTCTGTTTCTGCCCGGCTGGGGTTGAATAAACAGGCTGAGGCTGTGTCTGCGACTACAGAGGGCGCGGGTCCTGCTATACCTGCTGCTCCGGTTGAGGGAGAGCCAGCGCCAGCTCCAGCTCAAGTTACAAGAACACCATCCGGATCCATCAAGGGCGAACCCCGAGTCCTACACGGGCACACACTAACGAAGGGGACCTCGTTCCGAGAAATCGCATACGCGATCCGAGACAGTGCGTTCGTGACGAGTGATCTGCCGGTTATTGTCAGTTTCGAGATCCACGTATCGCTAGAGCAGCAGCAGATTATGGTTGATATCATCCACGATGCGTGGAAAGGGTTTCTCGTTGAGGTGCCTGATGACACACCCGCGAACAAGTTGCCTACGGTGGCGGAGTTGAAGAGGAAGATCCTTATTAAGACCAAGTCACTTCCACTCAAGGGAGCTAAGGATGTTGACGAGGAGGAAGAAGAGGAAGAAGAGGCGGGTGTTATCCCGACAGACACCTCGAAAACCGATTCGAAACCCAAGCCCGCGAAGCCAGTTAAGATTCTCGAGGCGCTTGCAAAATTAGCAGTCTACACCCGGGCATACCATTTCAGCCACTTCGACCAACCCGGTTCGCCCCCTCCCTCACCAAGGAAGAATATTACAATATTTGCAAGGCTGACTCTCCAACAGAAGCAAAAGATCCAGTGCACATCTTCTCGCTCTCCGAAAAAGGCGCCCGAGATGCCCACGCCAACAACCGCACCGCGCTGTTCGAACATAACCGCTCCTCCCTAATGCGCATCTACCCCTTCGCCTTCCGTGTGACGTCCTCAAACCTCGATCCCAGCTTCTACTGGCGGCGCGGCGCGCAGCTGGTTGCGCTGAACTGGCAGAATCTCGATAAGGGGATGATGCTTAATCATGGGATGTTTGCTGGGAGTTCGGGGTGGGTTTCTAAGCCGGTGGGGTATAGGAGTTGTGAAGCGCCAGCAGGGGGGCCAGGGAAAGAAACGCTGAATCTCACGATTGAAGTCTTCGCTGCCCAGGATCTCTCCCTCCCTCCGGGCGACCATTCCGAGAAACGGTTCCGGCCCTACGTGAATGTCCAGCTACACGTTGAAGAGCCGGAGACGGCGCCGGGAGCGGATGACTCGAGCTCCGAGTCGGAGAAGAGTAGCTATCGGCGTTGTACGCGCAGTTCGTCCGGGACGAATCCTGATTTTGAAGGGGAGAAATTGGTATTCCCGACTGTTACCGGGGTGGTTGAGGAGTTGAGTTTTCTCCGGTGAGTTATATTTCTTTTTGTTTTGTGTCAGTGTCATTTCCGAGGCTGTGCGTTGCTTCTTTCGTTTTCGCTCTTCCGCGTACCTTTGTCACTGGCAGACGGGCTGATCCCTGCATTTCGACTTGTTCGACATGCGTGGCGTGAGGTGCTCGGGTGTTGATTCCTTCGCCTGCCTGTGCCCCGAAGTCCTCTGTGATATGAGGATATCCATACCCATTCAGGCCGCACCTACATTGTAACCAGGGAAACAACCGTGCAGAAAGCGCAGCCTAGGGGTCCCCACATTCGTCAGACGCCGTCTTACACAGTGCAGCACATTCGCAGAGAAAGAGCCACGAGTCAGCGGCTAACTGCGTCACAGGGTCAAGATCAAAGACGACGAAATCGGCCGCGACGACCTAGCCGCATGGGCGTGCATCCGCCTTGACCGACTGCGTCAGGGTTACCGACTCGTTCATCTGCATGATTGTACGGGCGAGAAGCCGGGGGGATTTTGTTGGTGAGGATTGTCAAGGGCACGTCGTAGGACTGGCATACAGCGTAGCAGTTACCTAGGTACAATAGGGTACCGCCATACCGCCACGCGATGGTTCACCTTTCTAGTAAATTTCGGTGGCGTGGATATGTCATTTGCGAGCCAGCTTCAATTAGTACTACTGTAGTAGGTTAGGCGGAGATGAGAGTGAGAATCAGAGGGTTATCTTGGCTCTGACATTCGTGCTGTTGCACGGCCGTAGCGTATTTCTGTTCTGCGTGGGGGGCAACGAAGCGCGAGTCAGGATTCTTCAAGCGAGCCAGATATGGCACGCCACGACCGGCAGCAGCGATGGCAGCGATGGCGTCAGGCTGTGGTGCAGGTCAGTGTGGCATGCGTGCTCGCGCTTGCAAAGCCGAATGTATGTATGCTGGTGTTGCGTGATGCAGCTGCCAGAAAGTGATGACATATGAGATGGGATCAGTTGAGCTCGTCATTAGATCAAATGGACATGATTACTGTACGCTGTAAAGTGTAGTAAAGTGTAGTGTACCCTGAGGGAGGAGGTGACGGTGACGATGCAGCCGTTGACCAAGCAAGGGGGCTCATCACGCGGTCCCTCGAGGCCCCGGCTGCGCAGACGCAGCAGGGTCGATGCCGCGCAGATGAGGAGGCAAACATGAAGAACCTGCTGTTCCACAGCTTGTGTATGCATATCATTTGCAGCTGTACGTATCTTACTTAACAGTAGTAGCCTAGTAGGGTATTGTATGTACTGTGGAAGGCCGGGCGATCTGCGCTGGATTGATCTGGATCAGGGATGATGAGTCACTCCGCTTTAGAATACCGTGAGTACCTTAGGTAGGGCCGATGCAATGCGAGCGTTCTGGAAGGTGGCTGAGAAGAATGGCGTTGTCTAACCCGGGAACTAAGCTGGCCAGTTCGAGCATGCAACTGCGACGCACCACCTAGCCTGTCCTGCGTAGCTTCATATAAGCAAACAAGAAAGTTATGCTGCATGATGCGCGCCATCGGCCCCACTGCCATGCGATGTGCCGCTTTGTCACGTCTTGCTCCTTCCTGAGGGGTTGAGAGCGTAGGGAGTCGGTGAGTACTGGTTCTTGTCGAGTCACCCATTACCTACGACGTAATTTGGCTGGACAGAAGAGCGATTGTGTGGGGCTGGTCGAGGGGCAAACAAGAAAACCAGGAAATGGACGATCGACAAGCCAAGCGATATGCATCAGATTGATCAACAGCGTGGTGGAGCCGGCGCGAACAGGGCAGCGCCAGCGAGGTGATCGGTAAATCCTCCGACGTGATAATGTTGGCGTCGAGTCGGTGTGTCGAGCTGTGATGAGGATGTGTCGAGGTGATAGACTGTAAATAGTGTCAGCTCGACTATTGACATGGGAAGAATGATACTCGGCCCGAGACTCCTCAGCTGAGGAAGGTGGATATGCGGAGGGTTCACGCCGGTGACAGCTGGACCTAGCATACAGCGTGGAGAAGCAGCAGTCCAGCCCGCGACGACAGCCGATGCGCCAATAATCGGGGGACATCGGGGTCGAGTGCAGAGAGAGTGTTCCCCCTGACTGTCGTGTGTGCTTTGTCAGTAGTGCGCCCCCGCCGAGGTTGTCCGTGCCCGCGATCTGCCCCGGCTTTCTGATCGATACGTCAACTTTTCCTCCTTCGATCGTCCACCCCCTGAATACGGTAGTAATTGCGCATGGCTGTGTTGCCGGTGTAAATTTCGGGGGCTTCCACCGAGATGCTGGAGACACTGGAGACACTGCCAGTCAAGACACCGCCAGCGCAGATCGCGCGGGTCGCAGCAGGCGCAAGCTGCAGGCATCAAACTGGAAAACAACGAACACCTCCGTGCTCAGACTGCTCGGGAGGAGCCGAGGCTGCAGCCATGATTGGATCGCAAGGAACAAGTGGCGCCAACGCTAGCATGCCCGCAGACCCAGCAGACCCAGCAGACCCAGCAGCGCCGGCAGCAAGACCCTAAGGCACCCTAAGAGGCAGATGGAGAACAGGCCCAGCGTGCCTGACTGGTCGATCGGCGCGCTGTCTCCTCCCTCTAGATACACTCTCCATCGCTCTTTCCCAACAACGGGAACGTCCGAATCCAACAAGACTTGGATCCTGCACATCCACGAGAACTAGATTCCACCGATAAGTTTTTCAATCGCGGGGTCTTGTTTGTGCTTGCGAGGTCGCTTTATAAGTCGGCCCTGCCTGCCTGAGGAGAGTCTACTCAAGAACACCAACCATTTGACGAAAAAATATTCCGAGGGCGCGTGATTTAATCAGCAGCCTGCTTTGGTGAAAGGGTACTTAACGATCCGCTTGACCTGCACAATCTCGATCAGCCCCTGCTGGACTTTGCCTCCCTTCACAATCGCAATCATGACCAACCCCCAGCAGCGTGGCGCGGGGTGCTCGAACTCCCCAGCCGTGAACAAGGTTTGTCCGTGAGCTCTTTCGAGACCTCAGTACATATGAGATATACCCAGGGTACACCTGGATATACCCCGGTACCCAGGTCTCCGTACTTTTGCCATCACCACTAACCTCCCTCCACAGATGCCCGGTGTCCGCTGTCCCAACTGCGCAGCCAAAGGCCAAGAAGTCTGGGTAATCCCCGGCAAGAGCTGCCACGTCTGCCACACTCCTTGCGCGTGATCCGCAGCGCGAAGCACATTGCAAAGAAAAAAAAGGCCCGAGGCTATCCTCAACCATATCAACCTATCCCGGCGCCCAGCGCTACGCCCGAGCACCATCAGTCCATTCACGGCGTTAGGGCATGAGCGACAGGCGTTCAACGGAGTTTCAGTCCTCGGATACGCATGGACGAACTCTAGCCATTTCTTTTTATTCGAACTCGACCTGGCTGGTTCGGGGTCTTTCGGAGGAACTAGAAACGGTGTTCCTGAATTACGCTTTTTGTTTTCTGGTGTTGATGCTTATGTATGCTATTATCTCACACTGCACTGGAGTGTCACCTGATTGAGAGTACGAACTTTTTCAGACTCCCTGGCTATAATATTCTGCAAATATACTTAGCCGCGGTCTAGCCCGCGATCTACTAGAGCCTCAGTACTTTTGTTAATTCTAAGGTAGATCTCCACGTGGCGAGCGGGCGAGGGATCGTGATACCATGTGACCTGGAAGTATGGTGATACCGAGGTAGGAGTGAGGTACGATGGGTTATAGCGATGCTCGCGTTCCTTTTTAATTGTCCTTGCTGATGCTCTGTTTAGGATTGATAGATGATCCAACACTAATAGACGAAAAGTCATTAAAACTACGAAAAAGTTGCACATCACTTCCAAGTTTGTTGAATCTTCATTGATCGTACAAGATTAAGGGGTAGCGATACTACCAGGTAGGTAGGCGACTGTTTAGATGACTGTTCAGCTGACTGTTCAGAAGACTGTTTGGGCGACTTTTTTTGATGATTGTTCGAGTACGTATGGTGGTTATATTGAGGCATTGACGTAACTATAATTCAGGTATCAAGTCCTACCGAAATTGGAAAGTGAGAGTCCGTACGAGGGTCATGAGGAGGGAACAGGCACGAGGAACGAACTCGTAGCACTAGGTGTGCCTTTCTCATCAAAAATCCAGCAAGCGTATAGGGCTAAACCGCCGCACGTTCCCAAGAAGTGACTACCGTATTTCATATATTGTATGAGGGAGCCGCAAAGTGAGCGGGAGAGTCGCCAGGCAGCGCTGCCCACTCTCCATAAGTTTTCTCGTCGTCCGCGCCCCTCCTCCAAGTGCCTTTCATCTTCCACCCCACCGTCGAATCAGACGCTCCTCTCATCCTCAAGACTACTGCCAGGATGGCCGACAGCGCACAGCCTTCGTCGAACATGACCTCAAACACGCAAGCTGATGGACGTCGGCGCTGCCGTGAGTGCCGACAGCGTCGTCCACGATCTGAGCTCATCGAGGACACTAGCAGAGGGATTCCGCATCTGTTATGTGCCCCGTGCCGTGCCCGCCTTCAGCAGCGCTCTGTACGCATTTCGCTTTTACTAAGGTTATTCTTGAGTATTTCACTAGCTAATCCCGTGAATCTTCTAGGCCGCCCATTCACCTCTTTTGCGTCAGACAGGACAACAGAGGGCTGACAGTCAATACCCCCTTGGTCCTCTGTGTGCCTGCTGCCGACATCCCCTCCACCGGGTGGACGATGAGACTCTCTGTTTGTCGTGCTACACATCCCACCAGGAGGCCGAGGTACGTTTTTCATTCAGGCCTACAATCCAATCTACGGTTCTTGTGCTAATAAAGTCAAAAGGCAACGATCTGGTCGCACGTTCGTCGCTATGTCAGTTGGTTTAACCGATCGATCGACGCAGCATCCCGCGGTCAAGAGGAGCCTACCGACGAGTTACCCATGGTTCCCTGTGATGAATGCGCTATGTTGTTCGCCGTAACGGAATTCATTACACCGAGTGGGCAGCATGTTCTCCAATGCCCGTACTGCCGCAATAGACAGGTTCATTTTCCTCATTCCTATGCTGATACACCTAGCTAACGTGAATGATATAGCTCCGACGTTACTATGACGAGCGGCTGAACTAACAGGAAAATCCGATGCCCCAGTGACACCCTCCATCCTCGTTCTCGACCGCATGCCCCTCCCCGCTTCCCCTTTTCTTTTGGTGACCAGACCCTGGACTTTTTCATATGGAATTCCAGCTCTTCCTCCATGTCCGCCTACACCATCATCCTCTAGCTCCGTTACCTGTTGTCAAGTGAGCTTCATGCCTCCCTAAAAGCCATTTCCTCTTGGAAATCCTTTCCCTTTCCCTGTTATGTCTGGAGATAAGTTTTATGTTTTCGATGATACCCGCTCTTGTAAAATTACAAGAACCCCAATATAAGTGGGTGTCTTTTCAAATAGTAAGCCATTCTCTACCCTAATCGCATTTGATCCATGTAGACCTCGCCTGCGGAAGGTTATAGTGACTTGATCTTAATGTGGCCACCATATACGCTAAAAGTCATTAAGACAGTCGCCCAAACGGTCTTCTGAGCAGGCAACTGAACAGTCACCTACCTAGAGATCTCGCCACTCCTCATCATGTACGATTGATGAAGCCTCAGCAAAACGTTCTCAATATGAACCTTTGTGGATATTTCTAGTGACATCTCCGTCTATCGGTGTTGGATCATCCATGGATCAAAAAAAAGGATGTCAAAATAGGAAAGAAGGTGTCGAGGATAGTGGGGTAGTAAAATACACCCGAAATTGTTTAGTTCCATTTGTGTCGTGATATCTTCATTTGTACTAGGGGATTCTCGACACTCCGAGAATCGGGAGTTTCAACCCCCCTCACCCTACTCATGTAAGCAAGGACACCCTAACATGTCCTCGCAGCATCCGCTCTTTTCGTCTTTTCTTCAATTAATTCATCCTATCTTTTTGGATTGGTTCCCCTTGATAGATTGGCCCCATTCTTGCATACAATGCCATACTGTATCAGCATGATGTGACAGAAGGAAAGTATGCCCTGGCCATCATAGATATCCGTACTCCTATCTACTGTGCCCAGCTTTCGAAAATATCCCATCCATCAAAATGCTCTCATTTGAGTAATCTGCCTTCATACACAAACTGAGCACGAAGGAAGGAACGGGAATGAAGGGCATGGGACAAGGACGAGGAAGTAAGAGGTCACTGCGGTTCACGAGGCTCGTCGGGCAAGTTTAATGCCTCATCTTCGTTCCGGTTATGCTATATTATTCAAGTTAGCCAGATTCATCACCATAGGGAGTCAGGAATGAACGAACCCTTCTGATGCAGTTGTCTGGGTAGTATAAATTCAGTGGCGCCTGGCATGCGACGCAATGTCACAGAGAGCCCAGGAGCGGGTTGATACTATCCTCGCCGAGCTCCATCAATACTATGCCTGAAAGACATCAAGGACTCGTTCACCGCCTCCAAAATTCCCTCCTATAAGCATGTCAGTAAAGGTGTTGCGGAATGTGTATCGATAGAACATACGGAAGCCTTCTGGTGAGACTCCTGGCATGGCGGGCAGTGAGTTTCGTCGGCCGCCGGGTGGAAGGGATGCTAGCTGCACAGAGCACCGGCAGGACTTTGACTAGCGGCGCTCTGCTTCTCATGCTTGATTTGCTCGGGAGGCTTGCTATTGCCAGCCACCTTGATAATAGAGACGGGGTTGTGAGAGGTTTAGATTCGAGAGGATGGTGGAAGAAGGAAGATGGCGGGAGGCGGGAGGCGAGGAGGTTATGGGGGGCAGCGCTGCCTGACGGTTCTCCTGCACCCACTTCTGCGGTCGCTTTATATCAAAACATACCCTCAAGAATTAGCAAGCGGCAAGTGTGAGGCCTAAGATATTTTGCAATCCGGGTATTGTCATTCTAGAAAGCGACTCCGAGGCTTACGCAGATGTAGGTGGAAAGGAAACCCAGCTGGGGATTTATTGTTGGCAAAGGCACCCACTGGCATTAAAACTCTGCTACTCGTACAAAGTGGGTATTGGGAATAGTGAAAATATCTGTCTGCGGAAACAAAAAAAGTGAAATGGGAAAGGATTATTAGGGTCAAAGGCCTTTACCAGGGACAGGAGTCCAGGAAAATGCCAGTGGATTGGGGAGCGGAATATGCGCATCACAGCATAGATGAAGGGAAAAGATGTGCAAATTTAAAGAGATTTCGAAAAGATTTTCATGGTGAAGGCCACAGACAGAACAACGGAAAACGAGCAAGATTGCAAAAGCGGAAACGTCACGATTCAACTCGACTTGTTCGGGGATGATGCGAGGGAACACAGACACCGACGATCACGGGGGAAGAACGATGACGAGGAGAACGTGCACGAGAACAGCGAGTGACTAGGTTAGTGAGATCTAATCCCCGCCCTGTACAGGCCAAGTTAGCTACCCGAAGGTAGATAGACTCTCAGGTAGGGAGTCGGCGGGAGTTAACGAACCAAATCCAGGCGGCAGGCCAGGCAGTGGCCAGTGATGTGCCCACTGATCAAGATGAACATCGAAATGGAATGCTCCTTTTCACATCGGGGGCAACGGGCCAGAGGCACAGAAGGATAGCGGTGCTCATGTTCCTGGAAGTTGTCGGCGAGCGTGGCGAGGGAGTGCCGCATCTGTGCAATGGTCTGCTGCATCTGTGCATTGGACTGCAGTACCTGGGCCATCGTTTGCTTCAACTGGGAAATGGACTGATAGAGCTGTGAAAAATTCTCCTGTAATCGACAATTAGTAAAGGGTTCACAAGGATATGGGTATTGTAAAAGACTTCATAGGCCTCCTCGCGTTCGCAGTCCTGGCAGATGGTTTCACCTTCGGCATTTGGGGTGAGGTCCAACTTTCAGCCTGTATACGAAGGATACCTAGAAAGTGAGGGGGCATGGCTTACCATCTTCAGTGTTTCCTTCCTCTTCTGACGTCTTTCGGCCCGCTCGGCCTAGAGATTTGAATAAAGTTAGTTGTCTGAAATGGTTGTATCGGGGCTGATCAAAACATACGCGACGCTTCGCGAATTCAGCACGGCAGTCAGAGCAGTTGACGGAGGCCTCGCCCGTAACTTCGTTCGTAACAAACTGAGGCGCCAGTCGCTCCTGTCTGCAGGTCTGGCAGCGCCGCATCTCTGGCAGGCTGGATGAGGCGTTGTTCGGAAGAGACATTGTTGCGGCTTTTGATGAAAGTTGTGCGCGTGAGGAGATATGAAGAAGGAAAGATGCCGTGTGTGGGATGACGAGAAGCGAGAAGCTATGTAAGCAGTGGATGGGAGCCTGGAGGCAGCACTGTGTCGCCGTCCCCCACCTTCCTACTCGGACCGGGGCTTGAGCAGCCAAGTGAAAAGGAAGGTACGACGCAGCCTGCTCTCTCAGGCATCCTTCTCCCTAACTCTGGTTTTGAGGATTTCCTACACCCTTGAAAATTGGATCTTCTAGTGTCTTTGAACTTTCTCTGGCAGTTCTATCCTGAGCGAATATTGCATGCAGTATAGCCTGCGATTTAATGAAAGTACCCGCGAGCCTCCCCGCTGTGCTTTTGTCACTTTTTAGAAGGGGTATTCGCGTAGCAAACGGTGGTTGGGCAATTTGGGATGCCAGATGGCCGGGGTATTATGGTAGGAAGCAAGATCTACGTAGATAGGAAGGTAACTACCTAGGGCAGGGGAACAAGGGATTCGGTGTTGGATGTGTTGGACCCATGGGATTGGACATTTTGGTAGTTGCGAACCGGGTATCGAAAAGTAAAAACTCCTCCTGCCTGTAGACATGACTAGGGGCACTCGGGAAGAGCAGATTCCCCCCAGAGGAAGACAAACATGAAAGAGACAGGGCCAGCGGAACAGGCACACGGATTGACAGCGAAGCGGACGGGAGAACGGGCAGCAGACGGGGCAGCAGCCAGGGCAGGCACATGGGGGCGCACGAAAGGGGAAAGGAAAGAAGAGAAGGTGAATGAAAGTGAAGAAGAAAGTAAAGGGGCGGGCCGCGAACAATACTATGAACAGGCCATTGCTGAAAGAGGGAGGGGGTCTGGGACGTCCCCAGCCAAGCGTACCTAGGAGGCGTTTATAGTTTCGACTGGTCCTCCATGCCCCATTGGCGCATGCTCACAAGCAGCGCCTCTTCCTGCAATCGGAATTAATTCTCCGAGCCATCATCCAGCCACCAAAGTGGTGTACTCACCTTGTCGTTGTTGGCCTTACGACACTCCTCGCAGTTGACTTCGAGCAACCGGTCCGGGCCGACAAATGTCGCGATCGGAAAGAGGCCGTGGCATTTGGCACAGCGGCCCTGGGTGACGGGGGTGGCTGACGCCAGTTGCTTCTGGCGGAGGGAATTCAGCGCACCCATGATCTCGCTCCAGCTACCCTCCTGTAGAAATCAGTTAGTTAGGGAAGTCAGGAGATGTGGACATGGTGCACACGAACAAGCTGGGCCTTGTGACTCGTAGAGCAGGCGGCGCAGTATCCTGGCACCGGCTCTTCAACGGGGGCACCCCAGTACTCCCGAGGGAGAGGAAAGGCCCAGTTGCAGCCGAGGCACCAGACCCGCTGCTTGGCCTGGTCCCCCGGGGGAGGCGAAGGAACTGGGCAGTCCGGGCTGAGCCATAAACCCCTTGTTGTCGGACATGTTCGATTTGATGTTGCACTGGAAAGATTTGCTCTCGTTGACGCAGTGACGATGATGGTCATGGGGTGGACGATGGACGAGAGTTGGCGGAGGACAGGAAGGCCAGGCGACGGGAGGTCGACTTATATTCACTTCACTCCCTCATACAAACGCACCCAGCCAATCAACATCCGTATATCACGTGACCATACACACCAGCAATTAGGGCTTATCACATGACCTGGGGTCTATCCAACGCTCCACCTCTACAGCTGTAACATGTGCAATCCTCCAAACAGCAGGAAATCCATCAGACTTTTGATCAGCACATCAAATCCGCATCACCTGGACACGGCCGACAGCAACAAAGCGCGAGTTTATGATCACGCTTCCGGTACTCTACAGCGCGTTCAAGTCTGTCAAGTGCAATCGCCTCCCTTGTTAAACAGGTAAACAGCACGACTGGTGCTTCTGTTGCGGTTGGGCGTCCCTTCTTCCACGGAAGTCCTGGAAACATCCCCGTGGACCAGCCGTGCCTGGCTACTGTCCCTCTTGCTCGGTGACATTTTTTAAGAGGGCCGCAAGCCAATATCTCCCTGGCCCTCTGTGTGTTTGCTGTAGGAATACCTTCTTCCACGAGGGCGACGAGACACTTTGCCTCAACTGCTATACGTCGCATAGGGATGTGGAAGTACATTTTCATAAATGGACACAATGTACAATTCCTGTACTAATGGATTCTTATAGAAGACGATCTGGCCAAGGGTTCGTCGCTGAGTGGGGTAGTTCAACCGCTCGATTGATGCAACAGAGCCCGCGGCCAACAGTTGCCTGCGCAGAAGCACCCGAGATTATTTGCGTGGAATGCGATATGTCGTTTGCTATAACAGAGTTTATCATGCCTAGGGCGACATATCCCTTCCTTCTGCGTCCTCGGCCCTGAGCCTCCCCTGTCCCTATTCCCATGGTTTCGCCGACTTAAAGTCAATAAAATGACATCGCACGAGGAATCTTCCCTGCTGCAGTGATACCTTCCCTTACTGGTGCGATTCAAGGACATGCCGAATATTACCCCTTCCGATCCCTTTGTGCAGAAGTGACCTTGATACTGAGTGAGGCTCGGGAAAGGATCTGGAGCTAGGTTTGTCAGATCGGCAGTAGCAAGCCCTAAATCCCCACACCTAAACCTTCACGACCAGGTATAACGAGATATTTACGTGCGAGATAGCCAGCCATATTGCTTAAAACATATCCTCCATCACGATCTGCTCTTACATACTTAACCATATACCAAATCCCCGTGGGTGTGTTCCATATGCAAGGGATAAAGAATACGGAGTATCTCTAGCAATAACAGACAGCATACATGACTGGATGATGGTCAGGTAGATGCCAAATTTCGAAGTTGCAACCAGGTACACACATAGCAAACGGTCAAGTCCCCTCAAACAAAAGAGTAATAGCAATATCAGACTCGTAATCCAAGTCTCGCGGGTTTCAGCTGTACGAACTTATCATAGAAGAGCATACAAATGTTTCCAGGACTCGACATGAGAAGCCATGGCATCGAGATCTGGGCTACGAAGAGGTCCAAACACCATTACAACTGAGAGGAAGATTCCAGAGAATAGAAAGCAAAGTGAGAAATAGGTGAACTCATAATTGCTCCTGGCAGTTTATGTCGCAAGGAAAAAAGAAAGACAAGTAAATTATAGTCATGAAATTAAAAGAAAAGGAAAGAAAAACAAAGAAAAATAAACGCAAAGGCAGAGAAAGGAACCATGACACAAAATCCGGCATTTAGCCCTGGCCAACGGCGGCATTTAAGCCTGCTCGTTAACAACAGCATCTTGCTGCTCAATCACAATTTCAATACGAGCGTTCAAGTTGGCCGCGTAGCGGCTGGAGACGCCCTCGGCCAGAGTCAGCTGAGCATGGAGCTCAAGCAGCAGCTGGGCATGCGCGTGGACGCGGCCTTGCTCCGCGTCACCGTATTGCACGTTCTGCATCTGGGCATAGAAGCCCCGCCGCGACTCTTCGAAAGCATTGCGCAGCAATCTGGCTGCGCGCCGGGCGCTGCGCCAGTAAACTATCGCCAGGCGAGCCTGACGGATGGCCTCGTTATACCAGACCGGGAAGAAAGGCTGCTCCTGGAGCAAGGGCAACATAGGGGCCACAGCGACTCCATTGTTGCCGGCGTTGTCGGCATTGTCGGGCTGCTGTGGGCCCCGAATACACGGGTCAGCTATATGGGGGTTGATTATGAACTCGGATTCGACTAACCTCAGAGGCCGCTGCACTGAGCGAGGTGGGGTTGGTGGTGCCGCGGCTCGCGGCACTGGTCGACGACGCAGGAGACGTCGGGACTGAGGAATCGGGTTGGTCGGGGTGGTCGGGGTGGTCGGGGGAAGTGGGCTCTTCAGTGGGCTCCATTTTTCCTATGAGATTTGATGATAATGATGGAATAGAGATGGGAGATGGGATAACGATTGTGATGGTAGAAGAGACTGAAATGGGTGTAAGGCGCGATTGAGCTGTGGAGAGGTAAATAGTGGGAGAGGGCAATTTAGGAAGGTGCAACACTTACAGTGAATGACCGTACAGTAACAGAAATCTCTGTCCAGGCACCTGTTCCTTTCCATACTCACCCAGCCGTATTAAATTCCCGACGTGCATTGCACTCTTCACTATCGCCGTATGATTCTCTCATTTTACGCCCACATCAGTGCTCATCTGAATGATATTTGATATGACTGACACCACTGAGTCCGGACTACCCGGCTTTGTTGCAGGAGCTACCATGCCCGGTGGCTCTCCAGGCACCCATCACTATCACGAGCAACAACACTATACTCTGCCTTTACTGAAGCACCACGCTTGAGATGTCAGGTTTTTTTCTACAAAATTCATATTTCAATTGCTTAATTAGCTAATTCAATTCTGATTTCTAGGCCTCTCAGTAGCACTCGAACAAACACCCTACCGTCGAACTCTTCTCCGGTCAGGGCTCGCAGCTGTAGCAGCTTCTCCCAACTGAGCTTTGGAACTGAATGCTACCTTGACTGCCGTATGTCCTACCGTCGCTGACAAGTTTAACCGATTGTTAATATACAGCATTTCATTTACTGAATCGGGTCTCGAGGAAGATGCATGGAAGTACAGTGTGCGGATTCACAAATTTGTCCTAGGACCATACTCCCTGGTCCCCACTTCTTGCACGGCCTGCAAGCGAATGCACACTGGAATCATTTTCACCATTCCTTCCGGAGATGCCACAATCCACTGCATCTCCTGCAGTTTCAACTTGAATCCGGTTCGTTTGTTATTTACTCCCTATTTGACGATACATCTGGCTCATTCAGATTGTATAGCAGGACAACGATCGTAATTCCTCGCCGACGATTTCTTTATTTAACCATAAACAAAGTGTCAAGTGGAGGATAGTATAGAGAAGATCATGGTATGCAGAACTTCGATTCGCCGTGGGAATCGCCAGTGGAGAAAGAGGGCCCGCGAGCCTAGGTGGCAAAGGAACTTATATGCAAGCTTCGATTACAGAAAGGCGCATTGTGATCTCAGCAAGGTATCTATTTCTTCCACTATGACACATCATCCCAGAAGGTGACGTGAGAAATATATCCAGAGCTGCATATACCGCATTCAGTAAAGCAGACCCAGCTCTCAACAATTCCCGACTTGTCTCCAACATGTTTATGTTTCGAGGGTACTCGAGTATCAGATATGTATCGAGCTCCCAGTCAAGCACAGGAAATGGACAAGAACCAGATACTTTCGACTTCCAGCGAACGTACAACCTGCTCGAGCGACACCCATTTTGCGTTCATGATGTGTAAAGATTGGGAGAAATTGTATCAATCAGATCTGTGAGAATGGACGACAACTGAAGCTCCAGTTGTGTCCTTGACTAATATGGCAGCCGTTACGAGACCTGGTCTCCAAGCTCGGATTCCTTGATCAGAATTGTTGCTAAAATTTGCGGTTTTCACGGCTCGCACTCCTGCCTGGAATCGAGTTTGCATCACCCAGCGCGCTGTGTCCCAATTTTCACGTACTGTCATTGCAAGCTTCTCTCAGGTCCTGAGCCAAAAATAAACGTTTCCATTTCAGCTCCTCGTTAGACCCTTGTGTCGCTTATTATGGGATCTCGAACTGGGTCTTCATCCTTTTCTGCCTCCGAAACTTGGGCTGGGGTTGCTCTAGAGCGTTCGCTTCCCTTTTTTCTGTCGACAATCTGGATGCAGCCATGTAGGATCACCATTTTAATCGTATAGCTTGGGCTCCAAGTGCCCGAGAGGAGATCGCAGCATGTTTTGTGCCTCATCAAGAAACCAAACTCGTCTGAGGGTCCAACTAATAGCCTCTTTCCCTGAGTATGTTTCCCTCCTCCTATTGCTCTATGGATTGCAGAGCCTGTAGAGTATGCTAAGCCGCTCAAGCTTTTTGTCATTCTCAGTTAGCTTTCCAGATGTAGAACTCAAACGCGCATCGTCGGCGGAAGAGATGTCCTAAAGATGACTGGATCGTGTAAGAGCAAAGGGAGCGAGATTGCCTATTCGTCGAAGGACAATGAAACAAAAGTTGCATCGAGGATGTACCGTGGTGTAGACGCCGGAGATTTGACGAGCGAGCGATCCTTCGGAGGATGTGAGATGTGAGATTTGTGAAGAAAAAAGAAGTGAGAACGTCAGAGAAGAGCGGCTCTATAAGTTTGTACCGAGAGTCTAAGGGGGGTTTTCGGGCCATAATAAAACGGCGACAAGAGAAGTATGACAGCCAAGGATGCGCCGTACATGAAAGCAAGGCGTAGGTAGTAGTCTTCGCGGTAATGAGGGCGTCTAAATAGATGCCCCAAATCTTCTACGTCCATCTCACTTACCACTCTCTTACTCTGTTGTCACGACATTCACCCGTGGACCACCCATAATTAGGCTCATGGCTTATCATTTGCTAGGTCCGTTATATAAGATCCAGGGTGAAAGAGAAACCAAAGACAATTAACAATAATACACGAACATTCGTAGCAATCTAAGTCAATCTCACGCAGCCGAAGGTAATTGTACATCTAAAAGGCAATAAGTCATCAGATAACAAGAGTTAAGCAAATAAATAATTCTTCACATTCAGGCGCTCGATTTCCAGTCCGCACGGTTTTCTACCAGATTCCCCCATTTCAAATCCAGTTAAGTGTACTCAGCTCTCAGTGGCATTTCTATTTCCTGAAGCAAGGCACGGTAATGCTCAACACGCCGACGCAGGTCCGAAGAGTTCATGGATTGGGTGTGAGGGAAATGGCCCATTTCGATTATCAGCTGATGGGCTGGGTTTCCATAGAGCTCGGGCTGCTGGCTGGAAGCAAATCGATTTTGCAGGTACAGGTACTCGACCTCTAGCACCTCATACCTTTTTTTCAGCACTGTCTGTTTCTTTTCAAGCTCCCAACCTTTGCTTTTCAGTGCCGCGCGGTTTTTTTTCTAAGGTCACACTTTCAAATCCAGTGAAGCAGACTCAGTTCTCGGTGGCATATCTCTTTCCTGAAGCAAGTCATTGTAATTATCAAGAAAAAAAACCCGTATTCGAAATTTCAAAGAGTCGGGTGAGAGGACCATGCTCCAGTTAGCCTCCTGACCGATCAATCATCCGCTGGTGGGCCTGGGTCTTCGTCGGGCTCAGGCTGCTGGCTGGATCATCCAGCCATAGTGGCTACCCCGGATCGAGTTTTCATCGTTGCGGTTTCTTGGACTTGACCGGGATTATGGGGTTCCTTCACGCGGACGCAGCTGTTTAGCTTGTGGAGTTGCGTTAGCCTGGTGGAGTAAATAACGATGGATGTGCGCGTAATCGTACAGACCTTTTTTTGCGTGTTTTCACGCGGCAGGGATGACAGATCTTGTAGCTCGTATCACCAACCTCGAGCTGCTCCACGGACTCACTTACCGGGCGCTTCTTGCGGTATCTCGGGCGTTTTCTTTTCAGGTTCGTCCTCAGCCAGTCGTGATCCACGCTGCTGCCTGAACAAGGCACTGTCTGTTGCTGCAGCATTTTCTGTTAATTGCTTGGTGGTTTGATGTGAAGATTCGAATTATCCACGTGTTTATGAAGTGGAGTGAGGGGCAAAGGTGTGCGAGGAAAGAAGAAAGAAGTGAGGTGAACAGCAGAGGCGGGAGGTGTACTGCCTCGGCGACCAATGAGCGCCACGACTAAGCGCGTCTTGTAACGTGTCACAGTGACTAGCTCCGTAAGCGCAATACGGGCCCATCCCCACACGTGACTAGGATTATTACAATTATGTCACGTGACCTTAATGTATCTCGTCCCACGGTCATCTCCAAATAATTCGAAGCCGAATGCTGCCTTACATATCATTGTATGACTATTTCTGAGATCATCCCTTGGAAAGATCCACTTGCGAGCCAATTTTCAGGAGCTGGGGGCATTGCAAGTATAGCCAAGATCGGCGGAAGTCCGCCAGGCGGGTTTCGCGAATGACGTTTCTACCCCACAGCATCATCCCTCCACCAGCGTCCGCATTAACAACCAACCCTCTACATACAGGCACCCGATATCGAAGAATCTCCTGCGCCTTGAAAAACAAGTGCAAAATGGTAGAGTCTTACCCGATCGGCAGCCGCTTCGAGAGCGAGCGCATGGTGCGAGATTGGGGTTTCCGACACGTCTTTACATGGTCGGACAGGAGGTACGTCGAAGCCAGTTCTTGAAAGTCTCGAAACTCATTCATATTTCCTTCGAAGAAATGCGTATTACTCTCCCCATACACATGGCGGTCTGACGACTCATTTGATTCGACGGGGTACTCTGACCATCACGTACCCGGAAGACAACGCCAACTTGCATGGCGGCGATATCAAGAAGGAGACGTTTGGTGTTGGTTCAAGGGTGGATGTTCCTGCTGGAAAACTTCATGAGGTTTGGATTGGGGATGAGGGGTGTGAATATGTGATTGGAGAGTGATGGGAAGTGTGGACAAGTGGTATATGTGGGTTGAGAGCACTTCTGGATATATCTTTGACAAGATGAAGATTTTGGAATGCGTGGACTGTACTCGTGGTGCTCTACGAGAGAGAATAAGAATTTTGAGTTTTCACAAGTGTTGGAATCCTCGTGTTTACCACATGGATTGGTAAGAAGTCTATTCTTAGATTTAAAACCATGATAGGGTTTTCCTGTCGTCTAGATAACGCCTGCGTACTCTAGGTTTGTCTAATATAAGAAGCGGAAATCAACTCTGTAGGGCCTTGTTAGCTACTGTATCAGTTTCACGATAGACCGGCAAGCCTTACCTCTTGTTGCCAAGGTGGGCATTCTCGGCCACGTATCGCTCTCGCTCTTCGCTGTTCATTTTGTCCCAAACAGCAGCGTTTCTCCTGTTTCAAGGTTAGACAAAGCTCAAAGCAAAAGGGCCGACCCAAATAAACTTACTTGTTGCGCCATACATAGTAATAGTGAGCGACGATAAACATCAGCAAACTCCATGCTGCAAGTGCAATAAGAACCTTGTTGCCGGTGCGGTACAAGGGTTTGTCATCATCTCGGTAAATCTATGGCAAAGGTTAGCTCAATAGCCCAGGTGACTGACAATAGGGAATATACTCACATTGTTACCAATGATGTTGCTGACTTGCACCATCATATTATACAGCGCAGTCGCAACAGTCCGAGTGCGAACCGTTCCCGCATTGCGAGATGTAATTGCCACGATGATAGCATGAACATAAGGAGCACCCACAAGCAGAGTGACCAGGATCCAGCGGGCCCAGGTACTAGCATCAGCAGGAAGGACTTCAAGCGCAATAAGAAGAATCAAACACCAGATCATTGAACCCACGCCCAGAATCAGCCGCTTGTTGTACCTCTCAGAGATCCAGGTCCATAGCAACAAGTTCAGAATGAAGATGACATATGATGGAATACTGAGCAGGTTGGTGTGGAATGTGCTGAAACCAAGAGACTTGAGCTCTAGACTCAGATAGGTCGTCGCGGGGGTGTTGGGAATCATCCAGGTCAATCCCAGAAGGTAGATCACCCACATATCGTAGTCCTTCAAAGCGTGCCAGAGCATGCGAGGTGTGACGGCCTGACGATTGTGCATGCCTCCCTTGCTGGGATCATCACGCAGAATACGGTTGACCATGATCTTTTCCTCGTGTTCGTTGAACCACCCTTCCTTGCCACGGAATAGACCAGCTGTCTGGGTAGGCGAGGGGGGCATCCAGAAGGCGGCGATGATACCGATGATTCCAGTGATCAGGCCCTCAAAAGCGAAGAGGTATCGCCAGCCTCCTTTACCATCGTCGCCGCGGATGTGCAAGAATCCAAAAGCGAGGAATGCACTCACAATTGCGGTACCTTGGTACGCGACCCAGAAATAACTCAGGCGGATGGGGAGTTCCTTGGATTTGTACCAAAATGAAAGGAAGAGAATCGTATCGGGGATACTGGGAAGAAGTTAACATCTAGAATGGCAAGAAGGGAAAGACGGGTGTAAACGTACAATCCACCCTCGAGAAGACCCAGCAGTGCTCTGGTCACGAAATATTGTGACCGGTTCTTCACAAAAGCCTGGAACGCGGCGATCAAACTCCATGATACCATCTGGATGGGAATCCAGCGATCAGGTCCAATCCACTTGGACAGCAATTGCGATGGCAATTCAGCGAAGAGGAAAACAACGAGGAAGATAGTCTGGCCGGTGTTGTAATCGTTGGTGTTCATTCCCAGGTCATCTAGCATGTTGTCGGAGGTGGCTTGGACGACATTTCCTCGGTCCAGCTGCAACGCAAAGAAGGTGACACAGGCAAATGTACAGACGCGCCAATCAATCTTTTAGAGGGTTAGTGTGATGTACGTGAGAGTTGGATCGTAGCATTGAGAAGAACATACCTTTCTCACAACAGCCTTCTCTTCTGCCTCCGTCCATTCGAAATCCGGATCCCACCGATGAGCGCCCTCATATTCGGGAATGGGCTTGTAATACCGCGGATCCTCGGTCGCATCAAAAGCGCAGTCATAAGATTTTACCACGCCTTGACGGCCTTCTGAGGACGTCGTCGACCCAGTATCACTTGCAGACGAGACTCTCGGCTTAGCCTTCGACTCGTAGTTCCCAGCGTCAGAGCCAGTATTCTTTGTCTCCTCGATTGTCATGATTGCGTTACGGGGATCAAAACACTGCGAAAGTCAATGAGACATGATTGAGTCGACCGGGCATCGCCAGCTATAAAGAGCCCAAGAAAAAAGAGTTCGTGCATGAGCTCTACCATCACCTTAATCCGCCCTCTAGCACGCCATCTAGGCCGCATCGCGTGGTGTGCCTTGGAGCTATGATAACCACAGAGTGGAGCGGGCGAGGCACACGATCTGCTGCCGGAAATTTTCAAAGGGGGAAGGTGGCCACAGAATCCAATTGGGATGCACTGTAGTCGAGTATAATGTGCGCATTGCGAGGCCGGATTGCGTTCTATCTCCACTCACATGGCGATGTGCGACAGACACAGGCCCGCGCGGACAGATGCCGCGGTCTAGTGTTGGATCGGAAGGAGCGAGAAGTAGAAGCAAGATCTGCGGCGGCGCGATTCGTCGATGGTCGGCACGCTCCCAAGAAACGGGGAAGACTGTTGGGCATTTCCAAGGAGGCCGTTCTGCTTGGCTGAAGCACGCAAGACTGGAGGGAGTGACGTTAGGATGGGCGAGTTAAAGATAGTGGATTGCGCATGAATGTCCGTTTAGCTCGGCTCCATTGGGGCCCACTATAACAGTTTCGAAAGAGGAGACCCAATGTCACCGTCATGCCCTATATTTATCAAAACATGAAGAACGAGATGCGAAACAGTGGACGGTTCGGAAGTTCCGTGTTCTGTTGGAATTTGTCAGATCTTTTTTTTTTTTTTTTTTTTTTTTTTGGCTGCTCTTTCTACTGTGGAAATGTCCCTATCAGGCCGAGGTACCTTTTAAGTACACTCGGGATACCAGCTATAGATCACCAGTCGCTACAATCCCTGCAGCAATCATATCTAACTGATATGGGCAGAGCAGACAGCCAATCCCATCAAGCGAAAAGTCCTAAAATCTTCGAATAGTCGCTTGGGTGTTTTCATTATGGAAGTGGTGGACGAAATATTCGCCTTGCGCGGAGAATGTTGTCTAGCACGCCATTGGCCGACACTCGAACAACACTTTCATCAACGAAGTCCAAACAGCCAACGACTAACTATCTTATAAGTCCGAAGCTTCACTGTAATCCACTGCCGAAAAAATACGGCATTTGCAGTTTCAGTCGCACGCCATCTCCGTTAGGCGAATTGCAGTCGTGTTGGTGTCGCGCGCACGCCATGATTATCACGCCATCCACGACGATTCTAACGCCGCCCAAAGCCAACAGCAGCAGATGCAGACCGACGGCCCGACAACCCCGCAGTGACAAAATGCCTAAGTAAGTACTGATCGCAGTCAAAATCCAGATTATTTTTGCAATGTTGTATATCGGTCGAGAAAAACCCCCGAGCTCATTGCGCCATTCCGTGCGACTCGGATAGTTATTGCCGAACGATGTATATAGTTTAGGGTCTCCTCAGCGAGTCATTGAACTAAAGCGATAGAATACATATTATTGTACTCGATTTTGCAGTAAAAAGTCTGATTGAGATCATCTATTCAGGACTTTTATTTTTTAAATTGCAATCATGGCCCCCGCCCCCACCGAGACCGTTGGTCTCCGCGATGCCACCTTCACCGTACCTCACAAGACCGACGCTGGCCACAACAAGGAAAACTTGATCGGATACAGATACGAAAAGGAGGCCGAACTGAAGGGCACCGATAAAATTGCGCCAGCGACTTACCCCAACTATCTTCCAGTGTGGGACAACGAAACCGCCAGGTTTGTTTCCACTCCCTGACGCATTAGGAAGAACCACGGCTCACACGATGTAGATACCCCCCTCTGACCCTCTTCGAGCACTACGACCACGGCAAAGATGCCGACCCCAGCTTCCCCGACCTCTTCCCCAAGGACGGTCCCGCCAAAGTAGACGAGATCACCCCCTTCATTGGCTCCGAGATTCACGGCGTGCAATTGAGCAAACTGTCCCAAGCCGGAAAAGACCAATTGGCTCTCTACGTGGCTCAGCGTCGAGTAGTCGGTACGCAACACCTGCACTTCAGAACTGATAATCACATGGAGCTTCAAACGATGCTAATTACCCCCAGCCTTCCGCGACCAGGACTTCGCCTCCCTCCCCATCCAAGAAGTTGTCGACTACGCCGGCTACTTCGGCCGCCACCACATCCACCAGACCTCTGGCGCCCCCAAGGGCTTCCCAGAAATCCACCTCGTCTTCCGCGGCGCCGATGACCGCACCGGCGCCAACTTCCTGGAACAGCGCACCAACACCATCACATGGCACTCGGACGTGACCTTCGAGAAGCAGCCTCCCGGCACAACGTTCCTCTATGTTCTTGACGGTCCGTCAACAGGCGGAGATACCCTCTTCGGAGACATGGTGCAGGCGTATAAGCGTCTGTCGCCAGAGTTCCAAAAGCGACTGCATGGTTTGAAGGCCGTCCACTCGGGCGTCGAGCAGGTCAATGCCAGTTTGAATGGTGGTGGCATTGCTCGTCGTGACCCCGTTACTTCTGAGCACCCCATTGTTCGGACGCACCCTGTTACTGGCGAAAAGGCGCTTTATGTGAACCCTCAATGTAAGTTTTCCCCTTCATCCTGACATCCATGCCGCGGATGGCAAGCATTAATCTGGTTATAGTCACCCGTTACATCGTCGGGTATAAGAAGGAGGAATCAGACTACCTGCTCAAGTTCCTCTTTGACCACATTGCACTCTCGCAGGACTTGCAGGCCCGTATTCGATGGAAGGCCGGTACTGTGGTTGTCTGGGATAACCGCCTGGCCTGCCACTCTGCCGTGTTTGACTGGGAGGATGGCCAGCGTCGACACATTGCCCGGTTGACTCCACAGGCGGAGCAGCCTTATGAAACACCTTTTGAGGCTTAGGTGGCCTACCAAATATTTCATGGTGAATGATAGGAATGAGATACCAAATCAACGAAATAGCTGATTCCACTTCCAAAATAAATGGGAATAAAGTTTCGTGGTGTGGTAGGCAAATTGTAGTGATCTGCATGTGCAAGCTTAGGCCGATTTCGTCTTTTCGCGACTGAAGCGGCTCAATAGACCGACGTTCCACTCATTGAATCGTCGTGCCGAGAGAGGAAGCATCTCATTGCTCCTTCGAAGGTCTTGTAGAATAGTCTGGAAAATAAACTGCGGCAGTTCGAGTTCTTCCACAGACAATGGGCTGACCTTTCCGAGCTCGGGGGCTAGTAGCTTGTCCACATCTTCGGTGTGCTGAAACAAGACCTTCATGGCTTGTTGGGCATTGACACTGTGTCCCGAGCTGGAGTTGGAGTAGTGTAGGTCAGGGTTGAAAACCCAAAGCTAGGAAACATGTCAGCTTCATTCGTCTTCTATCGGAAGGGAGAAAAAGTCTCACCAAGACCCCAGTTTTCTGGCCGCAATGAATGACAAATCGCCGTGCGCTTTCACGCTCAATCAGTTCCAGCAATTGTGCCGCAACGATGAATTCAATGGGGTGGCTTTGCCACGGGTTCTCGGTATCAAGATCTTGATCTGTGTTCAGAGACACATTTGCCTTGACTAATCGCCATCCGCTGACCGATGGGTCTTCCATGCCAATGACGGCGTGACAAGTTTCACATTCGAGTGTTCGGCCGGAGGTCCTTGGGTTGGGATTCTCCTCTTCTTCGTTGCTCTGTATTGCGATGTTAGCAAGGTGGTTTATGTATGTACGGAAATCAAGCAAGCATTGGCTTTCAATGAAAGATTTCAATTTTCAATTCCATACACGAATCAAGTAACGGAAGAACCAAAAGATGCATACTGCGGGTCTTGCATGTACCTCTTGAAGATTGACAGCCCCACTATGCTGGACAGGATTCAAAGACGCCAGACCATCATTGACTTCGGAGGGTGTGCTGAGAGGCGGAGAGAGACAGTAGCCAGAACAACCATTGAGAAAGGGCAATCTGAAAGGCGAATCCATCTCGTGAGAGGATAACTGCCATCAAAAATATCCCTGACTCTCAAGCCGAGCCGCTTTCCGCCCGCTCAACGCGAAAGCACAATCATTGATCTAGGGCAATAGTATCGGAGGCCACCCCACGGACAAGAAATGGTCTCCTTCTGGTTACCCATTCAAAGTGTAAAAGGTAATGGAGAATAGAAATTCAAGGGGAAAATAATGTTGGGAAATCACACCTTTGTCAATCGCAATCCTATACAGTCGGATTCGGCAAGGAGGAATGTAGCCACATCGATAAGGACAGTACCACCGATCGCCTTCAGATGACTCGACGCTCCGTATCCCTTTATCTGGGCATTTTGCTCCTCAAGCTTGAGGGCTGCCGAAGCTTCAGGTTTAGGATCCTCCTCGTGGGAATCAGGCTTATGGCAATGCCAAAAGTCCATCATCTCGGCCCAATTCCCACTCGGCAGATCCTTCCACATCCAGTCATTCTCTTTGTCCTTGTCCCTGTCCGATGTACTTGTACTTTTGGGGGCGGGGGAACCGAGAAAGGGCGCGCCACAGCCACGGCAACGAATGCGAGTCAAGGGCGACATATCTGCAGCTGTCCAGGGTACGTAATCATCCATGACCTCGTTACATGGCGCCTGCGCCTGTTCACTCGTATCCATCTGCATCCTGAATGAGTAGTCATGGCTGGAGCTGTTAGATTGTGGTGGTTTACGCGCCGTTGCCGGCGTGGTGGTCATGCTTAGCGCCCGACGCGATGCTTCGCTGACGCGCGCTGGAAGCTTAATTGTTTCGGCCACATCATCAAATGGCTCTGGTAGTGAGACTGTCACTGCGTTGCGTGACTCTGATAGTTGTATCCTGGGTTGAACGCCGTCTAGAGCTTTCGTTCGGGGGAGGGAAACGTAGAGCGTGATTTGGCGGATGTTGGGTAGAAGCTCGGCGTGCAGATAAAGGGATCTATCTGCGTCGACGGTGGACATCTCTCTTTCGCTCGAGCGATATTTGAAGACGGGAAATTCGAATCCTCAAGTCGAAGTGCTGAGCTTTGGCGGAGCAACGCGATGGAGCTGCTCAACATTTACGGGGAAGTGATGCAAACGGTGCAAACTCCGCACGTGTTGATCGCGAAAACCCTCACAGCGTCAACATCCAACCTCAGCTTCAACTTGACTACGATCCGGGTTCGACCGGGTCGACGAATACCAAAGCAGTGTTCCATCTCATATTGTTGTCAAGTCTCATGGACTAATCACCCTACGGTTGGAACTCAAATATCTTAGAAAATCGATCGCTTTTCGGTCTGCTGTATTCAAAAACACAGTACATACATGAAGACCTCCACAGTGCAACAGGATAATATTCAGAGAATTGCTCACAGGATATGCATCTCTAATCAAACAACAATCAAACAGCAAACATCACCAAACCGAAAGGAAACATGCCCTTGCGGACACAGCCGGTTCTGCAGAGAGGTATTAAGAACAGGCCCATCACCATATGCAAATAAATATTCTCATGAAAAAATCAAGAAAGCGGGGCAGTAACCCCACCAACTCGAGGCTATGAGGACAGACCGCTGACCTCGAGGAAATTGCAGATATCCTCGCATGCATTTTTCAAAGACTTTTGTGTCTTCCACTGGAGCTCTTCTCGAGATCGGTCGGCAACCGCCACACAGGATCCCACATCACCCGCACGGCGATCAGCTGCCTTTCTGGGAATGGACTTGGCAGAAACAGCCTCCATAGTGGTGACAACATCCAACACCGAGTTCCCTGAGCCGGTACCCAGGTTGAATGTGCGGAAGTTTTCAGTGAGCTTGCCCTCATTTGCAGTGCTGAGAGCTGCAATGTGACCGCGAGCCAGATCGGTGACGTGGATGAAGTCCCGCACTGCGGTGCCATCGACGGTATCCCAATCGCTGCCGAACATCTGCAGCTCGGAATATTGACCGGTCATCACCTTGACGACAACAGGGAGCAGGTTCGTGGGTGCCTGCCTTGGGTCCTCGCCCAGCAGACCGGATGAATCGCATCCAACGGGGTTGAAGTATCGAAGCGCGACGATGGTCCACTCCGGATCGGAGGCAGCCAGATCGGCGAGGATGGTCTCACAGATCCATTTTGTGCGACCATATGGGTTTGTGATCCCTGTGCAGCCGGGCTGGATGGTCTGTACTGCGCCGACATCGTCGATATACTGTTCTTCTTTATGTACACAAAGCTCCTCCTTCAATGGAAGGCCTGACGTTGCCAGGGTACCATATACAGTTGCCGAAGACGAGAAGATGAATGTTTTGATGCCAAACTCTCCGAGAGTCGAAGCAAAGTCAATGAGACCGCTGACGTTGTTGGCATAGTATTTCAAAGGGTGACGGATGCTCTCCTCCACAGCCTTATACGCCGCGAAGTGGATCACACCCGCGATCTTGGACTTGGGGGCACCCCATCGCGACGGCAGCTGGTATTCTTCCAGTAGAGGTCGAAGAGACGAAGTGTCTCTATAATCGTGCGCATGCAATCGCAAAGTCGGCATTTGGATGCCGTTTTCATCGTGGAACTTTTGAGCCAGAAGGCTGATGCGGTCAAAGACGTTTTCAAAGGAATTGCTGAGATTGTCGATCACAATGACGTTATAATTGGCCTTGAGAAGCTCCAATGTAGTGTGACTCCCGATGAAACCAAGGCCACCGGTGACCAGAATATAACTTTGAATAGGGATTCTTCGAAGAAGCTCGTCGAGGTTGTCGAACAGTACCGACGACTCAGTGGCCGGTGTGTCCACAGAAACTGGCGACTCGCTCTCCATTGGAGTGCTTGCGTCTGACCTCCGACGACTGTCCATTGTGGGCAATGGAATGAAAGAAAGACAAACTATGTCGAGGGTGGTGGGATGATGTTGCGTTGGCCGAAATTAAACGTTGCCGTCAAAAAGCCAAGTTGCTATATCACCAAGAGACAAGAAGAAGAAGAATGAGACGGCTTTATACGCTATTTGAGACAGTATGACTGAGATCCGCCCGGAGTCCACAGGCCGCCGCCGCCCTTGATTTATACACTTCGCGAAAGTCCCCTGCGTTGCCTTGTTGCCTCAGCTTTCTCGTTTAGCTTCGATCATGCCAATAGTGGCATGTCGTGACAGACCAGCACGAACGAGGAATCAGCAACGCCTTCTCACCGGCAAAAATGGCAAGTGAGGATTCCAGAGAAGTCGATTGCGCATAAGCCTTTGTGAAAAAACGAACAGAAGGGGCGAAAGTGAGTGCAACCAAAGAACAGTCGGGCAGGATACCCGTGGTGGGCCATGCGGCTGGGCCTTGTTCCTTTTGCCCTTTTTTCTATTTTCTATTTTTTATTCCTTCTCCAGGCTCTAAGCGCCTCCACCTGGTGCAGGGCCCTCAGCTCTCGCGCGACTTCTCATCTAAGATCCTGCATCATGGTCGAGACCCGCCCCGGTCGATTTCGGACGGCGCAGCTAACGGGGAAGGGCTGCGCCTGGCCGGCTTGGGCCTTTTTCCGAGCTGCCAATACCCTGCGTACCGATGTTTCACTTGGTGGTTTTTTATATGGAACAATAGCGATTCGAATCCACTTTGCAATTATTTTTCAACCGGGCCTGCCTCGTCTTTCGAATTTCTAACTTCTTCTCTCCGAGTCCACTATGTCTGCCGCAGCCCCAGAAAAGCACGTGAGCCCGCGCGGCTGTCTTAAGTCGCGACGCTCCAAACTCCTCGCGAGTCTGGTCGTTTTTATTGTGATTCTTGCTGCTGTCATTCCCCCAGTCGTCGTCACCTCCCTCCGCAAGAAACACAACAACAGCATGGGTCCTAAGTCCAAAGTGTTCGTGCCACTTTACGTGTACCCTGCCCCGGGAGCATGGTCTCCGCTAGAAGATGTGTATGTTTCACCCTTTCCATTCAGCCCAGAACGCACCCCTCCCGACCCCCCTTCCCGATTCTCCAAGCCCAATTTGATCCCAAGCACCCGGTAGGCCGCCACAAAGATGGTGCGGCATGGATCATATCGCGCCGTTCGGGTGTCAATACACGCCAGAAGACATGCGCTCTTCATCACCACTCTATCCCAAGCAGGGCACTGAAAAAACCAAACCAGTAATTTTCAATGTGTTGCTAAAAAACCAAACCCTAGGATCTCTACACACCCCGACGTCAATTTTACCGTCGTAATCAACCCAGGAAACGGTCCAGGACCCAACTCCCTGCCGGATGCGAATTATACCCGCGAAATCCCCAAGCTGTCTGCGTACTCCAACGTCCGACTGCTGGGGTATGTCCACACGACATATGCGCAGCGCAACATCTCGCTAGTGCGCAAAGATATCGAGACCTACGCGGCGTGGCCGAAGCAATCTTCGAATCAGAGCTTGGCCGTTCGGGGCATATTCTTTGACGAAACGCCGCAGGCATACAGTTCCCACTCCCTGACTTACCTGCAGAATCTGACGGATCTCGTCAAGGGGTTGGATGGACTTGGTTCGGAACCTTTTGTGAGCACTTTTTTTCTTTTTTCTCCCCAGCCGTTTCCTGCGAGACGTGATTCTACTCGCGCCCACTTGCCCTTACATGTCCCCATTCACCTTCCCCCACTCTGCTACCCTGGTTCATCGCGTGGTTCTATTCCCGGAAACATGCATCGACGCCATTGACTCCTGGACTGAAGACCTTCCCCATGATTGTTTCGTGGTTTTGTGGCATTCGCCCTCCGAAGCGAGTTCCCCCAAACTAATCGAATCATCAGGTCGTCCACAACCCAGGAGCCATCCCTGACTCCCGGTACCTTGATACGGCAGACTCAACTGTGGTATTCGAAGAGACCTACAGCACCTTCCAGGAGCGGAATGGAGCTAAGCTGTTCACGGCGATCCCAGACAGCAACCGTACCCAGCTGTGTGCGGTGATCCACTCTGTTCCCGACAGCGTGGAGGGGTCGGACTTGCGCGGGTTTGTCAAAGAGGTCCGCAAGGTGGCGGATGAGGTTTTCATCACGCACCTTAGTACCGATTACTATGCTAGCTTTGGGACAAAGTGGGCCGAGTTCGTCGATCTGATGGCAGCATGAGCACGATGGCGTTTGCGTTGTCTGCAAAAGTAATGATGATCTTTTCTTATGAGGTTATGATGGTCTTAGCTCTAATTAGTTTGTACCGAGCGCGTTTCCGTTAATTTGGTCTTTCGAATGTCCCGCTGGTGCAATGCCACCGTCCCAACCAACCCTCGTAGATTGAGGCGATGCCTACTAGCGGTGCAAAAAATTTCACCGCCCCCTCTTTCTTGCCTCTGATGTTTGACCAAGAGGCTAGTGGTCAGTTGTGGTCTGAGAGCGAAGCTAAACTACAAAGTGTAAAACGAAAAGATCAAAAACAAAATATCTCGAAAGCGAACAAAAGGACGGGCATCGGTGGAGTATACTGTTTTAGGTAAGGTCGTATGGTAATTTTCATTCTTCCTTCGTATTCGCTTAATACTTCACCAAGACCCAGACCACTCCCGTGGCGTTTCGAATACAGACCAGGCTTTGGATTGGAATTATTGAACGCCAACACCATAGGAATGGTAGTCATCTCGATTCGAATTGCTCTCGCAAAGCTCACTACATTAGGGCGGTGCCAGCGCAGATGCGGGCGGTAAGGTTGGGCATGAAAATTCGAAAATGATGCGATCATGCGAGTTAAATTTGAGTCCCAAAAAAAGAAAGAACACTCAATTGACAAGTCATCTTTCTTTCAGAGTACCATGCGAGGTCACATCATTTTCTTGTTTATTTCTCAGAGGCAGTGTCTCTGAAATGAAACTTGGCACGCCGCACAGGGCGGTATAGCGGTTATTGTACAGACCAATAGCATGCGATAGTCGCTGTAATCCGAAAATAACTTAATTGCGATGCAGGATATCTAGAACATGGCCAAGGATCTCTAACTCCGTGTCTCAACGACTACTGGAGATAAATTGGCTTTCGAATGCTCTAAGGTACCCTAGGGTAGCGGTGTAAATTTGAGCCAGATACTTGAAATGTATCTGCAGACTCTAGTAGTCAATTACTAAACGATAATTGGTAAACAACTGCCCGTGCTTAGGTACTGATATCTGAGACAGCAGCGTGACACCGGACAAAGAGCTGTAAAGTACTCTACACAAGGCAATGGGTACCACGACACAACGCTGCAATGAAACAGGGACACAAAGAGCTCAGCTTTAGAGCCCTGGACCGATTGCAAAATCAGGAGTCTCTGAATAAGCAGAGACTTGGTTCTGGTGCTGTTAATCCCAGGAACCGGTTACACTACGACGTGTTCTCGGGTCTTGGACGGCACTGGCCGAAACCCTATGCTGTAGCACAATGCTGCATCGCAAAGGTATTACGCGCTCAACACCCTAGGGTATCCATGTAACTTTATCAAGCGAGGTCGCACAGAAGATCTGCCATGAGGAACTCGTTCGCTCGCTGTAGATCTACATCCAATCGATCGATTTACCCCTGGGATACCCGAACAAGTGGCGGAAGCCACTACCTCGTGGTATTGACAGGGTCCATCGGATTGGGACAGCCGGGACGACATCCAGTTGCTGGAATGCAGAGGACAGAGGCTGGAAGCTTTTCGGTCCATCTCTTGGCTGGCGCCTGCACCGCTGTATTTGCCGATGAGACTACGAACGAAAGAAGTAGAATTCGTGTCAATCCCGCTCGATCGGCGGGTTGGGCTGAGTTAGTTTGAGCTTGAGGTGATCGTCCAGCGATACGAATGCCCCCGCTATCATTGCACTTACCGCCCGAGCAGGTACCAATGTACGAGGTGGCAGGATCGGAGAGGGGGCCGTCCCACATCGCGCGAACTCCTGTATGTAGCTTCGTCTCAGGTTGAGATCGGGATCGATGCCTCCACTGACCAGTCTACCTAATATCGCCATTTGAGATGAAGACGTTGAGCCGGCGCAGCGTAGCATCGTGACACCCGATTCAAGGACCACAATATAATGCCCAGTCTGAAGGCAAACAAATCTCCGCGTGGTCATGTCACCAGCGCAGCATCGTACCCAAACCGAAAACCAACCAAAGTTCTAGAATAGCTTGGCGATCATACCAGAAACCCACCCCAACCGATCGTGCATATCGCTTAGGATAAGAGCGAAAATTCGCACAGTCGTGAAATCCACGCCTGCGCTATCCCAGCAGCGACTTCACACTTAGTCTGTGGGTACTTTTGGAAGTCCAGCACGGCCCAAGTGGAGCGCCTCGAACACTGGAAATGGTCTCCCATGCACAGACAGCCAATAGTCGAGTCGAGGGAGGAGTTCATGGGTAAAGGTCCGGGCAGATCCGCTCGGGAACCACTAGGGCGGCCGATCTCAGCGCCCCTCAACAGTGGGTTTTCGCCTCACTCGCTGCTCTAGCCTTGCTTTGGTCTGGTAGAGATTTGCGTGAGTGCCTGCTGCACTGTTGCGGTAGTTGGTAGAACCGGAGAGAACCCCGAAGGTAGGGTCTTCGGAAGGTGTTGCAAGTGGTTTGCCACTGGTAGCTTGGCTGTGGCTTCTTGTTTCCGTGGGGGTAGCGTGCGCCTCGTTTGGGGAGGCCGGACAACGAATCTGCAAGGGCGAATGGTCGAGGCAACTCGAATGTTCCGAGCCACTGGCAGTCTCTGGCAGGTCCAACGAGGCTGGGGCGGAGGTTTCAGGCTGTACCAGGAAGTGAAAATTACCCGCTATCTTACGACACTGGTGAGTGTACCGTTAAAATTCACAATACACCATGGAGGTTCACTAGTAATGCAGCGTACCATTTGTCAACATCCCTGACATGCACTCCATAAAACCTGTCCACTCATCGATCCACTTCCAGGACAGGGCACTGCAGATGCCAAGACCGCCAAGACCGCAAACATCGTCGGATCTATCGCCTCAAGTCAACCCGCCCTGGACTTCGGAGACCCGATCAACTCGAACCACGGCTCACCTACGCATGAAGTGCAGATGCTAATGCAATGGAACGGCGGGGTTGAAAGAAACAGAACAAAGAGTTCCAGACCCTACAGTAGGAGTAGCTTTGATTGTTGTATGTACCTCCGACACCTGGCAGAATCAATTCTATTTTTGCAGCGGCTACTTGGCCAGGAGTACCAGTGTGATGGATTCCTACTGCAGGTGGCAAGTGGATGAGTCATCCGCCCTATGAATCGCCAAGCATGGCCTGGTGCTGGCCTGGACGCGCCGAACGGATGCCGAAACCGCGCCGGATGTGCGCGGGTCAATAGCTTCGTCTGGCGCAATTCGGGCGTCAAGTACGGATTTTTGTGGCGATAGTTCCAGCGCTGGTCTTCTCTCTAACCCTGGGAGTAGGAACTGTTTGGATTGTTGTGGATAAGGCTTTGTGGATAGCTTTGGCTACTAGCACTCTACTAATGTAGTAGACAGTGGTTTGGGGAATGGGTGGATGGGTTTGATCGAAATGCGGCATGAAATGGCGAGGATGCTGGGTTTGGGCTTCGGTGAGAGTTCGGGTGATGGGCTCGGCCGTAGGTGTAAGTTGTGCTGGCAAGGAGAGTGCCAGTGGTTTGCGAACACTCATGATCGTGATTTGTGATTAAGCTGTTATGGATATGATTTCTCAACCGGGTACTATTCTGACTGCTGACACTGCCAAGGGGCCAGACACGAGGAAGAGATCATGATATCGATGACATTGGAGTATAGATTGGTACAGATATTGACCCATTGCAGCGCTGTAAAAGAAATGGTACATATGATCAAGAACAGTATTCCACCCAGTTATCCAGGTCCATGTTTTTGATGACAGTGGAGAAATCGGACGCACTGTCCGCCTTGCAGGCCGAGGACATCTGCTTAGTCGTGACATTTTTTTCGTCGTTAGTCTCGTCGCCCTTGGGATACTCAATGTGGAAGACAGGCTTGTTGGCATCCGTGAAGGCGGCGTAAGTATCGCACTCCTCGTACTGCGCGCATTGTTCATTGACACACCACTGCATGTTCTTGATAACGGAGCTGATGATCGCACCACCGTTCTTGAGTCCAATGGAGAGGCCACGGCTATGAGCCTGTCCGGCGAGCCAGTTGACGTAGTTGATGGCGTCGGACTTGGTCATTTTCAGACCATTGTCGTTATCGTACGCATCGATATTGTCCGGGTCAACGCCATCGCAACCCTTGGTCTGCGCGAGATCCAGACGCGTCTGCATGATTTTCCGCACGTTTTTGGAATTGGTGTCGAGCCAGCGCTCGCCGGGCCAGTCATCCAGATTGTTGCCCAGGTCTGAGTCTTCGAAGGAGCTCGCGTCCGAGCGCCATTCCTCGTAGGTGCCGGCGGAGAAGTAGCAGATCACTTTGCGGCCCATGTCCTGCAGATTGGAGATGGTGGATTTTTCGTTGTCGTACAGGTCAATGTCGTAGACGTCGGCGTCGATGTTGGTGTTGTTGAGAGGGTAGAGCAGCTCGATCTGCCACTTGACGCCCACTTCCGGCTGCCATTTCACTGTGGTGTTTCCACCGGTGTCGCCTCCACTGCCGCTACCTTCATCGTTGTCGTCGCTGCCGTGCTTCAGACCGATGCCGAGTCCAACTCCGAGACCGACGCCGATGGCGACAATGGCGATACCGATGAGGGAGAAAAGGAAGACCTTCTTCTTGGTCGACCAGGCCCACCAACCGCCTTTGGAAGTCATGTTTAGAGAAATTAAAAGATGTAGAATGCAGAAGAAGAAACGAATGTAATGATCAGCTAAAGTCGGACGGCGACGTGTATTTCACCAGCAAGAAACTTCGAAGAGCAGGTCACCGGCCGCCGAGCATGATCACGGAGAGCTCGGATCTGCACGCGATGAGATAACAGAAAGATAAAAATGGGGGATGTAGCAAATCAAGGGCGAATATGGGGAATAGGCTCCTTTAAGCTCAAAGAAAACTGAAAAAGGGTCCAGCGACAGGGTCAGGCGCAGATGGGGGCTGAGACGGGGGCGATCCTCGCAACAGGCAACCACAATAGTTGCTGCTGCAATGTCACCTCACAAACAAAATCCAGCAAAAGGGGCTTTGCTGTGGCTTGCACGCGGCTGTTTCTGCACTGACAGACCGGGGAAATGGGGAGTGCACACTGCAGAGACAAGGCTGAGCAGAACACTGGCAATGGGCGGTTGGAAGGGGGAAAACCCTGCAACCTGAACTCTCAACAAGCAAGGCGCCACGACCGAGCCACACCCTAGATTCGGGCTGCAAGTGCCAGTCTGACGGTGGAGAGATCCTTCTGGGCCACATGGGTTGGATCGGGAAATAAGGTGGTGGAACCGACGCTGATCTACCGTGATTAGCGATGGGCACGGCATGAGGCGGCCATCTGATACTACATTCCAGTCAACATCCAACCGAGCCGGCCTTAGCTTTTCTCGATCCTCAAGAGTTTCGCGGGCCTGGCCCTGTTCCAATGCGATGCCGCCATCGGCCCCTGAATTATGCTAGGTCGAACGCGTCCGAAATAGCCAGCGTCGCCAAGGAACTAGACACGAGCTAGACACGGCTGGAGGCGAAAGTGCTGCCCGGTTTCGCCCTCCGTTTCACGGGGTTTGCAGCGCGGCCCCGGCTCATCTCGCTTTGTATACCTCGATTTTGGAGTGCTCCTGCCGTACCTGTTGGGAGCTATCTCACTCACACAAGGTTGTCGCACGAGTCATCTCCAGTCAGCCCATCCAGGGACAAAACGGTACCCCCCGAGCGCCCACTCTTAATTGAACCCCGCGCTTCCCCTGTTTCTGATGTGACGAGTCTGATCTGGTGATGAATATCAGCGCGAGAGTCGTCAATTTGCCCTCTGCGAGCACCCAAAACAAGTCCAATCATCGGGGCGGCCATCTGCATGCGCTGGCAAGAGCAAGTTGAAGGAGTGGATTCGCGATCGGAGCCTTGGCTGCGATCGGCCGGCTAAACCGCGTGTTTGCAAATACCAGGGTCATATATATATTACGGTATGGAGTACAAGTACACATACAGTACAGTACCTGAATACGCCTTTGACTGGCTCGAGTACCAGTCCGATTCTCGATCCAGCTCTCCAGCTCGAAAACCGGATCCGATCGACATCGACCTGAGCAAAACTGATCGCCCGGCTCTAACTTGCCGGCTCACAACCGGCAATTATGCACCAGCAGAAAAAGCCTGAATGCCCTAACTCTCCTAATCCCTGGTAACCGGGCGAAATCCGCGTGCTTGCCCTCGCAATCTAGACCAGCTTCGCTTGCATTTGCCTCCCATCTCGACTCCATAGACCCACGGAAGCTACACTTGCCACGGAAGCTACACTAGTGTAGCTGCGCCTTGAGGCACACGAAGAACGCTATCCGAATAATATTCAGTTGGATCGTTTCCTAGATAACCCAATCGCCTGATTCTCCCTCCCGCCATCTGACGCCACATCCGGCTGCTGGGCCGTACCTGCCGGCGAATTACCCTACAATAGTATAGGTACTGCTGACTTGACACTAGGGATTGGTGAAACGATGCATGAGTAATCCTTTACGAGAGAATCTCGGCCGATGCGTGCCAAGATATCCGCCGCATCGGACACTACACGCCTCTTAGCCCGCGTGGATCAATCTTTTTCCATGTACCTAGGTACTGCCAGTGAGTACTGATCATACGTGCTGCCATCTGACGTGCCTGAGCCGTTAATGCCGTAAGCAGCTTGGGTAAAGCCTGCTGCGACCTTACCGGCACGACTTCGTTCAACACGGCTGGTGAGTATGCTGCTAGTATAGTGTACTGTTGGCATCGGATGCACTAGACCTCGTCCCCGTGCGTAGGGCTTACCGTGGAACCGAGCCAAGCCCAGCTTCTGTATTCTGCTAGTCCTACTCTCGGTGCAAATGAGCTCAGCACGGTATTTCCTCGGTCGGAGTTACTCTTCCATGGCATGAGCCAATTGTGGTAACTTAGTTTAGTTGGTAGCTTCAGGTAGCTGCAGCCGTTTCCCGGCGCCGAACAATGAATTCGTGCATTTGTATTGAGCCGCTTCTTTTCCTTTGCACCCGGTTCTTATCACCATAGCCAAAGCGGAACTTTGCAATGTATGCTGTGCTACCTGCAAGTCCTCGCCATGTGCCTGGGGCTTGCATCTGCCCAGGTGAATTGCCTTATTATAGAGTACTCGCCGAGTGGCCTGCTTGGCACTGCAGATTTGAGCTACGTATGATGGCGGCGCCATAAGGGGGGATTTCTGGGGATGGAAACCTGCTCATGAGACGGACGTCTGACTTTTTGTGTACTTTTGTTCGAGCACTCTTGGTACATTGGAATGAGTTGGAAATGACTTCCAAGGCTTCCGTGTCGCACAGGCCTCTCGGTACTTGTTTCCTGGAGTTGTGGGATTATGTTTCCCGTCTGCCTCGGACAACAGTGAATGTGGAATATGGTTTGCAATACAAGGGCCGGATCGTACTCGGCTTGACCGCTGTTTGAACCAGCTCAGAGTTGGACAGAACATGGGTGTTGAGGTCGGGTTGTGACGTGTCACGTTGTACCTCGTATTCAGGCACAAGTCTATTCCCATTCTTAAGCACCGGTAATCACCAGAGAGAAGTGTACATTTTGAATTGCAAGGCGTGGGTGAAGGCAACTTTGTAATATGATTGGCAAGGCTGTTGGAAATCAAATCAGAATTATATTGATGGCATGTGCTTGCATATATCAACATTAAAAGCAATCATCATTCACAGCATCTGGAGTAATCATCACATCCAACCCAATTAGGAACCATTAGCTATATCTCTAAAGGGGGCACCTCCACACAGCAGTCAAAAGCAATTATACTCAAAGAAAAAGAAAAATTTTTGTAGTCGCGAGTCAAAAGAGCCAAGCCATTTACAGGGCAATCGGGCTGTCCAGAGTGAAAGTAACAGGAGAGCCAGAGAGCTGAACCCAGACAGTAGCAGGGTCGCTGCCGACCTGCTCGACAGTGAAGCCCTGGGTGTTGCTGGGAGCAGTTGGGAAGGTCACGGGGATCTTGCTGCTACAGCTGCTGTCGGTAGCAGAGACGGTCACAGCGGTGATCTTCTTGTTGCTGACGGTGTAGTTAAGCGAGTAGCCGCAGGCATCACGTTTGTAGCGGTCCAGGAAGGAGGCGGACATGTCCTGGTGCTTGAGGGTGATCAGGGGCCAGTCGACCAGACGGGTGAACTCGTAGACCTGAGTCTCGACCCAGGCCTGAAAGATGGAGTATTTGGCAGTCTCGCCATTGATGGTCAGTTCCGCAACGTCAGAATTGCGCAGGTTGGCCTGGTGGAACATGTAGCCGTCGTGGTGCAGACCGAACAGGTGGCGCATGGTGTCGGCCTTCTCGGTAGCGAGCAGGTCCTCGAAGGTACCGCTGCCGGCCGAAGTGTCGATCCATTCCTGCAGGGTGCAGTCGGGAGTGTCGCAGTTGTAATAGATGCGAGTGGCCCAGCGGGGGTTGACCTGCATGCCGTCGAAGCCGTCGGTGGAGGTCACCGTAAAGTAGGGCCACATGGCGTTCTGTGTGTTCAGCAAGACGGAACGAGTGTTGTCACCGACGCAGTTGGTGATACCGTTGTCCCACCAGGCCTGCAGGGCATCGCCGTTGTGGAGACCGGTGATGGCGGGAGGAATGATACCGTTGGAGGTCCAGTGCTCGGACTGGTCAATGCCGACAGCCTTGATCCAGGCTTGGTTGAAGCTGATCTCCTTGTTCACATCGGAGTAGGTGGCATTGTTCTGCTCCTCGTGGGTGAAGGTGTGGGAGATGGAGCCGAAGCTGTTCAGGTTGGCAGCGGTGGTCCACCAGACAAGCAGAGGGTCCAGGTTGTTGCACTTAGTGCTCCAGCTATAGGTGGTAGGAGTAGCAGGCCACAGGTTGGTACCAGTGCCGAGAGGCTTCTGGAACTCGAGGGCAGTGTCGGGAGGAGAGTCGTACTCAATGCCACCTCCATTGCAGGCGGTGTATCCAGCGTCGGTGTTGGAGGAGTTCTCAATATTGCCATTTCCATTATGACCAACTTCCGGGAAGTAAATACTGCCGGGGTTCATCTTGGCGAGGATTGTGGGGATCCAGTTCTTGACGTTTTCCATGTCCTCGGTGCGGATACGGAAGGTAGTGCCACTGGGGTAGTAGATATCGGTCTCAAGGAACATGTCATCAATCTGAGTGTTCAGGTTGACACGACGATAACCGGCGTATAGACCACGAGTGACCCAAGTGATCCAAGCGTGCTGCAGGTAGTTGGACGTAGCACTCCAGGTGGTATCGAAGGAAATGAAGAAGGCCATCTGCTCACGACCGTCGAAGTTGTTGATGACAGCAGCAACAGAGTCACTGGCAGTGACAGAGTTGGCAGCGAAAGAGGCAATCTGCTTGGTTGAGGTGGTGTTGCTGATGGTAGCCGGATAGTGCCAGAGTCCTTTGGTGCTAACACCAGCGCCAGTCTTTAGACCAGAGGTCGGGAAGTCGCTGATATCAGTGAAGGAGATATCCTGCTCAACGCCAGTATCACAGCATCCGCTGCCGATGGCGGTGGCACCATAGTTTGGGCCGGGGTAAACATCATATTGAACCATGCGGACACCATACTCCAGCTGGTAGGCGTAGAGCTGGTTCCACTGGTCGGTGGTCAGAGCACTCTGGAAGCCCGAAGTACCATAGTCGTAGCTGACCTCGGAGGCGACAACGATACCACCGAAATTTCCGGAAGTGCTGCTGTTCAAGGCAGGGAGAGCAACGCCAGCCTTGGGAACAAGCAGGGTAGTAAAGGGGATACCGTAGGCATTGAGACCAGACGAGGCCACACCGGCGGAGGCAGAGTCACGGGCAATGACCAGAATGTTGGCAGCGATATTGGCCTGAGCAATGGCAGAAGCGGAGGCCGTGGCCGAAATAGAGACAGCGCTGGAAGTTCCAGACATGCTGGGCGTCACAGTGGCACTGGAAGAAACAGGCGAAGAGAGAGAATTCGAGCTAGAAGCTGCAGAAGACGATGCCGCTGAAGAGGAGCCGACACTGCTAGACTGGCTAGGGACTGGGGTCGATGTCAGGGAGCTAACACCAGAAGAGCTAGCAGCAGACGAGCTGGCAGGGCGGGTGCTCGATCCAATCACCGAAGACGAAGAGCCGGAGTTAACGGGACTCGACGCAGGAGAGGAAGTACCAATAACAGACGAGGAGGATGAGGCAGCAGCAGAAGAACTGTGAGAAGAAACAATGGCCGAAGAGGAGCCCGGCAATTGGGACGGGACTGAGGCAGACGAGACGAGGGAGCTCGAGAAAGACGAGGAGAGAACCGAGCTCGAAGACCCTGGGACACCGGACAGGGAAGTCGATGTCACGAAGGTGGAGGGTGGGGCGGTACTAGTGGGCAAAAGAGTCTCAATGGAGGAAACAATGTCACTGGAAGAAGCAGGAAAAGAAAGAGTGATAGAGACAGATGGAGATGAAGACGGAGTCAAAGATGAGGATGATTGAGCAGTGGTGGTGACACTGGGGAGGATGGTGGAGGAATCAACCACAGCACTTGTAGAAGTAGTGTGTTGAACCGGGGTAGTGGCGGTCGTAGTGGGGCGAGGAGCTTCCCACGCAACAACGACAGGCTTGTTCTTAGGCCAAACACCGGGGCGAGTGTTGCAGGTTATAAGGCCATAGTAACAGCCAACCTTCAGGGCCCAGACTGGGATGTGGACCATCTTGATGTTGACCAGGGGTACAGAACGAGTGAATATGAGAGGACCCAACGCACCATGCAAGTACTAACGATTGATAGGGTCGGATGCGCAACGAAGGCACTAAGCTTGCATCTGAACTCCCTAGAACGGCATGATTGTCGGTCTTTATGTACTCGAAGTGGAGTGTGCTCAGATCGTGGAGACCTATCGCCTGTCCTGACAATCACGCATGGATTTTACGATGACAATTTCCACACTGCAGTCATCTTTTCCCGGCTTCTCCGCCCCTTGGTTTCTCGATGGAGTGAGATAGATGGGGACCTTTTTTCCGGAGGGACTGTGGGTTAGATGTGTTCGGTAGATTCGGGACAGATCAAAGCCCCCGAGCCCATCAATGGATGCTGGCCGTGTTTTCGCGTGGCTCCATTGGCTCTGCACGAAAGGTCAGGACACCGCGAGTGGGGAACTCCTGCAGGGTTCGTAGTGTTTTTCAGCCCTGAGTGCATTTACCTGGGCCGCAAAGGAGCACGATAAGCGAGAATGGGCCGAAAATAGGAGGCAATAATAGGAAAAGGAAGGTCGGTCTCGGCGAGTGAGACAGGAAAGGCACCATAGTTCATCCGGCAAAAAGCTCCGAGAATATGCATCTGTTCGGAGTTTGGCGATGAGCCCTGCTCGACCTAGGATAAATGCAAGTGTCCCAAGACCCGGTGAGCGAGGTCCACCTTTGGGGCTCATCGAAAGGGACGGGACCAGGTGGCGTGCGCGGGGGTAGCAGATACATCGGCCAAACTTGGCGAGCAGACGGTGCCTGGTATGATCCGGACTACCTGTATTGTATTCTACCTTAGTGTAGCTGGGACAGTATTGCAAATTACACGTATTACCAACAATACCACCCGCCCATCCGTAATTCGGTGACCGTCCGCGCTTTCCCGCATCGGGTCTCGCGCCTTCCCAACCACACCGGCTCTTCTTCTTTGCGGCCCGTTAGCACTGGCGCTAATGTTAAGTGCTAACTCGATGCCCCCCAAAAATATTCACAGAAAAATCGGATCCGGTTCAAGGGACGCCGAGATTTCACCAGGCCCCATCAGTTGAGTAGACCGACCTAGCCAACTCAGAGTGAGTCGTGGTGTTCTTGGCAAGTGTCTCACGCCATCTATCAATTCGGCTTCCAAGACGGAGAACGTCCCGAATCGAATGTGAGGTGTCTGGCATACCAACAGGTACAATCAGATTGATTCGAAGACTTGAAATGGACAAAGCAGAGAGCTGCAGCCACGCCTCGAGGCGTGAGGTGGGACAATGGCGAGGGCTCCCCCCGGCTGCGATCTGCAGATGGGAAAGCAGCCTCCGTCGCAGCGCGACCACGATGATGGATCGCATGGTGAGCGGGGCTTGGCCTTACACATGGCATCGGGTACATACTAGCTGCAGCACGGGTGAAAAAGCCCACCGCGTGTCTCGCCATCCCACCCCTGTTGCATATCCCGGTGGCTTTGCTGGGCAAAGTAAAACTTTTTTGGGTCATTTATCGTGGCTATTTTTGTTCCTGGGGGTTAGAGGTCTTCATCTCGCCATTGACTAAGAGGGCCACGGACCATCGCTCTTGCTAAACCTCCTAAAGAGTCAAGAAGAGGCGAGCGACTGATACGAGCAGGCCCTTGTTGTCATCCCCGCTAAGAGGCAAGCTACAGTAGCTTTGGGTCGGACTTGTCCGTGACCGCAGCATCGTCGCTACCTCACTTGCTTTTTCGCCTTTGCGCAGATTCTCTCGTTCCTCATATCATCTGCTTCAACGTCCAGCTCGCCTCCCGACTTTCGTTTTCTTTGTCATTCGCTTTCGACACCACCCCGCCGTTTCAAGATGCTGTAGTGGCCCTCGAATATAGCCACAGCTCTTATATCGGGACTGACAGGGTTATCACGTCCTGATCCCATCAATTTTTTACCTCTCGTTTATTATTAGAGAGAATTTCGTCAAACAGAGCGAGGATTGTCAACCATCTCCCGCCATGGCGGACATTCTTGCGGTGCACACCGTGGGGTGGGGGGCGATGAAGAACCACTGGTGGCAGTTTGTATGTTTCCCTGGTTTTCTTTAGAACTGAACCTGGAGCATGGAGCTAGTGAGTAATCAAATGGAATGCTGACATTTTAATGGTAGGTGATGATCGGAGTTTTGTTGGCCTGTATTACTATCGGATCCGTGCATATGATCTGGTCTGCTGTTTCGGCAGCCATTAAATATTACAAGGTGAGAAAGGCGCAGAGATCCACGTCGCATTCCAATGAATGCAACATACTGATACGAAGCAACTCTCATAGTCGAGACCAGTGTCAGATACTGTACCCTCGAATGTTTCTCAGAGCCTCGAAAGGTTCGCCAACCGACAGCTGAATCTGATTACGCAACCGGCCAAGCATAAGCCGTCCTCGTTCGGGGTGTACCTGGGAAGCTTTGACCAGACCCCTTCCGCATCGCAGCTTCGACTTTTGCAACAATGGGATGTTCTGGTCGTGGATCCCTTCCAGAATGGCGTCTCCGAGGCCGTTCTCTGCAACAGCCACAACCAGGTTCTCGGTCGAGTCGATATCTCGAAGGTTGTTTCTGTGAAGGAATCTGCTCTGTCGGCCATTGAAACCCTCGAAGAGATTATTGCCAACAACTTCAGTAACACCGGCTACTCTGGTATCCTATTCGCGAACTGGGAAGACCACTTCACCCCGGCCGTCCAAAAGAGCTTCTTCGAGGTGGTCAAGGGGCTTGGCTTGGAAGTCTTCCTGGAGACTGGATCGCCTGTCTTCTTGAAAAACAGAAAGGCCCTTCAGACGAGTGCTGTTTCCGGATTAGTCGTTCGGAATATCAGCATCATGCCCTCCGGCGAAAAGAGAGACTACTTCCAGATGGCGAAGCTGCAATCCACCATCAAGGCTTTTGTGTCCGAGTCTTGCATGAGAGACTTTGTAGTCCTAGCCTGGGAAACGGTCAAGGATGACGTGGTTATTTCGAACGCAGTGGTTCGCAGATCCCTTCAGTGGTGCAACTTTTACAGCACTATTGCGTGGATTGGCTCCGAGGCCGCATTGGAGGACGCCGACCTGAATACCCCAACAATCGAGCCACTTCCCGCTTTTGGTTGGTTGAAGGATGCTGATGTCATGAAGACACATGATACTTGGCGCTCGAATCTTCAAATCTCACCATTTGCTGATACTCAGACCGGATGGGGCACTCTTCGCGGTCTCTTCCCTGCTGTCAACGAGCTTCTCGATTCGGAGGAAACCGAAACTACCTGCCCGCGCAGCCCAGGCGCCCGACTTCGAGATCCGCCCGAGTGGGTTGCACAAGTCAAGTCGCAGGGTAGCCCACTGTCTATCTCGATGTCCGGTCAAGAGTACACGGCGCTGGGATGTTTCCCCCTCGGATCCGACTCGACGACGATGGCGTTCGCTGAGATTCTTCAGTCCCAACAGCGACTTAAGGGCCTAGGTCTTCTTCACCCTGTTCCGGCTTCGAAAATTCAAAGTATTGCGCTACTTCTTCGCAAATTCCACGAGACAATCGATCTCTCTAGTGGAGACAACCAGCTCGCTAATACAATTAAGGAACTTGCGGACCAGGCTTCAAACGAATCGCTGAATGTGTATCTCGCTCTGGACTCTGGCATGCGAAAGACCTCTGATGTCCGATTTTGGTCCGTCTACCAGATTGACAGCGAGACCGAGAAGACTGAGATTTTCGTTTCGAAGAATGCCCCCGGTCTCGCCGGAACCGTGCTGCACACCTTCCTCTCCTCGAAAGGGTTTTCTCGTCATGTCTGTTTCGAAACCGAAGTTGCACTCGCGGCTTGGTCGGAGGACTTGATGCCTAACGCCGGTCTCCCTCGACGTATGACTCAGGATATTGATGTTCTCAGCCCCGAAGAGAGGCTGCTACTCTTGCAGCACCTTTCTCTCACTGATTCTCAGACCGACCTATCAGAGACAATTTGTGCATATATTCGGAAGCAGCTTCTTGACACTCCATCTTTCGCCCAGTTGAAGGAGCTTAACACAGTCGGCTACCTGGAAGGATCAATCTCTCCTGAGGAACTGATCAAGTCCCGTATCGACTGGTACAAAGAGCAAGAGTGCCCTCATCCATCTGTTGCCAGTTCTCTCAATCTTTTCACCCAAGTCGACGAGACTTTCAACCGCATCTTGAAGAACCACCAGGAGGATGAGCTCGCATGTATCACTCAGGGACTCTGCGAGCTGACCCAAGATGGCAACATTGATGCTTACATTGACATGATGACACTTTCTCTGTTCTGCGCCGCGCGCAAAGGTGCCTTCGATGAGATCTACGCTGAGGTGACGGATCGCAACCCACTGTTCAACCTTCACTCCGACCAGTCTGCAGCCTTTGCCGAGTCGTTTGCTCTCGGATCTCGTTGTGAGGCATACTTCGATGTTGCACCCAGTGTCTTCGGCAAGCTCCTGTCCGATCGTTTCAGAGCGTACTACAAGCTTCCACAGAACCAGCCCCCAGACTGGGTCAATGGTGCGCCTGAGCTTGCGACGGCCTACGCTGGAGCCCAGATCGATGTCAACCCCGATGACAAGTCAAAGCCGATGCGTGGATACCAGCGCTTCACTTTCCTCAGTGTCTTCGCTATTCCCGCTTTGATCGATATCATCTTACTGACTATCATCGGGCGTGGTCTGTATCTGTCTTCCAATATGACCCACGAAGAGCAAAACAGCGCAACCATGGCTTTGATGATCTCGCTGCTGCTTTCTGGTGGTATCGGTACTATGATCGCTTGCGGTGGTCCCTACTACCTCATCTCGATGGCCTTCGCTGCTGCGAACATGTTTGTCCTGATCCGCCTGATTGCTGGTATTGCCTTCACCGTGGCTGGTGGCTTGATCGGCTTTGTCGCGATTTCAGCCGTCAGAAGCCCGCGCGCTGGCATTATCTTCTACCTCTATTTGATTGCCCTGACCATCTACTTCTCGACATTTGCATCCCTGGCTAGCTTCAGCTACCCCGGTTCGTCCTTCCTTTCGGGACGCAAGGCCATCATCACTTGCATCCCAATTCTTTTTTTGTCTCCCATCATTACCACCTTCGCTGGAAACGACTCCGCAATTTATCTGGCTGTCATTTACATCTTCATCGGCGTGCTTCTGCTCTGCCTGCGCTCAACCACTTCCAAGTGGGTGACCTGGTACCAGTCTCTTCGACGAACTGATGACACCGAGATTCGGAAGTGGTATATCTCAGCCCATGGGAACAATGATGAGAAGGTCTTTGCAAGCCTGAGTGACCCTGCAGCTCTGAAGCTGGCCAGAGAATCCCTTCTGGAAGATGTGTTGACCGAGAAGTCGCGAAGCGTATTCTCCAAGTCCACCACTGACAAACTTGTCAAAGAGCTTGCTCGCGATTGGGAGTCGACCAACTTCTTGCTCGACTGGTACTGCCGCTATGCCGATGTTTCGCGCCCAATTCCGTTCAGCTCGGGCTGGAATATTCAGACAAAGGTTGCTCTGGACGTTTTGCGCAACTCCCAGAAGGGTCTTCGACTTCACAATGCATTTGTTCACTGGCGCCAGTCCAGTAAGGAAATTGGATGTGGTGTCCTGTACTTCGTCATTGCTCTTCTTGACAAGTGGGTACAGCTGCTGAGTGGTGACCACCTGATCGGTCTTCTTACTGCTTCTACTACTGATGCAAATCGCATGGCTACTGGCTTTGCTCTGGCTTACTATCTGATCGGTGCTGTGCTTATCGACACCAAGGCTCAAGAGCTTCACGAGGCGATCGGAGGCAAGGCACCGACTGCCATCACCGAGTCCAAGCACATCCGCCCCACGCAGAAGGGAGATGTCCAGTTCCGCCGAAAGGTCTACTGGAAAACGCTTTTCAAGTTCCTCCTGTGGCACGTATGGAGTCTTGCTGTCTCTACTGCCCTCATCTGGACATTTCAGTCATCGATTGAGGCCATGATCGTTTTCTTCGCGTATGTTCTCGCATACACCGGTCTGATCTGGTACCAATACACCAAGATCTTCACTGGACCTCACGCGCTGAAACCACTCCTGACGGGAATTATAATCGGTCTCCCGATCGGAATCGGTCTTCGGGTCTCATTCCCCAATTTCCTGTATTCGCAAATCATTGGTCTTGGAGCCGCAACCTGGATTGTTGCTATCTTGTCCCTCTGGAACGCGAAGATGGGCATGCCCGGCAAGATTGACTCTCTCGTCGAGATGGGCCGGATTTATCACGCTTTCACCACGGCCTGGTCAGACCCCGAATGGTCCCAGCAAGAACTTCAAAGCTTCTATGAGAGGATCTCGCTGCTTCCTGACGATTCACGCTTCCGGGTTGATTTCGAAGCCCACCCCGGGATTGAGATCAAGAACTCCTTGCTTAATCGCCGGGAAGAAATTCGAGTGGAAGAGGCTTTCCCAAATGCGATAGATATCATTGGCAAGACCCTTAGGCAATGGGAAGAGAATGGGATCCAAGTCGAGCTCGTACCTCAAGGTTCATTGGGCCCTGGAATCCGAGCATTGGGCTGCTATAACCAGGGTATTCTTCATTTGGCCATCAGCGTCCGGGGTCTTCACGATGAGCGGTTGGATATCAGCGCCAACTGCCAGATCATTGCCGAGACGATGGTCCACGCCGTCGCCGAGATGATGATGGGTGTTCCTCACGACTACGCTATGCTTTCCGAGGCGATCGTCTCTGGTGGCGTCTCTCACACCATGGCTCGCCAACTCCGTGAAGAAGCTAATACATCTCTTGTCGTCCGCTGGGCCAAGAAGGAGCTCCTCCGCCAGCTTTGCCTTGGCTTTGAGCCCGATCTGCACTGGGACAAGCTCACCATCGAAGTTCGAACTGCTCTGCTCAGCCGATGCCTGGGTCTTCCTTGCGACCTTTCGATGAGCCAGCATCAGTGGCTTCGGATGCGACTGTGTCAATTTGATTCACAAAGCCTTGATGTCCATATCGCCCGATGCAACCTTGGAGCTGCCACCGCAATCAGCATTCTCGACTACGCTCACTACGGAACTGGAGAAGCCGCCGTGCCGAAGGATCCCGAGACTAGCGAATATATCCCCTATGTTCCTAGAAAGTTGCCAGTCGCCATTTCGCTCGTCAAGTCTCCTTTCAGCTACATCTACCACAGGCTCAGCTCGGTTATCAAGTTTGTGTTGATTGCTTTGATTGCCGACCCTGAATTTCAGAGAGAGTTCGACCATGTCAGCCAGACCCTTCCTACCTTCGTTCGTGTGCCCTCGGTTTTCCTGCTCAACATGATCTGGATCTATGCCAAGATTATGCAAGATTTCGGTCTGTCCTTCTTCCTGTTCCACGGTCGCAAGAATGTCAAGCGCCTCTGGGAAGAGACCAAGTCCATGACTGTCCACATCAAAAAGAGTAGAGTCATCATCCAGGGCATGGACGGGACATTCACGGCATTCCGACATGAGGAAACTCATGGTGATTTCAAGTTCTACCAATATGCCGGCGAACACAAGACGGAACCGAAGGAGGCCAAGGCACTCAAGTACATCAGCAGCTACTCCAGCAGCATGTTGCTTCTCACTCGGCAAGAATTCAGAGACGGCAAGCTCATCAACGAATATCACTACGACTACCATGCACCAGGCAAGAAGGGCTTCAAGCTCGGCAAGTCATCGAACAATCGTACTCCACTGGGTCGGCGCTGTGTTCAAGGCGAGAATCATCTCCAGAGCATCATCTACAACCGCAGTGGTCTTGTTGACAGAGGTTCATACATGAAGGATGGCAACTTGGTCAGCTTCAAGTATCACTATCGCAAGAACCCTCGCTTCGGTGATGAGCTTCTGCGCGCTGAGTTCTCCCTGTCTCACATTACCGCTAATGTTTCCTGGTGTGCTCCTCCGCTTCGCCACCCTGAGAAGCACAACCGCTATATCCCCCACTCCAAGGTCATGGAAGCGACCTTTGTCCAAATTGGCAGCGCAGATGTGTATGAAAGCCGCTGGCTGTACGATCACAAGTTCCACCCCACCATCTTCACCACCATCAATGGAATGAAGGTCCAGACCCCGCCGATGATTGAGCATGATTACCTTGGTGTTTTGGCCAAACCGAAATATACAAGCTTCCTACACGACAACCCGTTCCTGTACTGCAAGAGCCTTCGGTCGAATATCTTCACCCGACTGTTTGGCCTGACCAAGAAGCGCTTCGCCGTCTCGACATCTCGAGCTCGCTCGTTGATGTGGAAGGCGTGGAAAGACCGCACTGATCTCGATGGTATCGTGGTTCGCTGGATGGATGATCGCCTGCTTCGCAAAGATAGCGTTCTTGCTCCATACTGGCGCAGCCGTGACTGGGGCAATCTTGGAAATGCGAAGAAGTACGTCAATCTCCGCGCAGATGCTATTATGGCTAGCACAGACTTGGACGACAACATTTCGAGCTGGACCCCCTTGGCTGTCAAGATTAGTGACTTGATGAGCTTTGGCCCTGGAGGCGACGCGGTCGTTACTACTCGATCCAAGGACTTCGCCAATGACACTGAGGAAACCCTTCATGTTATGGCAGCAGACAATGGTACTTGGCCCAACGAGGGAGGTGGTGTCTCTGCCTGTCGACGAGACATGATCAACTCCCTCAGAACCATCAAATGGCACATGATTTGCGAGTCAGCCAACGACTTCGGTGTCCCCAAGCACCAGACAGAACAAAATATCCAGTCCTTGAAGGTTATTCCGCTTTGGGGTCTGGATTTCCTCACTCCCACCCACGGTCTCTTCCACAACAAGCTAGACTCGGAAGTTGACAATGTGACATCTGCAAGCGAGTTTGACATCAAGATGAACTTCATTCCTATCCTCACTGCTCTGGTGAAGGGCGCACGCGCCATCCATCTCTCCAAAGCCGATATTCACCGCGCAACTCGTGCCTTGGTCAACCTCAACACCTACTTCCAGGAGTCTCGACACTGGTCCCAAGTCTGGAACAGCGAAATCGTGAAGCAGACCTGGCGCGATCTGTGGTTGACTCCGGACATGCCCAATGCGATCCCGTCACGGGACTGGCTCGACACCGAACTGCCAACTCTCTCATCTCTCGACGTGGCTTTGGAACTGTGGTATCGCTATCTCTTCATTTTCTCTATCCCTGTCCCCGACAAGGTTCCCGGCGTTTTCCAAGCCTCCCACCACAGTGTCAGTGCATCTTACGGCGTTGTCTGCAAGATCAAGCGAAACTGCACGCTGCAAGTCTGGGACCACGCCATCAGCTGGCGTGAGACCAATCTCTGCCTTTCCTCCGCTCTTTGCAAGCTTTCCCCCTTCGTGCGAAATGCGCTCCTGGGTCTCATGCGCGTCACGTCTGTCCTGACTCTCCACCACGCCGACATCATTCTTCCTTGCGCCGACTTCTTCAATCCCGGCTGGGAGGTCGAGATCGGAACCTGCCAGGGCACAATAGAGCACCGAAACACATTCCGTCGTAAGGTCGACCCCGTCGTGAACGGTATCACTGATATGCAGAAGTTCGCACCTGTCAAGGAGATCAAATCCGAGCGCCCGACGGTGACCATGTTGTCTCACGTGTGGTACGCGAAGGATATCAAGACAGCGCTTCTGGCAGCCGACATCATCATCAACCAGTGGAAGTTCGAGGACTATCACCTCGATATCTACGGTGCTATCGACAAAGCTCCGACCTATTCTACCGAATGCCAGGAGATCATTGCTTCAAAGGGTCTTCGGGGCAAGGTCACACTGCGCGGAACAGCCGATCCGATGAAGGTCCTCGAGAACACCTGGCTCTTCCTCAATTCGTCTTTGTCGGAAGGTCTACCTCTGGCACTGGGTGAAGCAGCTCTGACAGGGGCCCCGGTTGTTTGCACGGATGTGGGTGCCTCGTTGCGCGTACTCAGCGACCCCGACGACTTCTCGCGCTTCAGCGCTGTCGTCGCTCCGAACGATGCCCATGCACTTGCCAAGGCCCAGATCTCCATGCTGGCTATGCTCGGTGAATGGGGTAAATACAGCGACGACAACGAGCCGGTGCCAGTCCTCACCTCCTCGCCGACCCCCGAAGATGTCGCAGCAATTACACGCCGCATGTACGCGAAGAGCGAGCAGCGCCGCAAGCTGGGCATGATGACCCGCAAGATTGTGCAGAAGTCTTTCAGTGGTGATCGATACCTGCGCGAGCACGAACAGATGCTGTGGATCGGCAAGTCCGTCAAAATGATGGCCAGCCGGGCAGCAGGCGATGTGATGGAGCCCGCCGACATCGCCACAGCCGTCGGACAGACAGCCGCTGTCGAAGAAGAAGTCATCACGATCCCACGAAATGCAGTACACTCGTGGCGCTCATCCGCTGTCTCGGGAATGTCGACTGTCTACAGCTCGGTGTCAAATTACCCGCTGCAGAGTGGTCGAAACCGCCCCATCTCCGACATCTCCGCTCTCAGTCTGAGCAATGTCTCGACCGATGCAGAGTCTTACGCTCGACTTCCTGTCTTTGCGCCTAGGCACTCTCGACTGTCGAATAATGGTACCCCAGGCAGCCGTTCACCGACCGGTATGATGTCGCCGAACTTGAGACCTTTCGCGGCAGGCCAGCGCCGACCTCAATCGTATGCGCGCTCAATGTCGACGGCCGGCAGAGAGCAGGTGCGTGGCTTGCATCGGGAAGACTTGTTGCAATACCGTAATTCGGATGTCAGCACAATTATGAGGGAGGACTTCCTCGTGAGATCTGGGATGATCCCTAGCGGTTAAAAGTTGGATTCGCTATCTTTCTTACTTATACATACTATATCTTCACTAACGTAATCGGTAAGCGAGCCGCGCATGTAAGCCAGTCGCGCACCTTAAGCAACCTATTAATTTTAAATGCATTTATTTCAACAAAAACGCTATTAATCTAATTCAGCTAACTTGCTGGTCTATCTGGGCATGTCTCCCTTCTATGTCCCGGGCGCCTACATATTCCACATCCTCGCTGGGCCCGCGTAGGTGGCTGTAAACCCTCCGAAGGCCTTCCATCCCCGGGGGGTGGAGCGGGTTCAATTGCTTGCTGCGACTGCATTTTTAATGCAGAGGCCTCGAAAACCGAGAGGCCCTCAGTGGAAGGCATCTGCCTGCGAGATCTAGTGCGTTTTTGTTTCTTCTTCTCGTTTTCCGCCCGTAATCCTTTGACTTCCTCCGCTAGTAAAGTAGCGCTCTGCATCGAAAGTTGGCAGCCTTTAATAAGCTGGTTTAACGCTCGATCTGATGGGCTTGGTGGACTTCGAGACCCCGTACGAAGTAAAGCTTTGATTGATGAAGCTTGCCGACGTACCTGTTTATCGGTAAAAGGGGTTTTTGGTGTAAAATTCTGGCTTGATTCGCTATCCCGGCTCGGAGGGGGGTCGGGGTTCGAAGACAAATATCAAGCTTTAAGATCACTTGATCGGGTGAAAAAGGTACCAAACCAGCTGCTCTGAAGCTATTTAAAATAGTATCGGAGCGGAAGGCTTCGTTTCGCGCGGAAGGATAAGCCTCGAGGAAATCAAGTTTGTCGATATGGTTGATTCCGTTCCGCATTTTCGTTTCAACTAGCCGACCGTACGAGCGCTTTAACACGGCAAAACAGCCGATATCGAGTGGCTGTAAAAGGTGAGACGAATGCGCAGGCATACAGATTGGTATAATATCGTTTTTTTCACAAAGTTCATCGAATTTCGGAGTCAAATGGCTTCCGTGACCATCGAGTATCAAAAGTCGATACCTTCCCTTCACACGCGAAGAAGTCGACGGAATAAAGAGCTTTTCGAGCCAACGAAGGCCGATCTCATCGGAAGTCCAGCCATTCGGACTAACCTCGAATCTCCAGTCTATCGGAAGATTATCGAACCAACCCTCGATCAAAACTTTGCCTTTAAAAATCACACACGGAGGGAGCGCCCACCCTGAAGCATTCGTACACTCGATTGTAGTCACCCACTCGCGATTTCCGGGCTGTAAAAGCGATCGCCGACCGTAGTATTCAGCCCTCGAGATAACCTTCGCGGTCGCTGTTAATCCCATCGCGAAACCAGTCTCATCGAAGTTATAAATATCGTCGGGATCGATGCCGTATTGAAGAATGGTGTTTTGAACAAGATCAAACCACTCCCTAATGATTCTTGGATCTTCGCACTTCGCACGTTCGTAATTATAACGTCTTGAGAATCGGGATGATAGGCTTGGGTGTCGTTTTACGAAGTTATAAACCCATTTTTCTCCGACGGTTTGAACTGGTGTAGTTCCGCGGGCCGCGAGAAGAAGATTCGCAGTTTCGCGTACAGTAGATGGCCGGGGCGCTGCTCCGCGATCATCTAAAGAGAGTATCCATTTTTGAAGTGATTCCTCTTCGATTTCTGTTAATTTATGCGAATTTGCGCGAGAAATCGCGCGATTTGTGGTGCCGTGACGACGATCGCGAAGTGTAGTTTCAGGCACATTATAAATGCGCGCAGCTTTGCGAACGGAGGATATTTCTTGATTTTTAATAGCCTGGATGGCTAATAATATCCTACCCTCTTGCTCTGTTGAATTTGTAGAGCCTCTGGCACGAATTGGTGGCATGGTGGGTGGTTGAATGAATTAAGTGCTAATTCATAGACGCGTTTTGGGGTGGGTGCGCGACTGGCTTACATGCGCGGCTCGCTTACCGATTACGTTATGTACTTAATGTTTACTTCAAAATGTATTGATTTCTCAATCATGTACGCATATATCAATAAAAACATTTCATTAAAACGATAGTGCGTCGCATTGTGGTATTTTGCGGATTTTTAAAGCCTGGTCTACTGCCCACGGCACCTACATATCAGTCAAAGGCTACGAAACGGACAATGTCGTCGCGTGGTCTCGCGATGTCCAGCACTACTGGTATTTCTACGGGGGAATGTGGATTCAATTCGGTCAGGTCGCAGGATCGACACCTTATTGGTTGGGAATACTTGTCCAGATTGTGTTACAATCATTTATCACGTTTTCTCTGCTCTGTGTGGAGCTCAGATGAGGAGCTCATTTTCAAGATTTCGCGCGATGAAGCATCTTGGCGCAATCTGAAATCGACGGGAGCCGATTTCGACCCTTCGGTTTTCCCCAACATTCAATGGCAGACGGTCGCAATGATGTCGTTCAAAGCCATTGTTCAGTGGGTATTTGGGTGCTCATTTTCAGCTGACGAAAATTTTAATGTCGCACTCGCCGATCATTCCATTGTTGGCGCTATTTTCTTGTTTGACGGTTGCCACAGAATATATGGTAAGGAGAAAGCCCAAGGGTACGTTGCCAGCGACATATGGAAATCTCAATCGGGTTATGAAACTGTGGATGAATATGAACACAAAAGGTTGTTTTGGGGCGATAAAGGAGATTTGGGAGATGGAATGTGACAAGCTGGCACGGCTGGAAGACGACAGGCGGACTTATCAATCATATTGCTCGCACCAGTTTGGTGAGTCCAAATACACTACTTCCTGACAGCGCCTTGAGGGTAACAATGTGGACCTTATTTACTGTGAATAATGAGAAACTTTAAGAAAAAGCTCGCAAGATATTGCCCTTGTATTCGCATCATAGTAGTAGAAAACCTAAATGAACAGGAAAAACCTATACTAAAAACACGGGAAACGCGGAGTATTTGCAAAAGGCTATTTTTTTGAAATAATGAGCAAGTAAATTAGTTGAAAAGGGCAAGTTGTCGATAGGGAGCATTCGGATGTCTTACGAATGATACACTGTACCGTATCAAAGTCCCATATATCTCTTAACAAAAAAGTGTGGCTACCTCGGCCATTAGGTCGTCTCCGCGTCGACAGCATGCTGAGCATTTAGGAAGGCATCGCCTCGTCAAATTAAAGGTAGAAAATGACTTGCGTGTTTTGCAGGCAAGTCGACGATATTTGTGAACTTGGAAAAATAACTGGAAAAAAATTATTGATGCGGCGAACCGGGATTGAACCGGTGACCTCACGATTTCAAACCGAAGTGGACTTCAGTCGTGCGCTCTCCCAACTGAGCTATCACCGCAGTCTACGTAAGTTTACAAAAGTTTTGCCTACATGAGCTTGGACGTCGCACTGCAATTAAAAATCAGGCACCATCACAAGTCACATGTTTCGATTTGACTTGTGGGGTGGACAGTAAAAATGTTCCGAGTCAAAAAATTGTTGCGGCGAACCGGGATTGAACCGGTGACCTCACGATTTCAAACCGAAGTGAACTTCAGTCGTGCGCTCTCCCAACTGAGCTATCACCGCAAGTGACGTAGCGTTCTGTAGTTTTTGCCATCATGAATCGACAGCCTGACGATGTAGCAGAAAAAATAGTGAAGTGCGATAATCCCAACACTGCCTCCATATCAAGTTGCGCTCAGCTATTTTGACGTGGCATTTTGTGCGAAGGGAAAAAAAAGGAACGGAATTAGAAAACTTATGCGGCGAACCGGGATTGAACCGGTGACCTCACGATATCAAACCGAAGTGGACTTCAGTCGTGCGCTCTCCCAACTGAGCTATCACCGCAGTGGATAAAAATTGCTAAAATTTTGCCTACATGAGATTAGTTGCGGAAATTTATTGCAGACTGACATGGCAAAAAAGGGCGGTCAGCTGGTTTGCACTCACTCCAACTAACCGAGAATGCTTGGTTGGCCCCAGCCACTTAAAAAGGGCGTAGCTCCAAAAAATTGTATCTGAAGCAAAAAAGTAATTGATGCGGCGAACCGGGATTGAACCGGTGACCTCACGATTTCAAACCGAAGTGGACTTCAGTCGTGCGCTCTCCCAACTGAGCTATCACCGCAAGCTTCTTAAATCACGTGCCACCATTCGACATTCTGTTTGTGCGTTTATTGTGTGATTGTGGAGTCATCTTGTCTTTGTCGGGTTTCGTCCCAGCCTCTTCAAGTGTACTTAATTTGCCATGGATAATTCAGGCTCTAAAATCACCATTGTTCAATGGTCGCATTATATCGAAATTCAGTCTCATTGCCAAAAATTTCGCAATATTTCATAATTCGATGTAGTGTGATGTGTAAATATATCCTGTGCATGTCGATCCTAGATTGGAACACTCCTCGAGTGCAAGTAAATGCTGACCCTTCGCGTCACATTTTTTTTCTTTCAACACTCGTGGAAGGAACAAATTGAAGCCTCTCAGCCTTAACATATACATTAAAAAAATATCAATTAAACAACCCGGTTTCACCACATCAATAAGACTTCACAATTGACGTGATATCACCCGTAAGACCGGCGAGAAACTGCAGAGCAAAGGATTGTTTCATTAGTATCGCAAGGGAGGCACGGCAAGATGAATTTAAGTTGGGGAGCCACATCTTGAAGCGCAGCTAATAATGCTCACTGCGGTATTGCGCAGCATGCTCCCAACCTTGGAAGTATGTTTTCTTGACATCTGGACAACAATTTTATAACCATGAACCTTCAAGGTCGCTTGCATACACAATTGTGTCCCGTACCCTGGTTTAGTCAAATTCATTTAATTACCCCACCAAAGAAAGCATATATGATAATCAACCACCTCGAGCCTCCTGAACGGATTTGTGTTCACGACAACTTTGAGCAGAATACAACACAATGGCAGAATACCCTCTACCACGCCACCAAGCCTCTAACCACTTATCTGCGAATTTCGTAAAAGCTCACAATAAAACATTCAAGAAAATAGAAGAAAAGAAAAGAAGGAAAATACACTAGGGTATTGTGATGCTTCGAGTTGGCGGTCTTTAGCTGGCGGACATCACTGATGTATATCCGACAGTGTGACATTGACGTGGAACTTATTCTGCGGCATACACTGTGATGCCTCGGAGTCATTCCACATTGACACACGACACACACTATGATTCCTAGTGCTGTTTAATTATCGATTCACCAATCTTCGATCCGTTACCTACTCTCATCTTTACTCTCACTTTTATCTCCAAATGCTACCAGTCACCTTTCTCTCACTTCTTGTCTTCTATCACCTGCCTACTAACATGGATAAACAATTTCGTTTTCGCTTACCCACCCCATCACTACAACCACATTGCTCAAGTTTCTCACAACTCCTACCCATCGCTCTCCTTGATCTGCTAGCACATCCTTGCGACTCACTCTCACCGAACACCAGACAATGTTATCACTCTGTTTTTGGCCACTGTTCATCCTATATTTCGTTGCCTCATGGAATTTCGAAAGCCAACTAATAGCTGGTTGATTGTCAGTATACCTCTCCGGAGAAACGTCAGTCTAGAAATCTGGTAGATCATGGTGTATGTACCAATTTTCTATGAACTTTTCGCTCTCGAAAATAAACAACGGCTACATTCTCCACCATCAGCAGCTGTGCATTCGAGCACAGTGATGTTTCGACATATTTGAATCAGTGATACCATGGCATCTTACGTTCTTGCCAATTACCTTCCGAGCTCTTCCCTGGTCAGGCTGGAAGCCGAGTTTTTCTAAGCTCCCTAAAAGGTATGACGGGACATCTCCAGCCAAGTTCGCAAGCGATTATACCAATGCTGTAGATACCTAGCACCCTCCGCATCAAGACGCTTGTTCTTCTTCGTTTTATGCACCATATGGTCTGATCTCAGATGCATCGGTGGTCTCTTCTCGAAGGGATAGGGCCGCATTCTGCTCACCTTATGATTCGATCCAGCGCGTACGAGCAATCCACGGGTTCATATCCCCTCCTGATGCTCATCACGGGCTTTATTGATAGGCGTGTGCGTGCTCGAGCCTATTTTCCTCGGCAGACCGGTCTACGCCGTCTACCGTACGGAACGCCATACTCCCGTGCGACACTTTTGCCAAATTCCGACTTCATTTCTACACGAGCTGGCACCTAGCGTACCGTCCAAGAATCTGTAAGCATGCTGTATGCAGACCAAGACGACGCTTGGATCCACGAAAATAGCCCAACAGAGGGTTTCCCTATGGCCCACGGCAATCTGGCTGCGGAAGCCAGCACGCATCGCTTTACAAGGAATGGTGTCGGTCCCTTTTGGCTGGTTCTATGGGCCTGGTGCGAAACATAGCGAGGAGTTCTACCGACTTTGAGCAAAATCATATTGCCATCATGATCGGCTCACTCAATGGCTATGTTCCGTCCATTTACGTCGCTAACGCGGGTGCTGCTGTTGCAGCAGCTTTGGCCGTCCCATCAGGGACCTAAAATGTCGTCGATGATGAGCCACTGACGAAGCGGACCCAGGCAGATGCACTTTCTACCGCGGCAAGGAGCCTGCATGGCTATGCCTCCAAGGACGAGCGGCGCTGTTACCGGGCTACCGCTCTACATCACTGACACGCTCTACACGAGCCAACAATGCGAAATTTCGAGAAGCTGGTGAATGGTGGCTCAAAGAGATACCATTTGAGAAGACGAGGATGTCCATACTGTTAAATACCTCGCAATTACGTATTGATGGGGTGCAAAAAGGCCGTTCAAGTCGGACATCTTCAACACTAGGATATTCTCTCTACCACACCATGAACCAAGAGCCTCTTTGACAGTGAGACTTGACCTCTTAACATCGGGACGTAACTAAAAATATTAACCTAATCCACAAGCGAGTCGATCACACAACCGAGTCGATCAGCCAACTACAGTCACAATTTTGATTTGCATATATTACCACCACAACGCAATTAAATTAATAGCTACTGCTTCGGACATCTATTTATCTTATGTCCTATCACTCCACGTCCACTGCACCTTGGTGGAGCCCGAGTTCGTTGCGTACTGGCCTGATTTGCGATCTCCACGGAGGTTGAAGCTTCGACTTCAGCTGGCTGTTGGCTAGCCTGTATCCACGCACGCGCCTCTGTAGCACCTAATGCTGTATCATGAGCTATTTGACGAGTGGATCTTGATCGCTTTTGCTTTTTCTTTGTATTTGCAGCACGTAGGCCCCGGTTTTCTTCGGCTAAAAGCACTACGCTATGCATAGCCATATGGCAGCCCTTAATCAGTTGATCAATGGCCGCTTTGGTGGGCGTAGGAGGGCTTTGAGATCGATATTTAAGTAGTGCCTTAACCGAAGATGCCTGCCAATGTAGCTGCTTAGCGTTGTGTGGTGTTATAGGCATAAAATCGGCTGAACTGTTGCTTACACGGCTTCGGGGTGGTGTTGGAGTTTTAGCCGAATATTGATCTTCTAAAGGACTTGAGTACGATCAAATGGCACTAATCCTGTTGCTTTGAAGCCACTTTGTATAGTGGTATCTTTAAATGCTCGTAGACGGGCCTCAGGATATGCCGAAAGGAAGCCAAGCGTGTCGATTTGGTTGATGCCATTCCGAGTTAGGCTTTCGACAAGCTCACCATATGCACGCTTTAGGGGGCAAAGCAAGCCACGTCAAGTGGCTGGAGTAAATGCGAAGAATGCGCTGGCATGCACATTGGTATAATATCATGTTCCGTGCAGATTTGATCGAATTGAGCCGTTAAATGACTGCCGTGGCCATCAAGGACTAGTAGTCGATATTTGCCCTTCGAGTGGCCTTTAATGGATGGAATAAAGTGATTCTTAAGCCAGTTAAGACCAATATCATCAGTAGTCCATCCATTTGCGCTTTTGTCAATTTTCCAGCCATCCGGAAGGTCATCAAACCACGATTCGATAAAGACTTTGCCCTTAAAGATGATATACGGTGGAAGGTGCCAACCAGCGGCGTTAATTGATTCCACCGCAGTCACCCACTCACGATTCCCAGGTTGTAGCATCGATCGTTTCCCATAATATTCGGCACGAGTGATCACTTTAGCGGTGGCAGTTAGGCCCATTGCGAAGCCAGTCTCATCAAAATTGAAGATATCCTCGTTGGCGATGCCGTACTTGGCTATAACTCGCTGTACAGAGTCGAACCACTCGCCAATGAAAGCTGGGTCTTCGCATTGTGCCCTTTGATAGTCTTATCGACGACTAAAGCGACTCGCGATCGTGTCTGCATGACGTTTGATGAAGTTTGGGACCCAATTAATGCCAACGGTCGGAGGTGTAGATCCACGGCTTGCGAGTAGTAAGTTGGCCATATCTTTAGCCAGGCTTGGCCGGGGAGGATTTCCACGTAGATCCATAGATAGTATCCATTCAATAAGCGATTCTTCTTCGAACTGGGTCAATTTATGACCATTTGCGCGTGATTCTTGTCGGTATTGCTGACCGCGAAGCCGGCTATATAACGTGCCAAAGGGCACATCAAAACGGCGCGTAGCTTCACGAATAGAAGAGACTTCATGATTTTTGATGGCTTTAACAGCTAGGAGGATCCTACCTTCCTGCTCGACACGTTTTGGGCATTTTGAGAGCGAATTGGTGGCATAGTGGGTGCTTGAAGGTAGTGGAAGATCAAATGGGGGACGCGACCGCGTTGGCTGATCGACTCGCTTGTGGATTACGTTAGTGGAATATGATTATATAATTCAACCTGGAGAGCCAGACGTACGCGCAATCATTTTCGTGAAGTTCTCACACCATTTCACATGTCTTTCGATTAGGGAGACTAAGACCTTGCTTGCTGCCTTTTTCTCAAACAAATCTGGTACTGGCGTCCAAGGATAATTGGAGATAATCAGCCTAATAATATATCGATCTGAAGTGGTTTGAATAAAAAAATCCTTGCACCGGCGAGGCGTTGGGAGAAAGACCTGAGCCGTGGTTAAAGGTGGTAATTAAACTTTAATTTCGGCCGACCTTCCTATTTTGTCGTGTTCCTGTAGATCGCATCATGGGTCTCGCCACGCACAGACGTCATCGCTGGTCGAGACACTGAATCCGCATATGGAAGAGGGGTCGAATAAAGTTTAATACCCACGAGAGTCCACTCTCAAATAGGACTGATCTGCAAGTCGGACGAATATCCGCATGTCGTTTCGCAAAGAGCGGGTCCTCGTGTTATCTGAGCTATTTCTTACTCCCGAAGCCTTTGATGCTTCAAAGCTCGACAACTTTCTAAATAAATGTAGTGCAAATCACAATAGATCATGATCAGTGATACGAGCGATTATAAAGCCTTCTATAGACAGTGCATTTCCTTTTCTCTAGATTATTCGTAGGGACTATCTATCTCCCCTTACGACTTTCATATCTTTCGATCCGAAGTGTGGATATCATTTGCCTTTAGTTGAAACATTCATTTCAAAAGCGCACAGCCATATGGCAACTTTCTCCAAATCGATTTGTGGAGCTAGTCCTGTGCCTGGCACTATTGACCCACACCGACGATCGTGTCGATGATCATCTAAGAACTTGAAGTGCCGCCCGTGTGCTAAACTTTATCAAGGTAATTATTAACTTTATCAAGGTAATAAATTCTTACTCGGTATAAGCTATAAAGGTTTCCCGCGCTGCCACCACTTACCTGCTACTTGGCTACTCAATCCGCACATCAATTCATATTCGAATCAGTTGTTCAATATGCAGACTGGCTCGCTTGTTACCATTGCTCTCGGCCTCGCTTCAGCGGCCGTGGCCGCAGTAAGTCGTTGAGATAGATTTTGCGCAGTCCAAAGCAACTAACATTCTCAGCCTCCTCCGTGGGCCCCTGCCTGGGGATACTCCTCTCAGTCGTCCTCTGTTGTGCCTACGAGCTCGGTGGTCTCTTCAACTCCGGTGCCCACCGTGAGCGTGACTCCCTCGGGTTTCACTTCCTCTCCGCTTCCCTCCGGAACCCCTACTACCCCATGCCCCTACCCATCTGGATTCCCTCTTCCATCTGATGCCCCGTTCTCTGTTCCCCCTCCTTTCCAGGGCAGCGCTGCCTGCCCTCCCTGGGGTCCTCCATCCTCGACTGCCCTTCCCTCTCAGTAAGGGCACCATGTCACATTCGCGAACATATCGACGTAACATGGGGATAATGAGTCCATTGGTAGACAATGAGGTTGCTTCCTAGGGACAGGTTGTGGAGAATTGGTCATAATTGCTTGTTTTGTTGTTTTCTATTCACTCGCTCAAATTGCACTTGTACACGGCTCGGAATAGGTAACTATCGACGAGACGCTTTGACTTGTGTATTAGAATTTTACAACGTCATCTTTCAGGCATGATCCCAATGTTCTATTCCGTCTACGAATATTGATCAAGGCGTTATGATTAGAGCGACGACGTATTGCTGGACACATCCCTTATCCCCCCTATGTGTTCTGCTTCTCACCCTGCAATGAGCCCGAGGATGGTATCTTGGTCCTCCCTCCTCTGGGGCTCGGGTAGTAAAATACTGAGCTCGGAAAGGTAAAGCTTTCCATCCTCGAGTTTAGGTGAAGGTATGTGATCCCGAGGAGGTTGGTTCTGCTCTACGCTCATGCTCAGAGAGAGTTTAGCGCATTGCGGCCTGACCCCGCTTCCTAAACTGGCGGGATAATCAGAATAAGACTTTAAAGATGTGTGTAGCGAAAGCATGCAAGCAATGAACGTGAAGGTATAACGATTAGGCAGCAAGTATAAGGCACAGACACTAGGGTTGGGGAGTCAGCTGTTAGGGATAAAGAGGAAAGAGCCAGTAAGTACAAAAAATGCCAACATTAAACCGAAGTGCGAAATGCTTGAACAACAATCAGAAGAGGGCGTGCAATAAGGATGCAACGAATCAGAGGTGGGAGAATTGGTCGTAGACTGCGGCATATCCGCTGACAACGATAATAGACCATTATCAGCATCCGCAAGTGGATATCTGTTGGATATCCAATATATCGGCTGGCTATCCGCAATAGCATAAAAATCGCTTATTTATCTCTTTCTGAACGATCAGGTGATAGTGTTGCTACTGATACATCCCCGGTTTTCTTTCTGTGTTCTTGTCACTATTCGCATGTGTAATGCCTGGTGTTCATGCCTGCTGCCGCAAACATACTGTATGTATTTTGATCTCCTCGTGCCATCTCTCCATCATTCCTCCCTTTTTACCCCTAATGCTTAGTTGTTTCCTTACAATGTTACTACATTGGTTGATCTTCTTTCTCTTCGTACCTGACCACACTTGATGCAGACATATATATTGACACGGACGGGAGCATGTGCACGTTTTGAGGGCTACTACAATCTTATCTGCTTAGTCTCAAATTTCTATGTTCAAAACATATAAATATAGGTATGATGCATCATAGGTTTTTTTATTAATATTCTACTTTTGCTTTGCTTCAATCTGCAGATTTATCAACATGTACTCTGCAGCAGGTGTCCTGCTGAATAGTTAGAACTCCCGGGGAATCTCCCACTGCTCTTTTACATAAGTTATCCTGTGGATGAAATATTTTTGAAGACTCTGTAAGGAACAAGATTGGGGATTCTGTATCTGGCGGGTTTGTCGGGTTAACACACGGGTTCTCAACGGAACTTAATGGGATTTCTACGGATTCTGATGGGGTTCCCACGGGTTTTGACGGGTTTATCCGTTCTTGACGAGTTTCTTATGGGTTTTGATGGGTAGGGAAGTCAAAATGAGTTTTCAATTTTTCGAAATTTCTGAAGTTTGACATATTTGAAATGAGATGTGAGATGGGCCTTGAAATGTTGAAATGCGCTAGTCCTGAATAAGCAATAATTATCATTTCTGACCAGTAAAACGCCTTGGTTCATGGACCTAACGCAGCAGAAACTCAGCTTAATCTACAATCCCCAGCTTGCCCACATTCTACGGAATGATGACTCATCACTGCCATGAGATTCTGAAATGTAATTGAAATAGGGGAAAAAATGAATATTCAACGTTTCGTGATGAGATGGCGAATTTTGTAATTACACCATCACTACGGTTAGCCATAGATTAACCGCGATTATGCCGCAGACCAAGAGGTACCACCTGTGTCCGATGGAGTTGAACACCTGAATTGATAATCTTTAAATCCGTGGAGAGGAAGGAGAATGCAGCAAGAGTTGCGTTAAGGGTGTCTATTATACCGAGATTTACAAGCTACTCTTCTTCTATGGAGAAGGTCGGCATCGATGTGATCAAAGAAGTCCTAGATTAAAAGTACACGACATGACGAAATGGTTGTTTGGCAAAATTCTAACTTGCAGAACCACACACAAGCAGCGCCCCGTGGGGGTGGCCAGTCACTCCTGAGGTCATTGCGTAATTCCCTCAGTCCATCAAGCGGGCCGGAGCACAAGAGACCAAGGAAGCTTGTGTGTGTACGCAAGATCGCCATTTCGTGCTCCCGCGTGTACTCTCGGCATTGTTTCGGTGAGTTACTTTCGGCATGTAGGAGATGGAAGCGCACCAAATCGGCCCGATTTGTTCCTATCGGAACTTTGTCGGCGAAATTTCTCGAAGGTGATTTGTTTACTCAATTGGGGATCTTCGGAACAACGTCGAGCTTATTTTCCCCATCTACAAATAACACTAGAAATATTCTACGCTGTGACGTAGGTGACGTAAGTGACGTACATTCCATGGATCAACTTGGCGACACCGTTGTTCTCATTCCTAGATGGAACGAGCCTCGTGATGTGACCAATGTTGAGACGCCGCCAGGTAACGAAGAAGTTTTATTTGATATCACAAAGTGAGTCTCTGAAATAAAAACCAACGTCTGATCCTTTCATATTCCAATATTGCTTTTCTTCGGCTCATATCTTGAGACGATTAACGGGACACCCTGAACCGATATGCCCCTGACTCCAAGGAAATTATTGTTTGCCACCCGCAACTCTAATTTCTCCCATCCACTAGCTACCACACAGAATCCATCATCCATGGTGGGTCAGCCTTTTGTGGAGTACCCCGGGTGGGGAATCAAAGTCGTGACATACGGAGAAATGATTCTCGAATAAAGTCAGGAACCACGTCCCAAGGGTTTCGCCATGTGGAAATGGCTCATGTATATTGCCAATAGGACTGTCTAAAGGCTTATTTAAAGGGTGAATGAGCACCAGCGTCTTTCAAGGGCCTTCGATTTTGTTTCTCCTCATTGCACTGAATATGTTTGACAAACTCAAGCCCAACCAGCCTTACTTTGGCTTACGCGGTGGATGGCTGACCTTTTGGGTCACCGTCGCCTGTGCGACCGACATGATGCTGTTTGGTTATGACCAGGGCGTATTTGGTATTTCCCCTCTATTAGTCGTTTTCAATGCTCGATGCTGACGTTTTAGGCGGCGTTGTTGTTACAAAGGACTTCCTCGACACGCTGGCTCTAAATGACAACGCCACATTGCTTGGAACTGTCACCGCCATTTACGATATCGGTTGTCTCTTCGGTGCTATAATGTCCATGGCTTGGGGCGAAAGATGGGGCCGGAAACTATCTATTATTTATGGAACAACCATCATGGCCATCGGTGCGCTTCTCCAGATCACAGCATATGGCGTCCCCCAAATGATAGTGGGACGCATTATTGCTGGCTTGGGCAACGGTATAAATACCTCAACTGCTCCTGTATGGCAAGGAGAAACCAGCCAAGCGAAATGGAGAGGCCGTCTCATAGTGATCGAGTTGACCCTCAACATTGCTGGGTTCTCTCTCTCCAACTGGATCACCTTTGCCTTCAGCTTTCTCCCTGGACCTGTTGCCTGGCGATTTCCCTTGGCATTCCAGTTCATTTTTATTTTCATCCTCTACGCGACCGTCCCGTGGTTGCCGGAGTCGCCCCGTTGGCTTATCGCACATGACCGTTCTGATGAAGCTCAAGTAATTATCGCTGATCTGGAGGATATGGACGTCAATGAGCCATACATTATGACTCAATACACGGAAATCGTGGGTGCCGTTCAATATGAGCGTCAACATGCTGTCTCCTGGTGGGACCTTCTACGTGGCAAGACCAAAGAGGGTGGCACATGCGCTATGCGTCGGCTCATTTTGGGGGCTGGTGCCCAATTCATGCAACAGGGTGCAGGAATAAACGTCACTAGGTGAGTCCAGCTTTCACTGAAAGCTCTTAATATTAGAAATACTGACTATGGAACCAGTTACTATCTACCTACTGTCCTGATGCAGTCTGTCGGGCTCTCAGAGACGTTGTCTCGGCTGCTGGCGGCGTGCAATTCGGTGTCTTATCTAATTGCAGGCACTATCGGAATCGCAAATATTGAACGCTGGGGCCGTAGACGACTCTTCATGACTTGCGCCTTGGGCCAGGGCCTTTGCTACCTACTCATCACTGTCCTCCTACGCTTCAACGAAAAGGATGGATATCCTCATTCGAAGGAGGTGGCATCTGCTTCAATCACGTTCTTTTTTATCTACTACTTATTCTTTGGTTGTGGATTTCAAGGTATCCCGTGGCTCTTACCTGTAGAGCTAAACTCACTCAGTATGCGGACTAAGGGTGCTGCATTGGGAACAGCAACAAATTGGGCTATCAACTTTTTGGTTGTTGAAATCACGCCTATCGGGATCGAAAAACTGCACTGGAGGTTCTACATCATCTGGACAGTACTCAATTTGGTCTTTGTGCCGACCATCTACTTCTTCTACCCCGAGACGGCGCACCGACAACTGGAGGACATTGATTTGTTCTTCCGAGACAACCAGTCATTGTTGATTCATAACAACCCAGAAGCGGTATCCCTTACCCGCCCAGAGCGGTACATTGCGATCGAAGACGAGTTGGTGCATCAGAACAAGTGCGTATCCGATACAAAGCAAGACGCATCTGGACATGGAGAGCATATGGAGGCTGTTGGAAATGTGTAGGAAGCCCTTGACATTTCTAAGCGCTCCATTCATAGAATTATTTGAAGACAAGATTATAAAGGCCCTTCTAACTGCGACTCTAAAAGTTACGTCCTATCTACCTATTAATAGAACGAACAGCCATTTGAATAGAGAAGTCACATAGCGCAGAGGAAGATGCGCCATGGCTGTCTGACAGCGTAGACGGGTCGAGATAGAGAAACACATAACACACCACTCCTTATTAGAGTGGCTGCCATAAAGGACACACTGAGAACATTACTGCCTAGGTGTCTGGCAGAATTGTGTGCATAACCGAGTCAGAACGAGCGGCTAACCTATGGGTATAAGACTACTCGCCTAGCGACCGATACGCTTGAGTTCTCCAAGCGTTAATCTTGTGTTTACAGGAATACACATATTCTATCCTAAGTCCCTCTTGACTACCACCTAGCCACCTGGCGCCAATAAACCGGCTATTTTCTCTACACAGACAGTTTTTTTCTCAATATCATCTGATCTCATTCTCCTCTTTTTATCTAACTAATTTAAGGGTCCAACATATGACTAATCGAGTCATAGACTCTAGAAACTGACACTACTATACATCTCTGAAGCAATAGATACACCTATTCCTAAGCTTTTCTCATTGGTAGGCCACCCTGGTCGCCAATCTAGGGCTCTGCCGCCCAGCTGGCCACGAACCACTGACTGTGGGCTAGGTGGGCGAAAGAGTGCCCGACTGGTGTACTTCGCTCAGAATCACTCGATTTTTGCCTAAATATCTCATGCCACCACCTTCTACCCATTGCTATTATAGGCTCATCGAATTCACTCAATCTCACAATAGATAGCATTATATTAAAACAACACAAAGCTGTCGAACCACCTCTGGTGGCTGTGTGGAGGCGCCAAGAAACTGAGTGTTTCAGGTGGGTCAGGGCGACCTAATAACATTCAATCATAGTTAAGCTGAGAGGGTCAGTACGGCGGTCGTGCTACGGATGGTGATTCTCACCCACTCTCACGCTGCTTCACACCCTGTCTATTGCGCACTCACCCTTGTCACCTGGGTCTCGCGAAGCTAAAGCAGCGCTCACCGTATTCTCCACAGACGACACTTACCCGACTATTAAATGTCGACTAGCCACACGTGGGCAGGTTAGTAGTATGATGGGTGACCACATGCGAATCACTGCTGTTGTATGTTTTTGCTTTAATTTTTAAGCTAAATTTTTTGTTTACTTTAATCTTTTAATCTGATAATTTCATCTGATGATTTTTTATTATCTACTTTTTTGCTTTTTTTACCTCTTTTCATGTACACCGTTTTGACAGCCCTGCCGTAGAGGTGGATAGGCAATGCAAAAGGGGGCTCTCGGGTCCATGGAAATTCAAGGCTGCTAATGTTGGGCCTTGTCTAAGAAGCAAGTTGCGCTACTCATATATTCGCATCGCTGAAGACAATCATCGGCTCAGGCCGCTGGCAGGGGCACGTTGGCAAGGTCCTTTTCTGTATACCCATTCAGCTCCTGATGGTGTCGCTTGCGCATACCGAATAGAAATGCGACAAATTCAATAAGTCATCTGGCGAAAAGAAATGGTAAGTTCCGGTAGAGGGGTAGTTTGCAGCCGTTGTCCAATATCAAGTAGAAGCTGGTAGAGGTAAACCCTAAACCCAACTCGATAAAACCCGGCCGATAGGTCAAACGGCGAGTTGCTGCTCGAGACATTGACGATTATCCGACTTAGCATAGCAAGCGGAATAAACCCCGGCTGAAGGACTGCAGGGTCTGGGTCAGTCAATAAAAGTTCAGATGCTTGACTAGCCAGATCGCCTTCCAAGTGAGAGCAAATTGGCCGCTGTTGATGCTCCAATCTTCGCAAAATCCCCATATGTAGCCGGCCATGCATAAAGAAGCAATGAATGTGCAGCAATAGAAAGACCGAATCGGAAAAGGATGTTACGGGCCGTTCGAAAGAAACAGATTCATTCGGTGCCTACGGACGAGAATCCCGAAGATGAAGAAGGAAGGAGAAAGAAAGAAAATCTGCCAGAAAAAGATGCGTAGTGCAAACGACCCAAAATTATGCCTCAAAGATCCTTCCACGAGATGAGGCTATTCCTAGGTTCATCCGTCACAAAGGATGCCCCTTTTGAGCGAAAGCAGGTGAAAGATCTTGAAGTCGGAGGAAATTCCGTTCTGTGCCATGATGAAAAAGAAATTGTTCCTAAATCGGCATCACCTTTCAGACTGTGATTAAGTAGAAACGAGCCCTCGTTTGGTGGGCTTTATATTGATCGATGCTGAGATCGGGTCCAGAAGAGTTTGTGCAATTCGTGTATCCACGTCACGTTCGCTGTGGCCATCACTGCGGTCTCAGTTAACTGGGAGTAGGTTCCTCTGATTGCCTGCACCGGTATCTCCAGATTCGAATGAACGGTTTGAGCCTTTGCAGCTTATTTGGCCCCATTCACACATTAGTCAAGGGCTTTGAGTCGTCATAGACTTCCGCTGCCTGGGGCGACGCAAGTGCAGAAGAGAGTCTGGATGAGGCACGGCAGTTTGTGTACAAGGCGCCCCAATATTGCCCCTGCAAACAGCCTGTCGCACATCGTCCAGGGTGGGAAAGTCGGGTTGTCTGGCATCGATGGATTGTTGGGCAACCTTTTGCTTGCGAGCCCTTGGTAGGCTGCGTTTACCGAGCGACCAACAACGTTTTGGTCGTAGTCAACGAATAGTACATCCACGCTACTGACTCAGAGAGAGTCGTAGAACGCCGTCTGGTAAAAATAGGATATGTTGGCAAGGAAGAGGAGCTGAAGGAGGAAGGCGGCCGCCACAACTCCTATGAATGGGTTCGGGAGGTATATTCTGGCGGCGTAAACTGTTTATATTGTGCACAAGTAGTTGCAGGTAAACAACCGATCGAAGTGACTCAGAGACCGACAGTGGGACTCGACAAGAGTGTGACTTCAATGAACAAAAAGAAGGAAAGCCTTCATGGATTTGGCACGATCGGCGACCATAAAACGCACCAGCAAGACGAGAATATATACTCCTGAAGCCATCGGCGGGGTTCCCGTTCTGTACTCGACACTCCACAAACGGCTCACCACATCCGTTTTGTAGAAGCTTTCTTCAAAATGCTAGTTATGTACTCACTCGCAAATGAGTCAAATTATTTTGCTTGAGATATCATCTCCCACTGACTTTATAAAAGATTCTTACCGATACACGAGTCTCGACCGGCTGATGCTGATGGTATACCTTGAAGGCGTGCAGAGTGTTTGTATCTGGGCTAAAATCTCGCTTAACTACATTCAAATGAGATCTGTTTATGGCGGCAAAATTATTGCCTCATCCCATCACTTGCGGTGATAGCTCAGTTGGGAGAGCGCACGACTGAAGTCCACTTCGGTTTGAAATCGTGAGGTCACCGGTTCAATCCCGGTTCGCCGCATCATTTTCTTTTTGCTTTAGAATTTTTTGGGGTCCACACCCCCTCAAATGGCAGATTGGGCCTGATAAGAAAATGAAAGACCAAACAAAATTTTGGATTCAGTAGTGAGGTGGCTCATGAAGGAATGTGTGCGCTTTCTGTTGGCTTAAGCAAGAGTGGGAGAGAGGCAGACGCGGTCGGCCAAGGCAGATCCAGCTGACTAGGAGAGAAAAGTGCTTCGATCTCAACTCATCTCAACTCATCTCAACCTATCTTCACCGAGTACAAAAGTGAACAATCTGTACTTGTCGGTAACTACAAGGCAGATTGGGTAGAGTCTAACTCTCGACTCAGGTGGTGGGGACTACACCAACCCCAGATTCCCGGCGGCGGGATTCAGTTCCGCTTGACGATTATACTCGGATGACATGCTCAGTACTTAGTCCCAAGCATCGGAATCGCCACCTAAGATCTTTGGTTTCTAAAGAAAGCTCGCGTACCAGAAACCTAAATGGACAAGCGTATGGTCCCGAATTTACAAAACAAGGAGATCAGTTGACTCGCACTCTTTGACGTCTGCCAAGATCCACCAAGCTGCCAGCGGCCTAGATTTCCCAGCAAACGAACTTTGAAATGAGGACGAGAATAGCACTCGTGTACTCGACCATGGCATTTCCTCTGGGAGGCTGATTGAGGCTGTGGTTTTTCGCTCTCGCTCCCGGTCTCTCTTTTAAATTTAAAAGTCGCAAGCGAATCGAACTAAAAACTTTGTTTTCGCTGTGGTCTAGAACTGTAATTTTTTTTGCTTCATTGACACCAGCAGCGTGAGATTTTGTTGGACAAGGCTAGCCAAGACATTCAAAATTGTTCCGTCTCGGTTGATCTCGTCAGATTACGAACCCAATTTTAGATCAAGTAGACTTGATCTCCTGCGGCTCTTGAGCTATACAAATCGGGAATAAGTCTTCCCGGGACTAGATCGTCTAATATAGGAGATCAGCTCGCTTCATCAAAATTAACCATGGACTCACGAAGTCATGACAGTTTGATGTCAAGTATACAGCACGATACCAGGTTAGGAAAATGAACTTGCATGGAATGAAAGTTATTCTATAGATATCGTGGACAAAGATAGAACCCTTGTTGTCGCTGGAAAATCATAAAAGCTCCCTCGAATCCAGTCAATCAATCTTGTTATCTTCAGCATCTCAGAGCAATTACAGCAATCCACACCTTTGTCTTTGGAGAAATTATCCAACTCTTGCTTCATATCATCATGAAATCCCCCGTCGTGATCCTCACCACCCTCCTTCCCCTGACTTCGTCGGTCGCCTTTGCCAAGCCGGTTGCGGCTGCATCCGACGACTTCTCTCTGGAGGAAAGGGGCAGAGGTGAAAACTGGGACAACGGAAACAACCACTGGGGAGGCGACCATGATCACCATGAGAATTGGTGCAAGGTGAAGAAACCTTACTGGTACCACAAGTATCCTTGTGATCAGAGTGGAATTGTCGGCAAGTCGAGCGTCGGCGACAACTTTGCGCCTGTCTGCAAGTACCAGTATGACCCTCCACCTTGTCAGGAGCCCCAAATACTAATTTTACCATAGGAACTGGTACAAGAATTCCAAGGGCTGGTGGGTTAAGGACGAATTCAAGCCCCCCCGCTGCGGTAAGATCATTTCCACTCAAAGAACCCTCGACATGGTTTGCTGTCTTGGATGGACTGACTTTTCTCTCTCAACTTGTAGTTGTGAACGTGGGAAAATGTCCTTGAGATTCCCATGGAATCGTCCAAATCAGACTCGGAGTTTCTTCGGTCAGAAGAATCTGCGTGGGATTCTGTCGTTCTTTTTGATTTCAGATAATAGTGCACTAGTACGCTCCTTAAATATTCTAATCCAATATTTTCATTCATGAATCAGAATCAAATAAGCCCAAAATACGACCCTGCGTGCACACTTCACCCCATTATAATGCACCCAGAGGTACGAAGGCTATTCCGTAATAGGTCTAGTCTCTCTGCGGCCTACTATAAGCCACCTACACGATCAAAGCTCTCCCAATCCTACACGTCTCTGACATTCTCTACGCCATTTCCTATCGAAATATGATCTGAAGTCACCACGCCTCACCCACACGACGATGCAGTTCTAGTTCCACACGCTACTCATCTCTCTAGTAATCAATCCCGTGTTCGCCTGTCTTTGTTTCCCGTTCGCCTCGACGAGCACCTCGCCGTTCGCCGACGTATCTTTCTCGCTCGATACCCAGAGTACCGATTTTGACTTCGCCATTAGCAGAAGTCCAACCAGGAGTGCATGCCTGGAAACACAGGGATAAAACGCAAGTCCATCGAGCCGCCCCCGATTACCCAGCTCCCGGTTCGAGATGATGCTTCGTATCTGGCGTAATACTACCTGCATAATCCCTTCTCCTTTGTCCTTTCATGCTGATCTGTAGCTAGGATGTCTGTTTAAATCTTCGCAATAACCCCCAACCCACGAAGTAACGCCTCGTACCCACAGCAGAGGAGGCCCAGCAAATGATTCCTCGGTCAACAGACCGCCAACCCACGCAGACGGCTCCTCCGATAAATGTGGCTGCGGACCCTGCTGCGCCAAGCCAAGACTGCACGTACTATCAGGCCCCCATCGAGCAAGAACAGACCGCACTGAAGACAATCTATTACGAGTACCAAAGAACCTACGGTGCAGATGGGCAAATCGCTCCGTCAATATCTCCATACACACAACGGAGAATGTTTCCAAAGACCAATCGGGGCGGTCTCAGAGACGAATGCAGTCGCGTTCAGCCACTGTCATTTAAGCGGTGCCCTATGATCCGCGGGCGGAGGGGGTAACTTTTTTCGAATAGGCACGGGCGGCGATAACGAAGAAACGCAGCCCCAGGTGCATGGACAGGAATGGGCGTGAAGGGACAAGCCCCAAGCTGGATTAATCTATTGGTTTATGTGGAATCAGAAGGCCAGATGCCCCCGCCTCTCGCCCCCGGCCCCGACCCCCGGACCTCCATCCTGAATGCGTTGATTTCACCAAGCCACAACTTCCCACAACACGTGAGGCTGAAACGTCATCGGTCAATCGAGCTCGGGATCTGATTTTCTAATGACTAGCGAGTTACTAGCAGGGAGCTGTTGTTCTCGTTATCTCCATTTTGCCAACTCTACAGTCAAATCATTGCTTCGCTTTTGGCTTCGGCTACGATTACCGATATGGCATCCCCGGAAATCAGTGTATCCCCGAACATTATTGTATTCATAAAACTCCATGTGCCTACGACCGAAAGTCTGGAGGACAAGTATGGGCCGATTTTCTGGAACCTACAAAGATCTCCCGGACACTATCTTTCTTCTAGATGGGGTCGAATCGAAGAACGCCCAGATCATGTTTTTCTCAACAGGTAAGGTAACTTTACCAAATATGATATCAAACGTCTAAATTCTCAAGTCTAGACTCCCGAGGGGCTTTAGATCAATTCAAGTCCCCTCCGTATGAAGCTTACTGGTCAACATTATGTCAATACTCGGCGTTTTTAAACACCGCCCTTGATATCCCCACGAGTTGCATAGCGGATGCCAGTGACGATGTCTGCATCAGTCTCCTTCTGGATCTTGACCATCTCGGGAATAAACTTCGGGTGGTGGCTGAAGTCGGCGTCCATGATGATCACATAGTTGCAGAAGTCTCCAGCACGCTATGGCTAATGTGGCCAAATCGTTGCATCTCCCTACCAGCTGCGTACGTCCCAGTCCCAATGATACAGGAGTAGTAGAAAAACTCCCAATAGAGGCCCTCGATATTAGAGTCGCTGTCAGGCCTCTGCTACGTAGAAAGCAGGGTGTTCCGCGTGCACGTCATCCTATGAAATTGTGGAATAACGAAACGCAAGTCAGAGAAGGGAAAGAAGTGGAGACATATTTTTTTTGTGGACAAATGCTGAGAGAGAACATGAATTCAAACGCAGAGTTCCGCTACGAAGGGACAAAATATCAAAAGCTCGAGAAAGAATAAAGGGATGCCGAGGCCGAGAGCTGGAATGAAGAGCACTGGCCCTTACAAAGACTTCCGCAGGTAGATTTATGATGCGAATGGCGAAATCAAGGCTTCATTCAACTTACACTGGTATACTATCTGTTACTGTTTTACCAAGAACTTGGAGAAAGCAAGATGTGCCGCGGCAAACTATGTTTGAACAGCTTCAAGTTCACCTGCTACAGTGCCTGGAATAGATCGTTTGAACCATCTATATTTTGACGTGGTGGGGCGATTTGCGAATACTTTTCAGAATCGTTAGAACTGTAGCAAAATCCCGAAACACCAGGGCGTAGTTGTAGCAACTTGTCTTCTTGCAATAGTCTGGTGGGCGGTGAACTTATAGTTCTCTGCCAATCAAAGCCCGGACTCACAGATCACCCGACCCGCTTTCATAGTACGACCAGCGGCATCGCAGGCAGGCAAGCAGCCTCCATCTCTGTAGAAACTGAAGCTATCTGTCTTCCACCTGCAATCTATCCTCCGCAGACCTCCATAGCCGACCCTCGGCATATTGGCACCACCCTAACCAACTACATCCACACCTGCCTGTAATGAAAAGCGCATGTGGGGTTGACTGGCTTTTCATCACCCAGAATCCGGGTAGAGAATTGAGCATGTGTTGGCTTCGCCCAGGCTAGGGTCACTAGTCAACAGCACCGCGGAGAGGTCCATGCTCATCGCTGATGGATCCCCCGAGACAACTCGAAGCTAAACAGTGTTACAGTCTGGGGGATCCCAGACAAATAGCTGTGGCCGGTCAGTTATGTGGAAAATATGAATGTGAAATGTATAAGATGCGTGAGGGTGCATCTTTTGACTAGAAACTTGTTTGGGTCCTCTTGTACTAGAGCTAGAACTTTTTTGGGTCCTCCCTTGTCTCATCGGAGAGACTTATACGGGCTGTTGCCCTTCCACGACCTCTTGGATGGACACCTCATCAGGGTTATCCGGCAGGCCAGCGGCACCGGATGCCAAAGCATCTTGGAGAATCAACGCTCCATCAGTGGGAGGGGGTTCCTCAACTTGCAGGTTGTTGTATTCAACTTGAGTCACGGCCAGGGCCTGAAGCTCACTGGCAGGCTGCTGAGCAGCGACAACGGAACCAGCGTTGGCGGCTCCTCGGCCGTGGCCCTGCCAAGCCGCTTGTCCACGATCTTGATTCATGCGTCCACGCCAGCCATCACGGCGGCCACGAGCACGACCTCCACGAGCACCGAGACCACTACCACCACCACGAGCCTGGTTCTCGCGCCAGTTGCCCTGTATCAGCAAATAGGTTAGCTTTCAATGATTCCTTAGCAATAGGCCGACAACAGCATACCGCTAGGCCTGAGTCCTGCATATATTGGCTAGTAAATTCAATCATCGCAGAGTGTATCGCAGTCTGAATCGCAGTCGCCATACGCTGAGAAAACACGCCCCCCGCCGTCAAAGCTTCCTCTCGGCGGCGCTGGTCCTGGAGACGCTGACTCTGACGGCGGTTCTCGGTGACTTCTTGCCGACGGGCGCGGCGGCGTTCCTTGGCGATCTTCCGTCGCTCTTTTATCTTTTCGCGATCTTCGGGAAGATCGCTGGGCTTCTTGGGGGGTTCCCTTCCACCACCACCCACACCTGCACTCGACATTTTGCTGCAAACCCGTTAGCCTCAATACAGGATATGAGATGCGTTATGAGAGCTTCACACTTGAAAAAAAATTGATACTGTTGTTGAATACGCGTTGGGAGGTTGCAGAAGGGAAAACCACTGAAGGGCAGCAGGAATCTTTCGTGTGGTGGGAGACGACCGCGCCTGCCTATTTTGCAGTGAATGCAGAGCGCTCAGCCAATCGTAGGCTGTACTAAGAGCACCTGGCCCCACTTTCATACTACTACTAGGCCGCCATCGCACTCAAAGCAACAATTAAACAGGAAGACACCGTACCCCTCATCGATTGTTTCGAACCATCGCTTCCGCCCTTGCCCTTCGCCATCCTGCTCAGAAGATTCTGTTCTCCGCTTATCCCCCTCCGCGCACTCGCCCTGCCGCAGAAAGATTTTGCCGGACACGAGCCTTAGCACAAGCAGAGGACGAGCAACGTCTTCTCTATCCTCACCCTCAGTCAGTTTCCACACACTTCCCTGCAGTTGAAAGGCATTACCCAGCGCTTCTCATTTCATATGCAGCTTGAATCGAACCAGTTGTGTCTGAGACCCTCCAGTGTGAACAAAACTAGATCTATCACGCAAATGTGGGGGATTCCCAAACAGGATACGATGTCTCGTAGACCAAGCCTTGACTTGTTCGTGACAACAACTTAATGGGTGCATAGGAGCGTCAAATGCATTTCCCACGCATATATCTCCTGTGCATATACGTTCAGCCGTGGCCCGATATGAAAAAGCGAACGAGGCTGCTAGCAAGCGATTCGTATATGCCTCTTACGGAAGACTCCTCCACGTCGCAGATATCCACGCAGTTGAAAAGGTTGATCGCAGCCTAGGGCTTCTAGGTAGTGACTTCGACTATTGCAGTGGGCAAGACAATGCTTCGAACTTGTGCTTGACTTGCCTGACTTCCCTTTCACAAAAGACGACCTCAAATTTCTCTGCCAAGAATCATGTCAATGTGACGTTGTGCCAGCACTATACAAGCATTTTGAATATCTAACTCCTGTTGAGGAATGTTTGATTGCTAAGTGTCACCCGCTTGGAATTGTGATGAAGCTACGCCCTGGAGGACACCCATCACCTGTTAGCTATTGTGCAGTGCGGGGTCACTTTATTGTGATACCACAGGTCTCTGAACTATTACTGCAGATACTACCGAGCCCTGATCCGAGGTTAGATAATAAAAGTTCTCTGGCTAGGAAAAAATAGTCCTCTGAAGGCAGACTTGAAGCCTTTCCTACTTGTGCGAAAGGTCAAGGTACTAGCTGCCCTTCAATATTTACTTCAACGCAATCGTCTCTATCGAGACACTTTGCGATTAATTACCATATGATAAACGGCTGGAGTGATGATTCTATTCCCCTTGAAGTGCGCGAAAATATCATTTGCTTCAACGAGTCTGATTTCCGTGAGCGCGAGGGTTACACAATCAGCCTACGTGCAGGTAACCATGAAAATGATCTCCAAGCAGCTGAAAATGGTACCTTTGATACCGGGAAAGCTGAACCTCTAATCACGGGATCGGTTTCCACTGACATCAGTGGTAAACGTCAGAATCCAGACACACGTCTTCTGAATACTTTACTTGAGTTAGTCTCTAACAGGGCCCGGCAGAGGAGCGAACGAACTGTCCAATGAGACAATACACAATCTATGTCTCGATATGTACCGGAATATCTTACATCATGCGTGGTCAAATCAATCTAGTGGGCTCACGGGCCGACATCCAATATTTCGCTGCTGAATTCCCTACTCTAATTCCAACGCCTAGGCGGTGGAGATCATCTCAAACACCATCCTTTCTCTTTATCGCTGGGATCATTCGTGGAGTGGCTCTGAACACCACGGCAGAAGGTCCGTTATACTTTTGTCAGCCGCGTACCCTCAGGATCGTACCCACGTGTGCACAGGGGTCTGTCCGTTTCCTGATCGTCGAGAGATGCCGGCCATCCTCTATGCAATCCGGGGAGATGCCACCATGGTGGATCATTGGACAGATCCCCATTACCTTACCACCGCATTCCCAACCTTGTTTCCGGCAGGGATCCGAGGCCATCTAGATGAGCGGCATATCCCGGTATCGCTTTTCGCTTGTGCCGACTAGACTTTGCGTCATCACAGTAGAATATGTATTGCTCTCTTCACAAGATTATTACAAAATGATGCTTGTCCTGCCTATTCGTGTAGATTCGCTCGTCAAAAAGCCTTCATACACCTGCTATAAGATGTGGTCCTGCTCCAGAAGTCGTCACTGGCCAACACTTACCTAATTAAACGGCAGAGTTAGCAGTTGGCAATGGACGATATCGCATTCCGGACATTGGACGAGAACGCAGCGAAGGCGGCCGCACTCGGACAGAGGATTGAGGTTCCGATAATTTAGCAACTGCTACAAAATATGAAACGTTGTCAGATCAGCACTGGCCATCCATCTAGGCCCTGCACCTCGAGATACCAAAGGCTTGGATTAAAAACCACTAGTCGAAGCCTCATTCCGCATCTTGTTGAGCATTGCTGGTGTCTTCCGCCTTAGTCTTTAAAGACGAATAGCGAGGGCCCGTGTGGTCATTTTTCCAAATGTAGAACCTGCCCGAGCAGGTTCCCTTCTCGGTTTAAAGGCCATCCAACAACCGACAGAGGCCACCTCGCATCTTCTACACCATGGCGGAACGAGCATTCTCTTACTCGTGCAGGTCCCCAGATCCTATGCTCAGAAACTTAGAATGCGCTCTGAAATTCGAGGGGCTGATTGCCCGGTACGGCATACCCGCTTTCTGGATCACTATCAATCTCTCCGATCTGCAGACTCCAACGCTCCCAATTCTGGCTGGTGTAGAGTACTCTGGGGAAAAGCTTGTCCGGCGAAATTATTACTATTATTACTTGGCTACCTTCGACATGGGAAACTAATGGCGACCTCCCTAAGCGGGATGAGGAGCACAAGCACGGAAGATTCCAACGCTTACCCGATCTTCTGCGCTGTGTTTCTGGCCTGGGCCAACCACTCGGTGCACGCAGGCACGAACCTTGGTTCTCCCCAGTAGACGTTGCAATCGAGTTCCTGCCAATACAACCACTTCATTTGGAGCCGCAGGAACACGCAAAAAAGACGCCTCGCGACCTACACCGTCGCTGCTTAGCTCCTCCGTGGATTCAAGGTCGGCGACTTCTAAGCCGTCACCATCGTCATCCTCCCGAATCAATATCGCCAGTGTGCCGCCGTCCATATGCGGAGGGGAATAATCGCCACCCTCAACGATCATCCGTTGCGAGTTATAGTATTGTATGCCCACAGACTCATAGTCAAGGAGGGGAGTCCCCGTCAAATCTATCTCCGATTCGAGAACGTCACAAAAGATCGTGCTGAACAACTGGTCCCGAGAATGCTTCCATTTCTGATGTTCGCATACTTAGCTCGAGCGTTTGCTGTTTGGGGGAGGCGGACGGGAGTTCCTACATCGTGCAGTGCTGTGACAGAGCGAAAAAACTCGGCAGGGGGAGGAATACGGCCTTCTCGCTGGTCGTTGGTCCGAAAGAAATTGATGCCTTCCTTTGGTATTGGCGTAGTTCCACGAATAAGCTCCGTACCAAAACCTGAATACCCCTGGGTTCTTTGTTTTATTACACTGGGGAGCTGGAAGAAGTTCCGGGCCTAGGAAACGTTAATGTGAGCTGAAAGGAAGGGTCAGCATCAGGAAAATGAAACCGACATCGCGCAATAAGCCTCCAGCAACCGCCTGCTTCAGTTCGGGGGCCCATAAGCGAAAAGCGCCGTATTTAAGTAGTGCTTGTCGCAACCTGGAAATGGTTGCGGGGTTCTGCTTTATCGACAGGTCAATAATAGGGAGGGAGTCCATGGTAAATACTGCTCGTAAGAGTGCGGGGAGAAGAAACTGAAGTGGTAGATTACCACTAGGACAAATGTGTTTACCTCACCGCCCACCAGCTCACCTGCCTACTCTATAAATAGGAGTGTTGGAACAAACATAAATAGGGGAGGAATAATACCTCCAACAGCAGACAATATTTCCCATTTGTGTCTTCCAATCTGCTTTCTGATGCTCGATCCCGCAGTAAAATCCAGCCTTACATATAGCATATCTCTTTATTCCCTCCGTCTTAACACACTTCGCAGGCATTCACTTCCGAGAGCATTCCATCGAAAAAGCTGCCGTCTCAATCTGCCCATGATCCTGTCGATACCATTCCTTGTATGTGTTTCGCATTCCGCTTTGCTCTAACATAAGACTAGAAACTCACTTCTTTACGTCCCCGGTAATTCGGATATTCCACTAGGAGGGAGGAATTCGTGATAGATCGAACTATAGTTTTCCATACTTTGGTACTTGAATTGGATATGGGAAAATTCAATTTGCTTATGAAAGTAGCACGAACGCTCAACTCGCCACATGGCAATGTCGAACCTTTGAAGATTCGCACATGCTCGCGGCGATGGAAGCGCCCTTGAAATTCGCGTGCTTTTTTTCTTCTTCCCTTTTGTCTGGAGAATGAAACAGATAAAAAAGATAAGATAAAAAAGAACTTCGGATGGAAAAAGGACGAGCCAAAAAAAAAAAAAAAAAAAAGGGCAAAAACATACAACAGCAGGGATTCGCATGTGGTCACCCACCATACTACTAACCTGCCGGCGTGTGGCTTAAGTACGGCTGAGCGGACGGGAAGCCCTGTTCTCCACACCCTATGGTCGTATGTACCTAAAAGATAGTTACAAAAAGTAATATCCTGTCTTCGCAGATCAACATACTACAATCCGGCATGTGTGACTTCTGCTCAGTCAATACTCTAGTGGTTATCGCCTGGATGAATAGGGTGAGCGCCGCTTTAGCGTCGCGCGACTCGGGTGATTAGGGTGAGTGTGCAATAGACAGGGTGAGAACGGGGTGAGCCCGGGTGAGAATCGCTCTGTCATGCGAGTCGCCCTCTGGCCATCTCAGCTGAAGTAAAGTGCACATCATTGGATGATCTACCAGCACCTGAAACACTAGTCTTCTTGGCACCTACACATAGCCACCGTATGTGTGAATGAAGGAATAGTGAGTGTACTGTAAGAGTAACTAACTGTCGTGGTTGTTGGGTGAGATGCTGACTAATCTGAACAGGAATCCTTAGCTTGCTACCTCCTGCAGATCCAACACAAACAGCAAACTCCTGATCCTCCCACTCTAAGGATATCCCCTGGCCCAAAAGCAGTGGTAGTGCACAGTTGGCGGCCTTCTGGTTAGGCATCAGCGAACCAGATGCAGGACGCTTTGTTATAGATGGCAACTACCGCGCAGCTCGCCTATTATTTATATTACCTCATTTTAGGTTCGAAGTCTCACGTATCTATCTATCCTCATATTGGATTCTTTCACGCAAAGTAATAATTCGGAGCGACTGCAGTCAGAAACATGCTGGGAGCACTCGGCCAGGTGCTGAATAGCCTTCACTTCGGCCCCCACGAACGAAAGGTGAAAAGGTATCTCAATGAAGCCTCTCAAGGTCAGTCGAAATAGATATATATTGATGTGAATCGCCATCTTTAACTTCACCAGATTCTGTCCTCGAAGATCTGAAGATAGCCCTCGCCCCTAGAATAAAGGAGGTCCAGCATCTCTGGATCACATTCGACGCCTATTGTGTCGAAGACTATTCCCACCAGCGGTGTACGTGGACCACTAAAAGGATGCTCTCGAAACTAACGATACGTTTAGACTGGAACGTGATAAGTTTCCGGGAATACATTGAGAAAAAGCACCCTGATGTGGCAAATTCCGAGACCGTGGTCCAACTGCTGTGGAGATGTTTCCTCTACTTTGCCTATCACCCTTTCCCCTGCGATGCCACCGACAGTACCAAAGTCGACTCGAGCGGCTTCCAACGTGCTGTATCACTCCTAGCCGTTCAAGGCACTGATATCCTGGGTACACAGGACGAAGGGGAGTATTTCTGGCGCCATGACTGCGCTTTCTTCCGCAGAGCCGATTTCCAAAGTCTCTTTAGAAGCATTAGCCTTCCGGAGGGTCCAAACAACCAGCCCACAGATCCATCTCTGGAGGAGGAAGTCATGGATATTTTGGCCATGACGCAGCCGCAATCGGTGAGCTTGGCTCCTTCTCAGGATCAGCTAGGACCTGCATCCCGAAAGCTGCTTAGTGAAAGTCCAGTTCGGACAGGGTGTCGGGTGACTCGAAAGGATTTGTCGACATTATTGAGCTTGCTTCTACGGCTGAGACTGCACAAAGCTAAATGGGGATCATACTTCTGTTTTGGCACTTTCGACAATACTGAGCCTGTTGTCGAAAGATTGGCCGATATTCTGGTTAAAGGACTGGGCGGGGACTATAATGGAGAGAAACTTGGATCTGAGCATCTTCTCAGGGCAATGGATTTGTTGGTATGCGCGTATACACTGGAGTGTCTGGGTATATCTAATCTTTGACAGCCGAACTTGAACCAACGATTCCACCAGCTTTGGACTGTTCTATTTCAACCACCGATGGATGCAGATAATCAAATATATTGTCACATGTACCGGAGCCAGAAGGAGCTGTATCTAGCGGGATTATTAGGGCTATTACACTGTTCATCCCTCACCCTAAATTCCCGACGAGCACTTGGGCGACGATGCAGGACGCGCGGATTACTTTGGAAAAACAAACACAGAGGCCAGATGACTTGACAGTGACCCGTCTTGTGAAGACCCTGGAAAATAATGCATATCCACACCTAATGCTACTAACCAGCGATGCAACTACAACGCCAGTCACGGTGGTAGGAGCATACTTCCCTGGTCCGCTCTGGCTCAAAGCAAATGGAAAAGATTTGCGCGAATTCAAGACTGGCACTTCCCATATCCTCTTTCAGCTTGAGCCTCAATTCCGCCTTCTCCGATGGATTTGGCCTAATATACAGCTCACAGACATCATCAATACACATGAAGAGGAATTGTCGCTCGAAGCTATCGTAGCAAGTGACAAAACACCTCCGACATCAAACAAGGTCTATTGGATCGGAGACCCGGAACGAACAGGTCCTGGCCTACAAATTGACCCAGTGGCGAGGTCGGCTCTGCTCACGAGCAATTTTACCGACGCCAACGATGGAGGAGTAGCCTGGTATAACGATGTGGGCAGACATAGCGACCGTGAAGACAAAATACCCAAAAAGCACTGGGAGGTGACTGTCAAGCTTGGTCAGCTTAAAATTTTCCGTCTTTCGTGCGGGTTAGACGCAGACCTCGCTACTGGGAGGATCATCCGTGCCAAGGATCAGGCTCGATACATGCGGGAGGCAATGAAAACAAGGATCGCGGGTGAGGACCTGATTTCAGGCTTCGGATCTACTACATGACAAAAAGAGATCGAAGAAGATTTTTCGTCTGCCCGTTCGGTTTCCTACGTATCTATACCAGCGGATTGCCAAATATACCTAGGTAATTATGACTTGTGTAGGTATGGCATTTATCTCCTGGGAAACTTTACACTGATCTCCATGGTTCCGCTCACCCCGTTGCTCACTGGGTCTGGGTATGGTTGAAATTTTTTGTATATTTACTAGGAATAGGCACCTCAATAATATTCATGCTCATTTGGTTGCCTAATACTGTTCTTCGAGATGGTGATGAATGCAAAGTCAGGCCCCAAACTCAAATTAGTCATGTGCTGATCAAGCCTATGCGGGGGTATTCTCTTCACTTAACAGTGGCTTTCCTGGACAGATACCAAAGCAGCCAAATATCCTGACCATGGCGACACAAACGATCAGCTCCATCCTGGCTGTAGAGCCATGGTACTACGACGGCGACAGGCAATGCATCAAGTTCCGTGTTGACGGCACCGGTGAGGTATGTCCATTTCCATTTGTCGCAAAAGGCGTGCGCTCAACACCAGCAGATCTGGGACGGACACGAAACGGCCTTTACACTGGCCGCGAGCTTTGACTGGAGAGCCCTAAACCCTACAGCCCTGGACGAGCAGCTGGCGATCACTGGAAGCAGGACTGCGAAGACACTGACCCACCTGAGCCTAGAGATAACCTCCACGGAACGCCGCTGTCCCTGTCCCCCGGGTTGGAATTTTGACGAGAATACCCTCGAACGAATTCGGATGACCACTTCAAGGTTCAAGGAGGGCGCATTCCAGCCCAGGACGTTTTCTGTCCGCCTCGAGAGCGGGAGATTCGCCAAACCTTTTATGGAGGACCATGGCGGCGTAGAGAAATTCGGAGACCAGGCCCGTAGCTATGCGTTGCGGCTGGTGTTCGACAGGTGTCCGTGGCCCTCTCTGGAGCAGTACATTAATGGTTCCATTTGGAGGGATAAAATGAAGGTGGCCCGGTTTGTGTGTCGAGAAACGGGGCTGTATAATTCATTGATGGGCAGTTGTATCGCAATATAATCGTAGAGCAGATCTGGAGATTGACCTACAAGTAATAATGGTGCTTCCAGAAAACTTTCTGTTTAAGTGGCCCATTACATAGCCCCGGCAAAACGGTCACCACGGTTTACGTACGCCGTGCCAATGAGGCTGTAGCTAAAGGCTACAAAGCTTACAATGTCGCAGGACCCGATGGGCTTCCTCCTACCATGCTTCTTAGTCCATATTCACGGGAACTTCATAGGACACCGATTGGGACTCATTATGAGGTCTTATATTTCAGGGCTGCTTATTTTCTTCAGACAGGAGGCTTGACAATTTATATATTTCCAATCAAAGCTGGTGATTCCGGGAGGTCAGGAATTGATTCCGGTACAATATGACATATCACAACGCATTCAAAGCCGGACTATTCCTTACGGTGAAATTTTACAGGGGTGTGGAGATGGGTGGGTGCTACGGCACATCCACATAGCTTGTAAACAAGCACCTTGTATTCCAAAGACAACGCGATCGGTCTCTCTACTCCTCTTACTGATCAGATGAGGCTTCGGGACGGAGAAGGAAGATTGCTATAATGGATAAGCGATTGATTCACTGTATAATAATCGCGAGAATATCGATGTGGGGAGTACTTCGGCACCAAGTGATTCACAAGCTCACTTCGGCACCAAATGATTCTGATTGTGAACTTGTTTCATAGCTGCTGCGTGTTTCATAGTTGTTGAGACATGGGAGGCACCCAAGAGAGGGGGGGAAGTGGGACGATTTAATAATCTTGTTTCGCTACACCACACCCGAAAGGGAACATCCGCTGTGCGTTGGTATTTGTCATCTCTACACCGACTCTTTGTTCCAAGGCGACGATCTGTGGGCAACACGGCTCGGATGTCCCGGGCTTTGAACAACATTAGAATGTTCCAACGGATTCCCTTTATAAACCCCGTCAGGGTGAAGATCGACAGGCCCCTAAGGCCACAGCCATGGTGGCCACTCTTGTTATTTCGAGATATTTGGTATACATTTTGCTGCTATTCACCTATCACCGGTTTTTGGGGGGCTTTAGGGCATAGATCTTTAGACTATACATGGCTTTCACTAGCTTTCTTGTTACCTACTAGGATATGACTACTCCGTTACGAAGATATAATGAATTTAAATGATGCAACCCATCTTATATTTATTACAACTTCAGTCATACTACTAGACTTGCTTAGAAATCATCTTCGCTAACTAACCGATCTAGCTTTTCTGTGACTTCGCCCCACCATTAATCCCCCTGGTAATGTCGGAGCCTACTTGTTTCAAGGCATATATATACAGGTCAGCCCACGGACAAGAAGTAGAAAGAGAGCTAACAAGTGTTTTGTTTACGTTCTTTGTGTGCCCGGTATGGCTAACTTCCTGACGGCGACCTACTGCTTACTAGTAGTTGATCAAGCCTAGCTCTTTCACAATGACGAGGCTGCTTCCCCTTCACTAGGGTACTATGTATATATATTGGAATATGGTGGTGTTTAAAAGTGGGTCTGGAAAAACTTGTGATCACCTATTTAAGTATGACTCGAACAGGATTCCAAATACGACGATGCATCGTGATGGGCAGCCTTGTCGACGTGCAATAGATTCGCTAGATACTAGTATTTGAACTGCATTTTTATATCCATTTACACACAACTGCCATCTAGTATCCTGTACTTCTAGATATCCGTCATTTTGAGGGTTCTCTAGTTCTTTAGGGTTCACGTCCTGCTCGCATTGGAACTCAAAGCAGAATTAAGAACTAGGTAGTAGCCTATGTAACTTGAATTTCATGGTAATCTTCATACTACGAAATGGTGATCCGTTCGCGGTTTGCTCAGTCTATGTATGCAGTTCATCAAGTCTAGGCACCGTGAAGTTTCACTGCTGTATGGTAAATTTAATTGTATTTGTATTTCCTTGCGTTCTCCTCTCTGCAAGCTGAAGGTGTTCTCTACGGAAGCTGGAAGGGGTGTCTCTCCAGGTACTCCTCGAAAGTGGAGAGCTTGCCCCGGGCGACTGCCGCAGCCTCAGCAACTAACTCCTCCGTACCGGGACCGAAGTATCCATACTCATCATAGAAGCTAAAGGCCTCCGCAAAGACATCCTGGAAGATAGGCAAGCTTGCCTTAAAATCGTCGACGGAGACATGCTCGTAGACGATGGTCTTGCCAGAGCTCTTAGATAGGAGGGCGGCGATCTCTGTGATAGTGTATAGCTTTGTAGCGCAGTGGAGGCGCTTTCCCTCAAACTTGGTGGGATCAGCGAGGATAGCCCCCGCGAACTTGCCGGCGTCATCGACCGCGTCAAGTAGAGGAAACTTCGCCTGGGGCGATATATGGCGGGCCATCACATAGGTACCATCATCGGCCTTTGTGGGGGATAGGAAGGGTTGCGACTGGTAATTCTCCATAAATGACCCAAGAGATAGAAATGCGCATTTGATAGGAAGTGCACGAATATACTCCTCTGCGGCAGCCTTAGCATCAAAGGGGTCGACGGCGGTGTATTTGCCTTTGGAGATATCCCGAACGGAGGGAAGAGTGCTCCAGATAATATATTCGGCGCCTTGCTCCACAGCCACGTCGGCGATCCGTTTCGCGTTGCCGAGCTCGACTTCGAAGGCGTCGGGGCCGAGGGAGGGAGTGGTCATGGCGAAGACAGTGTGCACACCTGTCAAGGCCGTGGCCAGAGAGGTAGAGCTCGAGATATCGCCCTCCACAACCTCGACACTCTTTTTCTTCAACTCCTGGGCCTTCTCGGAGTTGACATCGCGGGTGATGGCGCGGAGCTTGTACTGCTGGGAGAGCTCTGGGTCATTCAGGACATGGTTGAGGACTGAGCTGCCCTGCTGACCGGTGGCACCGAAAATGGCGAGAACTTTAGACATGAAGAAGACGGAAGATTCAATGAGGGAATTTCAATTTGGAGCGTTAGGGAACAGTCGGCGTATGTACTTAAAGATCTTACCTCTCCGTGATGCATCGGACTAGGGGTTCAGTATGGCCGAGGCTTATCAATCACGCCAATTGGGGGATGGCCGAGGCTTATCAATCAAGCCAATTGGGGACTGAAACAAACTGTCGGAATCCAGGTGCTGGAGGACCTAATTGGGCTTAGATTGATGCCGTATTGCCTTGTTTTGTGGTTAGTCAGCTTGCCCCCATAAATTGCCAGAACAGGGGTTTCATAGGGGCACCCAGTTGAGCGGGACCCAAAATTTGCTCAGCAGGACTCAAAAAATTCTGACTAATTTTGGGTCCCGCCCAGCTTCCACAGCTGAGGGGAGTGTATATGTGACCTGAACACCTGCGGGTGGGTAAGGCCACACCTGATAAGCCCGATAAGTCCAGGCCACACCTAATTTCTTGGCACCTGTAATTTATTTCTGGCGAATACATTTAATAAATTACTGATGTATTATTCACTCGCACTGAACCATGGGTCAGGCGGGGTAGTTCTCCTTCATCTCATTCTAGTGTTTGCACCCACACCCAGTATGGCAGCCTTTTTAGAGGACGACCAAGATATCGGTGAATCCCTTGAGCAGGAGTTTCAGCAGGAGCTTCAGCGGCAGCTAATTAGTGAGGAGAGTGCAGTTCCTGCTACTGTTCAAGGGACCCCTGGACCTACAGATGCTCTAGATGAACCTCCGGTATGACGATAATATATTCTCAATATTTAAGTATACATTAATAATATATTGTGTCTTTAGGAATTCCTACGGACTATCTTACACGACAAGCGCTCGCCGATTCGAACACGCTTTATCGAATATACTTCAGCGCTACCTGAATGTCCCCGGACAGACCCGGATGGCTTCACATATGTGATCAATGTGCCTGATCGGTCATTGTTCGCAGTGGAGCAGTCAATTGAAGGAGTATATTAATATCCCATTAATATATTGATAATATGTTAATAATATATTAGGTGCAATACTCGTCAAAACAAGCCTATCGAAACAGACGTAACCAGCATGATTCTATCTTTGGAGAAAGGGTCGCTTTTCTACACAGCCTCTACAGATGTACAGGCATAAAAATGTGTGAATTTACAGATCCTGAGCTCAAGCAAATGGTGCATTCGCATGTTACTGAGGGTATTTGGCAGCGAATCAAAGAGCTTCGCCAACATATCGCATTCAGTGATACCCAAAACCCTCTACAACCAGCAACATATAGGTTGTACCAATCTACGATGCGCCAATTCAAGATCAATCGCACTTCATGTGGATCTTGGAAGGATACTTGTTCGCCGCGCGGTCGATGGGTTCAGAATGTAAGTAATATACTACTAATATATTCTTAAAATATTTCTAACCTGTTATTTATATATCAGAGTGTTATTGGTGGATCTGACTTTTATATCTATTGCTCTAATTCATATGAAAGTCCAAGGTCTCATTTTGCATCATGTGTGCGCCCTGACTCTGGTATCGACAGGGAATTGCTTAGGCGAATCCTTGATGGAGAGGTCCAGGGAGAAATTCAAACCTGTGGTTATATCGACACAAATCGTCATCGTGGAGACTATTGTGGTAAGGAATATATATTTAATACATTAAGAACATATTATTAATTACTATATTATAGAATTTGACCATACACGTGGGCTTGGTAAAATTAAAAGGCACAAATGCTCCGTTGAGTTCCATTGGTTTATTCCAATAGACCTCACGTCCAATCCATTTTGGGTTTTTACCTCAACCGGGATTCATATGCACCCTCCGCCACCTCCATCGAAGCCTCCACCCGCAATTATAGACGGATTAGTACGAATAATCCGCCTACAGAACAATCCTGCATTAACAACAGGTAAAGTTCTTTCTAATATGTTAGGAATATATTAAAGAAATATTAATAATGTTTTATCCTAGGACGTTTTCTCCTTAGCCCTGAGCTTCGGGGTCTATGCAAGCGATACAATAATAGCGAGTCGCTGCTCCATGTCCATGAAAGCTTTGCTAATTTAGACCGGATCAGCACACTCATTCGAAAGGAGAGACTCCTACGATTTCCTCATGGACAGGATATCAATGGTTTGATCTTTGAGATGGAAAAGGATCCTCCTTTAAAGGTATGAAGATAATAGGTCGTGATATAATGAGAATATATTATAATTAACCTTTTTGTAGGAAGCGTATCTATCAAGACCCTGACCTTATGGTTATTTGCTTCACATCTGACATGGCTGAGCTTTTCATCCAATCTGAATCGGTAGAGATTGACATGTCTTTTAAACGATTCAAAGAAAGGTCAATGCGAGAGGTTACATTTTCAAAATATATACCTGAGCAAGACCGAGGTAAATATTACCCTAATATATTAATAGTTCTTTATTAATACAATGTTCTTCTAGTTTTTACACTAGCACGTGTGATTGTCGTTTCCGAGACCCATTCAACCTATTATCTCCTATTTACTCGGCTTTTTGAGTGCATAGAGCGTGTGCTTAGTCGCCAGTTCTACTTTTATCCAATCCATCGTACAGGGCTACATGCTGTCGTTCTGGATATGGATACAAAGCAATACGGAGGTGAGAAATAGATCATATACTATTAATATATTACTAATACGTTATAGGTCTTAGAGACTTTCTCGCTGATAAGAGTACTCTTCAAGTATCGCCTGATGATCTTATCCAACACTTCGTTGTCTTCTGTAGAGCCCACTTCTACAGGGGTATTGATAGAGCACTTCGTGGGCAACAGGTCGCTCCTGGATGTAGGGAAAGGATGCGAGCAGTGATCGATATTCCGAATCGAGAGGAGTATATTCAAGCTTTAGACTGGATAATCGGTAAGTATACTCTAATCGGTTCTTAATAGGTTATTAATTTATTATTAGAGCATGAATCATCCGTTGTCATTCAGCAATGGGCTCGCCATAAAAAACTGCCTTACGTTGCGGCAGCTTTGAATAAAGCTTGGAGTCAGATACCTGATGTGATTTTCGAAGGACTTCGAAAGAACACAAATGCAGTGGAGCAATCGCACCATATGATCAATAGTACTGGTGTTCAGCTTTCACTACTACAAGGGGTTTTGAAGTAAGTTCTTATTAATTTCGTCGTAATATATTAATAGTATATTAATACAATATTTCTAGTTCTTTTGCCCATGATAAGACCCGCATGCAAGCTTATTCTATTCGTCAAGTAACCGGAATTCGACAAAGGTATCGGATGAATGGTATTCATGCAGCATTCGATCGTCACCTAGCAAAGGGTAAGTTGATACGAAGAATATATACAATACATTATTAATCATTTCTATAGAGCAAAAAAGGCGCCAGGAGAGGCTACTAGAAGAGGAACTCAATCAGCTTGAGAGCTCATCGAACATAGATGAGTTCTTCGCATCTGATGAGACAAGTGTACGGTATACGACCTCAGGTGTACCAATTCTCGACGTTCAGCTAGTGTACCAAGGAGATCTAGTACTAGATCCCCTACCGCTACTCCTCGCCGAACAAGAACACCTACACCAAGGTTAGTACTCTATGATGTTTTAAGAATATTTTATTAATATATTACAGAGCTCAAAGCCTACAACGGGTTGCCTCTGACAATTTACGACAAGAGCATGATAGTCTTGCTATCCAAAAGCTTGAACATCAGCTCCGAGAGGAGGACTTAAAGGCACAATTGCTCGAAAAGCAGCTTGCTAATCGTAAACGGCAGCAAGAATTAGATGAGATAGATAGACAGGTAAAGCGTAGGTAGGTTAAAATATGCCCACTTCTATTAACTCTAACAATTTTGGTCAAGGAATTAAGAATAATTGTAAATTTATGCTTCCTCCTCGAGACGCTCAAAGTCTGCGTCCACATCCCAAAAGCGAGTAAGATACTCGCAGGTGAATGGGGCAGTACCGCATTCTATTATGATATATTAGCAATGCATTAAGGATATATTAAGAATCGCTTACTGATATTAGCAGTGATACAGGCGTTGCAGTCATCGTGTATATGCTTAGTGGCGAGGAAATCCCTCACGGCTTTTACAGAAATCTATAATATATTAGCAATCTGTTCTCAATAAATCAGAGATAACTTACCTTCCGATTCTTGCCTTTACCCTTCGTGAAGGGAAGTCGCGGCTTCGTAGAGATACGGGCAACAAGAGCAGTGTACCAAGCTAAAATCATATATTAGTAGTATAACAAGAATAAATTAGGAATGTGTTAATACCCTTGACCTCGTCCATCTCCTTGATAGCGTGGCGGCCCTTACTAGCGTACTTACCAGAGACCGTCACGCCTTGATGACCGGTGAGGTGCGTCTTGAGGTTGCCAGTGTGAGAATACTGCTTCTGATAATACATTAGTAATAGATTCAGAATATTTTAAGATCATATAGCATACCTGGTGATCGCAATCCTCGAATCGACAGAAAAGCTCTCCAGGAAGGACAATAACGCTACCATCATCATCCTAGAAATGCATATTAGTCATATATTCAAGGTCACTATTAGGATTTTTTAGAAGCACAGATGGCGCATTCAATATATATTTCAATGCCCAGGACAATCAGAAACCCCACTCAGAGATGTTTCCACTCACCTTCTCATACGCGGGTAGTTCTAGCATACCGGCCTTCGCATCCGCCACGTATTGCTTGTATGGGGCGTGGGACTCCAGGAAACGCACCATCTTGACTCAGGGACCTGTACGGTGTAACTAGTTAGGATTCGACAATAATAGATTAATAATTTGTTCTTGATGAAAATAGGCGGGGAGTTGGGAGGGCTCACGATTGGTGGAGAGGAGGAGGGGTGTGGAGATTGAAAGGGTTGGTATTGCCAAGAAGTTGGTATTTGACCTGACCAATAATAATAGATTACTAATCTATGCTCTACACCTGGAAAATAGATCTTCCGGTCAGGTGTGGCCCGACCCACCTGTTACTGTCGGCCTGATCTGCTTCCTGAGCTGAGGGGGACCCAAAAACTTGTATTATATAATAGTTTTTAGCGCTGAAATAATCTCAGTCACTTTTATTTACCCCTTTTCAATACTCTGTGTGTGTTGTGTGTGTTCCACAACATGGCACATTCCTTCTTCCCACCACCCCTATTTGGGCCCCATGACCCTGAGATTGTTGCTGATGCACAAGCTACAGCTAGTGCAGCGTTAGAACTTGATCGTATTCTCTACGATTTTCCACCTGTAAGTGATACGTTGATCATATGTTAAGTATGTGCTAACTTCATGTTCAATAAAAGCGGGACAGGTCAAATTCCCAGACTTCCGTGTACCAGGATTGCCATGATGAATATCAATCATCTGATGGAGATTCTTGTCAAGATAGCGAGGAAAATACCACTTCTTTAGGTCCTACTTCTACAATAAGCCTCGATCAAGTAGATGTGTCTCGAGATGGGACGATAGTTAGTGGTAGTAGTAGGGATGCTGTTATCGCCTACGAAGTCCAAGACCACCTTATGCTTCCTGAGTATCCTGATACAGATGAGAACGGTGTTCTACATATTATCCACGTGTCGAAAAATCCGTTGCAAAATGTGGAAAGCAGTTCTCGTGAAATTAACGAGATATTCACGCAGCTCATGTCATCCGTATGTTCTACATATGCTTAACATATACCTAATATACGGCAATGAAGTTAACATTCTTAGGTTCAATTTTCAACCAAACATCTCAAATCTGCGAAGCAAATCTACACAAAACTTCTCCAAAAAGACCCCAAAGACAAAGAGTCAAGATCATGGCACCGATCTTATCAATGTACGGGGATTCAACATTGCCATCAAGTCCATCCCAGCCTTATCACCCCATCGCCAAGGTATAATCGGGTTAAGCCAAGTCTTTTCCTTGAGCTTCAGTTCCAGGCTGCGAAACCTGTGTATAGCTCTATTAGGCAAGAGATCGAGCAGCGAACCAGGGAGTAAGTTTCTCACTATATTCAAAATATACCTTGCTTATATTAAGGTAGACTCTACTTCGGTTTCCTCCACACATGGGATCTCGATGGGCCATGCCGCTACGTAACTGGTGATCGGACATGTAGAGGACAAAAACCACGAGTGTGGATTCGGAATGGAGTTAGTATATATACTCGTTATATACTAAACATATGCTAACCAAGATTAGACCACCTTCATCGGTTGCCCTAATCACTCACCTGAACAAACTTGGCATTATGCTCAGGCTGTGTCGAATAGTTCTGCAAGGGTTGACATTGGGTTCTTGAAACTTCTATGTGAGAAGGACGGAATGCGAGCAATAGGTTACAATACCAGAGATTGCCATTTCGTCCTCCATCGTGCAGCGAAGCGTCAGCATTGCGGTATGTTAAATTTATCGTTAACATATGTTAACTAAGCATATGCAAGACATACATTTATCAGACGCTAACCATACGGCAGACTCCGTTCATGCTGATGGTATAGGTAGAATCACTAAAACCGAGTGCCCTGTCAGGATTGATCTTTATATCCCTTGCTCATGGGATCGCTTTCCATTTTACATCGTTGTTTCCCGAGGGTCTCATTCGCATTTCCCACCGCTACCCACAAAGCTACCATATCAGATTGGACAGGAAATCGCAGCGGCAATTCATGCACAAGATATCCTAGGGTTAACCGCACGTACGTATTTCTTTGCAAAGCAAAGCCTATTATCATTAAGTTATTAACTCTAATTTAGGTAAATTGATGGTTTCACCTACATTTGCGAAAATCCTGCATCAACATGGTGACTCGGCGTTACGATATATCCACAAAAGCTTGCATATTGAGGATAAAGTGACTGCTTTAATTCATAAGCAGAGATTACTATACTATCCACAAGGTACAAGTTTCGCTGGTGTTTGGCGCGAATATCAGTTTGATCTCACAAAGAACAATGACGAACAATGGATCCGTGAAGTCTTTTTCTTTGACGAGCAGCGGGAGCATTATCTCATTATATGTTGTACATATGAACAAGCTAAGCTTTTTCAATGTGTACGACATCTTGAGATGGATCTAGCCTTCAAGATGGTTCAGGGAAAGACTAAAGTGTTTTCAATCTCCGGATGGAACGAACAGGCAAAAAGTGAAGTTTCCTCCTGCTGCTTAAAAAATAATTTTAATACGTTAAATATATGCTAACTATATACCAACTATAATAGGGTTAAATACCTATGTCTATGCTTTCATGAACCTTGAGACCCGTGCTGCATATCGAGTTCTTTTTGAGAAAATCTTTAAGACTCTTGGGGATGTTGGACGGAAACCTGTTCAATGGGCGTATCAGCTTGGCGGCGACGATTCGTGTGATGGTATTCGTACTGTTACTGTGGATATGTGTAAAAAACAAGCACCTGGTATGTGGTTGAGATACTAAACATATGTTATACCGATACTAATAATATCTTTAGGACTAGGAGATTATCTTGTTGGTCTAGATCCTCGCTGGACGTGGTCAGAGCATTTACAGCATGTGTTGATCCTATGCCAGACACATGTTAAGCGAGCGTTTCGGAAAAGATTTCCTGACCATGAAGCTACTGCGGCTATCGATTTGATTTGGAGTGCAAATTCAAAGGCAGAAGTTATCCAAATTATGGATGATGTTGCCGAAAAGTGGCCAGAGACCCAGAAGTGGTTTCAAAATAAGAAGGTTGATTGGATACTTGCTGGGCTGACTTCTGAGGCATCAAAAATTCCTATTGATTGGTGGACTAATGCGCCAAACCATACTGGAATTAGCGAAAGCAGCCATTTTCATGATAATGAGGCGGTTGGTCGAAAGCAAACCTTGTTAACTGCGATTCTTAGGTATTTTCTCTAGTTCATATTTTGATTATAAAGCTCACATATATTTAATAGGTGCAAGAGACATGTTCGAGAGATGGAGAAAAGAACAAACTTGCAGTACAAGAGGGTATATACCCAACTTGGCGGTCTCAGAATCCTATTCATCGGATTGCTAAGCAATATCGAAAGAAGGGTTTGTGTCTTTTTGTTACATGTGCTAAGTATATGCTAACAACATATTAGATAAACGTCACCGTTATTCTGCAAATCGTCGGATGCAGAGGCCACAGCAACCTTGGAACCCAAGTAATCCATATGATACACTTGACCCAGTGATGCAACCACCGGAGCTTCCGGATATCTCTGATTCTGTCTCGATGACCGCTTCAGAGATAACTAACATAAGTTCAGTATATGGTCAAACTATTCCTGCATCACGATCTAGTCTACCTCGATATAGAGGTAGTTCAGTTTATACTGAATCATCTGGATTAGCGCCGCAGGATAGTATATCTCAGCAGTTTCATCAAACTCAGGATTCACAGGATGAAGAGGCACAGCTACAACGGGAAATTGAAGCTCTTGAGCGAAAAGAAAGGATTCAGGCCCTCCGAAGAAGAAAGGAAGAATTAGTACGCAGAACGCGGGACGCAGTCTAGGAGTTAAGAGTTAATCTAGTCATTTTTCACCTTTAAGTCATACGTTTTGCATACATTCTAAGTTATCGTATTTAAGATAGAATCTAGATCAGAAAATAGTTTTGCACTATAGAGGCTCAAAGGCTTCGGAGGACTTCTCGCCATCTTCCGCACTGTCATCTCCGGTTCTAGTAACAGACTCGGGAGGAAGCTGACCAGAAGCAGTTCCACTAGGAGCGGCACTAGCAGCAGGTCCAAAACCAGGAAAAGGAATAGGTTTAGAAGGGACATTAGGTCCACGCTATATGATATTAGCATATGCTCTGCACATCTAAAATATATGCCAGGTGTAGACTTACACGACGGCTACGATAGCCAGAGGTAGGCGTTGCCGGGACCTGAAACCGATGGAAACGCGTGCTATAGATGGCGGCGAATCCAGCGTCGTTAGCTCTGTGGATATTGTTAATATATACTTAATGTGAAGTGCTTATCTGCCGGGCTCTGGCCCGTTACACATGACACATTGAGTGTCTACCCAAGGGAATATTAGCACTTACGCAATGCGCTCTAGGGCGTCACAGCAAAATCCAATCATCCCATTATCAGGGCCACGGCCAGGCTCATACATATAGCGGGCCCTGCCGGGGCCCCGGGTCCGCTTCGGCTGGCATTCTGCCAGCCAAGCTGGAGAATCCAGCGCTTAATAGCGTTCTGGCCCGCGGCGATCTCGGTGCGGGACTTAGCGCGGCGGTCGGTGTTGACGACTATTATAAGCATATATTTAGCATATACTCAGAAAATCATATCCGCAGATACTCACTAGCTCCAGAATGATCCTGGCGTATATGCCGACGCATGGCGGGTCCCCCAGAAAACACCAGGCCGCACATCTGATTCGGCGGGTTAACAATAATGTCGCAGCTATTTTCCCTCGAGTCAGTATACCCTCTACATATACTCAGCATATGGTATATTTACTCACACCTCAGTGTTCTCCTTGTTCAGAACCACGGCTGGGTTAGGGGGAGGAGTAGCCGTAATATCAGCAGCCTTGATCTCGTACTTGTTGGCGCCGCTAGCAATAGCTGCTGTATACGCAGTCGGCTTCCAACCAGGGTTGTTGTCGGGAATCGGGCCTGTACATGTTTAGCATATTGAAACCATATGTGTCGCGTTAACATACCATGCGCATAACCCACGATTGGGTCGGGGTTGACCGCGGCTAAGACTGTAGGATTGTCAAAGTCGGCCCGGGTTGGGCCCAGGCCTGGGAAAACACCAAGATTTGCCATAGTGATGTTTCTGATATGCTCGGTGAAGGCAAAAAAACAAGATCAGGCGTGTCAGAGGAAGAGAAATAAGTATTGCCTTAGGTAGACAATTGGAGTAGTTATGGAAGAGAGAAAGAGAGGCGGTAGTATTATGAAGATATATATCTCTTACTTCATTGTTTACACTTGCGTACTAACATTAGAACTTCTTTGATAACCCTCTGTGTCTATGCTTCATTTATCATTACAAAGGTCAGTTTGATCGATTGTAACAAAAGAATCGAGATCGAGAGTGGTAGACATGAGAATAAGAGATATTGTATAGAGTTAATAGAGGTATAGTACAGTTTAGAGGGGTAACCCCAGTTGAACCCTTAGGTAATCGCGTATAATTTCGACATAAAAGCATAAAATCACGGATAACTCCTGAGCAGGACCCAAAATATTTTGGGTCCCGTTCAAGTGCGGGAGTTAGAACGGGACTCAGAACGGAATTATAATAGCTCCGAGCCGGCTGGGTCCCGCTGAGCGAATTCTGGGTCCCGCTCAACTGGAACCCGATTCAAGCCCCTCGAATTTCAGAGTGCATTCTAAGTTTCTGAGCATAGGATCTGGGGACCTGCACGAGTAAGAGAATGCTCGTTCCGCCATGGTGTAGAAGATGCGAGCTGGCCTCTGTCGGTTGTTGGATGGCCTTTAAACCGAGAAGGGAACCTGCTCGGGCAGGTTCTACATTTGGAAAATGCTGCATGTCTGATTCGGTCCCTCCCAAATTAGAGAGCAGGTCTTTCCCACTCGTTGTCACTTCTCCAACTAGGCCGCGAATTCGGGTGGGGTGTTGAGGCTGAGGCAACACCTCAGAGCTGGGCAGTCTAAAAGTCGCGTTTTCATTCGGCTCCTTGTCGGAACTCCTCCTCCTGATTGGACAAAATTTTTCGTGATGGCTTCATCCTTCAAGCGTGATGAGGTTTATCGCCCAACATGAAATGCTACGTTTGTAGCCCAGATGCCCCTTATATTTCTGAAGATAAGTATATAAACAAGATGTATCTCAAGTTGGGGTGGTTTCTGCAATTCCTATTCCATATTCTGTTCATTCACCCATTTGCAACTCATTTCTTTTTTGATTGCCCGGAGTGGACTTTTACTCATGGATTGGTCGTGGTCCAGTGCCTTCATTAATCCTTCAGATCTGCTGGGGAGACATGGCTGGGAGATCGCTCAGCTTAATGATCCTCGCGCGCGGCCCTCCAGGGAGGCTCTTCCATTTTACCCGAGCACTGAGTTCCATGCTAGCCATATGGATGAAGCTCTTAATTCTTGGCCAAAACTTGACTCTGGTCTTGTGGAGTATGACGATACAGAATGCTTGACAGATGCCGGAACGGCGCATGCATCATTGAGCTTCATTGGCCCGGAACATCAACCTATCATCCTCCGTGATGCTGAACCTGGATTAGCTTTGACGAATTGGTCAAAGCTAGCCGCTGAGCCGGTGGAAACCCCGCCTAAAGCGAGGTATATGGGTGAAAGCTTAGAAAGAACATCTTGCAAACGAGGGCAAATCGCGTGAGTTTACTTCGTGCCATTCAAGACCGTCACACATTAATTGTCCAGATTACTGACAAGTCGTTCTTATGTATGATTTTACAGGGAAAACGCTTTATTATGTACTTGGAAAGGATGCAAAAATCCCGGCCCATTTTCGCGCAGGTCAGTGCTGGTGAGGCACTCGAGAGCACATATAGATCCTAGTGCTTTTAAATGTGACCACTGCACTAAACGATTCAATCGCAAAGATAACATGAGCCAGCATGTGCAAAGGATGCATCCAGATCAGGTCTGAAAGCGCTCATAGCTTCAGGGAAGAGTTTGCAATGTGTCGACCTCCGATATATTCAATCAGGTGACTATATCAACTTTTTCATGAAGTGAATCCAGGGTTGTCTTTTTACCTAGCTTTGAAGGCACTACTTATGTGTGGAGAGTAAACAAAGACTGAAATATCGAATATTCCTACTCTGAAAGCAAGGAGCGTAAAGCCCTTGTTATCACGCTAGACTGGAGCGAATATAGACATTCTCTTAAGCTAGAAGATAAGAAACATATTTCAAGAATGATCAATTACAGTCTTACATGCTAGGCGTACTTGAATTGGCCTGTTAAGTACCGGGTTTTTCATGGATAATTTACCGCAAACTAAATAAGTCAGAAACAGCACGCCAACTGACGTACAAAAGAATTCCAAAGACAGGTGTACGCAAATTATAAGACTATGTGGTGCTACTATGGAGGAGCCTATATGGGCTTTTAGGGTTTTCGACAAAAGTTTCTGAGGTATCCTACACTTTAAGAATTACTGGACATGTTTATTGTGAACGATTTACAAATCCTTAAATACAAAGATCTCTCATTGGTCTGTACAAACAAGTCTAGAATTTGAATTCAGTCAGCTTTACACGATAGCGAATGCAAAATTAACACGATGCCTCATTAAAGCAATACACGAGATCCCTGCCTAAGGATCCGATATTTTAACGGTTTCTACGGCTTTTCTATCACCTGGAACAAGGTAAATAGCGTTATCGTTAATCCTGAAACCACTTAGTCCTCGGATGTCGAGACACTAGACTGACTTGCAAATGTTAAGCCCAGGGTGACTCGGCTGGATTCAAGTTTCAGTTACCCGCCAAGGTATCGAACAAATTTGTCAAGGTAATTGAAAGGTTGCGGCCGGTCCACATCTCACGCCACCCCTCTCGTGCCTCTTCTTGATGATGCTACGTATGGTAGATGATAGGTTTGGGTTCTTTGGTCGTGATATTGCTGTTGAATCGACCCGCACGGCTTGATCGTGCTGCCAGAGAGCTTACATCTCTTCACGAACTAGGTAGTTAATGTAATTCACTATCGAGTGACGCATCCCACCAAAAATCGCGTTCCGACGCGTACCCACCATGCCACCAAAACAGGCTCAATCAAGCCAGGATTCGGCTAATCATGAGGGCAGAATCTTATTAGCCATTTAGGCACTTCAAAACGGACAATTACCTAGTCTTCGCGCTGCAGCCAAGATATACGGCGTATCTGAGGCTACAATCCGCTGCCGACGTGCGGACCAGTCTTCTCGCGCGAATACACGCTAATAGTCATAAATTGACTGAATTTGAAGAAGAACCGCTTGTGCAGTGGATACTATTTATGGATTCTTGTGGTGCGGCCCCTAGGCCCTCTACTGTGAGAGAAATGGCTAATATTCTACTTGCCGACCGTGGAAACAATGCCACCCCCCAAACCCAACTGTTGGGATCAATTGGCTAACTAAGCTTGCCAAACGCCGAGAAGAGCTTCGAACATGTTTTTCAAGACGACATGATTACTAACGCGCTGAAAATGAGAATCCAACAGTCTTACGTGAATGGTTTAAAACTGTTCAATCTGTCATCAATAAGAATGGTATCCAATCAGATGATATCTATAACTCTGATGAGACTGGTTTTGCGATGGGCCTTATTTCAGCACGAAAGATGGCTGCTCGAGCTGAGTATCACGGTCGTCGGGCAATTCTGCAACCTGGAAATCGTGAATAGGTGACTGTTATTGAGTCAATTAGTGCGGCTGGTTTTGCTCTCCTACCATGCATTATCTTTAAAGCCAAAAACCACAACACTAGTTGGCTTGATGGACTTCCAAAGAGTGGCGAATTGAAGTCTCACCTAATGGATGGACTTCGGATGAAATCAGTATCAGATGGCTCAAAAATCTATTCATCTCATTCACATCAGTTCGGATGAAAGGAAAATACCGCCTTCTGATTTTTGATGGCAATAGTAGCCATCTCACGCCTCAATTCGACCGAATTTGTGCTGTAATCTCAACCATCCCACTTTGCATGCCAGCATCTTAAGCGTGCCTATGGTTGTCTGATTATGTCGGTATCAGTGGAGAATCAGTATTGTAAGGGATGGTCAGATTGTATCATTGTAACTTAGCCAAGAGTCTTAGTCATGCTCGGTGGCATAACGTAACCCGTAAGCGAGTGGATCATGCAAGCGGCCGGATCAGCCCAGAAAACCATACTTAAGGCGATCTTTTATAACTTGATAACTCAACCATAATAAAGTATTACTTATTAAAATTGAGTATATAGTATTATTAAAATACATATAGAAAGCTATTAGATTTTGAAATAATTCAAATCGATTTTAGTAGAATTACCATAAATTACATTGTATTTTTGACTAAACGAAGCCAAACATATATATCTTCTATGAGACTATCTTGAAATATCTGGAAATTTGTTAAGATACTTATATTGCTACTATAAAGATAATATAAAAGTGTTGATTAAAAATAGATAAGAGGTGTTGAGGTATAGACTCCTAAAATATCGCCTTAAGTATGGTGTTCTGGGCTGATCCGGCCGCTTGCATGATCCACTCGCTTACGGGTTACGTTACAAATTCGTGTGTGAGAACGAACATAACCAATGCAGATGACAAGGTATCTATGATTCGTCCAGGTGATTGGGTCTAAAGTGGTACCGACAGATTACCAATCAGGCACGGCTAGTTAACTAACGTACCTCCCGCTTCCACCCTACCAAAAACGCGTCTCCCATACCTACGTATCTTCTTCTACCACACACCATGACACGTTAAAACGCCCAAAACGCGTCAAAAGTGCAGGAACGAGAGGAGATGCTTCTACACGCTATAGAATTATATAAAAATGGCTAATTTCAGTCTTTTCGCGCAGCAGCTACGCGATACGAATTGCCATGGACTACCCTGCGCGACCGCATCAACGGAACACTCTCTACTACACCTAAACGTCACCACCGGCTGAGATTATCTTCTACTGAGGAGGAATCGCTAAAAAATTGATATTCGACGCAGATATGCGAGGTCTAGCGCCTAGGCCCTGTGCTATTCGAGGTATGGCCAATATTATCCTAGCAGCTCGCGGCGGAGATCCCTCCCCTACGGTCGGCAAAAAATTGGCTATCAGAATTTATACATCGCCAGCCTGAACTTCGTACGCGGTGGTCTAGGCGTTATGACTACCAGCGCGCTCTAAACGATAACCCAGCAACCCTTCGGGAGTGGTTTAACACGCTTCAACTCGTCATTAACGATAATGGTATCCAGCCAGAGGATATATACACCTTCGATGAGACAGGCTTCGCGATGGGTCTAATATCATCGCATCAGGTTGTTACACACGCTATTTTTAGCAGTCGGCGACAAGTTCTACAGCCAGGAAACCGTGAATGGGTTACGGTGATTGAATCAATTAGTGCCGGTGACTCTTCTACCACCGTGTTTCATATTCAAAGGGAAGGTCTATATCGAGGGCTGGTTCGAAAGCCTACCAGATAAAGCCTGGCTTGTTGAAATCTCGCCTAATGGCTGGACTAGCGACGAAATAGGCCTACGATGGCTCCACAACCACTTTATTCCAGCGACTACTACGCGTACAGGGGGAAATATCGCCTTTTGATTCTTGACGGCCATAGCAGCCATCTTTCGGCTCGATTCGATCAAATTTGCAAAGATAACGCGGTTAACCCTCTCTGTATGCCACCGCATACGTCGCATCGCCTACAGACACTAGATGTTGATTGTTTTGCTAGCCTAAAACGATCGTACGGTCGCATGATTGAAGACCGCTCACGCCTAGGCTTTACACATATCGATAAGCTTGATTTCCTAGATGCATACCCACAAGCTCGTAAGGATGCATTTAAAGAAGAGACTATTCGAAATAGCTTCGCAGCCGCCGCAATCCTTCCAATCGACGCAGATCGGGTGCTTGCTAAGCTCAATATATTACTTCAGACGCCTACACCACCAGAAGAACTGCTAGGCAGTCTACTATCAAGCGGGTCTATCCAAACACCTCAAAATCTCAGAGTTAAAGCAGTCTCTATCATCAATCTACACGGCAGGTAGCACGCGAAAGTGGCCTAACAGGCGCTGAGGCCGCAGAGGCCCTATTACCTCCTACACAGGCTATAGAGCACGTTCAACACGCTCTAGCAGTAGTGGGTGAACAGGCTATACAACAACCTCAGCCTACCGGAAAGGCGCCGCCAAGGTGTAGTGGATGCAGAGAGGTTGGGCATAAGATTAATGTATGCAAAAATAGCTTCATTTAAATTGATTCATGGCGTTTTGGTGGTACAAATCGCTTGTCAGCCTTCAATTTCATGATGGAGCTGCACATAGTTCAATCCAGGTGAGAAAGTAAAGAAAAGATAGCTTTGCAAAGCACTACTTGTCGTAGTCTTTTAACTGCTCCCTGGCGTGATGTACTGCGGTCACTGAGGGACCCTGCAGGGGTGCGCCAATGATATGGTAGCCGCCCAAACATCCCCGATATCTCCACCCCTCCTGGATCGTCCTGGTTCTCTTTTTCCAATCAGAAGCATGATCAAAGCGCTGATATCGCGACTGAAAATAGCTATCCTTTTCGTCGTCAACTACAGTTTGGAATTCGAATACTTGCTGCAACATGTTAATTATTGTAGCCTATCATAATCTAGACAGTGGGGTATTTTGGGACTTCAGACTCGGCCTGTCGCGTAAAGGTTATGGGGCAGCAAACGACCAATAACAATGGGGTACTACCAACGGTTTTCCTCATCTGTGGCCGAATGGGGTGGGTAAGAAGTTCTATCAACATTAGGCCTTACAACCGCACCTACTTATAATCGTATAATTTATAAGCCACACTTATCAACAAAAATTCTAACCACAACAAATTACCAATGCGGAACGTATTTTGACCATGAGACAGTTTGATACGCACTCTCCGGCAAGGTCCTCAGTCCAATCAAGTCTTCCGTTAAGATAAATCCTCGACCCACACAATAAAGGGCACAGACAAAAGAAATTGGAATCAAAGCACGAAGGGGGATTTCCAAGTTGGGATCCTGCTCAGGATCAATATTCCTAAGCCTCGCGGCAAGACGGCTGATCCATCTGTTTTTTGACCCTCTTTTCCGCTTCAGTGTAGCTTGTGCCCTTGCTTTTGCTAGCTCCGGTTGAAACATTTTTTTGTGAAAGTATAGCGAAAGAAGACCTGCAACCAACGCAAAGGCCAAGGTATTCACACTAGTGATACGCCAAAGTAACTTCTCTGTCGTGGACGGAAAGGTGGAATTCCAGGCAATAAGAAACACAGAGCTGAAGAGAAGGATTGTTGGGGCACAGATTATCTCCGCCTGGGTATCCACGTTTGGAATGAAATGACTTGGAATGCGATCATATGGTCGTCGCTCCGGCCGAGTAAATAGCGGTATATGTATATAGTGTAGGATTTGAACGTAGTATTTCCAAAATCGAGCACAAAACCACTCATCCCGCGAGAGAAAGTCGAGTGGTGTTTCATACCACTTCGATCCGGAATTTTGACCAAGATTATTCCGAATAATAGCCACGGATTTCTTAGGTTTTAATATGATTGGTTTGTTAATATCCATAGGTTTGTGATACCAGCAGTAGGATGTCACGAGAAAGACCAGAATAAAGGAGAGGGTAGTGAGTTCGAGGGTGGTAAGAAAGAGTCCCTGGGCAAAACGAAATATGCAGTTTAAAGAGAACCATAGGACTTGCGCTATTGTCATTAACCTACCTAGGTAAGCATAGTGAATAAATAGAAAGGAAATTCCAATTAAGGTAGACCGTGACTTACCTAGCTAGTCCATCTGCTTTACTCTTGTCTTTAATTTCCTCTTCTTCCAATATGGGATATTCAACGTATCCCTCCTTGACTAGGATATAGAGCTGCTTGGCGTCCAAAGGAAATGAAGGTAAAAGATCTATTTCCGGGGGCTCTATCCAAAAGCCCCCATATCGGCAAAGAACGCATGCTTAATAGTCCAGTCTTTATATCCAGCCTCGTAGAAATTCTGCTCCGTCAGCTTCGACATCACACCGACGTCTGACTAACTTATAACCCACCTTAACAGAGCAGCGCGCAGATGACCATTGGCCCAGAGCTAGCATCAATAGGAATTCGGATCCGAGTATTGCAATACAAGCAAGATCGAATTTGTATCTCCATTTTCTGAATGCGCCATCGGATTGGGCAGGCAGATTTGGAGACACGGATGTCCAGCAACAGAGGACGATTGTGAGAACGCAAGTGGATAAAATGCCCCACGTCCCTCTCCCGTCGGGCTCAGGGACCCAGCCACGGGTGGTTGTGATAGTGTCGTTCATGATTGATAAACACCTGAATAAGATGTAGGATCAGGATTTAGAGGAAGCTTAATATAGTTAATTGAGTCTACCTAGCGGAAGCGCACATTCAAGCTAGTGGCTGATGGAAGGAGCCCGAAATAGTATTTTGGCACTACGGTTTGATTACGCGCCCCTAAGATTCACCGATATGCAGGAGCCTAGGAAATGGGCAGCTGATCGGCCTGAGTTCAGTACAGTAATTGTTAAATCTGCCTTGCGACCGCGACATCGCCCATGATGCACGGGCACTGCCTCCGCCCATGGCGCCTGTCAAGGCTCTGCGCGGGTCAGCAAGGTCCCCGTTTAACTAACAACTCGGGAAAGACAGAACTTAGCGACGGAGCCAGTTCAGCTCCTGAGTGCCCACTCAATTCTTGGGTGGCTATGTGCAGGTGCCAAGAGACCAAGAGTTTGCAGGCGCTAGCCCTGCCCAATCAACGATAAGTGATAAGTCTAGTTCCCATAAGAAGGGTTGGGCAGCGATCTGCCTGATCCGCCCCTGGTCTGGTCTGCTGCCCTAGGTGCGATATCCTTAACTGTAGTGGTCTCCGCAGTAGGCTCTTATTTGACCACACTGGGAATAGCAAGATGCTCTACCGATGTAACCGTGGCGTATAGATGGCCGTTCTCAGCCAGACAGCCACGCTGTCCCAGTGAGGATTGATTTCATTGGCTTATCATCTTGCTGTAGGAGCGGGTCTCTGCAGTAGCTGTCATTGGGCGACAATATAACAGTGCTGCGGACCATGACTGAAATCAGAGCTAGGGCCTAGCCGATCACTATAAAGAGCCACGAGAATCCTCTTTTGTAAAAAGAATATCGAGAATCTGTGCTCTCTCTGCTATCTTATTATTGAATTGAACAACACCGCCGCCTTAGACAGATATCTTTCTATACTCTCTACATAATGCGGCTTGCATATCATAGTTAAGTTTGCCCCCTTTTAGACAAACATTGTTCCAATCCCTAACAATTGCGCAGAGTCCTGCAATCTGATGTTGTTCATTTTTTCGTTGGTAAAAATCGAAAGCAGTTCTCAATTCACCAGGCATTGGAAAGCTCTTTTCCCAAGAAAGGCCCTTGAGCCAGCGATGTTCTTAAAAATATAGTATGTGATATTGTGGGCGGTGTAAGCGGGTGGGCGGCGTAAGTGGGAGGTACGTTATTGCTTTTTCTATGACAGATAGTAATTCGTATTCACGGAAGGTATGAATCTCCCCTCCAATCAGGGGGTTATCCCAAATTGCTTGAGTCTCCAACACTTCTTTTCGCTGCCTAGTCGGCACAGATATTCGTTTCCTTCGCATCCAGACCTCCTCTCTTCACTATAGTAAGTCCTTTCTGTACTCCGTATGCGGCTTGGGATGCAACAGAGGAAACGTAGGGTGGAGTTCTTCAGATCTTTTGGATCACCATCAGATTGAGTAGTAATGTTCGCTTCGTCGGAGCTGCTTACCCCTTCCCCTCCTCCAGGCTAAGCAAGCTAGAACAGGAATTTTACCCACCTAAGAATCGATAGTTCATTTGGGAGATGGAAGTCAGCGCTATGACCTCACTCGCTAGTACGGCAGAATGTAGATCTGTCTACGTTGTTTTACGTGCGACCCCATTCTGTCCAGATGACGAGTTGCATCAGGCCCCTTGCGTCATAGCAATAAAGGATCGATCTTTGATTGGCCGATTTGGACGATCTGACAGCAATATATCGGTCAAATTGAGAGGCCTCTTTGTCTTTTTATCTGTGCAAACGAAAACTCCACTACAGATATATCCTGACGATAGCATATATAACTGCCACACCGCATGACCACTTCCTCTCCACATTCTCCTATACACCTGCGAAAAAAAAAGCAGTTACTGCAATCTAGTTTACAGTGAAGAAGTGAAGATGCAACCAATTTATTTTCTCTCCGCCTTTCTTCTCGCAACCGTGATGGCTTTTCCGGTCGATGAGCGCCGGTCCAAGGCGTTGACCGAGCGTCAAGTAAGAAACCTGTCTTCTGGAGAATATGGAGCTAATTGATGACAATCAATAGGATGTAAGTGATGGCTTCCTTTTGCGAAGGACAATAACCGTGTAGCAAGGGCTAACTGATGGCGTTCGACAAGTCTGTAAGTGATGCTTCCGCTCTGAAGAACAATAACCATATGGCCAGTGCTAATAGATGGCGATCGGTAGGGTGTAAGTGATAGATCCCCTTTTTGAAGAACAATAACCGTGGCGCTAGGGCTGACAGATAGCGATCGATAGGGTGTAAGTGATGGTTTCTCGTTACGAAGGACAATAACCATGTGGCCAGGGCTAACGGACGACAATCGATAGGCTGTAAGTGATGGTTTCCCTTTGCGAAGGACAATAACTGTGTGGTTAGGGTTAACGGATGGCGTTCGACAAGACTGTAAGTGATGCTTCCGCTCTGAAGAACAATAACTATATGGCCAGTGCTAACAGATGGCGATCGGTAGGGTGTAAGTGATAGAACCTCTCTTTGAAGAACAATAACTATACGGCCAGGGTTAACGGAGAGCGATCAATAGGCTGTAAGTGATGGTTCCCCTCTTTGAAGAATAATAACCGTATGGCCAGGGCTAACGGATGGTGATCAATAGATGGTAAGTGATGGTTCCCGTCTTTAAAGAATAACAACCGTATGGCCAGAGCTAACAGATGGCGATCGATAGGCTGTAAGTGATGGCTCCCTCTTGAAAAATAATAACCCTGTGGCCAGGGCTAACGGATGGCTATTGATAGGGTGTAAGCGATAAATCCATTCTTTGAAGAACAATAACCGTGTGGCTAGGGCTTACAGATGACGATCGATAGGCTGTAAGTGATGGTTTCCCTTTGCGAAGGACAATAACTGTGTGGCCAGGGCTGACAGATAGCGATCGATAGGCTGTAAGTGATGGTTTCCCGTTACGAAGGACAATAACTGTGTGGCCAGGGCTGACGGATAGATATTCAAAGAAAGTAAGTGATGGTTCCGCTCTGAAGAAAATAGACCGTATGGCCAGTGCTAATAGATGACGATCGATAGGGCGTAAGTGATGGTTTCCCTCTTTGGAGAACAATAACCGTACGCCCAGGGTTAACGAATGGTGATCAATAGGTGGTAAGTGATGGTTCCCGTCTTTAAAGAATAATAACCGTATGGCCAGAGCTAACAGATGGCGATCGATAGGCTGTAAGTGATGGGTCCCTCTCTGAAGAACAATAACCATATAGTCAGGGTTAATGGATGGCTATCGTTAGGATGTAAGTGATAATTTTCCTCTCTTGAGAATAATAATTGTGTGTCCCGGGCTAACGGATGGCGATCGATAGGCTGTAAGTGATGGTCTCCTCTGAAAACTAACAACCATATTGCCTGGGCTAATTGAGCGATTGACAGTTTGTAAGTGATGATTCCCCTCTTTGAAGAACAGTAACCGTGCAGCCAGAGCTAACAGATAGCGAACAATAGCAAGTAAGTGATGGATCCCTCTCCAAATAACAATCACCGTGTGGCCAGGGCTAACGGATAGTGATCGATAGGCTGTAAGTGTTGGTTTCTTTCAGCGAACAACTATAACCGTGCGTGCAGGGCTAACGGATGGCGATCGATAGGCTGTAAGTGATGGTCTCCTCTGAAAAAAAAAAACAACCATATTGCCTGGGCTAATTGAGCGATTGACAGGCTGTAAGTGATGATTCCCCTCTTTGAAGAACAGTAACCGTACAGCCAGAGCTAACAGATAGCGAACAATAGCAAGTAAGTGATGGATCCCTCTCCAAATAACAATCACCGTGTGGCCAGGTCTAACGGATGGCGATTAATAGGCTGTAAGTGATGACTCCCCAATTTGAAGAATAGTAACCGTGCGGGCAGGGCTAACGGACGACGATCGATAGGTTGTAAGTGATGGTCCTCTTTGGAAAATAACAACCATATTCCCTGGGCTAATTGAGCGATTGACAGGCTGTAAGTGACGATCCTCTTCTTTGAAGAACAATAACCGTGCGACCAGAGCTAAAAGATAGCGCACAATAGCAAGTAAGTGATGGGTCCCCTTTCGAAGAACAATAACCGTGAGGCTTGGGCTGACAGATGGCGATCGATAGGGTGTAAGTGATGGTTTCCCGTTACGAAGGACAATAACCATGTGACCAGGGCTAACGGACGACAATCGATAGGCTGTAAGTGATGGTTTCCCTTTGCGAAGGACGATAACTGTGTGGCCAGGGTTTACTGATGGCGTTCGACAAGACTGTAAGTGATGCGTCCGCTCTGAAGAACAATAACCATATGGCCAGTGCTAACAGATGGCGATCGATAGGGTGTAAGTGGTGGTTTCCCTCTGCGAAGAAGGATAACTGTGTGGCTCGAGCTCATAATCCACTAGTAAATGTGAGCTATTTATGGCCGCTTCTTTCTGGGTCATTAATGGTGGATGGGTACGACTGTGTGGCTTGAAAGATCTTCTTAATTGCTGTCACCTTTGTACCAGCAGCAATTTTCTTCATTCAGCCTTGATGTGGGTTTTCTCCTATAGTTTTAGGTTTCCCCATATCCTTCTGCAAATGCAAAGGCCGTGTTATCGTTGGATCCTACGAAATACACTGTATTAGGGAGGTGAACTCCGAGATACGTACTGTGTAAGTAGAAATAACTCAAATGTTCATAATGTAGTGGGGGATTGCCATTCAACATTACAATTCCCAAAGAGGAAGTCCTGCCTTGGTGCCTGATGAATGTGGCATCTTTAACCAGACCGTGACCGTGAGGTTCGTCTCATTCGTAGCAGACTGAGATCTTACACACACACACATCGCCGACGAAATGAAGAATTGTTGACCTCCCTATTGATGATAAATTTCCCACCGGTATCTGCCATCTATCCATCGTAGCCATCGCCACCGCAGGCTTCCTTGTTCTGTTTGGTGGTTGGTTTCTCGTGCTTCCGTCGATAATCCAGGCCTACTGGCTGCCACCGCGCATTCCTCATTCTTCACTAGTTAACTAGTGAAGGGGTAACGCTCGATGGCAGCACGCGCTGAGACGTGCGGGTCGATCCAGAAGAAAAACCACCACAAAACACACGTAGCAATCAAGAAATAGCGAGAAACCCAAATGTTAGGGGCCAGGTCGGAGAGGTGTAAGAAGGTGTATTCTAGAACTAGCTATCCGGCCACCGTATACTCCCGGCTATGCCACATAGCCTGGATGGCACCCATGTAGTAGGGGGAGAGGGTCTCCCCACTACACTACGTAGCACCGAGAGTGTTAGAAGGACGTGTTAGCGCGGCGTACCCCACATTATCCTAACTTTGCATAGCCTAGATAGCTTCATCATATGGATCTTCAGTCCATCATCACCATCCCCTTCAGAGTTGATAGTAGAGTGAGGATGGTTGGTTAAATGCTGTTTCTACTAATCCGATTGCAGCATCTACTGTCCTCCACCCTTTCATATTATTCCTGAAAAAGAAGGCGATGAAGGAATTAAATTTGTTGATGATGAAGCTATCTACGATATGGAAAGTAAGGTGTGGGGGGGGGGGGGGGGGGAGAACACCGGAAAGTGAGTCATATGACTTAACAACTCCGTGGCTGGAGAGTACTTCGTTGCGCTCTACAACATTATGGAACGCCCAGCCTTAATATTAATAGTTATACGAGTAGAAGAGCCTCTTGGTGGCTAATATAAAGATGAATGACATGGTAAGATCAATCTTATGAAATCAACAACCTGAGGCGCCCAGAATATCAACAAATGCATATCTTCTCAAAACTATTCTGTTCTGGCTTGACTTTCAGGGAAATGGATAAACTCTTCCACGAGCTTCATAAGTCCCTCCGTATCAGATACGCCCAATCCGTCAAATCTGGTCTGTCCGACTTCTTTGTTGAGGGGAGTGTCTTCGTAGAGATGAGAATCCGCGAGGGGTTTTCCGACAGAGGTATGGCGGTGACTTTCCTGAGATTTTTCAAGCTCAGGCTTTGGATCTGGCTGCCACTTCCTTTTGCGGCCAACACAGTTAGAACCTCGTTCCTCGAGAGAGTGTGCATCGTGCAAATGCCGATTAAGATCCTGTATGCTCTTGTAGTTCTTTCCCTGGCAGCACGGGTGTGGACAACCGAGCTCTCTTGAACCTTCTAGACTATCCAAATGATTGTCGATGTGATTCGGAAGCGTCGAGTTGGTCATCCACTGCATGAATCTCTCATCTGGTCTCTTCTCTTTGTCCCCTAGGCAAAAGGGGCAGAACCCTGGCGCAACGAGTGTATACCGGAATGTCAAACTCCCGCATCGAGGGTGAAGATGATTGAGATGCTCTCGACAGTGCGCCATCCATTCTTCTTCCTCGCAAAATATTTTTGCGCAGAGATAACAAAATTCAACAAATTTGCGGGGGACACGCCGATGGGCTCGCATGTTATTTGTGTAGCGTCGTTGGTAATTTGCCCCACCAAGCGATCGTCTGTGACATTGTAATATATGCTTCGCTCTTCCCTGTTTCGGAATACTAGTTTTGTTAGCCTGAGGTAAGTATTTAAACCGGGAAGGGACAATAGATCATACTTCAACATAGAACGAGTGCAGGTTGGACATTGTTTCTCTTTCGGAAAAAGCCCTGGATAATATGCAACCCGCTCAGTAGAGATACAAAGGATAACCATATCTTCAAGGCATGCTCTGTCAATCTCTCTATCCATTGCTGTCTCTGTAAATAAGAGCTCTCTAACTCTGGTGCGCTCTGGAAGATACTTTTTGTAGATCTCAAACAATGACGTTCTGTCACGCTCTGTGAATTCATTTCCAGAGACATATTCCTCATAAGAGGAGTTCCACCACTCCTGAATAAACTCGCTCTTCCGAGCAGCTAGTAGCTTTGCCTTCCTTGTATAAAGCTGCGATCGCTCTTTTGCAAGGTGCTCATGTAGATGTGGCTTCCCAGAAATTTCAGATGTTAGGTGACGTATTCTCTGTATTAGAGATTGGACCTCTTCTGACTCTGTAAACTCTGTGATTGTGACCGCATCTAACCTCTGAGGCATATTGATATCTCTGTGATGGGCAAGACTCTGCTCCATGTCGCGAGATTCGTAGTCAGGTTCTATATCATAGAATGATGACTGGATGTCGACAGACTTGAGCACTGACTGGTACTTAAGGAATGTACTGTGGTTTTGATGGTCGAGAGCCTGACCACGAGCTGCTTCAGATGCCTTGGCTGTGATGTGTTAGCCTGACTTCTGCTTTCCGTTTTATGTATTGACACCTTACGGTCAATGCGATTGGCAACACCTCCACAGATTCCGTGCACACGTAGTATATCCGTGAATCACATTCGTTGCGTCAGGCTTGAGAAGCTGTGCTGCAGAGCAAGAATGTCAGCGCCCTGCTTCCTTAGGGGCCGTCATGATTGATCATCCGCAAGAAAGGCAATTCCTTTTTGTTCTCGTTCCACTCAAGGGTGAGTGACTCGCGCCACTTGGGGGGCATGATAGAGAGAACTTCTGCCATTGTTGTGAGGCCCTTAAATGCCCCATCTGCGACCCCATGGACTATCACCCAAAATACAAAGCTCATCCCAAGAGCAGGGTGCTCTATATTAGAATTCACGAGATTCTTCTTAAATGAATAGAGACCTAGAAACTCACAGATCTTTCTCGTCATGATAGCGCCATCCCTTAAGAAACTCAGGCGAAATTGTCACCCAACGTTTTAAACCCTCATCACGAGAACTCCGCATTATGTTGAAAGTCAGATGCTTCAAATACTTTCTTAGCCTTTTTTACCGCGCATGATAGTCTTAGGCATTGAACAAACCCTATAGTAGAGGCAGTCATTTGAGTTACGATAAGCACTCGACTCAACTATAGCACCTGCTCTGGCACCCGACGCACAAAACAATGCGAGTGCGCTCGCGCTCTGGATACGATCTCTTATGTTTGTAATTATGCCAATCGTCATTAAAAATACCTCGAATAAGATAGTCCATGTCCTTGGCTGTTACCATAAATCGCTCTCGTGGCTTTGTTGGAAGCTTCCATTTACTTGTCAACTCAGTCCTTATATACTTCCAGGCGTTAGCTAGAGCAAATTATCCTTATAGGGCACGCTGCAGAATATACACTTGACTTACATTCAGAACATCGTCCTTGACCTCCTTTGAGATAGAACAAGAAGTTTTTCGTTCCCATGGAGATGTGAATTTGATGAAGTTCTGGCATGTGGAGCTCTGCGTGGGGATTTTCTCTCTTGTCACAACATAGTACTCAACAAATGATTTTAGGACTTGTGGTGTTGGAATTGGCTGATCTTTGTGAAAGTTGGGATCGGACGCTTCACCCCGAGAAAGCCTCCATCTGCTCAAGCGATTAGTATGATTCGATCACTGTGCTGAAGTAATTCCTTCTTACAGAATCCAGTTTTTAGCATTCTTCTCATAGTTCTGGAGTGTAGCTGGGGCGAGCTCCTTATAGGATATTTACTCCAACAGTAGTGGATTCGAGTTGTCGCGACCGAATACTCTACTTGATATACAGTATTCCCCACACGCCATTGTTCTTTACAGGCATTTTTTCGGGAATATATACCTGGACCTTATGTTACAAGTTTACTTATTCAATGAATGGGAAATTTTTCGAATGTCCATACTGCTTTCTCCTCATCAAGGTGGGTAACAGCCATTCATGGACACTGCATGTTTCCCAAGACCTGATGCCGTATGTACGTGTTTTTGCCGACTGTCGAACGCCACATCGGCTTTTCGACAGCCGTCGCGAATGGAACACGCATCTGCAAAATGAACACTCAGACCTTAATGAGGCAGGTAGCTCGGTGTCATGTCCTCTTTGTGATCTGTCCGTTGGCCCAGGGAAACCTTTTGAACGACATCTTGGCCGCCATCTTCGAGAGCTCGGAGCTCGCGCTTTTTGCGCTCCCACGATCCAGCTCGACGAAGAAGGCGAGCCTTATCATTCGACAAAATCCGAAAAGCTGGAGGATCAAGAACAGCTCGTGATAGATGGATCTGATGGATCTGGAGACTCGGCTGATCCGCACCAAAGTCCGACATTCGAGCCATCGGATTCATACGACGTACACGAAGCAACGAACGCTGTATCATCTGTGGACCACATAATCGGGGTCCATATAACTGACTTCATTGAGCTAGAGCAAAGGTAAGCATATTCGCAGAAGAGAAGTATTTATGGGCTAACGCATTGGTAGCTACCTCGGGTTACTCCCTGGGCAGTCTCAAACGAGCTCTCAGCTGCTAGTTTTCTTGAGGAAACCGACAATTTTTTGTCTCAGACGAACAAAAAGTCTACCAAAAAGCATGCGAAGGAGCGGGATGTCGAATCTTTTCCAGACGAGCAGGGGGTACAACGAGAGCAAGAATGGGTCGATATATTGCGACCAGCAAACAACCGAATATCCAGACAGTCTACAACCCCATGAAGTGCTCTAAGAGGAGCAAGGGAAGGAGCAGCCTCGAGAGAATCCTCGACTGGTCAACGGCATCGTGGAGAAAAGATCGACATTACTGACAAGCCCGAGACTACGGCTCCACAGACTTCTGTGCCTGCGCCCCAATCTTCAGCACAAGCTCCGGTTCCCACTTCAGATGACACGGCAAGGGACCAAGCAATTGCACGACTGGATAAATTGATCGTGGATGCACAGGGGGTCTTAAATCCGCGGGAGGATACCTCACAGCTTGAAGCTGACATTACTCGAATCGAATGTGAGGCGCAAAGGCGCCGTGATAGGGGCCTCGTGGACGAGAATCATGACTATCACAATGCCTGGGGCGATTCGAGCGTTATTATGACGCTGAATAGATGTGTCCATTTCGAGAGAGCGGCGCTTTGGTATATCTGTACTAGACAGCAAGGGAGAGCAAAGATCAAAAGTTCGCATCGGCAGGAGTGCAGAAGGGGAAACCCACAGACCGTTGAGAAGCCCAATAACTGGAGTGAGAAGAGAAAAGGAGCGTCTCATGAGCCCAAGCCGCCATTTGGTGAGGCCCAGCAAAAATAGTATCGACGCCGACGACTTCATTCCAGAACTTGAAGAGGAGATCAGACTCTTGCGGCTCGAGCAACAAGGCGTTATTGAGCTCACGGAGCGGCATTTCCATCATGCCGATGGAGATCCAAACGAAAGGAGAAGCGGAAAAGCCGGCGCAGCGAGGTTTGTTTTTATTGATGCGCAACTTCATTTCTATTTCAGTTCAGAGAGCTAATTTCTTTTTTCTGCCAGAGCGCCGACCGAGAATAATGCGCACCATGATGACCACTCTTACCTAAGGCAAACCAAATACATTCACCCGGGGCAACCAAAAGCGATCAAAATTGAAGCTATTCCGACCGACAAGATTGTGAACCCACGTAGTATCATAACAAGCGCTGAGAAGCCATCACAGACGTCACTGCCATGCTTACTACTCGGCATCGCTATCACGTTGTATGACATATCTCGCATCCATGATTGGGTCGAGAGATAGCACTAAAACATGGTACCTCCGCGTTCCATTTTGTGGTTAGAAAAAGCAAAGTCGATCCCGATAACAGCGCCTCGACCTAGTTGTAAAGCGTCCGAAGAACCACCTTTGCGAGCAATAATTGTCGTTCCATGCATAAAGGAGTCTTCCTTTTTGCTTTCTCTTCACTAGTTCTCGCTTTCTCTTCACTAGTTCTCGCTTTCTCTTCACTAGTTCTCGCTGCAGGGCGAGTCAGCTGGAGGAGTTAAGCTTCCGTGCTCGGACACCGACTCAAGAATCCAAAACACCTTAAGGTGCGGCGCGTTCCGGTCTCGCCAAGAACCCTTCAGATAACATGACGTGACTGCGAATGACTGAAACAGGACTTTACTGTTCGACACCGCACGAGATATCAGATTCCTGTCGGTCGTGCCCCCTTGCATAACGCTGGCAAAAGGGGTTGTCTCGAGCATTTCGGACTTTGGACTCCTGCCCGCGTATGTGATGAGCCACAGTGGTGGAATCTGTATATACCGCTCGGAAGGAAGTCTAGGTTTCGCCAATGAAGCCCAACGAGGCTGGGCTGGGGCTGTCCAGTCCAGATGTCGAGATCTCAAGTCCGACCGTGGAAACGAAAACGGACGCAGGGGCCACCACGACCGAGACAGGTGCGAGCCTCTCAGGGATTGAAGCGATCATCAGTACTTGGGGCAGAAAGGGAAAATGGCTTGTCATCATCGGGTGAGTTTCGGGTTGCGAGATCTCGAAAGCCATCACTCACTAACCATGTGCGAAGCCTGGCGATGATCATGATAATCTAGTAAGTGTTCGAAACATCAGATATGCTGGACTTCTGCTAACTCGAGTCTCCAGTGAGCTGGACAACTCGACTGTATATGTCTACAACAACTACTCAACATCCTCATTCAATGCTCTGTCGAAGCTTGCAGCGCTAAGCACAGCCGGATCTGTGCTTTTTGCCGTCTTTAAACCGCCCATCGCAAAGCTCTCAAACGTTATGGGTCGCGGCCAAACATACATGATGACCATCAGCTTCTACGTGCTTTCTTATATCCTCATGGCATCCGCCAAGACGATTAATACCTATGCCGCAGGGTACATCTTCTATGTCATGGGACAGTCCGGAACCAACATCATGAACGACATCATCATCTCGGACATCAGCAATGCCCGGTGGCGTGGCTTCGCTATAGGGGTCTCTTTCACCCCGTACCTTGTAACGCCCTGGATCGCCGGCTTCATTGCAGACAGTGTTGTGAGCGGGATCGGCTGGCGCTGGGGTATTGGCATGTTTGCCATTCTCATGCCGTTCGGTGCGAGTTTCATCATCACCACACTTCTGTATTACCAGATACGGGCAAAGAAGATAGGTTTCGTGACACGACAGAGCATATCGGTCTATGAGTTCTGCTCCCAGATTGATCTGGGTGGCGTGGTTTTGTTCAGCGGCGGGTTTGCCATGATCCTGGTACCACTGACCTTAGCAGCCACGACAACCAGCAAATGGAAAACCCCATATCTCGACGCGCTCCTCGTCATCGGAACCATCATGCTAATAGCATTCCCATTCCACGAACGCATGGTCTCCCGCCACCCATTCATGCCGCCTTCGTACTTCAAGAACTCCACCATAAGTCTCTGTCTCTTCCTCATCGCGACGGACTCTCTGGGCTTCTCATGCACCCACACATACCTCTACACGTGGGTAACAGTGGCGCGCAATTTCTCAGCCCGAAACGCCACATTCTATAATGCCACAAATGGTGTCATGCAGTGCCTGATGGCAATCATAGCGGGAGTTTTCATGATGTGGACGCGCCGCTATAAGTGGCTGGTGATCGTCGGTGCCGTCATTCGCCTCATCGGTTATGGCGTCATGGTTCGTCTTCGAGGAGCATCCAATTCTCACTTTGAACTTTTCTTCGTGCAAGTCATACAGGGTATTGGATCGGGTATCATGCAGACCAACCTGCTGGTCCCAGCTCAGATATCTGTGCCTCACGCACAGATGCCACAAATCACCGCATTGGTCGTTTGTTTCTCATTCTTGGGCTCGAGTGTTGGTGCTTGTATTGCGGGTGGTATATACACGAACACCATCGGGGAAGCCTTGAAGCACCACCTCGGGGACGAAGCAACGCCGGCATTGATCAACAGCTTGTCGAACTCTATTCAAGGTGTTGCGCCTGACTGGGGGTCTCCAGAACGAATTGCGGTGAATTTGGCTGTGAGTTTTCTCAAATTCCACCTTGCCGATATTGAAAATAGCTAATAAAGCTCGAAGTTCTCCGATGTACTAAGATATATGACATATACGGCACTGGCATCCTCTGTACCTGCTGTCTTCCTGGCCTGGTTTATGCCAAATCATCAACTCCCGTGAGTTACCCGATTAGTACCTGTTCTCAAATAGTGACTAACCATGACAGCAGAGATCGCAACAATCTGGTAGAAGACTCCGCGACTAAAGAATAAGCTACCGTCAGTGAGCGCTGTGTACAGGAAACTTTGCTTTCCAAGGTTGGCCATCATAGTGCAAAGGGGATCGCCAAGGTGCTTGGAATCTTGAGTGAACATTTGTATTTGGTGTCCAATAATGATATCTATAAACCGAAATGAGGTACAATAATAAATCAAGCAAGAATTCTCAATGGCAAAGACCGCTTCACCCGATTCCACGCCGAATCCTCTTGGGGTTTCGGATTCGCGATGCGAAGCCACTCGCCATTAAACGCATTGATGAGCCAGCTCGAAAGGCCTGTTATGATTAGTTTCAGTTATACAGAGGAGAGTCTGGTATGACTTACGTTCATAGACGAGCGTGTGTCCATTGTGGAAGAAGATGCTGTGATCTGAATCCGGGAACACTTGCATGTCGTAGTTGTCGATGTTCGCCAAGTCCAGCTTGTCAATCAAGACAAGTGTGTTCTGGAAGTGGACGTTATCATCTGCAACACCATGCATTATCAAGAATCGTGTGTTCTGGCCCAGAGCCGCTGCGTCATTAATTGTCGCGTTGTCAAAGCCGGTAGGATTATGCTCGGGGGTGTGCATGTAGCGCTCGCTGTAAATGGAGTCTATGAGGCGTGCGCATTAGTATATTGATTTTGGGCCTGTGAGGTCAGGTTTTTTGAGGGGCTCACCATAATATCTCCAGTCTGTGACCGGCGCCACAGCCATGCCATATTGGAATGTTTGGCCGGCATCTTGCTCGAGGACTTTCAGAGTCATGAAACCACCATAGCTCCAGCCCCAGATAGCTAATCGACTTTCATCAACGTAGGGCTTGGCGGCCCAGATTTTGGCGGCCTCAATCTGATCATTCGCTTCGTAGTGGCCCAGATTGCCACGGACGATGCAGCGTGCCTCACGTCCAATGAATCCGGTTCCTCGACCATCGACAGTGACAACAATGTATCCAAGGCTGGAAGCGACATATGATTGGAAGTCGACAGTGAACTTGCGGTCAACTGTCTGAGAGCCAGGTCCACCATATAGGAAGAAGAGCACTGGGTACTTCTTGGACGGGGTAAAGTGTGGCGGTCGGCGCTCGAGCACTTGAAGGGTGTAGCCATCAATTGTCACGTTTGTATAGATCTCCGCGGGGAGTGCGTAATCTTCAACCATCTCGGTGAGGCGCGGATTCTCCTCGATGACAGCTTCGTATTCGACTTTGTCCCCTTGATTGTTAATGATTGCTTGCCATGGGACTGCTGGGCCCCGGGAACTGAGGAGGCCGTATCCAGAGCCCTCGGAGAATGAAATATCAAAGTAACCAGGCTTTGAGGTATCGGTCAGCGGTCGAAGGTCAGATCCGTCAAGCTTGACCTGGTATACATGGCGTTGAGTGGGCGATTCCTTCGTCGACACAAAGTAGACCAGGTTCCTCGTCAAGTCGACAGCGGAAGGTGCCTTGACTACTTCCCATGCACCCTTGGTAAGCATCACGGGTTCAGGGTTATCGATCGGTGAGAAGTAGGCGAGATGGTCATAGCCCTCGTGGATCACAGTATCGACATAGCCATCCTCTGGGCGGCCATTCTTGGGATCTGCCGGGATGAAGCGGGTGGACTGCGAAGGCTCAACCCAGCCTCCATCAAGAGCGGCAACATCGTCTGAACGGACAAGTTTGCCAGTTCGAGGCTTGGTATCAATCACGAAAATCTTGACAACATCGCTCTCGCGGTTGGTCTCCCGAATAAGGGCCTTGCCCCCGGATGCCCAGACAACCTCGATGATGATACGGTCATCATCAGCAAAGTCATCCGGCATGTCGATGGAGAACACCTCATTTTTCTCCACGTCGTAGAATTGCAGATCGACGACCGGGTTGGGAGCTCCGGCCTTGGGGTACTTGATTTGTCTGACCTCCGGGTAGTTCTCCAGACCCGGCGGCGGCACTTCGCCTGACGGACGCGAGAGGAAGTACTGAACTGGGTATTCGGGGACCTCGGACTCATTCGTCCGCAGGAAAGTAAGGAACTTCCCATCTTTGGACCACCAAGTGCCAACGTTGCCCGAGAACACTTCCTCCTCGTACACCCAATCGGGCACACCGTAGAAGAGATCGGCCCCGCCATTCTTCGTGATGGGAATGACTTCGGAGGATGACAGCTTGCGGAGGAACAGGTTGTTTTCCCGGACGAAGACAACGGCATCGGACTGCGGCGACCAAGTAGCCAGCTGTACTCGATCACTCAGGTCTTTGGGGTCCAGCGGCTCTGCCTTTTGCGTGGCAACATCGAAGATCCAGTACTTTCCATAATAAGAGTGTCTCCAGTTAGATTGGTAGTTGGACAGGACCAAGACCTTCTCCAAATTGGGGCTCGGCCATGTCTTGACAGGACTGACGAGTTCCCCATCAACCCAGAAATACGAGTTTTCCATCAATACTCTCGTCTCGAAGGTGCTGGCCTCGTTTTTCTGGCTGCGAATATCCTCCACTCGCAGGTATCCCGAGCCACTTTCTCCCTGCTTAACCAAGAGCCCGTCCTCGCCATTCGGCCCCGCAATCCACGAAATCGCATGCGATTGCGGCAACCATTGTCCCGCCAGCACCTGCTCCAGGGTCACCGGCCTTCCATAGCTCGAACCACCTGTAGCCGAGTGCGGATCATGGACGCTCACGGTAGAGGCCGAGGAAAGTGCCGCGGTCTCTGGCCGTTTCTGGGTCAGGAACAGCACAAACGCGAGCACCCAACCTCCCACGCAGAGTGAGCCCAACGCCCATAGAACCCGACGCATACGACTTGAAGACGTAGTCTTCTTTACGCCGGGTAGGAACGGCTCCTCAGTGCCCCGGTCTCCTCCATCTTCTATATCGCGGTATGGCTGTCCCTGATCTTCCGTCTCATCGCCCGCCGCGGCGAACATCTCTCCCTTGTAAGCGTCGAGGAACGTTGCGGAGGCCACGGACAAACCCGAGTCGGTCGTTGTTTGTGAAGCGAGGGAGCCCGACCGGTTGCGAGTCAAGGGCACGGCCTCGGGGACACCTTCGTCGTCGAGCTTCCCCATGGTCGCGGTGGTGGAAGCTCCGGGCGCAGCTGGGATACCCGATCGCCGTCTTATCGGGCGGAACGGTGGAGCCGGGGTTCGCGCTAGTTCAGCACTCGATCTCGCAATCATATATCACAGGCACTTCTCCTAGATCGAATGGTTTTTTTATGGCAAGGACTGCCTGCGGGACAGACAGTTGACACGTCGCTGCTGAAAACAGCAAGGCAGCCATCTCGTATCGAACGAGGCGGAGGCCCCCTTGGCAAATCGGACAAAGCATGGGGCCGATTATTGAGCCCTATTTTGGATCAAGTGGGTGGCGAGGATTGGATTGCCAGTGGAAGATGTGAGTCGAGCTTGTCCCGATGTGGTCCTCAATAAGAGTTGGACTGCTGGAGCATAAGCTACTCGTTTGAATGCTGTTGGACTACACTGGTTAGAAGTCGGCCCTTGAACGGACTCTATAATAGGTGCATCGTCTATAGCCATAATACACGTAGGAAGACTGATCGGAAGGGAGAAGATTGATCATCAGTATCAAGAAGTTAAGCCGGGAGCATTTCTGAGGTGGAAATTTGCCGGGTCGGTTCTTTGTTTGGCTTGCCGTCGGGGTTTGAATACCCCGGGACACTGGAACACCGACCGCAGCAACCGGCACGACTCCACGAGGCACTACACTCACAGTGCAGTACGTAAGGCCTGTGAGGAGACACCAGGCGATAATTGCCATTCCAGTGTCAATTGGGACATGGAATGGTTTGTCAACTTGATTCAACCAAAATTGATTCTACACCAAATTACATATTTTCGTAACAGATCAGACGGAAGTAGCTACATGTATTCTACAGTTGTAGGTTAGTGCCTGCTACCGTCGCAGAATAGAAGCAATCTTAATAAAAAAAAATCCACATTCAAGTGTGTTCAATTCCAGGAATCTATGTGAAAACGGATATTTTTTTGGCAGTAATTACTCGTCGCGAGTGCATCGCATTTCATCATACAGCTCTAGGCAGAGGTCCTTGAAGCCATCTACCGCGACAGAGCAATGTCGTCAATTCTCATGATCATCTTCACAGTCTCCGCAGCCAGCTCGATAGCGCTGGTGCTGACCAGCAGGGGCTGGAGAATGTTTTCCTCGGTGATATCATCCTTGACACCGCCGCTGCGGATGCTGACACCAGCGTTGTGCTGGCCCTGCGCATGACGGGAGCGCAGATCAGTGACAACCTTGATCGAGTTCAGACCGGCGTTCTCGGCCAGGGTAGTGGGGATAACCTCCATGGCATCGGCAAACGCCTTCCAGCAGATGGACTCGGTACCAGTGAGCTCACGGGCACGCATGGCAAGAGAGTGAGCAACCTCGACCTCAGGGGCACCACCACCAGCAATCATGGCACGCTTCTTGACGAGGCAGCGGATAACACAGAGGGCATCATGGAGGGAGCGCTCGGCCTCATCCAGGATCAGGCTATTGGCACCGCGGGCGACGATCGAGACGGTCTGGTTGATGGGCACTGCGGGGGCCTTGATGCCAGTAATCTTGACGTAGCGAGCACCAGAGGCTTGGACCTCCTCGACTAGGTCAGCGGTTCCGAGCTTGTCCTCGGTGAAGCTGTCAACGTTGGCAACGGGCTTACAGCCCAGACTCTTGCACAGGAACTCAACCTCGTCGCGCTCGATGTCCTTGATGGCGAGAATCTTGAGGCGGGAAAGGAAGTGCAGGGACAATTCGTTAACGGCGTCGCGGAGAATGGACTTCTGAATCAGAAGCACGTTACACTTGGTCTTCTGAATCTTCTTGACCATGTTCAGCAAGTACTGGCGCTCCTCCTTCAGAATCTTATCCATCTGGCGGTAGTCGTTCACGACAATTTGGTTCTCCATCTAATATGGGTTAGCGCGGCCATTCGGTAGAAGCGAAATATGAACAGTAGCACCTACGTCAGGCTTGGGAGGGCTGAGCTGGAACTGAATGAGACCTATCCGGGCCTTCTCAATTCTTGTTGGGCCACTGCTGCTCTTGATGACGGGCTGGTTCAACACCAGACCATCAACCATCTCACTGTCCTCAATAGTACCGCCAACCTTCTTGACGATACGGATGTTGCGCAGGTCGACGTTATCAGCGGTCATGGGGTCGACAACCTTCAGCACGGAGTCAACGGCCATAGGGCCGAGAAGACCAGAGTGCTGGGAGACAATCTTCGAGGAGAGGGAGGTGGAGGCGGCTTGGAGGAGGGTAGCACGGTCGGTCAGGTTAATAGGGCGGGACATGTTGTGGAGGATCTCGACAGCAGCATTGGCGGCGCGCTGGAAGGACTCGGAGATGACGGTGGGGTGAATGCCCTTGGACAGCAGGCGCTCGGCGGCGCCCAGAAGGCTACCGGCGATAACGACAACGGAGGTGGTACCATCACCCGCCTCTACATCCTGTGCAGCACTGAGGTTGACCAGCATCCGGGCGGCCGGGTGCATAACGCTCATATCCTTCAGCATGGTGTTGCCATCGTTGGTCTGCGGGGAGTTAGTCGGAGGGGTCAATCGGAGGTTAGGGGCGAATTGCGTACGATAATGGTGTTTCCCTTGGGAGTTTGGATCTGTGCCAGCGTCAGTATTATAACCAAAATCGAGGTGTGATCAAAAACCTACCATCTTGTCCATACCCCTGGGTCCCAAAGACTGTTTTTCCGCGTTAGCCCCTCATCTCCGTGTTTGTGAATAGCTTCAATCGACATACAGTTCGGATGGCATCGGCCACAGCTGGAAAATGGTTAGCGAAGAGTTATCATACGTTTCAGCATTGGCAACATACCTCGAGCAGCGAGAATGTTGGATGACCGCACGGCCATAGGCTTCTCCTTGTCCTGCACGATATTCAGCAATCGGACCACACAAACAGCTTTTTTAGGAATCGCACCTTGAAGGTGTTGTTGCCAGCGGCTCCCGGAGCCACTGTAGTCGCCATCTTGAATGTGAATATTCAAAAAGCAACCGATTTCGAAAGACAAAAGGGGAAGTTGAGTTGGCGGAGGTGGAGGACACACAGGAAATTCTGCGAGGTTCTGGGGCGGTGATGAAGCTTGGCACTGATTAGTGAGTTGAGCTCGGCCACCGCAGCTCTGCTACATCACCACCTCGCCGCGCGATTCCCAGCTACCCCCATCCCCCGTCAATTCCGGAGATCCCACGATCCTGCATCTCCCATTCATCTCGCCTTTTCTGCCACTCCCTTTTTTTAGTCTTTGAACCCAACCCAACTCCTCAGTCCTAGGCTGCCCACAGCTCACCATGCCTAGCGCCACGGGCCAGAACTGGGAGAAGTACCAGAAGAACTACGCCGACGATGAAGAGCCAGAGAAGAAGATCACACCCCTCACAGACGAGTAAGTTATTGCCATGCAACGACTCGAGATGTCCCCGAGCTCCGGTGGTAATGGTGACTGACGTCGTTCGCAGTGATATCGCAGTACTGAAGACCTACGGAGCCGCTCCCTACGCGAACGCCCTTAAGAAGCTCGAAAAGGATATCAAAGACAAGCAAAACAGCGTCAACGAAAAGATCGGCGTCAAGGTAATTAGCTGTCCAAGCTATCTCCAACCCCCATGGCCGATGCTTACGCGCGCTACAGGAATCCGACACGGGTCTTGCTCCTCCACACCTTTGGGATGTTGCCGCCGATCGGCAACGAATGGCCGAAGAGCAGCCTCTGCAGGTTGCTCGCTGCACAAAGATTATTCAGGATGAGAAGGATTCGGACAAGAGCAAATATGTCATCAACGTGAAGCAGATTGCCAAGTTTGTTGTCAATCTAGGGGAGCGCGTGAGTCCGACAGATATCGAGGAGGGCATGCGAGTCGGGTGAGTATCCCACCTAGAAAAATTACGGACTTCCGTATACTGATACCTGCGTCATAGTGTCGACCGGAATAAGTACCAGATCATGCTGCCACTCCCTCCCAAGATCGACCCCAGCGTGACGATGATGACTGTCGAAGATAAGCCCGATGTCACATACGGTGATGTGGGTGGTTGCAAGGAACAGATTGAGAAGCTACGAGAAGTCGTCGAGATGCCTTTGCTATCGCCAGAGCGATTTGTGAACCTCGGTATCGACCCGCCCAAGGGTGCTCTTCTCTACGGTCCTCCCGGTACCGGTAAGACTCTTTGCGCCCGTGCCGTCGCCAACCGAACCGACGCGACCTTCATCCGTGTCATTGGTAGCGAGCTGGTCCAGAAGTACGTTGGTGAGGGTGCTCGTATGGTTCGTGAGCTGTTCGAGATGGCCCGTACCAAGAAGGCCTGCATTATCTTCTTCGACGAAATCGATGCCGTTGGTGGTGCTCGATTCGACGATGGTGCCGGTGGTGACAACGAAGTCCAGCGTACTATGCTGGAGTTGATTACCCAGCTGGATGGTTTCGACGCTCGTGGTAACATCAAGGTCATGTTCGCTACCAACCGACCGTCCACACTGGACCCGGCCCTGATGCGTCCTGGTCGTATCGACCGAAAGATCGAATTCTCGCTCCCCGACGTCGAGGGACGAGCCAACATTCTGCGTATCCACGCCAAGAGCATGTCCGTGGAGCGGGACATCCGATGGGAGCTTATTTCTCGTCTGTGCCCCAACGCGACTGGTGCCGAACTGCGCAGTGTCGCTACAGAGGCCGGCATGTTCGCTATTCGGGCACGAAGAAAGGTGGCCACCGAGAAGGACTTCCTGGCATCGGTGGAGAAGGTCATCAAGGGCAACCTGAAGTTCAACTCGACCGCGACATACATGCAGTACAACTAAAGGTCTGAATGTTGGTTCTTGCATGGAGCGTTGCGGATAGGCTGTACGATCACCTCTATTTTTTATCATTTTGAGGCCTTATGCCTCGTCATTGTGGACGAATTTATAATCTACAATATGTTCATGAATCGCGTATTCCAGAGCTGTTTGGCAGAATAGTTCCTCCCGTCATCTCTTCACGAGTCTCCGGACAAGTCGGGGGGTCTTTAATGCTCTCCTAGGATTTAATATTACCAGACACGGGACTAAGCTAGTACGTAATTCCACGTTGACCACAGGAAATCGCATGGTCTGTCACGATTTTCCTGGTCGGAGCCACCAATCGCGTTCAACAGGCTTGGTGCTTCGAGTCGAACCAAAGAGAAGGAAAATTGAGGAGTAGGAAACTGGACAGGACCTAATTGGGAAATCGGAAGGGATGGCAGTGCATGCACACACACTTCCCTCACACCTGTCCCGCAGGATGTGCGAGCGAGCTATGGCACTGGCATGCATGGTCTTAAGTTCAGACTTGGCTCAACGAGCCAATGGACTGCTGTGCGAAAGCCCCAATGTTAATATTCAAGCGCCCGTCCAATGGGGGAAATGCGGGAGGAGCCTCCTGCTTCTCACGCCAGCCTCAGATACACTGGCAATCATACTGATGGCTACCAAATGCGGGGAGCTTTTCTGAAGTTAAAAAGGGGTATCTCGCAGCTGTTTCTTATCAAAAGCTTTAGTTTTACTCTACATCATCAATCTATTCCCAACGGAACTTGTCATCTTCAGCAAAAGCCACATAGTGTCTCAACCACCGCGGAGCATTGGCTATGGTTCAGATTGGTTTGATCTATGGTCTGCCAGTCTCGATCAAGTTCCAGATGAACCCGTCGAGAGAGAGAGCCACATCAACATACTGTACCTGAAAGGGTAAAGTTGGGTGCTGATACAGCACCACTTGGACAATGCCTTCCTCCCTCATCCTCCACATCGAGCTTGACCATCACGTCGCCATCTCAACCCACGTATGAGTTTGAGAACCTGCTCCAAAATTTCAATGCTGCTGACTTCTCCTTCCTTGATGAGATTGACACTTCGTGTTAGCGATGTACAAACAATCGCACGTCTTCATATCCAAGGACCACATATAAGGGCTCGACCCTCGGCCATTCTATTGGGCCTCTTTCCTCTGGCGCCTTCTCAGATTCCTACCGATGTCCTCCCAAAAGAACCATCAAACCTTTGTCAGTGATTTAAAGAAAGCACCATTGAGAAGTCGAGTGTCTCTATAATGCACTATGGTGTCTCATTTCTAACGAAATAATTGCTGTACTTCGAAGTATTCCTCTGGCTCCACTGAGATGCCACTGGAAAAAACTGACCATACACAGGTAGCTTTTCCCGCGAAGTGTGCCTCGTCTGACATATCAAGTCTACTCATATCGCTCCAAATCGATACAAATGCCCGAGCCCATTTGCGAGAAGCTATGTGGTCGTAAGGACAAGATCCGCCTTCATAAGCAGATATGTTTCATCCTCATTTACTCCAAAGAGTCGAGTGAAGAAACAGCAGCTGCTCTCGAAGCCATATTTGACGAAATAAACTGTCCTTTGCTGGTCGATGATCAAAGGAAATAGTCAATATTATGTGATTAAGCTTGTACTCTTTTTCGATTGTTGTTTGCTTATTTTTGTATAATATTTCAGTTATCATCCCACGATATGATGTGCTTCTGTTGCCATTAAGCTTTTACATTTTTCCATAATCAGATTAAAATTTTGGAACGTCTCAAATAGTTTGATTTAAACTTTATTAATGTAATCGAACTTTTTCAGGTTCGACGGTTGCTTTATCAAACTTGAAACTACATTTTAACTTAAACCAGTCTATACATTGTCGCATGGAGTTAAGGTCCGTGCCAAGGCTGTTTAATCATGATCCGAGGCACTGGGCTTTCGGTGGCCGGAGCCTCAGGCCAACAATAGGATCCATCGCATTTCCCAATGTGTGAGAGCTCTTTGCAAACTGGGAGCTGTGGACACCACCTAAACCCGTATATATGACACTGTGATAGGGTTTTAAGTACTCCTAGAAGTTAGCTCACGAAAATTTTGGGAATATGACTTGAATATCTCAGCTTCCTGTCGCATATTGACCGGCTATGGCCGTGCCCGACCTCTTCCGACAGCCGGCAAAACGAAAAACGCATCACGTGCAGGGGCAGGACTGGGCGGCACCCTGACCATTCCGCGCACGATGATTGGCCTCGGTCCGACTGCTCGGCAGCTGGGGGGCATCAACCGGGTTAGTCAGCGCGAAACTGCCAACCGTGAACCCGAACAGTATTCAGGAAGGAGTTCCCCCATTCCAACCTCTCCGCTCTCCAGCTGATTCCCACCGTCCTCCGGTGTCTCTTCCTCGTTAGGGTAATTGGAGATCGCTTCTCTTCTGACCCGCCATCATGAGCTCCCTGAGCCTGCGGAGCCTCGCTCCCGCCTCCAAGGTGTGTCTATCCGGCCCATCATTTTCGGCCCGAGTGCGCGACAGTCCACTAACTCTGTCTTGCTGCAGGTTTCCCGTATTTTGAGGGATCAGAGACGTCTTTTCTCCTCCTCGCGCCCCGCTGGTATGCATTGCTATCCGTCCGACGACTTCCGTCGCGTCGTTCGTCACCACTGACATCTTTTTTCCTCACCCATTAGCCCGGATATTTGGCAACGGACCTCTTCGCGCCAAGGAGAACACCAGCTATCTCGCTGAGAAGTACCCGATCATTGTAAGCCGACATCGCCGCCGCATTTCGAATACGTTGCAATTGAAGAGAAATCTGACCGCGAACAGGATCACGAGTACGATGCCGTGGTTGTCGGTGCTGGCGGCGCCGGTCTGCGAGCCGCCTTCGGTCTGGCCGAGGCTGGCTTCAACACTGCTTGTGTTTCTAAGCTTTTCCCTACTCGATCTCACACCGTCGCTGCCCAGGGTGGTATCAATGCTGCTCTCGGAAAGTACGTCAATTCCCAACACCCGCAACTAACGATGCGCCGAGCCAGAATTAACTGGGTCTTTACAGCATGCACGAGGACGACTGGAGATGGCACATGTACGATACCGTCAAGGGTTCGGATTGGCTCGGTGACCAAGATGCGATTCACTACATGACTCGCGAGGCTCCCGCCTCCGTTCGCGAGCTCGAGGGCTATGGTTGCCCCTTCTCCCGTACTGAGGATGGCCGCATTTACCAGCGTGCCTTCGGTGGTCAGTCCAAGGAATTCGGCAAGGGTGGCCAGGCCTACCGTTGCTGCGCTGCTGCTGACCGTACCGGTCACGCCCTGCTGCACACTCTCTACGGACAGTCTCTTCGCCACAACACCAATTACTTCATCGAGTACTTCGCTCTCGATCTTCTGATGGAGGACGGTGAATGCCGTGGTATTATTGCCTACAACCAGGAGGATGGTACCCTGCACCGCTTCAAGGCTCACCACACCGTCCTGGCCACCGGTGGTTACGGACGTGCCTACTTCTCCTGCACCTCCGCCCACACTTGCACTGGTGACGGTATGGCCATGGCTGCCCGTGCCGGTCTGCCCAACCAGGATCTGGAGTTCGTCCAGTTCCACCCTACCGGTATCTACGGCGCCGGTTGCCTGATTACCGAGGGTTCCCGTGGTGAGGGTGGTTACCTGCTCAACTCCGAGGGTGAGCGTTTCATGGAGCGTTACGCCCCTACTGCCAAGGATCTGGCCTCCCGTGACGTTGTGTCTCGTTCCATGACCCTTGAGATCCGCGAGGGCCGCGGTGTCGGTCCCGAGAAGGACCACATCTACCTGCAGCTGAGCCACTTGCCCGCTGAGCTGCTCCACGAGCGTCTGCCCGGTATCTCCGAGACCGCTTCCATTTTCGCCGGTGTCGATGTCACCAAGCAGCCCATCCCCGTCCTGCCCACCGTCCACTACAACATGGGTGGTATCCCCACTAAGTACACTGGTGAGGTCCTGACCGTTGATGAGCAGGGCAAGGATAAGGTTGTCCCTGGTCTGTTCGCCTGCGGTGAGGCCGCCTCCGTCTCCGTCCACGGTGCTAACCGTCTGGGTGCCAACTCCCTGCTCGATCTGATCGTCTTCGGCCGTGCCGTTTCCCATCGTGTCCGCGAGATCTCTACCCCCAACAAGCCCCACAAGGAGCTGTCCTCCGACGCTGGTGCCCAGTCCATCAAGGACCTCGACTTCGTCCGCAACGCCGATGGTCCCAAGTCCACCAACGACATCCGTCTCGCCATGCAGAAGGCTATGCAGTCTGATGTCTCCGTCTTCCGTACCCAGGAGAGCTTGGACGAGGGTGTCAAGCGTGTCAACGAGATCGACACATGGTACGACCAGGTCGGCACCAAGGACCGTTCCATGATCTGGAACTCGGACCTTGTTGAGACTCTTGAGCTCCGTAACCTGCTGACTTGCGCGTATGTCTTCCTTTCTCATGCTTCTTGACATTATATCAAAAACTAACTCTCTGACAGTTCCCAAACCGCCCTGGCCGCCTCCAACCGTAAGGAGTCTCGTGGTGCTCACGCCCGTGAGGACTTCCCCGACCGTGATGACGAGAACTGGATGAAGCACACCCTCACCTGGCAGAAGAAGCCCCACGGTGAGGTCGAGCTCGGCTACCGTGCTGTCGAGGCTGGTACTCTGGACGAGAGCGAGTGCAAGCCTGTTCCCCCATTCAAGCGTACCTATTAAGCTCGCTTATTTCTGGGAGAGGAATGTAAACGATTTGAGGTTGCTTGCTGGAGAAATACCACGGATTTGTTTCCGATACCAACTGAGCAATACACCACCTCTGGCCTTGGCCTAATATCGGGGTGAAAGCAGCTCGTGGCGTCGATTGGAGTCCACCACGAAAAGAGCATGTTTTCTATTTGACTTGTGTTACTTACCATACTGTATAGCCATATTTTTTTTCTTTTATCTGACAGGCGAAGAGTTGGTGTACTGAGAGTTTTTTTTCTCAGTTGTCTCATATCACTGGATTTTCCTTTTTGTTAAAATGGTTCTTTCGTAGATGTCACAGGTATTTGTTTGTAGACCTCGCCGAGGTTCTCTTTGTTGTCTATGCCGGGCGACATCCCAGTATCCCTTGGCAACAAAGACATGGCCCCTGTTGTCTTCTCAACTCGCAAATACTGGCAGTATCGACAGCAACGCTAAGGTCTAACCAGCGGCGTTGTTGTATTAGGTGCGGCAATAGCACCTCGGTCCTGTCGAGTCAGCATCGGAAAATAAGACTGTACTCGAACACGAATTCTTCTGTTGCAGCTAGTGATGCTGCTGGAAACCTTCTTTCCTCGCTGTGGGACAAAGAACTGTTTTCTTTGTTCAAACAGTCAAAGACCTACTCGGTTTTAGTGCATTGTGATATCTCTCACACGATGGCCGAGTTCAATGTCTCTGGATCTCGAGTTTCCCTTCCTCTTATGCCATTTTCAGTGATCATCTAGCGCTCCACTTTGTGTTCATGATCGGGTTATCTTGGCATTCGTGGAAGATCGTTTCTTTTCGCAAAAGTCCTCTTCGCCATGGAGCTGGCTCCTCAGGCAGATACCAGCTGTTCATCTGGAAAGCAGTGGTATGTCTGTTCTGCAGGCGCCTATTCGGGATGCTGCTCTATCGACCCTTGCGCTGATGGGATCTGTTCCGATGATAATAAATCGACTAAGTCTAAGTCGACATCTAGCACTACTCTCACAATCACGCCTAGAAAAACCACATCCGCTACTAAATCTGCCTCGGAGATAGCTTCAACGACCTCATCTGCAACCACAAGCACAGAAATCCCGACAAGTACATTGTCGGCAACGTCCACAATTATTGCTACATCCACCGCAGTCAGCACCCCATCTAAAATCTCCAGACATACGGGTATAATAGGCGGCGTCGTGGGCGGGGCGGCAGCTGCAGTCATTCTCGCCTTGCTACTTTGCCTCTGTTTGCGGCGCAAGAGACGAGGGAAAGAAATCAATTTCCACCTACACCGTTCTGTATCCACGGCGTCACTGAAATATCGAGAACCCACGACTGCAACAAAGCAACTCCCTTCAGCAGCAGACGAGAGCCAACCTCTCACCGGTAAGCATCGAGTCCAAATCCCTTCTCAAATCACAAAACCCGATTAACAAAGACACAGGCACTTCTCGAAGCCTTCAAAACTTGCTCTCATCGACAACCGGCTCAAACGCAACCACGGCAATCTCCAGCCTAGACAAAATCCCCGCAAACGAGCAGAGTCTCGGCTCAACCGTATCTTCTATGACATTTTCCTCGAGATATCTAACAAACTCCGCAACATCAACAAAGTCAGGACCACCAATTACACCCCCTATAAGAATACTCGTCGACCGACCAACGATATGCTCTGCGCCCACCCTCACTCCACGAGCAGCGGGCTACGTCCCAGAGCTCTCAGATACAGGATTCCGCCGTCAAAGAGTTGAACTAGCAACGCACTCGCAGTCGGAAATGATCAATCAACAACACACAAGACGACAGCAGAGAGCCTCGCACCATAGATACCACACTTCCGGCTCGTATCCCTTTGGTTCATCAGCTTCGGTATTCCCAGACAGCCCGAATAGGTTCCGATACGGCGATTCTGGCAACGATCTGATAGCGAGACAAACGGCACAAAAAGTCGTCACGGAGGATGGGATTGTGCTAGGCGCGAACCTGGACCTGATTTCGAGCGTTGATGAGCTCCGGTCGAAGGGGAAGGGGGCTGGAGAGGGATATCAGGGAGATCACGTTATGAGCTTTATGGATTTCAGTAGGGATATTGAGTTGTCTGAGCGTATTTCCGGCTCTACTGTGGGGTATAGGATGCCTGCTTCTGAGAGTCCACGTGCGGGAATTCCTATATCGCGGTCTACATCTACTTAGGATGTTTTGGCGGAAGAGATGAACCGCTTTTCACTGTTAGTGATATTTTGCCGACTTATGAGTCTGGTAGGTTCTTTCAGAGCAACGAGGGTGATCCGGGGTTGAAGAAGGTGTATATGAAGCCGGTCTAGTTGGTCTGCGCCAGGTGGTGTGTGTCATTCTCTCGCATTGGTGAGGTTGAAAACGTGATGGGGATCCGATCTGGTTATTTCCTTTGTCTAGATACTCGAATTAATTGAGAGGTGAAGTGTTTTAAGAAGTCATCAGATCTTCGCTGATACCATTTTGTCTAACCGAAATATCCCGCGATGCTAATCTTTTTCATAATGTACTTATACTGTTAATTCCATCAATCCTTATTTTAAATCCCTTCGTGAGATATTTATAGCAGCTTCTTCAGGACAGCAGTCTGCTCCAAAACAGCCCGCTTGCTGGTACCGCCAACAGCATCCTTCAGCTCGACAGCACGCTCATAATCAAGGCACTCCTGGACATCATCTCCGAAACGGGCGTCAACAGTCTTGAGCTGCTCCATGGTGAGCTTGTCCATGGGAATGCCAGTGTTCTCGGCAAGGGCAACAACACGGCCAGAGACGTGGTGGCCCTCACGGAAGGGAACACCCTTGCGGACGAGGTAGTCGGCAAACTCGGTGGCCAGCATCTCGGGAGCCAGGGCGGCGGTCATCTTCTCGGGAATGGTGGTCAGAGTAGACAGAACACCGGTGGCGATCTGGATGCTGTCGCTGACAGTCTTGATGTGGTCGAGCAGGGGCTCAATGCTCTCCTGCAGATCCTTGTTGTAGGTGGTGGGCAGACCCTTGATGGTGCACATCAGGCCGGCCATTTGACCAAAAGCACGGCCGGACTTACCGCGGAGAAGCTCAAGGGAATCTAAAGAAGCTGAATCAGTAGAATTTTAGTGAATAAGAATGGGATTGTACTCACCGGCGTTCTTCTTCTGGGGCATCAGAGAGGAACCAGTAGAATAGGCATCAGACAGACGGACGAAGCCAAACTCCAGACTGCTGTAGATGATCAAGTCCTCGGCCCAGCGGGAAATCTTGAGCATGAAAGAGCTACCCCATTGCATGGTCTCCATAGCGAAGTCACGGTCACCGACAGTGTTCATGGAGTTGTACAGCAGATCGTCGAAGCCGAGCTCCTTGGCCATAGCATGACGGTCGATGTGGAAGGGGTTACCAGCCAGGGCACCACAGCCAAGGGGGCTGCGGTTCACGCGGGCAATGACCTCGCGCAGACGCTGGAGCTCACTGGCGAAGGCAGTGGCGTGCGACAGGATCCAGTGGGACCAGCGGACGGGCTGGGCTTTCTGGAGATGGGTGTAACCAGGCATGAGAATCTCGATTTCTTTCTCGGCACGGGCAACAGAGACCTTGATGAGATCGCACAGGTGGGAGTCGAGCTTGCGCAGTTCGTCGCGCAGCCACAGGCGCATGTCGGTAGCGACCTGCTCATTGCGCGAGCGGCCGGTGTGCAGCTTCCCGCCAATTTCCTTGCCAATGATCTCGCTGAGACGGCGCTCGTTGGCTGTGTGAATATCCTCATCATTCTCCTTGGCCTCGAAGGTGTTGGTGCTCCATTCCTGTGCGATCTGCTGGAAACCGCGCTCGATCTCGGCGAACTCTTGTGGGGTCAGGATGCCGTTGTTCATGTTGGCGCGGGCGAAGGCAATGGATCCAGCGATGTCCTGCTTCCAGAGGACACGGTCGTAGGGCAGAGACATGTTGTACTGCATCATGAGAGGGTCGATGCCCTCTGGAATTATTTTTTATGAGCCATGAGTCAAGGTGCGGATGGGGGGAGGAGGGGGAGAATTGGTGGGAGTTTGCGGGCGCCAACTTACCGGTAAAACGACCTCCCCACAGCATGTTCTCGGCGACGCCCTTGGGATTGCTCATTATGGCGGATGTATAGTCAATGGCTGGGAATTGGAAGAAGTGGGAGACGAAATGGCGGAGGGCGGAGGGCGGCGTGAATCATTGGCCTCGCCGATACTCGGGCCACTAGTCCGCGTTGGGCAAGATCGTCAGTGGGAACGCAGTCATCTATCCGAACTATTGAAAGAGAGGGATTAATATGAGATTTCACTGAGAAATAGTGTTAAAAATTGCTGAGATAAAGATCGAACAGTTGCGACACTCTATCAAGATAATTTAAAGGAACCATGTAGATAGCGATCATATTAAGGTGAGATAAATTCAGACGAAACTGGTCAAGTGCATTAAAAAAGGAAAAATCCAAAAAATATTCGCGCTAATGATATTTAATTATAGGAGATGATTCAAATGCGAGTATTCCTGATCGACTGGAACTGCATTCGTCCATCATTCACTTCGAGGTCGTGCACCGGCATCTTTGTGCGAATAGCTCACCAGACAGGCTCATCGGCGCTGCAAAGCCAGCAACATGACCGTTTTCCTCCTGACACTGTGGGCACAATGCATCTCCATAATCAGGCCTCTTCATGTCTGTCTCGATGGCTCAAATTCTATTTAGCTTCGATCTCTCAATCCCGCTCTCCATCATCGAGAAACAGCAGATCAACAGACTCAAGATTGAGATAAGATGTCTCAGGATAGAACACCAAACAATAGACGCAGCGACGATATTAAACACCGCGAAAATGACGTATGACTTGTACCCGATGTTCTGGAGGGCGGGTGGTGTGAATTCGACGAACTAGAAATCACATCAATCAATCAGTATTAGGAATCTCGACCGGGTCTTGAGTGAGTAGTTCTGGGTCAATTTTACCAAGAAATTCCCGAGGAAATCCGCCGCCGCCGCTAGCGCCGCGCCCTTGGATCGTATCTTTAGCGGAAGAATCTCCGCGGGATACACCCAGACCGTGGCCATCCAGCCTGGAATGTGATGTGATGTTAGCGTGTGTCCACATAACTAGCTGAGTATAAGATAAAAAGGAATGCAACCCACCCCACGTGAAACAGGCTTCGAATGCGAAGACGAAGAATCCCGCTGCGATACCGGAGGGTTTGTAATCGATAGCGACGGCGATGGCTTCGCAGACTAGCGATTGCCATTATGATGAAGAGACGTCTTCTGCCGACCGAGTCGACCATGTAACACTGTATTGGAAACGGGATATGTTAGATAAGGATTAGATAGGCAGGGGACAGGGTATAGGTCATACCGTCAGGAAAGAGGCGATGATATACCACACTTGAAGGAAGCAGCCGACGAATAAAGATTCCTCTTGGTCCATCCCCAGGCTATACTGAAAGAGTGTTGGGGCATAGTAGCTGACGATATTGATACCTGGGTAACATCGAGCTTCGTGGATTGAAGGTATTAGTCGCAGGTCTTACCGGAAAGCTGTTGCATGAATTGAATCCCAAGCGCAAGGAAAAACCGCTTATTAGCGGCGCATCCCCCATCCATGAACAAAGATTTCCAATTCCCCTCCCCCTCCGCCTCAATATTGATCGCTGACAGAATTCCGATCTCTCCTTTTGCACAACGACGTCGTCTTCGGACTTATTGCGCATCTTAGCGAGCACAGTCGTTCCTCTGTTAGGCGTGGGTTCGTGAAGCATCAGCCAGCGAGGCGTATCAGGTAAGAAAGGTTTAATGAATAGAAAGTAGAGAGCGAAAACAGCCTGGAAAAGAAGCGGGAATCGCCACTGTATTGCCCCCGCGTGGAAATAGAATGCGTAGTTGATCCAGTAAGCCAGCATTAGGCCGAATAACATCATTGTCCGTTGGCATGATAGATGCTCGCCTCGTTGGCTGGGCAGGCAGATTTCGCTTTGGTAAACTGGGGCTTCGGAGGTTAGGAAGCCGAATCCTGCAGCAAAAGTATCAGTTGGATTCCACCTGCTCATATTTCTGCGGACCATACCCATTCCCGTGATGATCCTGCCAACAATCATCATAACTAGCTCGGTGGTTGCCGCTTGCGACCCAGTCGCTCGACAGTGAATGCGGTAGTTATAGCCCCGAACACACCACCGACATCATATAATGCTGTTATCGTACCTGTCATCACGATGCTCGGATTGCCTACCTCGTCCAGCCAGTATTTCGAGATGACGACGCCCGACATGACGCCTTGATCGTAGCCGAAGAGTCTGTGAATGCATGTCAGCACAACAAACGACTGGCGTAGGCTTGCGCCGAAATGAAGAACATACAAAAAAGACGCAGAACAAACCGTCGTGATAGCCGCCACGAGCGGCGCACTCTTAAGGCCGCTCAGACCAGTCTTATCGAGCATATTGACCAGCAACAAGCCCGAATAGGATCGTATCTGGCAACCCCTCCGCTTCAATTTGACTATAGCGCTTAGCGCCCCGCGGCCCTTGCCGTGGAGGGTCCAGTCCCAAGGGAGCCTCATATCTCTCGGCCGACAATAATCAACGCCAATCCAGCAGAAAATTTTCTCTGACAAAAATGTCATATTGCATTACTCTAGTCTCCGAAGATATCCTCCGATTCTAAGGAGGCTTGTTATTGGCATTCACAAAGCTGGATTACTACACTCGGCTGCAAAAAAAGGGTGTACATGAGACGTTCGTAAACAGATGATAGCGTAAGACTGCGTTGGATTCCAGAAATTTACAGAGTCATGATATTATCTAAATAATACGAATGACAAGCAAAGTATATTGACTCAGCTAGCTCTAGTGGGAAAAGAAGGAAGGGGAAAGAAACCATCGCAAAGGGATGGTCACAGGAGCATGGTGTAGTGAAAACAGAGCAATCTAGAGCACCGCAACACCGGCCCCGTTCATCTCCTCCAGATTGCGTTGACGAGACGAGCGCGTCTTGCCACCGTTGCCCTGTCAAGGACCCGGTGATCTGCGCTCCAGCTCAGAGTGGCCTTTCGACGAGTTTCAATGCGCGGAACACCCTCGGCATCTTTCACGAGCGCCGGCACGTCTTCGATCTTGCCGATTGCAACGATCCCAGCCGTGGAGTGCACGATGGTGGGGCTGACGACATTGCCACCGATGCTTCCAAAATTGCTGACGGTGAAATTAGCACCCGTAAAATGATGAGGCTTCAAGGCACCCTCCTTGGCGAGAAGAGACAAGCGGTGAATTTCTTGTGCGATCGACACCAAGGATCGCTTTTGAACGTCTTTCACAACCGGAATGGTGAGGCCGTTGGGCGTGTCAATGGCAACTCCAAAATTGTGAGACCCCTTAAGGATCAAGCGAGGCATTTGATCGCCACCTGTTCGTTGCGAATGCATTCTTCTCTCGAAGACTAGGCTTTGGCCATACAAACCGCAGCTCTACCTGTCAGCACACGCCAATATGAGCGATTATTTGTTTTTGCTATCTTTTTTGGTCTCTGCGAACATGACGATCAGGTCGCAGGCGACGATTGGTTACCTAACGCGGTTAGGTCTTCGGCGGGTTAAGTTAGTATCCTTTATGCATATGTTGCCCGTCTCCATATTTCTGCTGCGTTTATCCTTTTAAAGTAGATTGATCACCCATCACCATTACTTCATCTGGTTTCTAGCAACCAGTCGTCTCAGCTAAAGAAAGCAGTGAGGCTGACTTACTGATATGGCAGTGTATATGTGGAGAACAATAGTGGTCTACTGTATATTTGCCAATTTGGGTGTATTACATGGATGCAATTTCTTCGTTCCATGCAATTTCTTCGTTCCTTTTTGTGATACAAACAACGACCAGATATTTATAGTCATTACAAATTGTGAGGTGTAAACAGATCATATTTAGCTAAAGAGCCCATAGGTGTTGTATCAAAGGGGGAAGAATTGGAAATATTTGCTAGTATGATCAAACTATACAGGCTTGGCTTGGTTTACTACTTGAAGGAAAAGTTTCATCCTAATTCTTGGCTGGTCGCCCCGGCATCCGATATCAAGAGAACCTTCCTGATAATAATTAACGATCTACAATATTCCCAGTGATATTGTTTCGGCTTACCGATCCTTTGACCGAAGGAGTGACCGTCGTGAATAGAGGTCATGTTGATATTACATCATGCTCCACCCTAGGGGACCTGATTTTGGACGCCTCCTTATCTTTTATGGCCGAGGGACTAGTTCACAAGTGTCGATGCCTTGAAGATTTTACTATATATATGTCCTCTTCTCTCCCCTGGAATAAAATTTTATTCACAATCACAAAAAGCCTTCAAGACACTACACTAGTGTAATCAAGTCTTCTACAAACTTCCACCAGATTTTCTACCATTTATGCAAAATCTCCGAAAATGGCTTCAATACATACACTGCACCAGTGTGGCTTTAATATGATTTATGCTGACTTATTCTCGTAGGCGTTTCTCCATCCTCGCCCTCCTCGTCGCTTCAGCTGCTCTTGTGGCTGCTGTACCCCAGCCTGCTGCCGAAGCAGAGGCAGCCCCCGCCGCCGAAGTCGACACTCGTGATGTTTTCGGGCAGCTTCAGAAGCGTTGCCAGAGCGATGGACAGTACTGCGACTATGCCACTATTCGCTGCTGTGCCGGGTACTGCTGCAAGAACCGGGCCTGTGGCAAATGTGAATAAGGAACGACTTTGCCTTTCTTCTCGATGGACTTCTGTGTATGTCGGAAAAATTATTTCTGTAATGAACAAGACATTCTCCAGTGCAGATTGCGCGCACATTCACTTTTATCTTAGAGGTATATTTGCAGTGTTACATAGCATACCTGAGTTCCACATTCATGATTCAACATCATATGAGCAAGGGAACGAAAATATACATGTTTTTCTGCTATAAAAACGATCGATCTTTCACACGAGCCAAAGACATTTTCACATAACTATTCAGGTAAAGGCTTGACAATTCAGAGTATATTCTTCAGTCAGGTCAATAAATGAAACGCAAACCTCAGGTTGTGGGCGAGAAGCTCAGGATTATCCGGCTTCCAGAGCGAGGTCAATAGTATAATCTAAGGTCAAAGTCACTACGATGGGGTAAGAGACTGCCAAACGGCTGTTTCTACGGCCGGCGGGGATAAATGCGCGTGTTGTTGAACAGTGAGCCGTGAGTCAACTGGCTTTCTCGCTCTGAGGGTTTGGGGTAGATCTCGATCAATTAGAGTGATGTATTTTTACTCGGTTTACCCGTGATGGATGCTTGGGCGAACTGGAAGACACCCACAGCGGGAGGCGTGGTGAACCTCGAGAGTCTGGAAGTCTCAGGTATTGGAGGGAAAGTAAGGGTAGCAGTGTATGTATGGACGCTGGTTGGCCTATTGAAGCTACTTAATGCTTTACTTAATGCTTTACTTAATGCTTTTTATATATTTAATGCTTAAAGAGTGATGCATGGGCGGCTGGGCGGGCGATGAGTCCCTGAGGAACGTACCGATCGTCATTGTACGCAATCAGCCATCTTCCTGATGCTGATCGAATGTAGATTATGATTGGTAAATTGTACTTTACTTTCCTGATCAACGACGGTTCTAGTACATACGACCATAGGGTGTGGAGAACAGGGCTTCCCGTCCGCTCAGCCGTACTTAAGCCACACGCCGGCAGGTTAGTAGTATGGTGGGTGACCACATGCGAATCCCTGCTGTTGTATGTTTTTGCTTGACTTTTTTGTCATTAGCTGCTGGGACGACTGCCCTTGCTGCCTTATTCTTCAGTCCCTTCAGGCCCGTTCACCCGAACGCCCTGAACACCCCAGAAACGCTGGCGTGGACCCTCGACTAAACTTTTCCTCTGTCCCAACTTCTTTCCGTTTCTCTCTTAGCTCTCTCATCTTTGCTTTTTTGGTGGCTTGAACTGATCCTGGTCGAAGTTGATCTCGGGAAATAGATTCACCGTAGCTTCTACTACTGTGTGGTCTTGGCTATCTCCTCTCCAAGGACGCAGTGAAGATTCCAAGGGGAGGTGCACAAACAATAGTTCACTCGATGCAAATAAACAAACAGAGAAGAGCTCTCCTAGCCAAACTACTGAGGTACTTGACCAGTTAAAATTTTAATTAAATGAGCTCCAATTTTTATTCTGCCGATGGGTCACCAGTGGAGAGTATGGGGGCTTCACAACGTTGAAAAGGATACACGCTCTGGGGCCTATTGGGCCGTGGGTTCTCGCGTTGCCCCCTATGGGACGGGACCTGGTAGACATTCATTTGCTAGCATTTATTCAGCTATGAACTGTAGACCCTCTGCTTATCGGGTGCTTGTCCTGCCCCTGCGTATAAATGCTTTGTTTAGCCGTGCTACTGTCATATACTTCGCAAATAGACCGTCTCCTTCATCAAGCACCGTCGGGACCTGACATAGTCGTCTCAAGCTGTTACTTCTCTTTCCAACAAGTCGATGGCCGACAACAGATCCCCAGATTATAGAACTCCTTCTCTGCAAGCGAGACAGAAGCAAAGAGAAGAGAGACGGAAGCAGGTCCAATACTGCCTTGCCATATAGCCCACTCCCGTTCTGCCACCGCCCTGTCCGCTTCTATTGTTGATTTGCTTGTTCCGCTCCTTCTCTCCTCTAAGCTTTCGTACACAGTTTGTGGCCTAGTCAGATTGAATTTAAGTCTCGCTTTAGCCCTTCACATATGACTTCGATTAGTCATGTGCTGGACCCCAAATGAGATAAATGATAAGTGTATGAGAAAAGATAGATAGAGAGAGAACTGTCTGTGTGTCTGCCTGTAGGATGATTCTCGTAAATGTAGACCGAAATAGAAACATACTAAGCAAGCACGGTGAAGAAGAAAGCGGGGTAAAGCGGGGTATATGACAGATCGCTCATAAGAATGGAGAAATTCCATTTTGCTCTCATCCCGGGGATGAATCTCGAGTCCTAGCCAATTGATAGTTAAGGTGAATCTGATCGCAGCCTTATAATTTAGGTGTTGAACCGTGTTAACTTCTAACAACTACTAACAATACGTTATTCTAGAGCTACTTGAGCCTAGTGAAAATAGCCGCAGTAACTAGCCTAGATTCAGAAGACTGACATATATCCAGAAATACTATGCTTTAAGAGGTTCAAAACTCGAATGTTCATTCCCAAGGACTATAAAGATCGCAAATACTGAGTTAGAGCAATTCAAGGCCTGGGTGGCAACTACCCTTTATATTTACTCCTCTACAAGAAAATACGACAGATATATATTGAGCAAAGGCAGATTATAGAGACAGGAAGGGACTCTGCCCTGTTCTCACTCACCCTTTAAAGACTTCTAAGACTAAAAGGGTTCCGTTCAAAATTTTGCGAAACGTTAGAGACAGAGGATTAGGTAGAGACTGTTGTTTAGCGTATAACCATTAAGGAAGGCCTTACGAGCACTATATCCACCGGGTCTCAACTACTATAGCACTAGCATAAGACCGCAACATCTACTAAAATATGCCCTAAAGTACTAGTGGTGAGCCACCGTCGTGGTTGCTTGACGCTCGATCTAGAAATAATCGTCTTTCTTTATAAATTCTTTCTTCCTTACGAGCGCTTCAAGTCCCTATTGATCACGTTATTCGTAGTACCACCGAGTTCCCGGCAGTTTAATACCACCTAGGTAGATAGTGTAGTGGGGAGACCCCCTCCCCCCATACTACATGGGTGCCATCCAACCTATGTGACATAGCCGGCAGTATACGGTGGCCGGATAGCTAGTTCTAGATTACTCCTTCTTACACCACCCCGACCTGACCCCTACATTTGGGATTCTCGCTATTTCCTGGTTGCTACGCGTGTATTTTGTATTGGTTTATCTGCTTAATCGACCCGCACGTCTCGGCGTGTGTGCCATCGAGCGTTCCACTCTTCAATAATTAGGGTAAGATCACATAAAACTCACGTTACCGGCCTTGGCCGGCATTGGGCCCCTAAAGAAACGTGACCTTCAGTATCGAACGCACTTCCAAGGTTCCTCATGACTTGCCACGTACAGACTAGTGTACCAAGCTACGGACCGGGCAAGGGTCACTGCCCCAGGCATCCTCACCCGACCCCCCACCGAGCCTCATTGCCCTCCCTATCATGATAATCTGCTCCCTGGCCGCCGAGGACTGGTCCTCAGCTAACTTGGCTATAAAATTTTCCGAATGGTCGCAACAACCTCATGGTTGGCATGCTCTATTCTGGCCTAGGCGCCATCCTCATCTCGTACTCGTCTGCTTGGCGCATTCGCAAGACTCCGACTACGTACTTGTTCGTCGGTTACCTCAACAAGCTCCCGCTTGCCATTAGCGGCATCGTGTTCTTTGATGCTCCCGTCACGTTCAGTAGCATCTCGGCTATTCTCCCGAAATTCTTCAGCAGCCTGATCTACGGTTATGGCAAGATGAAGCAGAAGAAACAGTCCAGCAGGACCTCCCCATCTCCTAATCAACCTTGAGCGCCAGCTCTCAGAGCCAGAAGTCTGTATATAGCCAATAAGTCGATACCAGATAGGTTGCTCGAGAGTGACCAGAAGAACTCGAAGCTGTGGGAGGTAAGGAGTCCTTGGCAGGACTTAACAAATATTTACCCATATATCCCCACAATTTTTCTGTACATATAATAGCATGATCACATAATGCGCTCGAAAAGACCAGTTGGTCACCGATGAACGATATGGGTGATTCGAACAACAGTGATGGAGGGTCACCATCGCCGCAATTTGGGATTTTCGTCGGCTTTCCAGCCGCTGCGCCGAAAGGACTAGACGCTGTCGAGAGTCTGTGCTATGTATGGCCACACTCTACCGCGTGACCTGGAAGACAATCGCTATAGAGGATAAACGGAGAATGCACTGATAGTCGCACGAAACTGACAGTAGAGCATTGGACGCCTCCCACAACCACCATTTCAAAGTGTCAACAATATAGCCCGAATAAAGAGAGAGGAATATGACCCGAAAATACGGTTTAGAAATCATTGACCTGTCTGAACAGGACAGGATTTAAGCCCACCGCCAGGCATACTCCATAATCCTGGCCCCTAGATGTGCCTGCTCAATCCCTAACTTCCTGCATTGTCCATTCTCCTCCCACTTCTCTAACTCACTCACAAGAAACAATGACGCATCAATCCCACAACTAATACCTCCGGAACTAATCACCCGGACCCCAGATTCATTGCATCCTGCATCAACCCAGCGCTTGTTCTGTTTTTGGCCGAGCTTATACCCATCCCATGCCCGCTGTTCGATTTCCGATACTTTTCCATCAACAGGAAACTCCCCATTGGTAAGGGAACCCCGAATGTCAGGTACGACTGTCGTTCCTCTTCCTCTCAACTCACAAAACTGGATCAATTTATCCAGCCCCTCGTAATGCGTCGTGACGGTGAGATGACTGAACGCGCCCGAGTATCCGACTATCAACGCCCCAGTGCAAATTGACATTAGAACGCGCTGACAGCCTCGCGGCGACGGTGTCTTTAACTCGGAAAAACACTTCAGCAGTTCGAGATGCAAGCCATTGGTCCGCAGATCTCCGAGATACTTCTCTATCTCTGGAATCCCGGCTCCGGGCTGAATAACAATTTCGTATTCGTCGATGTTCCTCAGCGCTTCAGTAATCGTTCGAGTTGGGTAGACGGGGATTTTCTCCGCGGATAGAGTTGGTTGTTGAACGGTAGCTATCTCAAAGATGATATTGAGGCCACCCGTTGCAGCGCCTTTGCCGAGGACTTCTATAGGGGCGTAGAGGTCAAGTGTGTCGAATGAAGGAAAGGGGAGGAGAAGGACTTTGAGGGTGTTGGACTTTGACATTATGATTTGATTGCCAAGCCAAGGTGCTCCTGCTTTGCTTATTGATGAGCTTAATGCAACAGTAATATGCGAGTGGCTTTTGAGATTTGTGAGCTTGATATTGTCGGTCGGAACTCTGGGAAATGTTATTTGGTGGTTTTTATAACTACCCGATACTCTTCTTGACAATAATATTAGGGCATGAGGAAGGCGGAGTGGGGTAATTTGCGAGGCAACTGGGATATGTTTGCCTCGTATGTACTGTGACACAGCATGCATCAGATGCAATTTCTTTCACGCGACCAAACTATATGGGGCAAAATATTTTAAATGGGACTCTCCCCATGCTGTTTTGTGTAGCACAGTTGTCGATCTTACCTGAGGTATTACTACACTGGTGAAAATAGAGTTCAATATCACTTGAAGACACTGTGACCCCGCCTTTTGACCTCGGACCCCATGTCCGCAGTGAGGTATCAGCATACGGGGTAGATTGACAGGAAGCTGAGTATTCTGTTGACTACGAATAAAATCAACAAGGTGACTGGTGATAGGATCTCCTAAATCTCACCTCATCTCTTCAAATTCATCTAACCTTTTCATTTCATCCGATACCTTCGATGTGACTGTGATGATTGGGGGTGATTCGGAAGTATGTGAGAAGATGCGAAGTAGTGAATGAAGGTGATTTGAAGATATGTGAGGATTCAGCTCAAAGCAAGCTGAGGTGGAGCTATTCGAGATGAAGAGAAATGAGGTGGAGCGTATGAAGATGGAGATATGCGGAAGGAAGGGTCTGAGTGGAATGATACCCTACTTTCATAGACTCTGAGGCAGTCTGGAGTGCCAAACCCCCTGAGGATAAATGAAGACGTCCGGCGAAGTGGGATCGGCCGATCCCTTGCTCCCTTGCCCTAGGGCTGTGCATCGTGTCTTCCACGACAAAAGGCCCGGGTTCCATTTCTATTGTCTTCGTCAGCTCCACAGATAGATAACCACGCTCCCTCCCTCATTCGAGGAGGCGCCTTTCGACGAGCAGAATCAAGTCCTCTAGATCAGTCTCGGTGAATGTGTCCGGGTTGATCTTTATTGTAGTAACGAGCTCAAGGAAGTCATATTCAAGCTAGGATCGGGGTTTCCAGCATTATGGAGGAGCTTCAATGCAACAAAAAATGGCTTTGGTTGGATTTTGTTTCCTCCAAGGCTTTATATGAACTCCTAAGTTTATCGGTGAACAACAAGAAGAATTCATAGTCTGCCTCGTTGAGCTCGTAGAACGATTCATAGTCAAATAGATTGTCAAATGCATCTTTGCGCGAGACATCAGAGCGGATCGCTGCCATCGTCTCATCTGCAAGTACACAATTTTTATCGGTCGCTTCGATATCATTGAGCAATTCCACGTCGTCAAAGGCGTTAAGGAGCCATTTCCCAATGTAGATCAAAAGTCGGAACCACTTTTAGGAAATCTCAGAGCCATCGTCAATCGATAGCAACTCCTTGTTGTCGATCAGTGCTTCCAATCTGTAATCGAGCAGAGTGGAGGTTACTTCTTTCATCCATTTTCTGTATACAAGCATTGACCTGTCAAAGAGACGTAATGTCATGGGAGGGGGCAATCTCTCAGAATCAAGCAAGTCTGAGAACCGTGTCTCACCAGGCAATCAAATATTGGTTATGTGATTCGTGAAAGATTGGTTTGGGGTCTGAGTTTTAAGGGCTGTTCCTGTGCATGGACAGCACCAGAGGGTGAAGGGTGAATAGCACCAAGCGGTTGAGCATGAACGGCATCAGACGGCTGAAATTGAGCAGCCCCAGGAGGTTGGGATTGGGATTTGGGATTGATTTGATCTTAGAGATTGAATTCGATCTTGAGCAGCACCATGAAATTGAGCATGAACAGGCCTAAGAGGTTGAGTCGGACTGGCATCAAGAAATTGAAATTGAATGGGTCCGGTAGGGAATTGAGTTCGAGTTGTGTCAAGCGTTAGAGCAGGAATAGCGTCAAAAGGTCGAGCATCATTTCAAGGCTCTCTTTTGACGTCGACAAAACCACCAATGTTCCTGTTCGCGGTCGCCATCTTGGCGAATCGAATGGTGAATGCGTTCTTTAAACACGCGCTAGGGTGATTTACGTGGTGCTGCAATACCAAAGCCCTCGCCTTGGATGTCTCTAGACACACAACGTCGCCAACTGCCCGATAATAGCGCGCTAATAGCGACTCTCAGGTCTCGACAGCCAGAACTCGATTTAGGGGCAACATGAAATGTCGAATAGGGTACGTCAGACGATCTGCATCTGCCATCAACACGGCCGATTATGTCGGCGACTTTATTTGGTCTCTTCATGTTTGCATCAAGGCCAACTTTAATCGGACAAAAGCATCACCCAGGTGTGTATTGACGGTAAGAAAGCGTCGTATTACATAGCATGATCTTTGTGGCGTGATTTTATTCAGTTTGCAATCGGGAAAAGTCTCGAGTGAGAGTGAGATGAGAATATTTGGTGAATCCAAAACTGTAAACAGTGTGACCGCGCAAATGAATATATATGTGGATAGCGCGGATTAGCACTACATCGACACAGGGGTAGCACCTGTTCAGTCGGTCTATCAAAATGACCTATTTCCACCACGACTGGTCACACTGTGTCCGTCTCACACTAACCTTGGAAGTGCATCAAACAATGTAGAATGACCACTGCCAAAAGAGTGTCAATAAAGACACCGATCAGATAATCATTATCAAAAACGTACAATCACGTTCTAGCAGCTAACTACGCTAAAACAACCATTCTAAAACCCAATATATCTCTACGAACCTTGGAACACTAATCCAAAACCTCAATAACAGTCCACATAACCGTACTCAAAACCTCCCCGCCAATCTTCTGCATAACCCTCTTACTCGCAACATTATACTGCGCAACCTCCGTATGCACCCAACCAGCAACAGCATCCCGCAACTCGGGCTGGTGTATCCAGTCCCCAGAGCGCGCCCCAAAAACACCCTCCTCATCCAATCCCCTCCTCATCGCCTCCTTCGACAACGCAAGCGCAAGTCCCTTCCCCCGATGCTCGGGTTCAACATGAAGCGTCGCCAACGCCCCGTCGAGACCCAGGAAAGCCCATGCAATGGGCATCTCATCCCCATCCCTATTTTCACTTCCCTTCCCTTGCAAGGGGCTATCGCAATAAATCGCAACACCGGGCATCAACCGCAACTGCTCCCTAGATCTCGGAATGTGCGTCCGACTCTGCACAAGATCAAGCTGGGACTCCAGCACCCCCCTTCTTCCGCACCGATCCAGAAACCGATACCCGGCGGGTAAGCCCGATCCAGCCTCAGGCCAGGCAAAATCCGACCGACGAAAGAAAAATTTGTAGTAGGGTGGATCGTCGAAGCGGTGCACCCGCAGCCTTGTCACCGGGTCCGACGATGATCCGTCGGCGGCGGCCTTGGACGCACTGAAGACATTTGCGCCGGTGTTTTGGAGGAGGGAGAAGAGGGCTGTGTGGAGGGAGCCGATTAGGAAGGCTTGAGGGGATGGGGCGGGGATTAGTTCGACGCCTGTTTTGGCCTCCTTTTTTTCAGCTCCTCCTGCTGGGAGCGAAGCGAGGTATGTTGGGAGGAGATATTTCTTCACGTAGCTGAGTAGCGCGACTAATTGCTCACGGACGAGATCCTGCGTTGAGTCCGGGAGATTGTTGAATGTGGACACGATGTATTCGGGCTGAGAGTTGCTGTGATCATTTAGATTGATCTCGGTACCACTCTGAATCGCATTCGCGCCCATTGTCGGGGTTCCGCTTGAGCCACCAGAGCTGGTGACAGGGATGATCAAGTTTGACGTGTTACCCGCCTCCAGACTAGAATAGACGATCATCTGGGTCTCGCGGCCGCGAAAGAGATCCACTCGCGCAGCCAGCCACGGATGACTGTTGTCAGGGGGACCACAACTGGGAGGGAACGTCGCCAGGATCTTGGCGGTAGGCGTGGGGTGCGCGAGGCCGTGCTGGACGCGTCGGAGGAGCGAGATCGAGTATGGCAGATGCCTTGCTAGATGCGGGAGAATGCTTCCATCGTGTTCGTAGACCTTTTGCGTGGCGTGTGAAGTATCTATTGTTCCCGACATGCTGGCTGATGCTGACCCGACTACCTGGTTCGGGCTGTCACGAGGATCCTGCGTGGTTCCTGGTGATCGGGTGAGCTACCGTCTGCGAAGATGCTAGTTTTATCCAAGGAGTGGAGTGAAGTGACAGGTTGACGTGTCTTGGCTGGTGAGTCACTGTGGGGGAACTAACAGAACTAGCCCGAGCGGGTATATAGTCGCGTTGACCTCAGCCTGTCGCGACAGGGAGGACTAGCGTAGGGCAGATAGATTAATGAAGTCATAGCTTCGACGGCCACTGACCGAGCTCACAAGTATTTGTCACGCTGGCCAGGGCCTGTGGCGGTGCGCACTATTGATTCTGACAGGGGATCGGCCGGCGATCACTGTCAACTATGCATTGGCGTGCGGGTTAGGGGGATCATTGGGCACGATCCAGTCGGGTTGTTCTTGACGACCCTAGAGTGCGTGTCCGTGTGTTGGGGGTACCTCAGACACGGTAGCCTAGAGGTCGAGATTGCAGAATGGAGGAATGACGATCTTTGTTGAGGATGACGATGGTATTGCAGATCACTTAACGCCGAGTAACTAACCCTAGATTCACCCGGCACAACAACGCCAGAATGAACGCCTCGAGCGCCACGATTTTGAGCCATTGACAATCATGGCAGAACATAGGAAATAGACAAAATGTGACAGCGCAAAACAAAGGAAAGAAATAGTCGTTTCTCATTACAATGGGTTACGTTGGGTCCGTGGATCGCCCCTTTACCAGGGACTCCGCGGCCCAATGAGCCAGTCCTCCATCAACATCCATTCACTCCACCGGTCATCAGCCGCCCGCATCTCATCCTCTGAGGGGTCGCGGAGGGGTCGCAGGAAGGGAGTTTGCTCGTCCGGCAAGATATCGTACGCAGCCTTGGTGCGCGCCCATCCGCCACTTTTCGCCGTAAAGAGATAGTTAATACGCTCCTGTCGATAGATACAGCCGACACCGGCTTCCCAGTCGTTGCCGAAAAACGCCTGCATGACAATGGGCGAGTCCTGGGCCGTGATGATCAGTCGGCGCAGATACGGCCGGAGCGAGATGAACGGCATGGGTGAGGGAGCAGCCCCGTCATTGGAGTCGGGTCGTTGGCATGGCAGGCGAATGTTGATAAAGGCCGCGATGGACTGCACGGTCGAGGTGAATTGGCCGATCTCGACAAAGTGCTGGACGCAGGTCTTGTAGTGCGGGTACCAGCCGGTGGGGTCGACCCGCCCAAACTCGTCGTGCAAGATGGACTGGGCTTGGGGATAGATCATGCCCTCGCAGGTGTGGGGCTCGCGCCTGTCCGAGGAGCTTTCAGCGTCTCGCTCGACGGGCCCTGGAGGAAGGGGAATGTCTCAGAAACGATCATTGGGTCGGGAGCTCGCAGGGTAGCTGAGGGGAAAGGACTCGAACTGAGTTGAAGAAGGACAAGACCTACCGACGGTTGAAGCGGGATGCTCGTTTGAGTAACGACCGCGCAGGTCCATACACGGAGAGTTTTCCCAGCACTCTCTTCCGGAACCCTGCATGCTCAGTGACATGGTCGGAGGTCATGTGGGGAGCAGCTAGAAGGATGTTGTAGTAGCCTCGGGGTATATGAGGGAGTATGACTTGGGAGGGATCAAGTCTGGAGGTTGGAGACTGGTGTTGATTGCTGGAGAGAAAGCAAGGTGGGAAGCCAACCCTTATAGACCCGGCACCCCGGGCAGCCCGAAGGCCCCAAGGGTGTGATGCCAAAAAGATGTGAAGATCAAGGGCGGACTAGTTCGGCCCTGACAGAGTGGATCCCGGCACGAATCTATCGCCAGCCACATCTCAAGCCACATCTACAGCCACGGCGAGACCGAGTGGCTCGTGCATAGGGATGTGGCTGTACAAAGCAATTGTGCTGACTCACCAGTTCTACTACCGGTTAACTAACTAGATGCATCAGATTCTTTCCCCAGGCACTAGCACCGGTAGCGTCCTGCTTAGCGCCCAATAGTCGGGGTTGGCCCACTTCTCGCGAATGATTTGGAAGTGTGCTCAGATTGCCTCCGATCTCCGAATCTCTTGTGCCTCTTGAGGATTTCAGGATATTTCAGGATGAGTAGGGCTTCTACCCTGGTCTGTGACATGCCTGACACCGACCCACCCAGGCGTCGCGGATGTATTCGGCGATCGTCATGATGAATGATCCCACTAGTACCTACATACTACTAGCCGAGAGCAGGTCTAGGGTCCAGTAGGTATCTATCGATCCGGTTGCATCTCTTGCATTGCTACCTTGTACTTGGTATTGATTTTGACAACAGTATAATCGGTGTGACATGAGAATGAATAACGTGGAGGCTGCAAGGGGGCAGAACGAGCCGAAGCGGCATGGCCGGCAGGGAAGACCCTGGTCTTCCCACGGTGTTATTATTACAAGGGTTATATTATTGTAGACAGGGCTATAATTATGACCATCCTCACCTCATTATTGGTCGGTTATCCTTGCACATCATATTATCCTAACCTCACTTAGGGGGGATAGATTAAAGCTGACCAGATCAAGCGAATCTCGTATTGCCGATTGCCCCAGTCGTCGGCCACGCCGATCGATCGCAGCGACGCGAACGCTCGTCCCCCCAATCACGACCGCCAGCATCCCGGCTCCCTGGTCGTCATCGATCCAACCTACTCCACTCCGCTGGGGCTCTCGCTAAACGCAAATCAATCGGCATTGACGTGCCCCGCGGCTGAATGTCGGTCTGTGCCTCTGCCTGCCTGCGCCTGAGTCCAACTCGCTTTAAATGGAGCAGAGCCCTGGTCATCTTGCATCTCAACACTCAACTGCATCAGGCTTGACGAGTACATCCAAGATACCAAGACCAACCTGCATACCCTTCAAAAGGTAGTTGCATACGCATACGCACCGTGCTACGCCTGAAATAACCTCGGTCCTCTCCGCATTCCACCATGATCTACAAGACCAACTACGAGCTTTACGTATGTGCCCACACAGCCTTCCATCGAATCCTAATTAACATACATTCATCGGCAGTCCCGAGAGTCGCTCGACAACAGGCGCTCCCCGCCACCCGACGAGCTGCTGTACCCGTTGGCAACGCTCTACCCTCATGTTACGGCGCTGCAGCCGCAGTACGACCCCAACACCTGCACCTTCACCGGCTACCGCGACACCGGTTACTGGGCCGCCGCCTACACCACCCAAGAGTGCCTGCCCCGGCGCAGCAGTGGTACGCCTGTCTTCACACCATTTATTATTCGACATTGGTTTAACAATCTGCTTTAGATCACCTCCACTGCCGTCTCGTCTCCAAGCTCCGACTCCGTCGCTCCCAACTCCGGCGACTTCTTAGCCGGGACGATTTAAAACCCCGTCGACGATCCGAAGCCACCACCGCAACCGCCGCGACCGCATGAACGGCTTTCTTTCCTTCTCGAATATCTATCTCCTGTTCGATTCTCTGCATATATTAGCGTACATGGCTTTTTCGTGATTTAGCGACATCCGACCACGACATTCAGGTCTCCCAGCGCGGGCACCTGAGCTTTTTCCTATGTTTGACCTGGTGGTCATATTGTATTTTATTTTTTTTTTCCTACTTTTCATGGTACAAGCAACGAGCAAGGCGTTTGGGTTTCGCATGGTTCTCTACTACTCTTAAGAGACCTTTGGACATTTTCGGCTGTACTGAGTATATACACGGACTCTATTTAGTCAGATCAATACATACACTCTGAACATACACTACCTTTTCTCTACAAAATCAGCTTGGAATCTAGACTGCCTGTAAGTAGTGTGGTACCGTGCCGACCGTACGGAACCTACACCTCAAAGTCACACCCCTACATAGCACCATCACACCGACGTCAATCTTAGCCTAACCCCTGCAGCCAACCCTAGTGTACCCTGGGTAAGGCAAGGCAGGCCTAACCCCGTGGAGAACCCCGTGCAACATAGCAGCCCGCATAACCTGGTAGCAGGGACGAAAAGCAATCGAATCGCTCTAGCGCGCCCGCCTTAGTGCACTCTACCCTACCCTAGGGTAAACGACTCAGGGTAGTGGAATGACTCGCATCGCCCTTGCAGATCATCGCAAGAGCGAACGTCTCCGGACAAACGAGATTCGTGCCTCACTTCCCCACTAGCCACTTAGCCACAAGCAGCTAAGGATCGACTACCTCCGCACCCAGTAAACCTTGATCAAATCCCGTCGCCGGGGTCTTGGGGAGCAATGTTGAACTCGGTGATCCCGACATACTTTACTATGGCCTAATGTGTCCGAGTTACTACACCTAGGCAGTACAAATTGGAAAAATGAATCGCTCAATAACCGATCGAGATCAGTCCGATCCCCAACATCCATGTCGCAAGCCACTATGACCAATATGTACTTTGGATCCCGCACACACCACCCTGGTCCGAGCAGAGGCCCGACCCGTGCAGATCAATAGTGCGTTGCGCCCGACAAACCTTGGAAGTATTTGAGATTCAGAGGCTACACTATGTATGTCATGACTTCCAAGATTGTTTCCATCGTAGCAGGATCTCCAGCTAGGTAGATCCGGCTAACTGTATGTTGTGTAACCAAGCTAGAGCGTCCAGCGGGCTTAATGGTCTTAAGGTATTTGAAATGCATACGCCTCACTTTAATTGTCGTTGCATCGTGAGGGTCGGGTGGTATTGCATTTGTCCGGTACTTCACTACAGGGTGTATATATGGCAAAAGTAAGTACATAGGATGGGATATCACCTGACGTAGTTTAGGTAGGTGAGTAGATCCTGCACTATCATCTACTGACTAAGAATAAGAAGCAATCGCAATGCTACCTAGGTCGATCTAATCAAGTAACAGGCAGAAAAAAATCCAAAGTAGAACCACCCTCGTGCGCCACAACCCCTCAACACCTCAAGAAAAGAGAAGGAACGAAAAGAGACCCACGAGCGCAGATCACGCACGAGCCAGCATGACGCAATCCCTCTCTTCTCATACAGCAAGAGCCAGTGAGGCCCACACTGGTGTAGTAAATCCTTCGGTTGAACGGACTCGGCGTTCTCCTTCAGTACCTCCTTGCATACTCACAGGGAAAGTGCAGCACCAGCCACTACTCCTTCCACTTCGGGTAATGGTAGGCTTGTGGCGCAGCTACCGATGCGGGTTTTGGCAGAGCACCCTAGGAATAGGCTCGTCATGGATACTGAGTGAGGCGGATGATCTGATATCGGATTTCGTTCTCGTGTTTGATACCTTTCCTTGGTCACTGCAAAATTCGCAAGTGTTACAGCGCCACACCCCTGTTGTAGGTAGGTTGTGATTACTCTAGGCATGTATATAATAGTTCCCGGGTGACCGCCACACCTGCCAGGAAGTACATGAGGTAGTGGGGGCGATCCCGATAGCCTGTTTTCAAAATCCAAGAAGGCTTCGGACTTTGGAGGTGGAAGATATTGGTCTTGGTTTCAGTTACTGCCCTACACGATATGTGTCGGGCTCCTAAGGAAGGTATATTGAAATTCTACCTGGGTGTGAGTCGTGGTTTGAGTCGATAACTACCCCCTTTTTGTTGCATGGCCTGGACCGACTACCCATGTCTAGGGTACTAGGGGCTTCATCCTGTGCTACGATGGTCGGTTCAATGTTTCAATAAAAACATAGATTCAGGTCGACATTAAAGGTCCCGCTTCACCTTATTGCTGAATGCTACCAAACTCCTTGCACCGGCGATTGCCAACAAAAGAACTAAATCACCCAATTTTCGCGAGCCACACAATAAGGTACGACTCGTCAAATGACGGAGATAAAAAATCAGAAAAATCGCAAAGGAAAGAAAGGAAAGTCAGTTATGTCGACACCCTTTGTGTCGTCGGAAAAAAGCCACCACTCCCTGTCATAACGTTCATCATATATTCATGTCATTACCATGCCGTTGCGTTCGTGACTGACATCGCATCGCAGGCCGTTATATCATGTCGAGGGATAAAAGCTCAGGCCAGACTCGCAGAGCCTGCTGCAGCAGTACCCCATCGGAACCGCTTTAGACCACCACGAACTGCCTCCTGGCCACACGCCGCAGACGATCGTGCGCCTGGAACAGAGCCATCGGTCATCAGTCCCATCTCTGTCCGACCAACCTCCCGACCGAGCATGTATCCCGCCGAGAAACTGATCGCCGAAAACAAGACTACGACGCCGGCGCTGATCACCCAGGTCATGACTGTGGGACTGACGGGCGTAGTCGAATCGGCCAAACTGGCACGCCGGCTCTTCTTTGACGTCGCACTGCGCTCTTTTGGCGAGACGGACCGACGCTTTGTTTTGGCGATGTGTGGAGGTACGGGGGAGCGGGGATGTCTGTGGCGGGGTGGACCCACTGAAGGACTGGTTTCTGTGTCGTGGGATGAGGGGGCTTCCTCGCCACTTTCTTCTCCCATTGCGACGTTCTCGCCTACAAGTCGGAAAGATGCTGGATTGGCGGGTCCTGAGGGACGACGGGGGGCTGGCTGGGCATCTGATTTTGGCAGGCCGCGGGCTGCTGCAGCGCATGATAGAAGGGTTGAGAGGCTGGCTCGGAGAGCAGCGTCGTGGTCTGCGTGGTGGGAGGGCGAAAACATGTTATAGGGACTATGCTGCGGCTGCTGGGACCGACGAGGTGCCCTTGCACTGGGCGGGTATGAATCTCGTCGGATGGAGGTGCGGCGGCTTGAGGTGGACAGTACGCTTGGTTGGGACCGACGGTTCTCGCTGGGGCAAGTCCATGACGGGTCACTGGTGTTTGGGGGGTGGCTGAATACGTTCGGTTGTGGAACGAACGGAGATGGACTTATTCCCATTCCCAGAGCCGTCGATGCATCGTCATCATCATCATCATCATCATCGCTAGAGGCGTCGCCGTCATTAGACGATGGGGCTGGCAACGGAGCGCGGAGGGCCGGGCCAATATCTTCGTTGGAACTGCTCATCGGGGGATCGGACTCGCTTTCACTCTCCTCGTATTCTTCCTGGCTGCTGCTATTCGCAGTGTTCGACGAGTAGTCTACCTGCGCGGTCGCAACGGCAGCCAGATGTTGCACCCGCCGACGCCGGCTGCGGTGCTGATACATGGCTGCCGTGCGGGGCTCCACCGAGAGACCGGTTGTAATGATATCGTCGTTCGTAGCGGCGGAGGAGAGCGACGAGGACGAGGGCTGAGATGAGACTTCGATCCACGAGTCTATGTAGTACCGTAGTGAGTACATGTTTGGTGGACAGATAGAAACATATAATGATGCAAGCAGATCGGCAGGGGGCAGGGGCCAAGGCGGGCTCGATATAAGAATGATTCTCTACTTACCTTCTGATCTCATGGGCGCCGCACCGGATGGACGAGGCTGACCACCGTCGCCATTCTGATTGCGCGAGTGGCCATCGCGTATCAGTTGACTTGCGGCTCTGGGTTCGCGCACCTGACCGAGCAGGTCGCAGTGATTTGGCTGCATGGTCCTTGGTTAAATAAAGAGAGGAGTGGGACGGGTGAGGATCGAGGATTGTTATAGCAGTTATAGCAGTGCTCTTGGCCTGAGAAAGAGATCAGGCCACCCGGTGCTAGCAGCAAGAGCGGTCAAGCGTGGGGAAGGACAATGAGTCTATCTTATCAATGTGGAGATCCGCTGGGCGATCCTCCCAATCCCTGATGCCCAAAGGTCTTGGCTCGGTGTATACGCCGGGCGAAGGCGTGGAAACGGTGCTGGTATGGTTGAGCCGTCGCAAAGAACGAAGTGAGTCTTAGGCAAGCAGTGCGCTGCGATGTGGGATCGCAGGATGAAGGAGGAAGAAAGAGAAAGGGGGAGCTGAGGATGAGGTGATCAGCAGACGGAACAGGTGATTTGCAGCCCCAGCCCGTGACGGAAGCCACCGAAGGGGGAGGGGCAGGCAACAAAGACGAACGTAAAGTGTCAAGGAAACCCCCAGGCCCTTAAAATTGTGACGATCGGCAGATCGAACGATATTGAATAGACGGTTTTGGGTTTGAAAAGTCGCACGGTTTCGGATACAAGAAGCAAAACCACCACGCCATCTGCATGCCGTGTGCCCCTCAGGCTAGATTCAGGCAGAAACAGCACGAGGCCGCCGTGCGGGGTGAGGCGGTCAACGATGGCAGTATTGACGTCTCCACCATACTACATACAGAGGGTAGTATGACGGGTAGTACAGCATACCTTAGGTACACTGGCAATGACCGGGATGGATGAGATGATGAACGATGATCCGTGGAATACAGTATGAAATTAGACTATCATATGCAGACTATTGAGACAAACAAGCAAACTTTTAAAATACCCAGGCCTTCCATGGCCGATCCGATTACACGCAGAAAATTGCAAGGGGGGATATGATGTCAGTAGCAAAATGGCAGAAAGTTAACTCCCTTAGAAGGTGACCTTGGTGCCCTTGAACTCAGGGATGCTGCCCTTACCCTTGTTCAGACCACCGTTGAAGCCGCCACGGCCACCGCCGAAGCCTCCGCGACCACCGCGGCCGCCGCCACGACCACCACCACCACCGCGGCCGCCGAAGCCACCACGGCCACCGCCACGGCCGCCGAAACCACCACCGCCGCCGTTGGAGGGACGGGGGGAGCTGAAGTCAAGACGGAGGGGACGGCCCTCAAGCTCATAGCCCTGCATGGCGCTGTGGGCAGCCTTGGCCTCCTCAACGGAGCCGTACTGGATGTAGCCAAAGCCCTTGGGACGGCCGCTCTCCTGCTCAGTGGGCAGGCGGATGCCGAGAATGCCGCCGTGCTCGCCGAAGGCCTCAGTGAGAGCATCCTCGGTGGCACTGAAGGGCAGGTTGCCGACGAAGAGAGTGTCGCTCTCGGGGCTGGTGGAGTCACCGAAGGAACGGGCACGGTTCTGGGCGCGGTCACCCTGGTTGTTCTGACGGCCAGTGGCGTAGTCAAGGTTGATGGGGCGTCCATCGAGGTCAGTACCCTTCTTGGCCTCCATGGCCTTGGAGGCATCGACGGCGTTGGTGAACTCGACGTAGCCGAAGCCGCGGGAGCGGCCAGAGTCACGGTCAGTCACGATACGGCAGCCAGCAAGCTCACCGAACTGCTCGAACTCGCTCTTGAGCCACTCCTCATCGACGTTCCAAGACAGGTTGCCGACGAACAGGTTAGCGGAGGCGCCCTCGGGGGCATCCGCGGTCTTAGTCTTCTTAGCGGCGGCAGCAGGCTCCTCATCGGCCTTGCGCTTCTTGGAAGGCTTGGAGTCCTCGCTGTCGGAGTCAGAGTCGGAGGAGTCGGAGCTGTCAGAGTCGGAGTCGGAGTCGGAAGAATCCTTTAGGACAAAACATGAGACAATGTACATGAGTATATTCGGGTTCTGGTTCATAACTCACCTTCTTGGTCTCCTTCTTGGGAGACTCCTCCTCAGAGGAGGAGTTAGAGGAGTCGGAGTCGGACTCGGAGTCAGAAGACTCCTTCTTCTCAGCCTTCTTGGGGGCAGGCTTCTCATCCTCAGACTCGGAGTCGGAAGAGTCAGAGTCAGAAGACTCAGAGGAAGAGGAAGACTCGGCCTTCTTCTCAACCTTCTTCTCGGCCTTCTTGGTGTCCTTCTTGGCGTCCTTCTTAGGAGCGGGCTTCTCGTCCTCAGACTCGGACTCGGAAGACTCAGAAGAGCTGGAAGCATCCTTCATGTCCTCATCGCTGTCGGACTCAGACTCAGACTCGGAAGAGGACTCGGCCTTTTTGGCAGGCTTCTTAGCCTCCTTCTTGTTATCCTTCTTGGGAGCGGGCTTCTCGTCCTCGGACTCAGACTCGGAAGAGGAGCTGGAAGAGTCCATCTCCTCATCGCTGTCGGACTCGGACTCGGAGGAGCTGGGAGTAGGCTCCTTCTTCTTGTTCTTCTTGGACTTGTCCTCCTTGGCAGCGACCTTCTTGGCGACGGACTTGCTCTTGGCGGCAGGAGACTGGGAAGCCTTGGTGACACCAGCGTCCTTGACCTTGTTCAGAGCCTTGCTGCCCTTGTCGGCCTTGGTGGTAACCTTAGTCTTAGACATCTAGATACCAAAGAGGGATGTTAGCGGTCTGTTTCAAAACGTCGGTTTCCCTCACATCCCACGTACTGTGGTTGATAATATCGAGTGATTTGTTTGTGTGCGGCACAGCCAACAAGCCCTCAATAAAACCCGTGATGATTTTCTTTTTCTTTGATGTGGAAGAGCAATTAACCCTCAGGAACGAACTTGCAACGCCAGGAGTGATTTCACCACAGCTGGTTTGAAACCCACGAAGTAACCCGCAACCGACAGATATGAAGCCCACAGAGACCGGCGATGCGCAAATCCAGAGACCCACGGAGAGTTATCTCGTAGGGTAACAGAAAATGTGCAGTTATTGAAGCCCACAGCCCTCGATGTGAAAAAGCCCACAGAAGTCTGTTGAAGTACTTTGAAAGTACGAACCCACGCCGCAAGTCAGTTGGGGGGGAAGGGGGAAGGGATATGTTATACCTTGTGAATATGATTTGAGAGAATAAAAAAAGCCGACACAAGAAAGTGATGGCAGGAGAAAGATGGGAGGGTGTGAAGGAAGAAAAAGGAAGAAAAAAAGAGGCGGCAGCAGCTGGGGCGAGCTCTGATAAGGAAAAAATTCGACTGAAAAATTTCGGAGGCTGGCAGAACAGCCTTCCGCCTTCTTCATACGGCTAAACCCAGGCACTAACCAGGCACTAAGTGGAGACTCAGTGGAGACCTTTCTCTTCCAGCTGCTCACCGCTTTTCGAGACGGTCGCCCTGCCAAACTGCCAGTCCTCGAGGCTCCTGTGGAACTGCCGGGCCTTCTCCGCTTTCATGTCAACCCTGGGACGGCATTAGTACAGCGTGTACGGTCACATGGGTTTACACTAGACATCTTTCTGCGACATCTTCGACGGAATTCAGTCAATGGGACACGCTTAATTTCCCATCTTGCCAGAATCGCAATGGCACCTTCCACTCCTTCCTCCCATCGCCCGCGCAAGAAGAGAAAGGTTCCCACTGCTCCGGGGTCGAACAACAACCTGATCTTGGACATTAGCAATGGTCAACAAACACCAGCTTTTCCGCTTGTCTCCTTCCTCTGGGCTGCACGCGCTGGTGTCTCACAATGGCTGATCCTGCCTCTCACCCTCATGGTTGTCGGGCTCTTCCGATGGGCTGTCAGTCTGTGGGGTTACTCTGGTAATTTCGCCTGTTACTTGGGCTAGAAATACAGTTTCTGACAATTGAGCAGGATTCCAGGTTCCTCCGATGCACGGGGATTTTGAGGCGCAAAGACACTGGATGGAGATTACCACACACCTTCCAATGGCCAAGTGGTATCTCTACGACTTGCAGTACTGGGGTCTCGACTATCCCCCATTGACGGCATATCATAGCTGGCTTCTGGGCAAAATGTATGTCTTTCAATTGCGCCCCAGCGGGTTGTCTTGTGTTTGACACGAATACCGGCTAACTGAGATAGTGGCTCTATTGTTGAACCCGCATGGTTCGCATTGGACAGCTCCCGCGGCCTCGAGGAACCGCATCTAAAGGTCTTCATGCGCGCCACCGTCGTCGTCTCCGAGTACTTGGTATATGTGCCCGCCATTGTCAATTTCCTCCGCCGATACACCCGCATGCACGGTGTACACGCCTGGTCCACCTCAATTGCTCTCGTTGCGATCCTTCTCCAGCCCGCCACCATCCTCATCGACCATGGCCACTTCCAATATAATACTGTCATGTTGGGCTTGATGGTCGCAAGCTTGGACGCCATTCTTGCCGGACGAATGCTCTGGGCTTGCGTCTTCTTCGTCGGTGCATTGGGTTTCAAGCAGATGGCTCTATACTACGCACCAGTCATGTTTGCTTACCTTTTGGGCGTCTGCGTCTTCCCGCGGTGCCGCATCGGCCGACTGATCAATATTGCTCTTATCACTCTAGCCGCTTTTGCTTTGCTCTTTGCGCCTCTCGTGGTTGGTGCGACGAACCCCGAAGCCCGGAAACTGTTCGCGTCCTCGCCCCAGCCTCCCCTACTGCAGGCATCCCCCGTCTCCCTCGACAAGGATACCGTGGCGTATGCGATTATCTTCCAGATCACTCAGACTATCCACCGAGTGCTTCCCTTTTCCCGTGGTATCTTCGAGGATAAGGTTGCCAATGCATGGTGTGCGATTCACACCTTCTACAAGCTTCACCGCTTCGATGTCTCCTTGCTCCAACGGGCCTCTCTCGGTGCCACCCTGGCCTCGATTGTGGTTCCATGTGGTATCATCTTCCGTCACCCGCGAGCATCTCTTCTTCTCCCTGCTTTGTCTTCTGTCGCGTGGGGATTTTTCCTGTTTTCTTTTCAGGTGCACGAGAAGAGCGTTCTTCTTCCTCTCCTCCCAATGACTCTTTTGCTTGCTGGAGACGGTGGGCTAAGCAAAGAAAACCGCGCCTGGGTTGGCTGGGCCAATGTGCTCGGCTCATGGACTATGTATCCACTTCTTAAGCGCGACGAATTGCGCGTGCCATACTTTGTTATGACCCTCCTGTGGGCCTATTTGATGGGCCTGCCGCCGGTCTGTCTGGAGACTTACCGGAGCCGCGCATCGTCAGAAGACACCAACAACCAGTTGGAGCCCAATATCTTGACCAAGCTCATTCATTTTGCGTTCTACTTTGCTATGATTGTCTGGCATGTTCTTGACGCATTTGTTGTTCCTCCCCCTGACAAGCCCGATCTGTGGGTGGTCCTCAATGCTCTCATTGGATTTGGCGGTTTTGGGCTTGCCTATCTCTGGTGTATGTGGAAGTTGATCACACAGTGCCGCCAGATCGATCTCCGTGTGGCCGAAGAAGACAGTCGGAAGAAGAAGCAATGATGAGTTCTTGAGCGCCGACGTTCTGCATTTTCTTCAGTGATACCCCATATAAGTGACACCTAGGGAGGATCTGCATCTACTGCTAGCGTAGTGAAATCTTATTTCTTGTCTTGAAGATTGTTCGTAGGAGATGGGATGTATTCAAGATCAAATTTGATATAGCCGAAAATACTCTGAAGCAGAACCCCGAATCCATGGTTCATGCATGAAGAACGCGCAATGATATCAAAACAATAAAAAACTCCAGCCCGTAAATGCTATGGTACAGTGTGGTATTGTACAAGGTGCGGATTCGGTGAAATGGCCATCGATCTGTTTAGACCTTGAAGCCGAAGCCGGCCATGCAGGTCTTGTACTTCTCGACCAGGGCCTCACATTCCTTGGCGGGATCGTCGGACTTCGAGAAAAGCATGCAGTCGTCGCGAGCGGTCTTCTCGTCCTTGCAGACGCAGCAAGGCTATCATCACATCAGAATCATTCTTTGCTGACATTTGTATCGTGCTGAAGTTTCGCGACGTACCTTGGGCTTGTCGGTCTGGGCGGGCTTGGTCTGGACCTCAGTAGGGGCGAGAGCAGCTTTGTCTGTTTAAGTAATAGGTCAGCAATCGACTCTTTCCAGTCAATGACCACGTTGACGGCCCTTGCGCATTTCACCGATAATCCGTGAATGCGCCGGACTTGCGGCGCATGCAGATTGGAATGTTTAAACTTACCGCTGGAGGAGCCGAAGAAACCGGTAAGCCACGACATTTTAAATAGAGAGTGATGGTGTTACTATAGAAGTTGGATGTGAAAGAGTGTGGAGAGTAGCTGTGAGAGAGTGTGAATTCCAGGTTGAATTGTCGTGATCGGTTGCCTATCATATCATTATTAATTCCTGCGTAACTGGTTCGCTTTCGCCGCCGTAGTAATTTTTTTGTTATCGCCAAACACTCTCCGTTGCCCCCCTCCATATTTTGCTCCCCGCTCTGCCTCCTTATTTTTCCTTTCTACCGGGTTTGGTCCTTGTCGCTTCTAGGATTGCTACAACTCTTTGAAACCTAATCTCAATTCTCATCCTGATTATCTATCCCGATTCTATCCCATCTCCCCCCTCAACTACTACCCCGCCATGGCCCCTCCTAAGATCTTCTCCCTCGAAGGCAAAGGCCTCAAGCTCGACACTGCCGAGGACATCGAGTCCCACATCAAGCCTCTTGTCGATAACACTGATTACACTGAGATTCGTTTTGGCGGTAACACTTTGGGCGTCGGTGCCTCTGAGCGTCTCGCCGCCGTTATCGCTACCCAGAAGAGCCTCGAAGTCGCCGAGCTTGCCGATATCTTCACTTCCCGTCTCTTGTCGGAGATCCCTCCCGCCCTGAAGTCCCTCCTCGATGCCATACTCGAGATCCCCTCCGTCCACACCGTCAACCTTTCCGACAATGCCTTTGGTCTCAACACCCAGGCCCCCTCGTCGATTTCCTGTCGCGTCACACTCCCCTCCGCCACCTGATTCTGAACAACAACGGTCTTGGCCCTGCCGCTGGTACCCTGGTTGCCGATGCTCTGAGCAAGCTTGCTGAGCGCAAGGAGGAGGCCCGCAAAGAGGGCAAGGAGATTGCTCAGCTAGAGAGCATCGTCTGCGGACGTAACCGTCTTGAGAATGGCAGTATGGAGGCTTGGGCCCGTGCCTACGAGAAGCACTCCGCTGGCATGAAGTCCGTCAAGATGACACAGAACGGCATTCGCCAGGAGGGTATCTTCCACCTGCTCAAGGAAGGTCTTCGCCACGCCTCTGCGCTTGAGGTTCTGGATCTGCAGGATAACACTTTCACTGTTCTGGGCTCTACTGCTCTGGCTAGCGTTTTGGAGGGCTGGCCTTCCCTGCGCGAGCTGGGTGTTGGTGACTGCCTTCTCTCCGCCCGTGGTGGTGTCAAGGTTGCCAAGGCCCTGGCTGCCAACAAGAACCAGAAGATCCAGACCCTGCGTCTCCAGTACAACGAGCTCAAGGCTGAGAGTTTGAAGGAGCTTACCCATGCCGCCAAGACTGCCCTTCCCAGCCTTCGTCGTGTTGAGCTGAACGGCAACATCCTTAACGAGGACGATAACAACATCACTGAGCTTCGCGAGCTTCTGGAGGCTCGTCAGGAGGAGCACGGTACCGACGAGGATCCCGAGGACACCTGGGGTCTGGATGAGCTTGACGAGCTCGAAGAGGAGGAGTCCGAGGAAGAGGAGGAGGAGGAGGAGGAAGAAAGAGAGCAGAAGGCCGAGAAGGAAGTCAAGGATACTGAGCGTGCCGAGGAGGAGAAGGTCTCCCAGAAGATCGAAAAGGCCGTCGAGGATCTTGCCAACGCTCTGGGCAAGACTGGTCTGTAGATCAGAACCTTTCCGCCTCGATTCTGGGATGTTTCTTTCTAATCCATGGATCCTGGAGTCGTACGCCTCTTGCTCTAGTCGTGCAAAATGCCCGCCAGTTCTTTTGGTCTTCGAGGTCTTCCCGCGCGCCACTCATGAGGTCCCGACTGACGATACCGACGCCACATCACAAAACTTTCCCCTAACTTCATAATACCCTGTTGACGATGACGACTGCACATAATCCTGTTCGATTTCATCCATACATGCATAGCCATTACGAGCTCTGATGCCTTGGAGGACACGAAAGAAAAGAAACTTCATAGATGTGAATACACTTGGTCCCACCAGACCACCACTTGCTTAATTTAAACCGCTCCACGCGTAACTTGCTGTTTAATCCTTGGTAGCACCATTTACGAATCTAGACATCGCGGGCCGAAACAAGGCCATCTTCAACTGGCAGCGGATAGTGGTTGCCAAAAGTCTCTTTCGTCTACAGGCAAATCCGAACAAAGGTAATTGAGACCCTATTGGGGCTAGTTGATGCTTATTGAGACCCATTTTCGGTCGTGGAGATGGGAGGCAAGAGAGTAGCTCACAAAGGCAATAGAGGACTCGGTTTCAGTCACGCTATCAAGATGACCTTTGTTGGGAAAGTCGAGTACATCTACCTTTCGCCCAATAAGATGAGATGTTTACAAGACCATTTCTATCCCTGAGGTCGTAACAAAGAAACATTTTATTTTATGTAGCACTCCTGGTCACCCGGACCTGAAAATCCAAAGTCCATCGAAGTTGTTTGCCATATATTAGGTTCTGGAAGGTGTCTTTATCGCTCTTTCCCAAGTCCCACTTTCATCCCAATGTAAACAACACCCGCAGCAACCCAGCAACGGCCACAACGCACCTTGTTGTTTACCTCTGCACCTTTTCATCTGTACAACCAACTTCAATTACCGACTGACATTAACTTTTTACATGATGGGGCGTCACCCAAAGCACGTTCTCGTGCTCGGCTCCCTGCTCAGTCTCCTTCTGAGCTTTGCGTCGGCCATACACACGTTCGGTGAAAACAACAGCGTGAGTACCTCCAGTCCCTCTTACTGTTTCTCAAGCTAACATTTTCTCTTCAGACCATCCAACTTAGAGCTCGAGACTCCACATACCCGTTTCCCGCAGCCGGTGATGGAGTCTGCTACACCTATGTCGTTCAAGAAGGTGATACCTGCGAAAGCGTTGCCTCGACTCGAAAGATCACAGCGGATGATCTAGTAAAGTACAATACGAAGACGTGGCGATGGGCGGGATGCAATCCCATGGCCCTGGGAAGCATCGTCTGCCTGGGCCCTGGCGAAATCCCCATGCCAGTTGCTTTGCCGCAGGCTGTGTGTGGTCCGCAGGTGCCTGGAACTCAGAGACCAGCGAACATGGATGATCTGAAGAGTCTGAATCCCTGCCCCAGTGGTGATTGTGTAAGTTTTTTTCTTCAGTCTCGTGGATTTCTGCTAACTTTCATTCGAATCAGTGCTTCGCGAATGGCCATTGTGACTCGAAGTGCTCCAGTGGTGACTCGGGTGCAGTTGCAGCTGTGACAACTACTACGACAGAACAAACAGTAACCACCACTTCACAAGAGCAGAAGATATCTTCGACCGCTACCAAGGAAACGACAACCACCAAGAAGGAAGAGCCCAAGACCATGACGACAACTACCAAGGAGGAAGAGCCCAAGACCACGACGACAACCACCAAAAAGGAAGAGCCCAAAACCACGACGACAACCTCCAGGAAACCAGTCAAAACCTTCAGCATAACCGCCTACGAAGGCAAAAACTGTGATCCTGACAACGGAAACTACTTCGTTGTGTCGGGATACTCGGCTGACTGGTCTCCCTGCATCGACGTTTCGTCTGATCTCCCTCCCTCGGACGACGATGCCCAGATCTGGTGTCAGTATTACACCAATGGTGGATTCTCGTGGTCCAATTGTTCTGCGAATGACCTGCTCCATCCCAAATCCTGGGCTATGAGGGCTGGCGGCTGCGCAACCTTCAGAGATCGTGCGTGCAAGGAACCGGGTGGCTCGGTTTACCCTGGTACTTCTAGACCGTGCCAAGATGAACATACTGGTGTTTTGTCGGATGATACCTTTGGTTCACTCTCTTGTATGAGTCCTATGGACATGTCTTGAGGATTTTCCTGGAATGTGAAGGAAACTGAGTGATCTTATTCTCTTCTCGCTGTTTGATTATTTGAGCCCTTTCTGATATTGAATTTTTGTTCCAATTGAGGTTGTATGAATGTATGAAAAGGATAAATAGTACCACTAGTTTCAGCGCCTTGAATGAAATCAGCTCAATCAAATATCGGATAAAAGGTTTAAAATCAGTCGTAGAAGGGAATAACGAGCCTAGAATATCACTTCAACATGCCGGTGTTTCATTCGGTTAAAACCCATTTTTCGAATCCACTTTTCCAGTCGTAATAGCTGTATACTGACCAGCCCGACGCGCCGAGTGAAGGATTTCCGAATCGGGCAGCTATGTCTTGGCACTCGACCTCGGAGCTCCCGACTTCTTCTCTCGCTCGACTCCATTCATTCGACCCGCACCGTCTATAACACTCCCACGTTTCTCTACGGCAAAACTCGCCGCCCCAATTTCCTGAATTCTTCTCTCTCGCAACTCTCCGCCCAAAATCGATTTTCGCCCTGAGGTAAGTCTTTGCGCGACCCGCCCCTCCCATTCTGCGCTCCCCCATACCCCAAGCCATGGCGGTCGCAAACCGCATTCAACCTGGCGCATTTCTCTCATTGCGTCGAGCGATGCCGTCTCTCCAGGCGAATGTGAAGCAAATGCTTCAGGTGGGATGTTGGGCACATGCCGTTTGCGACCAGGGCTGTCTACTTAGACGGTGGCCAAGACGAAGAACAATATGGAAATTGTGCTCACACATGGCCAGTGGCAATGTCCTCACTTCCTGGCTATTATATGAGTACAAATACCCTGATATTCCATCGTGCTGGCTACGGGTCCTTTGTGGGGGGTGACAACAATGTTTTTTTTCTCGGCAATCTTCAGTGCGCAAGTTGCTAACAAGATTCTCACGGTGCAGATTGCAACAAAATCACTGTCCAGCGCCTAGACGCTCGCTCTCAAACCCCCACGACTTAACCTCCACTCCTCGAATCCTCACATAACCACGGCCATGGACGCCAAGGAGATCGAAACGAAGACGAAGGCCTTGACAAAGGCGGCCTCGTCCGGCGAGTCGCCCGCGACACTCACCAGCCTGCTCAAAGAACTGCAATCGGGGGTGCGCGCCACGGAGGATCTCCTGCGATCGACACGCGTCGGAATCGTCGTCAACAAGCTCAAGACCAGCAAGGCACCAGAGGTGGCGCGACTGGCCAGTGAAATGGTCTCGAAATGGCGGACTGAGGTCAACAAGCAGAAGCAGGCCGGCGGCGCAGCTTCCAGTCGGGGCTCTAGCTCCCCGCGCCCAGCACAGAACGGAACTGGCGCATCCACCCCCGCAAAGACTACTCCATCTGATAAGGCCTCGAAGCTGTCGGTTCCCCCGGACAAGCGGACATGGAAGGCGGATGGCGTCGATACCAACGTGACTACGAGCAAGGTCCGCGACAGCTGCATCGGTCTGATGTACGACGGTCTGTGTCTGGGATCGACCGAGTCGCCCAAGGACGTATTGAAGAAGGCCATTGCCGTCGAGACGGCCGCGCACGACCACCTCGGACCCGACACGAAGGAGGCGTACCGCACTAAGATGCGCAGCTTGTTCCAAAATCTAAAGAACAAGTCCAATCCCACCCTTCGCGTGCGTGTACTTTCCGGCGAAATCAAGCCCGATCAGTTCATTCGCATGTCGTCCGATGAACTGCGGTCCGACTCGCAGCGTGAGGCGGATGAGAAGATCAAGAAGGAGAACATGAACAATGCCATGGTTGCTCAGGCCGAGCGTTCGATCAGTACCAGTTTGCAGTGCGGCAAGTGCGGTCAGCGCAAGGTAACCTACACCGAGGCCCAGACCCGCAGTGCAGATGAACCGATGACTCTGTTCTGCACCTGCATGAACTGCGGCAAGTCGTGGAAGCAGTGAGGTAAGGTAGTGATGTGAAATCGAATTCGAGCACGAGAGGAGCGAGCAAATGTATCAATTTATTATTACTGGGAATCGGCGTTTTTGGTTTCTGCGGTTTTCCCGTGGGCCCTTCATTTTGGCCCACGCTTACTGTTGCGTTTTTTTTGCTTGGGGTTTATTTCTGTCTTATTCTTGCGTTCATTTGAGGCTGTCAAGGCCGAAATCCGGAGAACTAAATAAAAGGGGGAAATACAAGGGGACTTTTCCGTCCGCTTTGTCCAGGCCAAAAAGCAGACTGGAAAGTCTGACCTCAATTATTGCATTGAGAAATCTATCACGAGCAAATATTCGATGCCCTACTTTACACCTAGGGTAGTCCGCAGAAAATCATAAAGAACAATGCAACGAACGTCATGGTTATGTAAGACCTACCAAGGGCAGCCTCCAAGCTTAAATCAACCTCACAACATCAAAACCATTCCTACATCTTACTAGTGTGCAATTGAGTACTAGACAGAGATACTCCAGTTCACATCAGGATAACAATGACGCCCAAAACCTCACTCACCGAGGCAGTCCAGCACTTCCTCAATGCTCTAACAGCCTCACCACCCTCCACCCCCAACCTCCTAAAAACATTCACTACAAACCCACGCCCTCTAATCCACGAACACGGGCTACAGCAACTAGCTCCGTTCCTCGGGCGGACGTTCACAGGATCCGAGGGTGTTACGCGGTACTTCGAGATTCTGGCTCAGTACCTGAGTATCGAAAAGATGGGTTTTGAATCTGAGGATGCGTGGGTCGTTGATGAGGAGAGTATGACTGTTTCTTTGCGTGGGTCTGCGAGGTTCGTTTGGAAGGAGACTGGGCAAGCGTGGGATGAGACTTTTTTTTATCGGCTTGGGCTGGCGAGGGATGAGGGGGAGGGGAAGGTGGCCGTCTGTGAGTATCGGATTTGGGCGGATACGGGGGCTGCGTATCTTGCTAGGATTGGGAGGTTGGAGGATGTGCTTGCTGGGGATTCTCTTGGGAAAGAGCAGGGTCAGAAGGATGTACTTGGGGGTGGGTTGAATGTTTATGGTTCTTGTGGGTGAGCGAGTTAATTGACTCGGAACTGGTGGTTGTGGTTATGATTCATGTATGGACGAAAGTAATTCTGATGAAATTCAGCTTAACAAAATCCATCCCCATTCGGCTTTTATCAATTCTGCACAAAATAGCTAGTATACCACCTTCAACCCTCTCCAAACCTACTCTCCACCAACAACCTCCCAATCAATCCATTCCACGTCCCCAAAAACCCCCTCCTGATCCTGAAACACCTTCACCGGCTCACTATACCCCTTCCAAGCACTCTTCGTCAAGAGCGCCGTAACACCACCCTCCACCCTCCCAGTTTTATTAAACCCCGGACCACTAATCCTATACTCCGCCATAAGCGTCGTCCCCTTCACATACCTCGCCACACCTGAAACAACCCAATCAATATACCCACTGGGCTCAATGCTCCCATCCTCATAGCACCTCGCAAAGATCGAGCGATGCTGCGAGTTCCACGGTCGACCGAGCGCACACGCACCCTTGATATCAGCCGCGATGGAAGCGTTGGCGGCCTGCACGGTCGAGTCGACGATGTACACGCCGTACTTGTTTTCAAAGGTCGTGTTCGTGCCTTTCCAGGCTGTTATCCCGCCGCCGCAGGAGCGGAGTTGTAGTTTGCTGGATTGGATCCAGGCTGTGCCGAAGCCGTAGATGAAGTCTGTTTGGCCGGCTATTATGCTTTTGTAGAAGTAGGCGTTACCGAGTTTGCCTACGTAGACCTATCGGGAGTGAGTTAGCTCATTCTGTGAGTTTTTTCTTCGTTTCTCACAGGTGCTGAGAGTCATCTTTGAAAGAGGGAAGGACGAACCGTATCCTGATAAGAATAAAACCCACAAAAATAGAACCCACCATTAGCTCGACTAAAACTGAGCGCATGAGCCGGCCCATCCGAGTACTCAGCCCAAGTATTCCGAAAGTCAACATTATAGACCCTAAAATCCGAATTCCCAAACGGCGTATCATCGGGCACCGCAAAACCCGTCGTACCAGACCCCGTCAAGGACGCATCCAGCGTCGGCGCAACGACCAGTACGCTCGAGAAGACATTATCGACGCTCTGTCCCGTGCTGTCCTTATTCGCGGCCGCCCAGGTGAGCGTGACCTCGTTCTTGGATGCGTCGTGCGGAGATTTCGTCTGCCCCAGGAGTGTTATTGGGCCTGCGCGGGTGATATTTACTTGTTCGACGTAGATGCCGGCGAGGAGGAGGATTATTTGTGGCGTTGTGTCGTCTGGCAGGGAGGTTATTGCTGATTGGAGGGTTGGGAAGTCTGCTGTTGTGCTGTTGCCGACTATTATTGTTCCTGCTGGGCAGTGGGTGGGGTTTTGTTGGCATTTTTGTCGGGTTGATGATTTCAAGGGTTGTGCGGTTGCTTGCCATAGCAGTGGGAGGAGGGGGAGGAGAGAGAAGATTTGCATGGTGGCTATTCTCACGTCCTGGTTAATTGGCTTGGTTGATCCAGGAGACAGAATACAACATGTAAAGCAAGCCTGAGTCTACGACTTTTATAGCAGCTCTGTGCGATTGTAGCTTGTATTACTCCTCATTGACATTAATCTACTAGTAAGCAGCAGACGGAAAATCTCCTCATAGATCGAGACTGGCCGAGAGTGGGAGTTAAGCCCGGACATAGATTAGCTTCCTACGGCTGTAGAGCAGTGGAATGTACGATCTCCGCGTTCCCCCGCAAGCTGTGGCTATGAAGAAGCTTGTCTTTTCCCCGCATGGTGGAAAATCTTCCGGGAAGTTGTTGGTTTTGATGGGACGGAAAATTGGACTTCCGCCTGTTAAAGGCGTGGGACTTGCATACCGCGGCCGATACCGGGTCAGCTGGCTAAGGCGAACGGGGCTAAGTTCAATTGAATCAAGGACCAAAGGGGGGCTAAGGTATGTTAAGGGAACTACAGTTATGCTTACAGGTATGGAGAGAGCTCATTAGAATCCCTTGATGATTGACAAGATACCACTATTAACGACATACATACACGTAGAGAAAGAAAACTTGACTCTAACAACTCGAAAGCAACAGAGCTCAAGGGGTAAATGGAACACACAAAAGTCTATAATACGGTGGAAAAAGGAAGAAAAAAGACGGGACCCAGCCTTTTTTTTTCCCACGGTATGCATGTCCAGGATAGATGGCAAGCAAGCGAAGTTGCGTGGTAGGATATGGTAGCAAGGGGGCTTTGTCAAAGAAAAAATGTAAGGAAAATTAATTGAACATCGGACCAGTATCGAGTTCAGAAAAAGAGAAAGCCGACCAGGCTGGTAATAAAACTCTTACGCGGGGAGCGCAAGAATTTACTCATCCTCCTCGATGTCGTCAGTGCGAGCACCCAGGGTGAAGCGGGAAGTACCGTCGGCACTCTTCTCGTGCTCGATGGCGAGCTTGGAGAGGTGAGCGATCATGTTCTCGATCTGGGTGTCGGCCTTGGAGCGGGTCTTGCGGCCAAGGTTGTCCAGGCCGGGAATGATGGTCAGGATGTAGTAGACCACGGCAATGATGACGGTGACACCGATGGAGTAAGCCCAGATGACAACGACGGTGACGATGTCGACATCGTTGTTGACGGAGAAGGTAGGGCCAGCAGGGTCGTAGGGGTGAGTCTGCTTCCACTCACCGGCCAACCAGCCGAAGACAGCGAAGAGAGTGGCCAGGACATCAACGATGAAGATGGCAATGACCAGCTGCCACGAGGGCCAGGTCTTGCCACCACGGGTGACGAAGATCAGCCAGTTCTCAGTCAAGGCAACCTCAAGGAAGAGAATCTCCTGAGGAGAGCCGTAGTTCTGGATGATACCGCCGTTGGCCAGGAACAGAGTACCACGGATGATCCAGGTGGCGGCAGCCAGCAGGATACCGAGAACGATGGAGATGACCCAGATCTTAGGCAGCTGCCACTCGACGGGGCGGGCCTCGAAGTGAGCGTTGTCGTAGGCGACGGCAATGGTGGCCAGATCAGCGAAAAGGGCGATGAAGACAATCAGGTCGGAGCGGATGGTCTCGTCAATGATGATCATCGAGGTGACCAGGTAGATCTCAAGGTGCAGACACAGGGCGATACGGTACTGGATGTAGGCCTTCATGCGCTGGAAGATCTGACGGGCCAGCTTGATAGCATCGACAATGGTGGACAGACCGGGGGCAAGGAAGACAATATCGGCAGCAGCCTGGGCAGCCTCAGTGGAGCCCTCGACGGCAATACCGCAGTCAGCCTTCTTCAGGGAGGGAGCATCGTTGACACCGTCACCAGTCATGGCAGTCAGGTGACCACGCTGCTGGAGCATCTCGACGACCTGGTACTTGTGCTCGGGGAAAACCTCAGCGAAACCGTCGGCCTTCTCAACAAGCTCGTGCTGGGCAGAGCCGGCGAGACCACCGTGGATCAGGCGCTCAGAGTCGTAAACCTTGGTACCAAGGGCAAGCATCTTGCAGGTCTCCTTGGCGATAGCGATGGCGTCACCAGTAAGCATCTTGACGGAGAGACCAAGAACCTGGGCCTCAGCGATGGTGTGGGCAGTGTCCTCACGAGGGGGGTCGAACATGGGGTACATGCCCAGAAGCTGCCAGGGCTCACCCTCCTTCTGGACGGCGACACCGAGGGAACGGAAACCACGGCGAGCGAACTCGGTAGCCTTGTCACGGTAGAGCTGGGCCTCCTCCTCGGAGCACTCAGACATGTTCAGGATGGCCTTGGGGGCACCCTTGGCGCAGATGTAGCGGACACCGTCGCAGGTACAGATGGTGGTGATACGCTTGGAGACAGGGTCGAAAGGAGTGTACTTCTCAGTGATCCAGTTGCGGGCCAGAATCTCACGGGCCTTGGGGTAGCGACGGAGAGTAAGAATGGTGACCTTGTCAATGGGGTCCAGGTTCTTGACGTTGTGGGAGGAGGCAATGGCGGCGACAGCCATCATCCAGTTGACATCGACACCCTCAGCGACGTAGGGCTCACGGATGGACAGCTGGTTGGCGGTCAGGGTACCGGTCTTGTCAGAGCACAGAACATCGACACCAGCGAGGGACTCGATGGCAGTAAGCTTCTGGACGATAGCCTTCTGCTCGGCCAGGTAGGCGGCACCGACGGCGAGGGTGGTGGTGGTGACGACGGGCAGACCGACGGGAACACCAATGATGAGCAGAATCAGAGTGTAGTGCAGCAGGTTGTTGTCGGACTCCTCGGGGGTAGCGATCTTCAGGTGACGGAAGAAACCACCGATCCAGGCAGCGAGAATCCAGAACATGACGAGAACCAGCAGGGAGGTACCAATGTTGTCCATGACAGCCTTGAAGTGACCCTGGTCCTGGGCGCCCTGGACCAGAGCAGCGGTCTTACCGACAAAGGACTGACGGGCAGTGGCAGTGACGATAGCGTAGGCCTTGCCGCGCTTGCAACCGGTGGTGTAGTAGCAAGTGTCGGCCATGTACTTGTCGACGGCGAGAGACTCACCGGTGATAGCGGACTGATCGCAAGCAATCAGGGAAACACCGGTGTGGGCCTCGCGGGCATCCTCGTCCTCATCGTCGTCCTTCTCCTTGAGGGTGTCGTCGTTGGCGGTAGCGAGGTACTCCTTGTAGGTTTCGAAATTCTCGGGCTTGTCGTAGTCACAGATGAGACGGACATCGGCGGGGATAACGTGACCCTCCTCGACAATGACAATGTCACCAGCAACGAGCTCTCGGGCCAGAATCTCCTCCTCCTGGCCGTTGCGGACAACAACGGCACGCATGGCAATATCACCCTTCAGCGAAGCAACAACATCGGCGGCCTGCTTCTCCTGGTACCAACCGACGAGGGCGTTGAGCAGAAGAATACCACAGATGACACCAAGATCGATCCAGTCACGCAGACCAGCGGCGAGCAGGACAGCAAGTTCCATAACTAGACGCGTAGAAGTTAGAATGACGCGTCTAAAAGCCATTGGAATGTGTATTAGGGGTCATTGGGTCCGTACTCACCATACAGAATAGGACCACGGAAGTAACCGATGAACTGGATGAAGATGTTGGTCTTCTCAGTCACCAGCTCGTTCCAGCCGCACTTCTTGCGGCGAGGCTCAATGTCAGAGGAGCTCAGACCGGAGCGCAAGTCGGTCTCGAGCCACTCATCGGGGCACTGCCAGCCCTCCTCAACGGAGTCGCCCTGCTTGCCCCAGAACTTCCACCAGGGCTTCTTAGTACCCTTCTCGCTCAGCGCGCCGGCCGAGGAGGTGGAACCGCGACGGCCATCACGGGCAGTCGAAATGTAACGGTTCAGGGCGGAGTACTCGTCGAGAGCACCACCGTCGCCACCGCTAGTTTCGTGAGTCTCCTTGGTGTGACGTTCGCCATTCTCGACGTCGACGGCATAGGAGATCCTCCGCTCGCTCGAGCTCGTCTGGGTTGTCGCCATTGTTGCTGTTGTACCGGCTCACAAGCCTTGGGGGACCAACGCTTTCAATGGCAGGTATCGAACGAGACGGAATAATCCTATGAAGAAAGGGAAAGGAAAGAAAAAGAGAGTGGGTTGGAAGGGAATGGGACTTTATAATACGGGGGGCCCTGGGTTGGGTGGACAGAAAGAGAGAACGGAAGTGGGTGTGTGGATAAAGCTGGTCGTGAGGGAAAAAGAAAATGGACAAAAAGAAAAATCTGAAGAGCGAAACAGGAAAGGCTAAGTAATTTGGGTCCGTGTCGATGGAGGTTGGAGCAGGGCGAGGTACTTGGCCGTCGGGGAGGGCGTTGCTGGGGGGAGAAGTACTCTCCACTTTTTTTTATTTTTTATACTTTTATTTTTCGTGATCCTTCCCAAGGTTGGTGCTTCCAGACTAGGGTGACCAGCGTGTATTGTGTGTAATTACATTACCGCCACCACGGCACTCGCTGCCGAGCTCCACCTGGTACGACTGGCCAGCCAAGTGTGGTGCCCCAGTTGCTCCCGGCTTGACTATGCGCGATTTTCTGGGGTTCCCTCTACCATACAGTAGAAACAGCACCACTTTGCCCAGCACACAGCAGTGTAGTTAAGAAAAACCTTACGCCGACTATCGCATTGGCACAGCTGCAGAATACAGCGAACTGGAATGATTCAGATTGTTATGTCGGAGATTTTCGCATTCCGCAGCATCAAAATAAACGATCCCCTTGCAGGAACATCTTGCTCCTTTGAGCGAGACGGCCCGATAATACTTTACAGGTAATGTATCCGCGTGTAACCTGTGCCTCGTACGGTACCGTGTATCAGGGGCTTACCGCCCGGTCGTCGACCCTCACGGCTTCACGGGTCAGAGATTTCTCTGCAGTAGTCATCACTGCACAATGTCGACCCGATGCTACACTATGATTCAATTGTTCGGGGGCAGCGCCGCAAGCGGAAGAGCTGCCAGTAGCAGAATGTGCATCCCCCTACATACATACCCTCATACCTTAGTGCCTTAGCAATACCTCCAGCCTTCTGTACAGTATCGTGTATGCTGTACGCTGTGGGTGATACCATTATGTCATGTCTTATCGACACAACCCCCCACTGCAGCGACGGCCTCGCCCCAGCTACCTTCTTCGATCGAGCTCCCTCGTGGAGAGTCATTTAATTGCGCCCGCCTGATTTGCCGCGGCCATGCCGGCTCCATCGACTAACGCCGTCTTGCCTGCGTTGGCCGGCATGCGGCGAATCACACCTCATCCCGGCGCCGACGATGAAGTCATCGCGCCGATCGCCGACTCGGCCCCAGCGCGCGCTCGCGTCTTCGGGGGCTGCTGTGCTTGGTATAGTGGTTGTGCTGGGTGTAGTAGGGCTGGCGTGACTGGACGTTGGCCGACCAGATGAGACGAGACGCGACGCGCTGGTGAGATGGATGGAGATGAGTTGCACAACGGTTGCCCTATCCTATACACAGCACCTCATTATTGTGGAGGTTAGGTATGGAGGCTGGTGATCGCCTGACAACACTAGGTGCAGTAGCATCCCAGTCCAAGCTTTCCGGGATACTCGATGAGTTGATCTCCAGCCTCCAGCCTCCGTCACATCACACTCCAGATGCAATGCATGTATAGGGTAGACGAGGACAAGGATGCTGCAAATCTACGCGCACCATTGGGCTTGGCGAAACAGGATGCACCCCGGCTTTGAAGGATCAGGATCCCCACGATCACGTTCAAAGGCCGACGGGGTCGCGCCCCGTCAATCGTTGATATAGAATTCGTTTTCGTATACTCCAGGACAGATATTCGAGGTATACGCTCTATGGGACATCTCGGGCTACCCGAAGGAACATCCCGGCGCTTTCCGCGTTAGAGTCTAGATCAATCACCAGGGTCGGGTATACTCTGGCAGCGACAACGAGGGTAATTCGAATCCTACCACTCCTGCTCAGGCAAGTTAAGGTAATATTAATGTGCATCCCCCCCCTCGATTCCTCCACGAGGAAAGTACGGAAGGAGGGGCCCCGAGGGGCCCCAATCATCTCCCAAACCACGGCAACTCCAGACCTCACAATCTCCCCTATCCTCTGCGAAACCAAACCCGTTCGGGAAACCGACCGGTGTGCCTGTTGGGCGTGTGGACCGCAAAGAGCGGCAACCTCACAACATCCTTGCCGTGTTCGTAGAGCACTGCGGTCTTTACTACCACTGTCACCCACTATGCTATGTAAACGACTAGGGAGCGGAAAGTCGCGCTTCATCCCCCTGCGACCCCGTGCTGCGATTCCGGGGGATTCTCGCCGTTGGACACGTCAGCCAAGCTTTCCTTCCACACTGCGCTGGCAATAACCGATGGATTTGGAGGCTGGAGTGCACTGGAGAGGTATTATCCCATGGCTACTACCCTCCACCCGTAGACAAAGGGTCTGGTGGGTGCATTGTCTGGGCACTTGACACCTGGGCAAATGCAGGCGGACCCTCTGAGGATTTTGTGTCGGCTCGGGTTGCAGGAGTGGAGAGCTTGCTCAGAAGTGTGTGCGAATTGGCGTCGTCGAGGAGAGAAGAGGTCCCCCACGGCGACCCGTGGGTAGACAGCAACGTGCTCACAGTCAGTGTCGGAGGTAGATTGTCGGTTGATATTTATTCAATATGGTGTTGAGATGAATTGAGGATGCGACCGTGCGATCCTTTTTTCATGTTATCACTCAGATAAAAATGTAGCGGTAGTACACCCTACACTGTGTTGTGGTGTTCTCTACGGGGCACCAGGATATACCTCCCATGCCATTACAATGGTTCAATGTGGTCCGCTTGTATATCACCAGCACAAAGTACTGATCTGATCGCCCATTGTTCTAAGGTAGGGTCACCGCGATCCGACAGTGCAGACATTCGACGTCACCCACCACAGGCTCGAAGATTCAATTTTCAGCCTTGGACGATCACGCCGCTGACATCGTGGCAGGCCGAGCAGGGCACGGAGCCTCTCCAAAATACCTCATTGCCACTTGCTGTTTTCTGCTTGCCACTTTCCCCAGCGGTGTAAAAATCACCTTTCTCCGTAGTAAAAATAATCGCGCGGAGATAGTCGACATCGGGGTCGGCACGGAGCAACTGCGAGACTTTTTTCCCCAGTGGAGCCCCGGAGCAGCACCACTCTCCTCTGGTGGTGAGTGACCGGCACACATCCGCCAATTTCCCGGTGGACCCGCGTGCGTGTGCACAAGTCTTCGAGACGTTTTCTAGAAGGCTTCTGCGAGCCGGTTCCATGGTTGCTGCAGTGGTTCTGCTGGCTCGGAAGTACCAGAAGAGATTTCGCCGTGGCACTGGAATGGGAATGCCCTGACTCTCCTCTCGTCAGGGCACACCTTAGGAAAGATGAGATAGAGTAAGAGGATGATAAGGGTGAAACTCTCACGTCATGGCCTTATCGTGCCAATTCCGTCGGTCGTTTCTGGTTAGCCTGGGGATTCCTCCAGCAGTACGAGGGTACGATTGCCATAGAATACGCAGACTGAGGAATACTATACTTACGATACATACAATACGCACGTGACACCCGGAAAGGAACGAAATTCCCACTCAGGCTAGCGCAATTGGAGCCACCAGCCAATAAAGGCGCGTCAAATCTGCTGAGTCAGGCGGACTGCCGTTTCTGCCGACGCAGTTGCAGAGATTTCTCGCACCCGCCAGATCACGGCATTGGCATTGGCATTGGCATCGCTCGACCCAACTGACCAGATTCAATTGGCTTACTCAATTGACCAGACACTCTCAGTTGAGCTCGGCAAGTAACTACCAACAAGTCAAGTCCACCCCTCCAACGGCGAAACCGATCGCGCGACCATCATTTCTTGGCTTCACCTCGCAGCCGTGTACCTACAGTAGCGGGCGAGCGGGATGGGCCCGACGCGCTCCCTGGAGCAATCACACGCCGGCCTGGGCGACGGACTGGGTCCCCCATCTGAATCAAACCCTCACCGGTGGGCCAGAGGAGCATCGTGAAGGGGTTGCCCCACCTGACGATCGCCCTGCCAAATCTACCCTAGTTCTTACTCTCAGACTGTGCTGTGCTGTACGTGCTGTACGTGTACGATGTACGTTGTAAGAGCGCTTCCCGATGCCCCAACGCCGCGCTGAAGAGGGTTAGGATTGAGGCATTTATTGCCCGCACCAACCCATAACAATTACCCCTCCTGCAGTAGACTACTTCACCTTGGAGAATATGGCTCGACCTGCCCGAGGGAAATTGACGTGAGAGCTGATTGTTTCGCCGCGGACCGCAATATGTGCCCTAGGGAACTATTGTCCTCCTCCGAAGTACATACTATGTATAGCTAGATTACAGTAGTACCTCCCACTAGACAACACTAACCCCCTCGGTTCGCCAAGCGATCCCAGCGTTCGTTAACCCCGGGTTCTGCCCATGGAGAGTAATCTGGAGAATCGACCTGCCTACATACACTACTACTAGTAGTATACTGGAGTATACTGCTATGTGTAGTGACGGTCTGCGGTTCCCGCGCGTGCATTAAGGTTCGCGAATGGGATGGGCCCGCTTCTGCTGCATTCATGCATGCATGGAACCCGATTCCTCCCTACTTACTGTAATACTTAGAGTGCTGCCGGGCACTGAATACGCAAGGAGAGAACGTGGCGACGGGATCGCAAAAATCGCGCTTTACCATCTGGCGATTCGCCTCACTATCGGTGACAGTACGGGGTATCGGTGTGTATACGTGTATACCTAGGACGGGTAGTCGGACGTCAGGCGTGGAACGTGCTTTCCTTTTTACCCGGCTGCAAATTACCCTCAATAGTGGTAGTAGTAGTATTATTATTATTAGGAGTCCGTTACCTTCGTCATCGCCTGTGCTCGCGTGCCGTTTTCCCTTCCACCGCTGGGCATTATTGCCATCGAGAATTTTCAATTACGCCAAGGCATGGGGCAACTCGGTTCTCGGCATCCATCCACATTACCTGGGAATAGTGAGGGTAATAATGAACCGACCCTACCCTTGAGGATAGGGTAAACGGCAACCTCGGTCATTAGCAGATAAGGTCATCCCACGTCATTATTACTGGGCCTTGTCTAAATAAGCAGAGCCTCGACTCGGCGTCGGGGTGTCGGTCGGAATCCCGTCCAGGACTCGGGCTACGCGGCCGGGAGTCGGCATCTCCTAATTTTTTTCCTAGTGCGACATGTCGCAGGCATCTGGTCCCACGGCTGGCTCTTTTTTGGGTCTTACATTATAGGTGTCTGGATTCGGCCATATCCTCCTATGATACCCCTGAAGAGGGTGAGGGTCGGTTGTTTGCTGTCGGCTGACTATCTCAGGGTTGGCGATACTGACCCTAGTGGGTTCCCTCGGTAACAATGCACATACACAATGCACTACAGTATAGTGTAGGGTAGATTTGGTCAGCCCTGTGCATTTTTCATGGTACGCTATAGACTTAATAGCGACGATGTACCTGTTCGTGCTTGAAGTACCTACGTACATCGTCTAGCTAGTACTACTGTATGTACAGCACGATCTCGCGAACCCAGCGCCGATCGCTGGACAAACCTGCTGAACACACTACATAATACATGATGTCAAGGTTCTATCGGCTTCGGCCTCGCATTGCCAGCTGGTCACGCTAATCATTCCCGAAAGCTTCAGTTAGTCAGGAACAGAGTCCAGAAGAAATGGGCCGTCCCGCCCGGTGCAAGTTTATCTTTCAGGACACTCCTCTAAGCATAAGGCCGGCATCCTCACTGAAGCAGGCAGGTCGTGGACCGTCATGAAATCACCCTCGTATGGCCAAGCCAGGCCAGGCGTCTATCTCGGATAGTCTAGCTCATACTGTGCTCCTTTCATCTCCATCTGGGGAATGGGGTCCCAAATTGGGGGTCTATGACGACAGAATCAGGGGTTGTCGGGGATTTACTCTCACTCTATTCTATTTCAGGGATGAGCCCGATCAAAACAACGCGAGCGCGTCGCCTTTCACAGCTGTACTACGTATGTATGTACTATTCTAGCTCGCGACAGATCGACAGGAGAAAGGAGAAAAGGACAACAAACGCCCCCACCCGCCTCGACGCGATGCTCGCAACGGCATGGAGCGAACTCTTCTCCGGTCGCGGGCCCCAGAGCGCACATCACTATTTCAGAAACTGGTTTTCGCGACATTACTGTGCGTGCTCCATGCGTTTGACTGCGAGATTCGACCGCGCAAGCTCATGCAAGTTCCCTGGCATAGACCCAGCTCTACAATTTACTATTTTCCTCCCGCATAGGTAACCCTACTACGTAGTATGTACTTGCATGTGGCAGGTTGAAGTTTAGAGCCGCGACGATCGACGTGTTGACGCGATGCCCGCTATGGTAGGTTTGCCGAGAGAGATGTGATGCAGACGGCACACTCTGGCAATAGTCTATTGTCGCTAGATCCTGGGGTCGGCTGTCGTACATACACCACATAAAGAAAAAGTGCGTCGGGTTAGTCAGTTTGAGATTGTACCTGGTGAAACATGTATGACGGGCTTACGGCCAGAATACAATTTCTGCATTCGATTCTGTGCCTGATACATGATACCGTCCGAATTGGGATGATTCTACAACACTGCCTGTGATGTAGGCCATGCTGCTGATCTCGTCGATGTCAATGTTGAGGCCAATGGTTACAGTTTGAAAGTAACTGCCTGCCAGGCTCCGGCATAGACAGCAGCTAAACGCGGTGGCTGTGTATGCAGCCATTGCCCGACGTCGATCGGGGTATTACTGTAAGTTTGATCTGAGGCTTTTGCGACTGCCGTGCATACTGAGATACAGTGTAGATGCGTATATGAAGCTTCTCGTATGGTATCCCGCAGATACAGCGTCAAGCTTGGCAGATACTCTTCATACAATGGAGCTTGGCTGTGTTCAGAAACCGCCAAGCAGACAGGGATGCAGTCATCGAGGATCCGATCGACATGCTGCCTATTCCAGAACCCAGTATTGTTGCAGAGTACTATAGATAGAAAGAAGGGTGCATGATTGCATCTGTCTAGCATCGCCACGATGCTCTCCACGATCGACGACCCCAACCTTTCATTTTTCGAGTGACGATGGCAGGGGTCTCTTTACACCTGGAACTGCGTAGTTTCACAGGTCTTGGCCGACGGTATCTCGGCGTCATTGGACCCAATCATGGGACTTCACATGAGCTGTGGATCGATTTTCGTTCTCTTGTCTGGACTGCTAGTTGTACATAGCGTCACACTATAGGATATCGAGGAATTTATAGACCGCCGTAGTAAGAAGTAAGATCTTGGCAATACTCAATTACAAAATACAAGATGACTCAAAATCATGAACAAACCCAATCCAGATGACTATCGTTGCAGTGGCAATTCTGACTCCAGATGCTCATCCCTCCGATCATCCCTCCGGTCTTGGCACCTTGCCCGCACATTGCACTCGGGGATCATGATCTTCTTTGCAGCCTCTTGGCCTCGTATCCCAAAGATTAGGACGCCCAGCACAGCGCCCAGCACACAGAGGCAACACCCCTTGATCGGCCGGGAAGACCAATAGGCCACCAAGCACAATAATGTGAGTGAGCCCCTCCCCCTGAACCGCCAAGAACTGCCTCGCATCCCACACGCATTATCGTCTTGGCAGGTATCTCCCCCTTTCTTTACCCCCACGACCTCCGCTTGACGCCGGCTTTGGTCGTAACATCCTCCGCAATGCACACAGACCACTCTCCGCGATGATCGCTCTCCGCCTGCTGGCGGGGTGGACAGAGAGAGGGAGGGAAGGGAGCAAGGGCGGTTCGATAATGCGCGTCCGACGTCTGCATGGTGATCCGTTTCTTGGCGGGGGCTGTACACTGTACACTGCGACGTTGATGCGATGTATGCTTGCCTGCAGAGTTTGTTCTATCGAGTCTGGGTATCTTGGTTGTGCCTGATGCAGTAGAGATGTCCAGATTCATTCTATGGTGCCTGCTGGGTGTGTGGGATTGGGGGTGGCTTTTGCTGCCAAGGAGTGCGGCATTTACCTGCCGTGGACGGGAGGGTGTGGTTGTAGGACGGACTCTCGCCGTTCCAAGAGACTTGGCTGGAGGTCCAATTTTGGAGGTTGAGGTGTAACCCGTGTCTAGACTAGTGTAGAGTGTGGTGCAGGAGGATGTCAAATTGCCTGTGGTTGGTTTTACGAGGCGGAGTTGATTCGGGTTGGGTGTGTTTGGGCAGGGCGTGGTCGAGATCGTGAGGAATCACATCCATATTCAGTGTCATGGATAGACAGTTCGATTAGAAAGATAGACGTAGAAACTGTGGATGCTCGAATGGAGTTGATATTCTCGGGATTATCGTTTTGAAAATCATCGCGTCTTGTACTCGAGCTACTCGTCAGCAATCAAGCTTCTACGGCTATGGATCGGACCTTGGATGCATTTTGATATTCCTGGCTCTTAGTAACGACTACGGCATTTAGATTATATTTCATTCTATTTGCTGCGGTATTCTCTATCAGAAAAGCGTTGGTGTGGATCGGTAATCCCGATGGTATTGATATATATCTTCACCCGCCTACCAAACAACGACACCATTAAACCCAGCATCAGTGATTACATTTCGAAATTTCTTTTAAGTTTTCTAATCAGATTGAAAGAGATAAATTATACCATCATGAAGGTAGTTAACCGAATGGATTTTATCTACAAAATCTCGCTCATCGCTCATCGCTCACCCATGCTACGATTTCTAGACAATCTCAAACAAACCACTCAAACTCAATCATTTCAGACTCAGAGAGCATATTCCCAACGGTCTGGAACACAGCAAGGAGTAATACATATGTCAGACGCGACCTTATCCAAAAGAGCATACTTAGCCGACAACCACGGGAAACGATGAAACCTGCCCCTTGTAAGAATGAAAGTTGCCCTGAGCAACCCGTGCCATGAGGTTTCACATCGGACCCTTCATACGCACGTGGAGACACTCAGACGCTCAGCAAGGAATAATCACACAATCATGTATCGTCCAAGTTTCCCGAGAGGGATATGCTAAAATGCAATCTTCGTCCCCACCGTGCAAGGAACCATGACACCGGGCATGTGCTTTTCGATGGCGAATTTCGCCCGCCAGCCCGTACAGTGCCCTGGCATGAGTACTGCAGGATCCAGCCGTTTCAGATCGGCAACGGTGCTCTGTACCTGCGCCGGCTCGCTCATGGACAGGTGATACCCACCGACGACGCAGTGGACCGGTGCGCCGCCGCCGAGCTGGACGGCGCTCTTGACGGTATTCACTACGCCGGCGTGGCTACAGCCTGTGAAGACAACAAGGCCTTTGCCCTTGAGGTTGCACATGAGGAAGCGTTCGTCGGCAATGACTTCGTCGGAGAACCAGTCTTTTTCTTCGGGGTCGTAGCGCACTGCATTCTTGAGGCCTGTTTCGTACGGCGTCACGCGTGGTATCTCGCCTGAGACAAGGAAGAAGTCGTCAAGAATGGTCTTGGGGTTTTCGTCTTTGATGAGGGTTGCGCCGCTTGTTTGGATTTCTTCGAAGGTGGGATCTGCTTGGAGGGAGATTATGTGCTCTGGGAGCGAAATGCCTCGATAGACCGGCCGGTCTGGATGTACGTCCACAACCAGGTTCTCTGAGCGGGCTTCCTTGATCATCTTAATAGCTCGAAGAAGGCCGCCTAGTAATGAAATTAGTTAATGTCTGATCGACTGCAAGAAAAGACCGACCGGAGTGATCTCGATGCCAATGTGATAATTGAATAACCTCGACAGACGAGAGATCCGGGCGTAACCGCTTGACATTTCTCTCCCAAACGTCTTCTTCAGGCCCAGTATCAAAGAGAACTGAATGCTTCTTGTTGCCCTTCGTGGCTGTCTATATCATCATACCGGATGAGCTCCATGTCGACTCAAGCAGGCAGAGCTTCAAGGCCGTCTCTTACTACTAGGATTGATAGCCCATGCGCCGAGCAGCATATATCTTCCATCTGCAGTTCTTTACAAGCACCACCGCGGTCGGTGAGTGTATGCTCCGATTTCATGGCGATGTGTCCCAAGTTGCCTGTGATCTGGACGGTCTCTGGGGCCGGCGGAGACATGGGATCCAGTTCATTGTCGACGATGACAATCGCCTCGAGGGCGTCCACTTCTTGCAGGCCAAAATCGGCTTCGTCCATGTCGATGTCGGGTGCTGTTGATTCTCGGAAGAATTGTGTGTCCATCTCGGCCTTGATATATGGGGCCTACTCGCAACTCTTGCCCCAAGCGGGGTGGTGTAAGAAGTGAGACGGATGTGCCCGGCGACTTTAAGCGACTTCAAGTCAGCTGTCGGGCTCGGATGAGGTGAATAGCCCGAATTGTAGAGTGTAGACAGAGTCAGCCTGTGGAACCTGCCGCATCGCACAATTGGCGCGGGTCTAGGAGAGAGTCGTACCTTAGGAAAGTGGTGGATGCTCCGCGGTGCCACCGCGGATGACGACAGCCCGATCTTATCTCCGACGCCGACTGCCTTCCCTAAGCTCACCTCGAGCAGGCAGCTTCGTCTCTTAGAATCCGCACACACCTCCCACCTTCCCTCTTTCACATCTCTTGAACTTATCCGCGATGCGCTGAGTCCACGTTGCTCCTAGTTATGGCGTACGCTACCCTCCGCTCACTGCGGCTCCGTCCCACCGTCGCATCTCGTCCCCTCCCGCTTCCCCGAAGACATGTCCACCCCGGCAGCTACCAGCCCTTCGTCCCGCCGTCGCCAGCCTCACTAGGAAAGCCAACCCCGGCGAAAGACTATAAGCGAACCCGCAAATGGCTCCGACGGCTTCTCTACCTCTCCCTCACCACGGGCGTCGCCTATGGCATCGACACCCAATTCTACGCCTCATCATTAACCCGCACAACCCGGACCTTCTCGCTGGGTCTTCTCGTCGCCCTCGACTACAAGATCAATTTCCGACCAAACCCCCCACTAGCCAGCTCCATTGCGGCCGTGCATGCCCGGAACGCAGAGCGCTTATCGGACCTCTTACGTCACAATGGAGGGTTGTACCTGAAGATGGGCCAGGCGATTGCAATGCAATCGGCCATCCTGCCGCCCGAGTTCCAGCAGATGTTCTCGCGCATGTTCGATGATGCGCCGCAGAATGACTGGAAGCAGGTGGAGAAGGTCATCCACGAGGATTTTGGCAAGTCGCCCGAAGAGGTCTTTGGCGTCTCGTTTACTGGCGAGCCGGGGAAGGGTGTGATGGAGCGCAAGGCGCGTGCTAGTGCTAGTGTTGCGCAGGTGCATTGGGCGAGGTTGGAGGATGGCCGCGAAGTTGCGATTAAGATCCAGAAGCATGAGATTGTGCAACAATTGGCTTGGGATTTGTTCGCGTTCAAGTGAGTGATCATCAGTATATGAGACATGACAATTGGGCTAACTGCTTCTTCAAGGACCGTCACCTGGATCTACAGCAAACTGTTCGATATCCCCTTCTATAGCTTGGTACCTTATATCAGCGAGCGACTGTCCCTCGAGACAGATTTCCTCAACGAAGCCGATAACTCAGAGAACATGGCTCGACTGGTCGCCGGCGAACCACGCCTGCGTGATCGCGTCTATATCCCCAAAGTGTGGCGTGACCTCAGCTCCAAGCGAGTGATGACCGCTGAATGGATCGAGGGCGTAAGGCTCTGGGATAAAGATGCGATCACGCGATCATGGCGTGGAGGCTGGCGCCAGGGCAGTCCCGGTTGTCACGGAACCCCCATGGACCCTGCAACAAGCAAAAACACACCCCTCAACCCGCAACAGGCAATGGCCAAACCGGACCGCAATCACTGGCGGGGCCAGAATAACCGTGGCGGGCTTGGCCTGTCACTCAAGGACGTGATGACGACCATGGTTGATTTGTTCTCCGCCCAGATGTTCCTCTGGGGCTGGGTCCATTGCGATCCGCACCCAGGCAACATCTTCATCCGCCGTAAGCCCTCCGGTAAACCCGAACTAGTCCTCATCGACCACGGCCTATACATCCACATGGAACCCAACTTCCGACACCAATACGCACGCCTCTGGAAGGCGATGCTAACATTCGACAACAAGACCCTAGGCGAAATCGTCAAGACATGGGGTATCAATAACGCCGACATATTCGCCTCCGCCACCCTAATGCGCCCCTACCGCGGCGGCGACATGTCAACACAGCGCGGAATAGAAGGCCTAAGCAAATCCGAGCGCGCCCAGCGACACTACGAAATGCAACAAGCAGCCCGCAAAGCCATCCGTGAGATACTGGGCGACGAGAAAAAATGGCCACAAGAACTAATCTTCATCGGTCGGAACCTGCGAATCGTCCAGGCGAATAACCAATTCCTCGGCTCGCCCGTCAACCGGGTGAAGATTACCGGGACGTGGGCCTCGCGTGCGCTGGTCGAGAGTCCGGATCTGCCTCTTTCCGAGAAGATTCGCAATCTGGGTCAGCATGTTATTTTCCGGCTTGTGTTGTTTTCTAGTGATGTTTTCTTCTGGTTTACGAAGATTCGTCAGTTTTTGCACCTGGGTGGCGGGATGGAGGATGATATTGAGGCTCAGATGCAGGGGATGGCGAAGGAGATGGGGGTTGAGTTGAATCAGAATATTTTTGAGGGGTAGATTTCTGATTACTCGCTCTGTCTCTGTCTGCATGTAGCTGCTCTGAAAAGTGTAATATACGGACTCGCTACTAGAGCATAGAAATATCTCCAATGATACATCCGAACTCTCATCTTGTTAATTTGATCAGCGAGTTTCGTTATCATAGTCATCCTAGTTCAAGTGTTTTGCTCATGTCTCATAGTCGAGAATAGTAGAGTACAGACTGACCCAATGCCAGACCAAAACAAAGACAAAGCATACATGCGAGTTTTCGATACCGGGCACCAACCTGGTCCATAAATTCACTATGCAAAAAAGCGAGTGGCAGTATACAAGCCACGGTGTATCCAAACGAAAGACAAAGTACAGAAGAATGAACCATCAAAATGTCCACCATATTCAAAAAATTCAAAATTCAAAAGTCAACCTGAAAAGTACACGCAATCAATTTTCGACAGCGACGAATGCAAAATGGGTATCGTATCGCTCAGACAAACAGCTAATAGTGCATCGGCGTCCACTCTTGACCCGGATACGCAGTCGGAGACATTACAATCTCCTCACTCGAGTCATCCTTCAACGCAAGCTCAACGGGCTCAGTCTCGTTGAGCATGCGTGCTTCGCTGTCGCGGGTGGGGTGGTTGGAGAGGAGGGAGGAGCCGGAGACGACGATGTTTTTGGGCTCGGGTTGGTTGTTTGTGGGCTCTGCTGAGTCTAGGGGTTTGCGAGATCGGATAGGGGTTGAGTCCGTAGAGGTGTTGGGTTCAGGTCTTTCTTCGGTCTTGCTTTGCTCTTGGGGTTGGGACTGTTCGAGTTGTGGTGATTTCGGAGGAACGGATGGAGGGGGTGACACTTCTTTTGGTGATAACTGTTCTTCGAGTTCGTTGAAACCCGGGAGAGGAGGCGAGGGGTTCGAATCACTCTCTGATACCGATGGGGCTACTGGTGATAGCGGTTGGCCCATCATCAAGGGCTGACTTCTGGACCGGGTGTGTTGGGGATTCGCCTGGGTTTCTCCGGACATCAGCTGCGAGTAGAACCGGCTGCCTCCCATTGGATTCGAGGATGCAGTGGGCGGGCCAGAAATACTTGCTCGAGGACGGTCGATAGAAGAACGTGTTGAGATGTTGCCGTTTTCAACGGGTGGTGTTAATGGGAGTGACTTCCCGGTAAAGCCGTTGGCATAGGAAGACCGATTGTTATTCGGAAGTGTCGGCAGAGCCTTAACATCCAATGGACCCTGATCCGTCTTCCTTTGCTCCTCAACTTTACTTTCAGATGGCTGAGAGTCCTGCTGACGACCAAAGAAACCACTAATCCGACTAAAAGTGCGTTTCTTCTGACTCTTCTCCTGTAGACCCTGAATTCCACCCTGCAGCTCCCCTTGAATACCAGTCAGGAGATACCCCACCGAAGCGCGGCGCCGTCGTCCAAATTCCTTCAGCTTATCCATCTTCGATTCGCCATTTTGAGCAGAGCCAGACGAACTCTGCTGCGCCAGATCATTGCCAGGCGTATTGGGACGAGTCCCCTTGCTGTTACCGGTACTTCGACGACCGAAACTACCGAAGCTCATCATGCTGCTTCGCGTTCCGGGGGAATATCTCACTTCGTTTCTCAGCGGGCTCTGAACACCCGGTGCGGATGGAGGTAGGCCGCTGATGGATCGACGCTTGAATTCGAGGATTTCTTGCGAGCTTGGGGCTCGGAGTGGGAGAGGGTCCAGTCCTGTGAATCCGGATTCGTCGTGCGGTAGGGATGTGCGAGATACGCTGGCTGGGGCGATGGCTTTGCCGTAGACGGCGGCTTCGGGCTCGGGATCATGCTTGTCGTCTGTTGCGGCTTGGACGGGAGAAGGGGGTGTGTTGACTTGCTCTTCAGAGGAGTGCATTTCGGCTTTCTCTTTTTCGCCCAGGGTTGAGACGGATGGTAGCCGCAGCGCATGCTGAGGAGACTTAGACGGGCCCTGGGTTCCCTGAGAGCCAAGAGGATTTTCAGGAAGATCATCCTTTGGTGGAACTAGTGGCAAGTCCTTTGACTCGTTGCCTTTGGGTTGTAGGTCTTTCGGCGGAGTTTGTGGCTTGAGATCTTCTTGGTCCTCCTGAGGCACTGCACGAATTGACGGAATAGTGGTATGAGATACCTCGACCCCAGATCGACTCGGAAGGTCTGCTGCATCAGAAGAAGCAGAGTCATCGGTACGCTCGCTAGGTGGCAGTGGGAGGTCCTTCTCAGGATCTGGAAATTCACCTAGTGGCAGTGAGGTGAGGTACGTATTAGCCTCGGCCTCGTCGCTAGACACAGCCGACTCATCTCGCGACGGCGGCTGTAGACCCTTTGTATCATTTGCAGCTCTGCTCGAGTCCACATCACGCGGAGTCCATTGGGCAGGTTGAGCAGGCTCAACGATTGCCGGCTGGGTCTGCTGCGCGCGAGTTTCCGTTGGAGAAAGACCCAACGCAGTATTCATCTCTTGTTCAAAATTGCTCACAAGATCAGAATCTCCAGCACCGCCTCCTTTGGAATTATTTTCTTCATTCTCATTCTGCCAGCGAAACAGATCCAAAGTTCCATTCGATTTAGGGCGCTTGCCCCAACGCTCAGTTCCCACCTGCGAATCCTCTATGGAAGCAGGATCTTTCGTGGAGGACTTGTCCTCACGTCCAAACTTGAAGACGGGCAGACTGTTGAAGTTGAGAGAATTGCGTCGGGGCTTTTTACCAGAGTGGCCAGTCGAATTGGGCGAATCCGACTGGAAAGAGAACTGGAACTGCAGGCTTTTGCGGGCAGAAGGTGATTGAACCTACAACATTACCAACATCAGAAACTGGTTGAAAACGGAAGGGAGTAAAGGAAGTGCATCAATCGTGTCGCATTCTAAAATCAATCCCAAAGCGATGGGAAATTACATCGTGGTATCGAGAAGAGATGATGAGAAACAAATGAAGCTGGGCGAGAGACCCGCTGCGCTGGCTACCAGCACGCTTTTTCCAGATAGGACGCCCGCGAATAAAGAAAAAAAAAAAGAGAATTATGTATCTACCTTGTCGTTTCCACCTTGTCGAAATTTGCTTCGCCCCTTGGCAAATAGTCCCTTAGCAGCCTCACCAGCCTTTCCACCAAATGTGCCCGCAGTGTGCAGGAAGTCCTTTCCACGCTGCTCAACGTTTTGTCTGTTCACAATAGTTCCAATGTGGCCAGACGGGCGTCTGATATGGCTGGGATTGGTAGGAGTACCATCTTCTCGAGACGCAGCCAAGTTTCCGAGGGTTGGCAGTTTGGGGAATCGGCGAGTGGTAGGCGAAGCCTTGGGGAATCCGGACGACACGTTCTGGCTGGCCTGAACCAGGTCGGAATGCTGCGGCTGATCACGAAGCGTGACTTGGAGCCAGTGGTTCAAGCCCGTGTCAAGGGCCGCAAACTGATTTCTGGTCTCATCAAAAGCTCGAATCCGAGCGCCAGGGGTCGTGATCGTGAGAATTTCGCGGAAACCTTGAAGCTTGGTCTCGTCAATAGACGAGGATCCGAGATTGGCCGGGAGAGTTAGATCTCGCTGAGAGCCCTCCGGCGCAGGAATAATTTGCTCAGGCGGGGTGGTGCTCTGCGAGACTGGAGGCACGATGGAAAGTCTGGGCCTCTCAGCCTTATGACTCTCGGAGCCGGACACTTCACCGTCTGTCACTGGGGCCTCTGCGAATAGGCCTTGAGACGGGGGACGGCCCTCAAAACCATCCGCGATGGGCTCCGGTGCTTGCGCTGCCAATCCCTCAGAATGAGGGACTTGGATACTGGGGTTCTGCGCAGGTTCACCCGACGACGATGATTCCCATGAGAAGCGCCTGCCGAGCTTAGGCTTCGTAGGCTGCTCGACTGCGGTAGATTGAGCCTCTTGGGAGGCTGCGGCATAAGGATCCCGAGAGGCAAGAGGGTGAGTGCTGGCCCAGTCCGGGTGCGACTCAGAGACAAGTTGTCTGGGTGTTTCATCACTAGGTCCAGTCTGGCCATCCCAGCTCTTCTCATACTGGTTCGGGATGGATTTCTCCCTAGATCCTTCTGTCTGGGGTTGCTCTTCGGGTTCTTGAGAATTTTCCCTGCTCAACGAACGGATAATCTCCTCCCGAAGTCGGTCGTTATCGGCGTCGTCATCGGGCGAGGTATTCGCGCCCACAATAGTGGGGATGCTACCGCGGTAGCCTTCAGATGTAGAAGTACCAGCACTACCAAACTTCAAGGGAGCAACAAATGCGCCATCATGAGTCTGGGAAGGCGGGATCGTGGGAGGGATCCCAGCATTATCTGCTGGTCGCTCAGGCGATCGATTCTCTTGACCCGGAGACACCGAGGCGATTTCCGCTTGGCCAGCTGAGGGAGCCTCATGGTCAGTCACGACAGGTCGCCTGGAAGGGCTGTTGTCACGCTCAGGTAGACTCATGTCGCGCCTATGACCAGGCTTGAAAAATGGTGCCTCGCCTGCGCCATCCTGTGCAGTAGGGGTACTAGTGTCTGGAGGCTCCTCAGGAATTGTGGGAGTTTTGTCATCAGTCATTGCACGGTGGCCCATAATAGGGCTAATCACAGAAGTACCATCGCTGTTGGAACGAGCCACACTGCCGGCAGTGGAGTTTGGAGTTTCCGGAACATCGAAGGCTTGGTGGACCACCGATCGGAATCCTTGAGAAGAATCGGAGGCCTGAGAGGGGTTGTGCTGCAGAGGCGGCTGTTCGGAGCTTGGGGTTTGCTGGTTAAAGTCAGTACCACTCAAGAAATCAGTTCCGAACCCAGAGATGCGCTTGACCTCAGGCAGTCCCATGGAGGGCGCGTTCTGTGTTGTGGTAGAAGCTGTAGCTCCGAACGCTCCTGGCGCGGCGCTTTGCATAGGCTCAGGAGCTTTTGGACTAGTAGTCGCGTCCTGTTGCGGGGATCGATCGTCCATCCGTCTGTAGATGTCGGCGGGCCTGACGAAGGGCAGGTTCTTTTGATCGCCTGCCGCAGGGTTCGTCCCGACTTCGGTAGATGGGCTTCCTCGCGACTCGTCACCTCCAAATCCGATTCCGGACAAGCGTCTGGAGCTCAGCTCCGACGAGCTAGTGGTTCGTTCGGTGGCGTACGGGGGCCGAGGCACGGCAGGGGGCTGTTCTTCCTCTTCTTCTTCCTCTTCTTCAGAACCCCAATCCCCACCGTCGTATGAATATTGCTTTGCTTCTACCCAGCGCTTTGTCTTTGCACGATTCACATTAGGCCGAAAGGAGATTGGGTTGCTGCCTCCGCTGGCAGGGGAGAGAGGACTGTTGGCATTTGGCGGGGAGGGACTAGGTGACTGTGTCAGTACTTGTACACCAAAACCGCAAACATAGAGCTCTGATGGATTGTATACATACTGTTTCTGGCCTGGCCGGCCTTGCCATGAAGGGTTAGAGTCCGCCATTCGAAGGAGTGGCGTCAGGTCGAGCTTGTCGGGCTATAGAGCATCGATGCCCGACTCGCTCGGAAAATGAAACTGAGGGAGCGTATGTGAACGCTAATTTAGATAGCAGCAAAGTGCGACCTGCGTGGAGGTTTCGGCCTGCCACAGCGCGCGTCCGGTATTTGAGGGAGGACAACGGTGGCGTGAGCAACGTTGCGAATGTGCCAATGCGGGCGCCGATCAGATCGGTTAGTTGGGAACGGCGCGGGAAACAAGATTGCCACAGTTGTACGAAAGTACTAAACACGAATGACGTGGGCTGATGCAAAAGCGATGCTAAACGTCGGCAAGAAGCTGGCGACGAGCTGTGCAAATCGTGAAAGTGAAGCAAAAGGAAAGCAAAGCCGGAAACAACACGAAGCCGCCTCCCCTGATTGAGTCCGGGGTTGCCTGCGATCTAAATTTATCGAATGACATAAGCGGTGGCGCATGGATCACGTGCGGATCTACGTGTTTCATTTCGTGGCTTGCGGCGACGAGCAACGGCGTGTCCCCTGGCTACTCTTCCTCCGAGGCATATTCAGCGGCCTGCCGTTCCTTCAACTCGATCCTCGACCTCGCCGAGACTGACCACGACTCTCCCCACATTTGACGTCTGGCGTGTTGGCATCGGAGCCCACCCCCTTGTCGATTGCCGTTGGATCGCGATCCGAAACACCGAGTCCACTCTTCAAGAGCCCCTCCTCCGCTAACTCACGGAGGACACGTCCCTTAGTCCAACTCACTCCGCTGCCGCAGTCGCACGTTACACAATGACTGGGCCGTCGATTCAAGATCGCACGAGCGAGTTCAGCGCCATCCTGGGTCAAGCCCAAAGACGCCTGGGTACCTCGAAGGTCGGGTCGCAGCGCCAGGCCCTGCTGACAGATGCCCAGCGACGACAGGCGAATGGTTCGCCAACTGCTGCTCAGAATGGCCATTCAGGAAGGTCAGAGTTTGCGCGCAGGGCGCGAGACATTGGAAAGGGAATCACTGGAACGACCGCGAAGCTCCAGCGACTGGCAGAATGTGAGTCCGATTAACTCCGTCATGAGATGCCTTGTGGAAGCTCTCGAAAGAAACTGAATGGATCCTAACATTTGAGTCTAGTGGCCAAGCGAAAGACCCTATTTGATGACCGACCTGTCGAGATTTCGGAATTGACCTACGTGATCAAACAAGATCTGGCTGCATTGAACCAACAAATCGCGTCCTTGTCTGCCTTGACCCAATCGCAACACCCAAAGGCAACTCGTTCAAAGACCGACCAGGAGGGAGAACACAATGATAATGTGAGTAGGGCTAGGTGAATGTGACTGCGAAGACATGGCTAACAAGATGGGCTAGGTTGTCGTGATGCTGCAAGGAAAACTGGCCGACGTAGGCGCCAACTTTAAGGAAGTGCTGGAAGTCCGGACGAAGAACATCCAGGCCTCTCGCACACGAACCGAAAACTTCGTCTCCTCCGTATCTTCCAAATCGCAAACCGCACTCGACTCGCAACGGTCCGACTCACCTCTCTACAACCCATCCGGAAGACGCACACCACAACAGGGATACCAAGGAAACTCATCCGACCTCTTGACCCTCGATCCATCCAACCCTTCCCCACTCGGCCGTCCCTCCATGCAATCCGACCAACAGCTCCTGGTGATGGAGGAAGCCCAGTCCAGCAATTCTTACATCCAAGCTCGTGGCGAGGCCATTGATGCTATCGAGCGCACCATCAGTGAACTCGGTGGTATCTTCGGCCAGCTCGCGCAAATGGTTAGCGAGCAGTCTGAAATGATCCAACGCATTGATGCCAACACGGAAGATGTGGTGGATAATGTGCAAGGAGCCCAACGCGAACTGATGAAGTACTGGACCCGCGTTTCCGGCAACCGGTGGCTCATCGCCAAAATGTTTGGTGTCTTGATGGTAGGTTTTTTACTCCACGGCTTTTCACTTGGACGACCGCTAATAACTCTCAGATTTTCTTCCTTCTTTGGGTCTTGATTTCGTGATAGATACGACTTTTCACCTTTCCGTTGAATACTGTATTATAATAAACGGCCGCGTGTAGCTCACGGCTGGTCTTTCTGCATGTCCCGCACCCATCGAGCATTGTCAGCTTTGTTTTTTTTGTCTTTTGGCTAGACTCTGGGTCGCCCTGCTCGCTCAACGTTTCCTTTTTATTGACCTCTGGGACTGTGTCCCGACGAGTTACCTGAGTAAATATGCTCCATGTATTAATCAACAACATGATACACCATGTCTTTATTCCTGAAATCTTCAACTAGATGTGCCATCTAACCCAAATTAAGAGCTCAACTGCGTGAGCGCATCCCAAAGCTCCGACTCCGCCCACCCAAGAGAGGGCTGATTATCAAACAATTCCCACATAAGACTATCATCCCAACCCTCCATAGGCTGTGTCACACCTCCACTGTGAGCTACCCTATTATTGGTAGCCACTGGACTCGGCAAATCCATAGCCTGCGCAGACCCCCGACCAAAAGTAACCGAATTAGAAGTTCGAATTTGAGCAGCAGCTTTCCTACTCGAATCCTCTGCGACAAACGAAGAACTGGCCGCGGCTAGAGGGGCGGAATTCGCTTTAATCAACGGCGCACAAAGATCCAAGAACTTGGAAAATAGACCATACAATTTACCGATGGAGGCATTCGCCTTTGCAAACTGTCGGAGGTCATCGGTGATTTTCTTGATCATTTCGAAGTCCCGCTGGTCTGATGTTGCTACAACGTTGCAGAATAGGATGAAGAAGGGAGATAGGGGGAATAGGAGCATTGTCCTGGATGTGATGCGTGAGTATTACTAGGAACTTTTAATAGGGGAATATTGGGAAATTTGCGTACCATGTTAAGAAATACGGATAGGAATCAACGGAAGTAGCACGACTGGAAAATGCCTCCTGCAAAGCCCGGAGGGTGGTGAGAGCTTTCCGAGCCGCGTAAAGACAATCCTCACAGACGAGCCGGGACTTGAGCACCGAGGATCTTGCGCGGATAATCGTTGCTAGAACGGAGTAGTAGTTGAAGTCCATTGAAAGCCACTCGCAACGAAGATTACCCCATGAGTCTGGGAATTCTAGTTCCTGGCGATTTCGATACTTGAAGGGTCAGCTCAAGCCTCCACATTTGTGTTCATGCCTATCTGAACGTACTTTTTGCAAGTCCGAGTAAATCGCGTGTGCGCGGGCCACGAGGTTAGAAAGTACACTCGCCTTATCCATTTCTCGCATCTCCTTGTTCGAGTCGAGTAGGATGTCGACGAGCGTACTCTTGATATGGGCGTACTCGACGATTCCCCGGATCATGGGCGTTGTCGGGAGATCCGGGTCCATATGGATTAATTTCACCGGTTCGACTTTGAGGACTGGTAACGAGGGGGGTCGGAGGAGGAGGACACTGAGGGTTTTGTCGAAGTAGTAGCATGTATACACACACGCATGAATATCCTCTTCTACTTCATTTCGTGGAATGGGATCTGTGATGTTGTGGTAATTGAGGGCGACGATGATTCTTGATGCGAGGGCTGTGAACATCCAGCAGCGAGACATGTTGCCTAGGTATTGCATGAGCCGTTTCTGGAGTTGTTAGCAAGATTCTTGTATGAGAAAGCGAGATGGAGCTTACGCCTGATAGCAGGGCTTGGAGCAAGGCTAGACTCGGCGCAGCGGTTAGAGAAATCGAATCTAGCTCCTCCACAGCTGCGGCCTCGTATTGCTTTTTCAATGCTCTAAAATGAACTCGCAATGGCTCGCTTGAGATCATGGGTGCCATCTTTGATATGCAGGATAGCGCTTTCACCCAAACGCTGATTCGATAGAGGTGCAGGACGTGTTCGCTCTCACTGCCTTCAATGATTGCAAGGCCCATTCGCTCTAGCGTCTTGTCGGAAATGTGATCAGGCCAAACATATGTCCCTTGGGAGTTAGTCTTCTTATCGGGGCCTGTGATTATTAGAATGGCTTTGCCTGCTAGATCGTCCATTGATTACACTCACCTGGTAGCATCATATATAGCATCTCCGGCGTAAGAGTCGGAGGACCCAAGTTATCAGCAATCTCCAGGTGCTCCCCCGCACCGACCTTCTGACCGTGTAATCCCGGATTCGAGAGCTGACCCACGAATTTCCGAGCCATTTCCAAGGTCGTTCGTCTATCCTGCGAAAGAGTCAGGTTGCATTGCAGCTCATGTTCGATGTATTCTCGTGCTTCACTAGCATGGCGCGTTGCGTCTGGAGAATGTCGCTCGTTGTGAGTCTTCGGGTCGATATTGTGCGACATTCGTCGCTTGAGCTCTGGTTGACCCGAAGGACTTTCATGGTGGGACAATATCGATGGAAGTTTTCTTTTTGCAGAGACCCACGCGGAGTCAGTGAGTTTTGTTCGAGGCGATGAGGCCGTTGTTCGGCTTGTATCGTCAGTTTCTGGAGGAGAAGAGAAGATGTAACTATCCTCGTTTGTTCTTTCCAGTTTGGCTAGTCTTTCGGCTATGGCGTCGAGGCTGTGTCGTGTTAGTTGTAGAAAATAAAGGTGATGGGGTGCAAGCTTACCGTGAAACCCGCGGCCGGTGAACTCGTGATTGACGGGTCCGCAAGCATTCTGCTCGTGCATCTACACAGTTCATGCAAGGGTCCTCGCGATCACATTTCACCTTGATAGCGCTTCCCTTTTAGTATGTCACAATAATAGTCCAGGGTAGGGGAATAGCGTCTCACTTTTCTTGAATGACACAAGTCACACTTTTGAAAAGTTTAGCATGACATCAGTATTGCTTTCCATTCTTTCCTTCAAGAGGATCTATTTGTTTGAAGTGGCCCATTCGGAAGACCTACTGCTGCCAAAGACGCCATTTTGCCGAGTCAGAACAGGAGATGATGCCCAGATGACCCCCGACGACCTAAATGCCGACTGGATAATGCGATTATGGATTTCCTCTCTCAGCACCTCGTCATGTCAGTTCCGGATGAAATGTGCAGGAATGGCGTTGAAAAGAGGACGCGGCCTCAATGTCGGAGATCCGAAAAGCCGGGCCCGAACGGGCGGGGAATAGCGTAACCGTCGGACTTCGCCGAGGCTCTGCAGGCAGACTAGTTCTATCTATAAATAAATATAATGTCAGGTAAATTGATGCTATGCTCGTATATATTCATTGTAGATACACTGCTAGTCTTCTCCCAAGCAGTGTTTACATCGTAAAGAGATGCCCAATCCGTGAAGGACAGGAACTGGCTCTTCGGCCAAATGCGGGATGGCACTCCGTTCAACCAACTCGCGATAGGCAGCGCCGAACCAGACGTCGTCGAGTGTAGGCTGGGCTTTCGCTCCTCCGGACGTGGATGGTCTGCTTGACGCTAGATAATGACTCAAGTCGTCACGCATTTGCCACATGAATTCTTTGCGATGGGACCAGGTCGAGCCAGGGGAGGAGTAGGGGTGTTTTGCATTCATTTGCTTTGCTTCGTCCTTTGCGACGGCTGCGAAGAATTGAACGATTCGTTCCAATGTTGATGTCAGAAGGAGGAGACTGACCCAGCTTTCCGAGGAAGAGCACGGGAAATCGGGATGCATCAGTCGTCGGACTGTCGAGCAGAGAAGTTGCATGCAGTGCTGAACTGTGATGAGGATCTGGGTGTCGTTAAATGGTGGTCTTTGAAGGATGGACTGCTGATGGCCGATCGAAACAGAGAGATCCGTAGTTTGGTCCGACCAGTTCGATGCCGAATCGTCGGAAGCTGATGATTCGAGGAAGAAGATTGCATAGGCCCTGCTGAGGGTTAGCCGTCTGTTTGGGTCTGATCAGATTCGGAATATTTACAAAGGATGCAGAAGCTTCGCCTGAGTCGCCTCCACGGCTTTGCTATACACATATTCCTTCTCCGTCTTCTTCCAAGACCAGAGCTCGCGGGCAATGGCGTCTGTTTCGAGGTGATGCCTAACGGCATGATCGGCCAAATGATAGGATAGCTGGATGCAGGTTGTCCAGCATCGCTCAAGGTCGGAAATATAGGCCAGCGAATATTCGGCGTCGTCGTGACGCTCGCTCAGTGCGTAGTGCGGTGGCGGGGGCGGAAACAGTTCCGAAATGAAGGTCAGCTCATCTCCCGGCGAAACATCGGCATCATCTTCGTCTTCTCGTAACCGAGCTTGTTTGCGGAGACCAAGGTATGTCTGCGCGATCAGAATCTCATTCATTGAAATTCGGTGGTGCAGTAATCGGCAGGTCAACGCCAACGCAGCAATGTCATTGACCCTACAGTAGGCGACAAGTGCTACGAAGACGTTGTCTGGTAGACGTTTCCAGGGCGACTCCTTCGGCTCCAGGTTGAAGGAATATGCTCGCTTTCCTCTACGCGAGACTGCGGCGCGAACCCGTCCGAAAAAGGGCGTCATCCTTCATATCAAGATCGCACTAAATTGCTTCGGATGCAGTTGCCACCGGACAGCCGTGCCATCGGACGGACAGTGGATAGTCGCCCACAGGAGGAAAGGATTGATGAATGAGATTGGTCGCGGAGCTTTATGGAAGCGGAAGAGGCCGAGAATTGAAGCATAGGTCGTTGCGCTGAGCAGCGCTGACAGCTTGGCAGGCAGCGAGAATCGCAGGTTGGACCCGCTGGGTCGTCTACTTGAGACAAGGCGGCAAGGCATCAAGGCCGCATCTCCACCCTGCCCTCATTGTCCGGCTTTTCCATCACGATACTTCAAGCATGGAGTAGATGAGAGATTTGAATTGAATCCTATTGGATTGATGTGCTCATCGTGCGTTGAAAAGTGATGCGGAAAATTTATGTTCCCAATGTATGAAGGCGTGGACCAGGACTATTTTCAGATTGGATGAGCACTGTACCGAGGGGCATTTCATCGTCTATAATACTATACCATTATTGATGAACTTGGGTATAATTCAACATTCAATCCAGTCAGGTTGGATCAGATCTCAATGGCTTTGGATCCCAATATTTTTCAAGATGCTATCAGATATTTGGTAGCCATCACATCAGTATTGATTCCCCACCGAATCACATCTGGATCAGAATACATTGTGGGCAGAGCAACATTTACGCCGATATCAACAGGGATAATGAGCCAGTAACTGTCAAATATGAAGAGGCGCCAAATTTTAGCCACATGGTCAACAGCTGTTGGTTATTTCCCACGAACCTTTCGCCAAATTCAGGCGTAGTGTTATATGTGCCTGAGAAATACGGTGTCGAAGGACCCTAAAGGTGACCCACCGGCCGAGGCTTGGCTTTCACTACATTTCATTGGCTGGAGGTAGTCACGTCGCATGCCGCGGACTTCCAGCAGCCTTCGACCAAAAGACCAAAACTGCACAAATCGGAATTCTCAGGCTGGTCTGGTCTAGGCTATTTGATCCGGCTCAAACATAGCCATGCCAGGTACCGGCCATTCCGTCAAGGATGCAGCGCAAACGCCAACCGACTCGCCATCAAGCTCCTCGAAACCATACTCATGCGTAGTATGCCACAAGAGAAAAGTCAAATGCGACCGGGAAGAGCCATGCGCGAATTGCGCGAAAGCCGAAGTCGAGTGCATCTATCGTCCTCCGCCGACGCCGCGCCGTCGGAAACGAGAGCGCGATCGGGACGACAACGCGTCTCAAAGCCGCGGAAAGTCGCGTCGTCAGAGCGGAGACGAGTTGGCACATGTTCATGACGATGAGTGCACGTCGTCACCTCGCGTGCGTGGGGAGAGCGTTCCTTCTGGAAAAAAACCGGGCTCGGGAAAGTTGATTATCAAAGATGGCAACTCCTTCTTCATTGACAAGTTAGTCTCTGTATGAATATAATCTGGGCCAAGCTAACGTTGGGATAGTGTTCTGTGGACAAGTGTCAGCCATGAGGTCAGTTACTGAAGCCTCATCATACACGGAATACACCTAACGAAACATCATAGCTCGCGGATGCAACAGATATGATAAATGATGCACCAGAAGCTGGGGGTGAGAATGTATCGGACGACGGTGAAGATGAGGCCACAATGCTTTTATGCGCCGGAACTAAACAAAGCCTTTCGGAGCTCCACCCGAATTCGTTGCATATCTTCAAGTTGTGGCAGACCTTCTTGGAAAACGTCAACCCTCTGACCAAGATCCTGCATGCCCCGACCGTCCAGCCAAAAATCCTGGAAGCGATGAGCGACCTACCAAAAGCAAGTAGAGAGCTTGAGGCACTGCTGTTCTCCATCTATTGCATATCATTGGTATCCTTACAGGCAACGGAAGTTGAGAAATCGTTCGGAGAAGGCAAACGGAAGCTGTTATCTCGATGCCGAAGAGGCGCTCAGAATGCATTCAGGAACGTCTCACTTCTTCGAACGTCGAATACAATGGTACTTCAGGCATTCATGCTATATTTGGTGCGTACGCCCTGAGCCCACATGGTCTTGTTTTTTTTCTAATGACACTCTAGCTATCAATGCGCGGATTCTCAGACCCGCATACAATCTGGACCCTCAATGGCATTGCTCTACGCATCGCCCAGAGAATCGGCATCCACCGCGACGGTTCCGGGTATGGACTTTCAGTCTTCGAGACCGAGATGAGACGTCGGATATGGTTTCAACTCATTATCATTGATGCGACATCTGCTCAATTCTGCGGCGTGGCCACTGGCCCAATGCTGGCGAGTGCGGATACCCGACTCCCGACAAACGTGAACGACAGCGACCTTGATCCGCACATGACTGAACCGGTCGGCGAGAAAGAAGGCGCGACTGAGATGATCTTCGCCCTCGCGCGGAGCGAATTTGGGAAATGGCTTCGGCGTTGGAGTAAACTGTCCGGAGAATCTCATTCACCCTGGGCATTCATTTCATCGTCTGCCATGTCGCTGCGCCAAAAAGATGACGCTATCGATGAATTTGAAAGTACTGTGCAGGAAAAGTTCCTTCGTTTCTGCGACCCGTCTATTCCGCTGCACCTGGCTACTATCATGATGGCGCGCTCGGCTGTTCACTACGCGCGATTGATGGCGCATCACCCTCGCCAGTATCAAGATCCGAATCGTCGGATTCCGCAGGAAGAGAAGGACATTATCTTTGAAAATTGTCTGAAGATGGCGGAATACGCCCACCAGGCCCAAACTAGCCCGAAAGTCCAACGATTCATCTGGCACATGGTTAACCATATGCCCTGGGACGCCATGATCTTCATGCTCTCCGAGATGCGGCATCGAACCGATTCAGACGAGAAGAGTAAGGTCTGGCATATCATTGGAGATATTTATGCACGACACCTTCGACAAATGACCAAAACTGCCCACATGCCCCTTCATAACGCCCTTCAGACCTTGATTGTCAAGGCCTGGAAGGCATACATCGACGACTGCACCACTCACAACCGAATCCCAACCTCTTGTCCCACCATTGTGGCAACGTTGCTAGAAACCGCAAACGGTTCCACAGAACAACCCTCGAACTTCGAAGGTTCCAGGGTGGCCGAGCCCAGTGAACAAGCTCCCATGGAGTTACCCAGTCAAGGTGTCAGTGCCGAATACTTCGGGGCTGGCGCCGAGGACGTCAGCTATTTGCTAGAGGACAGTCCCAACTGGGATGAATGGGACAACCTTCTCAACCAGTTCCAAGAATCGCTCGTGGATGATATGACTCTTATGCCAAGTTCCTAAGGTATGAGTGGGGAGTCGCAAAGTCGCGTGAACGCGGTGAAATGCCGGCGCTCGGGCGATGTCGGGATAGCTGGAGACACAGCCTGGAGGAGACATTTACCGTACGCTTATCGTTTCTCAACCAGGATGGATGTCTCCGTGTGACCAGCACCCTTTTTTGAAAGGTAAAAGCCTCATTGCGATCGGAAGTCGGGGCGATTGGTGGGCGAGGATCGTCTACCGTCAGCTCGGAGTCGGTGGTTAGCCCGCCCGAACACGAACGGGCTCCATCTGGCGATGCCGTCACAACACGAACTCAGCCTCCATATAAGGCCGCCTCGATCCCAGTCACGACACGGTTGTCGCTTTACCAGACAATTCGATCGCAACTATTTCTATCCAAATTCTCATATAGCTGGCCATTGTTTCAGAGAAAATGTCCCAGTTAGACGTGTTGATCGTCGGAGCGGGACCAACGGGCCTCGTCCTCGCCCTTTGGCTCCAGAAACAAGGCGTCAATGTTCGCATCATCGACAAAGCAAGCGGACCAGCGACAAACTCCCGTGCACTCGTCGTCCATGCACGTATCCTCGAGCTGTACCGCCAGATCGACTTGGCCGACGAGCTACTCAGCCATGGCTACAAGCTCCCAGCAACCAATGTCTGGGTCGATGGCCATCAACGTGCTCACATTCCCCTCCGCGAATTCGGCATCGAGATGACACCATACCCTTTTATTCTGAGCATCCCACAAGACGAGCACGAGCGAATACTCGAGCGACGATTAAACTCCCACGGTATCTTCGTTGAGCGACGCACAAGCCTCAAGAACTTCGTGAATGGTGAATTAGGGGTGGTCGCGACGCTGGTGAATGAAGACACCGGGATTGAATCGACCTGCGAAAGCGCATACATCGTCGGCTGCGACGGAGCACATTCAGTCGTTCGACACGGGATCGGCGCCAAATACGAGGGCGACACCTACGTCCCGCTATTCTACATCGCCGATCTCGAAGCGGAAGAACAAGAAAGTCCTTTCTTCAACGGCGAGGCACACCTAACCTTCGTCGACGACACATTCAACCTCATCGTCCCATATGCTCAAGAACGACGCATCCGCCTAATCGGCACTACAATCCCGCGAACCAACGAACCCGAAGCCGACCAGTCAGACCATCCAGAAATCACCTTCGAAGACGTCCTCCCGGACATCAAGAAAGCGTCGAAACTAGAGATAAAACAAGTCAACTGGTTCTCCACATACCGCAGCCACCACCGCATCGCCGAAAAATTCCGCAGCAATCGTGCATTTCTGGTCGGCGATGCCGCTCATATTCATAGCCCCGTCGGCGGGCAGGGTATGAACACCGGAATCATGGACGCCATTAATCTGGCCTGGAAACTCGCGACGGTAGTCAAGCAGCCGTCCATAGGGGAGGGTGCGAGGAATCAGCTCCTAGACTCGTATGAGTCTGAACGCCGCTCGTTCGCGCTTAGCGTTGTCGGTGCGACTGATCATGGTTTCAAGACTATCACTACACCCGGTTTCTTGCCGCATATTCTTCGTGCTTGGATCATCCCGTACATTGTTCCTCTCGTCACCAAGATTCAATCTGTGCGATCTGAGATTTTCCGGCGTGGTTCTCAGTTAGTCTGTTGCTACCGGGGCAGTCCGATCAGCCGGTGCATTGGGAATGGCGGGACTGTGCAGTCTGGCGATCGTTTGCCGTGGGCCAAGACTGAAGACTCTGACAACTTTTCCAGTCTGAGTGGCATCTCTTGGCAGGCACACGTATATGGGGATGAACAGCCAGCCTTGACGGAGTGGTGCAAGGGAAAAAATGTGCAGCTCCATGTCTTTGAATGGGATCAGAGGCATGCGCAGATTGGACTTAGGAAAGATGCGACGTACCTGCTGCGTCCGGATCATTACATTGCGGGTGTCTTTGAAGGTGAAGAGGTTGAAGCTCAGCTGGAGGAGTACCTTTCCTCTCACGAGTTTTGCATCAATGCCTAGAAGCTCAGTCTTCTCGAGCCATGCTTTCCCCCTCCTGTATCAATAGTATGAAATTTGACGAATGAATGTTCACAACTGAAACGATGTTCAAAAAGATGGAAGTTTCCGAGCACGCGATGATCCCTTAACTAACAACACTCCTATGCTCACACACACGTGCACTCTGATTTGATTTATTGATGCCGCGGAGTTAAAATCCAAGATATGCGGCTTGAATTACCTAGAACGGATTCCCAGAGCGACCAGACCGCAAAGCTGATCTCCGAGTTAACCTGACCCCGAAGACCGATGCCTCGCGTCCACTTGGCCATTTTGCAGGCCGATCACCGAGCACCAGACAACTCTGAAATCGAGCACTGTGACTCTCTGACGGCACGATTCTGCTAAAGTCGATTAGATGTGGCGTTGGCGCTGACGTATACCTCGGACGACACCATTATTCGACACAGCGTGGATATGCTGCAGAGCATACCTCGGAGTTATGCAGTATGGACAACGACGAGAATTTGACCAAAAGATCTTCATGTATCGGCCCTTGATATGGACTAAGCTGATCCATTTGTTTGTCTTGACCATGCATCTCCTTTTACTCGTTGCCGGGTTGGCTTTCGGGTCTGCCCTGGTAGCATCCGAGCCCATCCCTCGCTCTCCATCGAGGTACCCAGTCATCAAGACAAAGCAAGGCTTTGTCCAGGAAGTCGCATCTGACTGATCGGATTTTGGAATTGAATGCGCAGATTGATGCGAGGAGGGTACCGAGGGATTTGGTGCTAAGCCGGAGGAGATTGAGAGCAGGCCGTTTGATTTGGAGTGGCTTTATAAACCTGATTTTGCTGTTATGGTAGAGTGGTGGTTGAGGGGTTCTATTCTGAGACAGTTTGAGATGTACGGACATGTTGAATTTGATGTTTGTTTTGCTTTCTTGAGTTTCTGAACTTTATTTGTTAGAGTCGGGCCTTTGCTATCGAGTATGAGTTCAAAATCTGGAAATTGGCTTCGAAACGATTCTGGTTCTTTCATTCGCGCCAATGCATGGCTTCATTAATTAATGCTAGAAATTCGAGTCTCGCGCCCACAAATTTGTTCTAGCGACACAGAACTTTGACGACCGAAGAAGATATTGCAGCTAATAGGCTCTCGCGACTCGAATTAACGATATAGTGGTGTAAGCCGACAGACCGACCAAGGCAGCATCATTGTGAAAGTCTCTCCCTCCCCGAACGCGCATCACCAACCCGATAGCGCAGCACACACAGCTAAACATGGCCACCGAGATTTGAAGCATCCGCGAAGCCAACAACAGCGTCAGGCCGATGACGAGGTCGATAATCGGTATAATAAGCGAAGCCGTCGACCCATCGTCCGGCGCGCGGTCTACCTGAAACGCGTAGTATTGGGGTGTGTATCTGCCGTGGGTGAGACGCGAGAACGCGCCGACAAGAATGAGACCCGCATAGCAATAGATTGCGGCGGACTGTAGAAGAGACGTCTCGGGCATGGCGACGGCCGATGGAAGAGGAGGGAAGGTGCCCGCGAGGCCGGAAGTGCGGGGGCGGGAGAATCGTTCTTCCTGCGGCGCGAGAAGACTGTCGTCCGTCGACTTCCCCTTCGATACACTCAGTGGTACACCCACGATGCGAGCGGCGGTTCCACGGCTTTCGACGTGGAGGAGGGGCAGAAATCGTGGCAACTCGAAGCTGGCGGGGTACTTCCTCCAAAGATGTGAGGGGTCGCGAGAATTACCCTTTTGGGACGTTCCGTAGACCAAGAACAAGCCCCGTAGGAAGATGTGTCGAGCGGACGGAGCATAACAGGGGAACATTTCTCATGTTCGAGAGAGTGTCGAATTCAATCAATCCATCTTAATCACACATCTGTCCAAAATGGAGGTATGTCGCTTGCTTCGCTCCGATTTTCCTTGCTGCGCATGACTTGGACTATATCTAAATACTAGCAACAACAGAACCCATCTTTCGTTCTGAAGGCCATCAAGGACATTGTAACCGAGGACCGTCCCAAGCCCGAGCTCAAGGATCCCTATGATGTTATTGTCTACGTCGCCCAGACCGGTATCTACGGCAGCGATGTTCACTAGGATGTTCTCACTCTCGGGTCACGCAAAGAATACTCTGACAAATGCATCACAGCTGGCAACGCGGTCGCATTGGCGATTACAGGCTTACCGGGCCCATGGTCCTGGGCCACGAGTCCTCCGGCGTGGTCGTCGAGACCGGGGCTAAGGTCAAGCACTTAAAGGCCGGCGACCGCGTCGCCAAGGAGCCTGGTGTGCCGGCTCCTACCACCTGTGTGGTGATATGATCTTCGCCGCCACTCCACCCTGGGACGGAACTCTGGCCAAGTACTATGTCAACGCCGCCGACTTCTGCTACAAGGTTCCCGACTCGATGAACCTCGAGGAGGCCGCCATGGTGGAGCCCGTTTCCGTCGCCTGCGCCATTGCAAAGACCGCCGAGCTCCGCGCCCACCAGTCTGTTCTGGTTTTGGGGTGTGGTCCTATCGGTGTCCTGTGCCAGGCCGTGGCCCAGGGCCTACGGCGCTAAGAAGGTCATCGGTGTTGACGTTGTGCAGTCTCGTCTGGATGTTTCCAAGTCATATGGCGTCGACCACACATACATGGTTCCGCGCGCCGAGCCCGGCGCCGATCCAATGGAGCACGCGGAGAAGGCGGCTGAGATGATGAAGGAGGAGGTCGGACTCGGCGAGGGCGCTGACGTTGTGCTTGAGTGCTCCGGTGCCGAGCCTTGCGTACAGCTCGGTATCTATGCTGCCAAGCGCGGCGCGACTTTCGTGCAGGCTGGTATGGGCAAGGAGGTTATTGCCTTCCCAATTACTGCTGTCTGCACCCGTGGGCTGACTGTTAAGGGATCCATTCGTTATCTGGCTGGCTGCTACCCCGCCGCCATCGACTTGATTGGCAGTGGGCAGATTGACGTCAAGCGTCTGATTACCAATCGCTACAAGTTTGAGGAGGCTGAGCAGGCGTTTGAGCTTGTGAAGGCGGGAAGACAGGATGTTTTCAAGGTTATGATTGCCGGTGTGCAATAATGATGAGTGATGAATAATTTACGAGATATAACTATTAGATGAGATAGACAAAAGCAGAAGTCAATATACCAGTGTTCAAGACAAAAAATCCCAGAAATAATTACCATAATGATGATGAATGTACACTATAGCACGTAGGAGGAAAGCACTTAAGCACGACAGTGCAACACTATGAGACGAACCAAGAGAACCACACGCTGTTAGGTGCAGTAAACATTATCCCCTCACCAGTACGCCTCAAAACCGGTGCCGAAAACACAATCCCTCGACCAACCCCACCAGACCGAACCACATCACCGACTCCAACAAGCCGTAGACCGGCAGTACAATTGTCCAAGCCCGGCGGGATTTTGGGGTGAGAAAGCGCTGAACTACAGCCGGGTGGAGACCGGCGATTCATCGGGACTTGGATACCCCACAAAAACGGACCGATCTCTCCCTAGTTTCGCACTGAAAGAGCCACAGACGCGTTGCTTTACTATGCGCTGGGGTCATGTTTGTCCGGTGGAAGTACTGTAGTTGGCAGCGTGGAGATGGTGGCGACCTTGAGACGATGGATCCGCTTGAATGTCCCGATTTGGAAATACTGGCACAGTTGAACAGCAACAGTGTGGTGTACTATTCCGTCATTTCCAATAGCCTGTTCTGACAATGTTTGCAGGTCTCAAAGCCCAAGCCCCTATGTATGACTAAATCCTTTTTGTCGGCATTGTAATTTCGATGTATTTGCGATAGCATATTTGAAGTTCGTATAATCACAGCCCTCTCGGTTGCCCAACGAAGGCTACGACAAAAATGGTTTCCTGCCGAAGACAAACATAAGATCCAAGTGTATCTAAATTCCCAGGGAAAAAAAATATTGACATTGTCCGGAGTAGCCCGTAGCACCAGGGGTGTTAGTCTGGGTGTTGTTCGAGAACTGAGAACCCTTGGCCGATGGTGCTGATCTATTCCGATACAGACCTGACAGGCAAAGAATAGCTAGCTACAATACGGGTAGAAAACTGAGGGATATTGAACGAGCCGTTTTAGATATGATGAGCTATAGCCATCTAGAAAGATAGTGCCGAGTATACTTATACTTGGCTCGAGATGTTCCTATGAACGCCGGCCCTCACGCCAACTGGCTTAACTGACGCCCAGGAAATTCGGATCGGGATGTGTGAATTAATCTATGGGCCGATAATCACTGTGCGCGCTATAGGAATGATCTGCACGAAATAGAGTTGCTGGAGTTGCTCTGGAATGTTTTTCGCTAGGTATAGTCGGTTTTGATGTTCGGGACAAGCGGCTATGCACGGTCGACGGTCCTTTTCAGCATGTCATGACTGCCACTGGAAGAATAAAAGAGCGTGGAATGATTTAGTTATGAGGTGACCGTGCTAGAGCTTCCTTTGAAGGCCGTATGATCCCGTACTGTTGTGTTGTTATACCAAAGACGTTGGCTTTGTGAGCTTGCAGAAAATACGAATAAACTCTAATACTTCAGAGGAGCTAAATTGTTCCTTCCTCAATGTTGAGCTAGTATACAAACAGTTCTCTAGCTCCGTGCTCGCAAGTACTTCACGAGGTGCTACTCAACTCGTACATTTCCCCGCGTCCCGCTGATGCGGACCACCCTAACCCGCGTTGCGTGGCTCCTGCGTCGAATTCTGCCTCATTATCCACTTTATTCGTGCCCGGTGGAAAAGTCACAGTCGGGACGAGACTTCCATATGGTTCGAAGCTTATTGCTGCCGTGAGATAATGGTCCACATCTCTACTAAATGGCCCTTTCCGCCACCCTGGCATCATTTCATGTCTATTCCCCCGCAAATCTCCCAGACAGAGTAGCCCGTCCCTAGTGGGCTCGGATGCCGAGATGGAACCGGTTTTTCTCATGTTGGATACGGGGAACTGAAGTCACGGTTATTTGTACAGAGTTATATAATATAAGTACTGGCGCCAATGCCGGATTGCGCTAGAAATTGACATAGGAAACACTCATTAGCCTTACTGCTTCTTATCTATGGAATATGGCGTCCTCACCTGCAACTTATGAGGGAAAAAAGCCGTATTTTGGTCTGACGGGAGGATGGTTGACTATTTGACTCACGGTATGTTTCCATTTCTTGTTGAGGATCATGCGCGTTATTGCTAACGGATATTTCTAGATTGCGTGTGCGACTGATATGACCCTGTTTGGTTATGATCAGGGCACTTTTAGTACGATGACACCAAACAAACCCTGCAAGAACTAATATGCTAATTAAATACGCGAAATAGGCGGTGTCGTCGTTACGACAACTTTCTGGAGGTCCTTGGTCGGACCATCGAAGACTCAAACACTATCGACCGACACGGCCATTTAAAGATGTCGATTATTTCCTCGGTGCCATCATTGCCTTCACTATTGGTGAGCGCTTTGTCCGGAAGAGGTCAATCCTGCTGGGCACCACAATCATGTCGGTCGGAACGATCCTTCAAGCCGGCTCATTCAGTCTTCCGCGGATGTTCGTCGGACGTGTGGTACTTGGGTAAATTATAATTTATGGACTCTCACGCAATAAGGCTAACAGTAGTAACAGAGTCGGTAACAGAATCAACACTGCAACGGCCTCAATCTGGCAAACCGAGACATCCCCTCCGTGGTGGGCTGGAAAGCTCGTCATGCTTGAGATGGTCATGAATATTGCTGGTTTTGCTCTCGTTAACTGGATCAATTACGGCCTACCAGCCTACCATTCCGGTGTGGTGCGATTGCCTGAAGTCTGCCGATTGCACTGCAGTTCTTTTTTATCATCATTCTGTTTACTACCGTTCCATGGCTTCCCGAGTCTCCAAGGTAAGAGCCCCTGCGTGACCAACGATTTTCAACTACTGTCCGGACACTAATCATATGTGCCAATTCCAGATGGCTCATGTCGCACGGCGATGAAATCGCGGCCATCGAGGTCCTGAGTTGCATCGAGTAAAAACTCGTCAACGACCCCTACATCTCGACCCAACGCAACGAAATCGCCTACAGCATCCACTATGAGCGCCAGAATTCCATCGGACGGTCGCAACTTATTTTCAACTGGAAGAAGAACATCGCCCCAAAGACTATGCGCAGATTGCCTCTCGGAGCTGGCACGCAATTTATGCAGCAGCTTCAAGGAATCAACATCATGTCTTACAACCTGCCGACTGTTCTGATCGGTAAGAACCCCTGCTGAGCTATTTTCTTGTAAGATCTGGACGCTGACTCTTCAGACGCCTTCGGTCTCTCTAATAGAATGCCACGACTCCTCACTGCCTGCAACTCGGTCTCATACTTTGTCTTCACCTGTGCATCTGCCCCACTGGTTGAACGTTGGGGACGACGGGGTCTTATGTTGCTCTCCACTGCAGGGCAATTCCTTGCTTTCTTGATAATCACGATCTTGCTGCGATATACTGATGGCAACGAAAAGGTCGCTGAAGGCTCTATTGTCTTCTTCTTCCTCTTATATATTGCATTTGGCTTGGGAATGTTGGGAATTCCTTGGCTTTATCCAACCGAAATCAGTTCACTGCCGATGCGAACCAAGAGTGCTGCGGTGGCAACTGCAACAAACTGGTGAGAAACCTTCCTGAGTATGATTTGCGTTGTACTGACAAGTGATACAGGATTTGCAACTTCGTCATCGTCGAAATCACGCCCATCGGCAACCAAAACATCGGATGGCGATTCTGGATCGTATGGTCTGTATTAAGCGCCGCCTTTATCTCAGTCATCTACTTCTTCTACCCAGAAACAGGTTCGTCCATCACCTATGACAATAGCGAAGACCTAGCTCACTTGCACTTTAGCGAATTGCTCCCTCGAAGATCTGAACATCTACTACCGTTCCAACCCATCCCCGATCGTCACCAAAGACCTCGACGCCGTCTGCGTCCAGCGACCGATGAAATACATCCAGCACGAAGAGGAGGAGATAATGAAGAACGCCAAGTCGACAGGCGTGAACCAGGACAAGGCGCACGCGGAACATGCGGAGTAAGCGGCGAGGCAGGAGCAAACAAGGGCCCGAGGCTGAACGGGAGGCTGCCTCACAGTTGGGGGCCAAAGAAACACGAATCAGAGCCCTGCTTCGTGTTGGTCTGGGGCCAAGTCTAGGCAGCTGCAGGTGTTTGCGACCGTGTCTTTTCTATCGCTTTCTTTATCAGCATCTTCATCCTTCAACTGTATCCATACACGAACAAAATGTCGCTCTATTTCCCTACAGACTTTGAAGATGAGTATCAAGGTACCAATTTGATCCTTAGACATGGCGCTATGGGCTTTGGCCTGCTAGGCTGGATATTCCTAAAGGCGCGGCATACCAGCAGCATAGCCTATGCAATTCCGGTATATTCAAGACATTCAGCGGGTGATGCGCGTGTACCATTACATTTAAGCTCACAAGAATATACTAGTTCACCTTTCTCATGATTTGGTCCGGAATCTCGGTATATTTGAATTATCAGCGCAAGGTCATTCATCCGTTCATCAACGCAGTCTGTGATGCTGTCATCGCGGCTTTTTATCTCTGGATTATGCCGATTATGCTTTTTGCGGGGGCTTTGTATATGAGTCTACCTACATTCGCCATGTGCTTGTTTTTTATGGCCTCTATGTATGAGTTTTTTTATCTGAACGTTTCCATTTTGAGACGATCCATCTGACCGTTGATGACACAGGTATTTCCACGCTGTACTGGCATTCCGTGAGTATATTCGGTCGCGACAAGGATATCAGATTGCCGTGGGTGTTTAGTTCGATATCCTTGGTATATGGAATGTTAGATGAGCGGGTCGGAATTATGAAGTTCAAAGAAATTGATTTCTGATTTTTCTATCTTCAAGCTCGAGGCTCCGGGGTGTTGTCCTTTTTACACTGATATAGGACCAAGGCGCTTTTTGACTACATAATAACCGTAATTTCATCAAATTCCCCTTCAATAATGGCTCAATGATTTCTTTATTTGAAAAGTAGGTCCTTCCCGATTAGGAAACTGACCGCTCTTTTGACGGTGACTTTCGTTGACGAGAAGAAGGCGGCGTGATTGTTACCACCTACGTCCTCAGCGGCAGGTCACATGTTTGCATTTCCGCGGCAATTGGGCTGATAGCTTCTATTGGCTTACAGGGTCTCTCCTTCCTACTATGGGAACTTTAGACAATCATATCAGTTTGTGAAAAAATCAGCTACATCAGTATTGGCTGCCTTTTCATGGGGAAAAGTGAGCAGTGAACGCGTAGATAAAACTCTCCTGTAGTCGTCAATTTCGTTCCACGTTTCTCATTAATCTATGACGAATCATTCGAATCCCCAACAATCTGTCTTGACGAAACTTGCTGTCGATAGCAGCCACCACATATCTTGCAACTCTGATTCGTTTGTTGTAGGAGTTTTGTCCCAGGCGAAGACCCCTTCGAGAATATAGCGAAATTCTGCCGATCATTGACAAGCGACTGAGGAAAGAGCGATTTTTGCGGACAGATATGTTTGAGAGAAGGGTCGTGTATGGGTTGTCGTAAATTATCAGACGATGACTCGAATTGGTGATAATAGTTAATGAGATGCCAGTTATGACCGGTAGGGCTGGTAATGCTGAACGAAAGCTTCATGAGCTGTGGCATGCCAATGGGTTGTTCAGAACATTGGCCATCGTTTATCCCGACGACTGATCGGAAATCTCTATTGCTGCTTGAGATTTCCTGGTTTCTTCCGGGGTCGGATGGAGGTTCGGCCTCAGGCTCGTCCCTGGGCTTTTGTCCCATCTCTCGATAGATAAGGAATCGTCCGGATACTCGACTTGCGCTCCACTTTCTTCCGTCGGTCCATCTTCTCAGTCCCGTTTCGTGTTCTTCCCAGATGAATACTGAGCCGTTTCGGATTGATCGGCCTTCTTTTGGGGATAATCGTTTCTGGACTCGGGGGAGAAATCCGTTGTAGCAGGCTTGGATGAGGAGGATTGCGTCCGCTGGTGTGCGGATGAAGCCATTGTACGTCTCCATTTGAGTTTTGATGCTTTGATGCCTCGTTGCGAGTTTGCAGACTTGAAAAATTTGTCGACAGAAGAATCAATTATCATTGCACTTCACGTATCCCCGACGGAAAGCTTCCGACAGTGAAGGTTTTGTCAACTGATATGACTGATGCCTAGAAGACTGAACGCGATTAGCACAAGACCGAGCAGTCCCCCGATGTTCACGAACTGACCCTCGACGTAAACAAATAAAAATCGTCGATTCTCTTGAACCCGAAGAAAATGGTAACAGACAAAAATTGCAGCCCAAATGTCTCTCAGGATTACCTGCACGACTCGGCGAAGAAGAGTATCTACAAATCAGTCCATAGTGGAGACGATTGGCCTCGGACCTTCGGGACCGATAAAGGGCCTAGCGCGGAATGGACCGATGGAGTCCAACGACTTCCCCTTTGGGAAGACATTGCCGAGCTCGGAGTTACCGTCGACCCTGATACGGCATCCACGTATGTTCAGGTATTTGGTATCGCCGACCAAAACCGGAGCTCCGCGGACCCCGACTGAAACTCTCTCTCGGTTGCAGGCGAGGAACGAGCTACTGAAATTGGGGTGGGGCGCTGGACAGGATAAAATCGTGCGCGAGGTAGGTGGGCAGATCAGATTAAGCACGCATATTTTTGGGGAGGGGTGGGGCTGGATTTGGCCTGTGATTCCTGATCGGTTTATTTCTGTCTATGTTCTGAATGTCTATACATCGCCGAGGTATCCCATCACCTTTTCAACGAGGAATTTCCGCGGCTCGGCTTGGTCGTCGTTGCTCAGCGCATGCGAGGCGTTGGGGATGATCGCGGAGTGCTCATCGTCCCAAATTTCGGTGTCGCTGCCACGGTTGGTGGCATTCTTCCACCTCTTCAGCAAATTCTCCTTGTCAACCCAGTCAGGGACAGACTGGTCTGCCCCCGAGAATAGAACCGCCAACTTGTGTCTCAAGAGCTGCTGCTGCTGGATCATGCCAAAGGTCTTGCCCAGCTGCTCGTCGCTAATATCAGAGCTAAACAGATCATCTTCTGATGGAGAGTGGGGGCTGTCCAGACTGATCAAACTCAGGAACCTGCGACAGCTGATCGCAGTGTTCCCGGGGTAGATATTACTGGTAAGCGACAACGGCAGCATGGTGTCATATGTGCTATCAATCTTCGCAGCCTCCTTCGCTATCGCCTCCATCTTGTCATATACCACCCGAATCTCGCCGGGCGATTTGCCTCCAATGCCGTGCGTCAGGACCCAGAAGATAGCTTCGCGGTCGGAGACGGGGGCTTGCATGATAGCTCCATCGAGCGGCATGCGCTTTATGTGTTCAAGGCCCGAATCAAATGCCAAAGCACTGGTGTGGGGGTTCGGCCGGGAGAGGTAGTGTAGTACACACTGACTGCCAGTCGAGTGACCCATGAGGACGATTTTGCCGGTGCCATATTTCTCGGTCTTATAGTCTTTGATATAGTTGAGACATTGTGCGATCTCATTGGTGTCCCGGTCAAGGTGTCCGAGCCCCCATGATTGATAAGAAGATGTGAGGTTCAGCGAGAAGAGCGACCATTCCGTTTTCTTCAGGGCCTGGACAAGATCGGCCATATAGGATGTGGTCGCGAGACCGTCGCCTAGTCCACCGAGAAATACGAGACTGTGCGGTTGAGGAATGGCATTGGAAGTGTATTCGAACGTAACCAGGCTTTCCGTCTAAGGTCATCAACCGGCACCGTTAGCTTCAAATTCGTCCCCTTCTCCTTCGAAACCCGAGGGGTCACTCACGTAATGATGCAGAATCCCAGGCACACCACCCTTGGGCCAGAATTTGGAGTACATGTTTGCCGCTGGAATCAAGGAGTCCTCTGAATGAATGGAGTGAGGAAACGACGCACAACAGCGTGAAATTAGATTATGTATTAGGTGAGCAACTGCCGAGCCTGCGTTATCAGATCGCGCCAATTTCCGGACCCGGGCGCCGAAACCTGCGTTTCGTGGGTTCGAAGGGTGACGAGTACCCCGAATCGAAGACCCCCCACTCCCAACACCTCTTGCAGACAGACGAAGCATGACTTGTCAAAAACGGATACAAAGGATTCTCGAGAACATCAAACCGGTGACGATCCACAGGATCCAGGGGGAGTCTGAGACATCGCCGGAGCCAGTGCTGTAATACATATGTATTACATGAAAATCAATACGACCCACTGCGAGTGCATGTATCATCGTTGTAAGGCCAAGAGATGTGACGTTGCAGGTGTGAATTCATCCTCCGCCGCCCAAGTTTTATGTGCCATGGCGCGGCGGTAACGTGCCAGGAGACACTAGAGCGCCTGGCTCAAACCCAGAAAATTAATCAGATATGGTGGCTGGCAGCTAGCGGATCTGATAGGAGATTCCGCCGGCGACGGCCCCCATCTCGGGTATTTCAGGAGTATGATTCGTGTTGAGCTGCGACGCCACAGAGCAATATCCAAGCTGCACGAGGCATTGGCCAGAGCCAAGGAAAGAATTCTGCAGAGTGGGATCATGCGTGCTCGGTTAGAAGAAGCCTTTGTATCTGCAACCGCGCGCGCCGCGAATTATCGTAGAAACATTCAGTATTGCTGTCGAATGTAGTAGACATCGATTGTCGTCGTCTCATGCCGAATGTACACCCCCCCCCCAATTCGATGTCAAGTTCGGGATGGGTCTGCGTAGAAGACACCCTGCATATGTCTCGTGGGGCTAAACTCCATTTTTCCTGAAGGAACAGAACAGCGCCTCGGAGTTTACGCGGCGAAGCGGAGCACGCCCTACGGAGCGATTTAGGACGCTCGTAGTGGGTTGCTCGTGTTATGGAGCGCAGGGTCACAACCTTGCCTCTAGACAAGTTAAAATATTCACTTCCCTGGGAGTAATGAGTCAGTCACCAGGGTGGAACGCGGATCAGATAACTTTGTCTCACTCCACCAGCAAGCTTGTTAAGTACGGTTCGACCGGACTCCTGAACTAGCCCCAGTCGCGCCTCGGCTAGTTTCGTCAGTCCGTGGCTTTCATTCTTCAGTTTGTCCCTGAAAATTTTATGACTTCGTTGTAAGACCAGCGGATCCAAATTGTGGGCTGCCGTCGAATACGTCGTCATCCGGAACTGCCGACCTCGAGAGAAGTGCAGGTGTCTCTCAGGTGAGCTTGCAACTGTTTTGTAACTTGCTTCATTCCAAAGCGCATCTCTGACATGGCACAGCTTGCCTTGGCTGTTTAGTATACCATTGAGCTCTCGCACGGAAACCTCAATTGTCAGCGCATAGCCGCAGCTATGGCGCCTCCATATACGTTGGGATACCAAGGGGTTAATGATATCCTTGATCGCAAGGACAGGGGTCATGGCGGTGCTGGACCAGCAAAGGATCATGTGAATAGCGACCAGCAGAGCTTCGAGCTGCCCGTTCTGGCCTCTCAGGAAGCGACGCCCAGCGGCATGAAGGAGGAAATTGTTCTTCTCTCGTGGTTTCTTGTTCTTCTCCGAACACGCGAAGGAGGCCAGATATCCTTCGAATGGACATATGACCTATCCGGAATAGGCAGCCATCTTTCCATGAGCGAAGTAGTACCAGACCTTCAAGAGGATATCGCGAATGTCGCCACTGCAATTCGCCGGCATATCAAATCCTCCTCATCAACATCGCAATCATCATCGCCGCGCTCAATTCCCTTGATTATGAGCACAAGTGCGTTTTCGCATACTGCCGAAGAAGCCAAAGATGAAGTAAGTAGCCTTTTAGCGCGATATACGGAACCCTCGCTGACTGAATGAAGGGAGCAATCCACCTTGAGCTCCGCTTCAGCAATAACCGCCTAGATATTCGACCATTGTGGACATCGGACAACATGCTCCCATACACCGTCTCATTGTATATCGAGACCTTAGCCGAAACCATCACCAAGTGCCTTTCTGGACAGAGTCAGTCAGTCCAAGAGTGTCTCTGCCCAACCTCACGCGACTTGAGAGACATCTGGGGTTGGAATGGCGTCTTGCCACCAGCATACAGATTTGGCATGCATGAAGTCATCTCAGAACGCGCCCAAAAGCATCCAAGCAAGACCGCAATTTCGTCATGGGATGGCGAATTGACATACGGAGAAGTCGAGCACTATTCAAACTTCATCGCAAGCTCTCTCCGAGGCTTGGCTGTGCAGCTCCATGATTTCATCCCAGTTTGTTTCGAAAAGTCCTGCTGGACGATCGTCGCCGTTCTCGCTGTAATGAAAGCCGGCGGGACCATGGTGATGATGGACCCGACGCTCCCGCTTGCTCGTCTGCAGAATATGGCAACTCAAGTCGGCGCAAAGACAATGCTGGCATCCTTGAAGCAACAGTCTTTATCGAAAGAGATTCTTCCGGATGGAAATCTGCTTGTTATCGAGCAAGACACATTCAAAGATATTCCGGCAATTGAGCAAATCGCTACAATGCCCACCGTCCCCGGGTCAGCGCTGATGTACCTGATTTTTACTTCGGGGAGCACTGGTACACCAAAGGGTGTCAAGATCTCCCACGAAACATACACAAGCAGTGCCTTTCCTCGTGCAAAGGCAGTCGGCTATGACGATGAGTCGAGAGTCCTCGATTTTGCATCCTATGCTTTTGACGTGAGCATTGACAGCATGCTGTTGACACTTGGAAACGGTGGGTGCCTCTGTATTCCTTCTGACGAGGATCGATTGAACGATATCAACGGCGCTATTCGACGCATGCAGGTCAACTATGCCGGTATTACGCCTTCGATGGCGCGTATCCTGGAGCCGGATGTGATTGCCTCACTCAGCGGCCTTGGTCTTGGAGGTGAAGCTGCATCTCCCAGTGATGTAAATTTGTGGGGCCAGGATGCTAGAATCATTATCGGCTATGGTCCCTGCGAATGTACCATCGGGTGCACGGTGAACAGCAGTGCCGCGACGGGACGCGACTACATCTCCATCGGAACTGGTAATGGAGCGGCTATCTGGATAGTCGATCCTAATGACCACGAAATCCTCATGCCTGTTGGTGCAGTGGGTGAGCTCCTGGTGGAAGGCCCGATTGTTGGACAGGGATACCTGAATGATCCAGACAAGACGGCTGCAGCCTTTATCGAAGACCCAAAATGGCTCGTTGAAGGCCACGACAACTTTACCGGTCGCCAAGGCCGACTGTATAAGACTGGAGACCTCGGTAAATACGACCCTGATGGCTCTGGAGGTATCGTGTTTGCCGGGAGAAAGGATACGCAAGTCAAACTTCGAGGTCAGCGTGTCGAGTTGGGTGAAATTGAGAGCCAGCTTCGAGCTAGACTGCCTTCTGAGATCAGCGTCATTGTCGAGGTCATCAAGCCCGACGAAACGGGAGGTCAGCCGACGCTCGTTGCCTTTGTTACCTCTCAGTCCCTTGCTAGCTCAGGACAAGACGGAATTAGCTCTATCCAGTTTTCTGAGGAACAAAAAAACTGCCTTTCAACAGCGAATTCCGAAATTGCAACTGCTCTACCGAGATATATGGTGCCGACCGCGTACATCCCCGTCAACTGCCTTCCGGTTTTGATCTCAGGAAAGACAGACCGAAGACGTCTGCGACAGTTTGGTGCAACAGTGGACTTGCGGCAGCTGGACCTGGGCACCACAACAGCTGCTGCACGCGATCTGACCGAGCTTGAAAAGCAACTGCGTCAGACATGGGGTCAGGTACTGAAGCTGGAAGCTGAAGGTATTCGACCTGATGATAACTTCGTCACGCTGGGCGGAGACTCCTTGGCTGCCATGAAGCTCGTGTCCGTCTGTCGGGACCAGGGACTTGAACTTACTGTTGCCAACATTTTCGGCCACCCGACCTTGGCTGCAATGGCAGAGATCACGCAGTTGTGTGTCATTGAGACGCAGTCTGTGATTCCATCATTTTCACTCATCTCGCAATCCCGCGATACTGTCTGCGCTGAAGCGTCAAAAATATACGGTTTCGATGTAGCAAATATCGAGGATATGTATCCTTGCACACCGACACAAGAATCGCTTTTCACCTTCTCTCTCAAGTCTGTGAAGGCATATGTCGCCCAACGAGTGGCATGCATTCCATCTCACATCGCCCTCGATGCTTGGAAAGGAGCTTGGGAGAAAGTCGTTCGCCAGATCCCTATCCTGCGCACTCGGGTGGCCCAGCTTCAGGAGCCAGGTCTCCAGCAAGTCGTTCTGATTGAAAACATTGCCTGGAAACACGCCGAAGATTTGAACAAATATCTTGATACCGACCGGGAAATAAAGATGAATCTCGGAGAGAGCCTTGCTCGATATGCCATCATTGACGACCAAAAGGATGGCAAACGGTATATGGTCTGGACTGTCCACCACGTACTTTATGACGGCTGGTCCGAACCCATCATTCTGAAGAAAATCAGTGATGCTCTGATGGACCAAGAGGCCCCTAGTCCCGAAACTCAGATGAGAGATTTTGTCAAGTACGTGCGTGACACAAATGAGGCGGCGATGGGAGATTTCTGGCGACGAGAGCTGAGTGGAGCTGTTGGCCCTCAATTCCCTCGCCTGCCGTCGCGTGACTATTTGCCCACGCCAGACGGATTTGTGGAGCACCAGATCTCGCTCGAGACCACTGCTGGCTCGGTCTTTACTATGGCCACACTGATCCGTGGTGCCTGGGCCCTGGTGGCATCCCAGTACACACGAAGTGACGATGTTATCTTCGGCGAAACGCTTACGGGTCGTGATATCCCTCTCGCGGGAGTCGAAGGAATCATCGGACCATTGATTGCAACATTGCCTGTCCGTATCAACGTGAATCGACACAGCACCGTGGAATCCTACCTGCACAGCGTCCAGAAAACCATACTGGCTCGCGTACCATATCAGCACATGGGTATGCAGAATATCAGAAAGGTCAGCCGTGATGCCCAGCATGCTTGCGAGGCCGGTACTGGATTGGTAATTCAGCCCGAGCCTGATAATCCTGGAAGCGAGCTTGGAGTCGAGCAGGGAGATGTGGTGCGTGAAGCTCTTCATTTCAATCCGTACCCATTGATGCTGGCGTGTGGCATTCGCAAGGGCGGATTCAGAATCTGCGCTAGCTTCGATACCGGCTTGATCGAAGTTGCACAGATGAAACGCATTCTTGCGCAGCTGGAAATGGCATGCCAGAAACTTAGCAAGGGTCTTACCCACAAGGTTGGGGAGATTAGCTGCATGTCGGAGGTCGAGCTCAGCCAAATCTGGCAATGGAACCAGACGCCACCACTCTCTCTTGGCCAGGAATTGGGATCCCTGCGGGCAGATGCCAGCGTCAAGCCTGGGACAAACTACCCTCGCCCACTCGTTCCTTGGGTTTGTGATCCTCGCAATCCATCGCTCCTGTCGCCCATTGGTTGTGTTGGAGAACTATGGTTCGAAGGTGCTCTTCTCTCCGATGAGAATATCGAGTCTCCTGCGTGGCTCGAAGCTGGGTGCTCTGATGTCGCCGGTCGAAGGGGTAAGGTGCAATCGACAGGGGACATGGTCCACCTTGGACACGACGGTAGTTTGGTTTTCGTCGGACGCAAGGAAGATGTGGTGCCAGTTTATGGCCACGCCGTCGATATCGCCGACGTCGAAGCAAATGTCGCAAACCAGCTTCCTTCGGGGATTATTGCTGCTGCCACCGTTGTTCAATACCAGCATGGTTCCAGCAAGAAGGAAATCGAGCAAGAGTTGGTGGTCTTGATTGAGCTGCCATCCGTCGATGGAGAGCGAGTGATGCTGTTGTCGCAGCCGCAAGAAGTGAGCTGCGAAGTGTCCGGACAGCAACTCAGTGCAAACATCAGCACCAGCATTCCAGTCAGTTTTGCTGTGGCCCTGAAGAAGTTGAACAAGTTCGCCCAAGACAACCTGCCGTCCTACATGGTTCCTTCCGCTTATGTAGTGGTCGACCGCATGCCCTTTAGCATGGAGAATATCGATCGCGCTCTTCTCCACAAGCTGGCATCCAGCGTTCCACGCAGCTTGCTGAATGGCCTCCGCGGTGCCTACAAGGAGGCATGGGGAAATGGCGTAGCGCAAAGCAACCTGACGCCGTCCGAGAATATCTTGCGGTCGGCGTGGGCGAAGATCCTCGGACTCGCCGAGGAAAAGATCGATGTCGACGACAACTTCTTCCGGCTGGGCGGTGACTCCGTCCTCGCCATGAAACTGGTCTCAAGCCTGCGCGCTCATGGACACGGCCTAACAGTCGCCGATATTTTCCAGAACATGCGACTGACCGATGCTGCAAGAGTGTTGAAGTTGGATCGAGCTTCGACCACCAAGATCAAGGCGTACGCACCATTCTCCCTGCTGGACACCAAAGACACCGAGCTGTTCCTCTCCGATATCGTGCGGCCAAAACTGGCCAACCCAAGTTGGAAGATTCGAGATGTATATCCCGTTACAGACTCGCAGGCACTCGACATCAAGGGAACAGTCGAACTACCACGAACATCCGTCCAATATACAATGCTCTACTTCGACAGCAAAATCAACAACGACAGACTGATGCGCGCTTGCAACGACTTAGTCAAGACGCATGATATCTTGCGAACGGTCTTTATCAAACACGAGTCGACATTCCTGCAGGTGGTTCTCGATAGCCTGTATGCCCCGGTGATGACGCAAAAGGCCGAAAAGGAGCTGGAGCAAGCCATTACCGATGTCTGCAGCGTCCACATCGAGAGAGAGTTCCAACTAGGCTCATCATTCTTCAAGGTCCTCCATGTCCAAGGAAATGACGGTCGTGAATGTCTCATTTTTGGCCTTTCCCATGCCCTGTACGATGGTGTTTCCCTGCCAAGGCTTCTGCAAGACCTGGAGACCTTGTACACTAAAGGAAACATTGTCGATTACGAGCCCTTCTCCACATACATGGCTCGCATCTCTGATGAGAAGGCTAACGCCAAGGCTGTCTCATATTGGACCAACCTCCTGACTGGGTCATCAATGTCCATTATGGAAGGAAAGTCAGGAAAACCCACCGACAAGGCAGTGTTCCACACAAAGCCCGTCGACATTTCCCTTCCAATCGAGGAAATCACCACTGCAAGCCTGCTGACTGCAGCCTGGGCCCTGGTCCTGGCTCGTGTCCTGAAGAAATCAGACGTGACCTTCGGAAGCGTTACATCTGGCCGTATGCTGGACCTGGCAGGTGCGGAAAATGTTATCGGACCATGCTACCAGCTTTCGCCAGTCAGAGTCCCATTTCAGCCCCAGTGGACGGCCATGGATCTTTTGAAGTTTGTTCAGAAGCAAAGCGCGGAGTCGGCGGCGTACGATTATCTCGGTTTCAACCAAATCGCCGAGAAATGTGCTCAGTGGTCGTCGGATGCGCAAGGCTTTGACTCTCTCGTGCATCATCAGGACTGGGATGATTTTGATACCATGACCTTTGCGGGTGGCACTTATAAGGTGGATATCTTGAATCCCCATGGAGATGCGCCTCATCCGTTGAAGATTGTTTCGTATGTGCGTGAGGGGCAGATGCATGTTGGCGTTGTTGGGTGTGAATTGGATTCGCCATTTGTTGACGAAGTTCTTGGTAAACTTGTTGATGCTGTTCGGGAGCTGGGAGCTCGTCAATCTGAGAAGTTGCTTGATGCTGAGTGATTTTAAGGTCGGATCACTGGAGTATTGAGCCGAGAGGCATTTACATCGCATAAATTGTTGTTTTAGGATTTTTTTTTTTTTTCAGTTCTGCTTGTTCATTTGTTTATTTGAATGTGATTTATCTTCTTATTTCCTTTTCGAAATCTAGCAAAAATGCAATACTGTGTATTCCCGCAATTTAGGCAATACAAAGATGCCTTGACACTTGGCAAGGATTCAGTCCACTATCACGGACGGGGTGCAACATTTGTGAAGCATAAAGCGGAGATCTCTACTATCTATGTTTCTTATTACAATGGTAATGTAGAAGCTCTCGATAATGAACAGATGAAACAAATTTTGATTAAGAAAACTAAAGAAAGCAAGTCTAGTAGTAGTTTAAAAAATCTATCAATCAGTGGCCACAGTCTGATGCATGACATTAGCCCTATAACTCTCCGAGCGCTCGAGCAACTGCTCATGCGAACCATGATCAACACAACGACCAGCCTCAATCAAGAAAATGACATCCGCCTTCCGAATAGTCCGCAGCCGATGAGCAATCGCAATAACTGTAATACCCCTCGCAGCCTTCTCAAGACCATCCTGGAGGAGCTTCTCAGACTCCGCGTCCAGCGCACTAGTCGACTCATCAAGGATCAAGAGCTTAGGCTTCCGAACAAGTGCACGAGCAATCGACAATCTCTGCTTCTGACCACCGGAGAACTGACTACCGTTCGGTCCGCAAAGGGTCTGGTAGCCGTCCGGCAGACTCATAATGGTGTCGTGGATGTTGGCGAGTTTGCACGCATCCTCGATATCGGCAAGCGTGACGTTGCGTCCTGGGGCTGCGCCGAGACCGATGTTGAACTCGATGGTTCCTTCGAAGAGGACACTTTCCTGCGGGACGAGAGAGATACTGTCGCGGAATGAGACACTGTGGCCCTTTGTTACGTCGAAGCCGTCCACGAGGATGGATCCTGCTTCGGGGGTGTAGAGGCGTTCAACAAGTGAGATGATGGTTGACTTGCCGGCACCACTGGGTCCGACTAGCGCTGCGAATTTGCCGGGTCGGATGTCCATGCTCAACCCGTTGAGGATTTTCGAGTCTGGGCGGGCAGGGTACGCGAAGTGGACGTCGCGGAATTGAACCCCCGAGGCAGTGTTGTCGGAAACGATGGGTTTCAGCTCAGCAGTCATTTCGGGGTCTTTCTCCGCAGAATCGATTTCAGCGTGGGTTGGGACCTTGCCCTTCATACCCTCAGAACCAATTTCGATCAAACCGAGAATTCGGGCCATCGCATTACGCGCGTTTGTAAGCTCGGGTGCGAGGGCGAACATCTGACTCCAGAGAAGAGCGCTGACGAGCAGAGAGAAAACCACGATCAGGAACTGCGTCTGGGTATAGGTACCGGCAATAATTTGTTTCGCGCCCCACCAGTACGCGAGCGCGTTCACGCAGTTCCCCAGGAAGTAGGTGGTAGCTTGCCAGAGACTTGCGTGCAGGGTGACTTGAAGAGTCTCCTTGCGGGGACCCTTGAGCGACTTCCGGTAAGTTTTGAGGATATCGTGCTCGAGAGACAGAGAAGCGATGGTCTTGATAGAAGTAATTGCCTCCACACCAATGTCAACGGACTTGGTATAGGCAGTCTCGTGTTTCTCTTCGAACTTGCCCAGGACATGCAACTCCATCAAGCCCGCTCCAAGAAGAAGAGGAACCAGGGCAAGACAAACCAAGGCGATTTTCCACGCAATAATGTGCGTCAGAATGATTGCGGCGATGAGATTGACAGTAATCGAGATCAAAGTACCGATAACAGACCCACTGAGGCCTGCAAGGGCATTGCCATCCCGGGTAATATACGAGAGAAGCAAAGGCGGCGATCGACCATTCGACTGGTGCCATTGCAAGTCCTGCTCGAACAAAGAACGGAATGACAAAACACGCACAGTGTAGACAATCTTCTCCGAAGCCCAGCCAAAGCCGGCCCAACTGACCAAGTTCGAGAAGAATTCGATGATGGCAAGAACGAAGAACATCAGACCGAAGAAGTCGCCTTTGGATCGAATGCTGTCGGCGCTCTTGCAGGGGTTCAGGCTTCCAACGGTGTTACCGAAAATAACGGCCTCACCAGAGAAGGCACCACCGACAATCACCGAGCCGATCAGGGCAAAGAAAATGATCAGAAGATGAGGTTTGACGGCAGGACCGTATCCGCGCAGAATTTGCCAGAGGGACTTGGATGGAGTTTCGAGTCCCTCTTCCTCCTCGGGAGCATCCGTGACTGGGGTTTCCGTTGCTGTAGCCTTGTGCTCATCCGCAGGCTCGAATTCGTTCGATGTGCTGACTTTCTCAATGTCCGTATCCGTAGTCGAAGTCTGATCAGATTTACTGACACTCTCAATGCTGACAGTGGCGTCGTTCTTGTTAGTCGTGCCACCTAATCCCTGCATATACACTAAGTTGGCGTAGGATCCATTCTGAGCCATGAGCTCAGAGTGACTGCCCTGCTCGATGATATGGCCTTTATGCATGACGATGATGTTATCAGCGTTGGTGATAGTGGAAAGGCGATGAGCGATGGTGATCATAGTTCTGCCACTGGCAATTCTGTTAATGGCATCCTGAATTCGGCGTTCAGTCCGCGAGTCAAGAGAGGCAGTAGCCTCGTCCAAGATGAGAACAGTGGGGTCCCGTATAAGAGCTCTGGCAAGCGAGACACGTTGCTTCTGGCCTCCGCTAATAAGACGACCACTCGAGCCAACACTGGTGGCATACCCGTGGTGCAGGTTGGAGATGAAACCATGCGCATCGGCAAGATTCGCGGCTTCCTTGACAAGATTGACAATTTTCACGACTTCCGATCCACGGCTTTCGGCAGCGACCATGAGATCCACGCCTCCACGAACCTCAGCAGCGAGTCCCTCAAGATCAGATGCGAGAAGCGCAGCCTTTAGCTCTGTGTGGCTCGGGTTGCTTGAACTCATGAGCCCGTGGGCTATGTTTTCGAGAAGGGAACGATCGAGAAGAGATGGTTCCTGCTGCACAAGACTCAGGTAGCTTCTGAGGTCCCGGGTGTTGACTTCACGGAGGTTGTGTCCGTCAAAGAAAATCTCTCCTTGATCGGGATCGTACAGTCGAGTGACCAGGCCTGCAATCGTGGACTTTCCACTTCCAGACAAACCAACAAGAGCGGTGTGCTTGTTTGCTGGAATACTGAGGCTAATGTTGTCGAGAACAGTCACCTCCGGTCGGGAGGGATAGCAGAAAGAGACATTCTTGAATTCAAATGCGCCTTGCGCCTCGGTGAGACGAAGACCAGCATCGGTGGTACCATCGATTTGAGGCTCGCGATAAATGTCGCCGTGGAGCTTCTCAAATGATGCAACAGCGGCAGTGAAAAGGTGGAGGAAGGGCGCAACCTGGCTCAGAAGAAGAGTAGCTTGATCTTGTTAGTATGTGCCAATACAGAAAATTCGATGGCAACCACTCACCCTCAACCAAAATGAAGATAACCGTAAAGACAGAACCGACAGTGGTACCAGCGTCACCACCATCCACTGAGTCAGCGACCTTCCGACTTCCCTGCCAGAAAGCGAGACCGTTGGCCGAGTATGCAATAAAGTAGAGGAATCCGGCCTGCACACCGACAGCAGTAGCTTTCTTCATACCCTCACGCTCACTCTCCTTCAGTGCCTTGGAGAATTTCTCCTCCAGACGGGTGTTCGCACCAAATGCCTGAACCACAACGAGATTGGAAAGTGCCTCAGAAGCGATCGACGCAGCAGAGGCAGCATAGTCCGAGACGCGCGCAGAATACTTCTCGATATAGTGACTTCCAATAAATGACATCAAGAAATAAGCCGGAATCAGCGAGATCAACATTGCGGCCAGAATAGACTGCTTGATGAAAGCTACGATATAGGCGGTGATGAAAAAGGAAAAGCTAGAAATGCAGATTCCCGCTTTTTCAGAAGATCCCGAACGAATCGTTTGAATATCGGTGTTCAGACGAGAGGCCACCTCACCGGGAGGGAGATTATCGAAGTATGAAGGCTCTTGGCGCAGCAAGTTCTGCAGATATCTCTCGCGCAGCCTCTGTGCTAGTCGGGCGCCGTACATGGTCCAGCAGGAAAGATGCAGGTAGATCGTGACGAATTGTGCAATGGCCAGGTAGACAATGATCAGAATCTTGCCGTTGATGTCGCTTTGTTCGGAGGCGTCGGAGGATGCAGTGGCTGTACCCGCGGATGCAGAGCAGGTCGCCTCGTTGAAGTCGTCGAGCAGTTGACCGAACAGAATTCCGATCAATGGGAAGGGAACACCGGATGCGCAGGCGCATACGAAGCCGACGAAAAGTGTTCCCAGCTCGATCCTTGGAGGACCGCCGGCCAGAAGCATGCGGGGATAACCCGCCATCTTGGAAAGCACTCTCATGGTGACGGGATCAAGGTGCTTATACCCGAGAAAGAGGCTGAGTGTGTATGCGCGAGCAGCGCAGGACCCCGGAGCGACTTATCAATCAGTAGCTGATTGATAACGCTGCCTGGGATATGTAGCAGTTGCGTCCGCACCAGCGAAAATATCCAGCACTAATAGAATGCAGCCAGCTCGAAGATCAACCTGCAGAGACAGTTTCGCTGCTTCAGGTCATAAAATGCAGTTGGAAGCTCGAGCATGCAGAAGTGACATTCGTCTCCAAGAAAAATCACCAGGGGCCGTGACGAAGGCCCAAACGGGCTTAGGGTTCGGCCAACATCGGTCCACACCTTACCGGCTTGCATTGAATCCGAAGCAGATCAAATACACACGAGCACGACGACACGAGCGCGCCCTACACTGCGCAGCACCCATGACTGCGTGGTGGGGCGAAGACTTCAAGTATCTATTTCGCGTGGAGGCTTGGCGATACTATGAAAGTACGCCTGATACATTTAGCGTAACTTTGGTATTGCGACCTGTATTGCAGGCTGTACCATATCTCGGAGTAAGGATATCCACTTCGTTTTCACCACGCGAGAAAGTGGGCACATTATTCCTGGCAGGCCCCACTACTCTCCACTTACTCAGAGTGCTCGGTTCTCGGAATTCTGCCGGATCGTCCTCACACGATGGTTTTCGCGTCGGATCCAATCGCTCCTATTCCGGTGAAGAATATCAATTGTCCCTGGAAGAACGGGGTCAAAAGCAATGGTGCAGCTGGAACTTGGATAAGATGTATTCATCGAGTGATATAACAATGAGACTGAGCTCTCTACCTCATCCAACAGCAACTGCGATGCAGGCTCTAAACTCGCTATATATTAAGGGCAGATTACAGCTTCGCATTCCAAGCGGCACGATCGGCGGATTCGAGCGGTCGTTCGCGGCCGTCCCACCAGAGCGGGCACAACTGGAACCACTTTTCCCTGCTGGCAATCGAATGGACCGATCTCTTGTGACACAAATCAACATATTTGCCGATTGTTAGACCCTGAGAGTTCTCGTAGGAGAGAATGATCGGCCCATTGGCTTTGGGCTCGCCGACCACGTTGACGGTTCGGGGGTCATCAAGGAAACAATAGTGAATACAACTGGAGTACCAGGCGTTGACTCGCTTCGCTCCGCGGAATGATGCGTCACCGACAAGAGAGTGTCGGCCGCGGTCGTAGTCGCCGGCGTCATAGTGGGCACCGTAGTGGTCCTCCTGAAGACAAAGATATTGTTACCATCAGAAGCGAACGAAAAATGTTGGTCGGAATTTGGAATCAAACCTTCGACCAGTAAAGCTCATAATAAGAGAATCGCGACTCATTGAAGCGACCGAACAAGCACAGCACATGGGGGTCAAAGTGCAACTTGCGCAGATACTCCCGATGCTCATCCAGAGTGCCAGTCTCGTTCCACCCCTTCGCCACCCGGGGGTCATTCTGCCATGTATTGAACAACTTCAAGTGCTCTAGGTTCTGCCAATCCACAACCTCGAGGGAGAAATGCTCGTCGATCTCGGGGATATAGCGACTGTAGGCGATGGACCCGGGGTACGGCTTGGGACGGCGTGTTGGATGTCGAGTATATACGGGTTCGGCAGGGAACTTGGATGTGATCTGGTAGTTCTCCGGCATAATCGGGTAGTTTGCGAGACCCTCTCGCACGGGGCCATCTGTGCCATCGCCAATCACCCAGATCGGCCGAGGGCCCAGCGGAGAGGCGGCGCCCTGCCAGAAGGAGCTTCGGAGAACCAGGAGCTCGTCAAACTCCTCGGTGCCTTTGGACCAGTGCTGAAATGGCTTTGGGTGCACAGTGGCCAGACCTGTGGTGAGCAGCTCGCTGCGGATGACATCGCTTCCGGCGCCTTGGAGGTGAAGACGGAAGTATTCGTTTGTTGGGTGGGTAAGGTTGATCGCGTGGATGACGTTCCAGATTTGACCAAGCGAAGGCGCACTGTCGCCAGACCATTCGAATGTAGTGTGTGGGCTGCGGCGGGCTCGCGCCCATGGGGTGTTGTCATTGACCAGTGAACGCTGGTTCTCGGGGATGAGAGAGAGCTCCTGCCAGGTCAAGGTATCCAGATGAAGAGGCTGGGGGAGAGGACGACCATTCGACGGCTGATCGTCAAAGGCCAGATTGAGCTTGGCAGTGCTTGCGTTACTGGGGACGCTGGTGATGCGATATGAAGTGAGGAAAGGGTGCGGGAGCTTTACCCGCGGATACTGCGGTGAAGAAGTCGACACCATTGCTGTTTATTCTAGGGTATTGTGTGGTATAAGCTTGAACAAGAATCTGCAGGCTGCAGAGGTTCTTGGACGATTTAAAGACCAGAAGGATGCTTTCTTCGAGAAATAGATTATATAGCTCGAATTCCGACAAAATACCGTTTAGGATAGGAAAGCCGAGATCCTCCTATTGGGCCGGACCTGGATCGGTAGCTTACTAGTCGTGTCTAGCAGAACTTGGTAGCCAGGGCATTACTTTAGTTTCACGGCTCTAAGCGAATGACTCGTGTAATTGACTTCCAAGAAGCCTCGGCAGGTAGCGAAGACGCGGACGGACCCCGATGTCGCTCGTTTCCGCTGTCTCCTTCGTGGCCCTACAAACCTTCGCCCCAATGCGGAAGGCTCCACTGGCAGGCTCGACCCAAAGAGTATATTACTGTCCCAGAAAGGAAGCCACGACTTCCCATGCCTCCCGTGCATAACGCCTGCGTCTTGCGTTGTTCGACACCTTCACTTACAATCATCTGCCACCATGTCTCCTTGGCCCCAGTCCCCCAAATACCAAAACTTCATTGTCTCGTTCCCGGACGAGCGCATCCTCCAGATCACCTTGAACAGACCACAGAAGCTCAACTCCATCGACAAGGCTACAAGCAGGGAGATTCAAGCGGTGTGGGAGGCATTCGACCAGGATGAGTCTCTCTGGGTAGGCATTATTACGGGCAATGGCAGAGCCTTCTGCACCGGCGCTGACCTACAAGGTACTTTGATTTCTCTTTCCCATATTGAATTGTTGCCCCGACACCAGCTGATCACGGCCCACATGAGCAGAATGGAACAGGATGAATCAGACAAGGGAGGTCAACAGCATGGATGCACCGGGTCTCGCAGGCCTCCCCCGACGAAGTGGCAAGAAACCAATCATCGCGGCCGTCAACGGAATCTGTATGGGTGGAGGCTTCGAGATGATCGCCAATTGCGATCTAGTCCTCGCGTCCGCTTCGGCGACTTTCGCCCTACCGGAAGTGAAGCGCGGAATCGTGCCTGTGGCTGGATGTCTTCCGCGACTCACACGTACGATCGGTCTCCAGCGGACCATGGACCTCGTGTTGACGGGCAGGAATGTGAACGCGAAAACTCTCCACGACTGGGGACTCGTGAGCCAGGTTGTGGATGCTGGCGCAGATGTTGCCTCGGCTGCGGTGAAGATTGCCCAACAAATGTGCCAAAATAGCCCAGATTCCTTGATCGTTGGCCGTGAAGGGGTTCGCTTGAGCTGGGAGTCTGGCAGCGTGGAGGAGGCCGTGTCCACCCTAGCCGATCAGTGGTATCCTCGCCTCATGGGTGGAGTGAATTTCGCGGAGGGGATCCAGGCGTTTGTGGAGAAGCGGCCGCCAAACTGGGTCAATTCGAAGCTATGAGAAGGATATTACGATGTTGCCTAAAACATGGGACAAATTCAACTCAATCTAATCAGATGGTCTCGTCGCTTGCGGGCTTGATGATGGCGTGAACGGCTCTTGGCTTCCCGAATTGCCCCGTATGTCTCAGTCGTGAATAGATACCATCTTATCTGATGCGGCCGTGCCATGGATTGGATTCGTAGCCCTCGGAGAGTAATTTGCCACGAGATCCCGGGCGCTGGAGGGTTGCATTCGGCCCAGCAGGGTTGACTAGGGATTGACTCGCAAACCCCAACCCGAAACAGTACTAAACTCCGCAGCGGCCTCGAACCCCGAGGTTCTGACATTTGCCTGGGCCCATAGATCGGTATTGACCGTACGGAATAGTTTACCTTACTCCGACGTGTAACTTACACTAGTGACTCACTGGTAGTATGGTACGTCTCCCCGGTACTGTCAGGCCCGTACGGTCGGGTGAATCCGAACCAACACGATCCATCGCACGGACCCGAGAAAAGAATCTGATAACTCTGTCCTTGCCCTTTGCGGCCTCGTCCACCGACGCCGACCCTTCTGCCTGAATCGCCTTCAGCCCTCAGGTATTCAATTTGCCAAGCACGCTGGATTGGCCCGACGTGGCTAATACGTGGCCTTAACCACTAGCTACTTCCTCCGGTGTGGTCCCATCTCGGGCCATCTAAACGACGCCCTAAGTCCGTTCCTTCGCTTCGCTTGTTTCTGCTCAATTGCCGGGGTGGAGTGTGAAAACTTGGACCTGAAGCGCCGGTTCCGCCCACGCCGTGCCAGCTCGTGGTCCTGCTTGGCTCGATCATCTGATTAGATGGGGCCCTGGCTGCCAGCGCTGGCCCCCTTTTCTCGGCGTTCCTTTTAATAATGCCACCACCACCCTCGCGCCCGCGCAGCTCCTCTTCAACCCTCGAGGCGGTAGAAAGCCTTTGCTCTCTGCGTTGATGCCGGTGCACCGTACCCTGGTACTTCCATAGGGCAGATATAATGCACAATGCACAAAGCCTGGGCTGCGGCTTGTATTGTTGCCAATTAATCCTATCCGCGCGTGGCGTCCGGTTCTCGGCGAATTAAAAATAGCTAGAGTGCAGCACCTGGCGATGCCAAGGGCAGCCAAGAGAGCCAAGGACTCTGAAGCCAGACCAGAGAACCCTTGGCACGGCGAAAGGCCCCTCGTTAGTGTGCCACCGAACCAACACAAGAGGAATTTATCAATCAGTGTTTCTCGTAGCCGACGAAAGTAAGCGAATGCCATAAAAACAAAACTTTTCCCGCGTGGTCTGCGGCTGATTCGAGTTCTTGAAACCATCTTGCTCTGACCTTCGTAGGGTTCTATAGGGCAGAATGACGGTCATCAACAGATTTCGGGCCCTGAGGCGCCACTCGACAGAGGAAACTGTGCCTGCCGTGACCAACACGACCGAGGAGCCCAAGCAAGACTCTGTCGCCGATGGTACCGCTCCAGTCACTGCACCGGAGCAGGAGCAGCACGATCCTTCGCGTCCCAGCGAGGATCTGCAGCACGGTGTCAAGAATATCGAGGCTGTGACTTTGACTTGGACCAAGGCCACGCTGATCGCAGTATTCATCAAGTACGTTTGGACCCGAGATCGTCGTTCGCCAGCCCTACGACCTTGAATTATCAATAACTTTATTTTGCTTCTAGTATCTGGTTCCTGTACTTCGTCAATGCCTTCCAATCCGCGGTATTCTGGACTCTAGTCCCCTACATTACCAGTGAATTCACTGCCCATTCGCTTCTTAATGTCATCTACGTCGTTGGAGACTGCATGTCTGCCGCGACTTATATCCCCTTGGCCCGGACCATGGACACCTTCGGTCGTGCCGAAGGCTTTTTGGCCATGTGCATCTTCGCGACTCTGGGTTTGATCATGATGGCTGCATGCCACAATCTTCCCACGTTCTGCGCTGCATACGTAAGTTGCGCCATTCTAGAGCCTCCTAACAAAGTTTTCCCTAACGCTCTCTTTTTAAGGTCTTCTACAATATCGGTTTCAGCGGTATGACTTACTCAATCGATGTCATTACTGCCGACGCATCCAAGTTGAAGAATCGAGGCTTGGCCTTCGCCTTCACCTCCTCCCCATACATCATCACCGCCTTCGCTGGTCCGAAGGTGGCCGAGGACTTCTATGGAGACATCAGCTGGCGCTGGGGCTTCGGCTGCTTCGCCATCATATTCCCCATTGTCGCCGCGCCTCTCTTCTGCATGCTGAAGTGGAACACCCACAAGGCGAAGAAGCTGGGTCTCCTTGTCCGCGAGCCGAGCAACCGCACCTTCCTGCAATCTATCTTCCACTATAACAATGAGCTTGACCTGATCGGCGTCATCCTCTTCTCTGGCGGCCTAGTCGTCTTCCTCCTTCCGTTCTCGATTGCGCCCGAGGCTCCGAATGGCTGGGGCTCCGACTATATCATCGCCATGATCGTGGTTGGCTTCGTCATGCTCTTCGTCTTCATCCTTCACGAGGCATACACTGCGCCCCGACCCATGCTGAACTGGAAGCTGCTTTCGGATCGCACCGTGATCGGCGCCTGCTTGTTGGATGCCACCTACCAGCTCTGCTACTACTGCTGGAACGGCTACTTCACGTCCTTCCTGCGAGTCGTGAACGACATCACCATCGCAGAGTCCGGCTACGTCGCCAACACCTTCGATGTCGTCTCTGGCGTGCTCCTCCTCGGCGTCGGCTTCCTGATCCGCCGAACCGGTCGCTTCAAGTGGCTTTTGTACATCGCTGTACCGCTGTACATCTTCGCCCAAGGCCTGATGATCTACTTCCGTCGTCCCAACCAATCCGTTGGCTACCTGGTGATGTGCCAAGTCTTCATTTCCATCGGTGGAGCCGTCTTCATTATTTGCGAGCAGCTCGCTATCCTCGCCGCCGTGGACCACCAGCACGTCGCGACCGTTCTGGCCCTACTGAACGTCGTCGGAACTGTCGGTGACGCCGCTGGCTCGACTATTTGCGGTGTTATCTGGCAGGCTACTTTCAAGAAGGCGCTGCAGAATTACCTTCCTCAAAGTGCGATGGATAACTTCGATCTTATCTACGATGATGTCGAGACTCAGGTGCTTTATGCCCCTGGCTCTCCTACCAGACTAGCTATCCAGAAAGCGTATGGATATGCGCAAACTCGCATGCTTGCCGCTGGTACCTCGATCATGGTACTGGCTGTTCCTTGGACTATGATGATTCGCAACATTGACCTGAAGGCTGTCCAGCAGGTCAAGGGTACCGTATTTTAAGCATGTCCATGCTTTCATTATAATATGTAGATTTTTAGTTTCTTTTTCTGGGTAGGTGGTCGATGCTTGATTTATTCTGTCTCTGGGAAAGTTTGATATTACTGTGCGAGCAAAAGAGGTGTACCCGTTAGGGATTTAATGTTGATATTGAGCAATATTCTCTCCCAAAATTCATGATGACTTCGGTGCAATGTTGGCTTCCTATTCAAATTTCAAATGTGATAGCTGGAAGTGCTATCGTAATGTATTCTGGTATATGGTAGCGCAACATGTAACATCACATTACTGAACACCTGAAGTCAGTGCGCGGTATATATTTTCGAAACACCATACAGTGCAGCGTGGTATGTGAACGGCGATCGAATCACACAACACTTAACGTCTTCATAATATATAAATGTAATTAAATCCCAGAATAGAACCTCCAAGTGGGCTTATAATCCGCAGACAACTCCTTGTTCAACAGCCACGCCCTCATAATCTCATTAGGCATCCGATTCTGCTGCAAGAACAAGTCGTGGAATTCCATTTCGGAAATCACTCCATCACGAAGAACCTCTTTCCTCAAAGCATATATCTGCAGGGCGCCCAGCATATACCCAGCCTGGTAAAGCGGCGAATATTCACCACTTAAAGAGCGCCTGACTTCCCCTTCTGCAGTCGCGCGTTCGTGCCCCACCTCATTGACAAGTAAATCAATGCACTCTTGCGGCGACATCTGTCCAAGATGGAACCTCACCGAGAAAATAATCCGAGCACATCGATGAAGACGCCAGAAAAGCATTCCAATGCGGTTCTTCGGTGTTTTGACGAATCGCTCGTCGTCCCAGAGGAGGAACTCCCAATATAAAGCCCAGCCTTCGACCGAGAAAGGGGTGTCGAAGATGCGTCGGTAGGAGTTTGATCTGGCGTTAATGTGCATTTGGAGGTGGTGGCCCGGGATCATTTCGTGGAAGACTGTTGCGCGGGAGAAGTGGATGTTGTTCCCCCGCATACTCATCATTTTCGACTCGTGGTCCATTGCGTCTGTCGGGTATGATACGATGATTGACTCGCCGCCGAGAAAGAATGGATTGACTTTTTGGCGTTGGGGCGACATCATGAACATCTGCCAGGTTTGCTTGGCGATTGGTGGGACTGTGACGAGCTTGTGTTTTTCCACGAAGGTGATAGCTTCGAGGATGAGGTCCTGGACGAGTTGAGTTTGTTTTCCTGGTTCCACATAGTCGTTTTTGACTTCCTCGAGAGCTTGACGCCAGTCGTTGCCCAGCTTCATGGCATTAGCGGCCGTTTTCAGCTCGGAGATACACCACCCGAATTCCTTTTCGCCGATCGAGATGATTTCCTCCGGCGTGTAGGGGATCATCTCCGCCTGGAGGTCGGCGAGAAGGCCATCCCGCCCGATCGGCTGACCCACAATCGCATCATTGTTCCCCGGTTTGATACCCACTAGCTCTTCGCGGATCACTTCGGAGATGGTGGCTAGATTCTTGTCCACGACTTTGTATGGATTTGATGCCCACCAGTCAAAGAGTGGGTCATATCCTTCGTAGAATGTATACCACTCTTTCAAATGCTCTCTCAGATTGTCAATATGGCTGGCTGCACGGAAGGCGACGGTCCCAACCGGTAGTTTATCGGCGCTGATCTTGACCTTCTCGATCATGTCCGCAATCTGCAGTTGGACCTCAAATAACTTTTGCGCAACAGTCTGTGAGTGCATTGGCAGGACCAGAATCCGAGCTTCGCAAATATCCACCAGGGTGCTTGCGAATGGTAGCAGCGGCGTTGTCTTTTCGTCAAGACTAGAGTCAAGCTCGAGTTGTTGGAATCGGCGCTCCATGTAGTTCTTGATAAGGAGGTAGTCGACATGGCTTTGCGTGTTTGGGCTTTTGAATACCCATGAGAGCCCCTTCAACGAGTTCAGCTCTGATTCCAGGAATTCATAGATCTTCTTTTTCCTTCTGCTCGATAACTTGATTGAAAAGAATGATTCAATATCCTTGAGGTCTGCTGTGATACGTTCGATCAATGAGCGGAGCACAGAGGGCTCAGAGCCGTTCACTGAGGGGGCGACGACAGTCAAAGTCACCATGATTGCGGAGATAATTATGCCGATGGACTGATGCAAGGAGATACATCGAGGGGCGGCGAGGGTAAACAGCGGGGAGCGGTGAGACTACGATGTAGCATCCAGGCATACGTAATCTGCCATCCAAGTGTGCTCTCTAACAGATGCACTGCCTAGCCTTAGTGTCTGACAGATCTCGACTCGGCTGGTGTTTCCTACCTCTAGCCTAACGGACGACAATGATAACACTGGCAGCAGCAACGATGATTTCGCTATCCCATTTAAGCGGCACAATTTCTCGAGGACGCAAGCGAGTCGAGACTGGCATACGACGCTGCTAGAGGAACCGTACTCCGCATTTTTGCCTAAATGGGACCGTTTCACTATCGGCAGGTGGGCGTTGGGACTATCAGACCGGCCAAGGATGCGGGGAAAGAGGGTTGCATCCCAGCGGGAGAAGGCTTGGGCGAGCTTATCTTAGGTGGGGGCGCATCTACACTAGTACTCTACTAGCAGAGCAGGTGCAACCATCCACGCATATATAGCGACAGGTCGGCATTCCCTCTGCGCTCTTATCCAGGTGTTTCGATTCTGTCCGCTCGCTAGAATGAGTCCGACCTTACCTGGCAGTGCCATCGATGGCATTGCGCCCTCGCAGTTAAAGAGAAGCGACGACAAGGACATAATTGCTAGAAATGACATCCAGGAGCTTCACAATATCGAGCTTTCACACCAATGGGATCCAAATTTACCGCAAGAAAAGCTCGATGCGATTAAGGAAGCTGTTCACAGCGGTGATCATGAAAAAGCCGCCGAGCTCGACAAATCCTTTGCGCAGGATTCGCAGTATGAATCTGTGCGTGCAGCCGTGCGCAATACAGATGGCGGCGAGGTTGCTAATACGGTGCGGGCGTGGATTCTGGGGTTACTTTTTACGACTGTTGGTAGCGGGCTGAACATGTTTCTGAGTATGAGGTGGGTGCCTAATTTTCCGGTCCTGTTCTGAGATCACAACATGACGGCTGAAATGATTTATGGTATAGGAGCCCTGCTATCTCGTTCCCCGCCATTGTTGTGCAGCTGCTGGTCTACCCGATCGGATGTTTCTGGGCAAAGGTGGTGCCGACAAAGGTGTTCAATACCTTTGGAGTGCGATGGACTTTCAATACTGGCCCGTTCACTATCAAGGAGCATACAGTCATCACAGTAAGTTCACCTTCATTACTGGTCATGCTATCTTGCTAACTCGTCCCAGATAATGGCAAAGTAAGGCGAATCTCATTCTTGAGAACCAGGTCTAACATGTCAATTACAGTGTGTCTATCGGCTATGCATATTGCACGGACGCCCTCTTGGCATTAAAAGCGAAACGTACGATTCATCCTCCCTTAAGACTGTTCGCGGCTGATCAAGAAAGCTCTGTACAACGTGGAAATCGGATGGGGTTTCCAGCTTCTGTTTGCATTGAGCAGTCAAGTGGTCGGCATTGCACTGGCTGGGATCTTTCGCCGGTTCTTAGTCTGGTAAGTCTCAGCTACTACAGACTCATGAATTCCAGCTTCTAAGTCATCAGGCCCGCCGCCATGATCTGGCCTGGTCAATTTGCAAACACCGCGCTGTTCCATGCCCTTCATGATCAGCGCCCTTCAAACCCCGCAGAGACCAACGGCTGGAGCATGTCGCGATATAGGTACTTCATCTACGTCATGGCGGGAGCTTTTGTCTGGTATTGGTGAGCTAATCTGATTTACCCTATTTTGTATTCTGGAGTGCTAATTTCCTATAGGATTCCCGGTGTCATTTGGCAAGGGTTGTCAGTCTTTGCATTTGTGACTTGTCAGTTGATATTCGATGAGCTATCTTCCGTTCCGACCTGACGCTCATCGCATAGGGATTCGACCAAACAACGTGGTGTTGAATCAGCTGTTCGGAGGCTTCTCGGGTCTATCATTGATTCCAATCACCTTCGACTGGACGTAAGTTGCCAACACTATTGAATATGAGAACGCACTTATGCTAACAGCGACAAGCTACGTGTCAGCCTATCTACTCGATCCACTTCTGGCACCGGCCCACGCGATAGTCAACACCTTCATTGGACTCATGGTATTCATCATCATCGCAACCATTGGAATCGCATACACCGGGGCCTTGCAAGTTACCTAACAACAGATTTTCCCAAACCGAACTAACATAAATCCCAGCTACTCCGCCTATCTACCAATAAACACCTCCTCAACCTTCGACAACACCCAAGGATCCTACAACGTTACCCGAATTCTCGGCCCGAACTTCTCCTTCGACGTGGAGAAATACAAAGCATATTCTCCCATGTTCCTCGCGCCGACCTTCGCCCTGAACTACGGCTTGTCGTTCGCCGCACTGACAGCAGCAATCGTGCACATCATCCTCTTCCACCGGAAGGAAATCTGGCATCGATTTACCGCTGCTCGTGAGCAGGAGCCTGATATTCACTTAATATTGATGAAGAGGTATCAGGAGGTTCCGGAGTGGTGGTATGCGAGTTTGGGGGTGGGGTCTATCGCGTTGGGTCTGTGGGGCATTCTGGCTTATGATTCCCAGCTTCCTTGTAAGTGCTGATTGCCTGAACATTTGATGTCAAATGCTGATTTGAGCGCAGGGTGGGGACTCTTTGTCTCTATTATCATTGCGGCTGTTTTCATTGTGGGTCAAACGCCTGATTTTGCGAGAATTCATCTGACTATGATAGGTTCCGACGTGTATGATTCTGGCGATTACTAATATCCAACTTTGTGAGGGAGGCAATATCCTTTTCTCTGGCTAGAACTAATCTTTTCAGCTCTGAATGTCCTGTCGCCATTCCTGGCTGGATTCATGATCCCAGGAAAACCGATCGGTGTCATGGTTTTCAAGGTTTTCAGCACCATCACCCTGGGACAAGCGTAAGTTTGGCTGTCTCTCTGGCATTTAATCCTTGTTCGAGACATTTAATATGTTTATTTAGGCAATACTTCTGCCAGGACCTCAAGATCGCGCACTACATGAAGATTCCTCCGCGTGTTACATTCATGTGTCAAGTAGTCGCTACGATTTGGGCTTGCTTTGTGCAAATCGCAGTCATGAACTGGACACTAGGAAATATTGAAAATGTTTGCACCTCGTGAGTATCAATCCGCAGTCTGATTCTCCGAGCCATCTCGCTCTGACATCCATCGCAATAGTGATCAATCAGCGCATTTCACGTGTCCCAACGGGCGAGCATTTTTCTCTAATAGCATTACATGGGGTGGGCGTTCCCTTTCCTTGTACAGGCGTATAGAAGGGTACTAATGACATACCAGGTGTGATCGGCCCGCAACGAATGTTCGGACCTGGCGCAATCTACAACAGCATCCTATGGTTCTGGCTCCTGGGCGCTCTCCTCCCAGAAACTTTTTGCATTTTGATGCGGGTATTTCCACGATCAAAGGCTAGACTCCTCAACGCGCCAGTGTATGTATACAATTCCGCTACCATATTCAATTGCTAACTGAGAATCAGAATGCTGGGTGCCATGTCCTGGATACCTCCGTGAGTCGTATTTGTGAATCACCGGGAATATCGCTAATCTGCATGACTACAGCGCAACTCCCTTGAGCTACTTCTCCTGGGTTATTTTCGGTCTCATCTTCAACTATTGGATCCATAAACGATGGCGTGGCTGGTGGCACACTTACAATTACATCACGGCTGCAGGACTTGACACTGGGCTTATTCTTTCTACTATTGTGGTCTTCTTCGCGATCACGTTTGCGGATGCTTCGTTGCCTAATTGGTGGGGAAATACTGCCCCGTTCGAAACTATGGTGTGTATTGCAGATCTACTCGTCTTAGTTGTTGCTAACTCATGGTTTGTAGGACTATCTTTACAGTGCAGTTAGAAATACGGTCGCGGAGGGAGAAATATTTGGACCAGCGAGGTGGTGATAGCGAGTAGACTAGGGGATCAAAAACTCGCTTTCGAGGTTAATGCTGGATTTTGTTCATTCTATATCGATTCACGCCGAAGATGGAAGCGTAACCCAAGTTGTCAGACAAATCCCATGCTAAGACCATCTTTGGCCCAGCATATTTCCCCTCCTTAAGCAGTGGCAACTTCAATTGCCTGGTCCTATGCAGATCAGCATCATCCCCATTCGGACCCAGATGTCTCCCCGTCAAGAAACTAAACGGGAAGTCAGAATATTTTTTCCGCCGTACGGCAATGTGATAATACTCACCTCCAATGGAAACTCCCCGGACTGATTAACCTACAACTCTCAACAAACTTGAGAACTTGCCGATCTATCTCGTCACCCCAGAGGTGCAATCCTGCGAGAGCAATTTACCATCTTTTATAGCGGTCTTTGAGTGTCAGGCCGACCCGGTCCATTGTCTCTTGTGCAGAGTGGCCCTCTCCATGAGAAGGAGTGAGGTTGTGTCTGACTCCCAGGCCCTAAAATCTTCAATATGCGGAGCAGATACTTATTAGTTATTCTTACCATGTCTTTGCGGATATATGCCACATCATTCACGCTGATCGGACTTGAGTAGAATTCTCATGTGAGGAATCTGTCTTTATCTCGAGTACAGATGAAGGCCAGCCCGGAGAATATCAAGCCAGAATCACCATCTGGTTACACCGCTCGGGATCATTCAAAGAGTGTTCCTTAACATGTTGGAATATTGGAATACCCACATCCTTTCATTACACTCAAGCGGGGTTATGTCAAGAGCATCTTGCAATCTCGAGCTATACTGTGTCTCACAGGCATCATTGGAATCCCTCTTGGTTTCCATAAAGCTCCATATTCTTCGCAGAAGCAACCCATTCATACCAATCGACATCGGCATCAAAATCCATATTGATATCATTTGGATCCAGGTTCATGTTTGGAGAAGCGTCACTAGCCCAGATCCAGGGGATGACCGTAGGACCAACAGGTTGTCCGTCTGACCGGTATGCTGGAACGACGGGAAGGACATCGGATGGCTGTTCTACGGTCTGTATACATGCGGATTCATCGGGATTGGTTGCTGCCAAACCCGGTCCTTTGAAAACTGGATTCAACGATTCTGAGTCGGCGGTTGGGTAAAGAGGGACAGAAGCGAGGGCGGAGCTCGAGCCGGGATATCCCTGCACAGATAACTGGGCGTCAGACACAGCAGCACTTCCTCCATCATTCACGTTCGTTACTAAAAGCTGGCGCCATCGCTCAAGTGTCGAGGTCAACCCGTTGGAAGCCAACTCCGGACTTGAGGGGATGGGCATCTTTGTATGCTCCCTTTCAAGGTCCGAGACTGCCTCCGAATCGCTTCTCAGTCGGATAAGCTCGCTTTGGCGGTGCTTCCGGGCATTGGCCATCAATTTCTGCAATGGAAAGCAAAATCGTGCATTCTTGTCCATGTGCGACTGGTTTGGAATCAGCCACACGCTGTGCAGAGCCACCCACGCCCGTTCCAGGGACCAGGATTGCCGGCAGATCTCGATTAAAATATAAACGATCGCATGCCAATGTGTGTATGTTTGGTAAATCCAGCGCCAATGACGACAGGCTTGTTCGGCGTTGAGTGCATGGTTGTATTCCGCGACTTCAATTGCCGAGACGAGAAGCCTGGTTCTAAGGTCTGCTGTAAGCTGCTCACTCGGCGAAGTGAATAGAAGTGGAAGGTGGATTAGCAGCGTCATCTTGGCCATGACTAGTCGTGTGATGGTGAGAATGACCCAGTGAGCAATTTTCGACTCGGCGGAGTGTTGCAGGTAGAATTCTTCGGTACTTAGGTAGATCTCTTGAAGGAGTTGGTTTTGTTCCTCGATACTCGCTCCCCGGGCACTTTGTGCCATCAACTGACGCCCGATCATGATTGTTCGGACATGGAGACGTGGGAGAGACATATCCGTCAATCCTTCGCGCTCAATGGGCATCTCTTTCATGTTCGGCCCAATGTCGGCATTGTTGATGTTCAAAGGCATTTTCGTATCGAAGCTCCCTTCCTGGATTGTGAACTCGGTTCCTTGATCTTCTGACGCGCGCTGGTCGAGCATGCATATTCCCCACCACACTCTCCGTCGCATTTCAATGTCGTATAGGCTCAGATTTGGGAATTTCGACCCGTCCCGGTGTAGTCCTAGAGCAATCCCCATCCGAATTGCTAGGCCTGTCATCATCCACACGAATCGCGGACTATCATGACGGCGAAGCAGGACCAGGAAGTTGACAAATGCTTGTATGAGAACAAGGTCCGGCACATTGAGAAAATCGGCTTTTGCTAGAGCGAGTTCGAGGCCAAGACGGTACTTCAAATTAAGTTCCTGTTTCGTAGACCCAAAGTTCATGGCAATGTCATCGTCTTCCATAGAGGTAATTGTGGCATAGTATATCGAAAACATTAAGGCTTCATTGGCTGGCGTCAGGCGAGTCATGTCTCCTCGCAAATCGCGAACCATCTGAGTGACGGTGGGGAGATGGATAGTCTGTGTGACCGAATTCACATTTTCTGAGAACACATCCAACAAAAAGGGAATCTGGGATGGCAATGGATGGAATTCTCTCAAATCAGGAGTGGGCGAGCTCAGATTGTGGCGGAATAAAAACGAATGTCGCTCCATAGGGCTTCTTTCGAGCTCTTGAGTGGACGGAATCCGCTCATATGAGAACCCATCGTCTGTAGTGTCGTATTCTTCATATGCTGGGTCTTGCGTATCCATTTTGAGCTCGTCGAGCTTAAAATCCAATTAGATATTGGCTCGTTCGATGCAAATAGGTGCATACCTCATCATTCACCCGCGACCAGAACCCACTGCCGACATATCGACTACGAGTTGCATCTCCAACAACCAGTCTCCCAAACTGTGTTTGCATCCTCCTATCTGCCGAGGATGATGCATCTTGAGACCCGGTCTCTGTCCCGTGCGTGAGGCTGCCAGGCGAATTCACACCAGATGAGCCTCCAGCCGCCGAAATAGCCGCATTCGCCTGTTCAAGCCGACTGCTCAAGTCTTTGACAAGATGTTCAAGGGTCCTCAGCCTGTCCATGACGTCGCCGGATGGACCTCGCTGCATACGACGGGCCCATCGTGGAGCCTGATCAATGCTCGGGCGGACACAGGCGATATTTGCGCGACGACAGTTCGAGCATGGTGACTGCTTGTCGCAGCGGACCTTTCGGCTCCTACAAATAGCACAGCTGCGTGGGTTGGCAAGGGATGTGCCGGCGGGAGGTCTCGCGTGTTTCTCGGCCTTCGACGCCGAGGCGGGCGCGAGAGCGGACGCGCCCTCCTGCGACATCCTGCAACCCCCAGCACTCGTGTCTATCTCAGTTAGTCGGAAATAGATCAGAGCACTACGCAGCAAGCATGCTTCGCTCAAAACGCGAGAAAAGCGCGAGGTGGATTCTTGTCATGTCAGCGTCTGGATGAGGCATAGCGGACAGCCACTCGACGTCGACCGGAAAAGCTCGCTGGAGGGGCGAAATCCGGCCGACATAAGCAGCACGCCTCGACATCGGTCGTCTTTCGGCGGGCTGCCAGCGACCTCGATATCTTCAGAGGACACATAAAAGAGCTGGACGTGTCCTGGATAACCGGTCATCATTCTTCATCACCACTGCTTATCCAAAACAGTCAACTTACAACCTACTCGGTCAGCCGGAAGTTCCTCAAGTCATTCATCACAATACAGTCATGAACTCCACCAAATCAGTCGCATTCATCGGCGCCAGCGGCGGAGTCGGCCTGTCAGCACTAAAGCACACCCTTGCTGCAGGCTATCAATGCATCGCACTTTGTCGAACTCCCTCCAAACTCACCGCAATTTTCCCAGAGGGTTCCACATCTAACCTGAAGATCGTCGAGGGAAACGCGCATGATATCAACGCCATGACCCAGATCCTCGATGCAGGAAACGGAAACCTAGTCGACTACATCGTTTCAACCATCGGCAGCCGACCGATCTTGAGAAAGATGACCATCGAAGACCCAAACTGCTGCCGCAATGCCATGGACACGATGCTGAAAGCTCTCGCTCAGCTTCGAGAGTCCGGCATCACGGGTCAGCCGCACATCATCCCTTTCAGCACGACTGGAATGTCAAAGTACGGCCGCGACTACCCGATCGTACTGGCGTTTATGTACCTTGTGGTGCTTAAGGTGCCTCACGAAGACAAGAAGGTCATGGAGAGCCAGCTTATCGAAAGTGGTGAGCCTTATACCATCGTTCGTGGGAGTCTTCTAACGGACGGCGAGACGAACCGCACAGTGAGGGTTGGTATTGAGGATCCCTGGACTGGTCGCCAATCCGAGGCGATTGGGTATACCATCACCAGGGAGGATGCTGGGAAATGGATGGCGGAGAACCTCATATTCAAGAGGGATGAGCAGTATAACAACAAGATTCTGATGATCACGACCTGAGATTTGACATTTCAACTGATTGCTGTTTTGTGAAAGCGATGTTTTTCCGGCTCTTGTTTCGAATTCAGAGATATCTATTTTGGTGTATGTGATATAATGTACTCCTTTTCCAAGGCTTTCATTTTCTCTTCGTCTTAATAATGGACTTCTCTATCTCCTCTCCCGCCTTGTGTCGTATGCAGACAACTCAAAGGACCTGTTAGCTTGCACAATAGCACAACTCAGTAGCTACAAGTAGGTAACTGCCACAGTAACTAGTGCCATACAACGGTTTCATGCCTTGATGCCTTGATGCCTTGGGCATTAGCCTAACCCGATCAGGCGACGATCCGGAGACTTTCAGGAAGCTCGGCGTCTGCCAACCGTCCGATCAATTTCCCGCAGCAACACACCACATTGCTCGGCACCGACAATGTCGTCCTCGTTGAGAATGGCCTCTGGCCTGCTCGGCCAGGCCACACGAACCCTCCTTGCCGCTGAATCCCGCCAATCCACCCGCATCCTCCCTCTCCGCAACACCCGATCACAATGCCGCGCCTACGCCCAAGCGCAGCGCCCTCGCATCCAAAGCGCCCAGGGCATGCTGTCGCGCAAGAGCTTCTCCGTGACCGCCTCTTGCGCCCGTGCCAAGACGATGGGCCAACTGAAGCAGCGCAATTCCACCGGCCCCTTCTCGTGGAAGGCGGCGACGCTTTTCGTGCTGACCGGTGCCGGTATGATGATTTATTTCCGCGTTGAGAAGGCACGGCTTGAGCGGAAGCGCATTGCAGAGATGAGCAAGGGTGTTGGGAAGCCTAAGGTTGGCGGTCCGTTTACACTGAAGGATCTGGATGGGAAGGAATTCACCGCGGAAGATCTGAAGGGAAAATACAGCTTTGTGAGTTCGAGATAAACGCTTGATTGATCAGCATTGACTGACTTTTTTTTGGGTAGGTCTACTTCGGCTTCACCCACTGTCCCGATATCTGCCCTGACGAGCTGGACAAGATGGCCGAGATCATCGACAAGGTCAAGGAGGCTACACAGGACGACAAGGTTTTCCTGCCTGTCTTCATTACCTGTGATCCTGCCCGTGATACACCCGAGGTCCTGCGCGCCTACCTGAAGGAGTTCCACCCCGGCATCGTCGGCTTGACAGGTACCTACGAGCAGGTGAAGAATGTCTGCCGCCAGTACCGTGTGTACTTTAGCACACCCCGGGATGTCAAGCCTGGCGAGGACTACCTGGTGGACCACAGTATCTACTTCTACCTGATGGGTAAGGCGCGCCTTGCATTTTTGTGGTTTTGTATAGATGCTAATTCGGCCCGACAGATCCCGATAACGACTTCGTCGAGTGCATCGGTCGTCAGGATACCCCCGAGTCCGCGTCCAAGGTCATCCTGGAACACATCAATGACTGGAAGCGTGAGGGCAAGCCCCTCAAGGTGGAGTAAGCGTGTCGAGGTGTATCAAAATTGTATCATAGCCCTATCAAATCTCAATACCCTGCTCATCGGAATTGTTCAAACTCTATACATCGACAGTCGCTGTACTTGCCCGGGGTAGAGCAGTCACTGCGCTCGTACTTTTTGCACATATCATGACATACTAACTTAACGCCACACCAATGCACCATCGAGTAAACCCAATCTCAAGAAGCTACCCGCAACCTCCCCTCCGCATCTCGATCCGCATTAGCCCTCCACTCCATTCCCCCATCAACAAACTCCTCCCTCTTCCAAATCTCCGCTCGTTCTTTACAGGCCTCAAGAATCTCCTCTCCAGCCCTCCAAGCCGCAGCCCGATGCCCCGAGCTAACAGCAATAGCAATAGAAGCCTCCCCAACCGGCACAACGCCCAGTCTGTGCGCAATGCTAACGCCGAGCAGTTGGTGTTTCTCCACGGCCGCCTCCGCGATCTCCTTCAGCGTCTTCAGGGTCAGCGGCGGGTAGGAAGTGTAGCTGAGCTGGGAGACGGAGCGGCCCTCGAATGTGTCTCGTGTTGTTCCGAGGAAGAGGGTGTTTGCGCCGGCGGCGGGGGAGGATGTTTGCGACAGGTAGATGGTTGCGTCGAGGGGCATGTAGGTTAGGGTGAGGTGGATGTTTTTGCTTTCGTCATGTTGTGTGCGCGGGTAGGTTTTTGGGTCCAGGTGTGCTGGGAGCGGCGTATCTTTTGTTGTCATCGTGTTGGCATTGGAGTTTGTGAGAGGTGAGTTGTTATGGTCGGAGGAATGCTGAACTTGGATTGTTGCGCTTATCGCTGCGGGGAACCGGTGGATAAGTGGGCTCCGAGGTGGCGGAGATTACCGAGACTACTTTGGTCTTGGACACGGTGGGACACGGTGGTTTTTACAATCAATTGAGGCTTGGAAAGAAGTGTTCTATTTGATTTCAGTTTATTCTGATTTACTATTTAATCACAGTATGTTGAGACTGCTGCGCTGTCAAAGTCCAACACCGACCTGCATCTACAGAAGCAAGACAGCTCCCTCGTAAGGTCGAAGAGACCACTTCTCGCCGGAAAAGCGCTGCGCAGCATCAGAGGCGCCGTCATAGTTATTCAAAAGCACCTCCTTGACAGTCGCAACTCCACTGCTACCAGCATCCCAGTCGAGAGCCTTCGTCGTGAAGTTGCAAAGGACCAGTGCCTTCTGGTTCTCATATTGGCGAGTGTAAGCGAAGATTTCCTCGCTCGGCGCATCGACTTGGACCCAATCACCGTAGACAAAAACGTCGAGATACTTCTTCCGCAGTCCAAGTACAGAAGCCCAGAAGTGATAGGTCGAGTTGGGGTCTTTGACTTCGGCCGCGGCGTTGACTCGGTGGTAATCCGGATTCACGGACATCCAGGGCTTGACGCCCGGACCGGTGAAGCCTCCGTTTTCAGCATCGCTCCATTGCACCGGGGTGCGGCCGTTGTCTCGGGATTTCTTTTGGTATTCTTGTAGGGCGATGGCTTGGGCTTCTGGGGTGAAGTATGCCTTCTTTTGCTCTCTGTAAGTTTGTCAGCATTAGATCCGGTCATGTATTTTTTTTACCAAGTTGAATTGGTTGAGGCGTCAACTTACCCGTACCAGTGGTTAAGACAATCAATGTCCTTGTACTCCTCGATGGGCCATTCCTTGGGCACATTTCGCATACCAATCTCCTGACCCTGATACACGAACGGAGTTCCAGACTGCAGAGCCAAAGCAATAGCCAGCATCTTCGACGCGATACGGCGATACTTCTCAGGCGCATTCGCATAGCGATCAATAGACCGAGGCTGGTCATGGTTCTCCCAGTACAGAGCATTCCAGCCATCATTGGCATACATAAAAGTCTGCCAGCGCTGGAAGAAATCCTTAAGCTGTGTGAGTTTCCAGCTACCAGGCTCGAACTTATTTCCATGAGGCCCGTGATCAATATCAACGTGTTCGAAGTTGAAAATCATGTTCAGCTCATTACGGTCGAACTGCACGGCTCGCAGCACTTCCTTCTCGTCCTTGACGAAGGGCATCTCGCCCACACTGAACGCATCATATTCTTTAAGAATCGCGCCGATTCCCTGCAGGTATTCGTGTAGGCGAGGTCCGTTGGCGTAGAACTTGTCACCCCATTGCCAGTCGCGGCGAGGGTCTTGAATTTCTGCGTCGGGGTAGTTGAGGTCCTTGCTAATGAAGTTGATTACGTCCATACGGAAACCGTCGCAGCCCTTGTTCAGCCAGAAGCGGACGATGTCGTGGACGGCTTTGCGGACAGGTGGGTGCTCCCAGTTCAGATCGGGCTGCTCTGTAGCGTATAGATGAAGGTAATATTCGCCCGTGTGTTCGTCAAATTGCCATGCACTCCCTGGGAATTTGTTAAAGCTGGTTCTTTCCCCGTAGCAGACGAGCACGTACCTTGGAAGTGAGAGATCCAGTTATTGGGAGGCTGACGATTGCCCTGCTCATCATAGCGAGGAGGCTTCCAGACGTACCAGTCACGGTATTCGTTATCCTTAGAACTGCGCGACTGCTTAAACCACTCATGCTGATCGCTAGTGTGATTCACCACCAGATCCATAAGCAGCTTCATTCCACGCTTGTGGCAGCCCTCAATCAGTTTCTCCACATCTGCGACCGTGCCATACTCGTCGGCAATGCTGTAATAGTCGGCAATGTCGTAGCCCATGTCGACCTGCGGGGATTTGTATGACGGGCATAGCCACACGATATCGATGCCCAAGTTCTTTATATAGTCCAGCTCAGAAATGATACCCGGGATATCGCCAATTCCATCGTTATTCGAATCTTTAAACGAAGCTGGCCAGATCTGGTATACAGAGGACTCCTTCCACCAGGCTCGGTGGTTTGGCTGCTTCGTTTGGGTCATGATGCGGGGTGTCGAAGTTGTATGGAAGGAGAGGTCTCCAGTAGGGCAATGTTAACACGAATGCAGAACTCGACCAAGGGCAGTTGCGCCTATAAGTAGCAGAGGTGTTTCCACATGGAGCCCAGAAGCAGCCAATCGCCCATACTGAAGTTGCGCAGCACCCAGACACCACACCGCGGGGCACGGTGGAGACCCGTCTCTAGCCAGACGATATGTACCGTCTGAAGTCGGTCCGAGATGCAGGGGTCGAGTTCCACTGCAGTTGTGATCGGCCACGTTGAGCTCATGCGCTTACGGATCTAGTGGAGTTGCTCCACCGTCGGTGCGCGCTGTGCTGATGATGCAACGAGGAGCTGCGTCCTCGCGGGCCAACACATAGTCCGGCCCATGGCTCGACAAGACGCGGGGGATTGTCGGTGATTCACCAAGGTAGGCGTCGTTTCTTATTTGAAAAAGGAGACGATCATCTGACCATGCAATTGATAGATTCTCACTTATGAATTTTTGAAATTGATAGAGTATTTATTATAGAAAAGAAACGAGGGATTGTGCGGGGACTAGCTACGACTTACTGGGCATTACAAACGCATTAATTCAGCAGGCAATTCAGGATTCATTTTCCTAGATATTGGCACAGACAGGTCCTCATTTGACAGGTATTTATGACAAACCTTAGGAGCATCTCGCGGTGAAATGGGAATAAACGGATTGCTGCAGTACTATGCAGCCGAGCGCAACCAGAGGTAGCCAGCCCTTTTTGGAAAGCGGTAAGGCAGCTTAAGGCGGTCAATAATTCTGCCACAGTAACGCTTTATCGTGTATCGCGAGCTCCCCAGCAAACCTTCCTTCTCTCGAAGCTCTCGAGTTACTCGTCCTCGGCCTTTCATTCGCAAACGTTTCATGCACGATGGAGCGATTTGACCAATATGAGAGCAGACGGCCCCCTGGCCCTCCATGGAGGGCCCAATACCTTCCTGACGTTGGCTCCGAAGACCGCGACGGTCGTATGTATGAAGACCGATCGCGATCTCGCTCACCTGAAGGTTCCTGTATGCTACCACCCGCCCCACCCCAACAAAACCTGCCCTATATGCATGGTCATGATGCTCCTCTTGCGGCAGTGTACAGCACGAGCATGATTCTTGCCTGATTTCGAATTCCTGCTGACTTTCGCTCCTTTGCTAAGCCAACCCCCGCGCTCCTCACGCATCCTCCCGATACCACGATCGCCCGCGTGAGTACTCCCGGGGCCGAGAGCCCCGATCGGACTATCGAGACCGAGATCAGGGATATGATCGTCACTGGCGGTCTCGCTCACCTTACCAGCGCGGCAGACAGCCATACAGTGACCGCGATCATGATCAGTATCGCGCACCCCGACGCCACAGCCGCCCACGAGGCGAGCTGCACCCAGGCGCAGAAAACACAGTGATCATGATGGAGGGCGTTCCGAGGGATATGACCCAGGATGACGTGAGTTGAGATTGATCTTGTGAACTCTTGCCAATATTGATTCATGCTGAACCCTTGATTTGCAGGTCTTCGAAGAGCTCAAGGCGGCTTACGCCCCAGACATTGCAGAGCTCGAAGATGTTCGTGTCATCCGGGACAGGCAAACAGGTGGGTGGTGAAACTATATTCAATAATAAGAACGATAATACTAATCAGTTGTTGTGTTCACAGGGACATCTCGCGGGATTGGCTTTCTTGAATTCCGTGCCATCGAGGAGGCGAAGAAATTTATGCAACGCCATCACCCTTACATCTACCTGTACGGTCCAACAGCCGGGCAAAATGACCGCGCTTCCAGGGTCCGTATCATGTACAGTCGCGATCGGGGCCACCCACATGCGAAGGGCAGTGGTGACTGGACATGCCGCATGGTATATTCTCTTTGACGAAGGGTCGAGACTGTCTAGTACTAACAATCAGCCCGCAGGATGGCGCTGTCAATCGTGCATTCCGAATGACATGCTCACAGTGCAATGCTCCCCGTCCAGGTAAGTCCAGCCACGAAGCACGTCATGACCATGACAGACTGGATTCTAAATGGCATCCACGTGCAGACATGTTCCCCGCTTCTCAACCTTGGGTGTTCCCCAACTTGCATGAAACGAACAGGGGCTCCAATGACACCGACCCTCGGAATCAGCCGTCGCAGTACATCATCATTCGCGAACTTCAACCAAATGTGGATGAGAAACTTCTTGCCAAGGGCGTTGCCAAACTGTGTCGCCCGGCGTCTGGTGATTCTGCGAGTGCCCGGGAGACGACCGAGGGAGTTGCATCAACGACTAGGGATACCAACCTGGGAGCCCGTCAAGGCTCTCTCCGTCGCGTCCTGCTAGTGCGGGATCGCGCAACAGATGAGAGTTGGCGCTATGGGTTTGCAGAATTTGCAAGTGCAACTGTACGTGATTGCGCGGAAAGATCGAGAATTCAATTTCTGACTTTATCTTGCACAGGACGCACAGGATGCGATGAACAGATTACCATCGTTCGAAACATTCACCATTTCTTCCCACAAAGTCCAAGTCAACTTTCCACACTCTGGTGTTTTTGTCCCGGTCCTGGTCCCAGACCGGCGTACGGAGCAATTCACCTTCAACCCGCTCGCTGATAAGTCTAAGCACCTCATGTACTATGATGACAGGGCCTACCTGAAAGAAATGGTGGTGACACGTCCCGAGGATGACCCCGCGACTGAACAAGCGAAGAACGACAATGCAGCCGGGGTCGCCCAAGACGGTCAATCCAAGAAGAGCATCGACAAGCCCAAGAAGAAAAAGGGCGATGCTACAACTGGTGCGAGCACTAAGAAGCCCGCCGGCCCGCGTCTAATGCAATTCTGGAATAGCCGTCATGCTGAGCTCCACGGCCTCGCCCAGGATAATGAAAACGAGCCTGAGGGCAAGCCCGAAGACCTCCCTACTCAGTCATTTGCCGATTCTAAGCGCATGTGCTGTTGGTTATGTAAGGTGGGGGGCTTCAGCAACCAAAGACAGCTTACTCGTCACGAGGAGAGCCAAGTGCACCTGGAAAAGCTCAAGAACAAGGACGCCGTTGCCGAAGGTACTCGGCGTCTTGTCTCGCTACGCGTCATTCCTCCAGCCCGTGACTTCCCTCATCAGTCCTTCGCCGACCCAGAGCATTACATCTGCCTCCTGTGCACCCGGCAGTTCCAAAGCATTGAAGAGGTTACCATTCATGAACAATCCAGCGAATTACACGTGTCAAACCTGAAGGATGAAGCACTAGTCGCCAAGGCCATGGAATCTCTCAAAAGTTTCGGCCTTCTCAAGCCTGCACCCGACTCTGAGTACCGTGACCGTGCCCGAGAACGTCGTCAGGCCTATGGCACAGACCAGGGCAAGTCCAATGCAGCTCAGCGGAAGCCAGTAGCTCCGACGTCGGAGGACGAGGCACCGGTGCAGACCACGTCCAAGGGTGCGTCCATGCTGAGCAAGATGGGTTGGTCAGAGGGCTCTGGCCTAGGTGCTCACGGAACCGGGGCTACAGCTCCCATTGCTACGGAACTTTACGCCCAAGGCGTCGGACTGGGTGCCCGTGGCAGCAAGATCGGGGACGCGAGTGAAGAAGCTGCCCGGAACACTCGGGGTCGCCCTGACGAGTTCCTCGCGAAAACGAAGGAGAATGCCCGCCAGCGGTTTGATGAAATGAATCGCTGAATTTTTCCTCGTCTCGGAAGGTTATGTTTGGCTGAGAAAGCCGGCTGGACAGGAAATGGAGAACCAAAGAAAACCCCAAAAAAAGGAAATTCCAGCGCCAGCACAATGAAATGCTGATGATGCAACGCTGCAACTATGACCAGTAAGTTTCTTTAAAATCCCCCATTGACATTGTAGCACTGTAGAGGGCAACAATGCTGGTAAAGTATCGATATCGGCATTGTGTGCTAACAATCCCATAGTAGCGTGGAATATCCCAATGAAGTACATCACTTTTCGAGTCCTCGATGCTATTGGAATATGTACATGGCTACGTCAATCCTCGTGAAACGCCCAGACATCCGCATCGACTGGAAAACAAATACCGAGAAATCCATGGATTCACGTTCTCCAGTCATCAAATACCACGTTCTAGTGCTGGCCCGGATTCGATTTTACCTGGCGATGCAAGCAAGCCAATCACCATATCGTTGGCGACTGTTGAAGAGGAATCATCTAGTTCGTGATGATCCGCTTTCCCAACCCTCATTACTACTGTTTGCTCTACGACCATGAAAGCTACATACTTCTTATTGCGGACCAGCCACTTCCAGCTGATGAGCAGAGCCACATCCAACTCTCTGCGAGTGATGGACCACGAATCACGAGCCAGGGGTTCTGAAAAGGGCATCTGTGTTTTGGCCTGACCCCACGATGCTAGTGAAGAGGAAGAAAAGTTCCCGGAAACGATCTGATGATATGAATCACTGACCGTACCTTTACCACGGAGTTGTATGATAGCCACGAAGGCCCGTCAAGGTGAGAACAAGAATCAATTTAATGCCGCATTGACTGGAAGACTATACTAACTACCTAGGCGAGGAGATGATGAGTAATAGCAAGTTTCTTCTTCTCTGTCCATCACCTTCTGAACGACGCGGCTTCAAATGACTCGAATACTTGAATGGTTTATTGACATCCATGGATTACTTCGTAGGACATAATTCGAAGTTAAATTTCGATATTAATTTCGATGTGTACTGAAAGAGACTACAATGAACATCAACAAGCATTCGATAGTCCACTCATCAATTGAATAGGTAGCGAATGTACCATGACGGCAGATAGGGGGCTAGAGGAAGACAAATAGGCGATGCCAGTAAGAAGCAGCTCACAATGTGCGAGGTGGATATGATGTGCGACCCAAGGAAAATGCCTACAAGGGCATTTACGATTTGATGGAGGCGATATCCTCGCGGATGTAAGGGTAGTGATGACAGCAGACGAGACGAGGATCACCTCAATTCAATACATTGTAAATAATACAACAATGCGACTTTGACAAAACTTTTGCTTCCCATTGCAGTATAGAACGCCAATATGCCATGCCGAATATATCAGACAGATGCATCAAGTAATGTAAAAGGTATCATAACAAAAATCCAAGAGCAGAGTGTTTCGCATCCACAGCAGGAGCAACCTATTCCTTCAATTCGCCCAGCTCCCGCTTCTTCGCCCGTTCCTTCTCAAGCTGCTTCTCAAAGCGATCCCCAAGCACACTAGCAACCCAATCCGTGACCTCCTTCTCAAGCTCCTCATCCGACTTACCCGCCGCAGCACCTTCAAGCCCACCCCGCATAATCCGTCGCATATCGTCAACTCCATTCACATCCAACATGTACATGATACCGCCGGCAGTCATCATTCCAAAGGACATGACGTTGATTGTGGCAAGATTGAGGGCCTCGAATGCTTCCATTGCGCCGTTGGCTTGGGGCTGGTGGAACATTGAGCTGGTGTAGAAGGGCGGAATGCAGGCGATGCGTTTCTTGATGTGTGCTCGTCGTGTGATGAAGACTGAGAAGGCGAAGAAGGCCATTCCTCCGACGAGGAGTTTTAGGTTGGTAGTGTCTTTTGTGGCGGGTGGTTGGGCTAGTTGTGTTGATGTTGGTGTGGCGGCAGGGGAGAGTTGTGAGGACGATTGGTCTGGTTTCGTGGAGGCATTATCTTGATGTTTTGGCGTATTTGCGTCTGACTTGGAGCTGGAGCCCCAGCCCAGGAAGGAGAGCATGGTTTTGGGTTGGTGTATAGGCTTGTTGAGGTTTGCGGACGCTGTCGCAGCGGTTCGTGGAGAGATTAGAATATGGCGGATGTGGATTGCACGCCACTATGAGAATATAAGAGTTATGAAATGTCTTCCAGGGTTGAAATCCCAGGTGATGGAATCCAATCGGCCTCGACAAAGGTATGCTGTGAGGTGGGAATGCCAGATGGCGCGAATCTGCGGAGACGGAGCTGCTGAATGCCGATCCAAGTCACGTGCCGCGGTGGGAGCGGGATTGGCCATGGCCGCCGACCTTGTTCGAGGCATCAGCAGGGATTCAGTGCAGATTGCACTAGATACGTTGGTGCTCCGAAATTTTAGGCGCATTAATTGCTGATTGTGGTGATGGGCCGTTCCTGAGAGCTCAAAGCTCTGCTGAATTTTGCATAACAGCATGTCTCGACGGTAGCCTTGTCGGCTGTCAGTCAACCAATCTCCGTCTCGAGTCAGCAAACAACTTGACGTTATGCCTTACACCGGCAAACCGAGCACTGGTTGCCGAAACTGTAGGCAGCGGCATATCAAGGCATGACCCGATTAAACAACGACAAGGGTATATCAAACTAATTCTCGCAGTGCGACGAGACCCGACCTCAATGCAAAGCATGTGTACGGACAAAGCGGACATGTCCCGGGTATCCAGATCCCTTCGATCTAGTGCTCCGGGACCATACATCCTCATTCATAGGATCAAAGAGATCTTCTCTTGTGAACCAGATGTCCAAATCCAGCACAGCTGATAAAGACACGCCGAGTCCCGCAGAGTCAAAAGCGCTCTCCCGCGCCAGCTCAACAAGTGCCGTGTCTACTTGGCCGCCACCTCTAGGCCCTGCAGATCTCTACCAGCCGATGGAAGATACGATTATTCCTCTCTGGTTCAATGCCTATCTGTACCTACCCCAAGATCCGTCCGTTCGAAGTGGCTTTATGGAAGTTCTTCCGGGAATGTACTCCAACGCTCCCCCGGGATCTCATCTTCATCTCAGCACTTTGGCTGTTGGGTTCTTCACTATTGCTGCTTGGACAGGACAGGGGCCTTTGCTGCGGGAATCAGAGCGATGTTTCTTGAGGGCATTGCCTAAGGTCAGGGAGGCTTTGCAATCACCCAAAGATGCCGATGTTGACACTATGCTTGTGTCCATCCTTCTGCTCTCAACATACGAAGTAGTTTTTTTTTCGTCGCTACCATCTACAAAACCGCAAACTGACAAATCACAGGAACTGGCAGCGACTAAAGACTCAGAACACCCCGTTCGAACCCATCTCCGCGGAGCCATCGCGCTCATCAACGAGAAACGATCAAAACCTACAATCACAGAGCAGGCTCCATCCCAACAAATCTCACACGCAATCGAAGCCCAAATAGTACGACCTCCCTCGCTCGCCAACCCGGACCGATTCTAACAATCTTAGATCAAAAATTCCCGGACGTTGGTGAACCCTATGGTCCCAACGCCCAAAATCTGGCCCCTCCCACACGCCCGAAGCCCCTCACCAAAAGTAATACTCTCCTCGGTAGCCTCACAAATCGTGCACCTCCGACAAACCTGGGAATTCCTCCAAACCCAGGCATTCCCCAAAAACGAAACCCAAATCAAGAATCTCCTCAAAAAAGCCAACGAAATTGACATAAACCTCGTCTCCTGGTCCCACTGGCTCCCAGAGCACTGGCGTCCCATCCCAGCGACCATAATACCCCCTTCCGTCCGAGAAGCAGGAATGTACCGCAACCGCTGCGACGCCTACACCGACATGTGGATCGCACTAACCTGGAATACCTTCCGCGACTGCAGAATTCTGGTGCAGAGGATAATGCTCAGTTGTCTTCGGATGAAGCCGTCTTTTGATCCGGACGGAACACGAGATGCGGCGATCTCGATGACACTTCGCAAGCTTGCGGATGATGTTTGCGCTTCCGTGCCTTATTTTCTTGGGGATCAGGTTGAATCGGTTAGGATGAAGTCTGGTCTTGTTAGGTATCCGTGGGCGGAGACGAGGCCTGTTACGCAGACGATGTCGGCGCCGCTTATGGGGCCGTGGCATGTTTTGCCGTTCTTGAAGAATTTGTTTTTCTCGGGGTTGGGGTTGCCTCCTGAGCAGGTTTCTTGGATTGGGGGGCAAATTAATCGGGTTTTGGTTATTTACTTTCAACGGTGATATTTTACGATGTGAGCTATTGGGATGTGGTGCTGGAAATTTTGGTGCTAGACTAAGAGATTAGGAGTATAGATCGAACAAATATTGTAAATCCATTTGGAGTTATTAATCTATTGTGATAAGAATACGTATTTCCAGCGCTAGATACCGAAACATCAAGCAGTAAACACAAACAATGAGATAATACAAAAATAAGAGCGCCGAGTATGCATCCGAATAAATAGTCAAAATCATCAAAAGCTGTGCGTCAGGTTTTGGAACAGAAATCTCTCGAGCAAGTAAAAGCACCTGCAAAGATGCAAATGTAAGATGCGATGTTCTGGATAAGACGCTTAAACGAGATGCAGATCATAACAGCATGAGAAAAACATAAAGCAAACACGAGGTCATTATTTCATCGACCCCGTCGTGATCAACATATCCGTCCGACCAGGCCGGTGAAAGCGGTCGATACCGAGATGTTCCTTGCCGTCACGACCGACATATATTCCAAAGCCGTACATTGGCAGAAGGCGCTCCGAGGGAGGCGCGACGATAAGTCTGGTCACGAGATCCGTCTTGCTGCGTGGTTCACGTAGGAGCTTATCGGCAAGCAGAGGGGACTGGTAGAAATAGCTCATCAGGTCCGCGAGAGTTGTGATATCGTGCGGCAAGTGGCGACGACGACCGGGCCAGATGGCTAGGAATGAGACAGCGTACAAGGCGCAGAAGGCGATGAGGGAGTAGAAGGCCGGCATTAGCGAGGAGATGCGGACGTCTTGGTGAGATGGATACCACAATGCAATGAAAACGCCGCCTGAAAGAATCGGGATTGCGATGAAGACGATGCTCATGAATGAGATCCAGGCGACTTTGAAGTGGCCGTTAATGATGGCTTGCATAGTGATTTGAAGTGGGAGAGAGGATGGGTAGGAGAGGAGGATGGATTTGTCTGCTGAGGCACCACTGGGAGCCGAGAGCTCCTCAAACGGTTGCAGAGCGCGGAAGTAGAGATCAACGGGCTGCCAGGCGAGGAAGAGGAAGTTGCCAATCAGGGCGGGGACAAAGCTGTAGAGGAAGTTGGAGGAGGAGAATGCGCTGACAGAGGGGAGTGTGGGCAACTTAGGGGGGAATCCGCCTTTTATCGCGTTGTCGATGAAGCTGACGGCAACAAAGGCGATGAAGAGGGCAAAGACGATGATGGTCCAGATAATGATGGAGGGCTTGCGCAGGAACCACGGGGTCCATCGGTAGCGAGTGAAAGGCGAGTACAAGTGGTGGTCGAAGGGGTCGTTGGCAAAGGCGCCGGCGTGCTCGAGGTCGAAGCACACTTTGGCAAGTCCGTGAGGCTGCTTCTCTTTGGTCTTCTCAGTTTGATGCAGCGATGGTGTGCGGATGGGAGCGTCGACCTCGCCGATTCCGTAGAACACTTCGGGCTTCATGGATAGCTTCCAGTAGCCAAGGCGGAGGACGCGGGGGTCCAGAGACTCTTTGACTGAGGGAACTGTCTCGGAGTGCTCGTAGTCGTGGAGAATATTGGACCGCTGGATGATCGAGATGAGGTCCGCAAGGCAGACTGGATCCCACATCAGTCCAGTCCATCCTGGGATAAAGCGAACGACGAGGAGAAGCAGGCCGATGGTCAACAGACCATACGAAGCCACCAAGGTCCAGCCAATTGCTTGCACCGAGGTCCACTTCCACAGACCCTGACCATCGACGACATAGTACTTGGCCTGAAACAAACAGCTGATCAACGGGATCGAGAAGAAGTTGGATAGCCAGATGGCACAATGCGAGAATCCGAACAGAGGCTCGCCGTAGCGGAAATGCGAGAAGTCAGGGAAGACGAAGTTGCGCGGAATAATGGGCAGGCCCTGCAACACATAGCCTCGTTTGCGTTCTGCTGCCATCATGGCGAATGGAGCTATGCGATAGACGGCCGCTTGCACAATAAAGGTCAGGATCATAATCGGAGCCGCCAGGATTTGCGGAAGAAACTGCATCACAAAATACCGAGCACTGCTCTGGCCATCGTACGCCCAGATACCATCATGTCGATTAGACCAGACATTGCAGAACACAATGCCCGCGATCATGAGCAGACAGCAAAAGGTGACCGCCAGCAGGGTCAACGGCCGGAGGGCGATAGGGAGATAGTCCAGAGGCGGATACAGCAGGTCATCTTCCGGGGGATCAACGGCCACGAATGACTCGGGGTCAATGGAGTCTGGTCGTTGCGGCAGGGCCTGTGGTGATGGGGACTTGTACTTGGGACGTTCAGGCAAAGGCGTCGGGGTGTGTCGGATAGGAGTGCGTGCCCGGGTGAAATAACCCAACCCCTCGTCCCAGACTAGGCGTTCCTCATTGTAGTCGCTTTCCCTTGTCGAAACAGAGTCCTGTCTCCGAGGGCCATGGACTTGTTCATCACGGGTAAGCTGGTCAATCGCGAATCGGACATATGGAGAGTCGTCCAAGCCAGGAGTTGGTGCTGGACCGGCGTATTCACTGGGTACACGTCGCACAGTCTCATCGGACTTGGGGCTAATGCGCGCGATACTGTCCTCTCCAAAGCGAACGGTGCTGGTCGTTGGCGGACGTGGAGACCCCAGGTCTTGAGGGTCTGGGTTGTGCCGACGAGGCGGTTGAGCCACGGCTTGGGGCTGCTGTGTCCTAGGAACTGTGGGTGATGAAGCCGTGGATGACGGCTGCGAGTCTGGAGTGGTAAAGCGCATGGCAGTTACACGGCTTTCGGGGCTTGACGAAGCACCCCGTTCAGAGAAAGAGTAGTAGTCGTCCGACGCAGCAGCTGACTGTCGGGACTCTGTGCGATGGAGTTGGGGTTTGCTTGCTGTGCCACGGGTTAGGCGAAATTTTCTCTGCAGAGCTTTAGAAGCTGCCACAGTTCTTTTAAACTTAGCAGCATCTTTGGCCGGCGGCGGGTTGTACTCACTGTTGACGTTGCGGAGGCTGAAGTTGCGCGGTATAGATGTGTTCGACATGACTGGGAATGCAGACTCTGATTCCGCGAGGGATTCAATCTCGAAGCATTCCTCGGGAGCTGAGAGGGTCAATGAGAATGTTGGGAGAGTCACGAATGGAGCCGAGCAGGCTTTTGTTTGGATGTTGGCATGTCGGTGGGCAGCACCTGCCTGGTCCCAGCCTCCCCCAGCCACCACGCCCCAACCCGATCACCAACACACCAATAGGGAGGATTGAGACAAGGGAGGAGGTGAAGCTAGACAATTCATCTGATGAATCACAACGCAGCCTTTCAAATTAAATTATTATAAAATTCTTTTTGAGGTGATCGGCCTGACGTCGTGTCAGTCGGCGGCCCGAATGCCCCCGCCGTCGCCCAAGGATTCCTCGAAGCTTGGCGTGATCGACCGGACATGATCGATGCGCTTACTACTAGTATCTTAGATCAGCTATAATTGAAAAATAAATATCAAATATCATTTAAGAAGTACACATATAGGCAAAACAGAGGCGGTCTTCTACTGCTGTGTTGTGTTGTCCTGCGATCGCATCTACGTACTCGGTGCGACCAGGCAGCATCAGCCCGCAAACTAAGAATAGAACCCCCAATAATTTACATCCTAGATAATGGCCAGAAGCAGGGTGCCTTCGGAGCTAGCAAGACCACCAGGCTTCCGCCAACCCTGCATGGCGGCACAGCGGGCATGATTCTCTCCCTTGCTGCCCATGGACGTGGCTGGTCGCTATCTGGCTGGGCGATGAAAACACGAGGCTGCACCCCATATAATCGGGCACGACCCCTACAACCAAAGTGAAAATTTGGGGTTGACAAGGACCATAGATTCTCATTCACAGTTGTTATCTTTGTGGATTTCCTGAGTTGTCTTGAATGCCTGGGTTGGTTGTTTTACTTGCCAGCTATTGCCTCCAGGCATCCCGCCTCGCTCACGCCAATTTAGGGTTCAAGCCACATGACATCTACTAGCGAATAATTCTGTCATGGTCATGAAACAGATTTCTTACTATCTTGTCGCAGTGAAATTGGTCAAGTGCAATATATTCTAGGGATAGTCGTACAAGTTCGGCCGGATATTCCATCAGACTGTGCTGTCGCGATTAAAATAGCTCGGAGGGCGCCGAGATAGATCATAATCATCGAAATATTTGAATATAGTCTCCAGGCTCATAAATGAATTATGCAAATCGCTCAACTATCTTGTAATATAAGGATATCCCGATCTGGGATCCGATCGTGAATGATCCGACGTCGCCCTTGCTGTCGTGCATCGGCAGTGAGGTACCCTTGGGTAGTCATATTCCCTTAAGACCCTATTTACAGTCACACTGGAGTAGGCCGGTATAGGGTATCTTTAATCGCCCGTGCATCAATCATAGCAACTCTAGATCGTCGACGCGGAAAGTCAGCACATCAAAGGGGACGACTCTATCCGACCAACGAGAAGGAAGGGTAGCAAGACTTGCGCATATTGCCCGCGCCCCCAATGCCAAACCTCACATATTGCTCTGTATTCCTCGAATGCAGCTCCCATGATTGCATTGTTGTAGTTCGATCGCCCAATAGTGCACAGACTTCTTCGTCCTGTCGTTTGCTTCTTCTAGGCCAGGGCCAGAATCTCCACAGACAGCGCATGGTGCCAAGTCGGAGCCAGTTGTGATCCAGGGAAAACCCTCGTTGGATTGTGCAGGGTAACAGCGATATTCGTTGTGGTTACTAGTGAGTAAGCCTGCTTGCCAGGCTGACAATGCGTTGAAAGGAGTATTACGCTTTGAAGTCGAAGACGGGGCATCAGTCCGCACTTATAGGACACCCCTGCTGTATGTCGCACAGACTTTGTGCCACAAAACGAATATCGATCCAAAAGCTAGACATGATCGATCAGTTTTGATGATCAACATGGAACGTCATCGTAGATCGACATTGCGACAATGCAGAATGAGCCGCTCCACGAAGGATTGATCTCCAGCAGCCGTCCTAAGTTAATCGGGTGTCTCTGCAAACTGAATGAGATCTCGAATACAAACAATCATTCACCGCCGTCTTTCACCTGCATCTAGAGCTTTCATGAGGGATCATTGCAACAATATCGTTGTCCGTGTCACCCACCCCGGCTGTGACTTGCGTTCCTCAAAGTTCCCCCGGGTCTGCAGGCGACACCATCCGGGCATCAATGCATGCGACCGATCAAATGATCCAGCGTGGGATTCGATCTCTCAGCAGCGCTTCCTCTCAGCGATGCTTCAACAGCCGTCAGGCCAATGGGGTACACGCAATGCACGACGATATGCATAAGCTTAATTAGGCTCGGTCGAAGCTGGCATGGCGTTTGGTCGCGTGCACCGCGGAGGGCGGCAGGCCCAAACACAAGCAGAAGTAGCCGACCGCTGTCGCAGGCCACCAAGACATCTTATTGCTCTCCAAAGACGAATCTTATCTCCCCCAGAAGCTATCGTAATCTAGGCGTTTGCTATTCAGAATCAGGCTAGCTTATACCGGCGGAGATCCGCTTGTTTCATTTAAACCGCGGGCTGTGGGCCACAACGGTATGGAGGCCCCGGTCCAGACGGGCGCGGGAGACTGGCACACCCCAGCTAATCGATGCACCGTGCGTTCTGGACTTCGACGAGATGAGCTGTCGGAAGGGACGCGCAAATCTTGGATCTTCAATGATGTATCATACTGGCCAGTAAACCCCGTGAATCGTATAAATTTCAGCATTGCCGATCGATGTTTCACCATCATTGAGCACTGGATGGCTCGGGTACCTGGCACGCTGGAGAAGGGCCCGGCAATCCGGACCAACAGCGGGCGTGTTAAGCTTCGTGGGTTCTTCGGTACGTGGCGAAGGTGTTGTCCGCGGGACATCGGGGGCTGGAACCGACGAAAAATTGTTCTCGGCCTTCCAGAAAATCTGTGAAGATGCTGTTGAATGTCGTGCCCGATCTCGCTGATCTAGTTGAATATGGGCATTTGCGACTCTCTGTTCATAACACGGATCGCCCCGTTTGATCAGCGAAAAAATCCCCCATTTTGCCAGGCTGATTCCGGCATCCAGCGAGGCTTGGCGCGGTGCTTCCATGGAAGTGCCCCGAAGCGACGTCGGAGGTACAGCGAATGAGGAGGCCGGCCATCGCTGCGCTACCTGCGCCAATGAGGAGATCTGAGCCCGGCAGTCAGCCGGATGTGCCAGATGGCAGGGATTGCGATCATGAATGCGAATGTCGCTTCGAAGAAAGCGGATTGTAGAGTTGACAGTAGAGTAGACAAACGGAGACGATACTCTAAGAGAGTAAGAGAGTAAGAACGTAAGAGGGAACTGCCGTGAGGTGACCGGCCGCCCCGCCTGCCTCAGGCCCGCACCTTCCACGGTTTGGCTCTCTTCCTCCTTCGCCTCCAACGTCTCGACAACCCCGAAGTAGCTCGTCTCTTCTTTCGTTCCTTTTCCCCTCACTACTTACTTTCTTTCATCGCTCGCCCTGCCATTTTTACCCATCACTCGCCCCTTCACATCTCCTCCCTTCCGGCGCGCTCGTCTCAGGAGACCTGCAATGTTCATGCCAATGCTGGCTTAATTCACAACACCCTCCTCAATCCGATCCAAGCGTTGCATTTGCAAGTGCGGACATCGCTCGTTTACTGCCCGGATTGAGACCAGGTCCTGGAGGGATCGGTCGCCCTCGTTACCATGTTACTCAAGCCCGCAACACCCCTCACCATCTTACTGCTGGTCGCCTTTGCGCTCCTGCTACTGTCCTGCCTGTCCACCCCCATCGTTAAGGGCATTCCCCTCGCGACCTTCAACGATGTCGACTACGGTGTCTTTGGCTACTGCCAGGCTGACAAGTGCACGAACATCCATGTGGGATACACGAGCAGTATGTCGCGGCCGTTTATGTTTCTGCCTAGTGTTCGTAGCTAAGTTCTTTTGCAGATGATATTAATAACACCGGCGATGATTTCAACCTGCCGTCGAGTACCCGCAAGTCGCTGTCGGCGATTCTGATCGTGCATCCCGTTGCTGCCTTCCTGACCCTGGTTTGCCTGTGCCTGGCCGCCGCCGCCCACTTCCATGGCCCGTCCCATTCGCCGCGCTTCTTGCTCGCTCTGCTCATTCTCCTTCTGCCGACGCTCCTCGCGACGCTCCTCGCGTTTCTCGTCGATATTCTTCTCTTCGTTCCGCATCTACAATGGGGTGGCTGGATTGTGCTGGCGGCGACCATTATCCACGTTTCCTGTGGTGTGGTGACCTGCGCCATGCGCCGGACTCTGGTGAGCCGCAAGGCGCGGAAGCGTCGCATTGCCGAGAACGCGGAGATGAGTGGTGAGAACTACTACAATCGCCAGAATGCTGCTGCGCCAACCACACCGCCTGTCCCCCCAGTTCCCGTCGAAAACAAGGAGGCTATTGTCTCCGGCTCGCCCACCTCGGAGTCGGGCCCTACATTCGCGACCTTCCGTACGAACACACGCGACAGCGACGATGATCAGACACCTCTCAACTCACGCACTCCCGTCAATGCCATGAATGATGTGCCGGCTCCGCCAGACAACCAATACCCCAGTCGTTATGGAACCCCGTATCGCGCCGCGGACGAGCCTGGTCTGCCTCCCCAAGGTCCTTATGGCGCTAGTCCAATGCGCAACCCTTCGGATCCCCGATTGCGCCAGCAATACTCCGACGGTAGCATGGGTTCGCGGCGTGGTGGTGGTCCGCCTGGATTCGTTCCCCGTGGCAGAGGAGGATATCCCCCTCGCGGCGGCTATGGCCGTGGAGGTCCATACGCTGGACCACCCCGGGGACCCCCTGGTGGCGCCCGAGGTGCCTACATGGGCCCGATGCCTCCTCGGGGCCGCGGAGGTATGATGCCTGGTCGTGGAGCGCCGCGCGGAGGTGGCGTTGGCGTTGGCTATATGCCTGGTCCTAACCGCAGCTTTGATTCGTATGGTCGACCAATGGGCCCGGAAGATGACATGTATGAGCCTCAAGGACAGGCGCCTGTTGGCCCGATGCGCGAACCATCCCCAGGTCCGATTGGAATGGCGGTCTCGCCCGAAACCGTAGGCCAAGCGATCGAGATGCAGCCTCAACCGCGACGTTACGAAGGACCTGATTCCAGCATGAGTGGGGACTCTAACCCGCATGCCCTGTCTGTGGACGGCCAACACGCCCCACTGGAGAGCCCAACCAGTCTCTACAGTCGAACTGAATCCTACGTCCCAGCTCGTGCCGGATGGGGTGCTCCTGACCCCCGTGGACTCTCGCCCCGTCCAACTCCGTCGCCAGTCCATGCGAATGGCGGCACCGCCTACTACGAAGATGTCGATCCTCAATTCGCGCGTCGCCCCTCGCCGCGACCGACCCCCAACCAGGCCTCCCGTCGGCCTTGACCCCTGGAGGCGCCCACTGTAAGTACAAGTTCCTACGGCCTCTGCCATACAAGCTCTTCAACGAACCGTCCCCAACTAACTGGTCCTCAGTCTGATGACTCGAGGTGAATCCATATTGTGACATGATCTCACCGATTTTTACTTGCGATACCCTAATTCCACAATCTCCTCTGGATGACTATGGATTTTTCTCCTCATTACCATGGCTATGCGGGTCATATTGCGGAGCGGAGTTCTGGTGTATTTTATTATTATGGCGGATTATTATGTTATCTTTCATTCCGGCATCGCGCTTTTGCTTAGAATTGCGCACCCGGAGTATGAGTCGGTTGGTGAGAAAGCAGAAGCTGGCTCTACTCTGCTGTTCCTTCCAATGTGTATAGCAGTGAGGCTATGCGATGTACAGGGATGATTTATGGTTCTTTTATTTTTATTTTTTATTTTTTTTTTTTTTTTCTGTGATTTACTTTCTATTTCTACCGGGATTCTGAGCACAGTGCTGTAAGAGTACGCTTGGTACTATCCCCTTTATCTTGTCACGTTTTACTTTGGGTAGCTATCCTTAGTACTAACCCGAATCCACATATATTCCTATCCCACTTCTCTCTAGGCTGTTCTCTGATTCCTTCTTTTGTGTAGGTTATTTCTCATCAAGATTTGCTCTCAGACCTTGTTTGGGCTGGCTGTTTCCATGGACGAGTTTACATCCACGTGTTATGACGTCGCGCATCTCGATTGCTGTCGATCATGACGGCCGCGCCTGCCTTGGCTTTGCTTCGGTCAAAGCTTGGTTCTGATGAGCGCCACACTCGCTAAGTGATTCGGGGAAGTTCATCCAACTTGCTGTTTTTCTTTTTAAAGGATGGGTCCCCCTCATCCCTGCCAAGCACCCCCGGTTCCACCTGTCAACCACTTGGCACGATGAACGATCCCGGTCTGGACGATGCCGTCGCTGGCGAGGCGCATGCTCTCGACCTGGTGGCCGATGACCAGGTCGCCAACAGTATTGCCTCTGGAGACGACGCGGAGAATCGCATAGATACGGAAGTTCCCCATGCAGGGCGGTGGTGGCTGGCCAGTACTGCATACCCGCTAGTAGCAGTAAGCCAACACTCTGTATATCTTGAGACTTGAACATTTTGACCATTTTTAGGGAACCTTTGGCCCCATGGCCAGCGCTTTTAGTGTATGTTCTCTATCCCAACCGTGGCGGATGGAGCTGGGAGGGAAAGACATTGCTGACCCAAAATGGTACGAAGAAGACCTCGAATTGTGATCGCGCATAATCGAAATAACACTTCCCAGGGTCACTGCCATCAACGCAATATCTCTGGTCTTTGCCCTCATTTCCAACCTCTTTCTCTCGCTCAATATGGCCCGTCGAATCCGCTTCGAGATTGCTCAGCCGATCACAATCATTGGCTGGTACATCTCATCTGCACTGCTCATCGGGATCCTGATTCCCGTCGGCGTATTAATGTACAAGCCGCAAAATGACGGACGCATATACAGTCAGGGATACTTCTATGCGACATTCGCCGCGGGTCTTTACTTCATTATCTCCGCTCTGCTCACCGTGACAGCTTACGGCGCCTACACAGGTCATTCCGCGCGAGAATTCAAGTTGACAACCAGCCAGCGCACACTGATGCTGCAGACTATCATTCTGTTCATCTATCTGCTAGGTGGTGCGGCTGTATATGCCAACATAGAGGGATGGCGGTTTTTGGACTCTGTCTACTGGGCAGACTACACACTGCTCACCATCGGAGTTGGAAACTTCATCCCAGAGACACATCTTGGACGCGGTCTTCTTTTTCCGTACGCCGTTGGCGGAATCGTGGTTCTTGGTCTGATTATCTCATCCATTCGCACCCTTATGCTCGAGCGCGGTCGCCAAAAGATCGCCGATCTCCTCACGGCACACACGCACCGACTCCTCGTCAAAGAAGCCTTTTCAGACAACAACCGTCTCCGCCGACTCGTCCCCGACCTACCAGATACGAACAATTCCAATACCCAAATCAGCAAACGGGAGAGGCAGAAGCGAGAATTCGTCACCATGCGGCGCGTGCGACAGCTAGCAACCGTCCAATACAAATTGATATCTCTAGCCGTATCCTTCGTGATCTGGATGGCAATGTGGCTCATCGGAGCAGTGGTATTCTGGCGTTCTGAAGACGAGCGCAAGTGGTCCTACTTTGAAGCTCTCTATTTCGCCTACACGACCCTGCTAACCATCGGATACGGCGACTTTTACCCGATCAGCAGTCTCGGCAAAGCATTTTTCGTCTTCTGGTCTCTTCTCGCCGTGCCAGCCATCACCATCCTCATCTCTAATATCGGCGATACCCTCATCCGCTCCATCCGTGACCTGACCCTCTTCCTCGGTGAAATAACCATCTTGCCCGGCGACGAGCCATTCCTCGACCGCATCTATGACGTCCTGCACATTTCCTGGAAAGACAAGTGGCTACAAGAAGTAACCGGCGAACCCAATGATGGCTTCCCCACAACCAATTCAAATGGAAACTGGAACGCCAGTGACAGTCGACACGCGATAGAAGCATCCGAGCACAAAAAAAAGAATCCGCCCACCGACGCGGTGACGTCGCAGGAGAGAACATCCACCACTACCACTACCTCCTCTTCCGCGAGATCCGGAAGATGATGGAATACGCACAGGGCAACATGTCGAAGGAATTCGACTATTTGGAATGGGAATACTACCTCGCGCTTATTTCGGGTGAGAATAAACCGCCTGTTTCGGATACGATTAGCGAGAAAGAGGCGGATGAGAAACGCGTGAGGGAGATGAAGGAGTGGAGCTGGATTGATAGGAAGAACCCCCTTCTTGGGGAAAAGAGTGAAGTGCAGTGGTTGCTTAATGCGTTGACGGATGCGTTGGAAAGGGAATTGAGGAAGGCTAGCCGGTCTTTCCATTCTCCTGGGGAAAGTGAGGAGGTAGAAAGGGAGGTGAGGGAGGTAGATTCTGCTTCTGGGGGTGGAGGGTAGTTTGTTTGGTCTGGTTTCTGGTGTTTATTGTTGGTTGATGTTTTGTCCTGGTGGTGGGTTTTATCTTCTCATGTTACCATATTTCTTTCTCCTAATACCCGAACGATTTATGTGAATAAAATGTGTCAACTAAAGCAAATGGCATTTTCGTAATGTTTCTGCGATTTCGACTAAATCTAAGTAGGGTAAAGGAAAAATCCATCTCGGCTATGCTCTCCAACGGCTACTTCACAGTCCCTCCACAAGATCCCTGAACACATCAGCAGGCGTCCGCTTAGGGGCAGCGAGTTTCAGCACCTCGGGACTAGTAGTCTCAGCCGAACACTTCCCCTCCCACGCCGTATCAGGAGCATACTTAATAGAGAAAATAACATTCCTCGACTGATTAGTCGCAGCATACTTAGCATCATAAAGATCCTCCAAAAACGACAGATCTTTATAACAGACATTCTCAACCTTCACCCCAATATACTCCTCAACCATATCAACAATCTGCCTGCCCGTGATATCCAGGGGTCCATTCAGAACATATCTCGCTCGATCATGAGACGAAACATCATCCTCCGCCAAAAGCCTCGCAGCAACAAGACCGACGTCCGCAGGATCGATAATGCCGACAGGTGCGTCCTCGTTCGCAAGCAAACGAAGCGAGCTCTGTGGCTCCCCGTCACGGTGTTTCCGAACAAACTCCGCGGCAGCGGAGAGGTACATCGTCGAGAAGATATTCGGCTGCAGCGAAGACCACTTCAAACCCCCGAACTCCCGCGAGTCCAAGAGTGCCTCGATAGCCCAGTGCGAGCGCGGGTAATACGCCAGACAATCGGGTCGGACATTAGCTGCCGTTGTCGAGACCCGGACGACATACTCGACGCCTGCTGTTAGGGCGGCAGTGTGGAAGGTTGATTCTTCGGCGAATTGGGTTGGTTCGTTGTGCGAGGCGATGAAGGCTCGGGTTACGTTGTAAGAACGGAGCCAGGAGGGTGTTATTTCAACCCAGTTTTTTTCTAGGACTTCGACATTTGGGATTTGGGAGAGTTTGGTGGCAGCTGAGCTTGATGGGTTGCGTGTTAAAACTAGCACCCGGTGCGTGGAGAGGGTTTTGCTTGTTTTGAGGAGTTTTGGGAGGGCTTCCGTTAGGCTTTGGCCGGTGTTGCCGGTTGCGCCGATGATGAGGATTGAAGGTGTCATGATGGGATTAAAAAAGGCTTGAATTTGGATAAAGCGAAGTGTCAGATATGAATTGTTGCTGTTATTCGCGAAGATGCTGCCTCCCATCTTATACTTATGCCCTGCTTTGTAATTTGGGGTTTCGCAAGCGAAGTGGCACATAGCATGTACCAATTTAATTGGACATCACATCATTTCACAGGAGGATACGATAAAGAATTAGTAACGAGCAGTGACTTGTACTGAGGGGGTTGGTATCCCATGCGTAGGAGGTAGTATGTAGTAAGCTGATGGGATGCCGGTGGGAGGCCGGTGGGAGGCCGGTGGGAGGACGCAATTTGGATTATGTCATGCAGATCGCCACGGCCAATAAAGTTCTCGGCCTCGGCAGCGGGAGGTTTGGCACCCGCAAGCCTCTTGCAAGCTTCAGTCCAAATCGCGGAAGTACCTGCATTTGTTTCTAGGCTTGTGCTGCGCAATGCTATTTCGTCGATGTCACTGTGTTTGAAATAACCCGCCTTTCGTTCTAGGACATCATGCCAAGCGGAGAAAACAACTCCGAACTCCTAGACAACCCCTCTAACACAGTCAAATCCCATGCCTTCAGTTGTCACTTTCCAAACTGCAATGCTAGCTACCGGCGCAAGGAACACTTGAATCGTCATGAAACACAGCATTCACAACAACAAATCTTCATATGTTCTGAATGTGGTGGGGGGTACGGACGGAGGTAGTGTACCAGCCTTACTGCTATACTCATACATGCTAACCGGGATCAGCGACACACTCCGACGCCATCTTCAAAAGCGCCACAAAATAAATAAACCATTGAATCGTGCGGCAGTGGCTTGTCAGGGTTGCCACGCGGGAAAGACTCGATGCGAAGGAGGCGTGCCATGTGACGAGTGTCTCCGTCGCAAGATCCAATGCTCCTTGAACGACGATACGGGGTCGATAGAACGGCAATATCCTGAATCATCAAACCACCACACATCAATTCAGCATGACCCGCAGCAGAATCATTCGGGAAAGACAGACCGGTGGATAGACCTCTACTTTACAGCTTTCCACCCCTCTTGGCCCTTTGTCCATAAAGGATCATTTGACATGCGCTCCGATGCACCCTTATTAATACAGACGATGACTTGCTTCGGGCTGTGGGCTAGTGGAGAACGACGTGCACGATCCTCGGCCGTAGAGTTGCATGATAAAATCGACCTAGCCATTCGAGAACAAAAGGTTCGCGCGACCAGATGAGCACATCGTACCTGTTAAACTGACATTCGATAGAACAAATGGGACGCCACGACCATCAAAGAAGCAAATAGCACCTGTCTCTGGCCGATACCGACATACCAGGCGATCCTGCTGCATATAATTTTCGCCGCTACCCTCCAAAGCCAGGAGACTCGCGGCTTCGATCTGAAGGCCTCTCTTTCGACACCTTACTTCGACTTGCTGGAGGCACTTATTCGAAGCTGTCGGAGGCTTGGTATGTTCTATTATCCGAATATACTTGCCAGATTCAACGAGGATGATTTGGACACGTTTGTTTGGGTGAGTATTGAGGAGATAAAACGGTTTAATCTCGCCTTGTACAAGGTTTGTGGCAAAGTGCGCGGTTCTGGAAGAAGCGGAAATGATGTTGCTTCTTTGTTGACTGCAGGTGAGCTGCAATTCCCCTTGCCGACTAATCGTCCTCTCTGGGATGCTGTTGGTGTAAATGAATGGATGGATGCTATACGTGATGTCAGGCTGGCTTTTTTGGACGATCATTGTCGGACGAGCTGGATCTCGAACTTTGCGGCGGTGATAGATTCCCTTGAGTTATGAAACAATTCCTTCCTCTCGATGGTTTAAGGTCATCGACATGGATACGAAGCGGCGGAGACCTTTACAATCGGATGGAAACCATTATCGTATATCTTATAATACATTCATAGCATATGTCTATCTTTTTATACATGACCCATGGCCAGCACGGTAATCTATGTAGACGAGCAAGAGAAAACACCACCAACAGTGCCCTCGTCGTAAGATTTGATCTGTTTGATGGTAAGCGTTTGTGCCGGGATAAACATTAAGAAAGGAACTCACTATATCGACAATGCTGGAGTAGGTACCAGCACCCAACACAATCAAACCAATGATAAGAACGAGAATGTTCACAACACTGTAGACGATGTTTTTCGTAGAAAACCAGCTACCCTGGCGAATGAACATGAACCACATGATGGCCGGGAAGTAGAAGGTGAATCCGGAGACGAAGAGCGACGAAATCACGGATAGAAGGTCGTCGAAGAAGGGGATAACCTCCGCAACAACGAACTCCAGAACAGTTAGGACGGAGACAACGACCAGCCAGGTAATCCAGCCCATCTTGGTGTTGACGAAGCGGATGTTGGAGTTCTTGAAGATGCGTCCGTGAACTAGACGGCCCAACACGACTGTGTTGATTGATCCACTGATGAAAATCACAGGCAGAGCGACACCGAATGCGATACGGCTGAGCAAGCTGCCGGCAGAAAGCAGTGCGGGGCTCTGGACGTCCTGGCCAACGAAAGCGTAGACGAGAGCGCCGGTAATGGTGTAAATGAAGATCTCGATCAGACCGAGGGACCAGATCGACTTGGGGAAGTCAGTGGGAGTGTGCATTTCATCCATGAAGGAGAACTGGCACAGAGCGAAACTGTACGCGAAAATGATGTTGGAGAGTGCGATGAAGGCCTCAGAGAAAGTCAGGCCTTCCTTAGGCCAAGCCGACCAGTTAACGGCAGAAAGACCAGTCGAGTTGGTGGCTTCAACACCGGTTCCGATGATTGTGATTCCAACGGCAATAATGATCGAGACGAAATCGATATAACCCAAAATGGCCATCTCGGAGAAACTGGGCGGGATGGCGAAGATGAGCAGGATGATCATCGAAACAACACCGAACACCAGGGAGCAGATGCTGCTTCCGGTGATGTTGGCGAACGCAATAGTTCCGGTCAAACAGTGCGAACCGGCAGACAGAAGAAGCTCAAGACACAGCATCATGTAGACGACCTCATAGCCAATTCGGCCGAACATCTGTCGGCCTGCCTCGGGGTAGTTGGAGATATGCGGGAATTTGACCTTGACCTGACCGATGATATAACTGGTGTACACGGCAATCAGACCGATACCGACACAGCAGATCACACCGGCCACCATGCCCAGTGTCGCGAAGGTGGACGGGATCGAGAGAGTTCCCAGAGCGACAGCCTCAACGATCAGGACAATCGTCAGCTGCTTCCAGCCCAGCTGATTGTACTTCTGGACACCACCCTGATAGACCTGCTTCTCGTGGTCGGTCATATCGCCAAACCCATCTTGCGGGAAGAAAGCTTCCCCCTCCTTAGCCTTTGGTGACATCGGATGCGGGCTGCGGGGGCGCGAGACCTTCGGAGGTAGAGGGTGGTGGTATGGGGTTGCGAGTGCGGGAGGATGGGGAGAAAGAGAAGAAGGCGAGACGACAAGGATATAGCGTGACGCGCTAGGCAAGTGGGAAAGTCAGCACCGAAGGCAAACGCGAGTAAAAACTCCGTTTGAGTCAGGGCAAGCAGCTCCCAGCGACCCTCGAAAATTCTCGGCGCCTTCCTAAAACGGTCGTGAGGTTGAGTAACATAAACTCCATTGCGCCCCACCTCCTGGTTGCGGATTGGTTGGACCGCAAATGGTGCAACATCGGCCCGATTTTTGACTGCTGCGCGCCGAACCCCGAGTCCGAGTACCCTACCTACTAAACTATATTGAGCATTTGGACTGCACTAAGGTTATCTGCGTTGGAAATTTGACCAAATGATATTATCCAATATGTTAGATAGCCCTACGCTAGGCTCTGTGCCTGAGCAAAATAGCTTATCGTGTCGATGCTAGTGCGGCTCTGCCGGCTAGGCCAATCGGCTTTGTCCTTGCCACGCCGCCACGCGACCACAAGAAAAAATAAGCGTGGACTACACTAGTGTAGTCTGGGCGAAAGTACGTGTCGCTACCGAGATTTCCTTGGGCAGAAAATTACTTGAAGGTCCGGTGTGATTGGCTATATAACTGTGTCTGCAGTCTCAGCACGCATTGAACGCACTGAAATGTGATATTTCTCTTGGTATCACACCTTCGCATGGTGCGTCTGACAAGAGAGGAGAATGTCTCGCTTTCAAGTAGCCACCTGTTGCATCATTCGCCTCTTTGTCGATATCGGATCAATACTTCACATCTAATCTTGATTCGTACACACTTTCATCGAAGTTAGTGCTCTAAACATCTAATTTCCAAGAGTTTTGCACGTGACCGCTTGTTATCGTCAGGGCTGCATACTTGAGACGCACGTCACACCTGTAGATGAGAGAACTCAATGTCTGCCGCCTTCTAGTGTCATCACCAATCACATTCAGACAAAATACATACATATATCTCTCATCTGTTCCATAGCAGACATCTAATCAACAAGACAGGGCAGCCCACAAACTTCCAAACCCCGACCGGCAACCATCACCAACAACCCTCCCATCAATTTTCCCATGGACAGCATACTCCAACGGCGTCGACAATCCACCTCCACACCCGCACATAAAAATATGATTCAACCCCTCATGCAGCCCAAATCTCACATTCCCTTTCTGACCTAGCAATTGTCGCCATCTCATAATCATCATTAATAGTAACCTGATAATCCCTCTCACCCTGCAGCGCACATACCGGCTTCTGCCGCCCGCACAAGTCTTAGTCGGCTCAAACCGGCCATAGTCAAGCTAATAGGCCGGTCTAAGTCCAAAAGGCAATTTCTTCGCAGACACTGAAAGGTCAAGGTCACAATTATCCGCGACCTCAAGCGGACGCCCTCACTTCTTCACTCCGCTTGTCAAGTGCCAGCGTCTCCGGCCCCTCCAGCGAATATATATATCCCAATTGCCGGATAAGAGAGCGATAGATTGGTTCCGTGGGCCCGGCCATGAGGTATATACCACTACGAGAGCGGGGTGTGCAGCGACAATACGCGGCGCGACGACTGCGCTGAGACTATGGCCTAGAATGAAGATGTTCGAAGAATTTATTTCGGGATGTTCCTGTGCTAGCGAGATTGCGTCGATAGCGTGCGGTATATATACGTCTGTCAGGGTTATATTCTTTTGTCGGCGGAAGCGTCGGTGGACGTGTGCTACTTTGTCGAGGCGGATTGAGGCTATGCCGTAGCTTGCTAGACCTAGTGCGAGATCTTTGAGGGTTTTGTTTGCTTGTATTGTTGAGTCGCGGTCGAGTGGTCCTGAGCCTCGTAGGAAGATTATGCAAGGGGTTTGCGACTCGTGTGTTAAGGGTGATGGCGGAAGTAAGCAGAATGTTCCGCCGACAGGGTATTCTTTTCCCAGGGTGATTTCAATGTCTCTCGTCTAGACTGCGTAGAATGAACCTTCCTTCCACGTACTCCCGAGCCCTTTTAAATTGGAATCCGACAAGATTGCCTTCTGGGTTATCATCAGGTAAAGGTTGAATTGGGCATGTTGGTGATTCAGCGGGAGTTTGATGGATGTTAGGTACCATCCGGCGTAATTATTAGATCGCGGGTGCTCTGGGGTTGGAGTAGGCCGAAGAATTGTGGACGATGTTCCAGGCTTTTTGGAGGGGGGATTCGGGAGAAAGATTCGAATGAGAGGGGTGAAACCATGTCGTAAGCTGATCCAGTCTTCGTTTGAGATCTTTGAGATGGTTTCTTGGACTGTACATTGTGGGTTGATTTTTGTCGTGTCTGTTTGCGGCTGTAGGCTCGTGTAGAAAAGATATGCTGTCGGTATAGCTATGGCGGCTCTTGCCTGCATCCAGTGGTAGGATGCCATGTTTGGTGCGTGTGAATCCAGTGCTGTACCATCTAGTCACGGAAGATGGGACGTTGCCTATATATAGTGTTTCTTCGATGGAACGGGGTGATCAGATAGCTTTTTATTGGGCAGGGTAGCTGGGCAAGTCACGAGGGCCAAAGTTATTGAAATGCCTGTCTTGCTGGAGTGGCGTTGTCGGTTCTATCTAAACAGGATCACGCAGAGTTTCCAGCTAACACTACTAGAAATATATAGCTCAAGAATAACGCTAAATTGCAGCTCATTTAAAATTATCCGCATCGCAAAATGTCGAGAAACCTTCCAGTAAAGCTGGCAATTATGTATTATTACCAATGAACTAATGAAATACCACGCGAAACACAAGGAAAGTGAAAAAGCAAAGGATAACGCCAAGAGGTAAGTGATATCGAGCCTAAGGAATTCAACATAAAACATAAGGAAACCAAAACCAAAAGTGGATAAAATAAAACGGCCAAGGATGACGCTCGTGCCGAATGCGAAACGAAACGCAAAAGCAACAACACACCCCCATTTTTCTATGTACGCAGCACCACGCAATATGCGGATTCAAGTCAAATCCAATAGCCCAGCACCACAAATTCTCACCCACGATAACGCGAGGTAAGATCTAATCCCCAAGCAGGCAAGATGCTAGATGCAAGCAGCTTCTCCTATCTCCCAAACGAGTCACGTCGAGGTACTTCACTGGATGCTGCGACCCGTCTGACTACGACCAGCCTGACTGCGACTCGCCTGGCTTGCACGGCTGGGACTAGTCCGGCTCGGCTCATCCTCCTCCAACACATCACTCAAACGTGTCGGGTGGCGGTGTCGCGGCGTGACAGACTCCCAGCCTGTTCCCACGCCCCATCCCGAGCCGCTGTAGTCGATTGTCGTAGGTGGGTAGGGCGCATGCATCGGCGCTGAGGCGGGCGCACCGGAGAATGCGGCGTCAGTGACATAGTTCCCTTCATCGTCGTAGTCTTCGCTTCCTTCTGACAGCGGAGGCGGGGGATAGGTCAAGTTTCCATGCGGCTGCGGGTAATGCGCGTAGTCTTCGTCGCCGGCCTCGCTGCTTCCGACGTAGGAACGGTCGTCTGCCTCGGAGGTGGCGGCACCATGGTAGGCGGCGCTGGTGGGATCGTGCTGGTACATCTGCTCTGCGTACAGCGGTTTGCTGGTGGGCGGGTCGGTCTTTTTGGGCTCGATGAAAGGGTCTGAGCCGGTGGGGGACATGGGCGGGTTTTCGTGATAATACTGCTGACCAGCACTAGCGTCGGCCGGTTTGCCTTGGTACTCAGAGGTAGCGGTTGGTCCACTAGCGTAACTACCCTCGCGGGTGGGTGGGCGCGTGGTGTGACGGCTGGGAACTCCCTGGATCATCGGGACGACTTGTACGCCGCCGACGAGAGTCGGTTCGCCGTTGCGGAGGGCATTGGTCTTGTCTCGCTCTTCTTGCTCGCGGCGGCCGAGTTCCTCCCAAGCGCGGCGTGCTTCTTCGCGGGAGATCTGGAGCTCGCGGCGCATTTCCCGGAGGAGCTCTTCGGATCGAGACTTGTCTTGTTCAGCGGTCTGAGCTGCAGCAAATGCGTCGGCGCGGCCTTGTCGCTCGGTCTTGAGCTGACGTTCCAGGTCTGCTTGCAGTTCCTTTGCGCGTTCTTGTTCGGACCGAGTGTCAAAGAACCAGCGCTGGAACTTGCGCTCTGAGGATGCACGCAGGCGTTGAAGCTCGACTACTGCATGGAAGAGATTGGCGCCGGCGGCGGACAAGTCCGTGATTTGGCGGGCGAGTTGCTGACTTAGAGGATCTTTCTCGAGGTCTTCATTGTGCTGCTCGAGCTTGCGAATCCAGTAACTCGTGAGACCTTCCCAGTGCGAAGACAGGGTCTCCCAACGCTCGAAGGCGTGAGGGAAGCCCGCGCGCTTGGGTTGTTGGAGACTTTGCGGGGCCCCAGACTGGCTTGTGGGAGCCTGCCCAGATCGTGAGATTCCTGCAGTGCCGGTTTGTCCGCCGGTCCCTGCCGCGGCACTCTGCGAGCGAGCATGTTGCGGAGCTGGTCCGAATTGTTGCTGAGCTGACGCAGGGGCTGGCCGTGGTTGAGGGGGCACATCGGCCGTGGCTGGAGGTGCTTGATATCCGGGTCCAGCGGCACCAGAGCTCGGTGTAGCAGCCGTACCGGGGCGAAAGCTAGGGCCAGAGCCGGTGTCAGGCTGCGGCTGAGGCTGCGCTCCTCGAGGAGCACGCGGGGGCTGGGCGCGGCGTTGCGACGCCGGGTCTGCAGCAGCGCCAGCAGCGTACTGTTGGGCTTGAGCCTGGGACTGCTCTTGCTCAAATTGCTGTCTTTCCATTTCTTCCTGTTCTTTCTCCCGAGCTTCCTGCTCGGCCTTGCGGCGGGCCTCGCGATCTCGGCGTTGTCTCATGATATCTGTCGGCGTGCGAACACCACTCGGCGGGTGTGTTGACGTCGGCGCCGGAGCCGGGGGTGCGCGAGAGGCACCATTCTGCGCGCGGCCATTGCCTACAAGACCAGCGGGACCAGCAACACCTACCATATCTGACATAGACGCATTCACTTCGTCCCAGTCGGTCGTGAAGGAGAACGGGCGGCGGATGGCGTCTTCAAGGGCGTAGAGGATGGCCGAGGCAGTACGCGAGGAGACGGTCGTCGTTCTCCAGGGCCAATATGAGCTATTGAGCAGCTGATACGGATCGTCGATGGTCGATCCGTTGTCGTCTGTCTGTGCTTCCGAAAGGGCTGGGCGTAGGGCCGCAATTCCACTCTTCGGCGGCGGATGTACGGAGATGGGGATCGAATGCGCCGGCTGGGGGTCGGGGACAGGCAGCGGTCTACCGGTGTCAAGCGAGACGGCTCGACGATGAGGCAATTGACGGGCCTCGGGGGTGCGTCGAGCGCGGCGCAGGTAACGGGGAGCACCGGTGGCCGAGGTTGGGCGGCTCTCGACTGACTGGGAGGAAGAAGGACGGGGAGCAGCAGGCTGCTGGCGCTGCGGCGCGGTCGTAAGCGTAGATGGGTCGTAAGGGTCGTAGACTTCGTTAGACGGTCTGCGAGTGTGGTGATACACTTCTGGCAAAGGTCTGGGGAATTGCGGCGGGTGGGACAATGTGAGAGCGAGTTGCGCCGGACGTAAAGCTGGAGCTGGACCAGCTAGCTAGTGGCGGTACAAGAGACGAGCAGGGTCTCTGTGCAGCGCAAGGATGAGGTGAAATTCAGGTTGTGGTCTCCGAGACTGCGAGAGCAGATGCGTTCGAGAAACAGAGGGTTTGAGAATAGGAGTGAGGGTAGAGGCCGAGCGCTGGTGGCTGGTTAATTGGGATGGCTGGGGTTGCCGCAGCGGCTGCAGCAGCGCACCAAACGTGTCGCCCGGAGCATAGGATGCGCCAACGCTCGATGCGCGCGGCCGGTCGGAGTTGCAATCGAACACCACGAAGCAATTGAGAAACGACGGAGGGGAATTGGTCCGTGGAATGGGATTTGGGCTGGAATGGAAGGCCTCGGGCGGTTCCCGCGTGGAATGTGCCTGGCGACGTCACAGTCCAGCTCTTTCCTCTCCCACTTTTCACAGCCAATACACCACAACCGTCAAGTGCTGACCAACACAAGAACCTCGGAATATTCCGACGTCCTCGAGACAATCTACCTTGTGAAAGCTCTTGTGTGACTAACTACTGGCAAGGCCAGATCGAAATCGGGTTTTTTCGACGTCGCGCAATTCGGAGCACGACCTCAATTATTGCCTGCACCGGGCTGGATCGGTTGCACAGCGGACGATCGGACGAACAGGGCGACTGTGAGGGAGTCGAACCCAGGACGCTCTGTGTGGAATTCTTGGGCTGATCCCTCGCTATCAAGGCTCTGGCACGATCAAGGCAAGACCAGGGCGAGCTATGAGGCGAGGAGAAGGCACGAGAGGCTCTAGGGGAACCCTGTGCTAGGCCAGGGCTCTGCAACAGGAGATCTCGCAGAAACGAGGCGATCTCCATCGACTCCAGTCTGGCGCCACGGTTGGGCGAGGCTAAGGATACAACTACTGTACAGTAAGTACATGACGATGCGTTGGCGCGGGATGTCGGGCATCGAGGAGTAGATATATATCCTCATCGGGCTAGACCAGTCTATCGGCGAGAGTAGTGCTTACATGGAATGCCAGTCGTACTCATCGTTAATGGTTCTGATATCACTCATCTCATCTACATTTCACAGTCCCTGGATCTGTACCGGGTACCCTGTTTACTGCTGTCTCTGGGTCGCCCCAACAGTTCCGGCAGCTCCCATGGTTCACGTCTCTCCTGGAACGAACATCCCCACAAGAACCAGCGATGCCCCGTCCGAGCCAGCGCCGAGCTGGAATGCAATAGCCGAGCTCTGACTGGCCTGTACGATGCTAGCTCCTAGGGCTTACATTAGTAGGAAACTGGACAGCTCCGACTGACTACTGTACCTACTCGTTAGTAGCGTGGGCCGTAGCTTCTCCGCACCCCACATCTCGAGTAAACGCAGCCTCGACATCCCTCACTATGAAGGGCGAAGGGAGTCCGGCCATTGCAATCTCAAATTATTCTCGATTATGCACTGCGACTCTTTCCACATACGTACTACCAGCAGTGTAGTACTGCCGTGCCCTGCTTCCCTGGAAGCCACCACTATCACTGGTGAACACCTATCCCGCCCACCTAAGACAAAACAACGCGCGATCGTTCAGCATTCGCTCTAGACTCCCAAGCTGGAGACGGGCTGGCCATGCAAGGACCCAGGGGTTCGGAAAATATCCCAATAAGCTCAGGGGACGAGCGGTCCCGGTAGCATCGCGGACGCAGGCCCGCGAGACCCGGCGATCGAGAACAGGGCGCGAAGTCCCAATATCCAGGTAGGTTTCAAGCATGCCTTGCAGCCTGCAGCACTCGCCAGCTCTGAGATCGGATCAGGATCAGGATCATCGGAGATCGAACGGTGCGTCCCGGGGAACCTCTTCCGCGAGCCTGTACCTGGCGTCAACCCATTGACGCACACGGGAATGCATCTCCGTCGCCCTTTCCCGACATCCGATAGGTCCTCTGACTACGACGATGTTTCGAATTCCGCGAGGTGTTTCACTTCCGCTCCCCTTTCCACGTCCCTGGGTTCTGGCCGTTGACCAGTCGATGCTGGGGATAGACGCCGGAATATAGGCCGTCTTTTCCGTCCCGATCGAATGGAAAGGGATCGTCGTGGCTATCGACGGGCGATCGTTCAGCTGCTTCCGGGGACTCAGGAAGGTCTCGGGTGATCGAGTCGATCGAGGTACTACGTTGCCTGGGATATGGGGCCTTGCGAAGAAGGGCTTCGTGGGGAGATTGTGCTCTGCGAGGGTGAGCCCTTGTGCGCACTATGAGCATCTCGCACTTTTTCCAATGGTACCATACCGAGGTACGCTAGGGCAACGCACTTTTGGAAGGAACGATTCCAAATCCCATCGTCGATGCAGCACATCCCATAGACGGGCTGCGGCGACAACGGCGAGGAATGTGAGCGGACAGACGTGAGGGCTCTGCTCTGCATCCGGCTGAAGAAATAGTGGCCTCTGTGGAGGATAGAGTTGTCGATCAGGGGCTGCGCCGTAGATATATAGACGTCTGCAGTGCGGCCGGAGAGCCCGCTGTGAGACGGGATGCAGATGCAAGTCAGACTTTTCATTGGAATGTGGGGGTCAACACCGGGGAAGCAATGCTCTGGACCGGTTGCTGCAAGTGTGTACAGAACATCCTAGTGGAGGTCACAATTTGGATCAGATTCGATCTCTTGTGCAGTGTGGACTGGCTCAGGTGAAGGGTCAACTCGGCCCGCGCGAGGTCATATTCGAGTCGGACACACGCGACAGTGAGAGCGAATGGGAATCCCCGCACACGACAATTGTTGTATCGCAGATATTGATTGGGCCGAGCGTAATTCAGCTGGCAGGTGCGCCAATGATCGTGGGCAGAGGCAGTTTGCCCCCGGCGTGGCAGGGGCCAGATGGAAATGTGATGGATCAACTGTCATCCCCGGCCCTGCAAACCTTTCGCGGCAAACTTAGGATTTCCCATCCGGAAAGGCCCTGGTCCCCTCGATTGGCACACAGGGACGTGGAGAGGGTCTGAGACTGTCTACGCAATGTGGAACACCCGGGGCACAATGAGATGATGCAGAAGAGAGTGCTGTAGGCTGTCGATTGAGTTGGTGGCACGACTCGACCACGAGACAAAAAGAAACATCGGAATTGAGCCAGCCACGGCTCAAAAGCAATGAGATGACGTCGATCAGCCACCGAATACGATGGCGGCGTGGATGGATCCTACTCTACGGCGTCAAGTAGAGCGTGGTGCGCGCGGGAGAATTCAAGATGAAACGCTGTGGTGGCCGAGTGCGGCTCGAGTACACGCCGTTGCGCGGTTCCCAGCGGAATGGAGAGGAGGAATGGCTGTGGCTTGGTGTGGCGATCGCAGCTGTCTCTTCCCTCGGGTGCTGTGTAGGGCAGGTACTCAGGTATGGTGGGAGATCCGGTAGAGAGGAAAGTACTAAGAACGGACCCACTCTCTGGAACACCGTCCGGTCGACATCTCACATTCCCCCAAAGCCCAGCCGCTGCATGGACTCGACGATGCAGCGTGCAGCTCTGACGCGGTGGCAGTCTGCCACTCAAAGTCCACAGGCCACACTCAGACATGGCTATGGCAAGTTAAGACGGGTCGTACGAACAGCCCCGTGCAACCTGGTCAAGGGGCCTCAGGTCGCCAGGAACCACGCCAGCACCCGCAGAGTTTTGCCGTTCCCTGGACTGTGGGGGAATAGATTGAAGGAGAAAGCTACGGGAGATGGTGTCTAAGGGCACTGAGCAAAAAGACGACGCGAAAAAGTACGGTGCAAAAAATATGCAGAGCCCTACGGATGCTTGTTCCGCCGCCCTTGCTCGCTGTCCTTGCTGCAGCTCCCATCCCTACAGCGGAAGGGGACGTCATGTAAGGTCAGATCGTCTGTGCTCCTGGGTTCTTTTGTTTACCTGCATTGGTATGCATCTGCTGCTCTCCCCCGGCCACCCTGGTCCGAGGGCCTATTTTCGGGGACGTCTATAAACATATCCCCTTCGCCCCCCATTCCACAAACCCCCCTGACTCTGTCCATAACCATTGCGTTGTCCTGGTTGCCCATCTATCTCTTTCTCTTTCATGTCCTATTGTCCCTGGGACCCCGCGTCCAGCTCCATTCTGTCCACCGTGCTTTGAATCCACAGTCCATGGCTCTCGGAGATCCTTACTGTCCCGGCGAGTTGGACGCGTTGCATGAAGACCGGAACAGATCAGAAACCACCATCTGCTTGCCTTCGCCTTCCCCGGTGAAGCGAGCTTCCTCCTACTATTCGCAGGCGGGTCCCAAGGTACAGGAAGAATCCAACCAAGACCCTTTCTATCTCGAACAGTCGCTGGCCGCGACGCCGCCTTGGACGGACTCGTATACCCCGGATATTCGCGATGAGAGATACAGTGAAGACCACAGCCAATACTATACACTGTCCTTGACACATGAGAAACACCACAAGCACTCTCGCCAGGGGTCTTTGCAATACAACGGGCCCGATCGATCCACACTCGCCCAGCTGGAATTGGAAAACAGCCTGAGTTTCCGCAGCTATTCCTCCTCCACCGACGAAAGGAGACCAGCGCATGGCAGTCAGGGCTCATTTAGTTCGGTACAGACAGACGCTACCGTCCCAGACTTGACGCCCAGTTCTTCCTTCTCCTCGACCTACTCCTCTCCTGCTTGCCCGGAAGCCGTTCTTAAGGCAACCGAGAAGCTCTACCACCACGCCCAGCAGGCTCACGACGAGCCTCGACGCGCCTTCTATCTTCCTGCATCAACCCCTCCCAAATACTCCCTTCCACCTCCACCTCCCGTGCCTTCACTCCCCAAGGCCCTCACCCGACCCACTACACCCGTTGCCGACCCCGCCACTTCCACAATGAAGTACGAGGCATCAAGTATGTCTTCCTCCTCGCGCAGGAGTCGAAGAAAGCAACCTCCTACATTGCCCAACCTGTCTCGCGGCACAAGCGCCCACAGCTATCGGAGGAAACAGTCTAGCCCTGGTACGCGTCCTCCACTGGACCCGTCCATGATCTCGCCCCCGAGCTTGATCAACCCGGTGACCATGGAGCCGCATGCCACCCACTTCGATCAGGCTCTGTTCATCCCTGCCAATGATGGCGCCAGTCCCATCCCGAGTCCTGTTGCCAGCTCCCCTCCCATCTCTCGCCAATGGACTGCCACATCCATGGAGCGCCCCTCCACATCCACAATGGATGCTTACATGGGTGAACAATCTGTGTGGGAGTCGGACTCTGACAACGAGTCCATCGGTCACAAGTCGCTTTCACGCAAGCCCATTGACACCCTGCGAAAGGTTCGCAGCCGAGCCAAGCTTCGCGGTGCCAAGTCCCAACCGAAGCTTCACCAGGCTATGCTGGATGACCAGATGCCAGAGAAATTCCCTACTTTGCCAGATGATGTTGTCGGAATGCCCGTTATTGACCCGTCCCGCGGCGTTAGTCTCGACCGACCTAGCACCAGCAGGCCTAGCAATATCCGAGATGGATTTAAGCCAAACCACCCTCTTCAAACTCTCCGTCTCGTGGCACCTTCCACTACCTCTTTGATGAAGCCACTTTCTAGCCGCTCAAGAAACAACAGCAGCATCCAGGAGTCAGACGTTGAACGCGCCGCGGCAGCGGCCAACCACGCGCAACAACGTCGGAAACAATCTGACACTCCCGAATACAACTCGGACAAGGAGCAGCTCACCTCCATGTGTTACGAACAACACTCGCCAGTTCCATTCCCGGACCCTGGCGTTGACAACCGCCCCTTTTTGAAGAAAGTCATTGACTCTCTTCGGTCTCTGAGCTGTCACAAGTCCACAAAATCCAATGTTACAACAATCTGATACCCTCATTGCTAAGGCGTTCGGGACGAATACGGCGTTAAATTTTGCTTTACGAAATCATCACCACGGCCTTTTCATTATGAAATCAATCACTGCCATGTTTCCTTATTGTCAAGTGTCTATGTGCACATTACACTCTTTACGCTTGATGTTTGGGGTCCACCCCACATGAACCTAATGATTGCGGAATTCACTCTCCGCAGACGTCCGATTCGACAACGACACGGACCAAAAGAGCCTTCCAGTTGCTCATGATTCTCACAACCGTCCCGGTTCAATTTTCTTTTGAGGTATAAACCTCCGATGATCTCTATGCTGTTATGTGTTATTGCGCCTTGTCGCTGCACTTCAATGTCCTTTCAATGATTGATTCCATCACGGCTGTCTCGACTGAAGCTATTTCCTTTTTCTATCTTGTCAACCATCTCGTCTTTTCTGTCTGATCTACCATAATGATATGATAAGGAATAAGGTGTGCGATTTGTTTCTCTACCGGGGTCTCTGACCCAAGACTGCATTACCTTCGGCGTCAAAAAGCATCTGAAATGAACAATGAACAATGAAACATTACGAACTGAGACAAAAATGCAATTGAATTAGATTATTGTTTCCACAATTCACCTTTACACATGTAGACTCCGTTGTCAAGGTGACCTCTGGAATGCTGGAGTAGAACCCGCCAAGTATGCTTATGACGACAAAATCGGCCACCGGAATTCAACAATGGAACAAGGCGGAGCCATAGTTTGGAAAGCCCGGTGGTCTGTCGAACCCAATTCCTAAGGCAAGTATGCACGGGTCACTATTCTATCCTACCCTTCTGTCTCGTTACTACCTTAGGGTACTCTGCAGACGAAATAGAAAAAACAAAGGGGCTCATATAAATTCTCAATGCAATTATAATGCAGTGCACTATTTCGATTATCGGTGTATGTCTGAGTACCGCTGTCCTGCCTCAAAAACCTTCTGGGATTTGCTTTGACTAAAGTCGGATCTAGACAGGTGAGCCCGTTCATGCGGCCTGCAGTGTGCAAAAAGTACGAAGCTCGCAGCTACCCTAGCTCCAGATCACGTATCATGTATCATGCGCAAGCAGGGATATGAACCTTGGTATTGGGACCCCCGTTTCTGCATTGATGATCGCAGTCGAGTACTTTTTACTCCGAGACTTTTGTATGTACAGGAGCAGACCCGCTGGCCATTGACGCTTGTTACAAACTCAATTTGTCGTGTGCTGTCGCTGCCAGAGGAAGGCTTTTTCATGACGGGTTTGCGCTTGTGCGCGTGTGGGTTCGGGCTGGGATACGCAGGGTGATATGTCTTTTGTTGGCATCAGCCTCGTACTTCCGTTGGTGGAATAGGTGGAAGGGGTGGTTGGTTGAAATGGTTTTCCCCACACAGCAGGCCTTCGTTAATGAGCATTGTGTTCAGGACAAGGGCAAAATGGGATGAACGGTGGATCTCAAAGCACTCCTACAGAAGGAGACGATGCTTACGCTTTGCCCGATTCGAGCGATCGCCCGCCGCCTTAACATTGACCCACTAAGATTAAAGCAGCATCCATTCAAAGTACGAGAACTACACGTCGCTTCCACTTCCACCCCTTGCATGCCCCTCAACGCCTCGGCCTGAACATTTCCATTCAGACTTGCCTCGGCCCAAATCGCCCGGCGGAACGAGCACTACGCACACTGGAGCTGTCGATAATGCGAGCAGCATATTTAACATCTCCCTCCCCGATCCACGACAAGGTATCCTTGACTTGATGTGCTTCATGACGGGTGCCTGGTGTATATCAGATTCCCACTGAGCAGGCAACCACGGGAAAGGAACAAGAATATTCAAAGCCTAACGCGAAACAAACCACTAGCATCTGTACAGCGATCGCAAATAAAGTCCTCGGAACTCCCGACCCACCAGCCATCAATGGGATAGGCAAGGCACACCAGTCCCGCCGGCTGCGGGCTCGACTTCCGCGAGACCCGACCAGCTGGTGGGTTTCAGACCTATCGTAGTTGGCTGTGGAGTTTGTCCATCCGCTCCCGCGATCGGGCTGGCCTGTCGATTGCTGAAGATCACACCCAGAGCCCCGACTCGAGTCCAAAGCAAACACGCTATTGACCTACGTTAGTGGGCCCGTCAAAAGTACAAATAGAAAGTTGACAGCGCAAATCTGACATCGTCCAGACGCGTTGATTCTGACATGGATACCCATAAATCAAATGCTTGCACTTTGCACACACTCTTTCGAATTTGTTTACTTTGTTTACCCAGGGTGGAACTCCTGCACTGCAGCTGAAGTAAATCGGAAAACAACCCCTACAGAGAAGGAAGGGCGTCGTGTCTATGTCTCGGAGAAGAAGAACCATAAAAGTTCCCTTCCTAGCATCATTTCGCACCGGACCGACTTCCGCCCCGCCTGCGTGGTCCTTGCAGCAACCCTGCACCCACCGATCCAGGTGTACGGGTCTCACTCTCCCAGACAGATCCAGGGAGTGAGAATCGTGCAGGATGGAACGGGCAGCGGGGACGGGCAGCGGGGCCGCGCAGGGACGCATGGCCCGCTCTGCTGCAGCGTGCGTCGTTGTTTCTTTTTCCCCTGGGCGACGGGGTCGTTTTGAGTCAGTGGCGTAAACATAGGATAGTCGGAGGTCGGCGATGACCCTTTGGGGACTTTCTCTGCTTCTGCCGAAAGCTTCTAAGTTTCTTTGGCTGTGCTTGTTGGTATTCCATTGTCTCCAGTTCTTCTTGATTATCCCTCAACGTTCACTGATACAGTGAATCGTTCCTTCCATGTGCGATTAGAAGCAGAACCAGATGGCACAAGAACCGCTCTGGGAATTGTGGCCAAGCTGAATCCTTCGTCTTGATGATTTAGAAAGAGCCAACTCCGCTCAATTGGAGGCCCTAACACGGAAAAGGGATGTCGGCATATTTGACGCCTCCCCGGGCTTCCAGCATGGAGGGCCCGGATTCCAGCACACATGACCAAACACTCGTGATTGTGTTTGGCGATTCAAAGGGACATGTGTCCGGCATCGTTAAGCTATACCAAAGAGATCGAAATGGCATGCCTAAGTTCATGCAAATTTGTCGTTGGTCTTGTGCGTGGGCTCAGACCATCTCAAAGTTGTTGGTTGTCTCGACACTGAAGAGGAGCCACTGCGAGCCTGATAGTAGTCAACACCACAGTGTTGGATTAACTGTCATCCGGCAAGCAAACAAAAGAAGCTTCATTGCAATAAGGATGAAGCTCATGCCTTTTGGTTCTCAAGGGTTTACGAAGCGCCTGCTTTCATACCTGTCTTGGTATGAGAGTGGAATGGAACAGTGGTGCTGTGAAATGGACGGGATCTTCAAACGAAAATCCCCGAGGGTGGAGTGGAATGAGGATACCGTGAAGGATCTGGAGATCGAGTTTGCTCCCGTGTCCGACAATACTAGCGAGTTCACACGAACTGAGCTCCGCAGCAAGATCCCCCAGAGATACTTTCATGTGAAGCTTACATTCCGGTGGAACGGTGAGGAGTCCCAGTACCTTCGCGTCGATGACGGTGTGGTACCCTACGTTCACCCTCCTCCCCCTCAGAAGGGTGGTCGTACTGGGTCCCAGAATTTATCCCGCTACGGCAGTCAGTATGTATACGCATCGCTTTCTCGCGTGCTCGACCACATTGTCAACGAGGATGCGGCTCGCGGATACAGTGTCTTCCCTGGAGAACACAGGATGCCCAGTATAGAGGATTAGGCCGTAGGGCAAAGAAAGTGCATAGTACGAGTGACGACAAGCCGTGCAGAACGGAATGGGCCAAAAGCAAGCCAACAGAAGAGGCTGAACTCCCGGTTAGTTCAGACATTTCGCGAGAAGTTTAGTATTCGACAAATGTGTCAACTTTCTTCAAGCCGACCGATGTTAGAAAAGATGCATGGTCTCGTCATATACTACTACGAGTGGAATCGCTAGAAGGAACTCACTACCAGCTAGTGACTACGAAATGGCTTCTCTCTCGAAGCATTCAATGATCTCTTTAATAGCGAAGCAAACTGAGTCTCCTGAGTCATCTGGCACTCTTGCTTCTTGACTACTTGAGACATCCCTGGGCTCCATAATTGTGGCTGACTACAGTCTGCCAAACGATAGCGCATAAGTCCACCTGCATATACCTCGACGTCAAAACAGGATCAAGCGAAACAAGCAAAACAGAAAGAAGCCGAAGACGAAGGTGTTTACCTCTTTTCCAAGCGCTTCGAAGCATAAGGGCTCTGGTGACTGCAATGGACTTGTACAAATGGATGGGAAAAGCACTGCTCATTGGCAGCGAGCCAATAATACAGGTTGCTGCCTCTCTCCGCGATCAATTACTTGACTGTGATTCTGCCTAGGAAAACTAAGTGTCCCGATCCTTCCTGGATGCCAAGCGATAACGCTGGCCAACCAGTCGGATCAAAGTCGTCGGTTGCGGTTGACTTTATTAGGAAGACCACACCGCAATCGAACAGGGACATGAATCTATCCTGTTCGGAGTGGACATATGGCACGGTACACGTTTGTGATCCAAACGGACCACGAATTGGGAAGATGTCCTAGATTTCTACGAGATGTGGTCACATGAAATTTTGGGTGGCCAACAGGGTTCTACACAGATAACAGTCAACGCTTCATTGCGTTCATTGCGTCTGAACGTCACTTCCAAGTAGTAGAGCTCGGCACATGGATTGGCCAACCCGCCAGCGAACTGCCCCATGATGCTCCGGACTCGTCGAACGGATCGTTCAGTTCGTGGTCAAGGTGATTCAAACATTAAACATTATGAGGTAGACAACTTGAGCATCGTTACGGATTGGCACAAGTACGCCACACTGGCGTTTGAAGCAGTAAATGCACGACCGATGGACCCATATGGAGTTTCTTCCTATCAATGATGCAACAGTTATGGTGTCACGGGAAGTTCTTGTATTTTCTCCAGCATTAGGTGAGGGCCATATCACGGAACCTGCTGCTGCGATGGCGCTGGACGTGGCCTAAGGTACATTCGTATGTTATCTATCACCTACCGTCCCACTTCTTAAATGCGATCGCTTTACTACCTCCAGAACTCTCGTTAATCCTTGTCTTCATTTCTGAAATCTCCACCTTATTTCTCTCTTACGGACACTCTTCGTTTGGTATCGCTCATCAACACTGACGCTCTGATGGCGATCTGCGGGCCGATCCACTTGCTGCCTGCGGAACTCTAAATTTGCTTAATTTTCTAGAAGTGGTGAATTAATACAATGGGCCACACTGATCCTGGTCGCAATTGCCTTCTTTTTTCTTAAATCAAAGATAGACGCCTATACAAATACCTTTTGGATTAGTATTGTTATCTACCTTGTGAAGGTTGTGATGTGCCCCCGTGGCCTCTGGCCCCCAACTGGCTCGACTTCCGCCCAGCGGCACGACATTCTCCCGATGACGACCTTGAAACTCAACCTCGCCTCACCCTCAACGACACACTCACCCAACCAACAGCCCACAAACACAAAACAAATTCCAGGATATTAAACCTGAACCTCACATCCACCATTCATTATCCAACCACATCTACAACCAAGGCTCAACATGTCCAAACGAGCCCTCCGCATCGCGCGGAACATCGCCATCCCAACCCTCGCAGCAACCTACGCAACCCACCTGGGCCTAAAGCACCTGGAAGAAAAATACCCAGCACTTCCGCCCGCAGCAGCAGGAAGCAAAGCCCTCAGCACGCCAAGTCTTCCAAGCCAACGCTGCGCCTACACAGACATCTACTCCGCGCGGATCCCACTCGCCGCACTATCATCACGAATCCCAGAACACGCGCGGTGCAGACGATACGCACTAGACGAAGCATGGGCGCAAGCGCTGCTCTCATCAAAAGTCCTCCGAAGCGAAGCTTCACTTTACGGACTCTTCACGAAAGGCTCATACGAGCCCGGCGATGTAGGCGCGAATGGATTCGGTATCCACTGGAAGACGGGTGCGCGGCGGAAATTGCTAAATGGACTCTTTAGTGTTGAGGCTGAACCGGCGCAGAACGAGGGGTATGGGTTACTTATTTCTTGGAGTATGGCTGATGCACCCCGGGTTTTCTTTGAGAGGATTGCTCGCTGGGGTTATCCTTGGCGGCTTATGTCTGGTGGACGGCATGAGATGAGCGTTTCCGAGCCGTTTGAGGTTAAGGGGGAGGGGAGGTTTGTTGAGGTTCGTTTTTCGGCGGCGCATGATTATGAGGTTGTGCCTGGTGAGGGGAATAATCAGAAGATTCTTCCGGAGTGGAGTAATCGGTTGCATCGCGGGTTTGCGAGGTTTATTCTTGATTGTGCTGTGAGGGAGGTGGTTAGGGAATTTGAAGGGCCCCAATGATCTCGGTTTGTGCTTGAGTGGCCAGGTCTCCATGGTTTAGCGTTGCATTATCAGTTCATGTTGGTACTCAAAGTACCCTACCCGATATCCACATTGTACATACAGGTTTTCTCCTCATATACATCGTAACTCAACATCCCGACCCTATTGTTCCTAAAACAGCTCAAACACAGCTCGTCCCCGCCTCAACAACACTCCACCCAACCCACCCCGCATACGGATAACAAACCTCCCATCCATTCGTGATACTATCAATGAAGCTCTCAGGCGCACAATCAGTAGAACTAAACATGCAAAAGTCCTTCGCATCCTCTTCAACCGTCTTGAAAGAAAGACTCTTCGGCGTGACGCTGTCTTCGGTATCAGTGGTCGGGTCAAAGGCCGTGCATTCGCGCCCGTATCGTCCGGAGCGAGTCCAGATGCTGATGTTCACGTTTGATACTTCGGGGTTGCAGACTGGTTGGGCTTCACTGAAGAGGCGGAGTTGCCACTATTAATCCCGAGGTAATTCAAGTTAGAACGAGACAAAACGAGACGATTTGAGGGTGGACGTACGCTTGTGTATGCCTGGATGGCTGCTGTTCCTCGTTCGACGATGTTCGATCCAGGTAGAGCCGAAGCAGCTGTGATCAGCGTCGCGATCGCGACGGAGGAAGAGGTAGGAAAAAGCATTATCGAGATTAAAGTTATAGTGATTGACGCTAGGAAGAAGCGATTGCTAAGAAAGCAGATGTCCTAGGGAAACTCGAATAAGCAAAAAGCTGAAAGCCCAAAATCCACGATCAAACAAAGATGGCCCCATCTTTATACCCCAATCCGACAAACCAAATTAGCGCCGAAAGCCACCATCTAGACCAGCCGACTCTCGATCCGCTTGACCACGAAAAGAAATACCTGTCAAATCGCGTTCAGCTGGTCCTGGCAAAATCTGCAGCTAGGCTGAGGGGTGTTCTTGGCAACAGGGATGGGTGGCAATTGGGGGCTGTCATTGGTCTGCTATAGGGTATGTTTCATGCAGACAAGAGATTTTGGCGGGACGGGCCTTTGATTCATCTGATCGTGATAACGAAAGAGCATCAGGTTGGTTGGGGTGACTCGGGGTCGGATACACTGGTAGGTACACGAGGGGAAGTGGAAAGGAGAGGGCTAGAGGCGGCGGGGCTGCGGTGGGATTCAGGAACATGGCGAATGGGCGAATTGGGCACTGCAGACACGAGCTGATTTCTGCAGGGTTTTTCAGGGGTTTAACCGCTGAGGTACCCATACTACATACTACTAAGCTGTATGTATAGTGCTGCTTGTAGCGTGGTAGGTGCTGGATGCGCGCAAGACGTGCTCCATATACGGAGATGGAGGGCGCAGTACAGGGGTATTGTTCAATTAAATCTTTTCAATCTATCGATGGATATGCCTTCGAAGGGGAAAAAGGAGCCACATGTTCTCATACCCACTACTCCCGCGTACCAGGCATCAGCCGCCACGCCCGGAGAGGCAGGTTCTGGAGCTTGGTGGCGGCCGGCTTGATGAACATCACGAAGGTGACGATGCCGATCAGCACACACAAAATATTGGTGATGTAATAGCCATCACGGCCGACTTCGCAGGTACCACCGCCGTTGACACAGCGGTTCTTCTCCGGCTCCAGAGCGCAGGAGAAAGGAGATGTGACGAGGGCGTCTTTTAGCTTGTCGGCGGGTGGGGGGAGTGCTGGGTGGGAGGCAGGTGGCCTCGGTGAAGAGGTCGACCAGTTTGAGGATGAAGAAGCGGGGGAAGGTACCACCCAGATTGGAGACGCTGAAAGTAAATGAGTACGAGGTCATGCGGATGAAAGAATAAACACTTACGTTGCGAGGAGCGTCATGTAGGTTCCGCCAATCGCGGGGTCTGCAATGCGAGCGTGGAAGGCCGAGATGGCCACGAACATGACCGTGTTCATGAAGGTCGAGATCACATGCTCGAAGATGACGGTCATGAGGTACCAGAAAGGAACGTCCGGGCCACTGGGATAGATCATCACGGTGAATTGGGCGATGACGGCCGCAGCCAGTCGGCCGACAAAGGCCCATCCCCAGAGTCGCATGGCACCGTACTCGGTGGACCATTTGCCGGCGTAGTAACCAAGCATAATTTCAAAGGGGAAGTCAATCAACACGACCAATGCCATGTTGTCCTGGCCAAAGCCCTTGTCGAGCAATTTGAGGCTGGTTACGCCGTCATTGGCCTGGAAGCCGATCTTGGCAATGAGGTGGATGATGATTATGGTCTGAATGTTCTTAAGCTTCAGCACACTCCACATGCTCTTATACACGTCGGTGATGCTGTCACGCTCCTTGGTACGGTCTTCCTTCTTGAGCAGAGCCAGACACAGGGTCACGATCAGATAGCACCAGCCCCAGAAGGTCAAGTATCCGCCCAAAGAGAGCAGTCCTTCGTCGGAAGGAACAGCTCGGAACCACCGATTGGCAAAGTCCTTCGAGTTGAAGGCCAAGAAAACGGTGTAGGACAGGAAATGGCCGGCTGTGAGACCAACCGTCTGCGCGGTCGAGGCGTAGGAGATGTTCGGCGGAGACATCAAAGTGATAGCCCACCCGTCTACAGCAATGTCTTGAGTAGCACAGAAGAAGACAAGCATAAACCACCAGTAGGTGAAATTCCACACTCCCGCGCCACCATTGGCGCCGGCCTCGTCCATCATGCTTCCAATATGGCGGCCCAAGTAGATCATTGCGAGACCGGCAATCACTTGGACGGGAGTAATCCAGCTCTTACGTCGGCCAAATGTCGGACTCCAGACAGCATCGACGATGGGGCTCCAGAAGAGCTTCAGGGAGTAAGGGTATGAGGCGAGAGAGAAGACGCCAATCTGGCCGTAGGAAAGGTATGGTTTCAGCAAAAAAGGCACGGAGCCGGTGGCCAGGCCCATGGGCACACCCTGCAGGAAGTATAGGACGCAGAGCAAGAGGAAGTTCCGCTTATCGCTCGGAGGCAAATTGTGGAAGCTGGTGGTGGTCATGACGGGGGTTTGAGGGACAGGGATAACGGGTTCATTATCGAGAGAGAAGCTGGGGCTGGCGATGGCCCGAGCGGTTCGTTCGCTTGAGGATTCGGTGGAGGGAGTGTCGCGCTTGCGCATTTCGATGTTGGTGTTCATCTTGCCGTTCGCATGGCCGTTCTGACCGGTTGCTACTTTCAAGCTCGGTTTGGAGCGGCGTTTGGAGAGTGTGGCGTTCTTGCGTGTCATTGATTATCCGTCGCGAGGATCTAGGACGGCGGGGGCCGTTGCGAGTGTTGATGAATAGGGAGAGGACGAGAGTTGGGCAAAGTTGGGTTCGTGGGAGGGAATGGAGGTTCACGCGGTGCGGTGGTAGGTCAAGTTGATAATCGAGGGAGGGAACGGGCGGAGCTCGTAGGCTGTGCCGTAGGGTACCGCGTGGGTTGGGCGCGTGTTAAGCGATCGGGAGAAGATGAACGAGTGGACAATGCATGGAGGCGTGGTTGAGAGCCCAAGCATGAGGGAGGAAGATAGCAACCTTGGACCGGCGAAATGTGGAGAGGCCAGCTTGCCTCTTGGCCAAGCCAAACCGGGAAGGGCACAGCGCCTGGGGCCGCGCCCCAGAATTCGTCGCTCAGGGTTTGCTCGCGGTGGAGTCTTTAGCAGTACCTTTGTGGGGAGGCGAGGTTTTGGTACAGTCCATGTGAGCGATGAGATCAGCCTGGGCTGCAGTTGCTTGTGTCACAGCCGGGTTGTTGGTGCTTGGTGATTGGAGTCGGTCGACATGGATATGGCTCAACAGATTCTGCGGAGACGTCTTGGTATCTACTGTCGTTCCACGAGCCATTCGTTTTCAGGGTTTGATCTTGTATAGATATGGTCTCATTTTTGAAAATTGCGTTAATCTATACCCGTAGTTGCAATATCAGATGAAAGTCATAGTGTACATGACGGATTCCATAACTTGTAGGATGATTAGTGTGTGTGCGCATGGATCACCGTTCTCCTGGGGATCCACCCAACGCGCAGAACAAGCTAAGCATTGAGTCAGGGTTTCGAATGATCATCGCGACTGTGCCTGATTAGGGTCGAGTGCATGTCCAGGGTCGAGCGCATGCCCGAGCCCGAATGAGTCTTGATATTGCGGTATACTTCGGGCGAGGCGGAGTGACCATTAGACCACATTTGTAAGTCGCCAATAACAGACTCGAATAATTTTCTGTCGCATACTTTCAATTACCCAAAATTTTATCGGCTGTCTATTCAATATGCCGTTCTAAACTCGATTCGACAGGCAAAGACCATGCATGCATGATGGCAGGTCACGTGCATGTAAACAAACCGCGGATTTGCGCCACGCGGGACACTCCAACCGTCGCAAACCACAACGCTACGATCTGGAGACATCTTTGTCTCTGCAACACACATCCAAACAAGGGTATCATCTACCAGAGCAAGATGAACCAAAGCACACGCCGCCCCGGCGAACCCCCAGACCCGCAAGAACAAGAGCTGGATGAAGAGATCCGCGCCCTCCGCGCGGAGAGTAAGTCACCCAACCTGAAACGTAACCCCAAAAAGACCAGAACCTTACAATACAAACCTACAGTTCAAACCCACAAGAACCGCAAAAGAATTCTAAGCACCGCCCTCCTCTCAACACCAACAATCCAATCTCACCTCCAAAAACCGACCACCCTCCGCACCCTAAAAGAAGACCTCTCCCCACTAGCCACGGCAGCAGGAAACCACTCAGTAACAAACCACCACCGCATCGCCTTCGGTGCAACCGCCTTCCCCTTCAAAGACCCCTCGCCCTCCGCGCCCGACGAGAATCTCCTCGGCGTGCGGATCGACGTCTGCGCCCGAAACGGCCGCTTCGCGAAGCCGTACTACGTCCTCCTGAAGCGGGAGCGTGCGCACGGAGAGAAGGGGAAGAGGTTTAGGGTGTATCGTCATACAATTCCTACGTTTATTTCAGTGGGCAGGTTGGAGGGGGTATATTTGTCATTTCCTTCGAGCGAGGGGGAATCTGATGAGGAGGAGGGGCCGTTGAAGGTGTTAAAGGCTGGTGCTAGGAAGCAGGATTTACGCGGTTTTGTGCGCGAGCTTAGGAGGGAAGTTGTGGCGTGGCATGTTAGGACTGATGCGGTTGAGTCTTTGCGTGAGAAGTTGGGGCTTGGTATGGAGGATGGGGAGTCTGCTCAGTCCCCGGTGAATAGTCTCGGGATTGTTTCGCTGGAGGCGACTGCGATTGAAGCGCGGTATGTGCGCATGGAATACGAAGATGGTCGTGTTGGGCGGTTTAAGCTGTCTAATTCTGGGATTGTGGAAAGGGCGATTTTTATGAATGATCATGGGCGGGATAAGAAGGTTGAGAATGCGATGGTTGGCCAGGGTGGGCGCGTTGAGACACTTTTCGATCGGTTGAAGAGTGTGTCGACTTAGCTGCGCCAGTGTGTGGCGAGAGGAGAAAGATGCGATATTAATTCGAGTTTATGATACCCGGCAGTTAGGCGCAATTGCAATTGCATTGAACGATACTCAGATTTGAATCACTTCTATTGAACCGTGGTACCCCAGAAAGAAATGCTATGCACATCAAAAGACCGCCGCAATGCAATTGTATAGACAAAATCCACGCCACTGCACGGCAATATTGACTAAAAGGGTGATTACAAGAAAGGTAGGGACATGAAATGGAATAGAAAGACGAACATGTGCATCTGAACACAAGGGTCACGTGTGAGAACAAAGGTTCATGGAAACGCATTAGTGAGGGGTGTGGGTATCAAGGCAGGCTGATGAATGTACATTACCAGCCCGCCAAATTAGAGGATAGATGTGGTGGGACATGAGTTACTTCTGCCCAATGGTAACAGGAGAACCCTCCGAAACACAGATGGCCGAATCCCGAGTTTCGGGCTCCGCGACGGTGAACGGGATCGGTGGCAGGGGACCGTATAATTGGCCGTTTTTCTGTTCGAGTTGGCAGCGCAGAATCGCCTCCTCCAGGTGCCAGCGGTGTCGGAGTTCATTCTTCTTCGCATCGAGTGCCTGGATTACAGACGTTTCTTCATTGCGGTGCTCGATTTGCAGACCCTTGACGCTCTTGATATTCTGCTCGCAGAGAGTATCAAGCTCATTCCCCATCCGCTCCATTGCTTCTTGCAGTTTCAGTTCCTGGCGATCGCGCAGGACTTTGATGCGGGCTTCGTGGAGGGCATCCATGGACTCGTGCAGATGATACTGTTGCTCCAGCTGCTCTTTCTGCTGCTGCGTGAAACGACGAGTGGGCGGGGTACCATCGGACCCGGAGAAGGATTCGGAGGATTGTTGTGCAGTGGTCGCAGGTGAAGAGGGTGGACTGGCGTTGCGGAAGTAGCCTTCCATGTGCTTGATTCGCGTTCGCGAGTTCAGTTTCGCTCGCTCGAATTCGCGCTGCTGTTCCACCTCCACTGCGAGTTGCCGCTCCTCGAGCCGAATGGCGGCGGCTGTATTCTATTCCGACGGATTAGCCTCGTTTGAGATTTGGAGCGCCGACTCCAATCTTACCTGCTCACGCTTTTCCTCCTCCTTGCGCTGGTTCTCGGCCTGACGCTCGGTGATGGCGGTTTGATGTCGGCGACGAACGAGACTCAGGGCCGCGTCTTGAAATGCCATGTGCCGGTTTTTCTCCATGCGATGACGCTCGAGCATCTCGGCCAGCTCGGGATCATCCAGACTTCTTTGCAGCGATTCCTTGTCGAAAAGAGGAATTTCTACTTTGCTGAGCGACTCGCTTGTCGCGGGGCGGGCCAGTACATCGTTGCTGATGGGCGGTTCTTGTTTTCGCTCTAGGTAAACATGATCGACGCCGGTTTCGCCTTTAGAAACGAGGATTTGCGAATAGGGCGGCAGCATAGCACTGGAGGGTCTCTTCTTGCGGAAATGAATTCGTCCAATGGCGTTTTTCAGGCTGCTGCGTCGCTTCTCCTTCTTATCCGCCGACGCAATGCTGAGCATTGACATGCGATTCGAGGGCACGGACAGCCCGTCCACATTATGTGCATAGGCGCCGGGCAGTGTCCGACTCTCGCTGGAGCAGTAGGAGGTTGGACGAGTTGACAGGGAGGCGAGAGATCGGGTACTGCCAGGTTTTGCGCGCTCGGAGGCAATTGTGATTTCGGACGGCGAGGAAACGACCTGATCGAGCGGCGACGGGGAGGAAGGTTCATAGGAGGGCGTGACAGAGCCGTCGGCGAGGGAGTTCTGATCGGTCGAGGAACCGGATGAAAGCACGGGAGACGACAGGTCGACCAAGCCCGATGCGATGGACGCAGCCAGCGGCGCGGAGGCCTCGATATCCGGGACCTTCAGACCGAGGGTGCGCGCTTCGTCGGAAAGCTGTTGCGCCCGCGCTTGTTCTGCTTCCGCCGAGTCGAGGCAGAGGACCTCGGTCCGGTACCGTTGCTCGTCGAGGACGGGCTCGGCGGTGGCCATGGCCGATGGTGGTTCTGGGATTTATGTACAAGAGGATGGCGCCTAGCCAGCGGGCGCGCATGGGCTGGAGGGGTTGGGCGAGGATGCGCAGCGCGCGCGGGTTGGCGAGATCACGAAAGGAATGGACTCGTCCACAGTACGGCGAGCACGGTGGACGAGGAGGCGCACAAAGACAGCATCCGCCGGTGAGGGTGGAAGTGGGAAGTGGTGGGAGAGGGTGAATGTGATGGCAGGTGAATTAAGCGTCTTCAGGTTCAGACGAGGGCTCGAGCCACGGGGGAGAAAACCTGTTGTCAAGTGATTGACATGTCTCCTTTTCGGTGTTTATTTAGGAAATCTTGGTCGCTGCACTCCACGGGTTCCTAATTTCTTTGACGGGGTTTGATGAAACAAGACCCACGGGGCGACCCTGATGCAATCCGGGAATGAGACTCGCGATGATAGTCGGCATCCCAGGAGCGGAGCCGGAATGCCGTGTACGCCTAGCAGGGACTACTAGTACCTAAGGTTGGTCCTTGGGTGAATACCTATGTACAAAGTACACTGTCTATGTATATGTACCTGGGTGAATATGATGTAGGGTTAGGGTTGTCCAGCGGGCCCTGTGGCGAGCCATGGGTTTCGGATGGGGCAGTTCAGGTACACGCGGCGCTGGGTACTATTACCCCTTTGGGCACAGGCAGGTCATCCGCTGATAGGAGAAATTTCAGATGGGATGAATCGATATCAGATGAACTAGTATAGCATGAACGCAAGACATTCTATTCGTTCAGCATATCAACCGCCAGCCCGTACGCTCGCTCCGTCGCCTGCCGCTGCTCGGGCTTGGCCCGCGTGAGCTTGTCCCACCCGTGGTTGCACCACTCCATGCGTTCACTGACCACATGCCAGCCCTCGAGCTGCTGGAGCTTCGCCGCCAGCTCCTCCGCCTCGTGGGCCAAAGTGTCGTGGCCGGCCGTGATCATCAGCAGGCGGCGCGGGAGCCGCTCCAGCGGCGCAAAGCGGGGGGAGATGCGCGGGTCTCGCTTGTCCATTTCGTTCTGCACGTAGCATCGATTGAACAGGCGTGCCAGCGGGGCCGGAATGGGCATGCCACCCGGGTTCGGGGCCGTCTTGGAGTTGGCAGGGCTGCTCAGGTCCAAGGCGGGATAGAAGGCGAGCAAGGAGCGGAAAGTGCCCGGGGGAACAGAATAGCCGAGGCTGCCAGGGACAGGTTCCCACCGGCGCTGAAGCCGCCGATGGCGAAGTGCGAGGCATCGTATTCGTCTGGACGGCTCAGGACGTATTTCACGGCATCTTCGACGTCGTTGAGGGCGGCTGGAAATGGGTTCTCTGGCGCCAGGCGGTAGGAGCAGTCCACCACCGTATATTTGGTCTCGCGCCTCAGGCGCTGACAGTATTTCACATCGCTGCCGTGATGCGGGAAGATGAATCCACTGCCGTGAAAGTTGAGAAGAACTGGCTTGGGGCCGGTGCCGGCGGATGCAGTGGCTGAGCGGTAGACATGAGCCTTGATGGTCCGTCCAGCGTCGCGGGATGGAATTTGGAGCACTTCATCGGGGGTGGGCGATGGCCGGCCCACAAAGAAACCCAGGACGTCGGCCAGGAATCGGATGATCACCACCACGGTTTTGTAGTAGCAGTAAGTCAATCCTTGCATTATGGAGGAATGAGTATGTGGAAATTGAGGGTTGGAGTTGGGCCGAGGCTGCTGGTTTGGGGTTTGGGTCCGGATCACGCTAGTATAGATCGATTGAACCCACCACCCCGCGCCAACTTAACCTTACTTAAGCTATCTACAGGCAGAAACCATGTGCTGGATATTCTCCATTCCTCAGTACCATAATATACCCCTCCAGTGGTCAACTTCTACAGATGTGGGCAGAACTACGTACGAGAGACAGAGAGACCCCTGGCCACTGACGCGGCAAGTCGCACATAAACAGGCTAAATGGCAACCAGAGACGACCATACACCAAGCTAGCTGTCATGAAAGTTCAAAGAAACATTGAAACTCGTGGTTTTTTTCAACATTAAGTTCTAAGAAGAATGCTGACCTGCTTTAGCTCAAGGCTTCATGCTGATTGACCCACCCTTCAAGATCCAAGTCCAAACTTCGTCCAAGCCACGGAAAAGAGTCGACATGGATGTGATCACATGGTAGATCGAACCAAATAATAGAATGAATGTGGGTCAAGCAAAAAATCATACTGAATCTGCTTAAGGCCTGTGCTTGCCAATGATGTCTTATACTGTCTTGCTCCCGTGATCAGCCAGAGCGTCGCTTTACGTCAAGGTGCGTATGTATGACGGCATTATCACGTGTTTTCCCATTATCGCCTAATCTCATTACTAACCTGTCTCAGCTTATCTGACACCACGCACTCACCGCCCGGTCGCGCACGCACCTCTCCCGAGCTCCAGCATTGTCCCCAGACAACGCCGATCTCCACCTCCATCTCCAGCTGCTCGCGGCAAGAAATACCTACCCTGGCTGTTCAGCCCTTCTCGTCCACTCTGAATTCGCAAGGCATGAACTTCTCAGCCACTTGATTCGTCTGCTTGGCAGTAATACGATCATCGTGCTTCTGTCCACTACTCGGCTTGAGTGACAGCCACTCGTCTGGACCACTTTCCGCCAGCAATCAGATCCGCTCTCCGCCATCCCCGATGTCAAACCCGGAAGAACCAACTGACCAGTTTGTTGTCTTGGTTCGCCTCCCTTTTCCGCGTGGAGACTTCGAAGACCCTCCCTCGGTAAGTTGCTGATGATGCACCACCAACCAGTCATGTCGTCTACTCATCTAACAACAGAGCAGGTAAATTGGGATGCTTCCAAGGAGAGAGAACTATGGGATCTGATATCCCGTCCATCCAAAGATGCGCTTGACTGTAAGTTTCCCATGGTTGTCACCACTAAAGAAACCTAAGCTAACTGGCTGAATCAGGGAATGAACTGTACTTATCACCCGTTTCTGACGAATGAGAATCCCGTGATCTAACTTGAACCTTGCAGGTCTGAGCGCTTCGGCGTTACCCTTCAGTTCCTGCAGCATAAGGTCGCATGGCTGTATGAACGACAGCTCACGCAAGCCCGCGCTCAAATGCGCATGCCTTTGCAACCCCAGTCACAGTCCAACTCTTCGTCTCCCGCGCCGGGGTCTGTAGCAGGAAGCACTGCACTCGGAAGTCAGCACCAGCGGCCTCCAACAGCAGGTATTAAGGTTTGAACAATGACAATATTTGGGCAAAGACTGATGAGCTTCCAGGATCTCGGCCCATGTTCCGTCAGGGCTCTCAGCAGAAAGACACACCTCAACCGTCTGCTCCTGGGCGACGAACTAGTTCAACATCAACCACCACTATTAATCGGGCTCAACACCCCCGCGACACTTTGCGGACCGATACACCGACAGCGGAAGGTCGAGAACAGGCACCAGAGACTACCACCCGTCGGACGTCCTTCGCCCGGCGTGACCAACCACCGGGCGCTTCATTCGTGCGATCGCCTCCACTCAAGGAAGAAGATCTAAGTCCCAGCTCTAGCTCCGATGGAGCCGACTCTGAGGACGAATCATCGCCACGGCGCTTCCCACGCTGGCGCAACTTTGGAAAATACTCGACCCATCGCTCACGACCGGGCCTCCGCGACGATGAAGACGATGAGGATGAGGCACCCGCCTTCCCCCCCCTGTCCAGTCACATGGATCAGGGTACCACTAAGCGTCCTGTTGAACATCTGAGCCAGGAGCTTAGTGGTACCCTCCGACTGGATGCTGAACGTGCGACGGCCGCGTGGCGCCCGACCGAACGCCGAGGAGGCTTCATGCCTGCCGACATAGAGTCCGGAACCAGTTCTACTGGTATGAGTTCTGCGAGCTCTGCGGCGCCGAGCAATACCGCACAGAGCGAGGAGCGACGTGTTTCTGGGAGAATCACCCGGAGTGCGGCGGATCAGTCCCGCGCCAGTCCACAAAAGAGTGGTGTTAATGGTAGCTCTGGAACTCCCAGTATGGGCAGTAGCTTCAGTGATTTGGATGGTAGGTCATCGCTCTTGATTTCAGTCGTGGTTTTATCTAACCATCTCAGGTCTCGATACAAGTGTTACACAGTCTGCACTAGAAGAAGCTCTCATGAGCAATATGCAGCAGGGCGGTATGGCGAGTCGCATGAGTACCATCAGCCAGGCTCTCCGTAGTCGGTACCTTCCTGGTGGGCAATGAGTCTAGGCGGCAGTCTTGTGCGTATCTGGCTAACTACAAGCTGATAATTCCAAGAATTGAATATGGCTGGATGGACATTGAACCCATGGAGGGCCGCTGGTGGTCTAGTTTGTGTTACCATCTACATCATTAGCTAGTTAATCAACTAGCTACCATCGAAAGAATGGAGATCAGCGATCTGTGCTAAATTCTAAACAGCCTGATATTCCTCAAAACTGTGCGTCATAACGGGTTCATCTGAATGTAACAAACCAGATAAAAAGTGGTGGCAAGCTTGTATGATGTACGACCATAGCTCAAGCTGAGGTGCGGCTTTATGTGGGGATGGTGTACTATGATCACCCACCCTGCACCTGCATGATCGAAGCTACCGAGTATATTTAATTCTAAGATGCATTTCTCCCTTTTCCTCATTGTTGATTAAAACATAACTGATCCTTTCGTCCGCGCAAGTGCTGCGATCTACTTGGTATATATCTATCCACACGTGACGCCCCGCATCCGGCTCGGCGTCGTTCGCCAGTCACAGCCAATTTGAACCTTCAAAAACCCCGTCATCCAAGAGTTGCTCTCCACCGTGGTCACTGCTTTACTCTGTACAAGTGATACCGGGACTGCCGACCTTCGGGGATTCTTCACATACACCGAGCTCCGCATCGGCCCAGCGGCAGCGCTAGCGCCGAATCCGGCCGATCTCCGCAAGGCGCAGGTTGACGGCGGGGCACTGTCAAGTTGCGGAGCTTCCCAACTGTCCCTGCCAGCGGCTACAAACACGTCGTCTGTCCCTGCAAGCTGTCTGCAGCGAAATACCTCCTTTTAATACAGCTTCACACAGCCCCAGCAAAGCGTGGCAGTCAATAAATCGCCAACTCGCCCGATTGACCCCGGTCGCAGCGATTGAACCCCCTCCACGATCAACCGCGGCCTCGGCATCTGATTTGCGCGCCCCACCGATTCAAAGCGGCCAGTTTTTCGGATTCCTCTAGAATACCATCGCAACCTCCCTCCATCTTTCTCAATCGCTTCGATCCCGACTACCCTTTTCACCATATCTACCTCTACAACCTTCTACCGATACCATGGCACCCGCCCTCGGCGACATGGAGCCCGCGGAGGCCGAATCAGTCTACTTCAATGAATACCCTCCGCCAAAGGCCCTCCCCAAGCACGAAGCCCTCGCACGCGCTTTCATCGAACTCCACGTGGAAGCCAATCGGCGCGTGGTGCTGGTAACATCGGGCGGGACAACGGTACCACTCGAGACGCAGACAGTGCGGTTCATCGATAATTTTTCCGCGGGAACACGAGGCGCGACCTCGGCGGAGTATTTCCTGCAGCAGGGATATGCGGTGATCTTCCTCCATCGGCAGTATAGTCTGCTGCCATATTCACGGCACTATAGCCATTCCACGAACTGTTTCTTGGATTTCATGGACGAGGCGCCGCCTGTTGTTGGGGCCGCGAATCAGGATGATGGGAGCATTGTTGTAAGGGATGAGTACCAGGATCAGATGCGTGATGTGTTGAGGAAGTATCGCTATGCGAAGAAGAATAATCGTTTGCTTCTGTTGCCGTTCACGACTGTTGCGGAGTATATGTTTGAGCTGCGGTCGATGGCCAAGTTGATGCGCCCACTTGGTCCGAACGCGTTGTTTTATCTTGCCGCTGCCGTGAGCGACTTTTTCATTCCCAGGAATCGCATGGTGGAGCACAAGATTCAGTCGTCGGAGTTGCCGCCGGAGTATGAGAAGGATAGTGCGGTTGGTGGGGAGGGCGATGAAATTTATACTGGGGAGAACGAGGCTGAGCCGGGGAGTCGGAAGAAGCTCGTTATCAACCTGGACCCCGTTCCGAAGTTCTTGCATCGGTTGGTGGATGGATGGGCTCCGGATGGGAGTATGGTTGTTTCGTTCAAGTTGGAGACCGATCCGGCGCTGCTTGTGTACAAGGCGCGCACGGCTTTGCAGCGTTACTCGCACCATCTGGTCATCGGCAACCTGCTCTCGACTCGCAAGTGGGAAGTCGTCTTCATCACGCCGGATGCGCCGCACGAGCGCTGGATTCGCGTGCCCAAGGCCCGTCGCAGCAAGAGTATATCTGGCGTGGAGGATCAGGTTGGATTGGCAGAGATCAAGAAGGGTGGTGCTGCTCCGACGGAGACAAGACAGCAGCCAACTCAGGCGGAGGGTCCTGTTGATGATGGTCTTGAGATCGAAGGCTTGATCATTCCGGAGCTGGTGAAGCTGCATGACAAGATGATTGAGAAGAAGAATAAGGCGACGCCGTGAAGTGGTTTCTTTCTCGGGCGGCTTTCTGCCATGAAGACACATCGAAAAGCATTTTTCTCAGCATCATAGTCATTTGTAGATCATAATGGAGTTATCAATTGCTTTTCGCCATACCTCCGAAGAATTGTGTTTGCCAGTGGTTAAGAAGTTGCCAACTTCGGGGGCCAGATCAGCCAGCGATAGCTGAATCCGAGGCGCAGCATACTTGCTCAATGAAAAGAGCAACTTGAGCTGCCCTCGTGCATTACAAATTCATGCGCCACGAAATCTGCAGTCCAGCTGGCAGCCTATCCTCTCTTCCTTTCCTCTGAAATGTCCGTCTTCGTGGTCGCTGAAGCAAAATAGCCGAAGTGAGGTCGTCCGAGGACGATCACATGCGCAACCGTCGTAGCGCAAGTCACCAAGTCGACTACCCAGATCAAGGACTTCTGGGCCCAAGTTCGCGATGCGCCCGAGGAAATGCAGGAACTCATCGCTGAACTGGAGATGTATAGAGATATCTAGCAAGAAATCGAACAGAATCTCCCTTCCGGTCCCCTGGCGGATGCCATGAAAAAGAACAAACACGAATTTCGGAGTCTGGATTGCAAAAAAGCAGCGGAGAGTTTGAATACGGTCTCAAAAGACCTGTTTGATGATCTTCGTCCTTCTGGCTCTTCTGGTCGTCTTTCGAAGGTCCTACCGTCGCTCAAGATGGAGCTTCAATGGAGCGAAGTGGAGAAGTATAAGGCGAAGCTCATCAGTTCGATTTTTGGTTACACATTTTTTTTTTTTTTTTTTTTCGCAGCAATGCTATTTGGTGTATGTTAGGCTCTTCTCACTGTATGAGCTTTGCGGCTAATGTAACTACAGAGATCTGGCGCAGATACAACCTGTTATGGTCGCTCAGATTGATGGTCGGACGAACGATGGTAAGGCTCTTTACAGTTGGCGACGTGACAATATCTGTGCTGACTACCATGTGAAGAAGACAAGGACGAACCTCAGTCCCGCTCAACTATAGTTCGTTCATCGTCGCAGAAAAGCTCGTATTCGTGGTAGTTTGGTCTGCCACTTTGGATTATCTCGAAGGCCTATGAAATACAAGCGAAAAGAGCATACGGCGGCTGGCAATGGGAGGGAAGAGTTAATACTGAAAGACCCAGGGGGTGCTATCGATTTTCAACCTTTCATCCATTCTAAGGGCTTTGTTATTCGATTGATCGGATTCTCACACGGCCCATCACTGGCAGACTGGTGGCTATGGTTTAGTGAGCCCTCTGATAAATTTGCGGGGGACTTTTGGGCAATGATTGAGCGACTGATGGAGATGCAGGGTGGATGGTTGGATAATATACCCTTGTTCCTTTGATTTTACATCTGTCATGCGAATTCATGCCATGTCAGGTTGCTCCACAATACCTACTGCATGCTGGATGGTAACCAAACCAAGTATGATAGATTGATCTGTGGGTACAAATAATTCCGATGTATAATAAAGACATCATAAATCGGGTATACAAACAGTGGTCATTTCAACTCACTTTAGATCTAATATGAGATAGAAATGAAACAAGAAGAAAGACAAATGTACGCTCTCCATAATGAGCTGCAAGCAGTCTGCGAAGGCTTGGGTCATTCCACATTCCGTTGAAATCAGGGGCACTCGGCATCGGGGCTGGGGCTGTACAGTCGATCGGCAGCCGATCCAGGGGCCGTTCGAGTGGCCAGATATGCCATTGCTGCGACCGTAAGAGACGGACAAAGACGATCGTGGTAGACAAATCAACGGGTATTCTCTCTTGCTCGACTGATATATTATTTGTATGATTTTGGTCATCCTTGCCAATTCAGTGCATCAAGTATATACTGTGTAGAGTAGTATAAGATAGTGTGTTCGCACGGACGACGCGTCGGCTGCGTCAGCCACCGCCGTCAAGGAGACCCGTGAAACGCGCGCCGATCACCTGCGTCCTTCCAGCTGCAGCGCATTCGACCTGTTCTCTCACGATGACCTCGAGGCCCGGCGACTGCTACCCAGGATGGTCCCCCGTCGCCGTTTCAGCCGTCGCTTCGCTGCCATCGCCGCCGCTGCCGCCCTCTTCTTCCTCTACCACGTCTTCTCCCTCCAATCCACCCTCTCGTCGAGTGCCGGCGCCGACCTCGACCATGTCGGTGAACCAGCTCCGATCTGTCCCCCGCTGCCCGGCATTGACGACGTGCTGGTCGTGATGAAAACCGGTGTAACCGAGTCGCGAGACAAGGTCCCCATCCACTTCAAGACCACCCTCCGCTGCATCCCGCACTACGTAATTTACTCCGACTTTGAGGAGGAGATCGAGGGTGTCAAGATCCACGATGTCCTGCGGAACATGAACCCGGAGGTGAAGGAGCATGTCCCCGATTTCGACATCTACAACCGCATCGTCAAGCAGGGGCGCAAAGGTCTCGAACAGCACGATTTCGCGGACGAAGCCAACTCCGCCATCGGCAAGCCTAATAACCCGGGATGGAAGCTGGATAAGTGGAAGTTCCTGCCCATGGCGCAGGAGGCGCTGAAATACAAAAAGGACGCGAAGTGGTACGTCTTCATGGAGGCCGACACCTACGTCTCGTGGCCGACGCTTCTGGCGTGGCTGGCCAAGTTCGACCCCAGCAAGCCGCACTATCTCGGCACAGAGACTCAGATCGCGGACGTTATATTCGCCCACGGTGGTTCTGGGTTTATGCTTTCGAATCCGGCTCTGCAGGATGCGTCGGACCACTACACTGCGCGCCGCTCCGAGCTGGACAAGTATGTCGATCAGCATTGGGCCGGAGATTGCGTTTTGGGCAAGGTTCTGGCTGATGCGGGCATCAACTTGCACTTTACCTGGCCCATTCTACAGAACTCCAACATTGGTGAACTGGATGAATTCACGAATGAGCTTTATCGAGTTCCTTGGTGCTATATTTCTGTAGCTTTCCACCACCTCAATCCGCTTGAGGTCGAGGACCTTTGGAAATTCGAGCAAAAGCGCTGGCACGATGTGAGTATACCGAAATTTCATCTCGACGTTCGATGAATTAACATTTTCGGTTCCAAAAAAGAAAAACAAACGCATTCTCCTACATAGCGATGTATTCCGCGAATACATCTACCCGGAAATGGCCTCTTTGCCAACGCGACTGAGCTGGGACAATCTCTCAGACGAGGAGCAACCGTACGCAGAGACATTTGAAGACTGTCGCCAGATTTGCGAGTCGCTAAAGACATGCATGCAATATGCCTGGCGCGGCGGAGTCTGCTTTACCGGCAGCCGACCACGTCTAGGAAACCCTTCATCCTCTGGCGACGCGACGTCTGGCTTCATCACAAGCCGTATCCGCGAACTGATGGATAACAAGGGAATGTGTCGCGCTCCTGAGTTTGGAAACATCAACTGATAAACTGTTGGTTGGATGAACACTCCCTCCATTTCTTCTATGAATGTTTGCCATGATGGCTGTTGCTTTTTTGAATCTTGAATTAGGTATACGATATGGATGGCAGGCACCAGCGACCATTGCTTCTCACCTTGTATGATTGCTAGGATCTTTTATTACTTTTGCTGGTGTCTGTCCGGATTGCTTTGGAAAAAGTGACCCTTTTGGTCCGGGGCGTTGATTGGGAAAATCCATCATGCGTGGATATTGACAAAGGACTAGACAATCTAGGAAAGGAAAACGAGTTCGGATGATAGAAAAGATAAATGCTAATGCAACGCTTTCAGTCTCATGACAACATGGTAATGATAAAGTCGTAATGCAATCAACAATCAAGCTGCAGACAAACCCCGTTCAGTCATGGTTTATGGCCATTGCCGTGGCGGACGAAGAAGTTATTGTAGCTTGGTTCGGGGTTTAAGCTTGACCATCAGGTCCGGCTTATCCCACAGGATAAATGATTTATGATCCATCCAATTCTCGCTGACTGGATCCAATTCCATGTCGAAGTTAAAGATCATTCGTGCAAGAATGATGCGCATCTCGACGTAAGCAAGGCTGTACATGAAGCATTAGTGGAGACTCAGGATGACAGCCGGTAAACACAGTAACTAGTGGTACATACTTCCGCCCAATGCAGTTTCTCGGCCCAAAGCTAAACGGCTGCATAACCATCCTGCTATCATTTGCATAGCGAGGATCACCGAGATGGCGTTCCGGAACAAATTGCTCTGCATCGGTAAAGTTCTTGGGCGAGTGGTAGGCCGCGAGATGAGGAACCGAGACGATAGTCTATATGTCCAAAATTAGACCAGGGCAGCCAACATCATATCATCCCTGAAATACTCACGCCGCCAGGAACCCACTCCCCAGCAATAACATCACCCTGCGGATCCACAATCCTAGGCAGCCCAACACCAACAGGCGGATAAACACGCAACGCTTCTGTCAGCACAGCCAAACAATACTCCAACCGATTACACGACTCAAACGAAATCTGGGCCTCACTCTTAAATGCCCCACGAACCTCCTCTTGCAACTTTGCCAGTACCCGCGGATTCTTGAGAAGCAAATAGGTCACACCGGAGAGAAGCGTTGCCGTCGTCTCAGACCCGGCAATAATAAGCGTACTCCCATTCGCAATCATCTCACCAACACTAAACCCCTTCTCCGTCCCATTATGCTTCAAAATATTCGCATAAAAGTCCGGCCGCTCATTATTCTTTTCCAATCGTCCCATAACCTTCTCCGTCGTCAGCTGCCGATGCCACTCTTTCTGCGTCATAACCCTTTTCGGCGTAATAAGCGGCAATAACAACTTAGACGCCGGCAATCGTCGCGAGACATTCGCATAGGCGCTGAACTTGATTTCGCTAAAGATCAATTTGACCCACTCGTGGTACTCGGAGTTCTTAAGGCAGTCGAAGGGCTCGCCAAAGGCCAGGTCGCCGATGATGTCGAAGGTTGCGTAGTTGTACCAAGCGACCATGTTCAGCGGCTTGGTGCCGTTGTCTGCGTTCTCGTGCAGTCGCTGTATGAGCAAGTCGACGTAGCATTTTATAATCGGTTCCTGGCCCCGGAGCGAGCTGTCTGAGAAGGCGTGAGAGAGTAGGCGGCGGAAGCGGGTGTGGTCGATGTCGTTGGATTGAATGATGCTGGATGTGTTTGTGACTGTTGGTGTGTAGAAGCGGTAATCTTTTTGCTTTTGGCTGTGACCTGGTCGAGTGCCGTAAATTGCTTTCCAGGCGTTGCCGTCGATGAAGGAGAGTTCGTCTGGGGCAATGCGGACGACGTCCCCGTATTTTGCGTGGAGCTCTTTTAGTCTTTGGGCGTAGCGGCCGCCGATCACGACTTGCATGTAGGGGATGCGGGTGGCGGCCATTAGTCTGGGGCCGGGATATTTGGACAGTGGGTGGAAGTAGACATTGTAGATGATGCATCCGAGGTAGTAGGATGAGATCTGGAGAGTCAGACATGGTTAGCTAAAAGCCTTTTGCGGGAGTTGCCGAATTTGAGTCTCAAAACAACACAAAGCAACATCGCATACCAAACCAACTCCCAGCCCAAGCAAAGCCAACGCCAAGTAAACCCCCATAGAGGGCGCCTCGATGCTCGGAAAGACCGAGAACTTCGGAATAACCGCCATATTGATTCACTCTCACAAACGATTGAAAAGGCGCCCAGTATAACGATCCAAACACCAACCACACCACCCACCACCACGATATAAATACACGCAACACCCCTCTCCATCTCCTCGAGGCCCGCACCCCTCTCTGACGTTGTGTGCAGCACTAAAAATAATGACACGAAAAGCGTGCATTAGAAAACGGCCCAAGCCTCGACCCTCCCCACCTTCTGCATGGCATGATACGCGCACTAGCGTTTTGCAAGGTCAAGTCGCCGTATGCGAATTACAGCCACAAACACGGCAGACCCCCTAGCCGGTACAGTCAGACTCTTAATTGTGAAGATTTGACAGCCACATCTCCATAATGATGCCGGGGAATTCTCAAAGTGTTGACTTGAAAAGACTAAAATATACTTCAGATCAAAGCTTATTTCAGCCACAAATTCGGAGAATAAACACGTTGCCCACATGTTTGAGCCCATCTCAATCTATACACTATGACCAGGTTTATCGCCGCAATCCCGGACCCGTACAACGCAGGTGTCACCAGTGACGAGCCGTTAGATATACTCGCCACCTGATTCCAGACTGGTGTTACAGACTAACAGCTGCAATGCACGACGACCCACTCTGCAATGCCCCGCCCGGGCGACAACAATTTATGCATTGGATAAAGCGCCTTATGATTGACGCTACTGCCTTGGGATCCCTTTGGTGTTTTGTCCCGGAGATATCCTGATCCCCCACATTATTTGACTGCAGAGCATCCGCCATGCAATGAATCAGTGCCCGGAAATGGAGATATGCTCTCCGTTTTGATTGGTTTCTGGTATTCTCCGACGCCCGAATGTGGAGGGCTGATTCATTGTTTGAACCCCTACTACTAATGTTGGGTAGTGTACAGTAGTATGAACTCGATTTCAAGGATGCATGCGAGGTGACTGGACCACAGCGTATATCGGATGGTTTTTGCTGGTTGACGGTATTGTTTCCGTTGTGGGCTGCTTGTGGCAATCATCATTCTGAAGATACATTTCGCGTGACGGTGACTCTTGGAAGCTACCACATGCAAATATATTAGCAACGTCACGGCCTACGCCACTTGAATCACGATCGACGAGTCCAAAGTCAAGACCTGCAGAGAAAATTAAAAGAATAGTCTGGATTATATATATACCAGGGTATTAGGTAGGTTAGACTCGAACTAAGGATATTCTATCCCCATCACCCCGGGAGTGGGCGCAGATCACCCACTTCCAGGGAGTTTAGGGTACTGCCCACTCACAACGCTGGACTAAACGGATCCCCCAAACACTGATCAATGCGCATAATCTTGAACCCAACAGACTTAACATGCCGGATAAACCGCCGGAGATACGCAACCGTCGTCGGATTCAGAAAATGCATGACAGCCAAGTTGCCGCCCCGCGCAACCCCCCGGTAAAATGCATCAAGTTGCTTTTCCGGGGTTGACGTATTCGCCCATAGCCAGTCTTCCACGTCGACGCTCCAGTTGACAATAAACGGGCTCTCGATGTGTTTAGCCAGTCGCTGGCGCATGCGGGCACCGACGGTTCCGAAGGGGGGTCTGAAGTAGCGGGCTTGTGTGGAAGGGTTAGATGGCGCGCGAAGGGGGAGGTGGGTGGCTTACAGGTTAGGTCTAGGCGGTCTTGGAAGACGCGAATTGTCTGCATGATTTCTTCGTCGATCTTCTCGGTTGTTGGGAGAGCTTCCATTCTGGGATTGGTGTTAGCGTTAGCATTGAGCATAGAGGGTAGAGTGTCTGCATGAGTTCGCACTTTGGGTGGGTGTTTGAATGCAATGCAACCTGGTGGCCCTTCTTCAACATCTCCCGGTAGAAGTGTGTGAAATTGGTTGTTTGGTCTCGAAGGCCGGCCCCGACGACGAAGAACGTCACCCGGACATCCTCTTCGTCCAGAATTTTCATCACCTCCTGCGCATATTGCGGCTGCCCATCATCGATCCCGAATGCGAAAGAATTTGGTACACTGCAGCGAAGGATCATGTGGCCGCTCGGAAGCTTCTCGGGGATCTTGAAGTGGTTGTTCTTTGAAGTTGGCGGCGGGGTGGAGGGGACGATTTCGACGCGACGGAGGGTGATGGACTCGTTGGTGTAGAAGCCTGTGAAAGACACAGAGACAACCCGCCCGTGATTAATGTGAAAGTGAGACAGAGGGATGAAGAGTTCTGTCCGTGTCGGTGACGCAGGAGCCTGGTCATCATCGTCGTCTCCGCAAGATCCCATCGACGAAGGTCTCTTGAACTGAAGCGAGCGCGCTCGGGGCCTTCTCTCTTCCGACTCATCCATTTCCGACTCATCCATTTCCGACTCATCCGCGTCAAACCATTCGGGCTTGGTCCTCATCACGTATCGAGATGCCTGTATACTGTCTGGCACACCGGGAAACGGACTGCGAGACGGAAAACACTCGGCATTATGTTCGTTCAGCGAGACAGTAAACTGATCCGTACCGTCAAAGACGACGTGCAGGAACTGATTCTTCCAAGGAAGAAGACTGAAGCACCCGCGTGTATCGAACTGTGTATGGAAGTTCTGATCGGGGTCGTTGGGGGAGAGGCGCATGAAACCGGGCTCATGGTGTACCGTCAAATTCTCGCCGGCGCCATGCCAAAATCCCAGGTCGTTGTGTAGCGAGTCTTGGAATGTATCGATGACGAGAGAGGGGAGCGGAGCTTGTCGTGTTGGTAGCTGCTCCGAATCGCGAGCCTCGAGCCAGTGGAAAGGCCTAGGTTCCTGGTGCGGGAAGCTCGTCGCTGTCGAAGGGAGCAAGGTCAAAACAATAGCGGCACGGAAGTATGCGAGGAGGGAGGGGATTTGCATTATGCTGGATTCGCCGTGGAAATGACTGAATGAAATGGTCGGTTGGCGAGGTTCATTGGGGATGTTGTGAGGGTGTTAACGAGTGAGGTGGAGGTGAGCTGGTGACTATACGGAAGGAAGGCGTAAACGGCAGCCACGACTACGTATCGACTGCCAGAGACAACAGCACACTACAAACTAATACCTTAGAATAGAAAAGCGTCTCATTGGAATAGAAAGCAACTTACCTGTGGGTACTGGAAATTACGAGAGGGGGAAAATTAAAGTGGCCGAATTTGTGAATTTCATAGGTAGATCAAGGGAATAGATGGTGGAAGATCCAAGGTTGCCGTCAATGATCAGCTCTCCGAGTACTCCCTAGTTCCCGCAGGACCCTGGGGGCGCAAGTGAAAGCACGACCTAAAAGACAACGACCGATTCCCCCAACACACCGAAAAGCCTCGAGCCTTTGCCTATTTCAGAGAGTTGAAGAGAAAAAACGTCAAAAAGTCCGGCCATGTCGTAGTCATCACATAAAACGTCGAAGAGCGCAGTCGAGATGGGACTGTGAAATCCCAAGAGGGAGAACATAGGGCGCTCTACCAGTCCTGGTTGTCCTTGGCATCACGCTCCCACTGGTCCTCACCAGCCGTGTCGGAGTGGACGGCCTCATCCTCAGCGTCGGCGGTGTCGGCGGCGTCGGTGCCAGCGTTCTGAATCTCCTCGGCTTCGTCAGAGTCTGTAGTGTCATCGAAGCGGAGATCAACAGAGTCCGAAGGGGCAAATTCAGCAAGGAATTCCGGGACGTCTTGCTTAGACTCGATCAAAATCTTGACAAGGTCAGGGCCGAGCTCCTCGTTCCTCTCGTTGTAAAACGAAGTGGCCAGGCCTTCGTTTCCGATACGAGCAGTGCGGCCTAGGAAAGAATAGTCAGCATCAACAAAAATGTGTCGCAGAGGGGATGGGGTGCAAAGTATAGATAGGCACTTACCAATACGGTGAACGTACTCGTTGATACCACCGTGTTCAAGGGTTGGCAGATCGTAGTTGATCACATGCATGACGTTGATAATGTCCAGACCACGAGCAGAAATACCAGTAGCAACCATGATAGGGGACTTACCGGTTTTGAAAGCACGACTATTTTGATAGCAATTAGATTAGCAAAAGCAAATAGAGAAGGAAAGCGACAGGGGGAAGATATCACTCACATAGAGTCCTCGCGCTCCTTTTGGGTACGTCCGGAATGCATCGAGGTAACAGGAAATCCATTGTTAAACAGCAAGTCATCGAGCGCATCAACGGTAGTACGGTTGTTGCAGAAAATCAGAGTGCGAATAGGAACGACGCTGCAGAGAAGATCCAGGAGAGCATTCTGCTTGAGATGGTCGAGGACAAGAATGATCTGGGTGGACAGTCAGCTCAAGCCACATGAAAAGGAGATGGAAGAGCACCGAGGAGTGTAGTACATACCACTTGCTGGATTTGAAGGTGGGCACTGCCGGCGCGACCAATTCGAACGCGAATGTACTCTTGACCCAGGTACGTACGGGCTAGCTTTCGGCACTCCCGGTTGAAGGTTGCCGAAAACATGAGATAACGGTGATCCGCGTCTTCGTTGATATCTGTGTAGCTGTCAGTAGCAATCTCTAAAACTAACACCAAAGGGGACGACACTTACCACCACCGGACATGATCTTTTGAAAGTCGTCCTCCCAGCCAGGGTCGAGCATCTCATCGGCCTCATCGATCACAGTGTATCTAGGGACATGTTAGCGTGTCTGCAATGAAGAGAGGGAAGGAGGAGTTGGGGGGAGGAGAGTTGAAGCTGCTTACCGAACACGGCGGAGTGACAGAACATGTGGCTGGTTCATGAAGTCTATCAGGCGTCCAGTAGTACCGACCAGAATGTCGCAACCCTTCTTGAGCTCCGCGCGTTGATATCTGGCGGGAGCACCACCGTACACAACACAAGGACGAAGCATGGAGCGATAACAGAGACGACGGGCCTCGTCGAAGATCTGCGTAGCAAGCTCGCGGGTAGGGCAAACAATCAGCACAAGGGGCTCCGCACGAACACCATCCGTTTCAGGATTGAAGCCCGGTTGTGAAGAATCAGGCCGGGCGGCGGCCAATCTCTTGGCCTTTCCCATAAGCTGAGAGATAATGGGAATCAAAAACGCCCCAGTCTTGCCGGAACCTAACAATAATCACGCATTATTAGCTCTGGACAGGAGATAGAGAAAGAAAATGAAGCCCTATTAACATACCAGTGGCAGCGATGCCGATGATGTCCCTGTTGAAAGTCATGGCCGGAAGGACATAGCACTGAATCGGGGTGGGGTGTGCATAAAGGCAAAGATCAATGTTCTGAAGCATGATGGGGTGCAGGCCCGCATCTTTCCACTATGAGATGGTCAGCAAAGACAATCCTGAAAATACCCCGTGGTATAGAGGAAGCATAGGAAACATACTCGCGTGATGGGCTCGAACCGGTTTTCGCTCTCGCAAACAACGTGAAGGTTTTGATAGCTGGATAAAAACATAGTTAGCTATGAACAGCAAGGGAAGGGAAAAAGATACTCACTCGCTGAAGCGGTTACCGGCGCGAGGGATCAGATCGTGGTGGAACAACATGTTTTCCAGCTCCTCATTGCGAGGACCGATATCTCCATACTCCTCCTTCCATTCGTAGCGAGTCGCGGAGCCGGCCCATTCGTAATCATTTCCTTTGGTGTCGGCGTATCGGGCGTACTCCAGAGGAGTCGGTTCAGCCCAACCGCGCTCGCGGGCCATAGCAGCACGTTGAGCCGGCGTCGGCTTCGGTGCCTGCGGTGCCTGAGGAATCTCCTCAGTTGCCCCGGCCGGGGACTGAGGGGCGTCGGGCGCGTTGGATACATCGTCCAACGCGCCGGGGATCTCATCATGGCCAGGTGAACTGGACATCGCGAGAGTAAACACACTCGAACTGGTGTGCATGCCCAGGCCCTTTCCACAGACCAGAGTGGATGGACCCTGACGAAAAAAGCGGGAAATTGACAATACACCCAGGTAGAGACCTAAATGCCGTCAATCGAGAAGCGATAGTCTCGTAAGGCAAGACTGAGATGATGGGAGTAGCGGATGAGAGATAAAAAGCGTGGCGGAGAGGAAAGAGAAGAGGAGAAGGAGAAGGAGGGGTGGGAAGTTGTATTTAAGTGAGCTGGGCGGCTGCGTTACCAGGCAGACGCAACGCAGCCGCCAGAAGCGTATCCTGGAACGATCCGTATTATGGCGGCAGGTGCCACTGTTACGCTCCTTCCCTGTGAAGAGGTCGCGCCTGTTCTCTGGTAAAGTATTGCGTTAGGGTGGCCGCCTGGTGACAGGCGCCGAGTCAGCGACATAGAAGGCCAAGTCAAGGACCTGTGAGTGATTCCATTGGCTACGAGAGCCCATGCTGCACGCAGATAACCGCCGTTGGTCCAATTTGGACTTTGATACAAACAGGCAGAAGACCTTGAGGAGACCCAGAAACCGACGGAGCAGGAGAAAAAGACTATTCGAGTGTGTTGAATGCGATATTTGGTACGCCCACGGAAAGAGAGTTGAGGTGCGAGGCCCACGAACAGTGAGAACTCGAGCCATTGAACAGCTCGGCTGAACAATATCACACTTGCAAGGTTGTTAGGACAAGCACTGGTGATTGATGATGGTAGTCGTCAATTGGATCTGGCAGAAGGTATGCGAAGATACATGGATAGTTCCGATTTGTACATCATTGGGGCATGGATCTCTAAGCCATTGTATGGTCCAACAAGGCCAAGCTAACGGCGACATGGCCATTCACAATGTTTTAGAGCATCCGGCTTGCACTGCAGGGTCTGGCTGACGTTCGGGTATACTCCTAGTGCGCACTAGTATATACGTTCGGGTTGCAGTATGCCAGGGCGGTGAGGCGGGAGTTCCTTGAGGTCAAACAGTCAAACACATCCAGTTTGCACCCCAAAAAATCCCAGTCGTACTGAGGCGGACTGGCGACTTCTCCAGGGCACCGGGAGCCCGTTTGTAGTATACAAATAGCCCCATGCTCCCCCACCATCCCCCCGGTAAACCCCCCTCGGATCCTGTGGATTGTATTGCCAGATTGACTCGGCATCGCCCTCTCTTCGGCTCCCCGCGGGGCCTCGGAAGTGGTGGTCCTCGGTCGACGCGGTGGTAAGTGGAACCCCGTTGCGGCGGCCGGGTAGAAGGAAATATACGCCGTAAGCGTGGGCACGGGACTGCCGGAGCTTCAACGCAGCTGCACCGCTCCTTCTTCATCCTCTTCATTGCATTCGCCATGGACCATCGCGAAGAGGATGGCCGGCGCAAGCGCCCGGCTCGCTTGGAGGAGGCGATCAGCAATCCTGGCGCCGTGAAGATCAATGTCAAGGGCGCCTTCATTGTCGACGACGATGTCCGCTCGCGGAGCCCCGTGGAGGCCGATGGCGTCCACTACGAGAATAAAGACATTCGGCTGCCGCACCATACTGGCGTCGTCAGCCATGTCGCCGTCGATGTAAGTGCCTGTGCCTGTCGACGCTCTGCTGCAAATCGTTTGGCGCCGTGCCCCGCTTGCGACATGCTCCCCCGCAGTGAGATGGCATCGAGTTAGCACGAGGGATGATGGCGTCGCTTTGGCGCGAACCACATCACGAGGGCAATTGCCGGACAGCTGGGAGACCTTGTGGCTAACTTTCCATGACTTCTTAAGATCGGCGGATCCCTCGTCAAACTGGTCTATTTCACGCGAGAGCTCGATGCGGCCGACAATGGCGGACGTTTGAATTTCATCAATTTCGAGACCCATCGGATCGACATCTGCATCAACTTCATTCGCCAGTTGAACGAAGAGCACAAGAAGAATAATGGTGGCACCAAGGACGAGCTCTGCGTCGTCGCGACCGGCGGGGGCGCGTTCAAGTTCTATGACAAGATGAAGGAGGCGCTGGACGTCAACATTCTGCGTGAGGAGGAGATGGAGTGCCTCATTATTGGTAAGGTTTCTGACGGTGTGACTGAAATGTCTGCGATTTTACTGACTGCCTTCGAGGTCTCGATTTCTTCATCACTGAGATCCCCAACGAGGTCTTTACTTACAGCGATTCCGACAATGAGCCTATGCAGTTCGCCGAGGCCAGACCAGACGTCTATCCCTATCTCCTCGTCAACATTGGCTCCGGTGTCTCGATGATCAAGGTCTCTGGTCCCCGACAGTTCGAGCGTGTGGGCGGTACTCACCTGGGTGGTGGTACCTTCTGGGGACTCATGTCCCTGCTCACCGGGGCCCGAACCTTTGACGAAATGCTGGCCATGGCGGACCGGGGAGACAATAGCGGAGTCGACATGCTCGTGGGCGATATTTATGGCATGGACTACAGCAAAATCGGTCTGAAGAGTACCGCGATCGCCAGCACTTTTGGCAAGGTCTTCCGTTTGAAGAATGCCGCTGAGGACGGCGCCGAAGATGGAGAGGGCCTCTACCACAATGATCATGAGCAGGCCAATGGCAAGCACGGCGTCAACTTCCAGCATGAAGACATGAGCCGAAGCCTTCTTTATGCCATCAGGTAAGTACCCGCCGTTTCCTAACACTTCTACTAGTAGATCAGTAACACTAATCGTAAAACAGTAACAACATCGGCCAAATCGCTTACCTCCAATCAGAAAAGCATCAGGTCAAGCACATCTACTTCGGTGGCTCCTTCATCCGTGGCCACCGCCAAACCATGAACACCCTTTCCTACGCCATCCGCTTCTGGTCCAAGGGCGAGAAGCAGGCATATTTCCTCCGTCACGAAGGCTATCTCGGCGCAGTCGGTGCGTTTATTAGACGCCAGCCCCAAAACTGGGGTCGCCGAAACAGTCTGGATGACGTTGTGGCACCGCAGGCGGTCCGAAATCTTGTCCAAAACACCGTTCTGAATCAACAGAATCGTTCATCCAGCTCATCCTAATTGACAGGGACCTTACCTCCTCCCATCCCCCTTTCTCCATCAATCTGTCCATTGAGTCAAACCGATACCCATTGAATGTACATCATCCAACACATGGTCCCCTCGAATCGAGTCCTGGATGCCTTCTCTGCTTCTTCAAAGACTGGCCCGGCGTGGCCTTGCATTGCATTTCGTTACGGTCAGTCTCGGAATCAAAGACGACTTTGTTCTTACCCCATAAAATTATCCACATATACCCTTAGACCTGTCTCTAGTACCTGTTGAACACGTTGTTGGCTAGATAGAATGACAATAGGTTCTATGCTCTATCTTGTACCCGCCTTTGTCAGGAGTTCTAGAATAGTTCGCATCACTCTGTGCATGCATATATATTTGACTATCAGTTACCTACTCCTTATTTTTATTCCCCTTTGTGAAGGTTGGAAAGTGTCAAGCTCCCATTGTCTTGCCTACATTCACAACTCACCGATGCAGAATCGGATGACTGTCACCAGGGTGATGTTTTCACGCCCAGTCTTTCAACGTCTCCGTTCCGGCGCGGTACTCGCCTCGGAGAATCGCCATCAGTGTCGCCCTTACAATACGCCGAGGCCGCAACCTTGCCATGGCAGCTCTCGCGTTACGCTCCCTGGTTCATGGCCTGTCCCTCCCCCCTCGGTGCTGTCCTTGAGGATTCGAGTATGCTCTCCATTCCGATCTCTTCAGGTCCGTCCCCTGATCTTCTCGTTCTCGTTCTCCGTCCACCTTGTCAACACGATGTACAAATACGTAAACCCGCGAGACATAATCTACGATTGAACTTTGAACCTCCTTCTACCTCCATCGTTTGTCGAACGTCCCCAGATCCCGGATGCAAGCACTGCTGTGAGACCCGAGCTCATTTGGCCTGACGTCGACATTTCCTCTTATTCAGACGTTGTCCTCGAACCTAGAGGGACTCGAGCCGCAATTGGTGATGATCCCAGCGCTGCCGTGCCTGACTTTGACGATGATCCCGTTTTGAATGCCGATTTCAAAAGGTCCACTCCTGCAAGTACCTCACTGGTTGCCAGCTCCCGCGTTGCACGGAATGACCTTGACCTCGACGTCGACCTCGAACTTGACCTCTCATCCAACCTGCCCCCTCCTCCTACGATGCCTACCAGACCTGCTGACGATATCACGAAGCCAGGAATAGCTCCTAGTAGCACTATCTCAGTAATCGATTTGATCACATCCACTGGTAGCCTCACATCACTTTGCTCAGAAGCACCCACGGACATGAAGACCGGAGTTCACCACCTGGATGACTACGGCTTCGATTGGGTCTTCGATTGCCGCCTCGGCGTACCTGGACGTGGTTCCCTAGTTCGCTCGACTCGACAAGGCAGAAGAAGACGGCTCACAGCTCGAATGGAGATCAAGCAAGATCTTCAGCCGTGAAGGCCAAGAGCTCGAGATGTCTGTTTTCCGCTTCGTCGTGATCAGCCCACGAAGCCTTCCGACGAGCAGTGTCATGAAATACTGAGTTTCACTTCTGAACACTGAAGACGGTAAAAGTAAGATCTTCATTCAGATCGCGTCAGGCGATCAAGGACTGGGTCGGATTGTTCGCTTCCTCTGGGCGTGGGATGCTAGAGCCGCCAAGTTTGAAAGAGACTTCTGTGCCATCAGAGTGAGTGCATACCAAGGGCTTCAACGCTATGAAACCCACGGATCACTTTCCAGCCCAGATACCTGGAGATAACCAGTGAATGGTTGGAAAACCCCCGAGCAGAGCTGCAGCTTCGCTTGGAAGGACTATTCCCTCTTGCAGAACTGGCAACAAGCCCAGTGGAACCGGTGGCCCCGTCAGCCAAGCCTACTAGCACTCAACAATCCAGGAGTGGCTCATTGATGTAATCTTCCTTGGATCTGCCTTCAAGCGAGCAGGTTGAGGCGCCGGTGAGTACCACAGAAACCAAGGCTGAACAGCTTGTGGGGTTGCGCCGGTTTGCTCGCGTTGCAAATCGTAAGTGAACCCGCTGATGAGCGCGAGATACTCTGTGTGTGCCGAGTTGGTTACAGCCATCAGCTCAAGGTATGTATACCAACTGTATATTGCAATGCTCTAGCCTTGTCCTTGAAGGACTCGATATCGTCGCAGTGTGAATACAATGTACGTTTGACATACGATTCACGGCGTCGGCTGGGGGTGTGTTGGGAAGGGTTCTAATGGCGAGCCAATGTCAGTATTGTTACTAATTGTAGAAATCCCGTGGTTATTGCCTATAGTGTTCAAAATATCCCCAGATACCTATGTTGTGTACCATTATGTGGACTTGCAGGGTGATGTACATAAGATCCACCAACACAACGAGTAAAGGCACATGTAATACAACAATGAAAAGAGAATCGATTTCTAAGGTGTCGTAGAGTAAAATATAGTATGCCACACCGTCAAAAAGCAGTGGAGACAGCCAGAAAACTCAGGCAGCAGCGCGCACCTGCCGTTTTGGATGCGCGCTCACGGCTACTTGAGCCCTAGTCCCTCCAGCTTCATTTTCTCTTCTGCAACTCCTCCATCTGCACACTCACGCCATCACTGGCCCGTCACTTTTTTTTTTTTTTCTTATTTTTCATTAAAATCGCTATTCTTTGGTGCCCATAAGGCTACTAAGCCATGGAGCACACCTCTAACTCTCCTCCCGCGGGCGAAGCGGCGCCCGCTATTGCGGGCACCCTCATGCCCAACCCCGACCAAGTATCACCTCGAAATTCCCAATGCCATCACGAAAGCCCAGCTTTCAACTAACCCGTTATCTTTAATCTCCTCAGGGCCATGCTCCCGGTCAGTGGAGCGTTTTGATGTGGATCCATCTTCCCGATGGCCACTCCCTGACTGGCTGGACCACCAGCCCTATAAACCAGGGCCAACTGAACGCCCTGCTGGCAGCTCCTCCGACCCAGCTGCCCAGCTACGTCCGGACCTGGTCGCCTGGCGTCGTCCCTGGGGGCACGCAAAGCCACAGCCAAGTAAGAATTTACTACTGAACTTCCAAAGCTGCTCCTTAAGGCATAAATCTAATCCTTCGGGGCCAGTATCGTCCTGGTACTGAAGGCCCGGCCACGTTCGTTCTTTATAGACAAGGTGGTGTCAATCGTCCTACGACCTTCCTCCAGGTATGATCACGAACCATTCTTTGCTTTCGCGAAAGGTTTGGACTGGCATTTGACTTAACTTAGCCCTCGGCTCGCCTGGCTCCCCAAGCTTCCCCGGCCAATGCTGCTGCCCATCCATGGAACGCTCACATTGAACACTATCTTGGCGAGCGTCCTGTGAATGGATACCCTGTCCGCGTCATTCTCGTTGGGGCGAACTTCACCTGGCGACCTTTCTCTTTGGACAATGTGGACACCAACAGCTTCGCCCGGAAGATCAGAGAGTTCTACCGTAATGGATCTGAGATTTCGGCTGTCTCCTTCCAGTGCAACGGCTTCCCGAAGCGCATGGTTAAGCTGGGCATTATCGACGAGTTCGAGATAATGCGAGAGGACATGGAGGCCATGGCCGCCCATGTGCCCTACCGCGTGGACGTGTACGTGCACCCTTGGGAACCCGTTGGCCCCTTCACGCAGAATTGATCTTGATCCCACAAGATCTAGGAAGGAGTCTGGTTGTGTGGAGTTTTGAGGGATCTTCGAATCTGGTGATGGAAGGCTTCCTTCCGGAGTTTGGGTGTGAGGAGTTTTGAGGAATTTTAGGAAATGTTGTGAAGAGGGAATTTTTTTGGCCTTTTTTTTGTACCAGGAAAAGGTGCCTTCAATTTAATATGATCTTCAATTGAGCGAATCATTCCCGGCTTTTTATTTCGAGACAGCCCAAGTACGATAAGTGCTGGTGATTGGCACTGCTCGTAGTTGTGTATAGATCTGTTCCTATCTCAGATAAGAAATCCCAGGAGGTTAGATCACATGACCCGATCCCGACACGTGGGATTGCGCGTTCTGCGCGAAACCACCACGACCACAGCCCAGTCCCACAAGCTCTCCTGGACACGCCATGCGTCGATGCTAGTCAGCTCACCTCGATGACTTCACTGCCAACATCACACTCGACAATCCCTCCGCCAATCCCCGTCGAAACACACCCCAACCGCAGCCCCAGTCCCGGTTCCCAAGCTCCTGAACAAGATCGCATCCCGGACCCCAATCGCCTGGCGCCGGAGGATGCATACTTTGCGCCCTCGCTGTCGCGAGCTCGCTCTGCGCCGGCAAATTACGATGATACCCTGGGTTCGCTGAATGGCGAGGCGACGCTGCGCCCGCCGCGGGGGGTCCTTGGCGCGGACCCTAATCGGAAGGATGTGCGGAAATTGGGAGCTGGCCCCGGTGTTGGGAGGAGGAGACGGAAGGGCGCTTGGAAGAAGTTGCTTTGGGTGAAGCAGTCTTGTATGTGATATGGCTCTTTGGTGAAAGCTCAATACTCTGGGGGGAACATGTTTGCTGACAGGTACTAGATCCGGATAACTATACCGATACCGAGACATTTCTGGACCATCTTCAACGGAATCCTCGAGTACGGCCATATGACTTTTGGCCGCTTGTTTCGGACTCGACGGTTATCGTGCAACACGTTTGCTCTGTCGTCATCTTTGTTTGCTGCTTTGTTGGTATTGTGCAGGATCGGGTCAGCCCTGTTTCGATTGTTTGCTGGGGAAGCGTTGGTACCGCCATGGGCTGGATTCTCTGGGACAACTGGATCTGGCGAGAACAGACGGAGCTGTCGAATGCCAATGGTGCCATCGGGGGTGATGATGGCTCTAGTTCCAGCTCTATGGTCAGTTCTGCCAACCCCCCCGGCAATGATACGCACGCCAATGGCACGAAGGTCAGCCCGATCCACGGACTTGGATTGACGATGGCTGCGAACAACTCCAAAGAGCAGCTTCCGCACCAAAGTCTTGACTCTAATGGCAGTCTGGATGGAGTGATCGACGCCACCACACGATCTGGTCTTCACCCTGCTCCACCAAATGCTACTGTTGGTAGTGTAGACGCTCAAGACATTGACCGATCCTCCCTCTTCTCCTCTCGCAACCGCCAACGTCTCTCGACGGTGAAGTCCGCCTTCTTAATTTACTTCTCCCTGCTGGGATTGAGTCCAATCCTCAAATCTCTTACCAAATCCACCGCCAGCGACTCTATCTGGGCAATGAGCTGCTGGCTCTTAATCATGAACATATTTTCCTTCGACTACGGAAGCGGCGAAGGCGCTGGCGCCACCAAGTTTCCCGCATCCCTCTCCACAAACGCAGCCGTCATGGCCTCCACCGTGCTTGCATCTCGCCTACCATCCACTACCCACGTATTCAGCCTGATGCTCTTCTCCATGGAAGTCTTCGGGCTCTTCCCCATTTTCCGCCGACAACTCCGCCAGAAATCATGGACTGGCCACGTTCTTCTCACCCTCGCCCTCGTGATCATCGCAGGTGGTGCCGTGGGCATGACTCTCAGCGGTGGCTGGGCATCCGCCATTATCGGAGCCTTCCTCGGTGGGCTTCTGACAGCACTTGCGATGGGCGGCTGCAGTTGGTGGCTCATTAGCTTGCAGAAGTACAAGAATGTTGTAATTGGGCCTTGGGATCCGGCGCGACCTATTATTCGGCGGCACTGGAACTAATTATTTCCTTTCACCGGTTCCCCATCGTGACATAGATCTGGCGTTTCTGGGCTCTTTTCTTATACCCCTAGATTATTGTATGGCTTGATATGGGAATACACACATTGCATTTACCTGATCTATTCTTATGCCTGGCTTTGCCTAAAGGCAGCCAGCCCTTGCATGCTAAGCATCCGTGACGGCCGAGACTCGGCCGATTCGATTTCCTGGACAGAAAGATTTCCTTAATTGTCTTGCTTTTCATTGGGGTTGATGTGCGGAAGCCTGGAATATTCAATGACGTCGGAGGAATGTGAGTTGGAGGAAATGGATCTGGTGCCGACGCGGCATGCGAGCTCCAACATTGGTCCACCTTTTAACTCCCGCCGTCCGGCATCAACTGCTCCAAAGTCTCGGGGATGCAGCATCCACGAGCAAAAATATAGACCTCTCTTAGGCCAAGAGGTCAAGAGGTCAAGAGGACCAGTGATCTATGAATGGTGAACCGTCTTTGGCGATATCCCGCTGACCGGCCTCGCCGACATTCCAGAACCCCCCATTGCCCTTTTGGGGTCCCCTTCCTCATACTCATGGACCGCTCCAATGAGCTCGAACCTCATACAGGGATGTACATGCCCCGCGGAAAACCTCTGCCAGCCAAACGGCGGCTCTCAACTGGACTGGTTGCTATCCGTTTGGCTAGACCAATGATTCAAGCTCGGACCTGAGGCATTCGGGCATGTTTGGAAAGAGCCCCTGCGCTTTACAACTCTTATACTCGACTTCCTCGGCTCTTCGCGCGTTGGCTGTTTTCCTCCCCTCGTGCTTCTTCTCCATTCACTCCCAGCAGCACCCGGCTGCCCTCCTATTCCCATTGCTGGCTTGGTCGCCTGATCTGTCTTATCTTCTTATACATCTCTCTTCTGATATTTACGTGATTCGCGAGATCCGGTCCATCATGCTCAAGTCTCTTGCTCTCGGCCTTTTGGCCGCTCAAAGCGCCGCTGCGCTGCGGTTCGCTATGTACATTGACCAGTGAGTATGCCGGACTTTCTCAGACCAGGGGATAATGGGATACGGAGCTAACAATGTCCAGATACCACACGACCGATCTTCCCAGCGGGAATCAGACACAAGGCATTGACCATGCCATCATGGCTTTCGCACCTTCCAAGATCTTCAACTCCGATTCGGCTCCCGATTTCAAGCCCTTCGAGTCTCCCGAGAATATGCGCAAGCGTTTCGGCCCTGACACCAAGCTCATGATTGCTATCGGTGGATGGGGTGATACTGAGGGCTTCTCTGCCGGTGCGAAGGACGACACCACTCGCAAGCGCTTCGCCAAGAATGTCGCTTCCATGCTGGAAGCCAACGACTTTGACGGTGTCGGTGAGATTTCTCTATATCCGTAAATCTGATTGAATCTTTCTCCTAACCTGTCACAGACATTGACTGGGAATATCCCGGAGGCAACGGCCAGGACTACAAACAGCACCCCAACAAGGACAAGGTCGACGAAATCGAGACTTACCCCAAGTTCCTCTCCGCCATCCGCGAGGCCATCGGAAACAACAAGACCCTTTCCATCGCTGTCCCTGGACGCAAGGTCGACATGATCGCCTTCAACAAGGAGCAGGGTCCCGACATCTTCAAGTCCGTCGACATGGTCAACGTCATGAGCTACGATATCATGAACCGCCGCGATAACGTCACTTTCCACGCCAGCAGCGTCGAGGACTCCCTCGATGTTATCAACGACTACCTCTCCTTCGGTGCTGACGCTGAGAAGCTCAACCTCGGATTCGCCTACTACGCCAAGTGGTTCACCACCGACCCCGACTCGGACTGTGAGGAGCACCCGCTCGGCTGCAAGGTTGTGAAGCTTGAGGAGGACGATGGAAGTGACAACGGCAAGTCTGGTGCTCTGACCTTCGAGAAGAGTGTTCTGTCTGCGCCTCCCAAGGACCTTAAGGTTTCCACCAACGGCAAGTGCGGTGCTAGCGAGGGTACTAAGTGCCCCGAGGGACAGTGCTGCAGTGCCTACGGTAACTGGTACGTGCCAACCAAACACCTCTTCTCTCATGAACCAACTAACACTCATTACAGTGGCTCCGGCAACGACTTCTGCATGGCCGGCTGCATGTCTGACTACGGAACCTGCAAGGGCATCTCCATCACCGACTCCTGGCGCCGCGCCGAGAAGAACGGTAAGACCGATGAGAAGGCCGGTGGTCAGTACTACTGGGACAAGGAGACCAATCTCTTCTGGACCTGGGATACCCCCGAGATCATCACCCGTAAGTTCAACGACATTGTCGATACCAAGAAGCTTGGTGGTGTTATGGCTTGGAGTCTGGGTGAGGATACCTACAAGTTTGCTCATCTTGATGCTATGCAGGATGGTGTCAAGCAGTCTACTCAGAAGAAGGCCGATGGCAAGAAGAAGGATAAGAGGCACTCCTAATATTAAAATTTATGAGTTTAATACGACGCATTCAAGAGGTTTGCTTGATGGTCTGGTATGAGTATTCTAAATTAATTTTATTATTATAATTAAGAGGAATTGGGCTCTTTTTCACGTAACGTAATGCGTAGGACTTCATATTACGACCATAATGCATTTCTCAGATCAATTATGACTTACTTCTTGTGGTGACTACGAGATTAGAATGTACGGACTACGGGTTTAAAATATACGGGCTCACCTTGAAGACCTCTGGATGTTAATGAACAAATGGGAGGCCGTCAGGCACTGCCTGGATGTCTTTTGTGCTGTCTCTGCGCTCTCATCATGTCTTAACCAGTATGGGCACCGCACGCTAGATGTTAGAGTCGGGAGGGCTGGGTGTGAAGAAATGATGAATCAATAACTATTGAGTTGGGGGAGTATTTACCTTCAGCGGGCATTCACAACTCCGGTCCTCCCACACATCGATCTTCTTCATCAAGCTGGCTTCGACTGTTCATTTTTACCACCATTCATTCGAGTCAGACTCTGTCTCGTCTTCCAGCGGTGAATCACTCACTGCGTTAATCATTTGCCCAAGGACTGACTCCACATCTGCCTCCTCGTCTGCCTCCTTCTTCCGCCCAGCTCTTTTTCGGCCATTCCCTCCTCCATAGTCACGAACTCGCTTGAACCTTCGGTCTCCTGCGGGTAGTCAATGAAGGTGCGGAAGGAAACAAGCTTGGGCAGAAGAGATGGCCGTACGCCTTCTAGAAGGTCGTAGAGTCCACGCGGCACATTTCTGATCTTTAATTCCCGAAGATTTGGGAGGAAGCGTATCATGTCGGCGCACTCAGGCTGAGAAGCCACATGGGAAAGGACTCTATTAATGGTCTTGGTGGCAGCGCGGCTCCAGTAGAGGCTGAGAGTCTGTACGTTAGGGACGAGGCAAAGAAGCAGGGTCATGTACTCATCGAGTTCCCACTCACTGCGCAGATGGGGGCTTCACTCCCAGTATTCTTTCTCAGAGGAGCTGAACCTCCGTACTTTCGACATCATGAGCCTGTCGCCATCGTGGCCTTTGCAAATCTCGTGCATGTGAGGTCCGTTGGCGATTGGGTCGCTGTCGTAGACTCGACCGATTTTCAGGTGACGGACGGATCGGGCGAGTTCGGGATGGCGAAGAAGAGTGAAGACTAGGCCCTTGTACGTCTTCGCACAGGAGCAGTGACTTTCGATGAATGCGTATAGGTGGGTGCCAAGGAAGTTGTACATTACCTTGGATGTGGAGGCGAAAGCGACGAATGAGGGTCTGTCGAGATGCTCTGTGACGAGGAGGATTAGACCTGGGGGGAACTCGTTGAACATCTTATTTCCGGATTGCTGATCGATGACTGGATGCATGATTGCTTAAGAGATTGTGGAAAGTGTGATGAGAAGTGAAACGAAATGGTGATGGATGGGAAAAGATGGAGGAGGGAGATGGTATACGGGCGTGTGGTGTGACTGGATGGGGGATCTCTTGCCCTACCTAGGTAGGCACCAACCTTTGGGGGAAAAATAATAGAAAAGAAAAGCAATCCGACAATACCAGGAATCGAACCGGAGGACTCAAGTCAGTCGTAAATGCTTTTTCCAATTTTTTGCGAACCTCAGCTTACGTTGATACCTTGGCGCCAGGGGCATCGAACTGCAAACAAGCTCCATATTGCATTGCGAGCTATCAATTTCAACTCACTGCTCCCGATTTAAATACCTTTCAATATTCTCAAAAACTTCATATTCTACAGTATACTTCTTGACTAATCATAGGCTCAACTTAGAGCAGAAAATTCCAAGTGAAAGATGCTCAAAATGCCTCTCTTTTGTCAAGTGCCACAAATGCACCTATATAAACTATTTAAAGGGTATACTATCGTTCCGCGACGGGACTATGGCTGAGTGGTAATGGACCATAAGTTGGGAACTGGTGGTGTGAGAGACCTTCGAGGATGGGTTGTCCCTATGTCGGTCCCTCACGTTAAGCTACTGGAACTCGGCTTGCCATATGTTCCGTCGGACTGGACGGCTCTTGCAGCACTTTTTTTCCTTTTTCCTCTTCCTTCCTTCCACCGTTATTCTCTTATGTCTTTTTTTTTTTTTTTTTTTTTTTTTTTTTTTACCTCATCCTCCAAGGTTACACTCTCCTCTTTGTAGGGTCCGCAACGTCGACCACTCATTGCCATCGAAATCGCACAGCCCAGAAAAAGCTGACATTCCAGCCCACAACATCGCTGATACGGGTATGCTTGGCATGAAGGCAGCCGGGCTAAATATTCACTGATAGATACATCATTAACACATGAAATAAAGTTGGCTTCTTTCCCTTTTTGGCAAGTCCCAAGCGGATTTCAAAAGTACACTATGTCTCTAGGAAAGCCCCGCCTAGACTTACTCTACAGTCGTTTTACAAAACAAAACCCAATCCTTTTCATCGAACAACAATATCATGATTGAATTAACTCCTGGGTATAAAGAAAAAATCAAATATAGAGAAACCACCCGAGACAACATGTCTATTACCAACCAAGCTGTACTAACAGTCAAGCCTACGCCCGCACCTGCCGCGTCCGCCACCACTTCTTCTCATCAAGCACCATTTCCCGCTGCCGATTCTTCCAAGCACGAAGCTGTCTCTCGGGACCATCAAGTCTAACCCTCTCACGTCCGCGATGGGGATACTTCTCAGAAACCCAGCTCTTAACAACGAGCTCCAGTCCCTCCAGTACAAAATAAGCGAGCGGGAATAGAACGAAGATTGCCAGGGCGACGCACTCGGGACCGTGCGCATCGAGGACATCGATTAGATCCGAGGGCTTGGAGTACGAGACGACCCGCTTGGAGCCGCAGGTGTTCTTGCGGGACTGGGCGAGTGCGTGTCGAGGGTGCGTTTCGGATGGGATGAGGCTGTCCATTTTGCCTAGGAAAGTGCCATAGAACTGGCCGAGTGAAGAGTCGGGTTCGGAGTCGTGCTTGGATGCCGTCGCTTTGGTCGGGTGCTTGCTAGTGCCTTTGCCTGCGAATATGCCGTACTGGTGGTTGAATGAAATGGGGTCGTCGTGTTGCTCTGGGAGCTTTGAGAGGCGGAGCTTGCCCATGAAAGAGCCGTAGTGTTTCACGGACGTGAGTTGGTCCTCTTGGGACTTAGACTTGGATTCTGCGGGCACTGCATCGAAGTCGGAGCCTTTGGCGGAAGAAGGCTGCTCATGTTCAAGTCGAAGATGTTCGACGTAGTCCTGGAAGGGCTCGGGAATGGGAAACTTCTGTTCTCCGGTTTTGGTCGTCTGTTGCGCGGAGGCTTTCTTTGAGCTAATGTGGATGGTGGGAGTATCACCGGTAAGAACCAGCTGGATGGGCAACCCGGTGCTAAGCGCCGCACACAACAGGACGAAGGCGACCTTCATGGTGGCAGGGGCGCCCCCTGAAAATAAGGGAGGGTGGGAGTTGCATGAAGGTGGGAGTTGAGGGGGAGCGAGAAGTACTAGAGGTGTACTAAGTTGGGTGTCGCCGCGAGCAGCAACAAGCCATCCGCCGAAGCATGTGGCCGTTACCCGATTCTGATTGGGCGAGGACCGCCTCACCTTAACAGTCAGCAATCGTGCAACTCAGTCAGACATAGGTATACTGTACATAGAAGTCCTTAAGATAAATTATACGTATAGCTAAAATTCTATTTGCTGAATATCTAATCTTCATCTACTGAGTTGATCGCATTCGTGTTGAGATCCAGCAATTTGGAGTGGCTGGACCCTGCGGAATGCAGGGACTCCGGATGGGGCAAGGAGCAGACTATACAAAGCCATGCAGACCCTGCAGCCACAACAGCCCAGGGAGATTTAGCCGACATGGAAAAATATGTCCATGGTGTCAGCCATTTACTTGATGATTCAGAGGGAAAATACAGCGATCTAATACTTGGCACGGTCGGCGCATCTAGAAAATCAATCCCATCGAAGCGCCCGGTGTGGTCGTCAACCAGCATCACAATCATAAATATACAGCCCCAGTTAAGAATACCTCACTCCGCCCTTCCCCTCAAAACAATATTCTTCATCAGCCCAGTAAAACCCTCACCAACGCGCGCCAAAGGCGCTTCAACGCCAATAGACGCCCAAGCAAACGAATCCCCATTGATTCCGATTTTCGCAAGGAACTCCATGCGGGAGGAACTGTCTCCTTTCCCAACAGTCAATTTGGTGGTATTACCCTGAGCGATCAAACTCACATCCGTCCATTTGTTCAGCGGGAGACTATAATTCAGCGAGAACGGACTGCCACCACTGATCAAAGTCATGTTAGAGATTGTGCCATTGCCGTGGGCGAAAATCGAGTCCGGACCTGAGAAAAGTGTCCCGGGAGATGTGGACGTCGGCTTCACCCGGAACGAAAGCGTATAGTCGCGTCCCTTGCTACCCAGTGGTGTCTCGAGATAGCACCCGTCGGCGAGATGGAGGGCTCGATCAGAAATCTTGCAGCCGTGGACCGTGCCATGATACCCATTTCCCGAATGGTCGGTGACAGTATTCGAGTTCGACTCGTCAAAGGTATAGTGCAAGATCGTATCTGATTTGCTGGGGATTCTCCGGTCGAGATTCTGCGCCGGCACTGCGTTGTGTAGCGCGTCGAAAACTGAGCGATATTGATCCTCGGTGATGTTGCCCCCCATTGTTTATCCGCGAGGGCGGGTAGAGCATCGCGCCAGGAGTAGTAGGCCTGCAGCACGGTGGTGGAATTCTGACCGTAATCGGTCCACAACGCGGCCAGCTGGCCCAGAACGTGGGGGTTTCCGCGAGATGGATTGTCGCCGACCTTCTCGGGGTCAAATGTAATGGGAGAATAGGGCCTTCCGTACGGGCCGTCGAAGATCTGGCTTAGTTGCAACTCTTGTGCATACACCGGTGACCAGCCGCTGACAAGATAGAGGTAGTCGTCGGAGTTGAGGACATTGTATCCATTCTGCACGTAGTCCCAGTATGGATGGTCTGCATCTGTAGTCCAATGATGGTATGACACTGTCGTGGAAATGTTCGCGCCTTGTTTGGGCGTGAATGTCCCCCAGATTCGGATCTGCTTGCTGCCGGATGTTTCCTCACGGATGAAAGTGTCCATTTCATTCACGAAGCGAGTATAGTCCTCGATCAGGCCGCTATCGTATTCATCGGCGCCAATATGCACGACCTTGCTGTGAAACCACGGCAGGAACGTCTTCCAGATCGTTTTCATGGTTGGAATTGTGTCCGGGTGGCTGATGTTGAGCATGCTGAGATCATCAAGGCCCAGTTCTGGCTTCCACTGTACGATAACAAGTGCATGGCCGGGAGCTTCGATTTCGGGTATAACGGTCACACCTCTCTTTGCGCATTGCGTCTGGACGAGGTCGAATTGCTCGCGGGTATAGGATTCATTGGCATGGCGATTCAACCCGGCTACAGCAGGATCGTCGGACCAGAGACGGAAAGCTGATGCCAGGTTGAACTGGAATTCACGAGAATATTTGCTCTCGACAACGAGGTTATCGCTGAGATGCACATGGAAGACGTTTTGCTTGAAGAAGGAGAGGTAGGAACACATCTCGACTAGAAATTCAGGGGGATAATAGAATCGGCCGGCGTCAATCTGCAAATGTTAGTTAATGGAGTACGATGTTCAGGATACAATGGGACCTACCATCGCACCGCGTTCCCCCCACCCAGGAGCATCCAGGCCCCAACCCTTTGCAAGGGCACCGTCGCCTGTCACGGCGGCTTGAATGACCGTCCGGGTCGCCCACCATGCACCGAGAGGGCTCGCTCCTTGAATGACAATTCCAGTACCATCAACCTCCAGAGAATACCCCTCGTAGTTATACGTCCCTGCAGCATCCTTGAAGCCGGTATTGTTCCCAAGGGTGATGAAGATCGTATTCGCCTGGCGCGTATCATCCATTCCAATCGGCAATTCCAGCATCAGAACCGACCTCAGGTCCTCCTGGAAAGTGTGTGCAAACTCCGACAGTGTCGGTGGTATCAAAGTCTGTCCATTGGTATTCACATCGTCCGCGTAGCGACTATCCACCACGATACCCGTGATGTCCGACAGCGCATACTCTCCGCCGGTCTCGGTGAATGGCGTCGTAGGAACCGTTAACAAGTCGGCGTGTGCTGGAAAGCGTCAGCCTTTCGAAACCAACGCGTGAGGTTCGATCAGAATCATACCACCAACCCAAGTCAACGCATTTGCGGCGCAGAAAAAGGTCCGACTGAGTCGCATGACGTCGCAAGCGTCTGGGTTGCTGAACTCCGTGCAGCTGATCCCGGGATATTTGTACCCGGGGATCAAGGAGTTGATCAAGTGTCACGTAAGATACAACAGAAGGAACATGATTGCATTCTCAGCGAAGATGCAGACGCGCATTCCGCGGAGAGTTGCCGTACAACGTGCGGAAAGGGAAGCCACGATCGGCGCCGTGCGCTGATCGGCGGCAGACCCACCGGCGGGGAATGATCCGCAGCGACCATCCAGACTCCAGAGGTAGAGCATCAAACCAAAGATACGGGAGCGATGGCGAGTGGGGGAGAAATAAAGTATAGTGTGATTATTTTGAGACATGCGAGTGTTGATATTGCATTCTGTATGCACAATTCAAGTTGCGACGGTAAGGCGCAGAACCTTGCATTGAGGTTGGGACGGCGATCGTCAATAAACAAGCCCACGCACATTCGATAACAATTTGGATCGGAAGTCGGAGATTATGCGCTGTAAACCCTTCATAGATTCGATGGCCGGATAAATAAAACTCCATGTTCCAAGTCATTATTCTAAAATACTCTGTACACTCTAGAAATTTCTATACACATTACCTAACACATGATCTAAACTCGACACAAGCGGCCATTCTGGTCAGGCAGACCATCCTCGCTCTTCACAACCCAGTTCTCACTACCAACACCAGTAGGGACATAGAAGAGACCAGTAGGATCGTAGCGCTGCTTCAGCTTGTACAGACGAGCATAGTTCGATCCGTAGAAAGCCTGCTGGAAGTTCGGCTCCAGAATATCCGACTCCGACATGTAGGCACCAGCATCCGGGCAAGTAGCACGCCACTTGTCAAGAACATTGTTAGTGAAGTCTTCCATCTTGGACTTGATCTCGGAGTTGGTGGCATTGGCATCCCACGACGTCGAGGTAATGGCGTGCAGCAGAGTGTTGCGGAAAGCAGGGTTGGCAGAGTTGGGCGTGTACCCGTCCGGCAGCTCAGCTTTCACGTTGAAGGCGAGGAGAGAGTATCCATTGGCGACGGTCTCGTGGAGAGCGTTGAAGGTGGCGTTGAATGATGAGGCTGTCTCCCAGTTTTCGCGAGGGAAGAGCCGGGAGCCGGTCATCATGACTGATGAAGCGACCGTCTCGAGGGGAAACCCTGCGTTCCACGCGTCGTAGAAATTGTCGTAGTAGGTGGAGTTGGGGGTGAAGGAGATGCCTAGGGCCTTGAGGTCGTTGTACCACGGCTTGATGAGGGCGTTGTACTGGGCGAGAGTGTGGTTGACGGCAAAGAAGGGGTTCATCATGAAGGTGAAGGAGTCGGTGCCGGTGGACAGGACCCAGAAGTAGGCGTAGGTGCCCGCGTTGGCGTGGGCGGGGAAACGCTTCATGTACGAGCGCACTCCGGCCCAGAAGGTATCGGCGGAGACGTTGGTGCCGGTGGAGAAGGTGAAGGTCGAGACGGTCACGCCGACCTTAGGCTGGACACGGCTGATCACAGAGGTGACGACGCCGAAGGTACCACCACCGCCACCGCGGATGGCCCAGAAGAGATCGGGGTTGCTCTCTTCGGTCACGGTCATGAAGCGGCCGTTGGCAAGGACAACCTCCAGAGCGAGGACATGGTCAGCAGCCAGGCCATAGATGGAAGACATGGGGCTATGACCGCCTCCGAGGACGTAGCCGCCAGCAACTCCAACAGTCTGGTGATAGATTGTCAGTCAGAAACATTTAAGTGATGTTGATATTGGGGAATCTCACCTTGCCCTCTCCACCGATGGCGGTAAAGCCCAGCTCGTTGGCCTTTTCATAGATCTCGTAGGCTTGGACACCGGCACCCAGCTTGACAGCGGGGCCTTGGTAGCTGGGGCTGCGGTAGTTCTCGATGTAGTCAATCTCCTTGAGATTGTGAGTCCAGATGCCGAGAGCACCGGCTCCGGTCGACTTTCCATTGAAATCATGTCCGGTGTTCTTGACTACCAGACGCAGACCAGCGTTGCGAGCAAAGTTCACCGCCAGCTGAATTTGGGCCACGTTGCTCACATTGACCGCATAGCTGCTGTATCCACCTACCGTGCAGGAGGCAGAGGCATTTGTCGTGGGAAGGCAAGTTCGGCCCTCAAACAGGGGCCACATCACCGAGGCAGGATCCGCGGCGCTGGCGAGTCAGCACTTCTTATGCTATGCACTTCCGAGAGGCAACTTACTGGATGTTGGAGTTGGTCCATTCTGAGGTCAGAGTCTCGCATTCATTGGCATCATACTCGGGCCACGAAGAATAGCAAGATGCCGCCAGGGGCACCGTCTTGATCAGAGCACCTCCCAGCAGCTCATCGAACAACCGCCACACCCACTCTGACGGCCACAGCCAATCCCCTGGGAAGACCTTGCAGCCTCCAAAAGACCGGGTGTGCAGGTCGCTGTCATTCTTGGCAAAGTCGAACCAAGCAGACTGATTCTCGCTGAGTTGCGACAGCGAAGCCTCGGTCAATTGCAGGGTCTCACTCTCGAAGAAGGCCGCGCCAGATGTCGAGCCTGTGGACACACGCTGCACAGTGGCAAGAGCATCGCCGGTGGCAGCCAGGGCGACCAGACCACCCGCAATCAATGAACGGGGCGCCATTGTGGAGGGGAGAAAGAGAGGAGTGTTGAAGGGAACAAACACTACACCTCTGGATCGGCAAGAGGATTACCCAGAGCAATTCTAAGAGCAAACGGCCTTTTTAAGAGAGCGGAGCTGATCGGTAGACAAGCTCTCAGGCCACGAGGTTGACAAGACGAAAATCTCCCCACCACAACGACCAAGTCTACTTGTGCATTCTTTGCAAATGCTGGCCACCGAGATGTGCTCCGCCCCACTGACTACACCAAGCGTTGGAAAAGCATCGCGGAATCTTTGCAGCGAGCCCTGATTCGACTCCACTTTTCCGCTAGGGCGACGAGTCCGGACAGACTGGGTGGGTGCGCCGATTAAATCTCCGAGACATGCATCGCTCCGGCAGTGGGCAACGGTGAATGATATTGCATTATGCTGGCACTATTCGCATTGCAGCTAGTTCCACGCCACACTTTACCCGCGACGACAGTCCTACTGTATTGGGGCTAGAGGGGTGGCTCTGGCTGAACTAGTCCAGGGCCGGACTTGTTACCAGAGCGGACTTGGAGTCTGTTTATGGCCCTGTTCATCTCCCGATCGGCCCCCACACCGGCGATTCTCCGGCGTGTCCTTCGCTTATGCCGACATGGAAGACGGATCGAGGGATTCCCTCGTGGTTTCAATAGTGCATGCGCCACAAGAGACAATAGGATTAAGAGTCTACGTGGCCATTTTTGATCCATTTTCTGCACGTCCGACCAGCCTCTAGAAATGGATATTTGCCGGGTGAAAGGACCCGAGGCATTGATATAATAAGGACAACCTTGCCATCAGCTTCGATCTACTCGAGATTTACCGATCCACCCGGGTTCGCAGTGGACACCAGACGCTCGGACATGACTACAATTAATTCAACTGCTCGGCCGAGGTTGTTGTTCGCCTACCCTAGGGCATCGTACGATGGGGAAATTAGAGTCGAGGCCCTGGCCGGCTGTGGCAGACCGTACAAGCAAACATTAAAGTTGGGGCGTCCACCTTCCACAGAGATTTCCCACCGCGACTCCGCCACAACCTGACGACAGGAACAGACTTTCCTGATATGATAAACTCTGATCTATCGATCCTGAAGGATCTGTTTCACCCGCCTCTCGTGATAATGATGCCGTTATTTATTGGACGGGAAAATCTCGCCTTGCCCACGGTTCGTGGGCGGATGGATGGTGTGACTGGATCTGGGGAGGCCCCACCTCGGTTCCGTGGGCTTGCGAGTCCCGAGAAGATGTCTCAAACACTCACCTGGCAGACACTCCCGTCAACGATGCGAAGAAAATTTCCCAAGTGTGCTTGGCAGCAGATATGCGGATCTCCCGATCTAATCTTACATCCATCGAGAATTTAACCGGCCTGCAGAAAATCAGATTGCGAAAGTAGACACATCACACCTTTATTTTGCTTTCTCTAGCGAAGATGGCTGCAGGAACATGCATAGCCGAGTCTCCAACATTTAATATCGGATTATATATCGAAGACGGGCCAGCACTCATAGTAACTCCTGCATTTCCCTCTTGGTGGAGCTTCATCCTCTACGCCATCGACAATTGGCCGCCGGAAGATCTAGGACTCTATGAGTTGCTCTTTCGGGGCGTCCGGACTCGAGCCCCATTCCGTCAATCAGGTTCCTGGGCCTGCGTCTCGGATCCTCGGCGAAGTGTATGGAAGGGGTATTCAGCCCTGGCTGGACCTCGTTTCGTTCGTTGCACATAGCATACCTTAATTCGCCTTGTGGGTGGCGGTTGGCTATGTGCAGCGCTTTTTAATAGGAGGCTCGGGGCGTTGTGAAACATTTCCTACGAGGTCTGCTTTCATTTTCCTCCCACACTCTGTGAGACCATGCAGGATGGTTGACGACCATCACCAAAAGACGGCGCTGGGAATTGTGGTCGCTTTCCCGGTCCTCGGCGGGCTCGCGGTAGTTCTCAGGCTTTGGAGTCGGGGCTTGTCGCGATCTGCACTTACCAGTGGTATGTTAGTCTTGATCTGCCCCCATTGATCTGCATCTAGGTTCGGCTAGGGTCTTGGTGTACTGATGAAGCTACTAGATGATTATTTAATTGTTGTCGGTTACGTATGTTGATGGCTCATGTGTTTGTATTTGCTGCTCACTGACTTGAGTGAACAGATTCTGGCCGTGTCGCAATCTGTTACATCGTGGTATTGTAAGTTTTCCGGAGCTGGGTGTTGAGAACGCCGTTGCTAATGACCTTGAAGACATCAAGACGAATTATGTCGGCATTCACTCATGGGATATTCCTAAAGATTATGATGTTAAAACGGGCTTAATAGTGAGTACTTTTGGTACTTACACTTGGAATATCTTCACTAACATAGATGGCAGTGGAACTTCGTGAACCAATTGCTCTATAACCCAACATTGACGATCATCAAATTGTCCATCCTCACTTTCCTTCGCCGACTGGAATCTCGGTCACGCCTCGTCAACACTCTTATATGGGCCTCGATTGGAATTGTGGTTGGTCTGTTCCTGGCGGTGCTATTCGTCGACATCTTCCAGTGCCAACCCGTCCAATATGTCTACGACTTATCGATCGAAGACGGAAAATGCATCGACCAAGGCGGCTTCTACGTTTCGACAGCAGCATTGAACCTGTTCACCGATATCATCGTCCTATCCATTCCCATAATCATCACATGGAACCTTCAAATGCCCCTGCGACGAAAGCTCGCTGTCTGCGTCATCCTGTGTCTCGGTGGAGTGTACGTCATCGATGGTCAACGCTTCACATCCAGAACAAAGCTAACATCATCCAGAGCCACCGCAATCGGCGTCTGGCGCATCGTGATCCTCGCCGAGGGCTTCCTCTCTCACAAAATTGTCACAGATGCAACCTATTCAATCGGATTCTGCAGCTCCGCCATCGAAGTCAACGTCGCCGTCGTCACAGCCTGCGCCCCATCCATGAAGGCCATCGCAACCAAGTACCTCCCCCGGCTCCTCGGCACCTCCCGCGGCGCGACATCCGGCTACGGGCCTGGAATGAGCGGATCACGCGGATTTCCCGGCTCGAAGATCTTCACCCGGAATAAGTCGCAGCTACACTCGAATGCGGATGATGGGTACGAGATGGCGGATCCGACGCACCGCGTCGATATCGGCGTTGATGGCGATCGCTTCGACATGCGGAAATATAAGCGCGGGGGAGATAGTCCCAGTATCTCGAGTGGGAGCGAGGACGGGGTGGCTGGGATTGTGAAGACGACGGATGTGTCGGTGAAGTATACCATCGGCCAGGCGATTCCCATGCCGGATAATGGCCGGTCGCATGGGAAGCATTCCAGTGTGGATAGTCTGGTCTAATAGGACACTAGGCCCGAGATAAAAGTTATTGTACAGTATGATACGGACATAGTGACAATCGAATCTACTATTAATCATCAGGATCTCCAAGTTGGGGTAGTCCATCCCGAGGGACGGAAGAAGAGGGGAAGTACGCGACCCCGCCAGCTATCAAACTCTCACCTTTCCTCCTCCACATCGCAGCTTTTGCGCATATCGAACACCTCACAATGGCACAGCAATATGAGCTTCCGTTTAAGGTGTGTTTTCCATCTCGTCGCATTCTGTAGCGTCGTGCTGCCCGCGCCCATTGAACCCTGAGCGGGCTGTGGAGTTCTCGGCGAGATGTCCGAGGCATTCGGCAGCGTTCCTGACAGCCGACACTAACGCTGCCACAGCTATCCGACCCATCTCTCCTGCATTTCGACTCCTTCGTGGGGAACAAATGGGTAGAGGCCAAGAACAAGCAGCGATTTGAAGTCCTCGGTACGCATCAATTCTCAGTGTCCTCAACCGGTCGGTCAGCGTATACATGATTAACACTCTTCAGACCCCGGGACCGACAAAGCATGGGCCAGCTGCCCCGTCAATACAGCCGACGACGTCGATGCCGCGGTGCAGAATGCCCACGCGGCCTTCGAGGACTTCCGCAAAGTAAGCCCGCGCAAGCGGGCGCAGTGGCTGCTGAAATGGTGGGAGCTTACCACCGCAGCGCGGGACGACCTTGCTCAAATCGTCACCCACGAGACGGGTAAGCCGCTGGCGGAGTCCTATGGAGAATTGGACTACTCCTTGGGTTTCCTCTGGTGGTTTGCCGGCGAAGCAGAGCGTATCCAGGGCACCGTGTCTGTTCCTGCGGCGCCAAACCGCCGTTTATTTACGATTAAGCAGCCCATCGGCGTGGCTGCGGCGCTGGTGCCCTGGAATTTCCCCGTCGCGATGGTGCTGCGCAAGGTTGGCGCCGCGATGGCGGCAGGGTGTACGATGGTTGTCAAACCGAGCCCGGAGACACCCATTTCCTCGTTGGTGCTGGCTGAACTGGCGCAGCGAGCGGGCATCCCGGCTGGTGTGTTGAATGTCTTGACGACTGACCTAGAGAACACTCCACCATTGAGCGAGGCGCTGTGCAAGCACCCACTCGTCAAGAAGGTGACCTTCACCGGCTCGACTCGCGTCGGCAAACTGGTCGCTACACACTGCGCACAAGGTCTGAAGAAGCTGACCCTCGAGCTGGGTGGTAATTGTCCGTTCATTGTCTTCGACGATGCAAACCTCGACCAGGCTCTGGACCAGCTCATGGCACTGAAATGGCGCCACGCTGGCCAAGCGTGCATTACCGCCAATCGAATCTACGTGCAGGCCGGTATTTACGATCGCTTCGCTGCCCTTCTGAAGGAACGCACCAGTGCATTGGTGGTGGGCCACGGTTCAGCCAAGGATACCACGATGGGACCCTTGACGACGCCCCGCAGCATCGATAAGGCGGTTGCGCAGGTCGAGGATGCGCGGAACCGCGGAGCGCAGGTGATCCTCGGCGGGAAGCCGTTGACTTCGCAGAAGGGTTACTTCTTCGAGCCGACGATCCTGTCGGGTATGACCGAAGAGATGCAGATCTCGCACGAGGAGTCGTTCGCGCCCATCGCGGCGCTGTACCGGTTCGACACTGAGGAAGAGGCGGTGCGAGTCGCTAATGCGACCAGCATGGGTTTGGCCAGCTACGCGTTTACTAAGAACGTCGATCGCGTTTGGCGGCTGTTTGAGAATCTGGAGGCTGGAATGATTGGAATGAATACAGGTGGGTGCAAGTTGTTTCTTGATGATAAAAATTCGCAAACAGAGCTGACAAGTTATTAGGAAACCAATCGGCCGCGGAGTCGCCATTTGGAGGCATGAAGGAGTCTGGCTATGGCAAGGAGAGCGGCAAGGAGGTTGCTGTCAACGAGTATCTGGTGACCAAAACGGGAACCTTGACGATCGAGGGCCAGTACTGAGTAAAGCAAGCGTCGGCTTGGGTGTAGATGTGGAGAGGGTTGATTTGGGCGAGTCTCCAGATGCAATGATTTGAAATTCTGTCCGTCGAAAAGCTTGTGGCGGCGCGGTCCGACTGGCCTAGAAGCTGCGAACACATGGAGATCGTCGTAAGAAATGCGCGACGACCGGAAAGCTGCCGAACGAGTCGTGGTTTTATGCTTGTTCTTGAAGAATGTAGCGATGGACCGTCGTGGAGATACCCGAGTCGAGTATAGCCAGATTGAAGCCCAGCCAATGTCATTCGTCATTGTACTGAATTCCATGCAAGAGTAGCGTGCGCGAGGTATATGCGAGTCAGCTCGTATTTTCACTTAGTGCAAATATCCCGAGCTTTTGAGGGTAGAATTTGCAATGTGCAGCCTCGCGAGTTGAGCCGTCCGATTCTTATCATCATCTGAGTTATCGCGACTCGCTTTTCCTCCGCCCGCCGCAACTCGATATCCTACCGACAACCATGGACCTCACGTCTCTGCGCCAGCTGATCCAGACGCATCCCCTAATCGATAATCACGCCCACAATCTTCTCGAGCAAAATGCAGCAGCCTCAGAAGACGACTATCCTCTAAAGTCCATCGTCTCCGAGGCCCACGGTCGCGCCCTGGACAATGCGCTCACCACTCTGCCTCTAATCCGCGCAACAAACCAGCTTTCCGAGCTCTACGGCACCCTCTGCTCCAACTGGACCGATGTCGAGAAAGCCCATGCTCACTGGGTGCAAAGCGACTACCAGGGCCTGGTCCGACGATCGCTGGAAGGCACCCACACCCTTCTCCTCGATGACCTACTGACGGACGATGATGTCGAGCCGTACAGCTGGCACGACCAGTTCACCGGAGCCGCGACGAAGCGCATCGTGCGCATCGAGGCCGTGGCTGCTTCCCTACTCGTCGAGCTGATGGACTACGAGCGCAAGCCCGACGAGACGGTGTGGGGTCTATTCCGAGCCCGCTTTCTCGCCGCACTCGATAGTGCTATGGATGACCCGGCTGTCGTCGGATTCAAGTCCGTGGTTTGCTACCGGACGGGCTTGGATGTCGATCCCTACTCTGCCGATGAGGAGGCGTTGACAGCCTCGCTCCATCGGACCCTGGACTCGGGTACGAAGAGATCGGGCTACCGTGTTGAGGATAAGGCTTTGAATGACTGGCTTGTGCAGCAGACGCTTAAGGCCATTACGTTTAAGAAACGGGCTGGTATCGTGAAGCCGCTTCAGTTTCATACTGGACTCGGTGATAACGATATCAATCTGGTCAGGGCCAATCCCGCTTATTTGCAGCCGTTGATTGACCAGTACCAGGATGCGGATATAATTCTGCTACATTCTGCGTACCCTTATACCCGCGAGGCTGGGTATTTGGCGAGTGTTTATCCCAATGTTTATCTTGACCTTGGCGAAGTGTTCCCCATGGTAAGCCGTGATGGTCAGGAGAAGCTTCTTCGGGAAAGTCTCGAGATCGCTCCCTTGGATCGTCTGTTGTGGAGTACGGATGGCCATTTCCACCCTGAGACCTTTTGGCTGGCCAATTGTCAGTTCCGCCAGGCACTTGAGAAGGTACGATCTCTCTCTTTCTTTTGTTTCATGTTACTGGTATACTGATGCCACGCAGGTCCTCGTTGAGTATGTCCAGTGCGGCGATATGAATGTGGAGCAGGCAAAGACTGCTGCCATTGGAATCCTTTTTGAAAACTCGAACAAGATCTATAACTTAAACGCATCAGTGAATGAGACAAAGTTTGGTTTCTACGACCCTCCATCGGTAATGCGTATCACACAGACCCAGAAAGCGACGACAGACCCTCTTGATGCCTTATTGCAAAAATACCCCGACCTCAAGTACATTTGGATGCAGTGGATTGACTATACCGCAACTACAAGAGTGCGAATATTCCCCATTGCAGAGTTCAAGCGCATCGCCCCGAAGGCAAAGACGGATAGGTATCTCCTTGGCGGTATGCTGGATGTTGCAGGACGACACCGTTCTGCCCGAGGGTTCAACGACCGGTCAGTTCTATCTAGAGCCTGACCTGACTAGCCTCTATCATAATGTGAGCCTGTCATCTTCTGCCAGTGCGACGATCATGACTTTCTGGCGATCAGAACGCAACGAAGTAATGGATGGGTGTCCAAGAACGACGCTCGAAAACATAGTGCAGAAACTCAGAGCGGAGCATCGGGTCGAAGTCCTCTGCGGATTCGAGATCGAAGTGGTTTTCTTGAGACCACAAACAGACGAAACAGGAATGACCACCAACTATGCGCCCGCGACCAGAAACCATTCCTGGTCCCAAATGACCTCCGATACCCGAATCATGGTTCCCATCCTAGAAGAAATCAACGAGATGCTGGCATCCATGGGAATAAACCTGCAACAATTCCACGCCGAATCCGCACCAGGCCAATTCGAATTTATCCTCCCACCAGCAACACCCCTCGCAGCGGTAGACGCACTCTACGCCGCGCGACAAGTCGTTACAAACATTGCAGAAAAGCATAGCTTGAGAGCAACGTTCCACCCCCGACCCATTGCCAGCGGCGCAGGAAGCGCAGCACACACACATATCTCAATCAACAAGCCCGAGCGCGAAGATGCCTTCTTGGCTGGTATTCTCAACCACTATCCCGCCATTGCGGCATTCACCCTTTCCCAGGATGCAAGCTACGAGCGCGTGCGCTCAGGAATCTGGGCTGGCTCGGAATGGGTTGCGTGGGGCTTCCAGAATCGCGAGGCACCTGTGCGGAAGATTGGGGCTGGGTACTGGGAGTTCAAGTCTGTTGATGGGGTGGCGAATACGTATCTTGCCGTGGCTGCCCTGCTGGCTGGCGGGTATATCGGGTTGAATACTGGTGCAAAATTGACTGTGGAGGAGTGTACAGGTATGATGAGTTTCTTTTTGCGGACGAACTGGACTGACTAGTGGCAGTGGATGCATCGAGTCTTAGTGCTTCTGAGCGTGCGGAACTAGGTATTAGGACGCCTCTGCCTAAGACGCTTACCGAAAGCCTTGAGGCCCTTGAGGAAGATGTGGTCTTGTGGGACCTTATGGGTCCTAAGCTTGTGAGGAATTATATTGCCGTTAAGCGTGCTGAGTCTGAATGTCTCCGGGCTGTGCCTGAGGCGAAACGCCGGCTTTGGCTGCTTGAGAGATATTGAATATACTATAATCAAATAACACGTCGCTGGGCGATTCGAGCCGGCCGACAGGATGAGATATTTCTTCTAAACGAGCAGATAATCCAGTAAAATGAACCGGCTGTGGCACAACATCTTGGCACGGCACTTGCCTGCTTGCTTCATCCGGGAGTTATGCTAGCCCCTGACACTCAATTTCCACCGTGTTCCTGCTGGTCGAATTTCGCAATTTTGATTGAATTCTTGCGGACCTATGACCTTATCAAAATGCAAGACGGGGCGTTTAGTAGTAATATTTAGGTTGTGGGTATCGAATCACCGGCAAGCCTAATTCTAACCAATCGCTTCAACTATCCTTAATTTCCAAAGTGACAGCCTGAGGCACGGCGTCACAAACTCCAATCTGATTGGACTAACTTGTTGTCCAGTTAAGCATGTACCATTGTGCCTCATGACCTAGTTCGCGAACACAAAAAAGGTTCAGCCATACCACTCCCGCAACGGAATAATACTCTCCAGTAACATAGCAGAACCCGAAATACACCCACTACACCTTAGATTCGGCTTTGAGTGGACATCACTGCCCAACACATCCAAAACTAGCCCGTATCCGGTATAGTGAAACGTGAGCAATCGCATACAGAGTGTTCATTGACTAGAGTCGATCCTGGTCACAGCCCTGGTAATTTCAAGGTTGTTCTGGCCGCGTCATTTCGAAGCGGGGTGCACCCTCTATCAGCTCCGTCTGTCAGCAGGGCATTCGAGGGCTCCCGAGTATAAAAGCTGAAGGTTTGTCGACGTGCAATGGAGGAGAGTGCAAGGCTAAAACTCTATGTCTCGCCATCATGAAGCTAGCTATTTTCGCCATGGTTCTGACGTGGATTTCCTCCGCTGTGGCGGCGCCGGCGGGGGGTGAGATTGGGAAGCGGAATCCGTCGGGCGAGTTTAAGCTTGTTGCGTACGGTGTTGCTTCGTCGTATATCGATGTTTTCTTCTCAGATGGTTCGTTTCTTCAGTTCATGAGGATTTCCTAGCTAACGGTTCGCAGGACTTGCCTACGCCGGTGATTCCTCACTGTGGAAACAAGAGGGGAACGTTGTTACCGATGTTACGTGTAAGGCCCTACCCCTACCAGTATATCAAATAACCTGCCTGCAGTACTGTGGCAAGGTCATCCGACACTAATGGACGGTAATAGTCACCATGAAGAATACCGAGCTAGTCACAACCGCCACCACACCCGGCGTTACACTGGACGCCAGCACGCTTTTCTACATCCGTCCTACCAGCAACGAAGTTCTGCCGGTGGGCTTCACTGAGAATGGCACCAAGACGCCTTCTGATGCTGTGACCGACAGCTTCATCTTCTATGGGACTTATCTTATGTGGGAACAGACTGGTGGTGCCCTGTCTGACTCGTTCCGTCTTAAGCCCACGAATATCTCGGGTGTCTACCAGCTCTATTACGATTATTCCAACACTTATCCGTCGGGATACCTGCTTCCGGTTGTCAAGTCGAAGGATGTTTGATTTTTATTTCTTCTTTATCTTGATCCGATTATGTGCTGCGGTGAACCGCTGGGGGACCGTCGGGTCAACGATGGATATGGTGTTACCGGCATATGCAGGAGTAGGTGTCTTGAAAAATGAAATACCCTTACGATTCTTGTACCTTGAATTTTATTTCTATACGAAGTAGTCCTCTTGAAGTGTTTATGAGAAAGATACTTCAGCTTTATCGTTCGTCTCGAACTTTTCATCGCAAGTTTAGATGAGAAACAAGAAGTGAAAATATGAGACGGTAGCAAATTTGCTCAAAAGCCGACGATTCAATTTGAGAAATTTTTAAACTGAGATTCACGACAAAATCACTCATCATCAATACTAATCAAAACAGTCTTAGTCTCCAAATAGTTATCAAGACTAACAGTCCATCCCTCCCGACCAATCCCACTAGCTTTATACCCACCAAACGGCATATCTTTAGCCGTAGTCGGAGAAGTACAGTTAACACCAACACTTCCAGATTCAAGCTTCTTCGCCATCCGCAAAGCCCGACTGATATCCTTGGTGTAGACGGCCGCATAAAGACCATACTCAGTATCATTAGCCTTCGCAACAACCTCGTCCTCATCACGGAATGTGTTAATATGCACGACGGGACCAAAAATCTCCTCCTTCATCGGCCTCGCGTTCTCAGGTGTTTCCAGGAACAAAGTGGGGGAGATGAAGAACCCGTTCTTCCCATCGGACGGCTCAGCACCCAACGCCAGCTTACCGACCTTCTTCGCCTCCTCGATATAAGACTGGATTTGCTTGTATTGGATCTCATCAGCCTGGGGGCCGTGTGTGGTTGTGGGAAGGAGAGGGTCGCCGCTGTTGACCTGGGCGAAACTCTTCTGGAACAGTTCAATGAACTTCTGAGCGATGGACTCGTGGACGTAGATTCGGGTGTTGGCCATGCAGACTTGGCCGCTGTTGAAGTGGATGCTGGACTTGGTCTGCTCGACGGCCTTTTCGATGTTGGCATCTGGGAAGATGATTGCGGGGGACTTGCCGCCCAGTTCCAGAATGACGTTTTTCAGGTTCGACTTTGCTGCTGCGGCTTGGATGAGGCGGCCCGTTCGGCCCGAGCCTGTGAAGCTTATGACACGGATGTCCATGTGGTGGGACATCACGTTGCCGGAGACCTGGCCGTGGCCGTGGATGATGTTGATCACGCCAGGAGGGAATCCTGCTTTTTCGACGAGGGTTGCGATCTTGGCTGACTGTGTTGACCCAAGATTTAGTGATTTGACAAAAGGAGTGTATATCCTCATGGTCCTACCGTCAACGGAGCCTTTTCACTGCTCTTCACAATGACTGTGTTGCCGGTAATCAAGGCCGGAGCACACTTTCCAATCTTAAGAACTCGTCAGAAACATGCAGGCATATGAATAGCATGAAGGTAACTGACCAAGAACAAAATAGGCACATTCCAAGGAATAATCGCACCAACAACACCATATGGCTGACGCATAGTGATATTGACAAAACCAGGCGTATTGAGACTGGTTGTTCCCTGCGCATCATAGCCCGTCTCGGCATAGTGCTCCAAAGACTCTGCAGTAACAAAAGACTCAAAATACATCGAGACCGGCCGGCCCATGGACAAAGCCTCAAGCTCAGCAAGCTCATCATGAGATTCGCGAATCAATTGGGCCAGCTTCTTGAAGTACGTTCCACGGTCCGACGGGGCGAGCGCAGACCACGCGGGAAACGCAGCCTTTGCAGCGGCAACGGCAGCATTTGTGTCGGCTTCAGTCGCCTCAGAGACTAGATCGATCAACATGGTGAGATTGGTCAATTCCGGGGAGTGTTGCAGTCAAGTCAAAAGTACCTGAAGCGAATTTCTCGCCCGTCGCGGGTGAGGACAGGTCGAATGTACCGCCGTCGGAGGCTTCGACGAACTGCGCACTGTCAGCACCCCCACGGATTCACATTATTATTGAGATATCGCGAGCTAAACGCAACCCACCTTGCCGTTGATGAAAAGGCGCGTCTCGAAAGATTTCACCTTCGGCTGCTGCGAGATACTCATGGCGTCTTATGTCTGGACAGGGTGGAATCGGACGGTGATTGGCGGGGCGAGAAGGCAATCCTTGTTCGACAGCTTCGCGGTAGCTGTACGGCGGTTCTTATAGAAAAACTGACAGCTCGCTTGTCAGAATCTGTCCGTGGAAGTGCGAGTGGATTTGTCCGATTGGGACAGTCCAAGTGGATCCGGATGACCCCGCATGAGAAGTACGAGGCTGCCAGAACAAATCAAATCAGGAGGGCGATGCTGAAATTTGACGGAGTGCACTAGGACTAGTTGAATGAGGGAAATGCATGGCTGATCATCGGATGCCAATACATTAATTCGCCCGTCCCCGAGGTCTCCCCGAGGCATTTTGATCTTAAGCAGTGTTTGGCTTGTTGGCGTGGGATGGTTTGTAAGCGTCGTCACTGCTTTAAGGAGGCTGTCGCAGCTTGATTTATCCAAACAGGTAATAAAATGGATGAAGATAGTGTATAAATTATATTCGTATGAAATCGTGTATTTTTCATTTTTAATATTAGTAGCCTTGTCGATTCATGCAAACGTTCAGCTTGGGATAGCCGGTTCGGCACCCCAGGCTGGGATAGGGAAAACAATATGCGAAAACGCCCGGCCGTTAGCTGCCGTATATCTAGCCGGACCTCGATGCTATATGCACAAGTGATGTATGCTCCTCCCAAATAAAAACGAGAATGTAAATGGAAGAAATGATGCGCGAGGGAAAATAAAAGCGGTTAGATAGCACTACAAACATTGACCACTTGACTATTTTGATAATGCAAATCGACATGATCAAATATAATCAGGTGTCTGCAGTCAATGACGGAGATTGCAATATAATTTCCATCAAATTCAGATAAGACAGACCGAAACGCAAGCATAATGGTCACTTTCTGTATCATTTGATGCGAGATGGTGAAATAGGCATTGAAAGTAAAGCCAGATGTCCAGGAAAAAAAAAAAAAAGAGGAAACGCTTATAAGCAAAAGGTCGAACAAAGTTCAAGAGAAGAGATCCTATCATGGCGCCTTCTTCCGTTCCTTCTCCAACCCGTTCTTTTCCCACTCGTCCAGAAGGCGGGAGACCTCCCGGAATGAAACGGGCTTGGTGAGGAACATGTCCACGCCAGAGGCAAGTGCCTCAGATTCATCCCGGGAGCTACTCAGTCCCGTCAGAGCAATGATGATAGCCGGCCTGCGATCGTCGTTCTCCTTCTCCATGGCGCGAATGGCACGAGTTGCTTCGAATCCGTTCATCACAGGCATCGAGATGTCCATGAAGATGATGTCGAAGCCAGTTTGTAACCGCTCCACGGCCTCAACGGCAAGCTTGCCGTTCTCCGCGGACGCGAGCTCGGAAAGCTTGCGTTTCTTCATGAATGTCATCATGAGGTTGAGGTTGATGCGGTTGTCATCTACGACAAGTACTCGCGCAGTTGAATCGATGCTCCCTTCGACTAGTGGCGCCGGGAGAGGAGCCGCGGCGATGGCATCAGGAGGAGAGGACACGACAGAGGGCGCATTCGGCGGAGGCTCTCCAGTCGATTTGGGGCCAGTCCCAGCTACCAGTGGCGGTGAAACGCTGGGCGGCGAAGGTGATAGCGCGAATGCGGGAGATTTGACCGTGGGGGTAATCGGGGGTGTTCTGATGACGAGATCCAGTGACTCCATCGGATTCTGGAGAACAGAAGCCGGTGTCACCACCGTAGAGCGAGAGTTTTGGAAGCACTTCAACACGCTGCGAGCCAGCTTGTGAGGCCCACAAGGGCGTCGAATGATGTTGACCGATGTGGCAAGTGCCAGCCACTCAGACCGTGCCATGCTGTAATCAACGGGCTTATGGCAGAGGATGAGCAAAGACGGCAAGGTGGCAGTCAGCGGTGTATTGCGCAATTCTGGCAACATCGCCTCTTCAATGACCAGCATATCCAACGGAAGATGAGAGGGCCAAGAGACGATCTCGACCCTAAACCAGTCTCTGAGGTATTTCCCGATCTCGGCCCAGGTCTGATTCTCTGCGATCTTTTCTGGCTCCACGCCCCAGAAAGCAGCCCGTTTGCCAGGGTAGCCTTCCTGGAGCAGAAGGGTCTGTGTCAAGGCTTCATTTTGCTGACAATTGTCCGACGCTTGGTCAACCGGCGGGCTTTCTTCGCCAACCGGACGTGCGAGAGGCAGAGAAACACGTACGGTCGTACCTTCACCAGGCCTTGAACGGACACGAATGTTGCCATTCAACGCCTTGACCAGGCTTCGAACGATCGACAGTCCCAAACCGGTACCCACTGCCAACGAGTCCTCTTGTGCGAACGGCATATAGAGCTTTCTGCGAAGGAATTCTTCCGAGATACCCTTTCCGGTGTCAGACACAGTCAACGTGACAAGATCCTCTAAACCTTGCCGCCGGGAGCGACCTTCAGATTGGCTTGATGCTTCTAGACTGACAGTGACACGACCCGAGTCCGTGTATTTCATCGCATTGCCGAAAATGTTCATGATAATGCGCCGAAGAGCACCCGGTTGCGTGCGGTAAATCCAATCGCGAGGCGCCACATCAATGATGACATCGACGTTGGATCGGCCAGTACTCATCTTGGGGGTATTTGAGGACAAAACTGAGAGATCAGCGGACGCACTGGAATTCTGTCCGTAAGCAAGACCCAGGCAGATCCCTTCCACGACCTCTTCGACCAAGATCGCAAGATCAGTCACAACATATGAATCGAGATGGGATGCCAGCTCGTCCGTTCCTTTGAAGTCGAGTGGCGATTCCTTCCTCCGTTTCAAGGAACGCAATGTTCGCTCAAGCGAAACAACCTTGCTGAAGTCGAGGACTTGGTTCATCGTATCAAGCAGGGTACGACCACAAGCATTGACTGTCTCTAGCAGTGAATTTTGGAACTCGTTGAGATTGGTCCCGTTTAGGAACTCTGCTGCCGCAAGGATACCGTGCAGTGGACTGCGCAGTTCGTGAGATATACTACCGATGAAATCACCTTTCTGTCGATCGGCAATGAGCGACTCAATACGACTGTATTCTGCCATGATGGACGAGCCAAACCCAAGAACCGAGCTCAACTCAACCGCAGAAGAGAAAACTTGGGTTTCCACAGTAGTCCAGCAGAAGCATCCAGCGAACCACTGTGAACTCACGGCATTCCAAAGCGGGACGAACATGATCTGGGTTGCATTGGGAAAATATTGATTCAACATCGTGTTTTCGGCTGCCTTGCGGCGCTTGCCCAGGGGTTTCGAAACGTCGATTGGAGGCATACCGGGGGGTGAGCAACTCGAGGCTGAAGCAGCCTGGTCGTACGGCAAATGGTCATCATCATCAGATGTGGAGATCAATCCATCTCGGTGGAAGGACCAAAGTTTGCCCTTGGGATAGCGGCGCAGATTCAGTTGAAGGAACGACCGATCAATACCGGCCGCGGGGGAGGCACTAAGAGCTCCGGCCCGAGGAGCAAATGGCTCATCAAAGGTTGACATGGACAAAACGATCGCGGGACCACTGGCATCACTCATGGAGCAGTCGCTTGCGCTCTCGCCGTCGGCGAACGGGGGGCTGTTGGCCTCCAAGAAGATAACTCCACCATCACTTTTCAACTCCAAACTCTCGCGTAGCAAATTGGCCGCTCGTTTGAAGCACCAGGAATTGCCGTGAGAATCATCAGGAGGAAGTCGATTCCGGCTGCTACTGGTGATCCACTCGGGCAAGGAGCTTGCTCCACCCGAAGTCCACGTATCAAGCTTGGATCCGCCCGAACTAATTGACTGTGCATCGGTGCTCAAGGAACGGTCATTAGGTGGGCTATTCGATGCGCCCTGAGGTGTTCCTTCTGACTGCGACATTTGGTCGTACTGGACAGAGCTACCACGAGATCCACCGGAGACACTGATCCGATTGTTTGTTGAAGGTGGTGTCGTAGAGAGAGACGGCGCACAGCTATCAGCGCGAGAGGGGTCGCCGCTTTCCACGAAGCTCGAGCTTCCTTCAACGAAATAGCTTAATCCGCGCGAAAGCCGTGCCGCTCGGCGACCTTCAGAAGCTTGTCGGCACACTTTGAGATAATCCATAACCAGCATTGACAATGATCCCAGTGTATCCTTTTCTAACGGCGTCAATCCATCGCGCGGGGTCTTGTCCATCACAAAGAAACAACCCAGATTGATGTTGTTGTCGGTTGAGAGTGGTGTTCCGGCATAGAATCGGAAATTCGGACATTTTTTGACGAATGACAGGTTGCGGTAACGCTCGTGCTCGGAGAGGTCGTTGACAACAAGGAACGAATACTGGGCATTTTCACGAACGGAGGACGGCAGGGCAACAGTATCCTGTCGGGAGGGAAGAAAGAATATGAGCCTTTGCACTGCTTGGAAAGACGAGAGGGTTGCAAAAAGGGTAAGACCTCTGCGAGAGGTCCGATTCCTATGTTTGTCTTGGATACTTACCCGGCACAAGTTCCATGTCTTGCGACTGCCAGTGGTACCCGACCAAATTGCATCTTTATGATCGTGGATCGAGTTATCATTTATATTCACAGACTTGGTAGCCTCAGAGAGCATATATTGTGCATCTCGGTCGAGGATGCAAATAAAAGCCCGCTCTACATTCAGCCGTAGGGCAGCCAGTTGCGCAAACGAAGTCAGAGTGTTGTTGGAAAGACCCAATACCAGCTCCTCCGGTCCGATTGCGGTCGAGGGGCCCGACGTAGCACTGCTACTGGAGTTCCCTTCCACTGACCCTTCATTCTGTGGCGTATTCGAACTCCCCGTCGAACCCGATGTCGCATTTTCCCCCGCAGATAACCACACCGGAAGGAAGCTTGTCGGTCCCACTGGCTGGTAATAGCGGTAAAGTTCTCTCACGCGCCGATCCTCGCCATGCTCAATGCCCTGTTTCGGTCTTGTTTCTTCCATTGCTGTGCTGCTAGCTTCGGAGACGCTGGGGCACAGTCATGCATTCTTGAGCCCCCCCGCGTATGAAGTCGAAGCAAGCCGGAGGTCGCGCAAGCACGCGGGGTTCAATCCGTGTGTTCGTTCGCAGGCGAGGTTGGGGGTTGCCGTCCGAGGCTAAAAGAATGTGAAGTGGAAAGTGTCAGGGAAGTCTAGAGGTACCACTAGACGGCTCATCGAGCGGAGGAAAATGCGAATTGTTCTTGGTCGGTGTGTGCAAAAAGTAGCCAATTCAACAACCGTCCCCACCAGCATTCACGAGAATAGGAAGGAATTGGGAGCAAAGCGGACCTAAGAGCAATAAAAATTCCCAAGGAGAGGCCACTGTGCACTCAAACTGTAAGGTGGGGACGGGGCATCAGGAAGAAAAGTCCTGGCGATCTGATTAGTGGCTTGGAACAGATGTGCAATGTGACTCGATCGGCCGTGTACCCTGGTCTCCATCGATTGCCCAACCAGGTCGGGGGACCTGTGGAAGGGGTTGAGTGTGCGAAGGACATTGGTGAGACTGGATGAACCAGAGAGGTGGAGGGACGATCCACGATGCGAAACATACGAGCGGTACCTCGCGGTCAGTACAGTACATCGCAGGAGGTGAATGTACATCAGGTACTGTGTGGGAGGAGGGGATGTTGTTGGAGAAAGCCACTCTGGGGTCGCCAGGGGTGGCGCGTGCCAATCACGACCCATGTTAGCCTCAGGCTACCAATGGGGGCATCGAACATGCACAACGTTTGGGAGCTTCACCACTTCGCCTTCCACAATCCACATCCTCCACACGACCATCATCAATCTGCACGGTGGAGCAGATCGTTCCTGGCGGCTGAGGGGATTATTTGCATGGGTCCAGTCACCAAGTTCCACCAAGCCTGGCCCACCTGGCCCAAAGCTCCCAGCTACGTCGCCGCCGACGACATCAGGCGGCGTTTTCGGGTGCAATATTCAAAGAGCCATCAGCCATCAGCCATTCGTCACCGGGCTCCTCTTCCAGCTGACTGGCGTTTTGCGGCTACTTCTAGTGTCGCTGGAGTTCGCATTGCAAGGCAGCCGATGCACTGGCGGCGCGGCCGTGATGCGGTGGCGGTGGCGGTGGCGACTCTCTTACCGTATCGGGTGTCGTGTGTACCCGATACGCACGGATTAAGTCCCCAACTTGGTAAGCGGTACTTGGTGATACATTTAGCCTCGGCCTGCATCTAAAACTTAACCTTTGACCGTCTGATATGATTAAAATGACTTTTCTAGATGCTTCACTTCCTGATGATCGGCCTATCCTCTTCTTCAGTCATACCTTACGTGTTGTGACCCGTCACCGCACCCCAGACATATGCCACCCATCCCCCAACTGTCAGAACCAGCAGTGCGCCAAAGCAGACAATTGAGATGTTCCGCGTCCGCTGGGCATTCGTCACTAGACTGCGCTCTCGGTTGGCCCCGATGATGTCTGCCCCCGACGTCAGTCGCTTCTTTCGAGTCCATTGCAATGGCGCGAGGTAGTCGTTCAGGAACGAGCCGATCAGCAGCGCAGCACCCACTACCAGAGAGGCGCACGCGAAGAACAAATACACCTGTACAACTCGTCGGTAGGAGTTGTCGTCCGCGTCTTGCAAGGCTCCGATGATGATTCGGATGATGATACTCATGCTGCAATGGGTCAGCGACACGACTGGATATCAGAGACGACAGGGAACGCCACATACGCATTGTTCATGGTCACTTTAAGTGCATATGCGGAGCCAAATACGGACTGATGCCAGAGGGTTGTGCGGATACCGTCAATGATAGAAGTCGGACCCAAAGACATGGCAATGGCATAGATGCCGAATGATGCCCCGGTGCCTGGGGTGGAGGTCGCAAAGTTGAGAAGGATCATACTCAAGCACATGCCCAAGCCACAGGTGAACACTGAAATATCATTAGCTTGGTGGATTTCATTTTGCCAGATGTTAGCAACTCACAAACGGACGCCCGGTGTCCCAGTACGTCGAGGAAAACTCCTAGGCAGGGCACCAAAAAGAAACCGGCATATTGAGACAAAGAGCTATACCATCCAGCCTTGATGGCATCGACCGCGAACCGCTGTTCGGCTAGCTCCGTGGCATTTTGGCTGAATGTCGAGGCCGTGCTGGTCTGGAATAGAGAGAAAGCCAAAACAGCCCAAAACATCCACGGCAACTCGAACATCTTCTGAAACTCGAACTTTTTGTTCCTCTCCGTCAGCTGTTCGTCGGTCGCAGTATCACGTCGACCCCGGTAATGCTTGCTGCAATACTTATTGAAGAACCAGAATACCGCTGTCGCGACGTTGGTGAAGAGGTTCATGAATACGGCCATCCAAAAGACCCAAGCGAAATTGCCAGTGTTCTTTAATCATCAGCTTCATCGCCTGACTCTGAAATGCCATAGGATTAACTCACCTTGGCAATAATATTTGCCGTAGATGTTCCAACGAATCCGCCGATCTACGTTCAGTTAGTTATCATGAATTTTGACCGATCTGCCTGTTTTCATACTTTTCCAATAGCCAGTTCAAACCCAAGAGTTGATGCAAACCCATTGCTTGGCGCGAACCATGAAGAAAACATTTTGTACTGGGCAATCTGCGTCGCAATATCGCCCAGGGCAAGTATCACCCTGCCTCCAATCATAAAATTGAACGAGCGAACAGTTGTAGCAGCCGCGACCAAAATCGATCCGAGGGTATAAACGATGTTTCCGTACACGATCATTTCTGTCGACCTTTAGCCAACGCAATTTCTTGTCTCTTGTCCAATGTTTGGGCACATACCAGCACCACCAACCCGATCGGTTACAATGCCACTGGGCAAAAGGAGAACAGTCGCCATGAAGTTCTCACTAGCTTCGAGGAGGGAGAATTGTACGTTATTAATGTGCATGTCCTATGAAGAGCCCCATGTCAGTACAAGTTCGACCTCGTAAATTCGATCGCTGTCACCTTTTTGATGGTACTCTTCATCGCAGACGTCACGTTAGAACTCCAATGCGACCCGAAACTGATACATGAGATCAGGAGAACTGCGAAAAGTTTCGCAAACAATGGCGGCTGCTTCCTCCCATCATCTGACTCATTCTCCTTCAAGACATTGTCTGCGTTTGGAGGGCGACCGTCGTCAGACACAGGCTCTGCCACCACATCCGTCACGGTCTTTGCTACCGATTCTTTGGCCGCCATTGTCAATTCATGCTTAGAAATCGGAACAAGACGGAGAAGATATTTACAAGAGATCGGCGCCGTCGTAGCTACTTAAGCAAATGAAACAATGGCCACCAGGTCCGGCATAGTGAAAACCCGCCCGACTGGACACGAAGTAAAAACATGCTCGGTGGACCCGGACGATCAGATAACGGGCATCTTCCGAGAACAGTAAGTCTAAATTGGGGTCGATCAAGCATGTTGAACGGTCGCTCTCGCCATTCTCCAATTGTAATACGTAACCGTGCAGCGCCGAGGAATTCTTGTATTCGTTGTGATCTGATAAGATTGTTGGGTTCGGCTATTTGCCCTAAATGGAACATGGTGAAGTCTTTTGGGTTTAGTTCCAGTGAAAACCCTCCAACTCGGCGCTTCGTCGGCGAAACGCATCCATTCAGCCAAGGAACTTGACATGCTGCCGGAGGCATTTGTCGTGTCTGACCAATTCGTTGCTCCGACCTGACTGTTCTACTTTTGTTCACAAGGTCCGAGCATGCTGTCATCCGGTCTTTAAGCACTTCCTCGAGGCTCAGATGGACCTATCCATCCGCAAAGAGGAAGGAAACCACAGCTGGGTGGAGATTTTAGGAAGAAAGCTTTTCGGTGGATGGAGACGAAAAAAAGATTAGAATACGCAGCGTGAGTAAGACCGGCCGAATTGTTGAGCTCCACCCTGCTAGAATCATGGAATGGTATCCAGAGCCACGTGTGTCTCGATGCAGATGCTGTGCCTGTCACTTTTGTTGCTGTGGAGTAGAAAAGGGATCTGGGTAATTTTGCCGTACAGCGGCGTCTAGGCCATTTATTTGCTAGCATAATATCTAATGCAGACGTCCTGTGTATAGCTGTTGGATTGGCAAGCATTACATAGCGACATGGTTCTTGGCAAGAATGGAAATCGGAGCCGATCCGTAGCTTTCAATTGTTGGGCTCTGTCTTCTCGACTTTTGACACCACGGTTCCGGTATTAAGATGCACCATATCTTGCCTTCAGATTGAGAGACAGAACGTACGAGCAGTGGTGCTGATCGGGTGTTCGGGTATGGAAGGTGGAGAATTCAATATAGGGCATAGTGATTCCCACCGCTCCGAGTGTCGGAAAAAGCTGTTCAAATATCCAATTTCATACTGGCTTGATCAGGCCAATGCCAAATCATTCTAAATCCAATATATGCAATGTTCATGACATGTCTCGTAGTTCTGAAAAGATGCAAACTAAAACCGCTCCATCAAACGTTTACGCACTGTCCACATGCGAGCCCGCTTGCCATAAATGTACATGGGGATCGACATTAGCAGGCAGAACAATTGAATACCACCAATGGCAAGGAAAACTGTCCGAGAACCGTCGGACTCGAGCCAGTTAACAATGAAAAGTGAGAAAATGAGGCCGTGGAAGATATCTAGACGGACAGCGTTAGCATCAGGTGCTTCACTCATAGATCAAGCGGAACAAACATACTCTTGCTGAAATTCAGCGTTACCAGTGCCTCTCCAGCATACTGGCGATAACTATCCACACAGAAGGTAATGGCAGTGGTACTTCCAAGACAGCAGCCAAATGAAATCATTCCAAAGAAAACTGTGGGCACAATCCAGTGGTCCATGAGCTGGGCACTCCAGCCGAAGCCCATGAGTCCGATCACTGTTGACAGGGCGATGGGAATGGCCATGACAAGGCGGAACTCGGGTTCGTAGACACCGCCATTACGGCTTGTGAGGAATCGGGCGACAATATCGGACACTTTTCCTGCAACTGCAGTGCCAAGTAAACCGCCAACGAAGGGAGAGATGTATATAAGACCCGTTTGGAGTGCAGTAAATCCGTAGTGATCGGCGCTTTCGTAGACGACGGACACGGATTCGGAGAGCACGATCAACCAGCCAACCGACAGTGAGTATACGACTGTGGACCATAAAACAGAGGGATACGCGAATAGAATGAACGGGCGAACGGCAATCTTGAGCCACTTATCGTGCGCGATTCGTCCATTCCAGACCTTCAGCATGGACAGGTACGGCAACTTAGGTTTCTCGCGGAGGCGATTAGTGTAGTGGAGTGTAGAGCTGATAGATGCTCCAGGCTCAAGTGACTCGCTGCGAGCAGGTGAGATAGCTCCACTGCGGGCTGCTTCCAAGTCACTTGGGTTATGCTGTGGCGCTAGAGCTGCTGGAGGCGGGTGTAGTAGACCATCTGGTCTCTCAACTGCGGGAGTCGAGGGCTCTGTGATGATGTGATCCTCGGTGGGCGCAAGGTGAACGTTGGGTGGAAGATCTTCGGTTTCACGAGCATGGGCCGGTTTCTCGTTCTCTGTCCCCTCTGGCTCATCGGCAAATCCAACATGTGCATGCTTTGGCTTCCTGGGAGCTGGAGACTGCGCGGTTTCTTCCTTTTTCTGACTTGTTTCGGACGGTCCATCGGGGATCTGCGCATGCGACCGCCGTCCTCGGAACCCATGAGAGACCAAATCAGACACGGTTCGAGGCATGTGTGGACGCTTATATTGATGACGTCTAGGGCGAGGTGTTCGATCCCAGAAAGTCTCTGGTACGAAGAAAAATAGGAGTATTAAGCAAGCGCCGACGATGATGGCGACAATCCAGAATACCCAGCGCCATCCAAGAGTCCCAATGACGGCTGCACTGGCCAGTGGAACGAGGTTCTTGCCACCGAGGAGAAGCAGGGTGTAGATACCCACGCGATAAGCCCTCTCGTGCAAGAAATAGATTTCGGCAATAGTCGCAGATGGAAGACATTCTACCGGACTCACAGCAATGCCCTGGAAAATTCGAGCGACCACTAGACTGGAATAATTGGGAGAAGCCGCGCACCAGACTCCAGAGATGATGAACATGCTCGCGCCCAGCAGATAGACGGGTCTTTTGCCGAAGAGAATCGCCGTTGGTGACATAACAACTGATCCCAGTCCCATGCCCATCATGTATAGACCGGTTGTATACGCAACTTTCTGCTTGGGGACGTCATATGTCTCCGAGACGCTAGTGAATCCTGCTGCGAGGATGGTGGTCATGCCACCGCCCATGAGACAATAAAATCCCAAGGATATCAACGCCGCATCTCTCTGCCATACTGGCCAATTGAGAGGATCATTCACGGAATCGTCAGGTTGGGGATCAAGCACGATTTGTCCGTCTGCCGTTTTCTTCTTCTGCGGTGCGGCAGTGCGAGAGGAAGAGCGCGAGGGCGGTTGGGAGGAAGGGAGAGATGACGCAGATGTGCGTCGAGGCTGGTGCCTCAAGCCCAGAGGCTCGTTTCGATTTGACGACAGAAGAAGGACGGTACCTATTCATCGCCCGCGATTAGAAACCATTTTGCTCTGTCCTGTCTGTGAGGACCCGGGTGCTACCCTGATATTCATGCAGGAGGGTTACGGGAGCATTGCCACATACCAGGAACTTCATCTGTCTCTTTGTCACTCAGAATACCCAGAGTTGCTCTCGAGCGGTATGTCGATTTCTCGTGGACTTCGGTCTTATTCCACGGATTCGTCCCGAACAACTTCCTCCAACGTGATCCCGTCTGTTCAGCATTATTGTTGGTGGCTTTCGGTTCGCGTGCATCCGAGGATGGCTGATCTTCCGTCGTTTGCATCTTGAATGATATTTGAAATGGTGTAAATGAGTACTAGTATGAATTAATCTGCGCAGACTAGTTATAGTAAAAAATTGAGTTAGTCATAGCTTCTCCAGGTGGATGGTGAGAGACTCACGTCTATTGCGAGAGACCTGCAGATGTATGATGCAGTATGATATTTGTCTTATGCGGGAATGCGCACTGCTTCGTCCAATATAAGAATGTCCGGTGTAGGTCCAGCTCGAGGTTGAATCGATATTTATTCCCAAGATTCCCGTTGTGGGAGTTCGCGATCAACGCTTGCGATAGAACCCGGGCAGCGTCAACTGAATCGCAAGACCGCGCGACATAACTTGGCTGGGGCTGTACAAAGAACAGTGGTGAGCAAGAGGCCAACTTATGAGCCGTTGTCAGACGATGGCAGCAAGCATCAGCCGGCAGGAGATCGTCGCCGCGTGGCCAACGTGGGGGGAGGCGGTGAGCCGATCAAAACCTCCCGAGATAACGGCGGTTTGGGCCGTATCACAAAAGCTGCGAGGATTCGACACTTCGACGGGTACGCCATGCTTGATAGCTTTATTTACTCGCGGGGCTTGGCCCTGGATCGACGGCTTTGATCGCGCTAGCGCATCCGCGTGCATCGTCGGACTCCGAGCCACCGCACGTTTCCGGTCGCGCCAGCACAATGGCGTCGGTGTGCGTCTCACTGGCTTAGCCAACACGCCTCGTCCAGCAGTCGATCTGCCATCACGCAAGACTTTGCGATCACGCCAACGAGATAGCCTCTCGCACGGCTCCGATGCCTCGTGCCCGTTGAGCACGAGGTGTTTAATCCGGACGAGGCGCAACCTCAATGGTCGAGCAAGGGATGGCCAAATGCACCCGGCCATTCTTGAATTCCAAGCGCCCCACTATCTCCCCCTTGACCCCGAATATCGGTTGGCACGTTGCTCAACGCCACTCCTGTCTGATGCCTGATTGGTAGCTGGCGATGGGCTGGGGCCATCTTTTCTACTCCTCGGGGGATCTAGCGCTGAATGGCGGTTGCTCAGATGATGCTCAGTGACAGTTCCAGCTGACTTGGTTCAGTATTGGCCGGCGTCATCTTGCAGTAGCAAATAAATTCTTTGTCGCGGGGAAAGCGTTCAATATTCGAATCGCGCGGCTGAAAGTCTGTTTTCGATAGCTCCGCGCCATGTGCTCGAGCTGTTCCATGGCGTCATTCGACATTGGCAGTTGATCCATGCGCCTTTCAGAGGGTCGGTCAAGACTTTCCACGGCTGCTTCCTTGACACGTTATCCACAACGTCTATCCAGCATTCTCAGTCGCCCCGTTCATGCGTCGCTAATTCTCTGGCTGGCTAACATGCGATTGATATGCTTGGCAAGCTTCCGCTGCTGCCGCCGCTGGTGAGGGGTAGCCGATGCCGAGAGTCCATCGAACATGTCTGCGGTTGGAGGTCGGGGGGTATCAAAAACCTGCGTCTTGACCCTCGTCAGAATTCGAGAATGATATTCGAGCATGCTGACATGTTTTTTATGGATACCCCTCATTTTAACTGATCATCCAGGATAACTCAGATCAACAATATAAACTCTACGTTCTTTCTAATTGGATACCTTCCAAAGGGTCGTACAAATGAACTGGCTCTGATCATTATCTTCAAGTGACCGGTTCTATATATGCCTCAAGATAAATCAGTTCCAATCAGTGTACCCTGCCGCCGGCATCTATCCACAATGGGCCTATACAGTATTCTTCAACTGTTTCGCCAGAGCATCATCCACGGACTTGGCCAGATCCTGGGCGGTACCCTTTGCCCCACCTTTGGGAATGGAAGCCCCTGCTGTCATGACTACTCGCTCCGGCCGCTCAACGCTCATATATCGATTTGTACGCGTTTTATGGGCACTGCGGAAAGTCTGCAGAAGGTCAGCAAGTCGCCCACAATGTGTAGAAGCCAAACATACTCGCAGTTGTTTGAGGATCCCATCTAATTGTTTCTTCACTTCAACATCTCCAGCCCTTTCGGCTTCTTCCCGAAAACCGTGTTTCTTGACCGACTCAATGAACTCCCGTTGCGTGGCAGGGATATAATTCAAACGCGACTCGTCATTGAGGAAGTGTTCGAATCCAAAAAAGCCATCCAGAAGATTGAACAGGATCAGATGACCTCCCGACAAACCGTCGTACTCTTTAAACTTCCCATCCACGAACTTGCCGGCAGCCCAGCCGTGGAAGCCTTGGATATAGCCCACGAAGAGGCTGTGTGGAATCTTTGAGCTCACGACGTACTCGTAGTACACTCGCATCGTGTTGCGAAGATGCCAATTGACTTGTGCGAGTTGTTGACTGCATTGTTGCTTTTGGTTCCGCTCGAAGGCAGCAATGGCCTGCGCCAAGTGATAGTAAACTGGTAGAGACTTTTGACGATGTTAGCGTGGCTCATCCAGGTCACGGCTTGTAAAGGACATACCTCTTTCTCGGTTCCAGTAAAAGAGTAAACCAAATTGTACTCTGCTGACGGGACCGGCTCGGCCATGCCGTTGTTCAGCTTGTATACGAGCTCCCCGTTGCTGTCAAAGTTGCAATGGAAATTTGACATGAGATTTCCACCCTGAGAGTTTACCCCATATCGACGTTGGAGGAACGCCCACGGGATGTCGAGCTCTTGTGGGAAATCAATGATTTTCTCCTCTTGTGCAACCTTCACGATAGGAACAGTCCCCCATCTGTCATTCCTTGTAAGCTGCAAGAAGTATGAGATGCATAACGGAAGGAGTCTTACCTAAACCCATGTCGCAGGTTCGCGATGCAGGCAAAGAACCCGTTGCATGCAACACCTTGCAAGCCCGTCGAGCCTGCTTGATCGGAGATGGCAAAAACAGACTGCACAGCTTCAAGGTTGATTCGCTCCTTAAGGAGCCTCTGCAAGCGTTTTCGATACTCTAGGCGTCGACTTTGGTTAATTTCATCGTTTGTAGAGACAGTATCGACCGATATCAAGGCCGCTAGTTCCTGGAAGATATCGTGATATGGTTGAAGTGCTTTTGGCCAAGAATCTCTGTGGGTTGCTTTGGGAGGCCATGAGCCGGCACCATCCACCTTGACCATTCTCTGCAAGGCCTTTATTGTTTCATGACTATCACGAGTTTCTTTGACTCGAGAGATGTAGTCTTGGCGTGGGGTGGGCATGACATTCAGAGTACCAACAATACATAAAATGCTTATAATGTAAATCCCAGGTGTCATGGTGTGTAGGCGAAGAACCATATCTTGAAGCAAACCAAAGATAATGGCAACTGTAGAAGGCAGATACTGGATGATCAAAGACATTGTTTCGAACAATCCCCAAATTGTATATGGCGAATTTGATTTGAGATGATTCGGGACTATTGCTGGCTTATATAGCTTGTCTCGAGACCCTTGCCACTCGATTTGAAGTCATGTTCGAAGAAGTATCGACTTTCTTTGTAAAAGTAGGCTCTCTTGCCATCTGCATGAAGACAAAAACGTAGCAGTCAATCCTCTTCAATCGCGAGTCGCATCGCAGCATTTTGAGATTCAGGACAATGTGTAACCTCGGAATCAAATCCACCGGGTCTTCCGAGTAACTGGGCGTCGTTCGAGCTGGGGAGATGCCTGTGTGGTACAGTTGAGACCGCACGATAAGTGGCCAGAGAAGGGGATAATGCTTACTGTCTCTGGCTTTCCTTCTTTTCTTGGAAGATTGACACCCCCACTTGATGTTGCATTATCGTATAGAATTGCATCGCACCTGCTTATCCTTGCGTAACTTCTTCTATATGAGAACAACTTTTCGGGACTGTCAAGAGACTTCTCGGGTTTTCCTTTTATGTCCTGCAGCCTTAGTGCGAACGTATGCAAGGGTTCACTTGGACGTGTTTCAATCCAGCTGGCCGGCAATACCCATCTTCCGTCGGTGCTTCAGAGTCTCTTCTTTTGACAACCGGAACTTACTGGCAGAGTTCTGTAAAGAGCGAGCCTCTTCATGTCCTGGCGTCCCTTGACTGTAAGCACACGAAGCAATCTATCATCCACATGATGTGTCATTTGCCACACAACATTGTGATTTCCAGTTCGTGAGAAAATGCCCGAACTTGGAAATGACGACAAGAGAAAACACTAGAGGTTAATGGAGGGTGGTCCTTGACAATAACTGGCGGCAACTAATGAGCGTAGTGGTAGATCATTGCCCATTCCGTCTCAGATGTCTACCATCTACAATGGTGTGTAACATGACAGGCATCCGCTGCCATATGCATCTAGTTGTAAATTGGGCATTAGCTCGAGTTCTCTGTGAGCATAGATAGTTCGCCGGAGGTTTTAGCCGTGGTTTTTCGGTGGAATCGCCGATCTTTCATTCGTTCGATTGTACCGAATCCCTGGGTTGACAATCTTCAGAATCATGCAGTGTAATCCCTGGTAATCTTTATTTTTCCGGGCCTATGGAAAGAAAGAATAAGTGGAGAAGTAGACCGCCTGTTGAACAATCGATCCCTACCACAACTGTGCCCAAGTACGAGTGCGATGGGACTGGTGCCTGAGATCCATCTCACATTATACTCGGAATTTGGACAGTCTGTGCTTGAGAATTACGTACAAAATATTTCACATGGTAGTTTCCACGACATTCAGTGTGGTAGACAGAATAGAATACATAATTTGATCTCAATTTTGCTGCAGGGTCATGACTTCCAAAGTTGTCCTTTTCCGAAGCTTGGAAATAGCAGCGCATCGTACTTGTCGTGGCGCAGCAACGGGTGCATCTACTTCAGGACATATTGAGAAACACCCATCTTTGTTGCAACTATGTCCTGGAGTAACCTTAACTTCGTTTACGTGTCGTCGCTGTGTTTTTATTTTTTATTTTTATTTGGTCAGGTACAAAAATTGAATCAAATGATAGAGGCGTGGGCAATGCTTGTTGAGTGGGACAGGTCTATATATATTTGGCGTTAATATGGGTGGCATGCAGGGGTACATATTAGCACCAACATTATTTATCTCTAGTCTGGCGCAAACCCACACAGTGCATATCCAGGCCCATCAAGGCCAGTTCAAAGTAATTTTTCAACGAGACAAAAAATTGAGTAGACCACTCCAGTTGAAGAATGCGTCAATCAGAGACTCGCGATTAGCAGCCACTTGTGGTGTGGGGGTCACGTGGGGCCGCCCCTTTGCAAGAACACCGCAACCTTTTGCCTCAAACACCACCGGCCTTCGCTCCTTGACGTCTTTTTTCATATTCAATCCTAATCTCAGCTCTTTTTTCGTTTATTTTTTTCGTTTATTTTTCATCATTCTTTTCGTCCCGCCGCTACACCAAGTCCCTCCCGAATTTTCTTGATCGTGTGCCGTACCCTCCGGAGTCTTCTCGCGTCTGGACCCCGTGGCAGTCTTGAAATTCGATCGGCCCGACACCGAGTTGATTACCTTCCAAATCTCCCACCAACACTCCCTCCCAACCCATTCGACCGCCATCGCCGTCGTGCCGCTCGTTTCGCGGTAGCTGCCGCCATTCACGATGAAAATCAACCTCTCCTCGTCGCTGATCCTTCTCCTTCCCGCGCTGTCGACTGCGTTGGTGGACGTGCCTCAGTCGACAGCTCGCGCCTCATATGGTTCTTCGGGCCTCCAAAATCGCTACACTGAACCTGACTCATACGCTTCTGGCAATGTTGCTAAAGGGTTACAGGGAAGCCCCGTGGACCGTCAAGATGGCAAACCTCACGCAGGCCCGTGGGTAGAAACGGGCGCAGAACGTGACCGCAAGAGCTCAGGTACTACTATCAAAGGAAGTGACGAGTACGAGGTCGTGCCCTCGAAGCTTGATATGAAAATCCCGTCGTCGGACCACATAAGCACTGAAGATGGAAAAGTGATTCCACATTCCAATGGAGGCGTGATGGACGATCCTCACCGAGCGGGTCCAAAAGAAGGCACAAGGGGTACTGAGGGTGGTGTGTCGGAGAAGAGCAAGGACTACCAGTATGCGGACAAATTGCCTGGAAGTCCCAAAGAGGCGCCCCCGTTACCTCACAGCGAGATGCAAAAGCTGCCGTCGGATGGCGACAGCAGCTCCGGAGGGAGTGGGCGAACTGCCGATGACTCGAGCACACGCGGCAAGCTTGAGGTAGGCTCCATACGCTTCTCAAAATGCGTTAAGCATGATTCACTAACCTTTAAAAGAAACCCGCCGATCTGCCCAACAAACCACACGATATCCCCCACCCCCAGCCTCCCTCTCAGATGAAGGAAGATCCTTTGGCCATTGAACATTCATCAACTGGATCTGGATCATACGCCGGCTCCACCTCAAGCTACGACAAGACCACCGGCCTTCCCGAAGAGAGCGATGGTCTCCATTCGCTTGTTTTCGCATTTACCATGATCGTTGTCTCAGAGATTGGAGACAAGACTTTCCTTGTGGCCGCACTAATGGCCATGCGACACCCACGATTGGTCGTGTTCTCGTCTGCGTTCTCCGCGTTGATCGCCATGACCGTCCTCTCAGCCGTCCTTGGCCACGCCGTTCCCACGCTGATTCCCAAGTCCGTCACAAAGTTCATGGCTGCGATCCTTTTCTTGGTTTTTGGCGCCAAGATGTTGAAAGAGGGTCGCGAGATGTCTCCGGACGAGGGTGTTGGCGAGGAAATGCGCGAGGTGGAGCAGGAACTGGAAGAAAAGGAACAAGAGCAAATTCGCTTGGGCCGTCGTCGTTCGTCGGTCACGCCCCATAACCTGGAAGCCGGCCGTGCTGGCGGTCGCCCCAAGTCGCGTGGAAACCGCATGCCTTCTCCCCCGGAGAGCATTTCCTCTTCTTCCTCTCGTGGCTCATCCCCCAACCCTCAACACCGCCTGAACGACTTCATGGCGGGCGTGAGCAACCTCTTTTCCCTTCTCCTCAGCCCCGCGTGGGTTCAAACCTTTGTTATGACATTCCTCGGCGAATGGGGTGACCGCAGCCAGATCGCCACCATTGCCATGGCCGCTGGCCAGGACTATTGGTGGGTCACGATTGGCGCGATCACCGGCCACGGTCTCTGCACGGCTGCCGCTGTCATCGGCGGACGTGCGATCGCAGGCCGTGTCAGCATGCGCGTCGGTATGTTATCATCACCTCAACTCTTCTTCGTTCCAAAACTAACAGTTGAACTCTAGTTACGCTGGGTGGCGCCGTGGCGTTCCTTGTATTTGGCATCATCTACCTGATCGAAGGCTTTTTCTGAACAGAACGTGGGAGGACTGTATTCGATTCGCGGCGTGTCTCGCTGTGTGGGGGAAATGGTCAATATCTGACGCACTGTGCCCTACATTAATTAATGACAATAATACTATCAGCGCTGGCCTGGAAAAAGAGCACCAGGCAATTCACTCTGAACTCAATTCGCGATTTATGATAAAATGTAGCATGTAGGCGTTTTTGGCGACCTGTATGTCAAACTGAGAGGATGTGGGGATTTTTAATAAAGTGATCCAGGATTTCTGCGTAGAGCTCGTATGCCGAAGACGCTGAGAAATTGGAATGACAACCTCGGAAATTTGTTGACGCGGTTATGTACTTGTAGCGGTACTCACTTTCTTCGGCCGTACGACCTTTTGGTGCGGGTCATTTTTATCCTGGCGTATTCAGCGTCATTTACTCGCGATATTCCCGCGGTAAGACCCGGCAATGGCAGATCAGAGTGGATATGAAGGATCGAAGTGGGTATGGGGATCTGGGGATCCGAGTGCCAAAAAACCTTAAGACTTAAACCCTGGGCCATTCTTTAATTTGTAAACCCTAGACACCAGGCATGAACCCTAAACCCTCTAAACCCTAAATCCTGGGGGAAATTTCGCCAATTCGCTGTCCACCACTGAACATGAAGGGTCTGATACTATGGGCACAGTTTTTAAAAGTTTTTAATTTTCTCACAGACGTCGTCTTCATCTCAATATTTGCGCTTCATTTCTTTGTCAAATCGTCAGGCATCAACTGGAAAAAATATATTCCGGCCCGGAAGCTAGAGTTACCCCGAATTCTCGTCGCGTCGCTGACTCCACCCATCCCGACATCCTTTCACCTTCTAATTTCCACCGAAACGCCCTGACTTATCTGGAGCTTGCTCGGATACTCGTACCCAACAATTCATCGATCGCGCGACAGTTGTTCCTCCATCAGCACGCGGGTGTTGATCCCCAACGCTCGGTTCACCGCCCCGGATGGCACGCGCCGCAGCGCCCCCGCGTCGGGTGACCCGAAGCCAAAGCCGCGAGCCTGCCAAGAATGGCACAAGTCCTGTCAAAGGAGCCCATCCAGCTGGGAAGAGAGCAACTGGGAAGACAGCAGCTGGGAAGACAGCAGCTGGGAATACAGCAGCTGGGAAGACTACCACTGGTAAGACTACCACTGGTTAGTGCTGATTCAGAGCATTCATCACCCAAACCTGATAGCCATATCTCAAGTCCCGTTACCTCATACTCCTGTCACTTCCCTGCTCTTTGTTTTTGTTTCCTCTTTTTGCCTTCCCAGTTCACTTGAACTTCACCGTGTCGATTTTCTGACTCTGGCAGGATTGAACACGGTGGCCGAGGAATCGCCGCGCAAGTCACGCCAGAAAGGTACTGCAACCTCGCTTGTCACTGAGTCTCCCGAAAACCACGAAGGCCACACCAACCTGTCCGGTACGACATTCTTGACTGACGCCCATTCTCGCCGAGATGGCCACTGGAATCCACACGAGGAGGCCAAACTCCAAACACTCATCATGCTCGATGAGTTTCCCGGCCTCCACGAGGCGACGGATCGTATTCTGGGCTTGTACAAGGCGCACGGAGCTGATCCAAAACCAATTCTTACCATCGCAAAAAGACATGCGGACCCCACAACTACCGAAAACAGACGCCTAGCCCCCGCGATAAAAAGACTACTCGCCCAGATGGAAACGTTTACCGAGCGTCAGTTTATCCGGCCGTTTGATATCTCGACCAAGATCGAGCCGGTGCCTGCTACACGGCACTTTGGAGAATGGAATCCAATGCCTCTTGTGTACAGAGCCAATTGTGCTCGTCTAGCGCTGTTCGTTTTCAACGCGACAAAGAACCCAGTTTCTCGCGGAAACATCGTCCGAGAGCTAGAGGAGGAACATTTCCCTCAGCCTTTCCTGCAAAGCATCGTCAAGGACACTGAATCCTTACCCACCCCTGGGGAGCAAGTGCCGCTGAAAAAGCAACTCTTGAATTGGGAATGGAAATTCGAACACAACATTTCATTGCTCAGCTCATAAGCAGCAAGGATGAGAAAGGGTTTGATGCTGTCCAATGTCTGCTGGAAACGTTCTACAATAAAGAGGCACTGGAAGACGCAATCAAGGAGAACGGTTCTCCTGACCCTGACTCCGCCCCTCCCCCTGCTAGTCTGCGCGGATTCCCTGTCGAAGGTCTCAGTGACGAGATGGGTCTTCTTCCCGAGGCCTTCCATGTCACCGTCACTGACCACGTCTTGGAGTTGCAGGAGGCTATAGTCAACGAGGACGACGAGGTTGACCCGAAGGCCTTGCAAGCTGCTTTCTCGTGGAATCGCCTTCAGATGCGCACTGCGCGGTTTTTGTGGTCCCGCGAGCAAGAACTTCGTCATCAGGTAGAAATGCTGCCGGAGGTGGATGATGTCAGGGAATACATCGAGACAAGGGCCGACGATGGTGATCTTTCGTTTTGGGAGGCCGAGAATTCTGACCAGCAAAAGTCAAAGTCACCACACCCCGAAACGGAAAGCCAGCAGCGCAGCGAGCAAGTGCTGCCTTCTACGGAAAGGGATGAAGGAGATACCCCATCTCCTCTACTCCCGGGAACTTCCACTGAGGGGGCGGAAGCACAGATTCCTCAGTCCTCTGCGGCTGTTGTAAAGGGAACTCCAAATCGCCAAAATACTCAATATTCCGCGGCTGCTGTACAAGGAACTCCAGCTCGCCAAACGTCTCAACTCTCTACGCCTGTTGGACGAAGAACCCCAGCCTGCCAAACTAAGCAGATTCAAAGAACACCCGAACACCCGGCCTCTGTAGGACAGAGAAATTCAGCGAGCCAGAAAAAGCAGTCCACGTCCAAGAGTGAACTCAATAAGAAGCCTTCCAAGCGTTCGAGTGAGAAAACCATGGCGACCCATATGGACTTAATGAAGAAGCGCAGAGAAGCTCGTCGGCAACGCGAAGCGGTCAATGCAACGCCGCAAACCGCCCGCCGCTCCTCTGCGGCGGAAGATGGCGACTTTCCTTCCGTTGGAACGTTGATCCGCGATGCTGCTGCCACCCGTAACGCTAGATCGCCCATGGAGGTTGCGCAAACGCCTGAGCCGGAACAAGGGCACCGGGTAATGGATGCCGATTCTACTCTTCTCGGGGACGGCGATGATCTGGACTTGACGAATCCCCATGAGAACGATCTCATGCAGTCCAACAGTCCCCCTGGCTCTGAAAGAACGCGCCAAGTCAGCTATAACCAGGGCCGATTTTTTGGCTCTCCTCAGAAAAGTCAAACGTCAGGCCCGCAAAAGCAGAAACAGTCCACGCCACGACGGACCCTCCTCGACCCTCAGAACACTCGCTCGCGAGTTATCTGGACTGATGATGAGGACAGTCCGCATGCCGAAGAACATCAGCCGCCGCCCTCTCGGTCCACCCAAGCAACAAGAAAGCGTCGTCGTAGTGTGGCAGACGATGACTCCGACGATGACTTTGACCAAGATGACCGCGAGCTCGATATCCAGTCCTGCCGGGCCCACAAGCCCAGCAAGCGGAAACGAGTGTCAAGCGAAGATGGCGATCCGGGAAATCAGCTCCGGGGCGACCTAATGGCAAGCAGCCAGCCCGCGCAGACCCAAGAGCAAGAAAATTCTACCCCACCCACTTCTACCCAGCTCGAGTCTCCGCAGCCAACCCCATCGCAGACTGCAATAGCCCGTATCAACGCCATCGATCCGCCGCCTAGTCAGTCTCGTTGGTCACAACTGGGTCCTTTTGACACCGCGGCCCCCAGGAAGAGATGGTCTGCAAACGAGGAAGAACGTCTCGTCGACCTGGTCACACGTAGTGGCCCGAGATGGGCCGATATCAAGAGAATTGACGCTGTTTGCCCCCGATCCGACGGCGGCCCTCTGTTGACCCACCGCACCCAAGTCCAGCTCAAGGACAAGGCGCGTAACATCAAGAAGAAATACATTCGGTACGTCTATGCTATCATTTCCTTTTTTGATAATCTTGCTAACGCTTTATACAGAGAGGGCCGACCGCTCCCGAAGAACTTTGACCAAATTACGTGCTAGACCTGGCTGGGATTCGACATAAAGTTGACACTTGTGAATATCGTTTTGTTATTATTGATTGCCCTGGCTCCTGCTCCTTTTTGCTTTCACTTTAGGCACGCTGATACCCCTGTTCATTCTGGTTTTTTACCGTTCTTTTCTTCATATTTATTTTTATCTTCGTGTTCATTATGATACCTTTTATTCACTTTAACCTTATTTTTTATCTACAGTAAAAATCACTATCGGCCTCAAATCAGCGTGCGCAACTTCAGGTATTTGATTTTCACGTATACATTGTGTGATCTATCGAGTAGGTAAGCGGGAAAATGCATATTATCTAAGAAGCCTGTCCATCAAACCTTGCTTATAATGACGGGCCGCTGTTTGAGAAAGAAAGTTCAGAACAGCGGTGTTTTCTTTCACAACTGCTTCCCAAAGTGCGGATTTCTTTTGGTCAGTCAGGTTAGTAACATCTGCTCCATATTCGACCAACAATCGAATCGTCTGGTCGACCCTAGTGCCAGTACTGTGATCTGCAATATCTATTGCAGCTCAAGGATAGACTCTCCATCCTTGTTCTTGGCGTTGGGGTCGGTTCCTTTCTTCAAAAGGAGATTGGTAACAGATGGGTATTTTCAGGCGCATCGCTGCCCAAAGGACCGATTCTCCGTTCTCATATCTCCAGTCGACAAGCGCTCCGTTGGCCAAAAGAATCTCCCTCAACTATAGAAGCCGAAGATTGTTGGACTGTGACCAGAAGAGTTCTCGCCACGAGGTGCCTTGTCTCTACTTGACGATGCAAAAGAAAAGGCGATAAAGAGCCAGGTGGGGGTTTCATATCGTGTTTCTTTTCCCAACAATCCCATGTATCCAGGGGCCAGGTACGGAGGATCTTCTTGAGTATGGTTGTTTTTCATCACCACATCATTTTTAGAGGGACCGATCAGCAACCCGTACAGCGATGGTTTTGAGTCATCAATTCGGATTAGTTAGTTATGTCGATTTTTCGTCCAGTCTGTAGGAACAAGCCGACAATCCCAACATGGCGAATGAACAGGGCCAGAAGAAATGCCGTCACTGCTTTGGATGTTTGAGGGCGTTCTCGAGTAGAGGACTGCATTTTCATGTGATCAATTGTGTGAAAGTCACGCAAATCCCGCCATCCGTATTTTGAAAGAGTTCTTTGCAGACGGAAGTAATTTCTTCGGCTTCTGGAGTGAATATCTACTCAAAGCTCCCAGAAAAGCTTCAAATTTTCAATTTGTCCGCTGAAAGTCGCTGCAAAATCGGAGACGGTGTTTCCGGAATGATATCAGGATCCAAATCGACCTGAGCACCAGCATCCAAGAGAGTACGGGCCACAGACCCATTACCGCAAGATGATGCAGCAGAAAGAGATCTATAGCCCTGGAAGCGAAGATTGAGATCCACGTCATGTTCCAGAAGGACTTCGAAAGTTTGATTGTGCCCATGGGACGCAGCTTCCACCAAAGGCAGTTCGACCCTCGCCATCTTGTGCATCAACATCTGGACCTTTTCTCAGAATACTTCGTGTCATCTCAGGATTTCCATCACTGGCAGCAAGAATAAGGCCAATGGTATTGCTGATCAACTTGTAGCTAACTTCCGAACAATCACTGGGCTTCTTGGCTCTTACGGCTTCGTTCAGTCCTATAATATAATATTTCGCCAAATATCTCGCCATCGGACACCGGAATACTAATTCCAACCTCAGTCCGCCTGGAATGTTATTAGACGAAGACTCTTGTGCGTTTAATAGCATTCTGGAGAGCTTGAAGAATGAAGTTGCGATTTCTGTCAAAGACATCCGGGCTCATCCCTATACTTTGCATTTCTTTGCTAATTTCTCTCCATGTCCCTTTACCGTCTATCAAAAGCAAACTATCCGAGAAGTTCGATATGGCTGGGTCTCTGATCTTGCAGTTTTCTGTTCAAGGAACTTTCGAAGAAGTCGTTCAACATTTGCTTTTGAGCAGCTGTGACATCGTTAACTCTGAATTTCATTGTGAAGTATCTTGGTGAAGATACGCAATCATTTTTGTGTTCAGCATCATGATCGTCTGCCGGGGCGATGTGATTAGTGCACGTATAGCCACGAAGGCGTCTGCCCCAATCCCCAATCGCTCCCATATGACTTTTGAAGATTATGGTAAGCCGTCGTAGTGATGCTTCAGGTCCTTCAATTCTTGCAAAGCGCTCTGGCATATCTGGAACTCACATCCCATTGCGGGGAGATTTTCGTCATGGTGGTTGAACTCACCGTGCTTTACCGCTGCAATGTCGAGGATTGGAATCAGCCGGGTGAGTGCTTCCTGCACATCGTGAAGATATTTGGTACACTGGATCCAATACAACAAGCGTTGATCTCGTCGGCTAAAGGTCTGGTAGTGGAAAGCAGTCTGTTTGGTATCTTGAGTCAATATCACATGCGGTTCAGGGAGGACTCAGCCATACTGATTGTGAGATCTCGCTCGGCGCCGAGATTGCCAAAAACCGCGCCGCCCTGCGTAAAAGTCGAGGAAGCCATCCCCGGGCAAGTATGCCAAGTGGCAGCCCCACGGCTCTGAATTCAACAAGTTCTGGAGGCTTTGGTCGATACGACTGGGGAGATAGCATGGAACATCAGATACCGGGGTGAGTTGGGGAGAGGCTCCTCGGGCTCAGCTCTGCAAGCGCCACTAATACGCACCTGCATCATCAGGCCAATCATGTCGATCTATCTAGCAAGCAAGTATTTGAAGCGGAATGAACATATGAAACCGTTTTGTGATCAAAAATAAAGGAAAAAGTCATAAAAATGGAAAGGACTGTTTCTCAAAAAATTCTTATTCGTAATGTCTAACATTGCATTTTACCGATTTATTCCTTTCCAAAACATGATCTTCAGCCTTGGAAGATCCCGAGTAATTTTTAAGGATAAGAGGCAGCAAGTTGGTTGATGTCGGGGCCTCCTTGCAGACACCTGCAATGATATCTACTCAGAGCTCTCATCCCAGCCGTCAAATGAGCGGATCAGATCTGGGGACTTTATTAGCACAGTTTCCATCACTGTGCAAATGTTAAACTGAAGAAGACTTACCATAGTACAGCATCATGGCTTCCAAGTGCACATCAAGATGGATACGTTCATCCACGGTGTGGATATTGAAAGTTCCACCAGCACGCGACGGACTCCAGCGGTAGATGTTCTCGGACAGAGACCAGTAGAAGCGGGTGTCTGTGTTACCAGTCATGATATCACCGGTCACGACGACAGTCGGTGAGGATTCGGACTTGCTCTTTGCAAGCGGGTTGGGGTGTGATTCGAAGACACTGCGAGCCACACCGGCAAAGCGAGCCCAGGTCTTCGAGGACAGAGGGTCAGTCGGAGAGATCGGGGCCGGCTTCAGCGGCACACTGAGCGGCGATAGAGTAAGAGTACGGTCTTCCGCGCTATCATCACGGACGTCAGCTTCGCCAGGGAAAGCAATGTGCATCGTGATGTTGTGACGCTCAGCAATGGGGCGGATGATCCGAACAGCACGCTCACGCAGCTGGTCGGGGGTCATATGCAGGGCAACCCGGTAGTTCATGACTGCCGAGATCTTCTCGGGGAGGGCGTTGGTCTTGACGCCGCCGTGGAATAAGTCGGCGGCCTGCGAGGTCTGCAAAGTATAGCGGACCGCCGGGCCCCGTGACTCGGCAACCGCCTCAGCTAACGACGCAGCATCACCCTCAGTCAGTTTGTCGGCCAGCCACGACTCGACGTGCTCGGGCGAGTATCGGACCTGGCATTCAAGCATGCCATGCGATGGGTGCGAGTTGTCGAGCCAGGGCGAGAAGAGGTCCTGTCGCTCGAGCTCATAGATGATCTCCGACATGATACCAACGCCTGTGTGGGCCGGGGGGATGGAGCTGTGTCCACCAGGCACGGCCAGATCGAGGATCAGATCGAGACTGCCCTTCTCGCCAACACCAGGCAGAGCATATACTATGTCAGAGTCTTCGCCTAGACTCTGGAGACCCATGCCGCCCTCGTCGAGAATAAACTCAAAGCTGTCCTTGCCATATCGCTCCTCCAGCACCGGAGCAATGGAGCCCGCACCCAGGAATCCATGCGACTCTTCATCAAAGCCAAAGGCCAGCACAACGGTACGTTGAGGGCGCCAGTTCTGAGACAGCAGGTCTTCCAATGAAGACATCAGACCGATCAGCACGTTCTTGCAATCGCTTGAGCCGCGGCCCCAGATCCATTCTCCGTCGAAATGTCCTTCGAAGGGCGGGTATGTCCAGTCGGAGGGGTCGGCGATGGGGACGACATCTTGATGAGCCATAAAAAGAACCGGCTTGCGAGTGGTGTCGGCTCCCTTGAAAGTGAAGACCAGGCCTAGGCGGTTGATATGCTCGAGCTCTGCATGCTTGTGTCTGGGTTGAGCATTAGCGATGATCTCCGTCTCCCTTGCTCACCCGCACTACGAAGAACCTACACGAGGGGAAACATCTGCTCCAGCAGCTTCTGGAACTGCACCACCGGCTCAAACGACTCGTCATAGGGATCCGTGGCATAGTCGCCGACGGTGGTGGGCACCTGCACGGCACGCGACAACCGCTGTGCCTGACGAGCACGGAATGCCTCGTCCTTCAGGAACGTCAATGACGAATGGAAGCCATCATATGGTGCGGCGACCTTGGGTGCCTGTGGGCAGGTTTCGCGGCTGGCAGGCTCGACAGCCTCGATGGCCTCATTATGGGATGTCGCTTTCTCGGGGAAGAGAATCTGCTGTGTGGGGATGTTCAATGCGAGGGCCGATGGCACCAAGCCCAAGAGAGCGAGGCCTTTCATCGTCTAGAGATGCAATTGAGTCTCCTTTTTATTCCCTATATGCACTTGGAGAGTAAAGGTTCACAAGGACTGTGCACAGCGACTTCTGGCGTGTTTTATAATACGAGGCATCCTATTGCGACTGCCCTGCTATCTTATCTTCCCCTCACAAATCCGCTTCGGCCAGCGGCCGATGCCGCTCTTTGCCCGTTCAGGCAAGTTTTAGCTAGGGTTAGCCGATGGGTCGGCAATGCATCATCACCTCTTGCAGAGAGGTCACTAAAGATGTATACAATGCAGCGATGCAACGATGCACTATGATGCGGTTTGATTTCGGGTGAGTCGCGTAGATGAGCAGCCGGGCCAAGAAATGCGTTCCTGGGCCGCTATGAATGATGTGGAACCAGGGGAAGAAGCTAAGGAAAAACGTGGAACCAGTAACATGCCAGGAACGGGCACACGACTTGAAAACCAGCCTGCTGGGAGTCGTCTGGCAAGCACAACAGACCACCAGTATCCTCGCAAGGTATTATTGCGGCAACTCGCTGCCGATGTGCCCTTTGTGAGCGACTCTCCTGCCACTCCCTACCCTCAGTGGTTGCTGCCGAGGCAGATCCGCCGATCCCGAAGGGAGGGCACAAGGGGGAAAGCTCAAAAATGCAACGGGGATGCAGCTATCCCCGAACGAACCAAGTGGCAAACCAAGCTCGTCGGTTTCACCTCTGGCCTGGGGCCGACTGTCAACTCGACGCCTCAAAGGAAAATACCCAGCAAGGCATCCACTCTGGGGATGACGATCGGGCCGATCTTTACTTGTACGCCAATCAATGCGCGGTGCAAAGTTCAATAGAGCACTCGGTTAGTGTTTCAGAGCTGATCGGGGTGCATCACGATGTCATCGTCTCCGTTTCATGGCTCCGGCTCCATAAATTTACGGGTCTCCGGGTGTTCCTTTCGGGGGCGAACTTTGGCAGTACTTCGGAAAGGACCCTTAAAATAGACCCGGAGCTGCTAAGCCTCTTGAATCGGTTTTTTCTGTTTGTGTTTTGCGTTTGCGACTCCATCTTTCGTTTCATCGGCGCATTCCGCATACGCGACATCCCACTCGCTCATCACACACCTTCTTTCCTGTCTGAGACTCTCTTTCTCTTTCCTTACAATCTCAAGATGTATCCTCAGCCCATCCTCGCTGTTTGCGCGCTCGCCTTGCCGGCTTTTGCGAGCCTCGCGAAGGAGACCATTGGCTGCTACTCCAAGGTCAATTCCCCGACGGCCCAGAGTGAATTCGAGTTTATGTCCCTGGAATATTGCACGAACAAGTGCTCCAGACTTGGATACCGCATTTCCGCTCTGAGCGATGGCAGCCAGTGCTCGTGCGGTAACGAGCTTCCTTCCGAGTCCGACAAAGTCGACGACGACAAGTGCGACACTCCCTGCCAGGGCTTCCCCGCGGATATGTGTAAGTTGGCCTCGAGGTCATATGACGCATTGCCAACAGCACATGCATCGCGAAATCTTGGTAGCATATGCTAATATAAACCCTTCTACAGGCGGCGGCGACCACCTCTTCACCGTCCTCACCACGGCCGAATACTCCGCCGCGGACTCAAGCTCTAACTTGAGCTCGTCGTCCGAGCCTAACCCCAACACCTCTGGCTCTGGCTCAGGCTCCGACGAAATCGTGACCATGACCAAAGCAATCCCGTCGACAGCTGGCGGCGGCATCGTCGTCGCCCCAACAAACATCGACGAGTCCAACCTGCCTACCGGCATCCTGACCGCACCAGCCTCAATGGTCTCCAAGGCCAGCACGGTCATCGCCACGGCGAAGGTAACCTCTGCCCCGGCCATCGCTACAGCAAGCACAAGCTCCACGCCCTCCTCCACCCCCAACGCAGCCAATACCCTCCGCGCCGGCCACGTCGCCGGTGTCCTGGTTGCTGGCCTGGGTCTGCTTCTATGAGCTAGCCGCCCTATCTCGCCCTGCCTTGGCCCCACCCTTAAGGCAGGGGCTCTTACTTTTACAACTATTCTCTGTATACTGGCATACAAATGAGACTATGTCGTCGGTGATGGCTGGTTTCTGTTTGGTGAAGACTGGGTCCGCGGGTCGGGTCCATTTGTGGTTTAGAGGACTTGTGCGCTGTTTGCGCCATATATTCATACGCTCGTTAATGGGTCTGGTGATCCGTGTCATATTAGTATACTACCATACCGAATGGACTTCGAAATCCTGTTCGAAATTCTTGATTTTCTTGCCATGAATTTGCGTAGCGTATCCTTTCAGTCGACGATCTAGTAATTTGGAATGACGCCTCGGCACCGTGCTATTTCACAGCCACGATAACAGTTATGAGTTATGATTTTAGAGGCTGTCCATAGATCAACTGTCACGTCTATGCCTCTCAATGTGAGCAGCAATCTATATGAAAGGTATCAAGTGGATTGTAGGGTCCCAGTCAGGTTAGGTCAAGTAAGCATACAAGCCCACCGGACCCCAAGTCCTCCACCAAACACAGATTCATCAACACAGCTATCTTTCAGCGCAAGCTCTTTGAAAAGGTATCAAGTACCAGAAAAAACATTCAGCGCCTCCAAACCAAACCAAGCGAGTGGACAACGCTTTAAGCGTTCTGGGCCGCGACAATCAACACTGCTCAGAATAACAATGTCTCGATTAGCGACGCTTCCGTATCGATAGCAAAAGATATTTAAGAATAAATGACAAGAAGAGGTTAGCCTCCGTTTACGAGGTCACAAGGAGCGGCGCGAAGGCACCTCCAATGACAGGGCGCGCGACGAAGGTCAGGCTCGATGGGTAGCTATTTCTTATATAAGGATTTGTTCAAACTGTTGATGGAGGATGGATCACTTACTTTCCGGTGATGGTGTCGTAGAGATCGGTCAGGGGGCGGTTGGTGGGGGTCTTGTCGAGCCAGGTCGCCAGGTGCTGGAGGAACATGTCTCGCGTGTCGACGGAGGCGATGGCTGCGGCGAAGCATTCCCAGTCACCTATCGCAGAGTTAGCATGTTGAATTGTTACTTGGGGTTTGGGGACTTACCCTTGGTGTAGGTGTGACGAGTGTCGAGGGGAACGCCATACTCGTTGGCGACAGTCGGGTAGAAGTCACTCTGCATCTGGTAGACAGAGTTTGGCACCAGACCAAGACCCAACTGAGCATCGGCGAAGAGGTTGTAAAGAATACCTGATAGGTTATTAGAAATTTGTTAAACACACTTCCGAAAAGATGCGACTTACCATGGCTGCTATCATCACCGTATGAAAGAGTAGTGTGCGACGGGCTAACATCCTTATTGATAGCCAGATCCTGCCACTTGGTGATGTAGTCCTGAGCGATGCTAGTGAATTTGGCAGCATCGTCCTGGTGACCAGTCTTGCTCGCAATGACCGACATAGCCTGGATTCCGATCATACCCTTGAGGGCCAGGTTGGTTTGATTGCTAACAGCACTGGTTAGCCCGGGTACCGGGAACAGAATTAATCTTATACTCACGCCAGAGACCCTGCAAAGTCGTCGGTGGAGATTTGATTCGCCGGGTACAGAGCATCCTCAACGAGATAACCGGTCCACTTCTTGAGAAGATCATAGTGCTCTTTCAGGTAGTCAGTATCCTTGGCAGCCTTGGCGTAGGCCAGAGTCATGATGAGCATGTTGCCGCATTCTTCCAGCGGCATGGGCTCATCAGTTCCGTCATTGTGTCCGGTGGCATTGGGGTAGCTCGAGCCCATGTCGTGCATGGCATAAGTGTTGGGGTATTTGCCAGCTTCCTGGTTCTCGTACAGCGGCTCAAGAACCAGCTTCAAAAGCTCCGGGTTGGAGTACAGGAAGATCGGGTAAGCAGGGAAAACAACATCAACTGTGTTCATGTTACCGTCGGACGAGATCTCCTTCAGGAACAGGTACATGTGGTCCTCTGTACCACACAGCTGGGTTGCACCAAACGCCTGGCGGACCGAGAGCGAGGTAAGCGTGAGGTAGTTCTGACCAGCAACGGCAAGAGAATCCCGGGCAACCTGGGCGTCAAAAGAGCCGGAGATGTGGCTAGACTTTTCATAATCCAGGTGGAAGAAGGTCAAAGCGTCCACATCAGTGTCAAAATAGCTCTTCCAGAGAGACGGAACAGGGCCATAGGCTTCAGAGCCCTCATACTGGATAGCGTCGTCTTGGGCCAGGCCAATCGAGAACAAAGTGCTCGCGGGTTCTGAGCTAACGCTGCCAAGTTCGGAAGCAAAGCCAAACACAGGCCAGTTGTCTTGGATGGCTCGGAATCTGGTGTCGCCAGTGTTGGCAAGTTTACCATTGTTGCGGAATTGTCCGCGCACGTCGGTGTCGCCTCCAGACTGGTAGGTCATGCCGTTCTTGTCATCCGTGGCCCAGTACCAATAACCCCATTCAGCCTGCTCGTTCCACTGAGAGAATGCCGCCTGAGTCTGGCGGTACACCTTGTGGTAGGCGACGCCGTCATTGGTACCATAGTCCCATTGAGCGATGGAGCTGCGATCTCCGGACACCCATTCTGGGTTAAGTTAGCTTATTTGTCTGATTGCACACAAATAGGTGAACTCACCAGCAGAGATATCCGCGTAGACCTGCACATCGTGGTCACTGCCATCCAAAGAGGCGACCTCAACATTCAAGTAAGAAAAGACAAGGGATTGACGCTTGTAATCAGCGGGAGTAATAGGCGAAAGGAATGTAATGTTCATCTCCAGCTTGCCCGCAACGTTCATGGTAAAGATGCTCTTTGTCGAAGTGTACTCGAACGCAGTCTGGTTGACAGTAGTGGTGCCAGGGAGACCCATCCAAGTGTAGGTCTCGCCATCGACACGAACCATACCAGCCCATCCATTGACCTGGTTTCTGTTCACGCAATGAAATTAGACGCGTTACGACATGACACCCGAATAAACTTACTGCCAAAAGACGGGCCATTGACCAGCGAGGTATCCTCCATTTCCACCATCGCTGCCAGCATCGAGCCAGGTACTCAGATACGGGGACCGAACAGCAAGTGGGAGAGATGGAGGGCGAGCGGGCGAGAACGTGGACTGCGCTCCAATGGAGGCAGCGAAAGAAGCAACTAGCAGACCGAGGCGTAACAGCTGCATGATGACGATTAAGTTGGTGAAAAAGGATTGGACGGGATCGAAACGATCAACCAAGGAACATGATCCTTTTTTTTTGTAGGAGATTAAGTGTCGACAATAGGTTAAGGAAGGAAAAGGTTGCCGAGAGCTCAGAGCTGCAGAAAGTCCAGGGTATGACGGAGCAGTTGCAGGAAAGGATCGTCGTTGTGTTTACTGGAATGCCTGGGACATTTTTATAGTCAAGCCCCGTCCAGCACGAGAGGGGGTCGACTCCAGTAAAAGCGACCCGGTCCCGCATGCCAGACTGTTCACTCCACGGCCACGATGGAAAGCCGCTTAGCGTGCTGGAAAATGATGTATGATTCCACCGCGCAGCAGACGTGCATGAGCAGAAAGTTCCGAGCGTGCGAGTCGGCTGATCAGCGTCAGTGCCCGAGTGCCCGAGATCTCATGCGGTCGTTTCGGCCATATAACAAGGGAGGAAAGGCGGAGGCAGGGGGGGAGAGGAGGTACGGTGATAGGGCGCAAGTCGGCCGGAGCCAAGCACAGGACTCAAATAAGACTAATCGAAGGTCCGTGGAGGATGGGGCTTTACCTGGAAGATGCTCCGAAATCGCGGTCAACACAAGACACTTCGAACAGGTCGCATGGAACAAGCAGCGGTCTATGCGGGATCGACCGTGGTGGTGGCGCCGAACGAGAGAAGCCAGGCACTTAGCCTTGCAAGGATTTCTTGAGGGAAGCTTGCAGGTGACTGAGCACACGGGATGGCGCAAATAAGGATGTAGTTTTGTGGAGAAGGAGTGTTGGCGGAGATGCGCCTGGGGGGAGGTTTGAGGTCTGTGGAGGTGGCAGTCATTCACGAGGGAAGGTGCCCGGGCGTGATGCCATCATGCGACCCCTCGGCACTCGGCGTGCCGCATAGCGCAGTCTGTTAAAGACGGGGAATCCATTTGGAGTATATCGCCCTTAGTGCCGGACAACTATGCGGGGAAAACGACGATCAGCGAGAGCTATCGTTGAAGAGCGGCAGCATGGCGTCCAGCATGAACTCATCGGGGCCGAGTCGAGTAACCCACGGGGACCTGCAGAAGTGGATCAGGCCTGGGACCGGCATGGCTCATGGTTTCTGGAGTGTTCAAATCACAGTCGCTCCCCTTGCAGCGTTATTCATCCCTACGCGTCTGCTTTGGTGGGTTTTGGACGACTTTGGGATCGAAGAGCGACGGTGCGACACTGTGAAGTATTGGGTACCTCGTATGCAGCACGACCGGGGTCACGTACGCCCCAGAGATTGAGTCATGCCCGCGTGCGAGAGGTCGCCCTGCAGGCGTCTGCATGTACACAGTACCTCCGGCGCTGGGATGTACCTAGAGATACTTCACAACGATCCACTTCGTACTGGCACCTCCTTGCCGGGGCTGGATGATCACCTGTGTTACGTCAGAGTGGCTTCAGGGGGAAATGAAGTTGCAGGCATCGTATACTCTTAACAATCTCCATGTCCTTTGTTCTTTTCTCCGGCAAAAGGCCGACGTGACAGGGTCCCTTTGCAGACTTCGTGGGATGAAAGAGGGGGAGAGAGGCGGTCGTGGCGGACAGCCGATGTAACATCTTCGACTGTCGGGGAACGGAGTATACCCAAACGGCCATCACGGCGAGCTTCGGGGGTATCAGACCCGCAAAAGGAAGTGAGTCGACAAGTTGAATGACTTCTGCAAATCTGCACGTACGATATAATGGATGTGCTGGCTTGAAGAATCTGGGCATCTGGTACCCTGCTGTAACTGGAGCAAGTGGGAGCGCCTATAGATCGGGATCGTGATATGCTGGTATCCACCTCATTTCAGTCATGATCACGGGGTTACAAGTTGTTCAAGTTGCAGGACTACGCATAGTCTTCGGTCTTCGGCACTACTTGGATAATAGCGGCTTCTTCCGACCGCCACAATTATATGCATGTGCCATCGTCTTGCAGAACTTCTGCAAGCTCGACTTCATCGCTGCATCGAAAAGATCTCGGATCGAAGAAATTACGACGACACTGGAAGAAACTTCAAGAACTGCTCTTTGTTAATATCGGAAGCGGTCCGAGCTAAATCAAACATAGAACCCCGGGTCGCCTTGTGTCCAATGAGATGTTCTTGAAGTATTTGTCTCGAGCATGCAGGCCCCTTGCCCCATACAGCTTGTCAGCCCCAGACATGCTCGGTCGCGCTCGGAACGTGGGAGCGCCAGTAGATGATGCATGTTTGGGACATTTTCTGCATTTTCTAATAGGCTGACTAGCACGAGCTGGTTGGCGAACTCGGCTTGCTGCCGAAGCGAGACTTGGGTAGGCGGTCATCCACGCTGACGGAGTCCAGGGATGAAATTCCTTCATTGCACATAACCTCAAAGTTCAAGACAAGCCCTGTCGGCTCCGCTTGCTCATCCATCTGAGCCCCCCTTTATCATGTCTAATCCCTCCTGTGCGATTCTTCGGTGGGTTCGGCGCCCCTTTCTTTCTAGTGACCCAGGTCGAGTGCGAAACAAAGGAAAACGGGACCGACCGCACACCACTGTGTTTTCTTAGAAAATTGGATTACACATGGATTCGAAGTCCTATGTGGAGTTTTTCTCTTTGAGCCTACCCTTGTCCTTTCGACGGTCGTGGGTCATACCCTTTGTTGAGACTGGAAGAGAGCATCGCGATCTCGAGGAAAACGACTTCTTTGTCAATATATAATGTTATTTAGTACACCCAAATTATCAATGGCCTGAGTCTCTCCATCGAAACACGTTTCCTTGCACCATTGTAGCCTCAAGTTTCTATCCTACAGCCAATGTCGATTTTCAAGATGAGTTACGATCACCCCAATAGACTTCACGCAGGACTCTGGGAACCGTGAATTCTGGGGCAAAAATGTACCGTTTAAAAGTGGAACTATGGAGACTGTCCTATTTATAAAACCACCGAAGTCCCAGATGGATGAAACCCCCAAGACTTGGACATTCCCGAGGAGTACAGCATCACGTGCATGTTACCTAAGTAATGTTGTACGAAACATGGTGAGCTAATCTTCGCTGCTACTTATTCATATCGATGCCCATATCCAGCGATGCTGCGATCGAATTGCAGACGGGATCATGCCGGACTGGTGGCAAAAGAAACTGAAAAGCTGCAGGGCACAAAAGAGAGAGCTCAGTATCAGGACTAATTCTGTACGAGTCACTGATTTTTCCATTTTTGAATAATTTATCTAATTTCAGTTATAGAGGCTCCCTGGCCTTGACCGCTCGACTGTGCTTCGATTGAAATCCCTCGCACAAATCAAAAAGCATTTTGAGAAAGGAGGATGATCCAGACCATACTGGTGCAATTGCCAATATCGACACAATCTCACTGGCTCACAGAACTCGAGAGCTGGTTTGGGAATATGGCCAAGTAACCTATTGGTCCGGGGGAAAGCTGTCCGCGGGTCCGCAACCGTTTGATTGGAAAGAAGTGCATCAATACCATCAAGAGACCAAGGGTATCAATTTCTGGGTAGAGGGAGTGAGTTCTTCCATTTCAGATAAAATTCCCCTTATTCGACTAACCTGGATTACTCTTAAGATGAATTATCCAGAACCTGGAAGGATGTACGACTTCAACGTTCCTGGTGCTTTCTCTTCCGGAGGGGCCACGCAATTTGGACATCATGTAGTATGAGCTTTCCGATATTCAGAGTTGCGAGAGAAACCTGTTAACATAACCTTCTTAGTACCCAATGAGCTTCAGAATCACCGGTACTGAGGATTTGCCCGGTCAGGTTCGGATGTCTTTTGACATGTTGGACGACACGGGATCAGACATGGCCCTGATTTTCCAAGAAGTCTTTGAGGATATTAGAGCGATTTCCAATGGCTGGGTTGCCACTTTCCTATCATGGGAAGTTTTCAACACCGCTGGTGGAAAGATTGTCCTGCCGACCTGTGCGCTTGAGGTGAACGTCACATTCACGGACATTCATGGCAGACCAAATCGTCTTATTGGTGACTGGGCAACGATTCAAGTCGCTGTACTACCGGGACCAGGGCCGCCCGGCCGTGAAAGACTCAGTGGCCCATGGATGCGGGTATCATGTATTCGGGAACAGCTCCAGATAATATGAGGAAGAGCTCCAGACAATATGAAGTACTTTATGCCTGGTGAATTGGTCACTCATATCAGAACACTTACTTCGGTCGACAATAGACAAGCTGCCGCCCGTTCCACTCTATCATAGTCCTCCACCGGGCGTTCCGTTTGGAGCTAAAGCGCCGGCTTTGATGACTGCGCCGCCGAAGGAATATTGAGGTTATTTTTTGGCGTTGGGGGTGGTGATGCGTGATACACAAGTATTGCCGGTACACATGCTTGTAATCTCAGACTGTTCGATGTTGTTACTTGCGATCTTTCCGTCGTCGATTTATTATGTCTTGCATCTTTACTGTCGATCTCGTCCATCCTTAGTCGATATTCGAATACGTTGATTCAGTTCCTTCAACTTGATTCTCAAACTTATCTTGTAATAATCCAGTTTTGGGGCCTATCTGGGCCTGATCTTCCTTGAGTGTCATATCTTGGCGGAGGGGATTGGAGAAAAGCACAACAGATCCATTACATCCACTATCACATCCACGCCACACCCCCACTGGCACTTTCTCTCTCGGAGTCCTTTTTCCTTCTCGTCTGATCTTCATCGAAATCACTTATCGCACTTCTTTGATTCTGTGCCACTGCTTTCATACCTCGACATGGCACAGAATCCCCAGCAGGATTCCACTGAGAAGGCCAGCTCCGCAGAGCCTAAGAATTCAGAGCTGGTTCCTCTTCTCCGAGGCGCTTTAGACTTTATCACATGGAATAGATCGTTAAAATGGGCATACTCGATGCCAATACCAATGGGTGTTCAAGCTCCTCGCAGGTGAATACGATCTCGGATGTCTTCTCTCATATTCCGAATGGGACCGCAACTAAAAAGCTTGGGAAAAATTGAATACTTCCCATATTCCAATACTCAACGTGACAATTCACTAAGGCCTCAGGTCCCATATAATAGAGGCAGGAAATGCTAGAGAGGCATATCAAAGTCTCAAACGTGACTTCACTGATACGCCTTGCAACTCAGGGTACGCTCTCTACGACAAGTGGGTTTCTCTTACCTACACGAGCAATAACCCCCAGTCCTTTGTCAATCTATGTCGCAATTCTCTCGTGGAGGTACTGAAGTCATTGGTCAGCTCCCATACCGCTATACTGTATCCGTTATCAGTTTCTCAAAGCTATCAGCGCAAACGAAGCTACTCAGACTTAGCTCGAAGACATCAAGCACAATCCCAAAGGCCCCAAAATGGTTCTTAAATCATCGTTCGACGACTTCTGTGTTTACTTCAAGTAATACCGGCAGAATTACGGGCAAGAATTCCTCGCTGTGCCATCATTTCTGCATTCACCACCAGAGCTGGATGGAGCATAGCTCGGATGACTGCTCGGAAAACTCCCAATGGGACCCAGAGTAAGCTACGAGCAAACCCCCTGGGCATAAATTCTCCGCTTACACTGCGTTAAGGCACTCCTCCACAACGCCTGTTCCAACACCTGCTATATCTGAGGGGTCCGATATACTCTAAACATCGAATTGTTTCTCGGTCCCGTTGGCGCCTTTGGTTTTTTTTTTTTTGCCTATATGCAGACATTCAACACCTGCATGTAACCGGTGCAGCTTTCTGAGACCTTTTCTTATTGCTGGAAGGAGGCTTGAAATAACATCGTTCTAATTATAATTTATCGTCTTTCCTTCCCGTGAAGCGAGTATTATCTGTTGGAAATTGATACAACCACACCCCTTCTGCCTCAGACCATACCCCCTCCCGACCTTTCTGGTTCTCTACAAGTGTATCTACTAGTTCTTCGACGTAAGTGTCCTGATGATTCAAATAGAAAAACAGACATTTAGCTCTATGGGTAGAATATTCTAGCCCGTAGTCCACTCATTCAGCACTGTGATTGCACACCACTATTGCACACCACTATCCAGAGTAGCTAGCCAGAGAGCTAATCATGTAGCTAACCAGGTAGATGACCAGTAGTTGACCAGGTAGATGACCAGTAGATGACCAGTAGAAGACCAGTAGATGACCAGTAGATGACCAGTAGATGACCAGGTAGCTGACCGTATAGGCAACTGAGCGATAAGCCTGGCAGTAGAATGAAAACAAAAACATTATGAATGTGAATTACAACAAACAAAAAAAGCCAAATTCATTACCCCTTCCTACAAAATCGTGTACGAACGTTACCATTACTACCATCTCAACCCAGCACTTCCACTTCGCTCCCACAACAGATCCCACCACCATTCACTACGACGAACTCCTAACCAGCTCTATACAAAACTCACCCCATTCAGCACCAGTACTAGAAGACATTACCTCCTCCGCAATCGCCTCCTCGAGCCGCTCATCATACCGTCTTCGATACTCAATCTTAACCTTCTCGAGATGTTTCGGCTCCCAATGCAATCGGACAAGTCTAGAAATCAACAGTTCAGAACGTTCCCGTCCGGACCTCGATTCTCGCAGTGCTTGGTGCAGAAGGAGGGCGTCACGCATGGGTCTGTTTATAGCACCGTTGAGGATATGGGCTAGTGTTTCTCCCTGGTCATCATTAGTATTGTACCATAAAGTATCCTACAGGATAGGCAACAACGAACGCCGCCATACTCCTGGAGGAGGGACTCACCACAAGATTCCTCGACTTAGCAATCATAGCCCTAGCAAAATTATGCCCATAAACCGCTTCATAAGCACGAAGCACCTCTCTAAGATGCGCATCAGACCTCGTAACAATAATCTGAATCATAGCCGTCTCGCCGCCGTCCCGACTGACCAGCGCACGATGCAAATCCGAAACATCCTGTCTAACAAGCCGAGCATCAATCGGATCACGCTCATCCTGTCTGCGCTCCTCGAGTGCCAGCAAGACCGCAACGCGGAATTTATCCGCGCGCAGCTCAGAGCGCATGCAGCGCTCCAGTGAGTTGTCGTATCTTGTATCGCGGAAACATGATTTAATTTCTCGGATTGCTGCGTTCGATCGCCCGATTAGGGATTCGATTAGCAGTTCACGCCGGGAGGTCCCGGCTTGGTAGTAGCAGTTTGCCCAGTAGGCTTCGCTTTCCCACCGGCCTAGGGCTGTGGCGTAGGCTACCTTTCCGAAGGAGGAGTTGCCGAGTTTCAGGCGAAGGTGTTTGGCGAGGTTTATGCCTTTGCCGTGCATTTTGACTTTGTTCTTGTACTCTGCTCTGAGTAAAAGGATCTCGTCGGTTGTGAGACGGGGCAGGACGGCGATGATTGCTTTGTTGTCGATGTTGCGGGTGTGATTGAGGGCGGATTGCATGGCCGAAGCGTCGGAGGCGGCGTCGTAGAAGGAGACGCGTTTGCGGCCGGTGGATGGGGAGATGAGGACGAGGTCGTCGCCGCGGAAGGAGGAGGATGAGTCGTGTCTGTCATGACCAGATCTGCGGCGTTTGTCGTCGCGGTCTCGGTCTTTTTCTTTTTTGTCTTTGCTGCTCCGGTGTCGGCTTTCTGTCTCCTCGCGCGAGGATGAGGACTTTTTCTTTCGTCGTCCAGAGTCAGAAAGCGAGCTACCTCCGTCTAGTGGTTCGAGGTCGGAGATGTCGTCGTCTCGGGTCGGCATCATGATGGGAGATGGCATCGGTGACATTGACTGATAGGTACCCTTGTACGGCTCCAGCAGCGGACTGGCCGGCGGATGGCCCAGATGGCCTCCCGGTGAGGCCACGACGAGATTGTTCGCAGACGAGACAGACAGACTGTGGGGACGGCCGCGTCCGCCGCCGGGGGTGATCTCCACCACCTGCTGTGGGGTGGAAGTCGCTAGCTGGGACTGCGAGTGGGAATGCGACTGCGACTGCGACTGCGACAGTGAGTGGGAGTGGGAGTGCGATTGAGACGGTGCTCGGTCACCAAATTGAGGATCATGGCTATAGCGATAGGGATATGCAGGCTGCTCCGGCGTTTTGCTAGCATATTGGTCCGGCAATCTATGATGCTGCTCAGGCATTCTCGCATTTGCATACGGGTCGGGGTTTCTGCCAGTACTAAACTGTTCATGCGCCGACACAGCGTACGGAACTGTCGGCGTCGTCTTGGAAGTATACCGCACATTCGGATCAACCTGTGCATACTGGAACTGACCAGGCTGGGCATAATACGGCGCAGTCGCTTGCGAAACATCACTTGCCGAGGCAGTACGATAATGCGACGGGGTATAGCCACCTGACGAGGCATATGCAAGCGGCTGCGTAGAAGGAATGCCCGCATACTGCGGCGCGGGGTACGTCGGCGCTGTTGTCGCAGGGCTTTCCACATAAGTCGAAGCTGGAGGAAAAGCTCCCGGCATCCCGGACGAGACGGGGGGCTGTGAAGCCGGCGGGACGAAGCCGGGACGCTCACATTCGGGGACAGGAGCCCAGTCGGGAGGCTGAGGCTGGGCCTGGGACTGTGTGGGCAAATAATTTGCCGGCTGCGCATACTGGAATCGCCCGGGACGGGCATAACTAGGGTGCGCACCCGGCGCATCGCCATACGCAAGACCATCATCCTCCGAGTCCGAGTCATGTCGACTGCTACGCGGAGGAGACGAACGACGCGGAGAGCGAGACGGATGCTCGCGCGGCTGCGCAACTTGCAGTCTCACGTCACTCTCCTGGTCCGAGTGCTCGTAGCGATCATCGTAGGGGTCCGCGCGACGGCGGCGGCGCGAGGACTGCTCACGGCCGCGACGACGGTCACTGTCTTCCTCGTCGGAGCGGCGCACGTCGTAAGGAGCTGGACTGCGGGGCGCTGGACTGCGCGGGGCACGCGAGACGACATTGCGGTCGTCGTCGGCCAGTCGACTTTCCTTGAGCAATCTGTACTGGCGCTCGATCTCGGCTTCCTGGTTGGAGACGTCGCTTTTCGCGTAGTCGACCGAGGACTTGGGACGGACCTCAAGAGCGGGTGAGCGCGCACGCGAGCGGTCTCGTTCACGGTCTCGATCTCCTCGCGAGGGCGACGGGGAGGGCACACGACTGTCGCGCGACCGGGAGCGTGAGCGTTCGCGACCAGGGGACTTGGATCGGGTGCGCGACCGTGGGTCGTGTACCTGGAGCGACATTGCGTTCCAGGGTCCAGCGGTGGGGGTTGCCGGATCAAGAGATGTGTTTATCTGCGTATACTCCTGGGCTTGAGAGAAGTGTCGCACACAGGAGAGTCGAGGAGAGGAGGGTCTCGAGGATCAGCTCGTGTCGCCTAGCCCACTCTGTCAGATCCCAACGTGGGCAACTCGACGGTGCGGGGAACTTTTACGTTGTGAGGTTATCGTGAGATGCAGGCAGCAATTTGGTCAGCAGAGAATCAGCAGATAAAATAAAATAAAAATGATTCAGGACTACAGAAGAAGGGAAAAGAAAGGCAGAAGAAGCGAGAACAAGAGCCTCGTCCTCGTATTCTGCAATGGCCCCCAACTGCTGCAGGTGCGATTGGTGTTCTGCAGGCGCCGGCTCCACGGCGTTTCTTCAGCCGCTGTAGGGCTACACACTCTATACTACGTATGCAAGATACAATTGATGCACACTTCAGTGGAGCAGAAATACACGTAAATTATCACGGAAGTACAGGGCCAGGGGCCTTTTCAGAAGGAAAGACTAAAAAAGAGTCCTCAACGAGGCAAGAAGCGGGGGGGGTATGTGCGAAAGAGCAAGCTATGCGAACAGAAGCGAAGCAGACAGAGTGCCCCCAATAAACTAGGGAGTCAGGTCGATAGAAACAGGGGAGCACAGAAAGATCATCGCGTGCGACGCCCATCATAGGAACTCGGTCCCGTGCGACCGCCATACGACTTGGCCTGCGCAGGCCGCGCCGGCTGCCCGTTGCGGTTGAGTCGGTTGGTGCGCCAACGTTCGTACCACACCACGCGACTGGCCTCGCGCAGTTCCGACCGCCACTCGCTGAACACAGAGTCCTTCAGGCGCACAAAGTCGCAGTGCTCCGCGTTGTACGGGTCCGCGAAGCCCCAAGGGAAGCGCCGGCCGATCGGCTCTTCGCCCGACGCCAGCGAGTGCGGGTCCGGCGACAGGATCGAGAAGGGGACGTGCGGGTTGACCGTCTGCTGCGAGGCACGCGTGCTGGCACTGCGCTGCGACGGCGACTTGGGGACTGGCACGGCGGAGGCCTCCTCCTGGGTTTCAGCCTCGGTCTCGGGGTTGGCGCTGGCGTCGGAGGTGGTCGGCGGTTCGGCAGCGGCGGTCTCCTCCTGCTCGCCCAGAGAGGCCTCGTCCGCGCTCTCCGATGAGGTGTACTCGTCCTCTTCGCCCTCCAGAGTCAGGATTTCGAGCGGGTCGATGTTGGCCTTCTTCAGGCTGTTCCAGACCGCCTTGCGAAGGTATTCCATGTGGACGGAGGTAATGGTGTCGGCCTTGCTGATGACCGGGACCACAGTAGTCTTGCCCAGGATGGTGCGCAGCACCTGCAGATCCAGGTTCTGGTCCAGGACGCCCAGAACAGGGCTATCGGTGGCCTTCGGGGTGCCATTGGCGGCGCGCTCCGCCGCAGCAATGTTCTCGTCCAGACGGACGGGGTCCAAGAGCAAGAACGTGCAATGGATGTGGGTGTCACGGGCACCGGGGGAGCGCACCACCTTCATCTCCTCCGCGAGGGTCTCCTCGAACTTGCTCTCCAGGAACCCGGTCACGGCGCGCATCTGCAGGTCCGCAATGTTGCGCTCCAGACCGTTGGAGTCCCAGAGGGTCAGCCCGACCCGCTCGCCGTCGATCTCGGTCTCCAGGTACTGCGAGGTGAATCCTTCGTAGGCGGAGGTCTGGCTCTCCAGCTCCTCCAGCTCTTCGGGGGTGCGTGAGGGGTGCTTATGCGGGGGCATCGTCAACGACTTGCGGAGAAAGTTGAGGAACGAGGTCTTGCCGGAGTTACGGGCTCCCACGACCAGAACACTGCCGCACGTTAGCATGCGCTTTATTTAGCATCAGCACTGTCTGAATGCCCATCACTTACTTGTATGGAGTGGGGTCCTTGCGACGGCGGACCCGGCGGGGACTGTTGACCGTGCTGACGGCACTGCTGGCGTAGCTGTAGCGGCCGCGATGGGTCATGCTTTCGGTGCGAGCATAGGGATCGATGGGCTCGATGGCGGAGGGAGGGGCCGCAAAGCCAGACTGGGGACGAGGCATCGGCGGCGGCGCGCCCAGGGTATCGCGCTCTTCGCCTCCAAAGGTCTCGAGCTGGGGGGCAGGCGACAGATCGGGCAAGCGCGGGGCGATCTTGGGGGCGTAGGACTCGCGCTGACGGCGCATTTCCTCCTCCATGGCCTGGGCCTTGGACATTTTCTTGCGGGAGCCGGAGACTTTGCGTTCGCCGAGGGGTTCGGTGGATTTGGAACGACGAAGGAAGCCGAGCGAGGTGCGGCGCGCGTTGAGGGACTGGCCGTTCTCCGAAGGTTGCGCATCGGAAGGTGCGCGCGAGGAAGTCGGCGTCGCCATTTTCGGGTTGGTCTGTTTGCTAGTTGCGTTGCCTAGTTTCTTCAGCTTGGTCAGCTTGACCTCAGTACTTGGCATACCCCAGATTACGATCAGTAGCAATACTAATATGACCCAGCAGAGTACCTAGGTGCCTTGGTCTTGTATCTCGTAGTACAAGTGACATCCAGACACCGCTCTTATAATCCCAATTTCGCCTGGCGTGGTGTCCCCTTCATGCAGGGGTCGTGCATGGAGGGGTTGAATGAAGAATGAATGAGAATGACTTACTATAGATCAGATCCAAGTGGAATCCAAAAGTATGCAATAGAAATAGTAGATGCAGTAGATGCAGCAATTCCAAGTCCAATACTTGGGGTGATTTCGAGATCCGGGTCTGCGAGTATGCCGCACGAGGACTCAATCCGTTGGCATGGGTTTCACAGTGGATAGTTGGGAGTCAAAAAAAACGATCAGGTCGATCGACAGAAAGAACGAGAGTCGACAGAAGTGAGAGTGGATTTCCAAAGGCGACACGAAGCTCCCAGCCAGTGTGAGGGTGTCGCGGGGCCGTCGCTACTGGAGGACGGAGATAGGGGAAGAGCGAACTCGCGCGAGTTCGGGGCAGAAGTGAAAGTTGGGAAGGGCCAATCCCGGTTTTTGATTTTTTTGGGGGTTTTTGATTGCTTGCGAAAGGGCCTGCTCACAGCGTCCGGCTCTAGCGGCGCATGGAGAGAAGAAGAGAGAGGCAGAGAGGCAAAGATGAAAGGAGGGCGTGGAGAAGAAGAGATGGAGATACGATGCGGAGGGGCCGTACCTGACCTGTGACCTTTCCGTTGACATTTGTACCATTACTTCATTGACTTTCTACCCTAGGGTACCTTCAATTTAGGTCGTTACGAGTCCGCATTTCCTGCTAGGACTTCCCCAGTGGCACACTTGATCTATTACATTACTGTCCCTACGCATTCTACACCTCGTCTCTCCATCGCCGCAGCTTGCCACCTCGTGGGCAACCGCACGAGCTGAGATTCAGGGGTAAACCGTCCACAGCGCGTCGAGACCAGCTCCCGCCCCACTTGGCGCCGGCTCGTTCGTCTCCTCGTACCGTCGCTCCCTCGAAAACGACCAGAGCCGATTCTCGACCTGTCGAGTCGATCGTCCATGTCTTGACGGGGGTTCGCCACGACGCTCCGACGAATCCGGCTGGTCCTGCACACCTCGCCTCATACTCATCCAACACTGCTGCATACACTCTCCTGCCACAACCCCCTGAGTGGCTCGTGCACAACAGACGCCAGGGGCCGTTGGTGTGACTCCACTGCGATCGGCGCTCGTTTTTTTCGTTGTTCGAGTTTTCTGCTGGAGGGGAGCTATGTAGCAGAGGGTCGAAGGTCCGCAGGTCACCGAACTGTCCCGACATCAGCATCATAGGATATGAGTATGGGTATCGATATGACGGGGAGCTTGAGACAGAGCATTTCGAGATCAGCGATCAGATACCGAGCTGCAAACCATGAATAAATCCCTCCAACGGGTCTAGGATGAACCACTGCTGCGACGAACTCGGAATCCATCCGATGGGGCTGCAATCTCCAGCTCACCGAGGCGGCCGGCTCGAAATTAGGGCGAGAGTTTTAACTTGCGGTTGGCTGGCGTTGGCAGTTAGATCGGAAACTGCAATTAAAATGTCCGGGTCTCATCAGCCCCAGATAATTAGAACGCATCAGACCTTTGAATAAACAGAGACAGACATCAAGGAACCCCAAAGCAAAGGTCCTTGACAAACCCTCAGCCTTGCTCGCATCAACATCAATCAAGAACACGTGAAGCTGGCGGCCACCAGTATAGCCCAGCAAAACAACCCTAATCACTTTATCCAGGGGCCCGATAACCTCGCATAGATCCACGCGAGCTCGCGATCTCGCATACCAACGTGGGGCGTCCAGAGCGCACCCGCGGAACCCTCGTCTCTGGGACGCGACTGACCGCAGCCCCGGATAAACTACTGGATCGCATCCAGGGTACCAGCGAGACGTGCCAGAGCATGCAACCCAACTCGTTCCTCCGTACAACCGGCCTGCGAAAACAATACTCATGAAGCTGTGTGCGGCTTGGGCAGAAACCTCCCGCGAAGCACGTTCCAGAGTGGAGCCCGAATTGTGGGGCCTCGCGTGCGCTGAATTACCGAGGGCTGCGGAAGAAGTTTGCTGGACCGACGGGAATGCGGATTGGCTTGGGTGTCTGTGTCGGATTAATTTATTTGGAGGGGTTTTACAGGGTTTGCGGTTACCAAGCCTTCTGTGTGGGGTCTGGCGATATACACATGGATTGGGGGGCACCCAGGTATATACGACGAAAGCAAGTCTGTGGCAGACAGGACAGAGCCACAATGCTCTGACAAGCACATGAGAAAGAAAGACAAGAAATAATGATGGACATGTTCTGATCAAGGAAAGAGCATAACTAGAATAATTATCCTCGAAATGAACTTGTGAAGTGTATATACAATGAGGATGAGCACGACACATCTATAGCAAGTACCCATCTCATCTCATCTCATCTCACGCATCCTTGCTCTTCTCTGCCCAAGTCCTAAATGGCAGAACAACACAAGGCGTAGACGGACACACATGCTGCCGATCCAAGACCTTAAACTTCGGCCCATTCGGACCAGCCACATACTTCGCCTCGCCAAAGATCGACGGCTCATTCGGCGGCTGATCATTGCCCCATTTCCCATTGAAATTAATCCACGCCAACGGTGCCCCGGGGCTGGCAGTTTCGAAAATCCGCGTCGTGGTGTTGTAGGTGTAAGCGTAGGCGTTGAGAACGGGATCCCATAACCGGCCGCGATCCGCGTAGTCCACGAGGAAGCCGGTTGGGAGGTTGACGCCGGGGATGGTGTGGTCATGGGATCTAAGCATGGAGTTAGCGTGAATGAGATAGTTGTAGAGATAGAATGAATTGACGGACCCTTCTTTCACGTAGTTCGCGTGCGTGCCATTCCCGGAGTAGGTGTATGGACGAAGACCCTTCTTTTCCACCGCGTTATAGGTAAATGCCTGCCCGCTAGCGTGTTGGCTGTACCACAGTGCTTGTGGGGTCCCGTTGGAAAAGCGCATCATATTGTGTTCCCTGTTCGGATCAGATATCCTTATTCATCTTTGAAGTTTTCAGCGCACATACCAATCACCAATGTGGTTGCCGAATTCGAGGCCGAGGACTTTGTTGCCCTTGTTGTATCTGCAAAGTACGGTAGTGAGCAAATGTTCATCAGACGGTAGAATCGGTTGACATACGCATAGAAGTAGAAATAGAACGCATCCACATTCCCACTACCATGGTCAATCACCACAATTGCACACCCAGTCCCATTCCCAAGACGTCCCTGTGTATCCGGAGTAATCCCGTGGAACCAGGCTGGCTCCGGACTAGCATCGATCCCTTCATGCGACGTCAGATAAACGCTCGTATTACCCGATCCATTGAGCTGGTCGAGGTTATCCAACGTCAACGGCGTCGGGGCCCCAGCAACGGTCGTCCAGTTCACCTGGGGACTGGTGTGGACCAGTTGCTGCTGGAGATCACTGGGTCTATACGGGTCTTGACTATGCAGCCATACCAGCGGCGCTGATGATCAAAGTCAGCATCAATCTGCAATAGGAACCCGGGGTTCACTCACCGTAATCGTATACATATTGCGGGACCGTCGCAGCAGCAACAGATGGGATGAAAGGGAGTGTAGCCAATGGGGCGACGACCAGTAGCCGCTGTATCAGGTGCATGATATAAAATATAGCGCAGAACGGCCGCATTGAAAGCTTCGGTCAGAATGGGACTCAGCAAGCCTGGAGCGGTCCGAGTCCTTGACTCTTTTAAATCTGTAGCTGTGTTAGCGTCACCCATCACAAGACATGCGCGCAGCAACCGTTCACTTACCTATGGATAGTAGGATCCCGGATTCTGAAAAAAGCGACCATGTGAAGAAGCTTGCGAGGCTCGAATAAGAAGCTTTGATATTGGCAGGTGCGATCCCCAAACCAGCGGTTACTCCCGCGCCCGTCTTCGAGACTGAGTCGCATCCAATGAAGAAGGAATATCACCACCCCCCTCTTCGAAATTTTGAGGCGCCACCTGCGAACCACGACGTGATTCAACGTGCAACGGTGCGGAGATGTCGCCGGCACCGGGCAGGAGGAACCCTTTCGGGTTGGAAGGGATACCTCGGAATGCGACCATGGTGAACGAACTGTCTCGGGTAGGCAAGCGATCTACAAGGCCAGGAACAGGCGGCCAAACTTGAACCGAAGATTGGGTGGTGCATTTTGTGCTTGGGTGTGGTCTTGGGTTGGACCTGGTGAGCGTGAGGTACACATCATGTGGGACTTGGCTGGTCAGCTGCTGTAATCACTTGGCTTGGCTGAGGGCTTGAGGGGCAACTGAAGAAGGGTCCTGGGCCTGAAGCTAGATTTATGCAGGGAGTTTTGTTTTTGTTACTCTCATCGGTAATAACATGATGAATGAAATCCAAATCTACAGGATCATCCCTGATCGACCAATTACGCCCGCTCTCGAGTTAACCGCCGAATCCAATACCCTCCAGGCGAGTTATCAACATCAAATCTACTACGAAATTTCTGATGATAAAGATATTCTTAATCTAAGTCCGAAAATTAATTTGCTTCCCATGCTTAGTATTCAATCACAACTTTCCCTGCTTCACCTCCTCCTCAACCTCCCTCGCCCTCATCAACTTAAAAACCCTCAAATCCAACGGAATCCGATCCCCCAACCACGTCGCCCGCTGCGTATGATTCCGCTCATCCTCCAGTGCCCCCTCATCAACCGTATTCGGGTGGACAAGGGCACTCAATGGGCCGCGGTTAATCACCAGCCACGGGACGAAGGCGCCGAACTGCGCCGGTGTGAAGAGGTTCACCTCGAACATGGCGACGGGGTGTGGGCCGATGGGCTTGTCCCAGAATGTGTAGATTCGGAGTTCGGGGACTTCAGGATTGAGTGTTAGTATCGCTCTAATTGTGAGAGGATTCTTGCTTGGGTTAGTCTCGTGCTTACATTCGCGGCGGATTCGCTCATGGAGAGCTTTGGCGTAGGTTGCTTGGTCGGGATTGTTCTATCCCGTGTTAGTATTTGTATTCGCCATAATTTCGCAATCATCGTAATCTTGCTAGGTTGATCCTGGGATTGCAGGCTGTTGTCGCACCTGGAAATAATAGATGTGGATATCGAAGCCGCCGCGACGATCTTTGCTCAGAGGATCGGGGAATTCCTCGTATGCTTTGCTCAGAACTCCGTGCTGGGGATTCTTGAGCGATTTGCCATCTTCGTTGCGCTCGCTAGGTGCCAATGTGTCAGTCACTTGGTCGGAAACTCTGCGTTTGCGTGTGCGATGCCAAATTGTGGCCTCGACTCACTCGGACAGTGGCTCCAGATTCTCGTACCCCTCCAATGGGTAAGGGTAAGAGTAGGCGAACGGATCGGTCATCGTGGCGTGTGTTGTGCGTTGCTGTTGTCCTTTCGTCTCCAGAAAACTCTTGTTTGCAACGCTTGACAGTCTGATCTGAAGTGCACCGGATAGAGTTTATATATTTGTGGTAGCACCGATCTGAATAGTGCTTAGGTGGGCTTCGTGCGACGTGACAGATAACGTGGGAAACAATCTTATCAATCTCGGGCGGCGCTCGTGGTGGATGCAGAGTTCTTAAGTGAGACAAGCGACCATTTGCTGCATAAGCATTGGAAATAGGTCGAATTCGATGTCGTCAAACCCGACTGCCCCCTCACCATCGCCATCGCGGCAATTCCGCACTAACACCGCGGAACCGCCCGTCGGCATCCACTCCACGTGATTTGATGCTTAGCGTATGAGTGCTACGATGTAAGGGTCTGGAACTACATGGAAAAAGATGACCATAATACACCGAAGCAGAGAATAGCAATGACTGGTAAGAACAATAGCAGCTGGGTAATAACAAAGCTGGTCACAATAACTGTACTGACGCCCGTTGAGATGTTGTACAACAAATAACCGGTCCTGGTATTTTGAAAACAGCCATAAACGCCCCTAAATAATGAACAAAACATTTCTACCATTGGGCATGAACGTCGGTATGTCCCCTATCGTCCATCACTTTACCACGATCCCACTCGCGGCCTTCTCCCTTCTTCGACCATTGCACCTGCTCTGGTTTCTCGTCGCCATTCACAGCGGAAGAGGACGCATTAGACTTCCATCGTTCGATCGTCGATTCATTCATTCCAGCAGCACGCAACCTTTCCTCTCCCTTTTGACGCCAACGAGCCCGATCGCGCAAGGCTTCGAGCGCCATGTCCCAATCATCTTCTTGTGACAGACCCACGACGTGACGTGGTTTCTTTTGGGTAGGCTGCTCGTCATCTTCGAGATGCAGATCAAGAGCAGGGTCGTAGTCAGCTACAAAATGGGAATCAATCGCACTGGTGTTCGATTTGTAGGCGCCACGACCGCGGGAACGAATAGGCGCTTTGCTGTCACCCGGCAAAGTAGGGCCAATAAGCTCATCAAGAGAGTCTGATTCGTTTTCAATATCACGACGCAGCTTGTCATCCTCTTTCCTCTCGGTCTGTTTTTGAATCGGCGAACAGTGCTCGTCCTCGTGCCTCGATTTATGTTCCCTGTCCGGTTCGTGAGAACGAGACCTGCTGGTGTGCTTGGACCGGCGCGGGGACCGACTGCGAGAACTCGAGTTTGATCGCTCTCGGTGTCGCCGGTCTGACCGCGAGGAGCGATGTCCATGTCGATCTCGTCGGCGTTCCCTGCCCTCTCCGTCTCGATCTTTCGACCTTTCCCGCTTCTTCTGTCTATCGCGATCTCTGTACTCCTTGCGGTCCCTGTAATCGTCATGATCTCTGTACTTGTCGCGATTGCTGGATGTTTCCCGAACTTTGAATTTCTCCCGAGTCTCTTCTCGTCGATGTCTGCGGGACCGATTTCGCTCCGAGGACGTGCTAGTAGAACGGCTGCGGTGGCGGTGGCTCCGTCGATGTGAGCGGCGCGAATGTTCTCGGTCTCGGTCTTCGTCACGAAGGTCATATTTGTCATCTCCTCGGCGGCGTCTCTCCGAATCTCGCACGCTGGACCGGCGATCTTGATCACCTTTCCCAGAAGTTCGGGGGTGTATCTCATCCCGTTTCTTCTCACTCAATTCGCGCATCCGGCCCCTCGCTTCTCTCTCTTCTTTACGCTTTAGAGCAGTATTGTGACTATCCGTATCCATCAAGAGATTTCGCAGGAACCTCATGTTAGGCTTGCCGGCTGGTCTGTAGGCGACTGGTGATTAAACGGTTTGAACTAGTATGATAGTATCTGGAGACCAAACTAACCTTCGAGTCTGGTAGGCGAGAAGACCCTCTCTTGAGTACCTCTGAGAAGATTCTCGGGCCTCCTTGGCCAGTAACTCCGCGATGGAATCATCGTCCATGATGTCAAGACGCAAATTGCGAATTCGGATTAGGAGAACGAAGGTGATGAGAAGAGATGAAAGTGGGAGTAAAACCTGGGGCCTTTGGATTGAGTGCGGCAGTATGCTCCCAACCAGCAAATCCCCTTCCCAGAGACAGGAAGGACGACAAGAAGGACGACAAGAAGGACATAGCAAAGAAGTGAAGGTGCGGGCGCCTACCAAAATTGTGCCGCCCGTTCCCGCCTTCTTATCATCGCGATAGTGTTACCCGCTTTTGGGAAGGCGGCGTCAATGTTTACGCGGTTGCGGATGGAGGCAACGACTCTTTCCCAACAGAGACACTAAACTGGACAATTCTTGCCGAATAACACAGAAATTTCGAGCCTTGTTATCATGTCGAACGGCTCTGATGCCCTCGCTGAGCTACAGCGACTCGAACAGGACGAGGGCGACCTGAAGAAACAACTCGCAATCATCCGAATTAGCGAACCTATATCCGACGTTGGCGACACGACCGTATCCCCTTCCAAGAGAGGATCGGATGTCTCGATCTCGAACTTAAATGATCCGACCCCGGCTGTCCTTGAAGCCGACCTGACACACTACAAGGTACGCGATGCGTCCGTTCTCGATCCAGTCGCAACCGCTAACGAATTACGCAGGAACTCTTCTCTAAACTACGATTTTCCTACCTCGAACAAGTCACAAAGGAGAAATTCCTTCGAGCAATTGTGGGCGAGCCGCCTCTCGTCGTCGGGCACAATGAGAATGTGGAACTGGAAACCCAATTGGCAGACGTGAAGGCCGAACTGAAGTCCCGCAAGGAAGAAGCGCGTCTGATGATTGAAGAAATGGAGAAGATTGGACGCGATCTGGCTACCCGTAAGAGTCCTTGAATTTTTCTCTGACTTTTTGGTCCGCTGGCTAAACATGAATCGCATTAAAGGTTATAAGAACGTCGAACTCCAAATGACACAGCTCGCATCGCTCCCCGAGTCCATTGAGAAGCTGGAGTCCACAATTGCGGGTCTCAAGGCGAAGCAAGTGGCCGGCATGGACACTTCTGACCCACGATCTTCACAGAATCTCCCTCTCCCGGCGACTACGTCGCTGTTAGCTGAGCGCGAGTCGGAATTGGCGGCGCTGAATCGGCAAATCGCTGCTGTGCAGAATACATTGCCGCGCAAGACTCGAGAGGCGGAGGCTATCGAGAGAGAATGCTCGGTTCTGGAACGACGAAAGGTAGAGGCCATTGCACAGGCGCAAGAGGCGCAAAGGAAGAAGCAGCAAGGGGAGAGCGATGGCCTGGAGGAAATGGGCCGGTGGTACAGAGGGGCGGAGGAGACTCTCAAGGAAATGGTCGGTGTTGAGGGATGAGGCTCTGCGCAAGGAGCGTATCGGCAATGACTACATGATTATGGGTAAGGTTGAATGGGGAAAGGCGTTAAGGGTATACTATATCTACAGTACATAGGGCGAGAGACTATTTCGGTCATAAATGGACAAGGTGCAATGGGAAATATTCTCTAGAATTCGGGTTTCGAATTGAAGCCATCCGGCTGTTTTTGATTCATTCAATATGCACGAGCATACATAAGACGCTCTGTGGTAGTCATCATGAACATCCCAGAGTATAGAACTGCCCAAAGCGAAACCCGTCCGTACTCCCGTATTTTCTTTTTTAGGTGGACATTTACTCCTCATCCTCCTCGGCCTCCTCGCCGTCGTCACCACCGGCGGCGGCAGCGGCCTTCTTGCGGCGGCAACGACCGGGGCGGCCACCACCGAAGGGCGAGGTCAGGGCGAAGTCGATGTGCTTCTGGGAGTCAAGGCGGACCATGTAGGAGGGAACGTTGACGATCTGCTTGCCGACACGGATGTGACGCTGCTTGATCAAGACACGGGCGTGGTGGATGGACTTGGCGAGGCCAAGCTTGTACACGCAGGTCTGCAGACGGCGCTCAAGGAAATCCTCGACCTTCAGGGCAAGGACGTAATCGAGCTTCATGCGGGACTCGTCGAGGACACCAATACGCACAAGACGGCGAATCAGGGCGTTACCCTCGAAAAGACGCTTGGGGTCCTTCTCATCGAGAGTGAGCAGCTCACTAAAAACGACGAAGAGATGTTAGCCAAGTTCTTGCTGAGCAGGTGGATTGTGCGCTGGGTTGTCCCCGAGGCCACAAAAACCCAATTGCGATCAAGAGTGTATCCTCCACATACCGAGCAGCACGACGAATCTTGGACAGAGTGAGCTGGACACGCCACACCTCACGCTTGTTGCGGAGGCCGTACTCGCCGACAACCTTCAGTTCCGAGTCACTAGAAATGGGTTAATATGGAACACACGACATAAACAGAAGCACGCTTCTGATCATTGGCCGGAGAGTACTAACAGACGGGCCGACTCGAAAGCTGCGATGAAGTTAGTTTTTTGGTCTCTTCATGGTGATTTTTTTTCGCAGTAAGGCACTTACGGCGACGGGGGACCTTGTAGGTCTTGGAGTAGACACGGCTGTAAAGATAAAACCGATTAGAATAATGCGACTATCATGATGGACTTCGATCGCACTCACGGAGCGGGAGCCATGGCTGCTGGGTGTCGGGGTTGGCGGCGGGATGGAGAACGAGAATCAAAATCGCGAAGTCGAAATGCTTCATCCACACTCACAGTCCATAAGCGAGGTGGTGGGTCCTATCCGTAAATGGTTTAGTGCTGGTCACGGGATGTGCTAACCCTAGGGTACCCGCCAAGCGCACACTGTCACGGGTCCGCCGCCTCAACTCCCGACGAAGGTTGTCCGTGTCGAATTTCCTCAACAAGCACCAACGACAACACCGCCGTCATGCCTCACTCCTACGGTCTCCGCGCCGGCACTCGGGTACGTTTGCGTTCCACGTGTTCGAATTCTCGATTTTTACGATCTATTCGCTGCCGCCCACCCCCGGGGCCGATATTGAAGGATTGATCGCTGACCAGATGGACAACAGTATGCCTTCAGCCGTAACTTCAAGGAGCACGGTATGATCCGTCTCTCCACCTACCTGAAGACCTTCCGGTACGAGCGCAAAACCCCGAATCGAAACGACCGAGGAACAAGAGCAAGGAATCTAACAAGTTTTTTAGTGTTGGTGACATTGTCGACCTGAAGGTTAACGGTGCCGTTCAGAAGGGGTCAGTACCACCGAAATTTTCCCACCCATCGCACACAACCTCTTTGCTCGCAATCAATCCGTCCACGCCAGCACTCGAAATCGCGACTTTCCCAAAGACCTTGAAATTGACAAATTTGAATATAGTATGCCCCACAAGGTCTACCACGGCAAGACCGGTGTCGTCTACAACGTGACCAAGTCCTCCGTCGGTGTCCTCCTGTACAAGCGCGTCGACAACCGCTACATCGAGAAGCGCATCAACGTCCGCATTGAGCACGTCCAGCACTCCCGCTCCCGTGAGGAGTTCATCAACCGCGTCAAGGAGAACGCCCTCAAGAAGCGTGAGGCCAAGGAGAAGGGTGTTCACGTCCACCTGAAGCGCCAGGCCGTTGGCCCCCGTGCCGCCCACACCATCAGCATGGCCGACAACACCCCCGAGACCGTTGTGCCCATCGCCTACGACACCCACATCTAAACGAAAAATTTTGGGTTGGGTCCGGTGTGTGCGTGGTTGCTTGGTGTTTTTCCAGTTAAGGGTTTTCAGCCGCTTTTTTTATCCCTCACCCGAGGGTGGAATGGACTTGGGCTGCATGAGACGACACGTGAAGGGTGTCGATGCCCTGGCACATCTCTCGCCTGTGCATAGATTCCCCGAATGAAACAAAATCAAAAATTTCTGAGTTCATTAAAACTTTACTTTCTGTATGGGTCGGAGAATTGGCCGTAGGATGCGTTCAGCAGTAGGATCGTTCTAGACCGTTGCGACCGACTTCTCCAGACTTACTCCAACAGTAGTAAGTGACAAGGCTGACTAGGTTGGAAAGCTCGCCACTGGCGGCTGCCGCCATTCCCGCCATCTACATGCGGTTCGAGGAACACAGTGTATCAGCGTACCGTCTGTCGAATCTAGGCCGGTCGATGACTTGTGGTCATTTTAAGGCCACGGTAGTCGGGAGAGTTGGGCTGCTGGCATAATGGAGTCGGGTCTGAAGGTCTGAAGACCGCAGTATGTGAGAGCACCAGGCATTTCCTATCAAGGTATAGTGCCCTTATCCAGTATATTCAAGCTCCAGTAAACTCTGGGCAAGTCTTAGGATGTAAACCATCCCAGGCATTGTTCGAGATATCAGATAAATAGGTCAAATCATGAATAGTGTGGAATATATGAGATTGATCCTAATAACAATTCGACGCTAGCTGCAATATGATGCTGATTGTATATATTCATCGCAACCTTCGGCCCAATATGCCTCGAATGAATCCAACTCTAGAATAAGACCAAAGTAAAGCCATGAAGAACAACTCCTACACCGCTAATCCAACCTTTGCGATATTGACCTCCACCCTCGAAGGAATGATGCACCAATCCATTTCTGGTAGTAGCCTCCAGGACACATGACAACTATCAACATGGGGAACCGCTTCTAGATCCGAAATGAGGTCACCGCCTCCAACCGTGACACTCCAATAGCAGAAGACAGCAGCGCCAGGCACCAAGCACCCCGGCAAGCCGATCGCAACACCACTGATGTCCAGGGTATACGGTCTAGACCTTCAACGTCCAGTGCTATCTCACCATCCAGGCAGATTGACCCGCAACGAACACCCGCACAGCCACACATGAGCTCACCGACTTACCATCAAATACTGCGCCTCCGTGCCTGTCACGACCTCCAGCTCGACCAGTAAGAGCCAGAGAATAGAATCCTCGCTATCCGCGCCCACCAGCAATTTTTGAAGTGGTGATTACGTGGTCAGTGTGTTCCTGGAGTGGCCGATTGGACTTGGGTGAGACAGCGGCAAGTGAAGGCCTGAGCCACGGAGACAGTGGAAAGAGGAAGGTGGAAGCAGGTATCTTTTTTAACTGTTCGAAACGGTATTTCGAATGAAAGGGTATCTCGGATTTCCAGGCGTACCGGAATTGTATGCGAACAAGAACACATACATATGTGCTGTGTACCGTTCGGAGTGCATCTAAGCGGCAAGCCGATCGCCAAGAATCCAATCTCCAGAAGAACTAATGGAAGATCACCACATTGCACAGTCTCCGCTTTGGATTGTTGAACATTGCACCGTGAGGTCTAATCTCATGAGAAAAGAAATCAGAGAGGAAAAATCGGAGATAACAAGTGTACTAATGTAGGGAAGGGGCAGGATCACCCGCGCTCAAACACTTGCAGTAGGCGTCATACACTAGCGGAGGACGACACCTAGACGAAGAAAAGGCCTCACGATGCAGGTGGCATCCCCAGAGTCCGAGCCTCAGTCCGAGTCCAGAACCTCACGATCTTGGGTTGGTCGCCACCGTAAACTACAATCGCCTAAGAGAAGATCTAGCGTTGAGTCCCTGGCATAGGTGCCTGCGTCTACTCTATACCCTGAACAGTGTAAACCTTCGAGGTAGCTTGGGGCCATTGGAAACTCGGGTCCTGCGTTGAACCCTCTGCCGGGTGACACGGACCCTTGCGACGGCGGTTTCCATTATGTTATTCTTTCTCTTGTCGGGGCCCGGATCGCACGCTGTCCCTGAGGGTGGTCATAGTGGGCTGCGGCTGCGTAATACGCTGGCGTTCCGTCCACCATGATCGACGACTGAGCCATTAGTGGCGAGCTGGCATCTTGTCGCCCAAGCCCTCGGGTTGACAGGGTTGGAGGCTGTGGTCGGTTGTGTCACCACACCGGCCATCCGTCCCAGCATGGCGGTCCCATCCGCGGGTAGGGCTATCATTTGCTTTTCTGGCGACAAGTCGTGCAGGTCCGGCCCAGTCCTCGCTAACCTCCACATTGTCCGCAGTGTGTTGGATCGGTCCGGGCTTGAATTGGTGGTGGTGAAAAAGCAATATGAAGTCTCGGCTCCACAATATACATCGGCCCTTCCAAATACTGCCGGGCGACGGACTATCCTTGGATGCGCTCTTTCCATGACTGGCTGCGAGACCGGCCGGATGTGTCGAGAATGGTTTCGGCCCCGAGTAGTGCACTTGTCCGCAGGATCATCGACTGCCTGCCGGGGCACTCGCGCAGCATGCAGCAGGCATCCACGGTGCCATGACCGACTGCAGTGTGTCACTGTTGGCGGAGAATGGAGCCGCGTGAGCCATACAAATCGTGATGTGGCGGTGCGCATTCTGCCTCGCGACGTGGGCATCTTCCCTGGTTTCAAGCTGAGAACGTTAAATAGCATTTCCGACCTGTCCAGTGGTTTGCACGTTCGCATAAACCATTTTCTTGCCATCTTTGCATCACCCTTGATACACTCTCATCCAAGACCACAGCGTTGTGGGTTCAGCCACGCCCATTACTGGGCGAACTCCCAGGGCCCCGGACGATCGACGCCTGTCCGATCCTCGTGTCCGGCCATTTACCCTCCTCGCGAACTCCTATTTATTTTTTCCTGCAGACATATTTCTTTTCATTTTTCATTTTTCCTTTTTCGCCTTTTTTTTCTTTTCTAAGGCACGCACATTCGGCCTGTCATATCCCCCATCCCCCATCCCCCATCCCCCATCCCCCATCCCCGGCGCCACAATGCCGGAGAAATAACTGCGCCCAGAATTGCTCTCCGCTGGCAGGAATGTTGCACGAAGTCGTAGCCAGCAGGTCGGAGCATGAGTCTGGGATATCGGCATTCCTGGGCCCCAGGGCAGTGGTACCTCAATGGCTCTTTCCTCCGTGCCGGGCTCGAATCTGCCTCGATGGCCCCGTGATGGTGATGAATCACTCGGCACTACTGCTAAAGTAGTGTAGGGACAGGTCTGCAACCAGCGTTTCAGAGAATCTCACGGGTGCTTTGTACTTCGTCATCAAATTTGAAATAAATTCTGAATTTTTCGCTATCAGGTCACCTACACTAATGGCATCTCCAATCTGCCTCACCTCAAGGGGGTTCGAGCGGTGCTCCACCGCAGTCTGACCCAACCCAGCACCGCTGTGAGTCCGGGGGCTTAGAGAGGGTGAAGACCCAGGCGTTGTTTCATATTTTGCACTCGCTTTCTGCTCACCAGGTGACCAGCTCCTGGGCGTGGTGAATATTCAGACTTTGCTCCCAGGGCCATCACCGCCATAGTGCATCATTCATCATGCCCCAGGCCCCTACGTGAATCCTTAGGCTGCCATCTGAGCCTAGCACACTGCGTCTATATCCACCGCCAATAACATCTTCGCTCTTGTCCACTAAGCGATCCTGATCCCTGCCAGCAGATCCTCCAATCAGCTCAGGATCACCGCGCCCACCCAGAACATCCATAGGCGTAGGCGTAGGCGTAGGCGTAGACCTCACCGACTCTTTCCATGCAAGTGTCAGAACGGGACGATCCATGAGTCGGGCTAATGCAGTGCGGAAGTATTAACGGGATCCCGGGGGAGGTTTGTGGGTATGAATTACGTCGATAATTGGATTGAATGACTGCCCAAAGGGATCAATGACGACCCAGGGCCAGCGCCTTGGGTGCGTTCCTGTATGCGTGTACTGGACGGCGACAGGACAGGGTGCAGACAAGGCTCCGCAGCAGGATCTCACGCTGGCTCCAGCTACTACAATCGGACCAGTGAATATTCGAGCATTTGTCCTTCGGTCGGCACTCTCCAAAAACCCTCGAAAAATTCGAATAAAAAAGAGAGAAAGAAAAAAAAAATTTAGATTCAGCCTGGATACCCCCCAGCCCAGGCAACCGGGCAGAGAAGTGGACGGAGGAGGAAGCTTTCTAGAATTACGGATCGCCTTGAAAGTTCGCACTTTCGCTCTGTGCCCACTGGTAGTCCAATGACCACCCGACTCCACCGAGTCGGATCAAGATGGCCATCATCACGGCCACACCCTGGCGACACCCGGGTTGAGAGTTGAGGACTTGTAGGCTAGATGCGAGAGAAGAGACGGAGAACGCCTGCCCAGATTTAAAAACGACGCTCCTTCTCCCTCTCCCCAATGTCCTCTGCATCGCCATCGACACTGCATTCTCTCAAACACGCGATTCTATTGCGTGGACAGCGACCTCTCCCATTCCAATTAAGATTGCTTGTACGAGTACACCTGTACCTACAGTATATTGCCGTGTGGTAGCCAGGTACTAGACTTAGGTACCCTGCGAAGATTCTCCCGCCTACTTTGCGAAGTATTTGATTTCTTCAGTCTCCACTACGTCAACATGAGCTCCCGGTAAGCTACCCTAGCTACGGCCTTGCGCCACGATAGACCCATCCACCTGCAACCATATATCCCTAGCCTGAGGATAGCCCTCAAGCTCTACTAGGGTAGCTGCATCCATCCATCATTCTTCCAATAAATCAAAAAGCCAATGCTAATCTACGATCCAGCCCCGAGGCCGACACTCGTTACGCGGGCTCCCGCTTTGCGCAAGAACCACCCTACGGCGGCTCCACCGGCTCCTCCACCGCTCGCAACGCCGCCCCTCCTTCCTATGCCTCGCTCGTCCCGGAGGGCAGCTCCGGCAAAGGCGCCATGCTGGGTGCATTCCTGAATGAATCCCCCTCGGCCGGCCACTTTACGCACCTGAACCTGTCCGGCCTGTCGAGCAAAAGTAGTGGTCACTGAGCTTGAGCCGGTGCGGGGTACTTTTTGGATTTCATGTGGATAGGCAATAGGCGTTGAGGGACATATGGGTTGGATGGATGGATATGACTGTATGGGTCGGGCGTTATTTTCATAGGTACTGGAGTTGCTGACCTCATGGGTAGATCTGGAACGGTCGATCCGGGGTTTTTGCCTCGAGGGTGCGAGGCTCACTCGGGCATGGGTAGGGTTGCCCCAGTGGAGAAGGTGACGAAGGGTGTTTTCATCTTTTTTCTGAGGATTTTCCGCTCTTTGATCTTTTTTATGTTTTTGTACCTATGCGATAAACTATAGACTATAGAAAACCTTCACTAGTGATTCATCATGAAACAGACCCCACATCGGTAGATTTTGGCAGACCGGTAATTAAGGTCAGAGATCTTGCATGTACCTTCAGGCCCCCTGCCACTCTTGTCTTCTGCGACCGCTGGAATGCGCGCGAGAATTTAACTCGTACTTGTCAGGGGCACGCACACGTATGTATCGCCGATCGCAATGCATGGCCCCTGTCGGACGACCTTACGACGACGCCCACTCCTGGATTTGTTTCATGTCCATACACAATCCCCTTTCCCTCGACATAGGAGTATATCAGAGTTCATGCATCCGTGGTTCAACACGGGCCGGATCGAGTGGGGTCGACCCAAAGACAAAGTTCCCTGCGATCGACGCCCCACGACTTCACTGCTCTTCAATGCCCACGCGTCCAGGTAAGGCTGACGACTCCAAACTCCCTTCTGGAGGGGAGGATACCCATTCCATTGTTCCGCGGAGGAGTCCAGCGATCGCCAGTGCAGTATTCAGCTTGCGACGGCGTCTTGGCTGTTAGGGCGCAGTTCACCCTGCTGCGAGGTAGTGGGAGCGACCCTCCGGATTATGATCATCAGGGCCTGTGGGCTAGCAAATCATGGGGTCAAAGAAAAAACTTCGTTAATTGGTGGTTTCGATTGGCTCTGGGAGAACGAGCTTCGAAGATGACAGAGAAGCTAATTCCCAGTCTAAATTTCTATACCGCAGCGCAACCACTGAGCGGCGCGGCGGCTACTTTCTCCCTTTCAATCATTACTCTACAGTATACTCTCACGGTTGCATGTCTGTACAGCCAATGCTTATCCCGGTCATCCTGTCAGATGGCCAGCAAAATTTTCGTTTTCGCGATAAACAACCTTTCGGCCTTTGCAGGGCGATGGCGAGTGCGCAGCCCATACCAACCCTGTCTTATCCGAATTAGCAATGCCTAACTCACCCCACAGGGTCCTAAGCTAAGGAATAGCGTAGGGTCACGTTACTCACGATGCGGTGAGAACGACAAGGGCAAACAACATAGCAGGACTTTTTGACGCCCACCATATCTGCCCTTGCCGTCCTCGCGATTTTTGCCCAGTTCGGAAGGGATCGTAGATTGCGCCCGCTCCGGCTTGCCTCACTTCTTCACAATTCCTCCGAACGCCCCATCAGACGCCCGGCGCTATCTATTTGTCTGCGTCGGCTGTCTGTGAAGTCCATGGAAGAATTACTGTTGCGACGAATCAATGCGGCCGCAGCCCTGCGCGCCATTCCCCGGTCGCCCGGCGTCGTGCTTTTTTTCCATTCGGATGTGAAGCCCCTCGGTCCGGACGAGGATGCGCGCGCGGCCCTGGACCAACACCAGCGCGTGGATTTGATTTGCTTGCCGAGATCGAGCTCCCTGCTTCTTCTTTCCAGGGCATCGGGCTGGGTGATGTCATTGCCTATACTAGACACTTTCTCAAGGGCAGTGTCCGGAGACTGATGTGTTGTATCGCCCGTGTAAATACGGTACATCTTACAGTGTATATCTGTACGTACCGTCGAGAGTCGAGCGAGAGGTTGCCTCAGGGTGACTCAACATACCCTGTTGATGCCCAAAAGTCCTAGATGATGGACATCCGATGCCACCCGTTCTCGAGCCTCAGTTTCACAATCGCGTTAGTTTCGAGTTCGCGACAAGTCACCATCCCGACCGTTCGCCTCACCGGTTTTCGCGAGACCCCCGGTTCATCTCATTGCCGAGCTCGTCCCAACCCGCCTGCATCATCGTGCTCGTGGGTATCAGCGGTGACGGTGAGCGCCGTCTGTACATATTACAGTTCATCTATTTTACCGTTGATTACCGCGGGTTTCCCTTCCCACCTGACCCTCGGGACGTGGAAGGGAGGCCGATTGGACCTGCCCCCTCTTTTTACCCTTTCGTCCACGACGAGGTTTGCTCAAAAAGTGACGCCGGTGAAGCCTGGGAAGCGAGGCGATGGTTTTTTCTTGGCCTTCTCAACCCCGGCATGGGGTTAAGGTTCTCTGGCTCTACATGGCAGGGTCAGAGGGGATGGGACGAGATCGCAATCGAAGATCCAGGCGGGGACGAGGCGGCTGGGAGCCGTGGGACGGAGTGGATCTGTATTCGAATACAAGAAAGGGGGGCAAATCGAGTATAATGGGGTTTAAGCATAGCTTCGGCGGTTAAGGTATAGATGCATTGTGCCCTTACGTTAGGTTATATGCTCCGTACATCGTGAACGCATCACAACTGACCCCACTTTGAGCCTCAGCGGTCAAGTGTATCCATCTGGATGTGGCGGAGCCGAGTCAAGTTGCTCGCCCTGGCGTTTGGAGTGTCCTGGGGCTGTGCGCATCGCGAGCTCTGCTTCTGCTCCACACTAGTTTGCTTCATTCCAATCCGTCGGGCTGTGTTGGAGCTGCTGCGATGACCTCACGCTGCGATTGTATGCGATAAAATACAATTGTATCAGCGGCATGTATTCTTTGCCCTTTCTCAGACCGACTTCGTATCATACGGCGTATCGCTGGTAATTTCAGTACGCCCTCCGCTGCCTTCTGCTCTTCGCTGGCAGAAGGCAACTGGACGACTACAAGGGGTCGTTTGAGACCGTTGTTCCCTTTTTCTTTTCCTAACTTTTTTTTTTCTTTTTTTGCTTTTAAATCTCCGTGGCATTCGGGAGGCGCCTTTCCTTCTATAACAGCGGCACCCTCCCCACCTGGACTCCTCTTAGCACTGATCTCTCAAGTTTGGCATTACTATTCACCCGGGCGTGTTTTCAGAGGCCCAACCTTTCCTCCCGTTGAACTATAAAGCACCCTTCCCTCCTGCCTCCCGCCAACCCTCTTTTTTTCCCCTCCCCCCAATCTGTCTGGGTATTTGCACCAGATAGGTCGTCGTCATCATGCATTACCATCCGAATCATTACTGCAACCCAAACGATACAAGCTATGCCAGTAGGGCCGCCGACGGCGAGGACGAGGACCCAGAGCAACATCGTCCCGACCCGTTGACGGAGTCGGTAGCAACCATGACCCAAAGTATCTATGGAAGCGTCGGGTCCTACCATGAAGCGCTCCAGAATACAGCTGTGCGGTCGAACCGGGTAAGTTGCGAGGCCACTGCTGCTCCTGCCCTGGCATTACTGAGCTGTCATTAATTGTACCTCTCATCGGGCAACTGGGAGCTAATCATCCTGTTCATAGGGGTCTGACTTCTCGTCGTATCAATGTCTCACAAGCTCCGACCAGACCACCACAAGCGAGACGAGCTTTGACCGGGCAGACCTGAACAATTCCTCAGGCTCAATGGACGATCCGGTGAACGTTCCTCGTCCGCCCCCAGCTGATCCGGTAGACTTTGTCGGGGTGGGTAGTGGGATGACTGAAATCACCCCAACGATCAACTTTCAAGGTGACGATGTCTTGACCGGCATTAATCACGAACCTTTCTCTGCCGGGGACAGTCTGGAGACAGGCCTGATGGCCGCAGCGTCTGATGTCGGCAGGATGGCCCTGGCCGGCTTGACGACCAATGACACCCATCGCCCCCGGTCTGGCCAGGAACTTCTTGACGAGTCACAAAAACAGATAAACAATGCGTTTACTCTGTACCGCAATGGGCAGCTCGACACACGCAATAAAACCGCAGCTCAACAGAGCCTGACTTATTTCCTCGGCCTCTTAAACTCTACACAACAAGTACCCCTGCCCCCTCCCAGCTCTTCAGCATCTGGTCCTCCCCCTGCCACTACCCGAGAACATTTCAAGTGTCTCACCTGTGGCAGTGAATCTAGAAATAGAGGATCGTTCAAGAGGCATGTCAACGACCAACATCACCCCGAGTTCGAATACCTTTGCACCAAGCCTGGCTGCAGGACGAAACAGCACCGCAAGGACAAGATTCGGACTCACGTTCGAACTCACGGGGAGTGGAACAACTGGCACAAGCGTCAGCTCCTCTGCCCGTTGACCTGCAGTCTCTGTCCGATTACCACGCCCACCTGGGACCATTTCTACAGATGCTTCATCTCGCACTGCGTCGTGAATGGCTCCGAAGGCACCAATTCCCGACGCAGCAGTGCCGATGCAGGTCAGGGAGGTCCTAATGGCAACGTCACTGGCCCGCTCGCTCCGGGTGCTAATGAACAGCCTCGCCGATCAAGGGGACATCTCGATGTCCCCGAAGGACCTCGACGCCGTCAAACTCCAAGCCGTCGTGGGTTTGGAATGTCCCGCGAAGGCTCAAATTCCTCGAACCCCAGGTGTGTACCTCGTCCGGCCGCTTCCAGAACCGAGACGCCTGGGAATCGACGCCACCTTCACCACCATCATCCGCCGGGTGGTGTGGCTTCGCGCCATGCACGCCCGGAGCCAAGGTCCAGGAACTCACATGGACCAGGATGCTTCAACTGTCATCACACCTTTTACAATTGCCCCATCGCATTCTGTAACAATCAGGGGCAGTCGACAGATGTCTGCCACATGTGTTTTTCTCCAGGAGCGAATGCGACAGCCGTCGCTTCTAACCATCCTCGTCAGTCCCAAGGATTCGAGGAACTCATCTCCCCACTGGATACTTCTCACGGCATCGACCCGGCCGTTCTTTTCGAACAGACAGCAGCTAGCTCCTTCCCCACAGGGCAGACTATGCAGTATTATGCCCAGATGGGCCAGTTCCACCCCGGACAACAAAACCACAGGAGCTTCCATGGCATGCCAGGAAACCAGATGAACTTCCCTGGAAACTACCAAGGACACGGCCCAAACAACCCCTCCACCTGGGTAGTCAGGGACACTACCCAGCCCGGTCTGAGTGAAGAAGAGCTCTGCGCGCCACCTCTGGGAGGCAAGCCCACATCGACCATAGGCGCTCTGATGCGTACCATGACATGGAAGATGTCACCTCTCGGATGGATCAACAAGCCATCTAAGAGTGTTCCTTTCACGGGGACTTATGGTGGTAAGCTCAACACAGTCTACTATACTGTTGTCTTCGGTGTATTAATCGAGTCAGGAATCGCTGTAACTCCTTTGAAAAGCCAATGTCTACCTCAGTCCTTCCGCTGCAACTGCGCCTGCAACACCCAAACCTCCAAATTAGCCGCCGACTTCTCCCGCGGCCGCCGAGTCGAGATGAGCTTCGCTCTATCTCCTAGCGGACCCGGCCCAACCCTCCGCAACAGGGTCCAGATTGTCGTTAAGCTCCTAAGTCTCCGTGGCGCAACAAGGAAGAAGACGGAAGCGAGACTTGCCATCGAGAAGGGTGGCAAGCCGATTCGAGGGCGGTCGCAGGCTGTTAAATGCGAGGACGAGGACGATGAATCCTTGGATGACGGCTCCATCTTTTCGGACTCTACTTCTGCGACGGACATGTCCCTGTTTGACGATCAAGAACCCGTCCCCGCGAGACAACCGTTCGAGACGGAGTTCACGCTCGATGTCGATATCCCTTCGTCACTCCGTCGTATCTCCCTCTGGACTGGGGGGTTGATGTCGGATTTTGGCGAGTGGGACTCTTGTGAAGCTGAGTTCTTTGATTCTGAAAAATTGTTTGAGTACTTCTTCAGGTATATTCTGTGTTTCATTATGGTTTTTGGTCGGTCGGCTGATCTTCGACTTTGTTCGCGATTGAATGACTGATCCTCTCTCTCTCTCTGTCTTCCTCGTTTTATCTTCTTCTTCGTCGTCTTCTTCTTCTTCTTCTTCCTCTTCCTCTTCTTCTTCTTCTTCTTCTTCTGGGCTTGGTGACACCTCCTTCCGTTTTCTAACCTGGCATCCTGCTTACCGACGATACCCTCCTATACCCCGATACCCCAGGTTAAGTTGGATCTCTTTTTTCTCTTCTAAAACCCCTGGTTTGCTTTTATTCTTCTTTTTCTTCCAACATATGTTATTTTGCGAAAAATAAAAATTCCCCTCTCGGGCCCGCTCAGCCTACCTCACCTTCATACACTGTGTTGGCGATCTAAAAGTGTACTACTTGGGGCTTGTACACTACTTTAGACGGGTATCTGCTTCTTCCTCTCTTCGTTTTTTCCCTTTCCATTCTTTTCGACGATTTGATTTGAATTTACGTTTAACTTTATTGCGATTGATCGTTTGGGCGGGCCATTGTCATGATTTACGAGTTACTGGGACGACTTACGAAGGGCAACCTTCAAATTGCATTATTATCTTTCACACGCGCTTACTTTGCATTGCTAACCGAATGGTAACGTTTCAATCTGTTCCATTTTGTATCGTAAAAACGAAAGATCGACAAAAATCAGCTGAAGGCTCAACTACACTAATCGCACCGCTTCGTAATCACCATCATGTTTTCTACAACGTAGTAACCTCCTCGCCCGTACGAAGCGTACTCAACTCAAGGTAACTTATTTAAGGCCACCCACGCCCTTTAAACTGCTGACACCCTCGCAGTTGACATAATAACTTAAAATTCGGCACTGCCTCGCAGACAGCCTTGCCGGGCTACCTTGACGCTTTCTCCACCAGTCCCCGACCACCGAAGAAGCAAAGTTCTGCAGCATGCGTGTTTCAGTGCGCGAGTCATGAGATGGTAAAGGGAGAAAGAGGCTGTGCTTGTTATAGATTCACAAGACAGACTGGGTCAAACTTGTCCTGCTTACGGAGAGAGTACTTCAGCTGTATTTTTCTACTCCTGGCTGACAGCCCACTCTGAGCTCGAATTTATCAGCCAAGATTCATGAGTCAGGTTGTTCTTATGTAAGCTGATAATCACACGTCGATAGCAGAAGGTGTTACAGATACACACAATCTGGGCTGTTGGTATTGCAGGACGGTTCTTACTTGTACATAGCCGGCCCAGTTTGATGACCTCGCCCCTCCGCAGTGGACCTATATCGAACGCAGAATAAGACAGAATGCTTTTCGCCAGATAAGAATATTGTACACGTCAAAAGTAAAAACCCCGTTTCAATTGCATCTAATACACCGAAGGAAAGAGAGATACCACTGAAAAATCTCGAGCCAGGAAAGATACGGGGAACCGGACTTCCATGGACAACGAAGTTGCGTGGCTTTCACGACTAAACGCCGGCAAGCGAAACCGTCCCAGAAAAACAATGATGGTAACAAAAATAAGCGAAATAGAAAACGGGAAAGAAGACGATCGTTCAGCATATGGGCTGGTAAAGCGTTCGTAGCCAGCCGTAAAGGAAGATGGGGTTAGATGTGGATCGAGGGTAAGAAGCTATCTTCCCAGGTAAGGACGTTTCCAGAAGCCCTACTCCTGTCGACTGCGCTTCGCACCGTGCGGGTTCCATGAAGCATCATTTCCACCGCCAGTACTACCCTGATTGAAGAAGCCTTGGTTGAAGGCTGCCGGGTTAGGACCCTGGAATCCTTGGCCTGTAATGGTGTCAGACGAGACGTTTGACAGCGAGCGCTCTTCCTCATCCGCAGCGAATGGCTCCGTAGGACCGTAGAGCGGCCATCCGGGGGTGGTCTGAGGATAGGTGATCGCCGGGTAGCTGATCTGAGGCTGGGGGTAATAGTACTGACCTTGCATTCCCATGTTCATCATGGGATTCATCGCTCCAGCCATTGGATTCATGGCCATGCCGCCAGCCATTGGGTTCATATTTGGCATACCCATCATGTTGTTGCCGCCCATGTTCCCACCACCTCGTCCACGCATACCACCTGGTCCACCGCGCATGCCGCCCATCATGCCTCCGCGGTTGTTGAAGCCGTAGTTCTGCATACCTCCCATGGGACCGCCCTGGAAGCCGCCCATCATGCCGGGACCACCGCCGCCTTGGAAGCCACCCATGTTGTTGAAGTTGCCACGGTTGTTGTAGTTGCTGCCCCCCATACCACGGTTGTATCCACCACGTCCGCCACGGTAGCCACCGCTGCCCATGTTCATGCCGAAGTTGCTCTGGCTCCCACCGGCATTGAAGTTGCCGCCCATGTTTCGGTTGTCCTTGCGCATGGGCGCGTCTTTAGGGAGGGTCTTGAACGGGTTCTGGTGCGGGTTGGTGTAGGTGACCATATGCTTGCGACCTCTCTGTCCCGGTGCTTCGCCCGATTCGATCTTGTGCTTGCTGGCGGTCGCAGCTTGGGTTGTTGTGAACTCGACGAAAACTTGTCTGTCAGATGGATTAGCATAGTCGTTCGATGATATACGAGGAAAGGAAGCGCAAACGCTGAATGACATACCCCTTGCTCTTGCCATTGACCTTGTGTTCGCTGAAGGTCACATCCTTGAGCTCGGCTTCGGCACCGGCGGAGTTGATCCAGCCACGGATTTCGTCCTCTGTGGTCCACCAGAACAGGTCAGAGATAATCAAGGCAGTAGTCGCATCTGGGTCCGATGGACGGTCATCATAGTCCTTGCGCTTGACCCCGTGAGGGGCCTGAGCATCTTGGGGTGTTTTCTGTTGCTGGTTCATGGTTTGGTCGCCGCTGTTTGCGGAGTGTGTCGGGTCGGTAGAAGGATTGGGCTCCGCGGGCGCGTTGTTTGTGCTGTTCGGATCGCTGCCTGTGTTGCTGCCTGCGTTGTTTGTGTTCGCGGAAGGTTCGGCAGAAGTCGACTCTGGGGCGTCTAGGACCAGGTCGGTGTCATCTTGATTCTGGTCGCCTGGCTCATTGGTGTTGTAACCACTGCCATCCCCATAAATGTCAATATCGAAGTTATCATCTTCCGTAGCCATGGTGCACTAGGAGATCCTAGTCCTCAGGGAGCGCAGGCTGAGAGCAAGTATTCGATTCTGGAGATAGTGATGCTGGAAATACAGGCCCTTGTGGATCTTTCTGTGCTCTTCTTGCTTGGCTTGTGACAGGGAGACAATTGCCTATTGGCAGCGGCGGATTAGTATGAGAAGTCAGAGGAGATAACGCCAGCAGATGTGAAAGAGAAACAGGCAGAATCGGGAGCAAACACAAGACAGTCGCCGATGCCTACCGTCCGCCCAGGCCCAAGGATCACAGACGTCGAACAAAAGCGCCCAACCAGGCGGGGTCACCACGAAGAACAAACGAGAGCACACAGAGAAGAGACACAAAGGCAAACGTACAGTCCGAGACCAATTTGCCTCCGAGCGCGAACAAGACGAGTGACAACCGAGGCGCGTACAGAGATGAGGATACCTTCGAGCTCCGATACAGGGGAAAAGATAGGCTGCCACAGACCGGCAGGAGCGAAAACCGCGAGGGCAGACACACAAAAGAGAGTTGATCAATTCCTTCCTCGACCAGGGACCACGGAACAGATGTTGAGAGCGTCGGATGGAGATCCAAAGCAGTTGGTTCGAGCTGGAGGTCCAAAGGGAGGCGCGCCGGTCGGAAAAAGGTTGCGCCGGTTCCCCAGGATCGGAGGAGCCATTCTGGCCACTTCGGCCATTGCTGTCCTCTACTACCTCGTTCCCTCCTTATTCCCCTTCTTCCTCTCCTCTTTTCCACCCTTCTCATCCACCATGTCTGAGACTTTCCAAGAGCTCGCCGATATTCCCAAGGACTTTGTCCGCGAGGGTTCCCTCTTCATCAAGCGCTGCACCAAGCCCGACAAGCGCGAGTTCATTAAGATCAGCCAGGCTGTTGGCATGGGTTTCCTGGTCATGGTATGTCTCATCCTTCATTTTGGGGATCTCGTCTTTGCTGCAGCTTAACTAACTGGCTATTAGGGTGCCATTGGCTACTTCGTTAAGCTGAGTACGTGATACCGCCGATCGCTCATTCGCTCTCCGAGACAACCGCTCTCCGAGTCGACCGCATCGACAAACCATTGCTGTGGAATACGGATACTAATTACTTTTTCCTCTGCAGTTCACATTCCCGTCAACCAGGTTCTGGTCGGTGGCGCATAAATGCCTCGATTCATATATCCGATGAGCTGGAAGCTGGAAAGGGGGCGAGTGAAGACACCGGACACCAGCACGGAGAAGACCAACGTCCTCCGATGAATCACCACGAGCACGTCCGAGCGAAACACCTCGAGTACTGTCAGTCGCGCGTTAGAGGGTGGACCCGCGGACTTAAACCCAGTCGCGAAGGGTTCTTTTTGTTTTACGTTGCGGCCAGCACATCACATTGGCCAATTTTTTGGTTGCGCTAGAGGGAGTGCCTCGTCCGCCGCTCTTGAGATACCATATACCACTATTCATTCCTGTACCAATAGGGGCTATTGTTTTGTTCTAATTGACGACCCTTCATACCCATATCCGATTCTTCAAATTGTTCTCGACTCGCCTGCCCTACGACGCAGCGGTGCGCCTGTCTACTTATTTGGTATACGATGCTACCATGGTTGCCTAAGGCATTGTTTCTGGTTACTTTCAAAACCACGGAGTCGTATTCGAATGTTCGTTAGTCGTTACACTTACAGCCCGGAAGGGAAAGAATATGCACAAATCCTCCCAGATGAACAGGATTGAAGCCAGTCGAAATCTTTTTTGGAAGATCAGAAATAACTTGTCTGGTACCCTCCGTTTCACCACATTTCGTCTTCGTCATCCTCATCGATGGACTGTCGACGCACCGGACGACTGCGCAAAGGGCGACGCCGCGAACGCGGAACGGGTGCGTGTTCACGATAGTGATTGAATTCGGGCACATATCGCAGCTTGTCATCGTAGCTCTTTCCAATCGGCGGATCACCCTCGTCGTCGTTCGCACCGTCGTTCCAGGAATGTACGGTGCACGTACCGGTAGATAGGCCCCAACCATTCCAAGATGTAGCTGTGATCCAAATTAGCAAAATGCATCTGAATGAAGGACAATAATTAAGTACCTGCTAGAACCGGAGCATTCGGGTGCCAGCTGGCATCCCGAACGCAAGTCCTCCATAGCATTTCTCCGCTCATCTCATACGCCGTGGAAAATACGTCTAGCTCGCGAGGCCGGGAGTTCAAAGTTGCCGATCCGACGTCAATGGTCCCGGCCAAGGTGGCATCCATATTGTACACGTAGACTTTTCCGTCTTCGCTACCAGTATACACGTATCGAGAGTTCGTGCTTCCTGGAGGCGAAAAGTGGCAACGGATGAGCGTTTTCAGGACACGGTGGCCGCGGAACGTGACAACTGAGCAATCATGCTCATGAGGCTCATAGCAGTCATCGGGATAAGGCTCAAAGCGGTAATCAAATCCAGTGGTGTAACGAATAGCGTCGATCCGGTCGAAGTCAACGGTGGTCATCATCTTCCGCAGATCCCACAGTTTCATCGTTTGGTCCTTGCCGTTTGATAAAACGTATCTTCCATCACCCTTGCTGTCGACATAGGTGATACCTTCGGTGTGACCCATGAAAGCGCCTGCTTCGCGACCGTCCGCCATCGAACGTCGATCCCAGACTCGGAGGGTGGTATCATCAGAACCGGAGTAGAGCAAGTGCGGGGAAGATGTGTCGCCATAACAGACCGCGTTGACGTGGTGTTGGTGTCGGTCTCGAAGATTGAGGACTGGCTGTTTCGTTTCGATATCGTAGACAATGACCGAGTCTTCCGATGTACCTGCGACCACTTCTCGTCCATCTCCAGAAAAGCGAAGAGACCATATCTGGACAAAAACGTTAGTCAATTATAGCTTACAATAGTTTTCCGATTTACTTACTCCAAAATGTGAGCTACCCCAGCTTCGTCGTCGCCGTTGACCTGGCGGGAGAGAGAAATCTAATACAGTTGGATCGGAATCGTCCTCCGGGTCGGTTGTCGCTAGATACGCCTGGCTTCGAATTGAGCTGTAGACCAGAAAACGGTTGTCGGGGCTCAGAGTTGCATCGGTGATTGTCCATTGACCGAATGGATAATCGACGGTCTTGTAATATTTCCACTCGAATGGGTTGGATGTGTCGTACATCCGGACCTTGAAATCTTGTGCACAGCTGAAAAAAAGTTTCCGTCATCGGAGAATTGACCGGAGTAGCTTCGCGAATCGTAGTGAATGATCTTATCTGCCACCGAACCTGGAATCATTCGCTGGAATTAAGCCAATAGTTAGCTCACCTAGTATCTTGTAGAATGGTGTTGAGAGTTAGGGGGTTTGGGCAACTTACCTGACTGAGGGACTGGTCGGTCCTCCTACGTAAGCCATAAGGCTCAACACCAAGCTCGCGCCACATAAGGTCAGTCGCAAATGCTCTCTTGCGTTTCTTCAATCGATCAACATAGTGCTGGTTGGTTCCGAAGTGACCCTGACCCATCAATTCCGTACCCTCATCACTCGGCACTTTGGGCTTGGGAAATTGTTTACCGCCCACTGCCCGCCGAGGACGCATTCTGCGTATGAATGCTGCATCAAGGTCGTCGTCATCTTCATCGTCCTCGTCTTCGTCTTCATCGTCTTCATCGTTTACAGCGAGATGTGTAGCCCAGCCGTTTGATTGGAGGATATGTTGCAAACCGTTCGCCGCGAGTAACTCGAAAATCTGCGCTGCAGGTACTAAAAAGAAGTCAGTGAGGTTGTTCAAAGGATGCTTCGTTGTCAAATAAGATCATACTGCCGTGAGGCCCCCCAATCCCCGCTTCCCTGTCATCGTCAAGATCGTCCTGCGTCAGTTCGATCTGGATGTTGCCGATATTGATATGGGGGTTTTCTTCAGGCATTTCCGATGCGTTAGACATGGCTGCCTCGTGCAAAGCCCAGTAAAGTTCTGAGTGGTGCGACTCACCGTCGGAAATGCTGATGCTCAGCGGCTCATCCTCCGCATCGTCACCGTCCCAGTCGTCTTCAGCCTCCATGTTCCTTGGGGGCATGGTGTAGTCTGGGTCGTTCTCATCGTCTTCCTCGAGCCATTCCTGTGCAGGATGCCAGATTATCGAATCATCCCTCTCAGGCCCCGCCTGGTTAGACCCTGGCGAGCTCATGGTGGCGGTCCTGGTGGTTTGTAATGGGAGAGCTTATCGTCGATAACAATCACCGCTCGGCTTCCGACGCCGGCTTGGAATGGTTATGTCATCCCCGCTCGCCCCACTCTCCGCGACTGAGGTCCCGCCCTTAAATCCATTAAATCCGGTGCACCTTCCAGCCCGGTTTTTTAGGCTGATGCTGAGCTAGCAGACGATACTATATGATATCAAATTATAGATACGAGAGTATGTTGTTTGGATCTAAGTAGCCCTTATCACAATTACTCTCGACCTCGTGGAATTGCACTGCGAAGCGCTGGAAGCTGTTCCGCGACCTACGTTCGAACATTGGCCCAAGCCACCACAAGCTAGCTGTACTTGAGGCCTCCTGGTGCCTTCAATCCACCTAGAAAATAATTTCTGGTATAATATGTTGCCAAAGTCTTCAGCTATATGCAGCCACGTATCCCAAGCTATCTCATCAATTCCTTGATAATGATGTACTAGCTTGACCAAGTGCCTCTTGGTAATCTTCACATTACACTCGCTTTTCTTCATAAAGAAGCCTTCGCGGACTCGAGTTTCCGACGTATTGACTCTCTCGATATTGAAAGTCTTGAATAGCGTTACCAAAGTTTTTAGCATTTCCATCCATGCAATGGTCCAGGTAAGGCATTGAGTAGAATACGGCTGATGAGCTTTTGCTCGACCAATGTGTCAGAACAGAAAACATTTCACTTTGCTTTTTCTCAAGGGCGACAGAAAAGGATCACTCACCAGCACGAGAATGGCCGATGCCCATAGCGTAGGAGAGCTATTTTCCCAAATAGACGCGAGCAGCGACATGATATCCGCGTCAAAGCTGGAAAAATAATTTTCCTGATATCGAGCACTGGAATCTGTAAATTTGCTTTTATGCATGCAAGCAACCGGGGACACATTGGGATCCCGCTGTCAGGGCATTGGTTTCATATTTAGTCCCCGCATTTAGATGCGCGGGGAAAAGCATACTTGTAAGGAATGGCTGCACATTAAAGCTTTCTCCGAATAGATTTGATCGTTTCCGATCAATACACATGAGATTAAACGTACAATCTCGGGGACAAGTCGGATACTTCTAGATTTATGGGTTTTGGGGTAAGTACAGAGGTCATTCCCACCAGGCGACCTTCTGCGCATATGCTAAGTGAATCAAAATATCTCGAGTGAATCTACCCGTCGCAAATATTGATCAATTTACTTTATCCCAGATGTCCACTTATTAGAAATATCGGGACGAAAAACTCATGTCTGTAAGAGGCGAGTTCTTTGTGTTTCGTCTCCCTCGTTCCCTATTTTCTACGATAAACTTACTTGCCAATATAAATATCTTCTATGTAGGTGCATCATTTTTGGCAAGTATTATTGCATGCATATGTCATTCCATCTCCGTGTGAACTGCGAATACCAAAGCGATTGCTGTGTCTGGCCCCCATGTATCTCCTTGCATGGCTGGTGGATGACATTCCACGAGACCCAATCAAAACCTGCCGCTCAGCAAGCGATAGGCTCATATATATAAGCCAAGATAAGGCATTTGAGAACTAAATAAATAATTCGCCTGGCGATCGGAAGTGGCGCTAGCGTTCAGCCTTGTACAACTCGGAGCTACCTCCATGAGATGGAGTGCGGGACCGATGGCTCCGCTTAAGCTTAGAATCAGAGTATCACACATCGCGAAGAAACCAAGGAAGCAAATCGGTGGTATTCGTTTCGTCTGTCTACCCCTGGGCCTATTTGCAACCTGTGGAGGTCGCGGTAAACAGTTGGTGGATCATGAGTTGCCCGATGACATCCCTGTCCACCCGGGCGCTTGAGGCTCAGCCCGAACTCCACAGCCCCCAAAAATTCAGGGTTCATAGTGTTTAAATAGCACAAGGCGCTAGGTCTAAATTGCGAAGCTTTTTATCCGGGGTGTCGGGGTGGCATCTTGATTATCTGTTGTCAGATTATTCGTGACTTCTTCGACCTCTTGGATTCACGAGTAAACACCATGAAATTTATTTTCTTGTCGCTGATCCTGGTGACCTGCGGGATGGTATCGGCCTGGAACATATTGAAAGAATTTACGAACCATAATTACGGGGCCTGTGCAGTATGTGATGTCTTAATAAGATTGAAGTGCCTCCCAACTTTGCATGCCAACCGCAAACTAATACGAGAAACTCCTTCAGGATACATGCGCAAGTAATGCCTTGACATGGAAACCAGCCTATACCTGTAACAGCAAGCCGGAATGCTGGTGTAGAGGCGTTGACAACATCTTTTTCGAACGCCTGGAGTGCTGTATTGTCCAGGAGTGCTCGACCAACCTGACAAGTGAGTTCTTCGACCAACATCTTTGATGAATTACTAGTAGACTAACCCTTCTCATCAAAACTTAGCTATCAGCAACGACCTTTTGGCGTGGTGCTCAGATGACTCAGATACCTCGTCGCCAAATTCAACGACTACATCCAGCACAGGTAGTCAGACAACAACCTTACCGCTTGCGACCGCATGCTCCGCCACTTCGACGGCTAGCAGGAATAAAGATGATAGTAACACTAATCACGACACATCCCTGGCCGGGGGACAGCTTGCTGGGATCGTGATTGGCAGCGTGATCGCAACCTTTGCCTTGATGATAGCCCTTACCATGTGCTGCAAAGGTTCGAGACAGACAACTTATTCCAGCCCGCCACTTCCAATTCATACTGCGAGGAGATTAAACTCACAGAGGGGAGCTGGCACAGCTGTGAATATACAAAGACCGCGCCCTATTGTTGTGCCCCGAGCTGTATCACCGCCGCCGCCATATTCGGCCAAGGATGAACCAGCACCGCAATATGAGCCAGCGTAACCGAGGATCATGATAGATGAGTAGCTCTTCCCTGGAATAGTGGCACAGTTTCTTGTATATAGAAATTCATGATACTTGTTTCTTCAGTCGCATATATGACAATAATGAGGAATGTAAAAGTGTCACTGCCCAAACGAGCCCGATAAGCCCGGCGGATGTGGAGCAACCATTTTCCGGGCTGATAGAGCATCCCCCCGCTCCTCCACTTTGCATCGGTGGTGCGGAGACACGCATTAATATTCACTCTTGATTCCCACAGGGCTGCGTCTCATATATTCTCTCGCCTGCAGAGCACGGGTCTACCGCCTTCCGACGAACTTCCCCCTCCTTACAGACCGTCCTGGCCCACCCCCCCATCCCACCATGCAGTCCGTCCCGGAGTCCCGCCAACAGACCTTCGAGGAGATCTACGGACCTCCAGAGAACTTCCTCGAGATTGAAGTGAGTTTCCCTCAATGCCGCTGCATACTGTTCAAAAATCCTATCCATTTTCTCGGTGGTCTTGTGCCCTCCTGCTCAAAGCGCCCAAGTCCATTTCCCACCTCTCTACCCCCACCTCAAGAAGCTCTAAATACCATTCTAACAAATTCGCCATTATTAGGTTCGCAACCCCCAGACTCACGGCACATCGCGCAACATGTACACTTCCTACGAAATTGTTTGCCGTACCAATATCCCCGCATTTAAACTGAAGCACTCCGTCGTACGCCGCCGATACTCCGACTTCGAATACTTCCGCGATATCCTCGAGCGCGAGAGCACTCGCGTGACTATTCCCCCGCTGCCAGGAAAGGTCTTTACCAATCGCTTTAGTGACGACGTCATCGAGCACCGCCGGGAGGGGCTTCAGCGGTTCCTGCAGATTGTGGCAGGTCACCCCTTGCTGCAGACAGGAAGCAAAGTCCTGGCTAGCTTCATTCAGGGTCAGTTCGAACGTCTCGGACTCTTCGGAGAAACTCTCTTTGCCTCAGTTCTCTTGAACAGTTGCTAACTATCGTTTATAGACCCTAATTGGGACAGAAACTCTTGGTAGATTAGCTGTCTATTGAGGTCCTCGCTCTGGCCCTCGTTTGAATTGTCTGTGACAATTTCCCAATGTCTTTCTCTTCCCCTCTCGCCCATCCTCCATCTCATGTTTCCTTCATTCAGTACCTTGAGCGCAAGGTCGTGGGTCTCTCCCACGGTCACTATCTTCTTGTTTGCATGAGTGCGTACTGTCTATTTGACAAAACATAATAGACAGCTGTTCGTTAGGTTTCTAATGCCGTCATTGAACTTGTTCGATATCCGATATCCGATTAAGTTGTTCTTTTCTTGTGTCTCATACCTTTCACCGCCGCTATTCATCTGGTAGCAGCAATTTCGAGCTCTTCGCGTGACCAAGTTAAAAAGTATTGCACCAGCGCAGAATAATCATCGACAGCCAGTTTGTCGAAAACCTACTTGATTTTCGTTCTGAAAGCTCCACTTACAGATCAAATTCCAAATTTATCCTCGCGTAGGTGTCATGTATCGCAGGCCGACATTGTATTCGGGCTAATCCTTTCTTCTCTCCGTTTCTATCCTCACCGCACCTCACTTCAATATTATACCCTAGTAAAAGCTACTACCCTAGCTACATGTAGTAATATCTAATCAGTGATTTATACCCAGAATTCCCTTCGTAAATCTCGAAAGTCAATCCAAAAAATTGTGCTCCTGACCAGAGCATGCTAAGAATCACAGCCGTTCTTTCTATCTACAGGGTTACAAATACGGTGCTATACCAAGGTAGAATCACTTCTCATTCTCATTCTATACTTTCAAACAGAGCCATCGTGTACTGCGGGATATATGACTTGAGATAAAACAAATAAAAGAAACACCCGAGATGCCAGGCCCAGACAGCAAGCTATCCAATCCGAACGAAAATCAGAAAACGAAACTAGCTAGCACAAACCAAGTAAAACCAAGACAAACGAAAAAGGGAAAAAAAAGAAAAAGTTTTTAGACTAAATGAATAAAATAAGATAAAATCTTGTAAACGAGATCGAAACCTAACTTAGATCATCCCAGACCATAGGTGCAAGCGTATTGTCTTCCCACGGTGACGCAGTTCCCGCAGCAGTCTCGTCTAATGGGAAACCAAGGACACCTGTTGAGACAGGGTTGCCCGTCGAAGCATCGATGTATCCCTGCGGTGGAGGCAGGAAGGCTGGGTCGATAGGACCGAGATTGGAATGAGATGTCGAGGAGGGATGTCGGCTGTGTGCAGTTTGACGACGGGGAACTGTAGGCTTCGTCGGGGTCGACTCGGTGCTAGCGGGGAGGTCTCGAGGTGTCGGGGTGGCAGTACCAGATGCTTCAGGTTTGGGTTGGTTGAAGGCACTGCCACTCACCGAGCCCCCGTCGCGATATGCGTGGGGGAATTTAGTTCGAAAGCGGTCTCGCAGGTCTGTTGCGCGGCGATGGCTGAGATTGAGTCGGGGGTCTTGTTGGATTAGGGTCCATTGGAAGCCGTGGACTGCATAGCCTTTTAGCAGGGCCTCGTCTTCCGCGTTGGTGAATGGATTGCGGGAGCGGCGTTTGGTGTTCTTCGCGACGTGTGGTTCCGGGATGCCCAGGGATTCGAGGGTTGATTGGGATTCGTTTGAGAGGGTACGCCGAGTACTTGTAGGACGACTCTGGCTATATACGGATCCGAGTTCGGTGTCAGGCGTTGAAGAGGATATGCTTGAGGCTGAAGTTTTATGGGACCTTGGCGCCGGACTTCCTGATACGGAAATTGGTTCGGATTTCTCGGTCGTCGGGGTTGCGAGTGGTAGCTTGGTTTTGCCAAGTGTTTCGTCTGTGCCCTCGGTTTGAGCTCGATGGAGTGCATTGGCAAGGTAGTCTCGGAGTTGCTTTGTTGCCTCGTTGGGATCGGATGCGCGGTAGGCCCAGGGACAGCACACGCGGAATCGGTCCTTCAAGTTGGATGCAGTTCTTTTGTTGAATTTGAGCTCAGTTTGCGCCAAGATAGTTGTCCAGTTTCCAATTCCACACTTCACCACGCCGTGCAGTAATGCCATTGTCTCCTCCTCAGTCCATTTGCGTAGGTTCTTGCGCGATCGGCCTCGGGTCTTGGGGGAGATAGGCTCATTACCCTGTCGTACGCTAGTCATGGTCTTTCCACCTGCGGAGTCTTCCTTTTCGAGAACCGGGGGCTTAGATACATCCTCGGCCTCACGTCGGATATTCCGTTCTTTATAGGGTTCTTGTAGTTCGTCGTCGGGGTTCTCATCAAGAGTAGCGCCTAGAAGCTCCTCGATCTTCGCCTCTCTTCGTTCTACGGACTGACCTTCGGCTAGGGTACCATGGACAGAGACTAAATGGTTCGGATCCACGGCAGCGGCGGACGCAGCAGGATCCCGACGGGAGGGCTTCGTCAGAAACTGAGGGATAGACCCCGCTTCGATGGGAGGGAGAAGGGCAGCGTTCGGCGGGGGTTCATTCAACCCATTCAAGATCGCAAAGGGACCAAACGGTGGCGGACGCTGCTCTTTGTGCGAAGCCTGTGGGATCGGCAGCTGAAGATGTTCGCTAAATGACTCGGCCTGGAGCTCTAAGCGCCTTCTCTTGCGCTGACCATGGGACGCATCATCATCGAAGGACGAGAACGGGACTCGTTCCAGAGCGCGCAGATTTACAAAAGCGGGAAGAATGGGCTTGGGCGGGCGTTCCACATTAGACTGTGAATCTGAGGCCGGCTCGGCCTTTCTCGTTCGCGCGGCATTGAGAAACTCGGTCACGGTTGGTAGACCCTCTTTTGCGGTCGAAGTGGATGAAGTGGAGGGGATATTCCCGGTTGCTGCGTTGGTCTTGGGGATCGTCTGCGAGTCCCGCGCACCACTAGCGTTGGGTTCAAGAGGCGACGGGGCTCTGAGGGTTCGCGAGGAGACTGGCTCTCGCAGCGGCGCGATGCGCAGCGACAGTTGGGGCAGTTCACGGAGGTGGGATTCGTCGAGGGGCCGGAGTGCCCCGTTGGAATCCATCCCTCTAACAGCACGTGCTGACTGTAATGCGATATGACGGATTCATTGGGTTATCCATGATGAACAATCTAGTTTGCTTGGTTTCACTTGTCGACAGGAACAATAATTTGATGTGAAGGGAGGGTCGATAACGATAACCTTAGTAATTTGACGCGTGCCTCAGGCCAGCCGCTACGTCAGCTCCGCGCCCAGCTCCACCCGATCGGCCGGGGACTTCAGGAGATTCACCTCTCCATGCCAGCGGCAGTTGGGCGTCTCCAGTTCTCCTTCTTCTCCTACCGACTCCAGTCACATTACAGGTAAGTTTCCGAGCTTCTCACAGCATTCCAGCAGCTACAAAGCCCCAGAGGCATCAGCTCCAACCAACACCGCTGACGCCCGTCTACAGACCTACAGAATGCCCACAATCCTCCCAACATGGCCTCACGTCCTCTTTGGAATCATTGAGCCTCTTTCCCTGTAAGAGCCCTGTCCACCCTCCCATGACCCTGCCACATGAGCATCCCACTCACTACAATCCACCTCAAGAGTCCTCGGCAGCCTCGCCCCGCTCTACAACCTTGAGAGCTTCGTTGCCGACCAAACACCACACGTGGACCCGCCCATCTCGCACCCTAGTACCGTAGCCCTCGCCTACCAGATCGGGAATCTCTATTCCCTGCTCTTCATGGTCGGCGTCGCCGTTCTGCATACTAGCACCGAACCCAAGGTCATCCGGAACTACTTCATTGGGCTAGCCATCGCCGACGTTGGTCATGTCTACGCCACATACCTGGGGATGGGCTGGAGCGCGTTTAGCGACGTGGGATCTTGGAACGCCCTGACGTGGGGAAACATTGGCGCCACCGCCTTTCTGTTCTTCAACCGACTGGCCTACTTCGCCGGCGTTTTTGGATCGCCCAAGGCGCTGAAGGTCGCGTCCAAGAAAGAATGATTACATACTATGTTCTTGAGCAATGGATCGAAGTGTGGCGCAGACAGGGTGTCCCTAGGATACGAGTAGTGACTGGTTGTTATATTCTAGCCGCCGGGTTGGCGCCTGGGCGCGTGAGGCTAGACCGGATGATTTGCAGGGGTTCCGGCCGGAATCGTTTCGAAGATTTTGGATTCCATCTGTGTTTGAGATTCGCGGGCCGGTCCCGTCGAATGATCGGCGCTTGGCATGGCTTTATTATGATTATGCGGATGCCCTTTACCATACTTAACCTGTATTAAACGGATCGAAGGCTGGGGTACAGCGATGTAAATACGTCTCCTACACGGCGAGGTTTGAAAGAGTCACACTAAGTGGGGACGAGGATTTACAGAGCTAAAAATAAATGATCTGAAAAAGAAGATCCTGCCTTGGATAGATTTGCGCCAGACGCCAGCGCTGCAGATGCTAGCATGGGTATTAGCGTAATAAAACAATACACAAGCTCTCAAACTGAAGCAATCTAATTGTAACGCAAGGTTCACCAATCAACGAGCATCCGATGCAACCTGGGGGTTATAAAGAGGGGTGGAAGGAAGTCGAAAGAAACAAACAAAAAGAAACAAGGCAAAAAAAAAACAGGAATGGAAAATGGAAAATGGAAAATGGAAAATAAAAAATGGAAAATAAAAAATGAAAAATAAAAGTTTTCGTGTAGGCTTGAAACAATCCCACAGAGTAGCGTTACCATCACCTGCAGCCATTCAAGCCACTGCGGCAAATCCCAAGCAGATCATACATCCCCTGCCCTCACAGCCAATGCATTCGGTGAGACCAATTCAGAAGGGCCTGAAGCCGACAGCAGGTATTGGATTCGCTGATCGAAAGAGCGGTGGACCACACGCATGTCATGACATGTCAAGGCTATTTCTGCAAGAAGCGAAAGATCGGCTGGAGGGCCAAATCGCCATTTTGCTGGGCGTCGCGAAGATGCGGAAGCAGGAATGGGAGGCCCGGGTAATCGTTGTAATGGTGGCGATAGGCGGCGTAATTGTGGCTCGCGTCGCAGAGGAAATTTGTTTCTGGCGGGAGGATCGGGTCTAGAACGACCATTCCGCCGACGGTGGTGTTGAGGCCCCGGGATCGGGCGGTTGAGATGGCGTATTTGTGTAGGCCATTTAGGATGGCTGTTAGAGAGTGGTAGTTGTGGAGTTGGAGGAGACTCTGTTGTTTTTTTTATTTGTGGTTAAAAGATTTCCGGTTGGTACTTTTGGTTGAGGATAGCTTACCTTTGCGCATTCGCGGAGGTATGCGGGTAGGTCTGGGATGGCAGAACAACACTCCCACACAGAGACGGTTAGGACTTGCCAACTTTCTAGCAGGTCTTTGACAATTTCGTCTTGTGCCACAATGCTCTGGCGAGACAGGCTGGCGAAATCGCCCTTGTCTAAGGATGTGAGAGTTCGGGCCAGGTCAGAGGGTGAGGATGAGCCTAGATAATCTTCCAGGAACGGGTATGATGCGTCAAAGGTCATGTTCCAGGGCACCTTGGCCGTGTTGATATATTGGCGCCGGTAACGAACAGCAAACACGTTGCAGATCTTGAGCATGTTCGTCAAGCTCTCTGGTCGATCTTGGAATAATTGCTGGATGGGGCCGGCCACGAATTCGAACCCGCGCGTGGATGGTAGGGGCATATCTGCTGCTGCTTCTGGCCGAATTGCAAGCAGGCATTGTACCACTGCCCGGTGGGCGAAGGGGCTTTTTGTTTGTAGGTGCTGGTAGATATTAGCTTCGAGATCGGATCAAATATGACGAGGGCTGGTAGCAGACACACCTTTTCCACCTCTACATACGTGGGCAAGTCATCTGGGTACATATGCAAATGGTCTAGAAGATGGATATAGAGTGCGGTATGCTGCATGAGGAACCATTCCACCGAGGTAGCCGTGTATCCCAAGGAGGCGCGCACAATGTCCTCAAAGGCAACCTTGCTCAGCTGGAAATGGCTCTCTGCCTCAATGGCCTGTGCGATGGTACGCGCATCGGGCGAGTGGCCTGGCAATTGAGGCAACCACGACCATGGAACCGGCTGGAATGGTGGCGTGCCAGATCGACGGAGGATCTCCTCCACTCGCTGCATGTGCGAGAGATGGCCGAGCAATTGATGCTCGCGCGGTTCGGTTAGAGCCACAAAGACGGCATCAATTGCGTCCACATTCCGACTGAGCAGCGAACTGCGCGGGAGATTTTCGTCCCGGAAGAGGCCATAGCGAATGACGAGACGGATGTCAAGGTTTTTGAAGGCCCACAGCACGGTGGTCGCCTCGTCCTCCCACCAGGGATAGTAGGGGACGACGAAGCGCGGAAACTCGGAGGCGATCTGGAAGATAGCTTGGTACGACTGGGGCAAGTCGGGAGGCGCGGACCGTGCCGGCAGAGCGTCAAGTTGCGACATGGCGGTTCTTGTCGGCGACAAGGACCGGAAGGGCGAGTAGCTGGCGGTTAATGAAGCGGGGGGTGCCAGTGGTTCAACCGAGCCACGTTCACTTCCGACGCTGATGGAGTGCATTTATGCTCCTGACCACCCTGGGCTCTCAGCGGCCAACGCATCTGGTCAAACAAGCGATGAGCCCCATGTGATGGGGAGGTGGAACAGACTGGCGGGACTGGGGAGCCGGAGGTAGGGTGTGGTAATGGGTAAATGAATCAATGAGCAATGAGCAATGAAGAGGGTTTATACTTAGGGTAGGGGAGGGGAGGGGAGGCAATGCAGGAAATGGGGAACGGTGTGTTCAGGACGGGGTCTCGGAGCTGGTCTAAGTACAAGTCATGGCCATGCAGGAATGCGAGGAGAATCAATATGTAATAATAATCATGCCCATGCCTGCCGTATCTGTAGTACCTGAGAGTATCTGAGGGTATCTGAGGGTATCTGAGGGTAATAAGGGTCAAGGGTAGATCGCCAGTTGCCGGGTTCATCGGAAAGGGCGCGAGTGATTGGCTTACGTGCAAGATTGTCGACCCCCCGCCACGTTCGACACATCACGATGGGAGAAATCGTGATGGGCTTACGGCCTGAAGAGAGAGTGGAGGTCTTGTTCTAGTGCCGGGGCTATGTGGGTACCCTACTAGGGTACAATGTAGTACCAAGGGCACTTTTCAAGAAACTAACTATAGAGAAGGGTATCCAGACTGCTGGAAACCCGACAGCCAGGACGAGCCGGGGAAGGGGGGATGATTATCGCAACTAGCAACTCCCGCATACTCGGGTAGCACGGAGGCCCGGACGCGCTGGGAGACGATCTGATTGCCACACGCCTCCCTGCGCGGCTCCACCGCAAGGAATGAGCGCAGCCCGAACGCCCGTTGGCCTGGGTGAGTTGCGAATATGACACCCTCTGGCGTGCAGGCCCCAGCCCGACGGGACGAGCCGTAGGAGCGGTCAGCTCGATAGAGTGCTGAGGATGTCTTCTTGCGTCGAACGGACCAAATGCTGGAATCGGGTGGTGGGTATGTAGGTAAATAGTGTTTGGGTTGCGGCGCCGTCTGGTCAGGCCGATAATCCTCGCGAATACCGGAGGGTACCTGGATACCTACATGGGTGTTGCTGCTCGTAAACTGTGTCGGTACGTTCGAGAACACGCACGTACGCGGATGGCTGAATTATTCTTGAATCTTGTTCCTTTTTTCTTTTTCTTTTTTTTTCTTTTTCCTTTATTTGAATAGTGCTCTTGTGCTGAGCAGGCTGATTCGATTGGTGGCGGGTTCATTGTGGTTGACCCATTCCCGAGATAAGTAGGCCTTAGCCCTGTCCATCTCTCGACTTTTCAGGATGGTTTCATCTGCAGCCCCAGTGGGTTCTGGCGCTAAGCCGTAGCGAGGGGCGGGCGCGGACGATCATGATGGAATCCAAATCGATCGAGGCAGAGTGAGGCGGTCGGCCGCCTCTTCTGGGTCTCGGAAATTGAACATGCTTTTATTCACAATGGTCGCCAATCAAGGCGTAAACTCCCGGGGGGTCGCACGTCGGCGGTTATCCGTCAGGACCAGACCCGCGATGGTGGTGGCAAGTGAAGTCGAGGATCGAAGATCGAAGATCGCAGTGTTGCGGTCTGAAGAATGGAGGCTCACCGCCGGCATCCTTTTTGGGAATCGAGAACACACACAGAAAAAAAATGGGAGTGTCGCCTCGTTCAGAGAAAAGCCTGTTGATCATTGATCGTGGAGTCGTCATGGGTACATCGGACTAGTCTCAAGGCTTGCGGTTCTATACGAAACTCTGCTGGAGAGCCTTTCTCACGCTGCGTAGTATACACTATTTACTACGTAGGCAAGAGTGAAAGGCACACCGCCGGCATCCCATTCCCCTCCCAACGTGAATCTTCTGCATCATATCGCTAGTCGCCCTCCATACTTCGACATCGTTACAGACGCCCCCACCCCCTCGAACTCTCGTGCCACGTGAAGTTCGAGCAGGAATTCAACGGGGGCTCCCAGAACCCAGAGCCAGGGCACTGGGATCCGGATCTTGGTAGATCCACATGTCCCAGAGCTTGCGATGGATCTAGAGCATCGCAGTTGACATCTGCTCTATACAGAGAGAGAACGTCGACTGTAGCATGCAGATATTCAGAGTCACTGTCCAGTAGAGTCCAAGTCAGCAGAGCCTTGGAAGAGCGAGCCACGAAGCCAGAAGGAGGCCATCGTCATCCTCCTTTCGCAGCGCAATGTTCTAGACCCGCCCCGAGCGCCGTGGCTGCTCGATGCACTCCCTTTCTCCGCACTCTTCCATCCCTTAAACAGAAAAAGGGGAGAGAGAAAAAGGAAAATACGATTTGAAATTATCGCGAGGTCCTTCACTCGTCCATACCGCTGATATCGGCGTTGCCAGTGGTCGATCGGATTCGCGGGTCGCATGAGGACTGCTGCGCCCGTGCCCATGGCTAGGAATCACCTTCCTAGGGGAGGTGGCGGCGGACGATCGCTCACGGCATCGAACCTAGTTGGTGTTGGTTCTCATATTGGTTTGGTGTAGCATACACGAATTCTCGAGTCCAGGAGATATGTTTCTGCAGCGACGGACCAGCCACTCAGAATGCGGGCGCAAGACAGTTGCAGGCTGCGCAAAGCATGTACCTACCACCGTTAAGAACGGGCAGTGACACGGTGGCAGGAGAGGCCAAGTTGCATCCAGGACACGCCGGAATCCGAGCTGCGCTATGCTGTCGTGCAGATTCCGAGACGCGCCCTGGCGGACACCCAGAGTTCTTCTTCCCCTGTGGGGGAAACTCCACTGACTCTGGGCCTGGTAGGGCAATGGGGTAGGGCAATGGATTAAGGCAGTCGATATATCACATTTGTCGTCGGCGCGATCGGCCTCGATCACAGGCCGGGGGGGTCGCATCGCGCCGCGACAACTGGACAATGACGCTGTGTGCGCGGTCCAGCTAGCGAGGCGACAGCGGCTGGGAATACCCCTGTTCCTATTCTTGCGGTGCGTACGAACCGTGCTCGCCCCCTCGAATTCCTCCTATTGAAATACATGCTTCTAGTATGTAACGCTCACTGGGAGAAGGGCACTGATCTGGACACACAGTGAGATGCGAATGCAGGAGACCTCCTCAACCGCCGATCAGAACTCGATCGACGGGGGCCCAGCTACACTTGTGAAGCACCGTCGCCAGAAGGGGGCCCCTTCCTTCACAGACCCAACGGTGTAGCTCCGGCCAGACTGTTCCCCTGCACGCCTCATTGGTAAGAACTGCCCGGAAATCGTTTCCTTCTGGCTCTGTTTGCTAGAAATGGTTCCCTGGGGTCTCCATCGCGACGTGGGTGGGTTGCAGCCCATCCCCACATCGGAAACTTTGATCAAGTTGCATTGTGTTAGCGAGCTCTAGTTGCCCTCTGCTGACGAAATTACCAGCAGGGCAAATGCACCAATGGCCGACCAGACGGTGTCAGTCTCGGTCTCGTCGAGGACACCTCCGGCGTACGGAGTATAGTGGTTGAAGTACGATCGTTCGCGCAGCGAGGCCCCTCAATTGGCCCGGAACGACCCCCCCCTTGTCTTGCATGGATCGTCTCCATGGCGCAAGACCGAGAATCCTCCCGGCAAAATTCGTTGCGAATCATTCAGCACATAATTTGGTGGCGGCGGTTCGCCCCGGACGACCATCCTGACAATGTTCTCCGCTGTATGCCGCGTATGACAGTATGGACCGCCTCGTTTCCCGCAGCTCGTGCAAAGCATCCACCGTTCAGCTTGCATGTGGCTCGAGTATTCCAGAAAAGCGGTCACTGGCACCACGTGTTTTCATTTCACTTTATGAATAAGATTGTGTTGACTTGAGAAAATGCAGGGAAATAACGGATCCTTCCAGGCAAGCATGACGCAGTTCCTGGGCTCGGGAATATCCCTGGATTATTAGGGCGTTGGTTGAATGCCTAGCGCCTCCACTTTCGCAAAACCTTCCTGAGGAACCCTATGAACAGGCGTGGTACTCTCAAAGACCAGTTGCAGTCACCATCTGTATAAGATTCAAATATGATATATTCCAGAATGAGCCAAATGGACATAGAGTTTGCATTTCCATCACAGGCTCCGTTCCCTTGGGTCGCGGTGGGATACTGACGGCGAACATCTCCGGGACAGATGCCCTATCATGTTAGGTATTGGCGGGGTGGGATATGGTGATGAACTATTAGTCTGCACTTTCGAGATGGGGTCAATGAAATAAGGATCGGTCTGTGCTACTCTGGTTGGGATGGAAATTTGGACAAAGTACTATGCGCCTGCCTGTGATCGCTAATTTTAGCTTCGACGGACTGCCTGCTGCATTGCACTTTGATACTCGATCTTGGTAGATTATGTATGTCTGTCTTAATGTTAATGGAATACTATCCGAGTGGACAGCACTCATTCGAACTATGCGTACCTCACACTAATCTTTCGCTACCGGCAATGATGGTTCAAACGAATAGAGGCCATGTTGTAACCACTTTGCCGTCATATCGAAAGGCAAGCTGCCCCCGCCGCCTGCCGGGAAAGAGGGGAGGGTGGAATGGGTCAAGGAGTCCCTGGGCATTGCTGAAACTACGATTTGGCGGTGCACTACGCGACTCCATTGATTTCTGGCGGTGTCTGTGGGCTTTGCCTATTCTCAGTATTAAGAAAGCAGCTAAAAAGGTCGAAGCAGGCTTCATTCTCCTTTTCCATTCCGCTTCACCCAGTCTCTGAGGAGCATGTCGGTCGAAGATACTGGGCTTCATGGGCTTGAGAAGAGTCAGTGATATTGGAAATGTACTTTGCTGCTCTGACCACCCACCAGGTTGGATACAACTTTATCACTCCCCGGTGCGGCGGTACTACTGATGTCTGCTGCTTTATGTCGCAGGTATTCGTTCAATCAAAGCAACTCTAATAAGTCTCAAATGTGGATCGATACTACGGTATCAAGACACTGGACAGGAATTGCCCTAGAGCTGAACCTGAGAATCAGATGGGAGTTGGTTCTCTCCTATAACGTGGTGAGTGTCACAGCGCCAGGACAGTTGAACCGATTTTCATATGCTAAGGTCAAACAAAAGGAAAGGGCACCATATATCCACGGAGTAGTCAAAGTGATGCGATGCGCCAGTGTGGTACAGGCTTGACGATGCTGAAGTACCAGGTCCACGTGTCGAGCCATCATATGATGCCCAGGTAGCAGAGACGGAACGCGACGGTATCAAATTCAAATGGCCGCCAATCAAGACGTACAATGTCGATGGAGTGCGGTGGCATCGAATATATCTCCTTCATGAACGATGGAGCTTCAGATGAAAATATATACATTTCACGATTGAACCGCGGTCATAGAAAAAAATGAAGTCCACAAGCATTGTTCAAAAGGTAGGCAGACTACAATTACATGACGTTACGCTATATTGTGTAGTTACGAAGACAAATCCCGAATCAAAGGTGTAGAGGCCGTAGGCGAGGCCGCGACAAGGCAATCAAGCTCAGACAAAGGGGGTTGACAAATTCAGGAGAGGGAGACCAGGATTTGAAGTACGCTCATTAAATCATTCGAGAAGGTAACGTTAAATAGGTATCATATCACTCGGAAACGAGACGGTTAGCCCGTCCCCGGTATTGTTTGCTATGGTTCGAATCTACGGAACAAAGCATCATCCAAGCCCATAAAGCAAGACAAGACGCAGATTCCAAGCTATTGTTTTGGTTAATGATTTTTTTGTTTTCATCCCCAGAGACTGGAGATGGCCGGCATGCAGCTCAATACCAACGTCCTAAGACATTTAGTTGGCAAGAGCGTGGGCGCGGCGGCGGTCACGCTCCTCGGAGATGGAGAGCTAGTAAATGATTTAGTAAAGAGACCGATGATAAAAAGTGGTTGATTGAACATACCTTGACACCCTTGCCCTTGGGAAGGGAGATCCAGGGCTTCTCCTGGCCGATGACGAAGACGTTGGACTCGCGGGTAGCGAAGGTGTTGTCAATGGCGTCCTTGACGTGGACGACGTTGAAACCACCGTCGTGACGCTCACGGTGAGTGACAACACCGACACGACCCATGTTACGACCACCGGTGACCATGCAGACAACACCGGAGTCGAACTTGACAAAGTCGGCGATCTTGCCGGTGGCAATGTCGACCTTGACGGTGTCGTTGACCTTGATGGCAGGGTCGGGGTAGCGGATGCTGTAGGCCAGAAGAAACGCAAGTTAGCAAAACCATGTTCTTTTATATAGGAATCTTACTGTGTTCCCGGGGATGCGTCCTCCGCCGATCAACCAAAACTTGGTCCAACGACTGAATGACACGGAACTTGTGGAGTATGCACTCACGTTCGCGCATCGTGCGTAACCAAGAATGGGATGCCGCCCTTGCCAAGCTGGACGCGCTTGACCTTGCAGAGCTTGAACTCAGCCTCCTCGGCCTGGATGCGGTGGACGGTGAAGCGACCCTTGGTGTCGTAGATGAGGCGGAAGTGCTCGCCAGTCTTCTCAAGGGAGATGACATCCATGAAGCCAGCGGGGAAGGTGGTGTCGGTGCGGACCTTGCCGTCAACCTTGACCAGACGCTGCATCATGATGGCCTTGACCTCACGACCGTTCAGGGCGTACTTGAGACTATCGGGAAAAGTCAGTTTCGCTATTCGCTTCGTTCATTGTGCAGGATCGTTCGAGTCGTACCGGTTGCGGATGAAGACAATCAGGGGCAGGCAGTCCCGGAGCTTGTGGGGACCGGGGGAGGCCTTGGGGGCATAGGTGCCGGACATCTTGTCCAGCAACCAGTGCGAGGGGGCGCTAAGGCGCTTCTGGTGCTTCTTACTGTAGAGGCATATCGGTTAGTCTTCAATTCACTGCATGTCAATTTTTCTCGGTGCAAGAAGCGACGGTCTGGAATCGACAGCAATCGATTTTGAGTGTTGGGGAGTCCAGTGATTTCGTCGCGACGAGCAATTCGAGTCTGATGGGCGAGCTAAACTTACGGTCCGCGAGCCATTTTGGATGTTGTCGACCGGTGGTGGTTGTCGGAAGAGTCGCGATGAGAGAAGGGTCGGAGATCACTGGTTGTCAAAATGCCTTCGCTTGTGCGTGCCCTAGCCCGCGACCACACACTAGTCCAGAAATAGACAATTAGGGTTACTAGTCTGATTATGTCATCGACCCACCTTCTGTAACGTAATCCACGGCCGACCTGTCCACACGGCCGACCTGTCCACTTTCGCGTCCAACCTTCCGGCAACATCTTTCAACGCGTTGTTTTTACACCACCAGCATACAAAATGCCTCTTTCCCAAGAAAATCGAATGCAAATGGCTATTGCGACTTACAAAAACAAAAAAATTGGATCAAAATCAAGGCTTGCGGCAATATTTGGAGTGCCTAAATCCACCTTACTCTCTCGGCTGAAAGGAATCAAACCACGGTCGGAAACACGCGCTAGCGGCCATAAATTAACAGCGACTGAAGAAGAAGCACTAGTTAAACGGCTACTAGATGCTGATAAACGAGGATTTTCAATTCGGCCAGAGTTTCTACGTGGAATGGCGCAGAATTTACTCCAAGCGCGTCTACAGGATCCTTCAGCAACCCTTGGGGTTAACTGGGCCTACTCCTTTACAAAACGCCGCCCTGAAATACAAACAAGATATAACCGGAGGATTACATACCAGCGATCAAAGCAGGAGGATCCAAAGGTTATAAAACAGTGGTTTGCGACCGTACGCGAAGCTATTCAAGAACAAGGTATCCATGAGGATGATATCTGGAACTTTGACGAAACCGGCTTTGCAATGGGACTCTGTTCAACCTCTAAGGTTATTACTGCGGTAGATCGTAGTGAAAGACCTCGGAGAGTTATTCAGGGAAATCGCGAATGGGTTACAATCATTGAATGTGTGAGCTCGAAAGGCATTTCTATACCTCCATGGGTCATCTTAAAGGCTGGATCTCACCAGGCCGCTTGGTATCAAGAGCCTGCTATCAAGAATGGCTGGGTTCTTGCCAGAAGCCAAAATGGCTGGACAACAGATGAAATAGGCCTTGCTTGGCTAAAAGAGACATTTGAGCCATATTCTAAACGCCTTTCAACCGGTGCGAAGCGATTACTTATTCTCGACGGCCATTCTAGCCACCAAACTGCAGAGTTTGATGCTTTTTGCAAAGAGAATGCAATTATCTGTCTCTGTATGCCTCCTCATACCTCTCATCTACTACAACCACTCGATGTTGGTGTTTTCGGCCCGTTAAAAACGTTCCTATGGGAAATTGGTTGAAGGAATGATGACTGCCGGCAACAATCATATCGACAAGGAAGACTTCCTACACCTATATCCTCCTACACGCGAGATGGTTTTTAATCTAGAGAATATACGGAATGGCTTCGCAGGAGCTGGTCTTAGGCCACTTAACGAAGACCGGGTCCTCGAAAAGATTACATTTCAACTTCGGACGCCAACACCACCTCTTGTCGAAGGATCAATATCCTCTACTTTTCAAACACCTGAGAATCCTCGCCAGCTATATCATGAGGTTCGCAGTCTACAGAGAAGCCTTCGAAAAAGAATGCTCTCTAGTAGCCCAATTTCTCATATTCAACATCTTGAAAAGGCTGCGCAGATGGCAATGAACATGAACGTTCTTCTCCAACAAGAAATCAAGGTTCTACGCGATGAGAATGAGCGGAAACTGAAAAAGAAGGCAAGAAGGCGTGGTAAGATAGGCGACGATCTCTTTTTATCTAGAGATGAGGGTCAAAATCGCGTTCAGCAGCTTGATACGCAGCCGAACGAGCAACATAGTGAGCCTACTGCTAGGCCATGCCAGCGAGCTCCACGGCGCTGCAGTGGGTGTGGGACTATAGGACATACTGTAAGAAGTTGTCCTAGTAAATAGCTATATATTCACGATTAGATAGTCTAATATAATTTTGTCTCGTGGGTGAAAAGCCGCAATTTTATTGAGGGTGCGGTGAAAGTGGACAGGTCGGCCGTGTGGACAGGTCGGCCGTGGATTACGTTATTGGGAAATGCGGTTGATTCGTATGCAAGCCTGAGGCATTCAATATGTTTTCTTGAGCATCGACTGGATGTGTTGTGGCTGCAGGGTCTATGAATGATAAAATGTATTATTGACATCGCTGAAAACTCGAACTTTTGGTATCTACATTTAAATGTATCCCTTGATGACCGCAACCTCGGCGTTCAGGATGGACGAACCGGCCGCACCGATGACGGTGTTGTGAGATAGGGCCGCGAAACGAATATCGAAGTAGCCACCCTCCTGTCCCTCGCGAACACGTCCAACGCTCACCGTGTATCCCTTGGAGATATCACGGTCCAAGCGGGGCTGGGGACGGTCGGGCTCGTCGAACACCTTAATGGCGTTCTCCGGAGCGGAGGGAGCGCCGAGCTTCTGAGCCTCGGACTGATACTCCCGCAGGGCCTGCATGACTTGCTCAGCACTGGGGGCAGGGCGGTTCCTGAAGCGCAGCGACACGAAGGCCATGTGGCCGTCAGTGACACCGACACGAGTGCAGGTGGCACCGATGCGCAGACCGGTCTGCTCGTTGAAAGCAGTAGCATCGGAGTTGAGGTCACCGAGGATCTTCTGGGCCTCATTCTCCAACTTGTCCTCCTCACCACTGATGTAGGGGATGACGTTGTCGACAATGTCCATGCTGGGCACACCAGGGTAGCCAGCACCAGAGATTGCCTGCTCAGTGAAGACCTCCACCTCCTCAACGGGTCCAAACTTGGCCTGGAGGGCGGCGAAAGGAATGACAATACCAATGACGGCGCAGTTGGAGTTGCAGACCAGGAAGCCCTTCTTCAGACCGAAGTGCTTGCGCTGGTGAGGGATGAGGTCCAAGTGAGCAGGGTTCACGGTGGGCACCACTAGAGGGACGATGGGGTCCTTGCGGTAGTTCTTCGCGTTGGAGAAGACAGGAATCTCTGCCTTGATGAATTCCATCTCTGTTTGCAATTAGCATCGCGGTCTGGAGGAATGATATAACGAGCAATTCTTACCAGTCTCGCCGGCGATGTCGCTGTTCAGTCCGGAGAAGACCAGGTCACAGTCACTAAACTGAGCGGCGCGGCACTCGCGCAGAACGAGGTTGCTGAGCTTTTCAGACATTGAGGATGCCTGCTTCCAGCGCACGGCATCCTTGTACTTCTTGCCAGCATTGCGCTCGGAGGCACCCACGGCGTGAAGCTCCAGGAAGGGGTGATCAGCCAGGAGGAGAATGAAGCGCTGGCCAACAGAGCCAGTGGCGCCGAGAACACCTAAAGACAGTTAGAAAAACGCGTGAATGATATCATTGTCAATGATTGGAAGAAACATACCGCACTTCTTCTTAGGGAGCGAGGCCACCATGTTGAGCTTTTGAGGTATATGTAAAGGACAGAGCGATCTTGGCACAATGTTAGCGTCTTAGGACCTCAAAAAACTTCGTGAATAGACGATAAACAGAGGAATGGCATATCGATATGTCAGATCGGGGGCACTATCATCGAGCACGGGGATCCTATGAGTCAAGGCTTCGTCCAGTGCCCCGCATGGTGGATAAGAAGCGCTCCGCGCTCAATTGACCCATTGATTGCATGAGGTGGAAACACTGGACACAATTGGGTTCTAGCAAAACAAAGAAACGGCCGTACTCACCACTTTCGCAGTTGACGATGAAGGAGTGGCGATTCAACGGTTCCTGGCGAACTGCGATATCGCAAAGCCCCGCGGTGACTCAGCAGCTCCGGGGCGGGCAAAAATTTCACCGGCGCTGATTGGCGGTTGCCGACAGTTCCGCCTGTTTTACACCGGAGTGGGCGACTTTCTCCGAAGCCTTCTTTAGACTACGCTAAAGGGGCCCAAGGCTTGCCCCCGACGGCACCAAGGAGCCAGGAGTATGCAGCCATACATGGCCAGCCACGAGTTTCGAAATTGGCAACCAAGGATAATGGATAGTAATTCGAACCTTTTCACATTCCGCCCTTCGGTGAATTCTACTTCGACAATGGTAGGAAAAGTCAATTTATTCATCATTCCTCACAGACATTAGCATGCACTTATCCAGTCATACGCGGCGCTCTTTACAAGTTCACCCGCACCACAGAGGATTCACAAAGCACCATTATTGATTCGATACTGGCCTCTAGATATCCCAAAGAAACAGCATTCCATCATCACGCGCTAAGACCGCCATCGACGCGTAAGACTTCGCCATTAACATAGCTTGAACCTTCGCTCAACAAAACAGCGACCATGCGACCTATTTCCTCAGGCTTTGCAACTCGCAGCATGAGCACTAGCTTCGTATGTTGTTCCACCGGAAACCAATGTGTGGCAAGCACAGGAGTATCGATCAAGCCACTGGGTTATAACGTTTCGAGACAGTGATAAGAAAAAGGTATGGTTGCTGCGGAATCTACCACTCACGGTGCAATCGCATTCACTCGAATTCCTCTGGCTGTGACCTTTTTCACCGCGGTTTGGGTAATGCCAATTGCCTAGAGAGTCCCTTCGGAATGAATTCTGACTTCCGGATTCCGGGAATCTACTTATTGCGTGTTTGCTTGGAGAATCCACCCAACCAAAAACGCCTTCGAGCCCGTTTTAACAATTGCGCCTCCTTCTGGCATAGCATTTAACTCGGCTCGAAGACATTTGAAACCATTGAGCGGTGGTCCTAAAGGGATTCGTGCGCGTAGTGGAAGACGATCGAGACATACACTCCGTATGCATTGATTTGCATCGTGAAGGTAAAACCGTCTTCTGTTGTAGCTGTGATTTCCGTGCCTAGCGGAGCGTTACGAACAACACCTGCAATATTGGCGGCGCCATCGAATTTGCCAACTTTTTCCACTATGCCATCGATCTGCGAGTTGACTTGCTCGGTGCCGCTGACATTGACAACATTACAAGAGAATTGTTGCTCTGGGTGGGATTTTAGAAGCTCCTCGGGGACTGCATCCAGTGTCTCGGCTTGTAGATCAGCTAGAGCAAGTGAAGCGCCTTGAGAATACAGCACTATTGCTGTGGCCTTCCCTATTCCAGGCGCAGTACCTAGAAACAGATCTTTCGTTAGAAACTTCATTGATCTGCAGAGTCAAATTTGCTGGAAAATCCCGACACTTACCAGCAACAGTGAAAATTTTGCCCTTGAAAGTCGCCACAGCTATCAGTGAGCTTGAAAGGATTGAAAAAAAAGACAGCTATTCCGTGCGCTGGGGCTTCCCCCATGGCGGACGGTCCTATTTATGCCCCCAAAGCTCATCAATCGCATTCAATCAACAGCTGCCGCGGGACACGATGGTTAAACTTCCATTAGATCCTAGCTGGAAGCCTAGCCCGATGTAGCGTGTGCATGGGCACTGGCATAGTTCTCCATTAGGGTCACCCCATAGTAAGTCGAACATGGTAAGCTTACTCTGATCCATGACGTGATCAGTAGTTCGCCAAATCGCATACATACTGGATAATGTCTGGCAATTCTTGGCTCTCCCCTTCCGTTTTAGTGCTCACCCCCTCGCCGCTTTTGCTCCCTGAGTAGAATCGAGCACGCCCCTGACCGGCCTGAGCTGCTCAGTGATCATTACGTAATCAAACTGATCGCTCACTGAGCCTGATCGAAGCACCCTGATTTGCTCAGTGAGCCTGCCCTGAGCACTTGATCTGATCACTGACCCTGACCTGATCAATCCCGGATTGCTTACTAAGCTCCTGGTAGCCTGAGTAAGCGGGATCAATAAAACGCGACACGCTAGCTCGACCGCTGTACAAGAATTAGCGTCGTAAAGTTGCCACTAACTGACGATCTTTCCCTTTGCAAACAGGATGTACCTGATTAATTTCCTTTTATTGGACAATTGAACCTATCGAGATTTGACGCTCCTAGGAGCATTCTCCGTTCTCCGTGATGCATCGACCCGATTGGGAGAACTACGTAGGCAGATGTATAACTAGATGGACTACGTAAACCATTTCGTTTTTATTGGATATTATTGAGCAGATAACCACTCAGCGTTCGTCTCCTACTTGACTAAAATTGTTTCGTTGTCTTCGACTTCATGCCTTTCTTGCAATATTAAGTGGAAAATAACCGAAAAAAATAAGATTTGCTATCCGCATTTGCCCCAGAAATTGCTCCTGGGAGCATCAGCCCGTTCCCAGGAATCCTTCCAGGGGCCTCATCAATATGTGCCGTGCCTTAGATTCAATGACATAGCCTGTTCAGATGGAATACTCCTCCAAGTTCCCAGGAGCTTATCTCTGATTGGTGCTGTCCATATTCACGAAGATATAAAACTGAACAAAACTTCCTCCCTCGACAACCTCCAAAATTTGACCTGTTGTACTGAATGAAGCCGCTTTTCGACCACGCGAGGAAGAGTTGAACATTGACCTTGACAATAATTTTCCTCTAATACCGCATACCAAACTTGTTCGGATGCCAGGTAAAACTGTTCGCTACCGACATCTAAGAAGCCCGTCTTTTTAGTCAATTCAGAAATTTACCCGCCTCAACGATATCCATGGAAATGCTTCTTCGGAGGCGAAAGCGCCCTGCTGAACAGACAGCACACGGGGTCCGGCAAAAAAAGGTGAGCTATATACCGAGAAACTGCAGTGGCCCTCATACAACTCCTCTAATGTAGTGATTAGCTATTATCTGCCCAAGGTCCGATAGTATTCTTGCCGTCTGAATTGTTATGTATGATCTGCGACTACTTGGATGTCAACGTTATCATAAGCTTTAGCCGCGTGTCGCGTAGCTTCCAGAGATTGGTGCAGCCAATGATATTCACAGAATTTCACTCGGATTTATACGATCAGCCAGGCCTTTGGAAGCAACTAGAACTCCTAGCAAATGCATTAACGAGCCGCCCAACTCTTGGACAGAAGATGTTTCATATCTCTGTCAAACTCCATACGCTTCAGCATGTGGAAAAACTCACACAACTCCTTCGTCCAATTCTTCACAAGACTACGAATCTTCGCTCTTTGTCTCTTCCAATTCATATGGCTACTGCAAATCTCCTTGACAGTCATGCTTTTGGCTATCTCGGGAAGGACTTGAAGATCAAGGCTGCATATGATTGGATTTTAGGCCTTAACGAGATAACACTCGTCCGGTCTCCCGTTCAGTGTGACCAACTGTACACCTACCACCGACCAGACGAATTACAACTCCAACGCATAGTTATTGGCTCATGTGGATTAGACTATCGGTCTACTATTAGACTTCTGCGACGACTCCGACGCCTTGAGGTGGTTGAGTTATATAAGGTCGAGCTATGGGACTGTGCTTCCTTCAGTTGCGAGCCAAAAGTGGCGGGAATCGTCAAGGCATTGGATTCATCCAAGAGTCACCTTAAGAAACTGGCTTTACACATCAGTGGCTATCGCGATTCCTGGAGTGGATTCAATAGAATCTTGTCTTTCGATTCCTTATTGCGCCTGCAAGATCTCGAGATTAATGAACATGATCTAGCCGCTAATGCTGTATTCCCTGCCTCTTTGACCAAACTAGTGTTTGTTGACTGGGAAAAAAAGCCAAGCTTTCCATTCACCAAAGATTTGGCCCAAAAAAGCCTCCCTATACACCTTGAATCTATTACCAGCTATAGCAGAGCCCCTGGTATATTGCGTCAAACGCTGGAAGAGACTTGGAGCTGTCACGAGGTCGAGATCCACTATCGCAGATTTGATGATAGCCTGCCGACCGGCCCTTTTCGAGTGCCGGAAAGCCCGTCGTGATATAGGTTCGCGTAAATTCGGGTTCTTTTCCAGATTCCGGTGGTGGTAGTGTTGTGAGCAAAATAACATCTTCAACGCCAATAGGCTGCCCCGGACACATTTATATCTCATTGATCTTCTGCAATCGCACTAATCGGTCAGAAAGATCTGGTGGAACGTACCAGGATTTAGTATGTAAGCGTTGTGGCGCACTTGGCTTCCAATGACTTTGCAGTGGGCTGCTTTCAAATCTAACATGAATATTCCATACACTACAGAGCATTTTTATTGTGCCGACTCACAAGAAGATACGGCAGCACAGTAGGCACTTTAACGAAGATTTCACGGTGAAGAACTGGGGCTTATTTTAGAGCCGGGAGATGGAACCTGGACTTTTACGCCAACCCTTGCTAATCGATTAGAAACATAAGTGTAAAACCCACGAGAAGAGCCTCTTCTTGTACAATTTGCCTCGCCGGAGCTTGTTTCTAGAGCGGCTAAGTTGTCGCTGAGAGCGGAGATAGAGGCGGTAGGTTGGAGGCGGTCGAAGACCGAGAAAATCATGGTACTGTACTTGCCGGCGTAACGTAAATACGGCGGCTTAATGACATATCGATATCAGCCACAATAGATTACCACCAGCCACATGATTCTAGTACTTGATGTAATGACAATAAATACGGGACGCGTGTGTTACAGTATCAGACGAAATACGGTTTGAATAGGCTGTTCTGCCAATCGTTACAATTTGCGTAGAACATTTCGAGAGTTTAAGTCCATGAGAGAACAAATTCACTTTCAACGACGAATTGACAGCAGAGGAAATTCAAATTAAATGCACAATTAAACGTACTATTGCCGCGTCATTACATATATGTTAAACGCTTTTCCACGGCTTGTGTGCTTTGCCAAACCTGGAGTCTAATTGAACTCGGTCAGTGTCTCAGCTGAAGGAACATAATATTGAGTCCATTTTATGCGGGAGTATTCGACTAAATCAGATACACTGGAGGTGGTGAATGAAATGCAAAGCAACTTGCACGCCACAGGATTTATGCACCCTTAATACACCATTCGCTGGGCCACCAGGAAGTGGTGTCAGCCAGTTGCCTTAGCTTTTTCTCGCTAGATTATTCCACTTGAACTGATGCGGAAATATAGATGTACAAGTCACCGTGACGAAACGAACAAAAATGAAGCTTTCCCGCATTCAAAGGAACCTGGATATGCTGTGTTGGTTCGTCGCACCATTCGTACATCCTTCAACTATATATCTTACTGTTTGCAGTGTCAGGTGACACAGCGCTCTCCTGTGATCTACTGCTCCATTTCCATAGCCTAGATAGACCCTTTTATCATCCATTCGATCATTCCCATTCACTCTTTCTACGTACTACACGTACACTTACACTCTTTGTTACAGCACAGTTCCCTAGAAAATAATTCTGGTCCGAGAACCTCCTAAGCGAGGGAGCCGGATGCCAGCAGAGAGAAGTCTGTCTACTCTTTCCCATTGAGAACTTAGCTTGATTGCCAAGCTTGGTCCGCGACCAACAATAGCACTCAAGTTTGAACAGAGCAACGGTGCTATATTAATAGGGAGATATCCCATGAAATTTGGAAGTGCTTCCATCCCCTGAAAGGATGTAGTAACGCATAAGCGTACAGTATTACTCATTACATGAATGTTAAACGCTTTGTTCACGGCGCGTGTGCTGGGTCAAACTCGGAGTCTGACTGAACTCGGTCAGTATGTCGGCTGACTAGGTCAATGGTGCTTGGTTGCGCCAAGATAAAACAAATGGGTAAAGAACACGACGTTTCCTCTTCAACAGGTAGGAGGGGTCCGTCCCTAATAAGAGTTGTACCGGAGGTGATGATGAGTTCAGTGGCGATAACTACATAGGGATACAATTTGCACAAACTAACCTGCCCTATTAGAGCCTCTCCTGTGTCTGCCATTTTTCACAATAAAAATGTTTTCCATTACTCCCAAAGCTATTCGATCCGCCATAATTGGTGTTCTTGTGTTGGGTACTACAATCGCTTTATTGCAAGTACCAAGAACGATGAGCCCCTTCAACGATTACTCTACTATAATGTCCGGTAAGCAAGTTGACTGGTCTCGATTTGCTTACACTCAATACGTGACCAACACGGAGTATCTATGCAATTCGGTGATGCTATTTGAAACTTTACACCGTCTTGGGTCTAAAGCCGATCGTTTGTTGATGTATCCCTTTAACTATTCTACTGCGGATGACGACAATTCGACCGAATCCCGACTGCTTCGCCTCGCTCGAGACAAATTCGGAGCCAAGCTCAAGCCGATCAAGATACAGAGAAGGGAGGTAAAGGACTGTGAGTCTTTCGTGTTTCTGGGATATCATCGCATAGAGCATACTTCGTTACATAAACTGCTTGATTTCCTATAGCGAACAAATGGGCTCATGATGAGAACAGCGACATGGGCCGAGAGCTTTACCAAGCTTCTGGCTTTCAATCAAACAAAATACGATCGGATCCTAAGCCTTGATTCTGACTCAACAATTTTGCAGGTACAGTATGCTGTACGGCAGCCGATAGTGAGGTAGGGGTCAAAAGTCGAGGACCAATCATTCGGCTCACCGCCCTAGACCCCGCCGGCCTGACCGCTCAAGCCAGCATCCACCAACCAGGTTTCGGAAGAGAGATACCGCTGGTTTGTGGGTCATATGGTAGGGGGTTTTTAGTCATACTAAGTCTATTCGGCTTGGATCCAAACCTGGATTTCAAAATACATCAAAATAAATCTCCATGGGACTGAATTCTGGTTTCTTTACTAATTTTTGACCAATTTTGCTCCATTTTGTATGCCCCAAATGACCTGAATACTCTTTTTTTTTTTTGACTACGCTGACCACCTATAGAGACCTGATATGCCATTTGGTCGCCCACGGCTCGAGGTGGAGCCATACAAAGACCAAATTACCATGCTTCTGGCACAGAAGATACCTATAAGCAATATTTTAGACATTTTACACGAATACTACGGTCTCAAAATGTCACCGAGGACATTCAAACGTCGCACGCGGGCCTGGGGCATCCAACAGCGAGCACCAAATGGTATCACCAATAACAGAGCCTTACAAATGCGTGTTGAGACCCTTATCTGTGAGGGTAATCTCTCTTCGAAAGAGATCCTTCAGGTACTTTCGCTCGATGAAACACCTATCTCTACCGACACACTCAGGCGAATTCGTAGCCTACTTGGTATACGTCTTCGCATTGACGACCAGGATGATCAGGAGCAGCAGGAGGACGAGATACTCGAGATATTAGTGGACCAACAGGCCATTGGCCTTGTTGAAGGATATGGAAAAGGTCACCTCTGGGCCCATCTACGCCGTCATGGTCATGTCTTCGCCCGAGACCGAATCTTCGATGTATGGTGCTCTCTACGGCCTGACGCCCTCCTACGTCGCTCGACCGGTCTACAGCGGTCTCGCGGTGCATACCGATGCCCTGGGCCGAATTTTGTATGGCATATTGATGGCTATATGAAGTTAGAGCTCTTCGGGATCGAGATATATGCTGCGGTTGATGGGTATTCGCGCTATGTTACCTGGTTTTACGTGGGCATCAGCACGCGGACCGGATTCAGTGTCCTCCACCAGTATCTGAATACAATATCGACCACTGGTTTCCAACCGCGCGCGATCCGCTCTGACTATGGTACAGAGACCATGCTGATCGCAGACGCCCACTATGCATTAAGAAAAGCTGGCGCTGAAGCTGTTGATGGCCACCCAGAACTACAGTTTACCGACTGCTTTTGGTACGGTCGCAGCACCCAAAACCAGCGCATCGAGTCCTGGTGGGGACAGCTTACAAGCTCTACGAACTTCGTATGGCGTGAGCTTTTTAGTTGGCTTCAAGAGCGAGGCTACTACGAGGCGTCTAAGATCGACAAAGTTGCACTTCTTGCTGTTTACATGCCTTCAATTAAGGATACATGTGCGGAGTTCGTGCTCACATGGAACTCCCATCGGATCAGGAAGCAGAAGGGTCGCCCCTATAGCGTTCCAGGCAAGCCATGGTTGGACTACTATTACCCAGGGCGTGACGAGGAGGATATTAAGGATTATAGGCATCATATTGACCCTACAAAGCTTGATGCTATCAAGACTGACGTGGGGAGTTGGGATACTGACGTATATCTACCTACAGAGACTATACACTGGTGCCGTACTCAGCTACTGGGCATGGGCTTTGACCCTGAAAAACCACCAGCGAGAGACCATGGCACCCACCCATATGTCAATACCTACCTTCGGTTACGGGAGCTCGCTGTCGATCATACCGAAGGGGGCCTCTTTCCCGTCCTCTCACTATGCGAGAAGCCAACTATGCCCCCTAACTGGGCGCAGAATTAAGGGTGCGGGCTGCGGGCCCGCACCGTGGTGGAGATTAATGGGGATCAATGGAGATCAATACCTATATTTGGTAGGACCTTAATGACTATCAATCATTAGTTTTTTCAACTTTAGTGGGAGACAGGGTGTAGAGAGCGTCCTAGGCTTTCTGCACCTACTCTGCGCCCTCTGCATCTCCTAGGCTACTACATCTACAAAGCATGGCCTCTCATTATTACCCAAGCGACACACCCGATCTCGTTGATTTAACAGACACATACGATGACTCACCATCCTCCTCGTCCTCCGTCTACTCAGGAGCACCACCGAGACGACCTGGTCAGCTCATACCAAACGAACACCTCCTTCCTGAGCCATACAGCCTAGTCAGCCAGCGAATAACGGGTAGGGTAGCAGGGAGGCATCGCAAGCTCCATATGCAGAAGAGCAGACCAGCGCAGATGCTAGCACCACAGCAGCAGAGAATTCCGACAATTATCCACTTCTGTCTCTGGCGAAAGCCATCATCAGATCGAAAAACTTGGACGATGGACGAACTCAGTAAGTATGACTCTATTACTTGATTCTTTCAAGGCGCGCTTGCTAATAGACGCTACACTGTAGCTGACGTCTCCCAGTGGATCTCTCCCCACCGTGTCTTTAACTTCCAAGACTTTATTACAAGAGACCTTCTTCCTGCGCTTAGTCCGGAGCTTGGAGCCTATAATCCGATACCACACATCGACCGATACCAGCTCGCGACTGGGCTAAAGGGCCAAAAACCAAAGAAGGAACCACAGTGGTTATCCGCTACTGAAAACCATGCACGGTGCGCGGCAGAGCTCGCTTCGCAGTTTACTTTCGGTAGCCAAGCACGCCAGATCTACCTTATCATCATACGTGAAGAAGAGATAGATAAGGACGTGGTCATCAAGCCTGAGTCCGAGCCAGAGCCTCTCCGTGAGGCAAGCTTGGTCAGTAACTGGAGCAATCCAGAGACCCCAGGGCTAAGCTTCCAGTCGCGTACCGCGTCACAGGAGGAGATCCTCGCTGAGAGACTTAGAATTGCTAGTGAGAAAATTGTTCAGCTAGAGAAAGCACACCAGCAGGAGACATCGAAGGAGATACCGCAGGAGGACATAACGCAGCGAAGAGAGGCTTCAGGTGCCCGGCAACGTGGGCGCCCGCGGCGACGTGGTGGTGTCAGGAAAGATAGAGCTAGGTGTACTCCAGTGGCAGCACTCTCGGCACTATCAGGGGCCACCTCACCGCGGCGTACGCGCAGTATGGCCCCCCGTGGTGGAACAACAGAGTCTGGTTAGTTAAAGTAGCTTTCAAATGCATATCTAGGCCATTTTGAGCACCTAAAATCATCGAAATTGGTCAAATTCTGGCACGTAAACAGATTATGGGCACTTGGAGAGCTTTTTTTATATGGTCATATGATCCATAAAACCAACGTCACCTTCTCTACCAAACCTAATTGGCAATGTCAAAATTCCCTATCCATAGATTCTGGCAGAAAATTACGTACCTTAGGTGTCGAGATTACTATATTAATCCTACCGCCCGTTTTCTGCCTGCCAAATTCGACTTTTGGCCCCTACCTCACTATCGGCTGCCGTAGTCACGTGCCAAGTGCCGGGAATTGTTACGGACACTACAGGATTTACTAGTTAGGATCTTCCACTATAGTAGGGTTTTCTAACAAAGCTCGGAATGTAGTCAGAAGAACTTGGTAATGACGGCGGCAAATGTCCCATTTGACTTTCGCAGATCACTTTATTAGTTGTTGGGTTGACGAAACATCCCGTCGAGCTAGATGTTGGCAAAGCGTGTGCTGCGGATCGGGATTAAGGTCGTGCTGACTGAGATCTACCTAGTCGCGAAAGTAAGAGTCCTATGAGTAGAAGGGACTGGAAATGTCGGTAATCCGAAACCTGCTGCCAACCCGATTAACTGAGCGGAGGAGCGGATCGATAGTAGTATTGAAGAAAGAAGTTGTTCTACAGTAGAAAATAAGGATGTACATGGCTGTGCCGCCGACCCGGATCAACCAAACTACCATGAACAAGCTCCACTCGCCATCCCAAAGTAAGTAACATGGGCATCATTCACTCCCTGTCCGCCCTGACCTTCACAACACTGGGCCCCGTTGCCGGTGCAGATATACGTGTTTTGCGCACTATAGGGGTCCACGCTCCAGTATTCGACTCCGGCGTGGACATAGCCCTGTTCGACCGGGGGCAGGTTTGGGATGCCGTCGTTAGCATGAGTGACCCGGAAGAAGCGGGTTGTCTCCGGGCTGCCCGTGTTGAATGCCTGATTGACGTACGACGCATAGGCCTGGTTACCGGTTCTCGGTTCGCCGAAGGTGTACAGGCTGATATTTCCATATGTGGCGGAGAGCTGGGCGGCAGTAATTGCTGCCATGGATGCACCTAGGCTGGGCCATATGTTAGCTCTGTTAATAAGGGAAATACTGCGGCTGGAAAGAAGAGAAGCCTTGAGAAATTGGCAGCAATATCAATCATACCTATGACCCGTCACTGTCAATGCATAGTCTGGATAGTTTTTGGCCTGCTGTTGAACAAAGGATTCAACCTGATCTTGGACGGAGAGCCATCCAAGATAGTATCCACCATGCACTGCGCAACCAGTGCATTTAGGAAGTGTGTCCAGCGCCGCGAGAGTGTAGTTGGTGTCGAGGTCCAGGTTCTTACCACTACCCGTGCCGCGGAAGACGGTTATAATCTCACGGCGGGTATCGTCGCGGAGGACCCATCCGTTGATGTCCGTTTGGGGGTTGTATATCTTGTTCACTGTGGTGATTGTTGCTGGGATGTTGCACAGGTCCGCATAAGCAGCCTGAGAGATGGTTGCCATCCCCACTAGGCGGTTGTAAATGCTGTCGGAGATGCCCTGCTTGACGGCAGCTAGACCTTGTCCTGCTGTCGTGGCAAGGACAAGGGCGTGCGCTGCAGAGAAGGTTTTCATTTTGAAAAATTAGTTCCTGGAATGACTAGATGGGCAATGGGTGATGAGAGGAAAAATAAGAGAACTCATTTCCATCTCTTAAATAGGGGACCATCGGATAATGACTATGGACGGAGTGGATCATGTCCCACTAGGGCCATGGAAGCTCATCGTATTTTGCCGGCCGCGGGCAAGCCCTCCACGACACACCCTTGAGACACGAGAAGCAGCCAAATGGCCCACCCTAGTTCCGCGGGTCCTGTCTATCGAGGCAGGGATGCTGTTTACATAAGCATCACATAATAACTTAGTTAGTTAGTTAGTTAGTACTCGTGAGGGCCAATTGAACCATCCCAGCGATCGACTGATTGATTCAAGAACTATCTATTCAGAACGCCATCTATTCAGGGGTTGTTAGCGTGTTACAGCGCTGCTTTTCCGAGAATACCCCGATTACTATACAAAACAGGTGGGAGATTGGGTATTCGCTGAATCATCCTGCTCCTGGTTGTAAAATATCCACCTCTGATCGACATTAGACACTACAGTCCAAAACGTTCTTTACCCACGATACTGTTAAGTCGGGGCTATTTTGAAAGTAGCCTCATATGGTCTAGTGTCGTACCGAGTAGGGGCGAGAAACAAAGCGTGAGTGTCTGGGGGTAAACTGTTCTCGAATTCTACTGTATTTGATGCGGGCATGAGGTGCGTTGGCAGAACGTGTGCTTCCAATTCCAGGATCGTGGTGGCCACTGTCCTGACCAAAAGACATTAAGTAGCTTCGACAGGCCTACTTGCATAGGCCACTACTCCAGTTTTTCGCCCAGCATAAGAGGCTTCTGGTCTCTTGAGGGTGTCTCAGTTTGCCCCATAAGTATACGTCACGGGCAGATCAACTAGGACGACACCGCTTCGACCTATCAAGACCAGTCTCAGGCCCCCTTTGTGAGTGAGGAAGTTGGATCCTGGATACCCGGACACTGCGACAATCTAGGAAACCACGCAGTAGATCGACTGGCCAAGGATGCGGCAAACCTGGGCAAAACACACTCCTTTCGCCCCCTCCTGACAAGGGAGAGGGCGCTTATCCGCGACAACATCCGCGCTCAGTGGGAGCGGGAATGGAAGGCATCTACCAAAGGCGACCACATGCGAAAAATCGATAGCACTCTACCGGCGGCCTACACCAGGGAGCTGTATGGGAATTTGTCCAGGGGTTGAGAAAATGTGGCTGATGATGGGCATTATCGTGAGTAGTTCAAAACCAAATTCATTAATGTTATCTGCTCTTTTATCTGCGCAGTTCAAGGCGTGTTCAGCTTCGACCACGGACTAAAATTGGTCACTACCGACTCACGGAGACTCGATTGGGGATCATACCAGTTTCACAGTATCTCGAGTCCTGTATCCGGGAGAGAGATCCAGGTTTCTGTATTCTATTAGAGAAGTTTTCAACCGGAAGAACAATAATACATACATGTTTCTTGTCCTTTAAAACTCAAATGAATCAGTCTATCGATGAGGTTTTATCCTAAAGCAATCTCTGTACCCCTTGGTGTAGCTTCAGTTCTGGGTTAAAATGTAATAAAGAGTGATAGATGATTGTTCAGTGGGTTAAACGGTCAGACGGTCACTAGTATGCATTATTTGTTGTAAAGGGTTAACTCTAATCGTGTCCATATATATTTCAACACCTATGTGAAGATGACCATTGGATAAAATAGTCTCTATCTACATTCAATGGCGCCACAGATTAGTACCAGAACCGGTGCGGAACATCATATTCATCCACCGCCGCCCATCTCAGACATAAACCCTCTCCCTTCTTTACATGCATTCGGACACACAGGGCCATCACCCTAAAACTCCCGCAAGTTCTCCTTTACGGCTCCATTGCAACAACAATTTCTCTTCATCTCTTCAGAGTGAGCAAACCAGGCTTGTACGGAAGAGCATTGTACTGGCCACCGGCATTCGGGTCTCGGCCTTGGTAGAGGAATTGGAGTTTGCATGGGTCGATAGTCATTGTTTGGTCAGGGTTGGTGCGGACCAAGTCGCCGTGACTGATGTCGTTGGTCCAGGTTGCACCACTGTTAGCCTTTCCGGCAAACGGCTTGCTCTCGCTCGTTGCCTGCGGGGTCCACGAGCCTCCGAGACTGCTAGCAGTGAATGAACGGAAAAACCGCCCTTGTGATCCCATTGCCTCAACGATCATAAGGTACTTGTTTTGGCCTTTGACGGTGTAGACTTGAACTGCCTCAAACAGGTTGTTCTGAGTGTCACTGAGCACCACCTCTGAGTTCGTTCCGAAATTTCCTGGGAAATTGTTGATGGGCATGCTAGAGCGGTAGATCTTTCCATTGTCTCCTGCAAAGAAAAGATACATATGTGTCGAGTCGCCGATAAGGGTCTGGTCAATAGCACCAGTGCCTGAATTGGCGATCTTTCCAGAGAAAAGGGCTTGCTCCGATGACCATTGATTGGTGGTAGGATCAGTTGATGTTCGATAGGTAAAGGTGCTCGAGCCCCATTGGTAGGCCAGGACCCAAATATTCTTTGGCTGGAAGTAGAACAAAGTGGGCGCAACAGCATTAAAGCCCATTGCGTTTTGGCTCGCAGATGCCATACCAGACCAGTCGGAAAAGGCGCTGAAGCTCACAGATCCGTAGTTCCCAGCTGCGTTGGCAGTTGATGCATAGACGACATGTTTGTTGTTGAAGACCACGTTGGTGAAGTCCTTAAGTGCCACCCATCCAGACTTGGGGTTCACGAGAGGGCCAGTGGATGTCCAACTGTAAGTTGACGGGAGCGCGCAGTCAGCGACGACAGCTGGCGATGATGCAAGTAACAACAAGACAGATGACACTAGGCCAGCCTTCGCCTTGAAGAACATCATTGTGGTGAAGGCTCCAGTCAGTGATGATTATTGAAAGATGATTGAAAGTCTCCAAGCAGAAAGACAAAAAATCTGGGCTGGAGGTCGACCGTGCTTAAATCATCCAAGTGCAGCTTAACGATTGATTTGTTTAACTGGGAAATATGAGATCAACTACTTTCATATGCAAATAAGCTCCACGCTGTTTCAAGTGGAAAAGAAATTATGTTTGGTATTTCCCTTTTTTCTTTTTCGCTCTCAAAGAAAATAATTTAGGATAAAGTACATTAGCCAGAACTACTCGTCCGCCGGGTTTATGCCTTTCTGGGGATTGGAGCTGACATGCACCCCGCACCGAGGTAACCATTCCGAGATTTTCTTCAGGCTATTGTTTAAGTTTGTACATGTCTAGTTGTTGAACTGCCTCGTGGGACTGGATTAATGCCGTAAATGGACTATGAACAGACGTGTCGGTGCCGATGGCAACGTTCAATGGATATAAATTATACTGAGACACCATCCATCACCCTAAGGCTGTTTCACTATAAGACACACTAATCTTCAAAAATTTCCAGTTTGATGGCTTATCCGTATGTGCGGGTTGTTCATTGTGCCTTCTTGAAGAATGTCGGAATACCCCTCGGAGTCTCGGAGGTTCCTCGGAAGATTTGTCAGGGGAAGCCGAAAATAAATTTGAGAATATAGTATTTGAAACCAGGGCAAGCTTTAGCTTGGCGAAATCGAAGATGATTGGTTTCGATGACCGCCAAGGTATCCTCGATCGCCGTCGTCTCCGCACGGGGAGGGAGGACCCTTTTTTTGGTTTCCACTAACCGCCATGTTTTCCCCTTGAACACAAGCCAAGTCTTTATGGTCCTTTCATCATTACATGTAGAGGCTAGACTTTACAGTGGGCCTACCGGCCCAAAGGGAGCTTCATGGTCTGATCGTGTCTAGAGATCAGCGTCCAGGCTAAAGCTATGCAATCATTTAGGCAAAAAATGATTGAGGTAAATGCTAGGACATTGGATAAAATAGGCAATATCCGTTCCGCATCAGTGGAGATAGATGATACGCATCAGATTACTATATAGATAGTCTCCTCAACCCTTCCAGACGGTCTTTGTCTTCTATCATTATCATTTCCATTCCTCGATTTGAAAACCCTCGACGCGTTTCCCAAAATGGTTCAAATCAAGGCAGCCGCTCTGGCTCTTCTTTTCGCTGGTCAAGCGCTTTCCGGACCTGTTGAAGCCCGACAGTCCTCTGTGAGCATTGATGCCAAGTTCAAGGCTCACGGGAAGAAATATCTCGGAAACATTGGTGACCAGTACACCTTGAACAAAAACGCAAAGACCCCCGCAATCATCAAGGCCGATTTCGGTCAACTGACTCCGGAGAATAGCATGAAGTGGGATGCTACTGAGCGTAAGTATCATCATTTACGGGGCAATTAGAGTATGAGAAGCTGAGTCGGAAATTAGCAAACCCTGGGCAATTTTCTTTCACTGGATCGGACTATCTGGTATGAATCCAGCCTTTTTGCTCCTTTGCGTGTTTCTAATAGAGACTCTAGGTCAACTTTGCTCAGTCCAATGGAAAGCTGATTCGTGGTCATACTCTCGGTAAGTACTGAAACCCTAGGTCCCAAACATGCCAGAAGGAGAGAAGCTAAACTCATCAAGTGTGGCACTCCCAGCTCCCATCTTGGGTCTCTTCCATCAGAGACAAGACAACTCTGATCAATGTCCTGAAGAACCACATTACCACGGTGATGAACCGTTACAAGGGCAAGATCTACGCCTGGGTACGTGAACTCAATAGTCTCAGTCCTACAATGGCACATCGCTAACTTGTTCAAGGACGTTGTGAACGAGATCTTTAACGAAGATGGCTCTCTACGTAACAGCGTCTTCTACAATGTAATTGGCGAAGATTTTGTACGGATCGCTTTCGAAACAGCCCGTGCTACGGACCCAAATGCGAAGCTCTACATAAATGACTACAAGTGAGTTATGTCCCTTAGCTCTCTTCGTTTTGCATATGTTCTGATCTTGCAAAGCCTGGATTCCGCCTCCTACTCTAAGACGAACGGTATGATCAGTCATGTCAAGAAATGGATTGCTGCCGGCATCCCGATCGACGGAATTGGTAAGATACCTGCTATAGTATTTCACCGTATATGACCACTCACTCCTTTCTAGGCTCCCAGACTCATTTGGGTGCTGGTGCCGGTGCAGCAGTTGCTGGATAAGTACCCCTTGCCTCCTGTCAACCGAACATTAGCTCACGCCCTTATACAGCTCTCAATGCTCTTGCCAGTGCAGGAACGAAGGAGGTTGCTATCACTGAGCTTGATATTGCTGGTGCCAACCCTACTGACTATGTCAATGTGCTTTTCCATCATCCCAAGGCTAGTCCAATCGAGTTCACCACTAATAACTATCTCCATAGGTTGTCAACGCCTGTCTGAACCAGCCAAAGTGTGTCGGAATCACTGTTTGGGGAGTCGCTGACCCGGTAACTGCCCATTGCATAAAGATAAAAAGGATTGTATACTGATACAAGATATTTCTTCAGGATTCGTGGCGCTCCAGCTCCAGCCCATTGCTCTTTGATGGGGGCTATAACCCCAAGGCTGCATACAACGCTATCGCAAATGCCCTTTAATTGCGGTGCTCTTGATCTCTATCTGACAATGCGAAGTCTGCTACTGAGTAGGCTACACTTCATTCTAAAGTGTCCAATTTATATAGAGAATTCGGGTCGTAAGGACAGGAAAGACTAGGGCTTTAGGAACTACTTGTCATTTACATCAGAGAAATTGATCTTTAACAAAAAAATGCCACTTTGTTAAAACTCTTAGACGTCTTCTCCTATTGATGATATTGAAGTCATGCCGTAACTCCCTCAACAAAAGGGCACAATTGACCGAAAGCTTGATCTATAGCCTGGCTCCAGATATAGTGAGAATAAAGGTTCTTGACTAGTGCCGGAGTTCACAAGCAAGTGGAAAATAGCTTCGTACCTTTGAGCCCCACATCTTCTGGGAGCACACCTGCGGTTTCAATACACTCTACTCAGCTAGATCTGGACTGGCAGCGGATGAGAGAGGAGTGTAGGAAGGGGTATTACTAGCCGATTAGTTCGGATATTATATAAACGTATCTAGGAACTGCATCCGAAATTGGAACACCAGGCTGAGCTAGACCAAATCGAAATCTATGTGAAGCACCCTGCGCATGTTCTGGACCCTTGTTTCAGAACAGCTCGATTTGACTACTACCTCCATCGGACGAGCTTCCTGATTTGGGGTGTCTCACGGTAGTTAGAAAATTGACAACTCCCGAACGGGACGCATAGTTCTCCACTTCTCGGCGTGACAAACTCAATATCCTTAGCTCCCGTCAACCGGCGTATCAACCTGAACCAAATAGTGGTTTCCAGGCCATAATCCCGTGTTGGAAGAGGCTCTGATTGAAACAGGATTTTTTCCGGTGGGTTTCGTTCATGCAGTCGGCCAAGGCTGCTGCACAAAGTTTCCTAGCTCCTGTACGGCTGTCAATCCTGTCAACAAGGTGTTGTCTCGCGGGATAATCACCCATGGCCGGTAGAATTCGATGTTTCCATTCCTTTAACAGGATGTGATTATCGTAATTTATCATTAATCTTGGATGTGGCTTTCAATCTGCTAACCAAGAGAGGTAGACGGAGTTTGGGAAAACTCAACATGAACTTTCAGAAATGAGAAACTAGTGCAGGATGAGCTCGCGATAATTCGGCGTTCGGTGTCAGCATTCCGAATTTTTGAATGTCTGCGGCATGCCAGTCTTGTCTGAAATACATAGAAAAACTCAATGGCATCCGATATCCCCTTTAGCTGCCCCTCGACAAGACCATCGCATAAGCTCAGTTAGTGCGGCTCCTATCTGAATAGGTATCTTCTGCCCTTTGCTCAAAGCTCTAAGCCTCACCTCTGATCCGTGACCTTTAATCCACATGTTCGACTTTTTCGTGCCTCCGCCTGAACAAACAGACAGTGTGCGAGAATCGGTGTGTTAACACCGCAGTAGCAAAGGTAACAGCACTCTACTCACTCTCGCACTTGGATCAGCCACCATGGAAGAAAAAAAGCACTTTTTCTGGCCGTACGCGTGATAAATCAGAGAAAAGGATATTGCTTGCTCATAAGACTGACAATACATGACGGTAATTCACACACAAGTATTGGAAAAAAGCGTTATGCTAAGGGCAGTTGGGATGATACCTCAGCATTAGCACTACTGCGGCAGGGTCAACCCCAGCGCTCTGCTCGAATAGCTAGCTATTTCGTCATATACCCACAAAATATTTTTATCGAATTAATTTAATGTGAATATTATGCCAATATTTAGTAAAGTGTCCGCAGATTGAGCGCTGAGCATCATAAGGGATGCGCAGCTCATTAAGCAACGCCACGAAGCAAGGATATTTACCGTTGAGGACACGGGGGTTTCGCCGGAAGAGGGGCTTTCAACACATACTTGATGCCAGGTGTTATACCGCTTCAGGAAACTGGAATAGCCTCGGCTTCCTCTAGGTGGATAGATCTACTCGGAAATTATTCGGATCCACGCAAGTGCCACAGGGTGAAGAAATCAGCGCCTCAAGGCCCGGTGTAAACTAAAAATACATAGTTTGAGTCCAGAACCTTAAGGAGGTTCTCCCAGGCCCGAGGGCATCACCATGATCTGGCTTCGTATGTTTGTAATTTTCAGTGAGCATACAGTGCTCAGTCATTTTCCTTTACTTGATTGTATAGCAATGGTATCCAGTTTTTGCTCCGGCTATATTGATATTATGAAACGCATTATAGCCTTTAGTCTACAGCTCTCAACAGAAAAAGTCTCGATCTTACAGCGAATTGCGTTGTTTCCCGCGGATAAACGGTCCTTTGGATAGAAATGGAAAGGATGTGTTGAGTCTGACCTTGGCCGTGCCGCTGTCACAACTATAAAATCTCTGAGAATATTCCAATCATTTCATACAACGGTACAATTCATTTGCTTGCTTTTTAAAATGAAGATCACTCTCTTTTTACTTGCACTAGCTACCACTGCATTCGCTCAGCAACAGACGCTATGTGACCAGTATGGCTATTATGCCAGCGGCAGTTACAGTGTCAACAACAATCTTTGGGGGAAGGATTCTGGGACTGGCTCTCAGTGCTCTTACGTCAACTCCGTCTCGGGTTCAGGCATCTCGTGGTACACTACATGGACCTGGTCTGGTAGTGAAAACAACGTGAAGAGCTACCCCAACTCGGGTTTAGTGAATCTGAAGAAGCAGCACGTCAGCCAAATTAGTAGTATCCCTACTTCGGTGAAATGGAGCTACGACAACACCAATATCCGCGCCGACGTCTCGTATGACCTTTTCACAGCCGCAGATATCAACCACAATACCTATAGCGGTGACTATGAACTCATGATCTGGTATTTCCGCCCGTTTCGGCTCGTTATCGTCTATTGCTGACTTTATCAAACACTCAGGCTGGCCAGATATGGCCAGGTTCAACCCATAGGTTCCCGGATTGCGACGGCCTCCGTGGGTGGCAATACCTGGGAGCTGTGGTACGGTGCCAACGGTGCGCAGAAGACGTACAGCTTTGTTGCTTCCAGCCCTATTACCTCTTGGAGCGGGGATATCAAAGGCTTTTTTGACTACTTAACTCAGCACCAAGGCTATCCAGCCAGCAGTCAATATCTCATCAGTATGTTTCGTCAAAGAGAAGTGTCCTAAAAAGTGCAAAATGCTAATGAGTTATACTCCCTCCAGCCATGCAATTTGGAACAGAGCCATTCACCGGCGGGAAGTCTACATTTACGGTGTCAAACTGGTCTGCCAATGTGAACTAGATACAGTCCATCATATGTGGATTCTTAGAAGGGTGTCGTTGTAATTAATGACAGGAGCACAAGAGGAAGTGAGGAAGGGAAGGGTGAGGATGAGGGGTGGTACATTCCGCCACGTTTTGAATGAGCCTAGTGACAGAATACTTGAATATAACAATATAACACTCCAATTGGGATCGACTGGGTCATTAGGTTGTGAGAGTCACCAGATCGATTTTTTTACTTATCGAAATCAAAACAACATTAGTACTGTGAAGGGCTATAGCTGAATTGATTCAATTAAGCTAGGCCAACATGCTGTTTACAACAATCTTGAGGAAAGAAGAAGAGGACAGGGTCGATCCCGGTCCTTAAGAGTGTTGGTCCCGTATCGGATAGAATCCTCTAGAACCTCGTGACGGAATCGCTTGGAATCCTTCCACCCAAACAGTATTCGAAAGGCCATGGCACATGGTTTACCATCGGGCTCTGGCCTGTCACAAGTACAACCAATTTTGACTCATCCAGGGCAACATGAAAGGATATGCTGGACTCATAAAATTCAGTTGATAAGGCTAAGGAGTTGATTTTTTCCTATTCGACCACTCACATTGTCGAGCCTGCGCAGACTGCTGCTGCGGAAATCGGATGGCGATTTTGTCAATCAGTTGACGCAAACCAACCCCAACGGGCAAATTGTGACGGTGACCACAACACCACAATGCGCGGATGGAAAAAATTTCAAGATGAGTAGAAAGCTCCCATCGGCCAGATTCCAAAACTGATTTTATTTTTACATATTATTGAAAACTGGTGGCAGGAATGCTGAAATGCTCTCAGCCAATAGAAACTCGAACAAAAAACCCGGACGAAGATCACGTGTGGGGAAAATCAAGCCACCAACCACCAGCGCCACAACGCCTTTTGTATATTGAACTTGGTAGCATTAGAATCAGAACAATTGTCTGCTGCCAGTATTCTTCTATCTTTTAATTTTCCTCAAAAATGGTGGCAGGATAGGGTCGGCACTGTTTCAGCCAATAGAAACTCGGACGAAAGCCCAAGATGGTCACGTGCTATCCCATCGGCTGAGTGGAACCTGTTGTACTAGGACGCTTGGCCCTTCGATGCAGAGGGCATCATCAAACCTCCGAAACTTGTATTCTCCCAGTTATACGGTCGCATAATCGGCAACGTACGATATTAACACAGTGATCAAATTCAATCACGGAACACACGAATTTGGATCCAATGAATACCATTTGCAGTGTACGCATGTATTTACTCTGCCGGCGGGCGCCGGTTGTTGCGCTCAGTGCCAAGAAACGATATATCGAGACTATGGTGTTCATCAGGGGTGGGCTGCGTTGTCAAAAAGTCGACAAACACCCCTACAAGGGCCAGCCATGCTACCTCATCCACTCCCGTCTTGACCATCCTTCATACGCAAGCAAAATGGGTCGAAGAGGACCTACTGCGATATACAAAATGAGGGCTGAGAAGAATGCAGCCCGTCGGGACCGCTATCGTGAGCGAAGCGAGGTCCACTCCTGTCTCAGGAGTCATCAGTCCCAGGACGTTCACAAACGCGTAAGTGTGTTATAATTTGCCAATTTGATTCCGCACTGCCATTTAACCATCGATTGCAGAGTTCGAGCAAGTAGTTCGGGATCCACACGAGTCGAGACGAGAGGCGGACTCATCTCCACAGTCGCAGTCCGCCCACGAGCGCATGGCTACTCCAGATACACTTGATGCGGGTTCTATGCTAATGGTCGCGGCTATTTTCTAGTTCGTGAAGAGACACTGTTGGCACAGGGATCACGGAAACATGGGAAGAAAATGGCGAAATGCTCTCGAGATATTCTGCTGTCGGCATTGTATCGCGTAGGTTGAAGCTGGCGCTGAGGGAGACTGGAGGAATTTAGGTGCATTAGAAGTGATGCGAAGAGAAGGCGGGGAAACGGCGTAACTTTAGCGTGCAAGACTCGAGGCTGAGATGGATTAGGCCCCCAACCACGTTGAGTCAGTAGTCATCATGTGACGTTCAAAAGGCTTGATATAACGTGCTTTGATCATGTTAGGGTGGTATTTTGGCCCCAATTTGGCAACCCCGCTCGGGAATTTCCCAGCTATTGCGAAGGTGCATTTTAAAATTCACTTGGCCGAGTCGCTCCTATTACCTCCTATTACAATGTCCATGTCTTCGAAATGCTATATCGCTTGTCATTTCACATTCAGGCAAATTCATCAGACCCATTCGTGCCATAGTAGGCCATCGCGTATAAGATTGTTTCCCTGCCCGTCACGATCAAAGTCGAATTGCGGGCCCTCGGCATGGAGAAGGTACCCACGCATATATTCATCGAAAACAACTCTTGTACTCTGCTCCGCCTCATAGAAATGATCATATACCTCATTTAACGCATCTTTCAAACAATTGACTGCTCTATTAGGATGCAGCGCCTTCCACAGAGTGACGCATACTTTGCCCTTGTAGGACTTGAGAACCAGAAGCAGCGAGTCCAATCTTAGAACCACTTTTGGGATGCCTATCCCTAGTATATGATGTGATAAGGAGACTTTCTCATTTTCCGACAAAAGATTCGTCATTTGATGTGGATCGGTCTGTTAATAGTCAGATTTTGAGGGCTTCTAGGTCAATATGTCGAGATCTTACATCCAGATCGTAGAGCTCATGCTCATTGTTGCACTAAACTAAATAATAAAGATTGTACCCGCCCCCCTTGATCTAGATGGCCTTATAAGAGTTGTTGTAAGCGGATAAGTCAGCTATTCAGTGATCGTTATTATTAGCCAGAGCCTGATTAAAGAAACCTAGTGATACATATAGTCATAGATACCTTCGCTAGCTGCAAAACCTCAATACTCCACAGTGACATATTCCTGCCTCTCGAGATATAGTGACTCTATCTGTTCCTTTGTTATAGGTATTAGCTAGCCATCAAAGTCGCTTTGCAAAGGGATTCTAAGTAATCGGAAAAATGTTGGGGCCAGGTCAGTATGCGTTGTGACAATGTCTGTGGTCGCATTCTCGCGTACTCTTGGTCCACAAATGATCAAGGGTATATTAATATCCTCTTCAAACCCATAAGACTTTCCTAGTTAGAGCCTATACTGCCCTATGTGATAGCTATTGTCACTACTATAAACAATGTATATATTATTGAGGAGGCTAAGCCCCTCTAAGTGAGAGAAAATGCCATCAACCATCTTATTAATAGTCTACAGAGCTTAGAGTCTATTATAGTAGAAATAGTCATTGTATTTGACATTAGTTTGATTCTAGCGTCTCAGTGTTTTGATCTAGTTTGCACCCGAGGGAATGTCTGGATTAAATAAGGGTGTTTATAGAACATTTACATCATCAAATAATTGTTAGTGTCTTTCTGCAGGAATTGGCGCACCAAAATCGAAAACAGGGTGCTTATCTAGGCCTATCCCATTCATAAACACATTGCAATGCGGAGCACTTAGAGCAACTGTGAGGAAAAAGGGTTTTTGGGCTTCGGCGGCCTCTTCAAGAAGCGTGTATGCTTTCTGCGCAAGGATGTCTGTGATATACTCTCCTTTGTAGCTTCTCAGGGCCTCATCATTCTGCTGAAATGTACTGTTCAAATAGTCATATATATATAGATCGAGGAGGAACTCCTATATTACCACATATTTAGAAGGGTTGCCCCACTGAAACTCTTAGCTTACTCATATGGCTCGTAAAACCATTTGGGAATAGAGAATTGTAATTATTGATAGTGTGGACGTTTAATAGCTTGCCGACATAGTAGATATTGTATCCGGCCTCCCTCAACTAGACGGGGAGGTAGTTTTCATTGAAGCCTTGGGAGATGAATTTAGGATAACCACCTACAAGCGTGTTAGTACACTCGAATCATAAAATTGCAATATCAAACTCTTCAAAGCATACCATATAGAGGATTGATGTCAGTGACGTTAGTGTTGTGGGCCAGCCTGCCCATCTATAGTGTCACGCGCGACAGACAGCAGACACTGGTCGTGTAGTAGTGGCTGCAATAGTATGTACTGCTATTTAGGAGATGCCTCTGCACATAAGGCATATAATCTAAAGAGCCAAGATAAGTATCCTGGTCGTCTATTAAGATAAAAACAATATTTAGTTTGTGCAGGGCAGAGAATGACTATTGCTAGGCTGAAAACCAGGTCGTCGCCCGAAGGCTGACCCAAAGCAATAAACGGACGAGGGCACATATGCTATGCAGGATTGGGGACAAGCGTGGCTGTGTGACCCTGCGATCTGTCGACAACCTAGATTATGAAACTCGACATACAGTTGAGTGATAACATTCTGGTCCACTAGTGCTTATTAACCCGCCGAGCCACTAATGCCGCCATTGGAGGGATATAGTACATCATCGGAAATATCGAGTCTGAGACCGACATTGAGAGAATGTAGAAGCAAAACTAAGTCTCGTACAATACACGACTCCGAGAAGAGGGGAATGATTCAAGCGGGACAAAGAACAATTCTGCTGCTGTATAGGGCGAGTAGGAGTAGGAATGAAAGCAGGAAGGGGAGCTAGAGAGGGAAAGAAGCATCAGGGTTCAAGTCGCCCTATGGTGCTCGCATTTACTGCAAGTCTCGTGACATCACAACGCGTCTGCCTCACCGGCAACTTCCAGCAACAGGAGAGCGCCTTTGCCGCCTTGACACCTATTTGCTCTTTCTTCTCGCACTATCTACTTTCCCACTCCCACCCCTCTTCTTACTCTTGCTTCTCTCACCACCCTCACACCCCTCACCCCCAACCACACTAAACTCTCGCAATCAATTTGCGTTTACAAAGCTACTTTTATTGCTGCAACCTATACAGCTTGATTCACTTTCTCTGCCGGCGGCATAGAGGACCAGTCCATGTCCCTGGCTCAAGGCCTAGAGGACCAGGCAGCTAGCCATCTCTGCTTCATCAAGGCCAGTGAGGCTGAGTAGCCCAAGACACGTCTCAAAAGCCAGAAGACCACTGAGGAGATCCAGATGGCCCCGATCTTTACTCACGCGGCGTATGCCACTATTCAGGCAAATCCTTCTGAGCAGCCTGCTGTCTTTCCCCAATATGGGCTAATTGGGAGTGAAGTCACAGAGACAACCAAGGCAGACCACACTGACACGCTTATCTATACAAACACGACGGCCCCCTAGGCGGCAATGATTTGTGGCTCGCAAGGCAGTGGAAAGAGCCATACACTGTCGTGTATTCTAGAGAACTCTCTAATTAAGTCACTGCCCGTCGGTAAGCTGACCTCCCCTCTTGCGGGGCTGGTCTTCCACTACGACAAGTTCACAGGATTCACTAGCACTCAGCTGTGTGAAGCAGCGTATCTCTGCTCTGCTAAAATCCTGGTTCGAATCTTGGTCTCCCCGACTAATTTTGTGACCATGAAAGACTTGTACAGCCAGGCTAAGGGTCTGAGCCCTAAGCATCACCTGATTACTGTTAAGCCAATGTTTATCCCCCCGGAAAGCCTCACAACTGCTATGATGAAAACATTAATGGGGGTCGACAACAAGAGTGACTGCCCGCTTTATATAGAGGTATGTGTACACAATGGCGATGTCCAATATATACAGACTAATCATCACCACTCAAATAGATGGTGCTGTAGATCCTGCGTGAAATGGCTACTGCTGATCAGGGCCGCCAAGGCTTTAACTACACCTTATTCAGACAGCGCATTGACGCGGCACCCTTCAAAGATGGACAGCTGGCTCCCTTGAAAGTCAGACTCTCGATCCTGGAGTCCTTCCTTTCTCCAGCAACATCGACCTGTGGTTTTTCAGACCAACCGCCTACAAACTTTGATGCCTAGAAAGCGCAAGTCCAGGATCTATGGAGATTTGACAAAGGTTCTTTGACAATTATCGATTTGAGCTACGCCTTCGTGGGACCAGACGATGCTTGGATAGATCATACTTTGCCAAGTCTGCCCGGGTTTCGATTGCAAAAAGAGCGCCATGTCCCAGTGCCAGTCCAAGGAGGAGGTCGCCAGACGCAAATTGTGGTCGTTTGCTATCACGAATGCCGATTCCAAAACTAATTGTCGATTAGCTTTCTGAGACGGGTAAACAAGGATGCATTCGCCATACACCGTATATTCTGAATCTCGATTATTCTTGAGCCAAACCTGATTAACTTTCCACCCAACTTCCCATTTTGCTGTGGATGAAGGAAATAGGACCAAATTAATATGCTGGCATCATGGGTTAGAATTGGGCAACTTTTCAAATTACAGTTTCCTTACTTCATATCGGAGACCTCGTTCCATTTTGTTTTCATCGGAAGGCATGAAAGACCCAACTCTTGCTCCTGTAAAAAGGTATAATTGAAGAGCAAACAGAATTTGACATTTGATCAGCGCAGGAATGAATCCTTTGTGATCAGCCTGCCACATTGACGAAACTACCTTCAAGAAGTCGTCTTTTTCGAAGTTGTACTTCTGTTTTCTTTCATTCACAACTTTTCCATCTTTCGTCAATGTATTTTTTATCCACTGCACCTCGTCGTCCACGGCGTCAGAACTTGTTTGAAAAGGAGGCAAACGAGAACTCACAGTGTAAATTTCTGTTCGGTCCGTTTCAGGGACCTCAGTTTTGGTAAAGTCCCTAAATCCGCCGAAAAATCTCTCTGCGCATGCCTTGGTTGTTCTCACGGTTGGTTTTCTGCTTTTGCTGAGTCGGCCGTAAGTAGAGTCCGCATACCAGCGAATGAATGCCTTGACCATTTCATGGCCTGGAGGCTGGCAACCTTGGACGGTTTTGTAATCTTGGAATCCATTTTCTGGGTCTCCTGTGAACCTGGCAAAGTCAGCCTTATTGTCGATTATGAGTCACTGTTTTTAAACCTACTCGAACCAAAGATCCAGAGCTTCTTGATGTAATTCCTTGGTTTTCGGGAGCTTCTTATCTTTTCTTCGAACTTCGTCTTCTTCCTTGAAAGCGCCAGGCAGATATCCATTTCTCTGTCGTTGAAGACGCCGCCTCTCTTTGGCTTGATCATCACGATTGGCGAAAAAGGCTTTTTGGCCCATACTCAGATATCTCTGAGATTTGTTGTTGAATAGACACAATATTAGGCAGGATTGGACTTTGGTAAGGACATATGAATGGAAGGTGTGCAATGAATGGAATATTGAGGGGAATGGGGTCTATCTTTTATATTTGAGAGATTACAAACTCAGCACGAGACATGGTGGAGGAATAACTCTTGACCATGTCATCCTGAACGGGCTGGTCCAGCCCTATCTTTGATGCGGTGGGCAAGAGTGGCGCAGTCTTTTTTTTTAAACAATCATTTAATGCGGTGAGCAAGAGTGACGCAGTCTTTTGTTTAAACAGTCACTCAGCTTACAAGCGTCAAGGTACTAGTTGTCACAGAATATACAACCTTACGGGCCATACCAATTTAGGAATAGCGAGAGATACGATAGGAGTCAACCTCTGATTGGACGAGCAACATTACCGTGTGACTAAGCACTGCCTGATCACTAAGCGAATTTGAACGATCACTGATTGGTCACTGAGCGATCACTGAGCGATCACTGAGCATTACTCATTGATCACATGACCCCACTGACCTGATCACTGAGTCTGAGCCTGTGCTGATATCTACTCAGTGAGCCTGAGCCTGAGTGCCCTCATAAAAGCGGCGGCAGCCGAGACAGGAAAGCCCCACCCGCCAGACATAATCCGGTCTATATAGGTGCGCATATGTGCTGGAGAATGTCTGACAACTCTTGGCACGCTCCTTTCGTTCTAGTGCTCACCCCCTCGCCGCTTTTGCTCACTGAGTAGAATTGAGCACGGCCCTGACCAGTCTGAGCTGATCAGTGATCATTATCTAATTAAAGTGGTTCACTCGGCGATTGTTAGAGCCACAATGGATGTGGTTAGGTACACTATACAGTGGCACCGCAAAAGTCTGTGACCACCCCTTATTCATCGCTATTTTCTGCCATAATTCTGCCACACCAAAAAAACTCATGTAATACTCAGATATAACTAATATTTAGTGTATCATCCACTAGACTCAATAATAGCCTGCACCCTACGTGGCATACTATCTGATAGATCTTCTAGAATGCTAAGGTCAAGTTGCTGCCAGGCCTCCTTTGCTGTAGTGATCAGAATCTCTAATGTATCATCAATATTAGGCATGTGTAGTAGATCTGGTCTGATTTGATAGATCTTATGTTTCAACAGCATCCAGAAGTTCTCAATTGGATTTAGATCTGGTGAATTAGGTGGCCAAATCATAATTTCACGTCCAAGCTGAGCAATATATTCACGTAAAATGATTGCAGTATGAGATGGAGCATTGTCTTGCTGAAAAATTGGCCTTGGATCAACAAGTAAAGTTGGTAATATTCGGCGATATAAATCACGAATAACAAAGCGATTTACACCCCGTCGATGTGAATTCGGATCTCCAGAAAGTGGGATAAGAGCAGTTCGTTGAGAGGAGCCAGAAAATGAAGCCCAAAACTTCTGTTTAATTTGGAATCCTCGGTATGGAGTTGAATAGACTTCGCCTTGAATTGCTTGCTCTCCAGGACGAATGAATGTCCACTCGGGTCGAAGGCCGATACCACGCTCAACTGTACATTTGTCAGTCCAGAAGACACGATCAAAATCCTCCTTTGTATAGTGTTGATACCGTAAAGCCCACGCCAATCGTTGTTCAGCATGTTCAGGTCTTAGATAGGGTCGTTTCATCACTCGCCACTTTCGAAGGTTCTCAACACAGAGAAGACGAGCGATTGAGTCTTTTTTGCACTTATTGATGACCCCAGAGAGTAGATCTTCATATGTAACTCGGGGTGTTTCGTGAATCTTCTGGAGGATCTTTGGACGCCCAGACCGCTTCAAAGACTGCTCTTTTTGCCGAACTCTTGACCGTAGGCATGTCATTTTGATAGTTGAGAGTGGTAGATCAGAGAATTTCTTGTGGATTTCCCTATAAGACCACCCAGCGATCTCTTTCAATGTAGTGATCTGGGTACGTAGATTAGGGTCTAATGCACAATTCCGGCGACGTGGTGTGCTTGTAGGTGGAGGAGTAGGTGGCCTAGGAGGTGTAGGGAGAGGGCCCTTAGGAACTAGGCGCTGTGGTAAAGCTCTTACACGAGGCATTGTGTGATGTAGAGGGGTGTATAAAGAGACGCGAACGCGATACTACAACGCGGCAGAGTATATTTGCCAATTTTAGGAAGGTGGAGATGGGAGCGGTCAATTGGGGGGGGAGTGGTCTCACAGACTTTTGCGGTGCCACTGTATATATACAAAGCGGTCAAACATAGCAGAACAGGTCCGGTTCGGGATAAACCAGTGTCGGCATCCAGGGTCTGTGACAGTGCTGAGTCATGTGCTGGACGAAGGATGAGTCTTGGAAGCCAGGTGATGGGTATCGAGGACGGAAAATACGACGGCGACATTGTTCAGTTTGCCTTCAGTGGATAAAAATGGAATATGCTATACTACGCCCCTACAAGGGAGTCCTGCGTGTCCCAAACTGAAATGTCACTTTCGCCATTGCGCGGAATTGAACTCTCGCTTTCGCACGATTAGGTAAATAAAGTATCTTCAAGTACCGTCGTTGCACGCTCTCTAGCATCACCATTTTCAACACCAAATATCTTCATAATGTTCGAACCAAGAAGTCAGAAAAAGTCATAGATTAAAAGAAAAAAAAGAAAAAAAGAGGGCGTGGGAACTGTGCCCGGATCTGCAAATCCTCCTACCCGCCAGCCTCTCGAACCTACAGATCACGCCGCCCGTCCCACCTGAGCCGCAACCTTGTTACATCCAGCTACCAGGCCGCAATAGCGGACGCAGACCTTCCGCAGCCCTAGCGAGGGACCGCAGACGAATCCAGTGGGGAGTTGCCAGCTCGACAACCGGAACTTTTGGTGAAAGGATCCAACCTTTTTTTTTTTTTTTTTTTTTTTAATAAGGAGCTCTGAATGTGTCTTCCCTGTTCATCGAGATATTAATCATCATCAAACATCTCTCAAATTAGTTCAGAATATTCTTGCACCAACTCTACCGTTTTTAAGCCTCTCAAAAAGCCCTTGCGTAGACCGACGCATCTGGTCGAGACAAAGCCTGCAATCTCTAAGAAAATGCAGTGCTGTGTCCTATGGTGGGCAACAATGCATGATAACGGGTTATCACATAATCCTTAGCCTGAGTCGTCCTAGCAGAGAATCCGGCTCGAAGACGGCGATATTACCGGCAACTTTTGACAATCCAATGGTCGAGCCGCACAACAGGACGGGCGGGCCAATCCGACTACATTATCGCCCCGCAATCATTTTACGGGCGATGACGACGCTGTGATAGGCGAAGTGGCCCAGAAAATACATACTAAGCCGGGCTAAAACCGCCAGCTCTTCTGTTCAGTGCTCATTGATCAACACGCGTCTTCGCGAGCGCCATCTCGGACCCCGACCCACATGGCTCTTCTCTAGTCCTCCCTCGAATAACATGATTCATTCCAGAATGAGCTCAACCGTTTGGCCATTTCAATCATTTTAACTGCTTACAGGTTGCCGGGATGTACACTAGCAAGAGTGCCGGATATCCTGACTTCCGGCTCCCTGGCCGCGATGCCCGATTCTCGTTCAGTCTTGCTGTGATTTCGATACTCGTCCAGGCTACAATCCAAGCTGGGTCAGGATGAGCAAACCTACCTTCGTCTTCTGTCGTGACGCTTGGGTCATCCCGGCCTTCTTCAGTGCTACTCGTTCTCGCCTGGAAGCCCTCGGGGTCCCCTCTGCTTGCCCCGCGCACCCGTCGATTGGTGCTGAACCCCCTTCAAAGACACTCGAGGACGATGTCTCTTCGAAGAAGGACGTGACGTTATCATCGTTGCCCTCTCCTACGGGGGCATCGTTGCTTCCTCAGCCGTCGAGGGGCTCACAAAGTCTGCTCGTGAGAATGAAGGCAAGTCCGGTAACGTGATAAAAGTGATATTCCTCTCCGCATTCGCGCTGGACAAAGGCCAGAGTATATTGGGTATTCTGGGTGGACACTATCTGCCATGGATGAAAGTCGAAGTAGGTGGACTCCTATTGCATTTCTACATGCGAGGTATTTGGACAAGTTCGTCTTTAGAATAAAACTGACACTGAACAGCATGATTACGTCCTTGCCGATGGGGCAGGCGATATTGGCTGTCAGGACATACCTATGGAGAGCCAAGAGAAGTGGAATTCTCTAACACTGCACACCTCTCAGGCGGTATTCTCTGGAGAATCAACATACGAACCATGGAAAGAAATCCCATATGCATATATTGTTTGCGAGGAGGATCGAGCTCTACCCCCTCCAATGCAGGAGCTATTCGCCTCTAAGATGGGAGGCCCTGAAAACACGTACCGTCTTCCAAGCTCTCATTCGCCATTTTTGAGCATGCCGGACCAGCTTGCAAAGACATTACAGAATATTGTTATGTAACATGCTCGGCTGCTACTACTTCTGTTGTTATTACGAACGAGAAGGATATTATAGTTTACAATGGGCATTTGATGCTTGACAAAATTGCTCATCAACGGTGGAAGATTGAAGAAAATAGTTTCTGAAGACCTTTCCCTGGCTTTGAATCTCTTCTCAGTGTCCCGATACAGAGATCGTTCCCGTACTTGTGCATGATTGCTGGTCGATGGTATTTATGGTACTTCTTGGTCGCATCTTGGCCACCCACGGAAAGTAGGACTGCAGAGGGAATAGAACGTAAGATACAAGTAATTCGTCAAAATGGCAGGAGAACTTCAGAATGGAAATGATCGAGATCGCAGTAACGGACCTTTCTTCCCACCCGGATGGTCATCTAGGTAGCTTGTGAGATCAAAGATCTTGTCGTCGATGATAACCCATAAACTATTCTCTTGGTTGTGAGATGCGACATCCTCCAAAGAATACGATGCATGGGGGCTTATGGCCATTGTTTCTGTCTCTGTGTGGCCCATGTTATTTCGCAGAGTAATTAATGATGTTGAAATATGAATTATCTTATATACCTTTTCCTAGCCGACTCACAAATAATCCTGTTGGGTCTTAAATCGAGTGAGAGGGCACCCGCGTGCTCATGAGTACTTCGGACCTCGGTGCGCGGCTCGGGTGAGGGGTCACAGGAAACAGCATTCATTCACCTCCCAGCCTCTAACCAGCTGCTATCTAGGCCGGCCCTATGTCAAGGATCAATATGAAGGTTTTAGCCAGGTTCCCACCTGGGCAGGTGGATACGCGCTAAGCCTGGATCTCGGACTGCTTGGTTAATTTCCCCACAAAAAGTGCACTCTAATATTGGCGATGCGTTGATCACGGATCGCCTTGAGTTTTGGCCCCGAAATCCCCACCGAGTCGAAACTCCCTTTTCTATCTCCTCGTCAGAACTCACTCATGGACGCTGTGTCGGCGTTGTCGTCGCTCACTTCGAAAGTAGGCTCCTCCTTCGCAAATCCGATGGCTCCCAGACCTGGCGCGCCTGCCATGGGCAGCGAATTTCGGCCCGCCATATTCTCTCTCGGCATCTTCATCCTTGCAACTCTACTCCTGTTGAAAATGTCCTTCTCCTCTCGTCAGGCATAGTCAGCAGATATCCCGCCCACCTAGCATAATGGCAAAGATGAGATTGCCGCCTTGCGTCGCTCCGTTGAGGAATTATACACTGCAGTGCAGGAAGTCCGAAAGGTATTGCACCAACACCAAATCGCTGTCAAAGACGGATTCCAGTCCCCTTTATCATTCGAGGATCCAGATTTCAAGATATCTTCCCAAACGCCTCCTCCGGGTAATCCTATTTTGAAAGGGTTACTCGTGCGGGTTTTGGCTATTGAAGGCGTATTTTTTTTGTTCATGGCTTTCGAAGAATTCGAATCGCTTCGATCGGTATTTCTCAGTTAGCGAATCGCCGGATATGGGATTATTTTCAAATTTGTAGGGCTCACGGGGATGCTGGCATTGTTCAAAAAATGCTTTGGTTCGAATATGTCGCCGGAGCAATATGCTCTGCCTATGCTGGTGTTTTTTATGCCCATTCAATACGAGATGAGAAGCCATACGATGACTATGGGCCTTAGAGAAAGGTTGCATATGGTCCCTCTCTGAATACGGAAAGCAATCTGGTTCTCTGCTTGGATATGGCATCCATTGGCCACAATGCTCCCATTTGGCAACTTTTTCGTCTCGATCGAGTGCTCATCAACCGCAAAGTCTCTACAAAGAGTCCTTTCATGCACCCTGGAGAAGCCGTACAACTTGTCTCGCCGAACCAAATTCCAGGGACTATCCCGCTCCTCTATGTCGTACGAATGAAGTGTGACGGATGAACCTGGGAATAGCCTCATCTCGTGGAAGGGTGCCTGAGGTATAATTTTGGGTCGTTTACACTACGCGTTCGCTGGTGCGCGTTTGCTGGGTACTTAAGCCCTCTTTTTCTGGCGGACTTCCTTTCTTTCTCCTTCTTCATCTTCGAGATTCTCGTCTGTAGGCACTGAATGACTCTGTTTCTTTCGAACGGCCCGTAACATGAAGAACACATCTTCGCTGGCCCTGGCTTGTCTTTCGTTCATCGCGCTCCACGTGCACATGAGCCTCTCTCATCGGTCTTCACCCTTGATTTCCCTTGATCTCCCTTGATCCAGAGGGTATCTAGGCTCCGGGCGGGCCATTTTTCAGCGCAGGAAGCAACCTTACATCGGACTCGCATTCATTGAACTGCTTCACGTATTGGGTACACGTCCAAAAACCAGGAATCCTGATGCAAAATAAAGCGGGGCAGTAGATGACTGCCGTGTCCCGGAAATTTCCATTGTACATCGTCTTGGATGAAACAACCATGCAGTTCTCCACCCTTGTGAAAGGCCGAACCGTCATTTATCAGGCGCAACAACCCCCCGCGCACAGGGTAAACGGTGTCATCTGCGGCGGTCTCCCCAGCCCAGACGCCCATGGCATTAACGATGGTATCTGCCTCATATATGCCTAGCAGTTGTTCTTCCTGAGCAAGGACCTCTGTTGAGTGTATCGGTTTCCATTTTCTGGCCCCCTTGCTTCGGACCAGTCTTGTGCGGATTGCCATTGCAACACCGGAGTCAAAAACCGGGAAAAGAGTCAAAAATCGGGGAAATGTGCTCATAGGCATCCTTCAGTCCATCGTGGGAGTCGGTATTGACCCCATATTTATCGAAGAGATGGGCACCCTGAGAGAAGCCGTCCATCCCAGAGTCATGGATAGACTGGATCTTGTCTGCTTCGATTTATCCTCGTGGAGCCCTCATCTTCACTCCGTACGGCTCCGCGATAGCCTTATTGTCCGCAATTACGCGGAATACATCCAAGCTTTCGAGAGCCCGTTTCTAGACCATGGGAAGCCTTCCTTGGAGCGCCTGCGGTCCACATCCAGCCGGGGAAGCTCCCAGATCACATCGGCGATCTGAGATGTAAGACGCGGGCCATCGCCATAGCTCGTCCACTCTCTGAAAGTGATGGTAACATGGTACCCACGGTCTAAGAGGAACCAGGATAGGGTCAGAGCAGTCACTCCCGCACCGATGATGAGGACGCGAGGAGACCCCCTCACCGGAAAATAAATAGGCTATGGACCGGCAGAGAGATCATTGTTGATTCTCAGTGCATCGGTTGAAGTTGCCGAATACATGCTGAGAGAAAATTGTCCTTCCGTCATATGGTGAAAATACAGAGCTTGTTTGCCTGGAATATACCAGTAATAACTCCTACTGTAATATGATGGATATGGCACTCTACACATACTCTACGCTGGCAATTCATCATCTCATGTGATAATGCTACGATTCCAAACGTCAAATCTAGCTAGGCTAGGCGAAGCCCTACTCAGTCCAAACCAGGAATTTGGCTGAAGCTTCGAATAATCTATTTAGGATTGTTGTTTGATCGAAATCAATTTATCCTGCAACTACTCAATTGCTCCCCTGCCTCGTTTCTACCCAAATGACGGTTGCCCTCACGGACCATGATGCTTTCAATGCTTCTCCACAAATGGAATCGGATGATGACTATGCAATTGATTCCTCTGACGACGAGGAAAAGTTAAATTTCCCAGACGACGTTGAGAATGGAATTATTCCGCTCATGCCGTCACGGGTTGGTGCAACATATGAGACATGGGAGGAAGGCTTAGAGGAAGTCCAGATCCACGCTCGGTGTCGGGAATATGATGTCGTGAAACGTCGGACTCGGAACGGTCGGGACGGTCAGATGCGACATGTTGTTCTCCGATTTGGATGCAGGAGCCGTAATGAGCCAGTTATGAGGAGGCCAACCTCGGACAGCTCTGCAGGATCTGAATGCTATGATAGCCCTGGAAGATCCGACACCACTGAAATTTCTGACGACACTGAAGATACGGAGCTCGAAGAAATGAAATCCAGACCCGTGAGACCGAGAGTTTCGAATGTGAATTTCAATGCTGAGTCTATCGATGAGGAGATGTTGATAATGGAGAAATTGCCGCGAGCCGAAGAATTCTACAAGCGCCTGGCGATGCAGAGAAGAGATGGGGAGGGGAACTGCCTAACGGGTGAGACAATTGAGAGCACTACGCTTCACGACATCTTGTTATGTACCCTGCAATTATGATTGGCTGCGGCTTACTGAGGAACAACTCACAACCAATCATCCGGAGGAAGCGCGCTCAAACCCCGGGAGATCACGTCCAAGGCAGAAAGCAACACAAGGCCTCAGGCACATCACACTTAGTCGCTACACAGGGTGCAGCCAATGGAATCGCAAAAAGAGAGTCTGAATTGCTGTATAGCCCCTATCCGGCAATTTATGGGGTAAGCTGACTAATACAAAACAATCGGCAATTTAGATAATCCACCTCCGAACCAACTAACTATGGATTCCAACACACTTCAATAGGTCACGTGACATTCAACTCCAATAATAGAATAGGAAGGACTGGATGTATAAAGACACTCCTTTACGCACATGTATTTAGTTCTTCGCGATCAATTCACATATTGTTATTTGAATCTACTGTTGATTAATGCATCACAATTCAATTAAAGCCAAGCATCCTTCAAGTAGGGGAGCTCTTCGGAATGACCTACTTGGCGCACTCGACTGGCGCATCTCCGCAAGCATCCTAAAGACCCGAGTCCGTGTAAGGCTCAGTGTAGCAACGGTACGGTTGCGGACAGGCTTGGAGTTACGAATGCTTAAGGCAAATATAACCCAGGAACACTTAGGTTCACCGCGCCCAGCCACTAGCGCGTAACAAATCTCTACGTTTCCTGAGTTTCTACAAGACATGGACTATCCATATATCCCTCCTTGTACTTTTTGGGTAACATTACTCTATGTGAAGGTCGTCCAATTTTGGAGATTCATTGCCGAAGAGCCATCTCATAACCACGAGCCTTCCTATACGATACCCGGCAAGCAGATCGAGTACATGTAAATCATCTATTACGAGATTGTCTCTATTAGAAGAATACTTCACAGTGTTTCTGTGCAGAGAAAAAAGAAAGTATGCTCTGGATATAATCTAGATCCTACCGAAAGTTTTATCTATGTCCCAGTCATAATATGTACAATACAGGTCACTCCTCCACATCGAATATCTTCCCTGGGTTCAACAACCAGTGTGGATCCAGCGATCGCTTCAGACTGCGCATAACGTCAATGGTTCCCTCTCCAACTTCCTTTCGCAAGGAGTCCTTCTTGCCCAGGCCGACACCGTGTTCACCCTATGAGATGTGTTAGCACCAGCGGTGTTCGCGGAACGATGTTAAGACTCCATACCGTGCAGGAGCCCTCCATCTCCAAAGCTCGGTCAACCATGTCGTATACAACTTTCTCCACTCGAGCTTTCTCTTCTGGGTCATTGCGGTCGTACATGATGCTCGAGTGGAAATTTCCATCTCCAATGTGACCCAAAATGCTAGCAAAGATACCAAGGTCATCTAATTCCTTCTTCGATATTTCTGGGCCGGTCAGTAACAATTGCGTATCGAGGGAGCAGAGTGTTTGGGTACACACCAATGATATCGGGAAGTCTGGAAATTGGTACAGCAACATCTGTAGACCAAACTTCGGATCCTTCCTTGCGCAGGGCCATCATGCTCCATAGGGACTGCTTACGAGCAGACCAGAGGTCGTGGGCCTCCTTCTCATCCTGGGCAAACTGGAACGTTTCGGCGCGGTTGTCTTTTGCGAGGTTTCGAGTCAGGTTGATGCTATCCTCAACGCCCGCCGAGGTCCCAGAGAACTTGAAGAAGAGAGTTGGCGAGACACTCCAGGTCCGTCCCGTTCCGCCAGCACGATTAATCACGTCCATCTGAACGTCATCCAAGATCTCCATACATTGTACCTGAATACCCTTGCGAATCAATTGCATCGCTGTCGAGGCGCAATCACGAATCGTTGGGAATGAAACAACACCAACTCGAGTTTCTTCTGGGATAGGCGCCAATTTCAGAGTTGCTTCTGTCACTATTCCCAATGTCCCCTCTGATCCGACAAGCAGCCCGGTAAGATTATATCCGGCGGAGGTCTTCCGAGGGCGTCGACGTGTTTTCATGACCCGACCGTCAGCCAAGACGACAGTGAGGTTGATCACCCAGTCCTTCATCGTACCATATCTCACTGCATTTGTTCCACTGCAGTTGGTACCAACCATGCCGCCGATCATGGCAGATGGACCGGGGTCAACAGGGAAGAAAAGACCCGTCTCCTTGATCTGCTCGTTCAGGTCCATCCACCCAATTGACGGCTGAACCACAACGTCCATGTCATTCTCGTGAATTTCCAGAACCTTGTTCATCATGGCGAAGTCAATTGTCATTCCACCGTAGGGGGCGGAGAAATTGGCTTCTAGGCTGGACCCGCCGGAGAAGGGGATCATGGGCATGCGATACTTGTGGCAGACTTTTGCGATTTCCACGACATCCTCGGTGGTTTGGGGGTAAGCAATTGCGACGGGAAGACGATCGGCGTTGAGGCTGGACCATTCGGAATAGCCGTGTCGCTCGAGATCATCTTCGTCGGTAGACACGGTGTCTTCACCCAGCTTGGCCCGCAGTTCGGTAATGACCTGCGATTGTCAGTCTGTGCTTTCTTACAGACGCTCTGCCTTGACGGATATACCTTCTCGCAGTCCTTCGCCGAGGCGTACTGAGGCTTCACAGATGCCTGGGAATTATTGGAGATCTTGTTGTAATAAGCGTAGGTGTATCCCAACCCCGCAGCGAATGCGGAGATTAAGAGAGTCCGAGCTGGGCTCCAAGAAGTCGAGTTGTTGGATGAGTTAGAGCTTGAGCCTGACGAGAGTTGATGTTGCTGCTCTTTCGTTTCTCTACTGCTGGAGTTGCTGCGAATTCCAGTGGATCTATTGGCCCAACGTGTTGGGAGGGGAATCCGGGGATGGCACAGGGCCATGCGGGGAGTGGAGAAGCCCCGGAGGGTGGGCGCTCGCATGGCCATGAGGATATATGCGCACAATTGAACAGCTGAAGCGAAGGTTGAGCAAATTCACGATCGCATGGAATAGTTTGACATTAGAAAGAAAGAAAGTCCGTCAGACGTAGGCCTCGGGGCAAAGGCAGCACGAGGCTTCCCCCGCATCAGATTCGGCCGAGAGGAATCAGTTCCGCGCGTGGGGGCAACAGCGGTGTGGGGGAGCACCGAGGATCTAGCACCATCTAATAGGGCTGCCTGATGCTTAGATAGTGAATAGAATCGTTAAGGCGCTGATTGTATCATCATAGCTCACAATTGCACGAGGATCTAGTTCGACAGTGGAGGAAGACGTAGTGCAATCGCATAGATCCACTGCGGTCGGCGGCCAGAAGAGCCCCCCGCGGTTGACGGGGCAACCACGACAACACTTCACCTGTTCAACCATCGCGCATCCAAGAGCACGAGATAAGCGCGACAATCGTGACCACGACAATTTCCGCGATCCAAGCCGCGATCGCTATGGCTGAGGATACCATGCGCCTTGTACGCGAGATAGAACGTGTCGTGACTGCGCCCTATGTGCCCTCGCTACAGGTAGGCTGCGTCTCGTGTCTTTTCGGTTCTGGGATCGCGCTAACGCCGAATCTAGGACCTGTACGAGCTCGTCCAGCGCGTTGCGCCATCAAAAGTCGAAGTATGGGCTCTGCAGAAGCCTTGTCAAGTGGGCCTGTTGACGGACGTTTTGATGGAAGGCCTGTCTCGATCGCGGGCTGCATTGCCGCTTCTCTCGGCATTTGGTGAGCACAGTGACGCAGGAACTTGGGGTATTCTTATACTAGTCGCTAATATCGGTCCCAGCTCGAATGACTTGCTTTCGAGATGCACTTCTGAAGCGTCATCCCGTTGTCTTGGACGCCTTTTTGGAGAAGGCTATGGAAACGGAGCCCGAAGTGAGTGATATGAACATCCCCACATTGTCCCAGACCCACGAAACTAATATTGTGCACAGTACATTAATGCCTGTACTGATATATTATCGTCTCCTCTTCCATCAGACATTGTTCTGCCTGGTCGAGTTGCTGGCTTCCTCGCTAAGTTAGTCGCATCGATGGCAGGAAGTCCATGTGCAGAGACTGTGGCCCCCCTGCATACCCTTGTAAGCACACTGCAGGCATCTCCGCGCCTTTTTCACGAAATCCCAGATGACATTATGTCGAATCTGCAAGTCGAGTTCACCAAAACCCTTCGCAATATGGATGATCACATGGGTATTCTCTTGAGTCTCGCTACCTTCGCACGCATTGCATCCACCCAGTCCCGCAGTCCCCGATATCAACAGGGGTCAGAGCCGCCGACGTGGCTTCTTAACATTCAACACTTCTTTGGTCCAAAGCGTGGGGTTAAGACACTTGACTTGGTTGTCTTGCGAGTCATCCTAGCCTGCTCTTCAAGCAGTACCTCTCTCACGCCAGCCCAAGCAGAGGAGAGTATTCGCCTTTCTATTTCGATTATTGATACTATTGGTCCGGAGCAAAAAAATGCTTGGATTTCAGCCGGGTCCTCCAAAATTGCCAAGCTGTGCGACAAGATAGCCCGCGATGGCCTGGATCGCGGAATCCAACTCATGGTATGTCTCCTCCAATCAGCCCACACCGGATATCATCTAATTTTGTACTATAGGGTCTGACCTTCTTGCTATCTCTTTGCCCCATCAAAAATTTCCCACCGCAGGTTCGCAACCTGGGACTACGCCTGCTTGTCTCTCGGGACAGCCGAGGAGCTTTAACCACAATGTCGCGCGATCTAGTCATCCGCTTGACGGAATGTCTCTCTGCCTGCGACGAGTCTATTGTTTACGAACTTCTCCGATTTACTGTTGATGCTGTGAAAGACAACAGTTTGAACCAGGACTCTTTATCGAGCCTACACGTTGCGGATACTTTACTTTCCAGCTTCCAAGCGAATGAGTCCCACCAGATCGTGTCTTCTCTCTTAAGCTCGGCGTCGACAAAAGAGACCATTGCGAGTCTCTTTGTAAAATTCCCAGTCACAACTGATCGAGACCAGTGCCAGGGATCGGATGTCTGCCAGTGTGCATACAGCGCTTTGCAGAACAAAATCTTGCTCAACCTTTTTCAGATGTACTTTGCGGCCACACTGTCTCAGAATGGAAGTGATAGGGACATTTCCATCATGAAGTCCTTTGTGGAGCGCGCGGCGAGGACCATGACTAGCCAAAAATGCTCTTTTGCGGATGCCGAGTCGAAGAATTTCCGCAGCTCTCTTCTCTTTCGCGATCGACAAGAGTTTGCATCGAAAGAAATTCCGAACTGGGATTGGAAATCCTCCATCACTGGCACTTTTATGCAAACCTCCGAGATGGCGCATACGAACATACTGAAGAAAATTGAAGACATCTGCTTCGATATGGAACGCCGATGCCATGATGTCGAAGGTCCATTGCGCTCAGTTGAGAAAGACCGCGACAGATGCGTTCTTGAAGTCGAGGAACTCAAGTATCAAAATGAAGAGTTGGCTCGGAGTCTCGGACGATCTAACCAGACAATCTCAGATCTCCGCGAAGAGATGGCTGAGCTGGAAAAGCATGCTGAAAAGGCGTATAGTCGAGTCGACGAACTGTCCCTTTCTCTCAACTCTGTCCAGCAACAGCTCCATGAGCAACAATGCCATTCCGAGGAAATATTCAACGTGGAGAAAGAAAGGTTCCGAACGCGAGAGCTTGATCTGATTGCTACTTCGACTGAGAAGGACGATCAACTGGAGGAGCTAGAGGCAGAAGTACAGCTTCTTCGAGCCAATAATGAAAATATGCGCCAATCGCTGGAAATTGAGTCACAAGTAAAACTGTTCTCTTCAGAAAGGGCTGGTCTCTTGGAACGTGATCTGGAGCATCATATAACTCTTCTGGAGCAAAGCAGGTCATTATGTTCTGAAAAGGAAGACGAGGTTAAGCGCCTAATGGCAGACAACGGGAATCTGAAAATGGAAACAGCGTCCATGAAGGTTACGGTGAGCATTCCTTAGTCATGGATGATAGTGGACCAAAGCTAACGGATGATTACAAGGTTGAGGAACAGAGTCGGGAAGTCGAGAGACTCTACGGTTCGCTTCAAGAGGCCGAAGAGAAGTCAATTTCGGGGAGGGAGACTCTCCAGCAACAGCACGAAATTGAAATCTCCAAAGTCGCAACAGAGGTGAGCAGTCATAGATTCCATATTCCTTGATCCGCTGCTAATCCATGATTCGCATAGGTTGCAAACGAAAAAAGGGAAGTCGCACGCCTACGTGCAGCAATGCAAGAGGCCGCTAGCGATGCTTCCAAGAAACTCCAGTCTAAGGACAAACGCCTACAGCACTTGGAGAGAAAGGTACGATCTTTTCCACGTTAGAGTGTTTCTTTGTACTAACTTTGAAATAGATACAAGCCATGCGGGATGAGAGAGAGGCCAAAGCCAGAGAATTTTCCGAGGCTCAACAACACATTGGTCGCTTGATGAGCGTCATGGGGTTCTCTGCGCAGCCAACCGAGCCCCAGTCCACCACAAAACAGCAAACTAGAACGAGCGGACCTTCTCAGGCAGCAGCGTGTCACTCTGCCGCATATGACGAGGATTCGCAATTGGTGCAGTCGTTTGAATCCACCAATCTCCAGGAACATTCTTCCAAGAGACCTTCTCCAAAGCGACCCCGAGCGAACCGACTCTCCCTAAACCCATCACAGCCTCCGCCCCGAACCCCTGCAGCCCCTACTACACGGTCGGCGACGAAGACTCCCGACACCGCGCAACGTTCTGCTCGACAACCTTTCACTGAGTCGCGTGCCAACAGCAACCCGGACAAATTCCAGTCCGCCGATCTCTCCAAGCACAGTCAGCCGGCGGTCGGTCTGACGAATAACTTTGAGGAGAATCATCTGCAGGACTTTGACTTGGATATGGATCTAGAGTTCTCCAGGGACTTTATTTTTACGAGCACTGCCTTCTCGGGGTCGGAAGAAAAATTGGCACAGCAGTGAAGGCTTTTTCGGAATCTCCGAAGCTCATCATATTGTCTTGCAATAGGCCTTCCTCGCACTTTGCTTGTTTGGTGATGGTGGTTTTATTATTCTATCTTCCGTATACTTAATTTTGGATGCATAATATACCCAATCGGCCTGGCTGCCGATGCTCCAGTCAATCTTTCCCTTACCATTTATTCTCGATTACTGGGTTGTGGCATACAGACTACAGCTCCGCCTTAATTTCTTGTTAGAGAGCTCATTTCGAGACCACATGCGGGCTTAATGGAGCCCCTGTCCTCAAACCATAACCATGGTACTGTTAATTCTATCTCACAGCTCAATTGAACTTGATGGAAGCATGGTAGGTTCAATGCAAATTTGATGTCCTATTATGAGCCCATAAATAAAAGGACAATCCTTTTTATGGGGCTTGGATGGATGTTAGCTCACCGGAGCTAGAGATAGGCCTTTATTTTTATAAATGCCATCCACGTATATTCTCGTCATATTATTTCCCCATAGCCATTTTCAAACTTGCCGTCAACTTCGAGCCTCAGGCTTTCGATTCCAAGTCTACCAGTATAATGCCGAGCATCAAATCCCGTTGAAGGCACAAAAGGAAGACGCAGAACATTCAAGGTATGATGTGGCGGATACTGTGTTCACGCAATAGCCCGCATCTTCTCGTTACAAAAGGCTCGTTTTCTTTGAAGACACAGCTTCCGCCTTCGCATTCTTCTACTATATGACATGTCGACACGGAAGGCCATGAATTTCTCAGATCACACTTCTGAAACGACTTCAACATTCAAACCTATGTGCTTACACAGAGACAACAACATGTTGCATTCGTGAACCCCCTGTGTGGCCCCGGTGATACGGCAACCTATGGCCGCAGAACCCAGGCTGATATCCCTCAAGTAAACCAACCGCCATCAACTTAACTTGCGCTACTCCACTCGAATCCCAAAAATTAACGAAAAAACCACGTTCAATCGCCAACCTTTCTTCGTCTACCTCATTCCCCAACAATCTCACTTCGCCTTCTCCATTGATTTTCCTTCAACTTTCTTCATTTCGCCAATCTCTTCTTCGCTCTCCACCTCCCACTTCCTTCCTCCTTCTCTTCGACTCACTCTCCTTCCTCCTAGCTTGATCCAATATGGCAGACCGTGCTCAGATCTTCTCGGCAGATGCCGCGGAGATGCCTGTGATTCAAACATGGAGAATCTGGGAGTCTCTAGCCCTCCACATCTTCAACATCCCCCGTGAGACAAGCACCTTCATCCTCTGGAAGAATTTGGAGAAAGAGGGATACTTGATCTCGATTGACATCTACCGACGGAATGAAGCCGATACTTACGTTCACGGGAAGGTTCGATTCAAGTACTACCCCCAGCCCTCTTTGCCTTGTTGTTTCAAATGACTGATCCTCTCCTGTAGGCCACCACCTACCTCGAATTTCTGGGAAAACGGCCCCTACCCGATCACGTTGCGCAATGGCACCAAAGTACCTCTCCGTTTTCAGCTCGACAGCCCTGGGAGTAACCTGGTAGAAAGTCCACTTGGTTCCGGGATGGCATACCCAGCAGAACTGGCAAGTTATATCGCCCACTAGCTATGACAACAATGCTGATACATGACAAAGGATCTCGTCGCCTTGAAGCTCGAAGTCTGTGTATTGACCGGTCAAAATTCCATTTTCCCGATGCGGAGTTTCGAGACCTCCCCCAAAATGACCATCGATGTGCGGCGGCGCGAAGTAAATTTGAAATTCACGACCGCTATTCTCGACCGGAGGAACACCACCACGATCGATCTGCAAGAGTCTCAGAGTGTCTTCAGGGCCACAATTCAATTCCTCCAGTTGAAAAAAGTATGGAAAACCACCAATCCCGAGACGAAGTGCGTGTCGTTCTTATTCATCTTGGACACGCCGGCACGATACTACCGTCGCCTGAAAGATATCTCTCATACCTTTATAGGGCAGGACTCGTGGAGAGAGTATGACATATGGACTCGACAGACGGCACTGGTCCACAATCCTTGGACTCTGGATAGACAGAGAACGAATTTGCGTCGAACCGGCCACATCGTGGATATTGGTATATTTCCCCATCTCCAATTGTATTCTTTGCCTCCCTATCGCTGACGATTTTTCACAGGTCGCTGGAATGTATTTCGAATCACATTTCCTTCTGAAGAGATTAAAAAAGGAGCGGCAGTCTTGATGTACCAAATCTTTGGTGACCACAACATCCAGGTTGAAGATGGGAGCCACTTCACTCAGAGTTCTACTCGTCCGACATCGATCTGGGACTGGATCGACCGCTCGGAGGGCCAGCAGACTAAGTCAAATTCTGAGGAGCTCGCTGGCCTCGCAGACCCGAACTTCGTCGACTTGGACCCCCTCGTTCGTTATCAGTTAGAGGTTTGTATCTCCCATGGTCGGCTCTCGGAATTCACCACGACTCGCCGATTTGCGCGAGCTTTGCGAGACCTTGGACCTGAGAAAGGCAGGAATCTGCTCGAGCAAGTGGCTACAGAAAGGACCAGCTACATAAACCCCCTGGATATATTCAAGATTCAGGGCTACAGGGGCGCCAGGGACACAAAGATCCCTACGTATTGCTGCTACATGCGGACAGCGCGGGTAACTCCAAGCACGGTGTACTACAATACCCCGACAGTTGATACTTCCAACCGGATCACTCGCCGCTACCTGGAACATTCAGACCGCTTCCTTCGTGTTCGCTTCACTGACGAAAAGTATCTGGGCCGCATCGGATCCAGCGTGAGTGATTCGAACGACGAAGTCTACACCCGGGTCAAAAGAACGCTGGCCAACGGGATCACAATTGGTGATCGCCATTATGAATTCCTTGCCTTTGGAAACTCTCAATTTCGTGAGCATGGTGCATACTTTTTTGCGCCTCATCCGGAGCTTCGCGATGTGACCGCTGCTAGCATTCGCGCTTGGATGGGCCAATTCAGCCACATCCGAAATATCGCCAAGTATGCGGCTCGATTGGGACAAAGCTTCTCTACAACTCGGGCTGTCGAGGGAAGCTCCTCTGTTGTCCGAAAAATTGAGGATATCTCCCATCATGGATGCGTGTTCTCTGATGGCGTCGGCAAGGTCTCGAACTTCTTGGTATCAATCATCTCGCAGGACCTGAAGTTAAACGACCCAAATGGTCAGCCACCTTCAGCCTTCCAATTCCGACACGGTGGATCCAAGGGAATGCTGGTTGCATCTTCAGATCCTACCCGTTTTGAAATTCATATTCGACCGAGTCAAACAAAGTACGAGACTGACAATGGCCGGCTGGAGATCATTCGCGCCTCTCATTTTTCTATCGCAACTTTGAACCGCCAGCTTATCCTCGTCCTCTCTGCTCGGGGAATTCGCGATAACGTTTTTCATCAAAAGCTCATGGAGCTTTTGCGAAACTTTGAACAAGCTATGAAGGATGATCAGCAGGCAAAGTTGATGCTCCGAAAATACGTGGACCCCAATCAGATGACACTTGCATTGGCCCAGATGGTGGATGATGGATTCAGAAAAACAAAAGAGCCTTTTGTGTACTCTCTTCTGACATTGTGGAGGACATGGCACCTCAAGCTCCTCAAGGAAAAGGCAAAAATTGCTATCGACAAAGGTGCGGATCTCCTGGGATGCATTGACGAGACTGGGATCTTAAAGGGCCACAGCAACCAAAAGATGGAAAGAATAAATTATCTGAACGGGAAACATAAGATAGCAGCACTCCCACAGATCTTTGTTCAAATAACTCGTCCTGAAAACGGCTGGGCCCCCGAAGTCATTACTGGCGTTTGTATCGTGGCTCGCAATCCCTCTCTTCATCCAGGAGACATCCGTGTCGTCAATGCTGTCGATGTGCCCGAGTTGAGACATCTCCGCAACGTGATCGTGTTTCCACAGACAGGTGACCAAGATATCCCTGGTATGTGCTCTGGGGGCGACCTTGATGGTGACGACTTTTTCATCTTCTGGGACAAGGATCTGATTCCATGGAACTGGGGCGTCGCGCCGATGAGATTCCGTTCCAAGAAAGCGCCGGACCTTGACCATGAAGTCACAGTCGATGAGATCACTTCTTTCTTCGTCACTTACATGAAACATGACTGTCTCCCCAAGGTCGCTACTGCACATATGGCATGGGCCGACAGGCTTCCAAGGGGAGTTGAAGAAACAAAATGTCTCCGTCTGGCCCAGCTACACTCGGATGCAGTCGATTATAACAAGACCGGAGGCGCAGCCCATATGACTCGCGATCTGGAGCCTAACATGTGGCCGCACTTTATGGAAAAGAATCACAAGCCCAAGAGCATGATCTACCACTCGAGGAAGATCCTAGGCCAACTTTACGACAAGGTTCAAACGACAGACTTTTTTCCCAACCTGAGCATGCCTTTCGACAACCGTATTCTGGAATGCAAGCTCAAGGAAGCCAGCGAAGAGTTCATGGAATATGCAAAGAATCTCAAAAAAGTGTACGATGCCGCGATGCGCCGCATCATGGCCCAATACGATATCGCCACCGAATTCGAGGTCTGGTCAACTTGGGTCTTGAGCCACAATAACCTCAATCGAGATTACAACATGCACGAGGATCTCGGCCGGATTGCAACTCTGCTCCGAAACGGCTTCCGCAAGGAGTGCTATGAGAAGGTTGGTGGTCGCTTCGAAGCTGTTGCCCCCTTGGTCGTGGCCATGTACCGCGTCACACATGAAGCCATCACGGAAGCCCTCACCAAGAAGGATACGGAGCCTACCACTTTTGACGACGATGACGAATGGGGTGAATCTCCTGACAACGGGGACCTAAGTCTAAGCAAGCTTCCTCTCATCAGCTTCCCCTGGATTTTCCACGATTATCTCGGCAAGATTGCACAGGGCCACTACGACCTAAACATGATTGTGACTTCTGAATCTACTGAAAAGAAAGAAAGTAGCATTTCCAGAGTCTACAGTCAAGCGGAGATTCAGCCAATTCTTGCGGAAATGACCCGGACTGGAGAGTCGAAAGAGAAGAACAAGAAGAAGGGGGTTCGCTGCCAGACGGCGCATGATGGTGACGAGTTGCCTTCGGCCGATGATCTGCAGACGGAGGCACCTAAGGTGATGATGGACGATGACAGTGATTCAGGCGTTGACGTCCAGGATAAAGAAAGTTCCGATGACCGGGCTGCTAAGGAGATCGTGGAAACTGAACCTCCTCCATCCGCCCTCGATAAGCTGCTGGAATTGCTTAACAGTGAAGATTGAGTTCCTCAGGGCGTTGATGCTTATTAAGTTCCCTTATTATTTTTCTTCTTTCACTTGACCCTTTTTTTTTCCGGGAAGAAAAAATTGGAATGGAATCGCTAAGCCCAAGTTTTAAATTCCTAGGCTATCCTCTTCGGGTTGCTCTCGCCTGATCAGTAGCAGAAGTAGATTTCACGCTCTGTTACATAGGGCTCACAGCTCCGGCTACGAGTTTTAATGCAGGTATTTTCGAGAAGGTAACAGCTTTGCAAGCATTAAATCATTCGCTGATATTATTGAGTGTAGGGTATTCCGAACGCCAGCCATGATACAATCAGGATATGCTAAAGGAGAAAAAAGAAACAAGAGCCGAACTCCAATGAGCCGAGGTCATTGACACATCGCAGGACATCATCTTGATGTCACGAATGAGGTACCGTCACCAATCCAACCCCTCATCCCCTTTCTTTTCCAATAGATCTACCACAGGCCCCAAAACATCCCTCGAATGACGCAAATGCGCCGCATCTCGTGTGCGGGAATAGAAAACCGGACAATCCATGCTATCACAGGCGATGGGATCACCACCAGAAATGCCCGTACAAGACCGACACACGGCCTTAGTATCCACAACTCGTTTCTCGGCACGCTGGAGTCTCGAAACAACATCCAAAAGGGATATATGTGGACGGGAGAGGCACTCCGTGCATAGCGGGACCGCAGCGTTAGATAGCTTCTCCCGGCAAATGATACATGATGAAGAGCGCATGTATGACTCCAGTGTCTTCTTCATTGGGCCAATTTGCATGTCTGGTCGTGATCCGGCAGAAGAACTTGTATTGACGCGCCGGATACGCTGAATCTTGGGCATCTCGTCGTACCATTGTCGCACATTCGCACCCACGAGGTTGAAGATTCGTTCTAGAGGCGGAATAAGGTTCTTGGTTATGTAATACTCCGCGTCTAGGTCGAGCTGTGCATCATGCAGAAGCGTCTCAGGTGCGACACACCGATCGATGAGTCTTGATCCAGGGGCGCCAGTGACGACAACGTAAGGTACACGCTCACCATACTGCGGTTCTAGACGGGGATCCTCGAGCATGCGCTTGGTGCTTATCATTGCGCCGGCAGGCAATGTTCCTCGTTCACTGTATGTGCCCAACCTGACTTCACGTGCGAAGCAGAAATCCTGGATAGACACACGGCCTTGCATGATCTTACTGCACTGACGCTGGAAATAAGACTTCACTTGGGTGAGATCAGCGGTGCGGAAGAGAAGTTTCAGGGCCTTCTCTTCAATCTTTTGTTCGGCGGGCGTGCCATCTCGGCGGACGGTTTCGATGCCCTTGGCGTCGAAGTCAGGCTCGGTTTGCGCGCGGTGTTCATATTTGAAGCCAACGTATCGTTTCTTGGCCAAGAGCACGCAGGGGTGGTACACCTTTTCGAATTTGAGTTTAACCGGGCGAGGATTCATTTCGGTGACTGCCTGTGCGATCTCTCCCCCGATGTCAAAGGCCTGATCTCGGCTTCGACCTTTCAGGTAGACGAACAAGCTGTCTGTATCGCCGTAAACCACCTCAGCGCCCCATCTCTCGACTGAGTGGATGTAGGCAATTGCCTTTTCAAGCGTTTCTCGTCCAGACTGTACAATGCTGTCTGCAATTTCAGAGCAGGGCATCCGGCCTGAGTAGGAGGCAGAGGTGTATCCATACGTGACATTTGCAATCAGCTTTAGAGCCAGCTGCCGATTGTTCAGCAGACGTTGCAAGACCTTGTCATCTTTGTCGGCTTTCATTCCCGACTTGACCATTACACGGGTTTCCAAGATTTCCGTGAGCATCTTAGCTAGGAGTGATTTTCGAACCTCCTGCTTGGCATACATCATTCCATTTGGAGCGATGTTGATCTTGTCTTTCAGCAACTCAAGCAAGCGCGGTTGTCGCTTGTAATCCAGAAATCCCATCTTGTCCCTGCCACGCCAATTGGCTGCCCTTCCAAGAAAAGTGGAGTAGCAGTAATTGTAGGCAATCATGATGCTTGGGTAGAGAGACTGGAAATCCAGGACCAAAAGGGGACTGGTGTAAAAGTCGCTCTGAGGCTCCATGACTAGCGGTAGACACTCAAGCGCATTTTGCTGGCCAACCTGCTTCTTGCTAGGAGACACCAGCAAGAAGTTCTCTGGCTTTGCAATGCGAAACATCAACGATTCAACTTTGAACTGGGATCCGCGTGAGAAAACCGAATAGAAGTCAATACCCAGCAGTCTTGCTTGCTCGCTGAGTCGCGGAATCAATTCATTGACTTCCAGGATCTCCAAATTCAGCTGCACGCGGGATGTGAAATACTCCACGACCCGAAGAAGATTGCGAGGCTGTCCACTCTGGTACCATTGAGTGAGGTCCCGGTGGGAGAAGTGAGGAATTCGACGATGCAGCAGATGAAATACAACATTCTCCATGCTATACTGCAGCAAGTTCATCTCGCCTCTCATGGCACGCCAGATATTAATCATGTGTCGACCAGTCATTCGAATAGAGGAAGCATGCTCAAACCCCCAGCGGTCATCCTCTTTCCCGAATTTCACATTGGGCTGCGATTTGACCCGAGAAAGCTCTGAACAGATATCGAAATCATACTTCTTGCGGGCTCGTTCAATCACATAGCCCCAGGAGCCATTGTGGACTTCGTACCCAGTCATGATATCTGGGTCAAGATAACGCACAATATCCACCAATCTGTTGATCATGTCGAGTTCCGTTGGCTCATGGTCAAGCTCGGTTCTTAATGCTTTCGAGATCTTTGCTTCGGGCCTTTCACCCTCGCCTTGATAGATCATCCCGACGTGGACGCCAGGAAGATGACTGTTGACCTCGATATCATCATCTTCAGACTGAATGCACCAGAAGATACAGGATATCTCGTCCTCTTCGGGATTTGCCGAGAGAGTTCCACGAGTGTTGACGTGAACTTCTAGGCTCATTATACTCATGTACTGTGCTTGATGCTCCACGCTTGTCTTGCTTTTCTGAGAACTTTTGATTCCGCTAGTTTTCTGTGTGGGGCCTTCGATCTGTGATAGGGCCTCGAGCTTGGTCTCAATCTTGAGCTCACTTGATTCCTTTTTTGTAGACTTTGAAGAGGATTCGGCCAGGGTATTTTCAAACCATTCAACCACTTCGGACCGGCTTGGAGGTACTGGTGCAAACTCCCATACTCTAGCTGTGGAAGACTGTCGCAACTTCTGGTCGAATTCTTCTTGGTGCTCCCGGTCAAGCAATACTGGGGCTTGCTCTCCAAATACCGCGGGAGTTTCTCCGGAAGGATCGAATGCGGGAAGGAAGTGTATAGAGTCACTTTCAAGTCGAAACTCCTTCCCGGCATATTCCCGGGGTCTTTCAGGTACATCTGCTTCGTCACTGTAGTATGCTTTCTGGTAAATAACAGAAGGTCGACCATATTGATCAAGGGTACTGGCCACCTCGTTTGTGCCAGGACTAGGAAACTTGAAGATGGATAATGTCGTTTCCGTCGAGAAACGAAATGAAGCATGGAGCTTGTCTTTAACGTCAGCGACGTGCGGATCGAGCACGACACTCCCCATGACCGTCGAAGACGGTAAGATTGATGAGCCGTCGATCGTGCTAGCGTTACCCGAGTCGCTCGTGGTAGACCCGGAGGGGAATGAACTTGGCAGGGGCTGGGAAGACTCGATATCCTTCTTCGAGGATTGGGAGTCACCTTGGCTAAATCGTAGGATCGTCAAGGGATCGTTGGGGTCTTTCACCACTGGAAAATTCAGCCTACTATCAGGCAGGTGGGACCTTGGACGAAGAGTCTTCTGCGAGGAGGATGATATAGGCTCTGAGGACGGAGGTGCTTGCAAGGCCAAAGTGCTTCCAAGCAGATCCTCATTTTTCTGCATGCCATCGATGACTTTGCATTGGGTTTCCAGGGCTTTGTAGGAGTCATGGTCCTCTTGGACAAAGAATCTTGGTTTCTTGACTGGTACGCGACTGGGAGGAGACATGTCATCGTGAGGGCGCTTGAGCGAGGAATTTCTTTCCCCAAATTCTCCTGCGATGTCAAAATTCGGTTCCTCTAGTGCACTCGCCGACATGTCTTTCATTGTTGTATTTGAATTTGCCATTTGTTCAGGTTCTTGGATCGGTATCTCAGAGGAAAATTCGTCAAAGACGCCGTCATAGAAGCTTTCATCAGATGCCTTGTTGGTGGTTGTCAGAGTTTCCTCGCCGACTGACTCCCCCAATACATCATGCGGGTGGTCCAAATACGAGAGGAAGCTCTCCTCGGGTTGCGAAGATAGAGCGACATTTTCGTCCACGGAAATCTTCGTTTCTTCTTCAGGTGCTTGTTCATCAGCAGTAAAACTGTCGATTGTGCTCGGGTAGAAGTCTTCAACGCTGCTCAGGGCTGTCTTCACATGTTTTTCGTATTGATTTGCGTCCAAGAATGTCTCAAACGATGTGTCTTTTTCATCGGCATCTTCTTCTTCGGCTGCAGCGATCTGTTTGGCCATCTCGTGAAACTCGTCTTCGTGGACCCAGCCACCCCTTGATTGATCTCTTGAGTTGGCAGACATGGAAACCAGCTCATCTGGGCCAAATGGTGTACTTCCAGGATCGATAATTCCCATTCTCTTCTTGCGTCTTCGTGTCTCGTCTTGCCACAATCCCGCAACACTCGGGACTAATCTCTCGTCGATAGCGACTGGTCTAAGCATTTCGGTGAAATCATGATGGAGCGGGCGTTCTTTCACTTGAGCCCGATTTAAGATGTCATGTACGCAAACGTCCACTTCCAGCGCGCAATGACTTTGTTTCTGAAGGGCTGGGTCATCAAGTATGTCCTGGGGGTGAATCGTTCGATCATGCCAACGATGATTCAGATTGTTCAATTCCAAATATTCCGGGACTGTTGGTCTAAATTTAACCTTTTCACAGTCCATGTATTCACATCCACACAAGTTATAGTCGCACATCCATTGAGGAATATATTGGAGATGGCTTTCGTACGGCTGCAGTGGACGTTTCAGGACAGCTCCCTGGTGCAGAAGATCGGCTAGGCGAGGGCTGTATATAGGGTTGAGGAGATATATTTTGAAGAAGAACCGGTAGCCAACATGATAACCATAGAAGGGCACTCCTTTGACAAGTGTGATATGTGCAACGAACGCGATCTTCCTATCGTAGGCGTTCCGGCGAAAGCTGACAGCCAGGGCGTGATCGATCGAAAGATGGAGGGTACGGATAGCTGAGCTCACTATAGCTTCAAGTTAGCCAGCGCCCGATACATTAATCCCACCATGCTTGTACATACCCGCTTCAGGAGCCAAAGACCCATTGTATTCGATGTAGAGGTAAGGAAATGCACCATGAACATGAACACAGACCCGTTGGCCTGTTTCAGTTGCCCCAAAGATTCGAATGACAGGCACTCTTGGCCTTGAATCTTTTTCAAAGAACTCATCTCGAATAGGCAGTGGAGGGTCTAGCTCCGACGCGATCGCCTGGTAGTGGTCGATACAGTTGAGGCGCACGCGAAAGGGCTCCATCGGGCTGAGTTGGCTCGGCCAGGAGCCTGGGTGTCATCGTGCCAAGTTTCCAGACAGATTTTCCATAGGTTGAAATGTCGCCAGGATTAACAAATCCCACACGCGCCAGTTGCCGGCGGGTTGAAGTATGCGGCATTGCCGGACGCGCCGGGCGCGGCGGAACGCCAGATCACGTGGATCCAGATCTTGATTCCAATCACTTTCCCAACCTCGCCTCAACTTCCCCAGATTCTCGGTTCGTCTGGGATTCCTCATTGTTCATCTCCCTCCTTCCGAAATACCTCACTCGGGTAGCTCGGGTACAGATAGCCTCACCATGTCTTCTCGCAAGCCAGCCGATGTGGCGTCGAAGGAACGCAACGAATACATCCCGTCCTTCATCTCGAAGAAGCCGTTCTACATCGACGACGACCAGGACACCGACTACCTCGAGCATCAACGTCTACACAAAACTACTCAGGATCAGTCAAAATGGTACGACCGAGGAAAGCGCGCAGGCCCGGCCGCGACCAAGTACCGAAAAGGCGCATGCGAAAACTGCGGTGCAATGACACACAAAGTCAAGGACTGCCTAAGTCGCCCGCGAAAGCAAGGCGCCAGATGGACTGGCAAAGATATCCAGGCCGATGAAGTGCTTCAGAAGGTAGACATGGGATGGGATGCCAAGCGAGACAGGTGGAATGGTTATGACGCCAGTGAATTTCGCAAAGTTGTCGACGATTACGCAGAGAAGGAGACCGTCCAGCGTTCATTGAAAGAAAGCCACGATCTTAAAAAACTCATGGACGCGGAGGAGGGCGATGGTGACCAAGAGGATATTCGTTATGCTGAAGAATCCGACATGGGTCGTCAACAGAGCACCGCCACGCGCAACCTTCGTATTCGCGAGGATACCGCCAAATATCTCCTGAATCTTGATCTTGATTCCGCTAAGTACGATCCCAAAACACGACGAATGGTGGACATGGGTGCGCAAGAAGACCAGGCGTCTGCATTAGTCGCAGAGGAGAACTTCGTCCGGGCTTCTGGCGATGCAGCCGAATTTGAGAAAGCGCAGCAGTATGCATGGGAATCTCAAGAGAAAGGTCTTCCCCAGATTCACCTACAAGCCAACCCGACATCAGGCGAGGTCCTGCGGAAGAAAGAAAGGGAGGAGAGTGAAGCCAAGCGCGAGGCGCAGCGCAAGGCTCTCTTGGAGAAGTACGGAGGCAGTGAGCATTTGCAGCCGAATACACTACGCGATGCCGCTGTCGTCGAAAACGAGCGTTTTGTGGAATACGATGAGAGTGGTGCGATCAAGGGTGCCCCCAAGAATGCTACCAAGTCCAAGTATCCCGAGGATATCAAGATCAACAACCATACATCAGTATGGGGCAGTTGGTGGTATGATTTCCAATGGGGCTATGCTTGCTGTTTCTCTACTGTAAAGAACAGTTATTGCACTGGTGAAGACGGGAAAAAGGCATTTGAAGAAGAGGGCAACATGTTGATGATTGAGGAAGCAGATGGCAACCAAGATGAGCCATCACAAGAAGTTGAAGATCGTCAGCCCGAATCTACAAGCCGTCAGGGTCAACAGGATGACGCGGGAGCTAATGGGAAAAAGCGAACATTGGAGGAACTGCGATCTGGGATTACAGAGGAGGAAATCGATTCTTATAAGCGGAGTCGACTCTCCGCTGATGATCCGATGGCCAAATTCATTGGCAAGGACTGATTGAGCATTGTTATACCTCTTATACTGGGCGTTTCTGTATTCTTAAATACCCCTTCATTTACTGCATGATCAATGGAGACTCGACTGCATCGAGTTATCACGCCTTTTTTCGGTTTTCATCAAATTTAGATTCGCGAGGCACTGTCAAATTCTAAGATGGCTGCACGCAATACTTCATTTGTAGACGTAAAACATAATATAGCCGCTACTGTCCTCATCACCCTGAAACTGAATTCCTACTACAAGGAGGGGAATTAACAAGGTGATGTCAGAATCCGATTAGGACAAGTCTGTTTGTTCGATGGATTTTTATCACATGATTTTTTTAAAAGTGCACGGACCATAGGTGTTGTCATCATGTGACTCTTAGTCATGGGGCAAGGGCTTGAGCCATCCCGTGACCTGGTAGGGTCCGCACCCTCGCTTAGCCCTCGGACACATCACTCACCCAACGGGAAGTTTCAATACGCCTAGCGACGACGACCACGACAACAGCCCTTCAGCGGAATCGCCAGGTACGCTCACATACGGTCCCCCCATACGTTCAATCCCTTTGTCTGGTCACTGACAATTTATCTTCTTTTGAAGTTCCCTAATTCAAAATGAGTACGTCCCATGTCGAATCCTCGCACCGCGAACCTCCGCAATATCGAAACGATCCAGACTGACAACCTCAACAGCTAAGGGTACCTCGAGCTTCGGAAAGCGCCACAACAAGACGCACACTCTGTGCCGTCGTTGTGGTATGTATCACACCTCCCCATGAATGTCAATTTTCCACCCAGTCCGAAAATTCGCAAAGCAAGATTTCTCAAGTGTCGATTGATGGATTTGGGCGATACGGACGGATTATACTGGGTGGAATTTGGCTGCCATCATATAGGACAAGTGCTGACCGGTTGTCTTTTTTCGCGACTATAGGCAAGCGGTCCTTCCACATCCAGAAGTCGACCTGCGCCAACTGCGGTTACCCTTCCGCTAAGACCCGCAAGTGTACGCATACCCTCCCTCTAAAAGCTTCGTGATTCGGATGTGGATGTTGTTGAACATACAAATTCGCATTTGGGAATATATTGGCTTACCAGAATTTTTACGCAACAGTCAACTGGGGCGAGAAGGCCAAGCGCCGCAAGACCACCGGCTCCGGCCGCATGCGCTCCCTGCGCGACGTCCACCGCCGCTTCAAGAACGGCTTCCAGACCGGCACTCCCAAGGGAGCTCGTGGCCCCGAGGCCAACTAAATTACCCGTTTTTCCCATTCGGCGTCGCGTTTCGTTCTCTGAGAGGCTGGAAAGGAATGAGGGGTGGGCATCAACTGGCATGACATGGCCTAGCATTGCGAGATAGAATACACTCGAAATGCAACTGGCAATTCCGGAATATTAAGTTTCCCCGTGGTGTTGGTGTGGTGCGAGTCGTCGATTCCCGTTTCTTTTCAATCTCCCACTTGCCGATGGCATCAACCACGGTTAAGGGGAGACTTGTCGGGAAGGCGGGAAAAGTTTGATATCTCTTTTCTTATGAGGAAGAGAATTGGCATAAAAATCAAGGGAAAATATGCATGAATTTCCTTTTCTTCCTCGTTTATGGCTGGCGAATATCCCCATGTCGTGACAGATACAAATGTGAAGATCTCTCTTCCTAACATCTCCGATGTGCTTCTCCGCGTTCATACCACTTTCTACGGCGTGGCCATATGCCCGATTTGGGTTTGGGCAAAGTTTTATTTCAGTCGACTTGCCAGGACTATATCCTGATAGACTCAAGTCGGTAGGAGTGAACTACTCTGCTACATACAGCATTCAAGACTCCCCGCGCCCAAACACTCGGACTCCACCGTCTCGTTGGATGTAGAACAGCAACTCCCTTTCGTCTAGGTTGTCGTCTCCAACGGTCCAGCCACCACCACGGCTGATCCGCAACACCCCACTCACATCTCTTGCGGCTCCTGTCTCCAGAGTACGGAGCTGCATGACCGACCGTGCCCGATGCGCCAACCCAATAGAAAACGCTGCATGTTCGGCCTCTGTCGGGTTCGCCATTTGATTGCTCGAGGCCGATGCATTGTGTAGAAGCGGCGAGTCGGCAGCCAAAGTCAAGACTGTCGAATGCACGTCCTAGTAGAGAATTAGTCATATCACAGCTCTATTCGATCAATTGAGCTCTTACCAACTGTAAACCAGTCAACCAATTCATCATCTCTGTAGCTCCTATCGCCTGGCTTGGGCCTGTGGAGGCGAGAAGCAAGTCCGGTTGGTCAATTATCAGAAGGATTTCGTCATCTTGCGAAATCTTCTGCTTCTCGATAACGGTTTGGATGTCACGTCCCAGAGCATTCAAGGCTGTAATTCCGTGTCCTGAGAAATGCAGTTTCTTCGCAATGGGCTCTGTGCTTCCGCGGCTGCTGGTCTGATCTGCTGGTGTGGCTTGTGGTGGCATTCTATCCGGCACTGCTGATTGGGATCGAAGTGGCAATGCTGTACGTGCTGGAGCCCCCGCATGTTGAGCAGGCAAGCGGGTTTTTGTGTTTTGTGGGAGGCTAAATAGCTCTGAAAGACCATCCACAAATGTAAATTGCTGCTTGCTTGACAACCGAGTAAGATCAAGGCCCTGGAGCTTTCGTCAGTATCTTTCTGCTACCAATGAAAAGGCCAGTCGGGTATAAATCCTCGCTCTTCATGCACAATTCTTGAGATTATGTATGGTATATCAGACCTTCGAGGAATACAATAGACTGACATACCAATCGCTTAGCTTCGGACTTCCAGAACTCCCAGCCTCGCATAAAGCTCACGAGAACGACCTTCCTTTTCTTGCCGTCGTACTGATCCTCCACCCCGATTGGCATATGGGGGCTTGATGAAGAACTGAGGGCCGCATGTAGGAACCTCAGTACGAGCCAATTAGATGTAGCACCCAGGATAGAAGAGATCAACGTCAATGAGGAGTCAGTTTGGTCTGATAAGTAAGGCACAAGGAGGTGCGGAAGCGGGGGTTGAGAAGGCATGGCGGCGCCTCGCTTGCTGTATCTGACTCGACTGAAGAATTGTTCGAAGGCGATTGTTTTCTCGCTGATGCGAAGCTTGTCCGGGCTCGTTTATTTCATGCTTTCTGGCGGGTGAAGTTGGCGATTGCGAGGTGGAAAAAAATGTAATGGGGCCGTGATTGGCTGCTCCCGCAAGTCCGCCAAGAAGAGCTGCTGCGATGGTGCAGCAGAACCAACACAGATTAACGGATTGAATATTCTACTCAAGAATACACTAAATTGCTCGGAGCTCTTGATGTATTATTTGTCTTCGTCTGTTCCTCAAAAACAAATCCTTGACTTGAGGATCGGTTTTGTTGGCGAGAAGTGGTTGTTCTTATCAACGATATATACTTTTGTACTCTGGCGACCCCTCACATGCTGACAGATTAAATAATGTGACACTATACCATCTTGTCTCGGACGGGAAAAAGCCGTTAAATCATTACACTAAGGTTATACATGAGCTAAATCCGGTTTCGATTCGAAATCAATACATTACCCTTCAATTTTCCTACACTATCACCCAGCATTCCGCAAACTCAGGAGCCCCGACACCGGATGTGCTGCCTCAGGCGACGATGAGATTTTTTCCCGCAAATCACCTGACCATCTTCCCCACTCATGGAGGGGAGCGTTTGGATGCGGCATCTTGCTCATCAAGTCGTGAATCGATTTGATCAGAGTGGATCTATGCTTGCTCTAGCGCCGATCGTGAGTCTACCTGTTCTCCCTCACGTCTACCCCGAGTGCCCTTCAACACTCATGTACACGTACCCACCCGCGTCGGAGTGCTATACATCCACCCAACGCCTGTCGCCACAGGTCCGAGCCACCAGGGCAAGCATCCAAAGAGCAACCCTACTGACCGTGTGAAAGATGACTCCTATGTTGTGTCATGATCAGAGCGCATTGGACACACAGTACAAGCAATCCGCCTTGTCTCGATAAATATGGCAAATATGGCCAGCACTCGCGACTCCCATTCATTCGCTGTATGTGTCATCCTGCTGGGCTCTCGGACAGCCAATTTTATGTTTGAAGTGACATTCGAATCCTCGGAACTGACTCGACACAGTGCGATGAATGCCGTCTCCGAAAGTCGAGAGTAGGTGCCTTGAACTAACCGCGTTTATTTGAATGTGTAGCTCATTCATCACTTTAGTGCTCGAAAGAACGCCCAGTCTGCCTGCAATGCCGGCAGTTGAACAAGGAGTGTAAATACAGTCCGAAAGTGTCCAGAAGCCCTCTGACACGGCAGTATGTACCCCATTGTCCCATGCTTCCTAGAGCCGATGAGATTAACAAAGTTCAGACACTTGACATATGTCGAAGACCGTCTACATTCATTTGAAACAGCTCTGAGCAGGCTGTTCCCAGGTGGTGACCTGGATGCCACCCTTCGTTCTCTTATCCAGAACCCAGAACCTCCCAAGGCTCCTTCATCAAAGTCATCCTCGAGACACTCGACTCCGGCAAAGCCTGACGCTGATCGGACAGAGCCAGCGCCGGAAGCCCTGCCTCAGCAGGCCGATGGGTTTGACTGGGCAGAGAAAGAACTAACACTTGGTGACTTGACAGATGGGATGGCCGCATTGTCCATCAAGCCTGAAGGTGCCGGTTATTTTGGTTCGTATTTCCATGTCACACTTCTCAAGATAGGCGTGGCTAACTGTTATATCAGGTGCATCGTCAAGTGTTGTGCCACTTCGAGCACTTTTTGACCATGGCTTTGACTTGAACATCCCTGTTCGTTCTGCAAGATCTGGCGGTGTACCGCTCAAAGCACAGCTTTTGGAAAGCGCCCCGTCTGGTCTCATTGAGCAAGCTTTCATTGACGCCTATTTCCTGAATTACCACACCAGCTACCCATTCGTTCACGAACCTACCTTTCGCGCTCAATTCAATGAGCCATCTCTACGCCCGCATGGCACCGCATGGCAGATTCTGCTAAACACCATCTTAGCACTTGGCGCATGGAGCATTGGAGACGATAGCTCTGATCTCGACATCACTTTTTATCAAGAAGCCAGAAGTTGCCTTCAACAGGCATCGGTTTTTGAAACCGGTAATCTGACCTTGGTCCAAGCGTTGTTACTTCTTAGCAACTATGCTCAAAAACGTAACAAACCCAACACGGGTTGGAATTATCTGGGATTGGCCGTTCGAATGGCGATGAGTTTGGGTCTCCACAAAGAGTTCCCTGGGTGGAAGATCAGTCTGCTACAGCGGGAGATCCGCCGTAGACTATGGTGGGGTGTCTTCATTTTCGACAGTGGTGCCGCGAAAACCTTTGGAAGACCAATTCTTCTTCCAGAAGAAAGCGTGATGGATGCCAAGCAAGTCTTGAATATCCATGATAACGTATGTACATCGATATGGCAGCAAATCATCGCCCGATGCTAATAAGTTCTAGGCTTTGACACCAGCAACGATTTCATTGCCACCAGAATCGCCGGGGCCGACTCTCTACTCCGGCTTGATCGCCCAAGCCCAATTTCACCTACTCACCAACAGCGTCTACCAGCGCCTGATCTCCAGTCCCAGCATTACACCGGAAGAAACACTGAATCTGCAGAAACCCATGGATGAATGGTACAAAGCCTTACCGTCGTATATGCACTATCCACTACAACCATTGTCTATGCAACCAACACAACCAGACCCAGACAACCTTGCTCTTGTTCGCAACCGCCTCTTGTGGCGGAACTGGAACCTGATCATTCTGATCTACCGACCCATCTTGCTGCGTTGGGCTGCTCGGCGTTGGGGGCCGCAGAGTGGAGGTTCGGACGGGTCGTCTGTCAGTTCGGATGGGGGAGCTGAAGACCCATGTGAAACTGAATGCCGTATGCGCTGCCTTCAGAATGCGCGGTTGACGATTTCCTCCATCTCTGATTATATGGACAACTATGTCTGCACCAGAATCGGGGCATGGTATATGCTGTAAGTTTCATGCTTCAACTCTCACCATGAATCAAGACTAAGTCATCACAGGTACTTCCTCTTCCAGGCCGGCTTGATCCCAATGGTGTTCCTCATGACAGATCCGACAAACCCCGAAGCCCCAGGTTGGATCCAGGATATCGAGACCACCAAAGCCCTCTTGAACCACCCATCATTCTGCAACAACCGCTTTGCTGCACGATGCTCTGAAGTCATCAACAGACTTCTATGCCCACCCTCAGGTTCTGTCCCTGGCATGCAGCCGGGCTCTCAGCAACCTAACCAACAACAATATCCTCAACAGCAACCGCCACAGAGTTTCATGCCGTTCCCAGAACATTTGTTCAGTGACCCTGGTTTCGGCGGAATGTTTCCTGTGGAACAGACGATGCCCAGCCCAGGAGGCATGGACTTCTCTGAGTGGGTCAACTTCCCGACACAAGAGTGATTTGTGATTTTATTAGTGTACAGATATTAGTTTGGAGTTTGAGAATTTGGACATGAGATATTTCGTACTGGAGCCGGGATGTATAGCCGTCTGCGAGATAGTTTCGTTATATCAGATACATTTTTAGCCCCGCACTACTGTGCTTTCATGAAGAAACCCGAAATATGCTTTACGTATCATGGGCCCGCCGTTTAGCGGCCAAGGCAGGAGAACAACCATCCGAACCAGCCTCCTCGTGCCCTAGAGGGCTGCGCAGCACCTGACTTCTCATCCATATCATCATGGAAATCTTCCTCCTCCGGAAAATCCATATAACGCTCTGTGCGCAGAGCCGCAATAGAGACGATATCAAGTTCAAAGGAGCCCTCCTGCTCACCAAAGAAGCTATAATGAGGAGTCAGCACATTGCCCGAAGGCACCACGAAGCAGACAGCAAAACGAACCTCCGGACCATAATTCCAAATCTCTTAATGTTCTTCAAATCCAACGGCTCAGCATCATTCTTTTCCTTCCCACGGCAAGTAGGCTTGAAATCTCCCCATTTAACAAAGATATTCTTCTGGCCCTCAGCCCGAAAATTGAATTCCCAGCTGATGGAGCTCTGCTCCCGGCCATCAGGTCTCTTGGGAAGAATCTCATCCTTCAGGTTCAACGTATACAATTTGCCGTCCGCCCGGTCAATGACTAGCTCCAGACCGTCGTACCGTGACAAGTTCCAGGTCCGGTCCTCGCCTGTTGTTCGTTGAGACGCAAAGCCCGCCCCTCCAAGGGTCTTGATGTCGAGGTATCCATGGAATCGGGCGACGAGAGAGGCGGAAGAGCAGGTTAGGGTCGAGTGGGAAGATCCGCCGCGGACGCGGTCGTCAGATGAGGTCCAGTCGGCGGATGTCCAGGCTCTATAAATAACTATGTTAATGTTTGGACATGTAGCATTCAAGATACCGGCCAATACTTACCGGACGCCGCCGAATAGAGGGAGATGCGATGTCGGGGCCATGATGACTATACGTTGCTTCTGCTTGGATGGTTGGCGATGGATGGAGTTGCCGCGGGCGGGGAGGTGGTGTCGGCGCGGAGATGGCGTCATAGCAGCTTTTGGCAGCAAGTACATCCGATGCCTTACATCCAAAAATAAGATAACCGCGACGATATCTGAGACGGATACAGTCATACATGAGATGAAAATGTTTAATTTCGGATGAATTGAAAGTTTGTTTGTTTTGTTCAAGGGGTATCTGAATCCAGTCTATGTACACGATCTCGTAACTCCGTTTCTATAGTTGATCATAGTCGCTCAACATGCAAATATATCCCATCATTTTTCCAATGCAGCTTCCAAATCGCTATCCAGTTCTTCAAGGCCGTGGAAGCCCTCCTCGATCACCCATTTCTGTCCATCGTTAGGGCTGTGCAGAACATGGCAACTAGCTCCAACAACCAGCAGACCAGGTGGCCGAGAACCAGCCTCCTCGAAAGCCAAGCAGATGTTTTCCAAAGTCGAGCGGATGACTCTCTGATCAGGACATGATGCACGTTCAACAATTGCACAAGGTGTGTCCTTGGGCCAAAGTGTTCGCGCCCGCTCAGTATCTTCAGTAGGGAATGCGGTGAGGGATTCGATAAGAGCAGAAAGCCGGTGCAGGGCCATCAAGAAAACCACTGTCTGGGTGGGAACATAGGTAGGCGGATTGGGAGCAGCACCCTTCCTGCCAGTTCCTGTGCAGACCAGTACTTGGTCGGAAACGCCCCGGTGAGTAGCCGGAATATCAGCGAAAAGAGATGCGCTCATGGCGCTAGTGATGCCAGGCAGCACAACGGGAGTGTATCCCTCATTTCGGAAGAAGTCAAACTCCTCGGCTCCGCGACCGTAAAGATAAGGGTCGCCCTGCTTTAATCGCAGCACTTTCTGTCCCTTTCTCAGCGAGGTAAGACCCATCTGCAAGAACTCTTCTTGTGCCTGATCAGCATTGCCAGGGAACTTGCGCGCAATGTGAACCTCTGTCCGACGAGGAATCAAGTCCAAAACAGGAGCTGGCACCAGCTTGTCTGCCAGAATGATATCCGCGTTTTGGATGGCATTGTAGGTGGCACGGGTCAAGAGGTCTGGATGTCCGGGGCCAGAGCCTGCAAGCACGATCCTGCCCTTCTCTGAAACCCCACTAATCCCATTTACACAATTTGTATCACTGGAAGTATCCCGACCAGAGTTATAGGCTTTCAATATAGCATCAATGTCGGCGTCAGTAATCGAGACAAGTTTGCGTAGCGGCCAGTACTCGCAGATTTGCGAAAGCCAGCGCATACGTCTTGTCTTTGCCGCGGCAACGTCGCCCTCTGTTACCAAGGCGTTGAAGTGGTGGCTTTGTCCAGATGTATCGTCGTCATCCACCTCCAGGGCCGTTTCACTCAAACCAGCCGCATTGTCTTCTTCCCAGAGTCGTCGACGCACGGCGCCAAGTCGATCAATCGCGGATCCAAGGTTGGCAGGCAAAAATGAACCAATTTCTCGTCGAAGTCTAGAGGCAAGCTTGCATCCACGACCTGATGTTGTAATTCCAATGTGAAGCGGGCCGTCGGAGTAGGTGGAGAGAAGGCTGAAAGAGCAAAGCTCGGGAGAATCAGACACATTCACAGGGATTCGAAGACGGCGGCATATTTTCGAGATATGCGGACCTAGACAAAATAGAATTAGCTTATGTCGACAGCATTCTACCTAAGTAGCACATACTCAATGGATGGTTGCCACCCAAGGTAACGAAAACCATGTCCACCACATGGTCTACCTCCTCTCTACCCAGACTAGTCAAGTCGCCGTCTTGAAATTCGCGCTTCACCCACTGTGCCGAGCCTTTAGAAATATGCTCTGACAGGGTAAAATGCATGTCCACCGTCTCCGGCGTAATTATAATCGGCGTGGCGCCAGCTTCCAGGCTCTTCGTACATCTCGCTGCGGCAAGAGGGCTGGCGCCGACAATCAAATGGATCTGCGACTCGGTATTCCATGCTGCCATCAAGGGCACCGGCTGGCCAGAGCCGTTTGAGGCGTCCTTCATAGTGTCGTGTGGCCGCAAAGTGCGGGTTGCCCCTCCAAGATAGATGCTTGCTTTAATCGGATCAAATGCAAATCGGCAGTCGAAAATGCAAGTATAAAAGAAAGTCGAAGCACTCTGGAATGTAATTATAGCAATCCTTTGTCACACGATTGACTCAATCCGATGTGCAAAGATTCCGCGGAGAAAGAGAAATTACTCTGGACTGAGTAAAAGGCCCGTCGCGATTGGAGATAACGTCGCTGATAAGGAGCCGGGGTCGATCGAGTGGCAAACTAGATAGCTGCCGCTGTCTGCGCTCGACAATGCAGGTAAAAGGTCCTTGGCGAGAATGCTGGGGGACGCTCAGAATATGCAGATGCGATAATCCCACGCAGATCACACTCGACTGAGTCACTTTGTGGTTGCGGCGGAAGTTTTTCTATACAATTGCATGCCCTAAAACAGCCTAGGGCGAAATTGCGTGATTGCATTGGCAGCGCGACGCAAGCTTAGGTAAGCGGCCCCTGGGGTTAACGTAATCAACCACCGAACCGCGGATACCACCGAACCGCGGATTTTCAATCCAATTTCTATTCTCTCTGTTTAACGCGTCGAATCTTCATCACCACAATACAATATGCCTCTTTCTAAAGAGTCGCGTATTCAGATGGCTATTTCAGCCTATCAGAATGGTCAAATTAAATCAATTTTACGCGCTGCGCAGGTCTTTGCGATTCCTGAAAATACTCTACGCGATCGGCTTCATGGTTCAAAATCACGGACAGAACGACGCGCCAATGGTCATAGACTTACTGAATTCGAAGAGGAATTACTCTTAAAGCGATTATTGGAAGCAGATACGCGAGGATTTCCAATTCGACCTGAATTCCTACGTGGAATGGCTCAAACATTGCTTTGCAATCGATTACAAGATTCAACGGCAGCTCTCGGAATTAACTGGCCTTATAAGTTCGTTAAACGCCATCCTGAGCTACGTAAGCGATATACAAGACGTATTACCTATCAGCGCGCAAAGCAGGAAGATCCAAAAGTTATAAAACCGTGGTTTGAGACTTTACAAGCGACCATTCAAGAGCACGGCATACACGAAGACGATATCTGGAATTTTGACGAGACTGGCTTTGCAATGGGACTCTGCTCTACTTCAAAAGTGATTACTGCAGTTGAGCGCAGCGAGCGACCGCGTAGAGTCATTCAAGGCAATCGCGAATGGGTCACAGTTATCGAGACAATCGGGTCAAAAGGCATACATCTACCGCCAGTCATTATATTAAAAGCAAGCTTTCAACAAGCTGCCTGGTTTCAAGAACCTAAGCTTCCTCGCGACTGGTGGATTTCTACTAGTCAGAATGGCTGGACGACTGATGAAATAGGCCTTCTTTGGCTAAAAAATATCTTCGAACCGCTTTCTAAGCGCTATATGACTGGTGCAAAGCGCTTGCTTATTCTTGACGGCCATAGCAGTCATTTAACTGCTGAATTCGATGATTTCTGCAAGCAGAATGCAATAATCTGTCACTGCATGCCTGCTCATGCTTCGCATCTTCTTCAACCGCTTGATGTGGGTGTCTTTAGCCCGCTTAAAGGGGCGTACGGAAAGCTTCTTGAACATCGTATGAAAGTCGGCAACAATCATATCGATAAAGAAGACTTTTTATCGCTATACCCCGATGCACACGCTAAAGTATTTACTTTAGAGAAGATTTGCAGCGGTTTTAAAGGGGCAGGGCTCAAGCCATTCAATCCAGAGCATGTTCTCTCAAAACTTACCTTCCGACTACGTACGCCTACACCTGCACCATCACTAGTTGAAGGCTCGATTTCCTCTGCTTTTCAGACTCCACAGAATACTCGCCAGCTAGATCGGAAAGTCCGAAACCTGCAGAACAGCCTTAATAAAAAACGGCAGCTTTCTAGCAGTCCTATTGCTCATATTCAACATCTTGAGAAAGCTGCGCAAATGGCGATGCAAACCCAACTGCTTTTAGAGCAAGAAATCAAGGCTTTACGGGCTGAAAACGGGCGACAACGTCAAAGAAAGGCAAAAAAGCGTGGTAAACTAGGTAATGATCGCCTTCTTAATGTACAGGAAGGTCAAAATCGGATTCAGCAGCATGATACGCAGCTTAATGAGCAACCTGAAGAATCTACTCCCGTGCCTCGCCGACGAGCTCCGCAGCGCTGCAGTGGCTGTGGAACAGTGGGACATGCGATTCGAAATTGCCCTAGTAAATAGCTATTTTTTTATGTATTTAATTAGTCAATTCTAATGGTGTTGGTGGTTTAAAAGCTTCAAAAAGTGGTGGCTATAGCAGAGAATCCGCGGTTCGGTGGTATCCGCGGTTCGGTGGTTGATTACGTTATCCAGTTGCAGCATCACTTGACTTGAGTATGGAGTACAGTACTGTCTCCTACGTAGTAATAGCAATACACTGTGCTTAGGAGTGAGACACGCAAATATTGGGATCGGATGCTGCAGAAGGCTGTTTAATATCGAGAGCAAAAAGCCTGCGTTAGTCGGCTTTCATTTTTTATTTGAGAGGAATGCCTCTAATTCAAATACTTGATGACAAAATATTCGTTCGAAAAACATGAGAACCTGCCAAATCACATAAAAATTTGAATGTCTCTCGCAGTGCAGGATACTGTTGGTGGTGCGGTTATGGAAGGCCATGCGCTCGAGGTGTTGACCGCATCACGTGAGGCGGAGCTTCCAGCTCGCAGCCAAAGGGCGCCCCAGAGCTCCGTCATCACCATCAGCCATCTCTTCGTTCTGCTTTCACGCATTGCCCTGTCGGTTCACCGCTAATTCGACTATAGCCCGTCTTGTTCCTCTCATCTATACCGAATTTCGTCGAAGACACTCATCACAGCCGCAATCATGTCCGACACCTTGCTGAAGGCCGAGAAGGACTTCACCAAGGATGCCGACAAGCTCATCCCGGAGGCGGAGGCCCTCGCAAAGGTGCAAACAATTTGCTTCATTATTTTGGATTCTATACTGACTCTGTTCCGTTCAGACCGATGTGCAGGGTGCGATCGATAAGTTGCTGGTCTTGGAGAAGCAAGCCCGACAAGTAAGATACTCCGAACGATTCTCACCCTCAGCTGCCATCCGATATTAACGTCTTCCCTTTTTGAATAGGCTTCCGATCTCGCAACTACCTCCCGTGTCCTGATTGCCATCGTCACCATCAGCAAAAACTCCGGCGACTGGGGTCTTCTCAACGACCAAGTGCTTGTCCTTTCCAAGAAACATGCCCAGCTCAAGCAGGCGACAACAAGGATGGTGCAGGAGGTGATGAAGTTCTTGGATCAGACTCCGAACATGGAAGTGAAGCTGTCTGTCATTGAGACACTGCGGACAGTCACTGAAGGAAAGGTAGATGCGCAAATTCCGAGTCCTACATGGTTGAGACTGACTATCCTCTCTTTAGATCTTTGTCGAAGTCGAGCGAGCCCGTGTGACCCGGATCCTGTCGAATATCAAGAAAACTCAAGGCGATCTCAATGCCGCCGCAGACATCCTGTGCGAACTGCAGGTGGAGACATTCGGATCGATGACACGACGTGAAAAGACCGAGTTTATCCTGGAGCAGGTCTCTCTGTGCATCGAGCGCGGAGACTGGACTCAGGCCTCGATTCTGATCCGTAAGATCAACAAGCGCTATTTCAACCGCAAACCGAAGAAGTCCGCCGAGGAGATCGAGAAACTGAAGAAGCAAGCGGAGGAGCGGGAGAAGACCCGTGGACCGGATGAGGCTCCGATGGAGGTTGATGACGATGTTACGGACCTCAAGCTTCGTTACTATGACCAGCAGATCACTCTGGCCAACCACGATTACAAGTACCTCGATGTTTGCAAGAACTACCGAGAAGTTCTGGACACTGAGGCTGTCGAGAACAACCCAGAGCACCTCCGTGCAGTGAGTTTTGCCTGCAAAATTTCCTTCTCATTTGCATGTTGCTGATCAGTATTTACCTAGTCTCTCGCTCGCATTGTCTACTATATTGTCCTGTCTCCATACGACAACGAGCAGTCAGATCTTCTGCACCGCATTCAACAAGACTCCCGACTTTCGCAGGTTCCCGAAGAAGCCCGGCTGATTAAGCTGTTCACGATCCCCGAGCTGATGCGCTGGCCGATGGTTGCAGAGCAATTCGGTCCCCACCTGTGCGGCACCGATGTGTTTGACGCCCAGCCCCAACAGTCCTCCGAGAACCAGGCCAACCGGAGATGGGAAGACCTGCGCAAGCGCGTTATCGAGCACAACGTGCGGGTGGTCGCCAAGTACTATACCCGAATCCAGATGGGTCGCCTGACCCAGCTTCTGGACTTGACAGAGGAGGAGACCGAGAAGTATATTAGCGATCTGGTCACTTCGAAGACCATCTACGCTAAGATCGACCGACCGGCCCGCCTAGTCAACTTTGCCAAGCCCCGTGATGCCGACGATGTCCTCAACGAGTGGAGCAGTGATATGAAGAACCTGCTGGGTCTTTTGGAGCGCATCGATCACTTGATTACCAAGGAGGAGATGATGGCTCGCATCCTGCCCACCCGTGGCAAGGAGACCAAGGCCCGCTAATTGGACTTGGGGATGGACGAGATGTGAATGTTGCCTCCGCGTGTAAAATAATTCGCCGGTAGACTCTTATGAAGATGCGAGCCACTATCTGTGGAGATCTAAATGAGTATGTTCGAGTAAATCATTGATCGAGAATCCAATTGGAATCATTTAATCCGAAAGTAACATGAGCCCGTCTATCACGTTCATGCTATGGGTATAAATCTAGTCTAGCCAGGGCCCAGCTTCTATGTATATACATCTATTGAGCCTCCTAGAATGGCACATCCATATCATTCACATCTTCCTCTTCCTCTTTTGCATCACCATGGCCCTTCTTTAACTGCTCCTGGATGAACCGCACCGCAGCATCCAAGAAAGGCCTCTGGCTCGGTAAGAAGTGACCACCAGGATGCCAAATAACCAGACCATCCTTCCCAGGATTTCCAGCACAAGCATCAACCAAAGCCCGACTCCGACTGTCCTCAACAACCGCATCCAAAGAGCCTAAAACATGCAGCACAGGCGTCTGGATAGCCGGGTTCTCATAGAATCCCCGATACCGCGGGCCCGGCGCCCGGAACCCACTATAACAAATCGCAAACTTCAACGGCGGGTGCTCGAATCCCGACGCTTCAAAGGCACTGGGGAACGGCATCCCCGCCGCACCATCAACCTCGTCCTTGGCAAATTGCGCAAAGACATCCTTCCGCCCCGGCTCGAGTAACCCCACAACCATAGCCGCCAGCGCAGCGCCTTGCGAGAACCCGATTATGCCATCGAAGGGGCCTTCTTCGTGGAGCACCTTCGCGACAGTCGCAAGGCCTTCTTCAATTCCTGTATACAGGGGCGGGTTGGCGCTATTCGAGCGGCGCCACCAACCGTATGCTTCGATGTCTTCGTCTGGGACGCCGGAGTCGGAAGGTTCGTAGCCTGGGATATCGCTGGGTTTGAGCTGGAGCGGGGCAGTTGGATAGATGGCGGAGACTTCGTGGAGCGGCAGGGTCTTCTGAATGTGTTTGGTCAGGGCACGGCTTTTCGCGTGGAAGAGAGGCCCCGACTGGGTGTAGCCGTGGAGCATGAGGAGTTTGAGCGGTTGCCGGGTGGAGGTGGAGGGGACGGGATTGGGTGCCATGGTGAATAGAGGTCGGGTACTTCGAATTGGAGATTTGGATAGGAGGGAGAGACTATGTCGGACTGCAGACATAGAGGCAGGCGGAGGTGGAGAAGGGCCATGCGCAACTCGACCGTGTAGCAACGGAAACCATTGGAAACCCCGATAAGCGCGAGGTCAGCCTTATCGCGCCCAAACTAAAGCGGCCCAATTGGTCGGTCCCGCCAATTTCGTCACATCTTTTGTTTACTCCGACAACAAACATGGCCAACCTCAACGACTACGATCTTGAGGCGCTTGACGCCAAAATGCAGGCTTTGATTGGGTACGTACAGCCCCAACAGAAGTAACAATTATCCTCAGCACTCTCCATATCGCATCCGATGTTGCAGCCCCTGCCTGAACATCTCACCAAGACGAGCAAATATAAAGAATTCTAATAAAAATACAGTGTCTTCGAATCCCTCCGGAAAACTAACCTCCTACTCCCAACCCCACCATCTTCTTCACCTATGACTTCGGCCGCAACACCCACAAATCAGCTGACGGCCAACGACAGGTCCGAGTACGTAGCCGGCGACACCGCCGCCGGAGAAGCAGTGAATGAAATCATCGGCCGAAACTCCTTCGCCAGCATGCTTGTCAGAGCTGAAAGAGGTAAACTGACGGCTATGATTGGCGGCCCGGTCGACATTGGTCCAGATATTCGGAACAAGGCCAAGGAATTGTAAACGCCATAGGCTGGTTCCTTGGTTGTCTGACATTCGTCCTTTTATTGGGAATTGAGCGAGTATAGCGAACGTTGCTCGCTTTTGAACGAGGTGTGGATCTGGCTTTCTCTTTCAACTGGGCAAAGGAAGGATCCCCTGATGATGATTCTACTTTTCCGTTTCTCGCATTCTCGAGATACGTTCGTTTGTCCTCGACTTGGTTTTTTCGTGACTTCTGTCTTTCACGATGTATCACCACACACAAAATTGACCATACCCAAATATCAGCGACGCAATTTCCGATTTGCAGTTTAATATGTAAACTCTATTCAGCGAGAGCTCTATCTATATCAATATGTTCGGAAGAGCACTAAGCCGAACAATAACACAACATGATACTTTCTAACAAGACAATCCCAACCCAGGTGAAGCTCTACGTCTTGAGAAACCAGACCCAATCTGCACAACCACGGGGAAGTATAGCAGATCCCCACGACGAAATTCGCCCTCCCAAATGACATCATGCTCTGAACTGTTCCTGGACAAGATCGTATCCGCTGCGCAGTTACGTAGCCGGAGCCCGCGGTGGGGACTGTTGCGGGAACGCACGTCCGCACGGTCTTTATGGGGGGATGGGAACGAGGACCTGGCTCAGTTTGAGACGAACTTTGGGATCATGATGACATTAGGGTGTTCTTTGGGCAAGCGCCGCTAGGGTAGGGTCTTGGTGTGTGGGTTGGGTGAAGGAAGGAGTCTGCGTCTTACTGAGGGTACAGATACATTCATGGCGGTGGTGATGGGTTGTCTAGGTTAGGTATCTGCTACATGCTACTTCGTAGGGCAGAAGTACAAAGTACGAATGAATTGATCAGTCTATGGGACCTAGAGCGTATGTGGCTGGATTACCGGCGGCCGACAGATCTACAGCATATCGTTCTACAATAGAATATACCGAGTATCAACAACTCATATTGAGTAGAGAACCCATTATACAAGAGATGCAAGTACAGGACAAAACAAAAAGCAAAAACGAGGGCACAGCAAAGCGACGTGCCTTTTGTGCCAGATATCCGGAACTCCCTGAGCTGAATGCTGCAAGTGCTTTTTTTTTTGGTCGAATGCTTTTTTGTAGGAGGGCGTCATTCCATCTTCTATCTGTCATCAATCGCAGAAACGGAAGGGAAAAAAGCAAGAATGAACGGTTGAAGCAAAAGACGACGCTGTGATTATTAAACCATCACAGAGAAAACGATGAGAAAGTCAAGTAGGATGAAGAAAGAGACGGGTTTCAAGACGTCACATTTCAATTTTTTTTTGGTTTCCAGGGAAGAAAGAAAAGTGGTATGGATCGTATCATATCATTTTGCACGTCTCCCACCCTCACTTCACTCGTTCAACATCTCCAAAACTTTCGAATCGAAGACGTCGTCGGAAGAGAAACAAGAGCGAAAGGCGCGTCATCCCGTGAAAAGGCGTAGGTAGAGATAGGAGGGAGAGGGAAAGAGTAAAAAAGGGTAATTGTTGTATGTGACATTTTGAAAAGCCGGCGGTCTCCGTTAACCGAATCCAATGGGGAGTGGTAATTTCATCCCAGTTGCTCCATGCTATTTCCTCTGCGTTTCAACAAGACAAAAAAGAGATTTCATTTGCGCGTCTCGTTTACTTCCGGCGGAAGGAGCAGCCCTCAGTCAGACGGGCCTTACCACCAGTGGGCTGGCACAGAACGGTGGAGCAGCCGGCACAGATGACGACGGTCTGGGCGTGCGAGAAGACGGTGGTGATGGTGAAGCAGCCGGGGCACTTGACGTCCATGAAGAAGGAGCGGGGCTGGGGCACAAGGGTCTATCCAAGCAGAGGTCATGTCAGTATTTCAAGATTCCAACATTTCCATATTCCCAAATTGGGTATTCCACTTCTCGATTTCAAAGTTGTGGTGGTATAGTGGCAACGAGAGTGGTGGTGTGGTTGAGTTGTGTAATCGAGTGTCGATGATATCGGAGGTATCGTGTGTCCACTCTCCATCTCTCGGTCCACATCCACCACAACTTCAAGTCGATTTTTCCCGTCGGATTCCGGAGTTCAGCGTACCTTAAGCTTGTGCTTGCGGGCCTCAGCCTGAGGGGTGGGGTTGAGAAGGTCGATCGCGAGAACCTGGAAGAGCACTCGTCAGCAAAGACTTTTTCTTTCAGTGTTGAATCGGTATTTCGATGCAGCCCACGGGGGCTCTCGCACGGTGCGGTTCGAATCGAATCGGTGGGATGAAAGGGCACTTGGCAGCAGGGCGAGGGCTTACCATCTTGGCGGTTTTTAATCAGCGAGGGGGTTGATGAATGGCGCTGATGGCGATGGCCTTGTGGATGTCGGAAGTGATCCCAGGAGGAGTTTGAAGGGATTTGTCTCGGGGGGCTGCGCTACCCTAATTTTAGGGTTTGTGCAGATTTTGCCCTCGCTAATCTAACTGAATGTGGGAGCCGCGAGGGGTAGTTCCCGCCAATCACACCGCCCACCCGCCCCTGCTGACTCACCGCCCGCCAGCTTTCCGTGGTTCTGCCGGGTCAATCGGGCAGGCTGTCGCTTGACGTCCTACTTCCTTACGGGGGATGTTGTTGTCACCATAACACATTACACTCATATTCTACAATAATGCACGCGGTACGCCCGGTGTTGAAAACGTATATACTGGCTGAAATCAAATCATTAGGTCCGCCCACATTAGATTCTTTTTGCCTCCACACTCCACCAACGTTGAGCACTGGTCGAACATTGTCGATTCATCCCCGCAAATCGCGATTCGTCTGGTGCTTCGGCTTCGATCCGTCGGAGGTTGAACTGACCCGCATGCACGAACCCGACGAGCCCCCAGACAACTGATCTACTCGATCAGCTGGAGATTTACTTGCACCGTTTTATTGCGCCTTCTTCGAGCCCTCGACCTGGGCCTTGAGGCCGTTGCTGTCCTTGGTCTCGGTCTCCTCGACATACGGATACTTGATGGTTAAGCACCAGATATCGATGTAGTCACAGATGGTAGTGATCACGTCGAACTGGAAAAGATGTTAGTTGGGAATCACTTCGAAGAAACAGGAAACCCAAAACAAGCGAAGACATACCACGAAGCTGCCGTAGATGCCGACAGCCAGACCGAGGCATCCGAACACAAATGCGACTTGTCCTTGGCCATTGCCAAGGACGGGGCTCGACCAGAGACCGAACATGGGGCCGGCACTATCGATCACGCCCAGAGCTAGCGGGTACAGCAAGATGTTGTGGTAGGGGAAACCAGACTGCACCAGGTGGCCGACAATCATACGACCGACGGAGTAGGCGTTGACCAGGCCGATGAAGAGTCCGAATGGAATAGTGTAGTTCTCCATGATGGCGGGATGCAGGTACAGATAGGCCGGGATGAGAGTCCAGATTGCCGCCAGGGGCAACAGACCATACAGTGGTGCAATGGGGTCCTGGCCGCGCTGGCGTCGGACTTGCATGACATGATAGATGCTCGAGCCGGTGGCGAAGAAGAGCATCAACGCGCCGTACACCAGGTACCACTCGGTGAAGGGCATCTCGTAGACACGCTGCGAGATGAAGCTCGGCTTGGAGACACCAACAGTCTCAAGCATTGGCCGGTGCCAGAAGCTGCCGCCACCCATGTATGCGGTGAAAGCGTAGACAGTGCAGAGGGTGAGGATTCCCTCGACGGGGCCAGAGATGACGCCCAGCGTCAGGACCTGGGTGTAGTACTCATCCCAGGTTTGGACGTAGAAGGTCATAGTAGCTTTTTATGTTAGCTTGAACCCGGAAAGGTGTTCTGCTGGGAGGTAAGAACGTACATCCAAACAGACTCAGAATCGTCATCCACGATTGGCCGAGGTTCATCGCAGCCGCAAAGATCAAAACACCCAAGCCGGTGTTACATGCATCGACACCTATAATGAAATCAGGTTATAACCAATTCAATTCCAATTTTCCATTAGTTCTGGCATATCGTAGAGCCACATACTGTGATCAAAAAGCTCACCAAGCGGACCACTCTGCTTCGTCCGACGTCTAAACAATAGTCAGCAACCTTCGGATGATCTCCAGGCTAGATTGGACGCAACATACGCCTGCATGCCATCTACCGCATCGAAAGTCTGGTAGAGGAACAGGCCCAGCGCACAGCTGGCATAGACCCAGGGTGGACAGTCCTGGTCCAGATTCGGGTTGTACCACATGACGGTGAGGAAATTAACCACCACGAACATAAAACCGGTCAGGGTAATCTACCACGTCATTTGGTTAGTTTCCATTTTCAATACGCAACGAGGCCACGTCTCGTCTTCTTCCAAAAAAAAAAAAAAAAAAAAAAAAAGGAAGCTCCCTGAGCAAGCTACTTGGCGATAAAGTAAATCGCATAGGGTTCGTACTTACGGCATTAGGTCTTTATCGCGCGAAAAATAAAATGTTAGCCACGGTTTCATGTTGGAATCTACTCCCAGAGCCCAGATCTTCGGGGATGGAAAGTAGACAAAGGGGACAGCTTCGCGCCAGGGAAAGCTGCAAGCTCCGGAAAATTTTACTCTAGCTCCCACAACTCTGCAGCTAGATCCCCGGAGCTCCAAGCTAGGTGGTGGAACTCACGCCATGCCCATGGGGAAACATCTAATCACACATTTGTTGTAGAACGGCTTCAGGATATACCGGCTGATAAGCGAGTGGTCGATGCCTGCATAGCGGTAGTTGCGCAGGTTCGGCAAGTGGTGTTGACGAATGTACACCATGCTTGAGGTGCTGTCGCAGTCCTAAACTGTAATTTCGAGAGGTGTTCGGGTCGGGTTCCTGCTGTCGTCGTGTTTGGAGCTGGTTGTTTTCTTTTCACCGCATATATCCCTGGTGTTGACGTGGAGACCTTGGGGTTCGGCGGTGGAGGACAGCGACGCGCGTGGGAGGGCGGTGGTGCCGGGGGTCGAGGTTGAGCGAGGAATAAGAGAAACGAGACGAGGAAAGCGGAGAGAAGAAAGAAAAGTCGTAAGTCGTCAGGGAAAAGAGTTTGTTGAGGCCGAGGGAAAAAGGAAAAGGGTTAAACAAATTAAAACGGGCCCCGCTGGGGACGGCGCGAAGACCGGGTGGAAAAAGATGGGTCCCAGCGACGTCGAGATCGGCGGAGGCGCTTCTGCAAAACAGTAGCCACTCTGGGTTTGTTTTTCTTTTTCTTTTTCTTTTTCTTTTTCTTTTCTTTTATTTTTTATTTTTTATTTTTCTGGCGATCTCGTCGGAGTTCTTTGTTATGATCTCCAGGAACCGATCACATCTACTGTGTATTTTACAGTGTCTACAAGAATGAACATGCCAGGGTGTTCATCACTCGGTGGCCCACGTGCAGGATGGTCATCGCCGCGGTCATGTCGTGGTTGAGGGTGCGACGCCAATAAGATGCATCACCGGGCAAGGATCGGCCCTGCGAGAGGCGGGGGACTGTCCGAGGCCCTCATTTTCGGTTAGTTTCAAGGACGCGTACCGAGGGGGTGGTCAAGATGCAAAAATAATCGTTGGAACGGATGCGCCATGCCTAGTTGCTACTAGTAGATACATGATACAGAATAACCACTGCCCAGGCCGAACAAGATACTACCGACTAGAATAGTGCTTTCGTTCTTCCAGGTCCAGGCGTTCGGGGATTGGACAGTCACATCAAGTGTTCACGGGACGACGTCCATGTCATCATACACTCCTGCAGCCAACTCATAAGGGTATAGCTCAAGAGGTGGAAAGCAGGGTGGAGTTGGTGCCAGTTGGCTCCCGCCTTGTTCCCCCTGGATCTTTAACCGACAGGGCTCCACGGCATCGGGACCAGGATCCGGCTCTGCATCGTCTGAATGAGGGGCACTGTCTTGTGTACCGTCTCGGCCCAGCCTTCGACGCTCCACGACTGCTCGCGGCGGATCTTCCGCTCCTCCAGGTTGGCATACTGCCACAGGTGGTGCACCGTGTTGAGGTCACCGATCTGGACGAACCACGCGCCCACGCCTTCCATCACCTCTCGTCGCGCTGTCAGACCCCGGCGCCAGTGGGTCTCCCATTCCAAAAGGTTGCCTGGGTGCAAGGTGTAGGATCGGAGCTCGAAGAGTCCACCCAGGCGGCGTGGGGGAGTGGTGGGCCAGAAAGAGAACTCCTGCATCAATGAGGTCTTCTTGCTCTTGATCAAGCTCTTCAGCTTGTGGTCAAAGTCGCGGAATTCGGGGTGCTGCGAGATGTTGTGCAGAGAGGCGTGGTAACCTTCATAACGTTGGTATTCCCAGATGTGGACTGGTTGATCCCAATTAGGGTCAGTAGGCACTCTTGGGGCAAGCAAGGAAAGTGTCTATGGAATACTTACTGAAGGTGTCGTTGTCACCGACCTGTGTGCGCCAACTGCCGACCAAGTTGACCCGGTTCTCCTCAGTGCCGGCCATGCGGGGATACCACTGGCCCACCAGATCCACATACTCATCAACCTTGTCGGGCTTGACATCGTGGAACACAATCGAGTGGACGTACTTGCCGCGGGCAAGTACCTGCGAGAAGGAGCGTTCGATGTCCTTGTCAAAGTGTTGGCCCTCCTTGGTACCGTAGATGAGGGAAGAAAGGGCACCGCGCTTGTTGTGGGGGTCCAGTTGTTGTTCATCTCCTAAATAACGATGGGTTGCCAGTGAGCCTAATGCCTTATGGTCAAGCGCCTCGGCCGCATCAAACGAAGGGCGAATACGATCAAAGCTGCTCGCATTGCTCACACACGGAGCAGTGGGAACAGACTCACGTGCAGGGGAAGTAATAGAAGCATCGACAGACTGACTCTCTTGCTGCTCCTTTCTCTTGCGAGCCTCTTCCAGGTTCTCGCGGAATTCTTTCTGCCGCCTGTTGAACTCCTCGGCAGAATCAGCCGTTACATCTCGGATGGAGGGGGAGCGGTAGGCCACGGCGGACGAGCTGAAGGGCCGTAACAGCGAGGTCGCTGGGCGGATGAAGCGAGGGCCCAGCATCGTACAGGTGAGGGAGGGATGTGTAGGAAGCAGCAATAATTCAGAATCGACAAGGACACGTTGCTGTCGATGTGGTAAAAGAAGGGGTAAACAGCTATGGCGATCACCAAGCTGACTTGAAGGGCGAGTGGAAAGGACAGTGTCGAGTCACAAAGGGAAGAGTGAGAGAGTTGTAGAGGGGTTTAGGTGGATGGAGAATATGAGATGAAGAGAGGGGAAGATAGAATTGACGAGAGAGGGGAAGGGTCGCAGGGATCAGCGGAAGTTGAGAAAGAAAGGCGAAGAGGGCACGCGATGGGAAGTTCCCCGGAGTGCGTGCGCCGATTGGACTCCTGGGGGGAAGCTGGTCTGCGAAAGGGGTGGAGCGGGCAATTACGCAGTCCGGGTGCGTCGCTGGAGAAGCTCCACGGTGCTTACCATGAGCAGCGAATTGATTTGAGCGATAATCAGCGATGCACGGAGAAAGTGCGGGGAAAGGTGAGCTCGGGAGGTCGGGGGACTTTGTATCGTCGACTTCTGGCTAGACCGGGCATCGAGTCGCGGATCCACGGTAACTCTGGCTCCTACTCAGCAGGTAGATCCTATCAAGGTCATCGTACTCACTTTCTCGACAGCCAGTAGCCATGATACTATTGCGGATATCGGCGGTTTGCCTGCAGCTCACCACACGGTCAGCACTGCCGCTCGACCGGTCGTCGGATGATCGTCCCATCCATCGCTCCCTTTTGCCATCATGACGATACTGGCTCCAGCGGACTCCACTCTTTTGAGACCACTAGGAATCACGACGCTTGCCACTTGATGCCTGTTCAGATGTTGATCTCTCAGCTACCCCTAGGGTACTATGTTTGAAGCAAACAGCTATTCGATCTGAAACGGCTAGCCACGGGGCTATTCGTCTGGATGTACCTATCGCCCCATACTATACATTAGCAGCGTCGCTTGGACGTGACAAACAAACCAATCTGATGACGTCGATTCCCGGCACTCTCACCGCCCGGCAGATCATCCCACATCTCGACATCAGCCAGCCGAGTCCGATCGAGACCTGTTCGCTCAGTCGATCATCTCGCTATGTCAGAATCTCTCAATCCCCCGCTTTCGTACGAGCCCTCGGCTACGACGACTCATCCCCATGAGGCGGACTCCCTCCCCTCGGAGGTCATCGCTTGCCTGAAGAACTCCCGCTTCGTAAGAGCCCCGAGATACCCGCAGATTCACCTCAGCAACCAACAAATACTGACTTTGCAATTGCGAATAGCTTCATCTGGCAACATGTGACAACCTCACGCCTCACATCTCGCTCATGTCCTACACCTATCTCCCCTCGACTCCATTCGAACCCTACCCAACGATCATCATGACCACCAACCCCGCATCGCGAAAGACCAACCATCTTCTCCGAAACCCGCGCGTTTCGCTCCTCGTCCACGATTGGGTCTCGCACCGCCCGCCCACCCGGGCCTCCAACCCCGAGGGCCGTGAGGGTTCTCCCCGCCGGCCGCGACTCGGTCGTCGCTCGCCAGTCTGCTGCTCAACTTGAACACCAGTGCGCTGTCCAGCATCTCCACCACCATCTGCGGCGAGGCCCGCTTCTTGGAACCTGGCTCAGCGGAGGAGAAGTGGTGCAAGGAGCGTCACCTGGAGAACAACACTTTCGAGGAAGAGGAGATCAACCTCTTTGGTCAGCAGCAGCGCGAAGACCCGAGCCAGCGACGGCCGAGTATGTCCCTCGAGAGCGATGTGCGTGTAGTAACAGTGCAAGTGCGTGAGGGCCGCATTGCAGACTGGAAGGGTGGTGTTCGTGACTGGGTCTTGCTTCCTCAGCAGTCTCACGCCGGACTGGTCAATGGCGTATAGTTATGTCGGTTGAAATGATCGATACTATTTCCATTCTCTGGAGTTGCCATTCTGGTGCTCTGGTTTTCAAAAGCTAATCTACGGGTTGCTGAAATCACATTCGAATCATATGAGGATTTATTCTTGTTCAGACTCTGTTCTTAAGTGTTTCGTAAAGTAGCAGCATCGTCACCTACATGTAGGCTCAGGTAAATTATATTGCATGTAGCAACGGTCTTGAATCATTCAAATATGACCATGCACCTCGAGAACACCGTACCTTCATCCATCGATAAGGTATGTGATTGTGCATCGTATTTGCAGAAAGGTCGTAGAGTAGTGTAGCTTTCAAGGTTAGTTGCAGCAGAAAAATATATATCGTCGCCATCATTGGACCAAACAACGGCTTGCTCATTGCACAATGTAATATTTTTAATTTTTTTTAAAAAGGAACAATAATAAACATACTTGAACCTCAAATATACCTTAGTCAAAGATCAAAACTCGTATTCTGGACCTGCGGCGCAAGCTAAATCGAGCTTCGAGGGGCTGCCGTGGCTGTCACGGTATCAGTGCTTATCGGAGCCGGAGCTCCCAGCTTCTCCGCAAGTGAATTGCATTGACCTTACAACTCCTCGGAAAACCTCACCACCCCAACCAACAATGAACCACCCAACCAACCAATTCCTCTAAAATAAATCATCTCTACAACACGAATCAAGACATTCCCGTGACCACTAAAATGAGACTCGCCCACCTGCACCTCCCAAGCATAACGCCCTTTTCCCGCGTCTCCGCTCTCCAACAAGCCCTCACTACCCGCTTCCTCACCCACAAGAAACTCGCCTCACCCGGCTCAATCTCCTCCCAAGAAAGCGCGTACGCACACGAGCTCGCTGCGAAAGCAACACCACCCCCGCCCGACCCCACAATCATCACTTTCTCTCCAAACCCAGTCTACACGACCGGCCGCCGCGACCTGCCGCCCTCAAACACCGCCCCACCAGATCCAAAAAACCTCTCCCTCCCTCCGGCCCTCGAGCCAATTCGCTCCCTCCTCACCCCCGGTGCCAACGGCCCTCCAAAAGCGGAGTACCACCCCACCCTCCGCGGCGGCCAGACAACGTACCATGGCCCTGGGCAGATGGTCGCGTATACGGTTATGGATCTGAAGAGGCTGGGTCTCACGCCGCGGTGTCACATTCGAGTTTTGGAAAATAGCGTTATTGATCTCTTGAGTCAATACGGGGTAAATGGGTTTGTGACGGAAGATCCCGGGGTGTGGGTTGATGGGCCTTGGGGTGGTTCTGCGGCCAGGAAGATTACTGCTGTCGGGGTGCATTTGCGGAGGAATATTAGTAGTTTTGGGATTGGGTTGAATGTTACGCAGGATCCGATGTGGTTCTTTAAGCAGATTGTTGCTTGTGGGCTTGAGGGAAAGGAGGCGACTAGTTTGGAAGGTGTTGGTGTTGAAGGAGTTGGAATTGATGAGGTTGCTAGTGGGTTTGTGGAGCGGTTTGTTAGTAGAATTAATCAGGATTTTGCTTGTGGGGAAGGTGCATCAGGGGAGAAGATTGAGGAGGTCTATTCTGTTAATGAGGAGGATCTTTTGAGGGGGTAGGGTTTGAGAGCATATTTATTCGCCCAGCAATGTATGTATTATTTTATGGAGATGGATATGAAAGCCGAAAGCCTTTCCCAATAGGTATGGAGACTTTGCCATGATGAGTACCGAATAAAGCGAAGGTAAGGTCAACGTTGAATAGCTATTATTGGTGTATATAAAATAAGAAAGAGCCAACCTCGCTGAAATGCCCGACAACAAGTGTGGGAGCCATGCTAAAGACGCGGACGTGGAGCAAACCAGTGTCCGGCCAGGTAGAGAAGATAAATGTGTCACAAATCGGGAAGATGTCAACATCAATGCAGAGGGGAATCAAAAATACATACGGGAGTAGGGGAGGGAGAAGGCAGAGGGGGATCAACCACAGGAAGAGAAAAACGCAAGATATGGCGAATATATGGCAAAACGCACGAATCATTCACGCGTCAGAAATAGTTATAGGCGGCTGGAGGGTGTGATCTGAGATCTGAGATCAGAGGATCACGCAAGATGAACCGGACCCATTGGACCCGGCAGGCTTGACCTCCAGCGCAACCTTGGCGGCTTCATAGAAGCTTTCTCGAATACCGCGGTTCTGCACAGCCGAGCATTCTGGGAGGATTAGCGCGATAGCCCTTGGGACCGAAGGCTAAGCGGACATACCCAAGTACTTGACGGCACCAATTTCCTTCGCCTTGGCCAGACCCTGTTCGAAAGAGATGGCATTCGGGTTCTCGTTCTCCTCGTCGTCTTTGCGCAAATCGCACTTGAGGGCCGTGAGGACAACCCGCACGCCGGGGCAGTTTTCATTGATTTCCGCGATCCACTTTGAGCCGACGTTCTCGAATGAGTCGGGGCTGTCGACCTGTACCCGTTTTGTTAGGTCTGGGCGCTCCGTGTGGCTCGTATGGCCGGTACTCACACTGAAGCAGAGCATCAGCACGTGCGTGTCTTCGTATGACAGCGCGCGCAACCGGTCAAATTCCTCCTGGCCGGCGGTGTCCCAAAGCGAAAGTTCCATATGTACATTGTCGACGAAGATGTCTGCCAGTGGCTGCGCATAAGTTATTCCGTCTAATGTCGAATGTGGGGAGTTATAGTCTAATTTGAAAGATCCATACCATGAACGTAATTTTCTAGAAAAAGCTAGGTTAGCCTCTGGGTACTCTATTTGAGCGAGGGGGAGATACGCATACCAAAAACTGTTGGTTCGCTGTGTAGTACAAGTTTCGGCGTCAGTATACCCTGCGGCCGGATAAAAGAAATTGTGATTCGGATTGGCCTTACTAAACAGTCGGGAAGAATCTGGATGATAAGGAGACAAATTAGCCGACATGTTCCTGCGGGTGTACTGCAGCTCCCCTGCGGAGGGGAAGCTCGGGAGTTTTGGAGGGGGGAGGGGTTGGGAAGATTGGGGATTGCGCACCCTCTTGTAAACACGTTTAGCGCCGAAGTCTTGCCGCAAGCACCGTCGCCACTGAGCAGAGGATGTTAACAGAGCCGCCCGCCAGTCGCAGGGAAGCGCGTCCAAACTAACAGCAGCACCATCTTGCGCTGGACGACCTTCTGACGTCCGCACAGTTCCATTGTGAATTAAAGGGGTCCCGCTGGGAGCGAAGTTGGAGAGATGGGAGGAATCGAGCGTTTCGCGGGATCCAGCAGATGTCGGTCTGGGGTGCGCGCGAGGAGTCGGGGGAGGAATGCGGTTCGAGGGAGAAGAAGGTGTCGGGAGAGGAATCCAGCACTGCCCGGAGTCGATGACATCGCGCCCTGAAAGGGATCGGCGAATAAGGTACGTCTCTCCTCCTTCTGGTCCACTTTGCTCGGCTGCGTCTCCCTTCTTCCCATCTCACGACATGATGGCAGCACTGCGCTATCTGGCGATGGCTTGGCCGGGGTGCATGGTGCATTCATGGCCATCGGTGCTGCGAATGGGCCGAGCCCATTGTCGTGCAGTGAACGACGCAGCTCTGCCAGGAAAGCTGGTCTTATTCGCAACTTGCCGTTGCAGTGTCATGGCGGTATATCGAATGAACCCGGTCTGGCCCTTCTTATAGAACGAATGACCTCGCGAGACCAGTTCGGCTGGATGTCTCAGATGCGTAGCTACGTCGTGGTGGGTACAGAACGAGCGTCACAGGCACGGCAATTGGAGCGCGGGGAAAATGAGAGGTTGCTAAGCTTAGTACTATGTATTGACGGTGTTCTTAGGATTGATTGTAAATTCTTAGAATACAATTAGTGCATTGTTTAAAACCCTACTGTGTTTTATCAGCTGTAGCTCTTACTCGTAGGTCTTGCGCAGTGCGCCGACTGGTGCGGTTGCCTCACGGAGGAGTTGCTGGGCGGGGACGGGCGGAGCCTCGCAGCTCTCACTTCGCAACCAAGCTTCCACCTCCACCCCGCGACCACCAACTCTCTCTCGCGGCCCGCCCCCATTCTCTCTCTACCTTCCTGACTGCCCCATATCGATCGCGACTGCCAGAATGTCGGACGACGACGATTTCATGCAGGATTCGGGGGACGAGGAGTGCGTGCCCTTGCCCCAGTGTTTGGCCCACTGGGGACTGAACTGACTCGTGCGCAGCTACGACTTTGAGTACGAAGACGATGACGACGAACAGGAGGGCGATATCGGTATCGAAAACAAGTACTACAATGCGAAGCAAATGAAGGTGGACAATCCAGAGGAGGCAGTGGACGAGTTCCTAGGTGTACCGGCACTCGAACAAGACAAAAGCGACTGGTGAGGGGACGATGCGACTGAAGCATGCAGCAACCGATATACTAAAACCCATACAGGGGATTCAAGGGACTGAAACAGGCTATCAAGCTGGAATTCAAGCTCGGGCGATACGGCGATGCCGTGGAACACTACCGCGAACTCCTCACCTACGTCAAATCCGCGGTCACGCGCAACTACTCCGAGAAATCCATCAATAATATGCTCGACTACATCGAAAAGGGATCCGATGATGCCCAAGCATATCATTGCATGGAACAGTTCTACTCCTTGACCCTCGACTCCTTTCAGAATACCAACAACGAGCGACTCTGGCTGAAGACCAACATCAAACTGGCCCGGTTGTGGCTGGAGCGCAAGGAATTCAGTCAGCTCAGCAAGAAGGTGCGGGAGCTGCACCGTGCATGCCAGCGGGAGGATGGATCGGATGATAGCAGCAAGGGAACATACCTGCTGGAGCTCTTTGCCCTCGAGATCCAGATGTATGCCGAGATGAAGAACAACAAACGCCTCAAGGTGCTGTACCAGCGGGCGTTGCGAGTGCGCTCCGCCGTGCCGCACCCCAAGATCATGGGCATCATCCGGGAGTGTGGCGGCAAGATGCACATGAGCGAAGAGAACTGGAAGGAGGCACAAAGCGACTTCTTCGAATCATTCCGGAACTACGATGAGGCGGGCTCCATGCAACGCATCCAGGTGCTCAAGTACCTCGTGCTCACGACCATGCTGATGAAGTCAGATATCAATCCCTTCGATTCCCAAGAGACCAAGCCCTACAAGAGTGACCCCCGAATCTCGGCCATGACCGACCTCGTGGACGCCTACCAGCGCGATGATATCCATGCGTATGAGGCTGTTCTGAGTCAGAATCCTGACGTGCTGGCTGACCCCTTCATTGCGGAGAACATTGACGAGGTCAGCCGCAACATGCGCACCAAGGCCGTGCTCAAGCTGATCGCCCCCTACCACCGATTCTCCCTGCAATTCATCTCCAAGCACATCAAGATCCCCGTCCCGGAAGTGGTGGAGATCCTCAGCTTCCTGATCCTGGATAAAAAGCTCGACGCCCATATCGACCAGAACATGCAGACGGTGGTGATCGCCCGCGCCAACGATTCCGAGCGCCTACGCGCGGTGCGGGAGTGGAACAACATGCTGCAGACCCTGTGGAAGACGACTCGTAACGGCGAGGGGCTTCGACCCGATGACGGGACCCACGGCGGCGGCCCAGGGACCATGTTCCAGGGCTTTGGAGACGAGTCGTACAGCGCACTGCACCGGCGCACACGCGGCACGGGGGATCGCAAGCAAATCCCTAGTAGATTTGCGGTCTAGAGCCCACCGCGGCCTCGACACATTCCCCGTTTACATTCTGATCCTTTGATCGGTTTGCACCTTTGACCTTTTTGAGGCTTTTCGTGCTTTTGAACTGCGGGCATCCGCACCGCACGTGGTACCTTGCGGATGGAGCCGAGAGTCAAAGAAAATGTCTCCACGTGGATGGGTACTACTAATATCTGTCCAAATCTCACACCGCGATTTCGCCGGGTCCTGGCAGTGGAGCGGTCGCTGGCCTGAAGCCATTTGACGCCCCGCAATTTAGAGTTGCTTGTGACATAAGACGCTAAAAATTTCACGATAAGATGAACAATGGATTTTGCATTTCTTTCTCCAGAGTTGCCGTATTTCCCGTCTCGTAGCCCCGCAACCTCCGTACTGCTACCAGATCGGGCAACCCGAGGTAAACCCGAGTGTGTTACGAGGGCGAACCTTGAGTCTCCTGCTGAGTACATACAGTAGGATGACATGTAGAAAGTCTGGTAGCGGAGGGACGGACCGTGCCTCTGTAAACCTGAATCATGTATTGTTATCTCCAGCCGGGACTTTGTGTCAGGGCAAAGTATGTTGCCTCCGGACTTTCTGCTAGTCCCCTAAGTAGGCATGGTGGGCGCATCCTCGTACACTGGGGCAGGGATACCTCTCGTCGCGTACCGCAACACACACAGTGCAAACTCACTGGTACAGTGTTTCCTGGAAGCCGGGTCAGTCGAAGTCGGCCCTAAGGATAGCCGCCGGGATTGCAATCGTTAGCCCTGCTCAGAACGGAAGCGACTCCGGCTATGCGGGCGTGCATCGTGCAGCGTGCGTCCCAGAAAACGAGGCGCGGCATGTGAATGGTCTTATCGCTCCCTCAGCCGCTGGGTCTCGCTGTGCACTTTCCTCGTGTCAGATCGCCCGGCTATTCGAGGCGATACTGCATGCACACCGGCTGCACCTTATGACAGTATTGTGCTGCTATCCGATGATAGCATATTGGATTGCCTCACAGGTGCTTAGTGGGAGCCTACTTTACCCCTGTGGAATATGGGAGGCTCGCGGTGTCTATGACACTACACTAGTGTAGGGTGATGTCGGTAGCCTTTTACTTCTTACATTTATTGTAGCGAAAGAAATAATATGATGTCGACCATACCCTGTATTATTTGATATGTCATCCCGCACGAGCTGTAAGATGATGTGATTCGGGCTCTGGTCGAACCTTGGAAAGGAATCCCCACGAAGCAAACGCAGCTCAATGACCCATCAAGTGTGATAGGTAGGGACCCATGACCTTAACGGTGGCGGGTACCGCTACACGTCCTTCTGACTCGATCCATGCCGGTACGCTGTCGGGGCCCGCCCTCCAGTTGGGATTACGATCACCCACCTCTCGCCCCCAAGCGCCATCGGGTGACGGGAAACTCTGCGCGAAGTTAATCCTTCCAGAAGGCTCGATCTCCCAGCAGAGCTCAGCAAGGCCGCGCTGGTTCTGGGCCAGCAGGGCCGAGGGCGGGCTAGGTCACCGGATCGCCGGGAGCTCTGCGCGGTCGTCGCAGTTGGCCGGGTTTCATTCCGCTGGAAAAAGCAATACGGGGCAGTCCCAGAGCCAGGGGGCAGTCTGTGTGTGTGCTGTGCTCGCGAAAATCGAAATATCGTGGACCAAACCGTCGGTTGCAGCATACCCGCGAATCACGGCGGGGCCAGTGCAACGGAGTCGCGATCAAACAATTTGAACAAATGGCAGCATCTCAGCCCTGAACCCCGCTTTTTGAATGGGTAAAAGGATACATCACAGCGGTACTTGTCCCGGTGTTGGTGTTGGACGTTGAGACATGGAAGAGAGCGCGCGGGTAAAGACCACCATAGAAATAGAAATAGAAATCAATCTGATTTAGTAGGAGTGGATTTGCCCCGGACCTTGCAACGGTACTTTGGTCATGACCCTATCCAAAAAAAAAGGAAAAGGAAAAAGAAAGGTCAACGTGAAACTGAATAGCGGGGACCTGTTTGCGCTCTGCGTTGGCACTCGATCCGCATCTTCAGACATCGGCGGGGCATCGTTTATTTTGCTCCTGTCCCCTCGGATGTTGGGTTTTTTCTGGTCGGGGTAGTTCTTTCCTTTTTCTCCTCCCCTCCGATCAGCTCTGCCCATATCATCCCCCCGTCACCCGCGAGCTGTCTTTGCTGGGAGCAACACCTCAAGACTCCCCCACCGCCAAAACAACCTCCGTCATCCACGCGCATCACTCCAGCATCACCTCCACTCGACTACCATCAACGCAATCACCAACATCACCAGCTGCACCGCTCCCCTCCATGATTATCTCATCCGGGTGATCGAGTCGCAGTCTTGGAACCTCCCAAGGTAGGCCTGAGCTCCCTCCCTCCCCCTCCCAAAAAAATTGCCCCCGGTCGCTTTTTCCCTTGCACGTCACGCCGCGAGGCTCTCCACCCCCCTCGTTGAGATGCCCGTTGGTGGCCTTGTGATGACTCGGAACCTATCTCCGCCGGCTTTCTTCTCGGCCGCGCTGGGAATCCCTGTACTCCCGTGTGGACCCGCGCGTTTGTGGTTCGTGCACCCTTTGGACTGAGGTCGAACGCGGCCTGTTGATCCTTCCGAGCCCGCCAACCATGTCCCCTTGCTGCAGATCAGGTAACCGTTGAGGGCGAAAGGGGATGTCTCGATGCGGCCATCGCCTCAGTCGTCTGTGCTAGATGCTTTCGCGCTGACATCATGGGCACCTCCCCCTCACCCCCTCTTCGCCGGTGATGAGCCCTGGCATGTTTGGAGTAAACTCGAGAGGCTTGGAAGGTGCTCACCGTCGTCGTGGCCCTGTCGCCCCCCTTGGCGTCTGGATTTCTCATCACAAATCCTCTTTCTGCCTTGGCTGGGCCCAATCACACCCGTCCTGCCCAGTTTCTCAGACGGAGTGCACACCATCTTCAATGTGAATGGTGGTGGACCACCGGCCTGCCCTGGTCTAAACCATTGGTTGGCCGGTGTTCATGCACGCCTCATGGATTTACATACCATGACTACCACTCGCTGCATAAGCTGTATCTGAATTTGCTGAGACGATGACAATAGTTTAGTTCCACCCAGACTGTCGGGTCGCCTGCAGTACCGCTGTGTTGCACAAGACGAAAAGCCGCGCTCCCGCGTGCTGCCCCCAAGGAGGAAACGCCTGAAGGATATGTCATCTCGCCTCGAGTGCGTTGCCATCGATTTCTACCGGTCATCATAACCTTCGTTTCTAATCTCTCTTTACCCCCCCACAGATAACTTTTGACCGGCATTTAGACACACCACTCTCCGTGAGAATCGGAAAAAAAAAATCATTTTGTTTTCTTTCTTCCTGTGTCAAAAAACAACTCCTACTTTCTTTTCTATCGTATGCGATGTCCTTATCAAAACCTCCCTGGAATCATTTCGGTCCTCACCATCCTTTCCCGGACAAACAGCGATTTCACAGTTTCTACCGGGACGCTCCTTCCTTTCTACCGCCGCTAGGATTCTCAATATCAGCTGCATTGGTCCCACCGGTCACTTCCAACATGAGTAACTCCGCCAACATGAATGCCCTCTCCCAGGACGAGATGGAGCGTTTCCAGAAGTTGTCGAATGAGTTCGAGCCTGATGTCCAAGTATGCGATTCACCCCCGTCCCCCAGTCTGGCCTCCCAGGCGAGGAAAGCTGACCCCGCCAAGGGACCCCTCGTCTCGACCAAGCAGTCAAGTCACAATATCGCGATGGAATATGCGAATGCGGACCCCGCTTTCGCTCGAAAGACGAATGTACGTTCCGCGCGACCTCAATTTTTTCTCAGCTCCATATTCACCATGCAAGCAGGCTCTTGCCGTGACACACCCCACAGTTCGCATTATGAAAGGTGATGGGAATTGCGGGTGGCGAGGTAAGTTCTTATGATTCGAGTGACCCATTCTGCGAATCGACGTATACTGATTGCTATTAGCCGTGGCCTTTGGATATTTCGAAACCTTGTTCAGCAGACTCGACCCGATCCGTGTTCGCCATGAAATGGCCCGTTTCAAGTCTCTCAACACCATGCTGAGCCAAGTCGGCCTCCAAGAACATCTTTACGAGATTTTCACGGACGCCACAGACGAGATCCTAACGCAAACCCACCAAGCTATCCAGAACGGCGAGCCGGACGAGGAATTCCTTGTCAGTGCGTTCAATGATGAATACAGTGCCAATGCAGTCATCACTCACTTCCGAGTATGTCGATCTCTCTCTACGCACACACCACCCGCCAAGCTGACCCTTTTTTTTTTTTTTTTTTTTTTTAGCTTTTGACCAGTGCCTGGATGAAGCTCAACCCCCAGCGATACCAAGCATACCTCACCTTGCCGCTCGACCAGTACTGTGCCACCCGGATCGAACCAGTGCGGACGGAGATCGACGAAATCGGCCTTCAAGCTCTGGTGGACGGCGTCCTTGAAGGAGCCGAATTTGGCGTTGAGATTCTCTACCTGGACCGAAGCGAAGGCGAGAACGTGACACCGCACCAACTGACCCCCATACGGCCCCCTGGAGCTACAATCCGCCTGCTGTATCGGCCGTAAGTTCCCCCGTTTGTACCATGTTGTTGATCGTTCTGACCGAATTAGTGGCCACTACGATCTTCTCTACCGAGCGGAATCTACCTACCAGTCCCCACCTCCTGTGAATATGACACCCATGGTCAACCTCCAATACGATATGACTTCTAACCTTGCCGCCTGGGACCAAGGTGCTCTCAACTTCGACGTCAACTCCCAATTGATGTCAATTCCAAACCTGATGGCGGATCCGGGATTCGGGATGGGCGCTCCAGGCCCGATGTCGCCCATGCCTTCGGTTTCTCCGACTCCAACCAGCCCTTTCCGACTATCTCCATCCCAGGAAATGTACTCTTCGCCCATGCAGAGCCATGTGTCCAGTCATGCACCATCGCACGCGCAGAGTCACGCACCTGTCCCTTCTATCCCTGTTTCTTCGCCTACGCCTACTATTCCGTCTGCTGCGCCTCCGCCGATGACCTCCCTGCCGAGTCGGTCATCTGATGGTCCGCAAATACGATTGAATCCGCTGGTTATGAAGCCAAATCTGAGTTATTCGCTGCCGGTCACGACACCTTTTAAGAAGTGAGTTTTTTACAGTCCCTGGTGTTTGCTTAGCCCAGCAAGATTCTGAGAACACGGTTACTGACTCGACACAGTTCGCCCTACAATCAGGCGCATTTTCAAAATTCCGATTTCCAACCCATCCATTACGAGCCAAACGATTCCCGCAGATCTTAATACGACCCTGACGTCTATCAATTCCCACGATTTTCCCGCCTCTTCATTCTTACCCGGTTGTGCGTCCAAGAATTGGGACTTAGCGTCTTTTTTAAGGATCTATTCAGTATCGGATGGATCCCCCAATTCCTACTTTGATTTCCCTTCTTACCATTCCCTCGTCCGATTTCCTGCACTTCTCCGCATTTTCCGGGCATTTTTCATGGCTTTCTCGGAATGGAATGGGATGCATTTCTGCCCAGCAATTTCCAGATCGGTTGCTGGTAAGGGGCTAATCGAACACCATCACAACACGACCGAAGTCGAACCGACCTCGACCCGATTCAAATTCTCGCGGGGCTTTCATTGAGTACCTTGCTTTTTGATCCCTTCCCTTGATCGTTTCTTAGCGTGGGTGCAGCGCGTTGCATGGACTGAGCGTTATGTCCTACGCTTTTCAGATTGTCTGTTTCTGGACAAGGTATTCTTTTCAACCTCTTTCCTAGGTTATCTCTTCGGCTTAGGAATTGAATACCTTTATCTTTTTTCAATCGCTTTTTGTGCTACGACTGTAGTATCAATAACTCTTGTTGATGAATCGAGTCTATTCTATTATAAAAATACAATACTAATACAACGTAAACCTTGCCCTAAAGTATGTTCCAGAGAAAAAGATATGAAATCACCCATTCGAAACAACCTCCTCATCCCCCGCCTCAAGAACAGCATCAACCATCTCATCCAACGCCCGATCCCGATCGCCCGCATCCAAATAACCAGCCTTCACAAGCCGCCCCAGCGCATCCCCTACCCAATTCTGACTATTCCAATCCTGCTCATCGGAGGCATTCGACGGAATCAGCGTGTCGGAGGTAATTAGGCGGAGAGCGGAGGGCGGCGCAGCCTCTAGCGTCGAAACGGGGATTATGTGCGCGAGATCTAGATTGACAAACATTATTAGCTCATGCACTATAACTCCTTCCTTCATCCGGACAGCAGAGCAGGTTGGGGTAGACATACCAGTCGAAGAAACGGGAATGGCTGAATTAACCCGCTCCGTGAAATTAAAGAAGCCCCGTTCCCCGATAACTTCCATGAGGGAGGATTTGATATTGGCGTTATCGGATTCGAATTCGGGACGGGCGTCTTGCCTGTTCATGAGAGTATTTGTTTTCTGGATTAGCGCGGAGTCGGTCACGGCTGTTTCGATTTGGTCTTCATCTTCGCTGGATGAGTTTCTGCTCGACTGTGCGTTGAAATCGAAGAATAGGGCTGTGTGTCTGTATCTGGCGTAGTCGAGTGGCGAGGCGACGAAGACGAGGATTGAGAGGGTGGTTGGCATTAGGTTTTGTTTTTGTTCTGGCTACTAGATTGTAGAAGTGCGAGTTGGTCTGCTTGAAGTGGTTCTGAAATAATTGTAGTTTAGGAGGGAAGTCGAGGTGGCGGTGGTTTTGTTCCTTGTGAAGAACGATGACGAAGGTGCTGAGGACTTCTCGGGATGACGTAGTGTGGGGGTCGCATTTAAGCTTCGCGGAAGGAACGTTGACATCGCGATGCGCGGACTATCTTGAGGGACTAATGGTCATGTCACGCTTTTTGCTGTTTTGTTCAATGTATACTGAAACGAAAAAGATGACAGGGTCTCGAAAATTGTTCTTGACCGGGAGGGGTGGGTGCAATGACAGGCTGTACACCGCAGCACTGGGCAACAGTCCTATAGTGGCAAGGATAGTAGCTGGCGATGTGTAAGACAGGATTTGTACGACGGTCATTGTGTTACTTGCAGATTTTTCTCGTACCGTAACCTTTCAATTCTCCGAGGGGATTACTTGCGCGGTAATTTCAAGCTGATTGGAATGTCATTTAGCATTGCGTACCTTCTTTCTTGAAACGTCTTTAGCACAAGGGGGGTCCTCATATATGGATCCCGTTCTTTGCACGCACCACCATATATCCATGTTCATTTCAATTCTAACATTTCGCCATTCCAAGAGGCTGCGAGGTGTCTAGTGTTGATTAACCTCCTCTAAGCATGCGAAGGACATAGACCGGGACAGACCGGAAGATCTGCCACATGAAGAATGCCGTGTCGGTCACCGGACGGGTCGGGTACTTAATTACACGGGGAACGATATCTGCGGCGCCAAGAATGACATTGACCAAGGGGATGGGGTAGTTCTGGCGAAGGTATTCGGCCATCAGGTCATGTCCATTTGTGATTCCACCTACGTAAGTTAGCAACCGAGTTCATATGAAGATAAAGCGTGCATTCTTAGTGAGGACACACCACAAGACCAAAGATTCCCATCTCTCACAACCCGCAACTCATTATCCCAGCGCTTGGTCTCATAGAATTCCTTGCGCAGCCGGGGAATCAAAAACCGGGGCGCCGTCGCAACCTTGCCTTTGGTAATACCGGCATAGGCAATGACCAAAGCAGCAGTGCAGACAGACATAACGTCAGCGCCAGCAGCGAAGTGCTGGCGGACGAATTCAAGGTACTTGTCGGCGCAGGGCATGTTGTCGGGTGGAGGTCCGGGGATAAACAGCACGTCCAAGTTACCGGGAGCAACAGCCGGGCTGCTCAGGGAATCGGTCAATGCGACTTTGAGGTGCGCGGTCATTGGCGAAAGATTGTTCGGTCCATCACGCCCGATATAGTGGACTTTGCAGGGGCGACCGAGTTCTTGCATCGGCTTTGGCATGCCGATTGCTGCGATGTATTCCGGGCTGGTCATGTACAGTAGGTCGACGGCCGCGATGTCCAGGAGTTGGACAGAGTCAACGAGGAGGACTCCAACTCGGAGGGGATTTGCGGGAGACATGGTTTTTGCTGATATTGGATTTCTGGGAATTTGAGGTGGGAAGTTAAGCTGGGGAAAGGGGAGGAAGGGACGGATGTTGGTGGAAGAGAAGATGCGATGTAATGGCCGCGACACACGATATAGACGCAACGCCAAGCAGATGGGAGATGAAGGCGGTAGTGGAGAGAAAAGGTGACGAAGTGAACGGATAAACAAATTATGATGTCGAATGGAGTGGGAAGGTAAGAGAGGGAGGGTGAAGCTTTGAGGAAGAGGAAGTAGAGAAGCTCGCTGGAAACACCCTCGCAAGGAGTCAGCTAGTCAGAAAGTACCTTGTGCAGTCTGACTGCTAGCGAGCTACCGTGACATTGCTGTATCTTGCGAGACATTCACAAACGGACTGCCAGCTCGCCGGTATCATTCTACCTATGTATACTTGACATGCATGAGTAAGTAATGTCATCAAAGCCACAATTGATCGCCTCAGCCGTGCGTTAACAAATAAATTATGGCTGAAAATAAATCAGACTATGATGGAGGAGACCCCGTATATGAAAGAACAGTACACCAAGCGCGGTAATGTCCCATGATGCAAAGGCAAGAACAGGAGTACCCATGTAACGATTATCTTGGTATGGAGACACGAAGGTACGAGGTACGAGGCACGTAGATGGTCTGGGTCCCGTACTAATTGCAGCCTCATATCATTGACAAAGGACAAATGATGTCGTCAGCAAGGAAAAGTTAATTTGTTCAATATGCAACTTGCTGAGTAGAAACTGCAGTTGATGGGGAGCCCGTTGCACGATCTCATGACTGGAGCAGCGATGATTCGGCGGTGATGTTGTACTACAGTTTGTACCCTGGTAAAAGCACAATGTCTGTTGTTTTCTCTGCGAGTGGGCCTGGCTGTTGACTCAATTGAGTAAATGATCCTTCAATCGTGCGAATCTAGAATCACAATCGCGATTTTAGAAATACTTCAGGGTGGAATGTGGGGAGGAGACTGATCACTAGCAGGAGCCGAGCGACCAATAGGTAAACTTTGATAATCAAAATACAGATAATTTTACTAGTAGACTGCAAAGAATCTCGAGAGCTAGTAGCAAGGACTCATGCACCAGTACATGCAAAAAGAAACAAAGTCGCTCATGTTATTGCCCTGTGTATTCGGAGTGTAGTTGCAAGAGCACCCAAAGGTAGAAACCAAAATTATCTGCATACCTCACTTTGATTTGAAATGAACCAGTATCCAAGTTAGGTAGTTCTATGCTATTTCCTTGGTGGTACCTACATCGACTGACGCGATCGGAGCAAGGCCGAGGATCTTCGCTTCTCCACGTTGGACTCGCCCGAATGCTACCCCAAGGCTCCACCCCCAAGTTTCGACCATCTCCACATCCCCGGCCAACTGCCAAGTATCGCAGCTGAACCGGTGCTACGATCTGCTTCCAGAAAACGGGGAGAGGGAACATTGGAGGTTGAAGAGGATACATCCTCTTTTATGCGACCGGCCTCTATACCACCCAGGCAATACCCGTCCTCTACTGCCAACCTTGGCTTCAGGGGCCTCCAGTTCCACATCGATTCCCCGCGTTGGAGCCAAGCACCTTAGTCGCATCGGCCCATCGAGCAAGGCACCGGGCCCTGACCATCACCACACTGGCGCCGTCATTGGCGGAACACTGCAGTCCGCGCCGAACTCACCTCGCTGCCGTCATGACCCTCGCCCGACTCGGGAATCCGGAGTACTGTCGTCCTGTCGGCATCGCGCCCTTATAGAGTTTCTATTTCCCCGGCGTGGCACCGGATCCTCGGCCTGCTACGTGTATAAAGTGCTCGTCCGCTTCGAGGTCTAGGTCTGGAGTTGTCCGGAGATCGCGGCGATCGCTTTTAATTATGGGTTCCGTTGTTGATAGCCCCCGGAAGGGTGGCTTTAAGCTGGTTTTGCAGAATCCGTATCTATGCGGTGTGGCCTCGGTGAGTATTAGCTTTCCAGGCAGTGAGATCCAAAGCTGACTTCAGTGTCTAGTTCTCCACGCTTGGTGGCCTGTATGTGCCAATGCAGTACTATTTAGGACTGTTGGCTGTGCTAATCAATTGGAGTTTAGGCTGTTCGGTTACGACCAGGGTGTCATCAGCGGTGTGATTACTATGGAGTCCTTTGCGGCTCGATATCCTCGCGTGTTTTCTGACAGCGGGTTCAAGGGCTGGTTCGTGTCCACGCTTTTGCTCGGTAAGTTCTGGCATCACATATCTGGAGCATGGAAGGTATCCTCTGGGCTGCATATACTAATTTTGTCTAGCTGCATGGTTTGGATCTCTGATCAATGGACCTATTGCTGATCGCCTGGGCCGAAAATTGTCCATCAACCTGGCCGTGGTGATCTTCGTTATTGGATCCGCGATCCAGTGCGGTGCCATCGATATCCCAATGCTATTTGCCGGTACGTGCAATTGAAACTAAAAGCTTTTGGACTCAAAGCTGACTGTTTTAGGCCGGGCAATTGCTGGTCTTGCCGTTGGAATGCTTACCATGGTGGTACCATTATACATCTCCGAGGTAAGCATCATTTTCCGTCGAAGGCGGACATTCAGCTAACCCGATACAGGTTTCTATACCCGAGATCCGTGGAGGTCTGGTGGTTACTCAACAATGTTTGTTTCAACTCGTAGATTATTCCCTTGCATGCACTAATCTTGTTTAAGTGTCGGTCACCATCGGTATCCTGATCAGCTATTGGATCGACTACGGAACCAACTACATTGGCGGTACTCGATGCGCGCCCAGTCTGCCCTACACTGGAGGAACATCATCAAAGCCTAGTTTTGACCCCTACAACGATGTCCCAGCTGGAGGTTGCAATGGCCAATCTGAGGCATCATGGCGTCTTCCACTGGCCATACAGATCGTACCCGCCATTGTACTGGGCATTGGAATGCTATTTTTCCCAGAATCGCCTCGCTGGCTCCTCATGAAAGAGCGCGACGACGAGTCGCTCTCTGCACTCTCAAGACTGCGCCGACAATCACAGGATAGCAACATCCTCCAAACCGAGTATCTGGAGATCCGAGCATCCATTATGCTAGAAAATTCCTTCGCGAACGAGAACTTCCCCGGCCTCTCCGGTCTCAAGCTACACGCCGCGCAGTATATGTCACTTTTTACAAAATGGGCCCGCTTCAAGCGTCTCTTCATTGGTTGCGCCGTGATGTTCTTCCAGCAATTTGTCGGCTGCAATGCCATGATATACTACGCGCCCACAATCTTCGGCCAGCTCGGTATGGATGGCAACACGACCTCACTTCTCGCAACTGGTGTCTACGGTATTGTCAACTGCCTGAGTACACTCCCGGCTCTCTTCTTTATTGATAAATTTGGACGCCGCGCCCTGCTTATGGCTGGTGCTACGGGTACCTGCATTTCGCTGGTGATCGTGGCTGGAATCCTCGGGGCGTATGGTGATAATTTGATGAACCATAAATCAGCTGGTTGGGCTGGTATTGCTTTCATCTACATTTACGATATCAATTTCTCGTACTCTTTTGGTGAGCTCTCCTCCCCATTTGACCGAAAAAATTACTAACGGGCAAAGGTCCCATTGGGTGGGTGCTTCCTTCGGAGATTTTCAATCTTTCGATTCGATCCAAGGCTATGTCAATTACCACCTCTGCCACATGGATGTGCAACTTGTGAGTTTATCTGTTCAAAAATTTATCAAAGCCCGACTAACCTTCGTATTTAGCATCATCGGCCTTGTCACTCCTGACATGCTTGACTCCATCACCTACGGCACCTATATCTTCTTCGCGGCATTTGCCCTAATCGCCCTGGCATTCACATTCTTCTGCATTCCTGAAACAAGAGGAAAGGTAAACTTCTATTTTGGCAGTCATATAGGCGGGCTTTGGGATTCTTGCTAACCTTATGTGTCATAGACCCTCGAGGACATGGATCTCATATTTGGAGATACAGCCGCACACGAAGAAAAGGAACGTATCAAGCATATTGAAGCTAGCCTGAGAGGAACACATCTTGACGACGATGATGATTTGAAGCCTGTGGATCAGCATAAGGAGATTGTTGAATCGGCTTGATTGACAACTCTGCTTTCTGCGTGCAGTATCTACGCAAATCATGATTTCAGAAATACTACATGCGGTGCTTGAATGTTTTGTGTATATCATGAAAATATTCTATAGAAAATGAATATCCTACCAAGCCTCTACGTACGATGAAATGAAATACCAAACAAACGATCTTAACAAGGCCTACTTCTCAAGCGCAACTTGAATTCCCTCCGCATGCTCATATTCTCTGCCTACCAATTTCCAGAACATGCTCCCGCCACCCCCAGAGAGCAAATAGCACCGCAGCAGGACCGATGAGTATCGAGCTGAGCGTAGAAACCACGAATGTGGTTAGCAAAGAGACCTCAGTCAGGTCCACACGCCGCATCTCCCACACAGCAAACAAACACCAGGCGACAATAGCAAGAGCAAGGCAAGCAAATTGAGTCAGCTCCCATGAGCCGATGATCTGCAAAGCAGATATATCGGAAATAACTTGTGGAACAGCCAGAGACACAAGAACCAAATGGGCAGTACTCATCAGGAAGAAGAGAAGTGTATAGAATCGGGTGAGGTACTTCAGATCGTGACTAGAAAACAGCCTCTGGCCGACTGAGAGCTTCACTGAGGAGGCTCCCAAGATGCGTTTGCCGAGGTGGAGGAGGACTGGGAGGGCGAGATGAGAAGCTAGGAGGATTCTGTTGCTGCTGAGATCTGGTCGTTCCCCTTGAGTCAGAGACGGAAGAACCCTCAGAGCTGCTGGAATGTAAGCGATAAAAAGGGACGCCAGCAGTGATTTAGCGACGAGGTGATCGATGGCTCTGGGAAACGGAAAATAGAAAGATTTTCCTCGACTAGTGATTATGTAGAGGGCGAAGTAAAGAGGTGCGATAGTTGCCCAGTTCAGCTTCGTCACGGCCAGGTTAAACGGTACAGCACTACAATATATGCGATTAGTCAGTTTTCTATGAGAAATTTATGGGTGTATAGGAAGCATACCTGACAAGAGGACTAAGAAAAAGTCCAGGTCGGTAAGACTCAATGACCCAAAGCGTATTGATGGCGACAGCCAGTGGAAGGACGTAAAGCGGACCAAACCCGCTCTTATCGAAGTTGGTGGCTATAGAAGATCCAAGCAACTGAGTCCAGCTCCAGCTCAGAGATGCAATAAAAAGCATCAAAACCGACCACGCTACCGTTGCCAGAGTCGAGCGGTCCCGGGGATTCACCCTAACCTCTTCGTCCAGAGCGACTGCTCCATTCTTGATATTCTTCGGCAAATATTTTAGAGTCCTACCTGGTGTCGACCCCGAAGCGATCATGGGAACAATGTGGTCAACTCCCATCTTCGAAGTGATTTTGAGCTGTAGAAATTCGATCAGAGTGTTGTCGAGAACCTCCATTTTCTGCATTTTCTTGGTCATTTCCATTAATCCGGTAGCTCGGGGGCGGCGTATCTCTTGGAATTCGTGGAAGATGTGCTCGATTGTTTCGTTGCTCGGCTGCTTTTCTTGGTCGAGGGTTTCTTTGAAGAGGTCGGCAAGTACCCCGGCAGATTCGATGGCGGAGTTTCCTCCTTGGCCGGCGAGGGGGTTCATCTGGTATGAATGTTAGATGGGACGTAGAGTTAGGTGTAAAGTGTCCGAAATACCTTGTGGAATGAGTCGCCTATCAAAATTGCTCGCTTGTAGAAGCACTTCTTCAGCACGTATTCTTCCAGAGGAACGAGGACGGCGTTCGCGATTCGCTGGTAGATTTGGCCAAAAGTAATCCCGTTGAATAAGGGATCACTGGCAAATTTAGCGGCAAGCGCATTTGCGTCCTCGGATGTATACCTCGGGATAGCCCTGTGGGTTGTGGTGGCCGAGTTCTTGAAGAAGGCAAAGAAGTATAATTTGTTGTCGGGACCCGCCGAAATCAGATATGAACGGCCTTTGTGGAAACACTTGAAGCTGGCGTAGTCGGTGATTCCTTCAGGGCGCTTCCCAATACCGAAAATACACTTGTAGTCGCATTTAATAGCTAAGGAATGTATTGTCAGTACTGGTTTCCTTTGTCATATGTACCGTTGTTTGATCCCCTTACATTGGCTCATCTTCGCCGCGCCATACTCCGACGACTCGGACTCAGCAATTCTCCAGATTTCGTCTCTCATACGGCTGTGAACTCCGTCTGCGCCCACCAGAATATCGCCGGTGATGATGGATCCGTCTTTAAGTGCGACTTGTACGCCCCCATCTAGCTCTTCGATCTTGAAGACGTCACAGGCAGGGAAGACCTTGGATTTGTCCTGGAGATTTTGGAATAGAACTTCCAGCAGTTGCTGTCGATCGAGGAAATGCATACTATATCCGAGTCTGGATCATTTTCCAAATTAGTGCTTGATACTAGCGGACTATATACCATGTGTCTCCATAACTCACACTTCCGCCATGGTATCCCCGAATGGCTCGGGAGCGCCCAAAGGAAGACCATCTGGACCAAAGCTTTGACTCTGACCGATTGACATGGACATTTTTTCAATCTTGGACCAGATGCCTAGCTGATCGAGGATTCTTGCGCCATGGGGCAGCATGCACAAACTTGCGCCGAGCTGGGGTGCGATGGTCGTGTGCTTTTCGAGAACAATATAGTCGATTCCGTATCGCTCCAGAATATTCGCGAGAGTGAGTCCCGCGATACTCCCTCCGACGATGATGATTTTGAAGGGCGGCATGTCTGGCTAGACGATGCCGTAGGAAAACTGTATAGACTGGAAAGTGATGGACAATCAACAGGGGCACGTGCAGGCATTATTTATTCTTGCGACACTGAGCGAGCGTAGCCCCTCAGCCTAAATCATCATGAAGGCTTTTTCCATGCGGAAGATAAACCGGGACAATTCCATCTTGCATCCGGGAGTTCAGTATACGCAGTTCGCATGCCTCTCCAGATTAGTGATCTAAACAGCATCTAATCCCCTCTTTAGTCAGCGGAACTTGGACGTCTCTGGCGAAGTGGCCGGCGATCGTACATTTCAACGTGGCTCGTGCAGCCGCCATCGTGGCTTTGACAGCCAGGCCATCGGGGTTCGGAGGCAAAATACACCGATCCCTCCGATCTCCCTTTTATAGTTGCTGGGCGGAGCCGCTGCCAATAATTTTCTTCACAGTCTCTCGGATCCGTTGTGTCTTGTAGTGGAGCGGATGATCTTGGCCCGGGCACCTCCGGCGTCGGGTTCGGGATTGGAATAGATTTGACACCCGTGTTTTATGAAGCCGTGACCGGGCTAATGCAGAGATTAGCTCCATTGGCGTCCTGTGGACTGGGCTGGTGGGATGAGGTCATTCGTGTAAAAGTCAACGACATTCACGACCTTCATCCGTCAGGGACAAGGAACGATGATTCACCTGTACCTCGAGATGGAGTTAAGCATCTTGCCAACATGTGGTCTTTTTGTTTGTCCTATTTATTTAGTATTTGAGCGACGGCTCCTTTCGTCCCACTAGCTGGGACGCTATTTAACGTAACCCACAAGCGAACCGCCCACATAAGCGAACCGCCCACCCATCTCAACCTATAATTTTGATTTGCATATAAAATAACCACAACGCCATTAAATTATTGATATCACTGCTTCGGACATCTATTTATCTTATGCCCTATCCCTCCACAACCACTGCATCTTGGTGGCGCCCGTTGTCGTGGTGTATTAGTCTCATTTGCGACCGGAGCTAGTTCTGGATGAACAGGATCCAGAGATTCAACGGCTTGGTTCGAACTGAATATTACGTCTCTTCCCTCCTGAATTGACATGCCTTCAGTACGGTCGATGCGTTTATTAGACCTCTTGCGTTTTTGTTTCCGAACCTCATTGGCAGCGCGCAAATCCCGGATTTCTTTCTCCAACATCGCTAGCCTTTGAAGCGTGACATGGAAGCCTTTAAGAGTCTGCTCTACCACATGCTTTGTAGGCGTTGGAGGGCTCACGGATCGATATTTGAGTAGAGCTTTGACTGAAGATTCTTGCCGATATAATTGTTTTGTGTTGAGTGGTGTTGTAGGGCTCCACTCACTTGATCGGCTTCCTGGTCGGCTTCCTGGGGGGTTGGTGTTCGAAGCTGAATATTAAGCTTCGATATAACCCGATCGGGATCAAAGGGTATTAAACCAGCAGATTCGAATGCGCTCTGAATTATATCCGAGTGATATGAGATCTCGCGAGCGTGCGGGTAGGCGGCAAGGAAATCAAGCTTGTCAATATGGTTGATATTGCATCGAGCTTTTCGCTCAACCAAGCCACCATATGCGCGCTTTAGGTTCGCAAAACACCCGACATCTAGTGGTTGTAGCAAATGAGATGAATGCGCTGGCATGCAAATTGGTATAATATCATGTTCAGCGCAAAGTCGGTCGAATTGAGGTGTCAAATGGCTACCATGACCATCAAGGACTAGAAGACGATATTTACCCTTTGTACGGCTCGCCGTACTCGGAATAAAGAGATCTTTCAGCCAGCGAAGGCCAATAGCATCAGTTGTCCATCCATTATCACTGATTTCGATCCTCCAGTCCGGTCCTACCCCTTTATCTTCGTACCAAGCCTGGTGATGTGTCTTGGATTTGAAGATAAGACAAGGTGGTAATTTGAAGCCCGACGCACCAATACACTCGATAGATGTGACCCATTCACGATTTCCAGGTTGTTTAAGAGATCTCCGACCGTAGTATTCAGCACGGGTGACGACTTTTGCAGTAGCAATAAGACCCATTGCGAAGCCAGTCTCATCAAAGTTATATATATCGTCAGGTTGGATGCCGTTCTCATTAATCGTGCGTTGAACCAAGTCGAACCACTCTCGTATGACCTTTGGATCCTCGCATTTTGCTCGTTGGTAGTTGTACTTTCGAGAGAACCGAGATTTAAGATCATCATGGCGATTAACAAAGTTGTAGACCCAGTTGACGCCAACAGTCTGCGTACAGCGTTCGGCTAATAGAAGATTGGCCATTTCTGCCACCATAGCAGGCCGAGGAGCTGATCCACGTGAATCCATAGAGAGCACCCATTGTAGAAGTGATCTCTCCTCGTCTTCTGTCAATTTATGGTTGTTGGCGCGTGTTTCTGAGCGACTTTGTTGACCGTTGACGCGATCGCGTAGAGTGGACCAGGGGACGTCGAATTGGCGTGCTGCTTTGCGAATAGAGGTAATTTGACCATTTTGAATGGCATGCAGGGCTAATGAGATTCTGCCCTGCCTATCCTGCGAAAATCGGGCAGAACTAGATCGATTTGGTGGCATGGTGGATGGTTATAAAAGAGAGGTTATAGTACTCAGATCAAAATTGATGGGGTGGGCGGTTCGCTTGTGTGGGCGGTTCGCTTGTGGGTTACGTTAATCCTTATCCCCGATTACATACAAAGTTCGCCTTGGAGGACTGCCACAGTCTTAGTGCAGAGTAGACGCGATGGAAAGTGTTAAGGGTAGTTTTAGAATGTCACATGTCAAAAAGCGTGTAAATTGTGCATTTCATCTCAATTTAAAGATGAGTATGTAATGGTGACATCATGAAGTGATAGTCGTGGCTTTTGGGACCAAAAGGGTGGATCAACTAGGGAAGATCTAGCCCTACATATGGTCGCCAGACGGTCGGAGATGTGAAACGGCGGCCAGACTGAACACAAACTAGCTAGCGGATCAGCACTAGTCTGTTCGTCGGAAGCCGGATGAGATGAGTCAGCGGAAGGAATGTAGGCCCTTCCCGAAACGGCATCGCGAATGATCGACGCCGATGCGCTCCACTGCCGGATTCGACCTCATCCGAGGCCAATAATGTGGCGGGAATTGGCACCTTCTGGGGCCCTTCGCCCAGTCGCGACTGCCGGCACTGAAATTCGTCCGACTCCGCGACCCACTCTGTTGATAGCTCGTCCGAAAACACCGGAGGAGTTTGCGGCGAAGGGCTAGCGAACGTTATATCTATTTTCAGCCGTGGATAGCCCTGCGTGAAATTTTCGGTCGTCGTTCCATGCCATGAACTCTATTTGTTTTGCACGTTGCCTTAAATACCAATCGCTCCCATCCTTCTAGATCCGTCATTCAGTTGTCTCATCACTAGTACTTTCGTTGTGCTTCCTTCCCCAGCTCGGAGGTTGTCTCCTCCTATTCAGACGCCATGTCGGCCTCTTCACATTCTCATGATGAGGAAACCTGGTCCAAGGGTGAATCAACACCCACATACGAATCCATCAACTACATCAATCAACAGGATGTCGAGACTCTCACACGCATTGCGACTCTACAATCACGTCGGCAGTCGACCACCGCCGCCCATCGCCTGGCATCCATCGCCCAACACGATGTCACATTGGACCCACAGAGCAAGGAATTCGATCTGCGAAAATGGCTCGGTGCTGCCATGAGCGATGCCGCCCGGGATGGCCGCCCGGGCCAGAACATGGGCATTGTGTTCAAGCAGCTTAATGTCTATGGATCGGGTGCAGCTCTGCAGTTCCAGGACACGGTCGACTCCATGTTGACTGCTCCTCTTCGAATTCCCCAAGTCGTCCGGGAATCACATGCCCCTCAAAGGCGGATTCTGAAGGACTTTAATGGTCTGTTGAAGAAGGGTGAACTGCTTTTGGTCCTAGGACGTCCCGGTGCTGGCTGCAGTACACTCCTTAAGTCCCTTTGCGGTGAACTGCATGGTCTAGATCTTGATAAGGAGAGCACTATCCACTATAATGGTGAATATTCTTCCTTATTTCTCTAATTTATGTACGTCACTAATCTGACTTGTTAGGTATCCCTCAATCTCGAATGGTCAAGGAGTTCAAGGGCGAAGTGGTGTATAACCAGGAGGTAAGATTTCCCCAATTATCAGTTACCAGACGAAATACTGATAGCCATGTCTCTAGGTCGATCGCCATTTCCCCCATCTGACCGTCGGTCAAACACTGGAATTCGCCAGTGCCACACGAACCCCATCTCATCGCTTCGAGGGAATGTCGCGCTCGGAATACGCCAAATACATGGCCCAGGTTGTGATGGCCGTTTTCGGTCTCAGCCACACATACAACACCCGCGTTGGTGATGACTTTATCCGCGGTGTGTCCGGTGGTGAGAGAAAGCGAGTGAGTATCGCGGAGATGGCTCTGGCAGCAGCACCTCTGGGCGCGTGGGATAATTCCACGCGAGGACTCGACTCTGCCACCGCCCTGAAGTTTGTCGAATCGCTGCGACTACTTTCTGATCTTGCCGGCTCTTCTCACGTCGTCGCGGCTTATCAAGCTAGTCAGAACATTTACGACGTCTTCGACAAGGTGGTCGTTCTCTACGAAGGTCGCCAGGTCTTCTTTGGATCTGCCAAGGTCGCAAAGGGATACTTCGAGCGACAAGGATGGGTCTGTCCTGCTCGTCAGACAACCGGAGATTTCCTCACCTCGGTGACGAACCCAGGAGAACGTCAAGCCAAACCCGGCTTCGAAAACCGCGTTCCTCGCACCCCCGAAGACTTCGAGAAGGCATGGCTCAGCTCTGCCGAGTACGCACAGCTGCAAAAGGAGATTGCTGCGTACGAGCAGGAGTATCCTGTGAAGGAGGACTCATCAGCTGTCATCGAGTTCCAGGAAAAGAAGCGTGGCAACCAAGCCAAGCATACCCGACCCAAGTCGCCCTACATCATCAGTGTGCCGATGCAGATCAAGTTGAACACGGTCCGCGCGTATCAACGGCTTTGGAACGACGCAGCCGCCACAGTCTCAACAGTCGTCAGTAACATCATTATGGCCCTCATCATCGGATCCGTATTCTACGACTCTCCCTTCGAGACCTCCGGCTTCCAGGCTCGTGGAGCCACGCTCTTCTTCGCCGTTCTGCTCAACGCTCTTACCGCGATGAGCGAAATCAACAGTCTTTACGCACAACGCCCGATCGTCGAGAAACATAATTCATACGCCTTCTATCACCCTTTTACCGAAGCAATTGCAGGTATAGCAGCCGATATACCTGTCAAGTTCCTCCTCGCAGTCGCCTTCAACATAATTATCTACTTCCTGTCCGGACTTCAGCGCGAGGCAGGCAATTTCTTCCTCTACTTCCTGGTTACGTTCCTGATCATGTTTGTCATGAGTGCGGTTTTCCGTACTCTAGCGGCAGTCACGAAGACGGTATCACAGGCCATGGGTTTAGCTGGTGTGATGATTCTTGCTCTGGTTGTCTACACAGGCTTCGTCTTACCCGTTCCGTCTATGCATCCCTGGTTTGAATGGATTCACTATCTGAATCCAATTTACTACGCCTTTGAAATCCTGATTGCCAACGAATTCCACGGGAGAGATTTCCCCTGCTCCCAGTTCGTCCCATCCTACGCTGACTTGGCGGGTGACGCTTTCGCTTGCTCTGTCACTGGTTCTGAAGCTGGAAAGACAACCGTCAATGGAGATACCTATATGTGGTTGAACTACAAGTACACCTACGAGCACGTGTGGCGCAACCTGGGTATCCTTTTCGCGTTCCTGGTCGGTTTCATGATCATCTACTTTGTTGCTTGCGAGCTCAACTCTTCTACCACGAGCACTGCTGAAGCACTTGTCTTCCGTCGCGGTCATGAGCCCCCAAACATGCGCCGTGGCCACGAGAAGTCAGATAACGATGTTGAAAACACCTCGGAGGCACCTGTGCGACAGTCCACCACCGACGGAGACGATGGAAAGGGTATGTCGGCGATTCAGCCTCAGACCGATATATTCACCTGGCGCGATGTGAGCTACGACATTGAGATCAAGGGCGAGCCTCGTCGTCTCTTGGATCATGTCTCTGGATGGGTCAAGCCTGGCACACTCACTGCTCTTATGGGTGTCAGTGGAGCCGGTAAGACCACTCTCTTGGATGTCTTGGCTCATCGGACTTCCGTCGGCGTTGTGACTGGTGACATGTTTGTGAATGGAAACGGTCTCGATGCCAGTTTCCAGCGGAAGACGGGTTACGTCCAGCAGCAGGATCTGCACTTGGAGACTGCTACCGTTCGTGAAAGTTTGCGTTTCAGTGCTCTCTTGCGTCAGCCTGCCAGTGTTCCGATTCAGGAAAAGTACGACTACGTTGAACAGGTTATTGGAATGTTGAAGATGGAAGATTTCGCTGAGGCCATTGTCGGTGTCCCCGGTGAAGGTCTGAATGTTGAGCAGCGCAAGCTTCTTACTATCGGTGTTGAGCTGGCGGCGAAGCCTAAGCTGCTTCTTTTCTTAGATGAGCCGACCAGGTATGTGTCGCTTTTTCCTCTGCTCCTTTCCGAATACTAATGATGTTATAGTGGTCTCGACTCCCAGAGTTCATGGGCTATTTGCTCCTTCCTCCGCAAGCTCGCTGAGCACGGCCAAGCCGTCCTTTGCACCATTCACCAGCCTAGCGCTATTCTCTTCCAGCAATTCGACCAGCTTCTCTTCCTCGCCCGAGGTGGCAAGACTGTGTACTTCGGCCCTATCGGCGAGCAGTCTCGTACTCTCCTGGATTACTTCGAGTCCCACGGTGCCCGCAAGTGCGACGACAGCGAAAACCCCGCCGAATTCATGCTTGACGTCGTCAACGCCGGATGCAACCCCCAGGGCCAAGACTGGTTCGATGTCTGGAAGGAAAGCAAGGAGTCCGGCGAGGTCCAATCCGAGATCGATCGCATCCACAAGCAGCAAGAGGGCAAGGGAGGTGACGACGACGATGCTTCTACGCAAGCCGAGTTCGCCATGCCCTTCTGGTTCCAGCTGTACCAGGTCACCTACCGTGTCTTCCAGCAGTACTGGCGCATGCCGTCCTATGTTATCTCCAAGTGGGGACTGGGTATTGCAGCTGGTCTCTTCATCGGTTTCTCTTTCTACCAGGCCAAGACATCGTTGCAGGGAATGCAGACTATCATCTACTCAGTCTTCATGCTTTGCACGATTTTCACCTCGCTGGTGCAGCAACTGATGCCTCTGTTCGTTACTCAACGATCTCTCTACGAGGTCCGTGAGCGTCCCTCCAAGGCCTACTCCTGGAAAGCCTTCCTGATCGCAAACGTCATCGTCGAAATCCCGTACATGGTCATCACTGGTATCCTGATCTTCGCCTGTTACTTCTACGCTGTGGTTGGCATCCCAAGCTCTGTCAGCCAGATTACCGTTCTCCTCCTCTGTATCCAATTTTTTATCTACGCCAGTACCTTCGCCCAAATGTGCATTGCTGCACTTCCCGACGCCCAAACCGCCAGCGCCGTCGTCGTCCTTCTCTTCGCCATGTCCCTCACCTTCTGCGGTGTGATGCAGCCTCCCTCCGCCCTACCAGGCTTCTGGATCTTCATGTACCGCGTATCACCCTTCACCTACTGGACCAGTGCAATGGTCTCCACCCAAGTCCACGGCCGCGCAATCGAGTGTGCCGATTCCGAGCTGTCCAAATTCAACCCGCCATCCGGCCAGACTTGTTGGCAATACCTTGAGAAATACGCTACTCTCGCCGGCGGCCAGGTTCTGAACAAGGAAGCTACCTCGAACTGCGAGTATTGCTCTCTGACGGTTGCCGATCAATACACCTCGCAGTCGGATATCTACTACTCTGACCGCTGGCGAAACTTCGGCATTGTTTGGGCTTTCATTATCTTCAATATCTTCATGGCTACGATGCTTTACTATCTTTTCCGTGTTAAGAAGTGGGATCTTGAAGGCATGAAGAAGAAGTTTGCCAATATTCTTCCTTCGAAGAGGTCCAAGGCTGATAAATGATCGCCTCCTTTTGATTTTTTTCCTTTCTCTGTATATCTTTGCATTTGTTTATATTGCATTTATCACTTACCCTAGGCTTGGTTCATTTTTTGTATAGACGGTCTCAGGCACTATTCTGTCGATTGCCTCATAATATAATTCAACATCTCTTCAAGGATTTTTCCTGAGCATAATTTCCATAATTTTCGTATAAAAATGTCCCCTAAATAAACCGATAAAATTCAATCTGGGATGTGATTATTCTAGACCACGTGCCGTCCTCTTGGCAGGTGGAGCTCAAAGCCCCTTTCTAACCTAGTATACTGACACTGCTCTAGTTAGCAGCAAAGAAAGCCAAGCCATCGTTATAGGAGTGAACTAGGTTATGCTGTAGCCTAGCAGAGACTCATCGGGTTTCGGACAGTCCGAGTCCGCTTCAATTCCACTTTGTCTTGGTCTCCACTTGGTAACTATAGTCAGCTCGGTATCCCGGGTTTATTAAGCTACCGATCTGCTCTTGGCCTTCTTGTCAGCCGCGGTGTGTGAAAGCCGTCGGAAAGATTTACTGGGTTATACCCACTTTGGCATGTGATATTTTGACCATTTTTGGCCTTATTTTATTCTTTAAATTTTGTTCTTAGTAGTAGTCCATCTAACGTTAAGACAAATTGGTGCTATGAGGCCGTGGATGAGGACATGTCAAGGCATTGTTACGTTCCTGTCGTATTCCTTTGATCTCAATCTCAAATATTTTTAAAATCCATCTCGAACGAAATAGTAAAGCTGGCCTGTCGGTTGCTCATCTCGAGTGTACTGAGTGTAGTACTTCGTCGCTGCAGGTCCGACGCTCGGACCAACACCCCAGAAAGCAACCACCGCCGACAGCTCAAGCGCCATTCCAACACAGCTCCAACCACTCCCACTCGCAAACCAAACACCATGGACCCAGACGAAAGTATCCCCGAGGCCCAACCATCAGCATTCAACTACGTCCTCTCCTTCCTCTTGGTCGGAGTAGCCTGGGGCTTCACAACCCCCTTTATACGACGCGCAGCAGCAGACTTCAACGCGCGACAAGAGAAGCAAACCGCCAACACCACATCACGAGGACGCTCACATACAAACTCATCGAACCAATCACCCTCGCCCGACGCCGGAGTGGAGCAAGAATTGCTCGAGCGCGACGACGAGATACAAGATGAGGGCGTGAGGAGGCGCAGTGCGAGTCGCCAGCGCGAGGAGGAACGTCGGGCGAGTGCGGATGCCGGCGTCGCGCAGGAGGTTGATGTGGATGATGCGCCTGCACCGGCTTGGATGCAGTCAAATAGGCGGTCATGGCTCCGGACGAAGATTGTGTCTGTGTTTTGGACGGTGGTTAATTTGTTGCGGACGCCGGCGTACTCGATTCCCCTGGTTATTAATTTGACTGGGAGTATTTGGTTTTTCTTGTTAGTTGGCAAGCACGGTATGTTCTTTGGTTTGAATATTCCCTGGTCTTGTTGGGATTGATGCTGACGTGCGCTTGTAGAGTTGTCTTTGACGGTTCCGCTGGCTAATTCGAGTGCCTTCTTGTTTACGGTACTCGGGGAGTGGTATGTTGATCGCAAGGTTATTGCGAAGGAGACGTGGCTGGGCCTGATCCTGGTTTTGGGTGGCATTGCGTTGTGTGTGCACTCTAAGAACCAGACGGGTTGATGTGGACTGGCCTTTTAGTAGTTCCAGGAAGTTACAATCTACCTGAACTCAATATAGAAACTTAATCTACCCATATTTGATTATTTTGCAGTAATTACTGATCTCATTCTGGCTACCATCCTCCACAAATCAGCTTGACATTCGTTGTAGTGTCGCCTATCTGGCCCTGTTTTTAAATATGAGGACTTCTAGTTGCATCATGCAATGCAATGAAAATATCTTTTTGCACCTCAATCGACCGGTCTCCGGAGGTGCATCATACCGTATCTCATTTAGAAGACTTCAGACAAAGCCAAAGCCGCCCATTATTATTTCACGAATTCGGAATCGGATCAACAGTCTGAACCTCCCAATCCTCAGCCCCAACAGCAGTCAGCGCAAAGAACAAACCAATAAGGTCATACTTCTGCAAAGGACATAGAGACGCAGATAATTGACGCCGTAGAATGCATCCTGCAGATTCGGCTCAATGAGATCAGCTCGCTCATGTAGCGCCCGAGTCTGGTGCAATCTTGCGCAGCACATCCATCCACTCGGTCACGAAGAAGGTCTGGCTCTTTACCACGTCCCAAGTCGAGGTGAAGTACCATTCGGAGCCCACAATGATATGCGTCATGGCATGCTGGGTGGACGGAGGTATCTGTTGGTGGTTTGACGGAGATGCCAGTTCCGCTGATGTGGAAGCCGGCGAGGAAGAGCACTATATTGCTTGAGAAACTATTTTAAAAGAGATATTTGGGTCCAAATATGACATACCTGCTCAACTGCATCTTTATATGCAGCCCAGGTCTGATCGCGAAGATCGTCGCTTTGGAAGACGTTACGGGGAAGCAGACGGGATGCAGTTTTCCCGACGTCGGTTCCGACGTATTCCCGGGGGAAGGCTTCGACCCACGCATAATGGCTGGAAATATGACAGTTAGCATAGCTGCGGGTGTAAAATGGAGCACAATAAGAACGCACAAGTTATTCGCGTGGTTGTACCAAGGAGTGTAGGCAATTTGTCCAGGGTATTGAACCACGGAGTAAGAAGGACCATGTTGGGCGACACGAACGACTCCATGCGGAAATAGTAGTTCGTGTCGCCTTTATATGTCGTTCCGATTTCGGCTGAGGAGGCTCCAATGTAGTAGTAGCCATAGGTGCCCGCGTCCACAAAGGTTTCGAAGTGGTCCAAGTACGCCTTGACAGCAGACCAAAAGGAATCTGGGCCCGGAGTGCCATGCACTGTGAAGTTGAACGTCACAGTCGTAGTTTTTCCAATTGAGGCCAGGGCATTGACGGTCAGAGACGTGACGACGCCAATTGTACTGCCGCCGCCACCGCGAAGCATCCAGAAAACATTGAGTTCTCGGTTGAGCTAGCGGCGATGAAGCTGCCATCAACAAGTATGACTAAACTAATTAGTATGCGAGTCATGATGTGGTGACGCAGAAAAATGACTCTCCTTGCATAGCCAGGACCTGGTGAGATGCCAGTCCGTACATGCTTGACAATTGGGAGAGTGGCCACCACCGGCAGTTTAACCGCCCCCAAGACCAACTGGGACAGCTTCACCACCAACAACAAAGTGGCCGACACTTTTAGCAAACTCATAAGCTTCGAAAACCTGAACAACAGAACCAAAATTGATTGCCGGTCCCGTATAGCCGTTGGCAGCCTTGAAGGACGGGTAGTACTCCTTGTCCTTGAGAAAATGCGTCCAGATAGTAAGACCACCCTTCCCGGAAGCCTTAACCGCAAAGGCATGACCAGTATTATTGACAACAAGCCGAAGATTCAGGTTGCGAGCAAAGCCGTTCGCAACCCAGTGGAGCATGGTACCATCCTGAGCGGCCTTGATGGTAAACGCAGTCTCGGGAGTAATGAGGTAAGGCAGAGATCCTTGTCCAGAGCCAGAGTCAGTGGCCAGGTGGCCATCGTAAACAGGACTAGAGCCCTCAACGCTGAATTCCATATTCGGTCCAGCAATAGCGGCGCGGGCATGAGAGCCGAAAATTGCCATTTTATGGGGCTTGTTGAGGGGAAGAGCGTTGTTCTCGTTTTTAAGAAGGGCCATCGACTTGGATCCGTGAGAGCGAATCAGCTTAGCGTAGTTACCACGGACATCAACATATGCGTCCTGTTCGGCTGTCAAAGGTTGTGTGCCATTGTCCAGGTTGACATAGTAGTATCCGATGAGGTTACGAATGGCCATATCGTTCAGTCGGGCCTCGGTCATATTATGCTGCTTCAGATACCCCTCGATAGTAGATGTGCTCCAAATACTGGAAGAGCCGTAGTCCAGGCCATTGATTGCGGAGGCGAGTGCATGCTGTTTACCGCTGGTGTCTGGGAATACAAAACCAGGGAAACCAAGCTCGGATGATTTCTTTCTGTGCATGGTTGATCCATTGAATGTTGGCCGGGATGTCCGCTGCCCCTTATCTACATATGAAATTGAGGATGTGAAGTTGATGAGCCACTGGAGCTGTAACGGCGCTTTCCACTTGTCGATTGGCCGACACTATCCGTAGGCATGAGGTCCACCTGTCTCAAGGCTGATGGGGATCTTCGGCCAATGTATGAATGTTCATTTCCAAGCTTTGAAACGCATACATGGTGTGCATATAGAGCTCGCCCACCAGAGGCCTGCTGAATGACATTCGTAGAGCATGTCAGCATGATACTACGATGTGGCTGAGTGCTGAAGAAGATCGCCGGGCTCACCACATCCATGGATGTGATAGGACGTGCCTCAGGAAGAGACCCACCTTCACGATCTATAAAATGCCCCACCAAAATACTTCGAGTGAGAGAATCCTGATACTGTAGTGAATAGACTTGAACGTATAGCGAAATGCCACTAAAGAGACTGATTTAAACTGTTGGAAGATGGTCAAAGTAACTTGAGTCCAGCAAGTTTGCTGTGAGGCCACGCTGAAGCATTCCTGGATTACGGAGATCAATCGCTTTTGAAGAATGGAAAAAGGCAATGTAATACAGCTTGTTGTGGACTGGGGATCCTCACCATCCTCACTGGACTTATTCTACTCTGAGGAGTCGGAGACGGAGAGCGTATTGTGCTCCAGTATGGAAGCGTACCGGACGCCGCGCACCAAACACACAGCCTGCGACGCACTCACATGCCACTACCGCGTACGAGGGAAAGAAAAAGTGGCAAAAATTCCAAGCAGAAGTTCAAGAGTGTCTCCAGCTTCCAAGTAATGACCCACTTCAAGATCATCAGTCTACCTACGGACAGCGCTCGCGATTATCGAAGACCCAATCCTCCTCCCCTCGGTTACCACACACCCTCCCCCCTCCCACCTAGCAACTGTCAACCATAGAACTCCGTAGAATTATTTTAAAGGAAAGTTCCGTAAAAGTAGTGGCGTGACTCGCTTCGCAGGTCTCGCTTGGGCACGTGCTCGCACAATGGGCGTTTAAAAGGGAAGGAACTCCCAAGGCAACCGTACCCCTCCACCCGTCATCTCCTTCTCTCCTCTCCCACTCCCATCTTCCACTCTTCTCCCACTCTCATCCATCACTCTTCTCCCACTCTCATCCATCAACCCACCACAGGTAATCCTGTTCATCCATCAAGGCTTTGCCCACCATGCATTTGCTTGCTCATCGGCCATGCATGCGGCCACTGAGGCTTCACTCGCTGTGCCTTCCCTCCCTGTGGCCTCGCTCACTTGGGCCTTCCTCCATCGAGGCTCGCTTCACTGAGCCTTCCCCCCATGAGCCTTCATCCACTGAAGCTTCCTCCATCGAGATCCGCATCACTCGAGGCTTCTTCTAGGGAGCTTTACTTTACTGAGCCTTTGCTCACTGGCCTCGCTCACTGAGCCTTTCTCACAGGGGCTTCGCCCGTTGAGCCTTCAACGGAGCTCACTCACTTGAGCCTTGAGTATGCTCTGCCTGTGGTACTACCACAGTTTGCCAGGACAAACATTCTCTGCGTGCAGCAACTTCCAGAGCTCATCAAGGCTTTTGACTGTGCTTCCGCGTTTCTGTGGCACTCGCCCACATGGTCCACAACATCTGCCTCTCCGATATTGTCTCGCCCAGGGAGCATGGCTTCGTTTGTCGTACACGTCCCCGTTCAACACATGGGAACTCATCCACCATTTAGTACGTCTTCATTGATGCAATCTCGAAGACCCGCCTTGGGGTTCTACAAGAATAGAAGTCTGCCGGGGCTTTTTTGCAAGGGGCTACTTCTGCTTCGAGATTTACCGGTGACGACGTGAAAACGATGCGAGCACTCATGCAATGGAAACCACTCCATCTTGTGTTGAGCGGACCCTCATCCACTGTCGCACATGGCTTCATTGATGCGATCTCGAAGACCCTCCTTGGGGTTCTACAAGAATGGGAGTCTGCCGGGGCTTTTTGCAAGGGGCTACTTCTGCTTCGAGGTTACTACCAGTGACGACCTAAAAATGTCGCGAAGTCTCATGGAATTGAGACCACTTCGCCTTCAGGCTCTTCATTTATCGCCGACCGTATGCCTCGTATGTCCATTCCGATATTCGCCAACCAGGACGAACTGAATACGAGATTCATGCCATGAATGGGGCTCCATTAATTCATACCACTTTCCACCGTTTTCGCTTGTACGACAGAACCTTTTGTCTTCCACAAGATACAGACAATTTCTCCATCGATGAAGATTACTCGGGTGTTCGTTGAGCTCCAGCAACTATCTGACTCTATCCACCATTGAGTCCGTCCATCTTCGGATTTTACCTCGTCCACATACTCTGCGTCCACCGCTGTTCATTCAATTCGTCTGCCAGGTATCGAAGACCCACCTGGGGTTCCACATTTGGAATGGAAGTTTGCCGGGGCTTTTTGCAAGGGGCTACTTCTGCTTCGAGATCTACAGGGGTGACATGAACAATAAGCGAGGATTCAGGACACCAATCCGTTGATGCACTGTCCCTCATTGCCACCTACATCCTTCGTCTCTCTTCCGCTTACAGAACCGTGAGCAGACACGAACCCATGACATAGGGATTGTGCCATGAAAATGGCTTAATTCATACAAGCTATTTCCACCAGCATCATCATCTCTACGGACGATTTGCCCACAGCCGATACCGACAATGTGGTCGTCGCCAAGATTACTCCACTCTTCATTGGACCTCCTCAGGTATCGGACTCGATCCACAGCCGAGTCCGTCCATCTCGGAAATCACTTCCGTGCGCTCTCCGTCCATCTACCACCGTCCATATCCTTCGTCTGCCGGATATCGAAGACCTGACTTGGGGTTCCAAATTTGGAATAGAAGTCTGCCGGGGCTTTTTGCAAGGGGCTACTTCTGCTTTGAGATCTGGCACAATTTCGAGGATGTGGACAGGACCTGAGAATCCACGTCATGAACACGATTTCAATTATACATACCTTCGACACCTTCGATCATCGTCGTTCATACAGACTTCATCATTGAGCTCTTTCAATTACGACAAAAGAACACCAGTTTGACATCAACCACCCGGATATGGTCAATTTTCAGAGCGTTTCTCACCATCGGACTATGTCTATTTTCAAGCTCTGAGTCCACCACCCCTTCATCCCTGATCAAATTCTGTCCACCACCGATCACCGTTCATCACGAACTTTCATTGTCCATACACTTTGTCTGCCGGATATCGAAGACCCACTTGGGGTTCCAAATTTGGAATGGAAGTCTGCCGGGGCTTTTTGCAAGGGGCTACTTCTGCTTCGAGATCTGCCAGTGAGATAGAGTGTGGTCATATCATGAGAATTCACGCCATGAACATGGTCTCGCTCATACATACCTTCACCCATCTTCGTTCATATGATCGACTGGCTTATGGCCAAAGACTATTCCACACACTGCTGAGCTCTATCTTTGAGCTCCGTCAACCACCACGAAAGAATCAATAACCAGACATCAACCGTCGGACATGATCAATTTTCGGACCCTGCCCATTATGGAGTAATTTTCATTTTCAGACTATGTCTGTTCTTAAGCTCCAGGCTCAACATCATTAAACTTCGTCCATGGTCAAATTCAAGCAGCCGTCGACTCGCTGTCTGCATCGGATGTTCGTCATCTGTACAATCTTCACCCACCACCGTCCATACACTTCGCCTCCCGGATGTCGAAGACCCGACTTGGGGTTCCAAATCTGGAATGGAAGTCTGCCGGGGCTCTTTGCAAGGGGCTACTTCTGCTTCAATTCGCCCGTGAGGTCCAAGTCGTTCATGGAGTATGAAAACCCAAGCCAAAATTATGGGGTTGCTCATACCTAATTCCCACCATCACCGTCCATACGGATGACTCTTTCATCGTCAAACATTACCACTTCATCAATTATCGAACTCAGTCAATTACTGAAACCTGTCCATCAGACTTTGTCTGCTATCGAGCACTATCATAGTGGAGCTCTGTTCACCAACTCATCGGCGCCGCCACCCACCACTGAACATTCTTCTTTCACATTCTGTCCATAACAATCCACACAACGCCTCTACAGATATCGAAGACCCAACTTGGGGTTCCAAATTTGGAATGGAAGTTTGCCGGGGCTTTTTGCAAGGGGCTACTTCTGCTTCGAGAATCGCCAGTGAGGCCAAAATTGTGGACGGGACATGAGACCCAAGCCAAAATTATGGTGTCGCTTCTACATATTTTCCACCGTCATCGTTCATACGGAAGACCTGTTCATCATCGGAAATTACCACCCATCAACCATCGGACAGTATCTACCAAAACCTGTCCATTAGGCTCTGATATCAAGCTTAATCATCGTCGAGCTCCGTCTACCACCAACTTCAACTATCGGACACGGTCAATTACCGAAATTTGTCGAACAGACTCCGTCATCGTCGAATTCTGTCCACTGCCAACTCATCGCCTACCATTAAACATTCTTCTTTCATACACACTCTGTCTATAACAGTCCACACAACTCGCCTCCACAGGTATCGAAGACTCGACTCGGGGTTCCAAATTTGGAATGGAAGTTTGCCGGGGCTTTTTTGCAAGGGGCTACTTCTGCTTCGAAAACCGCCAGTGAGGTTGTGGACGGAACGCGGAGATACAGGCCATGCATTGATATGGTCTCGTTCATACGTACCTCCACCATCATTGTCCGTGCGGATGACTTGTTCATTTCACAAATCACACCTTTGAGTTCCATCCATCATTGAGCTCTCCCAATAATTGAGCATGACTATCAGGCTCTGTCCACCGCGAAGCCTTTTCCATCATCACACCTTTGTCTGTTTTCAATATCCACCACCGTCAAACTCACTTGTCGCCAAATTCTGACTACCGCCAACTCATCGCCCACCGTTAAACATTCTTTTTCCCTACAATCTTTGTCGACAACTGTCCGCACACCTCGCCTCTCGGATACCGAAGACCCAACTTGGGGTTCCAAATTTGGAATGGAAGTTTGCCGGGGCTTTTTGCAAGGGGCTATTTCTGCTTCGAAATCCACAAGTCGGGCTGTGGACAGGACGTATACCTGGGCTTACTGCGACGCCGTTCAACCACGCAAACTTTCATCGCCAAGCCCTCGCGCTCTCGTCCTTCATCAAAATTGCTATATTCACCAATGCTACCTCCTCATCGATCAATTCCACATCTACCTCCGACCAAACTGCCGCGCTGTCTTCTACCACCGAAGACCTCTCCATCAGGCCCTTGTCTACCTTCGGCCAGGCCATCGTGTCTCGATTCATTAGTGATCAAGAGCATTATTTACCACCATTCAAGCCATCGCGCGCTCTCCGTTGAAAAACGTCTCGCGCATACAGCCTGTCTCCATTCTTAATAGAGCCTCTGCCCAATTCTTAACAGGCTTGCCTTCATGATCGAACAAGGCGTTATCTATTACCTTTCTTGCGCTCTATCCACCCTCGGGCGTCCACCACCATACATCCACCATCAAACGTTCACCACCGACCATCCATTGCCAAACATCCACCAAACCCAACAAAAGAACCTCATTACCAAACATCCACTATCAAAATTCTCTTCTTGCTGCTTTACTCATACTCCAATATGGCATTTTTGCCTGCAGTCCGAAGCCTTCGCTGCTCATCTTACCATCTGTCAAAATTAAAAACAAAAGAAAAAAAAGGAAAAAGAAAAAAAGAAAAAGAAAAAGAAAAAATAAAAGAAAAGGAAAAGAAAAGGAAAAGGAAAAGGAAAAGGGAAAAGGGAAATAGAGGAAGACGAAGAAAAGGGGAGAAAACAACAAAAAAAAAAAAACACCACCACCACCACTATCCATTGCCACTACCAGACTACATCTCGTCAGCCATGGGCACACAAAAGGTATTGTTGACTTGGCCCCCCTCTGTCGGATTATTACTGACTCGGACCCAGCTCTTCTTCAAGTCTTTCAATCTTCCATACTCCCGTCCTCTTCAATGCGCCGCCTGCCTATATTCTCAGCACGGTCTTCCGACATGACCATCCATTTATCTACAACCGATCCTCGCATCACTTGTCCACGTCCCCCAACGGTTACAAAGAATTTCATCATTTGTCTTTGCTACGATCACCCTGGCCCTCAACAGCAGCTACGGAGACACCCATCGAATTAACTGATGAGGTCCGAAGTCCTCGCAACATCAACCTACCATTGGAGTGTACATATCCTCTCCAGCAAGCTATTCAGCTGCAGCCAGAACAGAATACCGCGTCTAAGAACCAAATCGCTCGAGCCGCCGAGAACTCAGGCATCGGTGCAGGCTCTTTGAAATAGAATATGGCCCTGCTCAGAATCAATACAAGGCGACATACGCAGCAAACCCTACCGCTACAATACAAAATCTATTCGACCCCATTAACCTCGGTGAAAGTTGGAAAGAAAATTTCTTTCAGTCACTTAGTCACTTGCTGGACTTGCCACGAGGAAGACCTCCAGTGAGCGGAATGCTCCGCACAATAACTTGATGTACTCCGTCGCGATGAATGCTCCGTCACGTACCAATCTTTTCTTTCTTGGTTATACAACTGTTTCTCCTTCGTGTATCTAACTTGCCGGTCGGATTCCAACTCGGGACAGACACGGCATATTTTCCTCCTCGCTGCTTGATTATACCAATACCGATTCTCTGGTCCACAATGTGTTCGCCAAGGGTCTTCAACGACGCCGGGAGTGAACCGACCCTGGATGTCAAGCTGGTCCACAGCTTCTGTCCCTATGACAACCTCTCAGACAGCCATCCACAGCCACGCAAGCAACCATTTCGCCACCGAAGTTGAACACATCATCATTATCGGCACCGGAAGAGTTGGAAAGTTGTTTTACATGAAGACATGCCCTCCCTGAGGGACAACCTCACTCATTCACTGTTTTACAATGCAAATATCGTCAAGGGTGTCACTGGAAGCAATTTATGGTTTGATTATGTCAACGAAAGAGCTTGTGAATATTATGCGTCGCCTGACGCCGGCGCTCTAAAGACACATCACGCCACCGAGGCCAGAATGCACTCCATCGTAGAAAGACCAGAGGTACATCTCATGAAGGGTCTTTGTGTCGGCGTTGGAGGAGTAAGGAGCACCAGAGGATGAAGACGAGGAAGGCGACGACATAGAAGCTCCGCCGTCCATTCCACCGGCAGAGGAGGACGAAGGCTGAGCCGCAGTAGAGCTTGAGGAAGGTGAGGCGGAAGAAGAAGAAGAGTCCATACTGGGCGGTCCTCCAGCACCGCCGCCAGCACCAACGTCTCCTCCCATGCTTCCAGTACGGTTGGTCTCCTACTCGTTCAAAATAAAATGCTATCAAAAGGTCAATCAAAACGCCGTGAGATATGTGAGAGGTGCAGCAGGACATACCTTGGCTCCTCCAATAACACCCGTATCCTTGTATGCCTTAGCACTCAATCCGGTAGCAATGCCGTTCAGGTACAGATCCGATCCAAACGTCTCAACCGATCGCCCACCCCAGGGCGTGCGACCCAGGGGCTGAGAAGTAGGTCCGTCGACAACTTGAATGCCCTTGAGGTAGAACTCAGTGGCTACGGCCTTTGCCTGGGCGTATATCGCATCCTTATCCCAGGTCATGGCCAGTCCCGAAGCCTGGCTGAACGCCGAGACGTAGTAGTAATCCTGGAGACCCATCGAGCCATCGAGAAACTCGAGTGCCGTGAAGGTCTAACCATCGGTGGTGTTGACGCTGCTTCCAGTGATCAAGTTGATCTTTTCAGTGGTGTTCGGCTTCGAGACGAAATGGGAGGCGTTTTCGTATGCGGCTTGCCAATCGCCCAGTGAGACTGTTGAGGCTGTAGTCAGCAACAAAACCAAAGTATTTGCAATATTTGCACCGGCTTACCCTGGCCGTTTGAGAGAAGTCCCTGATTTGTATTGCTAGAGGCAGAGGCAGAGCCAAAAAGGGCGCCGATGAGAGCAAATGAGTGGATTTTCATCTTCCAGCGAATAGGAATTAGAGATTGCTAAGAGAAAATATATGAAAGAGTGACAGCGACAGCGACAGAACAGAAGAGAATCAACCGCATTCTGGATCAGGACATAGTGCCTTATACGACTAAAGCTCTTCTCATGGGATCACCATGGCAATCTTGCACAACAAGCCCGACACCCTTAAGGTGTACTTAGGACCTGTCGTGCGTCAGCGCTGCCCGAATGGTTTGGACCGAGGCATGAAACGGGTAGAAACCAGGGACGACCCTGAGGGAGGCCCCACGAGAAGCCCAGCCTTATGCTTTAACGAGGGGTCCATTACGCGGATTGGGGGTTTCTGACGTGGTTCAGGAACGGCCGGAGCAGAAGGGGGCCTGCAGAACGCGCTGCTCGGAAAACCCGAGAGTCCTCGTGTGGGACTGCCGAGATCTACATCCATCAACATGCCGATCAGAGCCGCCCGGTCCGTTGTCAATGGGTATTTCAAGACTATTCATAATTGTTGGAGTTGAACTCCCTCAATTCTGATATTCCTGATATGCCTATAGCTAGGAGCATTGCATTCGCGGCGTCAGCGTTGGTCCAATATGGCCTGAGGTTCGCGTAGGATAGCACCAGATGCAATTTCGACGTAGCGCATCAGTCTCCGGAGGAGCTAATCCTTCGACCAGATAGTTTATCACTTAGGTGACTAGGTAAATGACTGGATAGGTGACCAGATAGATGACCGAGCAGGAAACATGGTCATTCCCAGTAGATTGAGCTAATCATTATGGTAATATAGAGTACAGCGAAGCTGGCAAACTCAGCATCTTTGGCAAGGCGCTTCCGATATCGTGAGCGCAATGTGTTAATATCACAGATGCCACGGACACCGTAATCGGCTTTGACAGTCTCATATCTGACAGCTCGCATAGACCAAAGTCATAGCCGTGGGCGTGTATGGCACAGATCCACGAATCCACCCAGGCAGATGACTTGCCACCAGAGTTAGGGAGCGGCCTCTAGCCAAGATTACAGTGCTTTTATATGGACGGCAAGAATAATGCTAGTCTAGGTATGGATACTTACTTTGCTTTATGTGGCTGGAAATAGGATTGGGCACATCCGGGTATTCTTCGGCAAGCCGAGCAGCTTGGTGTCGATCGCTACTTTTTTGGGCAGCAGCTAACAAGATAAAAAATCGATAAAGTAGTATTCCTGTTTCAGACATATTAAATCAAGTCTCTGATCTGTTTGAGCTTCGGTTGAAGTTTGATACTCCTTACAAAGGGATGACACCTAAAGTATGAATCGATCTGGTGGCAGCTGACCCATCGGGTAGTTCACCCGTTGCTCGACCACCTCATAGATCTCCTCAGCAACCAATTCTCCATCACGACGTAGCGGAAGTAGTGGAGATAGTGGAGATAGTGGAGATAGAGCTCTTCGAGGTACTCTCCAATCCGCGAATCTTGCAAATTCCCATGTGCGAGCAATAGCAGCTCGGGTTCCGGAGTGAGGTCTCGCAGTCTCCATCGTCACGGCAAGAATCGCCAGCGCAGCGATAGCTGCGTCTGGTCCAACCGTACTTGCTCGTCCAGATATGTGTATCCCGATTGAAAATGCGTTGATCGCACTTCACGCTTCCGGCGAGGAGTCCGACGGGCGTTCGAGAGGTTGAGTCCCACATACCTTGCAAGTGTGAGTGCGATCGGTCGATGGTGAGGAGCTCGCGGGTGCAGGCCAAGTCCCTGTTGATAATTAACATCTGTTCGCAATACTCGGATTCAAAAAGGTTCACTTACTCGTAGATCGTGCAGGTGTTGGGTTCACTGTTCTCGGGGCAGGGAATGTCGATTGAACCAAGGTTCTTGAGGCTAAGAATCGGGTCAGTATATATATGTTCGCAGGTATGGAAGGTCGACTCACATGGGATCAAGCAATGCGTAGCAAAGCCCCCATTTGATCAGCTCCTGTTGGCCGTGGTAAAAGTATGGGGAGATTCCAACGACTGGCTGTTCGATATGTTAAGAGACAAACACTCGCGTCAGGTGGGGAGGGGGTGGAATGGTACCGATTGAAAAGACACCAGCGCCGTTGTAGTGGTCGTAGTCTCGGCACCTACAAGGAGGCACAGGAGAAACAAGATGAGGGTGGATTTAAGACGCGCCATGGTGTTGGTGAGGTGAGGGAAGACGGGAGAGTGTGGCTGTTGTGTTGTGCCGGGAAGTCCTGAGGCTGCCAACATCGACGTGGACGGGGATGGCAGAAATCAGAGCCATCCTCGGCAAAGTGCCAGTATCGCCTCATTATTCTGTTTCCGCTGGACTTTGTCCGGCTAAGAAAATGAATTTCAGGTCTGGAATTGAGGCCACTCCGAGCCTCGGCCAGCCTACTCCAATTGAGTCCTTTGACCGCCAGTTGTATCTGCGCCACAGTCGTAATGTTTACAGCGTATACCGGGTAGGCTCCCTGTGTGCAGCCGGCGGTATAGTTGTATGGCGAAGGGAGACATGAGCGACCCTCTTATAGCGGCAACATAATGAAAGTAGGGTCTTCCATGTGCAAATCAGAGTTCAGCCAGTCTGCGGTGGTGTTTGAACAATTCGTGGCATCGTACTCCGGTCATTCTGGGTAGCCGTATGCGGCCAAGGGCATTGTCTTGATGATGCTTTCCCCGAGCAATTCGTTGAAGACTTCCCAGGCGGAATCTTTGGGGAGGAATCTCCGAGCATCAGCTTGCGGCTATGGTGTGCGCCCCTGTGGAGTGGGATGTTGTGGCATTGCTCTCAAAAGCGAACATTCGAGCAAGAGTGGTGTCCTTCAGAGCTGCCGAAGCATCGAAGAGTGCGATCTGGATCAATTGTACCGTGTCAAACGGGAAAAGCGATGGCGTGGAGCCGCTGGCTGCCACCGTGCTTGCTGCAGCCGAAGACGACACAGCCGAATGCGCCTGGGCGGTTGGCGTGCCGGCTGCGATGAGTCCTCCTATATATCTCATCCTTGGAAGCACTCCCCAAAGAAGAAAATGAGAGCGATGCACGGTAAAGACAGGATCTTCTATTGGATTTCCTTCCAGGGTTGCTGGCCAGTTGGGGTACTTGTAGAGAAGTCTTAATCGGCCGGCACGGCGGCCGAGCCCTAACAATTTCAACCATTGGGAAGACAATTGGTCGGCGGAATGAGGCGATTAATATAGTTGCAGACGCCCCGTGAGGAACGCATGTTGCGTTGATGCTAATTGGTGTAATCGAACAGCGCTGGAGATGTGGCAGATGAAAAATGAAGTGCCGATATGTATACGGCTGAAGAGGATAGTTGCTGATAAGCATGGAGAATAGATCCATTGTACATCAACAAAACAATTCTCAAGACATTGGATTCTCAGGTATCTGTCGTCGTGGCTCTCTGAAAAATAATAGTTGCAATTGCATTAATTTAACAATGTCCACGATTTCTAGGCTAGTATTTGTCTTGGTGATCAATTGTGTAATACACGTGTCCATACAAAGCTTGTATGCAGAAGGGCCGTTAACTTGCAGACTACATGTTTGATTGCTTCGGGCTGAGATGCTTTTGGGGCGAGTGCTGGTATTCGCCCCCAACTTGCCCTTCTTAGATTCAAAAAATTGCGAGGCTGAACTCGGAGGAGAGAAGGCAATTGTGGTCGGCGTACGCGAGGTTTCAAGTGTCAATTGAACTGGTCGTTATATTGATACTCTAGTGTCATCTTCAGAATTGTTATCATGTAGTGCGAGACGTGAGGTTGCTAGTGATGTCTCAGTTGGAGAAACCTTGGAAAGCCCGCACTTTGCGCTACATAATAGCTACTGGTTTCCCATTTTTACCCTACGTAAATCCGAATCAAGTGTAGAATCATATCTTTGCAGTGAATCATTGACGAGTCCATTCATCTATACCATATCTGACTCCCGTCAGAGGACACATAATCGATACTCATATTTACAAGTACAAAAACACATATTACCCGTATTGCGACCCCGTAACCAACGCATGATGCATCCATGGCTTTGACGGCGAGCAGAAAAAAGAAACATAGAAATAACGCCGTTGAACAGATAAACCCAACACACCATACATCACATCGCCAGCAGGCAAATACAATATGCCACGATCGTAAGGCGAGTTCATCACACATATTACATGATTTTGCCCAGCTTCCGAGGTACCTTTTACATACCATACCAGACCGGACCCGCCATGGTATCAACGCAACGAGGGGGATATATTGAAAACACAAGATCGAAGTAAGGCTGAGCGTACATAAGAATCATGCTCGGATATCGAACCTTAAACGCCTCGGAACTGTTTGAGAGTGTTAGCGAGTGATCATTTGAAGAATGGGATTCAAGGGTACTCACCATCCGAACCACCAGGTACCACATGGCACCGACGAACTTGAACATCGATAGCGCGGCCACAGACCACAAGACAACCTCCATGTAGATCAATGAACGCTCGGATTGCGTCGTATCTTGGTTGGTGTCGTTGGTGCTGCTCGTGTCGTCGAAGGCTTCTAGACCAGCTGCGCTTAGAACAACAGCGCCGAGGGCAAAGTTACAGAAGACCCAGGCCAGCACGACAGCACTGCGGAATCCCTTGTAATAGTCGGCTTGCTTATCTGCCTCCGAGATGACCTCCACCTCCTTGGGTGGTTTCATAGAGAACTTCAATAATTCGGCCTCGTACTGCGCGTTGAGATCTCCATCGTCCTGCGGGATGTTCACGTCGACCTTGCCGCCGGGCTTCAGATTCGCAGAGGGCAGCTTCTCGGCCTTGTCGTCACCCTTGGTACCCCATGTGATATCGTGGGTGTTACAGAAGGCGTAGATGTTGAGAACGTTGATGTAGGTCGGAGTTAGCAGAATGTATTGGATGAACTAGACAAGTTGTTAGCAACATCATAGCAGCTGGGTCTATTTAGACAACATACCGAAGTGAACATGTGCCAAGGGTCCATGAAGATGAAGGACGCGATGAACCACATGACATAGGTTGATCCAAGTGACACGATGATCGAGAAGAAAGTCTTGTTGGTGAAAAGTTCGCTGACTGTGAAGTTGTTTTGTTGAACTTCACTCTGGATGGACTTCACAGTGACAAAGACCGCTGCGAAAGACAAGTATATCATGATGAAGATCCAGAAGTAGACCATCGTCATATAGAACTTGTTGGACCCACCAGGTCGGTTACCAAGCGCGAGCACGAAACAGGTGACCAGAGTTGCGAGATAAAGCCATTCGAAAACTATACCCAAGACCTTTCCGGCTGTACCTAGCAGTTCGTCACTACCAAGGTATGTCGTAAGGATATGGAAGACCAGGAAGAAATTGCCGATACCGAACCACGCAAAGATCATGGCGACGGTTTGATAGATGAACTCAATCATTAGTGCGAACTTGCGCAGGAAACTGTGATCGCTGCGGAATATCTGGTAGAAGTGGGTGATGGCATAGACAGCAGCGAAAAAACTACCGTTCAACCAACGACGTCGCTGCAAGATAAATTCGGCCATGCGGTCGGGCACATCGGTTTCACCAGTAGATGACTTGACATACTGCAACAACCAACGGCATTTCCGCTTGGACACAATCTCGAAACATAGAATACGATCCTCAGCCAGGTACATATTGGCAGTGAAAATACCCGCGTTGGCACCGTGCATCTTCTCACCTAGGAAGTATCGCTCCAGGGGGCCTTGGCCATTCTTGTCGTTCTGCAAAGCCACGTAACGGTAGGCTGAGAAGGCACCAGGCAACACAGTAATGAAACCAAATGCAGACTCTAAAGGCTTGTCGAGAATGTTACTGAGCTTGTACTCGAAGTTCTGACCAGCCACCAAGGGGTTCAGCAGCTTCTTGCCGTGCGAAAGCATGACCTTAATCTCTCCGCAGGCACCACCACACATCGGCTCAACGTCGAAAGCCTTCCACAAGTGGTAAATCGAATCCTTGCCGGGCTTAGTACCCGCATCAAGAAGAACACAGATATTCGGGTCCAGCACTCGGCCGAACGCCTGGAAGAACCAACGATGAGAGTTGATCTTTTTCTGGTTCTTTTCCTTCAAGCAGAAAATCATTTGCACAGGCGGTCCTGCACGCGGCTTGAGGTGGACCTGAGTTCCCTTCACCTCGAGACCCACCTGGGTGGTGTACTCGTAGATGTGTGCAGTCACGTCCTTGCCATTGACCTGCTGCTTAGCAATTCCGTCCTGATAAACACCCAGACCAGCCAACACAGCGCGTGTGCGCGGGTTGATCTTGGCACGACCGTCGCTGATAACACAGACCACGATCTTCTTCCAAGCATCCTTGCCCCATGTCTTGCTGCTGGTGCGCGAGCACATGTGATTGATATTTTTGAACACACCAGACATGGTGCGCGCAAAAAGGAAGTCATCCTCATTGTACATGGTCACCGCGATGAAAAGCTCGGTATGGCGGGGCTTGGCGAAGAGCTTCTGGCGCAGAGTAAAGCGCTCCTCGAAGAACTCTGCAGGATCGCAAGTCGCGGCCGAATAGCGCATGTGAGTGAACTCATCACGGTCTGGAGGCGGCGCGTGGGGTACTTGGCTCAACAGTTTCGGCGCGATGGGACAATCCAGGACCAGATTGCCGTTGAATAGTTGAACTTCCTTCACCGTCTTCCAGCGTCGGATGGGAGCTGGGCTCGGAGTTAAGCGCGGCTCATCCTCGTAGCCTTCTTTGTAGGGGTCCGGCCCGAAGGGGTTGTCGCTAGGATGCAACATGGGAGCTTGGGGGTGGTCATCAAACGGGGTGTGGCCACCCTCTGGGTATTGGCCAAGGTCATAATCGTCGTGAGGAGTGTGGGAAGGCTCGTACGGCTGGGTATAATAGGCATCGTGATGAGCTTCGGGGTCAACCGCATATTCGCCATAACCGTAAGGTTGATGGTGTCCTTCGTAGGCTTCGTTGTGGCCGTAAGAGTTGTGGATATTCTCGACCGAGTACTAACGCATGAAACAATAATTAGTGTCATAATTCAATGCTTGGAAGGCTTCGCAATTGTTTTTTTTATTTGAGATTTCCACTCACGGTAGGTTGGTCGGCAAGACGATCACTCGAGGGCATGGGCAAATGTCCGGTCGGGGCATATGGGTTGTCCTGCAGCTGGTAGGCGTCGAGAGGTCGCCCGGGAGACGGGGTGCGGTTGTAACTGGTGTTCATTTGCTGAGGGTGCAAAACGGGGGAGCGATGCTCATCCCCAAAGGGGTCTGGGGTGCGCATCTTGTTAGTTACTGTGGTTCAACGAGTGCTCCAGAGTTCGTTGTGTCGAGTCGAAAAGAGAATTGGTGAAGACAATGGACAAGTCCGCGCAATGATCATGCACCATCAATGGCCAGCACCACGGCGCAATGTCAAATGGGGTAATGCGCAAGGAAATATGGGGTATTGGCAGAGGGATTAAGAAACCAGAAACAAGAAAAGCAGGGGAACCTACCGACGCGATTATAGGACATGGCCGCTCAGCTAGCCTCGGATTCGAGTACAGCGAAAAGATCCCGCCCCTAAGGCTGATAGTAGGGGCTCGTCGGCTGGAGATTGCGCCAGGAGCCAAGTGGAATAGGCACGGTCAGTGGTGAGGAATCACTAGCCCGAACGACGGACCCAAACTCTCGGCGTCGTTTCAGAAACAACGAATGTCCCAAGCGAAATAATGGGAGGGCGAACAGCTCTGAGGGGGAGGGTCCGTGTCGCAGAATGGAGGAGTAGAAGAGGCCAGGATTGCCCAGATAAAATTCCGAGCCCCTGGGTGTTTACGAGGCCTTTGGACGATCGCTGTGATGACGGTGGAGTTGGCAGGCAGACGAATGAGCGTTCATGCGCGACCCGCACAGCCTGGTGGATATGCCTGTGTTAGTATGGAAGATACGAACTGCCTTCCGTATCGACGAGTGCTGGGACGAAAAGGAAGCAGTCAGAGAATGAGGGCAAAGTGATCAGAGCGACCGTTTGGGAGCGTAAATTCCCTGGGACGCAGAGCGAAGCCTGAAACATCAGCGATCCACGGGTGAAGGTGATGCAAAGTGCCGCGGGTGCGGTGGAGCGCAGGCTGGTCACTGGGCCAACGCGAGGCACGGGCGCCTGCACTCGCCACGCCGAACCGTGGCTGCGTCTGCCAAGTGTGGCGGTTCCTGGCAGAGTCTTACTTGCAGAAAGCATTACTTTACGCACCTTAGGGGCAGCCGGTCTTTTTTTAGAGAACCGTGTTGCCTGGCTATGAATAGATTTACCCCGCGAAAGTATACCGATGTCTTACGGTCAAATCTCTTGTATCTCATCTGGACGTAATAGTTAAGCTGTATGTGATGACGTGGAATCCATGCACCCCTCGCATACTATAAAAGTGCAATCCAAGGGCTTAATCTACAGTGTTAAGGCTTAAGGGCAAGGCACGGATCACGGGAAATTAGGGCCTATCGATAAAGTGGCCCCGCCCGATTCCCCGATGGTCGCATGGGGCCCTACGTAATTCGACCCTCGAGCATCGTCCGTCGAGTCCTTCAATCACTCTCCCACCACAATGTCTCCCCCCGTCAGCGTGCTATTTGTCTGCCTGGGCAACATCTGTAAGCCACACCCACCTCCTTGCTCCGCCCACAATATACGACGCGCCTGCTGGGCGTTGTGAGACTCTGGTTCGGCTGCTAACACCCCACCACAGGCCGGTCGCCTATGGCCGAAGGTGTCTTCCGCAATGTCGCCGAGTCTAACCCAATCATCGGCGAGATTGACTCGGCCGGCACAGGTGCCTATCACACCGACGAGCCTCCCGACTCCCGCACCATGTCCACCCTCCGCCGCCATGGCATCACAAGCTACAACCACGCCGCGCGCAAGGTCAACAAGGACGACTTCCTCAAGTTCGATTACCTGCTAGCCATGGACAAGTACAATTTGCGCGATCTGCTGGACACGCGCCAGTCGGTCATCAACTCGTTGAACCGCAAGGCCGATCCCAAGTCGGCGGCCAAGAATACCCGAGCTGCGCGGGACGCTGCGTTGGGTGCGCAGGTCGAAGACGCCAAGGTCGCCGAGGTTCGCTTGTTCGGAGATTTCGGTCGTGGCGGTAAGCTGCATGATCGTGTCGGCGGCGGCGAGGTGGTGCAGGACCCATACTATGGTGGTGCCAATGGGTTCGAGGAGGTCTACCAGCAAGTCGTGCGGTTTTCCGAGGGCTTTGTGGATTTCCTGGAGCAGCAGCAATGACCTGAGTCCTTCGTAGTTGTCGTGTTCACTTATTTAAAAGCAACTTGAAGGTTAGCTGGACGGTACAATGGTGGAAACTGGCCAAGCATATAGACGGCGGGACGTCACATGTCATAGAACTAGATGAGGTAGGGTTTGCTTCTTTATAATGGTACCCTACTACTCCAGTCACAAGCGGGCGAAGATGGGGTTTTGTAAACCAAGATATATCAATTATTGAAGAGGAAGGTAGCCTCTGTTGCAGTGTGGTGTACAATAATATTATACAAGTATGTGTCGCAATATATATAAGGGCCATGCTCACTCGTCCTCCCAATCACACCTTTTCGCTGATCTTGATGGCAGTCCTGCAACCAAGGCGAATTACATCCACCAGTGGATCGTAAGGCTTAGCCTCCTTGGAATCGTTGGCGACGGCGTGGTCTAGGTGCTCAAGTTCCTCATCCCGAATCCTCCGGAATGTGGATAGCATCTCCTTCAACTCATCATCGAGCTCTTCGCCCCTCCTCTCTGCATCAGCCTCCCACGAAAGAATTTCCCTCACTTGGTCGTTATAATGTGACCCAATCTCCGTCTCCACCGCCTCAGTACATGCCATTGCAGCTTCTCTGCCTAGCGCGGCAGTTGACCACCCTAGGAAAGTCGCAGCAGCCTCCCAGACCGGGTACATGGCAGTTGGTCGGATCTCATGCTTCGCGATGAGGTGATTGAATGTCTTTAGGTGGCCTGCTTCCTGGTCGTACATGTGCTTCATCAATGGCCGGAGGTGCGGGTGAGACCGGACCACTTGTGGGTTCTGCGCGGTGTAGATGAGGGTTGCGGCGAGTTCACCGGCTTGGTTGACTCGCAACGCACTGTCCAAAAATTCGCGCTGAGTCTTGCTGAGAACATATCGAGGCTTGGAGGTGCCGGCAGTCCCGGTCGTCGAGGCGTATCGGTGGGAACGCAGGGCCGTTGGGGCGAGGAAGTCAAGGAAGACCGGAGACGGTCGTGATGATGGGCGACGACATTGTGCCAGCAGGCATCTTCGGAGAGCAGGGACCGCCTCCATCGTTCGTATTTGGAGCTGTAGCTCGGCGTTCGAGTCGCGGAGGTTGGCAGGAAGGGACTTGCCGCTGCCGCGCGCTTGAGGCTTGGCACTCCGAACGTCATGAATCGACGGCCGAAGGCCAACTTGGGACCAACAACCACGCCCTTTCCTTTTCCACCGAGACCCTCCACGCCCCCATTACCCACGTCGTACCTTCCTACCGTCTCTATACAACACTCATTATTACGGTGAAATACTTCGGTTGATTATATCGGTATTTGGTTGAGAGATTGGCCTTGAGGACTTCGAAGTTGAATCTTTGCGCCTCCTGGTCGGGAGCCTTTTGTCTTCTAGATCAAGGCTAGGCGGCGATCCAAGAGGGGTTTCTGCCTGCAGAAAATCACGGCCATTGCTATTCTAGTCTTAGAAAGGCAGAAGAGGAAGGCGCGCGGTCAATATGGCGGATGCCTTGGATGAGGAGCTGCTCGCTCTGGCGGGCGACTCTGAGGAAGAGCAATCACACACTCCTCAGCATAAGGAGTCATCTCCAGCTCCCTCAAACTTTTCGCACTCATCACACCACGATCGCGATCGTTCACCAGAACCCATGGCTCGCAAAGGCATTGCCAAATCCTCTCGCAGCTCTCGGAAAGTCGTGGGGGACGAGGAAGGCGAACTGTAAGTATTTACTGCGCTCCTTTGTCCCTGACCTGCCGCCAGCCCTGCACGCATCATCCACTAACAGCTCTAGCTCCGAGACCGAATCGCATAAATCCGCACCCATGTCCGACTCAGATGATGATTCTGAACCAGACGTCTCTGACGCTGAAGACAAGCCCATTTTTCCTTACGACAAACTTTACTATTCCGCGAAAGAGAAAGACGAAATCATGGCTATGCCTGAAATCCAACGTGAGGAGCTGCTCTCCGAGCGCGCTCAACAAGTCGATCGCCACCATCAGGACCTCGCACTGCGCCGTCTCCTCAAAGACCGCGAGCGCGAGGAAGCAAAGGCCGCCAAGCGCAAGGCCGGTGCCGCTGGCCTTGATGACAACCAGCGCAAGAGCTCCCGCCAGAAGACAACCCTCGGTGGTCGCAAGGTCGGAGAAACCTCTGCCGCAATCGACGCCTACAAGCGTCAGCGTGAGCAGAAGGGCAAGCGCGACCAGGCCCGCCCTACCAGCACTCCCAAGACTCGCCGTCGCTCTTCCGCCTCCAGCGGATCCGTCTCCCCCTCGTTCTCAAACCACCCAAGAGAGTGAGCCCGACCTAGATGATCGTGTGGGTGGTTCTGCTCCCCCAAGGATGACCCTCCCGCCGAGCTTCGGGACATTCAACGCGCCCGTGTAGGCCGTTCGAACTTCGCCCAAGTCGTCTACTACCCCCATTTCGAGGAGCGCATCACCGGTTGCTACGCTCGGGTCAACATCGGTATCAACAAGGAGACTGGCATGAATGAATACCGCCTCTGCCTTATCACTGGTATTACGGAGGGAAAGCCCTACGGCATGGAGTCCGCTAGCGGACGTCCTTTCGTTGTCAAGAAATACGCCAAGCTGGCCCACGGCAAGGCCGTTCGTGAATTCCCCTTCATTGCCTGCTCCGACTCTCCCTTCACTGAAGTACGTTGATCCCTCTGATCCCTCACTTCCCTCAAATAACATCTTACCTTTCTTTAGGCCGAGTACAACCGGTATCGGAAGACCATGGCAGTGGAGGACTGCAAGATGGCCACTCAGCTGAAGGTCGCCTCGAAGGTTGCCGACATCAACCGCCTTATCAACCACACCTTCACCGAAGAAGAACTTGCCAAGAAACTGCGCCAGCAGGGTGCTCTCAATTATCACGCCAATGAGCTCCTCGAGTATGACCTTGAGAGAAAGAAGAAGCTCGCGCTCGACGTTGGTGATAAGGAAGAGGCCGATCGCGTCCAAAAGGAGATCGACACCATTCACAATCCTAAGCTTTCATGGGGAACGGCTGGCCTCTTTGCGAAGAAGCAGCCCAAGACGGAGAATCTCACCGCAGCCGAGCGTCTACATGATTACAACATTCGCATCCAAAAGCTCAACCACGAGAATGTTCGCAAGGCCCAGATCGAGGAGCGCAAGGCCGCTCGCAAGGCCGCGACCGAAGCGGCTCGTGCCAAGAGTACCCCGAAGGTAGAAGAGGAGGTGCCCAAGGTCAAGCTCACGCCTAAAAAGAAGACTGGCTTCATGATCACCCACGCACCTACTGCCGACGATATCCTCCGTGGCATGGATTGGAGTGACATTGACGTTGAGATTGAGATCTAAATTGCCTGTAACTTTACATCTTCACCCTTTCGATGTCTATCTTTTTTTTATGTTTGCCATAGGGTTCCCAGGGTTGGTTAGTTCGTCAGAGATATCCGAATGTTAACTAGTATTATCATGATTTATAATTGAGTGTATCTTGCGGTTCGCCCTACACGTGTTGAACAGATAATCTTTTAGGATGGCACTTGGAACGGAATGGGCCTATGATGCTTCCCCTCTTAAGAGCAGCACACAGTATTTACTAGTACTTTTATATACCTAGGGAATGTCTAGGACATGAGTTTGAAGTGCGATGTATACTATCACGCGCTGTGAAGGTCTACGCAAAGCAGAAAAAAATCCTTTGAGAAATATCGTCAAAAGCATACTTGATTTCGATGTCGATACCGAGATCCTGTTAGATGTGAACATGGCTACTTTTACAGAGTCACAATCATCTTTAGCGCAACTTGGGCGGAATTTTGCTAAATTGGTATGCTGACGATGGATCAGTTTTCGGATGTAGGACATAGCAACCAATTATGAATTTAACTAGTTGTTCACAAAAGTTCGTATTTTGGAGGTAGGGTATTCTATACTATTATACGTAGTCCTTAGGGTCAGGTACTCAATCCGTCTGATTTGAGTAGTGGCGCGCGTTGATAAGACCGCATCACGTGCACGCGGCTGGGCAACGCGAAGCACGCGCATCGCGTTCGATCCCCCAGGCATGCGCCCTAGGGACCCGCACTGTCAACTCTGCAAACCCCTTTCAAGACTGTTTTTCGAGTCGACTATGACCAATTTGGCCATTTGATTGCTTCAAATCGCCTTCCAATCTTACAATCTGCTCATGATGTCCTCTGCCTCGACGCCGCGCTCGACGCGCTCCGCGTCGCCGACCAGTGATGCCAATTCTCCCAACATGCTCACTCCGGGGCAAAAGATCAAGGCAATGATGGCAGAATTCGATAGCGACTCCGACTCCGACTCTCAATCTCCGAAAAAGAAATCTACAATTCCGAAGCTGGACTTCGGAAAGAAGCACAGCTCCAACTCCAAAACGCGTCCACCTCAATCTACTAGTAATAACGCCTCTGACAACGACTCCGACGATGCCGATGACATTGTTCGACCCCGAGGCCGTATGGCTGCTCGAATGCAAAACGACTCAAATGACACAAGTCCACAGGATTCTGCTTTCTCCCGTTTGTCCAATGCTCTCCGAGCCGAGAGAGAACAGGCACAAAAACCAAGCCAGAAGAGCCCTGCACCTGCAGACGAGTCCAGCGATGACGAACTCCCTACTGCTGGCCCAAAGCGAAAGAATAACCTTCAATCAAAGCGACCTACAACACCTGGTAGCCACCCAGCGGGCTCGCCTGTCGGCTCCCGCGCCGACTCGCCTCTGTTTGTCTCATCGCCTGAAGCCTCAAGTGCCGAACCCGCAATTCTTGAAGAAGAGGGACCAGCTCCAGACAAAAATGCCAAGTTCCTTGCCTTGGTGGCCCAAAAGCGCACGGAGCGTGAAGTGCGCGAGAAAGCCGAGGCGGAAGAAAAGGCCGCCAGACGGGCTAAGATGGAGCAGTTCAGCTCTGATATCCTGTCTGGAGAAGAGAGTGAAGGTGGTGGTCCTGGATCAGCCCAAAAATTGTCTCAGAAGGCCCGCCAGCCGCGGAAGGCGAGCAAAAAGGCGTTGGAGGAGATGAGCAGAGAGACTCAGCGAATGAGCCGAAACATGCAGCTTGCGCACCAGGCACAGACCAAAAAGAAGATCACCAAAGAAAGTCTCTTTGCTCGTTTCAACTTCATGCAAACAGATGCCCCTCCAGCTGAACCCGCTGCGGTGAACTCTTCTTCGACAGCTGGTTCGCAAAACTCCTCTGATGCCGAGGGACAAAAGGCCGAGACTCCCCGCACCTCACCTGTGCTTGGTCCCTCCGATGCTGAAAAACCCGCCGCTGCTGAAGCAACAGGCCAAGACCAAACCGAAGGAGACAAGCCACAAGAGGATGTGGAAATGACTGATCTCCCCACGCTTGAGGAGGTCATTGCCGATACTCAGTTCGAGCCGAAAGATCTCAAGGGAAGTGCTAATGCTCCGGTGACTGATGCCCCGGCAAAATCACCTTCGGGAATTGCGAACATGAACCAGGAGACCCGAAAGGTTACGCCGCCCTCTGTCCGTGTCCTCATGTCTCGACAAGAGGTTGCGCAGCACCAACATGATGGATCTGACAGTGATGACCTCGAGGTTATTACATCTCCCGCCAAATGCCGTCGCATTGCCGCTTTCGAAAACCTACCCGCGAGAAAAGTGCAAGAAACCTCTTCCATGACGAAGTTTAAAGCTCTGGCCCACCTCACCTCCCCAAACCGCAAGATGAGCTCGATGAGCTCTTCCGAGCTTTCTGCGAGTCTCTTGTATAAGGCTCGGCAGCAGGCTGCCAAAGACCGACGCGAGCGCATTGAAGAGCTGCGAGCGAAGGGTGTTGTCATTGAAACTGCCGAGGAGCGAGCTGCCATGGAGGACAATGTGGAGGACCTGGTGGAGAAGGCCCGCAAGGAAGCCGATGATATCGCACGAGAGGAGCGTGCCGCTAGGAGGAAGGCCAAGGGTCTTGATCCTGATGATGAGGAAGATGATGATGACTACACCTTCTCAGGATCTGAAGACGGATCGGGCGAGGACGAAAATGAAGATGAAGATGACAATAACAGCACTGCTGGCGAGAATGGCTACTTTGAGCAAGAGGCAGATGAGGGGGACGAGTCTTCTGGAGATGATTCTGAGGCCGCCGCATCTGATGTCGAACTTGAGGCACCTGGGTCACGACGAAAGCGCCGGACTCGCGTTGTCAGCGACGATGAAGACGACGACGACAACAACAACGAACAGCAGATCCCCTCTACACCTGTTCGACCCTCAGCCCAGAGCGCCCAATCCGCCGAAAGACCCAAGTTCCCTGGCATGGAAACACCGAACATGTCTTTGGGTCTCACTCAAGCCTTCGCTGGCACTCTTGCTGATGACGACGATGCTACTGCCAGTCAACCCGGATCTGGCACTATTCCATTCTCTCTTCCTGATCCTGGCCAACCTGTCCCTAGACTTCGTGCGGAGGATTCTGAAATCCTCGTCAAGGACAGCCAGGAGCAACCAGAGTTCATGCCAGCGCCCAGCCAAAATTTCAATAGCGTGTCTGAATCTCCCGCGAGCCATGGTTTCTCCCAGTTTTCACAAATTCCCGACCCGACTCAGGACGAAGGATTCGTCTTCTCGCCCTTCGACCCCGCGAAGCGATTCCGAGAAACGCCACCAGTTTCGACTATTGACACTGTCATTGTTGGCCAGAGCCAATCACCTATTGCCCAGCGCAAAGCTGGAAAGCTTCGACGTGGACGTGCCAACCTGTCCATGGTTGAGGAAGAGAATGAAGACGAGGGCGACTATGAAGTCAGTGCCAATGCTTTCAACATCATGAAGAAGTCGGCGAAGAAGGCCAAGGCACATGTTCCTTATGATAAGAAGAACAGCAAGGCGAAGGGTGTTGTGGACGAGGCGGCTGAGGAGTCCGAGGATGAATATGCTGGTATCGGTGGTGCTAGCGATGACAGCGACGGCGAAGAAGACGTCCGTGACTTGCAGATGATCAACGACAACAGTGGCGAAGTCGTTGATGAGAAAGAACTTGCTGCGCTGAATGCGTATGTTTATGACCTTCGTTCCTTTTTACTGGCTCTATTTACTAATATACCGACAGTTCTCACCAGCGAAACCGAGACGAGAAGGATGTTGCCAAGCTGCTCAAGGATATCACGACTGGAGCTTTGCGTCGTCGCCGCGGCCCGGATGATGATTTCGATCTCGATGACTCGGACGACGAGCAACAAGCACGTCGCCGTGAAAAGCAGCGTGAATTCGCCAAGATGCGCAGAGCTCTTCTCGCCGATGACAAAGTGGGCGAGCTTGCCGAGAACCCCAAGAAGGCCGCATTCTTCAAGGCCATTGAAGACCGCGACGAGCAGGACGACTTTGAGCTGGACTTCCTGGAGGAGAACGAAGGAGGATCCCAGAATGAGTCCTCTCAGGATATAGCTGCCGCTCCGCAGACCGAGTCTGCGGAAGACAAGGATAGTAGGAAGCGCAAGCGACCTCTTGAGCCATCTGCCGAAGATGCCACCAACCGACCTCCGCCTCATCTCCGTCGGACCGCCGCCAGTGCCATGTCTAAGAAACCTGCTACTCTGGCTGAGATCCGCGAGACCCTGTCTTTCCTGACCGAGACACCCGAATACGACTCCTTCCACGAGGACGCATCCCTGGATGAAGATGCAGGTGAAGATGATGAAGATGACGCCAACTCTGGGAATGATCAAGCCTACTCCGACGACAACCAAACCCAGTCCAAGGAATCCTTCGCCAAACCCAGCCACCCGCGCCGCACTCGCGGCACCGTCGTCGATCGACTTGCCCTGCTGCGCCAGGCATCTTCCAACTCCGCAACCGCAACGAACTCCACCTCAACAAGCAATCCCAAGATGGCATTCCACAACGGCGGTAGCTCCGAGGGACCTATCGGCTTCCGTCCGCCCCAGCTCCTGCGCCGTGTTACCTCAGGTTCTTCCTCGAGCAACTCCACCACATCCAGTAGCTCCAGCAAAATCCCTAGAGCTGCCGCGTCAGGCTCGAAGAAGGGCGGAGCTGTCAACTCCTACACCGCCGCTCGTGAGCAGGAACGCGAGAGACAATTGCGTGTTAAGCAGCGGAATGGTGGTTCTAATATCGCCAAGCTGCTGAACAAGCATGCTAATATTAAATTGGGTGCATTGGCTGGTAAGGGACAGTGGGATTGAGCGGGCTCTCAATTTGCATCGGGTGGTTAACTACTGGTTCTTTCGGCATTCACATAATACCTTGTTTATCTGTAGCATTCATAGGACTGGCGTTTTGGCAAAGGACGAATATTTATGTGACTAAAATCAACTGGCATTTAGATTGAAACAAATGTTCTGCACAAAAATGGCACAATCGGATCATTTGCCCGCCTTTACATATGCCTCATCGAGCCACTTTCTCATTTTAGGGGTTTCCCTTTCCCGTGGCCGGTGATCACGATCGAAACATAGATCCAACAATCCGTACAATGAAGAGATGGTCTTCACATCATCGCCTCTTTTTTGCCCTTCCTCGCGCGCAAGGAGGTAGCTCTCCCACCCGGCATCACGTGCACCGCAATAGTCTTTCTCGAAATCGTCTCCAACATGCACGCACGTCCATTCACCATCTGGGTTGAAACGTGCGGGCAGCTCTGATTCTCTTTGCGCAGCCTTCAGCTGTGGGAGTATACTATCTCGTTCTTTCTCCATAATTAACCGCGCCTGTCTCTTGGCAACGTCGAAGATCGATCGATTCGGCTTTTCTTCACCGGCTTCATAGCTCGTGATGACTAGATGTATTTCGCCGGGATGTTTCAATTCAATTCCACGTGGTGGTCCGATTGGTTGCTGCGGCTTTAAGTTGGTCTTCAACTCCTGTTCGATTAACATCAATTGTATGGCGCGGTATTCTAAAGGGCTTTTTTCGCGTCGTTGGCGTGGTTGGTGTGGAGGCTCTTCGGAGCCGGGTTCTTCTTGCGGAGGGGGTGGTTCTTCCTTCGGAGGGGTGAATGCGTCTTCTGGAGGGAACGGCTCTTCGATTCCTCCTCGATACTCGAATCCAGGCAAGTGCTTGCTCGAGACATCCTGGTCCGCACGCATATCCGCAACATTTATCCCCAATGCTCTCAGCACGGCAGGAACTCGATCATCCGAATTCGATATAACGCCTAGGATTATCCGATCAAAGCGGCTATTCGACGGCAGGGGCTCATAAGTCATCCATCGGATTATCTCGAAGAACCGTAACACTTCAGGGTATTCGGCATAGCCGCCTTTACCGGCGAAAAGCTCGAGAAGATGATCCACCATTCCGTCGGGTAACTTGAATTTGCCGTCCTGCGCGTCGGCCGCTGTTCCAGCCAACGTTCGCGCAAAACTGCCTTCGATCACCTCCTGCCACCACTGCTTGGGTCCGCCGTATTGGCCGCGGAGGACATCGGCGCGGCCGTAGTTGGGGTATCGCTTCGATTGCGCGAGGAATGTCTCCTTGAAGGCAGATTTCAGCCGTTGCGGGGTGATAACGGGCTGTGAGAGGCCATATTTGCAGGCGACCTGAACATAGAGCTCGGGGACGGGAATGCGGGGGTGAAAAAGCGTCCCGAAGGCGTCGAAGGTTAAGAGAAGGATTCGCGAGGCGGCAGCCTTCCCATTGAGCGAGCTCGTGGACATCTCGAGGATAGGTTGAAGCGAGCAGGAGGCATGACGACGGGTGCGGGAACGGGAAGATGTGGGGAAATTCTGGTTTGTGCTGATCCCAGACCCACCATCAAAAACAACAAACAGGCTCTGTCCTACACTAAGCAACTACTAGTAGGAGGTACTTTTGACTACCATCCGAGCGACTAAAACGTTGCAAAACATTTTTGCTCTTTTTTTAATCTCAAATCTCGAGCAATTCCTCTGGGGCCACTTTCATTGATCTAAGCTATGTAGTAAGCTGAGCTTGAAGTCGCAGCGATATTTTAAACCAGTAATTCGAATCAACCATCTTTGTTGATTTCATCGAGATCCTTGTTAACAGCTCACATAATTCTACCGCTAGGTTAGTTCTCTATCAATCTGACTATTCCATAATAGAGTACTGGTCTCTCAGTTCGGACACATCCCGACACCCACGATCTGACATTAATATGGTCACACAGAGTCCTGAGCTCCACAATGGTTCACAAGTCACTCAACCCTAGGTAAATATAGTGAAATGAATAGATTAAAATGGTTGCTTACCGTAGACAAGCCGAGAAACTACTCTGGATTGCCGGGTGCTAACAAAATAAGCTTATCGAGCTTGCCCACCGCAACGACGCTAGTCGATCCCGCCATCCACAATGCAAACCATCGATGCGCCAATGGGGCTCGTCGCTCCATCATAATGGCGTTTCGTTCTTTCTCGCGACCGTTCCGGCTGGCACGCAGCTATACCATGGTGCCTCGAACCCGGGCGCTGTGAATGGGACTGAGTGGCTAGCATTTGAGCCCGAGCATGCTATGGTCTTTGCCCGTCCGCATCGCGGTCCTCCGCCCAAAGGACCGGAGGATGATATTGATGATAAGCCCGAGGAAGGAGAAAAGGAGTATGGGCACCACGAAGAGTTGCGTCGCCGACATGACCACGGCGAGACGCCGTTCGAGGAAATGGATGAGAATGCATCCGGGTATCTCCACACCTACGCCGCCGCCAAGGATCTTCGCCTCGTGTATATCGACGGGATGTCAGCCGGGAAGACGAAGAAGGGGACACTGGACTCGCAGGATTACATCCTGTTCAACGGGACGATCGACGAATTTTCCGAAAAAGACAAGAAGAAGCCGCGCAAAGGGCCCGGTCCCGGCGGCGAGAGTGATCGCGCGCTTAAGGCATGCGAAATGGCTAAAAATGAATGGGAGGGTAGCATCGACGGGGTTCTTCGTATGGAGGCGGGATTCGAGATTATCCTCTGCTCTTTCGAGCGGGATCTGTTCCCAATCCGCACTACCCATGTCAAGCAGGATACTCACGAATGGGGACCTGGAAAGGGAGGATCGAAGCCGCCAGGACCTCCAGGCGGCGGACCTCCAAGAGGCGGCAAGAAGAGGAAGGTTCCTGGACCTGGTGGGCCTGGGCCGGAATCGTCGCGGTGGATGCGTGCTGTCACGTCGCGGTATGATAGTATCGGAGGGAACAGGGTCTGGCTGAACTATGATAAGTTCGTCACGGCGTACTCGCACGACGTCGATTTGTTCCCCGAGGGCTCTACATTGCCTCGTCTAGCGAACCTTTTGACTTCCGAACTAGCAGCTATCCGCGACGAACTCAGCTCTGTGATTTTGCGTACGGATCTCAAGGAGTCGTCTTGGGACTGGCAAGCCACGGTCGATATGATCGTCACCCGATATAGTGATGAGCTGTCGTATCTGACTTCGGACAAGTTCTCCGAAATCAAGGCTTTCCATGATCATATTGAGATCCTCCTGTCGCCGTTCATCGATTACAGCGAGCGCAATACCTTCGAGGAAGCAGAGCGATGCGCCACGCAGTTCCTGCCTCTTCAGATTCAGGAAGGGAAGACTACCGCTGCCAAGGCGGTGCACCATGTTGCACACAGTGTGTGCATGGCGTTGCTCGAGGCCTGGAACGAGGATAAGCTCGTTCTAGCGCAGAACCGCGTCCGCTCTGTGATCGATTATCTGGATTGGACGACCTGGAAGGACCGCCGCGGTTGTCAAGATAACGAGATTTGCGTCGTCCCCATCTGGCCAATGGGCACAGTTGATGGCTACAACCAGCCCAAGTGCAGGGATGTCTCTCACCCGTATATGAAGGCGATGATGGGGAGAGCTATTGGGGTGGAATCTATGGTTGATCGTGTGGGTCAAAACAATTTTATTTGTTTCTACTATGCTTTCGAACAGTAACAATTAAGTATTAATAATGGATATTCCAACATTTTCAATTCGATGTTGATGCTTTCACGTAATAAATAGGTACAGATGAATTTATGAAGAAATGTTAAAACGGGAACTCCTCATGTGCAGTCGTTTTCGCGAGCGTCAGCTCGAAAGCAACTTGTTGCACTCTCGAGACACATCAACAGAGGACCCATAGAAGCGAATGATCAAATCCCTTCAAGGGTATCAAGGGTGGATATATGGTGAAGAAACGTCATTTACAGAGCGTTGCCAGCGACACCGCCGACGACGGAGCCGACGGTGGTGCCGACGGTGCTGAGGCCCAGGGAGCTCAGGAGGCCGGTGGCGGTGCCCTCGAGCTTGACAAGCATGGCGGAGGAGCCGTCCTGGGACAGAACGCCGATCAGCTGGGTGGGGTCGGCGGCAATAGACTGAGCCTTGGAGGCGAGGTCGGTGACGGAGGGGGCGACAGCAACGACGGAGCCGATGGGGCCGGAGGCACCACCGAGCAGGGAGGTCAGGTCCAGACCGCTGAGGAGGCCGAGGACGGAGGACTCAAGCTTGACGGGGACAACGTCGCCGTTCAGGTTGGTGATCTGCATGACGTCGGAAACGGCGTCGCGCTTCAGGCCACCGAGACCGCCGAGTCCGCCGACGATGCTCTCGACGGTGCCCTCGACGGTGCCGACGAGGGTGCCGACAAGGGAGGAAACCTGGCCGAGGCCGAGGCTGGAGAGGAGACCTTCAGCGGTGGAGGTGAGCTTGACGAGAGCGACGGAGCCCTCCTTGGTGGCGACGGTCATGAAGCCGGAGCCGAGGTTCTCCAGGTTCAGGGCGCCGACGGAGGGGGCAGTCTGGACGACCTGACCGATGGGGCCCTCAACGCTGGACAGAGCGTTGGCGACGGTGGACTGCAGTTGAACGGGAATCTGCTCAGAGTTCTGGTTGGTGACGGTCATGGTCTTGGAGACAATGCTGCTGGCGCTGGCGCTGGGAGTAGCGCTGGGCAGGCAGATCTCGATGCCGGAGGGCAGGGGCACGCCCGAGGGAACGACACCGGAGGGAATACAGCTGGGGACGCCCGAGGGGATGGTGCCGCTGGGGATGACGTTGGTGGGCAGAGCCATGGCAGTGGAAGCCAGGAGGGCGGCAACAGCGAAAGACTTCATCTTGGTGGTTGTAGAGAGTGACTGTGCTTGGAAAGCAGGAATGAATGGACGGTATAGAACCGAAAAAGGAATGACTGGAGTAAGAAACGGAGGGAAATGAAATGCTTCTTGGGATGGAGGAGCAAAAGGAAAGTCAAATGGCATGGGATGGTCTTTATACAGCTGCCCCCGGACCATTCTCCCAGCGATCCTGATTCTCAGGGGCCGCAACCCGTTGCATCCAATCCCCTCCACTCTCTCCTGCCTTTCCTGACGTCGTCAACTGGAGCAGAGACTCCACATACCGGATTTGAATCCAAGGCAGCAGCAGGAGTGGAGTTGAGGGTCCACGAGAGTTGCCAATAGTCCAGTCTGATGCGATGGACAAAGAGACCGCGGGGAGGCAGGGCATCCTGTCACCATCAAGGAAAGCGATCCACCGGCAAGTGGCCTGCTCAGGAAAGTAGAGGAGTCGATTCCGGCGAATTGGCTCCTGGGATAATGTGTCTTAGTCCGCTCATAAGCTTCGCCGCGGTTTATCTTCATTAGCCACTACGCAGATCGGCCGCCACCGCTCAGAGTTGGGGCTCTTCGCCGAGCCCACCAGGGGGAGGAGACTCCTAACGTCATTTGAAATCGTGACACGACATCACCGAAGCCTTGTCACGTCTTGTCGTGGGTTTGTGTGTCCAATGTTGACCTTTATCGGATAGATGTTGGTTTAGAAATACGTTCGGCAGTTGGGCCGCACGCGTCTCAGGCTATTTGCCACATGGTTCGCACGCGCCTGCAGCCACACCGGGGAGATGTTTCCAGTAGGGCCTTTCGAGCGTCAAAGCACACTTCTCCTGGGTAAACAACCATTGGGACCCCCCGGAAAGAGCGTCCTGGGGCTAAGGATCGTCATTGGCATCGGCCGAAACGCACCACGGACACCAATGGCGGCAACGCTGGCGTGCTAAGGTCGCGGACGATCTGCGTGCTGTGCCGCCACAAAACACGTTTAAATGGAGCTTCGCACCCCACGAACGGGGCAGAAAACACCGCAGATTGTAATACAAATGTATTAACAGAGTTCGAGGCTAGACAGGCACTAAAGCTGAATAGCGCCGCCGGTGGACCCTGCAGCTTCCCCGTAGCCTGGTGGTCAGGGGGAGGGGGTGGGGAGAGGGAAAGAGACGAAGGCGCACGTTTGTCGGCCTGCCGAGCCAGCCTTGACATCATCGTTCAGGAACGTGCAATCTACGTGCGGGCTTTTGTCATTTGCTTTTCTGGGTATCAATGGATCACTTTTAGGCTGTGAGAGCGATCTATATCGTCATGCGAGCGGTCACTCGGCACTCGACGTCAGAAAAAGATGAAACGGGCGCTCTCCACTGTAGGAGGGGCAGCGGGCATCCCCCTGAGAACCCACAAGGTTTGCGGGATCCGACCGTTGCTGATAGAAACATTGGGGATGGCCTGTCAACGGGCGAGCAGAGTTCCACTATCTTCTTAGTACGAGGTGTATTTACGCGGGGGAATAAAACTCAAATTGTTAATTTCGCCAGGACTTTCTCTCAGTTCAACCTGGGGGATTCGAGTGAACAGCATATATAGAGCAGGGGTACGCCAGGGTTAACGCCAGAGTCGTTTCTAAACTAGCGCCGTGAAGCTTGCACCCTGAAGGGCTTTTTATTACGCTAAGCATACGCTAGACTGGGGCCTCGGGATTAGCCAACTCTACCTAATCAAAGGAGCAACACCCACCGACTCTTTATCACATGCACTAACCTTTGATTCATGCCGACAAAGTCGAGGAGACGTGCCGCTAGAGGAATAATACGTACTAACCTCATCTTACTCGTGACCTGCGGCGTCGGTCGGGGATTCAGGCTCTCCTCGCAAATGGCTCACCGGATTTTTATCTCTGCCATGAGTTTGGCTTGGGGTATTATTTTTATCTGGGCTAATCATTGTTTCTATCGAAGCCCGAGGAAATAATTTCTCCACTAAACAGGAAAGCATGAGCGCCCAACGTGTGCACGAAAAAAAAACGTCTTCTCTTGGCGCCCAGGACCAGAATATGACATATCGTAGACCCAACTGATTACTGCCGTTATTATCTATAAAAGCTGCAGTTGGATAGAGGTGGCCTCTTGGCTTCGATATGCTATTTTATTATGGCATCCAGAGCTCCAATAAAGGCGGCAACATGATGATGTGGCTACCATCGGCTAGAAGAATTTGTAGGCTTAGTGGAATTATTCAGCTGCACGGGTCAATCTCCTGAGTTGCAAGATTCAAATCATAGATTTGGGCAACAGCATTTGGCCACGCGGGTGAACCGGTTCAACCCACACGCCTTGAAGCAAGGATCAAGGACCTCCGCGTATGGAGAACAGAAAAAGATGAAAACAGGGGCAGCCCTGTCAGGCAAAAGTTTAAGACCCGCACGAGTGTCTGAAGAGCAAATCCCGGTCCCTGCGTCCAAGAAGAAAAAAAAATACTATACAGCACTCCGCCAGGGGCATCCACTGCATCAATTGGCAATAGAAACTGGTCGGGGTTAAAAAGACACGATCTCACAATACCGCCCCGCCTCCAGGTGAACACTTGACTGTCTCATCAATCCACGCATCAATTTCCGCCAGCGTCTTCTGGATATCACGCTTGATCAACGGAATCGTCTCAGCGCCCAGAAGCAACCTCATCGGTAACGGGCGCTCCTTCTGTCCCACCACGGCATCGAAAAGAACCCGAGCACAGATATCCGGGTCACTCCACGTAGCCTGGGACTCGGGCTTGGTGATATAGTCCAGTAGTTGGTTAAAGGGTGTGTTCGGCGTATCATACGCCGGATGCCGGGGTGAGATTTTCATGTTGGGCCCGGCAAAATTCGTTCGCACACCCCCGGGCGCAAGGAGCATTAGCTTGATATTCCATTCTGGATTGACTTCTTGCGCAACGGACTCTGTGAAGCCCTCCAGTGCGAATTTGCTAAGGCTGTATTAGATAAGTCGGCCATGACACTAACGGATGATCTGGAACTTGCCTGGCATGATAGAATGAGTGGCCCGGCGCAGTCCACCACCCGCCCATGGACGTTACCTGGATGACAGTACCCCCTTCACCTTGCGGATTCACCTCGCGGAATACTCGTAACGCCTCTTTGGTAATGTGCACGGGGCCCCAGAAGTTGGTCTCGAGTTGAAGTCGTGCGTCAGACTCGGACGTTGATTCGATGTCTCCGACTAGACCGTAGCCGGCGTTGTTGACGAAGACATCGATGCGGTGAAATTTTTGGACTGCGGCGTTGACTGTTGTAATGATTGCGTCGCGCGAGGTGACGTCTAGTTCTAGTTTGAGCACTCGCGGTTCGTCTGGGAGATACGAGAGTGAGTGGATGTTACGTGCTGTGGCTACGATGTGGTGGCCGGCGTTGTAGATGGTGCTGGCGAAGGATTTGCCGAGACCGGAGGAGCAGCCGGTTACTGATTCCGTTAGAAGTATTTTCTTTCCGGTTGATTGCAGTAAAAATTTGAATTAATGAGTGGACATACCGAACCACACGGTGCTCTCGCTCATTTTCGTTGATTGTGAAGACATGTCGAGAATATATAGCAGCGTACTGAAGTTGAGATATACAGTTGGAAGGCTCGAACATTTCACAGACGTGAAAAATGAATTGTTGCTGGAAATATCTAACAAACAGCTATGAGTGATAGACATTTCCTCTTATTTATACCTTTCGAGATTTTTATCTCCGTTGAATCCGACCGCGCTAATCTTCACGCAATGAACGACACTCAGGCTTCAAGTGTTCGTAGCCAGCCTAAACCGCATTAGGCAGATGTACTAACGCCGTCGGTGGGTCGGGCTGATCGACTGCTGTCAGATTCGCCCCAACATCGAGTCGCCCTAGGCCTGCATCGCAACTCCCTCAATTTCATCTCGCTTGTACACCCTTGGTGGTACGTGGTACAGTTTCTCGTTTCGGAAGAGCCGCCCTAGAATTACCAGTAGCGGGACAGTCAACGATGGCGCCAGAAAGCACTACATCCGCCTTTATTGTGATCACCGAAGATCCGGACCTAGATCGCGGTAAGCGCCTGAGTCAAGTGCGATCGCATCTTGCGAAAGAACGGCATCGGTCTCGGCGAGGCAAGGATCGTCTCGTCGTGCATAGCAATGGCAGCCAAGATTTCCTGGCGCTGGAAAATGCCTTGACTCGGAGCGCTATACCGAAGGAGATCGACGTTACGCATAGTGCTCCACCGCTGGCTGCGTCGTCGGCGACGGGGTATCGCCGGATGCAGATGTGTAGGTTGGGCCATTTCTGGGCAGGAGCTTATGCTTGTGATACGGGGGTCTGGTGCCTGTGCTAACTCTGGTCGAACGTAGTTATGCATCAGTATGTGCTGTATGGACACCAGGTCCACCCGTTCTTTTCCCATGTTATCAATGCGGCGGTCTCGCATACGGCGCTGATGAGCACGAAGATATTGAATGCATCGGCATGGGATGATCTTAATACCGAGGGGGAAGTTAGTGATTTGACGCTGAAGCAGCGTACGATTACTCGCAAGTTGATCACCCATGTTTTGGAAGATCAAGATCTCGCATACGGGGAACCTACACTTGCAGCCTTAGTTGCAACTTTATTATTCGATGTACGATGTCATGTACTCACATTTGAAACCGTGATCCTACTAACAAGGCGAACAAATAGATGGTTAATGACCAAAGGGACGTCTTCCTTTACGACCTGAAAGTGATGCACCACTTGATAAGCGTCCGAGGGGGAATCGACAATCTAGGCTTCGAGGGCCACGTGAAAAGCAGTCTGCTCGTGTATGCAATGTTCTACCTGGAGGAGTGGCTTCAATCAAAATACTAACGCCAACCAAACAGAATCGAGCAGCTCCAACGAGTCGTCGAGATCCCCCCATATGCATCGTTCAGTTCCCGATTTAGTACCGACGACGAGCTAGACCTACTACCATCTGCCGGTGTCGACGTAGCTCTTTTCACCCTGGGAACACAGCCGACCTCGCAGCAAGAGTGGACCGATATACAACGCCTGATCCTTGTTTTAAGCAGCTTCTACGACTCCGTCCAGCTCTCCACGCAGCGGGCCCACCGCACAACTGGCATCGGGCTAGACTGCCGCCTCGCCGTGCAGAACTTGATGTCGTCGATCGAATCAACGCTATTCAATAGTCAGCTGCAGCATGATGATCCGCGCACGCCGGCGCTGCTGCAGGCTACTTTAATTATGGAACGGTCGCATCATGCTTCCTCTGACGCCGAGGTGGCGGGGCTGTGCGATGCGATTGCTTATTTGAAAGATCTTCTCCAGTCGACTGATCTGGATAATTGCTGGGATCCGTTGTCGGGCGCGCTGATTTGGTGCTTAGCGATCGGGGCCCGAAGGACTTTGCCCGGTCCGATACGGAAGTGGTTTGTGATGCAGACGGCTCGAGTTAGTTGTGCGATTGCGATGAATCGGCCTAATGAAGTGTTGAGATGTCTGCGTACTGTTTTGAATGGACTGGATGGAGCTGATGTTTGCAGGCGTGGGTTTTCATCGTATTATTACTAATGTTTATATGTCATTGACGTCGGGTGGCCGGTTGCTGGGCCAGCACGATAAAGTCTCATGCCTTAATGCCTTGTGAATTTAAATATGGTTGAATGAACATGCGTTTACAGATGAAACCACTTGACCCACAGTGGCCTCGACTGTCGGAGCGAAGTATATGGACGATTCGAGTCGGACTAAATAGCCATAACGAGTAACAATGATGGCCATGTGGCGAGGCATCGGCAGTTTCTCTCCGGAATCGAGCATGTGGGGAAGTTGGGGCGCGGGGCTTCCCCGGTCGTGCCTTTGCAGCCAGATTGTTGTGGATCGCGTCTATAGCATCGTCGGACTACTATTGAGCAGTTTCAGCATGAGATATAGCGACAAGGAAAAGCACAGAATCATCATAGTTAGCATACTGCCTGAGGGTGTAGTCCGGCGGGGTATCCCGGCCCCGTAATTGGACGATCTATGTACAAGTCGACATCAGCAGAGTATAGTCAGCCTGCAACGCAGGAACACCTCGCCGGCTGCTAATAATTTCTCCCCCTGCGTAATCCGCACACAGCCTTTGGTGGGCGGCGGATAAATTTTCGCGATGAGCGAGTTCGAGCTCGCTCGCCCTCCAACGCCCCTCGGCGGCGTGTGGGGAGATGTGGGAGCAGCGGCAATGGTTTTTCCCGCCCTCGTCATGCTGAGACAGCGCCAAATGCGACGGCACAAGAGCTCGGTGAATGTTTCGAAATTTAAAGAATCGCCGCTCGCCATCAGTGTTGCACTCGCAACCCTCCTTTCTTTCTTTCTCTCTCTCTCTCTCTCTCTCTCTCTTGTTGCGCTGAATTGCTCTCCTCCACCTCCGCACATACTCGACAACCATGGCCACACCCCAAGACTTACGAGTCGCCATTCTGGGCGCTGGTATGGGCGGTTTGACAACTGCTCTTGCGTTGGCGCAGCGTGGCTTTAAGAATATCGATGTTTATGAGAATGCGCACGACCTTGGCTTTGTCGGCGCTGGTATCCAGCTTGCGCCGAACATGGCGCGTGTGCTGGATGGGTTGGGTGTTTGGAAGTCCATTGAGGCTGAAGCAGTGAATATCTCGGATACCTCTGTTCGCGGTAGGTGATTCCATGCAATCCCTGTGATAATTGGATATTAAAGCTCACTGTCTCTCGCAGAGGGTGCCACCGACACCGAGCTCGCGCATGTGGATTTGAATTATATCGAACAGGCCTACGGCTACAAGCACATGGTCGGACACCGCTCGTCGCTGGCCGATGGGCTCTACCAAGGCTGCTTGAAGCAGCCAGCCATTAAGTTCCACTTCGCCACTACCGCACAGAACGTGGACTCCTTCGGCCCCAAGCCCTCATTCACCGCGGTGCCGCGTGACGAGGCCCAGAAGCCATACAAGGTCGAATGCGACGTCCTTCTATCGGCCGACGGCATCAAGAGCCAAACCCGCGTGGAGATCCTTAAGCGGCTGAACGTCGATGTCGGCGTCAAGGATACCAACCAGGCCGCGTACCGGATTATGATCCACAAGGACCAAATCAAGGACGACCCGGAGCTGCTGGCGCTAATTAACAGCACGCGCGTAACCCGCTGGATCGGCGAGAAGCGTCACATCATCGCCTACGCCGTCTCCAACAATAACATATACAACCTGTCTACCACTCAGCCCGACACCAACTTCGCCGCGGCAACCAACGCCACCTACACCACCAAGGGCGACAAAGGCGCCATGCTGGGCGTCTTTTCCGATTTCTGCCCCATGGTCCAGCGCATGCTGAACTACGTCCCTGAGGGCGAGGTCTGCGAGTGGAAGCTGCGCGTCCACGACCCCCTCCCAACCTGGGTTCACGAGCAGGTCGCTCTCGTCGGCGACGCCTGCCATCCCACCCTGCCCCATCTGGCCCAGGGTGCTGCCCAGGCCATCGAGGACGGCGCTGTCATCGCCGTCGCTCTCTCCCGTCTGCCGGATATCAGCCCCGAGTCAATTAACAAGGCCCTCCGCGTCTATGAGAAGGTCCGCAAGGGTCGCGCTGAGGCCCTGGTCGAGATGGCTGCTGCTTCTGGACGGGCTCTGCACTTGGGTGATGGTGCCGCGAAGGCCGAGCGTGATCGTCAGTTCGCGGCTCTTCGTGCTGGCGGCGGCAAGGGTCCTGTTCCGGATAAGTGGGCTGATGCCGATGTCCAGCGGGAGATTTACGGCTTTGACTGCACCAAGGTCACGGAGGATAACTTTGATGAGTACTTTTCTAAGCTGTAAGCGCTTTCTTCTCTCTGCACATATCTTGATTTTGGCGCCTGCCGTTACCCTGGAGTCTTGTGGCTCCTGGGTTGTATATTTCTCATGTATATTCACGAATCTTGCACGAATAAAATCATGATGACTTTGATTTGGATGTGTGGTGCTAAAACTTTGATTTTATAGGGACAGCACTCCTCAAGCTGCGAGACTATAGGGTTCGTTGAGAAGTGGTATCTGCATGACTGATGACTTTGATGAAGAAAGCACCCCGAAGAATTTGAATCGGCTGCGCGGAAGCGTAACATTTCGTTCTATTGTATATAGCTTCATGGCGTGATATACTACGCTAGAGTAGATTGCGCCAATGTGATCCTTGATGCACGGAAGAAAGTTGAGAAAGAGGTAATTACGGAATTCCCCGCATCTGTGATTGCATATCCATAAGAATTTGATAAGTTATCACACACAAGAATTTTCTGTTTAATGGAAGAATTTATTCCCACTTCCAAATGAGTGTAGTCGTCAGCAGCGGGACGCCTTCCCCGCACTCCGCACTCCAAGACTGCTCGACACAAACTCCCGCTTCGCAACTCCCACGCGCCTTCTCATCTGCACAATGCTGTCCCATTCAGCACCAACCGCCCTACAATAAATGCCTTTCCCGGGAGTAAGCTGCCTACCCCACAATGCGAGTTCCTCACGCTCATCTAGCCCAGACGCCATCTCCATTCCGCCTCTCCCGCCGCCAGCCGTCGACGCGCCGCAGCGCCGGCCCGCAATTCGCAAACTCCCCGCGATTCCTCCTATCCCAATCGACCTCAGCGGAAAAGAAGAATGATGTCGATATCGATGAATGCGACGATGCTCCACCGTCAATTGCCAGGGCGGCCCCCCAATCGCGTGGCGCAGTCCCTCCACCGCGTCGACAGCGGGAGGTGATTGAGGATTCGGACGATGGTGTGCCATTAGGAGGCGATGAAACTCGAGAGGAAACGGACGAGGTCATCGATGATGCGATCGATAGGACGCCCCCTGGTGCACTGGATACACCGGGAGTTTTCGACGACGACTTCGACGTACTCTTTTCCCCCGGGAGGAGGGAGGGCCAGAAACGCCGACGTCTAGAAACAGTCGGGCAGCCCTCTCGAAACCCGCAGCGCAATAACCTACCTTCCTCATCGCCAGAATCACAACGGATCCCCGGTGCCTTCGATTCACCTGCCCCCCATCCGACGCCTAGCGCCGCAGCACGACAAACCAACACTCAAAGTACCCCAGCCGTGCGAAACCTCATGGGCCCCGGGGTATCTACGCCGGCTACGACGAAGACGCCATTCCGCAGTAAACCACGATTCATGCTCTCTACAAAGAAACCCCCAAGTACCCAGCCTACATTCCGAGGCAATACACCACTAGCTTCACAAGCACCCTCTCCGCCAGAGAGACGCAGGCCGGCATTCGTACTGCCGCGCTCACCCTCACCTTCAGCCGTGGCAGAGGATATCCCGGCTCCATTCTCGCCTTCTTCGCGCGCTCTGCGTCGCCGCGGTCGACCTCGTGCTGGCGTCGAGGACTACGCGCCTGGCGGGATGGCTGCTGAAGTCCGCAGCTGGATTCTGGAAATGGGGTCCAGGCGTGAAGGTGTACCTACAGTGCAGCCTAATCCTGATGATATGACTCGGTATTTGAGGGTCGTCAGAGTCGTGCAGGCGAACCAGGCTGTTCTGAGTAGCTCCGGCCCGTTGGCGTTTATACGGGCTGAGATTGTTAATGCATCTTCCCGGGAAGAGGACGGATTGGATATTATGAATGTTATGACTATGGGGTTGCCTCGATCTAAACCGGCTTCACGGCAAATAGTCTCGCGTCCCGGATCTGTCCGGACCGTTGCTGTTGAAGAGGGCGATTTGATTGGGATTCATCGCGGTCTTGCTTGGGATGTGGAGCTGCATGTATTTCAGGGGTTGGTTGCCACTGAAGGATTACAGCGTCCCTTGTCCGAAAACAATGGCTGCATTAATCCCCAAGAGCGCTGGCTGGTCGCGATGGAATGGGATATCGTCTCGAGGTGAATTGCAGAGCCTATCAACCCGAACGCCCATCTATGGTGAAAATAAATTTGTATAATATACGTTATATAATATGGCAAGCACTGATACACAGCCATGCGCATTGTTCGATACCACGACAATCTTTCACACGAGAAAGACTCCCCTGCAGTGTCGGCCCGATGCTCCGTGAATTACTCACATCCCATCTCGTATGCGGGGCTACTATACGAATCACTACACAATCCGTGCTAATAGGGATATTCTCTCGCCCTCTAGTCTCTGCAACAATTCCTATAGGGTACTCCAACTCGATTTCGTTTGTGGTTTAACATCAGCAATTAGCACTACGGACATCCATCTAGTTAACCCCGACGAGATGACTATATAACCAGACTCAGTCATTCGAACGAGGAGTATAACTTAACAGCTTTGAAGCAAATCAAGGAAAAAAATACCATCCATACCTTTCTACAATATCAAGACAATGGCCACAGAAATGCCCCTTCTACTGAAAGAGTGAAGAGAGAAGACCAGGGGTTCTACCGACGGCTTGGTCAGAGCGGCCTCTGGGCCTCTGTCGGCAATGATTTCTCGCTGACCTCGAAGTAAAAGGTGTTTCCGCTGTTAAAGGCTGCATTTGCGGATTGACTACTGTACGTCAAGATTTCACCAAAGTCAGTGGTCAAATCAATCTCTAAATGCTGCAGTGGGACACGTCGAATAATTACTCGAATGGCACCTCCGAAGAGATCATTGGGAAGGCTATCAAAAAGTACAACCTCCCGCGACACAAACTCATCCTCCTAACCAAATGCTTGGCCCCTGTCAGCGAGCACGAGAATGTATTCGTAGTCCCATATGCCGAAGAGATGAGGAAAGACAAAAAATACGTTAATCAGTTCGGTGTGTGTCCCAACTGATTCCCCAAACGAGAAATTGCTTGGTGTTTAAGACAGCGAAACGGGCCTATCTCGTCAATCAATCTTCAACGCAGTAGACGCCTACACGCCGATCGAAGAAACAATGTAGGCACTCCATGATCTTATTCGATCTGGCTAAGTGCAGTACATCGGCGCGAGCTCGATGAGAACTTACCAATTCGCAATGATGCAGATTTGCGCTGAAAAGCACGGCTGGGCAGAATTCATTTCCATGCAGAATCAGTATAGTCTCAACTACCGCGAAGAGGAGCGCGAGATGAATCGATTCTGCAATGAAACAGTCGTCGGCCTGATCCCGGTATGTCATCCTAAAAATCCGGATAAGATACACATCGATGTATTGAAAGTAAGTCTGACATACTCAAGTGGGGTCCCCTGGACTCAGGCAGACTCGCCCGGTCCATACAAGACGTCGCTACCACAGATGGATTGGGCGACACTAGCCCGGATGCAATCCCGACTGCAGATGCAGCAATAATCCATCGCGTGGAGGACTCGGCGATGAACAAGGGCTGGTTCCATGAGTCAGGTCGCTTTGGCATGGATTAGCCGTCGTGTCACTAGTCCCATCGTAGGGTTCAGCTCGGTGGGAGAAGATGGAGCAGCGCTGTGGAATGCGGAGACCGGACGTTGACACGCCAGGAAGAAGCTTATCTGGAAGAGATGTACGTACCCGACTTGATCAGCGGACACGACTGAGTTGATCTCGGCTTATCGCGTGCTTCAGTGTAGTTTCGAATCGTTTCATGCAGCATCTTAAATCAACCCAATCCCCAAACATGTGCAGCGTAGTGTCTTGTGTATATAAGCCCGATCGCTCTCCGAATAATCCTCCTACCACGTGAACCACGGCATATGCACTGAGGGCAGATAGAGCTGACAGAGAAAAAGGACGAATGTTGCAGAAGTGATGCACCCGACACATGCTTTGTTTTTCTGAAGTTACCCAACTCGCGGTCAGACACGTCAACCCCGCCATTCACAACCCTTCGCCTCCATCCCTTCCAGATTACTGCGAGTAGGATAATTCTCAAGCTTCTATCATCGGATCAAGATGATCAACATCGAGCATGCAATCATCGAGAAGCGCAATCTCCGCCTCACGGCAAACCCCATCGAGCCATTCCTCCTCGCTATCCCAATAGAACTGCAGCTGCACATCATCAGCTTCCTCGACTATCCCTCCTCCCTGGCGCTATCACATGCCAATAAGCAGCTTCACTCAATGATTCCCGTCGAGACCCCCAAAACATCCACGCAAAAGATGGCCTTTCTAACTGCCGTCGAGACATGGCAACGGTATCTACCCTGTCTTATTCATCAAGGGGATCTTTAATCAGGTCACTAAGCAATCTCACAGAAATACAGCAAGATACGCCTGCAAATACTGCCTCAAACTCCGCCCAAGCCACGCCTTCGCCGACAACCAATTAAACGGGCGTCGCAGCAAAGGCGACGCAGAATGCGATCGGCGCGTCTGTCTAGACTGCGGCTTCCGCAAAGGCATCTACCAGCCCGGCCAGCCGATCGTCGTGAACGGGCGGCGCCAAATTCTCTGCTCACTCTGTAACGAGCGCCGACGGTACGGTATGTACTGTATGCTTTGCTGGCGGTGCGAGAGCTGCTTCGCCAAGCATAATATGCCTCGCACGCCGTACCATACGAGTATGGGGCAGTATATTCGCCAGCATGGGTGTCCGCGGTGTTCGCATCATTTGGAGGATTTGGGGGGTCCTGAGTCTGAGGCGCAGATGACGTTTGAGGAGGTGCTGCTGCATATGAAGATGGCGGGGTTGGAGAGGCATGTTGAGGAGACGGTTAGTTTTTGGTATGAGGATTATCGGTAGGGCGAAGGGGGAAATTGTCGGTTTTAATTACATTATCTTAATCAGGGAGGTTTATTAGGAATTGAATATGAACTATGTTCAAATATTTTTTCTATGTGCATGTGCTGGGTATAATCTAGATGCGAATCCATAATACAAGTTGAAGAAAAAAGCATGTAGTCGTTACTCCTTGATAGCCTTGAGTGCGTCCACGGCCACATTGCAGCCCCATTTGATCAACTTTTGATCCTTTTCGGCCACAATATCGCTCTTCGCGACGACCTTGCGAACGAAGAAGATGAGACCCTTCGCAATGTGAGGCGTGTCTTGGACACGAAGGAAGATTTGCATCAAGGACTCCTCGTCTTTGCTCGACTCGTCAGAGCCGGACTTATTCGTCTTCTTCTTTTTGAGAGCCTTTTTGGTCTTCTGCGATTGCTGGATGATGCTGATCAGCAGGACCTCGACGAATGTCTTGGTCTTGGGTTGAAGGTATGCAAAGTTGAGGTTCTTTAGGACACCCAATGTAAGGCTTCCGTCCGCAATCAACATGCCGTACATCTTGGCCAGGTTGACGACAGACTTCATGCTGACACCATTCTCTTCGTCATCCGGGTCAAAGTCTGCGTCCTCCTCATCGTCGCCGGTTTCACCCATCCGCTTGAAGATGTTCCAAAGACTGAACATGAAAGACATTTTGATACGTCGGCCCATATCTCCACAGATTCGTCGGGCAATAAGAGTATAGTAGGGATTGTGAACCTCTTCCTCCATCGCGCAGTGCAGAAGCACGCGAGGAATTTCAAACTCCTGCGCACGCTTGAGGCGCAGCTTCATGAGGCGGACGTGGGCATCCTGAAAGTCCGTAGCAGACATGATGGCCACGAAGATAGATCGACGGACATCAGTATTCATGCGGTGTGCCTTGGCCAGATCGCCGAGGTCGGGTTCGGCATCACTGTCGTCATCGTCCACAGCATTGGCATTGCGAGTCTGAACACCAGCCAGCTCTTGGCGGGCGGATACCAAAGGATCTTCTCTCCAGCTGGCACCGACAAGCCACCATTTGCCCTTCTTGGAGGAGTCGTGAATATCGGCGCGGGTGATGTTGATAGGCTCGGAGGCCCGGATCACGCGGGAGCTGTTCAATGATCCCAGGACCTTGCGCATCTTGGTAATGTGCTCGGAGGTGATATTGGCACCGACACCGGACTTGACGCGATTGTTCTTCAGATCGGTGATTGTGTCGATCATGAACTTCGTGCGGACAGACAGGCTGGCTTCGCCGGCCTTCGCCACGGCGGGCTGGATGAGTAGCACAATGTCCTTCAGTGCGGAGGGATCGTCTTGTCGAAGCTGAGGCCCAGTGTCTGCAATTATGTCAGTAAATAAGATCCCCTGTCTCGAGGTTGTTCAAACACTCACTTCGAATGACCTTTAACAGGAGCTCGGTGTTGTCCTCCGTGATCTCCTGCAAGAAGAGGCGGATGTAGTCGAACATCAAAGGGCTGCCAATGACATGGAAGTTGTAGAGTTGAGAAAGCAGAGAGACAAGATTGGTGGCTTCCTTTCCCTCGAAACTACCTTGGCTGTCACCTCCAGCATCCAATGTCTCGACGATCTTCTGCACCATCTCCGCACCAAAGTCCGTACCCATGATCTTGTACAGAGCAGCAATAAAACCAGCATGGAGGACCATGAAAGTGTCTTGGAGCACCGATCTCTCGCAGATCAGGCCCATCAATAAGTCGATAATAGTGGAGGTAACATGCTGACGGGGGTAGTCTCGATAGAGCTTCTCGAACTCGGCCACGATGGAGATCAGATTGGCCTCGGACAGCTTGTTCAGTTGTCCCTGGGCCTGCCGCTTCAATCGGGTCATGGATTCCGACTCGGGGTCTTGACGGGCACGTAGTGATGGCGGGATGTATTTCTGGGCGGCGGTGGGAGCCTGTTTTGTCTGGGGCGCAACATATGGGTTTTCGCGTTGCTTGGGGGGAGCCTTCTCCCCCTCATCAAACCCTTCGAACTCACTATCCTCACCCGACTCACTTTGGTCCTCGGACCCAAACACCTCATCGTCAAGGTCAATTCCCTCTTCGCTCTCACTTTCATCCTCGTCGTTGACCATTTTGTCGGCAACCTGGCGTTCTTGTGCCTTCTGCCGCTTACTTTGCAGCCAGTCGTCCGCCTCGCGCTTGCGCTTCTTGCTGTCATCCTCCGACGCTTCGCCCAGATCTCCCATCAAATCATCCAACCCGTCCTCCGCAAACGCCTTCGGGAGCTTTTTGCCTTTTTTGAGGCCCAGTTTCTTTTCCAACGCGGCGATTTCGGCATCGTCTTGAGCAAGCTTGGTTTTCACCGCTGCAGAAACATGTCTAGATTCTGTCATACCGGAGTCGCTTCCCTCATCTTCGGACGCGGTCTCAGAAAATTGTCTCTCTGGGTCTTCGTCCATGTCGCTGAGGCCATCAAGCTCCTCCTCGTCGGACTCGGTATCGTCGGCCTTATTGGACTTGTGGTTGCTCTTATTAATTGGAAGTTCTTTAGAACCGAGCTTCAATTTCTTTGGTGGCAATTGTCGACCACCATCCGCGGAGTCACTCTCCTCGAGCAGGTCAAATTCATCCTCGTCGTTCTTATCCTTCTCACTCTTCTTGCTGAAGCTCTTGTTCGGGCGCGACTGTGGCGCTAGTGGCTTTCTCGACTTCTTTTGCGTTCGCTCGGCTTGTCTTCGTTCTTTCCGTGTCGAAGGTGCGTTCTGTTTCCGCTTCTTGTCGCCATAAGTATCTCTGATCCCCAGCTCCGCCCGCAGGTGACGGGGGAGCGAGGTCGTATTGTGCATCGGCCGAGGCATCGTTGTTCCTTCGCAATCTTCGCCGTGTCGTCCAGAAATTTGGGCCGCTGCGGCGAGCGGTGAGTACCACACTTTTTCTGCAGCGCATTCCGGGCGGTGGATCCACCGCGGAGTTTCTCCCCCACGACTCGTTTGTGCCCTCAGCTCACAAGTCTAATCCAAAACATCCCTCACAGAGTCAGACACAATATGGCGCCCCATATCGGAACCGAAGAGGTAAGTATTCATTCGTTCTACTCTTGCTCGTGGATCTTTCAGGGAAAATGCCTCCTCGATTGATCGCGAGACCACCTCCGCTCTTTTGAACAGCAATCGCCAACTTGTGATCTCTAGTTCTTCGAGGCTCTCACCAATCTTCTATCTACGACTACCCAAAAGGCGCACGGGTCTGTCTCCCTGACGCAAAAACCTCTTGTCGATCCTGTTACAAACGGCCCGCCTTCGATTCTTATCCGTGCGTCCGACGGAAACACCAGCGCTCCTAGGGTCAAGAAAGATGGGAAGATCGTCAAAGGCAGCAATCCGAAAGTGACCAGAGTCAAGTTCTCTACCGTGGTTCCCGCCGATGGAATCGAAGCTTTCTACACTCGGTATGCGGAGGTGTGCAAGGCCGGTATGACGGGTATGAAGAAGCGGGATCGCAAGCGCAAGGCGAAGGGCAAGGGCGGTGCGAAGGCTGCGAAGGCTTAGGTTCTGCATTGATACCCGTTCTCTTCATGATGAGATCCGTTCATGGCTTCGCTTGCATTTATCGGCGTTTAATGGTGGTTATTTCTGATCTGATAGTCCTTTTTTCTGGTTCTGAATTCACGATTTCTTCCCGGTGTACATACTACCAGGTACTTTCTAAGACACCAATATATCGAAATCCCCGTTTCGAACTGGACTCAACTCATCTGGCTTTTTACTGTTAAAAACGTATATTCGACATGTTATTTGACTATTTATCAAGAACCAGCATCACCCCACAGCCAACGTGAATTGTCCCTTGCCTTCTTCGCAATGAAATCCCCACTTAGTCCCCTGGTACTCTTGTCTCGTTCTGATACTAACAGGAAACTCGCCCTTCACAGCACCCATAATGGAAACCATAGACATGGTATCTGTCGACGGAGCCTTCCAGACCCCGCCAGCAGGGTCGAGATCATACCGGATGATCATCATAGCCGAGATACCAAGCACTTCAGAGCTAGCAAAGTGACGACCGGGACAGATGATCGGCGAGATACCAAACGGCATGAAGCCGCCTGTACGTCGCCTTTCGTTCTTTCGTGATTCATCCTTGGACGGGTCGGGCTTCATGAATCGCCGCGGGTTAAAGACGCCTGCGCTCTCTCCCCACACATCAGGCCGTCTGCCTAGTGTGCTTCCGGGCATGCTAACGAAAGACCCTTCTTTGAGGAGGTACTGGTCGCTCAGAATTGTATCTTTGACGACCATGCGAGTCGGCGTTGTGGTCGTGCGCCAGCGCAGGATTTCCTGGTATGTGGACAAGGTCAAAGGACAGCGCTCTTTGATCGCAGTGATGTCGACTCTATATGTACCATTCTCCGAAACGGATAGTGCATTTTGCTTGATCTCTTCCCGAATTTCATCGAGTAGCTCCGGCTGTGAATACAGCTCAAACAGGGCCCAGAATAATGCGGGTACAGTATTCGAAACAAGCCCGATCAGCATTGGAACTTCAAGTTGTGCAAAATCTTCATGGCTGATCTCCCGCTCCATGGACTTGGTGTATCGGACTCTCTCCAGTTCCGATGCACCCTCAATGCCGTTCTGCTCAAGGTACTCATAGATCGCACGAGCGACCTTGCCCCGGCCATTATAAGCTTTGCGTGCTGTGAGCCAGGGCAGGAAATTTGGAAGTAGGCTGTTGAGATTATACTCAAAATCCCTGTCGGAACCCTGATTAGAATCTTGGCATTTTCAGTCGAGGTCGAAATTTTCCTGTACCAACGTACCAAAATGCATCAACAATTTCAGGATCTTTGTAGGGGTTCTTGGGCCCGTAGGTTGCCTCCGTGCTCGCAGCAGTAACGATGTTTCGCAGCCACCGATACAGATCAAAATCGGTAGATTTTTCCAACGCGCTGATCGAACGCTCGACGGTTCGCATCATGATGGAGTTCATTCTATCCAAATGCTCTCCAATAAGTGTAGGGGTCATGGCATGCATAATCTCGGCATTGAGACCTTCGCCTCCAGACTGCTTGTCCAGCATCAGGTGCAGAGTCCGCTTATTCTTGATACCGGAGAAATTCACCGTGCTAATATTCAAAAGCGGATCGAATGAGACCGTTTTGTCATTTCGCTGGATAAGACGAACAATCTCAGTAGAAGAAATGACGTAGACCTTCATGAAAAACATATCCAAGGTGAAGATTGGAAATCCAGTATTTTCATTCCTGTCTCGATCATTAGATGCCTCGAGTCCGGTCTGTAGTCTTCAAGATATACCTACGCCATTCGCCCCCAGTATGGGAGACCGTTCCAGAGCATACCCAGTGCATGGCCGACCACTGGAATCTTGCTTGGCAGAAAAGTCGGCTCTCGGGGATCCCGTCGCAGTCCATGGTAAGTCATGTACCCCAGCGCGGCGACAAGGCCTAGCAGCAGGATCTGCGTGCTGTCCACCATGGTACCGACTAAGTCGAGCTCGATCGGGCTTCCTGGTACAAGTTGAAAGGGGTTGTGGTTGGAAGAGGATGCTTAGAATTGCGGCATGTCTTACGGGCCGTCGATGTTTGGAGTGGAGAAGAGCTAATCGTGGCAGGCCCGAGTGGGCCGATTCGCGGCCCGCTTAGGGGAGCAGAGCAACACAGCGTCCGCGTTATGGAACTTTTTCCGAAGCGAGATGAAACTGCTTTTAGCGTGCGAATAGTCTGTTTTTGCCGGACATGGGGACATGATTGCTAACGAAAGTTCTGAAGATTCAGGCAGCGAAATTGGTGACATCAATTTTCGTAAAGATAATTATTCATTTCATATAGGGAAATATTGCAGGCCAACGACAGCAGCCAGAGCACAGCGAGTGCGTTTCCTGATGATATATGCAACGCTAGAATACAAAGTTATCACGGGGCTTGCATTTCTTCTGCCCGTCAGCCAAATCCTCCCGCCTGAGATGCAATGAAGGTAAGCAAGATCATAAATCGATATAAAGCGTGTTGTCACATGTAGGAAGGGGGAGATCGAGAGGTGGAGAATTAAAATCAAAAATAGTGGCAAAAATGAACAGAGGAATCAAAAAGGGGGTAAGATCGTAAAGAGTTATACATGAGAGCTTCACTGGCCTAGTCTAGATCCCAGGGATCTAGCTTCCTGGTGATCTCGGCGTCTTCGTATTCCGAGGAGGGTTCACGCTCCAGAGGAAAGCTGAAATCATCCTCAGTGACGGGTTCCTTGCTCGAAGACTGAGATTCCTGGCTAGAATCACTAAGCGTAGAGTTGAGCGCGGGGCTGACGACAATGCGTGCGGCGATGTGAAGAAGGACGATGAAAAGTGATACTGGAGGTACCAAAACGAGGGTCAGGGCCTTGGACAGGAATGATGAGGCTTCCTCTCCTGACGTTGGCTGGTAGATAGCCGAAGCAGGAGGCATCGGAGAAATATCACGCTCTCTGGTTGCCTTGGCCCGGCGACGGAATTCAGAGCTCATATGATTGAGGTCGGTGGGAGATGGTGTTTTGACTGTGGCAGAAGAGGAAGACTTTGTGCTTGACGGAATGGTCAAGGAGGGCTTGAGCGGGTCCTCTCGGACTGAGCGATCCACAGGCTGTGGCCGTAGCGGCAGACTTGGACCATCAGTGACACGCAAGGCGTCTTGATTTGCTTTCGGTGAGGATTTGTCTGCGGGCAAGCTTGAAGGAAGGGCTTTTGCTGTCTCCCAGGTCCTATTTCCTCCCTTCGGGCGGTCGGTTTCCGGGGAGTGAGCCGGGCTTTGCAGTTCAGGTGGAGTATGGGTCGAGACAGAATCCGATGGTGATGCCGGGTCCACTGAATGAAACGACTCCGGTGTGGAGGAGAATGAGCTATCGTGATCTGGACCGGCTTCCAAAGCGGGTTCCGGCGCGTGAGTAGGCACCGACACTGGGTCAGTCTTTGTCGCAATCATAGGCGCAGCATCGGCTTGACATGGAGCTTGTGTTGTTGTATCAAGTCTAGGCTCTGAGTTGGGGACAGGCTCCGTTCGGATCTCAGGCGGGAACGAAGGGATTGGCACTGCTTGAGGTTCGGGTGCTGATTCGGCGGTGTTTGCAGACACTGGATCGTAATTTGCTTCATCCTTTGTATCTGTAACAAGTAAGGGTGCTGGCTGGGGACTCGATACAGAGTCTGACTGCACTGCAGTGTCTGGTTCAGCGGCCGTCTCATCCCTAGACGCTGACGCACCCTGGAATCCGTTCTGTGGTTCGGACTCCACGGAAGAAGACACAACCGCTGATGTCTGATCGGCAGGATCCGGCTTCTCAGATACAGCAGGGCTTAAAACAGATACTAAGGCTGTGGCCGACTCGACCACCGTGGGATTTGCTGGTTGCGATGTGGGCTGTTTCTGCGGAGCAGACACAAGGTCGACCGGAGAATCAACCGAAACATCCGGTGCCGGTTGAATTTTAACCTCCGGAATGGTTGGAATCTCAGATTGTACACTCGAATTTTCCTTCGTTTCGCTGACGGGCGAGATATTCAGGCTATCGCTTTCCTCCTGAACCGAGGCGGCGTCGAATTTAGCCAGAAGGCTAGTAAATGTCTGCGGGGTCTCGGTCACTGATCTTCTGATGGACTTTGGTGGCGATGGGAATTCGAGTTTGTCAACGGATGATGGCGACTGATCAGGGGCAGGCATCGATTCAGATGTCACGCTATTTGTTCTGACAGGCATCGATTCGGATGTCGCGCTATTTGTTCTCTGGAGATTTGGAGCACCGTCGTCGGTTGCGCCTCCGTCTGTGTCCTCTCCAGTGCTAGCGGAGTCCAGCCATTCTGTCCTAGTTTCAGATGGCGAGCCTTGGCTACTCCCTGACGCAGGAAACAGACTGTCTCTCCTGTCTTTCGGCCGCCACGCCTTTTTGCGCCGAGGTGCCATAGCATCCTCGGGCAGCTCAACCGTGAACGCACGCTTAAAGGGACATGGTGTGACCTCGTATCGAAGCACCGTCGGCAGTGCATCCTTCAAATTCTTGACAAGCTCTTTATCTTGCTCTGTCTCGTATGGTATCTCGATGCGATAGTAGGTCAAAGGGCGAATTCGTAGGACAAATTTGGACACCCCATCAACACACCAGCACTGCGAATTTTTCAAGATCGCGTGAACCACGTTTCCACATTTGAGAAATGCGGTCAATCCGTGGACCCTTTCAAGCCGGAGCGGCGCTGTTGCGACCGTCCGCTCGGTGGCTGAGCGCCATGGGAGCGTTTCGATGGTATCGACGGGGTAGTCGAAATCGGTCGGCGCGGAACTGGACGGGATCGGGACGAGGGCCCTAGGAGCAAAATGGACTATCTTCGCGGAGGGATGATAGAAGATGACGTTGTCTGAGAGGTTTGGCGCAGGCGCAACCGAACCGCGTTGCGCCGGCGAGTTTAACTTCGTGGGGAGGGTGAACGAACGGCGTATGGACGTCTGACCCACGGGTTCAGAGGTCTCGGGCATCGTCGGTGGAATAGACGAGCAGGTCCAGTTAGAGGATCATGGGGAAAGCGAGTCACTCTCGATGCATGGCGGGCCTGCGAGACTCAGGGATGCTGCAGCTGAGGCTGAGAGAAGGCTTATCGCATCCCCGGGGGTTCGCGTTGTTTGCGCCCGCGGGGGCATGCGATTGACGCCTCAGGCAGAAACAGATCAGGTGACCGTGACGCAGTTTAAATCGGCGCCTGAAACATTGTTGATGCGGCCACGCCAGCCTTTACATCGCCGTGGATTTCATCACTCGTGAACAAAAGAGACCCGTGGAAGTGTCAGGGACCATAGGAGGCTCGGCCATGTCCAATTTCGAGCCCAATGCTGTCATCCGCGGCTTCCAGCTTGTGCTGGTAGGAAGTATGTTTCAAGTTGCTTGTTCCCAAACCACCAGAGCAGACATAGGACACGAGATCTGCACTACTGGATTCGCCTGGTGGCCTCCTGGACTGGAGCTCTGGATACGTTTCCCGGCATGCCCTTGATACATTCATCCAGAGCCACCAGAGGAATTACTGTACCATGGCAGTCTCGTGGACTGGGCCTATAACCGACTGATACCCTGTTCTTCCAGGCTAACCGATCTCTACAGCCGTGCGGGCTTTGACGAACCCCGAGCTCTTCAAGTATGAGCATTTTCGTCAGGCTGCTCTTGCCATTGCGGTCGGGATCATCATCCAACTCATCGTTCAGATCCCGGTATGACATGATAAATGGTCTTTATGATAAGATCATATGCTGATGCCTGTCTTAGGTCATCACTGTCAAATTTTCAGTCTATCTCGTATCCTTCATGGTGAACTTGGACCACGCGATATGGGACAACAAACTTCTCAATGGCCTGGAATTCATTTCCAAGTCTGTCCTGCAGGTGCCATTTCTTCTGATGACTCTGATGGGATACATGACCCCTACCCTTGATGAAATGTGGGCTTTTTCGGACTTGCTTCTAGGTTGTTCATGCTGACCATCTCCCAGCTTCATGCAATCAATCCAATGGGTTGACAGCACCTATGTGCTTAAGCACAAGGCCGAGGACCCCGACACCCTGCGTGCTATGTACTATCCTAACCTTGTTATGTACCCTACGAAGGGTGGCTCTCGTGCATCGGGCCCCAAGTTCGAGGCGCTGATGGCTTTTGTCAACCGATACACGAAGAGAATGGCTATTCTCATTGGAGTTTACTTATTGTCTTTGAGCCCTCTCATCGGCCGTTATGTCATGCCAGCAGCCAGTTACTTCACTTTCCGCAAGCATGTCGGATCGGTCCCTGCCACAGTCATCTTCTGCATCGGCCTCTTCTTGCCCAAGGCATTCTTGGTCAGCTTCTTGCATACCTATTTTGCATCTCGCAGTCTGATGCGTGAGCTCGTGAGTCCTCAATTCCACAACACAATTGAAGAGAAGAAACCTTCTAACTTTCTTTCAGCTCGAACCCTACTTCCGTCGTATCAAGTTCACCTCAGACCAAAAGCAACGTTGGTTTCGTGATCGTGAAGGTGTCTTGTTCGGCTTTGCCTTCGGATTCACCATGATCCTCAAGACCCCGTTCCTCGGCGTCCTTATGTATGGTGTTGCCGAAGCCTCCACGGCGTATCTCGTCACCAAGATTACCGACCCACCCCCAGCCCCTGCTGAAAGTGCCGGCTTCGCGGAAAGCCAAGTGACCTGGGCCAACAAGCATGATTTCTTGCAGTTGTCGCTCGACAAAATTGACAAACTCAATGTCGTTACGGATGAGCAGACTACCAACACGAAGCCGAGTCCCCCGAGCAAGAAATTCTCATAGGTGACGATTTGGCCCCTCAACGAGTCCACCTTAGGACTTTCAGGTTGAAATTGTGTCATTAATCTCCCTCTGAAAATCCTGTCAAAATAGTGAGTGGTATCGACCAATATTAAAGCAACACGAGATCTCAATCTCGCACTATTTCAGAAGCCATGGCTTATCAAGCGAGTATCTGCATAGCTTATCGCCAATTGATCAGAGTTCATTCTCTTTCTTAAAACTGTACGGTACAGCTTAAAAATCAGTTTAGATACCGCGGACTGTCCTCACGCGGAGTCAATAGCATGGGAAGATGGACATTGGTTTCTCGAGAGACCAGTACTAGTCATATGACACTGTAGCCCCATCATGCCCGGGCCCCATAGTTAATGAAGTTTCACATTCTTTTCCGTCTGTGCAGAATGCAGGGGCAGGGATTTATCAATTGATGAACTCGATTGCAAACCCTGGGCATTTCAGTCTAGTTGCACCGACGATCCATTCAAGCCCTCGATGTTAAATTCTCCAGTAAGCGGTGAAAGTGCACGCCGCCATGTATTGCCGGCGTATGCCTGATCTCAGCTGGGTTGATTCGAGTGAACTTTCCCACACGACTCAGTTAAAACATCCCGAAGTTTACGCCAAGGCCGGGCGGTCAGTCTTGAAGGCATCTGGCATCTTGGTTCCTGGTCCAGCTTGATGTTGACAACAATGGAGCATTCGAGGCTAACGAATACGCGCGCAGCACTCAGACTCCATTCCTTGGAATCGCTTATGATATGCAGAACACTGTCGTCGAGCTTGCTCACAATGTTGGCAATATGCCTTCTGCCGTCAGCGCAGAACACTACGATAGTCCCGGCACGGTGATCTACCGCGTAAGAGGTATATCATACATCATCTTTCTCGAAGATTTATCCACTCGCGTGCTGACACACTCCTAGGTTCGTGTCCTAGGATCCTGAACCTTTGTTACCAATGCGGTTGACCGTCCCCGCAAGGGAAAGTGCGGTGTTGGTTTTTGCGGTGTTGTTTTTTGACGAGGAACCGAATGATCGAAACTGCGGAGCATGTATGGCCTCGACGCCCTCGTCATCTTGGAGTGATGGCACATCTTTTACGTGGTTCCCTCTAGCCGCATGGCCATGCTTGTTGCCATACCTGACCTCGGGAATATCCTCATTGCTTAAGACTACCAGGGTATACGCATGGATAGTAAACTTCCCGACCATTCCTAGTTCGTCGGTGTGGAGCTCTACGCACAGTACATGAGTCGAGTGCTGGCCCCTAGCAAGCCTTTTGTCGGCTTTTTTGCTATGGCCGCCGGGTTCCTGAACGAGGTCATGATTGTCGTTCAGCCGGGGGGGGAGCATCACATTTAGTGACAACCAGATCGAACCAGGTGCGGTGCATGAAAATGGATTCGATAGACGATTCCACGGGGAAGAGGTACGTTTCACATGACGATCGACTTTTGCGCGATAGAGGTCAGTATCTCCCAATCTACCCTTCCAGCTAACTTCCTGACCTCCAAGGGAAAGCACTCTAACGCGTCAATCATGCTCTGCAAATTAGATAACCCCACAGTATGATACAATTTGAATTCATTAAACGCAACAGTCAGTTCCTGGAGCTGTCTTCGATCTACATGGTACCCGCCACGGCAGACAAGGCCACGAGGCCTGGGGTGAGAAACGGCACTACTAATAGAATCAACCGGTGTTAGTAATGAGTCTACTTCTTGCTGCTACTAACAAGGAAGAGTCATGCGCTACTCAATGAACTTGTTTGGGTAAATAGACGCGACGAGGAAGCCAGTGGACTATATGTGGTTATGCTCCAATTGGCGGGGTACACCGTTGTATGTGTCAAGGATTACGTATATGGAAAATGTCCTGTACTCTACCAATGATCATTTTAGAGATTTGCAGAATACGTAACAGGCGGAGAGGACTGAGCGCTAAATTTGGAGCGATAAAGCTACTCGCTAGTATACTACTTAGTCAGTATCGGGCCGGCTGGAAGCGGTACATGAGTTACCCCTCAAAGCTGCGGAGAAGCATGTCCTTATCTCTGCCTCGTCAGCCTGTCACGGTACTTTCGATCTTTCCCTCTTTCCTCCTTCTATTGATGACTAGGACCAGGCACTGGTTCTAGCTGTCCAATATTGGTGATAATCAAGTGAATACGACAGCACCAAAAAGCAACACGATCAAGTACATTTTAAACTATGGGTATCAAAGGGATTCGCACGGCCTTGAAGGTCGATCTCGACAGGCATGCAAGGGAACAGCCGGGGCTTCACGTAAGAGCTCTCGTTACCATAATTGAATTTCTGGTAATCGCTAACAATGTCGCAGAACCGGTGGCACCCAGACAGTATGTCGCGGCGAGCTCTACAGTGTAGGAGACCAAAGCAATGCAGTCCGAAACTAACTCGTTCTCATAACAGTTCCGGCCTGTGGCAATATTGCAAATAATGAAGTCGTGAAAATCGAATGTCTTGACTGGACCGGAGGACAGATCAAGAACAATGACTCGGCCGAAGACGTGAAAAATGTCGATCTCACTGAGATCCATTACCTCTCCGGACCCTTCGATATCGAGACTGCAGAGCCCGGCGATGTCCTCGTAGTTGAGATCCAGGACGTGCAGCCTTTCCAAGATCAGCCATGGGGCTTCAGTGGCGTTTTCCATCGCCAGAATGGCGGAGGATTCCTGGATGAGCATTACCCCAAAGCGTGGGTACAATTACATTCCGATATGGCGAGCGCAGCTAACGACAAGCCTAGAGCGAAAGCGATCTGGGACTTTGAAGGCATCTTCTGCTCTTCTCGACACATTCCCGGTGTGCGATTTGCCGGCTTGATTCACCCTGGTATTCTGGGATGCGCCCCTTCTGCCGAAATTCTTGCTGAGTGGAATCGTCGCGAGGGTGAGCTCATTGCGGCTAATACAGTCGAGAATCGAATTGTTGCCCAGCCTCCTAACCCTTCGAATGCGCATGCGGGTAGTGCTGCTGAGGACATTAAGAGTCGGGTCGCTAGGGAGGGTGCTCGTACCATCCCAGTAGGTCGCACCTTCATGCCGAGAGCGTCCAGATGTGCTAATTGCTTAACCCTAGGGTCGCCCCGAACATGGCGGCAATTGCGATATCAAAAACCTCTCCCGCGGCTCAAAGGTGTACCTACCAGTTCATGTCCCCGGTGCCAAATTCTCCGTCGGAGACCTACATTTCTCGCAGGGAGATGGCGAGATCTCTTTCTGTGGTGCCATCGAGATGGCAGGCGAGATCACGCTCAAGTTCTCTGTCATCAAGGACGGCATGGCGAAGCTGGACATGAAGTCGCCGATTTTCCATGCTGGCCCCGTGGAGCCTCAGTTTGGGCCCGGACGCTACCTCACTTTTGAAGGATTCTCGGTTGATGAGAAGGGTAAGCAGCACTATCTCGACGCTACTGTTGCGTACAGACAGACTTGTCTTCGGGTCATCGAGTACCTTCGTCGCTATGGGTATAGTGATTATCAAATCTATTTGCTGCTAAGCTGCGCGCCGGTGCAGGGACATATTGCTGGTATTGTGGATATTCCGAATGCCTGTACCACTCTTGGTGTTCCGATGGATATCTTTGATTTTGATATTAGGCCTGAGGCTGAGGTGGTGAAGAGGAATATGGGAGCATGTGCCATTACGAGCGATTAGGAAGAGCTCCAATATACTGGAAATTGATTGACTACACTAGTGTAGTGACAGCTACCAAATAGTACTATCGTTCAATGCCAACTCTCTTCAGACTCTCTTCAATGCTCAGTAGATATTTCAGTCCACTCATCGTCTTTGATATTTTGAAAATTCATCAACTCGTTCGGCCCTCCAAATCGGTCCTGCGTAGAATTCCAGTCTCGATCGACTGCGGTCTCGGGTCTCCAGCGCACCACGTCTTTCACGTTTTTCGACAGCTTCCCCTCCAGGGCATCCGAGATGAACCCTCCGATAGTCGGCATCTGCATAGCTCCGTTGCCAGAGCCACCGACAGCTACCAGCAGAGATGGATGATCAGGGTGTCGATCAATCAAAAAAGCGCGATCGGGGGTATCAGCATCCCAGCATATCCGAGCAAAAGCGAAGGGCCGCCCGGCAAGATGTGGCATCGTATCCCGCAAGAATTCTCTCGCTCGAGCTTCGGCCTCGAGGGGAATCTGCTCTCGTGCAAATGGAATACTCCTTTCCTCCCTGGGTATCTGGAGTCTGGAATAAAATTGCAGTAGCCAGGATGCTCGTCGCAGATCTTGAGCTCGTGCTTGTCTTCGTCAGGCTCCATGAAGAACCCTTTGGCGATGTTGAAAAGGACGGGCAGATTTCGGTACTGTTGGGCTTCCTCTGGTGTCATGCGAATATGACTCAGTGTCCAGGCAGTAGGTCGAAGCTGTTTCTTGAAGTCCAGTAACCGATCACTGCCCGCACCAGCCGCGAGAATGGTATGGTCTGCGCGATGCACTGTTTGATCGGCGGTTTGGGCTCCGATTACATCCTCGTTCTCGTAAACCAGGGCCACAACGCTGCCTTGTGGCGTACCCGTGATAAACTTGACTCCTAAACGTTGTGCCTCTGCGTATGAAGACATCATCGCTTTCCTAGCGTGGATCCAGCCTGCTCCTTTCCGGTTGAACCAGCCCTTCCACCCTGGAAAGTCACCGGTGAGAACGCCTGGGGGCATAGTTTTGCGAAAGTCTTCTGCAGTTTTGAGGGCTGTGAAGTCTCCTTCGTAGACGTCTATTTCTTCCTCCTTGACGTGCTCGATCAGCTCAGGTGCGCTTGCAGAGAAGATGAAGCCCGTCTCGTGGAAGTAAGGCTTGAACACAGGGTCCTCAGTCCAACCGCCTAGAGCAGCACGAGTAAAAGTGGCAAAGGCGACACTTTTCGCATCAATTTTATGTCCTGAAACTTGTCAGAATCCTATCGGGGACTTAATCAGGTCTCATCAGATCATACCCTTCAGCTCCTTGTGCTCCATAATTTTATTGACATCGTTCCCGGCAGCAATTGGCGATGGTACCGGATGAGGGTCCAGCACTGTAACATTTGTATACCCTCTCCGCGCTAAATGCAGAGCAGTCGAGCAGCCCCAGGTACCTGCGCCGACGATCAAAATGGAAGATGAGGGGCTCAGCGGCGGCGTCATCGCGATAGATATTCGGTCGGATGGTCGTGATTATCGCGAAAACAGCTCAGGCCTCGGCATGGCCCTGTCATTGAGCTCGCTCTTATAGACAATAGTGGGACTAGGAGTCAATAGGGCAGGCTTGTCGCGTGCGTCAGCGAGCGTCGCGTGGACCTTCCGGTGGTTGCGGCCCCTCAAAACCTGGGGAAGCTTCTCCGCACTGCCTATCAGCATCCCTGCTCGCGCTATTCTCCTTTTGGCGGGGAGAGACACATGCCAACCATTAGGACCATCGATCCTCGCCGCTCGGAACCTATGTTTTCTCTTTCCCCTCATGGGCTACCACATCTATTCCGAAGACAGTGCGATGATCGCAAGCCAGTCGATTAGTGCCCACCAATCGGCTGAAACACCTGTTGACATCGCTTGAGATACGATCGAGGACAAGGCCCAAGATGATTCTTGCCGAGCAGGATATAAAGAGCCATTGTAGCCCAGGGTAGTATTTTCGTCGATCCAAGCTGGAAAAAACCATGGCTCCTTCAGATGATCAAATCGATGTCCCTGGGACTGTTTATCTGGTTGACAGTACGTTTGGAGTGTACTTGTTTACCCTCTTTATACGTGTGCTAATTCATGTCACGCAGCTTCGCATGCCTTGACCGATGCCTCCCATGCTAGAAAACAGGACATCGTGCTCCTTCCGCCCCCCTCCCAATCACTCGCAGACCCTCTGGTAAGACAAAGTTTATCAGCCATGGGAGACCGATGAGACTCACAAGCTTCTTTCAGAATTGGTCCCTCACAAAGAAGTACTGGTCACTATTCCTAATATCGATGTACGCATGCGTCTTTTCGTTCGGCGAAAACAACTGGGGGGCTAGCTGGACTTTGATCTCTGAAGAAACCGGCGTTACTCTGACCAACATGAACGGAGGTTCTGCCGTCAACTATCTCCTGCTTGGTTTCTTCAACATCATTTGGATCCCGTCGGTGATGAAGTTCGGCCGGAAGATTGTTTACATTCTGAGTTTGCTTCTTCTAACTGGTGGTTCCGTGTGGGGTAAGTACTACACGGGAACTGCGCAGTACTACATCATGCTTTCAATTCAAGGTATCGGTACTGCGGCATACCAGGCCTTGATCCAGCTTACTGTCAGTTTCCAATTCCCCTCACTCCCCCCAAAAGCGATACAGTATGCTAACTCGATACTAGATCTTTGATATGTTCTTCACGCATGAACGTGGTCGTATGGTTGCATTTTACATCTTTTTCCAGCAGCTTGGCTCTATTCTAGGGCTCATTCTGGGTGGATATATATCCGACGGTATCGGCTGGCGTTGGAGCTCACCGATTGTGGCAATGGCCTGCGTGAGTTACCCATCCCTTTTTCGGTTGTCTCTTTTATTGACCATAATTCCAGGGTGTCTTGATCCTGCTGTTCATCTTTACCTTCGACGACTCCATGTTCCCCAGATATCGCTTCAATAGCCTCCTTTCTGGAAATCATAGCCAAGACAAGAGCGACCCCGAGAAAGGACCGACAGTCTCCGATACCACCAATGTTAGTCTTGGCGAAGACATCCCTCCCCGAACCTACCTCCAAAAAGTTGCCTTAGTCCATCGTTTTGACGATGACAAGACAACATGGTTCCAATACTTCCGGCGCCCTTTCTACCTCTTCGCATTCCCAAACATCGTCCTCGCCGGTATCCAATTTGCCTTTGGCTGCACGGCAGGCATCGTGTCTTTTAACACCATCTCGGAAATCATGACCGAGGCACCTTACAATTGGAGTGCTGGCTCCACGGGTCTGATATTCCTTTCCGCCCTTATTGGCAACTTCCTCGGTATGGGAGTTGGATCCTTGTCTGACTGGGTGGTACTTGTCCTCGCGCGCCGGAACAAGGGATATAAGGAGCCAGAGATGCGTGTGTGGACATATATTTTCCCGTTGATATTCGGCGCGGTCGGGTATTTCACATATGGATGGGCTGCTACGAATGGGTCTCATTGGATGGCTATCGCGGTGGCTTTGTGCTGTCTGATCGCCCAGCAGGTGTCTATTACCAGTATGGCGACAGCATATGCAATGGAGTGCTTTGATGGGGTATGTTCGCTTTTTCGTTCCCCATGATCGGCTTAAGGCTGTTCTGACCATTGCTACAGATATCTGGCGAACTTGTCGTCGTCCTCGCTATCTGCTCGTCTACCATCAACTTCGCCATTTCATATTCCGTACAGCCATTCATCGAAGCTGCAGGGTTTGGCTGGAGCTTTACGTTCTATGGGATTCTGGCAGTCCTTTCTGTCTTCATGGGTATTCCTATGATCATTTGGGGAAAGTCATGGCGCCGGAAATGCAAGCCTCGGTATATGAAGTTTTTGGCGGAGACTGGACGTGTCGGGCAGGCCCCTTAATCTTATTTCGTTAGAATGCCACGCTCACTAGTACGTGGTTGCAGGCGAAAACAGTGTTGTGATGCAATATTCCTTTGTGATTCACCCTTCGTGCGATATTCGATGTACAGTACCGGAGAGTAGTATAGCTCCGAGATTAGATTCGTCGCTTTCCACCATCTTATGCTTTTCTCCGAACTTATCCGTCTGTTCCTCTGCTTATTTGATTGAGCTTCTATTATGGGAGGGACCAGGCTAATACCTGCTCATTCACTGTTTCTTAGTCTACAAATCTTAGACGAAAATTTGGCTGCCCAGACGCGACCGTAGAAGGCGGTGAAGGCCACTGAAACCACTGACATTTTCAGATGAATGAAATCAATCTGCAATCACAAGGAATTGACGAAAATACCATAAAGTCAGCATTATACTCGTAATGTTTATTCGTACTGTATTAAGCTTCAAAATCGACGAATTGAGTTTTATGGAGCGTGGCTCATAGAGCTAAACATGAGACTGAAAGGGCATTGGTCGGCTCTGTGGCCAAGTGGTACGGCGCGAGACTCCTACGGATTTTCTGCCAAAAGCGGTAACCCGATATCTCGAGACCCTGGGTTCGATCCCCAGCAGAGTCGTTTTTTTGGTAAGTATAGATTCTGAGTTCGATCTCTTTTTTTTTTTTTTTTTTTTTTTTTTTTTTTTTTTGATTTCGAGAACGAAGTTAAGTTGCGCTGGGCCGACAAAGTTTTATTTGAGTTGTGGCAGCCTGGGCGTTGCAGCAGCTGACCTTACCGCCGAATATGTGATGTGATCGTTTAAATATTTGTGCATTTATTTAGGATTCTTTAGTTGTCACCTTTCCATTGAAAAGAAAACTTAGAAATGAGTCTATTGAGCTATGTTCATGTAAACGGTGTCCTCGCAAGTGAGAGCAGAGGGGTTGGGGAGATTATGTACGTACTAATTGCGGCCAGTGCCATCGCCTCAGCCTCACTTGACTCCCACGTAACCAACGACATCGGGCAGCGCAAGTGTCCAGGGGAAACTCCGCCATGTTGAGGCAAGATTGCGTCCACGCTTCCCACTTAATATCTTTTATCACTATCATCCACGCGACATCTTGTGAAAAATACTTATCACCATCGCTCGAAGGAGGGTCATTGCTGATAGTTAGCCCTTAAACACAGCCTCTATGTCTGGCCTCGTAGCCCTTGGCGTCGCAGACATACTCGCGCGGCTGAGAACGTGGGGGCTGTTTACATCGAAGGCAGCGATTGACACGTCACAAAATGTAACAGCCTGTCAATAGAATGGCTTCTTCCTGTGGGCTGTTTCATTCTTCAGCCCTATAGTAGATCAAATGTGGCGTACAGTAGGACGCATACCTGGCGAGGCATCCAGGCTCAGCGGATAATGGCTTGATTTGAAGTTTTTACATTGTATGTAGTATTTGCATTGTTTATCAAGTTTGCTCAAGCCTTGACTTCATACTAGGTCGAAGCCTGTATGATGGCTCAACTGAGCAGGCGAATGAAGGTGGTGTTTGCTATATATACGGGCAGCGAGGTTACTGGTAGGAAACAAAGTAGGGGCTCCATGGTTGTATTCGTGGCTCGTCAGAAGAAATACCCAGAAGGTAAAATGGCATACTGCCAGAGACAAGTCAAGAAAGCTTCAGCGATGGGATTACCGTACATCACCGAAGTTATGAGAAAGCAGCATGTCTCATAAGTTGTATGGAAAAAAGGGTCAGGGCACCTTAGGAGAAAAACTTCTGGGCAGCCTTCTTGTCCTTGGCCTCACGGTCCTTGACAATTTTCTTCACCTTGGCGATCTCGTTGGTAATCGCGGCATCACCGGGAGCGAACTTCAGGGCGGCCTCCAGATCCTTGAGAGCATTGTCTTCCTCCTTCTGACCGACGTAGGCCAGAGCCCGACGGTAGAGAGCCTTGGCCCGGTCGGCGTCCTTAGCCTGGGCCTCGTCCGCAACCTGCAGAGCGTAACCAGCCCATTCCTTGGCCTTGTAGTAACGACCAAGCTTGTTGCCGAGGAGAGACGAGTTAGAGTGGAGAGTGAAACGGAGAGACTTCAGCTGCTGGGCAAGCTCTTTGGGGTCGTTCTCAGCCGGCTCTGGGAATTCGTTGAGGTAGCGCAGACCCTTCTGGTACTTCTCCAGACCAACATCGAGGTCACCAGCCTTGAAAGCAGTGTTGCCAAAACCCTTGAGGTCGGAGGCAATCTTGAAAGCAAGGGGCGCAGTCAGCTCCTCACCCTGGTGGTCCTCAGGGTAGTCTTCGTAAGGGTCGCCGGTGGCGTCCTGGACGCGCTTGCTCGCATTCTCGTAGTCCTCGCCGGAAAGCTGACCACACTCGATCACCTTCACGTCGACCTCGGGCTTGTCGGACTGGGTTCGCAGGTTCTCGATCTTGCGGACGACGCTCTTGCCGTTGATCACCTCACCGAAAACAACGTGCTTGCCGTCAAGGTGGGGAGTGGGAACGGTGGTGACAAAGAACTGACTTCCGTTGGTGCCGGGGCCGGAGTTGGCCATGGAAAGCAGGAAAGGTCGGTCATGCTTGAGGTCGAAGTTCTCGTCGGCGAACTTCTCGCCGTAGATCGACTCGCCGCCGGTACCGTTGAACGCAGTGAAGTCACCACCCTGGATCATGAACTGCTTGATCACTCGGTGGAAAATAGAGCCTGTGTAGAGTGGAAATTAGTCACTGTCGCATCGCATCGCATCGCGCTGCGGCGATCGCGAGTTTGGCGGGGTCCAACATACCCTTGTAAGTCAATGGCTTGCCCTGGGTACCGGTACCCTTCTCGCCAGTGCAGAGAGCACGGAAGTTGTCTGCGGTCTTGGGAACGACTATTAATGACGGCGATTAGTTGGGGTTTCTTTCAAGCATTGCAGTCGGGGGAGTCCGCGGCATACCATCATCGAACTGCGAAAGAGAACAAACGTTAGCGGAGGAGCTTTCGGAAATCATAAAAGGGAAAAGTGAGGACTCACAAGCTCAAAGGTAATACGGCCAGCCTTCTGGTCGCCGATCTGAATGTCAAAAAAGACACGGGATCGCTCTGGCGAGAACAAAGTCAGCAACCGTCAATTCCTGCAATGCGCGGGCCGATCAGCGGACCCCGCAGTGGGATACGTACTCTGAGTGTCCGCCATGGTGGATAGAAAGGCGAATGGAGAGGATGGAGAAAGGTGTGGAGGAGTACTTGGAAGCAAGGGCGAGGCGAGCTTGGAGTGAGAGGGGAGAACTCGCAGAGTGGGGGAAGGCGGCACTTGAAGGTGGTAAAGGCTGTGGTTCAGGAAGCTTCCACGCCCCCAAAATACATGCAGGGTATCTATACACGACAACTTTTCTATGTACAAATGCGCCAACCCCGCCAATGCGCCCTAATATTTATAGCAAGTGATCCCGTACTATTATTTCTTTCGCTTTTATTGCAGCAACTCCGGGGGAATTCTGAACTCAAAGGTCGTCCCAGTCGATCCTTCCCCGCCATCCTTTTCTTTCGGTTGGTCCTTCTTCGCCTCGTCCTTGGGCTCTTTTTTGGGAAGATTCGTGTTGATCTCAATGGTGACCTGTATTTTATGTCAGTGAGAAATCCCAGGCGGCGCGAGGAAGAGCCAGGAAGGCAAAGTATGTACCGCCGCGTCTTCACTGCGGTAATCGACACCCACCGGCCCATCATTCTTCAGCTCGACATCCATCATCGCCTGGAAGACGCCATTCTTGACCCGATCCGCCTTGTAGGAATCCCGCATTTTATTGTAGAAGTGGTCGTAGACACGGCGCGCGGTCATCGCATCGGCAGCGTCGTGAAAATCGGGTTTGTTGCCCTTCTTCATCTTGCCGTAGAGCGTAAATTGCGAAACTAGGAATTGAGACTGGGTCAGCACAATGAACGGGGTATGCGTATTTGGCTCGGACATACCACACAGCACTTCGCCCTCAATATCTTGCACGTTTCGTTTCCACTGGGAATATGTCGTCAGCACGGGCCAAATGGCTACCGAAGCCAGGCGCATCATGATCTCACTTGACTGCCATTCTCGTCTGGCCAGAACTTGGCTTTCAAGACCTTGTTGACCATATTCTCTGCCTCCTTCTCGGTATCTTCTTTTCCAACGCCAGCGAAGACTAGCAGCCCCTTGCCAATGGAGGAGATTAACTCTTCATCAACAGTGACCGAGGCAGACTTGACCCTTTGAATGATGACTAGATGGGGATGAGTTAGCTTCGCTTGGTGACAATGACAGCACAAAAAACATGGCCAGACAGAGCAGACATACGTTTCATTCTGTAAGGACGCTCTGCGCAAAAACTGTGCGAGTAGCGAAATTAGCAATGGTGTTGAATGGACTTGGAGTCCGCGGGGGAGCTCGGCGCCACCCAGTCACCCGCTGCGGTCATCCGTCGTAGTAAGCAACCGCACGAGCTCGCCCGGAGTGCATGCAGTGATACGCCATTTGGACTGACCGCACATTCGGCAACTGGGGACCGCGGAGCCCACGCTAAATCTCACTCACCAAGCAGAGGCAGCTGTCTGTTTCGAACTTCTCGTCAAGTCCGCAGCTTCCCCTTGAGTCCCTCAGGCACTTCCGCCTCACCGCCTTCCCGAGACGGGGCAACATCTTCGCCGTGGAATGGCTGCTCTTCTCCAGCGAATTCCACCGCGGTCTCCGACCTCAAGCTGCGTGACACCCTACGCGAATCCGCTTTTCTCTCTTCTTCGATCGATTGTGCAACCGCCTGTTCTCCGGTTGCACGCGCACGCCGAACTCCGCCCCCACTCCTCCTCCACCGCAGTGGGCGCCGCCCACGCAAACCCCAACACACGATGGCGTCTCGAAAGACGCAACAAGAGATTGAGAAGACCTTCAAAAAGGTCGCCGAAGGCATCCAAACGTTCGAAGGCATCTACGAGAAGATCCGATCCGCCACAAATCCTACGCAACGTGATAAACTCGAGGAAAACTTGAAGCGCGAGATCAAGAAGCTCCAACGGTTTCGTGACCAGATCAAATCATGGGCGGCAGGCAATGAGGTGAAGGACAAGGCTCCGCTGCTGGAGCAGCGGAAGGCCATTGAGACTGTGAGACTGCCATTGAGTACACCGCCCCATCTACCAGAGTTTGTGGCTAACGCATCATCGAATAGTGCATGGAGCAGTTCAAGGCCGTCGAGAAGGAGATGAAGACCAAGGCCTACTCTAAAGAGGGTCTATCAGCAGCATCACGGCTCGACCCGAAAGAGAAAGAGAAGGTGGAGTCCTGCGATTTCCTTTCTTCGATGGTGGACGAACTGCAGCAGAAAATCGAGGCCATGGAGGCCGAAGAGGAAGTGTTACAAGCGCAGATGAAAAAGGGCAAGAAGGATACCGGCAAGGCGAATCGAATGGCCGATATCTCTCGCGTCACAGAACGGCATAAGTGGCATGTCAACAAGCTCGAATTTCTCCTCCGATCCCTTCAAAATGGCAACCTCGAAGTGGGCGCCGTGCAAGACCTCAAGGAAAGCATTAAGTACTACGTTGAGGAAGGGCATAACCCTGATTACTCTGGGGAAGACGAGACACTGTACGATGACTTGAACATTGGGGAGGATGTGGAGGCGCAATTCGGAATGGGCGCCGACGAGCCCCCGTCATCGCAAGATGCCCAGTCGATACAGGACGAGGAACCGGAGCCTAAGCCTAAGCCAAAGGCCGATGCCACCTCGACCCGTCGACCGTCTGCTCAAATGAAGTCCCCTCTCCCTGTTCTCGCGACCCTCCACCCCGCTACCTCCTCCAGTGGTGCCCCGGGCATGAAACCAGCACCACTCCCTACCCGACTGCCTGGTGAGACGTTGAAGTATGCCTCTGCGGCGGCATCTGCTGCTGCTGCTGACAAAAATGGCGTGGGTATCCTGCCCTTGCCGCCACCCCCGGGTGCCAGCCCGGCCTTCTCGCCTGTCATTCCGGCCGGCAAGGCCTCCTCTACAGCGTCGCCAAGCGTCGCATCAGTCCAGCCCGTGTCGTCGAAGGCAGCATCAACCGTGGCCACGGCTACATCGAGTGAGGAACCCGTTGCTACTACTGGGCGGTCAAAAACTCCCGGTGGCCCCGCTGTCTCGGGCACATCGTCACCCGCACCGGCCGAGAAGACGGAGAGCACCAAGGATACAGCCACCAGCAATGGCCCGACTACGAAGGAAAAGGGTGATGACGCGGAGCCAATTTACCACCTGCCACCTGGTTTGCAAGAATTGGCCCAATCTTTCGAACTGACCAAGCAGCGCTCCACGATTAATTCTACACCCGCAGTGCAGCGTTTACTCGCCACATCACTTACCACCTGTCCCGAGCCCGGTGACGCGGAAAAGCCTCGTCATTACAAGCCGCAAAATCCCTACAACACGCCCCTCTACTACCCCCAGGAGCCCCTTCCCATCTTCGACGACCCGCGGCTGTACGAAACCGGGCGGATCGACACGGACACGCTGTTCTATCTCTTCTACTACTGCCAAGGCACATATCAGCAGTATCTCGCGGCCAAGGCGCTCAAGAACCAGAGCTGGCGTTTCCACAAGCAGTATCAGACCTGGTTCCAGCGACATGAAGAGCCAAAGACGATCACCGAGGAATTCGAACAAGGCACCTACCGCTTTTTCGATTATGAGAGTACATGGTCAGTTCAACTTGCTTCCCCCCACAATGTTGGCGTGCCCTCGGACTACGTACTAAGTGCCTTGCCCAAAAGGATGAATCGACGTAAGGCGGAATTCAAGTTCGTGTACAAATACCTCGAGGATGAGCTCTGAGCGCGAAATCCACTTTACTTTCCCTCCTACTCTCCCTCTATTCATGACGTTCCGTGTATGAGTGCTATTTTCCGAATCTGAATATGTGATCGACATGTTTGCTTCCACTGTACCGAATGGGCCATGGATCTGCCCGGGGAACTCGGGCCGGGCAACACCCTTCCGATGATGATGTGTCATGGGTGCAGGCGATCCACCGCGAGCTCTGCGCATTCGGGAGTTGTTGGATTAATATGTTTGTCTTGCTACTATTGTTTCTTCCCTGGTTTTTGGGAAACCAAGTTTCCCCCCAGCCACGTCATATCCCCCCAAGTTCTTGCGGGAGGTGCTACTATTCTTGTTTCGCGGGCTTCGGGCAATGAGTACAATGAATGGGACCTCGGACGGAGTTAACTGTGTACTGTGCTATTTGTCGGGTTCCATGAATAAAGCATTCCTATGGAATTTTTTTTTTTTTTCTTTGTCTCTCGTATTTGCTGCAGACACCTCCGCCACCGGTTTTTCTACCTCCAAGAATGTACCATGTGTGCAGGAACATGGTATTAACATCCAGCCTCGATCGCTCTCGTCCCGTGGAAGGCGTCTACAAACCCCACCGTGTCTGCCTTGCAGCCATCCGGGGTAGATACAGCAGGAACCGGGCCTTCAGGTACCGCGCCGTAGTCAGGGCACCGGTTCTGGACTATTGACGTGCATGCATGTGCGACCCTGGGGTATCCTGGCTGCCAGCTGGCTGATCCTGATACAGTAATACAGTACTATTGTAGCTCAACACCCCACTACCTTGGTACTACTGTCGTAATGGAGGGATAGAAAGAGTGGAGGTGGAGTGTCTTCGCATGCGGATGGAATAGTTCCCTAGGCGATGCATCGCGATGCATCTCGTTAGGCAAACGCAACCATTCCGCGGGCAGGACAAAGTACTCGACCGCACTGGGTAGCGCGTATTCGAGCAGTGCACCGATCGGGCGAGGCTCATGCACGAGCGACCAGTGCGGTATTTTCTTCTAGAAGGCCGGGATTGTGGAAGGGGCTGTGCGTATTCAGTGCACTGTAGACCATTAGAGCCACTAGTTCTAGTAGGCTGTACGAGTTGTAGTTTGACCAATGGAAGCACTCACACATATTGCATACTAGGAAGTAGTATTATGGGTGTACCACAGTACATAGTGCCCTACGATACTGCAGTACGTGGTAGTGGAAGAGAGGCCGGCTTCCGGGCTTGGCGATCACCCTCTAGTGTAGGCGATGACGTTGGGCTTTCTCCTCGGCACCAATTTGCCGACTCAGCCTCGTGTGGGATCGTGGGATGAACTCCCAAACCACTGGGGTTGATCGATCTGTCTATTGCACCGACTGATATGACACTGTTCTTCACCAGTATCCTAGGGTACCTCACTGGCAGGTACCCTCGCCATCACTCTTGCCAGCTCACCACATGCACACTGCACACTGCACACCTGAAACGGCCTCGGACGCCAAACCTGGCCCCCTCTTGGCACGAAACCCGCTAGAAGTCTTCGAGAACAAAAAACAAGCCGCGCTAACCACTCAGCTCAGCCGCAGCGATGATCGCTTTCCCCTCCCGGGAGTCCCACCTGCAGGACTGACGCCAAGTGCACTCCAGCACCGACGCTAACGGCGCAAACTGCCCATGGTGGACGGGTCTGACCGCCCCTCCAGTCCAAGTTCCATGTCCACCGGATGTGCAGCCGCGACTACTCGAAGCGTGCAATGCAAAAGGGCCTGGTGAAAGGGTTTAGCGCTTGGGGATCTTCGGCCCTCCCTTCCCCCCTCCCCCCCCAGCCCCCTCAGCCCGCGAAGCTAGAGCAGCCAGAGCAGCCATCAAGCAGCCCCATCACCCTCGAACCGCCCGTGAGTGGCCTGTCCGTCTCTCTATCTTCCAATGGACGCCCGCCAGATACGCATGAGTGGGTTGGGCTCGGTTTGGCCTGACGCTAGAAGGTTTCTGGAATTTCTGGAATGGCTCTGGAAGCCCCTCACCCCCTCTTTCGCTCGCCCTAATGCACGAGGATCCCGCGGCCAGTTTGCAGAAATTCCCGCAATGATCCTCGAATGACGACGGTGAGGGCGGGGGGGGCTGTGTGGGTTCGTCGTCCACTCGCGGCTCCCCCAATTGCGATCGATGGTGTCCAGACCAGTCAGAGGCTCGTTTTCTCCGGGGCAGATGACTTCGTGTTGGGCCGGGGTGTCCAAGACTTGTAACTTGGCTGTACGGTAAGAGCTTTTAGGGCTGTACGGTAAGAAGTCATGGTGGAGATCCTGCATCAGGTACAGGGCCGACAGCTCTTCTGTTAAAAACACATAAGAAAGACGCTTGCGCAAGGGGAATCAGCCCGTGTTGTAACCTTTCTCATTTCACCCCATCCTCGTCCCCTCTGACATCTGACATCCTGTCGCCCCCAACCTGCCGGTCCTGATTCTGTTCCTGTTTGTGTTCTGCATCAGCACGAAGGATTCCACCAGCGTCTCACATCCCACCATGGTAGGGCCACTAGTCGCTTTCTAGAATCTTTCCGTCAATCACTCCCTTCTAACACTTTAAAACCCATAGTCCATCCCAGTTCCACTTCCCCTCTCCAAACAATCGCATATACAATTACAATCCTCCTTCTCTCCCCCCGACATGCAATCCCCCTTCAGCTATTCCGACTCGTATGCTTCATCCTACGCCTCCTCCCCCGGCGACATGGACTTTTTCTACGGGATGGGCCCGCCCCAACCTCCCATCTACGACCCCCAGTTCGACACCCAGTTCGACCTCGACCCCGCCTCCCCTTTCGTCCCAGAGACCATCCCCGAGGTCCACCCGGAGATCCACTCCTTCACCAGCTCCCCGTACATGTACTCGACCCCGCCACCGCCAGTGAAGGGTGTGCCGGTGCAGGACTTTCAGATGTACGAGGTCGCCCCGATGCCTACCAGCGTCCCCAGCCCGCCAAGCAGTACCTGCGGCAGCAGCTGCTGGAATGGCCCCGAGGAGGTTCCGATGCCCAGCTACCCCCTCACCGAGGACTCGTGCCCAGACTCGCCGTCGGCAGCCAAGTAAGTCGTCGCTGTCTATACTCGTCGCAACTGATACTAACAAGACCAGACCAACCAAGCCCTTCGCCTGCGACGCCGCCGGCTGCACCAAGTCCTTCACCCGTTTCGCCGACCTGAAACGTCACCAGTCCAGCGTGCACTACCCCGTTTTCCGCAACTGCCCCGTCGACCACTGCTCGCGCAAGGGCGGCAATGGCTTCCCGCGACAGGACCATCTCGTCGAGCACCTGCGCTCTTATCACCATCTTGACGTGCCGAAGCGACGGGCCTTTAAGCGCTCTGCCAAGGAGATGTCATAACTGATTCGACTCCTCTGAGATCTATTTCGACAGCGCTGTTGCTTCTCTTCCACAGTGTATGATTTACGACAGTTACGCCTTACTTCTCCCCTCGCATTTTTTTCGTCTTTTATAGATCGTGCTGTATAGATGGCATGCATGCTTTGTTCTCCACCTTCCACTTCCACTTCCCCTTTTACCTGTTTACACTTCCTGCCTTTTATGTTGTTACGCGATAGACGGACGGGCTTAGATGAATTCTGGCCAAATACGACTGGGACGGATCACGATTAGTACACCTTTTGATTCTCGTTTCAGGCACCAGCCCAATCCAATTACCGGATTCTGCACTCATCCAATCCCGCATAGAAAATCCTACCTATCAAAAGGAAGTGTAGCATCTACCTGTTCCACTAGTAACTTAGCTACCGACTCCGCCAGTATCGAACGACGCATCGCAGCTATTACCATTATTATTGCGGGTTCAACCTGGCAGCTCGAATCCTTAGCTCAATTACTCTGGTACGAGTAGTTGCAGCCAGGAACGATGTAACAAAGAAAATCACGCACGCAGATCCCAAAAGCAAAAATGCTTGCTCCCACCCTGAAGACCTCGCCTCAAAGGAATGGTCAAGCAGGAAGCGACGCTACCATGATCAACACGCAAATCCTTCCGATAGCTGTCCGCTACCACCTCCCTCGCTCAGACCAGCTGCCTTGTCCTCAATCTCCTACGTTAGGTAAAGAGTAACCAGATTGCTGTGAAAGAGAGCACGTAAGCCAAGCCTCCCCCCCATCCGAAGGATTGATCGTCGGCTGTATCTCCGAATTGGGCCGCGACACCCCGGTCCTGCAATCCTTCGGCGCCGACGAGTTGCGGAGGGATCCTGAGGTTGGTGGTGAGTGGTTGGGATTCCCGGGTGATGGGGGTCTGGCTGGCGGTAGATCGCTCCATCCCCGTTTTCACTCACCACAGTAGGGTATGTATGGAGTAGTAGTGTAACTTAATGTCTGCTCACCGATGGACGAATTGGTCCATACAATATGCCCGATGTGAACGAGTCGATGCGCGTATAGCGGAGTGGATTTAGGATCTACGAGGATCTACGGCTCTCAGCCGGTTTCTATTATTTGTGATTCTCAATACCTGTCACCTTATAGGCCTTTTTGGCTTGATTCAACGCTAGCTTAGGTACATGACTTCAGACGCCGATAGTGAGGACTGTGTAGCACTGCTACTTGCGGCAGGGAACTGGATTGTGAGCCCATTTGAGTACAGCACTAACAAGCATCTAGCCACGATCGATATGTATCTCGGTCCAGTATGATTCTCCACCACGACCAATGTGAACTGCACAGAGAATCACTTATTTAGAGGTTATAGAACTGCTGCTCGAATGCTATACTCAAATGGGCTGACAATTCCCAATTCGCGGCCGCAGATCGTAGTGCTACAAAGCTCTCCACGCCTATCTTCGAACTTCACACCTGGAGCAGCTGAAAGATCGAGCAGCTAGACCCGGGATTGTCAAACATCTAGCCGCGATATATATACTTCTGTCGTGACTGTCATTCTTTCTCGCCCATATCCACACGTTGTGAAGCTGCGCAACTAAATGGCAGCAGCGATAGGTGCACATAGAAGCCCCGCTTGATGATAGGGAATGCTGCGTTCAAATGTTTTGAGCAAGGACGAACTCCAGGTTAACAGATTGAAGGTATTCATGGGTCATGTCCAGTCGCATCTGCGATGAGAAGAGTAGATTGTTGAGGAAAGATTGGATGAAAAATTTGTGCGATGACTCGACCTCGCGGAAGCACCGTTGGTGCTTTTATGCATATCCAGAGCAAAGGAGATGGATCGATTAACACTTGTGAAAGTTCCAAAGAGTCTAACGTGTCCATTCAAAAGGGAAGGTTTGTCAAAGAGGGAGTGGCTTTATCACAGCCCCCTGTCCACAAAGAGGCACGGGACCTGGGATATATTGATTATATCACATGGCATGTGCTATCTGACATGATCACATCATAAGCTGTAACAAAGAACGTCAAATAGAAATAAATATCAAGAGAATAACTCAAATCTCCCGTTCTCCAATCACTTCAACTCCCTAAACTCCCGAAAACAAACACCCCCCGCCTTCCCAGCCGCATCAAAAACAACCCCCTCCTCCGCCAACATCGCCCTCTTCTCATCGCGAAACGAACCCCCAGAATGAACAGGTTTGCTAACCTTCCACTCCCCCTTATACCCACCCAGCGTCGCATCAGTCGCCAGCACGCGGTGACAGGGCACGTCGGGCGCGAACGGATTCGTGCGCATTGCGTTGCCGACAGCGCGCGCGCTTGAGTTCAGGTATGTTGCCATCGCTGAATAGGTGGTCCATCTTCCTGGGGGGACGGACAGGAGGGTGCGGTAGACGCGTCGGCGGAAGGGGGTTAGGGTGGGATGGAGGGAGATGCGGCGGAGGGATTTTTGGGTGAGGGGGGAGATGGTGTCCTTCTTAGGGGGTGGGGTTGGGGATTTGCTTGTGTCTGTTGATTCGGTGGTCATGGCTGTGAGATTGTCTGCCAGGTGAGGTTGAGATGTGGGATGTAATGGCGGACCTGTGAATTACTATATCAGGCTAGTTTTACCCTTTAGGTTTAGCTCCCTATTACATCGTCCTGTAACCTCTCCTTCGCATGGCCCCAACATAAAACACCCGGCCTCGCCCTTTCGCCCTCTTTTCTTCTTCTCCCTCCCTTTAACTCCTCTATCTTGCACTCCTATCCACCCTCTTTCTTTTCACTCTAGCTCCAACTGACCGCTGCGCCTTGGCTTCCGGCCCGGCGCTTCTCCTTTCATTTTTCCAGAGATGCCGCTCGATCTGACGCCCAGATCGTTCTCGCCCCTGGAATGGAGAAGTCGTCCAGGAGCAGAATCACTGGGATGATCCAGCCCGCAGGCGCATCTTGTGATTTCATGTCGATACTCCTACTATTCCCCCAAGCAAGTGACTGTGCATCATACTTCGAGTTATCTAGGTGTCCCTCTGCCGGTGCGTCTTGCTCGTCTCTGATCTCGCCGGCCTTCATTCCCTTGAAAGTGCTGGCATACCCTTGAGGCCATATGCGCCTCTCAGTCCGCCCCGCCTGAGATTACATTGCACAAACCCGGCGTCACAGAATTGCTCTCGGTTGCCTGGTCACAAATACCTTGGCGCCCAGTTGTCGTCATCGTCGGTCTCTCCGGCCTCACTGAACCTCATGCTGCACATACCCAACGCATTCCGCTCATTACACAGCGGTTGTCTTTCGCTCGATCTCTATCAATGGGGAGTGGTTCCCCTTGAGAAGGACTATCAAGATGATTGGTCCCAGGAAATTTGGAAAGTGTAATGGAAGGGGATGAAGCTGACGATCATTCTGATTAAAAGTTTGTCGGTCAAAGCAAGTCGATCATGTATGAGTATGGAGAGGTGTGGTCCACCGTGCGCTCGATGAAACAGCCACTAAACTGGCGACAACGGGTTGTGATCGCAACGAGACCCAGTGAAAGCCAAAGGGCGCTTGCCGTGGTCTTCGTAAGAGGTGGACCTTCTGCTGCGGTTAAAGAAGAGATGAGTGACAGCTGTCGTCAGAGGTGACGAGGTTATTTTTTCGAACCGAAACGGGAAATCCCTGTGCAATCCAAGTGTACTGAAGTACGATCATCCGACGTGTATGACCGAAGAATGCCATACCAGCTATAGTCTTAAGTGAAGCATATGTTTAAGTTATTTCACACACCGCTAATACCAACGCCAAAGTTGATACTTCTACTGTACATAATCCTTACAGTGAGGACGCATAGGTCTTAACACCCCTCGAGACCCACATATCATACCGCCTAGTTTCATGATCTACCGTCTTCCACACAGTATAACTAACTAGGATTCAATCATATTAGTATGCTAGATTTCCTATTAAACTAGAGACCATTGAGTCTAGTTTCACAGCAGCAGGTCTAGTTCCACTAGATCCTGAACGTGTACTTTCAAAACTCAATATTTCTCCCTGAACACCTACAACCACCCCCTCCCTCTATAGCCGACCTTCCAGCCGATCAAGTCAATTCAGCTCAAGAACACCAAAAACAGTCGTCTAACTACAAAAACAGGTTTCTTCATAAAAAACTACTCAATCAAGAAGTCGTCCCACCCCATCAAAGATTGTCCTAGATCGGATTATCAAAGGCTACACTGTCTTAATACATAATACTGCGCTATTAGCGCAGGAAAATGCTAATTACGGGCTGCGAATGAGAAAAAATGGCAAAAACAAGCACGAACGAATCGACTAGTCCTATGCGAACAGGGTGTTACTGTTAGAGAGGGCCTACCACCACCAGTACAGCAAGTGCAGCCAGTTGAACATGTACAGCCTCCGCCTGCACCGGTTGAATCGCCTATTTTGCCACCCCCACCAGCCAAACGTGCACCCCAGAGATATAGCGGCTGCAATAGTATTGGCAATTCAATTACCCGGTGCCTTAATCGATATTCCTTTGATTTTAATAGTGTTTTGGTGGTTTTATCTATTTTTAAAATTTTTGTAGTGGTTTGGGTGCGCCACTCGCCCGTGAATCACGTTACATCATAGACAGCGCGGGGTAGTAGTATAGACCCTTCTGGCCAAATAAGTTCACTATTCTAGAGGCGTCACTCTAATTTAATGCTGAACTTTGATTTGTAGTTATATTTGCGACCACGGGAAATACGATGTGTGGCATTCCACAGATGGGTATATACGAGTGTAATCAAGCCACCAGGCAATAGGCGATGGATAGGCTATCCGGAGTTAGAACCTAGATAGGCTATCCGGGATCGCGACAAATAGTTCGTAAAATCCACATGACGTATGAATCATCTGTATATAAAGAGAGTGCATTTCCCCTTATCCATCAAAATGACCATAATACCCTTCCAACTGTATCCACAAAGCTTCTGCTGAGTGTGTTTCACCATGTCCACCCCAGCCAAAATGCGGGGTATCATCCAACCCAACCCTAAGTCCAAAGATCTCATACTCACCTCACTCCCGCTGCCGACCATCAATCCATCCCTAGGAGAGCATCTCATACGTGTCAAGGCATGCGCCCCTTGTGCTGGAGAACTCCTTTGGCCAAACAACTTCCCTCCGCCAACCCCGCGTGAGTTAATTCCTTGTCCCGACGTCGCGGGAACAATTATCTCCGGACCGGAGGATTCGCCATTCCAGCCTGGCGACGAGGTCTACGCGCGTACAAACTATAATCGTCCTAGTAATGCTCGCGATTTCACTATCGGTGTCACCGATGAATTGGCCCACAAGCCTAAAAGTCTGAGTTGGATTGAAGCCGCCGCAATACCAGTGTCTGCCGAGACTGCGTGGCAGATTCTATTTATTCATGCAGGAATAGCCGGTGATGGGGAAGCAGACTTCGCTACGGCTCAGGAGGCATGGAAAGGGAAGAGAGTGCTCGTTACTGCTGCGTCAGGCGGCGTTGGGATGTGGGTGGTGCAGTTGGCTACCCTGCTCGGCGCGGAGGTTATAGGGACATGTGGTGCTGCGAATGTTACGCTCGTACAGTCTCTCGGCGCGAAGGAGGTACTCGATTATCGGCGTACTAGTCTTCGCGAGTGGGCAGAGCAGCCGGGAAAGAAAGTGGACGTCGTGATTGATTGTATTGGGCGCCAGTCTCTTGAGGATGCATGGTGGACTATTCGCGATGGAGGAGCCGTGCTTAGTATCTTTCAGCCACCGAAACAGGTTTGCCCCGAAGGCTATAAGGGAACTGGAGTGAAGGACGTGTTTTTCGTGATGGAACCCGTGAGAAGACACTTGGAGGAGATTACGAAGCTGGTTGAGCTCGGCAAATGTCACGGCATGGTGGATAGTGTGTGGCCCTTGGAGCAGTATCAAGAGGCATTCAAGAGGTTGGATGAAGGACATGCAAGAGGAAAAATTATATTCGACCTGTCGCTGAATAATTAGGTGCTCCGTATGAGCAAAATCTTTGACGAGTATTCGATACGTTTAAGACTGACGAATAATTCCATTCCATTAATGCTCAGAGATCATTTCAAGTCCTATCAAATTTGTGCCATGAAACACTATATATCCGTCACAAGTCTTTCTGATTTCTTTTTTCCTCTTCCAAAGCAATGAGGAAAGCCTACTTGCCATATATCGCCAATACGTTACATTTCGTGGCATCACTGCTGCAAAATACTGGAATTCAGCATGATACAGGAACCTGATACTATTCCGGGGCTATTTCAAAATAGTCTAGTAGATCTTAGCGACAGTCAGTCAGCAGTGTTCGACCCTATAGACAATCAAATAGTGTAGGCAGTGACAGCGATTTCTTGAACGACAGAAAAGGCCTTTTTCCACACCTACATTTCTGGTTCGCCACCTTGCAATCGCCCAGCCTCTTCCAGTATTGGGGAGCCGAGCATTAAAGCACACTAGGATTACCTTCGACTAGAAGCCTAATGTAACTCCAGCGGTCACAAACTCTGATGTAAACACGCGAGTGGCTTCTGCCTCCTAGGGTAACTTTGGTTCCCAGTACATCTTCTACTGGGTCATGGCTGTATGATCAATCAGTCATCAATTTTTTCTTCTAGGCAACGAACAAGGACCAAAGTCGGCAGTTGAGACTTTAGATACAGTAATCAGCGATGTTTCAGCAGCCTAAAGTCTCTATTAAGATGGGCTACACGTCTCTATAGAGGTGTATCGCACGCGTCAGAAAAGTGACAATATCGCAGATGTGAGGGAAATGGCATTGAAATCGAGAAAGGAGAGAATGGAAATACTTGGTGGTGAGGATGAAAAAGCTCTTGCAAGTACTATGATATTAGCGAAGGCATACTGCCTCGAGGGTCAATGAGAGGAGCAAAGCAGCTCTTTATGCGAATCATGGAGACTCGCGAGTCGAAGCTCGGCGTGGACCATCCTGATACGCTGACGAGCATGGCCAATCTGGCTCCCACCTGGAAATCTTCAGGCCGTACAATCCAAGTCCCTTAATTTACTACGTGACTGCGTGACTAAGCAGAAGCAAATGCTGGGGCTCAAATCACCACCAAACCCTGTCTATTTCTGAAACGTTGCTGGAATGGGAAGCGGAGAAGTTGAATATGTCAGATAATCGGAAACGTGTACGAGCTAGTATCGAAGATGGCCATTGATCAACTGAGATGGATTGTGCATTGAGTATGTGCCAGGATCTGTTGAATGGTCCAGGAGCTATAAAATGCGTGTTCCATCACAATTCTTCCGAGAATGGCCCGGATTACCATACAATTACTATAGCAATGTGGATGGTTGCTGAATAACCAAGTACTGTGGAGAATATACGATATCTTTTACCTCTCTGAGAGTTGACAGAATTTAAATACGTAGACGAGCCGTATACCTTTACCTCGCAGTAAGCTCTGCTTCATATTGAAATTTGCTGGTGTAAACGGCGGGCCGTGACGGGGAGTCTCCACGTGACTATTCTTCTCCCCAAAGGCGGTGGGCAACAGAGTTCCGCTTCGTTCAGCGGGGCAATAGGTGTCTTATATCTGATTCGCTCCCGAGTACCCCACTGCGGCAGATAAACCCCGGCCTCCCCATACCCATATTGTTGGGTGCAGAATAGGGGGCGGTACAGGGCAGCGGGCGGTCAAGCGGCAACTCGCCGTTCTCCGAAGTTACGGGTGGAAAGGCGAGCGTGGGTCACGGGGATAATAGTAGATGCTGATAATGTGGGTAGTAGATGTTAATGAGCCGGAAAAAGAGCTATTGGAAATGGTAATTTGAATTTTATATAAGTTCGATGCGAAGCATGGGAGGCAGTTGATGCGTTGTTCTAAATGTGGCCAATCAGTGGGCGGAGCCATACTCCAGATGTGTCCACATTTACTGACAAGTACCAAGCACACCACTAGTACCATCGGTTCTACGTATCTATTAGTGCTTCCTTAAGACGTAGGGCTGCTGCGAATATTCGTAATTGCGAATATTATTCGTGCGAATATTCGTACGAATAATTATTCGCGAGATTTTTGCTTTGCGAATAAATTTTGCGAATATTATTCGCAGCAAATCGGGATTACGAATAAATTATTCGCGAGTCTGCGAATATTCGGCGAATATTCGCAATCCCCGAATTATTATGTAATCCTCCAGGATGATGATGGTTGACTAGTTAATTAAGTATATGCTAACTAGTTAGTTACTTGGTTACGTAGAGGGTTAAGGTAAGATTTCTATACTTGTAAGTCTTGTAGAGTAGGAATATAAGGAGTGTAGTAGATTCTACTGCTAGACTCATCTTACTTTTAGAAGTGCGTGTTCAAAGTAGTTATACAGATTTAGAGTAAGTACTTGAAGCTAGCATGTTATGGGTATATATATTACGGATTTGCGGAGTTAAATTGAATTATCATTTATAGAACACCAGAGGAAACACTAGAAATTGAGACTGCTCTCTATATAGTTGTCCAGTCGAATCACTATTACTTATAAACATCATTCAACAACATTAAAACCCTCATCGTCTCTGCCTTCATAGAGTATCTCCGTACTCCAAGTACATCTCTTCCTGCATTGAACAATCTCTCAACCGAAACTTCAGAGGCTGGGATTGCTAGGTAATCTCTAGCAGCAGCAGCCATCCGAGGGTAGTCATGTTTATGAACCCTCCACCAATCACATAACCAGTTTGGATCTTCCATATCACTAGCATCAACCCGAGCACTGTCAAAATATCGATCAATATCAGATACTTGAGGCTTATCGTGAGGCTGTAGCCTTCGTAACATCCGGCTTCCAACTTTTTGCTTCTTGTGACTGGGCTCTGAGGGCTCTGCTATACTAAGTAGGTCTGAAGTCTCTGGATATTTGGAATAAAGGTCATCACGGAGAGATTGAAGAATCTCCCTGCTAGTGGCTTTATCTTCCAATTCGTATAGGAGGAGGTCTCCTTTCACACGAGGATCCAGAATCAGAGCAGTATAGTATGTATCAGAGATATCCATAAAAGTATAGTACTTCATATACTTCTTGATACTTTGCCTAACCGCACTTGCAATATCCTCATCAATGTCTGCAAAATCCTCCTTACGCTCCGCAGCATCATGTAGTAAATCATGAAGTTCATAATAGACCGGCACTGTGAGACTGATCTGGGGCCTTTTCTCTGAGACAAACAAGGTGAACTCATCGAATTTTGAGAGAATAGAGTGGATTTGTGAAAGTCGTTCCCAATCTTTTGTCGAGAAAGGTAGAAACTCTGTCTCGTAATGAATGAACTTCTCAAGCTGGTCCTTTGACTTAGAAGCATTAGTATTTAGTCTTATTAAAGTATCGTTGAGTGCTAGTAGCTCACCTTTAGAGCGTCACTTATCATGCGGAAGGTAGAATTCCATCGTGTATCAACATCATATTGAATGAACTTTTCGGGAAGGTTCATACGCTTGCAATTGTTTTTCCACGCCTGTCTGCGTTGAGGACTTCGGTAGATCCAGATAGCCAGGATACGAAGCTTAGCGAGTGGTTCAAGTGTATGGAATGAGTGATGTTCCCCTCTATCAAGGTTATCACAGACAGAAGTGGCCTCTTCTGTATTACCAGACTTGAGAGCGGAAAGGATATCCTTCACGATCAGGTTGATAATGTGCGCTAAACACCGCACATAGCTTCCTAGACCACAGAATATGGTATTCGCTCCGGACTGCTGTAACTTTTCAAAGAGTTGTAGCACCATCCGCTCATTATTGCTAGCGTTATCACCAGTAATTGAGAGTAATTTGTGCTCAAGATTGAGTTCAATAAGTAATGTTTCAATAGCCGTAGCTAGATTCTCCCCACTGTGTGGTCCATGAAGCTCTGTAAACTCTAGGACTCTCTCACGATAATCAAATTCTTCTGTGAGCCAATGACCAATAACACCAAGGATTGGTAGGTGATTCTTGCTAGTCCAGACATCAAGAGATAAAGCAATTGTTTTGCACGTCGCCGCAAGCTCCTCTTTCAATTTAGCGCGTTGTTGGTCGAAATCTTCTAGGAGACGCTGTCGAAGGGTATGGCGAGAGGAAAAAGGGAGCGAAACCCCCGGTATATCCTTAAAGAGTTGCTGAAAGTCTGGTGATTCAATGACTGTGAAAGGCTGCTTACTGCTCACAACCCAGCGAAGAAGGTTCTTTTCAAGACTTTGTTGAATCGTGATATTTGCCTTACTACCCCATAGGCTCAGAAGAGTAGATTTAGGTGTAGTAATCACTTGCTCAGGGCCATTAGGGGGTAAAATCCCATGTTTCTCCTTCAAATGGAGCCGAATATTAGTGGTAGAAGTCTGTCGCTTCGAATCTGTTGTAGACCAGTTGCATTTCTTCCCTGTGGCTTTATCAATAGCCGTACAACTGATTTCGCGATCGATGAGCCTCTTCTTTCTGCTTCTCTTTTCGATCCATTCGCTAGAGAACTCTCTAACATGAAGAAAACCCCATAACCAGTCGTTTTTCAGTGTTTTTGGGCGGGAAATTTGGGAACCAGTAGCTGGAGGAGGTAGTTGAGAGGCTGATTCTGAAGGTAACACTTCATCCAGAGAATCAAGATAAGAATCGGTATCTGCAGTCACCACTGACAGATCAGAGGTATGCGGTAGAGGCAGTAGGCTAAGCTCTTCTGGATGCTGAGCTATCGGATTCTCTATTAGGTTTGATAGCCAATCTTCAGAGGGGCTTCATCTTCATAGCCATCGTTTAGAGCAAGGTAATTCGGATGGTTCCCACGAGTCAGCATCTTGGGCGATAAATATCTCTGCAAAGAGTCAAGAATATAGCACGAATTGTACAGAAGAGTGATTTTGCATTGGGTGACTAGGAATTATTTTTTTGCTCCACTATTCTAGCTGCACGTGACATCTTGCGAATATTATTCGTATTCGCAGCCTTAGTGCGAATAATTATTCGCACACTTTTAGTACTGCGAATAAAACTGCGAATAATATTCGCAGTGTTCGTGTGTTGCGAATACGAATAACGAATAATACCGATTCCTGCGAATATTCGTATTCGCAACAGCCCTATTAAGACGCAACATGATTTGATAATTCAATAACATGGAACATGGCATGTCGAAAGTTCCTTACATGACTCATAACATCTCAGAATATCTTCGGGTATATCCTCCAGCCATAACAAAAGTTACCCAAAGGGCAGTATCTTAGCAGCCTGAGTATACTGCAACACTCACGGCCGATCTACATGCTCCGACGCCGTAACATTTTCCTCCTTCGCAATCTCATCCTTCGCAATCTCAATCTCCTTCCCCGCCTCCGGATCCAGCACGCTATTCTTCCGACTAGTCTGCACCATCCCCGGATTCTCAGCCTTAAGCCTTGCAAACGTCTCCTCCGCATCCCAAGTCCACGGCGTCGGCGCCGCAAACAACAAATCCATATCTTCCAGTGTCCGCTGACTACTCTCGGGGTAGAGCGCCCAGACCATCGGAATGGTGATGACGTTGCTGGCTGCGAAGACGTAGAGGGTTTTTTCGCCGATGGCGCCGAACATTACCGGGCAGAGAAGTGTCTGCATCAGGATTAGTTTATGCTTTCGTTTTAAAGGGGTCGTGTGTGCACTCACCAGCCATCCGTTTCCGATACTCCAGCCCACAACACCCCACGCGTTCCCGCGAGCTCGCACGGCTAGCGGGAAGATCTCGGCTGGGTACACCCACGGCACGGTGAGCCAGGTCGCACCGAAGGTGGAGGTAAAGATGAAGATCATGGAGGCGGCGGCCGCGCCGTAGGAGGAAGCTTGGCTCATGTTGCCGTCGGCTTTGGCGTTGATCGCGAGGCGCGAGAAGCCTCCGGCTAGGAACATTGCGATGCCTTGCACGACGGAGCCCCAGTATAGAGTCCAGCGACGGCCGATGCGGTCGAGGGTGAAGACGCAGACGAGGGTGGCAAACTAGCAAAGAGTTAGCTGGCAACCGCAATCTTGAAGGCACTGGAACATACCATGTAGAAAATGTTATTCAATCCGCTAATCCACTGACTCTTCGTGGAGTCGAATCCGGCAATGCTAAAGATCGTCGGCGCGTAGACGGTTACACCGGCGATACCAACCCACTCCTGCATGATCTGCAGCCAAACGACCAGCTGCACCCGACGGCCAATATGCAGGTCGCCAGACTTGTAGCCGAAGAGCATACCGAGATACGAATGACCGCCGCCGTGAACGACAGTCTTCTCCAGCTCGGCAATGTTCTGGATATCCTGGAACTCGGCCTCGGCGCGAACGCGGTCTTCGGGACTGCTTCCGCGCAAACGTTGCAGGATATACCGCGCTTCGTACTCGCGGCCGACGTTGACGAGCCAGCGGGGGGACTCGGGGAAGAACCAGACGGCGCAGAAGAGGATGAGGAGGAAGATGATTTGGAATGCGATGGGGAATCTCCATTGGAAGGCGGATTTGCCGCCATCGACGAAAGAGAGGCCGCTGGAAGACGTTAGTATCTCATTCGGAGGAGGTGATGAATGGACGCACAATTCGAGCCAGTAGGCCAAGACAACACCGAAAATATTCAGGGTAAATTCGATAGCGATGAACTGACCACGCGATGTGTGTTCGGCCGTTTCGGTTGCCCAGACGGGGACAATGGCGTTCAGGATACCGGTACCAATACCGTTGATGAAGCGTGCTGCCATGAATCAGCTTCAACTCTTGCAGATACGGTAGGAGGTTAAGTACTCACAGCAAATCATCCAATTATGATTCTGAGCCGAGCACTGCAGACTCGCGCCCAAAATCGCCCACACCGAGCCCGCCGCAATAGTCTTAATTCGACCCAGACGATCACCAAGCCAACCACCAAAAAGACCGCCAAATAATGTACCAAGGTAATATACCGAGACAATCCCGCCCTGCAACAGCGAATTGGTGACAACAGGCGTCGGTTTCCCATCTTCCATCTTCGTATACCCGAACTTCATCAGGTCGATGTAATCCTTGGAATTATTCACGCCGGACATCATGCCCTGGTCGTAGCCGAAGAAGAGAATCGACAGCGCCGCGACGCAATTGATAGCTACGAGAAGCTGGCGCTTCTCGAGCTTGTGGACGACGTTCCATGGGGAGATCTTGTCCATTGTAAAAAAGGGTGCCCACAGGCAGGAACCTCCGGTGAGTCTCTAGTGTAGTGAGAGCGAGCATACGACTGAAGTGGGCGAACCGGGGAATATAAAGAAATCCCCTCCCCCGTGGGGAACCGCGATCCGAGAACATATCGGCATGGACCCATCAACACGATATCATGGCCCACTGCGTCTGCCGGCCTGTCTCCGTACCCCTCAGGCCATGTTCTGCCCCAAGGTGGTAGGAACGGTACGATTGGTCCCCCGCTTGCACGCACCTAGCGAGGCAACTTCACCACGAGGATCGGCCGACTGCCACCCCGGAACAGCAAGGAGTGGCAGTGGACTGATCGTGCACGAAGCAGAGACCCAGGTGATGCCCCCACTGGAAACTCAAAACCGGGCTGGGCCGATGAGTCGGCTTCAGGCCTGGGCTCGCAGTTGCTCCGTGACGGCTTCGGGGAACTCGCTGGGACTGGGGGCGGGGTTCCCTTTTAACCGACGTCTCGGCAATCCGATGCTCACCACAGGATACTAGCATGTTCCTGGATCTTTCGTACAGTTTGAGGCGTGACTAGCTTGGCAGGCGCAAAATGGCCATTTGCGGCGTCGATGAACCGTGGGGTTTCTCCTTCTCGTTGCCAATCATTTGACTGTGTTGACATCGGTTAAATTCCAGATTGTCTCCAGCATTCCCCAGGCTCGGCTGGTTCCACAGAGGCAAAAACGCGACTCCGGATGGGACGAGTCCAGGCGCCGAGGGGCCAATGGGAGGCGCCAGGTGGAGGGCGACTCGGGCTGGGTCCACGACGAGAAGACGGGAAAAGTGAGTCCATCCGGAGTCTCCAGGTTTTGCCCGCTTCGGCAAGCCGGGCTACACCGCACTGTACGTTATCTGAAAGTAGGACATGACTGGCAATACTGAAGAAAATAACAGTCAATACTATAGTAGGGCAATCAGTTTTCGATTATGCTAATTGTAAATTGCCGAAGGCACCCATCATGGATATTTCTTGTCTCCGTCTGCTGGGAGACCGGAAGTTCGCCGATTCCGCCGTCTACACGCCTTTCGGCCCACCCGATTCATTCAGTGTGTCATACCTAGACCTCAATCCTGATTTAAGGTTATTTTCTGGTCACCCGATACATCTGCGTCTACCGATGTCATCTAAGTACTCGCGTCCTGCAGACCGAGCGAATGCCGATGATCTCCACATTCCGCGGCGGGTAATTAACCGCGCTTGTACACCTCTGCCTTATGGTACTGGACGGAGTCGCGGGATATGACAGACATGGCCGGGTTAATTCGGCATGGAATTTGTTGATACTATCTTAATTTAGCGATGCGGTTTAAGTCGTATATTCTCATTCTCAGTCATTAGGCGGAGATCAATTTCCGGCGTAGGTGTTGAAGCGTTACCGAGGATATATGGGCAGAAAAGAAGTGGCAAGAATGCCTTACCATGAACATGGGAAAGCACCCCTCGCTTGCTCTGAGCAGAGCAACTAGTCATACCGAAACCAGCTCGAGAATTCTCAGCAGCGGCCTAGGCAAAAGACCAACCCCCCGTCCGATCTGCGAAAAAGTTATCGGGGTCATACGTCTTCTTAATCTCCTGTAACTTCGCAAAAGTCGAGAATGTCTGCAACGGATTCTGATCATGATTCGCATCATTGATAAACAAAGGCAGGCCCTCCGCATTGCCCACAGACTTGATCATATCACGATAACTCGCCTGCACAGCCTTATAATCCGGCTCACTCATCCCCGGTGGCGTCGTCAGCAGATAATTCAACCAGTACCACGGACCATCAGGCATCTGCATCGCATTCCCGCCCTGCGCCTTACTCGCGTCCGTCAGGCTCTTGGGCACGGGCTGGAAATCCAGCGACAACAGCTCGTACCTGCCCTTATTCGACTCGGCCCAGTTTCGCCAGACGTCGAGGGCGTTTTCGTATGAGCAGTTTTCGGGACGGTGCACGCCGACGCGGAACATGTTTGCACCGCGCGAGAGCTCGGTCGAGAGCGGGATAGGCATGTTCACGACTTCGGGGTAGGTTTTCAGACTCATTGTGTTCAGGATTGTCGGGATGCTGGTGAAATTCTTGAAGGCATCGCCGGAGTCTTCGCCGTCATAGACGAGGAACATGATGATTGCTTCGTCGAGGTTGAGGTTGAGGTCGGGTGTGCCAAGTTTCTCGTACGTGCCAATGATGGCGGCTTTGGGGTCGGTATTGTACTTGATGAAGTTGCCAATGGCCTCGATGACCTTGTCCTTTTGCGGGAAGGGGAAAATCAGATTGCCAGCGTAGAATTGCCCGACTGGTCGGCTCTGCACGGTGTACTTGGTGACAACGCCGTAGGCATTGCCGCCGCCACCGCGAGACGCGAAGAAGAGATCCGGGTTCGAATCTTCTGATGCCGTGACGATCTCGCCGCTCGGAAGGACGATTTCCAGCTCGCGGAATGAATCACAGGCCAGACCGTACTGCGGAGACAAGTAACTCATGCCGCCGCCCAGGGCTAGTCCGGTGCCGACGCCAGCCAGACGGGCGCCGACGACGGTGCGGTTGTACTTGACGAAGTAGTCGTAGATATCGCCAAAGACGCCACCGGGCTGGAACGTCGCGAGCGTGGTGTGGGGATCGTAGGACTTTTCGGTCATATCGCTCAGGTCCAGCAGGACGCCATTGTCGACGCAGGAGTAGAAAGTGTTGGGGTTATGTCCGCCAGCTTTGATAGCGAAACGACTGTCAGCGGCGCGGATGGCCTGCACCATGACGGAGACATCCTGCGCGTTCTTGGGATACACCACACACGAAGGTTTGTAGTCGTCCAGCAGGGCATTCCAGTATTCGAGACTGTTGGAATATTCCTGGCTAAGCAGATTGCTGCTCACTTTCGACGACCCCAATTGGGTGGTGATATTCGAGCATGCAGATGGACCCGCAGCCGCGGCTGCAGGTGCCGCGATGCCGGCCAGTATAGACAGCACGAGAGGGAACATGCTGGATCAATCTGGGTGCGTACAGGACGTCCAGAGAGGGCAGGACCCGAGTTCAAATATCGTGACATGCTTTCGTGTCTTCACGTGGAGTCGCTGGCCTTTGCTAAGGGGACCCTCGGTTGGAAGTGGTATACGGCGGGAATACGATGGCACGACCTGAATCTTGCTCCATTTGGCGCCAGGAGGCCGATCTCCTGAAACAATATGGCGGGAGTGACGGTTTGGTCATGAGTCAGCATTCTTTTTCAGGGCGATTGTTGTCGGCAGGTATGTGGAAAGGGGTTCCTCGGTAAGAGAATACGACGGAATACGTTGACCCGGAACTGGTTGGCGATCGCCGATCATCATCTGATACTGAAGAGGGGAACGCTCGATGGCAGCACGCGCTGAGACGTGCGGGTCGATTCAGCAGAAAAAACCGCCACAAAACACACGCATAGCAATCAGGAAATAGCGAGAATCCCAAATGTAGGGGTCAGGCCGGGGAGGTGTAAGAAGGTGTATTCTAGAACTAGCTACCCGGCCACCGTATACTGCCGGCTATGTCACATAGCCTGGACGGTACCCATGTAGTAGAGGGAGGGGGTGGAGACCCCACTACAATAATTTAGCGCGTCAGAAACCCGCCCAGACCGTTTTTAAGCTTCCCCCATAAATCAGATAACCCGGAGATTTGCCAACTTTGGCCTCGTGAAGGTGCACCTGCAGGGGTGCATCCTATCCTAGAGTACAGTATTCAACGGATACATACTTGTATAACCAAAAGCATAACGTATAGTCCCGCCATACTAGTAACCCGACAGTTCGCCCTCATTGCAACACTTATTTACTCAATCCTCAAACAAACAGATGCAGAACTTCAATATTCAAGTGCAGGGTTTCATTAACGTGACCGTCCAGCTCCTCGGACTAAGTCAGAGATAATGAGCTTGAACGATGTAGGTTCGAGAGATGTACTCGTATTCAAACAGTGCTAAAAGTGCCATAATCCCAAAATAACGGCAGAAAGTCCAAATAGAACGGTGCAAACGATTATTGCTGGGCCGAAAATGCGCCGTGACGAAAGAGTAGTCGTTCCTGCCACCGGAGAAGACACAAAATCATTTGATGGCTTTATCTCAGTTACATGGATGGATGGCGCAGAATACTCATGCATAAGATTGTTCAAAAAGCGGACTAATCGCTCGGACACTGATCCGGAATGTAACCCTGTATCAAGCACATCTGACACGTCGAAGGTTTTGTGCTTCTGATTTGGGTGCAATGGGCTGTGGTAGGGGTACCTCTGGACGCAGGACGAGCATAGATCAACATAGGCACATCTCCGGCAGACAGAACGGGGACCAGAGATCCAATGGCAACACCTTGTACAGGTAATTTTGAATATGCCTGCTTGAGGTACCGTATCCTGAGACAAATGAAGCTGAAATAGATAGTTCGCGTTGTTTTCATCATCTAAAAACAAGAGATAGCGACCTAATTGCTGCACAAGAGGCCATTGGAAGTTCGGCATGGAACGAAGAAGCATGTCTGACATAAGAAGGACTGATTGACGAATAGTGGAGTGTTGAGTCTCATTCGGTGTCGAGCAAATCTGAGGGCAATGGTTTTGAATTTTGTGCATTAGGATTTGGTGTTCTTTTACCCAGTCCAGGATATTTCTCCCATAACCGTCCAGAATAGAAGGATCTGCACCGAGGTCGAGGAGTGTGACAGCAGACGTGATATGCCCTCGGTGGATGGCGACATGGAGAGGGGTTCGTAATAGCTTATCCCGGTCGTTAAGAACCGAGGCGAGACGTGGAGAGCTAGGGAGGATGTGTATCATATTTATTGAGGCCGCAAGATGAAGCGAAGTCTGACCGAGCTCATCTGGAAGCAGCGGATCTGCGCCCGCGATAAGAAGAAGGTCAATGTGATCAGAATGACCCATATGAAGAGCCGCATGAAGCGGTGATCTATATTTACCACCCTGGGTATTGACATCGGCGTGAGCATCGAGCAGCATTCGTACTACCTCAGTGCGTCCTTCAGAGGCGGCGGCCTGTAGGGCATTACCATAGTAACCACCCTGGGCATTGACATCTGCGTGAGCACCGAGCAGCATTCGCACTACCTCAGTGTTTTCTCCAAAGGCGGCGGCCTGTAGGGCATTACCATAGAAACCACCCTGGGCATTGACATCCGCGTGAGCACCGAGCAGTATTCGCACTACCTCAGTGCTTCCTCTAGAGGCGGCGGCCTGTAGGGCATTACCATAGTAACCACCCTGGGCATTGACATCGGCGTGAGCATCGAGCAGTATTCGCACTACCTCAGTATTTCCTCCAAAGGCGGCGGCCTGTAGGGCATTGCCATATTCACCACCCTGGGCATTGACATCGGCGTGAGCATCGAGCAGCATTCGCACTACCTCAGTATTTCCTCCAAAGGCGGCGGCCTGTAGGGCATTACCATAGTAACCACCCTGGGCATTGACATCTGCGTGAGCACCGAGCAGCATTCGCACTACCTCAGTGTTTTCTCCAAAGGCGGCGGCCTGTAGGGCATTACCATAGAAACCACCCTGGGCATTGACATCCGCGTGAGCACCGAGCAGTATTCGCACTACCTCAGTGTTTCCTCCAAAGGCGGCGGTCTGTAGGGCATTGCTATATTTACCACCCTGGGCATTGACATCGGCGTGAGCATCGAGCAGTATTCGTACTACCTCAGTGTTTCCTACAAAGGCGGCAGCCTGTAGGGCATTGCCATACCGACCACCCTGGGCATTGACATCGGCGTGAGCATCGAGCAGCATTCGCACTACCTCAGTGTTTCCTCCAAAGGCGGCGGTCTGTAGGGCATTGCCATATTCACCACCCTGGGCATTGACATCGGCGTGAGAATCGAGGAGCATACGCACCACCTCAGCATATCCTCTCAGGACAGCGGCCTGCAATGCGTCTCCGCTCATTGCACATACTCTAACCATAGCTCCCTCGTGAAGTAGCCACTCGATAAATTTCAGATGCCCACGACTAGCCGCCTCAACCAATGGTGTTATCCCAGCTTCATTTTTTGCGTCGCAGTCTGCGCCTCTTTTCCGGAGGATTTTGCCTGCTGTTATATGGTCCCGTCGTGCTGCTAGATGGAGAGCCGTGTTCCCGCGATTGTCTTTCATCGCGACATCATCGTTTCTCTCTAACACAAACTCTATGACATCAATCAGGTCAGAAGCTGCAGCCACGTGCAGGAGAGTTGTGCCGTCTTCAGGAAATCCGGTGTTGTACGGATATAGGATACGGTAAATCTGGACCCAAGGGCCAATCACTTGCTGCAAAACATCCTTTTCATTCTTTAAGACGCCCGACCGAGAGCTGGCAGCCTTTTCCGCATGAATAAAGAGGTTGACAGTGGCATAGGCGAGCAATGGATCCTGAACGATGTCACTTTTTGTTGTTGAAGGATTATTCGACATTCTCCAAGCCATTTTTGCAGTGGCTAGATAAACCAGGCATGATCGGTAGAGATATGCTTGACATCGAAATAGAATCGTTTCGCTTTCCATAACTGATGAGGTGGTACCAATTTGATAAGACATAAGCTTCAGTCCTTTTGTGCGAAAAAAGTCGTTGACAGACTGATGCACCACCTGTATAGTCTCAGGGTCATCCCCACTTGAGACTAGCTCTGCAAGTCCACCAGAAAGAACATTGATTCTTTGCTTCATATGGCCGTCGCTTTCGACAAAACCGACGATATTATCCCATGCTTTGGGGGTTGGCGATATCTGGGCATTCTCGGCAGCAAGGGCATAGCGCATTTCCGTCACAGTCAGCGGTCGTTCAGCTAAACACACCCACTGGAAAAACAGAAATGACTGCTCGCGATTCCTTTCTAGTATCACATTGTTGAGAATGTACACATACACCTCTTCTAGGTCGGCCGGAATCTCACGTAGCCAGGAATGATGGTCAAACGATTCCCCTTCGTTGATCCTCCGCTTGATGAGGGGCATTAGGAGATAGATCCATTGGAACACCCCCTTGGCTTGATGGATCAAGTGCTCTACCAAGGCTTCCTTTTTCGCCTGACTAAGACTGTCTCCGACCGCCATGCCAGCAAGGGCGTCCTTGATGTAAATAGCGATATCATCAGAGTTATGGTTTTGAACATGTATCTCAACAGCCCGGGCATCTTCCATGATAGGGTAGTGTCGACATGAGATACAAATTTGAACGGCTGCTTCCATTTCTTCTGCGCGGGCGAGAATCCGATGAAAATATCCTGCCAGATACTGGGCGGACTCAGCCCCAGCCTCATCGAGAGCGTCCACAAAAATCATCACCTGCTGCCGTTTGGCCGATATCAGGATTGTATCTGCCAATAGCTGCTCTAGCCTGACCTGTGTCCATTGCCAGTTATTTTCACCATATCCATACTGTCTGCATCGTTCCTCGTAGATCTCGCGAACCCGAGCACGCACGGTCTCATCGTGGTAAAATATTTGATTGAGCAGCGATCGGAGCATTCCGAGGGGTGTGCGTTGTAGCTCAGTGCCTCGAGCGCTAAAGAAAAAGTCGAGCCGGATGCCTTGATTCCCGTCGTGCGACTCCTCGAGATTGTCATGCAGGAATGCCATTAATGTCGATTTTCCCGCACCGGGTTTGCCTTTAATCCAGAGTAGACCGCGAGACTGGCTCTTCCAGTTCTTGAAAGAATCCAAGTCCAGAATCCACTGGCAGGTATTGGTATGGCATGGCTTGATATTGTCTCTTCGATCTAGCATCTGCGGGAAAGCAAGTGACCTGAGCACCCCTGCCACTATAATTAGTGATAGCCTCTTGATGACCATGATATGAAACTTACCGTTGTCCGTCCTCTGTTGTGGGGTTTCCTGTCGGCCTGGGCCACAAAATCAGCTGTCAGTGGATTTGATCTGGCCTCGAAAGGGCTGCAGCATACATACCATGTTGGAGATGGATCGGTCCGTAGTTGATGCCAAATTGAGCGCCTGTATTTTCGTCTCCAAAGAATATCGAGTGCATTGTCAGAAGAAGGTGCTGTAATGACCTGTTATCGGTAGAGTGAAATTCCCACTGCCAGAGATTGGGGCCCAGCTCCAGCCCCCACTCTCAGGTGACGATCAGCCGCAGTCTTGGCACGAACGTGGTTTTCAAAGTCCAGGAGGCACTCCGCAGACATCTCCTGAACACAAGGTGTCTTGAAAACTCATAACAGTTCATACTGTGGAAACGGATGGCCCGATGGATGGAGTGATGATGATGGGGAAGCTATCACAAACTTGCCATGGGATATGTGGAGTGCGGGCCGAGGACGGGTAAATCACATGATCTCGAACAAAGATTCTGCCTACACGAACACAATAAGGAAACATATATCTTGAAATAATCAAGAATAAAAGCAATTCAAACTACTCATGCTTGAGAATAATCACGGCACCGAAAGGCCTGAGTGCGACCTCGCTCCCAACGCTCTCCTCAACCTCCTGGTTAGAAACAAGAATAGAAGAGTCCGTATACTCTGCATACTCTTTCGCAACAACTATCTGCTCCTGATCCGAGAAATTCAAAAGCACAAGTGCTCTCTGCCCGGTCGTCTTCGAATACCGCTCATAACCGAGAACCATCTCACCCGTCAAAGTCTCCGGCAGGGGAATATAAGAGCCATAAACAAGAAGATCAGAATAATCTTTCCGCAAAGCAATCATCCTCTTCCAGTACGCCATGATACTTTCAGGATCATCAATCTGACTGGCCACATTCCAATCCACATAATCTTTATTGATTGTCATCCAAGGCTTCGAATCCGCCGTCGTGAACCCCGCATTCGGAGAATCATCCCACTGCATCGGCAATCGTCCATGATCTCGCGACTTCAGCTGCATCTCCCGGAGGACATCGGCCATTTTCGAGGTATCTCCGCCTCGAGTCTGGAGCACTTCATTATAGTAGTTCTTCCCCTCCACGTCGATGTAGGCCTCTGCCCCATAGTTTTTGGCCAGATTGGCCATTCCAATCTCCTGTCCGGCAAGCAGGAATGGCGTCCCGCTCAGCGACATCATGTACGTTGCCAGCATCTTCGCCGCCGTAGACCGATGCTCTGGGGCATCGGAGGCATACCGTGAAAGAGACCGGCCGCTATCGTGGTTGTCCAGGTAAACAGTGTTCCACCCGTCAAACTTGGGCATGGCGCCTTGCCACATATTGGTGATCTTGCGAATCTTGCGAGGGTGGAAATCGTCGCGCTCATATTTGCCGTTCGCGCCAAAGTCCATGTCCACAATGTCCCCGGTAAACAACATGTTCAGCTCGTGTCGGCCTTTGGCAACGTATTGGCTAACGGACTGTTCGTCTTTTGTGAACCCCAGCTCGCCGACCGACATGACCTCGTAGTTATCAAAGACTTTCGTCCTCATCTCGCGAATGTAATCGTGCATCTTTGGGCCTGAAGCAAAAAACTCTGCACCGGACTGATATGGTTCATCGGTCACCACTTTCCCATCCGGTAGATTAGGATGTTTCGACATAAGATTCATACTGTCGATGCGGAATCCATCCACGCCGCGATCAAGCCAGAAGCGCATATCATTATATGCCTCTTCGCGCATATCTGCATTCTCCCAGTTTAGATCCGGTTGACTAGGCAGGAACAGTGCCAGGTAGTATTGGCCTGTAGGCTCATCATATGCCCAAGCACTACCTCCGAAAATCGATTTCCAATTATTCGGCTCCTTCCGATTCCCTTGCTCGTCGTACTTGGGGTCACGCCAGATATACCAGTCGCGTTTGGAGCTGGATCTGGAGGCACGGGACTCCTTGAACCAGGCGTGTTGATCGCTTGTGTGGTTGACGACGAGATCCATGAGGATGCGGACATTGTTGGCGTGGAGCTCGTCGATGAGCTTTTGAACATCAGCGACTGTGCCGTAGGGCGCGTGGATGGAGCGGTAGTCTGCGACATCGTAGCCCATGTCTTTTTGGGGGGATGCAAATATTGGTGAGAGCCAGATTGTGTCCACTCCTAGTGATTTGATGTAGGGGATTTTGCTGATGATTCCCGGAATGTCGCCCAGGCCGTCGCCATTGCTGTCGAGGAAGCTTGCTGGGTAGATCTGGTAGACGACGGCTTCTTTCCACCAGGCTTTTTCGATGGGTGGAGGGGGCATCTTGGGCTTCAGAATGTGTTGTGGACTTTGAGGGATGGAGACAAAAAGAGAATGTTGCTAAAGAGAAACCCTTCACATGAAGACCTGGGGGTTATATGTTTCTTGGACAACTCGCACAGAGCTCGCCATGTCTCTCGTCCAGACTGATCGTCGCTCTCGCGTAAAATCCTGGGGGAATCTGGGGAGTATCTTGAAGTTGGTCGGAGAAATAAATTTTGGGACGTGTCCCCGCGTGAAGCTATTCGCGGGGTCAGTGCCCCTGCGTAGTTTGGTTGTGTATGCGGTTTCTCCGAGGAACTCCCGATGGCTCGACGACCCCCCAAGTTGGATCTGGTCGATGAGATCTCCGCAGAGCTCATGTATCCGAGTTCAATTTGCGCGCTTCCGGAGCTAATCGTTGAAAGAAAGTTGAAACAAAAGTCTGATTGAGTCGCCCAAATGAGCAGAAAATGGTGGTGGCGGAAGTCACATCGGGATTTTGAATCATATAGTAGTGTACACCCAAGTAAGAAAGCGACTTGATTATATTACTCCCCAAGGATTAGTGCTTCAATATCTCGGTATTCCTAAACTTAAATTAAGTGACTTATTGATAAGAATTGATACAGCCAGACAGCTGATCGCATACTGTAGGTGACTGGTGAGATGACCAGGTAGGTGACTGAGCAATGAATCTGGCAGTAGGTAGAATGAAGGCTTCAGGCTATTAGTACCGTATTCGAAGTGGCACTTGGTGTCAAAATTGGCACCATGTTTGGCCAAGGCTCTAGTTCTGTATTATCTGAGCGAAGCCATGACAGGTTGTGGTCTGAGACAAAGGCGGTGTGGAAGCATCAATGTCCGTATTGAAAAGATTACAGCATCTTTACTCGCGATAAGCAATAGGTATTGGAATGAAAGTGTGAAGACCTATTCACAAGGTCCAGTGCTTGTCATTTCCGAATGAATAATTAACTGTGGCAATAATCATGTCTTCACCCCTAACTCATCTAGCACACACCTCCTCCAACATGCTTGTTCTTAAACCCAAGTCGTTTAAAAATGCTGGTCTGCTGCGGAGCTTCGATGACCTGACCATCAACAACCACAAAGTCGCCAAATTTCCGCGGAGAGACCTTATTCGCATACAGCAGATCGATATCTGCGAATGATCTGTTCTTGGTCTCAGGCTGGAAGAAATAAAGACCAGTCATGATGATCAATTCAGCACCAACGAACAAGAACATGACCTTGCCACCCCAGTTCAGCTCATCAGGGTTGATAAAATACGGGAACACTGATGACAACAGCAGTGCCGTGAGCTGTTGACAGATTAACACGAAGGAGATTGTCTTGGGACGAGTTGCTTGTGCTGCAGTTTCCTGTGCGATAGCCCATCCGTAGCATCCCACTGTCGCTGTATAAAGCATAGACCATGTGATCATAAAGGCGAGAAGGGCGATGTTGGCAGAAGTATTCGAGACTGGAGCCATAGATACACCAGCAATGATCACTGACCAGAACATGAGGAATGTACCGCCACCGATGAGTCCTTTTCTGCGTGGGATGACATCTGAAAAGCAAACAGCCGCAAAATTGGAGAGCAGTTGTAGTGACGACGAGATCGCAGTCAATTGGAAAGAGTCGGCTTGCCCAATTAATTGAAAGTAATATGTCTGATAAGTGTTGGCGAAATAACCACCGGAGAAATTCTGGGACTGGAGGCCAAGAACGGCAACAAGTGTGCGAGATCGATGCTCTTTGGAGAAAATGCTCTTCCAGTTTGTCTGACTGGCAGTCGATTCCTCATTTTCGATCTGGCGGAGCTCAAGCTTGATTGTTTCGATGCATGCATCAATATTGGAGTCGGAACCATAAAGTTTAAGGATTGCCTTGCGTGCATCCTCCTCCCTGCCCTTTTTCATGTACCAGACCGGGCTCTCGGGAAGAAACGGGAGGCCGCAGAGATATAATCCAGGAAGGACAAAAGTCATGACAAAGGCAAGCTTGAATGACCACACTCCTTGAATACTCGATGCTCCGTATCCGGTGATCGAGGAGCAAAACTGACCGAAGACAATGACGACGTTGGTGAGAGATGAGGCCGTGCTGCGCAGGTTCTTGGGTGCATTCTCGGTGACATACAGCGGAGGAAGCACTGTTGAAAGGCCGACCGACAATCCAAGAAGAAGTTTCGAAACGAACAGTATGGGTAAGCTGGGAGCAAAAACCAAGGCGAACGACGAGGCCAGCGAGATGACGACAGCTAGGTAGAGAAGCACCTTTCGACCACAGAAGTCGGCAAACTGCCCTGCGGCATAGCCTCCGAAGACTTGACCGATTGTAGATGCTGCATTCCAGAGAGACTGCCATAGAGCTGGAATGACGTACTCATCGCCAGCAGCATAGTAATTGCCGTACGCTTTGCGGAATTCTGGGAATGCAATGGCAATGCCAGAGAGGCCGGAATCATAGCCCCAGCTGAACACAAGAAGCATCGTATATAGCGTCCACCAACAAAATCGCTTCTCAGAGCGGATCGCGGCCCAAAGTTGACGCAATTGCTCTTTCGCTGTAATTTCGGCAAGCTGATGATTCTCGAACTTCGCAGGAAGGGGTTCGGATGAGGCCTCGACATGGCTCGAATTGGGCTTTTCGGCCTGGATAGTCTTCTCTGGTGAATCCATTATGCACGAACTTAATGAAGGAAGTGTTAACTCTTCAAATTTCCTGATAAATCCCCTTCCCAGGTGGAGCATCATGGCATTTTATGCCTTCGTCGCGTTGCATTCCGGAGAAACCCAGGAAGCAGGAATCCGGGGCGGAGTTCAGAAGTTCATGGGTGGAGCATCCTCGGGGATACTCTCAGAGTATGGGTGGTTATAACGCTCAATTTTCTTCTTCTCGCCCGTATTGATGCTCTGCTAAAGCTTCATCGACCGTACAAAATTTAGGAGTGGCGATATCACCATGGAGGTAGGTGTCTGTTTAGATGACCGTTCAGCTGACCGTTCAGAAGACTGTTTGGCAATCGGTTAACTGAATGTCTTCAGTTGAGTTGATGTCGGTACTCCACGGGGAAAGGTCGCGAGTTAGGAAAGTGGGAAGGTTGGGAGAAACTTGAAGCTTACGGCTGCTCTCGGGGCAAACCTCGGCGAAACTCTTCCCAGCGGACTACCGGACTATCCCGCTGCCTCACCACTCGACATACTTCAGACGCCGAACTTTTAAACAGCAGAACTTGCCATTGAATTTCAGTATGTGTCGCTCTAATATCCCTTTCCAAGATGACGACTGCATCGAGCTTCGGAGAAACCTCGCAGAGCTCAACCTCTTGTGGCTCGACTCGGCTGACGACGCCTGAGTACTTCGAACTTGACAGTGCCAATTCCGCCCAATTCTTTGCGCGATGGCGCCCGTCTTATCATATTATGCCTCAAGTGGGCTGGATGAATGATCCTTGTGCGCCAGGTTACAATCCCGCAACCGGCCTATACCATGTGTCCTTCCAATGGAACCCCAATGGCCCCGACTGGGGCGATATCTCTTGGGGAACTGCGACTTCTAGGGATATGGTCTCATGGGAGATCCAGGATGAACCTATTCTCTCTCCAGATAGCTTCTACAATGCCAAGGGTGTCTTTACTGGATGTTTTGTCAAGGCCCAAGACGGTTCATTGAACTACATCTACACCTCTGTGAGCTCGCTTCCGATTCATCACACAATCCCCCACGAGAAAGGATGCGAGACATTGAGTATCGCTACCTCTTTCGACAACGGAAAAACATGGCACAAGAGCAGCAGGAACCCTATCTTGGCCGGAGAGCCCGATGGCCTCGACGTCACAGGCTGGAGGGATCCCTTTTGCGCTCCATGGCCCAACATGAGTCAAGCTCTGGAGCTAGATCCCAAAGAGTATATGTTCGGCATCATCTCTGGAGGAATCCGAGAGAAATTCCCCACAAGCTTCGTCTATAAAGTCGATGCAAAGGACATATCTCGCTGGTCTTACATTGGTCCTCTCACCAACTTTGGCCTGAACTACAGACCATCGAGATGGTCTGGCGACCTGGGCAAGAATTGGGAGGTTACCAATTTTTTGTCTCTGAGCGACGAGGAAGACCCTTCTGTCAGTCATGACCTACTCATCATGGGAACTGAAGGCTGTCTTGAGGATGACTCCACAAAGCAGAACTGCCCTATGGGTCCATCACGCCCAAGTCGTGGCCAGCTATGGATGTCCGGCAGTCTTCGAAAGAACGAAAAGTATGGAGATGTAAACATGTCATACGACTTCGGAGGCCACTTGGATCATGGCTGTTTGTATGCTGCTAATTCTTTCTTTGATTCAAGGACTCAGAAACATGTCGTCTGGGGATGGATCACCGAAGAAGATCTATGTGATGATCTCCGCCATCGCCAAGGATGGAGTGGAATGCTCTCAATGCCACGCCAGCTTTCATTGCAGACTCTACACGGGGTGACGGGTGCCTTGGCCTCCGAAATTTCGTCGGTCACATCTGTCAAGCTCACGAGCGAAGAAAAGGGCACATTCACAGTCCAAACACTAGCCAGCGAGCCGTACCTGCCTCTTGTTGAGAGTCTTCGTCGCAACCCGGGTGTCCAGCAATTGAATATCGGGCAGTCAACTCTCGGTCTGCAGGATAGGATTGCTGAGATTCCGTCGACTTCCATGCAAAGCAAGCAGTGGGAGCTTGACTGTTCTTTCGAACTCTCGAAATCGTGCTCGGCCGTTGGTGTCTCGATCGGCCATACAGAGGGTAAGCAATGCATGCCTCCCCTTCACTCCGGAATCTCTACTCATTATGATCACAGGCTTTGAAAATTCCACTCGGCTGATGTTCGAGCCTTTGAACGAGACATTCAAGATCATTCGACCCTGCTTGTCGAGCCCCAGTGCATGTGCTTTCATCAATAGCTCGCCCGAGATCGCGCCCCACACACTATTTCGAAAGCGAAACACAATCACCAAGGAGGAATACACTGAGCCTTTGAGAATTCGTGCATGGCGAGATAACTCTGTCCTCGAGGTCTTTGTCAACGGTCGCACGGCGATCTCCACTCGCCTTTATGCAGCCGAGGAGACATTTGGTATGCGGTTCTTTGCTTTCGATGAACCCTCCACGGACGCGACAAAAGCTTCTCAGTCCGACTGGACAGAATTGCAATATGCGAAGCTATGGGAAGGTATTGGTTGCTAGTTCTTCGTTTCCATCAACGACCATATTGCATCATAATAATTCATTACTACTCCTTATACTAGAGGTGTATGAGCTGTTCGACGGGATCGGGCGGAAATGTTGCATGGAATCATGTTGATGTCACCGGCGCAACAGATGCGCAGGCAGAAATTAAATGTCGATTCACAATAGTCTCCACTGTTATACCAAGCTTTTTTATTCTCTCTAGTGTCTCTGCACGTGTTCCCAAGGTTGGATGAAATGATTGTACCTTCTTCCCATGCTTACGCCCCTGCTGGCTTCTCCGCATTAACATTCTCGATTAAACAAATAAACTCGCAGCTTTGCTCGCTGTCGGTGCCTTTCCTCCTGTTCAGTCTCTTCGTCGCTTTACTTGCTGCTACGGCAATCATAACCTTTTCCCCCAATGAGTCCCTCACTGTCAGACACCTCCATCCTCAGTTTTCCATTCTTGGCGACCCGCTATTTACATCCTCGGTATCGCCAAGAACCAAGCTGGAGTTATCGACAAGCGGTCACAAACACCTTCCTCAAAATCGGACTCTGGAAATTCTCTACGTCCCAATTCAGGCCGACCCTGTCCCTGAAGCCCGGCCTAGAACGCGACCGGTTCGTGCTGGTCGATCCCGCCAGACCGGAACTCTACACCGGCGTCGCCGTCGACAAGGAGGTCAAGCCTGAGACGATCGGCGGAACCTGGTATCCCAAGCGCTTTTCCTCCGACACCATCATCCCCGAGGACCAGCATGTTGTCCTCCACTTCCACGGCGGGTCCTACATACTCGGCGACGGTCGCACCGCATCCAGCAACTTCCTGGCAAAGACATTCCTGAACAACACGTCTGCGCTCTACATCTTTTGCCCCCAGTACAGACTAGCCGGTTCCCCGACGGGCCGATTTCCAGCACAGCTTCAAGATGCCATCGCTTCCTACTCGTACCTCGTCCACATGCTCCGGATCCCGGCATCACAGGTTGTTCTAAGCGGCGATAGCTCAGGGGCGCACCTTGTATTGGGGCTTCTACGATACATTTTCCAGTTGGAAAATCCATTACTTCTCCCTCCGCCGATCTGCAGCTGGGCATTTTCACCCTGGTGCGATGTGCCTGCGGCTCTCGATAAAGAATCCTGGCACCGAGACCCGAATTACAAGACCGACTACATTCCCTCCGAGTTTCCTGCTTGGGGCGCGAAGAATTATCTCAAGAACCTGGAGATTACCCGTCCCATCGATGAACAAGTTGCTCCGATCCGACATCCATTCCCGTTGCCGTCGCCGGTTCTCATTGTTACTGGTGGCAAGGAAATTCTGTTCCAGCAGCACTTGCAGCTTGCACAATCGTTTTTAAAACTGCCGGAGAATCGGGATTCTGTCGAGCTCTACTCGGAAGAAAGGGTTCCTCATGATATTTTGGTCATTGGCTGGATGATGAATTTCCGCCACGAGGCGCGGAAAAGTGCCAGGAGAGCTGGCGATTTCCTTCTTCATACGCAGAAAAAATAGGAAGAGAATTGAATTAATGTTCTCTATAAGATTTGATTGTCTATTCGATTTTCTAATGTAGTAAAATCAGCCCACTACTTCCCATGGATGAAAAGCCGACCGCTCACAGGCTCAACGGTCTTTTCTCGAGGAGTACCAGCCGGCTTGCCAAAGACCACCTGAGCTTTAGATCTCCATTCCAATGGTACATTCCATTGTTCTGAGACCTGAGCATCAATCATCGGATTATAATGCTGGAGATTACAACCGAGGCCTTCTGCTTCCAATAGCGTCCAGACTAGTCATGACATTAGCATTGAGTTTTGTTTCTAGTCAAATACAGTCTGGCATACCAGCAAGCTGGCACATCCCGCTAGCATGGTCGGACCATTCAGTGAATTTATCTTTGATAATGGGCATCTTCGCCTCTAGAAGCGTGAACGGAGCTCGGTCCTCGTAAAATAGTACCTAGCAGAATATCAGTACAAAAAAATGATTCCATCGATGCGATAAAATTTACTCCCTGTTCCGTATGCAGCGCGAAAAACCACAATGCGATGTCTGTAAGCTTCTCGAACTGCTCCGGGGGCACTGTAGCCTTGACGACTGCGTGGGAATTTTCGTGTTGTTCCCTCAAAAAGACGACCATCCTAGTTGCCTGGGTGTTGAATCCACTAGTCATATGCGTAAGTACCTCCGATAGGATTTCTTCTATGCGCTCATCGGAAATGATGGATTCGTTCGACAGGGAATGAATAGATCGGCGACCCTTTGAACCCTTCAAGAATTGATGACGCGAGAGAAGACATTTCAATGGATATTTTGATGTCGAATATTTCAAATATTAGCTTCTCAAAAGATGATATTCTGACAAGTGTTCGAGTTCAAATTATTAATACTTTATATACATGGTGTTGACTCGCTAGTGATCGGGAACGGAGCATCGACACGGAGTGCCGATCGCGAGTAAGCAGCCTCAAAACAAAACATTGCTCTCAGCGGCTCCGGACTTGATGATCCCGATTCAATTCAAATCAAAAAATGTCGGCCCAAGGGAATTAGAGGGCCGACTCTTGCACTCTGTATGATTTCTCGCCGGTCGGCGCGGTCGCTAAACCCATCCCATCTATAATCAAGCCCCTCGGACTCGTTCCGCCAGACTACAACCTTTTGCCCACTCACGGAATCTCAACAAATCGCTCATAGCGACTCGGTGACCTTGCGTCTAAACCCCCTTTATACATTGTTTGAGGCACATTTTCGCGTCAATTAGAAATTGAAATAGCGGAAGCTTTGTCTTTCTTCGCCTTTGAATCCATGTCGCCATATCTGGCTGGATTCGTTGCCCTCAACAGTCTAGGAAACACCCCGATGAAGCGAAGGTCACGTGGGTTGTGACGTAGCCGGCACGTTCGCCCCAACAAACACGACGGACGAGCAATTGGCATCTCAAATTGTCCCTTTGTCCATTTTGGGATGCTTTCAAATCGACAAGTTGGACCATCGCAGAAGCTCATGGTATTTCAAAGAAAGTGGCCAGTTGCCACCGGTCATTTCTAAGCATCACTTTCCGTACCCTGGAACTTGGGCGTCGGCGCTCGCCGCCAGGCACAATATTGCCGTCCCCCACGTTGTTTGGGATTGTGCTCAGGAAATTGTTTTGATTTGAAGTCATAGTATTTTGGAATGATTGAAACTTGGACTGTTAATTTACAATCACTTTTGTAGATATTTCAGCTGACGTCTTTTTGTTATCGGGCACCGATCTCAACAAATAGCGCCTCGTATGCAGATGCGAACTATATATCTCAGCAAACCGGGTCAGTCCGGGGACCTGGTGGGCCACTCCGGCCCGGTCTATATCACGATATAAGAGTTCGACTCGAGGAATTTCTGTCAACGCAGCAACATTTTGCATGATTGGAGGGATCATAACCAATCCAAGGCAAATCAGCGTTCATAATTGTTGAGTACATAGGCGGCCGCGTATAACCGTGCAGGGGAGAGGGCGCGGGCGGTGGCTCCGGCAAAGGGAGATCGCACTCGACCAAGCCCGCGGGTATCGTCGACGGTCTGGGTCGTCATTCTGGCAGACTAACTCTAAAGGCACTAGGAATTATGGCCTTCCCGGGGTAGATCTCGCCGGGTGGGTGGAGGGCGGAAAAGGTCTGTTGGGTTCCCGATCGCTGACGGTTGACCCTCCGCGTGACGGAGTATATCATAGGGGCAAAACCGGCCATTGTGAGAATAAACCCGGAATATACAGAGACTTTGTTTCCCACAATTAGTCGGAGCCTTAGTTGTCAGATTCGACTTCAAGTCGGCATCGTCGCCCGGCAAACACGCGAACTTGCCGAGTCGACCCGAGACGGCTTACATAACCGGCGACGGCGAATCTCAAACTGCAAAAGCTCAGTCATCTTTCCCGTACCTTGAAGCCATTATCCTCCCCCCAATTGTCCACCCCTTCTCCCTCCAGGTCGGTTTCTTGGAGGATTGACATTTATTCGTTCTTTCCGCTCTCGTCATCGTCATGTTCCGCGCCGTCCTTCCCCGAGCTGCGCCGCGGGCTGCGCTCCGCGCCAGCCCCAAGGCTGTGCCTTCGTCCTTCATCGCTCCCCCCATGCTCTTCATTGGCAGCTCAAAACGCGGCTACGCCTCTGAAGCTGGTAAGTGTACAGCCAAATCCCCCACAGGAACGGCCGGAGCCGTTGCCTGTGCTTCCCGGAGTGCCATTGCTGATTTCCGCCGTGTTGGGCAAACAGGAGACCACGACCTTGTTATCATCGGTGGTGGTGTCGCCGGTTACGTCGCTGCTATTAAGGCCGGCCAGGAAGGTCTGAAGGTATGCATCACATCGTCGGAACCGGCGTCGGATAAAATCTGCGAAGCTGTTGGGGCTGCGGCCACGAATTTTGCCCGGTGCTAACTAGACACTTTTGCTAGACTGCCTGTATCGAGAAGCGCGGTACCCTCGGTGGTACTTGCCTGAACGTCGGCTGCATTCCCTCAAAGTCCCTGCTCAACAACTCCCACCTGTACCACCAGATCCTCCACGACACCAAGAAGCGCGGTATCGAGGTTGGCGATGTCAAGCTGAACCTGAACCAGATGATGAAGGCCAAGGACCAGTCCGTTGACGGCCTGACCAAGGGTGTTGAGTTCCTCCTGAAGAAGAACGGCGTTGACTACATCAAGGGTGCCGGTTCCTTCGTTGACGCCAATACCGTCAAGGTCGACCTGATCGATGGTGGTGAGCAGACCGTCCGCGGCAAGAACATCCTGATTGCCACCGGCTCCGAGTCCACTCCCTTCCCCGGCCTAAACATCGACGAGAAGCGCATCATCACCAGCACCGGCGCTCTTGCGCTCACCGAGGTCCCCAAGAAGATGGTTGTTATTGGTGGTGGTATCATTGGTCTTGAGATGGTACGTTCTTTTTGGGAGCGATACGCGCAGGTTGGCACGTCAGATCAGTCTTCAAGATGCTAACAATTATTTTTCAATAGGCCTCTGTTTGGTCCCGCCTCGGCGCTGAGGTTACCGTCGTTGAGTTCCTCGGCCAGATCGGAGGTCCCGGTATGGATGCCGAGATCGCCAAGCAGGCCCAGAAGATCCTGGGCAAGCAGGGCATCAAGTTCAAGACCGGCACCAAGGTCACCAAGGGTGACGACAGCGGTGCTACCGTCTCCCTGAGCGTCGAGTCCGCTAAGGGTGGCAAGGAGGAGACCCTGGACGCCGATGTTGTCCTGGTCGCCATTGGTCGTCGCCCCTACACCGAGGGTCTGAACATTGAGAACGTCGGTATCGACAAGGACGACCGCGGCCGCCTCGTTATCGACCAGGAGTACCGTACCAAGCTGCCTCACATCCGCGTTGTTGGTGACGTTACCTTCGGCCCCATGCTGGCCCACAAGGCCGAGGAGGAGGCCGTTGCTGCCATCGAGTACATCAAGAAGGGCCACGGCCATGTTAACTACGCCGCCATTCCCTCCGTCATGTACACCCACCCCGAGGTCGCCTGGGTTGGCCAGAACGAGGCTGAGGTCAAGGCCTCCGGTGTCAAGTACAACGTTGGTTCTTTCCCCTTCAGCGCCAACTCTCGTGCCAAGACCAACCTCGACACCGAGGGTCTCGTCAAGTTCATCGCCGACGCTGAGACCGACCGCATCCTGGGTGTCCACATCATCGGCCCCGGTGCCGGTGAAATGATCGCCGAGGCTACCCTCGCCGTCGAGTACGGCGCTTCCAGCGAGGACGTTGCCCGGACATGCCACGCCCACCCTACTCTCTCTGAGGCCTTCAAGGAGGCTGCCATGGCCACCTACTCCAAGCCCATCCACTTCTAGACGTTGACGCTGCTGTGATTCCGATATACTCCCCCCCACCCCCCCCTGTGTACTACTTTTGTTGGACTTTTAGTCTAGCTTCGCTAGCAAACTACATGTAGCATTTCATGTACTCTTTTTTTCCCCTACTCCCAAAATTATAGATATCAATCTTTGCGCCTTTGGTTACTTCCAAAATAGCGTTGGGCTGCGGAAGGGTACAATGGCCTAAGCTCACTTTCTAATACCAGTAGGACTTGCACCATGCTTGTCTTATAGTTTGCACCTCATTCTGACCGTCCTACATTGACAGTGTACAAGAACAGTCTTCAACACAGTCACTCAAACAGTCACCTAATATCACCGCTACTGACCCTGTGAGATCCTTTCTACCCTCGACGTTGACTCAGCCATCGTCGGAAAGCAGAGCGTAAATATACCATAAGAAAGAACTTGAAGCTGTGGTCCCTCCGTAATTGGCCGCTCATTCGTCCAGGTTGATCGTCGACCCCCCTGCGGTGCAGCTGCACTTTGCGCATATCAAAAAAGAAAAGGCTCCAGGAGTAGCAAATGGATAAGTCAGAAAAAGAAGTTTCAAAAAAAATCTCCGATAGGGGGAATCGAACCCCCGGCTGCCGTGTGAGAGACGGCGATGTTAGCCACTACACCATATCGGACCACTACGGTGAAACTTATTCGGGTTTAACTTATATTTACTGGGTTTAGCCCCATGTGCCCCTACGCACGTCCTCGCGTACCTGTATCACTTCGCGCCCTTCTTCCCCTTTCCATCCAACAGCCCCCAAAATCCGTTGTCTTTTGTTACCTTTTCATCCCTGCTCTTGCAGCTGTTCTACGCGCCCTCTTCGCCAATCGATTCCACAGCCCCCAGATTTCTTTGTCTTCCTTTCCCTGCTCAGTGCAGTGAGGCATTTTTGCTATTGATCGGGATTGTTGCAAGCTCCGCCACCTCCTTTCACCAACATCCAGCGCTTCGCTCACTTCTTGTGCAAAGTGCCTTGCTGGGGTGTCCGGCATCTGCTCGCCCATCCAAGGCGCTGAGCTGAGTCCTGCATGATTTGTTGCCTATGTTTGCTTTACGTCGTTGTTGGTTTCAGACTCCTGTGCAGTGAAAACATGACATAGACTCAACTTCAATTTCTCTGAATGGAAACGCGCGAGAACCAAATGTGACATGCCCAATGGAAAAATACATATCATCAAGCCAGCGAACGAAGCCCATATCTTTCTTCAAATTCTGATCCTCGACTTCCTTGTTCGTCAGCTTTCGCTCAATTTGTGGTGAAATACTGTGACTATGGTGACTTTAAATCACCAAAGCTTTTAGCAGCCGACCAGGCAAGCTCCCAGAGATTGTCCGAATAATGTTTCTGAGACTTGCAACTCCGGAATGCCAGAACAATCCATAGCCATCGGAGAACGATACAAGGCAAATGGCGAAGGCCTCTTGGGCCAAGACCACTCCTACTATAGTAGTGCGAGGCTTTTATAGATATTGAGATCGAGCCGGACCAAAAAACGGCAATAGTGTAAGCAGAAAGCATATAATCTGACACCAAAATCACTATATACTCAGATGCCTCTAGAAGGCAGGGGCATCTAGGAGCCACCGTGGTCGTGCTAAGTGACAACTATAAAGTAATAGAATCACAGCAGATCTAAGTGGGACTAATAGAGCAGTAGTCAGTTCACATAGTGTTGGTATCACCAGCTAGGTACTGTGTACACAGTTAAGTGGACAGTGTGTATGCTCCAAAGCAAAGTCAATTGATTCTTGTTGATAGATGTGTGTGTAGATTCAGTCTAGTTGGAAAAACACCCCTAGATCCCACACGCCGGCCTTCGGCGGTCACAACACCGAGGCCACAGCCCAGCGCAAGAATGCGTACACCAAGCAAGGGATGTTATCCATCGGTCGCTAGCAGTGGGTCACAGACAGTTTGTTCTGACAGGAGAATATATCCCGACAGAATCCAACTCGCTGAGCGACGTGCAGGCTACCACAACTATGTCTTCTTGTATGTGCAGGAGGGAACAGGGGAACAGATACACCGCTACAGTCTGCTTGGTTGAGCTAGATACAATCCTGTTGTCACGCTTATTCGGAATTCCAATATCTACCCTCACACGAAGCCTAACCCCATACCAATAAGCATAAGCCCTGATTTCACCTGACTCAAGATCTCCGACACCCGTGGGATATTAGAGTTAAGAATCCGAAGAGCATTAATTATCCTGTTCAACCCAATTTATTTTAGCTCCGTACGTAGACTGTAATTGAGTAGTACGGACCACACTCACCTTGGCTGTTTTGGCAGAGTTCCAGCGCCTTCATGGCGGCCACCAATTCCTGTCTATCTCTAGCAACAGTTGCGAGAGCTGCGGAGGTTGGACTGCTCTGATAAACTGATATATCAGTCTCCAGTTTTTTCGAAGCAGCAACATAATTAGCCTGAGCAGCATCACAGCCGCTATCTTGTCGCACAGTTATCCCATTCGGTAAGATACCATGATTTGGGAGAGCTGTAGTGGCAGTAGCAGCAAATAGAGAAGTAAAAATAAAGAGGAAAAAATGCATCTTGATAGCGGGAAGAGTCCTAATCTTTATAGGCGGTCTAACGGTATAACTTCGAAGTAGTAAAAGATGCAACAGTAAGAATGAACAGAGTGGGAATGCAGGTTTTATACTTTATCTTCCTCTCACCATATTTTCCCCCTTACAGAATAACACTTGAAAACAGCAGAATGATCGACAACGGCATAATTTCCAAATACATAGCGAGTTTTTCTGCACGAGTAGCTGCGGTATTCCTCTAGTTCGCCTAGAATGGTAAGGATATCTTTTCAGGAAGCAGATCAGGCCGACAGTAACAGGTGGGTCGGGCCACACCTGACCGGAAGATCTATTTTCCAGGTGTAGAGCATAGATTAGTAATCTATTATTATTGGTCAGGTCAAATACCAACTTCTTGGCAATACCAACCCTTTCAATCTCCACACCCCTCCTCCTCTCCACCAATCGTGAGCCCTCCCAACTCCCCGCCTATTTTCATCAAGAACAAATTATTAATCTATTATTGTCGAATCCTAACTAGTTACACCGTACAGGTCCCTGAGTCAAGATGGTGCGTTTCCTGGAGTCCCACGCCCCATACAAGCAATACGTGGCGGATGCGAAGGCCGGTATGCTAGAACTACCCGCGTATGAGAAGGTGAGTGGAAACATCTCTGAGTGGGGTTTCTGATTGTCCTGGGCATTGAAATATATATTGAATGCGCCATCTGTGCTTCTAAAAAATCCTAATAGTGACCTTGAATATATGACTAATATGCATTTCTAGGATGATGATGGTAGCGTTATTGTCCTTCCTGGAGAGCTTTTCTGTCGATTCGAGGATTGCGATCACCAGGTATGCTATATGATCTTAAAATATTCTGAATCTATTACTAATGTATTATCAGAAGCAGTATTCTCACACTGGCAACCTCAAGACGCACCTCACCGGTCATGAAGGCGTGACGGTCTCTGGTAAGTACGCTAGTAAGGGCCGCCACGCTATCAAGGAGATGGACGAGGTCAAGGGTATTAACACATTCCTAATTTATTCTTGTTATACTACTAATATATGATTTTAGCTTGGTACACTGCTCTTGTTGCCCGTATCTCTACGAAGCCGCGACTTCCCTTCACGAAGGGTAAAGGCAAGAATCGGAAGGTAAGTTATCTCTGATTTATTGAGAACAGATTGCTAATATATTATAGATTTCTGTTAAAGCCGTGAGGGATTTCCTCGCCACTAAGCATATACACGATGACTGCAACGCCTGTATCACTGCTAATATCAGTAAGCGATTCTTAATATATCCTTAATGCATTGCTAATATATCATAATAGAATGCGGTACTGCCCCATTCACCTGCGAGTATCTTACTCGCTTTTGGGATGTGGACGCAGACTTTGAGCGTCTCGAGGAGGAAGCATAAATTTACAATTATTCTTAATTCCTTGACCAAAATTGTTAGAGTTAATAGAAGTGGGCATATTTTAACCTACCTACGCTTTACCTGTCTATCTATCTCATCTAATTCTTGCTGCCGTTTACGATTAGCAAGCTGCTTTTCGAGCAATTGTGCCTTTAAGTCCTCCTCTCGGAGCTGATGTTCAAGCTTTTGGATAGCAAGACTATCATGCTCTTGTCGTAAATTGTCAGAGGCAACCCGTTGTAGGCTTTGAGCTCTGTAATATATTAATAAAATATTCTTAAAACATCATAGAGTACTAACCTTGGTGTAGGTGTTCTTGTTCGGCGAGGAGTAGCGGTAGGGGATCTAGTACTAGATCTCCTTGGTACACTAGCTGAACGTCGAGAAATTGGTACACCTGAGGTCGTATACCGTACACTTGTCTCATCAGATGCGAAGAACTCATCTATGTTCGATGAGCTCTCAAGCTGATTGAGTTCCTCTTCTAGTAGCCTCTCCTGGCGCCTTTTTTGCTCTATAGAAATGATTAATAATGTATTGTATATATTCTTCGTATCAACTTACCCTTTGCTAGGTGACGATCGAATGCTGCATGAATACCATTCATCCGATACCTTTGTCGAATTCCGGTTACTTGACGAATAGAATAAGCTTGCATGCGGGTCTTATCATGGGCAAAAGAACTAGAAATATTGTATTAATATACTATTAATATATTACGACGAAGTTAATAAGAACTTACTTCAAAACCCCTTGTAGTAGTGAAAGCTGAACACCAGTACTATTGATCATATGGTGCGATTGCTCCACTGCATTTGTGTTCTTTCGAAGTCCTTCGAAAATCACATCAGGTATCTGACTCCAAGCTTTATTCAAAGCTGCCGCAACGTAAGGCAGTTTTTTATGGCGAGCCCATTGCTGAATGACAACGGATGATTCATGCTCTAATAATAAATTAATAACCTATTAAGAACCGATTAGAGTATACTTACCGATTATCCAGTCTAAAGCTTGAATATACTCCTCTCGATTCGGAATATCGATCACTGCTCGCATCCTTTCCCTACATCCAGGAGCGACCTGTTGCCCACGAAGTGCTCTATCAATACCCCTGTAGAAGTGGGCTCTACAGAAGACAACGAAGTGTTGGATAAGATCATCAGGCGATACTTGAAGAGTACTCTTATCAGCGAGAAAGTCTCTAAGACCTATAACGTATTAGTAATATATTAATAGTATATGATCTATTTCTCACCTCCGTATTGCTTTGTATCCATATCCAGAACGACAGCATGTAGCCCTGTACGATGGATTGGATAAAAGTAGAACTGGCGACTAAGCACACGCTCTATGCACTCAAAAAGCCGAGTAAATAGGAGATAATAGGTTGAATGGGTCTCGGAAACGACAATCACACGTGCTAGTGTAAAAACTAGAAGAACATTGTATTAATAAAGAACTATTAATATATTAGGGTAATATTTACCTCGGTCTTGCTCAGGTATATATTTTGAAAATGTAACCTCTCGCATTGACCTTTCTTTGAATCGTTTAAAAGACATGTCAATCTCTACCGATTCAGATTGGATGAAAAGCTCAGCCATGTCTGATGTGAAGCAAATAACCATAAGGTCAGGGTCTTGATAGATATGCTGAACGTAGTCCTACAAAAAGGTTAATTATAATATATTCTCATTATATCACGACCTATTATCTTCATACCTTTAAAGGAGGATCCTTTTCCATCTCAAAGATCAAACAATTGATATCCTGTCCATGAGGAAATCGTAGGAGTCTCTCCTTTCGAATGAGTGTGCTGATCCGGTCTAAATTAGCAAAGCTTTCATGGACATTGAGCAGCGACTCGCTATTATTGTATCGCTTGCATAGACCCCGAAGCTCAGGGCTAACGAGAAAACGTCCTAGGATAAAACATTATTAATATTTCTTTAATATATTCCTAACATATTAGAAAGAACTTTACCTGTTGTTAATGCAGGATTGTTCTGTAGGCGGATTATTCGTACTAAGTCTATAATTGCGGGTGGAGGCTTCGATGGAGGTGGCGGAGGGTGCATATGAATCCCGGTTGAGGTAAAAACCCAAAATGGATTGGACGTGAGGTCGATTGGAATAAACCAATGGAACTCAACGGAGCATTTGTGCCTTTTAATTTTACCAAGCCCACGTGTATGGTCAAATTCTATAATATAGTAATTAATAATATGTTCTTAATGTATTAAAGATATATTCCTTACCACAATAGTCTCCACGATGACGATTTGTGTCGATATAACCACAGGTTTGAATTTCTCCCTGGACCTCTCCATCAAGGATTCGCCTAAGCAATTCCCTGTCGATACCAGAGTCAGGGCGCACACATGATGCAAAATGAGACCTTGGACTTTCATATGAATTAGAGCAATAGATATAAAAGTCAGATCCACCAATAACACTCTGATATATAAATAACAGGTTAGAAATATTTTAAGAATATATTAGTAGTATATTACTTACATCCTGAACCCATCGACCGCGCGGCGAACAAGTATCCTTCCAAGATCCACATGAAGTGCGATTGATCTTGAATTGGCGCATCGTAGATTGGTACAACCTATATGTTGCTGGTTGTAGAGGGTTTTGGGTATCACTGAATGCGATATGTTGGCGAAGCTCTTTGATTCGCTGCCAAATACCCTCAGTAACATGCGAATGCACCATTTGCTTGAGCTCAGGATCTGTAAATTCACACATTTTTATGCCTGTACATCTGTAGAGGCTGTGTAGAAAAGCGACCCTTTCTCCAAAGATAGAATCATGCTGGTTACGTCTGTTTCGATAGGCTTGTTTTGACGAGTATTGCACCTAATATATTATTAACATATTATCAATATATTAATGGGATATTAATATACTCCTTCAATTGACTGCTCCACTGCGAACAATGACCGATCAGGCACATTGATCACATATGTGAAGCCATCCGGGTCTGTCCGGGGATATTCAGGTAGCGCTGAAGTATATTCGATAAAGCGTGTTCGAATCGGCGAGCGCTTGTCGTGTAAGATAGTCCGTAGGAATTCCTAAAGACACAATATATTATTAATGTATACTTAAATATTGAGAATATATTATCGTCATACCGGAGGTTCATCTAGAGCATATGTAGGTCCAGGGGTCCCTTGAACAGTAGCAGGAACTGCACTCTCCTCACTATTAAGCTGCCGCTGAAGCTCCTGCTGAAGCTCCTGCTCAAGGGATTCACCGATATCTTGGTCGTCCTCTAAAAAGGCTGCCATACTGGGTGTGGGTGCAAACACTAGAATGAGATGAAGGAGAACTACCCCGCCTGACCCATGGTTCAGTGCGAGTGAATAATACATCAGTAATTTATTAAATGTATTCGCCAGAAATAAATTACAGGTGCCAAGAAATTAGGTGTGGCCTGGACTTATCGGGCTTATCAGGTGTGGCCTGACCCACCCGCAGGTGTTCAGGTCACATATACACTCATATCTTTTTCGTTCGTAATTCCCAAGCTAACTTAGTAAGCAAGGAGGATGCTAAAACCTTAAATGCGTATCTGGCCCCCCCCTCCCAACCCCCTTTTCCTTCAAACACCCATGTTTATGCCACCAAAACGCGCTCAAAAACTATTTGTGCATGATCAAATGATAGTTCATTGTCTTAATGCAGTACCGCGTAACCAACCAGTCGGTTTATCCACTAAAACCAAACACAATCCGACTTGCGTTGTGAAACCCGCATTAAACTTTAGTAACTAGCTGATCATCCGCAAGCCTCTATCACAATCCAGCCACGTATTCATCAGCTGCTTGGGAATATGTCTCATAAGTTCCATTAAATCTACCTACCTCCCTCTAGCATATCCCGGTCCCTCCCTGGTAGTAGGATGACCTAATTCGCATGGTGAGATCGGAACTCAAAAGTGACGAGGGGAGGAAGAAAATCTGCGTTTCACCATCGCTATCGCAGCTTTGTGTAACCGGTTCGGCAGCTGCAGCTGCACTTAGACAATATTAGCGCACAGATTGCATGGTAATTCAATATATCTTCTATGCAGCAAAAGTGCTTATGGAGGTGTGACCTATAGATTTATTAATTCTTATTCACGACATTGCCATTCTAGTATCTTGGCGAGGATCAAGTTTTGATTTTCTAAATGATTTGCTTTGGGGAGAGATTGCCGGCCGCATAGGAATCTAAGTGGAAATCATAATGCAGATGAGGTCTAGCCATGATCTGGAGCTAGAAGAAGGTAAGCAAAATGATACAATCAGATCTGTTGCTAATTTCGCTCAAAGATTGCGGAACGTCGAAGCTTGAACGTAAGTTTGCGGGGTTGGTGCCCAATCCAACACTGGAACCTCTACTTCATGTCAATCAAGGATTGATGCGATTCTTACCCTCCAGTCGCCTTACTGCAGAAGAGGCACTTGATATGCTGGGCAACCTTCAAGAATAATGGATAAATTCAAACAAATAGATCTTCCGGCTACCGTGAAGTAGAGCCGCGTCATCTAATACGGCAAATACATCGAACTCATACAGAAAACGCCAACACGTTTTTCTACCCATTTCAAGAACAGGTATCTCTTTCTTCATGTTCTCAACCCAGTCACGAATATTCTCTACAAAACTCCGGGCAATTCCGGGCTTGATCCCTTTACCGACGAAGAATTCTAGGATTTGATCCTTGTAGATGTGTTCGAGTACAAAGCTCGTCGGAATGCAGCGTTGAGGGTATCATCATTTATATTTGATGCAAGCCACTCACCGTATTCTTTGGCAGCTACGTCTTTGAACCCGGGAATATTCAATAAGTTCATACCTTTCAGGGACTTAGGACGGGAGGACCAATACAAGCATTGCCCGTATCCTGGTGCCGTGTAGGCTCCAAGGTTGTACAGAGCTGCAATTTGGTCAATTATCGCTGCAAGGACTTGACTGCTTTGCCGCTACACGCTGCTAGGTGGGGCTTTGCTCATAATGGAGAAGATGATCATCTCTAATAATACCTAAGCTCAGTGGGGGGCTGCGGGAGTGGAACCTCGTGCGACCCTGCCCCCTCGTTCAATTTGAATACTTTCCTGGGAACTCCCAGTCACACTCAAAACTGAAAAATGAACGCCATTTCGAATGTTTCTGCCGAGATACTTTATACCCTTCTTCATTTTTTCGGCACTGACCCTATTCGAAAACATGAGCCCTGCTGTTTACTAGTACCCAAATGGTGGTGCAAGCTTGCAGAGCCTGCTTTGCTTGAAGGTCTGGCTCTCAATGCCAATCAACTTCCTGAAAAGGCAGCTGAATGATTGGAACAGTTTCCAAAGTGGCTTATTAGGTACAACCATCATACCTAGCATGACGTTAAGATGGTCCATGTTACTAGATACCGAGAATTAAACAGCCCTTGCGAGTTCTGTGATGTTAGGACGAGCATGCTTGCTCGCGGGCCAATGGGACGAGGTAGAGGAGCTCCTTGTACAGGTCCTGGAGACTCACAAGCCGCAGCTTGGCGTGGATCAACCCCACACGCTGACGAGCATGGCCAATCTCGCTTTCATTTGGAGATCTTCAGGTCGTAGAACCCGAGCCCTCGATTTACTACGAGATTGCCTGGCCAAGCAGAAGAAAATACTGGGGCTGAATGACCACCAGACCTAATAATTCTGAATCCTTGTTGGAATGGGAAACAGAGAAGTTGAGTATTGATACGTAGACGAGCCATATATTTGACTACCGTATTTTATTTCGCAGCAGGCTCTGCTTCATAGTGCAATTTGCTAATATATGTACCCGAAGAATATGCTTGTTGTATCTGGTGCCAGGATCGTATGGATTGATTTCTATGTTGGGACAACTTTTCGCAATATAGGTCCCCGTGAGAGAGCATATCGATTTGAGGATCTCAAAGGACAAGCAAACTGGCATAAAACTGGATCACGATAGGGATATCATACTGCACATACAACCTGGCTTATGCTCCTTACTGCACACGCCTCGCTTTCTAGAATCACGGCTACTCATACTTTCTCAATTGTTATACCTGCATGTCGAAAATGGCCCTCCGCATTTTCCTGCTTTGCTCCAACATCATGGACGCACCGCCAAAGGAAGGTATGAAAACTTTCGTCGGGGTGCTTTTCATAACTTGGCCAAGATTTCTTGATGTAAGCTTTCAGCTCAGCAAAAACCTCCTCAATAGGGCTGAAATCTGGAGAGTAAGGCGGCAGGTACAGTAGTCTAACCCCCGCATTAGAGCACAACTACTTAACTTGGTCCGATTCCGAGAATACGGAATCCGTTGAACCTTTAAAAATACGCGATAAAAGGACACCATCTTAAGTGTATGCTGGCAGTATCTGATAACGTTGGCCCCGATGAAATTTAGACACTTACACCGGTGTTACGCCTAGTGGTGACTAACTGTCCGCCTATGGCCTACCCGCTTATCATATCCGGATTCATCAACGAGAATAAGGTGGTACTAACGAAACTCGGATAGTGTGTAGTGGTATAAATCTCGTAGTTGAGGGTTCTATTCTTTAGCTTTCGGCCAGACGAGCCCGTTGGATACTGGATAGCGACGGTAACATGTTGAACTCGTCCCATAGGAACTTAGCCATTTATTCGATATAAAGGCCGGGTTTTTCAGCGAGGTGGTCACAAAGGGCGTCCAGCATCACAGGAGTTATGCTTGGTGGGGGGCCGGGAGGAATTATGGGAGAGTTGGGACTGCCGAACAACCGCATATTCTTGCGTATGTGACTGTAGTGATAGAACGCTCGCTACACTTTACCAGTTTGGCCATTTGTGATGTAGTCAGTTGTGTCTTGCTGCTTATCATATATACAATCATTTTACGCTACCAGGGATTCAGGTTTCGCGCCATCTTGCAACGATTTAGGGGATTAATGGTTGCTGAGTAGGGAGGGACGATTGTGATGGGACGACACCACGGGTGGTTATTTTTGGATCAGTAATAATACATAATGTCGAGGATAGTGGGGTAGCACCCGAAATAGTTTAGTTCCGTTTGTGTCGTGATATCTTCATTTGTACTAGGGGATTCTCGACACTCCGAGAATCGAGAGTTTCAACCCCCCTCACCCTACTCCTGTAAGCAAGGACACCCTAACGTGTCTTCGCAGCATCCGCTCTTTTCTTCTTTCAGTTAATTCATCTATCTTTTTGGATTGGTTCCCCTTGGTAGATTAGCCCCATTCTTGCATACAATGCCATACTGTATCAGCTAGCTGCGACAGATATACACGTTTGGTCTTAACCATACCAGCCACTAAACTTACACGATGACCTAATGAAATATTTAGAAATGATCCTGTATTTAGTTATGAATAGTATATTTCTTATATTTTGTCGCTTTAAATTTAGGGTAGGACTCCAGGGACCCCCCCTCTAGCTAGAGAGACCCCCCCTTTTACTCCTCGGACTCCCCCAGGGATAGGGGGACCCCCCATGCCTGAATTATAAGACAGACATTCATATTTCGGTTTAGCGTAAGGCAGTAAGGTTTGTATCACATGATACATAACCCCTCAAAAAATTCTTGGAGATTTTCTGCCAGATCTCTAGTCACATGACTAATTATTCTGCCGCTTTCTGCCATTCTGGTCTCTACAGCCTACCATTCTGGTTCAGCCAATCAGACGCCACCATTTCTCACTCGTACAAGTTGCTTAAATTCGTCAATATACAGCTATCTAATGCATGATTCTTTGGCTGTGATTCAGGCGCTTGATGCATTAGACGCCTCAGATACGTCAGATATAGCTGCCTGGCTGCCACGGGCTCGGCCACGCCCACGAGGTCCTCCGTCATTGCCCCCACGGCCACGGCCACGGCCACGAGTATCTCCGGTATTGCCTCCACTGCCACGTGTACGGCGTCTTCCACGACTGCGGCCAGTCGCCTCTGCTATAATATGCTCAAATACCGACGGCTCGCGTTGGGTAGATCGCTCGAAAGGGGTCAGGGGCTCATCATCAGGAATCTGCGTAGACGGGACTTGTATCTGTGCCGATGGAACCTGGATACCTACAGGATCAGGCTGGGTGGCTGGTTCCTGGGGTCGGATGTTATTCCTCGCACCACGCGGGCGTCCACGACGGTGGATAGGGCGAGGATCCTGGATCAGGAGCAATGGGTTAATAGGTGGAGCATCACCTAGCTGGTAAAGATGCCACTGCTGATGGTAAAGAGAGGGAGATAGCTGTCGGTTCTCATCAAGATGTTTCTTAATGATATGGATACAGGGATACCCCGCGGTATCCTTTGATTTGCAGTCGCAAAGGGCGGGAATCCGAGGCTTCTTCTCTGCCGGTGGGAGATATTGGTTATGAATCTGACGAGTGTAGTAAATTGCCTTCTCCGAGATGCGGTTGATGAGAAGTCGGTAGAGATGAGGCATAGCCGTTGGTCGGTGAATTCTCTCGCGGGCGATTTGTGCCTGATGCTTCGTGTACTGGTCCTTAACTACTATCTCAAAGTTAGTTAGGACAGAGAGAAGATGCTTAGTGGACACAAGGAGGTCCTGTTTGAGTAGCCAGTGGGATCCTTCTGCACGAGAGGTCGCGCATTCACCAAGATGGAGATAGCGACGGGTGTGGTAGCGGAGGAAAGCCTCTGGGCAATCGTCAATCCACTCAGTCTTGATATAAGCAATGAGGTCGGTAAAGATCGGGGCATTGTAGAGCTCCTGGAATCGTGCCCATGCTGTATCGAATGTATCCTTCGTCTCTGCGCAGACCGTCCGGCTCCAGCGCTTCAGCATCTTGTTCCATCCCTCATCAAGCACCTTCTTCATCGCATCATCAATCTCTTTCTTAGTAGCATTAGTAGTCAATGACAATGTTGACCCATCAGGAAGCGGGATAGATCCATTAGGACCCGGGATACCGTCTCTGCGGGCAGTGGCGATTTGGTCTCGGAGGAGAGGTAGGGCTTTCTTCATCAAATTCATGTTGATATGCCAGAGGCAGATAATCGTGTGGGTATCAGGAAAGACCTCATGAATCGCGTTAATCAACCCATCTTCCTTGTCGGTGAGAATCGTGCGAGGATATGGAATCTGAAGCTCATCGTAGACATCTGCTAGATAGTCAAGGGCGATCTCGTATGTAGGCTGCTGCTCATTCTGCAGGAAAGCAAATCCAAGGAAGGCAGAGGTGCTAAGTGCAGTGAAGCCCACGATATCGAGGAGAGGGAGGCCATATTGATTGGTCTTGCACGTACAGTCCATGGAGATAACGAAGGAGTGACGCTTTAGCATCTCGATGGAGTTCCGATGTATTGCAAAAAGCACAACAACATGATTATCCTGGTCTAAAGAGTATCTAGATGATCGATGTTAGCAATAGAAATGAACAGTATCGTAATAGAAGTGAATAGTATACCTGAAACGCCATTCTCCGTCGGTCGGAAGTTCCATAAGTAGGGCTTGAATCGGCGTCTGGCCAGCTAAGAACTCGTCATTCATCCTCATACGGGCATTATTGATGTCTTTTGGCAAGAGACATGTGCGTTTATCCTCCGCTCTTAAGAGCCTGAGGATCTGCCTGGTCGGCAGATTCTGCTTAAACCAGTTCTGTAGCTGCTCTCGCTTTTGAGCTAACTCGTGCTTGCGATGGGCGACATGGGTAGTGGCAGGGGATGGCTTATGGTTGTGCTTGTCGCTAGTAATTGTGAGAATCCACTTCTCATCATCCTGTAGGCGAAGAGAGATATCGAATGGACAATCAATCGCTAGTGAATGGGTCTTCCGCTTCTTAGATCGGCCTGAAGCTACTGGTGCCTGCTCGGGCTGCTCTGGTGCCTCCTTAGGGTGCTCTAATGCCTGACCTCCGCGGTCGCACTGGAGCTGTACCTTCTTAAGCCTTGGTACTTGTCCCTTAGTCTTCTTGCTCCGCCGCTTAACCACCGCGAAGCCATTGTTGAAGCCGAGCTGATTGATGGCCTCGATTCCTTCCTCTGGTGTGTTGTATCGTCGATCAAGTGGTGGGAGTGGTAGGGTTATGCGGAAAGTAGCAGGGTCTTCGTCGGTATCTTCGGACACGATGCCAGCGACCTCGGGCATGATATCGATGCTAGAGTACTCGGTGGGGTTCGGATCTTCGGTAGGGCTTGGCTCTTCAGCGAATAGGAGGTCTTCGGTGGCTAGAGGATCTGCAAATTATGAGCGAATATGATTTCAACAGGTGGGTCGATGCGGGTAGCCATACCAGGGCTATCCGCTGTATCTGACGAGAGATACAGCTCCAGGCCTAAGCCTGCCATATTGGGCGATGATTTGACGATAATCTGGTGATAAATTTGGCGTGTGGGGGTGTTGGAGATAGAGAGAGAGGGTTATGAAGAGAAGATAGAGAGGAATAACGTAGTTCCCAAGCGAGTGACGCACCCCACCAAAAATGGCGTCCTGACGCGTACCCACTATTTTCAACCACCCACCATGCCACCAAAACACGCTCAATCAAGCCAGGATTCGGATAATCGTGAGGGCAGGATTTTATTAGCCATTCAGGCTCTTTAAAAAGGACAATTTCCTAGTCTTCGCGCTGCAGCCAAGACATACGGCGTATCTGAGGCTACAATCCGCCGCCGACGTGCGGGCCAGACTTCTCGCGCGAATACACGCGCTAATAGTCATAAATTGACTGGACTTGAAGAAGAATCGCTTGTACAGTGGATACTCTCAATGGATTCACGCGGTGCAGCGCCTAGGCCCTCAACTGTGAGAGAAATAGCGAATATTCTACTTGCCGACCGCGGAAACACCCCCTCACCAACAGTTGGAAAAAACTGGGCATCAAATTTTATCAATCGCCAAAAAGAGCTTCGAACATGCTTCTCAAGACGCTATGACTATCAACGTGCTCAAAACGAGGACCCGAAGGTCTTACGTGAGTGGTTTAAAACCGTTCAAAATGTGATCAATATGAACGGCATCCAATCAGATGATATCTACAACTTTGATGAGACTGGATTCGCGATGGGCCTTATTTCAGCACAAAAGGTGGTTACTCGAGCCGAGTACTATGGTCGTCGGGCAGTTCTACAGCCAGGAAATCGTGAATGGGTGACTACAATCGAGTCAATCAGTGCAGCAGGTTTTGCTCTTCCACCATGTATAATCTTCAAAGCCAAAAACCACAACGTCGGTTGGCTTGATGGCCTTCCAAAAGATTGGCGATTTGAAGTTTCACCTAATGGCTGGACTTCAGATGAGATTAGCGTCCGATGGCTTCAAAATCTATTCATCCCATTCACCTCAAGTCGGATGAAAGGAAAGCATCGCCTTCTGATTCTTGATGGCCATGGTAGCCATCTCACGCCTCAATTCGACCGAATTTGCGCTGAAAACTCAATTATCCCACTCTGCATGCCAGCACATTCATCCAATCTTCTTCAACCTCTAGATATTGGATGTTTTGCTGTTCTTAAGCGTGCCTATAGTCGTCTGATTACCAACCAGCACGGCTAGGATTTAACCATATTGATAAGCTAGATTTCCTAGCAGAATATCCTCAGGCACGAGAAGAGACCTTTAAACTAGAGACTATTCAACATAGTTTCACAGCAGCAGGTCTAGTTCCACTAGATCCTGAACGGGTGCTTTCAAAACTGAATATTTCTCTCCGAACACCTACACCACCACCTAGCCGCCCAAGCAGCCGATCGGGCCAATTCAGTCCGAAAACGCCAAAAACAGTCAAACAAGTACAAAGACAGTTTTCTTCACTCAAAAAACTACTTAGAAAACGATCAAGAAGCCCTCCTTCCCCATCAAAGATTATCCTAGATCAGATTATCAAGGGTTACTGTGTCTCAATGCACACCAATGTGCTACAAGCGCAGGAAATTGCTGATTTACGGGCTGCGAATGAGAAGAAACGGCAAAAGCGAGCAAGAACGAATTGTCTCGTTCGATGCGAACAGGGTATTACAGTTGGAGAGGGCTTGCGACTACCAGTGCAGCCAGTGCAGCCAGTGGAACCTGTTGAACAGCATCCGCCCGCACCGGTTGAATCACCTATTTTGCCACCCCCACCAGCCAAACGTGCACCGCGGAGATGTAGCGGCTGCAATAGTATTGGCCATTCAATTACTCGGTGCCCTAGTCTATAGTTTTTGAATTTAATAGTGTTTTTAGTAGTCTAATATCATTCTGGTGGATGTCCCGGTCGTCAATGACCGATATTGGGTCTTTCCCTTCTACGACGCGTATGTGAGAATCTTGAAGCGATTCCTTTAAAGACTCTAGCACGATCGGGTAAGATGTCGTGAGGTGAGACACTATATTATATGCATGGTTCGATCCTTCCTCCTCTTTATCGGCAAGGAAAAATGAAGGGGTAGGCGGTGTGCGTCACTCGCTTGGGTGCGTCACTCGCTTGGGAACTACGTTAAAGAGATGATAGTATTATTAAAGGTAGGCGGTGACGAGGTTGTGGAAGCGGTGTGAGGACGGTGAAGGCGGAGAAGGGGGGGGTCTCTCTAGTAAATTTTTGCCTAAGGATTTTTGCCTCACTGCCTTACGCTAAACCGAAATAGGAATGTCTGTCTTATACTTCAGGCATGAGGGGTCCCCCTAGCCCTGGGGGAGTCCGAGGAGTAAAAGGGGGGTCCCTGGAGTCCTACCCTATCTAAAATGGGGTTCTCTACCAAAGCTTCAAAATTTCCGATGCTCGATAGTCAATATGATTCTAAGCAAATCTTTGGACGGATACTGCGTTGGGAGGGAGCTTCGTCACATAGCCAAATGTTTTGGCGCGAGGGCGCCAGTGAATACAATCGCCCACGATCTTCTGACCGATTGTCTAACATGGATCTCATATAACAAAAACACCCAATGGGTACCCAATGGGTTGAATGGGTATGGAAAATCGATGTCGATATTCATACTTCTAAATGTTTTGATTCTGAGAGTTTCGACTTAGAACACCTATATGGGATATCGCAGGGAATCAGCGAGTCGCTCTTTGATCGCTGGCTCGAGCATGGCGTTTTTATCGAAGATTGGAATACGCATAATGAGTTGGTCAATAACTTGACGGCAGAATTAGAGGTAGTGCGGGAGCTTTATTTTGATGACAGGATCTAGGAGGTATCGATGGGAGTTTACCCGAATTCTGCTGTGGAAGACGCATTTGAATTGGAACTACGGGAGAATGACGTTCACGACATTATTGAAAGACATGTGGTGTATATTGGGCCTCGAAACATCCTCTACTCAAGGCGAGGTCTCAAATTGATCCATCATAGCCTGTACTTCCCTTCCTGGAGTTATTTCAGATGATATACTAGAAATCAGAAACAAAAGAACCACCATCCTCTAAGAGCTCCTGGAAACACTCGGTCTTCCCAATTTTCCCAAAGACAGAAACAGTGTAGTGCGTAACTAAATTTCTCGAGGTATCCATTAGATCCCCGCAATTGGGAGTGACGCACACCTGGAAGGGTTGCGGAGGGGTGTGGGTCACTTCAGAAGGTCGGCCGACCGGCCCCTGAAGGATAGTGATTGTTAACTGATCGACTGGTTGTTCTGTGCATCCAGTGAATTATCATTGGTCAATGACCTTGCTCGCGTTGTTTGAGAAGTTTGCAAGACATCTCGACTTTGACTCAAAAGACACCGACCTCCTTTCTTTGTCTCCATTTCCTCGCCGCAACGCTGCCTTCGAGCACATCTCCAACATGTTGACGAGCATTTATCATTACGGTTCCGCTTTAACTTCAGCTTTGCGATATCATATGTATCATCTTATTCTCTTCAAATTACCTTCGCTTTTTAGAATTCGCTTTTTAGAATTCGTCTCCCAAGTCGTGAGAAGCCAGTTAATGTTGAGTGCTGTATAGGCCCCGGGAATTGGAAACAACCCCCCTATTATCTTCTATAAGTGCTTAATTCCGCTCAGTGTTACTTGGCAACCCTTACCGCAGTGAGGGGAGGGGGTTTGAGAAAAATCTGTGATGGTTGCAGGCAACAAGGGATTTCGCCCCCTGGAGGCGATTATGCCGAGGTGCGAAGTATAAAAGGCTAAAGTGCGCACCGAAAACAGCAGGCCTACCTTCCCGCTTGCAGCATGATCGCCAGTCCCGTTGGCGCGGGTTTGATCGATTTGGTTGAGTCGCTAAGACGTTCTCGAGGATCAAAGACCAAGTCTGTTTCCGGCCAGGGTGAGTTCATCGCAACCTTAAAGAGGCCAGTTCGCCCCATGTTTCATATCCCTTAACTCTCTTTTCGAACCTGGAAAATAATTTTAAGCGACAGTTCCTTGACCAGTTGCTTGCTAAAAGACATGGAAATTCTGATCCCGACATCAGAAAATCCAGGGAGTTCAGAAGAACAATGGAGCGCGATCGACTTCCATCGGGTCGGAGACAAACTTGGTGTCCAATCCGTGAGAACGTCCTAGCGACTCAACCAAATCGATAAAATCCGCGCCAACGGGGTTGGTGATTATGTTGCACTGCCTCAGCTAGTGGTGTGTGGTGATCAGTTTGCTGGCAAATGCTCCGTGTTGGACGGAATTAGCGGAATCGTTTCCCCAGACAAGATAGGTTGTGTACCCGATTCGCTACGGAAATTGTCCTGAGACATGCTCTGCAAACGTATAGTATGACTGATGATAACCCTTCATTTGACGCGAGACAATGAGGAAAATGACGCTTAGGCTCCTGAATGGAACTCTGTGGATTCACTGAGCTTCCCGGGATCATTGAAGCCGAGCTTAGTCTATGGGTATTTGTACTTCTAAAGATCAGACTGACACCCCTACCTTTGCTGCCGATGTTCTACGATTGGAATTAGTTGGCAACACTGGACTGTATTTGACGATTGTTGATCTACCTAGATTGATATTGTTTTCTTCGTAAGCGGGTTTACAGTGCGAATATGCTGGGTTAGAATCACAGTTTAACGGCCTCTAATCGAAAAAGTAGGTATATCCATAACTAGAATTCATTATATGGGCATAAATTCTCGGGAAAACTGCACGAGGGGTGCTCGAGCGTCGTAAGAGGTCAGGTATTATACTGGACCGTCCAGGGCTCCCCACGATGATACTGGAACGGAAGACTAGAGCGAGCAGAGTTGCATATCAACCTTGGGACGGCAGTGTGTAATAATTGAGCGAGTAACGCGTTAAACTTCCCTCATTGAAGAAAAAGCAAGTGGTCTTAATTCGATCTCTGTTGATCTTCAAAGTGGATTCCGATGTCCGGATTAACTATTCTACGGTACGATGTGAGATGACGACATGATTGCATCACCGTCAATTTCTCTTCCATGGCGATAGACGCGGTGAGGGTTTTGGGCGGGGACACATGATCGGGCCGCGAAAGTTGCCCAGCATTGATTACGCTCTCCCACCCGTACTTAGTCTATATATTTTGACATGATGAAGTGCTTCTACAATGAACACGCCTATGACTATCCCTTTTCCGCTGTATCTCTCGCCTACTTCCTTCGTTATCCGAATCGCTATTCGCGTCATGTCTTATCTACTGACGTGATCGAGCAATTCATCGACCCGAACACACACCGCCTCCACTCAACTCGGCTCCACCTGAAGAGGACCAAGATCCCCTTGAATATTTTGAAGCTAGTACCCAAGAGATTAGGTGGATCCGACCACTCCGCTCAGAGTTATATCTTGGAAACCAGCGTAATCGATCCTACACAAGGCTGGATGAAGACCGAGTCTCGCAACTTAGAATGGACTGGCATTCTCAGCGTCGTTGAGAGACAGCACTATCAGCGCCTTCTCGCGAGCGAGAACGCTGGCGCTCTAGATGGAATCTCACTCGATCGGAAGAGCGAGCAAACTACTGTCTATACCAATGTTACCCTGCGCTCTAGATTCGGACAGGGCATGGTTTTTGGTCGCAGAAATGACACCGATAAGAAAGAAGAAGATAACAAGACAGGCTTGCTTTCTTCCTTATCCGCAGCCGGCATCGAGCGGACTATTGAATTGATCGGTGTCAGGCGGACCCGAGATGCTGTTTCGAAAGGTAAACAGGGGATGAACCTCGTTCTTGAGCGACTGCGCAGCGGTGGCATTATGTGTGTACTCGAAGGGATACGACAGGATCGGAAGGCTACCTTGGGACCCTGAGGCACCATAAAAGCGAGTCTAGGTAGGTCTATGATCTCAGGGAATCCTCCCCCGGTCGAAAATGATGAGAAGATTGGGTGGACAAAGGCTCTCGATAACCCGTTTATGGACTTATTAAGGAAGTTCTGAGATTGGTTAGAACGCTATTGGATGAGGAATCTCTTTTGGGGTAAGTAAAAAAATTTTACTTAGCAGTTGCTTGGCGAATATATACTGAATTCTCTACGTTAGGTACCGGTGTTCTACAAACAACGTCTACTAAGCTCCCACATGACATGCGGGTGCCTCTGCAACAACGCTGTTTAGTCGGCTTTGGATGAGGTAACTAAACAATGGAACTAGGGCTCCGCATCTTCTCAATTATGTACCAATCTGCGAACGCGCTTTCCTCGTAGTGCAGGCCCATGATGCTATCTGCACAGGAATGTGAGCTAAAATCTGGAATAAAAGTTCACAGCCCCACGGGGCTGATTACCAAGTTCCACCGTGGTCTCGGTCCTGGCTGGATGGTCCATTCTGTGGGGATATGAAAACCCGACCAACAGCCAAAACACATGTGACGCATATAGCAAATCCAAAAAATAAATTAGTAAGAAAACAATATCAATGAGAAGAGTTGATTCGACAAGTCCTGACAGCACCGTCGGTTATATCATAGCCGAATGCTTCTTATGAACAACTGCTCGTGTGTCCGTTCTCGTTTCTCCAGTTACCAGGCGGCACGATTTGATCATATGCGTCTAGGTTCCGTGGTCTCCAAGATTGTTTTGAGTGCCATTTCAATGGCACGGAGCTCGGCAGCGTATACAGTGGACGTGTCTTCGCCGCCCATTTGGCTGTGAGCGTGGAGATCCTCGAGATCAACGACTACTGCTGCTCCAATTTTTCCCTCGATCCCACTCCCGTCGGCGTAGAGAATCAAGGGTCTTTCTCTTGGGTCTTTGGATAGAATGTGGTCGTGAGTTTTCACTGCCATCTCTCTGTCCTCGATGAACACTTCTGGCGGCGCTTGCCATGGTTCCTGGACGAATGCCTTCCGACTCGCCAAAGTTCCCGGGGGAGCCGTAAGGCATCCGCCCGTTTTCCAGGCTTGCGCCTTCATCGGTGTCCATCCAGACCAATCTCTCTCGTCCACCGGTCGGCGTCGTAGCATTGTTGGTGGGACAGCGAATGCTGGTCCAGTCTGTAACCGTAAAGCTGGTTCGTTTAACAGGCGGTTCATATGGATCGAAATTGGTGGTAGGTGTAGTTCTGTGTTCAGTGCCTCCGCTGCTGTCGTTCTGAAAGCCCCGCTGATCAGGCATGCTGTCCGCTTCTGGATGGCCACGAATGGTTGACTGATTATTCGTGCCTTCATCTTGCTGATCAGCATTGGGTGGTACCAGGCCGATACTCCGAAGAGCATCTGTGGGATGACTGCCGCTTGGTAGATCCTGCGCATGGCTGAAAGAGAGGCCCCCCACGTCGAGCCAGCCAAGCTTCGTAGCGCCTGGAGGGACACGCTTGCTTTCGAAATTGCCTTTTCGCGGTGATGCTGAAACTCCAATTTGGGATCAAGCCAGTAGCCCAGATAGCGTTCCGCCGTCCTTGTCGCAGGTACTGTGTGCCCCTGCAGTGACAGTGGTGTGTACCAAGGCTCGACTTCTTTCGTATTTACGAAATGCACGAGCGTGTACTTCTTCGTGTCGAATACTGAGGCATGCTTTCTGGCCCACTGTTCGGCCTTCCCGCAAGCTGTTTTGAGCTTCCTGATGGTCTCTCGCTCGCTATCTCCTTCGGTCATAAAGCAGACATCATCCACCCAGCCGTTACTGGTCACTCCACTTCCGCATTTCTCAATCAGGTCTGCATTGTAGATCAGATAGAGAATCGGCGAAATCGGCGACCCTTGCGGAATGCCCGTTGGTGTTGGTATTGGATCAGAAGTGCCTTCTGGCATGCGAGTCTTTGTGCTTCAGGAGTATACTGTATAAAATTTCAGAGCGTACTTAGTATGAAAGGCCAGGCAGCTCTAAAGAGCAACTTTATTTACGTTTGATTGCGTTCTCTTTCAGCCGATACCCGGGCAGATTTCTCCATTCACAGGAGCCCAGATAGTGACTCTAACATGGTACCCGCCAGTTCACATTTCGACTTAGACATTGCAATCAACGGAGTCTGGTGCTAGTGTCGACGCTATATCCTGTAAGGCTGAGTAGGCGGATACTAGCGCTTACATCGAAGAGAGTTGATTGGCCGAAGTGTCCTGACATAGCTTGTATACAGGGCAATGAGAGCGCTTCCACCATGGGTGCTGATGGAATGAAAAAGGACCGAGTCTGCCTCTCAAAGACTTTACCCTTCAATAATTCTCTGATTCGAAAACGAGACAGAAAAGCACAGGATAACTGTTGATTGGAACTTTTTCGTTCAACAGCCGGATCTAAGCCGACCTTGCGAAACCGACAAAACACAAACGGCGGGAAGCTCGAAATGCCTTTTAAAGATTCCTATACTTTCTCCTTTAGTGTTCCTCTCTAGCTGATACCATGGCAGGTTTGCAAAAAATCTCACTCCACCATACCACTACTGGCTGAGAGCCGAAAATCTCACATTGAGAGTCATCGGAGCCTTCTTTCGCTGGTATCATGAAAATCATAACCAACCCTCAGCAGTGAATGGAAGCTTGACAAAGGCGCAAAAGAGCAACCTCCCATCAACATTTACTATCTCTTATTCACTACCTGGCATCTTCTGGCTGCGTGCCATTTGGCGTTTCCCACCTTTCGGATGCTTCTTCAATTGAATACCTTTCGGAAATGATGTGTTCCACAACTGCCCGGCTCGGGACTCTGATTGAGTCGAACGCACATGAAAATGTCGGTGGCGCTTTGAAATAGAAAGATGCGGCATGTTTTATGACAAAACATCCTGAAAATCCAAATCGCTTCGCGGAGCGAGAGTTGTGTCATGTACGGTTCCCTTCAAGCCACTCAGGTGAAGAATGAGTCGTAAGAAGTTCATGAAGCAAATCATAATCCCATAAGAAGTCGTTCTGCGAGAATTCATCTGAGTGTGACGGATGACCCTGGGAGTAGCCTCGTCTCGTGGAAGGATGCCTGAGGCATAATATTGGGTCGTTTGCACAACGCGTTTGCTAGGGACTTTAACCCCTCTTTTTCTGGCGGACTTTCTTTCTTTCTCTTTCCTTCTTCATCTTCGAGATTCTCGTCCTGTAGGCACCGAATGAATCTGTTTCTTTCGAACGGCCCGTAACACTGAGTGCCTTGGATAGCTATTCGAAGCAGGCGTTGAGCATGTGTGAATACTCCATTTTGCTTGATTCTTAAGGGATTTTAATGAGAAACCCTATAAGAAGGCACTATAGCTGTGTGCTATTGGTATTTACACAAGGATATCAAAGCAAAAACACAAAGATACATTTGAGGGATACGATCACTAATCCAACTACTGCAATTTTCTGGGTTGGACTATTCCTTTTTAAGCAGATAATAAAGTTTTTGAAAAAACGAGACAATGGACCAATTTTACAATATCCCATTTTAATGAACAAAGGCAACTGGTTGCCTTTCAACTCCCTGCTGAGAGCGATAGCTTACCCCGTCAACTTTCAGTCCTTCTTCATTCAACAGTGTGATGGTATCGCCAAGTTTCGAGAGATGAACATCCGGAATTTCGAACGTTTGCGTTGATTTGGCGTCCAAAGCTGCATTAGGCGGCAGTACTTGGAGTTCGCCAGCCGAATTTTTAATTTTCCAAGAAGACAGGGGCATCGTGTGGTCTTTCGGATTTGTGAGAGTAACCGACCTTCGTCTGGCTCGGGAACTATCTGACTCGGGGTTTATCAACGCCTCGTCTATTATCACGGAGTCCTCAGTCAGCTCGGTATCTCTCTTCTCTCTCTCTAGATAGTGACCCCAGGTCTCTGATGATATGGCATGCCCGTCGGAATTATCGGTGTGCACAGCTTGTGATGCGAATCCGAGAAAAACCCCAACCCATCGACCAGAGCGTGGGTAGTGGATCAAAAGGCCACCATCTTGGAACACCCCGTCATCATTTGCGAATTGTTTAACGTTGCCTTGATTCATATGCACATTGTGAATACCTTTTCGATCGTTAAACGGTTCTCCAAATAGGTAAATATCGGCGTTATCGTCGATCGCCTGTTTGACTTCAGGTTCTAGAACATCAATCATATCATTGTTCGAGCCTGGTATGTCATGGGGTAGGATTCGACCGGTGTTGATATTGAATAAGTTACTCCGGATGTAGTCTAACCTCACACCAGCAGGGTTTGGCTCCGTTTCTTCGAGAGGATAATACCCCGAGGATAGGTCGGTGAGACTATTGACGATAGGGTGATTTTTGAAGTCGTGATCCACCCAGTAGGTAAGTCGCGATTCCTTCTTGTCACCAGACTTGATGTTGATTGCAGCTCTGAAGAGCCCGGGAATTTCTTTGTTACCTCGGACGGCCCGGTGAATCTTGTGGCCAGAATGGCGTCTGAGTCGGCGAAACATTTGGCCAGAATGGTGACTCGGTCCTCCTTTATCACTGAAGTACAGTGATAAATGGGGGCTTTTATTGTCATCCTCTTCATGTTCAACGACGTAGGATACAGGGGTTGCTTTCCAGACACCGTAATTATGAAGCGGCATATTGAGGAAGATAGGGCTTCGTCGAAGAATTAGACAAAGTGGATTTCTGGAAGTATATGATTAAGTCATTTAATAGAATGTAGGTGTGAGCTAAGTGAAACATGAAGTAGAGGTGGGAGGTGTAGATACATATAGTCGGAGCTCCACGTCCAAGGCATGTGACGAATATTACGTATTACAACACTGGGTAATTTAGACTTAAGGCAAAGAAGTGTTCCGAGATAAAAGTATCACACGAGGTGCTGAAGACCAGTCCAGACTCTTGGTCTACCTATGATATGGTGTAGTTATTCGTCCTACCTAGTGGAGATCGGATCATGACGCATTGGTGACCTATCCTGTAGTTATTCGCCCTGCCCAATGGAGATCAGATCATGACGCATTGGTGACCTATCCTGTCACAAACCACCACCCAATGTGTACAAAACGGACAGATGAATTGTCTAGACTTTTGACACTGATCTGGATTTCAGCCTCGGCTTTTGCCATAACTATAGCTCTGAATGTTCGGGATTCGGGGTATGCGGATTTGGATACTCCATCATCCACATGGTATACCACAATCAATCCAAGAACCTGCCCTTTATCCCTCGTTGGAATTAATCCAATTTTCGCAGCGAGCAAATGGATCATGAATTATTTAGATGGCTTTGCAATAGAAGTTTTCTAATAGATATTTTCCTGTAAGCTGCCTTATTCGCGAGAACCAATCAAATGTATCGCGTAGAACAGACGCTTTATTCGATGAATACGTTGCACCGTATTATTGATCAGATGCACCGAAACAATGCTTAAGATACAACCATTCAAAGCCACAGATAAGTTGGTCATCCGTGGTCCTCAATCAACACACGAGGGTGTTCGTTAAATTATCTAGGCTCCGACGCTTCCGGAATATAATCTCCTAGCTGCAATCTAGATTCAACATAGAGCCAGCTGACCCAGACTTAAAAATGTGGTATGTTTAGCTTGTACCAACCGTATGATTACCACTTTCGGGTACGCCACATGACGTACGTTGATCATCCGATCCCGCAAGCTTACGCTGAGTTCATGCGTGAACATCAAACCCCGGTTTTTATTTTCACATAACCGATCGGTTTGAAATCCGTCGCCTGAACTCCGTTGCTCTCCTATGAATACTTCGTTACATCCATAATAGTTTTTCTCTATGTTGAAAGCTCCTTAATTCGAGCAGCAGATAAAGTTGCAAGAATTGTTCTGGTAAAAAAGCAAAACACAGCAAATGCAAAGATTATACTTAGGATTCTGGTGATTAGGAGCATCGAAGAAGTGCCTTTTCGTGTAATTTATTGGTTGTATCTGTGTTTCATACTTGGTTCGTTCAGCCACCGAGAACCAGCGATCTCCTTGCGAAGGTTCGAGCCCTAGAGCATGATATTTTGGGTCATGATGATGAATTCATTTGCCCGATGTAGCTTGCTCTAAATATATGCTGCTATGCGGTATATTTTGAGTCATTGTAAAATCAGTTGTGACATGCAGTAATGGATACATGATTTTTCTTGCTGCAAACAGCAGAGATACGTATTTGAACGCAGTACAACTGAATATTGCTTAAATTTTCGAAGGTTTATAAATATTGGACCACTGTGTCTGCTATTTTATATTCCATTTATGGCTCCCAAACATCTATCCAAAGCCTAACTCTTCAATATCCACTTACCAGTTGCAGATCCACCAGCAATGTATTCCCTCTGGTCACTCCTATTACTAAGTTGTATGCTTCAATTAACTTGGGGCTGGGGAGACCTCGGTCATCGAACAGTAGCATATTTGGCAGAGAAGTACCTAAGCGAACAGGGCGCTCAGCTAGTGGAAGATCTTATTACCCCAAATGAGAATTTTGATATTTCAGATGCGGCAGTCTGGGCTGATAAAAAAAATTTCGGTATCCATTTACTAGGCCATGGCATTACATAGGTATGTACCAATGTTAATTACCCCAGATTCACAAGCTTATTCGAGCAGATGCCATGGACGAACCACCAGATTCATGTCGTCTTTCCTATGAAGCAGATTGTAATACGCATGGATGTGTTATATCCGCTATTGAAAACATGGTCAGTGAGCAAAGCCTCTGAATATTGCAGCCTAATTAGATGCAAATCTTAACGAAAGTCACTAACGGGTTAAAAGACACATCAAGTCCAAGACCTTAGTCTAGAGAAGGCGCAGCAACGGGACGCGCTAAAATTCTTGATGCATTTCATAGGTGATCTGCACCAACCACTACATGTCGAGGCAAAGTGCCGAGGGGGCAATGATCTCCACGTTTGCTTTGACAATCGCTGCCCCGAGACGAAGAACCTTCACAGTGTGTGGGATACCGATATCCCTCATAAAATCAACGGTCTTAAGGATAAGCCGAAGCACAACGATGAAAAAAAGCCTGCTTTGAAGTGGGCCGAGAAGTTGTTCCAGTCTCACGGATTGAGGCCCCTTCAGGCAGAATGCACTGACACAAAAAGACCATTGAAATGCCCTATGATATGGGGAACCGAAACAAACAGACTGAACTGTGATTTCGTTTTCAAAAATGGCATTGAATGGCTCAAGAATAACGACCTGGGTGGAGAGTATTACGATGAAGCTGCTCCTATTGTGCAGGCACAGATTCTCAAAGCAGGAATTCGCCTGGCCGTGTGGTTAAATGCTTTGGCAACTGACAGAGCTTCATCGCGGGAGAGTCGCCATGGTCAATATGGAAAGGTGAGAAATGATCTCTGTTCCTAACCCAGGCCATCTTTGCAAGTGTGACAATCTAATTTCTTTTGCCTTTCTTCAGATGAGAACTCAAAAGCAGTTATAGTATAATGGGAATACGAGGGGAAAATTGAAAATGGAAAAGGTGTTATGAAGCTTCAAAAGTCAGGTTTTATTCAAGCCCCTTTGACAGGTAGGTGAATATCTCAATTTATTGCTTTTCATGTGGCAGTAATATTTTATGTCTACCGACCCTATTTATCCACTCTTTAAATGTCACATAATATCAAAATTTATTGCTATTCAAGGATAAGTCGTCAATAAAGCGGAATAGAGTATAGAAAGGATATATAATTCTACGATAAATGACACCCATTTGGTCAGAGTCAGTATAACAGATGTCAACAGTAGATAGTATCCAGCTAACCTCTTTACAGAAGCTGCAGCCAGGTACTGTGTACGCAGTTGAGTGGACAGTGTGTATGCTTCCAAAAAAGAAATGTCTTAACAAAGAGCGCTCAACATACCTAGGTAGGCTTGACAGCAGGTTATAGTCCTATTCGAACATCAAATGTGGGTTTTGACTGGTGTGCTTATTTTTCACAGTTCTATGGTACATCCAAATTTGAAATTGAGAGAAGAGCGGCATTCCTTTTTTTGATGTTTTAAGGGTTAGATTTACTCTGAATACGATAAAAGACAAATAATGGACTTAATTACATATTCTAATATTTTGGGTTTTTTTACATTAACTAACTAGTGGGATGTTTCCTGAGTGACGACATCATTGGCTACTCTTACCGCTCAACAGGTGCCATTCGACGTATAATCTCATCTGTTCCATCATGGAATGCTTTGAATTGCCGGTAGTTAGCAAACAGTACCAGACAGACAGTGAGGCCAAGTTTCATAATGCCTACTGCACTCCCAGTCATAGACAGTGGCTCAGCCATGTCTGCTATAATGATAATTGTTGACTTCAAGAATGTGATAGAAACAAAGATCAAGACAGATTAACAGTCAGATCAACCTGACCTTCAATGTTAGCCGAGGTTAATAAGTTAGCGAGGAGTACAGCCTAGCTCCCTATTTTTGCTTTCTAGGGGGCACAATAATCCTCCACGCTAGTGTCAGAACCCGTGTATATAGTAAGACGGCCATTGCTTCCGTGGTTGGCAGTGGGGCGAGCAGATGTGTAGGGCATCTCATCACCAGTTCATGTTCGTAAGGGATCCGATAACTCAAAACGTGTGCTCATGTAGAAGCCGTCCATACATGTGGTTGCTTTGCGACTCGCAGTATCTAAAGTATGATACATAGCTGCGTTAGGATCGAATGATCTAGACTTGTTAGACAAACATCCGCTTTTTTTTCGAGTAGTGTTTAGCAATATACCTGTAATAATGAATTTCATTTTGAATTGTGTCGGGATATATTCTCCTGTCAGAACAAACTGGCTGTGACCCACTGCTAGCGACCGATGGATAACATCCCTTGCTTGGTGTACGCATTCTTGCGCTGGGCTGTGGCCTCGGTGTTGTGACCGCCGAAGGCCGGCGTGTGGGATCTAGGGGTGTTTTTCCAACTAGACTGAACATCTACATCTATCAACACAGTTGACTTTTGCTTTGGAGCATACACACTGTCCACTTAACTGTGTACACAGTACCTAGCTGGTGATACCAACAAATTGTCATATTGAAATAAGATCGCCCTAGTTTATTGGTCAATCAGAATTAGGTTTGTTTTATCGTTCGGCTCCCTTCCTGCCTGACCATATTGATGTACTGTCGGCAACCCTCGGCGACGGAGTGGCGACGGAGTGGCGACCGATTTAGACTCAAATTTACGAGCCTCGATGCTGTAATGGGCATTTCAATCAAGCCTAGTATGACGACTTAAATTCAAAGCATGATCGCGTCTAATGTCGAATCACAGTGATTGGGGCCCATTCCAACCGGGATATAGGGCGTATCAGCCGGTGTTAGATGCAGGTTTAGCATCGCTTTGGGTGAACTTGGACGACTTAGAGATATGCAGGCTTTGACTTGCCATTTGGCGCAAATCCTGGTCTCTTGAAAATACGTCAGGACTTTCCTATGTATCTTCCAAAATAAATGGAAGCTGCGCCAGGAAAGCAGGACCGGTTATAAGCCATGATGGTGCCCCATGTGTCTTGGGAGGGGGGAAGGCGGTAATCCCGCACCATACACAGCTCCAAGAACCATATGGGAGCCGCAAAGTCACCTGATAGTAAAGGTAAGGAGGGCCGTGTCCGCCCTCTAGTTGAGAGTTAGGCAATGCCCTCTCGCTCGGTTTACACACAACGGAGGATACTTGAGCGTGGCATTGACAACATCTGGTATCGACTATGGGGCCGGAGCATCATGGTAAAATTCTACTTGCTTCCCGATAAGTCAGTCATAGAAACTGACGGCCAAGATCGACCGATTAGTAACCGTTTCCACCCTAGGGCGACCGGAAACACCATTCACCCTCTGTCAGGATGAGGAATCGATGTACTGGCTAGTACTGAAGATGTCCAAACAGAATAAGATGATTGATTGTAGGTACTCCGATCGGTTGAGCGATCTCAGGGGTCTTTATAGTTGAACTATGGCGTGTTATGACACCATACTAGGTGGAAATTGGGTGAACGATGAATAAGTCAATCCCGAAGGGTCCTAGTGGTATTTGACCACCTCCTCAGTTTGTCACCCTCTCATTCCAGTGTGATCAAAATTTCGCTAGTTGCGAGTCGCTGTTCAGCGGATTCACGAGAAAACTCAGGTCTTAGGGTTTAGAATAGCACTTGTTGGCATGGACGGTAGGATCTTGTGCAAAGTTTTATCTGAGGGCATTGGGAGACTGGATTACGGAGAAATAGGCAGACTAGAGTGATTGTGAAAGCGACTACCTCCGCCGGGGGGGGGGGGGGGGGGTGCAAGATAATGTGAGCACTTTCCGGAAGTTGAAGAATCCAGAGAGTGCGATAAGCCTTAAAATTTCCCCTTCCACCACCCTTAAACTTGAGTTGCTTTGCTAAAGACCAATAATCCCTTTTGTGTCTTTCTTGCTATAGACTTGCTCAGAATTCCCAGGCCATTGAGAGTGACAATAAACGAAAAAGAAATCCCAGTCCCGGCCTAATTTTTACGATAACGCAAAAAGCAAAACCCCAGACGAGAGGAACCCATCTTTAGTACCTGCCTGCAATCCGATAGGTAGTGTTTTACCACTAAGCCTGCGTTCCATAACGGTTTTCCCTTGCACCCACCAGAACGAACCCTGGCTATATTAACTAATATACGACCAATAATCCATGTTTTTCTTCTTCAGGACCCTCCATCGTGGAGGCCAGATCGAGAACCACCCGTGAGTCCAATAACTTTCCATATTAGTAGCGCTCCATAATGAGCTGCGTCTTCAGTGAATCCTGTGGGAGGAACCAACCCTTACTCTGCAAGAAGGTAGCCAAGTTGCTCTGCTCAATCAAGGCTTCCGTGAAGCTCTCCGTCTTGAAAGAGGCCTCGACGACATATTCATTTTCAGTACCCGAGAGGTTGACGAGGGGCCAGACCTCGATGTATAGTTTCATCTTGTTCCACGTGCCAATAGACCGCCTAGTGAGGACCGGGCCAAAAATGCGCGATATTGCTAACGCGCCGGTACCCCGTTTATTATGCCTCCAATTGTCGAACTTGTCCGGCGCTTCGCTGATCAGCATTTTCCGCGAGTTGCTCGTCCCCGGCAGGTTCATCCCGCTATTCCCATGATCCTTTACAGTTTTCTTGCGGCTGATGGAAAGTGTCTGCTTCTGGTAACCCCATTCGACTTGCGCCTCGTATTTCGAGTTACCATCCTTGAAACCATCGCTATTAGCCGCAGTGAGAGCGACGTCAATGTCACTGCCCGTGATGGCATATCGCTTCTTATACGTCAGCTCGAAGCCGTCTTGGTTTTCGGTCTTGCGGATGCGGGCACTCCAGTCGGCTGTAAAGAGCTCCTTAGGACTCGTGTCGAGGAATTGGACATTCAGCTTCGTGACGGTCGGGGGCATCTCGAAGGCCAATAGGACAGTGTCCATTAGCTCGTGTTGAGGGCTGAGCACCGCAGCTGGGTCGAGCAGGAGCCTGACCTCGTATTCGGGCATCTTTTTCTGCACTGCCTGTGTTGGTGAGACGGCGATGGCGGTCACAGCGAAGGGGTCGTTTGGGGGAGAGATGTATGGCAGCTGTGAGCTCGAGGGTAGGCTTAGGTAAGGCAACTGGAGCAATAGAGGAAACGTTGCTACACAAGTAGGACATGGTGGTCCTGCAATGGCTGTTCTTAGAACGAAGTGTGGAAGTAAGCGTATGTGTGTCAATTAAATCCCATTAGTCGAGAACCAGCGTTTCGCATGTCGAGTATATCTAAAATAACGAACTGTTCTGAGCAAACATTAAGTGATGACACCCTATTTACGAAAACAGACCATGGTTACCTATTGTAGTGGGGAGACCCCCTCCCCCACTACATGGGTGCCATCCAGACTATGTGACATAGCCGGCAGTATACAGTGGCCGGATAGCTAGTTCTAGAATACACCTTCTTACACCTCCCCGACCTGACCCCTACATTTGGGTTTCTCGCTATTTCCTGATTGCTACGCGTGTGTTTTGTGGTCGTTTTTCTGCTGAATCGACCCGCACGTCTCAGCGCGTACTGCCATCGAGCGTTTCCCTCTTCACTATATATCGAAAGAATCGCCGATACTATCGACATCCTCACTGGCTGGAGCTTCATGCCACCTTATGGCGTTCGGGTAACACTGGAATGCACAGCGATTAAGTTGAGTCATTGAGTCGCAAGAGATTTCATTATGATACTTTCCTATAATTAGGTCAGTAGGTTCCAATGATTGCATTATTGTTGGAGCACCTGTTTTGATACTTTTGTCTTGTCACCCTGATACGCACTACTCATGCATTAGGGTTAGACCTGTATCTATATAACTGGGCCCGAGACCCACTGGTCCACACACAATACAACCATCTCATACACATGCTACAAGAGGTTATGAGCCCTCTTTGCTCATCATGGATAGTGAATCTGGACACCCAAAACTTATTCGAACAAACTATCACTCTTGGAGACTAGACGCCGAAGTCCAACTCACCGGACTGGGAGCACTAGGCATCGTTGAAGGCACCGAGCCCGTTCCCGAAGCCCCTCCACAACGCGAGCAGCCGAAGTCACAAATTATAGCCAGAATGTCAAAGACTACAGACAAGCTCGAGAAAAGGCGATACAATGGATTTGGAACCATATCCACAGCGACTACCACAGCATCGTTGCAGCTGTGCGTCGAGACCCACGAGCAATGTGGCTGGAGCTCGAACGGCGACTAGGTGGAAGAAACAACTACAACATATGGGCAGTGCGACAACAACTTGGAAGTGAGACTTTCAAAGAAAATGACACCATTCAGACATGGTCTGCTCGACTCGACACATACAACCAACGACTGATCGGGTCTGGATCGGAACTTTCTGAACTCGAGCGAATCGCCAAATTGCTCAGCACACTTCCTAAACGCTTCGAAATCACTATCTCTCACATTCAGAGAATACCCAACCTTGATTACCAGACTGCACTACAACAACTCCTCGACTTCGAGAATCAGCTGCCGGTCGGAGCCGCGAATGGCTCTGGAACAGCATTAATCACTCACACGCGACCTCGAAGACCGTTTCAATCACGTAGAGGAAGAGGCAGTCGATACAGATCTTACGAGCCATACAATAAAAGGCAACAAGGTGCCAGCACTCGGCAGACAGTATACTGCTATCATTGTGGACGAAAAGGACACACCAAATCAAGCTGCTGGGATCTCCAACGACGTGAAGAAGAAGACAGACAAAACCAAGCACGACTATCCCGAATACCACGCGGTACAAACTACACAGCTGAAGACGTGCCGCCTGCATCAGCAAACCCGCCACAACCGTCATCTCGATCTGATGCGAACTACATGGAAGATGGATTTGCCCACATGGCAAGCCACGCTGCATCATCCACAAACGAATGGATACTCGATTCTGGAGCAAGCCATACAATGACTCATACGAGATCTGCTCTCACAAACTTCAAACGATTTCTCCAACCTCGCCAAGTCACTATTGGCGATGGATCACACGTTCAAGCACTCGGGAGCGGTATACTTCACGTTCGAACCAACCTGGCTTCTATCGACTTGAAGGAAGTCTGGTGGGTGCCTCAACTTAGCACGAACCTGATATCCGTACGTTCTCTGGACGACATGGGACTGGAAGTAATCTTTGCTGGTGGTCAATGCAAGATTCGACGCGACGGAAAGCTACTTGCCACTGCAAGCCAAATTCGATCGAATCTCTACCAACTTAACTTACCCGCGTCTGCATTCAATGCCAAATTCAACAGCTATCATCCAATCACCATTTGGCATCAGCGACTTGGCCATCTCAACCACAGAGACGTCTCCAAAATTACCAAAATACAACTACCAAAGCAAATACCCCGATGTGCATCTTGCATGGCAGGAAAACAACATGCCGTCTATAACAGAAGCCCTCAAGGAAGAGCCACAAAGCCATTTGACTTCATTCATTCTGACCTTAGTGGTCTTCAGCCTACCTCTCTAGGTGGCTACCGGTACTTCCTTGTCTTCGTGGACGACTTCACTCGATACACCCATACATATTTCCTCAAAGGCAAAGGCATGACTGAGACAATCGAAGCCTTTCGTGCCTATCACTCTTGGATCAAGACTCAGTTCGGCGCGACAGTTCGCAGAATCCGTACAGACAACGGCACAGGAGAATTTGCCAACCAGTATTGGCACGACTACATAATCAACGAAGGAATTCAACACGAGTTTAGCCCTCCGAATACTCCACACATGAACGGTGTGAGCGAGAGGACAATTCGAACCCTCAAGGAAATGGCAAGAACCATGCTTGCAGGAGCGAACCTACAGGACCATGAAGAATTTTGGGGTGAAGCTGTCGCAACTGCCACTTACACACGCAATCTGTCCCCCTCGCATGCATTCGATGGCAAGGTCCCACTCACTGGTCTCTACCCGAAGTTGACCCCTAGGTATGATCATCTCAAGCCGTTTGGCTGTTTGGCCTATGTCCTCGTCCCGTCCACGCAGCGTTCAACATGGCAATCACGAACAAGAAGATCCCTATTCATAGGGTACATCCATAACACCACGAAGGTTTGGAAAGTATATGACATCGAAGCAAAAAGAACGTTCAATTCTGGTCAAGTGATATTTGATGAAGAACAATTTCCAGGAATCCCTGTTGTATCCCAAAACCTGCAATGCCATCCGTCATGGCAAGTTGATGGTCCACGTGCTGTGGCCAATATTGTGCAAGCCAGTTTCCGAGACCTTCACATTGAGGTTATTGAACAAGAACCGGAACTGTTGAATTTCAAGATCTGTGGAATTGAGCCACCACATGACTATCATTTATGTGACCCCATCATACCTCCACGCGCAACTGCTCTCGCCGCTCAGCGGAGTAGGGAGGATCTATCCAAGGGTGGCGCGGAGCCGAGCGCAGTGAAAAAGCCAGCTGGCAGGCTCCGAGTGGACGTAGCAGGCGATCCACTGGATTTTCACACTGCGATGCAGGTGGATCCCGTCAATTGGTCTCGTGCCATACGCGAAGAGTTTTCCGCGCACCAGAAGAATCAGACATATGAAGTTATCCCCTTACCCTTGGATAAGACTGCGATTGGCTGCAAATGGGTGTTCAAGACAAAGTACAATGCGCAAGGGGACATGCATTATAAGGCTCGCCTAGTTGCAAAAGGCTTTGAGCAAGAATATGGAGTACATTATCGAGAGACATACGCACCTGTCGCAAGGTTGACGTCCGTGAGGCTCCTGTTAGCCCTTGCTGCCTGGTTTCAGTGGGAGATAGAGCAGCTTGATGTGATCACTGCCTTTCTCAACCCTCACTTATCAGAAGAGATCTACATGGATCCACCAGAAGGCATGGACATTGAAGCTGGAAAAGCTCTGCGTCTACGTCGGACGCTCTACGGTTTGAAACAATCCCCTTATGAATGGTACTCTGATATACACAAGAAGCTGATGACTCTTGGATTCCGTCGATCAACCGAGGATCCCAATATTTATGTCTCCACACTCGTTCAGTGCATTTTGCTTCTCTACGTTGACGACATCCTTCTTGCTGGTCCACAGGAACATGTCTTGCAGATCAAACAAGAACTCATGAAGCTGTACCACATGAAAGACCTAGGGAAAATCTCTCTCTTTCTGGGCATGCAGATCGAACGAAATTCCCATCAAATCCGAATCCATCAAACGCGTTATGTTGACAAGCTATTGGAGCGCTTCAACATGTCGAGCAGTCATGGCATCACGACACCACTCTCCATCAAGACCAATCTATATGAAGCTCGAGACAACGACAAGCTTCTCGACCACGACGACAGAAAACAGTACCAAGCAATAGTGGGAGGTTTGATGTACCTCATGACAGCGACTCGCCCAGACCTTGCATTCACGTTGTCCCGTCTCTCCAAATTCAACGCAAAACCAACGACAAAGCACATGGAAGCTGCGAAGCACGCTCTGCGATACATCAAATACACAAGTGACATGGGCCTAGTATACGGTGGAAGAGACACCGAGCTATACGGATACACCGACTCCGATTTCGCGGCAGACGTGGACAATCGAAGATCCACGAGTGGATATGCGTTTCTCCTGAATGGCGCCTGCGTTCACTGGCAATCGAAACAACAGTCACTAATTGCTCGATCCACTCATCAAGCCGAATACATCGCAATGGCGAATGCAAGTTATGAAACAAGCTATCTTCGACGCTTGATTGCAGACATTCATCCGGAATGCCATTCCACTCATCCCACGACTCTTTATGCCGACAACCAAAGTGCGATCACCACAGCACGATCAGGCCAAGACGGTTCCCCTCGTTCAAAACACATCGACATCAGATACCATATCACACGAGAAGCGCTTTCCAACGGCATTCTTCGACTTGAGTACATTCGTACAACCGAAATGACCGCAGATATCTTGACCAAGGCACTACCCCGCGAACTGCATGAGAAACATAGTTCATCAATGGGCCTACGGAAAGGATTTGCCTGAGAGCGAGCACTCTTTTTGTCCTGAGATTGGTGATTTTACTCTCGATGAGAGATATTTGCACTCGATCAAGGTTTTTAATGAGGCTCGCAAGGAAAGCCAGACTACGAGTGGGAGGTCCTGTCTATGGCAAGAGTAGCGCGTAGTCAGGCTGAGTGGGAGTGTTGGAGCACCTGTTTTGATACTTTTGTCTTGTCACCCTGATACGCACTACTCATGCATTAGGGTTAGACCTGTATCTATATAACTGGGCCCGAGACCCACTGGTCCACACACAATACAACCATCTCATACACATGCTACAAGAATTATAATGCCACAGGGAACAGGAGTTTTACGTGGACCCCACATCATCAGCACCTTGTACCAGTATCGTGTGCTGCCAAGATCTTTATGCGTATCAGGAGACCTGGAGTCGTCTTGCACTATAAATTAGCTCACGTAAATCAAAATAAACTTTGGCCATTGGCATCTAGCTATTGGGAGTATCTACTTTGCATGACAAGCATAGCTTACGGCTTGTGTTTTTTCTATTCCAGTAATGAAATAAAGTTTACTTGATTTAACGGCATGCCCCGCTTATTACCCGCAAACGGCGCTCGCCCTATCCGAGTGGAGCCTAGACGATAGCACTTGCGATGGGCTCGATAGTTGGAACCCTTACGATAAATACAGACGTTATTTACACTTACGCAACTAACGGAATGAGACCTTGAATTCTTGGCACGTATTATCAGGACTATGATTGTAATGATTTGGGCTAGCCTAGTGACAAGTTCTGTGATATGCCAACCTAACGATCAACTATAATTCCCATGAAAATATTTTTCTATCTCAAGTATAAATGAATGTGTATACGTCAATTGTCTTAGCGAGTTCCTGTCTGCAGACTCTAGAATTTGATCTTCTGACAAGAAAGTCAAGCGGTGGGATTGGGGGTGAAGTAAGCGTAACTAGCGGGCCCTACATTAATTTCATAAATTACAAACCCTCGCTACACGAAAATCCGCGACTCATTTGCTCATACCCACCCAAACGCTCATTTTATGCATTTTTCAGTTTCGCACATACGTGACCACACCCCACCGCTTACTACTCAGGTCACTTAGTCTGCCCCTCGAGACTGCGCTGTATCCTATCTTCACTGCCAAAGACTTCCTGTGTCTTCACCGCTCTCCTCACTGTGTTCACCTTTCGTCAGCCCGGTCGGTTCTTCCGCAGCCATCCTTGACGTCTCTGTGACATCACCGCTTACACTATTTTCATTGTGATCATGTAAGTAAGGCTGGATGCCTGGGACTTTCCAGTACGCGCTCACCAAGACCATTTCAGATATCTAGTAACAATACCTACTAATGCAATCAGGATTGAGTTTATCCAGATCGATTTCTCTGCCACTACGGCAAACGTGATTCTCGAGAATTAACACAGCGCTTTGTCTGGTCAAGCACGCAGGAAGACGCTCTCAATGACTAAAGAAGTCCTAATACACTGACGTACAGGCATAATATGAATAAAAGCGCAACATCGATCCAAATTATGTGCTTTTTTGTCATTGTAGTTTTGCGGCAATCAGTCATTTTAGAACCCATGTTTGATTGATTGGTTTCTTTTAGCCATTTACACTTTCGCTCCTATCAACACAAATGCATGACTTTTATCAGATTTCATTCCAGTCCTTCGATCCAGGGTCATGTACGCGACACGTGCGACCTGCGGGAAAAATCATATCTGGATTAACAGACCAGGTGTTTATTTGTGTTTCACATGGAGCGTGATCTCAAACGCCTCTGCATTTACATATTGGCTCGGTCATTATACAATCCATAGATAAGGAAGGATAACACTGACAAAGAGACCACGCTTTTAAAGGAAGGGTTTATTCACTAATACACTCTTGTATCAAAGTAAAGATGTTCCCGTAGGCTTTCCAGCCTGGGGCATAAATCGATTGCTGGCAGGAATATCTTTGCGGCGCCGGTCTTCTTCAGGCGCCTCTTCTGATGCATATCCCTCCTCTTGATTGCTATATACGCCCGCGGGTTTGCCAGCTTGAGGCATAAATCGATTACTTGCGGCAATGTCTTCGCGGACCCCGTTATTCGTCGGATCTGCCCTCTGCTCTCTAATGTGAGGGCATTCGTTATTCTCGGAAGCACCGCCCTTGCCGTGATGCTGTTGAAATTCGGAGTGTACATCTGGTACGGCTCCATCACCTATGTTAACTAGTTAATTTCAGTTCTTGGGTTCGGGAGGCAAATCGAGAATGAAAATGTAAATCGTACGTTCGACATTGCTGTTTTGGACATTGAGTCTATCGTTGACTTTGAAGTCGTGACGACCACAATTATTCGAATTTTGAGCCATGATGGATAAAAAGTGTCAGTGAGAGCAATTATAGGATTGGTCCAGAATATCATGCAGTTTTGATGATAATATAGTACTGATTTTGTTAAACGTTCTCTGCCCATGACATATGAATGACGTTAGATAGCTTGCGTCTTGGCTTCTCCGGAACCAACTCTTCAAAACACGAAACCCAGTTTTTGAACTGAAATGCGTTATTAACACTGTAAATTAGAGGAACTGAATATTTCTTGCTAATGGACCTTAATTCCTGTTTGGTGTGAACCTTTGCTTTTTTTGGGCACCCCTTTGCTTATCGGGAGCTATCCTTCCCTATTCGCCCCCTTTGAGACTTCTGAAACTGGTATCTTAGTAAGTTTAGTTAGTGCAAGCATAATGTAGCCCCCGATTTCGTTCAAACTAAGAGATGGGGGCGCGAAGCCTCAGACGATACGAGACCGCTGGTCAATTGGAGTCCGAATCACTTCCGGTTCATCAACATAGGCTTCAAACAGCCATCACTAATTTTCAAGCCGAAATTACGCAATTGATAGGCCCTTCCGATCACGCCATTATGAATAGGCCCATGCTCACCAAGCTTGGTAGGCTCTTTCAGTCGAGACACCCATCGCCGTAATGTGGATGGCGGAAGAACGTGTGGCCAGAAACCCTACACCATACACGGTATGTCAAAAAGGTTGAGCGGAAGCAGGAGATCATGCAACGGCCGTTCTCGATTTTAAGTCGATGTGTGTTCCAAAGGACTGCGTTGTCCTGCCAGGAACGTGCCATGGTTCCAAGACTTAGTGTTGAATTTTCGGGGAGTATCTTCAATCTTCAGGGGATTGCGAGCTAATGAGGCGAAATTGACAGCGGGGGCCGCAATTCGGCTGCGCCACGGTATGAGAAGGTGGAAGCCGGTTATAGAAAACGAAAGGTACCTCTCCCAACGAATGACGTCACAACTACCTTCTTTCCTGATACTTTCGATATCCTACGATTTGGCTCTTCGCTGTCCATTATGTTTTGGCCGAGGAGCGCTATGAAGGAATCGCATTAATGTACGTTGGTATCACGAAGAACGAAAACATAGTTCCGGTGATGATATGACGCAGCCGAAGTGCACTAACCAGAGTGCCATATATACCTCGCCACGTAGCAATCTCTTCGCAGCAGATTAGAAGGAGTGGCGAACCATTAGAGAGTATTATGAGTACACGTCATTCTGATGCGCATAAGGAAACGTTGATGCGTTTAAATGCGAAGGCTTGGACTGCGTTTTCTTTTCGGGCTAGCTTTCAAATCTTTTTAATACAGAAAAGAACAATTTAATCAAAATCAAAATGGAATACAGTGACATTTGCGACAAGCATGGTAGCACTATTCACAAAGGGGATTATGTGTTTACCAGAATACGGGGGGGATCGCACGAGGGCAAGGTGTGTTAGAATTACCATTGATTGGTCGATCTTTTTACGGCAGATAGTCCTTGTCAATATGTAAAGGCTGATCATTTATCCCAAATTCAGGTTAAAGAGATCATAACCAATGAAGAGCGAGCCGCAGAAATGTCTGTGAAGCACCCTCCCAAGGTAAGTCTAGCGAACACCGACCTCCATAGGTATAAGGGGGGGCTGATGGAACTCTTCAAGGTCTTATTCCAGAACAAAGACGGAAAAACAGTAGCACACAACCCAGGTACTTTGGAAATACAGAATGGGGAATCTTAAGAATACCATGTAAAGAAGATGAAGTTCTCAGTTGTAGTTAAAAGCCCAGAAGCCTTTACAGTGATGTTTTATCATCGACGTACAACTCAGAATTAAGGGTTTTAATGTTTATTCATATGATATCCGAAACGACGTTCACTGTCCATTGTAGTGAATGTGGAGAAACGTGGCAGCTGAGAAAAATTGTTGATACCTTTATATAACGGAAATCAGGTACCGATGCAAAACATGCTTGAAGGAGTCGGCTGTCGATCAACTTATCGTTCCGCGTAGAAACTTCGGAATTATGTCTTGATAGACGTCATCGTACCTGCATTCCAGTTGTACTAAGGTACAAATAAAATGTTTTGAGACTTGTCCGAGATTGGAGAGGACACAAGAATCAGTTGGAGTGTGCTTCCTGCCTTGAAATGGAAAACATTACACTTGCTTCTCGCCAAGGTTCTCTGGGCGAGTTCTCGTAGCACCTTAATATACGCATCCTCAAATACAATGTTCAGGTGTCAGGATCTGAATTCTAGCAATACTCTCACTTTAGAGAACGCTAAATAGAGTGACTTCAGCATGACGCAACTCATGGCGCAAGGGCCAACTATTTAACTATCCCGTAATCTACAGGAAAATTTCACCCCCAGAGCATGAAGCTATTGCCATTGATCAAAAATGTGGTTGCTGAGAAAGGTGCACGCTATATGCGACACTGCTCTTCGATATCTGAAACTCATTGAAAATCGACAAGTGGGTTGGTTAACCTGGGATCGCAAGTCGGGCGACTTCAAACGTGAACAGCAACCGCTTTGGAAGAAACTCAAGCTCTTGTTGTTATTCAATCCTGTTACAGAATGGATTGATCGGACACATGTTCTCCGTCTTTGGACACACAAGAAAAACATTAAAGCTGGTCAGTTGTTCAACATGTTCTAGAGATGAATTTATCATGCCGCTTCGGGTAAAAATGCTGAGGCATAATTTCACAGGGCGGAAAGAGGGCAGACCACAATCCCGTGCCAAAATTAATGCTTTCATTGATTATTATCATATTGATATGAGCAGCTTCGAGCCTCCAAACCCTGAAAGCTACCCTACTTTTGAGGATTTCTTCGTTCGTACATTCGCACCCAACGCAAGGCCGATTTTTGCGCCCGAGGACCCTACTCAGGCCACGGTTGTCGCAGACTCGCGACTAGTGGTGTACCAGACTGTGGAGAAAACCCAGGCACTTTGGGTCAAGGGAAGCGAATTTACGATTCACAACCTGATCCAGGATGATATACGCAGTGTCCAATGGCAGGATGGATCCATCGCCAGTTTCAGGCTGAGCCCACAAGACTATCATCGATACCATTCTCCAGTTAAGGGAAATGTTAAATGGTATAAGCACATCCCGGGTGATTATCTTCAGGTTGACCCGGTGGCGCTTCATAGCTCCGTCAATATCTTGACCGAGAATGCCAGAAGCTGCGTCTGCATTGAGAGTAAGGAGTTTGGCGATGTCCTTTTTGTGGCGATTGGTGCTACAGATGTGGGGACAGTTGAGTAGGTGTCAGTTCCCAGCTTCTCATATCTCTGCTCACATTAGAAAAGGATTCATGACGAGATCAAAGAAGGACACCCTGTCCAAAAGGGGGACGAGCTTGGCCTTTTTCAGTTTGGTGGATCGAGTATCATTGTGGCTTTCGAGCAAGGTCGGATTGATTTTGATGAGGACCTTAGGCGCTTCAGTAATAAAGAGGTCATGGTGGACGTGGAGGTTGGAATGAGTCTCGGCAGGGCAACTCATCACGTATAATACACTTATGTAAGCAATGTTTGATCTGTACAAAGTTATCATTTTTGCTGATTCATACCAGCTTATTCGTTCTACCGTGATCTCAAACCGAAGAATGTCGGGCAGGCAGGATATCACCTTGCATGATGCATACTGCGTGGCCAGCGACAGCAGAGGGCAGTTGGGAGTCCTCCTTCAAGCATTATTATGGCAACCGCTACATGGCCGTCAAAGAATAAAAGGGTACGAAATAAGTGAATGATAGAAGCTTGACGACTAGAAAGGAAAACCCAAAGATGATTTTAAATCTCCTCAATTCCCCCGGGGACGGCCAGGCCCCACGAAACAGTCTCAAAATCCAGGATATCATCTGAACCTGAAGCCTTGCTGGAGCCGAAGTTCTTCAGGTCCCAAGTGTCAATACGGTCGACACCCTCCAGCTCCTTGACGAAATTGTCGAAGAGCTTCTCGTTTTGTTTCATATATTCGCTTTGGCCCTGGGGCCAGTCACCCAGGCGCTGGACAGCAAGCTTCATGAGTTGCAGGTGCTGCTGAATGTGATCTTTTTAAGTGTACATGGCATCGATAGTGGAGTCGCGGATATCAAAATCATAGTTGGAACCGTCCAGGCTGGATTCAAGACTGCCATCCAGGTCCACGAGATTGGGGTCAAGGAAAACACGGAGTAGATACTCGTGCACACCGGCAATCTTCTTGCAAATTCTCTGCACCATGGGCTGACCTCCCTTGGAATGCTGAAGCTGCTGGGCAACACCAGTGTAGAGTTGGGATAGCAGGATTGACATCTCTAATGTACTGGAGTGGCTTGGGCCGTTCACGCGGCGACAGTTGTACAATAGTCTCCTTGATAATTTGGCCAGAGACGTGGGCCAGCTGTTTCTGAGCGGCGACTTGATCGGCCTCAGCGACGCTAGTGCGGCCAGAGATTATCAGACCCAAGTTGAGGACGTACTTGACAATGTCTTCAGTATGGTATTTACTGTCAGCCGAAATATAGTGGAAGGCAGCCAAAGCAAGATTTGATGGGCTATCATATTCCTTTTTCTGGAGGCGCCCTCGAATACCGTAGTAACTTGCGATACCCACTGAGCGTAGGAATTTGTCGGGCTCGCGCTCGCTGAGGTACTCAAGGAGGGCCCAAAGCAGCTCCTTCACTTCATCAGTGTTGGTCAGCTGGATGCGCCTGCCTTCAGTGACGAGGAAATAGGCGACGAAGTCATCATAGACACGTTTGGCGATCATATCGCGTTTGTTCTGAATCAAGATACTGTGAAGATTGGAAGCAGACTGACAGACTGAGAGGAATAAAGTCGACTCTGAAGTTGACGAGGTGAGGTTGCGAAATTCCTCGAAGTAAAGATACTCAGCAGTCAAAGAAGCCAAATTCTGAGCAATCGTGGAGGTACGATTGGCGTAGAGGCTATGCTCAAGCTGAGCCAGGAAGATCAAGTTCTGGCGACTCTGGGTCAAGTCGAGCTTGTGCGTCTTTGAGTTGGAGGTGTTCTTCATAAAACTCTGGTGGTAGAGCTCTGTAGCCAATGCATTGGCCTTAGAAATTTGCGAGGTAGCGATGTAGCCATTTGCGAGCACCGTGACGGCGGAGGTCAACTGTTCAGAGGACAATTTAGCCGACAGTATTTGGAATGTTGACTTCTGGAGCTCTTGAAGTGTGACTGAAGTCTCCTTATGCTTGGCGAAGAAAGAAACCATTTCTTCTAGTTTAGACAGGGTTACGTGTGAAGCCCAGCTATGCTTTTTAACAAAACTTTCGAAGCGTGTCGTCAGAATTGTCTTAACCTTCTTGACTTCTTCGGAGGAAACCGAGGATGAATGAAGAGCGGCTTATTCCTCCTCCTCACGAATTCCATGGATCGTGGCCTTGATGTCAGCGTGATCGAGCTCTCTGGATACCAAGCAGTTCCTGGTAGATGTCAATAGCAAGATTCTTATTGACCCTAGTCTCCTGGTACACCATGGCAAGTATCAGGGTGGCCTTGATGGAAATTGATACTGTAGCACCAAAGAACTCCGTGACCTGGTCCCAGTACTGCTGAGTGATCCTGACAATGAAGTCATAATCAGCTTGGGTTTTACGCAGGCACTCAGTATACCGCATGAAAAACGATTGAACGAAGTTTTCATTTTGTAGATCGGGATTCTTCTTAGGCTCCTCGAGGAATGTTTCAAAGAGCAGATGATACCATGGGCGAACGTCAGAGTAACGGCTAGTTCTAGAATACACCTTCTTACACCTCCCCACCTGACCCCTACATTTGGGTTTCTCGCTATTTCCTGACAGCTGCGCGTGTGTTTTGTGATGGTTTTCTGTTGAATCGACCCGCACGTCTCAGCGCGTGCTGCCATCGAGCGTTCCCCTCTTCACTATCTAGCAGATTATTGGCCCAACTTAGTGCGAGCTAGTATTGGTGCTGGGATTCATAACCATACGGATGCTATCAGTAGCATAAACCTTCCCAGCTTCGGTCTTGTGCTTATTATTTCCACGCATTTATTTCAATCCAGCGAGGCAATTTTCTTATCGACCCCGATAGTCAGTTAACGCCACACGCGGACGCTCTGCCGCGACACACCCGCCCTGGGGACTATCTGCGCTGCCTTCCTCTCTCCTAGCCGCATTCTATCCTAGGCCCCACTGTTACACTCAAGATACACAAATTTTACGCTCAGTTCGCTTCAATTTATATGCCTGTTTGCTAATTGGACGGTTCATTATCGTACTCCTACAAAGACCCAGGTGCATTTATCCTGCATTTGCCTTGCATAGCGAGCCTCTAGCCTTTGCTGGGGATTTCATTTATCAAAGGGGTAGGAAGATCAAGTATTATACGATAGAGCTGCCATAGAAAAATGGATCTTAACTGGTACTTTTATGGATAAGACTGTGGATCGTAAGTATGTGAGATCACATATACGACCAAGGTAAGTCGAGAGAGTCGATGCCAAAAGGTGAAGGGCGCGGAGGGTTACCGATTCAAGTTTTTAATATGTGCGAAGTGAGAGATTGAGGGGCTACATAGCGGGAGGTTCTATAAAAAGGAACACCATTGACCAATCTCCAAACGTAAAACTAATTAGCCTTGTCACTGGTTCATCTCGAAACATAATTGGGGTGGATGGGAGGGGGAAGGTAGGCAGGTTTCTGCTGCTGACGCCTCATGGAATCGGGGCTGTGGGGCGATTGTTGGAGGCTTGTTCAAAATTCGGTGAAACTGTGGAATTAAAAAATCTTCAGCATGAAGACAGTTTCCTAATAAATATGAAAGCAAGCGAAGACCCAATTGAGAATGTTCTTCTACCATGGAGACCGAAGAAAAAAACCGGAATGAAGAGATTTTCTACCTGACAAATTGACAGGCACATTTGGCCAGCGCAGGCAGAACATTGGATCGTCCTCTGTCCGCCATTCAGCCGCGTGGGATCCTTCCGAAAGATCTGTCCGAGACACCCACCTGAGACCCGCCCACTCAGCGTTGCCGATAGGGTTTCGGTTCGTGGGTCTACAGCAGCGCCGCGGTGCCTCGCGGTATAGCGGAGCATTCCCGACTGCCAACAGTCCCGCTCGGCCCGGTAAGGGTCTGACGCCATGTATATCACTCGAAAGGATTTCAACTTGGAACATTGGTCGCAGATAGAAAAATTTAGACATATCTCACTTGGAATCTAACACTCATATCTCACTCTTGATTTCTTTCCTTTTCTTTTTCTTTTTTTTTTCAATATTCATATTTCTTGTCCAGCGTACCAATAATCTCATTCGCTCTTATCGCGTCGCACAGTCGCCATTGACAGGCTTCACAAGCCACCCTATACGCAGACATGCAGCGCTCGGCATTTCTCATACTCTCGTTACTGAGCACGCTGGTCCTGTCTTGGCCTTACGACGAATCACTAACTGATTATAATGTTAACGAGAACCAATCTGCGACAGCCCCCATCGATTACTGGGGAGATTGGCCAGACCATGAATACCACCCATCGCCAGATAATTGGCGATTTCCGATTTACACGATTTTCCTCGACAGGATCTCCAACGGCGACCCGACCAACGATGATATCAATGGGACAACCTTCGAGCATGTGCTCGACTCAAATCAAATGCGCCACGGCGGAGATTTAGAGGGACTATTGGATACTCTCGATTATATTCAGGGAATGGGCTTTAAGGTACGTCGAAGCTTCTTTGGTCGCAGAAAAGGTCTGCTGCTAATCAAATTTTTAACACAGGGTATTTATTTCGCCGGAACTTATTTGATGAACCTACCATGGGCTTACGATGGCTATTCACCGACCGATACCACCCTTCTCGATATGCACCACGGCACACTTGAGGACTGGAGGCGAACAATCGCGGAGATTCATAAGCGGGATATGTACGTCCTGGTGGACAATACGGTAGCAACGTAAGTTGATGCACTATGCCTCCAGATGCTGCCTCCCAGACGCTTTAAATACCTAGAAACTGACTCGAGAATAAAGACTGAGTAATCTGATCGGGTTCAAAGGCCACTTGAACGACTCGGCCGATTTCAATCCCCACGAATACGAAGTCGAATGGGTCACCGAGAGACAATACGCCGACTTCCAATTCGGAAACGACTATAATGAAACGTGCAATTTTCCCAAATTCTGGGACGAGACTGGTTATCCAATCACTTCCGGCGGGCCCGAGGTCTTGAAGGGTTGCTACAACTCAGATTTTGATCAGTTTGGAGAGTTGGAGGCGTTTGGAAATTTCCCTGACTGGCAGCGCCAGCTCACGAAGTTCGCCTCAGTACAGGATCGGTTACGTGAATGGCACAAACCGATCCGCGATATCATCACTCAACATTCCTGTGCTCAAATCGCGAGCTTGGATGTTGATGGTTTCCGTTTTGATAAGGCTGTGCAAACGACCCTCGAGCCTTTGAGTGAAATAACTGCTGTCTACCGTGAATGTGCAAAGAAGTACGGCAAGCACAACTTCTTTCTTCCTGGTGAGATCACAGCCGGAGATACCTTCGGCAGTCTGTACTTGGGCCGTGGACGTCAACCAAATCAGCGACCAAACTCTGCAGGTGCCGGCGCCAAGTTGACCAATAACTCGGATGAGGCTTTCCTGAGAGACAATGGCTTGCAAGCGTTGGATGCCTCGGCATTTCACTATACCATCTATCGTTCAATGACCCGCTTCCTGGGAATGGATGGTAATTTGGTGGCGGGGTTTGACCTGCCTACCGATTTCATCGAAGCGTGGAATGACATGCTCATCACGAACGATTTCATTAATGCGTTCACAGGAGAGCTGGACCCGAGGCATATGTACGGTGTCTCCAACCAGGATAACTTCCGCTGGCCGTCAATCAAGAACGGAACAGAGAAGTATCTCCTGGGCCTGTATATTGTCACACTGGAGCTGCCAGGAATTCCTTTGATTCTGTGGGGTGAAGAGCAGGCAATGTATGTGTTCGATGCCACTGCATCGAACTATCTGTTCGGACGACAGCCCATGACCTACCAGACTGCGTGGTGGACAAATGGCTGCTTCAATCTCAACACGTCAAAGTTTTATGATTTCCCGATTGACAAGGGCCGTGATGGTTGCAACGATATCACCGTCACCTATGATCAGCGGAATCCTGCCCATCCCCTTCGCAACCTCATGAAGCGTATGTTCGAGATTCGAGAACATTATCCGGTCGCAAATGATGGCTTGTATCTCAGTACAATCTCTCAACTCACTGAGGATATCTACTTGCCTGGATCATCCACAACTCCCACCGTCACTGGTCTGTGGTCAGTCTTGCGGAGCTACTTCCCAGGAGTCCAAAAAGAAGCCAGCGAGACCAACCAGACCATGTGGCTGGTGTATCAAAATGGAAACAAGACGGAAACCTATGGCGGTGACTGTAGCAACAAGAGTGTTGCCCTGCTGTCTCCATTCGTATCCGGGACGAAGTTAAAGAATCTGTTTTATCCATATGACGAGCTCACTCCTCAAGATGGACCCAGGGACAGTTCCTATGGCTGTGTGAAGAGCATGGAACTTCTTCCTTGGGAATACCGGGCGTATGTGAAGAAGGCCGACTTTGTGGAGCCTGGTCCGACTGTCACTGACTTCTCGCCTGGTCACGATGCTCGGCTAATCTCTTCACAAGACATTGGCGAGACTCTGCCAATCGAGCTTGGCTACTCGACGGAGATGGAGTGTGGTAGCATCACCAAGGCGATCAGTCTGAACTCGACGACCGAGAATGGACTCACTGCCTCGTTTGATAAAGACAGCGTGCGCTGCAAGAAGATATCTGCCCGCACCACCAGCAACAACTTCATCGGCGAGGTTCCCACTGTGTGGGTTTGGTCCGCGAACCTGACGAATGTCCATCACGGAATTCATCAACTTACTGTCGGCAATGTTTCCTCGTTGGGAGTCTACACCAACTCGACCGACAAGTTCCTCTTCCGTGTTGGTCTCGAGAACAACCCGTTAATCACTCCTCTCTCCAACTACTCTACCAGCCTGCTTCACAAATCCAATGGTCAATTCCACATCCAGCATAGTGCTGCAGGCGCGGATCAGTTCCGATACTCGACTGATTTTGGGAGTACATGGTCCAAGTGGACTTCCTATGAAGGTGGTAACACGACCATTGAACTCTCGACTTTCATGGGAACAGACAAGCAGAAGTGGAAGGGCACTCATGTCCGCGTTCAGTACTTTTCTCGACTCACCGGGAGCAGCGATTACATCCAGGAGGGTGATTATGGATGGGAGAGCGATGGAGTCCGTAGGTTCCCTCACTTGTGGTTCAACGGCCCCTATAATCAATACGGCTACGACCAAGGACTGGACAGCGAAATGAAATTCGACACCAAAACTTCTCGATGGAACTACGACTTCGTCTATGAGTGGCCATCGGTCGGGCAGTTGAATGTCTGGGGTATTGACAAAGGGGGTATTCCTGATACGACAGAAGTTTACGGTGACGTTGGGAACTCGTCGAACGTGCAAAAGCTCCCTCCATCTTACTTGTCCTCCAACGTCATCAACATTACCAATCTGCCTCCGTTCCCCCACCTCGGTTGGAAGATCTCGCTCAATGATGCCAACCTCAGGTATCAGTTGATCCCGATCGGTAGCGGCTGGGCTCAACTTGTCCTTTATGTTCTTCTCTGGGTTGTCCCGATATTGATGGGGCTGGCTGGCATTTTGATCTTCATCCAGACTTTTTATCGCGTGAAGCTGAACAAGGATGGCAATGTCGTTAAAGATGAGAAGCTACCAGTGGTTCTTTACCGCAGAGTCAAGGACAAGCTTTCTGGGCAGAAAGATCTTGAGAGTATTGCTGAGAAGGATGTACCAACTGACATTGCCGCGGCGGGTGCAAACGATCAAAGACGCACTGTATTGATCGCAACCATGGAGTATGATATCCAGGACTGGAACATCAAGATCAAGATTGGTGGGCTCGGAGTTATGGCCCAGCTCATGGGTCAAAATCTGAAGCACCAGAACCTCATCTGGGTGGTACCATGCGTCGGTGATGTGGATTATCCTGTAGACACTCCCGTTGAGCCATACGTTGTCACTATCCTGGACAACCCCTACTTGATCAATGTGCAGTACCACATCGTGGATAACATCACCTATGTCCTGCTGGATGCTCCTGTTTTCCGACAACAAACCAAAGCGGACGTCTACCCACCTCGGATGGACGATCTTCCCTCGGCAATCTATTACTCTGCGTGGAATCAATGTATCTCAGAGACAATCAAGCGAGCGCCTAGTATCGACCTGTACCACATTAACGACTTCCACGGGTGCTTAGCGCCACTCTATTTGCTGCCGACACGAACCATCCCCGTGTGCCTGTCTTTGCATAATGCCGAGTTCCAGGGCCTTTGGCCACTGAGAACCCAAAAGGAGAAGAAGGAAGTGTGTTCTGTCTTTAATCTTCCGATCGAGAGAGCGACCAAATACTGTCAATTCGGCAACGTCTTCAATCTTCTTCACACCGGTGCTAGCTATTTGCGATTCCACCAGCGTGGGTATGGCGCGGTGGGTGTATCCAACAAATACGGCAAGCGCTCATGGGCCCGTTATCCCATTTTCTGGAGTCTGAACAACATCGGCAGTCTACCAAACCCTGACCCAGCCGACACCAAGAAGGAAGATGTGCAGATTGCGGTCCAGACAGATGCGGAATCCAACAATGATAAGCTCCGGGCACAGATATGGGCAGGGCTTAAAGAGGATGCCAGGGCGGATCTACTTGTGTTCGTCGGTCGGTGGTCAAAGCAAAAGGGAGTGGACCTAATTGCCGATATTCTGCCCAGCGTTTTGTCTGCTAGACCAAACGTGCAGGTTATCTGCATTGGTCCTGTCATTGATTTATATGGAAGACTGGCTGCTGTCAAGTTGGAGCGCATCATGGCAATGTTCCCGGGTCGTGTGTTCTCCAAGCCCGAGTTTACGGTCCTTCCTCCTTTCGTTTTCTCTGGTGCCGATTTCGCTTTAATTCCATCCCGTGACGAGCCATTTGGTCTGGTGGCAGTGGAATTCGGACGTAAGGGTGCACTCGGCATCGGTGCACGTATTGGAGGTCTCGGGCAGATGCCTGGCTGGTGGTACACCGTGGAGTCTGATTCAGCTCACCATCTCTTGCACCAGCTTAGAACTGCTATTGGGTCTGCTTTGGATTCGTCACCCAAGACTCGGGAGGAAATGCGTGTCAACTCGGCCAAGCAGAGGTTCCCTGTTCTTGAATGGGTCCAAAAGCTCGAGGTCTTACAGCGAACCGCAATCCACACTCATCACGACAAGAACAAGGACACCGTCCGAGACCCATTACGGGAATCTCAAATTTACTGGGGCATACAGGGTCTCCAATCAGCCCCCGGGTCTCGCCCAACTTCGAATCAATTTGCATCCGCGTCTACGGAAATGCTCCCGGGAAGAAATTTTCCGCCCGTTCAACCGTCTCTTCTGGAGCTACAGGCAGTTGAACTCAGAGAGATGCGGGGGTCTGACCGTAACAGCAGCAGTCCACCTCGCCGACAATTGTCGCTCGGGCGACGATCTGGCCCTGGACAAGAAAGGAAACGTCTCGTCAAGAGGTCACTGCGAGAGAGTCAGATGCTTGAGAGAACGGTCGAAGGCGATAACACAGATGCCGACGATGAAGGTGCTGAGACGCCCCAGGAGAACTTCATCTCCCCCGAAGAGGCAGTGGCAGCAGTGAAGCGAACCCTTGGATCCCAAGATGATGGTACGCCTTCTCGGAAGAGCAGCAGTCATTCTCGTAACGATTCAAACGATTCCAACCTGTCGGTCTCAGCCTCTTCGCGCCTTGTCTCCCGGGATTCCTCCCCAATTAGATCCCCTGACTTGTCTCGTGACATTAATCCCAGTGAGCACAATCTTCTAACACCCCCACAGAATGTTTCTGTCCTGTCTTTGCCTTCTGTTGTTGCGGACCACGACGAACCTGTCTTCCACCTGCAAAAGATCGACCCTACTTTCACGGACAGCATGGGTCATTTCACGCGGCGCTTTGAGAAGCAACTCGCCAACCTCAATAAGAAAAATTCGGTGACGGACCACTGTATTGAAGTGTACTTGATGAAGAGCGAACGGAAGTTCTTCAACATGTATACCGACGCGCAGCTGAAAAAGCAGCCCAAAGAACGCCCCTTGACTGGAGGGGGCTTGGAGCATGTTGTTGATGACTCGTCGAGCAACGGCTCTCCGCACGTCTCTGGCAATGAAGAATCAACTGGATCAGATGACATTGATCAATGGCTGTCTCGCCTTGGGTACAAGAGACCCATCGCCATCCAGAGATTCATGAGATGGCGTATTGGCAACTGGCCTGTCTATGCTCTGTTCTTGGGCCTTGGACAGATCATTGCGACAAATTCGGCGCAGATAACACTTCTGGTCGGGACAGTTGGTGAGACTGCTGTCAAGCTGTATGTCATTGCGGCAATCTACTGCGTCTCGTCCTTAGTTTGGTGGTTCTTGTTCTACCGCTTCCCGTCTGTGATTGTTCTCACTCTCCCTTGGTTTATATATTGCATCTCGTTCATCATCATTGGTGTTTCGCCATTTGCATTGTCGAACCTCGGTCAGACTTGGGCTCGGAATGTTGCAGCAGGTGTCTACTCTGCCGCATCATCCAGCGGATCTCTGTTCTTCGCCCTCAATTTCGGTGACCAGGGTGCCGTCCCCGTGAAGGATTGGATGTTCCGTGCAAGCCTTGTTCAAGGCCTGCAGCAGATTTACACCGTTGCTCTGTGGTATTGGAATTCCAGGGTGACTGCAGTGGAGGTCGGAGGTATTTCGACGCTCGCCTTGAGTAGTTGGAAACTGACGGCTGTGGTCATGCCCATTGCCGCAGTTTGCTTCATAATCGGTGTGCTCCTTGCTCTTGGCCTGCCGAAGTACTACCGCCAAGCCCCCGGAAAGATCCTATTCTTCTACACCTCCCTTTTCCGTCGTCGCATCGTTCTTTGGTTCTTCTTCATGGTTATCATTCAGAACTGGTTCCTTGCCTCGGCATTTGGTCGAAACTGGTCTTTCCTATGGTCGTCGAAGCACGCGAAAACATGGGAGATTGCTGTACTCGTGGTCTTCTTCTTCATCGTCGTCTGGGTCACAGCGATGGTCCTTTTTCGCTTCCTGTCGAGAGAGCACTCTTGGATCTTGCCTGTCTTTGGACTGAGCATTGGCGCGCCACGATGGGCTCAGGTATGGTGGGGAACGTCGAACATTGGCTATTACCTTCCTTGGGCTGGGGGTCTCACCTCTGGTGCCATCGTGTCACGATGTGTTTGGCTTTGGTTAGGTGTTCTCGATGAAATTCAGCAGGTTGGCCTTGGAATTATTCTCTTGCAGACGCTGACACGAGTTCACGTCTGCTTCGTCTTGTTGGCCGCGCAGGCTCTTGGATCTGTTGCCACAATTTGTGCCCGCGGATTCGCGCCGAATAATACCGGCCCCGCGGGTGTGTCTCCAGATGTGGGATCATCATTGGACAAAGTCGGAAATGCGTGGTTCTGGATTTCTCTTTCCTTCCAGCTCGTGGCAAGGTTAGTTTCCATTGTCTCTGGGAACTGTTGGAATTTTTTACTGACTCTTATCGCAGCTTTGGCTTCCTTCTCTTCTACCGCCGAGAGCAGCTCAATCGACCATGAGCCTCCTGTTCACTATTTTGCATGATTCATGAGCAACTATATATCACTGTACTTACCTAGGCAAATGACATTATTGTAACATGTGACAACCCTCCCGAGAATAATATGTCAACAACGATTCTTTTCTGCACCGAAGAATCTAGATAATATGCAGGGCTACGGAAGGTTATAGTAGCTAAAGCCCATTTTCCAACTCCAGGAAGCATTTGATGCCTAAATCATGGTGTAGCACCACACCAAATTTTGTACGTCACTAACTGCTCTACATAGTCTAATAATATCAGCTATCAAAAGGTCGCCTAACCACCCAGTTAGGCTGCGGCACATCCGCTCCAATGGATCCTGAGGCCGCTCCGCAATCCGCACTTACCCGCAGGCAAAGTTATGGTAGCTGAAGTCAGGTAAGACGGAGCGCGGGTATATTGCGAATCTGGGTCCGTTGCTCTGAGACCATGCGCTATTTCCCTTCGCTTCTATTCTACCATGCTCATAGTCTTTTCTTTTCATAGAAACAACAATGCAAAAGTGAACCATGGTCCATTCTCCGTTGGCAAGTTACTACTAGTAGTTGGCCGCTTATGATTGATCAATGTGCGGTTCATCAAAAAATAGATCAGACGAGTCTGGTGAACGGTTGGTTTCAAAGAGTCACGAGTCACGACACATCCATCCACGGATGCACCATCACAAAAGCCAGACTACAGATTGATCACCACAGGACCAGTCAACTCAACATCTACCTGCTTCGTCTGACCGTCCCGGTGGGCGGTAGCTCCCTTCTGTCCCAGCAGGGTGACCGACTCAATGGTCACGTCCGCGTGGTAGCCGAACTTGCCGCGGACGTGCAACTTGCCGTCGCAATACTCGAACTCGATCATCGACGTGCTGGCCGGGTGGAGCGACTCGCCGTCGTCCAGGTACAGCTCGCCCGCCGCGTACCCGTTCATGTCCGGCGCGATCAGAATCTCGAAGCCCCGCTGCCGCAGCTCGGTCGTGGTCATCGCGCCTTCCGAGCGGAGCGGGATCACGCTGCCACCGCGGATGTGGATGGGGATCTCGGTGATCCCGATGTTGGTCAGGGTCATGTTAGCGCCGTGGCCGTGCACGGCCTTGCCCGTGTACCAGTCGTAGAAGAGGTCGTCGGGGAAGTAGGCGTCGACCGAGGTTTGACCCTTGTCCTGCACCGGGGAGATGAGCAGCGCGTCGCCGTAGAAGAACTGGAGATCCTTGCTGAAGGTGTTGGGGTCGTTGGGGTAGACGTAGAACATGGGCTGCAGGAAGGGCTCACCCGTCTGCGACTGCCGGTAGAACGCGGTGTACAGGTAGTCCAGCAGACGGTAGCGGATGTTGATGACCTTGCGGGCGGCCGCGGCGACGCTAGGCCAGCGGTAGAATTCCTGGGGTCTGTACCCTAGTTCGTTGTGGTTACGGTAGAAGGGCTGGAATGCACCCAGCATGGCCCAACGTGCACAGAGCTCCTCGTTTGTGTCGCCGCCGAATCCACACACGTCGGAGCCCACCATGGGGACCTGGAACATCGATGCAAAGGCAAGCATCTGGGCAATCGAGACACGGTACTTGCCCCACTCGCTCAGATTGTCTCCGAGCCTGGTGAGAGTTAGCAACTTCCGCTGTGGAGGTCGATGAGAAGCGTTGGATGCTTACCAGTGTCCGACATGGGCACCTGCACCGGCGAACGTGCTACGTGTGATAACAAAGGGGCGCACCTCCGGTCGACGCGAGAGCATGGCCTCGCGGGATGTGGAACTCATCACTATAGATGGGGTTAGATGCACTCACTTCATTCATGATAGAAGCCGATCTGGATTAAACTTTAGGCATCACTCACTGGTACCGTAGAGGTTGTGAGTATCATACTCCATGTAACCCTCGCCAGCATGCTTGATATCCGTCTCAATAGTGTTCATGCTAAGAGATCCAGCAGCGTTGTGGATACGGTACGGAGGCGAAATTAGCGCGCGGTCGGGCAATCCAAGCTTCTGGCCTGTGCTACGGCGCTGTTTGCCATACCATCTCTTAGAAGACGTCGAGTCAGGCTGGAAGTCTTCAGGGAAGCCAGGAAGAGGACGCGGCGGCTCGCGAACTGGCGGAGGTGTCGGGGGCATCCCGTTCTTCGCGGCCCAGATGGCTGGGTTATTGCAAGGGTAGGGACAAAAGTTGGCGGCCTCGTTCATGTCGATCCATAGACCGTCGATGTCGACACCATTGTCGGGGTTGAAGAAGCGGGCGAACTCGCCGTTCCAATACGTCTGAATGTCGGGGTGGAACCAGTCGGGGAAGACGGTCACACCAGGCCATACGACACCTGCTTTTGTGAGTAAGAGAAGCATGGCAGACGAGAACGGGACGTACCTTTGTAGAGGGTGGTCTCATTCTCGCGCAGGAAAATGTCCATCTCGTTGCCGCGGTTGAAAGCACCGTTGTCTATCAGAAATTTACATCAGCTCTCTTCGCGTGCTGAACAGATTAGTTCATGTACATACCACTAAGGCTGACGGCGGGATCAACCATCATAATGTACTTTTGGTCGTGACTGTGCAGGTAACGAACCAGCTCGCGCACCTTGTCCAAGGGGAAGCGCAGAGGATCCAGGGTGAAGACGCGTCGGCGGTCCATGTAGTCAATGTCAGTCCACATAGTTTCTAAAGGAATTCCGGCTTGGCTGTAGTTGTAGACAACTTCGGCAACGGCGTAGATATCGCGGTATCCGTATCGGCATTGTTGAAACTAGTAAAATTAGTCTTGATCGAGAAACCGAGAGGTGAAGTGAGATACATACACCAAAGGTCCAGTAGCTCTGCATAGCAGGGAGGCCGACAACTTCTGCGTACTGCTTGCTGACCTCCTTAGGAGTCGGGCCAGCCATGAAGTACAGATCCAGGACACCGCCGATGGTGTTGTACTCGAGGAACTGACGGCCGTCGTAGGTCTTGTCAATCTTGATATCCATGCCGTTAGAGTTAACGAAGAAGACACCGTGGGTACCAGCGTCACCACGGTGGTCCACGTAGACCGGGTGGTCACCGTACAGATTGGTCTCCGACGGGATACTATAGGCGTCACGGTTCCACAGGGTGCGTGTGTAGTTTGTCGTGGGTAGACGCAGGGGATCGCTGTGCTCGCCCAGACCATACAGGTTCGGGTTCGCAGGGAGCCAGGTGCGCAGCTTCAGGTACTGAGATTCGAAGATAATGTCGGTGTCGGTGGTGTCGAAGAGCACTTCCTCGTTGCCGTCGACATCGCGCAGGACGCGCAGGCTAAACGGATCGGGCTGATAGTCAAAACGCAAGTTGTGGTCTTTATAGCGATTACCATTGGGGTGAGGACGCGGGAGAACGGACTCCGGGACCTGATAGACCTCCTCGTCGGAATCGTAGATCATGACATGGAGGCGATCACCTATTCGTATCAGTCGCTGGCCGTGGATGTAACCAAGTAGTTACTACTCACTAGTCTGGTACTCGACGAGAAGCTTCAGGTCCTGAAGATCCTCGCCGTACACATTGCAGGGGGGACCATTCAAGACCAGATCAGCAGTCAAGGACGCGCCTCCCTCTTTGACGTTCAAGGCTTTGTATCCAGGGCACGCGGCGGTATCGGAGCGCGGTCTCAGGACGGAAGCTCCCACGAGGGGAGCGAGAAGGAGCAGTGACGCCCGCATATTGTCAGTCAACTAGGAATACCGTTGCAGTCTCTGCGACGGGAGTCGATTATTTGGAAGAAGCCAGTTGGGATTTTATATGTGGACTAGATCAGGGAAGCAACGGGACAAGGACATGGGTAATGAGGTAATGTCCGATGAATGTGCGGAACAAACTTACCAAGACCTTAAGTGAAGTTAGTTTGGTGAACATTGTCACCACATTTACTCAACGTTTGCTCCGCGTTTTCACGATGGAGGCTCCTCACGGGCCGGACATGGATTGGAGAAACTTGCGGAAAGGCGGACAATTACCGGGCTAAGCCTCTTGGCGGATCCTCGACGCATGGATCAGAGAAACCCATTGCTCCGGATTTTGATGGGATCCCCGGTCCCACCCCCACAAACTTTGGCCGTCAGTGCCAAAAAGGAGGAAAACGTTTTCTGGGGGTCTCCAGTATAGTGCAGAGCGTTGCGGAATCTTTTGCGGGCCATTTTTAACTCGGCTGAGGGCCCAGAAATGAAGTACCCGAACTATGATCGATCCATACTACCCGTTGTGGGGTCAGCGCCAGCATGCACTTCTATTGACTCAATGTCGGCCCGAGATATGGAGCTCTGCTGATTGTTGAATGTCGGTCCAAGTTATGGTCCTGGTCGTGCACGGTGCATGACATGCCCCACATAGGTTAAATGCCGCATCACTAGCATCCTCCGCAGATAGACTTCACCAAAACCCATAATGGGTCCAAGGTCTGGACCCATTACCCAACCCACGTGGGTTTTGGGTATTCAATTGCCCGTGTTGATTTATAAGTGATGCTTCAGTGTTCATGTTGTTGAGGGGAGTTGATTGTGTAAGATACAGGTAGACTGGTGAACAGATATATAGGCATGCACGTGATCCCAGCCCCCATGATTATCCCAGTAACCGTGATATTTGAACAGCCCGACCCAACCCAACCCATAACCCACATGGGTTTTACCCAAAAACCCATTTATACCCATTTCAACCCATTTTTTGCATAAAATCTAGGTCTTGGCGCTCATAAATCCGATCATTAAGCATTGTAATTTACAACCGTTCTGGTTCTCCTCTTGAATAACAATTATTTAATTCCAAAATCCATTGAAACCTTTGTTCTAAAGACTAAAATTATATTGTGAACTCTATGTTCTACTTTAATTACCACTCAAAAAATAGATTTACCTTTGAGTAGGCCGTTATAGTGTTATGGTGATTTGAGATGCGGAAATATATAATTGATCCCATGTAAAGTAGGTCCATTCTTTGATAAGTATTCCTCAAAATCATTAAGAAACCAACCCCCCCCCCCATGTAATGTTTCTTTAATTATTATGGGCTTAAATATAAGGGTTGATTTTTAGAATCAAAATTCCGCAGGGAAAACTTCCAAATTAGCTTTCATTGTTGCTTTTTTCGGCAGAAAAGTTGGCTTCGCAGGACTTTGGTCCGCGACCGAAGGACTTTGAGGGGTCGAGGGTGAAATTTTTTGGGAGCTCAAATGTGGGAATGGGTTTTATATGGGTTTTATATGGGTTTTTGATGGGCTTTCTATGGGTTCTCTGAGTTTTCATGGGTTTTCTGTGGGTTTCTCATGGGTTTTCATGGGTATCCCCATATTAGTGGGGCTAAGCAGCCAATTATAATCTATTATATATTATTACTTGTGACCTGTCTCCTCTTTACTTAGACTTAGAGAATCACTGCCTTCCCTGCTATTGCGCGTACTCCCCCCTTCTTCCCTCCTCTCCCCCTTACAGAATCTCCCTTAGTGGTTGTAATGTCTCAAAGCCAGCAATCTGACATTTACTCTACCTTTGGGGAGGATTATGATCATCTTGCCTACACTCTACCCTCTTCTCAGAATCTTACACCCTCTAATAGTCAGGTTACAGTTACACCCTCTGATGCTGTTGATTTCCTTCGACCCCCCTGTCCAGTCCCACTCTCTTTTACCCGTGTTGGCCCTGATCGGAGAAAGGCATATGTGCTTTACGACGCTATGGCACATACAGAATGGGTTGACTGGTGGCTTCAAACTGACTATGGTCAGAAGAGCAAACTAGCCTGGGATGCGAATCGTAGTTCAAAGATATGGGAGAACTTTGAACAGGTTACGAATGCGAAAGATGGTGCACCAGAAGTGATGTGTAAACTCTGCTCTAGAGTTTTAGAGCATCCAAATACATTTTTGCCAAATGGAAAGGGATTTTATGGTACATCAACAATGGCAAAGCATCTGAATACCATAACTTGTCGCAACGCAGGACAGAACAGGAAACGTGAAATCACTGGATTCTTTCAAAAAGGAGTATGGACTTATTCTTACTATTCTATCCTAGTATTATGATCTTCTCTAACTACTAACCACATAAAATTAATAGAATCCTCCACCAATCGAAGTCCCTTTTTCACAAGATATCTGGGAAAAGGAACTACTTGATTTTTTTATGCTTAACCGACTTCCATTCAACCTTTTTACCGAACCATCATTTCATCGGCTATTCCAAACCAACCGGTCCTCAGCCTCCCTTCCTCATATTCCCTCTCCTACCACAATGCGTCGTCGCCTACATACTCTTACTGAAAAGCAGCAAAGCACAGTCCTCAACCTGCTCCCTAATAATGCGAAACTCTCGATTGCATTAGATTGCTGGACATCTCCATACAACCAGGCATTTATGGCTATAAGTGGCTATTTTGTGGATAGTAACTGGGTGTATCAAGAGGTTCTACTTGGATTTAAACCACTTCATGGCTCCCATAAGGGTTCAAATCTAAGTAGTGTTGTCCTCGAGACCCTTGCTGAGCACAAAATCCAGGATCGGGTTTTTGGCATTACTACTGATAATGCGAAAAACAATAAAACAATGGTTGATGCTGTTCAACGATCACTCCCTAGTGATGTAACAGTTATCCGCATACCCTGCCTCGCCCATGTTATCCAGCTTAGCTTGAATGAGCTACTTGGTCGCATGAAGGCTGTTCCTCAAAATGAAGTTGCAGAAACAAGATGGACAGATCAGCGGTCATCTGCGGCAAAGGCAAATGCTCAGCACAAAACACAGAGGATAGCACATGCATTAAATAAGGTCCGCTATCTTGCGATCTATATTTCATCAAGTCCTCAACGCCATGCAGCTTTCTTAAAGCTCCAAGAGAAAGCATCCCTAACAGAATCACAACTTGTCCCAATCCAGGATGTGAAGACTCGGTGGAACTCTACCTTTCTGATGCTTCGTCGGGCCAAGAGACTACGTGCTTTCTTTGAGCCTTTCTGCAATGAGTATGACTGTGAGGAGATGCTGCTCAATGATCAAGAATGGCGTCAAGTTGAGTATCTTCTCCAAATCACCCGGCCATTCTATGTCTTTACAACAGAGCTCTCAAAGACCACAGATGTTACAACCCACCTTGTCTTTAAGCTCTACAATGCTCTCTTTGATCATTTCTTTGATGCAGAGAGACAGCTTCGACACAAACGTGTTCTATGGAAGAAGGATATGCTTGTGGCACTTGAGGCTGGTCGCTTAAAGCTTGATGAGTACTACTCTCAAACCGACAACCTAAAAGGACATATCTATGCAGTCGGAACAATGCTAGCACCAGATAGCCGATACCAGTTCTTTCTTCAAGATAACTGGGAGCCTCACTGGCGTGACACCTACCGAAAGTCCTTCCGGGAGTCATTACTTCCATACCAAGAGCGTCTTGCAGCATGTCAACAGCAACCAAGTGACGCCCCTTCAACAGCAACATCTAGTTCTCGGTTAAACAAGATGCTAAAGAGCAATGTCTCTGTGAAGCCAGCTGGCGATGAGATGAGCCAATATCTTGATAGTGGTATGCTTCTTTATTTCTTTGGTTCTCTTTATCTGATGTCAGATTAAACTAATTGATGAATCTTACTAGATCCAACTGATGCTGACCCTCTTCAATTCTGGCGAGACAATCAGTATCGTTTCCCTGCAATTGCACTCCTTGCTCGTGATGTTCTCTCTGTCCCAGCAACAGGTGCTGGTGTTGAACGACTCTTCAATACAGCCCGAGATATCTGCCATTATCGCCGTGGCCGGATGAAGTCAGAAACAATCGAGGAGCAAATGTTATATCTATGCGGGACAAGGTTTACTCTGAAGAATGAAGAGGCAAAGGCACTTGAGCAGTATTTTACTGAGGCTGAGATTCAGGTTGCAAAAGAGGAAAAGATAAATGATGAAGATGATACTGAGTTTGATCTCATTAGTGACAATGAGGAGGAGAGGGAGGAGGATAAGGAGAGGGAGGAGGATAAGGAGAGGGAGGAGGATAAGGAGAGGGAGGAGGATAAGGAGAGGGAGGAGGATAAGGAGAGGGAGGAGGATAAGGAGAGGGAGGAGGAGGATGAGAGGGAGGAGAGGTCATGTGAGGCATCTCCAAATTTAGTAGATATCGATATAGAGCCATCATTGCCACAGAGTGCAACCCAGATACGGGTATCTGGCAGAAGGCGTAAGGAGCGAGAGGACGATGATTTTGTATACGAGAATAAGAAATCCAGAAATTAGTGCAGTCAATCTTCTCTTTTTCCATTTAATCCAGAATTAGATCGGTAAGCAGAGTACTCAATATTACAGCCAGAAAGTGCATTAATTATGCAGCATCTCGACACGGGACTGTTTGTCCTGTTTACACTATAATGGGTACTCACTGGGTACCCATCGTGGGTCAGGGGTTCTTGCCAAAAACCTGTTGATTTATAAGTGATGCTTCAGTGTTCATGTTGTTGAGGGGAGTTGGTTGTGTTAGATACAGGTAGACTGGTGAACAGGTATATAGGCATGCACGTGATCCCAGCCCCCATGATTATCCCAGTAACCGTAATATTTCAACAAAACCCATAACCCATGATGGGTTCTAGAATTGGACCTAAAACCCATTGTTGAAATATCACGGTTTGGGATAATCATGGGGGATGGGATTGTTGATTTATAGTGATGCTTCAGTGTTCATGTTG